GCCTTCTTTTCCACGCTGTTAGCGTGGAGATGCGGCACTCTGTCGTGACACCTGCCTACCTCATCCGCCATGCGCTGGATAATATTCTATACTCCCTCACGGTGAGGCAGCGACGCTCAGCGCTCTTATCCCGTCTCTTTCTCGCGAGCCGTTCCCTCCAAGTCTCCCGCAGGCTGGTTGCCTCTTTACACGATGGTAACGTTTCGTCCCGACATCAGTTACTCTACCGCGAGACACAGGGTGGCCCACCAGCGGCGTGTACTGGAGTATGCAGGGTGGGCAACTGCTGTGACGGGGCTAAGTGTCGCCGGCCTGGTCGCCGTATCTGTCTGGCGCCGGCTGTATAATCGAGGGTAGTTGTATTCCAAATGGGCATTTGGGTCCAATTTCTATCACGTACTGTCCAATCACAAGGTCACCGCGGGAAGAACGCACCAATGATATTCTGTTATGTCAAGATGGGATCACCGAGCGTTGCTTTGGGAAAAACTTGCGGTCGTTGAGGGCTTCCCCGAGTTAGACTGCACGTCAAGGGGCGCCCCCTCGTGCACTCTGCTATCCATGGGAAGCGTACTTGATTGCAATTGCCAGTGCCAATAGGGACGGGCAGGCATACTCTGGGATCCGGATACACGAGAATTTATCGTTCCTCAACATAGCCGACAAGATGAACACCGAAAACAGTAGCGAAGGTGACCGTAGCATACGGGCCAATAAGAATAGCTCAAGGGTAGAGAAGGCGGAGCAGGGTTAGATCGTGGCGTGGCGTGTCGTGAGGCGGTCGCTCGATGCGTAGGGTAGTCGTCGAGGGATATATCTGTCCACAGGACAGGTCGTGCGAGGAATAGGGAGTAGTAACTCAGCTACTCAGGAGCTGGCGTTCTTGTTCTTGGGCGGTCGTCCTCTCTTCTTCTTGGGAGGTTCGCTCGACTCCGCGGCCTCTGCCTCACCCTCGCCGCCCTCTGGCTCTGCTGGGGCCTCAGCGGGCTTGTCTTGGGTGGTCTACCTCGTTTACGCTTCGGTTTCGGCTCCGAGGGTGCCTCATCCTCCGCAGGCCGCTGTGAAGAGAACAAGGAAGATCGCATCATGTTCACAGCAATCGAGCAATGGTCTGACGACAAACCTTGCGCGGACGGCCTCTCGGTCGTTTCACGGAGCATCGGACGACGCGCCTGCTGTTGAGCTGCCTGTGGTGGCTGCCTGAGCAGCAAGAGTCTTCTTGTTCTTCGAGCCTCGTGGACGGCCTCGTCCACGCTTGACGGGCTGTGCGGGCTCCAATTGTGCTTCGACTTCAGCTGGTAGCACACAGTAGTGGGACTATGAGAACGCGCGCGCTTGCCGCATAAACCGGAGTTGGAACCTAACTGACCAGTCTCTGGCTCGCCGCCATTGTCCTCGAGCTCGTCTTCTTGTCCTCGGCGGGTCCTCGCGTGGCGGCGAGTCCGGCATGGTGGGGAGGGGCTGACAGGAGGCGGGGGACGGTAGGCGGGATGAGGGGAAGAGGGAAGCGCGAAAGGTGTTCAGTGCCCTCGTTTTAACGAGTATTTCCCCTAATAGAGTTCTCTCGCGTGCAATATTCCCGAAAGAGTGATTATTATCTGGAGAATCAGGCCTTCCATGAAAACGAGATTCACAGGCCAATCGTACGTAATTCTGTCGACCGCCAGGCGAGCTCAGCCGCCCTCCTTGACGCCGTGTCAGGCGAGAAGGGCCAATGTGCTCGCTGGGGGACTGGGAGACAAGCGAGAGGCTCCCCGCATATTGATAGACACCCACCTGGCCAGGAACGAAATAGTTGTTCTTTCGGCGGACTTTGTTAGTCAGGGAGTGTTTGATGGACTATGCAGAACATTATAATCAGATAACAGCAGGAAATATCCGGCCACATGCCGTCGACGTTCCCCAGCCGCAGCGATATGTGGCGGACGTCGGGGCACGGAATGGGAGGCACGCTGTGCGCATCAACGACGTCGCACGACCAGCACCATGCACGTCCGCAAGACGGGAGCAGCGACGGCACAGGTCTCTCGGGACTCTCCTCCTCGGTCTCGGCGGAGAGCGTATTCCATCAGTCAGCTCGCCCTTCTGATTCGCCGCATTGGGCAGCTCAATTAGGGCGCCGCGCGGGAGTCGCGCCCTCTCCGATGGATCTCCGATTCATTCGCGCCACAACGCCTGCAACGTGTTCGCACATCGCCGTGCACGTGACGGCCGCGTCGCGGTGGCTGAGCTCCCGGACTGCTCTCCTGCTGCTCAGCCTCGTCGTCGCGCACAATGCTCTCGCTGTGTCTGGTGCCCCTCTCGCTGTCGCTTCTTGTGTCGGCGAGTTTGCACCGCTCGCTGCTCCCACAGGATCCCTATGCATTCCCAAAGTACCGCGTGGCGTACGTGAACGGCCTCCCTGTCCTGAACGAGACCGCCGAGCGGTGGCTGCGCGAAGGCCTCAAGGGCGGCCAGGCAGAGTTTCTCGACGAGACATGGGAGTGGAGCGACACAGCATGGCATAGTGGCTCGCCCAAGAGCATCGAAGGCGGTGCAGAGCAGGGCATCGGTTCCACACCTGCAGTCCGTGATTCCTTTGTCAACTGGGCAGCGGCGGTGCGGTATTGACCGCCCTCTGGACAGCCAGACACCCGGACGGAGTCCAACTACAGCCTAGAACTCATGCGGCTGGGTCCTCGGATGACATACCTGTGTCTTATTCCGCCCCACCAGACGAAAGCACTGCAACCATTGCGAACGAACCGGAACCAGACGTATCACCACTGTCCGGCTGGTCCCTCTTGCAACCACTTAACGGCAAGTGCCTCTACGTGAGTAACAATGTCAAGTGCTGCGCGCGCTCTGAATGAATGAGATTCTAGCACAGGCAAGGCTGGTTCACCTATGCTTATTGCCACAATTCACATGTCCGTCAATTCCACGAGCTACCTCAACAGGCCAACAATCGGCAAGGTGAGCCCATTTTCCCTTACAGCCACTAGCGTAACCCAACAGTTGATGTCGATTCAGGCGAATACACCCCGAGGAAGACGCGGAAGTAAGTATCTGTGCATCGCCACGCATGACACATGGCTAATTATTCGCTCCTGCAGTGGGAAGCCTACACCCTGGGGCGAGCCCCACCGACTCCAGAACCCGGCGCAGATCTCACCGTTGCAGAACAGGCCGCCATCGCTGCGAACGTCGAACTCGCTCGCGGGGCACGCTCGCACTATCTCGTGCAGCGCTGGGGCGACGGGTCGCACTGCGACAAGACGGGCAAGAAGCGTGAGATCGAAGTCCAGGTCTGCCTGCCGTTCGCTTCTCGCATTCCGCGACAGCGCTGACGATCCTGCGGTCCCACGTCAGTTCCATTGCTCGATGACGATGACAGACACCATCCTCTTCGTCAAGGAAACCCTGACATGTCACTACGTGCTGCACATCGCCACCCCACGGCTGTGCGGTGTGCCCGGCTTCAAGTCGCGTGTCGACGACCGCAACGAAGCCTTCATCCGCTGCCGTGAGATCCTCGACGAGGCCGAGTACCAGAGCGCGGACAGGTCCCTGCAGGCAGCGGACCGCCCGCTCAAGGTGCCGAAAAAGACGAAACCAGTCATCGCGCCTCCTCCACCGGAACCCGCCACGGAACCCAAGGTGCCGCGCGACATCATCCGCCAGGCACTCGCCAAATTTCTGGAGAAGGATGCGATGAGGACGGGGCCGGGCACGGACGTGTTCGTCGAAGACCTCGAGGACGACAACGGCGAAGTCATGATCGAGTTCATCGACCTCGACCTCGACCTCGATCTGGGCGGCGAAGATCTTCAGGTCCAGCTGGATGCGGCAGGAGATCAGCTGGCCGATGCGCTCCGTGCGGCAGGATATGGCGTCAAAGATGAGAAGCGAAGTGACGAGAAGGGCAGCCAGGGAAAGGGTACCGGGAAGAAGAAGACCGCGTCGAAGGGCAACGGCGAAGGCGAAGCTAAACCTCGCCGAGACGAGCTCTAACGAGGGAGAAGCATCCCACTGATCTTTGACTGCCTGCTTGCCATGTACTTCATCTCCGTTCCCTGGATACTTGGAACCTTCGCAATACAGTCATCTTATCTCATTTACGTGTCATCGTCATACCACCGAGGCACGTTGACCCACGAGCACCAGACTGTCCAAATAAATGCATCGCAGTATTGGTTAGACTTTATTACTAGTACAGGAGCATTTTCTCTAACTTCACTATCATAAACATGTACATTTGTGTTTTGGGCCGCCCCGTCCCGCTGCGAAGATCTATGGCAACGGCAAGGATCGTCGGGCGCATGCAGGACGGACGCGGGCGGGGGCGCAAACGAACGGGCAGGGCGTGCAGGACGAACGGCCCAAACAAGACGAAGATGAAGCAAGCAGGCGGGCTCTATGCACAGCTGTGAGATGCGAGCGTCCGAGCGAACGGCGAGGGCGATGGGAATAACAACAACGAAGATGAACAATAAAGAATTGGGAACAGACCTATGCTGTATGCTGGATGATGCATGGGGAACGATGCGAGTCCGTGGGCGGGGACATGAGGGGGAGCCTGAGGGACAAAGACATGGAGGCCTGCTAAAAGAACCTCCGCTTGCCCTGCTTCTCGTCGACGGCGACCTTGATATGCGTGTGGGTCGGCTTCGCGCCAGGCTCCGAGCAGGGGACGATGCTCCGCAGCCACGAATCGCCGTCGTCCTGGTCCTCTGGGGCATGGGCATGGTCCTGGCACGCCGGGCCGTCACGCGCATGCGAGCGGCACCCGCAGAGCAGGTCGTCCGACTTGCCCTTCCCGTATAGGAGATCCGTGAGGGTGCACCGCGCCGAGGGCTCGATGTGCATCATGCGCCGGATCGCAGAGCGCGACTCGCGGGGGAGCAAGCGGAAGATAGACTCGGCGCCGCCTTGATGAAAGGTAGTGACGCTCGCCTTGCTGTCCGCGCGCCGCCGGGGCCGAATGGTCGCGTTGTGGTCCTTCTTGGCTGGGGCGGGCGTGGTCGTCGACGGCTTCGGAGTGTCACTCGTCGTGCTCGACTGTGACTTCTGCGCTTCAGTCACTGCGCCCTGGGCAGCCTCAGTCGTCGCGAGTTGCACTTCGCGCGCCTGCCCCTTCTGTGTCTCAGGCCTGGAGGCCGAAGTACTCTCCTTGGAAGACTTGCCGTCCATCCTTGCAGCTGGGAGCGCGAGCACTGTCAGGCCGCTGTCGGAGTGGACAGGAGGAGGTTTGAAGAACAGTTGTGGCGACGGCGGCGCAGGCAGGGATTCCGTCGAGTCCGCAGGGCGCGCGAACTTGCGCACGGACGGGTCAGGATCCGCTCGGGCGTCGGTGTGGCCGTTCAAGAAGACGGCGGGCAACGTCGCGGTCGAGCGAGACAGCACGCTCGAGCCAAGCACTTTGCGGCGCGGGTCCAGTTCGATATCAGAGCCCTCCGTCCCCGAGCTAGATGACCGGGAGCCGTCTCTCGACAACTTATCCGACCGGGCGACGGAGGTATTGGACGACGCGATCGACAGTGCCTTCGACTTCTCCGCCGGCTGCTCTTCCTGAAGCCCGTTCTTATCCTGTAGCTTCTCGCATGACTCGGAGTTCGCGCACTCGATCGTCTTCGGAGTCTCCTTAGGCTTCTCGCTGAGGTCAGGATGTGCCTGGACGAACGCTCTGAAGCTCGCGTCCGTCTTCGAATCCGGAATCTTCCACGGGAACCGTCTGAGGACCATGCACATGAAGATGATCGCGACGCTCCAAACATCCGTCTTGCGCGGGTCGTAGCTCTCTGCGTTGATGACCTCTGGTGCGAGGTACGGGTCGCTCCCCACGACGCCCGTCGCGAGCGTCGTCTTCTTGCCCGGGTAGTGGAACACCGTCGCGGTGCCGAAGTCGATGAGCTTCACGACGTTATTCTTCGTCATGACGCAGTTGTCGAGCTTCAGGTCGCGATGCGCTAGCCCGAGCGAGTGCAAGTATTCGACTCCGTCGCAAATCTGCCGGAAGACGCAGTAGATCTCGGGGCGCGACATGCTTCCGGACATAACCACGCTGAAGAGGTCGTATGGCGCATACTCCATTACCTATATGCGCAGTCAGAGGACGAACCAACACGAAAAAAAAACACTGTACACACCTCATAGTAATGCCCGTGATCCGTGACAATGTCCACCGTCTCGATGATGTTCTTGTGCTTGAGCGTGCTGCCCACACAGAACTCCGCAGTGACCTTCTTCTGGTACTCGCGCTCGCTCTCGCCCTGTCTCTTGGGCCGGAACTCCTTCACCGCGAACGTTATTCCGCCCTGCTTCGCCGGCGCCTTGATCAGGCGCACGGTTCCGCCTGCACCACTACCGAGCACACGACCCCATTTGCCGTACTTCTTGCTCAGGTGCGCGTGCGTTGCCGTCGAGAGGCTCGGCACGACGTAGCCTGGCGTGTGGCCGTCGCGATGTGCCGACGGAGCGACAAAGTGCTTGGACGTCTCCCCTGAGTGGCCGGAGCTCGACGTAGGAGGGGCCGTCGTGGGTGCAGTGGAGGTCGGCGAGCCAGACCCAGAGGCAGGGCTCGACTGCGAGTCGATCGTCCGCGACGGCGAGCGTGAGCTGCGCTTGCTGCTGCCGCTGCCGGTAGTGTCGGACGCGCCTGGCGAGGGCGTTTTGCCCATGCTCGATTTGCGCGATGGCCGCACACGGCCCTCGGTCAAAAGTCTATCCCTGGCCTCCTTCCGATCCTTCTTCAAGAAGGTCGAGAAGCGTGATGAATGCTTTCCTGATTCTGTATTACCATTAACGTAGTCTGTCGAATCGTTGTTTGCCGGAGTGCCGGGAGCAGTGCTATGATAGCCTGCGGGCGTCGCAACACCAGCAGCATCCAGTAAACTGGACTGGTCAAAGTGCACGCCACGGCGCTGGTCGAGAGGAGCGACGGATGTATCCGGAGGCGGAGCAGCAACCATGGAGCCGGGAGTGGTAGACGCACTGGCGTGATGCCCGTGCGGATGAGGGATGTGGTGGTTCAGGAATCGCTTGAGGTCGTGCAGAGGACCGGGCAAATGCTTGTCCTTCTTGGTATTGACAGAGCTGGCGGAAGAAGCCACACCGTTGGGTGTAGGAACTGCGCTGTCGGACATGTCGGGCAGCGGATGCGGGTGCTCACTGTCGGGAGACACGCGCGGGGGAGAAGGCGGGTTAGAGACCAATGGCATGTTGGACTGGCTCGGTCGACGCTTGAAGACAGAGCGGCTTGCGGAAGGCACGCCTAGCGTGTCCGAAGGCGCGCTGGCGGAAGGCTCACCCGGACTCTGGGGAGACGGGGACCGCTTGCGCGGAGTGAAGGCTGTGGAGAGGAAACGCGAACGAGACGGCCGCCTTGTTGGCTGAGGAGCCTGGCAGAGATGAAGCAAGGCGCATTTGTGGGGACGGTTAGCTGAGCTCAGCGGATCGCACCGACGGGGCGAGGACAAGGGGACCAACCTGCTCCTTGAAAGCACTGCTTGGAGGGGCACTGCCGTCGCCAGACGCGTTCAGCGCATGAGAGAGCTGCCGCTGGTCTGGAGGGAACGGTATTGAGGGCGCAGTAGGCTGGACGAGGCGTGCGGTGGCAGGAGTCGATGGGGAGGTGTCAATGCGGGGTGATGGGTGAGCGGCGGGGGAGTGAACGAGGGGAGGATGGGGGAGGTCTGCGGCGGGGGTGGGGGGTATCGAGAGGGGGAGGGGCTGCATGGGGCGGGCTGAGAGCATGGTGGGGACGCCGCTGCAGACGATGAGGAGGGGGCGAGGGACGACGGAGAGGGTGGGGAGATATGGCTGCTGGACAAGAGACGGAGGGCAGTCGTTTATGGCGCGCATCACTCGGCAGCGCATCTCAGATCTCGGTCCGGAAATTCTCCCCCACGCGAGCTCTCCTCCCACCGCTGCCCCGCTCCTGCCCCCCGTCTCGTCATCTGTGCAGCGAGCCCCTAGCTTTCGGCCAAAGCACGCTGCTCGCCACCGCCAGCAGCGGCCACCGTCCCCGGCCCCAGTCTGCATGCGCACCCAGCAGACTGCGCTGCGTCCGCTGCCTTCGCCCTCGGCACGCCTGCCGAGCGCATCTGCCCAGTCGACTACCCAATCCGAGTCCAATCCGCGTCCGAGCCGACCTTCCTCGCGCGTTCTCGCGCTGCCAGGCCTCTCGCACAGCGCAACACAGCCATTGGTGTCCGACCGCGCGTGCCCCGACGTGGCCCCGCTGCCCCCGACGCTGCCCGCGCGGGTGTCGCGCGCAGTGTGCGCGGTGGAGGCCGGCTCGTCCGCGTCGCGTATTCGTGCACCCGCGCCAAACGGTGCCCGATTGGGTAAGCGAGGGCCGTCATCGGCCGCATGGGACGAGCCAATCGGCTTTGTATCGACGTCACTTCGCTCCGGCGTGCCCGAGCCGGGCCCGCCGTTGCTCCGGCTACCTGCCCCATTTGGCGCCGCGCCGCCGCCGCTTGCTTCTGCTCGCGGGCGGCCAAGGGCGGCCCAGGATGGAAGACGGACGTGCGCAGCTGGGATCTGCGCTGGGCACCCGCCACGCATTGCTCTGCGCATGACGCTGCCAGCTGGGCACACGACTTCATCTCCAGCGATCACCTCTGCTCTTTTCGTCGCCCGCCCCGCCAGCCCCGCGTCGCCCAGAGGATTCTCCGCCCTCTCCGAAACAGCCTTCACTCATAATTCTCGCTGTCAGTGTCATGGAGCCCAACACTGCCCGTGTCCAGCGCCCTCGACCATCTCCGCCCCGACCAAGCTTGCCATGCGGCGACCGCTCAAAGCCCGCGCCGCCCCGGCCTCTTCAAATCCGTAGTAACCGGTCTACGGGTCCTCTTCATACCGCCCCGACGGAGGTGCTGTCAGACCAATGTCAGACACAACTCAAATCTCAGCCTTACACTTACTGGTTCGGCGCGCGCAAGGGCTGTATCAGCATTTCCATGGGCCATACTCACTTGCTGACTTGGCGTGTAATCGGCACTCGCACGGCGCTGTGCCGCGGCAGGTCATCGCACCCATACCACCCAGCCGGCCCCCTTGGGTCTCAGCGCTGCTCAAACAGCGCAGTTCCTCAGACGCGGATCCAAGCCAGGTGCGCGTCGCCATTCGTTCCTGAGCTCACGTCTGTCCTCGGTTAGTCGTCGAAGTCCTCCATACCTATCGTCGTATCTAAGTTCTGGATTCCGAGGCCACCCGGCCCACGCGGCAGCTGTAAGTACATCCCACAGCCGCAATGTTCCTCCATTTTAGCTGATGAAGTTCTGGACACGTTCGTAGAGGACCCTGCGCGCATCACGTACTACAGCTCGCGGCGTAGGTGATTGAACGCGTACGTAGAGCAGCTCGCGCACAGGATTAGCAAGTGGAGTGCCCGAGAAGTCACTCAACACTGTTCCCGGAACTCCCGGCGGGAACGCAGCGCCGCTTGCTCGAGAGCCAATCGTCGATCTCGGGAAGGCGGGCTCCCAAGCTGCTGATTCGAAGCCGGGTACTTACTCCAACTCACTGGATACGCGAGAGGCCGAGAACGCCCTCCGCAACGCCCACTTATCGTGACTGCTGGCTTTGGTACTGCTCGTACCTCGAGTACAAGTCACCCAAGTTCTCCTAGACTGAGACCGAGCGGCCTCTGCCTTGCCTATCCAGTGCATTCGTACTCCTATCCGCCTTGCCGTAACTATGTGTACCCTAGCCCTCTGCGAGGCACAACGTCATCAGAGTTCAGTAGCCTTCTGACCTCTGACGGGAACGCGAAGCGCTCCAGAAGGACCCTCCTTGATTCAAAGTTATGCGGCCTCCGACATACTGAACGCTCAGACTCGGTACGATGACCTCGGTCCTCTGCAAGCTCTGAGGCCTGCCAGTGAGGATCCGTCCTCAGACGTTCCTGCATTTGACAACTCAATACCGAGCCTAAGTAAGCCACTCCCATCCAGATGCGTCACGACCCGCGTCGACAGCCAAGTCACCGCTAATCTGACTGTGCACCTTCCCAAGCGCCACGAAGCCCCTTCTGCGGTTCGCCACGCCCTCCCGGATCCAGGCGTGCCGTACGTCCGCTGCACGCAATGTTCCCATCCCCGCATCCCATAGCTATCATCGGCAGCCAACGACGTCGCGCCCTCGTCCGTGCGCGTGATTCGCTGACAGGCTCGCGAGTACGGTGTGGGTACGCGCTCTCCGGGCGGCAGGTACGCCCTGCGCCGTGCTATTGTCGGAGGAGGTTTAGAGCCTCCCCGCGCGCGTGCCGCGGCGGGCTTGGGAGCGCAGGCTGGAGACGGGGACGCGGGCGGATCTTGCTGGGATGTGGCCCCCGCCCGTCGTTAGCACCCCAGTATGTACGGTGGGGACAGCTGACAGCTGCAACACGCATAGCTGCTCGCTACCGCCCAGATGTGTGTATGACCTCGACCGAGTATGGCGCTCGGCGTTCCAATGCACATCAGTGTTCATGCTACCGCCGGACGGGATCATTTGGGGATCATCCACCGCATCCCCGCGCGTCCGCTCTTCGGAATCAAGTGGCCCTGATTGAGCATGCGAGCATTGCGGCGTGTGCGTGTGTTTGTGATTCGGGCGTAGCACCGACTGGGCAGTGAGGTAGCGGGGGTGCCTCGAGGCCCGGGCTCCTGGGACGTCTCCCGTGAACGTTTGAACGTTCACCAGCGTTCCGCTACCTTCGCGTCCTGCTACACACCTACTTAGCGTCGAGTGGCGAGTACAAGTGACGGGCGCAGTTGCTACTTGCTGATAGGTGTTGTTCCAGTCTGTTCCTACAGCAATAGTAGTCTCATGTCGTGACTGATACATCACAGTCTAGTAGCGACGCCGTATTCCCGTTCGCTGCCAGTTATTGCCCGACCCGATGCTTGGTCGTGGCATACGGTGGGTATGGGCTCACACAGCCTGCCAAAGGGTGAATGGAACGTAGAGGGGCCCATCTGCACCGTTAGCACAGCCCGTCTCGAAGACGTATCATACGGTAAGACTTTCCTATGCCCACACATATATGCGCGCCGCTCTCGTTTGTTGCGACGAAACAAGGGAATATCTTGGGTCGCGACTCGGATGGTCATGGCCCACGTCAGTACTTGGCAGCTTCGAGAAGCACTATTAGTGCATGCAAACAGGCTCGTCACGACACCTGATCCAAGTGATTGTCTCGAAGCTGCGGCTGGTCATCTGCGTTGCCACACAGGTATTGGGGCCCCAGACTGAGACCGCCCCCTCGATGGGTCGATTGTCTTGTTGGTGGCGTATTAACCCCACAATTGCCGCGTGGCCCACTATAATGAATTGACCTCGCGATCGGAGGCGCGAGGCGCGATTTGATGTCCCAGCTGCAATGAAGGCCATCACATTAATCGCTTCACCAACACCAAACAATGCTTGTCACCCCACGCACTCGTGAGCCTAGAGCCCCGCAGGCAGCACTGAGGCTGGTCAACGCGGCGCAAGACAGGGTGGCGATCAGAACGCGGTGCGTACATCGGTCGTGTGAGCACGGACGTGACTGAGTTCCGAGCAGCGCTGCGGGGCGTGCTCGTCTGTGGGGCGCCGGACTACGAGCTCCAGGTGAAGTCGACCTACTTTTATGTACGTAGAGAGCTGAACTGGAAGTTAGCTTCGCCCTAGACCTCGGCAGACCAGCGTCCCGGGGACTAACACTCCCCCTCGGTGATCACTTGAGAAGTGCCCGCCTGCGGAACGCCACCTACGCGAATGGAGGATCTGGTGTCGAAATGCGGGGGTGCGGTCGTGCCTAACGTTAACTGAGGTAGGAACGCGAGCCCATTCCCCCGCATCAGTGTACACACTCGGTTCCAAGCCATCAATGAGTACTCACTTAGATCTGAGTGATGCTATGACGCTGGTTGCGCAGCTTCCTGCGAAGGCAGAAAGTGAAAGTGGAGGTGCGAAAGAGGCGGTCATAGATGGATGGCGCTGATACATGCCTTCCCGCACTGATCATAGAACTTGGGTAGTCACCGTAGTTTCGTTGACCCGTTCGAACGGTTTCTGGGGATGCTTCGCCGTAGTGATACTTGGCGTAACACCATCTAGCATGATGACGTCTGTGGCGTAGAAGGGGACAATCTAGGACAACATGCCGGACGCTGGGTAGTGTCTCTAGCCTCACTGGCAGGAGCGCGCAGCCACAGCCCATCCAAGGCAGGTGTAGCCGCATTGAGCGACTGCGTCATACGCACAGGGTCAGCGCGACATTGATGCGACGCCGTCGGCCAAGCAGGAGCCACAACCCTGCTCGAAATAAAATGCTTGACAAATGCCTCCGGCGGACTTCGGCCAGTCGCCGGCAGCCCTCCGAGGCACGCGGGCGCTTGGTGCCCGTGCGCGATCACACGGATCGTTATCTGCCGCCACCTCCAAGGGCCGATCGGCCGATCGCTGCCAGCGTTTGTCGCGCCTCCGCCCCGAGCACACATCCTCCGGCTGCTCCGTGTCTGAAACGCACGTCCCGAGAACAGCCGGACGGAGGTATGGTTTGGGTTTCATTGAAAGCCGGACGCGCGACCTGGTGGAGAATTGGAATGTCCCTTGGGGGTAATGACGGGAGAGCAAACGAAACGATCCGGAACACCATGGAGCACGCAATAACCCTCGGGCCTGGCTTGGGCCCTGTTCAGCATCCCGGCGCAGAATTCGGCATGTGGTATACAGGGTCTACAGTAGCCGCGTTCATATTGACTTACCTGGGAAGAGCGAAAAGGTAACTTGGAGCCCTTTCCTGATTGCACGGGCTTTACGATTTGCTTTGCACAATCTTTGAACGGAGGAAGTGCGAACGGACGATGGTGTCAGGCAAATGACACTGAGGGATACACATTACGACAAGTCTCTCACCACACGTTCGTTCATATACATGCTGCCAGACCCTACACCCACTCGCGGTGACGAATGATCTCCCTTCCACAGCAGCGCAGATCCCCCACATGACCAATTGGCTGACGCTCAGCCTTGGTCGTCTGCGTCCCGCTTGCGCTTCATCTCCCTCGACACCTTGTGCTGGGCCGCCTCGTGCCTCGCGAGTTCGGCGGGCACTTTCGACACCGGGCTCTTCGAGATCTCTGGGGACCGTCGCAGTCAGCCTGTGCACCGCTGACGAGAGAGAGATAACGTAAGGCACCGTACCTTGCTTCAGATCGTACCTGCATTCCCCACGGGAGCATAGTTGGTGCGTGATTGATACACGGTCAGATAAGGAGAAACTGAAACAGAGCAATGATCGGACGTACATTACTTCTTCGTCGTCGTTCGACAGGAGGGTGATCGCGGTACCTTGCTTGCCGGCACGACCAGTACGACCTACGACGCGAAGTTCAAGTCAGCGACGACCATTCGAGTGAACCGCAGCGGCGTACCAATACGGTGAACGTATGCCTCGATAGTATTGGCCATTTGGTAGTTGATGACCAAACTGACATCCTGCACATCGATCCCACGACCTGCAAGGTCGGTTGCGACGAGAACATCGGAGTCGCCCGTACGCAGCGACTGGAGCGCGGCCTCTCGCTGCTCTTGGTTCTTGCCTGAATGCAACGTTGCAGCACTCCACTGAAGAAGTGAGTGATCAGTATTCATCACAAGATAACTAATTCTGTGCTTACTCCTGCACGTTGAAGATCCTTCGCAACCATGTCTGCCGTCTTCTTCTGATTGACGAAGACGATGATAGGTGAGGGATAGGTCCCACTGTTGAGGATCTCCAGCACCCGTTGCCTGCGACGTATAGAGTCAGCGCTCAGCTGACAAGATAGACAAAGTGTCACTCACTTCTTTTTCTCGTCTCCGTTGACGAACTCCACATTTTGCTCGACCGTGTCCACGGCCCTGCCCGCCTCACCAATAGTGATGATTGCTGGCCTTTTCAGGTATTTCTTTGCTAGCCGTTCGACGGGTGGTGGCATCGTTGCACTAAACAGCGTCGTAACGCGGTTGCGCCCCTTCTTAATCATGGTTTCGCCATCGACATCCATATGCTCGCCCTGGTCCTCGCCCTCCATCGTGTCGCTGGGGAGCTTGTCGAGGATGAAGGTGAGATCGACTTCGAAACCGAGGTTGACCATTCTGTCGGCCTCGTCCATGACGATATACCGGCATTGAGAGAGGACGATGACATGTCGCTCAATGACATCCTTCAGACGACCGGGGGTAGCGATGATGATCTCCGCACCAGCACGGAGGTTGAACTGTTGCTCTTCAACCGCACGCTAGAAGGGCAAGGGTGAGCGAGGAGGTTTGTGCAAATTCCATACACAGTGACTTACTCCTCCGACGATGGATACACAAGTGAACCCTAGAGGTCCCGCGAACTTCTTCGCCTCCGACTCGATCTGCTGTGCCAGCTCACGCGTCGGCGACATGATAAGGGCATAAGGACCGAGATGTCTGTTCTCGTCGGTGAAGGGCGGCAGGTTGGAGATGAACGCAAGCATGGGGATGACGAAAGCAGCAGTCTTACCGGATCCTAATTGACTGTCAATAAGGCAAATATTCGATGCGCTCACCCAGACGTACCGGTCTCTGCAATGCCAATGATGTCACGATTCTGCAGACCGATGGGAATGGCTTGTCGCTGAATGGGAGATGGTTCTTTGTAACCAATATGCTCAACGATATCCAGAATTTGTGAAGGGATATCGGACTCGGACCATGAACGAATGGGATGCGGGATTGTACCACCTGTCATGGAACGTCAGCGACAGGAACGCGCGACGGAGATACAACAGCGGACCTCTGGTAGCGATGCTGAAGTCTTCTCGAAAGATACGCCAGTCCCGCTCCTTCATTTCTTCGAGGGGCTTCTCCGACCAGTGCCTCTCGTCCAGGCCGCTCTTGGCCGCCTTTCTTCGTTCAAGAGGGTCAACCAGCTGCATGACGTTCTCATTCCCATTCCGCCTGCTGCCAGAAGGCACGCCTCCACCGTCGTCCATGCCAGCAATGTGCCCACGACCGAACATGATTTGCGCTCCCTGCCGCTGACTACCTACGGCTGCAGGCGTCTCCGCATTGAACGTGTCGTCTTGCTCGTCCCAGTCGAAGACGAACTTGCGGTCGTTCATTTTGCGAATCTTCCGCTTCTTCTTGTCGACGCCGAGGTAGCGGGAGCGGATCGCGTCAATCTCGTTTTCCGTCATGGGCGGAACATACGCCGCGGATGGGGTCGTTAAATCAGTGGTACCGTTGCCAGTCGAGCTTACGGGAGGAGGAGGGGGAGGCATAGATACGTCTCTGTTCGCTGATGGGCCGGTTGGGGGAGCTTTACCTCGTTCTGCACGAGGACCAGTTGGGACGCCTTGATACGAGCCAGAGCGTCTGTCGTCTTGCGGTCGTCGATCCCTGCGGTCATCCCGTCTCCCATATCTCCCATCCACCCCTCTCTCATCTCTTCCCCTGTCCCGCTCATACCTGTCACCATCTGTGAGAGAAAACAGAGGACAGAGTCACTAAAGTTGCGGCGGCGTGATGAGGGACTAGCACTGACATCTGCCATTATCGCCGTACCTGCTCGTCCGCTCCCTCTCGCGGTCTCTGGCCCTGATTTCTTCAGCTTCGCGCTCTAACCGGTCGCGGTCACGCTTAGCCTGCTCATCCCGCTCCTTCTGTTCCCGTATCTCCTGCTCGCGCTTCTCGACCGCGAGCTTTGCGCGCTGCTCCTTAGTCAAGAATCTCGGCTATATGCGGTGGTCAGCACATTGCTACAACATGACACACGAGACCTACCTTGGAAGATGCCTCCTTCTCCTCCTTCTGCTTCTGCAGCAAGCTCTCAATGGACAGCGGCTGCCCCCGTGTGGCTGCCATGATGAGTGTCAAGGTGCAAGGTGGAGGTGGTGGACCTGTAGCGCTGAAGCCTGAGCCGTCCCAGACTCGTGGTGGGACCGATCTGTATTCCTATTCGGGAAAGCGCCATCTGCACCGCGACCCCCGCGTCCAAGCACTGTCTCGTTCGCGTTCAGTGTACGCGACGGCTGCTTTCCTCGTCTTCTCGGATACTCTTCATCGTCTCCCGTTGCTGCGCTGAACGGTCTTTAATGCCCGGCATGAACCGCGACGTGGAGGAGTTGCGGATGGATTCACCACGTCCAGAGACTCCGGAGCCAGCTACACGGCAGGGGCGCAGGAATGGCGTTGAGGGGGTCCAGCTGCTGGACGATGATGGTGCTATTTCAGTTCAGGTACGGATCGTACTAGATTGCGTTGAGTACGGCGGTCTGACACGCGGTGATCAATTAACTGCAGCTGGAATTCTGTCTGAAGCACATTTTCGCGAAGTACTGCACCCCACGGCCTCCGCCGCAGAAGTTTGCAGGGATGCTTTCGCCACCTGAGGGGGCATATCTCTCGCCAGAAGGTTTGGATACGTGGGCACGCGATACGAATGGCACGCCGTTCGATGAGGCGACGAAGGAGGAACTGATGGAGTTCCTGGACGTGACGGAAGATGGCGGTCTTACGTGAGTATCTCGTTGAGCTCTCGTTGAGCTGCTATATGCTCGTTTGCTCGGATGAAACGCATTTGGAGGCCGTATACTTACCCGTGTTTCACAGCTTCAAGGGGTTCATGCAGGTTTACCAGCTACAAACCGAGAACGATGAAGAGGAAACTTGGAGAGACTTGGTGAGCGACGTATTTTTTTGCGTATATGAAACTACCTCTCATACATGACCGACTCAGTCCAGTCACGGATTTGATAGAACACTCAGATTAGTGGCTACACGCAGAGAAGACATGGACACGGACGGTCGCAATACTCCGTAAGCCCTCGACTTGATATAATGCGAACAATTCTAATTTGGCGTCATGGTGGTGATACAGAGTGCAAACAAATGGCACCCATTCATCATGAGGGTTGCTGCATGCCATGCAGTCCCAGTGCATCAGCGAAAACAAGGATCCGAGCGACGTCGCCGCCCGTTGCAACCTTGCAATTAGGCTCCCATACGCAACGGGATGACCATGTCCAATGAAACGACACTGATGTCTAATACCCAATGCTCTCGATGACTACCCTGTACAACGACACTCATCCCATGGTGATATCTCGCATGGGCATGGGAATTCAACCACTTACGCTACAGCTCAACACGACGGCCCCATTGCTGACGGGTCGCGCGTTCTTTTCTCTTGCATTTGCATTGTATAGATCGATGTTGTTTCTCCGTACCTGCACACAACAAAAGCACGAACAATTAAACGTTGCCGGATACAGATTAGCTGTCTGTTTTCCGTGTGAGCTTCCAGATCTCCACATCGTCCCAATCCTCCTTGTCCCAGTTCGCTCCGCCCTTTTCCAACGCTTTGACGATTTTCTTGTGTGGGACGCGCTCAGCGGTAAAATCCCAGAGTCTTACGGCATCCGCAAGTGCAAGGTCGATAAGCAACGGGTCTCGTCGCTCTATGGCAAGATATACCGGTGGTGAACGGCAACCATGCTTCGCCGAGAGCGTGGTGAGAGCATGCAGGGTTCGAAAGAGCGGCTGGACTATCTCGGTGGCGTACAACGTGTCGGAGGAGATGATCAGGTCGAACGGTGGCCTGAGTGTCTCGACGAGGTCCGGATGATCCGCCTCTGGGCCCTCCGGCAACCCTATGAACGTGGCGTTGTCCCATACCCATTGATCTGGGGGCACAGTCCAGTCGAGCGCACGGACTTGGACGGTGCCACTGCCCACGGGCAGTTGCGAGGTGTTACGCGCGACGTTGCTTGAGAGCACGGCGGAAATGACATCGGGCAGATCTGTTGCGAGCACGTCCCAGCCCATGGAGCACAAGGCCAGCCTGCAGTCCACATGAGATAGAAGATGAACGACTGCCGGAACAACGCACGCCGACAACCCAATCCCACTCCCGAGTTCGATGGCTCGCAGCCGCCGCCCCGGAGGCGCCTGGCGTCTGAGCGCGTCGGCTAAGAACAAGGAGAGACACTGCGCGCCGAGCCAGAGGGCGGTGCCGTTTGTGAGGCCATTGTCGCGCTGTGCGAGGTAGAAGAGGTGGCCGTGGAAGGGGTAGCGAAGGAGGGCGATGTGCTTTGTGCTGTGTGCAGGGAGGGCGGCCATGTGCAGCGACGTGACGGAGGCAAAAGCCACGAGGCGCGTGTGATACCTATCAGCACTCTCTCCTCCTCCCTCCCGGACCCTGCGTCGGCCTCGTATCCACGTTCTCCCAGCCTCTCCCCTCGCCCTCCTCGCGCTCAGCGCGCTGTATATGACCCATGAAGGCCTTCTTCAACCGCATCGGCCTTACGAAGGACAAGGACAGGGACAGGACCGACGTTCTCAGAGAAAGATACCCCAGCTCCCCCGCTGCCCGACTGGCCGCCTCAGCGCTCAACGGCAACGCCTACTACCCTAGACTCCTCTAAACCTCTGCCTGAGCTTTCTGATCGCACGCTCCCACCGCCCCCTCTAGACGAGCACGACCTTTCCACGTCAACCGAGTCCTCAACGAACGCTACGCCGATCGCGACCATCCACTCACTGCCTCCCGCCGATCCTCCACTCGAGGACGTCACGAACATCCCAACCAAGCACGAGTCTGTGAGCTCGTCGAGAACAGCGCGGCAAGAGCCTGACTCTGCGGGACGCAGCTCGCGCAAAACGACCAACGGCAGCATGAGCAATGGCACTACCAGCGACATCCAGAAGAAGGTCGCTTTCCTCTCTCCTCCACCGACACCAGGGCCTGCATTGGGTTCTCTACCGGAGAACGAGTCGTCTACGGGGCCGAGTGGTGCACACGCAAAGTCAACGGTGTCGCGTTTCCAGGCTACGCATGCCAAAGACACGCGCGGGTCGACGTCCACGGCTGCGTCCTCAAAGACTGATGTCGCATCAACCGCTCGATCGGCCAGGCAAGCGTCTACACGAACGGCCCCGTCGCCATTTACCGCCAAGAGCTATAACGACGGCGCGTCTATCCACCAGTCACTGCGGTCAGGGACTCCGTATTCCCAGACGTCAAATGCCAGCAGTCGGATACTGTTGGCGCAGTCATGGAGTGAGGTTGCAGAGGAGGACCTTGTATCAAACATTGGCCAGCGTGAGCGCACGCGGCAGGAGGTGCTCTGGGAGATTGTTGCAAGCGAGGAGCGGTGCGTTTCCATCCTTCATACCGTCCCGACATCATTCACACATCAAACCTAGCTATGTGAATGAGTTATTAAAGCTGAAAGAAACCTTCATCGATCCCCTCCTTCACCCTTATTCTGCTACCTCACCAATCGCGTCGCCTACACCACTCGACTACGAGGACTACCCACGTTCGGATACCCCAGGGAATCACTCGAGCACCTCCCCATTGCAGCTCGGTTCCTCTCACCACTCGGTTCCTGTCTGATTCGCCAACGCCTCAAGGTAATCCTTCCCTCCACGGAAGGACGATGGTCATCCGACCATCGACGGCGAGTCAATGAACTCAGAAGAGGAAGGAGAGGCGGATGACCGTATGGGTGCAACATACGCTTCTCGGGGGAAGAATGCCTCTGGTATGAGCCAAGCAGCAAAGCACAACCACCCCCAATCGCCGTATAACTCGCGGACAACAGGTGGTAAGTTTGGCACGACCGTGCCCTTCCCCTCGCGCTCGCACCAATCACTCCCACCACCTCCACGCGGTCTGAACACGGGACAGCCTCGACGCACTCACTGGGCGGCAGTCGATGATCGGCGACCGGGATCGAGAGTATTCGGCGGAGCCAGCGCTCATTCTGCCAGGCCTCCGACGACCACCTCCGGAGCTAATGTGTTGCGCAAGTTCAAGCGCAGTCAGAGTGGGGTACCGGAAACCGGGGTCAACGGCGCTGTACCTGCGCGAGAATTGCCGGAGGACCTTCGAAATGCCTCGAGGTCATCGAAGGCGGTATACTCGATGGGCACATGAAGCTGAGCGAGAGTCTCAGGAAGAGATACGAAGAGCAGTACCCGTTGGTACGGTCACTAGCGGACGTGTTCGTCAGCAACGTGAGTAGCATCCGTGAGCGAATGGGGTGACTCGTACTTACTGACCACCGTTGCTCTTTGCTTTTAGTCGCACATTCTCCACGGGTATGCGACTTATGTCCTCCACCTCGAGCGGCACTCGAGCAGGTCGACAACGCTATGTCAACAGCCAGCGCGAGCAAGAAGCCGAAGAAGCAGGATGCGGACCAATGGGTCAAGGTCTGCCAGTGCTTGCAGCGGCTGGAAGTCATCTCGTCCGACAAGGGCGAGACAGGGCTTGCTATCTCCCTCTCCAAGCCCTTCCAACGACTACTCAAGTACCCTCTACTCTTCCAGAATCTGCTGTATCACACAGACCCGAGTACGTTCGAGTACGAGAGTACGCTTGGGATGGTAGCAGAGGTGGAGATGATCGTTCGCAGTATTGAGGACGAGAAGATCCAGAAGGAGGAGCGAGACAAGACAAGGGACGTCTTCGCGCGCATTGAGGGCTTGGACAAGGTCAAGCAGCTCATGGTGCCGAAGCCGTCGCGAGTACTCATGGAGGAAAGAGTTGTCGGCGGTCTCAAACCTGGGACTGATGCAACCATCAAACTATCTGCACCCCCGCCGACGACCGCAAAGGGCGTTAAGGGCAAAACGTCATTCAGACGTTTAAGCGATGTCTTGCAACCAGGAAGTGGAGGCGTTGGAGGGAAGAAGGATCAGTGGCTTGTTGTGTTCAACGACGTCGTACTCCGGTGTCAACGCACGGGGACGACCTCCTTGCCATTGGGGGCTTCCACGAATTCGAGGACGACTTCGCTGCCCGAGTTCCAGGGCAAGGCGAAGTACGCCACGACGGGACGGCGGAACGTACATACGAAGCCTCGTAATCTGTACAAGTTCCTCAAGGTCAGTGACCGTTGGAACATACTGTCTACGAATGCTTGGGTTGTTGACATCTTGTCTTATGACTGCTGACAGATCGAGACTTGGGCAATAGGAGACGTCGTGCAGCCGAGAGAAGGTGTTGTTTCGATGGAGGAGTGAGTTTATCGCAATCTATCCCTACTCTGGTGCTAAATGACTATGCAGTGTCGCGCGCTCTCGCACACAAGTACACTCGGCGTACAGCCTCGCCTCGTACCGATGCCTGATGACGACGAGGATGCAGCTAACGACTCCGACGACTCTGACCGGAAGAGCAAGATGAGTTTCTCCTACTGGGGAGCCGACAAGGTCACCGTCCAGAAGCCCATCAAGCCGCGGCAACTAGCAGCCAATATTGCACGGCGAGGGGCTGCTGGGTCACCGACTGCATATGGCCGGGAGTCATCGGCGAATGCCAAGTTTGGTACACGCTTGATATCCGCAGACTCGCCTAGCGGCGGTGCACGTCCAGCGAGTCGCAGGACGCAAGTTACACCCTCTGGAGGTCGGCGGCAGCCCCATTCTGACGAGGACCACACCGTCAGGGCAACTGTTACGAAGGCCACTGTCACAGGCCATCGTCCAGCTTGGGACGGCAGCACGCGTGCGCCGGCCACTACGCCTACGCAGAAGCGTCCTCGAAACACGTCCCAGACAAGTGCTGCCACGCGGACAACGACGACCGCTACTGCGCCGAAGCAGCTTTCTTCGCCCGCCCCGTCGGAGGATTCTGGTGTAGGCTTCTACCGCCAGATCATTGCACAGAACCCTTCTCTCAATGCTTTGAACGCTTAGATGCTCATGGACTTATCTCGCTCTTGACGGCTCCTTCACGTTCATCATGTCTTTTAAGGATAACATATACGACCAACTCTGCCACCATCGCTATATGACAGACGCGCATGTCTTCCCTCGATGTCCAATATGCTCTGTTTTTCTGTCTCATTTCCCCATTTTCTCGCTGCGTTCTTCGTCATTGTCCCATTGTCATCGAGTACCCCCCAGTGGATGATACCGTATCACTCATTATTCAGTCATGCAATTTCCCCTCCGATATAATAGTCAGGCATCGGTTCCGAACCCTCGTCGTGCTGCTCTCGCCTCATTTGCCTCCGGGTACCCACCGTCTCTTCCCTCGCTGCGCATCCTTTCCCGTCCCAGGACCATCGCCAGGGCGTCCGTCGACATGCAGACACTTCAACTTCGCCGTCCTATTTCACTATCCCATTATCACCTAGATCTTGGTCTATCTATAATGTATTACAACTAGGTATGCGATCGCGCCTTTTAGTATAGCCCGCTCAACTCGAAGTCTCTTCGGACGCATCGTACGCTGCCTGGTGTATGCTCACGCTCCGCCCGCTCGGATCCGCCGCGCAGCCCCAGTCGCCGCGCGGGACCCATCTGTGCGCGCACCGGTCAGTCCATCATATCTTGCACGGCTTCACGTAAGATGAGAGAAGCCCATGAGCGACACGCACCTCACTGCCGTCTTCGCCGCTGCCTCCAGGGGGTACAGTCCTGCCGAATGAACGACGTTAGCTGCGAGTCCAGACGACCGCACGGGGAGGGAGGGGGCGAGCTAAGCTATAAGGGGGCACGCTGACTCACCGTCGAAGATTTCGCGGATCCAGTACGCCTCCTTCGTGTCTGGCGTGGACACCGGCCAGCGCTCTGCCCGCTTCGCGAACGCCTCATCAGAAACGACGGCGGCTGCGTGGTCTTTCATGCTGTGTGTGCGAGGCGAGGTGAGCTAGGAGGAGAGGACGGAGGGGAGGGGAGGCGTGGACGTACCCGTCGATCCACGAGTATCCCACACCGTCGGAGAACTGCTCCTTCTGGCGCCAGAGGATGGACCGTGGTAGGTAGGGCTAGCGCGGAACGAGCTCTGTTAGCGGCGGCGGTTGCATAACGTAGCGCAGACTACCGACCTTGCCGTCTGGCGCGCAGTCGAAGGCTTTCCGGAGAATGTACTGGGTAGTAATGAGGTTAGGGCGGCTGCGCAGGCGGAACGGAACTGAGTTGTACATTACCTTCTCCATACGCGGGCAACCATCCTCGTCGACCTTCTGTGCCGCACCTTTGCTAAACATCTTTTCCTTCGGATCAATGTTCATTACGACGTCCAAGAACTCCTTGTCCAGGAAGGGCACGCGTGCCTCAAGACCCCATGCCATCGTTGACCTGCAGACGCATGAGTATCTCGCGTGCACGTTGGATCAGTAGACAGTCTCACTTGTTGGCCCGCAGACAGTCAGAAGTGTGCAGGTTCTTCACCCGCCGCACGCACTCCTGGTGGAGGGACGGCGCATCCGGCGCCGCATGGAAATACAGATAACCTTCACGCCTCTTCAGCTCAAAGACCACGTACATTCGACAGTCCCTGGAAATACGCACCGGCGAAAATCTCGTCGCTGCCCTCACCACTGAGCACCATCTTCACGCCCATGGCTTTGATTTTGCGGCTGAGGAGGTACATCGGCGTGCTCGCGCGCACCGTCGTGACGTCGAACGTCTCGAGGTGGTAGATCACGTCCGGGATCGCGTCGAGGCCCTCCTGGACAGTGAACACGTACTCGTGGTGCACCGTGCCGAGGTAGCTCGCCGCCTTGCGCGCGGCGAGGAGGTCGGGCGAGTTCTCGAGCCCGATGGAGAACGAATGAAGCTGGGGCCAGGAGGCGATCGTCGCTGTATACGGACACGCTCGTGAGACACAAATATTTTCAGTGCGCTCTGTGAAAGGTATGCGCACCGTACTCTGTGACAGTTCCGTTGCCTAGCGTCGGCGACTTGGGCGTAGACGGGCCGCTCCGCGCCTCGGCGAGCTTCTGTTTCCGCGCCTCGACCTGCGCCTGCGCGACCTTGTCCGTCTCCCGCGCCGCGATCGCCGCAATCAAGCTGCTGTCCAAGCCTCCGCTGAGCAGCACGCCGTACGGGACCTCGCTCATGAGGCGCTTGCGCACGGCCTCCTCGAGCGACTCCCGGAGCAGGGTCAGGTCCGCCTCCGCGGCGGGGACGACGGCGTCTGCACCCTCGCCGTCGCCGTCCCACCAGGACGGCTGGAAGTAGCGCGTGGTGGAGTCGTCCGCGGAGTCGTAGACATGGCCGGGCGGGAAGGAGATGATGTCGTCGCACTCGTCGACGAGGGCCTTGAGCTCGGACGCGAAGTAGACCGCGCCGGGGCGCGCGGAGGAGCGCCCCTGGTAGAGCGTCGTGATCCCGATCGGGTCGCGCGCGGCGATGACGCGCGGCGGGGTGACGGACTCGTCGAGGAGGACGAAGGAGAACATGCCGTCGAGGAGGTTGCAGAGGTCCTTGCCGTGCTGCATGTACTGTGCGCGCAGAGTCAGCGTGAGGCGCGCGGGGTGGGGAGGGACGTACGAGCGGGATGATGACCTCGCAGTCGGAGTGCGTCTTGAAGGTGTAGTGCTCCTTGAGGGAGGCCCTCAGCTTGACATGGTTGTAGATCTCGCCGTTGACCGCGAGGACGACCTTCCCGCTGGTGCTCACGATCGGCTGTGCGCCCGTGTCTGCGTGAAGACATCACCTCAGTGTGGTCCACGCGCAAGATAGAGCGGAGATGGACGCACCGACACCGACGATGGCAAGTCGCTCGTGGGCGAGGATGGTCTGCTTGCCGCTGTAGCAGCCTGACCAGTCGGGGCCTCTGTGGCGGATCTTCTTCGCGCACGCGATGAGACGCGGTCTGTGTGCGACGGGGTTGTCGATGCCGTGAGCCGCGACGATTCCACACATCGTGTGTGGGATGCCTGGTGGTGCGGGTTAGTGGTGAGCAGCGAGAGAGGCAGCGGGGGTAGTCGTGGGCTGGCAGAGAGTTAAAAAGGCGGAATGCTGCTTGGCCATTTGGTGACTCGGTCGATCGTGCAGAGGTCCTTGACTCCTCCGGCTGCAGCAGATTAGATAGCCGGCGTCTAGATCCTTCCACGCGCCCATCATTCAATTTCCCCGTCAAATTCACTGGCCACGCCGACTGGCGACCAGCCGTCCTCTCGTCTATTCACTCGCTCGTGCGACGGTCCGGATGAGGGCGGCTCATGCATCTACGAGTGTGATGGTACGCTTACTCCATGAAATTGCTAACTACAGTTGTACATGCCAATCTGGCTGTTGAAGCCAGAGTTCCGTCGACAGACACAGTGGGCACCTCCGACCATGGCCTTCGTCAAATCGCGGTCTGCCGATATCCCCCGCCGGCGTCGCTCATCCCCACAAGTGTGCAGCCTGGTCGTTGCCAAAGTAGCGGTCGCCCTTGACCTCGTGCCTCGCAATGGCTTCGTTGATCTCCGCAAGGTCCGCCTCCGTCAACTCGACGTCGCCCCCCGCAGCATTCTCTAGCGTGCGCTCCTTCTTCCTGTCAATCCCCGGAACGGCAGTCAGCATCTGCGTATCCTCTGTACGAGTCGACGTGGGGAGGGGACGTACGAGGAGCCGGGAATGGGAATGACGTGCGCGCCGAGCGCACCGACCCACGCGATGCTCAGCTGGCCCGGCGTGCAGCCCTTCCTCGCCGCGATCGCCTTCAGCTCCTCCACGAGCGCGAGGTTGTGCTTGATGTGCTCCTCGCCGAAGCGCGTGAACCGCCGGCGTATGTCGTTCTCGGGCAGGTCGTCCACGCTCTTGATCGCTCCCGTCAGAAAGCCTCTACCCAGTGGACTGCGGTTTGAGGTCTCGAGGGTTAGCGTGTATTCGTTGGTTGGTGGGAAAGGGGCTTACGAGTAGGCGGCCACGGAGATGCCGAGCTCCTGCGCGGTGGCAATGACCTTCTTGGTCTCCTCTTCGTACGACCACGGGCTGACCTCAATTTCCACCGCAGTAATCGGGTGGACCTACATCATCGTCCCCCAAGTCGTCGATCAGAGCACAAATGCCACCCCTGATGTGTTACTCACAGCATGTGCCCGCCTGAGCGATTCCGCTCTGCACTCCGACATACCGATGTGGTCGAACTTGCCCTCCTTGATGAGGCCCGCGAGCGCCTTGATGGACTCCTCAAGAGGCACCTTCTGGTCAACCCGCGCAGACTCGAAGAGGTCCAGCCTCTTCGTGCCGCGCAGAGCAGCGTTGATGTTGTCGACGCTGCGGCGGAGGTTCTCCGGCGAGCCGTCGGGCCCGAGGCCCTTCGCCGACGCGCCGCCCTACGCATGCGTGCTGCGCCCTCAGCCCATACCCAGTGCTGAGCATGCCGGGCGAACGCACCTTGACGGAGAGGAAGGTCTTGTCCGCGTAGCCGGGGTGCTTGTCGAAGAAGCGTGCGAGGAGCTCGAGGTTGCCTGTGCCGAGGTCGTTTGCGTAGAACTCACCGCTGTTGAGGAGCATCTTCGCGCCCGGCGGGAGCGCGTCGATGCCGGCCTTGATCGCGTCGAAGCACTGCTCGTCGGGGACGACGCCCGAGCCGCGCCACCTGTGTGCTTTCACTGTTAGCGGCGGGAGCCTGAACTGAGCGATATGGCGACGCACGTCATCATCATGAGGCCGTGCTAGTGGGTGCATGGGGGCGTCAGCGTGCTGTGTTCCCGATGCTGTGGGCGCCGCGGGAGTGCAGACGTACCCCGACTTTCGCGACGGTCACGCTCGACGCGGTCCCTCCGAGCTTTGCGGTGTTCTGGAGCGTCATTATGCAGAGAACAGCGTCGAGGTTACAATGGTCTGAGCTGGGTTGGTGGATGCAGCGTCCGAGGCGTATATGGCCCTTTATACTGCCTGGACAGGCTGGTGCTTACGGATCGGCACATAGAGTTGCGCGGCATGCGGCGGGAGCCTGAGGGCGCGCGTACTGATGACGTCCGCTGCCTTCCCAGGGATCGATCTCTCCTGGCTCCTGTGGGTCCCCGTCTCCCAGCCACCCGGTCTGAGCGACATTCACCACGACGACGTTGATTCTGCTGGGTATTGGGACTTTGGGCTAACCTGCACAGTGTACCCAGATGGCAAGATACCAAATCAGGTCAACGACGCCAGCCGCGCCTGGTGGCCTGGCTGCACTGGCAACGTAAGCAAATGGTGCATACCGACGTCGTCGCGTACGGGGGGCAGCATAAACAGGCTTATGAGCCACGCAATTCACCGGTACGTCCTACGTCCGGTCGCGCAACCGGGAGGCACAACTTGACACCAAGCTTCAACGTCACTATAGCGGTCAAACGACGGGCATGCGAGCGCCGCTGAGCAAGCTACGCAGTCCTCGGCGGTCACCCTGCTCACAGGCATCGCCGTCGCTTGCGAGGCCCTTCGGCGCACCCACCAAGCAGCGTAAGCATGCTCCTCCGAACAGTGCCTGGGTGCGTTTTACATAGGACAGCCCCACGCGCTGCTCCGAAACCCAAGAGGTTGGTGTGTTCTCGGTATTGTCATCAGACAACTGGTGGTGTCAGTGCTATCACAGTCCACTGGTAGCCTCGTCCGTCGTGCCAGTTGCGATCTTCCAGTCTCCCACTGGTTGTATCTTCCGAGTAGGCCCGCAATCCTCGGATGGGCCAGTCATCCTTTTGCAGGGTGGGCGTCGTGCCAGTTTCTCCCGAATCCATTAACGCTCTATGCTGACAGCGTGGTATCTCGCGAAACGATTTCCTGACGACGATTTCCTATCACCCTGGAGGCGAAGCCCCCGCCGTCCCTGTACGCACATCTCGGCATCGCATTGACATGAGGATACGCTACAATGTGAACATTGTGGCTGCGCCGATACTAGTACATGTTCACTCAGGCTCACAGGTTGCACTCCACAGAACATAGATTTCAAACAGACCAGACCATCTAGCCCCAGAGCCCCGCAGCCTCGTCGTTCCCGAAATAACGATCACCCTGCACAGGGTACTTCTCCTGAACCCCAGCAATCTCTGCCAGCTCCGCCTCCGTCAGGACGACGTCTCCGCCAGACAGGTTCTCCAGCGTGCGTTTCTTCGTTCTGCAGACGAGAGCGACCATGAATGGCAGCACGGCAGACGCTGCAGCAAGAGAGGAGACGTACGACATCCCAGGCAGGGGCAGGACGTGCGGGCCGAGTTGGGCGACCCAGGCGATCGCGAGCTGGGCGGGAGCTACGCCCTTTTTGTCCGCAATGGCTGAATGGCCTTGGCACTAGCCATGTTCTGGTCGAAATACTGTGTATAGGGAATTTCCCGTGGTCAGTACGCAGCAGAGGCAGTATGTGCTGAGATAGAAGTACCTGCTTGAAGCGCGTCATCATCCGGCGGAGGTCATCCGCTGGTGAAGAAGGGTTGGTGAGTAACGGGCTACTGAAACAGACAGGGACTGACCAGGGATGTCGTCCATGCTCTTGATTTGGCCAGTTAGGAATCCACGCCCGAGCGGACTAGGGGTCACATGAAGGCGCAACCTTACTATGGACGGAAGGACAACTCACGAATATCCGGTGACGGCGATACCAAGCTCGCTGGTGGCCTCGATAACTTGGATCCGCAGGTGAATATCCAAGGTATGTCCACCCGCAAACGGGCAATCCATTGCGACATACCTTTCTTGGTCTCTTCCTCATACGACCAGATGCTAACCTCGATCTCCACCACAGCAATCGGGTGGACCTGTCCTCATGCATGTTACTACACCCGTCTCGGCTGCTGGAGCAGAATCGAACCCACCGCATGTGCGCGCCGGACGGTCTCCGCCTTACACTCGCTCAGCCCGATATGCTCGAACTTGCCCTCCTCCTTGAGAACGACCATGTTCCGGATCGCCTCCTCGATGGGCCGCGCGCGGTCGACCCGCGCGGACTGGAAGACGTCGATCTTCTTCGTGCCCCGCAGCGCGGCGTTGCACGCGTCCACGCTCCTCCGGAGGTTCTCCAGCCTGCCGGTCACCAACCCCACGTGCGTCCGCGCGCGGTCAGCTCACGGCTTGCCATCTCATCGTCTCGAACTGGACGTACGAGTTATCCGCTCGCGCTCTGCCTGCCTCGACGTTCACGGCGCCCTGCGGTGCGAGACCTGATCAGCGTCCGACGACGTGACACGCGCGGCGATGCTGCCTGACCTTGACCATTAGGAACGTCTTGTCCACGTAGGCCGGGTTCGCCTCGTAGAACCGCGCGAGCAGCTCGAGGTTTGCGATGCGGTTCGTCGAGGGCCGTAGAACTCCGCTGCGTGCGCGCCAGGGAGTCAGCAGCGTGGACCGAGTCTACGCGAGCGGATGCTGACCGGTGTTCAGCACCATCTTGGTGCCAGGCGGCAGCGCGTCGACGCCTGCCTTGATCGCCTCGAAGAGCTCCTCATCGGGGCGGGTGCGCGCCGCGCTGAATAGCCGTCGCCCGGTCAATGCTGGGAACGTGCGTGCGTTGGACTGCAGTGGAACGCGTACTAAACGGTCATGGTCATCAACCCGTGCTAGAGTTGCGTGTCTCAGTCTTTCTGGGTACCGGAGGAGCGGTATGTATGCTAGCAGTACGTACGGCGACTTTCCCGACTGCGACGTGGGACGCGGTCCCCCCGAGCTTGGTCGTGGTCTTCAGGGACATGTTGAACTAGTGCACTGCAGTTAGTTACGGTTCACTCGAACCCTTCAATGTGGGCCATTATATACGAAGGCGTTGGATGCGATTCAATCGCACAGCTGGAATCCGAGTGATTGCCGCAGGGACTGTAGTACTGACGCGGCCCGTCGGATGGAACGTTGAACGTTGAACTTTCATATGTAGATGCATATGTAAGGTCTTGCGATCAGCCCCTCAAGAAGTCCGGACTGCGCTGTCATACAGGTGATTAATGTCTCTACATGTCAGCCTGAAGCGTGCAGCGGTCATGAGCTGTTCGTCGTACGCGCGCTCGGTCGGCATGTCGCCGTTTGTGTGAATGCGCACCCGCCAGAGTCATGTATTGTGACATTGATGTGCCGAATCGGATCGAAACCAGAACTTGCACTGCCGCCAGTAGTACCCATCACTCGCGATGTAATCCCGAGATACACTGGAGAATTCGAGGCGAGGACAATACATTGGAGGCGTATCAGTTATTGTGAGCCGTGAATGCATCTTACTGTGCGGCAATAACAGTCTCACCTAAATTACAAGCCTACATATTTCTTCGTGATGCTTGCCATCCGAACCAGAGGGTTCACATTGACTCGACCACTGAATGATTCACCCAGACCCAAGACGACGTCCCCGACTCCCCGCCAGACAGGTTCTACAAAGTGCGTTTCTTCGTCCTACGAAAGAGCAACGATCAATGATCGCTCCGATAGAGCATATGCGAGAGACAGGCGTACAACATCCCGGGCAGAGGCACGACTTGAGGACCGAGTTGGGTGGCCCAGGCGATTGCGAGGGAGTTACGCCCTTCTTGTCCACAGTGACGCGGATGGCAAGTGCGCGAGTCTGCACGTTGTGATTGAATCTTGAACCGTGTAAGGATTCGGCGCGGGTCGTCCGCTGACCAAGGGTAGCTCATAAATTCTGGTTGTGAGTCAACTCATGACGGGACGACCGACCTGGGACATCGACAATGCTCTTGATTTGGCCAGTCAAGAAACCATGACCCAACGGAATGTCGAAGATCCCACCGCTCGGTTGTCTCATTAGCAATGAGTTGTGCATCGGAGGTCATGTTGGAGAATCACCGCGGACTGTGAGGCACGAAGATTTGAAGTCCAGCGCCGAGTAATTGACCTAGAGTATACATACGAGTGTGAGATTATGGCCTCTCCGAGTCGGTCAGCGAGATCAAATACAGGGAATGCGTCGACATACAGTTATCACCAAGTGGAGTCATGCACAGTGCCAACACTGGTAAGGAGCTTGAACAAGATCGTTCCCAATACTCATGGCTTGCGATAGTCGGCCCTATACTTGGGCTACTTGTGAAGCTTCTTAAGTTAGCGAGACGCATCGAACGCTGTCCTTGTCGCAAATGAGTCAACAGTAAGTTCGCTTTCTTTTTCAAACGAGACTCGAGTGCTCAAGCTGATCATAGCAACGCTGGTCCAGCAGACCCTTGCTGGGGTTTTGGGTGTAGAATTGACGTGTCTTTCACCGGAGCCTACGTCCGGTTCGCAGCTGCGTTCGCCTGAAGCATAACGACGCGCTGCATAACCGGCAATAGCGGCTTTCCTTGACAGTGGAGGACGCTAACTTGCTGGCCGCGGGTAAACAAGCTCAGTACGTTGGGCATTCCACGGACTCTGTGAGAATACAGCAATGGATTCGCCGCCATACATACTAGGCCAAGCGACCGAACGAGAGAATGCGAAGTAGCTGGCGGAAGTGGACGAAGCCTGGAGCTGTAATAGGATAGCGGTCGACTCTATGGCAGTCCAGCTGCGGATGGTGAAGCTGACCGCAGGCTGCGAGCCGCGAGGCACGCGTCGCGCGAGGTGTTCCCACGACTGCTCTTGCCTCGGCGCGTCTCCCGTTCAGGATCAGCCTGCCACTGCCCCGCCCCTTGCTTCGTCCTCTCTGTGATATACCCTTTCAAAGCCATGGCTCGCGACAGACTCGCTGCTCTAAGGGTTCGTATCACGCGAGCTGCAATAACGCGCGGGCTGCGCCGAGCACCCGCATTCAGTGGCTGACGATCGCATTCACAGGCTCAGCGGCAGCAGCAACAGGAGGGCCAAGATGGCCAACCACCGCAGTACCATGAGATGGCTGGTCTGCAGTCACCGGCATCCATAGGCCCTGCGACGAATGGAAATGGAGCGGTGGACGGCGGCGACCCTATGGCTCGGTTCTACGAGGAGGTACGTGAGCCACCCATTGCCACGCAGAACGAAAGTTGTTGAGACGCGGTCGTCCCCGCGCAGGTGTCCTCGATCCAAGACGGTCTGGCCGAGTTCAGCTCAAACGTGCAACAAATTGGCGAGTTGCATTCCCGCACAATCAATAGCACGGACGAGAGCGCGAACCAGAGGACATCTGCTTTGCTCGATGATCTTGTAACGAGAACACGAACACTCAGTAACAACCTGAAAGAGCGGATACAAGCTCTCTCGAAGACGCCCACTCCCCGGCCGCAAGACGCGCGGATCAGAAACAACCAGGTCAGTGGGTGACAGAGCCGGCTGCGAACGCCCCTACTCGCGTCCTGGTTACGGAATCTCGACGGGAAGCTAAAGGATATCCGTAGACTGGTGTTCTCCGCACAAAGTTTGTGGAGATTCTCCAGAACTATCAACAAGTGGAACGGGATTATAGGCAGCGGTACAAGCAACGCGTAGAGCGTCAGTTCCGGATCGGTACGTAGCCAATACATACAAATATGCATATGCTAACACTACCACATAGTCAAACCCGACGCGACACCGGAAGAAGTCGATGAAGTTGTAAACAATGCCCATGGCGGCGGCGACCAGGTCTTCGCGCAAGCGGTGTGTGCCAGTCAGAATGTCTCGCGTGGGTAGGCACTGAATTCGACCGCGTAGTTGACAACTTCTACTCGGTATGGCGAGTCAAGGGCAGCATACCGGGAAGTACAGGATAGGCACCAAGATATCCAGAGAATTGAGCGCACCCTGGAGGAGTTGGCACAGATGTTCAACGACGTGAGTAAACATACCTCGTCGCGTGTATTAGGTTCGGAACACTGACGGCGGCGATAGATGAGCGTGCTCGTCAACCAACAGGAAGAGTCGATCGATGCTATCAACAACACAGCTCAAGAAGTCGAGCACAACACTGAGCAAGGGTACGTACCTGCTGCGATTGCGTGGCACTAAGCACTGGGTCTAATTAGGTGCTGTCGCTCCCGCTAGATTGAAGCAGACCGAGAAAGCCGTTGTGCATGCCCGTCGCGCACGGCGCATGCGCTGGATCTGTTTCATCATTATCCTCATCATCCTCGCCGTTGTCGGCATCGTTGTCGGTGTTGTGGTCAGTAACAACGTCAAGAGCAACAACAACAAGAGCTAAGAATCTTCCGAGCTTTCCGCTCATTACTGGGATGAATCTGTGATGATGAATGGACATGGACCAAGTATGCGAGTGTTGGATGGATCTTTCATGACATTTACCTTGCAGTATCATACTCTCCTTGCTTAATCTACATACCACCTATCTTCGTTGCCAGCGCGCTTTGAATAATCGTATTTTCGCTTTCAGCCACGATGACGCTGCCATATACCGGAGTCCAGTGGCTGGCGGTCGATAAGTTAATCTGAACGCGTCTGCGCCGGACTGCTATCAACTCTGACTCTCTGAGGTCCTTGACTCGAGTCGGAGCCATGCCCGAGTGTTTCGGCCGCAAGCTCTCTCGGTACGACCATGTCGACATCTACTCCGGCGAGCATTTTCAAGCTCGAGGCCTCCGAGGACCCGCTCCGTGTCTTCCGAGATGAGTTCGTCATCCCCACAAATGCCCAAATGAAGGCGACAGCTGTCGCGCCCGAACTGGGTGAGCACCGCTCCCCGTCCTAGCGGGCGCTGAGTTCTGAGCCGTCGACCCCTCCCTCTCGCCGTGCTTGCACAGAAAACGAGCCATGCACATACTTATGCGGGAATTCACTGGGTGTACTGCCGAAACGGTCGAAGCAATTGGTGGAGGAGGAGCTGCAGGTTTGGGCGACGCGGTGAGTGTTGCGGCCTTCCACGGAGAGAGCACCGGACCAATGACATTCTCAGCGGGGTAGAGGGCCATTTTGACCACCCTCATGGGCGCGACTGGATGCACATTGCGGACTTTGTGCACCCCCTCATCGCAGAGATCGTAGGTGGGCGCAGCTTTACTTCCGTGGACGCGAGGTCTGAGCGCGCTCGTAGGCGCGAGCGAGTCCGAGGTCGCTTGCATGGGCACTTTGACGGCGAATCTGAATTTGATGATGAGCACATTCTATAAGCCTACCAAGGGGAGGTACAAGATCCTTTGTGAGGCGAGGGCGTTTCCGTCCGACCAGGTGTGTCTTATCCGCCCCTCCCGCATATGGCATAGACTGACGCCGTGCACACAGTATGCGATTGCTTCGCAGGTTGTCAGTCACGGTTTTGATTCCAGCGCTGTGGTCGAGATGTCGCCTCGCCCGGACGAATACACCCTCTGCACGTCTGACATTCTCGACGTCATTGCGCGCGAAGGCGCCAGCATCGCGCTCGTGCTCTTCAGCGGGGTGCAGTACTACACCGGACAGGCGTTCGCGATGGAGACTATCACGCGCGCAGCTAAGGAACAGGCAAGCACCGTGGTTTGCACGAGACGTGGGTCTGTACTTACGGGTACACTGTGTCCATAGGGCTGCGTTTGTGGATGGGACCTCGCACACGCTGTTGGCAACGTCCCACTGTCCTTGCACGACTGGGATGTCGACTTCGCTGTTTGGTGTACGTACAAGTACCTCAATGCAGGGCCAGGGGCGATCGGAGGCCTCTACGTACATGAACGATGGGCAGATGAGCCTATCAGGTACGTATTTACCCATCTCCCTTTCGCGTTTTGGTGGCAGATCAACTCATTGGACATCATTACATCTGCGTCAGAGCTGCGGGATGGTGGGGACATGATCCTGCGACTAGGTTCGACATGCCTGCTGTCTTCGCGCGTATCGGAGGAGCACAAGGATTCCAACAGTCAAATCCATCTGTACTCGCAACTGTCTCTGTCCTAGGGTCCCTCGAGGTCTTCAAACGAGCGGGTGGCATGCAGCCTATCCGCGCGCGCAGCTTGCGGCTTACAGGGTACCTGGAGGCCTTGCTATGTGCCTCTCGCTTCTACGTACCAGTGGCACAAGTCAATGAACTCGAGCAAGCAGCCGGGAAGACTGGCGTCACGATAATCACCCCAGCGAATCCGGAAGAGCGTGGAGCTCAACTCTCGCTCGTGTTCCTACCCACAGGTCGGGGCGTCATGCCGCGAGTATTGAAGGAATTGGCGGAGAGAGGCGTCGTGGGTGACAGCAGGAAACCGGACGTTATCAGACTTGCGCCTTGCCCGTTGTACAACACATTCGAGGATGTAGAGAGGAGCGTGCACATGTTGGAACAAGCATTGGAGAGTGTCGAGCGAGAAGGAATTCGCAATTGACCGTGACAGTGAGCGGAAGTGAGCGGAAGTAAAGATGTAGTACAATGTATCACTTAGACTCCGTTTCGGCGATAGTCGTCAGTTATACTATATTTGGTCATGATCTCGGACAGTCTAGGTACTCGGACACCGAGCCCCCAACAGCTACGTACGCCTCCTATCTCCGGATTTTCGACACATATACCTCAGTTAGCCTTCTGTTATACTCTCTGCGAACTCACAAGCTGCTGCGATAAAAACTGGACTCACAGGGATGATCATCGGGGGATGATGTCCAGATTTGGTAAGTGTCAGCTGACCGCCCTCACCTCGCGCGTTCCTCGCTCTCTCTCTTGCCATCGCCCCCTACCCAGCGGCCATTCCTTCCTCGTACGTTCATCTCCTACTTCGTTTGTGCTGATCACGAGGGTCATAGATGGTGTTTAGTAGGGTACAGGGTCCAGTTACCCCTTCGGCATGCTGGTCATGCCCTCCCAAACATCGCGTGTTTGCTGACCCACTCCGAAGCGATCTTCGACCCAAACGCCATATGCCTGTACGTATGGGTCAATTCGCCGTGCCTCATTCACTGAACGGTCCCAGTTTATTTTTAGCTATTTATTTGGGCTCACCAGCACGTCATCCAACAACCTCTCATCGACGGGTTCATGCCCAACTCTTCACCCCCAGAAGTCGGACACGGCCGAGGATGTGCCAAATCAAGGTACGAGTATCATCATAAAGTTCAATAATACTAACTTCAACTCATTCTACCAGCTCCTGCCGACTTCCAGTCCACAGAAGACAGAAGGCAGCGTCAGCTCCCCACACGGCCGCCGAAGGGCTCGCGATGGTTCATGATAGGAACACAAACCAATGAAAGATGGAGGGTATATAGGGCTGGTCGATGTAAGTGCTTTGCGTCAGTTCCCGTTCCCTCCTCACTCCTTGACATGGTCATGAGGTTTGACTACAACTCAGACGACGACAACGATATGCCTCCGCTCGGTACTGTCGGAGATTCAGATGACGAGGAGGATTATTCTCGGCCGTGGCATTCAGCCCGTGACTACGAGTACACACTAGCATCCCCACCCCCCAGCAGTTCGGCCAACGACGACAACGAGAGCACTGATGGCGCCGAACACACTGGCAGCGAATCTGATGGGGAGAACAGCGAGACTGATGACGACACAGCCTCTGATGTCAGCGATGACGAGGATGGCAACGACTCCTGGCCTGAACTGTCAGGCGATGATGCTGGTGTCAATGATGTCGACGGTAAGTATCTCCGAAACATCTACTGCTACTTTGCTAATCAAAATTCCCTCATAGATGATGATGAATCAAACAGCGACGAGGAGCCTGTGCACGGCGAAGGCACGGCAGGCCAGACCAGCTCCGGTGAGTACAGGGAGGTGTTGCCATCTTGTTCATGCACTCATGTTTCTGGCAGACAAGGCAGAGCTCACGCGTGGCGAGGCTGCAGGCTCACCTGAGCCTGGCGCTGACTCCGAGTTGCAGTCTGGTGAGTAGAATGACGTGTCCAGCTATTATGATACACTACTAACATTTTTCTTCTAACAGACTCCTCGGATGATGCTAAGCCGGTGGATGAGACACCGAGGACTGCGAAGCAGCGCCGAATCCAGGCTGCACTTGCAGCCATCGAGGCGTCCGGCCTCAAGCCCGCTGCCCAATGGGAAGCCGAAGACGTCTATCCGCAGCGCCGCCAAGACCTTCGGCATCGCGCCGTCCACTCTGAACGACCACTGGAATGGGAAGAAGTCGCGTGTCGAGGCGCACATCCCACAGCGCAAGTTAAACCCCGCGGAGGAGGACGTACTCGTTGAGTGGCTCAAAGAGGTCGGGCGGCGTGGTATGCCGCTCACGCAAGAAGCTGTCGTCGACCATGCGTCGGCAATTGCAGGCGTCCCCATCGGAACATCGTGGTATCGCCGCTTCAAGAAGCGCCATCCGGAGTTGGCAGTTCGCTGGGCGACGAAGCTTCAAGCCTGCCGCGCAAAGGCCCTCAACCGTCCGAAGGTCACGCGATACTTCAATATCTTGACGCAGGTCATCGAGGACTTCGATATTCCCCCCGAGAACAGGTGGAACATGGACGAGAAGGGTGCCCAGCTCGGTGTCATGGATGACATCAAGGTCCTCGTCGACCGTGACCAGAAGGATGTCTACAACATCGAGAATGGTAACCGTGAACTAATCACTATTATCGAATGTATCTGCGCTGACGGGACCGCAATCCGCCCTTGCGTCATCTTCAAGGGGAAGCGTCTGAACAAGACTTGGGGTCTGGACAACCCTGCGAATGCGAGGTAAGCTTGATGCTCATCACCACGCCACAAACTAACCTAATTCATTGGATGATATAGCATTGCGGTCTCGCCTAACGGATGGACAGACAATGAGCTTGGCACTCTGTGGCTGAAGAATGACTTCGAGCCGCAGACTGCCTCCCGGAATGTCTCCGGAAAGCCTCGGCTCCTGATCCTTGATGGACATAACTCACACTGCACGTACGAATTCTGCTGTTTCGCTGAGAGCCATAATATACAAATCGTTTGCCTGCCGCCGCATACCACACACAAACTCCAGCCGTGTGATGTAGGAGTCTTTGGGCCCCTCGCGAAGATCTGGAAACGACATGTGAGGCATGTCTTCCAAAAAAACGGCTTCATCTCGAAGCAGAACTTCCTCAAACATTACGCCGCCGCTCGCTCGCGAGCATTCCAGACTTCGACCATCCTCTCTGCATTCAGAAAAACCGGGATTTCGCCGCTTGATTCGTCTGTGATCCCCGACGATGCTTATGCCCCCGCTCTTGTGACAACTACGCAGAGTGCTCCGGTTGTCCCAAACCGGAACCTGTTCCCACACATCTTGGTTCCCTTCTCGGATGAAATCGCCGACGATTTCAACCTTCCCTCATCCTCTGCGGCCGCTGGCCCCTCAACTCCTGGTCCCTCGACTCCTGGCCCCTCGACATCTCCTCACCGCTCTGATCAAATGGCTCCCGCTCAGATCAGGACGGTCGCTATCATCCCTGGACTCCCACCCCTACTTCCACCCAATGCGCCGCGCCACATGCTCGTCCAGGCCAACTCGCAGCTGCGAACCATCGCCGATGCTGTGTGCACTCAGGCTTACCACGATCGTGCGCTGCTTTCACTCAAGGACCGCGAGGTTGTTGCCCTGCGGCAGCAGTTACACTCGAAACTCAAGGCCTCGCCAGGCAAAGCCAAAGGGAAGGGGAAGGGCCGTAACAAGAAGGGTGGGGATGGCGAGGCAAGACACTTGACAGGCGAGACCGTCCTCGCTTCCCTCGCCCAGGAGGAGGTCGATGCGAAGGAGCGGGAGACTGCGAAGGCCGATGCTGCAGCCGAGCGCAAATGGAAGGCGCAGGAGGCTGCAGCCAAGAAAGCCGAGAAGGTCATTGAGCGTCAGCGCAAGGCGGAGGAAGCAGCAAAGAAGAGGGTGGAGATGCAGGCTGCACAGCTCCGTAAACGGGAAGAGGCCGAGAGGAAGAAGGCGGAGAAGGAGGCAGAGAAGGCAGAGAGGGAGGCGGCGAAGGCAGCAAAGGCGATCGAGAAGGCTGCAGCGCAGGCTGCAAAGGCTGCAGAGCGTCAGCGCAAGGCGGAAGAGGCAACGAAGAAGAAGGAGGAGAAAGCTGCTGCTGCCGCCGCTAAGGGTGCACGGGCCGCCTCAAAGGCTCGCACTGCCAATCAAGCCCAGCTGCCTGAGAGCGACGCAAGCATGGATCCTGCAACGCCTCCCAGTGTAGGGGTACCACAACCACCGCCGCTGCCAGGCCCCGCCCCCGCCCTCGCCCTCGCTATGGCCACACCGCAGCTGGCAACATCGCCACTGCCGCTACTCATGGCCCGTTGATGCAAGTAGCATTGACACGACTTCCTCGGTCTCTTCTATTGCAGACAATCCGCACCCTCCCATCGCTATCCAGTCCCGGCCTCGTCCTCGTCCTCGCTATCAAGGCGCACTCGCCAGTCGCAGCGCCGCAGCCCCGGCAACTTCCAACCCTCCCTCCGCACCACCCGTTCCTCAGGCCGCTGCGTCCGTACCCATCATTCCCGCTGCATCCGCCGCCGCGAACGTGAGCGAACTCGAGCGAGTCGAGGAGCCCGAGCCCGCCGCAGCTGCACCAGATGGTACCGATACCGGAGCGACTATCCCAGCTGCCGCCCCTCCTCAGCCACCAACTACACGCCGCAACCCTCGCCGCAATGTCACTGCTAAGTGAGGAACGTATGTGCATTGTCCTCCTCACGTATTATGTATTGTTTTTCCTTGCTTCGCACTCTCTACATCGCTATACCCTGGGTTTCGTTGCCGGCGCTTGTGTGGGCGCTTGTTGTAGGACCGTGTCCGAGTACGCCGTCGGGCTACAGAATTGGACTGCCGTCGCGAATATATTCACCATGCTCTCGTCTTTGTACATTAAATTTATATGACCATCTCAGCAGTTGCGTATGATGCCCTACCATGGTCTGACATCGAATTTTGGGTAGTTCCACTGTGTTTCAACTCGGTAGGTGTCTTTCGATGCTTAGGTGTCCGAGATCATGACCAAATATAGTATCTGGTAAACAATGATGCTATGACAAGGAAGGAGACCAAATATTGTAAGATCATGTAAGTACGCCCGAACTGGCACCGGGAACAATACTTCTGAATTGGTTGTCGAACATGCAATGAACAACGCTCCTGGTTGGAGAACCGTTTCGGAGCATGTTTGAAGTCCGAAGGTATGCCGAAGATACGAAGGATTATTCGACGAACATCGCCACAACTACCAAAAAAGGAAATTCGTCGACCGAAAATATAACATGGGCCCCTTCGTCAATCTTTTGGATCCCAAATGTGCTCCGAAACGGTTCTCCACAAGGAGCGATTTACGTTGCATGTTCGACAGTTGACTCGGAAGTGCTGTTCCCGGTGTGGGCCTCCTCGACTTCGATTTGAAGCGGTAAACGCGTCCGTCACAATGGCACGTGCATGATGGTCACGGTCGCGACGAGACGACGCCTTTCCTGTTGGCCTAACGCGTTTTACTAGCAACTGCGACATCCTCTGTGCGACAATTGCCTGGGTCGCCTCTACTGAGTCGCTTACCCTAGTCTCACTCTCGCTCAAAATACGTGTCCCGGCTCGCAGCTTCCGATCAGCGAACACCACACGGGTCTTTAGAGGCCCCAGAGGGCAGTGGCTCAACAAGACAACGCTTTCCGCGTTGGTCCTGCTTTTCAGACCGACTTGACGAGCACATCGGGCCAGACCATTATGCTACAAACAGAGGAATACGATAACGCTGACGCAGCTAGCGACGAGGAGGAGGACAGTGACGACTCCGGAAACGACGTTTCAAGTGAAGATGACGAAGAACCCCCTGTGGAAAATCCTTCCACGCACATTCGTGTGAGTCCTTGCGTATATAGACTACATACGTATGTGTGGTCCTCATGTATGTGCAGCGCGATCTGGAAAAGGCACTGCAGGGCGATCTTGCCAAGGAATTCAAGGGCTCGCATTCTTCCAGCCGAGCATATCCTACCGCGCCCAACCCTGGCCTGTATCTGCTTTCGAACAACGTTGGCTCAGTCGGACTTCCTCTAAGCACGCGAGATGCAGCAGTTGTCATCTCCGGCTGCAAGCAAGCGCCCTTCGGTCAGGGTGAACGCACCGTAGTCAATACGGCGGTTCGCGACACTTGGGAGATGGACGCCAGCCAGGTACAGACTCCCCATTGTCGTGAAGTGGCCGCGTGATCATGTCTACGAACAGGTCCAATTCCATAACCCGGCATGGCAAGGCTACCTACAAGGTGTCGTTAAGGACGTCTGTGCCGAACTAGGAGTGAATATGGCCGTAAGCCAACCGCGCTGTGAGCTCTACAAGCTGCTGTTGTATGAAACCGGATCACAGTATGTCGTCCACTACCTGCCTTTGTTGCGATTCTTACCCATGTCACAGCTTCCTGCCGCACGTAGAGTGAGCCCTCGAAGTAACTGGTACATATTGCAACTGACATTTGACCACGTAGTACCGAGAAAGTCAACGGGATGTTCGCGACCATCGTCGTTGTTTTACCCTCGAAGTACACCGGTGGCGAAGCCCATGTCTCGCATGGCTTGCTGTCCACGGTGTATGACACAGCCTCTCTGAGCAACTTTCAGACAACCGTGCTCGCCTGGTATACGGATGTTATGCATGAGATCAAGCCCATCACGAGTGGATACCGTCTAGCGCTCTCCTACAATCTGTTGCACACGTCTAATGCCCTGCGACCATCCCTACCCAACAATCACGCTGCCGTGAATGCCCTGAGGCATGTTCTGCTCTCTTGGAAGCAGGCGAACCATGACCGCGTCCCGCGAAAGATAATCTACTTGCTGGACCACAAATATTCGCAAGCAAACTTGAAGGGCAGCGCACTAAAGGGCGTTGATGCACACAAGTTAGCTATCCTGGATGCCCTCGCGAAGCAGCTTGGCTTCCGACTTGGTATGGCCAATCTTGAGTGCCGGCTGAGCGGGTCTGCAAACGATGACGGTTGTCATTATGGCCGCAGGCGGAAGAGAGGGTGGTATAATCCGTACGAGGACTACGACGAATCCGATGACCCGGATGACGTGGATTTTGAGGAAGTGGAGGAGCGGGAGGCTTCAATCACGAATCTCGTTACGGTACGTGCCTTCGCGCGGACTCCATTGATTTACCCCGAGGGTACCGCAGAAGCTGATCTTGTGGCACACAGTTGGATGGTGAACCGCTCCAGGATGCCTTGGAATACGATGAACACCAGGACCACACGATACCGAAAAATCTCATCAATGAGGTTGAAGCTGGTCCACACGACGACCAGGAGTACGAAGGTTACATGGGTAATGTAAGCGTATATGGACTCTCCTCTTATCGTAGCTCCTTGTTGACAGGTCATCTCCAGGGGGCCGGTTCGCTAGAACGATGTAACAATATTCTTGACCCTGTGCGATGCGCATCTGATTCCTTTGTCTGCAGGGTATCGACGGACAGTCCTCATAATCTGGCCGCAAGGATTCAACTTGGACATGACATTCGACGACGATATCTCTGAATCTATTGAAGATCTGGCCGAAGTTGACTCTAGCAAACCTCACAAGCGAGAGCGCAAGCATGTAGACTTCCTGCTGAATGTCGCCAGACACCGGCCAAAGCACAGAGCAGAGATAGCCAAAACATTGTCCGATGTTGCCTGCGTGTGGAAGGACGTAGAGCTCTACGAGCGCGTCATTGAAGCATGCGATGCCTCTAGTGGCGTTAGGCTGTTGAGCAACGACGTGATCTTCAACTGCATTACGACCTTTGGGTTCCAGCTATCACAGCGGATGTGAGTGATTCGCACGTCTCGTATCTATTCTACAGAACTCATTTATCGCAGCTTGCAGAGCATGTTGCGGGCTGAACGAAGCAACTTCCAACGCTTTCAGTTCATAGATGAACTGCAGAATTGGTTCTCGGCAGAACCTGCCCTCGCCGGGGAAGGTGTTAACGCATGGATCGTGGAACAGCGTCGATTTGCCATGGAACATCTTAAGAAGCCAGGTCCAGGTGATAGTCAAGTCTTCGTCGACATCGCCCTGCGGAATGGCGGTTTTCGCGTCCTGCGTGACACGTAAGTGTGATCGTTTGCGTACCACCGCAATGGACGCTCATTACCTGGATGCTAGCTTTGCCCCTCAGCTCAAGACCATCGCAGACGCATCCTTCCTGGTGGCCCTGGTGAAAGTTCTCCAAACGGAGAAAATCAAGCCAGGGATCACTCAGAAGGATCAATCTATCTTGGCCACTATGGTGGCTGACCTCCTGACCAGCGCCATAGCGAAAGTTGATTTCTTCGCGCCGCCAGCGAGGAGCAGCCTCATGACACCCCAAACGGCCTTACGTTTAGTCGAACTCTCTCTCGCAACGCGTAACGATGAACTAGTCGAGAAAGTAACACAGCGTCTGACGGATATGACAAACGTCGCCCCTCCTGTCGCCCAACGCCGGATTTTAGAGGTTCTTTTGCCCCTGCTGCCCCTCGTCGATAACAAGATCAAGACACGTGCAGCTGGCATGCCCGCTGTCCCCGGTATACAGTGCTTCTACGAGGCAACCATCGACCTGTGCCTGCACTTCGTCTTCTCAGGTGCAGGGCCGGCCAAAAATGATCTAGGTTCGCTGATGGATGCTTGCGTCATATGCGGGGGCGTCGATGTTTTGAGTAAGAAGTGAGTACGTCTCTGGGTCCCGGTGATTCAATACTGATTTGGAACATTCAGACTATGGCCAACCCTGAAAACCTCCAAGCCTCAGCCGGGCGCATACGCTGACTTCATAGACCAAGTTCGAAAGCGCAAAGACCGACTACCTCCTTCAAGCAGCGGCGTCTCCGTCGACTCCATAATTACGGAAGCAGTTCGACAGGCTATTCAACAAGCGAGCTTCACGAAGTATACCCCTACCGCCTACCCGTACTATTCCTACACTACAACGTCAGCTAACAGCACTCACCAAAACCGTACGCGAACACTGGAACTTCTCCGGTTATGCCTCACGACTGGAAATAAAGCGTCATGTAGTCTCGTTTTCAAGCGACTGCTGGACTCGTCCTTCAACACACGAGAATATGTGGAGAACGTCCTCATCCCGTTTCTTCCTGAGCTTCGTCAATTCTTGACCACCAACCGTATCGCCCTGTCGGATGCGCCGTTCAACAACGTGTTCAAGTCGATCGTTATGCTCTGGGCGAACAAGGTCCTCGGTCCAAAACCAACCGAGATGGCGAATTCCGTGATCACTAAGTTGCAAAGTCACGGCTGCAAGTGCGCACATTGCGTCCAGGTCTTCAACTTCCTCACGTCCAGCGCCGACAAATCGTGCCGCATGGAGAGAATAGGTGCACCTAAGAGGAAGCATGTCGAGCAGGAGCTCAATAAATATGCGCGGACCGCCGCAACGTGGTCTATGATACCGGGCAGCCCACAGGGCTTGACGGTGAGTGCGCCCGATTGTTTGCGAATTGCATAGCCTAATTCCCATGCGCACAGGTTACGAAAGCCGATTCCATATATCTACCGGTTCAGTGGAAAGCAACTCAAGCCAGAAGTGCGGCTATCTTGAACTCCGTTTCCGCGAATGCAACAGACTTGCAGAAGATATTTGGTCCAGACCACCAGGTGATCATGGATCTGTTGGCTGGGCGTGTTCGAACTCTTGCGACAGCACCGTCCAGGCTCCAGAGTGCAACTGCGACCTCCTCGGCCTCTGTGGCTGGTTCCGCTCGCATGCCATCAGGCGCCTCAGCCGCTGCTCCCGGAGCAACGAACGCGACGCCAGGTCTGAATACGAGTGGCAGCTCGTCTATGGCCTCCCATGCCCCCAATGCCGTTGTTCCTGCACTCTTAGGTTCGGAACAAGCCGCCTCCTCACGTGGTATTTCGTGCTCCGCACACCGACGAAGGAGGGGCTTGCTCGAAGATGACTGTCATCCTTGGGCTCGATATGGGCCCCTAACTTATCACCAATCGCGTCTTTCGCCTCACTTCAAGCGAGGCAATCGTAGTTTCGAAGTAGCCCTGATCGCCTGTAAAGTCGTTATAATATTCTATGTGCTTCGTGCATTTTTAGGAATTGCGCAAGTTTGGCTTTGAATGGCCAGAACAGTGTTTTATGTAGAATATTCACTATGCTGCATCGCGGTCACAGAATATTCTAAAACTTTCAAGGGTGTAAGTTATCATGTCAAGGAACATCCTCCACCTCTTTGGCGAGGCCAGAATGCGCATATACTTGGTGTGGATGCTCCGCCGCTGTCCAGATCCACGAGATCGCGTTAGCGCCCGCGCGAGACGCGCCTCGACGCGTCGCGTCGCGTCGTGTCTCGCTCTGTGTGCTTACCTTCCTGACGCGTATACTCAGGGCTCTCATGTCCGAACCACCGCGGACGCCTCCTCGCCGTGCAGCGCCTGCGCTTGGTAGCGCTACAAGAAGTCCCGGGACACCACGTCGTCACAAGGTTCCTTCGAGCAAGAGCACCCAAGGCACTCGCAGGCGAACCGCGAAGTACGCGACTGCGAAGGTCAAGTCCGATTTGAAGGAGGCATTTAGCCTACCCTTTGAGCCAGATGACTGGCAAGCCGAGCTGATCTCAAGGGTCTTGCGTGGATATGACAGCATCTTTTGTGCAGGTACAGGCTATGGCAAGAGCCTCGTCTTCCAGGCTCTTGCGAAGCTGGGCGGGAAAAACAAAGCCGTTTTAGTGATCTGTCCACTGAAAGCTCTCGAAGCTGACCAGGTGCGCTATGTACTTTTCTTTGGGGCTTCAGAACTCAGGTAGTCGAGGGTAGGTTCGGGAAGCCGAGGCGAAGGGTTTGCGGGCGGTGATGATCAACGAGGACAACTCGAAGACTCGCGAAGCCTGGGCGGAAGCACGTACGAAGGCGCAAATGATCTACATCTCGCCTGAGATGGCCCTATCCGACTCGTTCACCAAGCTGTGGAAAGATGGCAAGTTCCGGGACCGCGTCCAAGCTGTCGTCATTGACGAAGCACACTGCGTTGACGAGTGGGGCAAGGACGACTTCCGGAAGCAGTACCGGCAGCTCAAATACCTTCGACACTATACCGGGCACTCGATTCCCTTCGTTGCGTGCACGGCCACATGCTCATCTGCCACGTTTGACACACTGTGGGAGACCCTAGGCTATGGCTACCGCCCGTTCTGGGGAATCGATGTAGGGAGCGACCGCCCAAACTTGTTCTTCGACACTCGTCCCATCACCAACAAGGCGAACCCTGTCATCGACGTCTTGGGGATCCTACCGCCTTCCTTTAGCTCAGATACACCTCTCGACGCCGTCCCCAAGTGCATCCTCTACTTCGAATCCGAGAACGCCTGTTTACAGGCCAAGATCACCCTTCGCAAGTGCCTGCCAGCGCACCTCCGCGACACCGTGTACGCCTTTTCGTCGAGTATCTCCGAAAAGGCAAAGCGTCAGGTTTGGGATCGTTTCCGAGAGGGTAGCTTGCGAATCCTATGCGCGACAGATGCAGCGGGAATGGGATGCAATGTCCCGGACATCCAGTATGTTATCATCATTGGATGTCCGCGATCGCTCTCTGTTGTCGCGCAGCGCTGGGGACGAGCAGGTCGAGACCGCTCGACGCCCGCAACATGTCTTCTACTTGTGCCAAAATGGGCTTTTCGGCCCGATCCTGCGCAGAGTGCCGTGGTTAACCCGGCCATCCGACGTGTACGGAAGACGAATGCGGCCACGACTACTGTGAAGCAAGAGACGAAGAAGGATGCTGAGCAGCGAGCTCGTCTGCCGGCGCCTCTGGAACAGTTCATCAACGTGAACACTTTGGAAGGCCAGAGTCGTGAGTACATGTTACGTGAAGATGCAGAGATATGTTGCTCACTCACTCCCAGGATGCTCGCATGCGTATGTTGGTCAGGCCTTCCGTCCGAACACTCGATTGGACAATTACCGGCTGCTGGATAACTCGGACGAACCTACCCGTGGTTCGCGAGCCAGTGCTTTTGAGCTGTCATGGACCACTCTGGACCTTGGTCGGCACCCGCCTCGTACGCGGTGCTGCAATTACTGCACACCGCGGAATCCCCATATCATTCCCTCCTGCTCGAATGATGACCGCCGTTTGCGAGCCTATGCTGCCGACTTCGCGGCGCCCCTTGTCGAGCTGTCGAGTCGCCCGGCTTCCCGGACAGCAAGCTCGATTGCATCTTCCGCCTCGGTAGCTCGCAGCGACGACTTCATCCCAGTGAAGGGGAAGTCGCAGGTGGCGCAGTATGAAAGGGAGCAGCTCCGCAAGATGCTCGTTGCCTGGCGAGATCAGTTTGTCGACCCCGAACGTGGCTACCGCTTCATGTCGAGGGAGGTTGACCTTCCCACAGCTCTGATTGGCCAGCTTGTCGAGCAAGCTGGGCAGTTCCTCCGCCTCCATGACATCGAACACAAGGATGTCTTGAAGGTGATCACTTGGGACTCGGCCTCGGAGGCGGAGCTCAATGGGCTGATCTCGGTGCTCGCGGACTGGCGTCTCCGTGTACGTCTTTCTACGACACCAACATCACAACGCCGAGCCAGCAAAAAGGCCCGCGTCGTAGACCTTGCACCACCCATCAAGGCGCCGGATTTCATTACAAGTGCCAGATTAACAAGTGCAGCTGGCCCACCCATTCAAGATAGCTTCGTCTCGACACCGTATGAGCTGTTCCGCATTTGTCAGGATTGTATGATGCTCATGATTGGGTTGGCAGGGCAGTATCAATTCCAAGCCGAGCTGCATTTCCGCAGACTCCACATCTGAATCAGCCCGAGATCAATCCATGGTCACCTTCATCATACGAGATGTACCGTGCGCCGCACGGGTCACCCTACACCGCGCCCATGGGACACCGACCCTTCGCCCACCCACAACAGCGACAAAACGAGTACGCCCCCGGACGACTACCTGTTGATAGCATCTACTCGCCACGAGAGCCGGTATCAGTGCCAACTATGGTGCCACCCTTCATCCCTGCACCCGTCCAGCAAGCGTCGCCTGCACCGTCTTTTGAGTACACGCCACGTGGACCATCTGTACTGCAACCTCTTGTTTATACACCCCAAGGTTCGCCTGCGCCATCCATCAGACATCTGCGAGGCCTACCGGGTGCGCTACCTGCTGTTGGCTCAGGGTGGCAGCATGGCCCATTTGCTACGCCTCAACGTATTCATTCAGCGCTACAGATGCCATGGCCAGGCGTGTCGCCACCTCATCCTACACCGCCTATCATGTATGCTGCCCAAGGCATACCATATAGTAGGTACACTGTGTCACCTTTTCCAGCACTCCATTATGCATCTACGACTCCTGTCCATACGACACCATCCGGCTCGCGTACAGTAGCAATGCCACAGACATACTCTCGAGTCCCTACTGCTGACATCTACCCTGTGCACTATGGATCATCTATACCTGTATCAAACTCGCCACCTCCCCCTAATGCACCGAGTCCCACAGAACCATCCTCGTCTTCCACTCCGTGGAGATCATTGTAATTATCATATGTAATCACATTGTCATTGCAGTTGTCAAAAACGGTACCATTGTCCAGCACTGATGTCTCCGGATCGGGTGTGTCCTTTGCTTCCACACCCGCCCCACCAATTGGATAGCCAACTGCAGGGTCAAACGTCGTCGACTTGATGTACTGAGAAAACTTCCCATTTTGCCAGGCCCGTGCGCCAATATTGAATACATCGACAATCGCGGACTGAGGTTGGTCATTTGCGCCCGAACTCTTCTTTTTCCCTTTGGATTTGCGGGGTGGTGCTGGAACGAAACGAGGCTTGTCCCGTGACAAGGTATGTAGGCCCTCATTGATCATGTCTTCGACCAAAACTCGCATGTCGTTCTGGAATGATATCTCTTTGTGTCGTCGCCGGCGGTCAGGGTCACCGAAGAATCGTGCCACGAGGTGAGATATATCCCGGAAAGCCTCCACACTCGCCGAACCTTTTGCCATGATGTACTCAATCGTGACAGCATTTCCCGATGCAATGAAGACACGCTGCAAAAGTGACCCATCACTCAGATTCAATTTTGATCCTGGACTGGACCAAATTGAACGCTCACCTTGACCCAGAAATTACACTGCTCGAGGTACAGATCGGCTGCGATCCATCGACCATGAACTCCCCATCGATTCACAAACCATGCCTTCTCCAACGCTGTCCGCAACGCAGTGGGAAGTTCGTACTTCCACTTGACGTGAACCTCGACACACTCGCGCGCGTAGTTGTGCTGACCTGCGCCTTCAAAAGAAAACGCCCAGTACTTCAACACTCGAAGGACACGGCCCGCATCCGCATGTGCTACGGCATGCTCGAATTCGCAGAAGAAGAGGGCATCGCGGATGAAGTAGATCGAGTGTGCAAGGCAGTCGTCCCCAATGGACTGAGCCTTGATCGCCTCGCTTCCCACCGTGAACCGCTCTCCAATCTCCCTAGTGACTTCATGGAGATCCTTGAGTGATGGCGTCCAATTCTTCAGGTCATCCCAGGACCCGAGGCCCTTGATAACGCTGATGCTAATTCCTCAGTAAGCCATACACAGTTGAAGCACCATCGAACGCACATCACGCAATGCAGCAGCCTCGCAATCAGTGAATGCCTTATTAAGGCCTTTGCTGCAGCATAATTCGGCTTAGAGGCGTCCCAGGTGCGATGTAGGAGTCCTTTATGAGTGGCCAGTGACGAACGATCCAGAGTCGAGTTGCCGAAGTGAACACGCATAAGCATGTGAGTCGCTTGCAGGGCAAAATGCCATAGCGCACTCGTTTCTTCGACGTATTCGAGGCGCTCCATAGAATCCACGTCGTCCACACGCTCGCGTCTCGCAACACGCAGATTTCGCGCAGTAAGCCAGTCTCCTTGCATGATCTTCGTCTTGCTAGCCCATTCTTCCTCGGTGAGAGTAGACCGCTCCTGCATATCCTTCAAAACCTCGATAACACCCTTTTTAGACCCCTCGTTGACATCGAAAACGCCAAAGGGCCGAAAATCGGTTACCTCAGGCGCCAACGGCCGGTCTCGTGGCATCGCATCTGCGAAGGCCTCTAGCATTTGGCCTCGGCCCTCCCAGTTTTGGCTACCAGGTGTGTACCGTATCAACATCTCGCCAATGAGACTGATGAAGGCCTTCTCCATGTGTTCATCGTCAGCATGAGTTGGGCGAATGTCTGAAAGGCGTGCCTTCGCTCGCTGGCCCCGGAGAGCAAGCTTCGCCTTGAGGTTCAATGCTTCTTCGTCAAGCCCGGGCAACAGAACAACGGCCGCATTCGTCGCATGGATCATTGAATGACGGTTCGTGATTCGCTCCTGGAATTTACGCAGATACAAGTTGATGTTGTCGAAGATGATGTAGAATATTGCACTACTGGTGAGCACCGCGATGGCGAGGCGTATGGCATCCTTCGACATCTGCACTTTCATGTCCTCTATAGTCGTGATTGAAACTGACAGGCCGATATTACTGAGCATGTTCAGCACACGAGAACTGGTCCCTGAGATGCCGAAGAAAAGGCCAAGGGGGAGTGCGAGTACATTTGTGGCACGATTTCGGACAAAGGCAAGCATCATGATTGCCGTGATGATCGCCTGAATACAGTGAGTCTCGAGCCTTATACCACAAATGTGAAGCTACGCACTATCATCGGGTTACGGGTGAATCCCAGGTACTGCGCACGCCAATCCTCAGGTGCCGGCCCCGTGTCCGCAAATGGATCACTGGCAATACCCTCCGAATGTCCTCCGCCTCCGGCGCCTTCGACTGGCTCGCTCCCAACAGGTGGTACATCCTCTTCTCCATCCGACGTCTCCCCTGCACGACGTTCCAGTGCCTCGGCCTTGCGCGCGAGATCCTTGCGGTACCGATTTGGCGAGGCAGTGAAGACATGGAGATACGAAATGGTGAAAGGCGCCAGTGTTCGCAGCCTATCTGCAACTGCCGCGGGATCCAAGAGTCTCCGCACATCGGCTATGGTGAGTTCTTTAAGCCGCACTCTGAACGAGTTCTCTTGAATAACACGGTTGCTCTCGTCAAGCGCGATCTTGTGCGCGCAGGGCTTGACAATCCGCTCGTGGAGCTCGCCTCGGGTACGTGGCCACTCGTCGTGCCAAATATTGTATAGTTCTGATGGCCCATACCACTCGCTCTGGCCTGCGCCTTTCCGGATGCTCAGGAAGGTTCCTGCTCGCTCGCGGACCACCCGGATCTTGCTGGTGAAAGCGAACGTCAGCAGCTTGCTGAGTGCTAGCCCGAGGTATATTATCAATGAAAAGACAAGGTGCAGCTTGTCGGCCTCCGAGGTTGGCTGAGCAGTGTGTTCGAAGAGGTCATCCCAGTAGGCTCGGTCGAATTTCAGATTTTCTGACATGTCTCGCAGCAGGACGAGACAGATAAGAGTTTGGCTTACACATGGCGACCTCGGAAAACTCCTGCACCATTTCTCCAGAGCTTCGCGGAAGCAAATCCGCCAGTACGACAGCTCAGGGCGCGCCGACGCGCGACGCGCCACTTTGGGTTTACGCGCATGTAACGCGTCTGTCACACGCAGACACGACCTGTCACGTCCCACCCTCCGTCTACTGTATGATCTCTGCAGGAGATGCAACTTCAACAGGGCATCCCCAATTGCCTGGGATAATGAGTATGCATTTAATGACTATTGCTGAGTAGTTTTGGTACACCCGGAGGCATATGTTGTATGTATCGAGGCCTCGCGCGCGTCAGGCTGTGCTTCGACAGAGTCACCCTCGCGCGATGTTTGTAGCATCGCACCAATGCAGTCGTAAAACACCGTATATTCACAGAATGTTCATTGGACTCGTAGCTACAGGTTTCTCACTGACAGCGAGGGAATCGGAGTATGTGGAAGCACGCTGCATTTTTGCGACTGACCCCCCTAGTCCCAGCCACTTTCGAGCAAGCCCCTTCTCCGAAGGTGGCCGGGTACCGGCCCGGAGACAGGGCTTGCTCCGAACCTACTGCACTCTCACAAGTGGCCCGGAAGCGGAAGAGGGATCATACGGCCTCAGGTACTATCATTGACTTGACTGATGATGAACTTCTGACGTAGTTCTAATGCATGACATCTCCCTTAGGTTCTTGACAAGCTTCTTCATATCTTGGTATTGACATCGCCTCGTGCGTAGTGCTAATGTACATCGGATATGTATAATCAATGTTTTCGTCGGATCTAGGCTCTGCAGCCGGACTGTTGTCGCTGCCGAGTTGAGTACCACGTTCATTGGCAACCCCATGAGTGCTTGTGCTGTATTGCATGAAACGTCTGACAAGTACTTACTATGCGCTGCGTGATGCTACTCCGAGGCTCGGCGACGGTAACGTTTGACGCGATTGTCACATATCACGATGTATGAACGACACGACGCGTGACAAATGCGGCCTGGGGCTAGTCTCCCGTGGGCAGAGTAGACAATTCCTTCAACCTTCGCTGGCTCCGGATATCCTTGTCTAACGTCTGCTTTTGATACCCCCCTATTGTCTGGAGGTCGCCATCAGCCGCTCGGCACGTCACGAGTTTGTACAAACACGTCGGCACAACGCGCTCTGACGCGTCCGAGGCGCGTCTCGGTCATTACAATCTGTTATGACATGTTCTGCTATGCAATCCGCGATGTCGCTGTACATGTCCTCTTTACAGAATCTCTGCTACTTATGTGTCGATGACATCAATCAGCACCGCGCAGGTGCACTGAACCCAGCAAAATATTAGACTATACAGTAATATTAATATATCTCTGAGTGGCTTGGTGAGAGCGCAGACGAAGACGTAGACACGCGAGTAGGCAGGTACACAAATGACTGAGTTGCCATACAACGGAGCAGGCGGGCAGTCGGGTGGCCGAGCTGGCGGGTGGCACCGTAGGCGGGCTGCCAGACGGGCGAGCGCGCAGGCGGAGGAGCCAGGGGATATGTTTGCAGCTAGATGGACGAGTGCACGGGCAGATGAGCGGCGTGCGCGCGAGTAATCGAGTGCACGAACGCACGGGCAACCAAGCGCGTGGGCGAGCGGGCGCCCAAGCCGTTGAGCACAAGGATAGGTAAGCGACTGTGTGCGAGCGGGCGAACGTGCGGGACAGCGTTCGGATTGGCGCACGAGCATTTAAATGGGCGAGTGGACGCGCGTGCGGGCAGACAGATGTGTTTGCGGGTTAACGGTCGCTTGCAGGGGCGTACTTCGGCTTCGAAGCTTCGAATTTGCTGTACTTACCTTCGCCATCCCTTCTTCCTTGGCAGTTCCCCCCTAGGCTTCATCCCGTGCACACTACGGTCATTGACATCTTGTACCCGAAGCTCGACTTTCACTATGGTGGCTGATTTCGCGCGGCCGGACAGTGTGTCGCTAGAGCTGCACGCCGCCAGGAGGTGCCGCCTTGTCGGTCCAGCAATTGATCTCAGAGTCAGCTACCAGCCAGTGTTCCAGACGGCAGACACATACCGAGGCAAGCGAGAATCCAGAAGAGGGCATGCCGAGTAGGTGCACACGAGAAAGTGTGGGTGGGAAGGACCAGAGGCTCGGGCGATAGATGGAGGACAAACCGAATGGCGAGCTTGTGAAACACGCCGTTCCAGTGACTCCGCTACACGCCAAACTCGCTTGATGAACTATCCAGACTGTAAAGTGCGCTAGGTCGCAGACGGGCGTCGAGGGACAGACCTTTGAATCGCTACTTGTCGCGCACACAATGCTCACTCAAGTGCGTGCGTCGCCTTCTTGAGCATGCCGCGCTCGATGGACGAGCGAGAAAACCTTCACGCATCCTTGTCTGCGTGCTCGTGTCCGGAGTCGTCGCGCAACGGGACATCAAGAACACTGTTAGAACGCGCAAGGGGTGAACCTTCGAACCTTTAGCTGAAGGACGTCTCCTCGCGGAAAGAAACGGTAGATAGCGGTGTAAGTCGCTATCTTCAAGCTGAGGACGAGCAGTGCAAAAGACGGCGACCTAGTAGTAGTACGCGACGAGAACAATGCAATATTTGCTTCCGCCACAGACGCACCCGCCACAAGCTCAGCCACACACTTGAGGTTCCGCCTGCGATCCACTACGTACATTCAAACTGCGATTGAAAATACCGACCTGTCGACAAGGGAGCGCGTCGAAAAGTAGACTACCTGGGGCCCTTTCCTTGAGGTTGTGGTAGCGTTGACATGAAGCGACGTTGTCAAATCTCTCATAGCCCCACTCTCTTACGAAGGCATTCCCCGACACTATTCAGCCTGATTCTGGCCCAGCTTGACTTCACTGCGACGTGCTAGCCCGGGTCGACTTGTGGTCCGTGAAGGTTGCCATCTGGCCATACCTTAAGTAACACTGGTGTCTTGACCCTTGACTGCGCATTCAAAAGAGGACAAAAGTACTACGTCCGGAAATCGGACGGCTCAAGTGGCACACAATCTTGCGCGCGAAAATGTCCACCAACATGTCAGTAGATGAAACACCGGACGGAGTTGTCATACTCGACGGCACTGGTTTGGAGGGTGGAGAGACTGCTGAGATGCACGACTGCGGCGAAGGTATGAATCGTCGCTTGGATGTGACCGTCACTTATCTTTCCTCAGTGGATGGGCAGCTCGTTCTTGAAGACTCGGAAGAGAGCAACGACGGACATAGCCCAGTCGCTCGCTATTCCCCAGATTCGTATGTAAGCCCACGTCGACGTCTGCAGAAGCGCGATCCTAGCTTGAACACAATCGGTCTGTACCACACGCACGATACACGTCAATTCTACTAACGGGCCGGAAGACGTGGAACTGAATACTGAGAACATGGTCACTTCGGGATCAGACAGTGACGACGATGAGCTACATGTCCTAGATCAATCTATGGACATACGCGTGAGTTAAATGTTTTACAACACAGCCTATGCCTCGCTTACATGACTCACAACAGGCGAGTTTGGAGACTGTCCTTAACGGCGACCTTGCCGAGTCTTTCAAGGGCTCATACGCGTTCAATTGCACGTACACCGATGCGCCCAATCCTGGATTGCACTTATCTGCCAACAATATCGGTATTATCGGCCTCCCGCTGAGTCAAAGAGAGGCAAAGGTTGTCATGTCGGGTTGCCGTCCAGCGACAAAGCGAAGTGCGGGAGACATAGCATGTGGTGCATGGGTAATGGATGCTAGTCAGGTAACTAGTACATCTCCACTGAGTGCGGAATGAAGAATTCATTGCGCGGCCCAGGTGCTTTTGAGAAATTCGGCATGGGAGGGATTTATCCAGCGCGTCGTTGGGGATGCGTGTGCAGCATTTGGCGTTGACGTCGAAGAGAGTGAGCCGCGTTGTGAATTTTCTCAGATGTTGTTCTATGAAGCGGGTGCACAGTGCGTAGTACGCCAATATGATATCATGACTGAACCTGACTTTCTCCTAGCTGTTTACCTGACGAGCCGTGAGGTGTCTCGTCCATTCACCCGCTCGTCCTTTCTCATGTTGCTTCCTCTAACAGCATAGACAAATCAAACGACGTGTTCGCCATCATTCACGTTGTACTACCCTCAGAGTTCACAGGGGGCGCCTTGCAGGTCTTGCATGAATCACAGCGTACCGTGTTGAACGGATGCGCTGACAGCGCTCTCAAGACCACAGTACACTCCTGGCATGCGGATGCTATTCATGAACTGCAGCCAATAACCAGCGGCTATCGACTTGCGCTCTCCTACAACATACTGCACGCGCCGAATGCACCCAGACCCACACTATCCAATGATTCAGCTGCTATTGCAGAACTGCGGCACGTTTTGCTCTCCTGGAAGCAGAGCACCAGTGCCGATACGCCGCGGAAGATTGTCTATCTACTTGACCATCATTATCCCCAGGCTGACCTCAAGGCCAGTAGCTTGAAGGGGCCCGATGCTCACAAACTGTCCCTGTTAAGATTACTAGCCCAGCAACATGGATTTTGCCTCGGATTGGCCACCTTTGAGCGTTACCTCTACGGCCGCTTAGAAGACAATAGCTACCGTCTTATCAACGGTGTATCAGACTTTGACGATGTCTACGACGAAAGTACTTGTATTTCCGACCTTGTCAATGTGAGTCAAGGAGCAGACGACCGTCCGCAAACTACTGATGATGTTCCTAGCTGGATGGAGATCCCCTACAGTCTGAAGTAGAGTTCGTCGAAGAGTACATGATACCCGAGGACCCAGTGGCAACGGTGGAGTCTGGAGCTCATGATGAACAAACTTGCGATGAATCTGGGGGCGATGTACGCACTCTCTGTTTATTCAACCATTCTGCTTGATTATCTCAATCGACGTTTGCAGGAATTGGATTTTGTGAAGCGATGTAATCTACCATCGTTGCTACCCGAAACCTTTGCTGACAAGACTGATATACAGGGTATCGCCGCACTGCCCTCGTAATCTGGCCTCGTCAGTTCGATCTTAACAAGACATTCGAGGACGACATATCCTCAATGGCCAAAGAGCTCGCTGAGGCTGGGTCGGGTGCACTACGCAAACGGGAGCGTGAACTGGTTGAATTTCTCTTCAATCTTGCGCAAGCCCACACAGAGAAGAAAGACGAAGTTGCACGAGCTGTGTGCGCTGCCGCTTCTTTTTGTCAAGACTTCGAACTCTGGAAGCGCGCAGCTTCATTATGCGAAGCCACAGTCAAGGCCCTTGGAACGGATATTGTGCTCCGCTCAGTCGAATCGTTTGGCTTCCAGTTTCTGCTACCCATGTACGCCCTTCTCACTCTCGTATGTCGCTTGCGATCGCATGTTGCCTAATGTCCCTTTCTTACAGGTTGGAGGAAATGGTGCTGATGGAGGTAGACAACATCGCCCTCTTTCGGCTCTTCGACGCACTAGAGAACTGGGCAATGACAAACCAAGCAGTGCCGAAGCAGGACGTCCTAGACTGGGTCAGCGACCAGCGTATATTAGCGATGAACCATCTCGCGAAACCGACAACAGACGATTGCCAGGCTTTGCTATGTGCGGCTTTGAGATATGGTGGCATAACAGCACTGCAGGACACGTATGTCGTCTGGTTCAGTGCACCTTAGTATGAGGCTAACGGCGATGCGGCTTCAGGGTCGTGCCTCAGTTGAGCAGGATATCTGACCCCGACTTCCTCTTATCTTTCGCCGAGTCACTGAGACAGGAGAAGCTCAAGCCGGAGGTTTCCCTCGAAGACCAGGTCAAGATCTCAACTATGTGCGTAGACATCCTCTCTGCCGCGATTCGACGAGCGGACTTCTCCAAAGCAACCAAATCCGAGACCGTTAAATTCGGCCATGCTCCGTATACACGAGAAGAACGAGTCCCCGACCCAGCTATAGCTATGACCTACGTCGATGCTTGTCTGACGACAGACAGCGACAAGCTCGTAGGACAGCTCGTTCAGAAGCTGACAGACATGCCTCATCTACACCACATGGCAGCGCGGACGCGAATGAAACAAGTCCTGATGCCTCTGATTCCCCTGGTCAAGGAGAAGGTCAGGGCACGTCCCGCGAATGCACCTGCACTCCCTAGCATCACCGGGCTCTACGAAAAAACAGTGCAATTGTATCTCCAGACTTGGCCCCCTCAAACCGCTCCCACCAAGGACGATCTCGTATGGCTCGTTCAGACCTCCATCGTCTACTGTGGTGGCATCGATTTTCTCGAGAAACAGTGAGTGGCCGCGTAACTCGTGTCATGCTTACCATTTTCTCAACTACTTGCGTCCCTTAGAATATGGCCTGCATTGTCAAGCGTGGCATACGCCGACAATGCGATGCTAGAACTCATTGATCTTCTGCGCGTGCATGCCCACGTACTCCCTGCGTCAAGGAGGGGCTCATCTATACAGTCTCTGACCTTGAAAGCGGTACGCTGCATGATCAAGAGAGCCAACTTCGGGGCAGGCGCGAAGCCACAAGCTCGTTCTTCACGTCTATCCGCCGCGTGGAAGAGCCAGACGTCATCAAAGCTATTGAGCTTCTCTCACTATGTCACAAAACCGATTGCATGACTTCCTGCTCCCTTCTCTTCAGGCAGCTGCTTGCGCCGCCTTCTATCTCTCCGGAGTACATTGAGCACATCCTGGTCCCGTTCATACCCGCGCTCCGGCAATTTCTGCTGGAGAAAGGCCTGTCCTTGTCCGACGAGCCCTGCAACGCGGTCTTCAAGACTATCCTTATGCTTTGGGCGAAGCACGTCCTTGGACCCAAGCCCAACGACACCCCGGCGGACATGATGCTCATGTTACAGAGCCACAGATGCACGTGCACGGAGTGTACGCAGGCGTTCCAGTTCTTGACGAGCGGCGAAGACAAGGAACGCCAGATGTACAGGATAGGCGCGGCAAAGAGGAAGCACGTCGAGACGCAGCTGACCGCGTATGCACGGCGGTGCGCTACCTGGACACCGATCCGGACTTCCCCACAAGGGCTAACGGTGTGTCTTTGTATGATGACGCACTATGTATATCCATGCTGACGAAGAGCCGCGTAGATTACCAAAGGCGATGTCATCTACAGGCCTGTGAAGTGGAAGGCGAACATAGCGAAAGTCCCTCAATTGCTCGCGTCAATCAGCCTAGACGACGAGGAGTTGCGAAGGATCCTCGGGCCTGACTATCAAGTGATCATGGACATGATGGACGGGCGTATGCCAGAGACCGCCGCCAATACGACAATTCCTAGCCGCTTAGGAAACGGGCAGTACGTGCCCAATCAGTCTTCTTCGGTACAGTCAACCTCTTCTCTGCCGCAAGGTGTAGCTTCGGGGTCGGTCACCTCTACTCATCCTACCAAGTCAGCCCCGTCGATCTCTGCATCCGTTGCTCAGTCGGCTACTTCGGCCGGACGCACTCAGACTTCCATCGCTCCGCCGCCTGCTTCTACACGCCCTATCGTTCCAGTGTCAAGCGCGGGACAAGCCGCGGCGCCCCTGACTGTCATCCGGAGGACCAAACAAGCCGCGAGGAAGTCTGCCTACGGACGTCCTCCGGGCCTCGTACCACCGACCAATACGACGCCCGCACGTCCTGCTACTAGAGGCCCTGCCCAGCCAGCGTCCACGTTGCCATCTGTTCTTGTCCGCGAGCCGGATATAGTCGACTTGTCTGCCCCTCGAATGGTCGCACCCCGTAAACAATCTGCCAGGAAGTCTGCATACCTATATCCTCCACGCCTCGCAGGCTCGACCAGTGTGGCGTCCGCACAACCCGCTGCCAGTATGCAATCTTCTGCATCTGCGACCGCGTTGACGTCTCCGAATCGCAAACGCAAGCGGGCTCGGGTGTCGTACGATACCTCCGATGTAATCGACCTGACTGATGATTAGGTGACGTCCGCCGTCGTTGCGTCCTTCTGGATCTGCTGTCTTGCTTTGGTAAACCTTTTATCGTGAGATACATACTGTACAGTGTACGAGTCGTGTATAATGCGCACATCAGTCTTGCATGAAGGCTTCCCCCGGCCATGGTTACAGATATTAGCGATACCTCGCCGAGATGGTATGTCGACTGTGGGTTGACAACGTTGATGGCTCGTCCCTCTGTTCATCGTTTACGTGGTGAAGTCTCATTGGCTTAAGTCAAGGTCCAGATCCTGGAGCTTGACTTAAGTTTTACAACTGGACTTCGATGGCGTCGAATCACATCGCTGTGCGCGCGTCACGGTCGCGCCATTGAGTAGCTTCCTCCCTCGCTCCTCCCATCTGCCTCTTCTTAAGCTTCACCGGTTACACGCGCATGCGAGGGTATATGTGGATCATACAACGGTCGGGGCAATCTAGGGCAATTCTCTGTCGCGGTCAGATGTACAGGCGCGAAGAGGAGGCACGTGGATCCGTAACAAATGAACGCGTTTATATGCGCGGCGGTGCGCTAGCTGTTGGTCCTCGAACACCAATCACAACCTCCCCACAACTGTGAGTCTTCGTGAGACGAGGCAGCGTGTGTAACTGCGCTGACGAAGCGTGCGTAGATCACAAAAGACCAGCATATCATCCACTGGGCTGTGCGGTGGAAGTTGACAAGACCCGTGTCGCTCACTCAGCCTGGCACCCCAGAGAACCAGGAGCTGCGGAGGACCCTCAGCGAAGGCTATTGAGTTATTGTGCCAGTGGACACGACGAGTACGCTTATGCCAAAAGCCGTCACGGATTCGAGGACGCGTCGTTCAACGCCTTACAACTTGCGACCTCGACCGGGTCGCCCTGCACCAACACTCGCTCCTGTGTCATGGCAACCGCTGGCTTCACCGTCGACTTCTGCAGCTATGTTATACCAGCCGTTGCGTTCACGCTCATCATTCTCCTCTGATTCCACCAGTTCGGCGCCGTCGACTTCTGCAGCTATGTTATACCAGCCGTTGTATTCACGTTCATCGGTCTCCTCCGCAGCGCAACCTGCCGCCTCGGACGAACGTGTCGACTATGATGATCCCATGAGTTCCCCCGAGCCGTCTGACCTTGAGTCATTAGCCCCGGGCCGGGATGCATACGGGTTTCTTTCACCGGTTCCACAGGCAATACCAGGTATCGATCAAATCTTCATCGGCGGAACCTCAGAAGTCTATCAAATACCTGGAAGTGGGAAGGTCATGCAATTTGCCCAGAAGACAGCATATGGCCGTCCTCCGGCGGGGTGCTCGTGCGCACAGCATAATGCTGCTAGCGACCCTGTAGGGTCAGCGTATCACGGTGGTAGCTCGCAAATTGGCCAATCTGCAGACGGTCAGTCCGATTCGGAGCAGTCGTCTTCAGGCTCTTCGCAGATGGACGTCGACGACAACAACGACGAGGACGATGACGAGGACAACGAGGACAACGATAATGAGGACGACAATAACGAGGACGACGACGAGGACGACGAGGAAGAAGAAGAGGAGGAAGCCTTCATTGGCAGTCGGGCGTCGTCGTCTTCTGTCGATGAAGATGGTTCTGAAGATGAGTCTCCCGGATTCCTGCCGCCGCGTGATATGTCTTTCGGTCCTGTAGCTCCAATACCAGGCTTTGACCAAATCATGGTCGGCGGACTTGGGATGGTCATTCGAAGGCCTGGAACCGGGAAGGTGATACAGGTCGCCCAAAAGACCGCGTACAGACCCCCTCCGGCGGGCCGCAGATCGTCCACCGCGACGTCCACACAGCCATCCTCCTCTTCGTCCCCTACGCAACCCGCTACCACTTCCCGTCCACCAGGTGCACCTGCTGCTCGATACGCTGTCGCGGCGACGACGTCGCGGCCCGCTGCCAGTTCGCAGTCTGCTCAGGCTGCATCGATACCTGCACTCCGGTCGGCGCTGCGCCAACGCAAGCAGGTGCGGATATCGTCCAATCCCCCCGATGTCAAACGTTTTTGACCTTACTGAAAATCGAGTGGTGTCCTATGTCGGGGTCATGGCGGTCACTGCTCGCTGCGTCTTCGTTAAAATTGCTCTGCATGGCTGTGTTTTGAATTGCTCTCAATCTCCTGTGTTACCTGTTCCGACTTCGCTCTGTGTCGCCGCGTTCTAGATCTATTCTCAATCTGTTCTGCGTCGCTCGTTCTCAATCTGCTCACAGTCTACCTAGCATCGCAACCCCTGGTTTATGAGATACGTACCTTTTGTATATAATGCGTACATCGATCCCACTACTTACAAGAATGCTTCTTCGTCGTTATGTTTCAGTCGTCATCCTAGGGAAATACTTACATCTCAGATGTGATTGTGGCTCGTGTCGATATAATTCATTGCTCGCGTACTGAAGCCCGAACGAGGACGGTAGCTGCCAGCGAGTAGCATCACAAGGCCTCGTGGTGTGCCGTTCCTGTGTGCGGAATGTGCGCTCGAACGACCTTGGATTCACTCCAACTCAACAGTCCGCGAGAATACGTGAACGTTTGAACATTCTGGGCTATCACACACCAGTCAGGGTATACGATACATTAAACTCCAAAGGGACGTATCAAAGTACTGGTAGATCTACAACACATCATGAAGAGTCCATGAATACAAGCGTTCGTGGTCGTAACGAATCATGAGTATTCACGCGAAGCGCGTCTCTTTTCCTAGTATTTGAGGATGATATAGAGCGCATGGATGATACCGGGGCTGTGGGACATGTCTTAGTCGGGGACGATAATGAAAGGAGGGCTGATACACACATGTAACCCAAGCACGTCTACAGCACAGCAGTCAGACGAAGTGTTCAGACTTTTGTAAAAAGAGCGAACGCACCAGAACGATGTTAATCAGGAGGTCAGCACCACAGCCTCGCTCAAGGAAGACGCCAACGGGCGGAAGGATGATCGCGAAACTAGAGAACAAACGACTCGGTCAGCAGAAACTCGACGCGCGCAGGCTCGGGCATAAACTGACAGGATCTGTCAAGGGCAACGACTTCGGTCAGTCACTGCAGCTGCAAGACTTGCGAAAACTCACCTTGCAAATGTCAGAGCCGGTGAAAGGCATTGTTGGTGTCTGAGATGGGGGTGGGAAGAGAGAGACAGGAGTGCGTGAGGGGAAGGCAAGGCGACCGTGTGCGCGCCGAATTATAAGGGTGGCACCGGGCACGCATGACGTCAGACGAACTGCGAGCCCAGAGGCTTTTAGCACTCCCACGTGGTCCTAACCCGAGCTAGGCCCGGCAGCCACCACGCCGCAGTCGCCGCCGCGCCCGAAACCGCCGACATCGTCGCCGCCGTCGAGCACACCGACGACCACCCAGGGCACCGTGTATGTTGCTCGGCGCGTCGCCCTCGCTCATCTCTTTCTCAAACACGACATTGCCGAGGCAATCACGACTGTGGAACCTCGCAGCCAGCTGCGTACGCCGCGCGAGGTGTGACTTCAGTGCGTCCCGCGGTGCCGCGAAATCTGCGCCTCACACTCACCATGCCCCACGCATAATAACTTAGCATTTACGCACTGCATGTCGTCGTCACCAAAGAATGCGATGCTAGCTGAGCACCGGAACATCCCATACGTCGCCGCAGGTGTCACGAATCCGCTCCAGGAGTTTGACCTCTACGTACCAGAGAGGCGGAATACCCTGGATACACGCCCGCCTCCGCTGATATGCTTCGTTCACGGCGGTGCGTGGCGTTCGTGAGTCCCTTGAGTTGGTCCATGCCTGTCATTCAACAACTCACCAATCTTTCACAGCGAAGACAAAGCAGAACATGCTGGGCTTGCTCGAAGACTAGCTGCACATACCAACTTCCCTGTGGCCGTTTCCAATTACCGTCTTACAACCGCCTCCACACCCATTCGTCATCCAGCGCACGCCGAGGACTTGCTGGCGTTCTTGCACTTCCTCCTGACCTGGTCTGGCCCGCATACATCCACACCTACCCCGCCATATGATCCGACTCGGCTTTACCTCATCGGCCACAGCTGCTCGGCGCATATGCTCACATCTATATTCCTGCAGCCGCTCGACCCCGCGTCGGACTCGGCGTCTCGATCTCCTACCCCGTCTCGCTCGCCCTCACCCCCGCCCTCACCCGTTCCTACGCCCGACTCGCTGATACCTTCTCCGGCCTTGCTCGCCGCCACCCGCGCTGTCATCATGTCTGAAGGCATATATGACATCGACGGACTCCTGGTCACGTATCCTGCATACAAGACCTGGTTCATAGCGCCTACGTTTGGTCGCTTGCGTTCATATGCGCCTTGGAACACCGCTTCTTACCGGTCACGCCCGGGAGCAGAGCATCTGAATTGGCTTATTCTGCATTCGAAGGGGATACCTTGGTAGATCAAGGGCAAAGTGAACGGATCTGGAGACACCTGTCAGAGCTCTATTGCGAGGACGTCGAGGAAGTCAACGGGAATGGTCCGGTGCAGAGACAGTGGGAGATGCTCACAGAGGAGCATAACGAAATGCTCGTCGGTGAAGTGTACCCGCGGATTGTGGGTGATTACATTCTGGCCGATGCTCAGCGCCAAGAGTCAGCTGGCTTGCCCTAGGCCCTGTACTGCAGGGCCCGAACGCCCGTCTGTCAGGACTGCCTGCAGTCTACCTCGCACTGGTGCATCATCGCCGTGTGCAGTCTGCTAAGATGGTCATGGCTGGCCTACTGAAACGAGCGCGACATGATCCAGGTCCAACATTTCCGTCATGTGGTCGTCGGGCCCTGCGTACCACGTTGGAATTTAGGCTTAAACCAGGCCTGTCAATCAAACGCGTCGGCGTCTGGCCAAGAAACGCCTACTTGCTGTCGGTCCGCGGTGCACGATCAGCGGGAGCGTGCTCTCTGGGCCTACGTACAGCGCCGGATGTGCCTCCGCCATGGGACATGAGCTGCTCTGGGGGCCGACTCGACCTCGGACGTCAGTCTGCTGATGCCCGCCTGTACTCACAACGGCCTGCGAGCACCGTCGCAATTTACTTTCTTTCTGGAATGTACGCCGAGGCTGCTCTCGTGGTTCCGCCTCAGGACTAAGGACGTATAAAAGGCGACGAACATCGTCCTTGGTCTTCAGCATCTTGCAACTCGGCACAAGCCCAAGAAGCAACTCGCACAACTCCATTCGCAACCCGCATCCTCTCTCCACCCGCAATCGCCATGAAGTTCACCGCGCTCCTCCCCGCCCTCGCGCTCCTCGCGTCCAGTGCACTCGCCCAGACGACCGTCACGGTCTCGTACGACCAGACCTACGACGACGCGTCGCAGTCCCTGCTCACCGTAGCGTGCTCGGACGGCCCCACGGGCCTCGACCCGCCCTACTCGACGTTCGGCGACCTCCCCGACTTCCCGTACATCGGCGGCGCGGCCGCCATCAGCGGGTGGGGCTCCTCGGAGTGCGGGTCGTGCTGGCAGCTGCAGTACACGACGCCGACGGGCACGGAGTACACCGTCAACGTGCTCGCGATCGACCACACGGATGATGGGTTTAACATCGGCCTGACGGCGTTCAATGCGCTGGTTGGCGGCGATGGCACGTTCGTGGGCAGGGTGGACGCGTCTGCCACTCAGGTCGACAAGTCCGTCTGCGGCCTGTAAGCCTCACGGTGAGATCCTTATTTGTCGGGAGTCGGTGCTGGAGACTGATGCACGGTGTACCATCCCTCCTACCAATAAGACCAGCCTATACGATGATCATGTCTCGAATATTTGGACAGTGAACGGACTACTACATACGTCATGGACTGTTGTGTAATGACAATGTATCGTGTGCGCAATGGACTATGATGTACATCGATTGTGACCCTTCCTTTCGCTGTGAGGCCTTGAGGACCGCGACCGCCGAATGTGTTACAGTCATAATACTGCAGTTCCTCATTGTCATTATTCCTCGAACCATATTGAAACGTTGAAGGTCATACGTTAAACTGGTGACTGACGCGACGCCGTTCGATCGCACGAAAGTGTCGAACAACAAGCGCCGGTGCGGTGGCGTGGTCACCGCACATACTTACTCAACTCCTGGCTGCAATACTAATTGCCGACACTAATTTCTTTCGCGGCCTGCCATTCATCTGCCTATAGAGTGTACATACCAATTCTCGTCTCTTAATCTTCCAAGCTGTACTCGGAAATGTGCTTAAGCCCGGCGCTCACGGTGTTACATACCGTGACATTTGGTGACGCTGTCACTCCTGCATCACACTCGGTGACTTGCCCGACCGAAAGTCATTTATCCTCTCTGCTCACGCATTGCTGCTGCAGTGGTTTTCACAGGGTGAAATGTTATGCAATAGATGTGCCCGAAAAAACTGTCAAATGTTGAAAATATAGGCTGGTTTCGCCACGGGAACATACATATTCTCATTCCAACAGTCGTCATGTCGGCCACCTATCTCCGAGCTCAGTGCCACCTGGACTCGAATTGGCGGTGTAGCCTTGCCTAGTTCTTGGTCTTACAGGTTCGAAGTACGAGTTTTCCGCTCGTTCCCGCTTCAGCCGCAATTGAAGCTCCAGTTCGGACTGCGTCGAATGTGCCTTTGGTATAGAGTCTGGTATTCGATGGATGTCTTCAGGGCCCCGTACGCCGGGCACTCTATTCCGACGCATGTCATACTACTAACTGCACAAATATCAATGACTCGCCTGGCTGATGGGTCTAGTGGACCCATGCATTGTGGCGTAGGCTTGTCCATCGGCATGCGGACTAATGCGGTGACAGGTTGCCGTCGAACTGCCATTGAAACGCCAGCTTGAGAATGATGTTCCGGTTAACACGTCTTAAGGCTAGCTTCAACAGCGGCGAGTGACTCTCGGACCCTTGAGAGGAGCAGATACAGTCAGAGAATTTACCTTCTGACTGTCGCCTGGTGAGACTGAGATTCAGTCCAAGATTGAGATCAAGGTAACACGGTACCAGGTAATACGCCTAGGCGAAGCCTCAAGCTTGAACGTGCTTGCTGCCGACGGACTAGAGCCTTGCCATGCGCTGCCCGGCAATTCACTGCTGCTGGGTTCGTCATAGGCACGGTATGTTTACACCGAAATTATCATGTGGGCTACCAGAATCGCCGTTCAGTGGCCAGGTGCGTACTCAATGAGACCCAGGAACACCTCGACTGACCTTCGTTGACAGTGCAACGTCTGGGCGTTGTCGATGCACGACCACCGGGCCTACGGCGTACGCACGGCCAGACGTACGTCGCTGCTGGCCATGAAATGAATTATCCAGGGACACTTCAAACAGCTTGGCTAGGGCTCGACTGACGATGTTGGTCTGCTGACAATACCCGTCTCACAGCGGGACCAGCTTACCGTTGCACTCGGCCTCAACACTGTACTCTGAACGCATTTCCTAAACCCAGATCAGCCAGAATTCATAGCTGAAATGTATATAAACCTTGCACGCACCCATGGCATTTGGCATCAAGCAGAACGTCCCTGCAAAGCAGACAGCGCCTTTGTACTTGCATCTCAAAGCGTCACTGCATAACATGAAGCTCTCTGCTCTCGTTGCCTCGCTCGCCCTCCTTGCATCCTCTGTCGTCGCGCAGACGGCCGTCACGGTCTCGTACGACCAAACCTACGACAACGTCGACGGTTCAATGCTCACCGTCGCCTGCTCAGACGGACCCACGGGGCTCGACCCCCCTTATGAGACGTTTGGCTCCCTGCCCAACTTCCCCTTCATCGGAGGCGCCGCCGTCGTCACCGGGTGGGGCTCTACGGAGTGCGGTTCCTGCTGGGAGCTGTCCTACACTTCGCCCGAGGGCGTCGAGTCCACTATCAACGTGCTCGCCATCGACTACGCCGGCGCCGGATTCAATATCGCGCTCGAGGCGTTGAACGCGCTGACCGATGGCCAGGCGCAATTCCTCGGCAGGGTCAATGCGACGGCCACGTCTGTTGATGCGGCAGCTTGCGGCTTGTAATGAACTTAAGGAAGGTATGCGAATTTTCGGGTGCTAGACGGACTGCATCCGCTGACGAATCAGTAACAGGCTGGCTGAGAGGGGTTGGAACCATACCAATGGTACAGTGCCAGTGATGGAATGGACAGAAATCGGACATCGGAATTCCTTGGGCTCATGCTCGATTGTAACGTTCACTGCTGAATTGTACTATCCATACTTGCTTCGTTGATCCAGGCCTCAGTGCGCTTGCGTCTTCAAGTTGACCACAGGCGCCACGATGGCGCTCGACTCGGACGTTCCGACTTGTAACAGATGCGTCATAATGCATGCGCTTTAGGCCTGTCACCCGGGCCTATGCATTTAAGCGACGTTTTAATTCCCCGGTCCATGAATGGTCACCTGTATTTATCGGTGTGTCCTGCCCGCCCTGTGTGTGACCGTAAGTTGTGCGTCGTTCCCAGATTGGCTGTCACCACCCGCAGGGGAACCTACCTGAACACGCTATAATATGACGGCATTCAACGACTAGCATTTTCGTAACGTTTCGTTGTCGGTGGCTGTTCATTGGCATGGTGTCAATCGTCTCCGGCAGCGTCTGTAGGGGAGACACAACTGGATAAATACGTAGTCGACGTATCCCCAACAGTCAACGACCTCGCCAGACACACCTTACAACCCGTCTCCGTTACGCACCACACCATGTTCCGTGTCTTCACCGCAATGCTGTTTGCCGTCGCCGCGGTCCCTGCCTTCGCTCAAAATGAGGTAGTGGTATACCACAATCCAAGCAACTACGACTCGTCGGACGGTTCGGTCAGCACCGCCGCTTGCGCTGCTCAGCTCGATCCGCCATTCACGACGTTCGGCGAGATTCCGATATACCCCTACCTCGCTGGAGCTTCATTCGTCAACAGCTCCGAAGGCGGTACCGCCGAATGCGGAACGTGCTGGCAACTGACGTCCGCCAACGGCAGTGTCGTTGTGCTGATCGTCGATCAGGCGGACAACGGTTCAATGTAGGAGAAGAGGCGTTCAACGACTTGACAGTCCACGGAGCATTCAAGTACTACAGTGTGAATGCTACGGCGACTCAAATCGATGAGTCCGTATGCGGCCTGTCACAAACGGGTAGCACTTAATCAACAGGAGGTAAGGTCAATGCACTATTTGCTCACCTCTTCATTTTCTTACACGGCTTGTGTCAAATAGGCTCGCCGGAGACCGTCCGGAGTGTTCAACGGTGTCAGCAAGTGCGTTGTTGTTGTACTAGTAGTCAATGCGCAGACTTGCAGAGGCTAGACGCGGTGCTCTTCGCATTTCGCATATGTTCTCACCTTAGACTGTGATGGCGTATCAGTTATTGGATCCCACAAGCCAATCGCAAGTGTCAGCAAGCAAGCATCGGCATTGCCGGATGAACGCTAGTCAGTGAAAGTTCAAGGGGCCACAAAGTGGACGAGGCTTTGGTGAAGTGGCGAACGGCACCGACCGGCGGCAATGTCCGATCTGCCTGTGGATGCTTGCAGTGTGAACGTGCAAGCTGTTGTGAATGTTCTTGTACAAACAAATACGCCTTCAGTACAGCGACCGAGTCCCCAGCATGTGCATGAGTATTACCGTCAACTTTCGTTCACTGGATCACCATAATGTCTTGGAGAGGGTCGTTTCATTCCTAGGCCCGCATGGCACTGTGATGCGCTCGCCCTTTCCGAAACATCGCAATGTGGCCAAGGAACGCGCACTAGTATGTTTGTACATCAATGTGTGCTTGACACGGTGGGCGTGTTGTGCGTAGTATCATGCAACGAAAGAGTACGTAGGCGGGACGTCAGTTCTACGACTTGGATTCATTGTCCGGGAATGTTATAGGTACAGGTGGATAGACGAAAGCAATGATTAGTATACAGTGTCATACTGATGCCTGCAAATCCTGTTCTATCTACTCACTTTCTTCCTCGCTGCTGTCCTCTTCGCCGGCGCCATGGTCTGCACTATCTTCTCCACTACCCTCGCTGCCCGACTCTTCACTACCGCTACTGCTAGCTTCCTCACCACTCTCTTCTTCACTCTCTTCGCTCCCTTCGCTTTCGTCCTCGTCGGTGGCGGTCTTCCTGCCGCCCTGTATGGCACCCGGTGCAACATTGACCGTAGCGTGCACGGGTGATGCTGAAGTCGATGGACCTGATGGTACCGTATTTGCAGTCTCATCCGCCGATGACACGACGACGGTTCGTTTTGACTCCTCGATAACCGCTGCTGCCTGCTTGCTTGCTGGACCTGCCGGCTCGACTTGCTTGACAGTGGCAGGAGTCGCTGCATCGACCGATACGGATGACTCTGCCGAAGCTGCAGCAGTTTGAGTTGTTGAGACCGTCGCCGGAGATGTCACGACTGGCTCGGTGGTGCTAGTAGACGTCGACGCCAGGATCGTAGTCTGAGTCTCCGTCTGTTGAACATTCGCGGCGGAGACATCACCGGACGCGAGTGTCTTCTCGGAGACAGCGGTCTTCGCGACATGCACCTCCTCTTCGCTCTCATCGCTGCCCTCTTCACACTCCCCTTCGTTCCCCTCCTCACTGCCTTCTTCACTCTCCTCCTCGCTCTCCTCTTCCGCACCCTCCTCTTCGCTCTCCTCTTCGCTACTTTCCGCCTTAGCATGGGCTTGCCTACTGTCCGCTTTGACCTCCTCCTCTTCCTCCTCGTCCTCTCCACTCTCGTCGTCGCTCTCTTGCTCGTCGAACTGTTCGATCATCATCTTGCCAATGTTCCAGCACTTCTCGAGCCCCTCTCTATGTGAGTCGGGTTTGTAGCCCTCTCCCTTTGACGAAGGGCGTACATGCCAGGCTCGGATGTCGTCTTCGTCGACGATGTCAGCCTGGTAGAGAGCCGCGAGTATTTGACCGAAGAGTGGCAGACGCGTCGACTGTGCACAATGGTTCTAGGAACCGAGACATACATTAGACGCTGTGCGCGAAACACCAGGAAAACAGTACATACCGCGAGCACTTCGACAGTCTCGACAGGATCAATACCGCCAATCCGGTCGATCAGCGGCCCCCATCTCGCGACCATCTTCGCGATCTCCGTTCGTTGCTTGCCAGGATCACCTTCGACGATGGGGATGCGCTCGACGATAGCCTCGACCACAGACTCGCGTACCCTCCTCAGAGGGACGTTGCTGGCCATGCGGAGCGTCTTGAGTTCGACAGAGGCGTTGTCGACGCTGTGTTCTTCTGCGAAGGCACGATCGAGCGACTGCTTAACTTCTGAGCGGAACTCCGATTCTGCTGCAGAGGCTTGGAGGTTGTGGATGGTAGAAACGGATGGGTCGGGGAGGGAAACGGAAGTCATGGAGGATGTGCGCGAGAGGCCATTCATGATCGAGGAAGCGTCGTCTTCATCCTCGGAGTCTGATTCGTCCTCCGTGACTGAACCTGCGTCGGAGAGATCAAGGTCTGACGCGGTGTCTCCTGCAACGACGTTCAGTGTTGTTGGCGCGATGAATGTCAATGAACACAAACCCATGCGCATGAGACGCTGGTTGTTATATGACTCAACCTCGTCGATCTCTTCATCCTCTTCTTCCGAATGAGATTGTGGCCAGACAACTGCATTCGAGCCCGAGCCCAAACAGATGTTACTGAGTCTTGGTCTAGGAAACGACTGTCAGTAAGACGGTGCACATACGCGAGGCAGACGTACGGGCTTCGACCATTTCCCACTCTTCCTCGTCCTCTTCGCCATCCGTCGACTCGCCGTCTACGAGATCTCGTCTGCGTGAGATCCTGTCGAAGCGAGCCAATCGCGCATTCTTCCCCAGAACCACGCCGTCCGCAATGAGACAGCCTGTTCGCACAGTGCTGCCTTCGCCAATCCGCACGCCCGAGCCAACGATGCTGTTCTCCACCAGTGTGTCGGCGCCGATCTCTGTGTCGTCGAAGATGTATGCGCCCTTCAGCACAGCGCCAGGACCGATCTTGCACCGCTGCCCGATCACGCTTCCAGATATGGATGCGCCGTCAGCTATTGTTGTGTGTGCGCCAATGAGCGTATTTGACCCGACCCTCGCAGTTCTGTGAAGAGGGTGAAGAGGATAGTCAGCATGTGGATATTGCTGTGAGACTGAGGCGTTTGCGCATACCTTGACATGACGACAGTGTTGTCTTTGGCAATGTACTTGTTACCACGTAGATGCTCGTATGCATGACCGCCTGGGTGGTTGTTGTCTGGCACTAAGGGGAACGTCCAACGCGACAATATGTCCTTGCTGACAATGGATACATCAGTACGTCGCGAATAGTCCCATGGGTTTTCAAGTACCTGATGGCACCGTAGCTACGCGTATCCGCAACACGTGCCGCATAGCCCTCCTTCGCAATATAGCAGTGAATGTTCTTCATGAGAAGATCGGATGTCAGGACACCGTAGACGAAGTCTCTCCGGATGTCCGCGTAGTCAAAATTGTCCTGGAATAAGGACGGAACCTAAGCCGTGATCGTCAGTATACGCCCCATGTCCTATCGGAAACGAGGATGCGCACCTCTGCAGAACAGACATCTATGCAGCAGTCAATGAGGTCATTCCGGATGTCAAGTTCAGGGTGTTCGGCCAGGATCTCGCGCGGTATCCGTGCGTGAGTCTTCGGGGGATACCCGATGACAGGCTCGTAGTGCAGACATTCAGAAGTATCCGGGTCGAGTACGAAGACCCCAGATTCGCCTCTTGGCCTGTCCCGCTCCCATCAGTCTCGTACGAGTCTCCTTGAAGCGGCCAAGAACTCACTTTGTCCTGTGCTGAAGCCCGCTCTCCTTCACCACCATAGTCATGATCGCATCCTTATTCGTCCGGCGGCGCTCCTTGTGCGCGCGAACGACCTCGTCGATGCGGATATTGCTCACGAGGTCACCCATAACGAGCACGAAGTCGGAGGTGATGATCCCATGCGTATAGATGTCGCGCATGGCATCTCCTGGGGAGAAGGTCTCCTTTGCCGTGATGATGGGTACGATCTTCAGGCCGGAGCTCGGTCTCGACCATTTCGACTCTCTACAAAACCGGCGCACGCAGAAAGAAGGGCACATGCATACGAAAGGTGAGCAAATGGACTGCGGCGTAGAACCCGCTGTATGCGCACCGAATAGCCTTCTTCACGAGGTCAGCATACGACCTGCATATCACAAAGATCTCCTGCACGCCCGCCAGTGCCAGACTCTCGAACGTCCAATCGAGCAGCGTCGCATTGCATATGGGCAGCAAGCACTATTCCAAGAGCAGACATCAGCATTTATTCGACAAACATCCATCCAAGAGACGTACCCTGGGCTTGCCCACCGTGAGCGGTCTAAAGCGCTTATTGAAGCTGTCCGCGAGGATTACTGCTTGTAGGACCTCCTCATCATTCGCGAGGTCCTTCTCCTTGCCAGCTGATGATTTTGGCGGCATGTCGTAGGGTGGATGGGGTGTTGGTGCAGTCAAACGGGTTCTCTGTTTGAGCCTGTAGAAATACACATACTCGCATTGGGCGCGTCGCGTTCTAAATGACTCGACAGTCACATGCATGCGTAGAGTTGGCTCGTAGCTTCCCCAGAGCCTCCTTCGAACGTACCCCTTGCGGCTGGTTCTTGCAATTGGAATGGTTATGGCACAAGATCATCTGAGACCAATCCACCCAGAGTTGGCGATGGCGAGAGCGAATGGACCTGAGCCACGCTTCGACACTGCACGCTCCTTCGCACTCGGCAACCGCACGCATACTGACAGCCATCTCGCAAGAAATCTACATGGCAAAATGCGGACTATATATTCCTATGACTACCCCGTGCAAAGAACGACAGAGACCAGCCACAGGAGCACGCCACCGAGAGAAAGAAAGTGGGTATGAGGATAACACGCTATCCGGGATCGTGATTAGTGAAGTGACAGCGGCCTAGCTGCACAGGTATGAACGAACAGATGGTCGTGAACAGGTAAGCAAACGATGACTAGATCCGCGTCGTACAATAAAACCGACAGAAGAAAGCCAATCCAGGATGAGCGGTGGTGCCAGGGTGCAGATGGGACGTAAATGCAGGAGACATTAAGGACGGAGGGCATCGTGACTGGTCATAACGTTAAGCACGACGTGAAACGATCCGACCCTATGCGGCAGCAGCGACAACGGGAGCGCAGGAGGTGCCTCCGACTTGGGTTCTTCTGTCGCGGCCGGTGCAGGCGCCGCCTCAGCGTCAGCAGGGTTCTCGAGGGGCGCAATGGGCTCTGACTCGGCGAGCACCGGGGGGTTCTCCTCGACCTTGGGAGTAGTGGGCTCCGCCTTGGCCTTCGGCTTGAAGAAGTCACCAACACGAGCTGACAACCGACGAGCAACCTTCGGCGACTTCTTCTCCTCCTTCTGCAACGAGGGCTTGTTGAGAACAGCCACCTCACCGCGAAAGGTGAACGAACCTTTTCCTCCTTGGGGGTCTCGGCGGAAGCCTCGGCAGCAGGCTCCGCAGGAGCAGCCTCTTCGGCGGGAGCCTCAGCAGCAGGAGCAGTCTCGCTGGATATCGGGTCAGAGAGATCGTCAACGGATAAGTGCTCGTAACTTACGTCTCCTTCACGGGCTCAGCAGCGGGCTCAGCGGGTGTCTCCTCAGCCGCGGGGGCCTCGGCAGCGGCCTCAGCGGGCGTGTCCTCCTTCGGCGCCTCCGCAGTGGCAGCAGCGCCTGCACACACGACGATAAGACCGATGCAATGAATACGTGGTACGGTGATTTCACATACCTCCTCTTTCTTCTCAGCTTTCTTAGCCTTCTCCTTAGGCTTCTTCTCAGTCTTCTCTTTCTTCTCGTGACCCTTAAAGGAGCGAGGAGCTTGGCGAGCAAGCCTGGGCTCTTGGGCCGGTCCTCCTTCTTCTCCTCCTTCGCAGCCTCAGCCTACAGAGTCGTGTCAAAACAGATACCGTGACGATGCGACGAATGCACATACGGGCTTGGCCTCCTCAGTGGCAGGAGCGTCTGCAGCCGGCTCAGCAGCGGCGCTCGGCGGCGGGGGCCTCAGCGGGCGCAGCCTCCTCGGCCTTGGGCTCCTCCGTAGCGGCCTCCTAGATCACACGACAATCAGCCAGGATACGTCATCACAGCACATGACACTCACGGTGCGGGGACGACCTCGGGAGCAGCCTCCACAGCGGGAGCAGCCTCAGCGGCGGACCTCAGCGGGCTTCACCTCCTCGACGGGGGCGGGGGCGGGGGCAGCGGCGTCAGACATTACGAAGGGTGGTGTGGACGAGCTGAAGAAACGAGTCAGACGCGTCGTTTTGGGCGGAAACAATTAAAAAACGCGAAAAAATGGGCGAACGCGTCGCGAAGTGCAAGGGAATGTACGAGAAGGTGAAACAGGCGACTTACATTAGTGGTATAGAGAAGAGAGGGGCTGGTATGGCCTGACGAACGCAGGAAGAACAGAGAGCGAGAGAGAAAGAGATAGGGAGGCGAGCAAACAGAGCGCCTTCTTATCCCTTATGCAACCTGTACAAACAAAGCTAAACTTCTTTTGGACATTTCGCGGTAAGCAACCCTAATCAGGCGACGCGCCCGCTTCTGCTGAAACACCGCCTGACTCACATCCCTCCCGCGTGCTGCTCTCTTCCTCCTGCCGCGGCCATAAATACGACGCTCATAGCTGCTCGACATGGGCCTCTGCGTGGTGCCCAGAGGGCTGCTCATCCGGGTGGTTCAGACTTTGCGATTCGATTACAGTTGGACCGTGGGAAATCGGGACGGTTCACAAGGAGACAGCGACAAATAGATCGAAGGCGCACCGAAAGAACTGCCTGCAATTAGCCGTCTGATCGCCTGTCGCAAATCCACGCCGCGCTGTCCCCGCCACAGCGCTTTCCACTGCTGCTCAAGACAAAGGGTGCGCCCGCCCATCCATTCGCGCCGCTGCTGAGGGCGACGGTGCGGAGCGGGCGACGGTGGCTCGCGCGAGCACTGGTCTCGCGAGCAGGCGACGCGACTGGGCCTTGGCATCCAGGCGTGATCCATTCTCGCTTGTATGACGCTTCTTTTCTGTTCCGGGCAACCGCCCTTCCAGACCGTTTCACTTTCCAGCTCCGCCCCGCCTTTCCCACGCATGCTATAAGCGTCTTGTCTCGAAAACATAAGTCGCGTACATATGCCGCCAGCCACAGTGCCGCTCCCACCATCGGTACCTCCGCTCTGCCCCGCCTTGTCTTCGCCGTCTGCGACGCTACAGAATGCCCAGTGCTGCTGGAAGCGTGTTGTGGCTACGCAGTGCCCCTGGAACGCTGTCATGGCGCGTTCGCTGCTCCACGCCCTGGCCGCCGACTGTCTTGTATAAGAGAGGGCCCTTGTTCGGCTGCCCCACGATCCCTACGTCTCTTGCTGTCGACCGCCGTTTGCCCTGGCGACGCTTCCTGTCCTGACTGAACCATCATGCTCGCGGTCATTGCCCGTTCTTCTTTCTTGCGGCGTTCGTGCTCTTGCTCCTGGTCTCCCTCTCCGTCCGATAATCAAGGCTATATTCCTCTTCCATCTTGTCGGACAAGAGACGTCCTCGTCATATACGGCAGCGGGAAGTGCGTGGTTCGGCGTATGGGGCTATTGCATCTCGCCAGTCGATGTCTCGTGAGCGGACGAGTGCTTGCGCTATGCTATATCTATCGCTGACGAGCTCCTCCCGCGGCCCCTATGACCCAGGGTTCTGGGCACCAACGTTGACACCGCGGCGTCGTGTTCCAAGGCCCAGCTTGGGTATGACCTCAACCAGAACATTCTGACGGAGATCGGTGCGAGTGCTCTACATCTGAACACCAACACAATCAACAAAGCTACCAGCGCCGTGCTCGTTCTGCACCCTATTGGTATGTGTTCTGCACGGACCCTTGTGGACTGAACAGCGCAGTATCTTATCGGCTCGGACCATCACAGCTACGGGCTTCGCGTTCCTTGCCCTGGTCTCGTCGCTCTTCATGGTCCATCGGCGGCCCGGCAGCGGCCTCTCCCGCGGCGCATCAGTCCTTGCACTCATCTCGGGCATTCTAGCCGCGCTGCTCGCAACTGTGGTCTTCCTCATCGATGTCATCTTCGTCGCGGTAGTCCGCCACCGCGTGCGCAGCGAGTCTGGCGGGGCGTTTAGCCTGACCTGGGGAAATGCCGTGAGTCTTGTGTGCCATGACGCATTGCATTTCAATTATCGTCGATGATCCCCTACTGACTGGTCTTATCCATTGCTGTTGATGCCATGTCTCCGTCTATAATGCGCGATGTATCAAACCTATGATGACTGCGCCATCGCGTTGTGTAAACCGTTCTTTGCGCTCCTCCTGCTCGGTGGCGTGCTCCAGGTGTGGATGGCGCTCGGCGCGACAATTGCTCTCTGGATAGCTCTCGTCGGTGTCTCTGCAGACGTCTGTTGTGGGCGGAGATATAGGTACGGCAATTCCCTGGCAGGTTCTCCAGCGCTCCTCTCCGCTGACACTTGTTCTGTTCTAGGACGAAAACTGCCGCGTACTAAGTGTGACGCTCCATACATGAGCCGCCGGTAGCGTCTGTGAGACAATGTTCTATCCTCTGCCATATGACCTACCTCCACATGGAACTTGTATTAGACAGGACGGCTCCGACTGACTGCCCTTTACGCCATCGCTTATCTGCGGACACTTTCTTGATGTTCTTACTACACTCCCACCATGTATTTGTATCACATACCGATTAGCGTACTCCCCGGACGTATACGAAACGGCTTCAACACTTCAAGTGCAATGCATTCGCCGAAAAGTGACAATTCTTGCGTGCGATCAGCACGAGTGAGCGTATCATACTCGGCGCGCGATTGCCATACGGGCCTCGTATGAGCTATGTACGAGACAACGGAGTGTTTCATCATCGCTTCGGCCTGTGGCGAGCTCAGTCCGATGACGGCCACATGTGGCCTCATCGGGGCCGGTGAACGTCGGCGGAGCGGATGCCCGCGTGCGGTGGGACTCAGATTCAGACTGGTCTCGGCGACATTGACAGCGCCGGATGCGTTCACACCGTATCATGGTGAACGCCATCATGGCTACACCGCGCACCCTCTGCAATGTATAGAGATCACCAACAGATCATTTACCAAATACTACTGTGAAAGGAAGTACCGAAAGCAGGAAAATAGTACAGGTAGACTATGCGGCAGCTGGCACGGCAATAGGTCTCGGTTCCGCCGGCTTGCTTCTCGGGGGCGGGCGCAGGCCCTTCGCCTTTATCCGCTTCCGTTTGGCCTCTGTAAGATGGTGGGAAGATGCAACCACACGTCAAGACAGGAAGCACGTCTATAAATGAAGAGAGGCTGACCTTCGAGGTACGGCTTGTCCTCATCGCTATCGAACTTCGTCTCCTCCGCATCCACATCCATGGCGGCTTCTCCCTTAGCCACGGGCCTATCCTCGTCCGCGCGTGTCTTCACCTTCAAGCGCCTCTCGACCTTGAACTTCGCCACGAAGAACCCATCCATGTTGTGCACGTGCGGGTAGAACCGCCGCGTCAGGCTGATCTTCTCGTTGAAGTTCTTCCCGCGGAAGCTCGTGAATCCTGGCCGGCCGAACTCAAGCCCGGTGTCGACGAGCTTGACGTTCGGCCGTTTGCGCAGCGCGTAATCCACGACGGCCTCGTTCTCGTCCACAGTCACGGAGCACGTCGAGTAGACGAGATAACCGCCGGTCTTCGAGTCGGGCGTTACGCTGTCGATGGCGCAGAGGATGAGCTGCTTCTGCAAGTGGGAAAGCAGTGCGAAGTCCGCTCGGACTGTGGAACAGCTCGTCAGACACCGCAGTACGGCCAGGGAAAGTGGATCAGCGTACCTTGTTCGTCTTGACGCTGGCGTCCTTGCTTATAACACCGGTACCGCTGCACGGCGCGTCCAAAAGCACCCGATCAAAGCCGCCCATGACCTTCGGGAACTCCTGCCGTCATACGAACACACGACGACGTTCTTGCATCCCAAGCGGTGAATGTTGGCCGTGAGACTCTTCGTACGAGCTTTGTTGGCATCGTTCGCGAAGACCACGCCCGTGTTCGCCATTAACGCTGCCATGTGCGTCGTCTTACCGCCGGGCGCAGATGCCATATCCAGCACCCGCTCATCGGGCTGCGGCGATAGGGCGATGACGGGAAGGAATGACGACGCCGCTTGCAGCATGTAGTGGCCCGCAAGGTACTCCGGCGTCGCACCGATAGGGACGCTACTCTCGAAGACTTGCAAGCCGACGTTCGTCCACTTGCCGATAGGCTCAAGATTCACTCCTCGGTTGACGAGCGCTTGTGCGAGATCTCGCCGCCGAGTGCGCAAGGTGTTGGTCCGTATGGTGACTGGTCGGGGAACTTCGTTGGCTTCGAAGAATTCGATGGCCTAGAGAGACTAGTCAATATTCCGTGCCAGATCCCCGATACGAACCGAAAAACATGCCTCCGCCACGGGGAATAGCTGGAAGAGTTTCTCCGCAAGAAAGTCGTTGTAGCCGTAGTAGCTTGCGATGTCGGAGATTAGTTGTTGGACGTATTCAGAGCGAGACCTACATGATCACGAAAGTTGGCTTCGAGGGTTGACCATGAGCGCATACGACTCACCGTTCTGAGCGGTGCGCTTCTTGAAATTGCCCAGTACACGCACGCATTCACGCATACGCCTCTGAACGGTATGCACGTCAGGACCTCCACTCTTCTTCTCTTCTTCTCTTTCCTCCGCTGTTGGCAAGTGGAACGCCTCAGCTTCCCCGCCCTCGCCATCCATCTCTTCATCCTCTTCCTCCTCCGCATCCGCGAAGTCATCATCATCCTCACCAGCCTGTACTGCGTTTTGCATTTCTTCGAGATCGAGCTGAGCTTCGCGTGCTGCCCGCACATCCAAAGCTTTTGAACGAGCCTCCATGTTAGCCATGGTGATTGGCTCGTCGTCGTCGCCATCTTCGTCGTCTTCGTCAGAGGATTCGTCTGAGGCAGTGGGGATGATTTTGGTGGGCCGTTCGTGCTGTTTAGACTTCTTGCCCTTTATTTTTGGCGGTGCAAGGTCTAGTTCCTCGTCGTCCGAGCCTAGGTCAAGTTCTTGTGCTGGGCCTTGCAGCAGGTCGTCACTTGATTGATAAATATGAGTATAACCCTGGGGACTGGACCTGCCACATAGTATTGACACTCACTCGTCACCATCCTCGCCTATATCCAAGTCGTCTAGATCACCGACGAAGGCTCCTTCATCATCGCTCTCATGGAAGAGCGACCTTACAGACACACAATGTAAGCCTTCGAAAGCGATTCACTTGCACCACATGAACATACTTTGTCTGAACCTTGACATTATCATCGCCTGGTATCCCCTCCCATCCCTCGCTGCTCCCTGCCTCGTCCTCATCCTCCTCTTTCCGTCTCTTTGGCTTCGGCTTATTCGTGGGCTTCTTCGCTTTGACTGCGAGCCCATCTTTTGCTCTTGCCTTTCCACTCGGGGCCCCCTTATGGCTTTCGTCATTTTCGCGAGCCTTTTTCGCCGGACGTTTGCTGAGGCTTTCCTTCGCATCGTGTTCTGCATCGGCTTTGCGTTTGCCTAGCTTCTTCGCCGACGGGCGGGGAGCACCGTCTTGTGTTGGCGCCATAGGCTCTGGCGCACCCTGCTTGTTCTTTGCGCGACGACCCATGCCTGTGTGTAACGAGGAAGAGAGGATTTCAGCGGTAGCTTGAGGTCTGCTCGCAGTGGTGATCGAGGTTTTCCCAGAAAGGCAGTCGAAAATTGGGACCGCGTGACAATGTTCGCGTGACTGGGAGTGACAAGCACGATCAGCTGACGTGATGTCATGCATGAACGTGAACGTCGATCGCGCGCTGCATTTGGCTCAGGGCCCGCCAGCGGTTACTCGAAGAACGTGCAACGCGGCCGAGCAGCGAACAACCTGTGCTCGTACCACCATCTCCTGCAGCCCGTCGCCATGCAGTCTTCTTGCCTCGTCGGACTCTCTCGAAACATCGCCCAACTAGGCCTCGGCGGCTTCAGACATACTCTTGCTCGCGATGTCAGCAAATTGAGTGGACCTAGGTCTGCGTTCTCCCACTCCGCGTGGCGAAGCAATGCATTTCCTGGGAGCCGGGGTCCTTTCGTAGCGACAAAATCATCAGTCGCCCCGGCTAGAGGCACCCTGCCATTCTGGCTCAAGGCGGGGGTGTTACTGGTGTGGGCTTGGGTCTCTCGATCTTTACGGCGCCAACAGTTTTCTGCGAACGTAGGTACTTCAGACCAATTGGTGTGGTTATAAGGCTAATGATTGAACATCTGTCAGCCATCCCAGGGTCTCTCCAAACCCGCTGTCCAAGCCGAGTCAAGCATCGCCAGGCTTCCAGTCTCCGGATGCGCCTCCGCCGCCACAGTCCAGCGTCAGCTACTACGAGCTCACGTTCGGGACGGTCGCAGGTATATGCACGGGAGTCTTCGTCAAGAAAGGTGCCAAGGCTGTAGCATTCATGCTGGGCGGCGTCTTCGTCTTGCTCCAGGCAAGTTACCTACTCGGACACGAAATGAGATCCTAACTCCACCCTGCACTGACAGTACCTGGGATCTCTCAGCCTGTTGCGCGTCGACTGGCCGCACATGGCATCTCGCTTCGAGAACCTGTTCTATACGACGGATGCAGCCGGGCGGAAGAGAGCACCTAACGCCGGCTCGCTCTTCAGGTGGATCACGGACTTCCTGACCGCCGACTTCCAACAGAGGGCGTCTTTCGTTGCGGGCTTCGTGCTGGGCATCAGGATTGGTTAAACAATGACATCAAGGAACGGGGATTGTACATTCGAGTTACAATAGACAACTCTGCAACAGCTCCTGGTCGAATACGAGCATGGACGGGTACGGGATCAATAGACCTGTCCGAAGAATGAATCAGAGACTGCGCTCTGTATTCCAAGGATCGGATTAGCATCTGCCAACTACAGTAAAACAAGGCAAGAAGATCAGCCAATGTCCCTGCAAGTGGATCGACTACTTGACTGACGTGGGACAGAGCCTGCCGTATGTCAAACAAGAAATTCCGTGACCCTTGATGAAGATGAGAAATGACCATTCGGGATAACTGATACGTCTCCTGGACCTGGGCACATCTGACATCTCGACGTGCGAGTGGTTGCCAGAGGACTGCCTCTGCGAGACAAGCAAACCCAGAGGATGGCGAAGAGAACCTGCAGGCTTATACCGTGGGACTACGAGCGACCTTGACTTCTGGACTGAAAGGGTTGGGAAGCTGGAGTTTCTGCGTCGGTTGACGACTCAGGCCCATTGACCGACGGGCCAGTAACTTGTCTTTCTCGTCCTGTTCACCAGCTGCAGCGCCGTCCACCTCCTTGGGATCCATGAAGCACAAGCTCGGCTCCACGGGATGGAACGAGTCCGGCGTTGCCGTGTCTACGCGCGAAGGGCCGTTTGTCGACGGGGAGTAGACCGTGGGCACCCTTGGGAAGTTGAACACACGAGCGCTGGAAGGCGTGCCCGGACGCAGCTGGGGTGGGAGGTCAACCGGCACTGCGCTCCTCGATCCTTGAGACAGGGTGGACGCGTCTGAAGATGATCGCTTCAGGACCACCGCCTGGGGAGGGCGCGGGAAGCCACCAATGGTCGCGCTCGAAATCTGGCTGTACGCGCTGGCTGAAGAGTCGGTGGTGCCGACCGAGTTGACTGAGCCGTTGCGGGCGAGGGGGTCGACCGCGTAGCGGTTCAACCGCAGTGAGCGCATGCGGCGTGTCGGGGTCCAGGCTCCATGAAATGTCACCGGGTCTGCGGAGCTGTAGGATGGTGCTGGACTCGCGCGGCCCGAATCCTCGCCGACGAATCTAGCAACGGAAGATGCGCCGTACGGCAAAGTCGGGAGGTTATCCACCGTACCGGTCCGCGAGAGCGTGACTGGTGTCGCCGTGCGGGCGTACTGTGATGGGCCACGTACAGGTGTCGAACCAAGGGTCATGAGCATGGCTGGTGCGACCGACACACGCTCCACTTTGTGCACCTCGAGATCGGGACTGAGCACGGACACAGCGCTCTTCAAATCGATCTCGTGGAACTGCCCCTCTATGTCGTTCATGAGCCTCTCCTTGGGTATCATAGGTTCCTCTGGTTGTGGCTGCGGGATACGCGACATCACGCAGAGAGTGATCGCGTGCAGGAGGACTGTGTACAGTCAACGGACGCGCCAATGCGCAATGCTTGCCCACTCACAAACTACGGCCATCATCCACTCCACGAATAACGAGAGGCGATACGTGCCCGTGCATGTCTGTTGAGACTCTGACAAAGGTATGTTCAGCGACCTGTCATCTATCCGATGATAGCGTGGCACTGTACGCACTGAAGAGAGAACAATCGAACGTATGCCCCAAAGTTGTCAAGGACACAGCAATCCCTGACACCACATCAGCTATGTCGTACATGTATGACAAGATCTGGAAAGCTCACCGCAATGGACAGCAAATAAGAAAACTGTTCGCGCAAAATCGAGCCAAATTTGGAACACTACTACGATCCTGTGCTACCTTCAGGGACATCCGGAGCGTTTGATTGGTATACGAACTCACATAAGATATAGTAGTACGGAGAACACGGTGTTCATGCATATCATCAGCAGAACGATCACGCCTACGCCATCTATGATTAGCAAGACCATCAGCATAGCCAGCAGGGTCACTCACGTTGCGCCTCAACCGCATGCTTCCACTCCCGAGCAAGATAGACTGAGAGAAGAATCGCCCAAAGCAAACTGATGATAGAGATTACACCTGGACAAGATTGTCAGCATCAAAATCATACTTGGCAGCGGAAGGCAAGGACTGACCGAAAACAGCTCTCCGGGCTGTGCGGAAGACAGACCACCAAGACATAGCGGCAAAAAGCTTCAAGCTAATTATACACCGGATAGAAGTAAAGAACGAAAGGCCACCAGGGAGAAAGCAAAGAAAGAAAACCAGGGGCCGACTCAGTCTGAGCCCAGAAAATGAAGGTCCAGGAGGAAAGGCCTGGGGGGACGGCTGAGGAGGCACAGTATTTCAGGACAATTTAAGCGGATCAAATGGCATCACGGCGTCTGCGAACTGTCAGAACCATCTCATCAGTGGATGGGCCACTGCGCACTGCCTCGGTGAGACGTCGACACAAGTCTCCCTGATCGCTGTGGGGCCGCTTCAGAGGACGGAGCGTCTGCGCGCAGAAGCGACATAGCAATGGCATTCCAATGGCACTGTGTTTCCTGAGACCGTTGGAGACAGGGTGTCGGCCGGCGAGTCGAGTGCCCCAGTGTTGTAGACGAAACAGACAACGTGTGAGACGCGACGCGACGCGCCACGGTCAGTCACAGAGTCGCGTGCAGTCACAGCTGTCACTCCGGAGCCTGCGCGCCTGTGGCAACGACTGACGTCGACGACAAGTCGAGGACAGCCAGACGCACCTCGGAGTTGGCCCTGTCCTATCTATCTATCTCCTCGGCCACCGCCCGCTGTATATCCTGTCTGTGCGTGTTCGAAACCACGACAATATGTCCGAACAAGAGCCACTCCTGCCGACCAGCAGCTCTGACACCCCGACGTCGACCAAGGCAGTACCGGGAAGGCTGTCAAAGAGACTTCCTGGAGAGAGTGGACGGCGGAGCTACTGGAGTCGCCCAGACTACACAAACAGTCATCACACTGGCTCGTACCCCATTTATTGCCCTCGTCGTTCTCCGTCCAACTTCCGCACGCTCTGGTCAAACAGGTCTTGATTGACTCTGCCTGCGTCTTGGCCGACCTTGGCTACACCTTCTTGAAGGAGAGCTGTGTCCCCGAAGAGACCAGCCAGTATGGCTCGCCGTGCTCTCCCACATCTCGCTCGCCATCACCACGTTCTTCCTCGTCGAAATCCCTCTCACGATATGGGCGCAAGGCTGGACGTTCTACAAGCCCGGCGGACAGGCACCGCATTCGTCGTTACACTTCTTTGATGCTGTCGTATGTCACGACGTTGTCCTCGAGGTCGTTCTCCGAGGACGCGAGAGGGAGCTCGCCGGCCTGCTCATCATCTCCGACTGTGGCGTTTGGTGAAGCTAGTCCAAGGTGTGCACTTTCAATTGTGGCGTCGGTTCTTTGGGCCTGACTCTCCCCAGGTATCGCCGTCAGTGCAGGCGAGCTCGAGGAGGATAATATGCGCCAACTGGAGGAGACCAGAAGAGAGCTGGAAGGATGATTGTCGCATTAGCTGATACCCGAGAGGAGAACCACAAGTTACGATTACACATTGAAGAGTGGAGACCAAGGCCACTAGCAATGTCGCAGGACGAGGCCTCAGATCGATTTACACAATATTAAAAAGGCGTCGTTTGAATATACAGATATCTAGGATGTACAGAGTACTAGCTGGTGGCTACAAAGGATGGGATCTATGATACATGCTCGTCAATGACGCCAAATAAGCAAGGTCCCAAGTGATGTCCAGTCGTGGTATGGGTATGTTCGTGTTCATGCACAGCATTGACGTTGGTGGACATGTTCAGTCGCGTCTAGCGCGATTCACTATCCGCCCTGACCCACTCGGAACGGTGGCAAGGTTTGATGGGCATGTCCGGGTCCTGCACGTCCTCCGGGAAGATCCCATATGACATGGGGCGACTGGGCGACGGCGTGATGACAGGCAAGCTCATCTGGCTCGGGATTGCAGCTCGACCTCGCCGGACCGCAGCCTTCCCAGAGGCGACGGTCTTTGGCGGGAGCACGGGTGGCGCGTAGGTCGAAACCGTGGTGCAGCTCCAGTGTGAAAGCAGACGTGGGGTGCTCTTCTGGGACTTCTTCGGTGAGAGGAAGGGAGGGTCCACGCCGCGTCGGGGTTTCACGTCCTTCGCCCACGTTGGTCGGAAGCTCTCCACGCTCTTGCTGAACGGCGCAGAGATGGAGATGGCTTTGGAGAGGGCCGGATGATGCCCGTCGGCTTCCAGATCGATTGCGCTTTGGAGGATGCCGTGGAAAGTGACTCGTTGTCCTTGAACGCAGGGCTTTCAAAGTCCTGGCGTTCAGGGTCCTTCGGATAGAACCATTGCTTGCCAGAGCTAGGAGGCGGCGATTGGGAAGCGGCGAACCACGGGACGGAAGTGATCGCAGCACCCCATACGTCCGGGTGAGTGTTGGAGTGCATTGTCGTAATCCGATCAGGCCAAACAGGTACAGCAGAACTACGGCGAATATGAACATATGATGAGGTTGGTACCAGGGTGAGGGACGTACGAAGGAAGCTGGTCACCCAAGTGACGACAACCAGCAGAGTCGACGAAGCGCACGCGCTCATAGCATCTATTCAGACAATCAGCTTTGAAGGTTGAGAAGACAGAAGCAGGTACCCACCCTCGGCTCGGCAAGCGAGAATAGGCCCATTGACGGTGATGACAATGGCGGCAGCTGCGTATACTGTATTGATAAGTGGGCTTCTTTGTGGGGTGAATGCTACGCACAGAGTTCCAAGATAGCAAAAGCTGCTATCCACACGCACTCGAGAATGATCTTCGGGACCAGAACGCCGGGAAGATTAGCTCTGCGAGGGCCCTGATCATAGTTTATGAGCAAGCATAGCGCATACAGGCGCAGAAACTCACAAGAGCAAGTATATTATAGTCAAGATAGTATTGAATAGCACAAAGACAGGCGCGCCGCCCTCTAATCATGACAGGGAGTGAGTGAATGGACGATTGTGTCACAAGGCAGACGTACCATTGAGAGAGGCCCTCTTTGCCGCTGCAATATTCCATGACGCGAACCCAAGCGCGAGGATGTTCAGGTAAAGTAGGAAGACTGTTTGTACCGGTTAGTATTGGTCTCTACGCCAGGCAATTAGCAATGCGAAGGCTCACAGAAAAGAACGAATCGCAAGAGAACGAACGGATTCCGCATCCTTGTGTGGCGCAATAACGGATGGGTCGAGAGTAAGGATACAGCAGGCAATGCAGAGCGTCCAGTATATATGAGAGCACGTATCAAAGCGTATCGCAGCGAGCTCTACGAGGGTCGTCGTCCAGAAGCCGGCGTACAAATGTCAAACGGAAATGAGCCTGCCAAGTGGTAGTGCGTAGAGCACGAGCAAGGGGGGACAAAGTAGACGGTTCTAGGAGCGAGGTCGAGATTCTATAGTGAGCCGGGACCGGCAAGGCCACAAAGCGACTCGGACGGGCCAAAGCATGGTTATATGGGCAGGAGGCGTGTCCAAAGCGAGAACAATGGCGGCCAGGAAAACAATAGATGAGCGCGTACGCGCCCCCATTGAGGTAACAACGGCGTCTCGAGGTCGGCTGCTTCGGGACCACTTCTTCTCGCTCGGACCACAGCTTTCTTATTGTCCCCTCCTTGAACAACTTGACCTTCACGTCTTCAGACGTCAGCATCGTCGAGATGAAACGGCTGGTGCTAGGCAATATCGCACCTCATTGCTGGAATCTTTTTGAGTCGAACTGACGTGCAACGTCAGCCCGAACGTACGCATTACGTAGAAATTCTGCTGGTGAGTACTGTTGGCTCCCCGTCGGTTACTGTCAAGTATCTGAGTATAATATGGTGTGTACATAGTTTATGCACAGTCACAATATGTCACTGACAGTGTCCGACGCGCTGCCCCATTCCGACTTGCGAAGGCGACTCACAGCCGCAGCTTGTCCACTCGGTGTCTGCCAGCCTGATTCAAGGCCAATCCCGATGATCAACGAGCCGGGTGCAATGGTCGCCGCGATGCACCGCTCGACGCCACTAGTGACGACTACTAATGCAATTCATTGATGGTTGGGCATGACTGCAATTATGTTTAGGCTTGGTACCCCTGGACCGGTGCGACTTAGCCGTGCAGATGGCAGTAGCGGGGTGGTAATGGGCGCGACACTGTACACATCGCAGGTATGCCTCTAATCATTTTTCCACTTGTCTGAGCCGGCCGAGGGTGCAGATGATGATAGGTATGCTCGCAGGTGTGCATGGCATCGCACGATCGCAGAACAATGCTTGAACGTTCGTGCGCGTTGATGTGTGCAGCCCTCAAGCCTCGTTCATCGCAGGCTTAGACCTTCCAAGCTCTGCTCGTGTTCCTTGCGACGTTTGATCACAGCGATCCCATGTTATGTTCGCGAAACTGTTGCCAAAGTTGCCATGCCTTTACGGCAGTAGGCACGTCGTTACTATTTCCGTGCTGGTAGACTGAAGCTAGTCAACTATAACAGCTACGTCCACAGCGTGCGTGAACTGGCAACATACGCTTCCTCGGACCCCTGTGTTGGTACTCATCCAGTGCTCAGATCTCAGAACTCAGCCTTTTCTCCTCCCCCAATGACCGTTTTTGGACCATCGCTTTAGCACAAGCACCACGTGACCGCGTCCCGTAGCGGTTTCTTGGCGTCTGTCAAATTCAAGGGCGGGGGTGCAAGGCAGTTTGAGTGCGGCAGATGGCCTATGTATGCGATCCATCAGACGGTCAAGAGCAATTAATACGTGCGTTCCAGGCGTAATCGGGGCTTCACTGCGAAAGCTGACTTGACCGTGATAGACCAAGTCCGTCTTACGCTAGCCAAGATGCTCGGAACAAGGCAGAGACTCCACCAGTACTCGTACTCACACCTTCCGACTCGGTGGTTCAGACGTTCACGGACATGGCGCTTGCTCGATCGAGTGTCGGCGACTGCACTCAGGCAAAATGATTCGGGGCGGCTTCCCGTGCATTTCAGGAATGTTCCATTCATGTGCGTCATGATCGAGTTTGCGGATAGCAGATTGACTGGAATTCGGAAGACTAATCGGGGGGCATCCGCTGTCTCGGTGCCAAGGAGGGTGTACAGTGCTCCGGGCATAGCGAACTAAAGGCTGCCTCTCAGATCTCAGCCCGTGTCGGCACTATGAGCCCGAGGTTCCTGGCACAAATCATTAACATCACTCTAGGCAGGATCTTCGCAAGATCCCCCGTCGAATTCGATATTCCGTGGAGCCCCATAACCGCCGTCGGGAACGACTGTTTTGAGACTTCCCGCAGTACATAACTATCCGTCATGCAGGACGTCCACTTTGCGTGCGCCGTCCTGCGCAACCAACGCGGTCAATATGTCAACCATCGTGGCCAGTATGTCAACCAACCCAGAGATTCAGTCGCTCGTCACTACCAACCTCGCCACCGTGTGCGTAGAGAGCGCCCTCACGGGCGTATTCTGGGTTCTCTATGCACTGTCGACTTTCCTGCTGGTACAGCGTGCTCGCGACCGAGCGGCACAAACTACATCATCAGCCCGCTCAATTTACAAAACGCCCATGTTCATCGCGTCACATATCATCGCTGCCACTGTGACCGCGGTGAGTCTTCTTCTGGGTGTCCGCTTCCAAGTTATTCAAAGCTCTATTCAGCACTGGAGTATCACCGTTTATCGACTTTTCTACGCGTTTGTCATATTCATGGGTGGTACGGAACCGTTAATCGTCTATGCCAACATCGCGGAGCCATCAGAAATTGCCAAAACCGCACTTTTTGTCGCCACTGTGTTGGCATCGGATGCCATGATCGTGAGCTATATATTCGCTCGCTCTCGCGTCGACCGCTGATCCACGGTTCCCGCGCAGATCTTCCGGCTGTACATCATCTGGGGCTATAACAAGTGGATAGTCATCTTCCCTATCATGACTTGGTTTGGGTTGATTGGTAGGCAGTCAATGGCTCTCGACCTCTTAGCCGCATTAACACCGTTATGCCAGTCTGTGGAGTAGGCCTTTGCTGGAGGTTCTCCTTATACCGACTTGGCGAGGATGCATATCATGACGATATCGGACGCTGGATCACGAGTGACTGTGTCATGACATTTGTGTGAGTCGCAGCTCCCGTTTTGCATTCTGTCCTGATTGCTGACTTACGTTGTATGCAGCACTAACTTGTATTGTACTGGTACGGTCTCTGCGGCAGTCCTACTGTTCGGCATGTCTTGACACTTGGTCAGTTTGTATCGCATGGCGTATATGGCGTACCCGTATTCGCAGCAAGTCATTTGGCGGTGGAAATCTCATGGTATGTTTTTGGTAACTCTCAGACATATCCGTACGAAGCCTCACCAGCGCAATCTCAGGGCGTCCTGGCGATCGTCATCGAGAGCGCACTCATTCACACGTACGCATGCCGCGCTCATTGTATCGACACTTAACCTTCTCACCACATCATCAACAGCTGCTGGAACCTCTTCTTTCTCCTTGAGTTCCAACTGCAGTCTGTCGTCCAGTTCACGGCGATTGACGTATGGAGCCCGGTCTGCGGCATCACGTTCATGCTCATCAACTTCCGTGTCGCCCTCGGATGGGCCCAAAAAGCACACTCCCACAGTCGAAGTGGTGGCAGCGCGTTCACGCATCGCCTACCTACGGCGTCCGCGCATTCTACTTCGTACCCGCTACGCAAGCAGGAGCTGGCCAGCGCAGCTGACAGTGTGCCTTATTCGTATAAGGAACCATACACTAGCATGATGCCGCATCCTTACGCCGCGCCGGACCCCGCGCCGTTCACCGTGAACATTACGCGCGTTGTGGACACGGTCGACGACAATGGTTCGAGCGTCCCGTACGAGGGCGAGGCATAGACTTCAGTCTCATTCGTAAGCCTACTCCGCTGTATTGTTTTTACATCTTTTAGGATGTGCGCGCGCGATTTCCGCATAGAACTTGCCCTCTTGGTGCCGATGAGGGCATTGCGCCGCTTGTCACTAGGCTACCCTGTATTCAAAGTGTTTGTGTGTATGAATACAGTGTAACGTTGAACGTCGAAACGTTGAGGCCTGGGCACTGCGCAGAATTGGAGGGCCGAGGCATGTGGCCCCCGCGGCCCCGGCGCCCACGTCCGAGATTGGCGCGTGTAATACGGCTCTTGAGGGGCACCTTGGGAGCACTTGGGGAGCACCACCTGATTACCTCTGCAGGTCTTCCCATGACAATGTCGGGGTTCTCCTCCCTGCACTGGCCTCGAATTAGCCAGCGAGCTCGCATGGGAACACGGCCACAGGGATACATGATCGACGGCAGTCCGATCCTCGGCAATACGTGGGCGAAACCATCCTCGAGGAGATCATCCACTGCTCGCCGCGGTCATGTCACCCGTCCGTTGCAAGTTGATGTGAATTATCATATTGCATCCATACACGTACGGCAGTCAGCTGTCACACATTCAACCGGATGGCCGTTGTTAACTCCTTTGCGATGCTGCACTTGGGCCGTATATATAGGGAGACAGTGCAGAGATGAAGTGCCGTCACCGTAGACCTGGGCGACATGGCCCTGACACGCATAACGTCGCGTTATGCGGCCCTGCTTGGCTGTCTTGTTACTCTGCCTTCCTTTGTCCTCGGGTGGGCGACGTATCCCGACACTGACGTGGTGATCGTCTCAAACAACGATCTCGACCCCTCAAATGCGAACCGGGCAAGTGCGTTGTACTTGAAAAGTGCATTCAGCTGCGAGGAAGCTCTCTTGGCCTGCGAGCAGCTTCAAGAAACTCTGCTACCTGCACCGAATACGACAGCTGGTCTTACGGCGCAGAACCTGTCCGTTGCGCTCACATCTGAGCGGCATGGCGCCGCTCTAGGCAAAACACAGCAAGTTTGGGTCGCAAGCGATGGTGAGCACTCCTCGATTGAGATGGTAGTTTGTGCCGTGCATGACTGACTCGCTACTATAGCGCCTGACAACTGCGGGGCTTTCACGCCAAGCTACCAGTATTCCGACGTCGGATATGCGCTTGACACAAACGTCGACTTTGCCACCCTGCTGCCTGTACTTTGCACGAATTCGGCCCCTCTGACGCGCTCAAATGTCACGTCTTACGACACCACACGCAAGATTCAACTCTCTACGCCTTCTGCTGGCACCCTGACTGGCTACCGTGACAAGTTCACCTTCCGTTTCCTCGGGATCAAGTATGCGGAGCCAACCAATGGGAGCGCTAGGTTCCGGCCGCCCACAGCGCTCACTGTAGAACCTGAGACCGAACGCTCCGCGCTTCAATATGGGAGCATCTGTGCTCAGGCATGTTACTCAGTAGCGTCTCAGGGATAGCCTACTGACCATAGGTTGATGACAGCCACCCGACGCGGACAACGGCCATTTACTGTATTCAAACGAGGATTGCCTGTATCTGAATGTGTGTTCCCCTGTCGCAAACTCTGCGACGAACTCGGTCCAGACTGCGCCCAAGCTCCCCGTGATGTTCTTCAGTGAGTATTAATCTTGAGTGTTAACCCGCACCATACATTGACTCCTGAACGATATTCTGCCAGTACACGGCGGTGGTCTGAACACAGGCGACAGCGGGCCGTTCCCATTCAACATGACTACGAGCGGCTTCGTCGGGAACTCCGTTTCCAATATCTATGATGGCACGAACGTCGTGTCGTATGCAGGCGTTGTTCTAGTCACGATCAACTATCGTTTGACGGCGTTCGGCTGGTTCAACGCCTCCAATGCCGCCCTGAAGGACGCACTTCTCGCACTGCAGTGGGTTCAGGACAATATCGAGTCTTTTGGTGGCGATGTGAGTACATCTATGCAGCTGCTCCGGTCGTTTCTCTGATCCCATCTCATCCAGCCGACGAAAGTACTCATCTACGGCGAGTCCGCTGGTGGTGTCATGACAAGATACTTGCTTGGCACAAATCCCGTCTACACTGAAGGCCTATTCAGTAAGTAGGCGGTCTTTGTACTGTAGACCCGATGCTAAGTATCCTTCAGGTGCTGCTATTCTCGAATCAGATTTCGGGCAGAGCGACCCTTTCCTCTCGATCCCGCTCGCACAGAACATATCACTGAAGCTCGCGCAATACCTTGGATGTGCTTCAAACTCCTCTACCACGTTCAACGACACGATGGCCCAATGTGTACAGGATCTCCCCGCCGGGGACATCGCGACGGCTTCTTACAACCTCGGTATCTCCTGGAGCATCGCTGTTGATGGCGACTACGTGCTCACCGATATTGCGTCCAGTATCATGGACGGTGACTACGCACGCGTGCCAACCATCTGGGCGAGCAACGAATGCGAATATTGCTACTTCCTGCCGAGCACAATCGCGCCGACTGCGAACGCATCCGTCTTCCCCGAATATATCTCAATCGGGTTCAATACCACGGGCGCCCAGGCCATCTTGAACGCGACCGACCTCTATCCCTACCAAACCGCGCCATCCGCAGATGGGATCTCAGGAGCCGTGCTGACCCTCGCCCAACTCTTCACCGACTTTGCCGTGCACTGCCCAGAGCTGTATCTCGCATCCCTGGAGACGAACACCACCAACCCCGGCAACTCGTACAAGGTCGTATTCGCCACAGGTCTCGGTTCGCCGCTCACGCCGAACCCTGAGACTTGTGTGGGACAAGTCTGTCATGCAGATGAGCTCTACTGGGTCTTCGCCACGGCCGAGACAGACAACCTGTACCAACCTCTGACTCCGGGTCAGGTCGCGACGACCCGCGAGGTGATCAACCGCTGGACTTCGCTTGCGTGGACTGGCAACCCCAACTACGAAGGCGCTGTGGTGGAGTGGGCACCGTATACAGGCGACAACGAGATCGTCATTAACGCGACGGCCACCGAGACCATTGAGCCATACCGAGTGGCTCAGTGCGACTTCCTCGTGACTCAGATTGGTCTGATATTCGGGGACCCGTAGGCAGCTTTTCGCTAAATGGAGGGTACGTAATACTGTCGAGTACCGCGTACGCCCGCGACGAAGCAAATACCTACCAACTTCCGCGTGGCACTCAGTTTCCCTCCAGTGAATAGGGTATACATCAAAGTGGTCATGGCTGAGCGTCTTGTGAGGACACCCAACCGAACCCGAAAGAATAAATTAAACTGCAAGTAACTTCTCACATTAGAGGTATGCTACAATACTGGTCTACGGCTACAGTCATTCGAAATGCTCGTCGCGGCCAGCGACAAGCGGTCATTCGCCGACCAATCGGTCGTGGGCATGAAGTCGTGAACAGTCGTGAGCACAACCAAGCAGAGCTGCGCATAACCAGCACGTCTGTTCCATTCTGCCCATCTCCCATACCCACTAAAGGACACCGGAAGCCCCGAGGGGAATGAAGAAGGTACGTGCTGGTATCCTCAGACGCGAGTGTTACCGCGGGGGAGAGATACGAGACAAGTCCAATGAGGGCGGCCTGTGCAGCCGGAGGACCTTCTTGGATTCCCTTGGACGTGTCGCCGGAACGTAGGTGCGATTGACGGGGACACCTGGGGGCGTTTCCGCGCGACGCGACTGGATGGCTTTTGCAGTTTTCGGCGACAGAGGAACGCTGGCCGATAACTGCAGCTGGCGGGGCGCCCATGACGGCGACTTCTGCGACTTCTCGAGGCCAGGGCGCCGAGCAGACTGAGGCGGCGCCAGCAGAGAGGTAGCAGGGGCCTGCTTCTCTGGGTCGGTGTCGCGTCTCACGGCCACCATCCGATTTGAAAACTCCGATTGACCTGACTTCGGAACGGACTGCACCGGCAGCGAAGGGGTCGGCGGTTCGCTGCCAAGGGAGCGACGGACAGCGAACCAGGAGTACTGGGAGACGTAAGCCTTCCAGATGAGAGGGTCATCGCGTTGATGTATGAAGGCGATAACAGTCAACGCCAAGAGGTAGACCAAGCCTGTGCGGTATCGAAGTCAGACACGTAAGCTATGCACAAGCACTTTCCACTCACAGTCAGCGGCAGCGGCCCATGTGAATGCCATCAGGAGCGGGGAGTCCACGCAAGGGCCGAGAACGATTCTGCCCTCTGAAATCAATTATTAGCTATTCCTGTTCACCTTCGCAACACAGCATACGCACTCTTGGTCATTCCTACGACACAGGAGTCCACACCCGACACGGTGAGCGTGACAACACCGGCACTCGCTACGACGCGTTCATGAGACAGGCACACAGCAGAGTCGCGGAGACATACATAATTGCAACAGGCAGAAGATTCCGACCCAGAAGCACTCGAACCAGACGTGTCGAATAACGGTTTGCTTGCGCAATGCATCGACGAGGAGGCTGAGGGCTCGTGAGTTTTGCGACGACAGTATACAGGGTGTACTCAACACTCACATTGGAAACGTGAAAGCCAATCCCACACTGCCCAGCGCAAGCAAGAACGCGTCAACCTCAACCATGGCTAGGGAGTGGTTGGATGAGACGAATGCTGAGCAGGCTGTACCACTGGAGACTCACAGCCATCCCCCAGAGCGAGCGCGAGCGGTATGCCCCTAGCCGCTACTACCAAAATGCCGATATTGCAGGCGATGAAGAGAGCTGCGAAGGGTGCGCCATGCCTTGAGTCAATTGTACACGCTGCGGCGACCGTGTAGACTCACCGAAGACGAAATAACGATAGACTGCGAATACTTGACTCATGATGCCGTAAAACCGAATCGTAAGGAGAGGAAGGGGTACCGCTCAACGGTTGACGTTACAAAAGACACAGCAGCAGAGAACCCAGCTCTGAGCGAGGAACCAGTCCAGGGATGCGTTCAACGGCGAGTGTCAGGGAACTCGTCACCGAGAGCGCTGCGGGAGGTCGACCATCAATCCCGCCCTATATCACTCCGGCCAGCGGCTGTGCACACAGGCGCCTTGCAACTGCCGGGGCGGTGCCCGCACGCGTGTTTCAACCCATCATCTCTCGGTCTTATCTACTCGTATGGCCCCAGTAGTATGGCCCACCACGTCTCACTCACAAGTCTCAGACAGCAGCGTCCGGACTGTTCTTGTTTGGCTTGACAAATGAGCGAAAGCAGCCACCGAACGACTGAAAGTACTGAACGTTTACTGAACCCTCGGGCCGGCGCTAGAAGATCTCTCAGAGCCATCGACATGTATTTTCTGACATCTACGTTTGCGGCTCGTACATTCCTTGACCACGTGCATGCTATACGACGGAAGAGCACTCGTGAACAGCAAAATGACATTTGGAACTAGCGCCGATACACACCACCAGTCGCAACATGCCTCTGCTGCAGCATCGGCCTCACACGAGAGCCGAGAGCAAAAGCGCCAATGAACTGAGCATAACATTCACTTGGGTATCTGCGGGGCAGTATGAGTGCAATGTCCCATTCACGTCGAACGGCACTCACTCATCGCAGCCCCACTCTTCGAACTCGTCGAACTGGGCGCACTTGATATGGTCGTCGTCGATGATGCCGCTGGCTTCAGACCGCTACCCGAAGAGCTGTTGTCGGGGATGCTCGCCGCGCTACCTGCTGGAGTGGAGGTGACGGTCATCGTCGAGACGCTCGGTGCGCTCGATGAGGCCAATGGCACGACCACGGCTGAAGAGGACGGCTGAATAGATCCTCCCGACTGCGAAATCAGCGTAGTACTAGCAGTACCCGGCGGGTCCGTGGTATCAGCGCCGTCAAACCTGTACACGGAGACAATTCAGTCCTTCACGAATTGGTCTCTCGTGCGTGACGTACGTGTACATTGCCCAATCGAACAGTATGAGGGACGCGCTTGTGCCTTGTCCCGCCGTCATGACGAGCTTGTGTTCTACGTTGCTCAATCCCACCACGCTGTATACGGTGACGTTGTACTCGAAATTGTCCTGGTCGGCTCCCGTCGGTGTGTGTACGTAGGTGCCTGCCGCGGCACCATCCAATTCAAAGGACATGTTTGAAAACGTTGTGATGCTCTGCCGGTCGAAATCGGCTACGATGCAGTAGACCCATATAGCAGTACCTGTACGTCGCAGTGTGAGATGAGTTGCCTCCAGCGTACATGCACGTACCCGTAAAGGTCAGCGCCACGTCGTGCGCAGTATTGCTTGTACCCAGAGGCTCATCAGAGGTTGTATCGTGCCAGGTCCCCATGTATGCTTTCTCCGCCGAGGGGCCAATGACACATCCCATGCACGTTGATCCCGGATTCCAATTTTCTGTATAGATAGGAGACATTCCTGTCGCAACATCTCCGTACGTATCGTCAATCGTTCTGTTGGTGTTGGCGGCGGCGACATGTGGTATAACCAGAAGAAAATAGATAAGTGACAACGAAAGGGATGGTTTAAAGAAAGACATCTCTACTGAGAGAGGGGGGGAAGTGGCAAGAAGCGATAGACGCAGACAGAGGAGGAACGCAGACGGGAGCCCAAGAGTACCTTGACCGGCGCGTTAAACAGCACAGTAACATATAGCTACGTCCTCACTGATGAATCAGAATGTTGAGTTCCATGGTAGTTCGAACTGTTCGAACGAGCTACGAACGCCTGTCATCTAACCTTTAGGAGTGAAAGCACAGCCTGAGGATGCTCGGTTTCACCAGCGGTCCAGACGACAGCGAGGCGACTTGATTAGTTTAGCATGGAGACTAGAATTCCTACATGGGCTCGGAGGGCATGAGTCTACCAAAAGAGTCGTTAAGCATCATGATTCACCAGAAATTCGTTACTATACCGGGAGACGCTTCGCCACCGGATGGCATTGACAAGGACACGGCCTCCGAGGCGCTGTGCATCTAACTGTCAAAGATAGCTAGTTACGCAGATGTTCCTACGTCTATCAAAGACGCTGAACAACACGGTTGAAAGATTTTGAGATTAATCATGGCTGTCGAGGTCCGGACGCCAAGGAGGGAATGAACCAGCCTTATATAAAGCCTGAGCTGTATGTGTATATCAGTACGGGCATCACGCTGAGATGCGTATTACTTGACTTAAATAAATAGCGAGGTGCAGTCTGTCGCATCACGCCCGCGACTCGTAGTCCATTCGGATCGCCATATGGATGCGATGTTCGTAAGAGCACCGTGGCAGTGATAGGTTGTTTTTGAGGCTGCAAGAAGGAACCTGAAGGACTGGGATAAGAATTGAAGTAGCGGGACAGTCAGGGTATCGGTATCGGCCGGTTGACAGCAGATCCAGATCTGCGATACCGCCAACGCTCGCGACCGGTTCGGACGGATTCTTAGTAAGCCGATTCATCCCCCTTGGTCATGCGTACTACTATGGTGACTTGCTGGGCAGTTCTTCCAGTTCTTCCAGTTTTGGTAGGCATTGGTGTGACACAGGATCAGAACAATTGTTGTGCCATAGCGGAACATCCTTGACTAAACTACGGTACGTGTCGTATATGAGGTCCACAACTGACAGCAAATAGTGCATTGTGTAGCGATACGTGTGGAGAATCTACGATTTTTCTGGCAACAGGTATGTATTTGGCGCGGGTTTTACTCCGCGCAGCGCGGTTTCACGTAGCCTCTTGATCTCCTCTTTCATCTCGCGTACCTGGGCTGCAAGAGCCTCACGCCGCGACATTCCTCTCGAGGTGGTAGTAAGGTCCGACGATGCGACCGTGGGCGGTTCGATCGATGGTCCAGGCTCCGAGCTGTTGGTGGTACTTGCGCCGCGCCATTTCCACGATGCAGCGGCTGTGGCCAGTCTTCCCTTCATGGGGAGGCGTGCCGGCGCGGGCGTTCGGGGAGCCTCGTTCGTTTGACGAAATACCATGAATGGCTCAATGACTGCCTCCTCTCCTTTCCCGTCCAAGCTATCACGAACCCTCAGGGACAGTCGACCTGGTAACAGCTGACGTCTGCGAACGCAGAGTAACAGCAGTGTCACGATGACCAAGCCGCACAAACCGCCTATGACGCCTCCGATCACAGCGGACGTGTTGCTGTGGGGATGTGAAGCTGGCAGCGAGATGCTCAGGGGTCAGGGATGGTGAACAACCACAGTGACCAGACTCACCTAGGCCTGTGCTCACGCTCACTTGAGGCGAGGCGGTTGCATCGCCAGCAGCACCCCACGTCGTGGCATGTGAGGAAGCACTCGAGGTCGGTGTATCTGTGTTAACACTCAGACTCGTTGCTTGAGATAAACTAGATGAGGGCTGAGTATCCGAGCCATCTTCGACTCTGACAATTGCAGTGCAGTGAGCAATAGTATAGATAAACCTGATCATGACGCACGTATACAAAGCCCAGTCGAAGAGGAGAATAGATGGATTGGGGTCGTTCTCCGCCGTCATCACGAGCGTATGGATCGAGTTACTGAGCATCGTGTTCTCATAGACGGTCACATTGTAGTCGTACGTTGCTGTGTTCCGGGGCATATGTTGATAGCTGCCCGCGGGAACACCGTCCAGGGCGAAAGTGATATTTACGAGCGTGGTAGCGTCTTTGATCCGGTTTGGCACCACGCAGTACACCCAGATCGCAGTGCCTACGGAGAGTGCTTGAGTCAAAGACATAGGTATGCATTTGTATTCGAATGTACAGACCATGGAAAACAATACTGACGTTGTGGGCAGGACTATCTGGCGGACTATTGGAGGTTGTATCGTGCCAGGTGTGATCGAAGGTTGCGTTCTTATCAGGTTGTGCCAAACATGAAGGACAATTCTGGCCTTTGCTCCAGCTCCGCGAGTATATGGGGAGAGCTCCAGTCGCCGAGTCGCCGAAAGTGTCGTCTATAGTTCTGTTCGATGCGATAGAGGACGCGCGGGAGATGAGTAGCAGAATGTTGACAGACCACAGCTGCCAATGGGGAAAGGAGTGTGGGGTCAACATCGCACGGCGAGCTGAACGGTCAAGGTCAGAAGGCCCAGCTTCCGCGCAAGCGGTTACGCGATTAAAAGGTACTGGAGGAATTGTCACAGACGTAAAGTATCACCGCCGCATCCACATCTATCGAAGAGGGTCGTGGGTGGGTGGTCCTGTATAGCACGGTTTTGCCAGTGATATCCGTGACTCTACATCGTCTGTGGCATGCTGACAGCCGTGTCAATTCTCGCACGCCGTCATGATGTGGCTAGATAATACGATGGCACCTCCATGTGGAATACGATGGTGTCGTGTAATCTAGCCAAAAGACGCTGCTCTAAACATACTTACTGTAGTTGCACAGCTTGTCCGCACTGCCACAAATGCTCGCGCGCTGGAAGCATTCAGCTGTTTTCAAACCGATGGGCCCCACGACGAAAAGGTGCACTAAAGTGAAGTGTGTTGGTCTTGTTGTACCCACCAAGATTGGACCACAATCGGCAGCGTCGAGGGCGAGCCAGACTACGGCGGGTGGCTGAGGTCGAACGGTACTGGCACCTCGAAGGCAGGATCCGACGCTCTCCGCCGTGTACGCATTTTTAGTGAGGGGCCTATCGTTCCGGAAACAGCTGTAATGACAATGTGTTCGGAATCGGATGAACCAGCGAGACGCGCTCAACGAAGGAAATCCTACATCTTGATAGAGAGGATATAACGGCTCGAATGCGCAAAGGCGATGAAGCAGTCATATGATGACGATGGACATGTTCGACCTCAGAGTTTTCAGTTTGGAGCCAGTTTTAAGCTTCTGTGACCCGACTCGGAGCGCCGCTGTCGATATTTCGATATTTCAATGACCACTGGCCACCGCAGTTGTTATTGGAGTGACTCATCTGACAGCGACAAATTGAAGAGATATTCAAGGGTTCGATGCTAGTGGAAATTGGTTATTGGTGGCCACAGCGAGGCAAAGCTGAAGCTGAGGCAGTGACAACCTGACGGCTCCCGACCGTCGTGAATGGAGGAGGAGGAGGAGGGTTGGGCAAGTTGAGCGCTTGAGCGCAGCCATAGACGCCTGTCACTGTCAGTGTGGCGCTACTACTACGTAAGCGCTCGCTCGTACAAAGCTGTTGTAAGTAACTATGTACTTACTGACCGGTTAGCGACAAACCAGCTGAAACCATTTCTGTACTCCAGGCCGGACATGCGCAGAGATCGAGACGCGTCGACGATGGTGAGGCGTGATACATATGGTATATACGGGATGTCCATGTCAGCTATTCGTAATCACTCGGCGTGTCCAGCCCAGAAAACCTGCATATCCCTACACTGCCGTGCCTACTGACACCGACCCTCCGTCCTCCGACGCGACGTGTCGGATCGACCCAACCTCTTCCTTATCAAAGTGCGCACCGAGCCACTCCCTAGATGCGCTTACAGACGCGTCTACGTCCTCAGCTTGGTAGTGAGACGTGCGAGGGCGCACAACTAGCGCATAGAGCTCGGCCATGGGGTCCTTCGGCCTGCGCCGTGGGTGACGCAGCGGATATTGACTTTCGCTGGCTTGGACTTCGCCGAAATCCACACGGGTAGAAGAAGTCGTCCCCGTCACAGTGGTTTCCGAACTTGAAGGGGGGTGTCCTGCGAAGGTGTCGACGATTGGCCGCCAACTTGTGCGTGCATTTACAAGGTAGTCCGCACGGCGCTGACAGCGGTGTCGTCTGCGTCGGCACAGCCAAATAGCTATTGCAACGGCAATGAAGGCAACGAGGACTCCCAACCCGCCTAGTACCCCAGCTACGAAGCCTGAAATGATTGTTTGTTTGCGTAGTACTGCTGGTATTGCAGCCAGTGAGCTTTCCATGAGCGGAGATCCTATAAACTCACCTTGCTGTTCTGTTGCACTACTCGGTTGTGGTGTTGAGATTGCAAGAGTGGTCACGGTGCTGGTTGTCGTGACCTGGCTAGATGAGGACAATTGTCCAGTGTTTGTTGTGGCGGAACTTGCCCTTCGTTCTAAGGAAGTGGATCCGGTGTCACCCGGGCCACTAGTACTGGGCACATTCGACAAAAAGCTATTGAGAGTGGGGGAGTGGCCAGTGATTGGAGACACGTTACGCGCAAAAAGTACAGCGTGAAGTGGCACCTCGGTTGCTGTATGCTCGAGATCCCAGCTGTGAAGACGATTCAATTCACGTATAAACATAGATGCAGACCCTTGATACCCACGTAGTCAGGACTTGATGAGTGCCCTTCTGAGGACTCGGATACAAGGTGTAGTCCGATTTCTGAGGACTCGGATACAAGGTGTAGTCCGATGTCATGCCAGTGGGTACAATCTGCCCTGAAGACGACAATCCCGAGGAGTGGCTAGCGAGCAGTAGCGCTTTATACAGCCCTTATGGATGATACTCATATAGGGCACTGCGGCTCACCTTGATGTGGATACATCAGCAAGAATCCATGGCGAGGAGTCTGGACCTAGCCAAATTTGTACATCTTCTTTGCGGGCCACCACAGCGACAGCGGCCGTTGATTGCACTTCAAGTTGAGTGGCTTGACAGATGGATGCCTGCCAACCACTGCGGGTGTTCAAACGTTCAAGGGTAGGGTCCGACTCGGTGCAGGTCCGGGACGGAGGTTCTAACGTCCGGTCATTCCATAGAACTCATTATGCATGACGGCGGTGTCAACAGGCGGAGATTATGCGTCAGGATGCCGAGCTGCGAGGACCAACGTTCGAGGATGGAGATGCCAGTGTCTCGTCGAATATTGCTAGTCAGTACGGGTCACGACCCAACAAAACACAGATCATCATGCCCGAAGTGGAAGCATGTAGCGACAGCGGCCAAAGATGATCACCCAAGTTGATAATCATCTGTCATTAGAATTTTCTGCATAAGGATGAACACTCACAGTGGCCGAACTCGTGGTACCTGCCAACTCGTTGGATGGGATATCTTCGTGTCAGCAGGAATAGTAGTAGGTCAGCCGCGTAGGATATGATGGTCACCATGCAGAGGTATGCCGCAAAAATGGTACCGGCGAGGCCACTCTCTGATGATTTATGCAGAAGTGTACTATATCGGGCCGGGATCTCGGCCACCTTAGCACTCGACAAGCCCTCCTAACTGTGTATGGGCCGTAATGCCCTAGATCCTTGTTCAGAGGTATGCTAGAACACCTCAGGAATACGAGAAAAATAATAGAAAAAAATCAGCATCATTGAGTGGAGCTCAGTACACAAATTTCTCGTTGAGAGTAGGGTGAGCCACACAGACTAGGAAGTCGGCCACACCCTTGGAAATAGCTCACTACATTGAAGAGGCCCATCTGCATGGACTGTAATCCTTGAAGATATATTCAAGTATATGATTCTGATTATTTCTAGGCCGCAATGCGCCAGAATCCAAGTGAGGTACCCAGTCGTGGGCGAGGGGTTCGGGATCCCAAGCCACTGCTTACCAAAAATGGGTATCATCGGACAAGATGATTTTTCCTGCACCCGGATCTTGGTGTATTGGCTTGAAAGGTTGTACAGGTAGTAAAGCAATGTATAGAATCATGATACAATTTATTTCATGGCTGTGGAGTAGGTGGTAATTGGATGAGACTCGAGTGACCGACTACCTAGGGTGGCCGAGATCATGACCCGATATAGTAGACCGTACCAAGTTCAAGCTTCCATCACTGCGTACATCCAATCGACCTTGCTTGACCTCTCGCGTGCGGCGCGAGGGCAGGTTTCGCTTTGAAGCTGCAGCGGAGCATCATAGGTCTCGCCACGACGTCGTCATTGGACGTCGTAGGTTTTGCTACACTGCGGTGCAGCATAGGAGGCCTCGGATGACGGGCGGTGTGATCGCTGCGCATGCTGCCGAGCCGTCGATTGAACTTGCACGATGAAATCTTGATCAACCTCGCCAATCTGTAAACACTGCAACGCGGCCACAGGAACACAGAGCGACCAGAGGTAATGAGATATCACAGTCAAAGTCAACAATGGCAATGGGAAGATGTGGGTCAGACTATGTAGCTTGGAGATGTCCGAGCGTACATCCACAGCGACATCCGATAGCAGGCCCACCCACCGACCGTAATCGATGCTATCCCCCGGCTGCAGACTCTTAGCATAATTCACCATATCCAGTAGTGCTTCTTCGATCTCGCCTTTTGTGCGGATGTCTTGGAGGCAACTGGCCCTGGTAGCCACGAAGGAGTCTCTATCCTCGGAGGTAGCGCAATCGGCCCGGTGTCATAGCACGCGACGGGAGGAGACGGTCAACCTTGGGGGCGGCGTTATTCCGTCGGTGTGCTCGGGTCCTCGTCGCGTCCAAAACGAATAGTAAGCCGCGCAACAAACACGTCTTCTATAACCTGACCATACCCCTAGCCTCTTCCAGGACAAGAACCCACGTGCCTACAAAGTATGTACATGGGTCAGACTCAGGAAAGACACCACCCCGGCGGCCCTGTCGCTATAACGCGGAAGTACGGTGCAGCATATGTAGCGGAGATGTCCATGTCATATGCTGTTTGCACCCTCCGGATCACTTGGCGCGAAGGCTGCTGGCCTACGCCGCGACGACTCCGCCCAACTACGTAGTTCTGCAACCTGCTCCCTGAACTTGCGCACGTGCCTGGCGAATCGTTCCTGCTCTCTGGCTTCCTCAAGCGCGTCTGGCTGTGCGGACTCGCTGGCTCCGAGAGTGGCAGGCGCATCCACCGAGAGCACTGTCTCGGGGAAATCAATTGTAATACGATGCACCATCGTAGTGCCGACAGAGGACTCGCTAAGCCTTTCCTGCATCATGGCGGGAACCGAAGCCGAAGATGGCATGTATCGGTCGGTGGGCAGGTCGGTGGGTAGTTGATCGACGAAGGGATTGATTATGGATGTCGAGCTTCGGCGTACGAGGCTGTTGTTGCAGGTGGCACGAGAAGGCTTGTTACGGTTACGTCGACGTCTCATCGCGAGAATGATCATGAGAGATACAATGGCTCCTCCGCCGCAGACGAGGCCGAGGATAAGTGCGATTCGCGAATGCGAGCCTGGCTTCTCTTAACAGGAAAAACGCAGGTAGGTGTTTGAGGTGCGTACCTGTACTGTTACTCGAGTTGCTCGTGATTGTACCAAGGACGCCACTGGTAGACGCGAGGGGCACAAGTAGACTGGTGGTTCCGTGCTCCGACGAAGGGTATGGTGATGTTTTCGTGGGTTTAGTACTAGATGCAGGACTAGGAGAAGTCTTGGTCAAAGCTGGGTTAGGGAGAGGGACGGAAGACGTCGCATTCTCTATGTCATCGTCGTAGCTGCCGACGATGCTAGTCAAACCAACAGCGTTCACAGGACTCTTTGTACTCACGTGTACTCAGCCCAGTCGAAGAGAAGCAGGGATGTTTGCGGTTCTTGCATTGCCGTCAGCGCCAGAAGATGCTGTGTGTTCGTGAGGTGCGTGTTGCTGTACACCGTTACATTGTAGCTGTATATCTCGGATGTATTTGGCTGATGAGTGAAGTTTCCAACGGGCTGTCCGTCCAAGGTGATGCTTATGTTGACCAATGTTACAGCATGTGGGATACGATTCGGAACGACGCAGTAAACCCAGATTGCGGTGCCTAACATTCATGTCTGAGAGGTCCTGATTAGCGAGTAATATCCTACACACCGTTGAACAGGAGGGTCACGGTATGAGCAACATCGTTAGGCCTGTTTGTGGTCGTATCGTGCCACGTTCCGGCGAACGTCTTGTCGGCAGCTGGTTGTGCCAAGCACCCACTGCAAGCTGGCCCATAGCTCCAGCCTTGACTCTCGTACATTGGGAGGCGTCCAGTGACCGAGTCGCCGTAGTGGTCATCGATAGTCCTGTTGGTCGCTGCAGCAAAAATCGGTCGCGACTTCGTGAGAAAAGCAGAATGCCAGTGATGACTGAAACGAATGTGGAAATGGAACTGAGCATGTTCCCTAGAAGGTCTGTGTCAGAATGGTCTGGAGGGTTACTCCTATTAGCTGTACTTCGAGCTCGACAGAAGTACTGACCATTGGCATGAGCGCTACCTTGCGTACTTGCTCAGTCGCGTAGTTGGAAGTATACGTATACGTTACCACTGCCTGACTGATAAGGTTGCAATGCCCATGTCAGTGAGCATCGGGACTTGCGCTTTGGTCGTACCTCACCCGTTCCGTAGGTTGCCTGTCAAACAGCCTAACACTGTTCGTCGCGGAGACGAGCCAGCAGACAAGTTCGAGTTCGGCACGGTAGACGGGCTTTGGTCACTCAGACCAGAACGCGGGGCTGTTCTGTCGACAGCGACGGAGCGCAATCCAAGGTGATTGTACATACGTAGCTCCCGTCAGAAGGAGACGCGCCACGAATTTGATCGTACACCGAGGTGAGTTGACCCTCCGAGCATCAAATGTTTGTGGCTGGACGGATATACATGTACACGCACCACTTGACGACGGATACACCTTACCACTCATCCAACGAATCAAAGCTGCGGGGAGATCTATGTATCTTTGTTGCTGGTGCCGCTGATGATGGATTGCATCTCGGGAACAAACGCGTGTCTCAGTATAAGTCATATGAAATCCAGGCGCAAGTACACGGTAACCTTTGCGGGACGAGTGTCATAAGATCGTTCCGGGCAGAATCAGAAACAAGGCTCACTCGTAATATGCAGGAGTCGTAGTCAGCGGCGACTACATACAACGCAGGACTACGACACGCTAAGTGAAGATGGAATGGAACAATGCATGGCACGTACCAGTACAATATTAGCGAAGCAAACAGAGCATAAATATCAGCGGATCAAGGCCTATTCTCCGATGCCTCATACGCTGGCGGTGGTTCATCCATCTCTGCCACAGCCCTAAGCCTCTCAACCTCCAACTGCAACGTCGCGATCTGCCTCCTCAGCTCGGAGTCTTCTTGCTGTCTTGTTTGCTGGTTGGGCGCCTCGTGTGTCAATCGCAGTGGCGATTGCGCTTGCGAAGGTCCGCGTGAAGACTGGCGTCGACGCAGCTGCTCGACCTGTTCCTCCATGTCGCGCATCTGGCGAGACAGCTCTGCGAGCTGCATCACACTCTTCGACCGGCGTCCAGAGCTCGGCGCTGTGAGTGACGAGTCGGCTGTATTCGAGGCTCCGCCGAAGGCCGAGACGGTAGTCAGATCGTCCCTCGTCGAGGAGGCGTCGCTACCAACGGGAAGTGCCGCGACCATACAAGACGTGAGTGAAGGCGGGAAGGGTCGAGCCAGCGTTGAGCCAGGCGGGCGCATCTCGGTGACGCCCGCTTCTTCGACATCAGACTCGGGTTTGCTCATTGGCTCTATCTCCTCCCTCCTCGCATCTTCGCCTGATACGGGGTAATCCGGTCTGTGGACTTCGTTCGAGCACGACGCCACAACAGGAAAAAGAGCAGAGCGAGGACCACGGCGCCAACGCCGCCTACGACTCCTCCGACAATGGGACCGACGGTGCTGTGGGACGATGCTGAAGAACCGACGACGGACGTGGTACTGGCGGAGGCGGAAGCAATTGCCGTAGACCTAGTCCCAGACGATGTTGTGGTGGTCGCTCGGTCCGGGTCGTATCTGAAACTCCGTGAGTATTGTAACTGCTGAGTGAAGTTTCGAGAATGAGCTCACGTATACTCTGCCCAGTCAAACGCAAAGTACGATGCATTGACATCTCGTTTCACTTCAATGACCAAATCGTGCTCTGCGTAGTCCAAGGACGCATTCTGGTACACGGTGACGTTGTACCGGTATGCCACTGAACTGCTCTTGCTCGGGTCGTACTCATAGCTCCCAACGTGATGGCCATCGAGCCGGAAGCTGGCATTCACATATGTCGTGGCATACTCGATCGTAGGGGGAGGATACCAAATACCGAGATGGCCGTTCCTGAATACCGGAAACTTGTCCAAATCAACAAGTCAAGGCAGATGAAGGGGACGTACCAGTAAAATGAAGTGTTACATTGTGTGGACTGGTATCACCAGGGGAAGCAGTTGTATCGTGCCATGATCGGTCGAACGTGTGTTGCTGGTCCGGCTGGACGAGACACCCTGGACAATCTGGGCCATAATTCCAACTTGCGGAGAATTTTGGCTTTCTTCCGGTAACGGAATCACCGTTGTTGTCATCGATTGTCGCATTGGTTGAAGCGGCTTGCACAGTTTGAAATTGCAGTGAAAGATAGGTAGCGAGAACGCGTGAAGCAACACGGACAGTCTGTGGCCGCATGCCCGACTTGAATGACGGTGCGTTCGATCCAAAGCGAAAGCAGTTGTGACGGGTTGAGAATAGAGCTTGCGCAAAAAGCAAGACCCGTGAATTTGACAAACCCAAGATGAGATGAAGCAGAGGGTGCGAGTGGAGGTCGTGCACAGGACAGAAATGAACGCCGCTCGAGCTTCAAGGTTTGGGAGTCGGGGGCTGCCATGTCCCGTATTGTCTTGGCCAACAGAGCTGCCACCACGGCCCGACGCTTAATCCATCGCGCATATCAGGAGTCAGGGCCCTCAGGCCTCGGCTGTGTCAGTAGCTACACAACGCGCATTCACTTCTGGGGCATTCGAAAGCTTGATCAATGAAAACTAGTCTTTCCGAATGGCGAATAATAGTCTGCGCACCTCTTCCTGAAGATATGAAGCCTTGGTATGCTTGCGTTATGTTCGCGGACGGCTGGAAAAGACATCATCTTCGATGCTTGCCAGTGGTGGCGGTGCACGTCGAGCTTGAGCTTGATGCATCAGTTAATTAAACTAAGTACTATATCGGGCCGGGATCTCGGCCAGATTAGGTTACTCGGTCAATCGAGTACTTCGCGCTCAATTCCTGGAATCAACATGCAGCAAACGCATAAACAGGTAGCTATCCATTATAGCAGTCAATTGGTACGCCTTCCGTGCGGATATGCTGAGAGGAAGTCGAGCAATACTCAGAGTGGCCGAGATCCCCGCCAGATATCGTAGCGCCCGCACAGGACTGGCTTCCGGCGCTACGCTTCCGGGTTCCCGACTCTGTTCTGGCGGCCAGTCTGAGCGTAAGTATTCCTTGAAGGCACTGCACGTATCCTGTTCAAGACCAACCGTACCTCAACGGTAACTTACAGCTCCGCTCTTGAATCTTCGGGACGTGTACTACGCTACTGGGCCATAGCCAGGGAGGCGCATAGTACCCTACACGAGTCGAGCCGCGGGACAAGCCTGGCCTTAAGCTTAACATCTGGTATGCATTGACCATTGAAATGCATGACTAAGGGGCAGAGTCTAACATTCGTGGAGATTTGAAGGGTGCGGAGTGAGTCACCATGCGTGATGGCTGGCTGGCCACTGGTAGAGCAAAGTCGTTCGGCAGACTTCGACTCGTTCTTATATCCTGCTCAATTGCTGCCAATGCGTACGTACTATCGCAATGAGAATATCCGTGGCGGCGTCGGAGGCCAGCGTTGATGGAAATATACAGGATATGCGCTGGAGGGATCTACACCTTCCCACTTATCTCGCCCGCTCTCATGGCGCGGATGCACTTGACGCAGCCGCAATTGAGCACTATCATGCTAGCGTGAGCCGTGTGCCTCCAAATATTTTCACTATGGGCTCTGACAGCGGGTAGGGCAATGGTTGGGCAATACGCTATGGCGGTCCCTGCCGGTAAAGTCCTCGATCGTTACGGGCCGCGAGTGTGCTCGCTGCTAGCATCCGTCATATTCGCATTCGGATATGGCATGTTCGCTCGCCAATTTGCTTTGACACCCGAAGGAGCGTCCGTAGGATCGGCTTCGGCAATTCCCCAGCTCACTGTCTGTTTCGGTGTCCTTGGTATCGCGATCATCTTGTCGTATGTCGCACTGGACTTCTGGCGAGATGTCCTATTGACAGGTCGGCTGCAGATACCTCTCAATGCTCTTTGCCGCAACTAGGACGTTTCCTCAGTTCATGGGATTTGCATCAGGGACGAGTCTGGCGATCTTCGGCTTGTCACCATTGTTCTTGTCCTGGATCGCCACCGAATTCTTCACGCCTACCGACGGCGTTCTGGATGTAACTCGCTTCTTCACCTTCATGGCCCTACTAACAGGCGTTGTGAACTTCCTGGGAGCTCTGATTCTGCCCGGTCCAGCTGCCGCAGATATGCCAGTCGCACCGACGTCCGAGGCAACCGCAATGGCACACGATCCAGACGAGGATGCAGAAGCACATGAAGAGACCTCTCTACTGACGTCGTCCGTACAGTCTCTCACGGGGCTTGATGCCTTGTGCGCCGATCAGCCCGAGCACCTCTCCGCAATGGAGCTGCTGAAGAACCCGTATTTTGGTTGTTCTCTTCGTCCATCTCATTGGTTGTCGGTGCCGTGAGTAGCATACAGCCCCTCCAAATGCTAAGGGCTTCTGATGGCTGTTACAGGCAGAGATGATCAAGTCCAACATAGGCATGATAGTGCTGTCTCTTCCCACCACGTCCCACACAGAGAATATATCCACGCAGGTCCAGCTCATCGCGATATCTGACACCCTGGCACGGCTCCTCCTTGGGCCCTTTGCGGACATCATATCCCCTGTCCCTACTTACTCCGCCAATGGCGTCTGGGCTTTCCCTCGCAAACCATACGTGACACGAATAATGTTCATGGCCGGCGCTGCCTCGTTATTCACGATCGCCTTTATATGGCCGATTATTGGCGTGCGGTCGCAAGAGGCCCTCTGGCCTCTGAGGTTCGTCTTGCCATTGCCTTTCCCTATATGACTGGCGACTGATAGCGTCTCTAGTGTCGGTACTGGGATTGTAAACGGCGCTATATTCACCACGCTGTATGTGTCATTCTCAGATCTGACCGTCGGTGGCAAGCGAGCTTATACTCGTCTACAGTCCGAGCATCTTGTCGTCGATATGGGGAGCACCAAACCAGGGGCGTAACTTCGGTTTCGTCTCCTACACATGCTTCTTCGGCACGGCCACTTTCTCCTACCTATACGCATTCGTCGCCGACAGCCATACAGCGCCAGGAGAAGGTGTCTGTCACGGCGTCCAGTGTTGGGAGACTACCTTCTGGTTGAGTTCTGCCGCTTCGTTGCTTGCTACAGGCTTCGCCGCCGTGCTCTGGCGGAAGTGGAACTCGAGAGTATGATGGATTTTTAGATCTTGTCGATTGCTTTGCGCATGTGTAACATTAGTTGCTTTACTCGTAGACATCCTGGCTATTCGGTTTTCTGTCTATCTACCGAGAGTGCTGAAGAAATCTCTTCAGGGTAGCCAAACCAAACGCCAGTCACGAGCACCGCGTTGGCTACACATAGAGTGGCGGACGAGACCAGCGTCGACGGGAATACGTTCCATGCATACTCAATGGCGAGGAGCAGCACCAGTCTGAACGAACATGAGTGTTGTGCATGATATGTCCGACAAAGGACTTACTTGACGGCAAGGGGTATTTGGTCCTCCAAGCAAGGAAAGGGAGTTGCAAGGCATACCAGGAATAGAACTGGTAATGCAGGGACCGCGCAAACAAAATGCCGATGAGGTTGGAAGTGAAGAGCACCGTGGTCGTGACTTTGGACGCCGGAGTTAACACCACACGGAGGTACGAGGAATCAAAGACGTACAGTCGCTGGTGACATGGCAGCCTTCTGGCCGACGCCAAGGGGTCCGGAGGCCACCGCTTATGACGGCCCATGCGCCTCCTTCTCGTTTGCACCACTTGCATAGACCGAATGTGACCAGAGCTGCGACGTGTCCTGCAAGAAGCCCGCGTGCCCACCATTGACTCAGGAATGTCTCTTCACTGACGAACCGCCAGTTCACGGTCCACTTGTAGAGAAATTGGCGAGAGAACTCGTAGGAGTGCTTGAGGTATGAGCCAGGATGGTGGAGTAGAAACGGAAGCCCAGCAGCGACCTGGGTAGACACGAGGACCGCGAGATGTGCCAGAGTGCCTACAAGCCCGTGCTTCTTGAAGAGCACCACTAGCAAGCCTGGGAGGTACAGAAGTGCAGACATCTTGACTGACAAGGCACAGCTGTTGGCATTCCCGTATCAACTCTGGACAAGAGTCATGTACAGCGAACGCACCCGAGGAGAACTGTACCCAACAAGTCGAACGCACTCGCATACGCAAGAACCGCCGCATGCGCAAATGCGCTCATCCAGCAGTCATTGAAAAGCCTCAGGACAAATATGGAGTGTAGCCTCTTGCTGAGCGGTAGGAGCAGGACTATCCAGTTAGGCACGCCTCCCGCACGACCATAGATCCCACATGTCGTCGTTAAAAGCGCGATGTAAAGGACGGCATAGACCTTCTGCGCAACTTTGAGGTTATTCCCGGAGTCTGTGAGGTTGAAGAGAGCGTGGTGTATATGAACATGGCCCGCAGGATAACTACATAACGAATGAACGCGATGAGCTAGGCATTTTGGGGCTGTCACGCTTGAGCATACGCACACGATTGGCCCCGTGGGTCCCGATATCAAGGAGTAGTCTCGTTCTCCCTTCAAGTAGAGCTCTAGCTGGTATATGTATGTCTCCCAGTCAATCTCGGTATCTGGGCACAGTTACCGGCGGGTCGTAGGACGAGCAGGCGTTCGGCTTACATGGTACAAAGCGTATGATCAGTTGAGTTAAGACAGCATCACCCAAAATGACCAGGGCAGAAAGTGCGTAGAAGTACCGAGGGTCGGTGAGCAAAGAGAATGCGAGGTGGTAGGCAGACAGCCATGGTCGTCGCCAGTCACTGGCAGGACGCGGGGGCACCATGGTGAGTTCCTAGGCGCCAGCACTGGGACACATGGACATGGACATTGGATTTGGACTCGACGGCTTAGAGCCGCCCAGTCGTCCGTGCTCACATTCAATTCCAAGAACAACCCACAGACCCATATTTTTAAGGAACACGTATGTACAAGACAGCAGGCCTCGCAACCCCAAGAAACGGGCATCAGGTACTCGTCAAGTTCGTCTGGCCTACATGCGAGATGACGATGTTCTCCCCATCCTGTAGTCCCTTCATGAACCATTCTTGATAGTTCCCCTCGGTTCCAGGCTTGATGATTCCCGGTCCCAGTTTTGCGATACTGTCGTTCATGTATTGCCCAGTGAATCCCAGCTTCGACATCCCGTATTGCGCGAAGATCTTGGCCGTGAAGAACCCGTCCGAGTATCCCTTCGCGATGGCTCGCTGTTCAGGAGACATGCCTGCGTCGTAGTCTCGTTTGTGAGCTCTCCTGTTCGACCAAGACGAGTGTCGCCTCCAGGAAGTAGGATCTCGAGTCCGTCCTCGGGAGTGCCATCGTCGCTCAGTAATAGAGGGCGTACTGGTACTCTGGACATCGTTCATGGCCATCGACGATGCATTGGTGGGCGAACTCTGTGCACTGGCAAGGACGACACTTGCCGGCGGCGCACTCATGTCGCCCATGAGATCGGCAAGTGAAGGAAGTTGGTTGGGGTCCGTCAGCGGGCCTTGGCCGTAGGAGAAGAATGTTGCTGGAAGACTGTTGCCCACTGCTGCCTTGAAACACCACCCAGGATCGTCCGAACAGTCTTCTTTGTTGTATGCTGATACCGGGCCCGGGTAAGTATCGCACTGTAAGTCCAAAGGCAAACTCACCCCAGAAGCCCCATCCAGCCGTCGTGTTCGCGTAGACGTTCATTTGCCCCTGGCAGAAGTCCTTTCGTGATTGGTCAGGATCGGACACGCTTGAGAGGCTCTCCGGAGTCAGAGCACACGACCATTCGTCAATCACAAGGTTCCGTCGTGCCTCCCCAGCCGCGGCAGCGAAAGAACCAGCGATTGAGGTTTCTACGTCTGTGGTGTGTTGAGTAGCTGGTTCCGCGTCGTCCGAGGGCGTGAAGACAAAGTAGGAATGGTGATCGACAACAACAAAATCTGTCCTGTTCGCTACGTAAGAACTGAACTGGTCGAGATCGAAGGCATCGTGGATGTAGAGGGGAAAAGATGCAGCTTGTATTGACGTCGCCCTCATGCTTGCGATAGCACGGTCGTCTGTGATTTGTGAGTATTTGAGGTCTTCGAAGAGCAATTGACTTACAGAAGTTCGGGAGTTCCGGGTCATCCTGAGGCTCGTTGAGGATCTCGATGCCGACAACGTTGGTGACGTTTACCAGCTGCTCCGCCAAGAATGTTAGAATCGATATCGTTAAGTTCATGTTGGCTTGACTGTTGAACAAGCCAGTGACGCCGTCGGAGACACCAGAATGAGGTTGGCCATTTTGACTACCTGGAGCGCCGTGGAGATCAACCAAGACACCCATCCCTGCTTGGCCAGCCATACTGATCGCTCGTGTAACCCTTGGCCATGAGTTTTGGTAGACGTCTGAGACATTCTCGAACGGAGTTCCCAGTGAGAATTGAGGTCCAAGACTCCAATAACCGATCGGCAGGCGGACAGTGTTGATCCCAATGCTCGCCAGGTATTCGAAATCGCTCTGGTTGATGAACGTATCCCAGTGATGTTCCAAGACCATCCTGGCGTTATCTGTGGAGTTCCACCCAGTCGCGATGTCGAGTTCCGATAATTGCTGCCCAGAAGCACAGGCAAAGACAGACGGAGTCATCCAAGCCTCGTGCACGAACCTATGAATGTCTGAGGTGGGATGTAGCTGTCCTTAGAGGAAATAGATACATACCAGGATCCCAGATTCACCGACTGCTGTTGCCTGTATCGATACACATTGGCCTTCGCTTGGTCAAAAGGAGGAAATGTCTGATTCTCGACTGCGAGCGCGGGATAGTACGGCGGCGTGCAAGGATCGCTGTATACGCCCTGGGTATCGTCTGACTGCAGGACAGGCTGTGCGGATCTCACGTCCCCCACTCCGTCTCCTTGTCCAACAGACGAAGTTCCCGGAACGCTTGCAAGGTCCGCGCCTGAGCTACTGGGTGTTGGTTTGTAGAGGCCCTGCGTCAAGCTGAGTGCTTGGAGCAAGGCGGAAAAGTACTGGCTGCTCAGAACCATGATGCGACCTGCGCCAGAGAGAAAAATCGAAGAAGCCGCAAGCGGTCAGAGAGAAAGAGAGAACCTGAGGGATTACGACTCCGGTGTCAACCTTCACCACCGAGTTATGAACCCGACGGCGCGAGGCTGACATTGCCGTTGAGGTGTAGACCGACGGGAGTAGCGCAGAGTTAGAGGTTCTAGACCTGCGGCATGTTTGTCAGGAAGTTCCTGAGAGCTGACAGAATGCAGTGTGAGCGAGCACTCCGTTGTGTTACGTCGGGGACATAATCATCGTTGACAGTCAGAGCTAGGACTGTAGGACTCGTAAGTCGGCTGAGCTTGTCATTCTGGCCCATACAAAGTTGGCAGTCGCGGCTGAAGCTGAATTGCCTTGTATGCAATGTATTGATCATACGCTTTACACGACGAAGGCAGTTGGAGGGCAGCGACATCCAACGTCTGAGCAATCGAGAAAGAGAGCCGTGGAAGTTATGCTTAAAAAGGAATTTATACGAGACTGCGAGCGCTTACATATGTATCCTGACTTGAATGTTCCTTTCCAATCCTTAACCATCACGGCTCTCTGCAGCTCATGGCATGCGCTCCGTTGTTCCATTGCCAGACCACCCAGAGTTGGTCATAACACACAGCAATGCTTGGTCAGAATATCGAGTACAAAACATTCGCTTGTGGAAAAAAGCCGACTCCACCGCACAGACTGTCGTTGAATGCTTTTGGGCAGACACGATCGTGTGCCTAGGGCTCTCCATGTTATGGCCTATCGTACGTACGTATCTTACCTACTTTATACCTGTGCTAACACTATATGCAGCTTTCTGGGCGTAATGCATGCAAGGCTGGACTAGCTGTCATGGTTGTTCTTTACGCCTACAGCAGATGTACACGGGTTTTATGGGGTATGTATCTGGACCTTCGACACCGTGATTATGATCTTACTATGCTCTTCAGAGTCTGTCGTGATTCTTCATTCCCTCGGCCTGCAGCTCGAGACACAGAGAGGACTACCTCTCGTACCGCTGTTCACGTCGCGCAGGTTCATACCTTTGACTTCGCTGCGCGACTTCGTCATCAACGAGGGTTTGCGAGGCTGGTCTGTCCATTACTATCTAGCTGTAATGCAGCAATCATCCAATGGAAACGTCACGATCGATGTTCCATTCCAGGTGCGTCATGCAACATGTTGACCTGTAGCATACTCAACGGCACTCTCAGAACATCATGCCGCGATTCCCTGTTCTTCTCGAAATATACCACGGAGTGCACGAGCTCCTATTCGACAGCCCTACAAGTAGCATATCACAAACATGCAACATATAAATACTATGCCGACTAGCAGACAACAGTATGGATGTTAACCAAAACACGACAGGAACGTTAGACGTGAGATAGCATTAGTCTTCACTTTCATACGCGCTCAAAAGGTCTCGATAACCTTCGTCATCCCCTTCGTCGGCGGAACTCTCTCGGCTGTGCTTCGGGCCCTCCCTCTCCCCCTCCCCTGACAGTTTCCGCCTCCTGGGCGAGTGCCCGTCAGTCGATACCTTGCGAACTCGAACTTCCCGTCCATCCGAAGAGATCTTCTGCGTGCGCACCTCACCGTTCCCATCGCCAGATGTTTTTCGTACACGCCTGATGTTCCGCGGAGTAACAGTAGTCGACACGACATTGTCAGCCTGGAACGACATAGCGCGTGGAGTCGTAACGTTATCCACATCGTCGTCGTCGGACCATCCAGTGGTCAAAGTGTTCTGAGCGGCCGGGCCATTCTCCGCGACGATGTTCTCCCGCGAGCGAGTCGTGGATAATTTGGGAGGAATCCGCTTCTGTTTCGAACGAGGACTCCGGGAAGGAGCTTGGGTGGCGGACGTGTCTGACGTGTCCCCCACAGACAGCCGAGGTAGAGAGTACAACCCCTTCGCGGGTTGAGCATCCATGTCGGAACTCATGTCACTCGCATCACCAATTGACGGAGAGCCCGTTCTTGATGTCGGCGCTTTCACTCGGACACCGCGATTGAGGTTGGACGTTGCATCCGCAGGTGTTTGCGGAGGCGGCGGAGAGGAACCCGCTGGAGGCGAGTCGGATACGTCGACATGATGCCAGCCTCTACTGCTACGACCATCGTCACTCCCTAGCTGAGTGGATGTCTCTGTGTCCATGCGTCGATGCACTATCTGCGGGCTTGACGTAGTCGAGGAAGTGGGAGTGACCCTTCGAGAGCCTCTAGCCATCGGCGAACGCGACGAGCGAATGGGTACAATCCTGCTGCCACCGGTGTCCGAGTCGATAGTTGTCGACCGAGAATGAACCGGGGAGAACGATGAGTATGACGATGTTGAGTCCCTCGGCGCGGGCGAGGTGCGCATCCCGCGTACATTATCCATTGACTTGTCAGACGAACCAGATAGCGGCGTGGTGGCAGGCGAGCGATTGGTCATCAATGAGGTTGAATTAAGCAGCAGTGGACGCGGTCCTGATTTCTTTTTCGCAGCCCTTGACTGGTCCTGCTGTAACCCAAACGAAGCAAGGGACGCGCGGACACCTCCGCTGCTCATTGAACCTGCATCGGACGCCGGTGATATATCGTCATTCGAGGGTGAAAGAGGGGAGCGGCCAGTGAACATGACACTATCCCTCGGTGGCCTGAAAAAGCCGGGCGAGCAGGTGGCGAGTATCCGTCCAAATGGGGCGGAAGTCCAGGGAGAGACCCGCCTCTTCGTTTCTCGCTCGCTGATCTCGACTGGTAGTCATCATTTAACGAGGCACGCCTGGGTCCATGTCGGGCGATCGTGGAAGGGGAGCAGTGGCAGGGGGCGATAGATACGTGGGGGAAGGGCCATTCGCACGTTTGCTCCACACGTCCAGGCCTTGACCTTCCAGTTCGTACTGACTTTCGCCAATGTGGCTGCTGCATCCGATTCCCTAAGTCTATCGGCATATCCCCAGAACTTTGAAGGCCCTGCCGACGCATTGCTCGCTTCGGAAGTCTCGGAGGGTGGTGGTGGGAGGACCTTCGAAGTCGTAGGCGGAGGGCGGAGAATGTACAGGCGATGGTGGCATAGGAGAAGCTGGTGATGTCGGTGAAGGCGGCGCCTCCATCGCGCTTTCATTGGAGATACCTCGCCAAACAGTACTCGCAAGGCGGGCGGTCAACGTGTTCGACTGGCCATTGGTGCTTGTCTCAGGTTCGTCTCGTCATCGTCGTCGTCCGTGGTCTCACTGTCGTCATGATCCTCGCTCGGTTCCGCTATTGAGGCGGTCTGAGCAAACCCTTTCCAAACAGTGTCTCGTAAACGAGCCCCGAGACTTGTGCTTGCCATCTTGACCCATTCTGCATGACCTGACGTTGATGAGCGAGATCGCACGCGCATTGTAGCAAGGCTTCGACTCCACCCGCACTCTCCAGAGGGTACCGCTGAAGGAACGTCATGCCTTCCGCGAATGCGTCCTCTAATTCCCGTGCAGCTAGCGGTGTTGATGGAATGGCAGCAAGTTCATCTGACCATAAACCGAGTGTTTTACGTTCAGGTCTGCCCAACCTGAAGACAAAAGCTCGATAGTGAACGATAGTCGAGCAATGTGGAACTTACCGAAGTAGAACGTTTTTCGTGCGAAGCAGCATACCGGTGCATACATCAACAAGGAACTCCAATTTCAAATTGGTATCGCGCTCCCTCATCGGCCGAGACAGTATGGCGTCCCAGACAGTAAGGAGGGGCCGAAGAGGTAACGTGTGCGTCAATACCGGAATGAGCCATCGGCTACGTATATCATTTAAGTGTACTGAAGTAGAAATGAATGCCACGACTCACAATGAGTAATGTGGAAGCGCAGGATCAAGGCCCTTGAGTTGCTATGAATCTGAATGAATGAACGTGAATTTTTGACGGAAGTAGCGTTGGCGTACCAGATCCTCAGCAAGCTCCGGGTCCGCCGAGTACAAGCGATCACTCAATTTTTGCGTCCATATCCTCCCGCCTTCTGCGTCATCTAGGTCTGCGAACTCGCCGACGAGTGCCTCGAAGAGCCAAAACACATCGGCCTCAACGTGTGCCGCGTCCTCAGGGACCATTTCCTCGACAAGCGCAGAGTACACGGGAACCAATAAGGAGCCGATATGGGGCGACTGATTGGCTGGATTAAGACAGGAATGGAGATAGAGTAGCCGAAGTAATGCAGACGCATGCTTAGGGTGTGCACCCATCGTACGCGAGCGCAATAACGTCATTGAACCAGAGGAGTGGACAGAAGATGCAGATGGAGACGGGGACGGTGGAGCGGAGGCTACGTCCTGATACGAGCCCTCGTCGTCAGAGGAGTCGCTTTGTGCGTCCTCTAAGCGGATTTCGGGTGTGCTGTCGAGTCGAATCTCGGGCGTAGAGTCGTCGGCCTCCTCAGAGTTTTGCAATTCGCGAATCATACGAAGACGTTCATCTAGGTTCTGCGCGCAAGGGATCTTGATATCGTCAGGGGCGGCCTCATCCAGAGGACAGAGCGGAACATCATCAGCAGCTTCTTGCAGAGCAAGCATCAGCTGTGGCGGTATTTGGGAGAATTCCCTTGACGCGTTCATCAGAGAGTCGTCAAGTGGCGTGAGAGGAGTGCCGGGAGGTGGCAGACTTGAGAATGGCTCAAGCAACCGACGCACGAGGTCCTATGACAACTATGAGGGACACTGCCGACATACTCGACGGATTGACCTACGTAGTAGTTCTCCCGACTCTTACGGCTAGCCTCGTCCCAAGTTGCTTTTCGGGAGGAAGTGTTCCCAACAAAAGCCTGAACCGACATGGGCAAAGCAATCATTCATGGATGTAAGCGAACTTACCTCCAGACCTTAGGTCTAAGCCACGGAGGATCGTCAGGTAAACCTGTAGCATCAAGCAGAGCTTGTCGTGACACGTACACCGAACAGCTAGGATGGCAAACATACCTTGAGAGCAGAGTATACGAAGGCGCATCAAGTCTACAACAGGGATATTGGACGGGTCGAGCATTTCCGAGATGATATGTACTCTTTCGAGTTTATCCACGGTCGTTAGAGCCGTACCTCCTCACGTTCACATCACTCACATCTGCTGTGGTAGGGGAGCCGGATTCCAATGAACACCTTGCGACTTGGCAATGGAGTACAAGTACTGGTCCAGCTGGACAGCTGATGCTGGTTGGGTTGAGAGCGCCCTACGAACCTAAATTCCAATGAGCTCCGAACTTCACATCGTTCGCTTCGGGCGCATACCCTTGTTGACACATAATCGTTCACAGACCGCATGAACTCCGGCCCCAGTCGTTGAGCGAGATGGTCCCGTACCGAGCGAAGCTCTGCGTCCACAAAGTCGGAATTTGCAGGTTGAGTGTACTTTGTATGGCATACCTTTAGAATCTATCTGTGGAGCAGCAACAACGATGCTCGCAGCAGCTTCCAACATTACAGGACTAGGTGTATCCCTGCCCAGAGTTGAAGACCGACTGCACGCGCGCGCTGTGAATGAACTCACTTTCGCTCCAACTCCCCCAGATGCCCGACAATCATTCCAACATGCATCTCCAGAGTCTGCAGCAAGTCGATTAGAGCATCCTCATTCATCAGCTTCTGCGCCTTCGCGCGAGCTAACGCGACGTTGTCTTGCTGAAGAAGGGTAACAATGTCTCTCCGCGTGATTTGGGCTTGGGAGTCCATCCGGTCTTGCATCTGGCCCAGCCGCTGTGCGGTTACCCGCAGCTGAGACTATGTTTCAAGGTGAATGTCATTCATTAGACCTCAGCGGGAGCACCGAACCTTCATCTTCGCCGGTTCCCAATGTGTCATGGCGAAGCGGTAGCACAGGCGAAGGAAGATGTGTCCGAGTTTCGAAATTTCACCAGTACCGTGGCAGTGACAGCGATGGCCGCGCAAAGCTAGGGGAAGATACAAAGCATGGAGAGCAAGACGAGGCTTGGAATGAGCTGGCTCAGGCGAACACGGCGGTAAGTCGCCTTGCGTGTGCAGGCGAAGTGCGCTGCGCACGTGGTGTGCTGTGAGATCTCAAGATGCTTGATGGATCCGGCGGCACCGAACAACTGGGTACCACAGCGGCGCGGCAACCATGGCAAACTCAATGCCAATGCATCGACCTGAACAAAGACGCTACTCGGTCATTCAATCAGACAACGATACAGTGATAACATAAGGAGCGCGGGTTGCTTCGTAAACAATTTGACTACACATATGAAGACAGTTCAAGAACAAGCGTACAACAATGACAATGTCCCAAGAGCTAGTAAAATTCTTTCGGCCTCCCTTTCGACAACTTCGACGATTGAGAGGAAGAGGACTTTGCTGACTGCAATGAGATTCGCTTCTCAATATCAACAGCTCGTGTCGGTGCAAGGACAGGTACAGCGGGCGGCTTAGCTCCTCCACCTCCCGCTTCGAGCAGACCAGCAAATGCACTGGATCTAACACGCAATTGCTCAGGCGGCGGAGACATCATGGGAAGCTCAGATTCCCGTTTCTCGCGTAAGATGACGGTCTGAAACTCTGGATGCTTCCAGCCCCAGTACACCATGGCGGCCAGGACGCCGGAATATATCAAGACTGTAAATGCCAGGACAATCAGCATTGCGCTATGCGCTCAAGAAATTCGCAAACGCACGAAGTGTGGGTATGACCCATACGCTGGCCAAGATAGCCATGTTGATGCGTCTGCAAGTAGCCACTGTAACAACTTGAGCTTCGAATCCAGAGATGGACGAGCAAACAGCGTACCGGGATCCGGGCATCTGAAGGCTGAGAACCATGCTGTGTATATGGCGGACGTGCCTGTTCGGAGGCATAAGAGAAACAGCGAGTGTCAGGGGAACACAACTCGCCGATTTGAAAGAAGACAAGGCATATCAGCCGAACAGCCTCCCACAATGGGGTATATTGGATAAGGAGCCTGTTACTGACATGAGTATACTCGTCCTACGTGGCCAAGAGATATGCTTACATTGCAGGAAACATGATAGATGTGAAGGAATTGATAAGGATCAGGAGCAACACAATGTTTCCTTGGGGGATAGGCTAAGAGCGGAAGTAAAGCGTATCAGCGAACGAACTTACTTTGGGAATCGACTGTCACATCCTCTCTGACGAACAACTCTACGCACAATAGCGTCGTCCCAACCAAGCTCAACATCGTCATCAATGCTGACATTGTCAATGGAAATGCAATCAGGGTGGTAGTAAGACGGGGGAACCAAATTCACCTACCGAAGGCGATGAGCCTGACCTTGGAAAAGATCGGCGGAAGCTCAATGTTCGCAAGGGTAGTAGCAAGCATGGCTGAGTGGGTTTCTAAACACTATGGTTGATGGGTCTTGCCAGGGAGGAGAGCACTCCAGGTCGAGATATCGCACAATACCAGCCAGTTCTCCCAGAGATAACTGGACGAGGAGCAGGCAGCAAGTCAATTGCTCGTGCAAGGCCAGGAAACAACAGACAGACGCATGCAGGCCCTACTCAAAAGAGCCTCATCGTCAGAGTTGGAAAAAGGTGAAAGCGGGAGACGGGGGAAGAAGAAAGGTTTGCTGCAGACGCCACTGGCAAGTCCCCATCATGTTGCCGCGCAACCGCCCATGCGGATCCTTTGTTAGGTACGCCACCATTGTTTCCCTGTTAGGAAGGTCTTCAAGAAGGCGAAGTACTTCCGGCACGTAGAGCACGTGTACTGTCAGGTACTGTCGCGATCGGCCTACGTTTCAAATACGAGGTAACAGGGTAGTTGTTACATGCCTCTGAACAGTAAGCAAGACTACGACGACGACGACGACGACGACAACGACGACGACGACGAGGAAATTCCATTTCGTCACCCACTGGCAACTACCGGTACCGTACCAATGACAGTCGCGAATCCGAGAGGCTCCCACTTGTCTGTATCTAGCCTACCGCATCCTATTCTCACTATTGCACAATGACAATTACGAAGTATGCACTTCTCGCGACTGTCTGAAAGGCCGACATTGTGTTGCTAACAGGCACAGAATCAAAGGCAGGAAGAGCTAATGTATTACGATAATAAGATATAACTAATGAAGAGACATCTAAACTAAATCTTCTACGACATGAGCACTGCGTGAAGGCCACGAGCTGCCAGCGTAAATGATAGCTTAATCAAAATCACGTCCAGGATACATTCGTCACAAGAGGATGTCGTGTAGAGGGATGTAAGGCGTTGCATCGACGTCACGTTCGTGTAGGAAACCAGAAGGGCAGTGAACGCAGCGCCCTACAGTTCGGACTCCCCACCAACAGTCCACCGTCGCAGGCCGTGTGGATCGTGACCACCTCCATCCGCGTCCGGCTCTGGGAATGGCTGGGGAGCGGTAGTGCGCCTTCCCAACGACATGCCCAGGTTGGCTTTCCATTGAGGAAGCAGGGTGTGACTTGCTTTGGTAGATGAATATCCACCACATGGGCACTTTCATTGTCAGCTCGGTGTGGGCGGTGGAGGTCGTGAGAACGTGATTGCAGTACGAGTAGCCTCGATCGGCGCGAGTGACTGTGGGCGCACCCCTCCAGCGTGAACGGAAGTCGCGAATGCTCGGACGTCTTGAGAAGCATCATCTAGCAGAGGTGCTGTGAGTCCGAGCACCCGGCTCATGACCGCGGATTGTCCCTTGCCGTAGACATCTAAGATTGGAATCTAAGTACTCTGTCCATCCTTGAGGACATGTTGTTAGACGTACCGAAAATCGTCCCAAGCAAGCGGGCCACTCGGATGCGCACGTCCACAATAGGATCGTGAGTGAGCGCAGATAGGATTTCCCAGTATTCGTCATCTGGGACGACGAAGTCTCTATCGTTCGACTCGAAGAGGGATTGCTCGCATCTCACGAATGTTGTCCGCTCGCGATACGCATCTGAGCGGGCGAGTGCCCTGATGTTGGAGCGAAGTTCGTTCGCCTTAGGGACTGCTCGCCAAGCGTGAACGAACGCAGGGAACTGTCGAGAAAAAATTAGCAGGGCTCACACGCTAAACGATATATCACTTACGACCGCTATTGCAGCCTCTCTGATAGCGGATACGTGATCGCCAAGCGCGCGCATCAAGAGATCTTTGAGGACCTCTTCATCTAGACCGCTGATGTCCAAAAGAGACGGCAGGCTCTTGACAACCTCCTCTCGTTCCCTCCAGCCTTTGAGCCGTCGTGTTGTGAATGCTTCGAAGAGTTTCCGCACAACTTCACTCCGTTCCGACGGCCCCAAAGCACGCACAAATGTAGCCGCGCACTCTATAGTCTTCAGACGGACCTCCGTTTCCTCGGCATCAATACTGGACCACCATACGTCGAGGACGTCCTCTTGAGCATATGCGGGCCCGACGATCTTCGCAATCTCGCCCAAGGACGCGGCGAGTGTCCGTCGGACCTTGTAGGACGGGCTGCGCGCAAGTGAACGGTACAACGGGCGCAGCTCCGGCCAGCGATCCCTCCCCAATGTCAAAGCAACGGCTGGGAAGTTGAAGGCGCATACGAGAGGACGTGCGGGGTCATCATAGATGTCATGCGAGCTGATGACTTCTGGCGACTCTGCAATGTCGCTGAAGCTTGACTCCGAAGATGGGCCGGATCCTGGCATGCGAGCCAATGGCGGTTGACTGTCGTCCTCGCGGCGATTTGGAGGTATGTGACCGTCCCGGATGCCCAGGAAGATATTGAGCAGCTCCCCAGGCGGGCCGTCCGAATCTCCGTGGAACGCGTAGATCACTTCGCCAAGGGATTCCAGAACGGCCGATCGGACGGTAGGAGACTCGTCTGACGCGAGTGGTAAGATGACGTCAAGCGCCAGAGACCGACGACGTTGCGGCGACAGCTTGGAAAGGATTGCCGGAAGCGCAAACAGGACCGAGTGTCGGACATGCCAAGTTGGGTCCTGGTACAATGACACAAATAGAGGGAGCTAATCCAGAAATCAGGTTTAAAGAACATCGCAAGTAGCAGTTCAATCCACATACCAAGGTCGAGGTGACAAGTTCATTCTGAACAACCTTGGCCAACGCGCCGACGGCAAATGCGGCCTCGCGCCTGACCCAGTAAACCGGGTCGCGTCCTACACGTTCTACCTCGGTCACGAAGGCGTTCTGCGTCTCCTCCTTCAAGCCACCTATATAATTTTCAGCATTGACATAAGTCAGTCCAGTATCAAACATGAGCACTGAGCAGAGCGACTCATCAACAGAGTCCGCTCCAAACGAATGACACATACCGCTCGCAGTTACAGCTGCCATCAAGCTCATACTCGACAGTCTCCCCATCGCAGCCTCTTCGCTGATGTCGCCCTCTTCCTCGCCAGCCATCTCGACCTCCTGGGGACTGACGTCCTGCATGCTCACATCGCCCTCGGGAAGGCCAGCGCTGAGCCATGCAGACAGCGGTGTTCCTCTGCTCTCTTGCGGTCCAGTGATGGGCGTTTCTGCGGCGGCCGAGAAATAATCTCCGCCTTCAGAGTTCTCCTGAACAACGTCTAGCCGGTACGGGGCAGGGCTTGCGACCTTTACAGGCGTCATGACGACGTCCTTCTCCGCGCTGATGGTCGTTTCGGAGTAAGGGCCGGATACGCTCGATTCAAGCTCCATCTCGCCTGGTGACGCAGATATAGCGGAGTCTGAGATTGCCAATGCAGAACTGCTGTTGCTGGGCGTGAGCAAGGATGTCGACGAATCCGTTGAGATCGACGACGATGTCGACGAAGAAATCAGCGAAGGCGTGGAGCTTTGCGAATCGATGGAGTTCGATGAAGTCGAGCCAGAGGAAATGTCAGCAACGACTGCTGTCGGCGCGAATGGAGGGGAGGGCGAGAGCACAGGGGAGGGCTGGGTTGTGACTTGAACACCCGCGGACGCTAGTGCTGAGTCAACGACAGAAGGTTGGGGAACAGTGGCGGTCGGAGTGGTTTGCATAGGCGAAGAAACACCCCAGGCAGGCGTGTTAACCGCCGCTTCCCTACGGGGAGAAGGGGGCGGCAGGTTCAGCTTGAACGCGGGGGGCGTGATGATGCCTTCCATCGACGTCTCCTCGGCTGCACTGTGTGCCATCTGACCAGTCGGAGAGGAAGCTGGCGCCGCGGTGGGGTGAATATGGGGTGCGAATGCGGGGAAATACGAGTCATGAGCAGCTCCGGCGGGGACAGCGAGCGGTGTCGAACCCGCAGTAGAGGTATCGGGTCCAGGTGGCGTCTGAATCGGGTACTCCAGACTTTGCGACTCCGTAGTGTCACGGTGGTGTTCCCCGGTGCTGCGTGGTGTCGAGATTGTCGAGAGCGGCCCTTCGTCTGTATCCGGCAAGTCGAGACGGCCCATGCCAATGACAACTTGGTGGACAACCTCGCGCTCGAGGAGGCGCCGCTCATGCTGCTGAAGAAGGCCCACGTCGAAGTCAGGTCGTGGCTGTTCGTCCTCGGCCAGGGGATGGGGAGGTCGGCCGGCCTCGCGTTCGTCGGCATGCCAAATGCGCTTGAGCAGTTCGACGACGGCATTACGGGCGGGCGTGCCGACAAGAGCATTTTGGCTGAGAAGCAACGTCCCCAAAATTGGGGTGAAGGCCTGCACGGAAATTGTTATGACGTCTGCTTCATTTGACGGGGCTTGCTGCTCGCGTGGCTGCGGCGTGGCACCAGTTGCCTCTGCAAGCATTGGGATGCCCTCATCCTCAACGACCTGACAGTGGGTTATGAACCACCACATGATGCTGATCAGCTCCGAAGCGAGTGCCTCCTTGACGGTTTCATCTGGTGGGCGTCAATACCAGTCGAAGACAGCGAGTACATACCGGTGACATAACGCAGAACAGCAGAGCGATGGATGTGTGGGTCGTGTGGTACACGAGCGAGGATGGGTGGTGACAACCCGGTGTTAATATGCGATCGGCATGAGTTGGTTAGCGAGATGAAGGCGACCACAAGTCGACAAAAACGCATGGCGAGATAGCAAAGAGAGCCAATCACACATAGAGGGGTACAGAGTACGTAAAGCGCGCCGTAAGCCACCGATCAGAACATCATACAACGAGACGTACCTTCGTCAAGGGCGAGGCCGTTGAGCAACGGAAGCACGTATTCTACCGCGTCCGCAGGGGCGATTTGATCGACCTGTTCACGACTTGGGTAATGCCCGCCTTCCACGTCTTCTGCGCCCAAGTACCTTGGCAAGGCATGTACGATGAAGACGCGGTGGAAGCCAGCCCGACTCCGCGAGAATAGGTAAATCTTCTCGAGGGCATTGAGCCCTTCCGAGTCGAACTCGGTGAAGTCCAGGTTGACGTCCGCCTGAACAGCGTCGGCGCCCGTCGGAAATGCCGCGTCATCCAGGTTGAAGAATGAAGCGGACTCCTGCGCAAATGGCTGCGCCTGCTCGGAGCCAATAGTGAGGGCATTAGAGCCGGCTCTGGACGGTAGCAGGTCAGCTGCCGGAGGCTGAAGCAGGGGTGGAGATGGTGTCGACGTCGAGTTGCTGAGGATGGGTGGCGGGATCGCGATCTGGAGGCCGGCGCCCCGAGTACTAGCACCCGAAGTGCTCGACACGCTTCCCAGCGGGTCTGCGAGGTCCGCGGCGGTCTGCGATAGCATCGCCGGCATGCTGGGCGACTGAGGTAGCAGCTGCATGTCCTCTGTCGACTGAAGTTCGTGCACGAAATATTCACCTGGGCTGTCTGGGTGAGCAGGACCGGTGGAGTGTCTCCGCTGACGCAGGAGTGCCGGCGACGACCTCGACTGAACCTGGGACAGTGAAGGACGTCCGATGGTCGGGAAAGGCCCGACGATAGGCTGAGGTGCAATGATGCCCAATCCAACGGCATGAGGATTGTACGGCGCTCTCTCAGGCTGTTGCCGCTGCTCGAAGAAGGGGTTGGTAAGGCCTGGGGACGACGGTGCTTCGGAAAAGGGAGAGGGTGGCGCAGTGGAAGCAGGGGAGCGAGGATATCCTGTGCTAGAAGTCGATGAGCGGGAGGACGAGCTACAAGCGCTCGAGGCGGAATTATCTGTGGTCATGTACAAGCGGGGAAGAATAATGACAGGATGATTCCCATGAACGGGAGAGCTGGGCAGATGTTCAGAGCGCGGTTAGAGGGAGTCAGAGGACAAAATAGGGGTACGCACGAGAGGCGGCGGGCGACGGGCCCTAGGTGATGGGAGACGACAAGGAAGACAAGCGCGGAAAGTGAGGAAGTCGTGTATGGCGTAATAAAATTGGGCACACTGCGGCACAATATGAAAGCTCGAGATGACGCAAAGTAGCGGATGCAGCGAGCTCGAGGCTGGAAAATCAAGAGACTAGGGGTGCGCGATGCTGTGGACGACGAGGATGGCGCGGTGGGTGGTGTGACATATGTTGGGCAGTGGGCGTGCGGGGCGGGTTTAGTAGGCGGGCGAATATTGGAGACACAACCACGGGCGGACACGCCGGGCGCGGACACGGCTGTACGCGCGGACAACAGGGCGCAGGACGTCCGGAAAGACGGCGGGGGCCGGCGGCAGAGCGGACGGCGACACGGAGGCGGATAGCGCGACGCGGCGGTGGCAACGGCGGGCAGCGGCGGCGGGAGAGCGAGAGGGCCGGCCAGAAGAGGTGAGGGACTCTGAGCAGAGACGGTGCTGGAAAGGGAAAGGACAGAGCAGTCGCCACAGGTGGCCGCGGGCGAGTGATGTGCAGCGGCGCAGGGAGCAGCCAACGCTCAGTCGGCCACTGCCATTTGCGCTGCCCGATGATGTCATCCGCCCTTCTGGCCTTCTCCCCCTTCTCGCCCGGCTCTCCGGCGTCTGTCAGGCACTCTCACGCGACGTCATTTCCCACGCCCGCACCGTCGTCCAGATCAGGCCAAAACCCTCCTCCCGCTCGGGACGGCCGCGCTCGGCATCTGTACACACCCAATACAATTCGTCCGTCCAATACATTCGACACACGCCCCTATTGGCCCCCACCCGCACCACCGCCTGGCCCCCGCCGCTCTACAACTGTCCCCGCACCACCCTGTCCAGACACTCTGCAAAGTACCGCACGTTGTGGCTGTTGAGGCCCGCCATCGAGATCCGCCCGTTCGTCGTCAGATATACGTGTGCCTTCTCCGTCAGCGCGAGGCTCTGCTCGGTCGTGATCCCGGTAAAGCTGCAGGGACACAGTGTCAGCATGTCGCGGCACGTCGCAGCCTCGCCGAGAAATGGCAGCGTGCGCGCCTAGACGCGTATCACGTCAGCCGCGTGGCAGGGACCCGCCGGAAGCGCGGTGCCTTTAGCCCGACGATCGCAATTGGGTCGGTGCGCTCGCCCAATCGCAGCTCCGCGGCGGCTGTGCAGCATCCAATCAGCGCAGCCGGCCGACGCCGCACGTGAGGTGCTCAGATCCTTCCGCGATTCCGCGCAGGCGCGCAGTGTGTCCGCAGTGCAGGGCAGGCACACTCACCGCCCTCGCCCGATCGAGGGGCAGGAGGGGAACGCAGCAGCGGATACAGCGTGCACGCAAACACACCGGCCTCTGACCACAACTGCCTCCCCGACCAGCGCGGCGGGCACGGTGCCCGAGAAAGCGCGAGACTCCCGCGCTAATCACCTATCCTGGGTGGACACGGAAGTCTCTCGGCACTTTCCCATGTGGTCCCCGCATCCCGACGGCGCGGCCGCAAATGTATCCGCGCCCTCCTGTCTCCGGCTGCCGAGTGGGCCTGCGCGGTTCGCTGCGGGCGCATGCAGAAGTGGGGCAAGGATGCAGACGAAGCAGCCACCGAACCGCACCTCCACGAGCAAGGTGCAGCCCAGGCCCGCCCATCCCACCAACCTCGTACTGAGCGTGACAAACTGGGCGTCTCCGCACTCACCTGAACATTCCAATCTGCTTCACGATGTGGTCCCAATTGCCAGGCGTCTTGAGGTCCTCTGTCAGCAGGCGGTGGAGCTCCTTCCGCATCGTAATAATGCGCTCCGCCATCGTCTTGATGTCGCGCTTCCATTCCTCAAAGAGCTCGGCATTGTTCATGATGAGCGCCATCTGTGGATTCAGCGCAGCGGCGGAAAATCGCGCGGAGCCACCATACAGCGTTCAATTTGCGACGCATGTCAGTCAGCGAGAGTGGTGCGTGAAATTTTGGACGGAGCGAATTTTGCGTCGGTGTCCTATTTCCATCGGGGGAATAAATAGGACGTACCACTCGGGCGCCATATGCAGGCGGGCTACTGATCTCGCTACGGGTCAGAATTGCGAGCTGGCTCTTGACTCGGACCGCAGCCTCCGACGACGGCGACACTATGTGCAGCGCACCGACGCGCTCGCCATACAGACCGGCATTCTTGGCAAAGCTCTGCAACAGCAATGCATCACGTCACCAGATGGCCACAAGGGATGAACGAGATTTCATCAGTCGGTCTCCAGTGATGCCCGCACCGCTTCAACGACATACCTGGCAGATCAACAGCGGCACTCCGCGTTTCACGAACTCCCGCACAGCCCAGGCATCTGCATCAAGGTCACCGCTGGCGAAGCCTTGGTATGCCGAGTCGAAGAACACGTAGTGGCCGCGCTCCAGAACGACATCCGCAATCTGCAGCCACTGCTCTCGCGTCGGGTCCACACCCGTGGGATTGTGTGCGCAGGCGTGGATGACGAACACAGAGCGTGGGGCTGCCGCCTTGAGGAAGGCAAGGTATTTGTCGAATGCGAGGCCAATAGTCGCAGGGTCGTAGTAGGGGTATGTCTCCGGCGGAATGCCTACACCGCGGAGGATCTGGAAATGATTGACTGCAGTTTGCCAATGGCGAGTGTAACAAACATAGCCAGGCCAGAGTCAGAAGAGAACTGACAGCACGGGGAAACACATTGCGTACCCCAGGTCGGATCACTCAGATACGCCACGCGGGGCGTGCCCTCATCCCACTGGTAGAATCGGCTCAGGAACAAGGCGCCGACGTGGTTCGCGCCTGTGCCGGAGATGGTCTGTACACTCGACACGCGTCCCTCGAGTAGCGCGGGTGAGTCGGGTCCCAGGATGAGACGCGCGGCGGCGTTCGTGAACTCGGGAAGTCCAGTGATAGGCAGGTACTCGTGGTCGAGCGCGGGGTCATTCAAAAGAATGTCCGTCGCCTATGATAGAGTGCCCTGGATAAGCCTGGTCGCTTACTATGCAGGCGGAGTGTGAGACGCACCTTCTTCACGACGGGCAGCACCCACGGCTTGCTGTTATCATCCCTGTATGCTCCAACACCGAGATTGACCTTCTGAGGGAACGTATCATCCTTATAGGCATAGGTCAGTTTGTAGATGCTATCGGATCAGCATGCGTTAGCACGCCGGTGCGGTCTCGGAGAACCTGTGACAGCTTACGGGTCGGGGGGAGCCAGGGGCACGCCATCCCATTTCTCTGCGGTGATATAAATACCGTGTGAGGGACGGGAATACAGAGCGCAGATACATAGAAAAGCGGAAGTGACTCACCTACTTGCACGGTCGACATCTTTCTACCGCTGAGATGGTCAGTAACTTGTCTCAGTCTGCTCGCCATCGTCCACCGGGATGCACAACAGGTTCAGAGAGCGACGCTCGGGATGCAGCAGTGCGGACTCACGCAGCCGGATACCCTCACCAACGCGATGCGGGGTATTTGAAGCGAAGAGGCGGGGACGCGACACACGTGATTGCGCGATAGCTGATGCGCCCGAATCAGAAAACACGCGGCAGGCAAACGCGGGGCGACCCACCAGGTGAAGGATGCGGACGTCGCACTCGCGCCAGGAGCGAGCGAGGAGAGCTTATATGGTGGGCGTCCGCGGTGGAGGTACGACTCGCGACGATCAGACCACGATCAGCCTCGCCGGAGTCTCCGCGATTACGCGATAACTGTCTTCACTCTGACTCTGAAGCTCATCTGCGCCCCGGTCTGCCCTTCCGAAATCACTTGTCACAGGGCAGGCGACGCTGGCGGCGGCGGGGCTAGACGGACCTGGAGGGCGCACCGCGCGGCGACCATCCAGTCACCCGCACAATGGCCGCGCGCGGCGCCGCCAACCTCCACTCCCGCCATACATATCAGGGAGTCTGACAGGGACAACCTAGCACACCTTCCGCTAGGTGACAGCACGTCAAGCAATCTGAGGAGAGGAATATGCTCGAGGGGGGCACACGCCTTGGGCAATTGGTGAGTGCCAGTATAGGGTCAGCTGTCGGCGGCCTGGGCAGTGGTGTGTACAGCAGTGGACATGATGAGAGAAAGAGGTGCGACAGGCTGTCGATGGCGTCCACGTTACGCTTGTTCATTCTGCCAAGTGCTGCTATGCTACGGGAACATTTACCTATCATTCCCGCTGGGGCGCGTTTCAGCAGATGCTCACACGATCAACACACCAGTACCGTCCAGTTAAGCCGCTCTATAGCGAGGAGACATCCCATTAAATAAGACCGCCGAGGTGTAAAGAACAGGGGTCACCAGGAATACCCATGGAGATGAAGTATATGTGTGTACATTAATATATGCGATGCGTCCGTGAGATCGTAAGCGCGAGTCATGTATGGGGGAGAAATGCAGATGGCGATGGATATGACCTGACCTGCGGGGGATACGGTGGTGGGCGAATGAGAGCAAGGAAGGCGCAGGAGCCAGCAGAGAAGAGGCAGTGGAGGGAGGATGGAGCCGGACAGGCAGGTCATGCCATCGCCATCTTGGACGCTACCGTCCGTTCACTCTCCAGCTTCGCCTTGTTCTTCTCGAAGGCCTGTTGTCGACAGCTCTCCAGGTTCTGGCAATTGTGATGCTCAGGCATGCGGTGCTATAGAACGGGGGAGGGGAGGGGATATCATTAGTTCGAGCCGGGAGGTGAATGCCATTGTTACGCACCGCACCGCAAAACTCTGCTCGACAATGTGGGCATTGTCCGACGAGACGAAGAACGGCCGAGTTGCATCGGGGTTCAGCTTGGAGTTGGCAGCGCTTCTTGGCGGGCATGATGGCTGTGGTCGTTCGTGAAGTGAGGCGGAGGAGTGTAGAGCGACGGATCACTGGGAGGGAAGAAGGCGTCAACCACAAGGCTCGGAGTGGTATAGTATAGCAGCAGGGGACACTTACGATGCTCGGGCGTCGGTGGGCGGGCGAGGTGGTGGGCAGTAGATGGGGGCAGGAGGCGGGCGAGGAGGCGGTTTATAAGGTGGTAGGGAGGGGACGCGTCAGCTCGTCGCAGACTTGGATCTGAGATATGCACGTGGAGGCGCTGCGACGATATGTCAAAGATCCCCCGCCCCGATCTGCCCCGGCTTCCCAACATGCCGCATCCTCTCCTCCGACGACCCGCGCCTCGCCACTGCCTCTCCCTCCGCCCGTCCTGTCTTCCTCGCGTCCCCTGCTGCCCCCACAGCCTGTCGACCCGCTCTCTCGAGCTGCTCGTTGCTGCCACCGTCGACGACCTCGCGAGCCCTCTCGAGGCCACCAGTCCACCGAGCATGCTCTATCCTGTCCCCGTCGCTTGCGCTTATCCGCCCGGCACGTCTTTCCGCCTTATCCTGCGGAAGCGGTCCGTGTCAATGGCCAACACAGCGTTCGTCGGACAGGCGCGCTCGGACACCATTCAGTCCTGACAAGGAAACAACCGGAAACAATCGACGGTCACCAGGTACCCAGGCGGGTTCAGCGGGTCGAGTTCTGTTGTGCGCGGATCGGCGCGTCGCTCAGGTTTGAACTGCAATTTTGTCTGTTCTTGGGCGGTTCTCTGTGCTCTTGTCTCTGGAGAAGCAATTATTTCTGCTCCCCCCCTCTCATGCTGCCGCTTCCGTGAGAGATGGGCAATTACAACTCTCCTACTGGCTGTGTTCCGGCCTGGGTCGCAGTCACAAGCCTCCGGTTCGATGTTCAAAACCTTCTTTCGGTCTGTACATCTCGCACATCCCTCGGCCGCAAGTATGCGATTGCTGACATTCCGCGTTCTGGATCTGCCGGGACTGAGCCAGCGTGTGGAGCGCCTGCCCAAGGTGGATCTGTCCCTGTGTCAAAAATCACTTGGTATCTCTCAATCTAGCATCAGTCTGAGCCGCAACTGTTGCATGCCTGCGCCGCACCGCAACCTTGCGCCAAACACGCAGCTCTCATTGCCACACAGTGTGCAGGCCAACAACACGAGGCATTCATGAGCAGGTCGTTTCGCACTTGGGTTTCCGGAATGTCACAAGAACTCGCTCGCCGCAGAATTCTAAGAAGTAATTTACAAGGCGGGCAAGCATCAGACCAATAAGAAAAGGTATCAACTCGTTTGACATGTGGATAGCGAGAGGTGCATCTGTACGCTAGAGCACATGAGCTGCCGTCGAGGAACGAAGTGGGGTGTAGGGTGATGTTCATGTACAGTATTCGAAGAACAGATACAAACTGGACTACATCGGGGAAACCGTCCTTGTCCTGCCTGAGTCTGCGAGAGCAATGGAAAGAAACAAGTACGTAGGCATGCAAGCCGGCATCTGCCATCGATGTCCTACTTCTTTGTGTTCTGGTTCTTGAGAACTTCAACGACGATGATGATGGCAACGATTATGAGGATGATAAGGAGAAGCCCGAAGCAGATCCATCGCTTCTTGCGTGCTGCACGCGCAGACACGACAGCTTTCTCCGTGTAGTTCAGTCTAGAAAAAGACGATCTGTGAGCAACAGACATCCCTTCATACATGTCCGTACGTAAACTCACCCTAGCTCCGTGTCTTTCTCAACGGAGGCTGCTGTCGTCTCAATGACGTTGATTTGTTCCTCTTGTTGCTCAACGAGGACACTCATCTGGTGTAACACGTAAGTCTTCTTCACATCGGACGTTCTACAGGCAGGACTTACATCGTTGAACAGCTGGGCGAGCTCAGTCAGAGTCTTCTCGATACGCCGGATATCCTCGTGCCGTTCCTGCACTTCACGGTACGCGGATTGTGCTTGGCCGTAGCGGTTCGAGTTCATAAGCTGATATGACGTTAGTCCGTGACTGGAATGAGATGATGCTACACACTCACAGCTTGACTGAAGATTTGGCCACCCTGGTCATCATTGACAACAGCCCGGACCTCCTCTGGTGAGGCATCCGGCTTGACGATCTTGAACTGGCGCTCCATCCGCTGCTTATACTTTGAACGGAACTGCTGCTCGACGCTCTGGTAGCTCTGGATCGCCTCAACGAACTTCTGCTTGACCAAGCCTGTTTGTTGCCTGCGGATCTGACCATCCCGCCCTGCACCAGGTGAGCGCTCGAGAGCCTTTACCCGTCGCTTAAGGGTTGTGCTAAGCGCGCTTGTGTCCTGAACGAGTTCGTCGAGCTGCTGGGCGACGCGCTGCGCTGCAGCGTCGTCAGTGTTGTCCAACGAGCGGGAGTGGAGTTCGCCGATGCGCGCGACGTTGTCGTTGAAGGTCCGGAGGTCATCTTGGATGGAGGAGATCTAAAGCACGACATGAATGAGTACCCATGCTCGTTTTCGACTCATCATACGTGGCTTGCAGCTCAGGCTTCGCTCTCGGTTTACGGCTACATCAGAAAAGCCCGACACTACCCACTGCATCACGTATGTAGCTATCCGGAAGCTCCCCGCATGAGACGGCCGCAACCAGCAGCCGCGAGTTTGCACGGTCCCGCGATGCACGCCTCGAACAGAGCCTTGCAACCCTGTAATTTGGGGGAATGGTGCACCAAACCTCAGCGCCTTACATGATTATGAGCGCTACACAGCAGCAGCGGAGCTTGCACCCCATCATAAGCGGGACCGCCGTGGGCGCGAGCATGATACGGTATGAGAGCTCATGTGGTCTCCCTTGTGGACCATTCACCAGCAGCAACATCACCAACAATAGGTCAGAACCGGAGAAGGATCATTTGGGAGGGTCGGGCAACCATTGCAACGCGCTTCGTCACGAAGCGCCAGCGACTCCACATAGCTTCGAGTCGCTGTCGTAGCCGCCCCGACGAACAATGCAGTCTGACACGAGGCAAAGGACCGAGTAGGACCGAAAGCGCAGCCCAGAGCATCGTGCAAAAGCCGTGTCGCGCGAGATAGACTCACCTCAGCATAGAAAGCAGACATGCTGTCTGTTGCGCCAAGGGCGGTCGTGCTGTCCTTCGCCGCCGAGTCGAAGCTGTCCATGCTTGCAGCTCCGCCATACGGCAGCCTTGGCTGAGTCTGCATGGGGTAGGAGTCGCTACAGACGAGACTGTGAGCACACAACACGCAGGCAATGGTAGTCGACAAACGTGTGGGTCTGTTGCTGAGCCTGGCGTTGAGAACGACTTGTCAGTACCCATAGACGACGCTACCGAGGCATGCGATGCACTCACCCTCAGCGCCGCGAGTCTGTCTCTGGCCATGGTACCGAGCAATTAGGTGTGGGGTAGTAAGAGGAAGGGGTTGTAGTGGTGCGGATGAAAGAGGTGGTGGGCGGTGGTAAAGGCGTTAATCAAATTGAAGACAGAAGCAAACAATCAATGCCGCTTCCACCAGGGAGGAGCGAAAGGTTGGCTGGGAGTCCTATGAGAGGCCTGGGGAAAGAGCGGGAGGGGCACGGCGTTCTTGAACACCAGCGGGCAGTGCGAGTGGCTGTGGTTATTCCGGTTTGTGATGGGCCGCCGAACGCGCCCAGTTGCCATAGACGCCACTTAGGCGCCCGCTTCCATCGTCTCGCGGGTCTTTTACAGTGTCAGACTCGTCCAGTCGGCGCCTTGTACAGTCAAGAAAGGCTACATTGTGGATGTACGACTACATTTTTTGTGCAGAGCCTAAGTATCAGCTGCGCCATCACTGCTACCACTCCTATTGGCTGCGCGACTTCCACGATGGTCTCATTCGGCCAACGCAGCACGCAGCACGTCAATCTGCCTTTCCACCATCGTCTTGTGTGGTCCGCCGATGGAGCAGCGCGCTTGTACACTGTTCTCGAAGTCAAACACCGTCTTCACATCCTCGTCGAACTTGTCGCTGAGCGACTTGAAGTCCTGCAGCGTAAGCTCTGACAGAGAGCACTTGCGCGACTCGGCCAGTGCGACGGCACGTCCGGAAATGTGATGAGTCTCACGGAAAGGGATCTGATGAAGTATGAGCAAGCTAGAGCGGAAGATCGCAATCGACACTCACCCCTTTGCGGACCAGGTAGTCGGCCAGGTCGGTAGCAAGCATGTCTGAACTCTCTTGCAAGGCTCCGGACATCGCGGATGCGTTGACCTGAACTTAGCTGCAGCTCTGGGATTACGTTCAAAGACGACAGTGTCGCACCTCGAGAGTTGCAATGACACCCTCAGCGATCTTTAGGGCAGCTGATACAGTGTCGACCGTGTCGAACAGAGGCTCCTTGTCCTCTTGCAGGTCCTTGTTGTACGTGGATGGAAGACCTTTCAGAGACATCATGAAGCCGGACATCTGCGTGGGCGATTAGTGCAACACCGCTACTTCAAATTCCCTACACTTACGTTACCGAAGATGCGGCCCGTCTTCCCTCGAATGAGTTCCAGCGAATCGGGGTTCTTTTTCTGAGGCATCATACTAGATCCAGTGCTACAAAAGCCGTTTGATGAACGCTTCTCCGCGAGAAGAGCGAGGGCCCATACCTGTAAGCGTCGCTCAGCTTGACGAAGCCGAATTCAGCGGTCGAGTAGATGATCAAGTCTTCAGACAGCCGGCTCAGATGTGTCATGGTCAAGCTCGCCCACATCATGAACTCGACGACGAAGTCGCGGTCGCTGATGGCGTACATGCTGTTCTCCGCGACGGACTGGAAGCCGAGGTCCTTCGCGAGAAAGTCGCGATCGAGCGCAAAGCCATTGCCGGCGAGGGCGCCGCTGCCAAGGGGTAGGACAGCAATTCGGGGGATCATTTGTTGCAGACGCTGCAGGTCCGCTTGGAGGGGGAACGCGTGCGATAGGAGCCAGTGGGACCACCGGACAGGTTGTGCGCGCTGGTGATATATTAGAGCTCGTGCATCGCCGCAAAGATGTGAACCGCACCTGCAGGTGGGTGTATCCTGGCATCAGGTACTGAATCTCCTTTGCCGCGCGTTCGACCATGACTCGCAAGAGCGCCTTCACCGACTGCACCACCTCTTCCACCTCGCCCATGAGCCAGAGTCGCATGTCGGTCGCGACTTGGTCATTACGAGAGCGACCAGTGTGCAGCTTGCCTCCGACTGGGCCGACGAGCTCCGTAAGTCTGCGCTCGTTTGCAGTGTGAATGTCCTCGTCTCCGGGTTGTACCTCGAACTGAAGGACACATCACTACAATGGTGTTTGGAGATGGTTTCTAACACACCGTCGCCTGTTCCCACTCAGCGCGCACTTGTGTCAGACCCTCTACGATCTTATTCTTCTCGTCTTCAGTCAGGATTCCGCCTTTTGCGAGGGCTCGCGCGTAAGAGATCGATCCTGCAACATCTGCAGCGTACATCCTTTTGTCATACTTCAGGGACTGATTGAATTCGTGCATTCTGCGTGCGAGAACATAAGGCGAGCTCATGAGGACGCCAACTCCGAGTCTGCTGTTAACAACGCGCGAACGTACAGAGGATCTGTCTCTCCAGTGAACCGACCGCCCCACAGTTTCTTCTTGTCTGTCAAGGTCGCCATCCTCGTCTTATATTTGTGTGAAGTTCTAAGGGATTCTGAGAAGGATTAAAAGTAGCTGACAGCAAGGTGAGGTCGCGAGTGTAGATGGAGTCAATTTGAGACTGGCTGGCGAGCAAAGTCAGAGAGATGTCAGATCTAGATCTTACGCGCTCGATCACCGATCGGGGCTCGTGCTTGGCGCACTTGCGCACAACCGTACAAACTGCTACAAACTGCCGGGCCTCGTACATGCGTAATCGTGCCATTTACAGGTGACACTTCATTGCAATTCATCCCGAGACGGTATATTACATGGTAGAATGTGTGTGCACAACCGTTGGCAGACGATTTGAGTCTTTCACGAGTGTAGTGCATTCATGATCCAGAAGGTTACCAGAGCGAACGTGCTCAGGCCTGCATAGATCATGACCCGAACGTCGAAAGGATTCTCCGTCAGGAAGGGGTAGGGGACTGGAGAAATATACTTCAGCGAAATCACTATGCTGTGTTGCGAAAGGCCACTCACAGGATCCGTTGAATCTCGCGCAGTACTCGATCCATGGAGCGTACGACAAGCAAGCCAAGACCGTCATGATGATGCCACCGTAGACGGCTTGACCACGAGTGTATTTGCGCTCGACAAAGAAGAAGTCCAAAATCAAAGAGGCTGCCGGGAGAGCGTGCAGCGCAAGGTCGAGATGCAATGGAATGCGCAGGATCGTGGGCTCCGAGAATGACGGTACGAGTTCATCCGGGGTTGGAGATTCGACTGGGAGCGGCCTGGCAGCGAGTATCATTTCGGGCCAGAAGATGAGAAGACCCCAGTACACCGTGGTAACAATGGTAGATATCTATGTCTTTGATTAAAACAGTCTCATGTGAACAGGGACCTGCGTCTTACCGGCAAGGCAACCATAAGGACCAGTCTCTTGATCTTCCGGAAGACTAAGTTCGCTACGTTGGAGGCGGTACTTGACAAGAGCAGCACAGCACATACCGGTCATCGTAGGAGACAGTTCTGACGCCAATCCCAGTGTCATAGTCGTGAATGCCAGCCAGAGCCTTCATGGGAACCCGTTGGGAACGACTCCTGGTTAGCATGCATCCGAACAAAGCAAGAGGAGACAGATAGAGGCACCCAATGATAGTCAAGAACTGGCTATGTCCTCCTTTCTGGGCGCTGAGAAATTTGTCCACTGGCATCTGCTTCAGACTGTTATACCCGTACGCCATGACGGCAGCAGCTGTCGTGTGTAAGAATATGGCGTTCATCCTGGATGACACTCCGTAAGTCTTGTACCCAGGTAAGGGGATACTACGTACTTTTCGTCTATTCCAGTCAAGGACGGGAGGGATGGTCAGCAGGCAAGAGTGTGGGACTGCGGACATGGCAGAGGCCACGTTCGCCGAGCGATCGCTGCACAGTGACAGGCGCCCGACCGCGGCACGCTGACTTCTGGCGCGTAGTATCCCAGTACCACTGCTGCTATACACTCAAACTCTACATTTCACATTCCACACTCTACGGTCTTCATAAGCCTGTGTGACATTCGACCGGGCTCGCCGCCGTTCTGCTTCCACACAGCTCTTTCGCAACAACGGCAACGACGCATGCGACGGTCCCCCGACGTTACCCAGCGGGACATCGCACTGAAGGACATACGGGAGGTGACATCGAGTACACCCAAGTCACGTCAATACCTTCACGATCATTTCAATGAGCAACCAAGGTGTCTTGGTGACGTACGCCTCTTCGCGCGAGTTCCTAGCAACGGACCACTGGAAGCAAGTCTGGGCAGCTCTGCTATGCCAATTCCCGTTGCGCACTCTAGTCTGGAGAGGACCTGCCCGACAGGGCTCACAAAGCACTCAGACGATACAAGACCTCAATGTTAGGCTTGCAACACTGGAGTCGGTCAGACAAGAAAACACGTCGCAAATCCCGCAGACCCTACTCGAGAAGCCGCTGCTGAATATCTACTTCGTCGTATGCGAGGTGATTTACGTCGTCTCCTTGCCTGTTCTCGTCTCTCATAGCCGCACATACAGGACAATGAGACGTACAAGAACACTGTCAAGAAACAAATACGAGACTGGCACCAGATTGTTAGTCAACGCAAATACCAGGAATGGCTCATAGTGCATATTATCCGGCCGGAAGGGAGGGCGTCACAACAACGCATGTTTCAGATGAAGACATCCGTGCTTGACAAGATAAAGGCAGACTTCAACATTGATAAGAAAGACAGGTGGGTACGCCGGCTTCTTGTTGTGTGCCCTCGCGTATTGATATTCCAGCAAGATGCGTGCAGCTTGTTTGGTCATCCGACTTCGAGAATCCTGCGGCCTGGGCAGAGTTCATCACCAAGCTCAAGGATGGCATCCTAGCTGCGTTTGATTCGGCTTTCAGCCAAAGGGAAGCCGAAATGAAGCGGTCTGAAGGACAGGTGCAGATGCCCGGATGGAACTTCTGTACGTTCTTCATATTGAAGGTAGTCTACCTTCCTTCGACTGCACACTGTGAAAAGGCTGAGTATATGCCAGGAAAGTCTTGCACTGTCCTTGGAAGGCGTCAGTTTGTTTGAAGATGCCCTGGAACAATATAACGAACTAGAAACAGCCTTCTTCAAGGTCGTCCGAGATAGGAATTTGTCTTGGTTCGGCTCACTCATCTCCCCTGACCCACAAGACGATTCCGCTCCTCTCCTTTCTACCACACGGAAGCCTTATCGGGACCTCATCATCGGGAATACCATTTCCATCTTCGACTTCCGCATATACCTGCTGGCCAGACAGTGCATCCTGCTGAGTAAGCTCGGGAGAGTGGCAGAGATATGTAGAAGGTCCGTGAAGTTCTTGACCAACTTTGGCAGGCGGCTACGCGAGTTAGAGGTAAGCCGTGCACCCCTTTGAGACTAACATTGGGATGAACAAGCTTCTAGGACACGCTGCCCGAATTCTTCATCGAGTCATGGATCTACTCCTCAGCATTGAGCGTGACCGACATTTGCGATACGTGGGTAGGCGCGTTGAACCTTAGTAAGGCGTCGCAGGCGCGATACTTTGCTCTCAAGGGAGAGCTCATGGAGCTCGCACAGCAACAAGTGAGGAGGATCATGATTTCGGCTGCCCAAATTATTGACACGTAAGCAGCTGGACATCATTGGCACAAGGACAGGCCACTTGCCTTCCCGCCCTCCGTTCTTGTCAGCTCTTGCAGAACCTATATCGCGGAACACTCAAGCCCAAAGATCGTCGCAGACAATCTCCAGGCAGGAGCTGTTAGCGGCTATCGCCGACAGAGACGCGCTGTTCGACCTATATGTCACGATCACAAATCGTGCTATAGAGTGCTACGCCAGCTCAGGTCGGCGGAAGTTCGCAATCAAGCTGCACGGCAACCTCGCAGCTCTGGATGTGTAAGTTCATCAGCAGACCTCTACAACATGTACTGACGTGAGCGCAGTGTCCGAGGCCGCCTTCCGAGCGCGTTTGACACGTACAAGAACCTGCCTGCCCACTATGCGCCGCATGGATGGTCTTCACTCGAGTCTTTCATGCGGATGCAGGCGCTGAGCATCCACGCGTCCACGGAGCAGGTCAAGGATGCTGATTGGGCCCACATCGTCCTTGACTTCTTGAAGGCGTACGTGGAAGACATGGGTGCAGACCTGCTCATGGACGTCGACGATCACAAGGCATACGTCACTGGGTTGATCGAGAGTCTGCGACATGCTGCAGACGAGTTGCAAATAGGTCGGTTCTCTCATCCTTGTTTCCCGCAGGAAGTTCATACTGAGTACCCCTCGCTGCTCACACTATCATCAGACATGCTCTACCCAGATCATCCGGCCTTGTCTGTCACAATATCAGAACACGCAGCCCGCTTAGCGCAGGATCAGGACGGCGCACTATTGGACGTGACTGTGCGTAATCGATTGTCATGTGTAAGTCGTCTTACTGCTTGAGCTTCGCGGGTTGATTAATGTAATGACGAAGGACTTGCCCGTCGACGAGATTGTTGCAGTCTTAGTGGGGCATGAGGGTGTCCAACTAACGTTTTCGGTACCAGTACCATCAATCCAACCCGGATCAACCAAGCTCACGTTGTTCTGTCCCGTAAGTCACCTGTTGTCCATGCGCGTGTACCACACCCATTTATGACCACCAGTCGTCGACAGCAGGCATGTTCGCGTTGCAGTCTAGCCAGGTGAAGATGGCGCGACTGGTGTTCGAGCGGAAGGAGGCCAAGTTAGCGGCTCCGACAAAGACCACGAGGCCAAAAGACCTGCCGGCATTGGTCCGGATCCCGAAGGATCATCACGCTGTAGACGTGCGTTTGCGCCCGCCAAAACGGAGTAGGTCCATGTTGCGGTTCCTCGTTACGTTATTCTCTGACGCCGGGCCAGTTGAATTGGGCACGCCTGCGTCCATGACGGTGTCCTTGCAGACAGGCAGAAACGACATCTCCGCGGCTACCTTGAGGCTCGTCTCTCCGTCTGGTGTGCAGTTTCGTTTCAATGAGGCGACGTTGGATGATGGAGGTCAGCCCTTACTCTTTCGATATCACATGGTCGTGTGCTGAATAAGACACAGGAGGAAGTGCTACCCTCGAAATCATCGACGGTGCGATCATCCTGCGGGATGTCGGGAAACGGCAGGTAGTGACAGTAGCAGTCCCGCATAGTGACGCATCCTCGTATCACACTCTGGTTAGTGGATCCTGAGTGGGTAACATCGGCTGCATCCTGATTGTTCATAGAGAGTCAACATCAACATCGAGTACACAACAGGGGCTGAGCCAGAGTTGAACCGAAGACTCAACCTCGCGAGATTCGTGACAACATCTCTTCCCGTTACAACCAATGTCGAGGACTTCTTCCGGGGTACAAGGTACACAGCTTGTCTGCTTACTGAAGATCTGACCTCATTGTTGTTCACAGGCTGTTCAGTCGTTTCACTCTGTCTACTACATCCCATCAACATGTTCGCATCCGCTCAGCAGAACTGAAACCATCTGGACAAGACTTGAATAGTGTCAAGGTCGTAAGCTGCCAATCACAGAAGCCCGCGGTGGTGGTGAGTTGGTCACGCCGCTGCCGTTACACTCCTACTGATCATCCCTTAGACCGTGACGCCTGCTCAATCGGGCCAATTTCTGTTCCAGCTCGATACTGTACGCGGAAAGGGTGAGCTTCCAGCGCATACCAATACATGAAGGCTCACAGGTGCACGTAAGCCCGGGACCCCTTGAAGTTGCACATTACATATCGGATGCTACGAGAGGGTGGGTATCAACGCGCTTTTGCAGTACAGTAAACTAACGCCTTGCTCGCAAGAGGTCGAGTCTCTCATCAATACTGCAGTGGCAGAAATTGTCACAGACGACTCTTCGCTCCTACCACACCGTGAGCTCCTTATTGACAGACTGGTCGAGGCTCTTTCGAAGAGCGTGGACTGGATCGAGTTGTACGGTGTTACGGGGCAGCTAGTGGTCCCAGGCAATTTGGGCGAGGGCGGCGAGCTTGCATCGACGTTCGCACAGCTCAAACAGGTCGGTCTCGCTCTGAGCATCATTAGGCATGCTCCACCGACGTATGTTCAGATCCTAGGGAAGCCCAGATCTCTTGATTCATCCTTTGGTGAATGGCGAGACATCATCATTCCTGTTGACATACCGCAGATGCATGTAAGTTGGGTAATTTGTGACGCGTTATGTCTCGCTCAGCTGTGTTGGGCTTCCCTCCGCAGATCCTGGCAGCTGCTCAGTTGCGTATATTTGCCAATCCGTTTTCCTCTCAACCCTCGGGTCAGGTTCTACCGCTCTTCGCAGGTCAGCCAATATCGGCTGTGGTGACCGTCACCACCTCCTTTCATTGGGCTCCTGCAGAGGATGCAGAGATGGACCAGTATCTTTTGCGATACGATATCCAGGATATGACTGGTGATTGGCTAGTCAGTGGACCGAAACGAGGAGACTTCCGCGCAGAGGTGAGTACTTGCTGATCCGAGCGATACACGTTACCTACCGACCTTTACAGGACGGTTCGATGTTCTCGTCGCCAGTCACTCTGATCGCTCTCCACCATGGAGAACTTTCATTGCCAAAGGTAACGGTAACCGCTCTCCCGCTTCCCGGCAAACAAAACATGAGGACTTCAGTCATGCCGAGTTGCGAGACCTATCAGCTACATGGGGCGGAGAGAGTGATGGTACTCCCAAGGGGTGGTCGGACAACGTACGTAGTAGACATGGGGACTAGGAGGGAGGCAATCCCGGCATGAACCTTGTATATTGTATATTCGTTCTGTTGCTGGATGTATCCCTAGATTCATTGCTCGTTTCGCAGAAAGCCGGCTCCCGTGTAACATATCAGTGTGTAGTAGCGACTTCGATGCTCCACGAGACATGGGATAGATTGACAGCCTCATACTTACTTGTGTCGAGAATTCGGATAAGTAGTCGTGGTCACTCATCAGACGCCAGATGTCACACTCACGCGTCCACCGCGCTCGGTGTGACCCGACGCGTTTCCTGGCTCCCGCGCGTCATTGCCGTTTTGCGCCACGACCTGAACCTAACATCCCGAGCCCTCAGGCCTTCAGGCCTCACTGGGAACGTCGTTTCAACAGATTCATCAGAATGTCCGACTATTCAGATTAGTGCGTGTCCTGCAAATTGTATCCTCGTTGACCCCTAAGACCGCCATTAGTGAGTTGGAGCGTGAGGCGAACATTGCCAAGAATCGTGCTCTCCTGGCCGATTTGGATGTTACCGTCGATCTACCACCAGTGAAGAAGCAGACGAAGACCGTACGCACGAGTGCAAAGCCTGTTCAACCTGCCAAGAGAACGAAACGCGAGAGGGAGGCTCCTGCTCCTGCGCGACAGTCGGCGCGTCTCAGGAAACCGGTCGTAGATCCCAATGAAAGTCCGGCGAAGAAGCGCAAGAGGGAGGTAAGCCTTTAGGTATTTACATTGACGAGCTTGCGCGCCGCTCACTTGATTTCAGAAGGAAGAGGAAGAGAGACGGGCCAAGGAAGAAGAAGAGCGTCTCGAGGCTGAGGAGCAAGCTAGACAAGCGAAGAAGCCCCGCCACCATGAATTGGATCTGCTGGATGTCACTGAGGAGCTGGATCCGACTGAACTAGCTGCCCTTAGATCGACGTTCTCGACGGCCATTCGGAATACCCATCCTAGACGCGTGGGAGGTCCAGACGATGTAAAGGATAAGGCAGCAATAGCTGAGTTGCGAGAGAAACTGGGGAAGTTGAAGGTCGTATCCCGTGCGAAGGTGACTCAAGATCGGGTGTATAGTGCAGCATACCACCCGGACCCAACAAAGGACCTCATTTTCTTCGGAGGTGAGTACAAGGTCTCAAGTGTGGACCGAAGTCTGACACATATTCATAGACAAGCACGGACAACTTGGGATATGGGACGCACAAGCACCAAGCGACGAGATCGCAGACGCGGATGGCGAGGTGTCTGTCGTGGCAGATGAGAAAAGCGGGAAAAGCTGGAGATTACAGGTCCATTGGCCGGCGACATCGCACTCATCAATATCCAACATCAAGTTTGACCCCACCGATTCCCACAGCGTGAGTATTTGTCGTGATCACACTGGGTATGCCACGCTCACTGAGGGCAAGGTCTACACGAGTTCATATGACTGTACTGTCCGAAGCTCTCCTTCACGTCAGGCATTTCGACCGAGGTGTTCTCCATGGACGACGCGCTTATCACCTGTATTGACCTTCCTGTCACTGGGAGCGAAATGTGGATATCAGATGCGGAGGGCGGTCTGACGCACTTGGATTTGCGAGAGGACAAGTCGAAGGCTCGCTGGTTCCAAGTGTCCAACGAGAAGGTTGGAAGTGTCAGCGTAAACCCTACCGCTCCGCATTACCTGGTGACAGCGTCTAACAGCCGGGCGATGAGGTATGTTCATTGGCAAGTCAGCCGATAGGCACTCAGCTGTCATTGCACAGGATCTGGGATACCCGCAAGCTACAGAACATCGGAGGGGATTCAGCAAGCGAGACAGAGAATCCTAACGACTTCAACCAAAACATTATCGAAGAATACCTCGGATCGCCTAAAGGCAAGGGCTGCCTTCGTGCAGATTGGCAGCATGGGAAATCCGTCAGCTCAGCGTACTGGGATCCTAGTGGGAAATCAGTCCTCAGTACCTGCTATGATGATCTCCTTCGATGTACGTCTAACCTCAGACTCGGTTGATCCGTGTTCGCGTTACTGACTGCAACCTCGTTTTCAGTGTGGGAATTCAGTGGATCTGTCCTCAAATCCACGAGCACGTTCCCTTCGTCTCGACCATCCAACCAGATCAGGCACAGCTGCCAGACAGTACGTACTGTGATGTGTGCGGAATCGCAAAGTAGCTGATGGTCTGACGCAACCCTTCAGGGAAGGTGGGTAACAGTGTTTAAGGCACAATGGTCGCCCAATCCAGACTACTACCCACATTTTACCGTGAGTCTATGGATCCCGAAGGTAACCTGTACTCACCATCTTTCACGCGTCCGTAGGTCGGGAACATGGAACGTTCGCTGGACATATACTCCGGAAAGGTGAGCCAGGATCATTGATCGTCGTGAAAGTGACGTGACATGACTTCTTATAGGGCGAGTTGGTAGCTCGACTGGCGGATCGGACCAAGTAAGCGTGGTGCATCCTGTGTGAACATCCAGTAACCGAGTGACTTGCACAGGATCTCTGCGGTCCAAGCCGTGACTTGCTCGCATCCTAATGTCCTCGAGCGTGTTGCAAGCGGCAATGCCAGTGGCCGATGCGTGCTGTGGGCACCGGCGGACATGTAACTTCACTGCTTCGGTTTCTATCTCCGTTATTTGAGTACTTTATTGGTGTTGTATTGTCATTATTTGGTATGTCGACTGGAGCAGGGATTCGGAACGTACTCATATTGAATACTATGATCTCGAAGCATGCCTCACGAAGGCGTGGTACAGAGCTGGCTAATAGAACAAGGATAACCTTAGGTACAAAGATTGCCGAGTTGTTGACTCTGCCTGGGGAGACTACTAACACACCTCAACCACCTACTCATTGCTTGGCACAAATCGCACACCGACAAACTCCAAAAGTTTGAGTACTCCCAACTAGCAATACACTGTCTTTGAACTTCTGAAAAACCTCGGCTGATGTACCACTAGCGTAGACACTCGCAACGCCTCGCTCAGTCGATCCGACGTCCTCCGCGACATCAACAGGGATGCGAAAGGGATGGTCATATAGTGTATTGAGCAGCATGCGACAGCTCAGCTGGATTTCCTAAGCTAATACTCTGGCTAACGAGTGCGACGCGACGAAGCATCGGCGCCTATGAAAACAACACCTGCCCAATCTGGCAATCGAGCTCGGGACCGTTGAAAACGCTTCTTTCGCTACGGCAAATGAGCATAGAAGAGAGTCTCACAAAAGAGCATGTGTACCAGCTTGCCAAAGACAATTGGAACACGGATAAATGTCAAAAATGCGTCACCTGTGCGATTCGAACACACGCGGACAAAGTCCAACCGCTGACTAAGCAGTAATAGCAGGCGATCCCGTTAACCACTCCGGCAAAGTGACTTGTTTTACGTATCTTGCAAAAGTACTTATTGGTTCGCTGCACAGTCAGATCGGGCTCCGCATATCTCGTTTGAATGAACTCGTTTTGCAGGTCTTCTTCTCCTTCGTCCGTCTGGTCTTGCTGCGATGCCCACGCCGGAAGAAGCTTCGACGTCGTCCACCCCTGCTCCTACGTTCAAATCTTTGGGCCTCATTGACCCTCTACTCGAGGCTCTTGACCAATTGAACTTCAAGACCCCCACGGATATCCAAGCTGAAGCTCTTCCGCATGCGTTGCAAGGCAGAGATATCATCGGTGTAGCATCTACCGGGTCGGGAAAGACGGCAGCATTTGCTCTTCCTATTCTGCAAAAACTATGGGAAGAACCGAAGGGCTTGTTCGCCTGCGTCCTCGCACCGACGCGAGAGTTGGCGTACCAGATATCACAGCATTTTGAAGGCTTGGGAGCCGCCATGGGGGTCAGATGCGCAACAATCGTAGGAGGGATGGACACGATGTCCCAAGCAGTCGCACTGGCTAAGCGACCACACATAGTGGTCGCTACCCCGGGACGTCTGAACGACCACCTGGAGAATACGAAAGGTTTCAGTTTACGAGGGTTGAAGTTTCTGGTGAGATTCTCGCTGCACATCACCGTATGTCTCTTCATTTGTACCTCAGGTCATGGACGAGGCCGACCGACTGCTTGACATGGATTTCGGTCCCATCATAGACAAAATCCTGAAAGTCATCCCGCGAGAGCGCACCACGTACCTTTTCTCGGCGACAATGACTACGAAGGTCCAAAAGCTACAGCGGGCCAGTTTGTCGAACCCTGTTCGGGTTGAAGTGTCCGAAAAGTGCGTTCCGTTAATTCTTACTGGCGGCGCGAACTCATCATACTGGATGCAGGTACTCTACTGTATCGACGTTGTTGCAATATTATCTCTTTATGCCATTGCCTCAGAAGGACGTGCATCTCGTCTACCTTGCGAACTCACTGGCGCAAAACTCCATCATCATCTTCACTCGGACTGTTCATGATGCCCAACGGTACGTCTGCACTTAGCTATTCGTAGAACCAGCTCACACTTCATGAAGGGTATCAATCATACTACGGACATTAGGCTTCCCGGCTGTTCCGTTACATGGACAGCTAAGCCAAAGCGCACGTCTCGGGGCACTAGCCAAGTTCAAGAGTGGTGGGCGAAAGGTGTTGGTTGCGACCGACGTTGCGAGCCGGTCAGTGCTAGAGTGCCCCAAACCCTAACCCAACGCTCATGTCTCCTTTAGTGGACTGGACATCCCTCACGTTGACGTCGTGATCAACTACGACGTACCTACGCATTCCAAAGACTACATTCACCGAGTCGGCCGTACAGCCCGAGCCGGTCGCTCTGGAAAGTCAATTACGCTGGTGTCCCAGTACGACGTCGAGTTGATCCAGCGCATCGAGGGAACGCTAGGAGGCAAACAGATGGAGCTATGGCCGACAGATGCGGAGGAGATTGCGCTACTGCGGGAGCGGGTGGATGAAGCGGGAAGAGTAGCCGTGCATGAGATGAAGGATCAGGGATCCAAGGGTGGTCACGGGAAGAAACGACGGAGGGACGCAGGTGGGGCGGACGACAGAGACAGAGATGACGATGTGGTAGAGGCAGGGATGCCTACAAAAAAGAGAAGCAAAGGCCGAAGGTGACCTAGCGCATGTACCCTGTCTTCGTCATGACCACTGGATGCAGCTTTCAGCACATTCACAGCCTAGTCTATGAACATCAGATCGGAACGTAATATGTACTTGGTGCCGGAGATGACTGGCGAGCCTTCGTGCAGCAAACACTCGTGACCGTGTCTATGAAGACGTCGTTGATGAGTACGCGTCTGTGTCGGATTGTAAATGCAGGATGTACCGATGCAAGAGGCCGTTCCCTTGGTCAACGGGGCAGTAATCACCTCTGTGCCCCTCTTACCTTTTTGACCCGTGTAGAATATCGTCTATAGACCCATGAGACCCATTCCATCAGAAAATACGGAGACACGCACCTCGCCACCCTTGACCCCGTCCTCAATACCTGTCAGGTACACGAGTAGCGTCCACTCCGACTTCGCGCCATTCTGCGGGTCGCGCACGGAGTCATCGTAGTGACAGCCAAAGTGTTGGCCTGGCGTGTACTTGTACATCCGTATGTTCGAATTGAACGAGTGCACCGGACGCGCCTCCTCGCCGTCCCGCTTGAGCGAGGCAGGGTATGGGAACGGAGGGAGGTGCGGGGAGAACAGAGTATAGAACTGTTCGGCCATATCCGCCGAAGTCACAGACATCCTGTCTGTAAGTTCGGTTTAGCATACTCGGTGCAGGGATGAGCAGGTATACTGTACTTACAATTCACTCGCTCTGCCTCACCCCTCTTCTTCGGCGGCGTGAGCTCTAACGACTGGCTGTCAATGAAGTGCACATAACGCTTGCATTCTTCGGGTGTCATGAAGCCCTTGTGACGCTCTCAACATCGCGCCATGCCAGTGCTCCTCGGAATGAGACATACATCGACCAAGATTATCTGGTCCTCCAAGAGTGCACGAGACTGAAGACGTCGCTTTGGCGATATAGGAGGGAACTGAGACGGTGCTTTCTGAGAACCCGTTGCATTGTTTGCATTGCCCGTTGCTGCTGCTTGGGAACGAGTCTTTCGCGCCATGCGTATGGTAGAGGGATGGCGAGTACTTTCGGCAGCCAGAACGATGCATCGCGGCGCTGTACAACATCGTACTCACTTGCGAGCTTCCCACGCTCACGACGAAGTACTATAGGCTATCCTTGTAGCAATGTCCCTGGATGCATCCAACACCGTCATAGATATGTAGAGTACAGTTGCATGTCCAAATCGTCAATGAGATACACGGTCCACTCAGGGATCCCAAGGGCCTCTAGCCGCACCGCCGACTCCTGCAGTAAGGAAGATGGCAGTGCCGTTCTCGTGCACGTAGAAGCAATCCTCCAATCGGATCCCAACCTGCATGCTCAGTCAGCAGGATGTAATGGTAAAGCATGACCTTCACGGACGGACCTGTCCTTCAATGTACACTCCAGGCTCATCTGAAAAGGTATGTCCAGTGAGGATCACATCTTCGGAGCCGCCGCGAAGGTACGGAGATTCATGGACCTCCAAGCCAACGCCTTTGGATTGTCCATGCACTTCGTTAGAATCTATAACAGACTTCGACAAGGCGTACGTACCGTGACCTAGTCTGTGTGTGAGATACTGCGCATAGCCCTGCGCTGCGAGCGTGCTGCGAGCAGCCGCATCTACCTCAGCGGTAATTGTTCCATTCCGCGCCGTCGCAAGCGCATTGGCCTGAGCCGAATGCACAAGATGCCACACCCTGAGATAAGCTGCATGAATAGTCGACTCGGGCAGAGCATACGTCTGTAAGGCAGTTATTGGTATAAGCGCAAGTCTGTCTCTCGTTGGCGTACCCTGGTCACGTCGCTTTGGTAGCCGTGCAGCCCGCCATCGCAGTCAACCAGTACGAAGTCGTGTGCACCGAGCACACGGTCAGTTCCGCTGCCGTGTGGCAAAGCGGCGTTCTCTGGGTCAATAACCGGAGACATCAGACATGGTGCGCTTGAGATCCTTAATACTCACCGCCAAACAGAGTCAGGCAGCTGCCGTCGCTAAGCCCTGCGGCACTCAGCGCCGTCGACATGAGCTGTCGGACTTCCGACTCGCGCATGCCTATCTTCACGTTCTCTCTGACATCCCGAATGGCTAATAGCGTGACCTTTCGAGACGTAAATCGATGAAATTGTCGAGACAGCAGGCTAGGTAGGGGACACTCACCTCGTTCACGCATTTCATGATCTCGAGCTCTTCTGTGCTCTTCCTCTCTCGTAGCCTACGTATCTCCACGGGCGCTGTGAGAACATTCGACTGAGCTGCAGCTTTCTGCAGCCCATCCAGAACGAAGCTACGCGTCATTCCGTCGACATAGATCGTGCCCTCCTTGAGCAGCGGCACGGCGGAGACTGCGACCTCAAACGGATCAACATCCTCAGACCATGAAGGGTAGGAGATCTCATCCGAGCTAGGGATAGAGAGAAGCTTTGCACGCGTGGCCTCAAAGGCAGGCGTCAGAATGGAGACCTGAGCATGTACTTGGTCGTGCGAGTCGAGCCTCGGCGAGACGATAAGGAGGAGAGGTCGTTCGGAGAGGTGCCAGTGCGACGCCGAGAGGTTAGCAAAGTAGGCAGCACTTGCCCCCGGCTCAGCAATGTACGCCGAAGCGTTCAACTGGTGTAGTGTCTGAGCAAGTGCCTGTTGACGCTGGAGAAACGAGCTCGTAGGGATCGGGGAGATATGGGCGCAGTGTTCCGCGAGGTGCGAAAAGTCTGGCTGCAGATATTGCGAGCTGTACAGACTGGATATTGACTTTGGTGCGCCAGCAAGGTGGTAGATGAGGATGACGATTTGGACGATGATGCAAGCTATTATCAGCTGAGGGTGGTCCCGCGTTAGAAAGCGGATGTTCGTTCAACCCTGGCGGCTTACTCTCGTAGACCTGTATGTGTGTTTGCGCACACGGGTATCCGTAGGGCGGGGCCGAGGGGCAGCACTTTCATGTCCATCGCGTGGAAGAGGCAGAGATGTCGGGAGTGGGTGCGAGCCTGAGCCTGAATGACTGAGTCGGCTGCCCGAGCCAGTCGCAGTCGCCGATGCGATACTTGCCATAACGAGATATCCACGTGATCGTGACGCCGATCGCGTCCCCGCGACCGCGTCGTCCAGCGCCGCGGCGGCCATGCTCTACGCCCCTAGTCACCACCTAGCTTGCGGCACACTCACACTAATAAGCCCGACGCGCTGGGATCCTTCTGGATATTGTCTACCATTGAATCATGGACACCGAGATCTTACTCGCGATGCTGGTCAGCCTGCTAGACCCCCCTGTCCCCGACCAGGCAATGTTGTTGGACACGTTGGCCAAGTGCGATGGTGACGTGGAAAAGGCAGCCAAAGTAATGAAAGAAATTACCCCAAGCAAACACTCTACTACAACTGGAAGGAAGCGCAAACGGGCGGCAGGGTTGGATGGATGGCTGGGAGGCTCGCCCACCAAGGCCCGCTCCGGCGGCATTGCAAGGAACAGCTCGAAGCCGCCGTCAATAGGTCGTGCCAACGATATGAGGCGGTCGAGCGGCTCTGCACTGCCGTCCTCGTCCTCATCGAACAAAGCTTCCCTCGATAGCCGTGATGTCTCTCCGAAACGTGTGTTCTCCGCACCCGGGCCCGCGCCGTCGACGGAGGATTTCGCGGTCGACGATGAGCAGGTCGGCTGGTTATTGAGTACAGGAATGGATACTCCGCAAAAGCGAAGAAACGTCACGAACGATGAATTTATGTCTCTGTTTCGCCCACCAAACTCGAAAGAGTCCCCGAAGAAGCCAGTCCCACTTCCCCCGCTTACACTTGGAACACCGCTCTTGTAGAGGAGCACACCCCGTGCACATACCACCCTTCCATTCTACCTCCTCAGTTGGCGTGTAGGTATGTGAATCGTTGTTTCGAGTGCCGCAGCAAACTATCGGCAGCCGGCCATGATTCCTCAGGCTGTTCATCATACGCCTGTTTTGGGGCTGTGGATACATATATTGCGACTATCAAATGCTCATTTTTTGCGCAGACTATTCTACACAATGCTTGATCTAAGCGAAGACTGGCATCGCAATAAGTGGTGGCTCTTTGACCGTGTGGTCGAGAGTCCACACCGAACATCCTTCTTTGTGAGGTGTCTAGATAAGCCTGTGGAGAAGGACATCCTCGACATGAATGAGGCCGCACAATATTGGTAAGTTGAACGTCGGTATCTGGTCTACATTTCTCACAGTGTCGACAAGGTATAACGGACGTGCGACGGGACCGCCTGACCCGTTCCCTCCGGCTTTGGAAGAGGCATGCCGGATTGTCGAGAAAGTTGTCAACGAGGAGATGCACAAACGCCAGCGATATCCCCTCGAATGGGCCGGCGAAGTCGACGGCGACGAGAATAGGATTACTGACCACGTCCTATGGCGAGCGAATGTTGCGGCAGCCAACTGCTATGAAGGCGCCAAGGAAAGCGTGGGGCCGCATTCAGACCAATTAACGTATCTTGGCCCGTATCCAACTATCGCCAGTCTCAGTCTAGGTAGGCAACGGTTCGTCTTTCTCACAGGCTCAGGACTGACTATGTGACAAGGTACGAGTAGGATTTTCCGCCTGCGTGAGGTCATACCCACCGACGACAAAGACGAGCGCAGTGCGCGTACTTTTAACATCCCCCTCGCACACAATTCAGTGCGTCCCTGTTACACAGCCTGTTTGTCTGTCGGGCCATGCTCACGACGCCATTTCACTTCAGCTAACAATCATGCACGCTTCTACTCAGGAGCGCTTTAAGCATTCCATCCCACCCCAAAACACCATTGACCTCTTTTATCCGCCCTCCCCTCTCCACCTGATCTGAAGCACGACATAAACAAGCTACCAGGGTTTCGGTCGACGACCAGAGGGGAGGCGTCGAACGCACGGATCAACATCACATTTCGTTTCTATCGCCCAGACTTCCGCGCGCAGACGACCCCGCGTTGCAAGTGCGGGGTGCCGTGCATTCTCCGTGCGGATATGAAGAACCGTTACGCCGCGCCCGTTCCAGGGCGTGACGACCCGGAGGGTAATGACGTCGGCGATGCAGGCACACATGCCTCTGATCAGGGCCCTGCTGGTTCGGGCAGGAACATGGTTGCTAAGTACTGGTGGACCTGCTATGCCGGAGCACAGAACGATGGGAAGGGTTGCGGTTTGTGGAGGGTTATGGACGTGAAAGCTGAGGGACGAGGACCTTTCGTTGGTCCGCTATAGATATTGAATGCCTTGAGGACGGCACGCACCTCCTCGGCACTGCAATGAGGTGCTAGACACTTTGACTAGTGCACGCAGATGATTACAGGCCCGCCACCCTAGGTCGTACTATGGGCACAGACAACGTACATACATACAATACTAGGTACCAAGGTCCCCAATTAATCCGCAGGAATGCCGATGTAAAACGGATTCGAAGTACAACATTCGCTCAGACGGGATAGTCGTCCGCCCCAATTTTGACAGACTGTCCCAGATCGTCCTCCCTGTGCACGACGTGTGTGATGTCGACCGCGACGGGGCGCATGGCGAAGGACTGCTCGGCGGCGCGTCTCGACCCAATCCCGGACGAAGAGATCTGCGAGGATTGGTGTGCCCGCTGGGCCCATCCGAGACCCACGCGGACGTTGATCATCGTGAAGGCGATCCCGGCGATGGGGCAGAGCGAGTCGATTGCGGTGAACTGTATGTTGCTGTTGACTTGGTAGGCGACGAAGAAGAAGATGGCGTATGATCTGGGGGAGGTGTTGATGCTTTTGTTAGGAAATCATAGACGGCGATCTGCGACTTACGTGTAGAGAGCAGCACTTTCTACCATCATTGCGAGTACTCGCTGTTTCATAAACGTCAGAATCGTGTATGAACGCAATTATGACGGCACCAACTTGGAGGTTCCCACCGCCATACGACCTGCTACCCTGAGGTTGACGTACGCGCCACACTTTCCAGGCAATCCCGACTGTTGCGATCATTGAGATTCAAAATTGGGCACAAAATGCGGAGAATAACGCGTCTTACACGTGCTGTAGACGTTAGTGCTAGATCGATGCAGCGCAGTCAGTCAGCGCAGAACAGTTCCCATCCGCTGGGCCTCACTTACACGAAAGTGCACGAGTAGTCTGCGGAGATCCAGCGGTTAACATCTGTGACGAACACCGAGCTACCCGCATTGAGCTGTGAGAGTTGGTATACCACACCAGGACCTGCGACTACGGCACCGAGTCCGCTTGATCAGTCACCAATGCTTAGGAGGAATTGAAGACGACTCACTTGACAAGCCAACCACGGTTAAACTGGGAATTATAATGACGAAGTAATTATGTCCCCAGACTATCCATAGCCGGTAAACCTGCATGCGCGCACCGGCGAAGGTGAGCCCACATTTGTTGTGATTGGAACGCTGCACTGACCAAGAGGATGTCGGATATGATGACCGTGGCGATGATAAACGCAGTCTTGACAATCTCTGTGGTGAGAGCGAGATCCGAGTAGTAGAGCAATGCTGCTTGCCCCTCCTCGAAATGTACGAAGGCGTCGAAGAGGCGAATGACGGTCATGACCCAATGCTATATGGATGGTGAGGAAGCGCGGCGGGAACGACGGGAGGCTCACTCACAGCGGTGACAGTGACGGTGATAGCTATGGAACCAAACATCACCGGGGTCAAGAAGGACGCCAGACGCGACCTCCCATGGCTTGACGGTTGACTCAGTGCGCGATTGATGAGGATGTAGAACGAAGCCGAGGTCAGAGCGAGGAAGACACCATATAGCAAGCTCTCCACAGCTACGGTGACCAGGTTGACGCTGATAATGGACGGCTGCGTCATGGCCTTTTCGCTCTGCTTGCACCGCGCAGACGAGGGCTCGATTCACAGGCGGGTCGGGAATATGTCGACCGTCAAATGAGAGTGGATCCTGTCCGACGATGTTTGTGGGACACGCAGTGTCTGTTAAAAGAGTGTGGAGGTTTCTTCTGAGATCTGAAGCTTGAAGGGACGCGCCGAGCACATTTCACTAGGCTGGTCTCCAGGACGTGGGGAATCGAGATGCATGATACGGTTGTGGTCCCCCGTTGTCGAGCCACGCGGGGACACCTGAGCTCAGGTACATGAGGCGAAGCCGTACCTCGAATTGACCATCGCAGTGTGTTCTTCATGCTCCTGAGAGAAAAGCACTGGTCCAGGAAGAAAGTTTGCACCCGCAACAGCACCCGCCTCTGCCGGCGCCGTGCTCTGCGTGCGCGAGGTCCGGCGGGGTAGTAATTGCAAGGTCAATGACGCTGGTGCGCGCTCCGATCCATGTTCTGATCGGTGTTCTGGACCACTCACCTATGTCCCTCCAGATCCTCACAACAACCTGATAGGAGTAAGGCCGATGTCACCTTCTGACCTCGGCGAAGGCGAAGAGTTGACCGGTACTGAGCGGCTATTCGTCCATATGGACGGCACCTGTGCCTATCCACGATGTGCTCGGCACACAAGGAAAGAAGTGCCGTACAACGGTGAAAGACACTACGCCGAGCAGTTACGGCGGCCTATGAAATCACAGATGAACCGAGTTGTACATGAACGTACCGCACATCATTGGATCATTGGAGGCGGAAAACGTCGGTCTGGTTGAATGTGTCTGGGACCAAGGACTCGACGTAGCGGTCTGGACTCTGCCAGAGACTGCAGACCGATTGAATCATCTCCCGGTCGACCGAGCGATCTGTCAACGCAATAGCTCCGATCACAATCGCAGATTGGCTGCGGGGCCCATCCCGGTCGTCAGGCTGCTTTATTGCCGTTGTGATGAAGTTCGAGACGTACTCTAGCGGGAATACATAAGCTGAAACTGACCAGCAAGAGGACTCATCGTCATGGTCAGCAAGCATGGGTCGAACCTTTACGCGATGCTCCTTCCCCTCGGCGGGATACATACACGCGAGGCACCCCGGCAGCTATTGCAATGGGATACACCTGCGAGCGCGACCTCATGGCACCAAAGGGGATTTTGATGCGGCCGTAGCATGGCGAGAAGTGGCGTACTACATAGTAGTGGTCGCCGTGCGGGCCGTGCCGCGCCGTCGAATGCCGGGGTTGCCGGGTGTTAATTGAAATTTGATCATCACGGTCGGCCAAAAGCGGTAACTAGGAACACAGCCGTGGATTGACTCGGCGCTTCGCGCTCAGCTTCAGCAAGCACTCGTTGAACTGGAAGCCTGCTGCTGAGGCATCCGAGACTCACTGCGTTACACAAATGGCTGCGAGAACCGCAAAGTTAGAGAGGAAGACGAACGAGACGCAGATCGAGGTCTTCATCAACCTCGACTGCCAGCCAGGCTCTGGTAACGCGCAAGAGATCCAAATCTCGACTGGCATTGGGTTCCTGGACCACGTACGTCGCCGGTCTGTTGGTCGAGGTGCTCAAGCTGTCGTCAAATCGTTCTGATGTGACGTGTTACGCAGATGTACCATGCCCTTGCGAAGCACTCGGGCATGTCCCTGACCATGTCCTGCAAAGGCGACCTCTGGATAGACGATCACCACACTGCAGATATGTAGTGCCCGTGCAATGTCTGGGTAATGCAAATTAACATCGCTCGTCTGCACAGGACAGCGCGATCGCACTGGGCACTGCGTTCAAGCAGCCTGGGTGAAGTTCGCGGCATACGTAGATATGGCACGGGATTTGCCCCACTTGACGAAGTAACTGCCTTCAGCATGTCCTTTCTTGTCTTCAGATTCTGATGATGCGGCCAGGCCCTCTCGCGCGCCGTCATCGACATTTGCTCAAGGCCTTACTGCTTTACTGACCTCGGGCTGAAGAGGGAGAAAATCGGCGACCTTTCCACGGAGATGTTCCCACACATATTCTACTCGTTTTCGATAGCAGCCGGCGTCACTCTTCACGTCGATGTCCTCCGCGGGGACAACGATCATCATCGGTGAGCCCACCAACACTGCTTCACCCAGTACATCCGGCTAACTAGGATGCGTAGGGCCGAGTCCGCTTTCAAGGCGTTGGCCTTAGCCATCCGCCAAGCAATCGAAAGAACTGGCGGCAATGATATCCCCAGTACGAAAGGAGTCCTCTGAGTTGCGCCCGTGGGCCGTGAAAACATGTATCGGGTCTACCGGTGGAAGCATACAATGTATACTGGAGCAGCTGTCTTGTTTCAGCATGTACTAGGAAGACGCACACGCTCTATATATATTGCTAAGTTAGAATGCGACACACTCGCGATGATGCCAGAATACACAGGTACACATTACAACCGCGGACTACTCATTACAGATGTATTAGGCATGACATTGGCATGGTCAACAGCTGCGCAATCAGATTGTCGTTGTCCATCTTGCTACAAGTGGTATCAATGCCGCTCGCACAGCGTTTCAAGGAAGACCTTGAGATCGTCCTTGTTTATCTCCAGGACACTCGTGTCGAATGAGCCGTGACGCGTTCGCGCGTTGCATCGTTCTTTCGCGTCCAAAAATGCGAGACCGAATTCACTAAACAAAAAATCAGCGTCACTTTCATAAAACAAACCCCGCCAACGCTACGTACTTCTTCCGGACGTCACCATAATCCAGAGCACCCATGACACCCACGACGATGTACGTCCCTTCCCTCTCGTTCATGCACGCTAGCACCAACGGCAGACTCTTCCGCTTGCTTCGAGAGAATGCCGCTTGAGTGCCCGCTAGGCGATCGCGAAGCGCTTCGACGAGCCAGAGTGCAAGGCGGGAGAGCACACCAGGATGCGCAAACAAGGCGAGATCCGGGCCTTGAGAGAGGATGACGACGCGGTGCCCGCGTAGTGTGCGAATATCGTGCTTGTCGATGATGGACGAGCCCTGACGCATGATCGCGCGGTGGAGTGCCATCGCGAGTGGAAGTGCCTCGCGCAGTCGGACGATGCTACAGTGCGCATTAGCACCGACATTCGTGGCTCGCACACAAGGAAGTGAAACAGAGTGCTTACTCGTTGAGCGCGTCGAACGCAGTCCAGAAGTTCTTCACCCACCACTGCAGCTCTGCGCTGCCCCCGTCATCCTTGCCATCGACGTTCGCGAGTGCGTTTGAGGTCTTCACAGCACTCGCGGCGCCGCCCGGTGGGATGTTTTCGCGCTCCTCGTCCCTTCGTCTACCTTCCTTGGCGCCATTCCACACGCGGCCCCCGCCAAACCACTCTCCGCCATTTCGCGCACCTTCGACCTCTACCTCCATCCGCACACCGCCGGCCACGTCGAGCAGCGCGGAGACCGCCTCGACAGCGTCGGCGGCAGAGAGGGAAGAGAGCGGTAGCCATAACACCGCGTAAGGAGGATATGAGAGCTCGACAAGCCCGTATTCGGGTGCAATTTGGTCGAGCTTTTGCCGAAGGGAGAGCTTGAGGTCTTTCGCCATATGAGAATACGGCTGCTGCGTCTCTGGTATTGAAAACTGTACACCCAAATGCGTGAGTGAAGCCGCAGAGAACACTCGAATGAACTCGTGTCACTCACCCCATCTTCGCGAGCAGCCCCGTCAGTCGCTTCTTCCCTCGCTCTTTCCAGATACCGAGTTTACTAGCTACATAGTATGAATGATACATCGCATCGTACACATTCCAGTGGCGGAACATCGTGAAGCGTAGTTCGTCTGAGGCGTACACGGACGTGTCGTCGGGGTTCTGGGGCTTGAAGTCATATTCGGCTGCCGCAGATGCGGGCGGAGGGGGATTGAGGCGCGCGACTCATCGTAGTATATAGAATGATACTTGTCGTAGTCTTCGCGTGATATTCGAGATGTCGTGTACTGATATGTGAGACCCAATACTGCGAGCCTGGCAAGTACAGTCGCATGAGGCATCGCGTCAGCATCGAACAAACATACGACCCACCAAAGGAGGTCGTTGTCGACGCGCTCTAGCACGGTCGCCAGAATGTAGATTGTACCGGAGGCACTTTGACCGTGCCACGTTCCAGACATGTAATGTTCTCCAATCGCGCCGCGTATTCCGCCCGCATTCTCTTGACATACGCGCAGACCGGCGCTATCGAGCAATATAAGCGTACGGATACTAGTGAATATGCTTGGTATGCTCACCTCAAGCCTGCGTCGTTTTCGGGAGGGTTCCCTTCGCCTAATGATCTTCGCTTGCGCCCCGAGGGCTCTCGCCTTCATACGACTCTTCGTCCTCATCTTCTTCAGCGACTCTTCGTCGTCTTCCGAGTCGAGGTCAGACTCGTCAGTCAGAATCAGGCTCCGGCTCATACTATTCCGTCGTCAGTAGGTGATGGGGTCTCATGCATGTATATAGATGGTCCTCACAGTTAGGGCTCCCAGCTTTCCTCTCCTCTTGCAGATGCTCTGCTCCACCGTCATCCCAAATGACAATCCGGTCACCATTCTCTCCGCCCCAAAACCGTGGACAAGTTCTGAGGTCTTGACGAGTCGATGACATGCACCGTCAGCCGTGGATCGAAGTCCCCAAACCATTCCGAGGATGGCAGATCGAGGATGGCACCCATGTTTAGGAGAAGCAATGTGTGCAGCTGCACGACCCTCAGCACGTCATGTTCAGCGCAGACCATATCAATGATACTCACGTCGGAATACGTAGCAAGCTCGTCTCTCATGCGCTCAAGCTCAGCGTGGCCAGAAACGGAATAATCCGGTACATGACGTCGTCCTGCTTGAAGAGCTCCGCCAGCATTTGTGCGGCACAGAGCGCATCTACATCAGGGGCTACGAGAATGATGACCGACGAGGCGGAAGTGGTGGGGGAGCGACGATGAGTGGCGAGGATCTTCGCGTAGGTCTCGCCATAGGAAGGACGCGTCTCTGACGCGAGATGTGGAGGGGGCAGGTAGACCATTAAGTGCGCCGGCTACCAGTCTGCGTGAGTAGAGACAGAGTATGGGACGCAGAGTATGGGACGCGAGCAGTCGCCGCTAGAGTCGGGCCAGCGCGGTGGAAGAGAGATCGTGGGTTCGTTGAACGCGCCACGGTCAACGCGACGGACGCGGTACACGTGACCATACCGCGTCTGTGGCTGAGACTCAGGGTCAGTGGGACAGACGGATGGTAAGCTGTATGGTAGCATTATGATGTGTACTGCGACATTTAAAAGAACCATCTCTTCGACTCCTGCACATCCCTCCTCTTGCCTCGAATCCCCCAAAGACCCCAATTGGTTTTGACCATCACGCGAGGATCGAAGTCTGCTACCTCCCACTTCTCGCTCCCAAATGCATTTGGCCCCGGAGTGATTACCCAGTCGAACTCTCCGGCGACTTCAGGGGCAGTCGAGAGCGATTTCACATCCCGCTCCACATCCGCGGGGGAGAAGCCGGTCACGAAGATGGGACACTTGCTTGCCAGCAGCAAGGGGATAACCGGGCCCCACTCCGTTGGTGAGGCGATCTGCAACAAGGGTTCTCCAGTGACCTCCGAAGTCGAGTTCGGCGATGGGAAGCCAAATCCAGGAGAGAATAGGACGAAGCAATCCGTGTATGGGTCAAAGGTCTCCTGGAAATGCGCGTGCACGTCCATGTATCCGGCTTGCATGCCTGTGATGGTGAGTTGCGGCGTGTAGGGAACTGTGTAAGAAGGGACGCCATATTGCTGAATCGACTCCCTAGTGCGCTTCAGTCGTGCAATCGGCGCCGGAGTAGGAGGCTCGTAGATGTTCGGCACATAGACAGGCTTCTCGTCAGCCGACTTTCCATCCGCCTGTGATACGCTTTCTGACGACGAGTCTGTTGACGATGATTGCTGACCATCCGAGCTTTGCGGCTGCGGCTTGTTCGTTGGTTTCTTCAGCTCGCTCGCGGGTCTCGGTAGGGACACTTGAGGGCCAATGAAGTAGAGGTGAAACAACGCCGCAGGGAAGAGCAGGCAAAGCTGCTCCCAAACGTGCGGCGGTAAAGACGACTCTGCCCGCGCACCCAATACAAAAATCCGCGCTTGCGGTTTTACTGCAGCTGCAGCCTCCACTTCAGGCGCACCAGGAGGGACGTGCAACGTAGTCCGCAGAGCTTGAAAGCAGTGAATACCGCGGCCGAGAAGCCTCGGACTAAACACTCACCAGCTAATGAGCGACTCCCCTCTGATGTGAGCCGCTGGTTGCGCAGCGTCAGTCCACTGAATTGATGTAGGACGGACCCGATCGTGATCGGGTAGGTGAGCAGCTTGCTCGCATGCCGCCGCGACCGATCCGTGTCCATGGACGGGAAATTTCGGGTGTACCAGAAGACGTCCCAGTTCGCGAAAGAAATAGCAGCTTCCGAGTCTTGGGGACCTGAAGGGTGTCGCCACGCTCAACTCAATACACGATACGATGGCAGGCTTTGCCGCACCTGGTAGCTCGAACTCTCGCATCCTACGCCCACTCCTCAGGTCATGCTCGTCTTCATTCACCTCCCTCAATCTCGGCAGTATTTCTTATGCTCCGTATCCATCCTCCAATGCTCCTCTGAACAGTGCGTGGGCCACCCACAGTCTGGACATTCAAACTTGACCGCTTTCGGCTGGGCGTGCGTGTGGACATGCGTGCCGCTTGTACCCTTGGCTTCAGCTGCACAAACTGGACAGGGTGCGAGCTTCTGGACTGCTTCTCCGCGTGCACGGATCGCAGGGAATGGCGAGTTGGAGAACGGGTGGAAGAGGTCGTCCTGACTGAGCACCGGCGCGGAGTCCTTTTTCGTCTGCGCGGCGTTGGATTTCTTGAACCATCCGAAGAGTGTGCGTGCCTGAGTTGCCGGCCTAGGGCGTGCGAGGGTGGGTGGGCATAGTTGAGGACGCGAGCGGCCCAGAAGATGGAGTGGGGGCCGCTGTGTCGCTGGAGGACGGAGCATCTGCCAACGCAGGTTGTTTGTGAAAGACGACTTGCGACTCGCCGAAGCGCGGGGACTCGCCGATCGAAGGATGTCGCGCATGTGGCTAAGAGCGAGTTCCCCGAGCTGCCGGCCGTGCCACGCACAACTGCATCCTTGCCTCCACCACGATACTCGTCTTTGGATTCAACCTCTTATGCTGCTATGATTGTACTTGCAAGATCAACGGGCCTACTGTTGAAACTACCGCGAGCACAGTCTGTCTTACGGCCGCTTGTCCTAAGCCGCGCCTACGCGCTCTCCAGGTTCCCTGAACGAGGCACTGGCAGCAGTAGACAGCGCCCCCGAGTAACTCTGCGCGCAGAATCAGCGAGGGGACCGCATGGCTTTGATAGCCCTCCGCAAGAAGACCGGCCCTCGTCAGAGGAGTCGCCGCTCTGGGACGAAAGCCAAAGAGGTCCTTTCAGTGATCCCGAGGACGGGTTGAAGAGATTGCTTCTGGGCCATGAAGAGCTTGTCGTAACAAGGTGGGCTGTTTTTTGACCTGCGCAACATTTCCTGAGTGGTAGCAGCTTGCGTCTGTCTCCTTAGGCAGATAGAGATGCTCAACATCTTCGTCGGGTTTGAGCAGACGAACCGATATGTCATTAGTGAGCTCCGTCTCTGTCACCGGATCCGAGCGCAGTGAAACTGAGTTGTTGTGAAGCAAATACGGATGGTGAAACACTGGGATTTATTGCTGAAGAGCCACGAGGGTTTTTCGCGACATTCGGACGTCAGATATTTCGTACGCATCGGCCATTCCGTGCAGTGGTCATGGATGCTTACGGGACGCCCGTCCTCTGGGTCTGTATCGCTTTATACTTTCGAATACAACCCTGCCTGATAATTATCATGTTAGGTTCGACGCCCCTTTGCGTGGATAAACTCCCGGATGTTCGTGCAACGCCTCCAAGGTTACAACACATACACCCCGAAGGCGAGCCTGTGCTTGATACATTTGGTGAGGTGCAGCAGCTATGGCACCCGTGGCGCAGACGATACGACCTGTTTCTCAGGTAGACTTTCTGAATTCTACCCACCGACTTTCGCTGATCGTACGCAAGGGAGAGCCCCAGCGCATACTTTCGGTTGCATCGGAAGCGCAACCAGAGCCAGACACTGAAGTCTTCACACACTGGCCAAGATAGACGAAGGATTCCTTGCTTGGTATTTCTTCCTCCGGGATGCGCGAGGGCAAGAGATTGCCAGCATCCGTCGCGCCTTTAGAGGCTTTGGTCGGGAGGTAATGTCCTACAGGACATTCGGCAGCAGACTGTACTGATCTCACGCACTGTAGCTATTCACCGATACAGGTGTGTGAGGGAGGCGTTATGGCGTGGAGATTTACTCGTGGTTCTGACGTCTGCTGAAGGCCAGTATTTCATTCGCTTCAGTTCTCTACCGTCAGACGCGGAGGATCCTACGCCGAGAGCCCCTTACGTTGTTCGCGACCTGAACCTTGAGGAAAGAGCCGTGGGTACTTTTTCTTATCATCAAACACTTAGTGCTGAACCCAATATCCTAGCTTGTATTGGCGATGTCTGGTACGTGCCTTGCCTCTGGAGTCTTCACGTCCGCGTCACTGATACCGTCATGCACAGTCAATGTTGACTTTGATTACTTCTCACACCATTCATCTGGAAGGTGAGTAATGATTGTGCCATCTACATGGAGCGGCCGAGAAAACCTTACTTGACCCTGTGCAGCCCCGGGTTTGGTATGTGGTTCTTCTCTGCAGGCGAAGACTAGATACATTCCCTATGAATGCTGTACCGAACTCTCAATTGCAAGTTGTCACTTCGTAGCACTTCGTACTATCTCACGACGAGAGAATTGGTAACCTCGGCCTGGTGCTACGGCAACTTGAAATCTCAATGCCAACCTCATATTGGGCTCACGGACTGTACATACGTACATGAACTGAAACCGTCAACGCAATCACAATATAGTAACCGCTCTTCCGTTTTCGTTTTCACATCGAGTGTATTTAGTCAATGCACGTTGAAACTGTGAATCCAGGAGGAGCAGCAGGAGGAGGGGGTCCTTTTGAATAGCTGACACGACGCGGTAAGAACGCGTCCGGTCGAGATTGCCCGTTGTAGTGCGGTCATGTGATGGAGCCGCGCTTCCGCGTCGAGTGGGAGCGTGCAGGGGACCACGCTCAGACTGCGCTCTTCCTCCGTCTTCTTGCCCTCGAGGCTCTCATTCCGCCCTTTCTTCAGGAGCATGGCGGACACTCGCGACGCGAGGCCGTCTGCGGATGAAGGTTAGAGTCACTCCAGCCCCTCATCATGCCAGTGAAACATTCCCGACGTTTCCTCCCCACAGAAACTGCCCCGCTCCTACAGGATGTGGACCATCCGGATGCCGACCAACAACCTCAACATCGTCTTTTACGTCTATCCTGCAGGAACCCCTCACTCCCCTCACTCAAGTGCTTCTTGTAGTAGCGTTGATATTCTTGCTACTGAGCTCCGTCTTCATTGGCCTATTCGCCGGCGCACAACACAAGCTTAACACATGGCATGGCGGTGACTCTCCTAGCACCGTCACTTCTACAGTGTATGCCACCACGACACAGACACAGACACAGATACAGACACAGACAGCGACTTCTACGTCCGTCTCGACAAGCACTGTGAGCGTGCCTGGCCCTGTGCCGACCGGTGCCCCGGACGAGGTGCGTATTTGCTCGGGTGATCCGCTACCTGTACGATGCCAACTACTTGAGCAGCCTACATGTCTATCCGCTGATTGTATCATTCTGTCGTCCTCGATTTTGTCTTCGTTGGACACTAGCCAAGATCCCTGTGAGAACTTCTATGACTTCGCCAGTGCGTCGCGATATTTGCATCCGTTGATTACTAGCTGAAGTATCTAACAGACGGCGGTTGGCTGAAGATTCACCCAATTCCTTCTGACAAGGGAGTGTTTGGGAACTTTGAGGCCCTTGCGCAGCAGAACCGAAGGGTGCTCCAGGAGATTCTCACGTCCGACGCATACGTCTCACCCTCGACGCTCACCACTTCGTACGACGCGCAGCTCATGAAGAAGCTGCGTGGCCTGTATGGGTCTTGCATGGACGAGGAGAAGCTCAACCAACTTGGCTCTTTACCTTTGGCGACCGTGACAAACAAGATCAGGAAACTGCTCTATGGCAAAGCTACTGTAGTCGACGCCAAGATACCTAAAGTCCTGACGAAGAAGATGACTGGACTGACGGCAGCTATTGCTTACCTCCACACTCGGGGTATCGGTGGTCTATTCTCCGCTGAAATTGAAGGTGACGTCGGCACTGACCCGAACTTCATGACGTTGTGGTTCAGTCAACCCGAGCTTGGTCTCCCGTCTAAGGTCAGTCGATGTGTTCTCGATATCCCATGTCTCTGAGGCTCGCTTGAACAGGAATATTACGAAGAAGAATCATTCATTGACCTCTATCAAGAGGTCCTCGAACGTCTTCTCGTTACTCTGTCAGAGGAAGAGGAATATGTCGATGGCAGTGAGGTCTACAGGCTGGGTAGTAGCGAGGCTGTGTATCAGGAACGCTTGCGCGTATGGCCGCCTTGGCCCTGGCCGCCATGGGGCGGTGATGATGACGGCGACGACGACGGTCATGACGATGAACCTGAACCCATGGACCCGGAGAAGGCCCACAAGGTAGCGAAGGACATCATCGCATTCGAGAAGTCTATTGCCAACGCAAGCTTGGATCTGTAAGTATCATCTGTAACGATTCGCTACGCGGGAAGCTGACTCTGTTGCAGTGATATTCTGTATCAAGATCCTATTGCGACATACAATCCCGTCCCAATTGACAACCTGACCGCCCAGCTCCCTCAAGTCGACTTCCCAGAGTACTTCGCCGCGTTTACTCCGCGTAATTTCCCAAACACTGCCATCCTGACGTCTGTGACGTACCCAACATCGCTGTCGGCCATACTGAACGAGACGAGTGCCGAAACACTGGAAGGCTACCTCGTGACGCGTGCAGCCCTCGCGTTGGCGCCTTATCTCGGATATGACACCGAGGCGTGGAAGGCAGTACGCAGCCTGGAAGAGCGCTTGAAGGGCTTGAAGAAAGGTGCGGTCGGTGACCGCGCGGAGTACTGCACGGCCGAAGTAGAGGCGGCGATGGGCTTCGGCACTGGAAGGTACTTCGTCAACGAGACTTTCGCAGGGGACTCGAAGAGAAAGGGCACCCAGATCATCAAAGGTGTGCGCAATGGAGAGTGTATCCCGATATTATTGCTGGACACTGACTGGGTCTCCTATAGACATCATCGAGACATTCAAGAGTTCTCTAGGACACCTGGAGTGGATGGATCAGAAGAGCGCTGCTGCCGCTGCGGAAAAGGTAATACACATTTATGTGTGACTTCATAGCGTTGCTCAACAATCTTTAGGCCGACGCGATTCGTGTCAAGGTGGGATATCCTCTGTCTCCGGACACAGAGAACCCCGCGTCGATCTTGACGTACTACTCGCGCGTAAACATCGACTCTGGGACTTTCCTCGAGAACATTCTCAGCAGCAAGTGGGTCTTCCGCTCATGTAGTCATGATCACTCTTAACTTTGCGTTTCTCAGCGCGAACGAGGAGTACTTGACATGGCAAAAGCTTGGCAAACAAAGAGATACCGAGGCGTGGGAGATGTACCCATCCACGGTCAACGCGTACTTCAACCCGCCGGCCAATGAGGTATGATTCCGCATGTCTACGTTACCAGTGTGTTGACTGGTTTTCCATTAGATCGTTTTCCCAGCCGGGATCTTGCAGCCACCGTTTTTCTCTCGAGTCTGGTGAGTGGATGCGATAATGCTGTGAAGCGCAAATTCATGAACTTTCATTCTAGGCCTGGATACATGTCATATGGCTCGTTTGGACAGGTGGCTGCCCATGAGCTCACGGTACGCCTGTACAGTTCACCTCAGTCCTGTTGCTGATCATCGGTTCCATAGCATGCATTTGACTCCGCCGGAAGACTGTATAATCAACAGGGCAAGCTTGAGCAATGGTGGACGAACGCTACTAGCGAAGGTTTCAAGAAGAGGCAAGACTGCATTGTCAAGCAATATTCTGGTGCGTAGTGTATCAAGGGGCTTGACCGAGGCTCATAAGTGGTAATCAGAGTATACCATCGACGACGGCAAGGGCGGGAAGATCCACGTAAATGTATGTAGAGTCTTATCTCTCTGGTCTTCCACTACTAACGATCTGTTGCGCAGGGGAACCTGTATGTAAAACGTGCGCATCCTGTCCTGTGCTCTCTGATGAATGAGCCACAGCACGTCCGGGGAGAACATTGGCGACACGGGCATCATTCAAGCATACCGCGCTTGGAAGGCGCAGTACGACTCTAGTTTTGCTAATGGCGGCGAATATCTTCTACCTGGACTGAACTTCACGCGGTAAGATATTGCAGAAGTCTAAATGCCTGCATCAATGTTGATATCAATGATGCGACAGAGAGCAACTGTTCTTCATTTCCTTTGCTCGTGGGTGGGCAAGGAACATCAAGACAGAGTCGGCTGTAAGTATATTATCTACCCAAATTGCGTTCAGTTTTGAACGCTGTTGGTCGCAGGTTGCCCGCGTTCGCACAGACCCGCATTCGCCCAATCAATACCGTGTCGACGGCACGGTATTCAATATCCCAGAGTTCGCAGCAGCTTTCCAATGTTCAGACAAAGCAAAGGTAAAATTTATTTTCTATATGACGTCACTTCGCTGACGAGCATTCGTGAGCAGCTGAACCCTCCGATGGAGAAGCGGTGTCTATTCTGGTAGAGAGCCGTGACATTATTTGTGCACGCACAACTGTATACTGTCAGGATATAATTATTTCTTATGAAGTGGGATGGAATCATTAGTCCTTGCCCTGAGGGCCGTCAATGTGTGGATGCATTGGATGTGGCTGACGGTTGGACGCGTCTGAGGCGAGCAATGCGACGCGCCCGTCAAACGCGAGTACACCACTCACGTGATCGTCACGCTGGCAGGACACGGCCAGATCGGCGGAAGTCGCAATGTCGCATTTGCAGTGACCGCCTCCAGCCACAGCGCCCTCGGACCGCAGGCATACCTCTCATCCCACCTTTCGTCGATGTCCCTTCAATAGTCTCTTAGTCCGGGAAGACCAGACTTCCACTCGTTCAATTCAGGCGTACTTCGTGACCGCCATGCACCACGCACGCCGTGCCGTTCACATCAAGCGTCCGCTTGTCCGTGCCGCTTCTGCAGCCGTTCAGCCTGCTGTAGGTATACTTCCCATCTTATGCCTATCTTTCTTACGTAGTGTTAGCCTAAACCTCTAGGAAAGTGGGCGAGGCCGGAGCCGGGACCTTCCTCTCAGAACTACGATGCCTCGACTACCGCCTCTTCTTCGAGGCCTCCTGTTCCACGAGCGCGTCATGGGGCCAACAACAATCACAGTCCAGAGATGACGACTCTCAAAAACCTCAACGACACCTCTGGCTCTGCTCCGCAAGCGCGTGCATGGGCGCGGCGTATCACTCCTGCGGAATCCCAAGGGAACAAAACCAACCTGGTTCGTGCCATATTCACTATCTCCGGTCACTTGCACGGTCACTCCGAGCCTGACAGTCACAGCAGTAGAGCGCTCACCATCCTCACCACCAAAAGCCTTCTCCAATCCGGGTCAGCGGGATGCGCTTCCACATCTGGCGTTAAGAGATTCGGCACCTCATCAAAGGACGCAGCACCACACCGTGGTCGATCGGATAAACCAGCTGACACTGTTGATCTTGTACGCTCACGGTTGCTAAGGGCACGAGTGCTCAGGGCTCTCCCTCGGCTACCTCACGGCGCTCAGGGACACTGGGTGACATCCTCAGTAAACAGCGAATCAAGCGGGATTTGGAGAATGCTCAAGCTGCGCAGGAGGGCGACGAAGACATGAAGGAGATGTTGGGGAGCAGATGAATACTGAGACAGGCGGGACCCAGTTGGCTGGTGCTGCTCGGCCAGAAGTTGAAGAGAAGGCTGAGGTTGACGAAGTTGATGTTCCTGAGGAATTCGAGTCAAGCCCCGCTCCTGGACAGACAAGACTTCGCGCGTAAGGAGAAGGAGAGGGGCTCCGTCGTATCGAGGTTGAATAATGGCGAAGAGGAAGTCGTCTTCCAAAAACGATCCGCACTCGCGGTGATGAGCAACATGTCCAAGCGAGCCAAAGGAGAAGAAACCAAAGTCGACGAAGCAGAACTCTAGGGTGTCAAGCGCGACCTCTTCATCCTACCGTGGTGACTGTAGGTAATTTTGCGAAGCTCCTGAAGGTTCCTCCGAATGTTCTGCGTCGGAGGATGATCAGAGTGGGCATGGATGTGGAAGCCTCGTATGAACACCGTGCGTGCGCAGTGCATTGAAGCAACATTTGCATGCTCAATCAGTCCTCTTAGTGCTGACGTCTGAGTACGCCTCACTTCTGGCGATGGAGTTCGGCTGGAATCCCGTCGTCAATGACGAAGCCGCTTTTGATATATATCCGCCGTGAGTTGCCAATCCTCGTTTCAATGACTCCAATCTGCTCACCATGTGCATAGTCCCCCTCACCCTCAGCCTCCAACCCTTCCGCTCCGCCCACCGGTGGTGACTATTATGGGACATGTCGACCACGGTAAGACAACACTGCTCGATACGCTGCGGTCCGCATCCGTCGCGAAGGGCGAGGCGGGAGGTATCACGCAACACATTGGTGCCTTCTCGGTCCCTGTGCCTGCGAGTGGCAGCGGTGGTGATGCTCGAACGATTACGTTCCTCGACACTCCAGGGCATGCTGCATTCTCTGCTATGCGCGCCCGTGGTGCGGAGGTGACGGACATTATCGTTCTTGTCGTAGCAGCAGACGACGGATCATGCCGCAGACGCGCGAGGTGATCGAGCTCATCAACAAGGAGAAAGTCGGAGTTGTCGTGGCTATCAACAAGATCGACAAGCCTGGCGCGGATGCGGTGGGTGCTTTCCCCATTGCATTCTGTATTGCGACTAATCTGGTGCTGCAGAGCAAGGTTGAGCATGCTCTGCTAGCAGCGGGCGTGCAGCTGGAGACATTCGGCGGAGATATTCCCTCCGTGCAGGTCTCAGGCTTGACCGGGCAGAGTCTCGATCAGCTCGTCGAGACCGTTTCCGCCCTGGCGGAAATGCAGGATCTGCACGCGGAGCGCGAGGGCGCCATACATGGCTATGTCATTGAGTCTAAGGTTCAAAAGGGTCTTGGGTGAGTTGACAGTTTCTGTCGGAAGCGCATGTCGGGCGACTGATTGTATCTCAATTAGACCTGTAGCCACCGTCCTGGTTCTGCGGGGATGTTTAAAGCCGTCTGACCATATCATTGCCGGTCTGGCCAACGGCAAGGTACGCCTTCTGCATGATGCAAATGGGAAGTCCGTCAAGACAGCCTATCCCGGAATGGCTGTTACCGTCTCGGGTTGGAAGGAACTTCCGAATGCAGGAGACGAGGTCTTGAAGGGATCCGAGTCGGAGATCAAGAAAGCGCTCGCGAATCGCGAGCGCCAAGCGGATCTGGAGGCGACGTTGGGCGACGTCGAGATCTTGAACGAGCAACGACGGCAGGATAGGGATCAGAAGGAGAAGGAGGAGGCAGCAGCCGAGGCTGGCGAGCAAATTGAAGAGGCCAGGAGCAAGGAGAACGGCCCGAAGGAGCTCAGACTGATCATTAAGGCGGACGTGAGTGGCAGCGCGGAGGCTGTCGCAGGTGCGCTGCAAGGGATCGGAAACCACGTCGCTCGGACCAAGATCATCGCGACTGGTGTGGGCGATGTGAGCGAGTCGGATGTCATGAGGGCGAAGGCTGCGGATGGTGCGTGCAGCCAGTGTTCGTCCGGCAGATAACCTAATTTGTTATTCCCCTCTCCTTCGCAGGCATGATCGTCGCCTTTGCAGTCGGCGTCCCTCGTCCCGTCCAGAGCGTAGCAGCCTCTCAGCAGGTCCCATGGATTACTTCAACGATTATCTATCGCCTGATGGACGATGTGAAGGCGAAGGTCATCGGGCTGCTCCCGCCGATCATCGAGAAGCGCGTGACAGGCGAGGCAAACGTGCTGCAGCTCTTTGACATCCACATCAAGTCGAAACAGACGATGAAGGTCGCGGGATGTCGTGTGACAAATGGCCTGGTGGAGAAGAACAAGATGGCACGGGTGATTCGCAACGGGGACACTGTTTACGAGGGTACGTAAGGACTGGCTGCAGGGGGACATGGATTGACGGGTGCTATTACAGGACGTATAGAGACGCTGAAGCACCTCAAGAGAGATGTCACGGAGGTCTCCAAGGGCACTGAGTTCGGCATGGCCTTCGGGTCCTTCAGTGACCTCCGCGAAGAAGACATAATACAAATGTTCACACAGATAGAGAAGCCAGGGATTCTATGATGGTTGCACCAGCAGTTGCGTAGAGTTACACATACATCTTCATTGTCTGGACTAGTCTACACAGTCTTGTAAGGCACGCTAATCCCGCTTCAATTTGCATCAACTACGCCCCGGGCGGTGGCGATGCCGCCTTGATCTTGTTTTGGTCGTCTAAGATGATCGACTTTGCGCCGATCGTGCCCGTCCTGCCACCCACACCAAAGGTGATATTAACTTTGCCCAAATCTCGGACCGACTTCTCAAGCACTGGCCAGCTTCGCGCATCCGTTTTACGCAGGTCGAGCTCGACCTGATAACATAGTATACTTAGATTCATTAAATGGGACAGCGACGTTCGCGGGAGACGAACCTTGGTACCATAGTATTTGAATGACGATGCCGATGGATCAACGGGCCCAAAGAGCTCAATCGATTTCTTGAATCGCTTCGACGCAGGGAGATAAAGGTCTAAGTGGATCTATGAAAACATGCGGTCAGAAGACCATTCGACAGTTCACTTGCATGGATAAGTTGAACACTTACGGCGTTCTCCTCGATTTTCACTGTACTACGCTCCTTGTCCGCCTGCTTTGCGAAGACGGAGACGTGAACATCGGCCGGGGTCTGATAGTGGTCGATACGGCATTCCGTGAATTGCTCCGCCTAATTCACGCGTCAGTGACCGGTTGAAAGATCTGTCGGTCGTGGGACATACAGAGGTTTCCTTGTTCTTGGGCACGAACAAGTGTCGACCGGTCTTGCATCCTTCGATCTTGAGGAATTCGTCGAACTCCAGCACGCGACGTTTACAGCACAAATAACCCTAGCACAGCAGATAGAGCTCCACCCGGTTCCTTGAGATGCCGCTACATACCTTGCTTCCTTCATGGAAGATCGGCTATGTGGATAATGCCTCTATGAAAATGTGTACTACTAGGACGAACTGAGGCGGAGGTACCTACCGCCTTGGGGTGGTACGTACACGTCGCTTCCGGCCGATCACCCTTCCTGTTTGCCCCGTCGCTTTCATACAGCGTCTTGCATCCATTCCTCTTGCACTTCGTGCCAGGCGCAACAGACGCGCTGAGGTCGTCCTCCTCCTCGGGCTCGGGAGCTGCAGGCGCTGATGCGATAGAAGAAAGCGCGATCTGTTGAGGCGCGAGTGTGGTAGAGTATGTCTCCTTCCCGCCTGCCTGCGTCTCTGTCAGTTTGAGGTTTGCGCCTGTGGATGGCTTGGCGGCGTCGGTTTTGGGTGCAGCGTCTGAATGCGGGCCATTGGTACATCCCTATGCAGAATGAACGCAAGTTCGTGTTGATTCTCAAGCTGACTGTGACGCACCGGGATCTTCATGAACTCGTCAAAGTCGAGCACGGACTTGTTCACATCCGAGCAACACGACCACGACTTGAGTCCTTCATGGAAGACCGGTGCGCCTGGATGATAAGTGCAGCTGTCGCCCTTGTTCTCCGCAGAGTCATACTCCTGGCTGCATCCTCGGTTGGTGCAGACAGGCATGGTGAGTGCAGGCGAGTGGCAGGTTGCAGTGTCAGTGGGGACTGAGGAGGATGTCTGGCGCCGGCGCGTGCACAGCGCGTGCACAACGCGACACCTGCCTTTTACGGCATCCTCCCGATCGATCGAAGCTGCCAGAAGCTTCGCATGTGTTGGTCCGCGCTCGGCCCGGCATTCCGAGTCGGTCACTGTATGTATATTCACTCGATTTGGAGCTCAACAGCAGTCATAGTTGTTCACTCCTTTATTAGTACATATCCATGTCTGCTTTCAATGTGCTGGGTTGGCCATGACAGCTCCCCGCGCCTTTCAAACACACATAGGCGGAGTCCATCTCGCTTGGTATTGTATCACGCCGGACGCAGCGGACATCGACGGCCAGGTTGAGCCAGGCAACGGCGACCTTGGCCACGGCGGCCCAGGCTGAACAGGGCAGTGTCCGGATCACTGAATACCAACGTCCGACGACCTCCCCTCCTAAAAGCACTTTTTGTGCGGGGCCCAACGGTGGAGGACGTTACTAGCTCACTTTTTGAACATGACCAATAGCTAATATTTCATTCAGCTCTGATTAGGCTGCGCACAGACATGACAAGGTGTTACGGGGGAATGGTCTATGATCACAATGCCTGAAATAATGCGACGTCGGGCTTGTATAGACTGGACGTTCGCAAAGTGGATGGGCGTCATACAGACGAGGTTCAATGGCATACCGCCTAGTCTCGCAGCTACTAGATCCCAGACTTATGCGTGGCCATACGAAGCGTCCAATCCAGTGGGCCGGGATTTGGGCACTGTGCCCGGATTGTGGCTGGGGCATGCGAACGAATTTGATATGCTATGTCGTCGCCAGAGATCCACCTACTAGACTGACGGAGAGAAATGTGATGAGATAAGCTGAACACCAAGCCTGAGCCAGACCGCCGAGGAAAGACTGGCATAGCGGGAAGCTCAAGCCTGAAGCCCGGCCTTACAGAAATGTGTCTATACACTCCTCACCTGTCGCATGGACGATTCTTGAGCGCCTGGTATGTGGTCAATATTCATAGCTACTGATGTTTCAAAGAAATTTAAGGGGTTTCGCCCGCCACCTAGGGCCCGGGGCCTACCGCCTGTGTGCTGGAACACTATTTCTGGGTGTCCGCAGCAAAGCTACACCTGCTCTCGGAGTGCACGTAGCTCAGTAAAGTGGTAAGTATTCACGGGTCAGTTGATAGAATCACAAAAGGCCGCGAGTCCAGGGAATTTCATACCTGGAGATTACCCGCAGGGGTGCAGTGCAGATCGCCGTGCGCCAGGCATCTGGCCGGTCTGAGACCATCCCACCGCTCTTCGGGAGTGTGCACATTACCACGGCATGTGTCGCGACTTGTGCTATGCACCTGGACGTGGCCGAGCCCCGAGCTGCGCGTCAGTGATCCGCGTTCAATACAGAAGATTCAAAGCGTACAACATTCAGGAGCATGTAGTCCATGCGTTCGTACGCACTAATTGTGATGCCACGGCCGTTGAAACCCTGTGGCCTGGGAGTTGTGCCTGCCAGAGGACGAACCGGGGTACGATATGTCACGCAATTGGATGAGACGCATTCGTGCAGCAGAGATTTCCGCGCGTCCTCACAATGGTATTTGGCAATATCATAGCGAGCCTGAACGGCGCCGAAGCGTTACATACCATGAGAACTTACCTGAGCGTCATTGTCATCGATCTCGTCGCAGCGCCTAGTTGATGACCGAGAAGAGGGCTAAGTTACGCTTAGAACACCCTTACGGCGGTTGTTGTTCACAGCCATCTGGATCTGCAAATGCAGGTTGCGTCAGTACCGTGGCCACGAGTGTAAAGAGGGCATTCTGTTATAGCGAAAGTACATTTGGCGGCGAGTCGCACCATCATGCAACCTTGCCTTTCTAGTCAGACTCCATTTGGTCAATTCACGACCGGCGGGCATGGCGCGGACGTTAATGTTCTTCCGCTTCATTAATCTCTGTATGAGACGCCTGCAGAAAGCATGTCAGGTACATGGTCTTCCTCAAGTAGCCGGCGGAATACTTGTCACAAGCGTGAAGCATCTCACGGCCCAGATTCCAGATTTGAGGTCGAATGCCCTACAACGGGTTTATAGGTTGGACGCGCCCGTTATAGACGGTGCACAGTGTGATCGGGTTAGGACATCATCAACCAGGGATCGAGTTACTAGCCTAGGCGCATTGAGAACACCACCACTGATTAAGCGAGAAGCGTGGTTAGCGTCCGCGTCGAAGTCGTGGCGCTGGGAAGAGGGGAAGTGCAGGTCAGATGACTACATGCGGCAAGGGCCTGCAAATGTTCGCAGGGTGATTGTCAGCAAATCGTACACAAGGACGACTGCGGACTTCACCGTTGTACGTGTAAGGCGAGGCGCTGAAGCTGATACGAAGGAAGCGTGTATTCCTACCCATCTGTCGGTAGTATCGTTGACGACGAGATTGTAAGAGCGGTTGGCTTATTGAGCAGAGATGCTGTGGAGCTACGCGGACAGGGAAGGTCAGCCGTGCAATGCGCATGGTGTTACGGGAGAACCACACCCTGGATCGTGGAACTACTCCCTATGTTTGTGCATGCCGAGTGTCTACATTGCCACGGACAAGCGCGGCTTTTGAGTGGCGACACCCGCCTACGTACATACGTCCGTTCTGGCATCGTGAGGCGAGAAGAAGGAGGAAATATTACATGACATGTTCACACAATATCATGGTGTCTGAACAGCTGTCGCGCGGTGAACGAATGCTGTGCTGCGTATCGTCACGTCTTCTGCCCATGTCCGACCAGTACAAACATACCCATAAAGGACGCGAGGTCGAATAACTTTGCGCGTCTCCGACAATTCTCTGCTGTTATCCGGACATTGTGTACATGTTCGAGACGTCACGTCCAGTTCTGCCGAATGGAAGTCTCGCCAGCCGAACAGAATAACGGCGACATCCTTCATGAATATTGGTAGCCGGACAAGTTGGTGATCCCCGGAAGTTCGAAGGCCAGTAGCTGCGTTGCACCAACATTCCCAAGGAAGCTCAACCCTGAGTGGATATTGTCAACGCGCCTGTCGTATAGTGTTTGCATGAAATGAGTCCGCTCAGCTTCTGTCGGATCGCCGCTGGGAGAGACCCTTTGTATCCGCCTTCAGCGTCATACGGAGTGAACAGATTACAGGTCAGTAGCTCCGTCTAGTGATGGACTGACCATTATCCTCCGCTGACCGGACGGACCGCGACAGGCCATGCATCTCGGCACCACGTATTAATCTTCGCTGCATTGCCAACGAATACATGATCGTCTGTGCTCGTATCGGACGACACATGGCATCACAGCGGCGATGAGCGGAGAAATCTCTCCAGACACAGACCCGCCGTATTGTCGGGGATAGCTGGGCATAGAAGCTGCTTTAGAACGGGAACTGGAGCCACTCGGGCAGGCGGAGATGCTGACTCAAAATATAGGGTAAACGCAGAGCTTCGCGGAATTCGGAATCGAGTCGGCACCAATGCATGTCATGGCTTTCCAGGAAGATGAGACCTAGCGCATCGCATCAGCGTCAGTGGAATGCCAGTGTACACACCGAGGGAGATCAAGCGACTGACTATAACTGGCAACTTGGGATGGGAAACCGAAAATTCGCTCCATGTCATGGTCAAGTGCGCGAGAATACCTGGACTTACTGCCTTGAAACCTCGGAGGGCCCGTGTTTCAATCAGCATATGTTGCGCCGGATGGATATGCTGTCATAAACTTGAAGGGCCATCTGTCGTCGCAAAGCTATTGAGCAGCGTTCAAGTTGTCCTATCACTTCATGAATTCGAACGTCTCTTAGCCAAGCGCCTGAGTCCCGTTCTCCAGTGCTCAGCGGATGGTAGTAGCAGGTGCCTCATGTTGTATGGGAAGTAGTAGTCGACGCGGGAGGACATGCATGTGTACAAAATTGATTCCACTGATTACAGCCACTGTGGCGCACATTTTGATGGTAGACCCTCAGCTCAAACTCCGCCAGATCCTATATCCTTATATGGAGGTAGATGAAAGTGGCTTGTTCTCAGTCCGTCGCCTTGCAAGTGACGGCGCACTCCGCAACAGCGGTGGTCAGCTGGCCTTAGCACACATCTCATTTGCATCGGTACTGATTTACAGTTAAAGTACTGTTACAGACACACAGCGCTACTCACGTCTAACCGGTAGTAGTTCATTCATTTGGGTTCACCGCACTTCGTCCCATGTCACCGTGACGGTCACTAGTAAGCTACAAAAGCACGGTCTCAAGGTTGACGTTGCTGACTGCCTCAACGATGATTTTTCGCTAGGACCGACTTATCTTTGGATGCGATCACCATGGCTCTCCTGTCCGAGTCATCCTGACCGGGGTCCGGGTGCGCCGCACAATAGTTGATGGCCAGATCATCACGGATCCCGGAGTTTGGCCTCGGCCTACGGCAGCAGCCATCCCAACGTCTGTGTTCCGGGACTCAAGCCATCCCCCACAATGTGGTGGCCAATCAGCGGGTAGCCTTCTTTCTTCTTCAGGTGTAAACAAGGTTCGTACGTGTGACCCGTCAGTGAAGCAGAGGGCACGGCTCATGCGCGCATATTCTTTTACCGGCGATGTGTTGACTATGATGGGCTAGCTCGCAGACTGGAACGACAGCGAAGCGGAGTCAATCTTTGCTTCGACGTCTGCACCAGCACGACCGATCAGAGACTCAAAGGCGACTTCTGTGGGCGGGCTGTTTGACTTAATGCGTGCCATTGACACCGTTTCCCCGTGCTCGTGCTCAGCGCTCAGCGCTCATTGCCAGTGCTTGGAACAAACCCTTCCCCGTCTTCCGCGGGATTGATTTGCAATGCGGACGGCTCTAGATTTGTATACATCCAACGGGCCAAACACCAGGATCTTGCCGTCCACCAATCTTAGAGAGTGACGTCCACCCGGATACACTGCAAGCGGGAGAAGCGACGGCCAGGTCCAGAACATTCGTACATAGGTGCGGGTTTTCCAACGTGTGGCCGAACTTTGTTGTTATGGCGGGTGAGTGCCAGTACAGCTTTGAAGCGCTTTTGATTCTTAAGTTAGTTGATTTCCATCATGGTCAAGCTTCAATCTTGACGTCGGGGGAACCTGGTCGCCAATGAAGCGGCCCTATTAAATGCCCCGGTCCCTTCTCGACCTTCGTGGCTAGCTATCGTAGCCTTCCAACAGTTCTGCGACCGATGTTTGATACCGGTATCACCACGTCTCGCCTTATTGTGTACGATTCTGCTCAAAACTGGAATATATGTTGGTGACTATGAAATACCAGGCCCAAATGCTTCCCATGCAAGGAAACCTACACCCCACGGCCCAACACGAGCTAGGGTACGAGAAGCAGAGTACAGCCGACGACGAAGAGGTGTGAGGGATGTATCCTCATGAGGTGGGACATAGTACGGGTCGCGAAAGAATGAGAGTGGCCCGTCCTGTCGAAGTCTCTGTAGTACAATTTCTACAGCGGAATGCTTTGGCGACGGTGAAGCCACCCTATCTATGTGCACCACTTTTCTGGCCACGTCCCATGGTCTGCAAGCCACTTCATATGCCAATCCAGCAAATGCTCCGCCAGTCACGAGGGTGACAGCGTGAGCAGTCCTCGGAGCATGCCTACGCAGAGGCTCACTCGTACTCTGTCGCACCTCCGACGTTTGTGTCAAACGGTATGTAGCCGCCTTCGCTTTAATTGCAGCACGTCTTGTTACCTCAAATATGGAGAAGAAGAGGGCAAAGCCTGACGCCGCATAGAGGTTTGAGTAGGGGATACAGCACAAAAAAGGTTGCCGTACCACATATGTCCTTAGCGCAACCCCAGGCCCATCCGTCCCATCCACGCCCGGCCATTTCTCCGACATCCTTCATCCAATCACGGACTTGTCTTGCCTCGTGCACCTCTTCCAGTCGAGACCGTGTCGCAGCGGCTCTAGTACCACGAAAAACCTCCTTCCACGCGTGAGACCACCCTGAAGCCGATGAAGAGCCCCCTTCGATTGCAAGACGAACATTCTCGGCAGGCGCTGCAACGATGGCTTGCATTCCGCCAGCAGCAGCCCCAGATATTGCAGCCACTGTGATCGGGCAGTCTGAGAGATGGGGATCGAGAAGTTCAGAGACTTCAGAATACGTGGACCATAGCACATAGCCGAGGGCCCCATTGACGAGCATAGGAGGGATGAAGTGTTTTGGTATCACCATAAACTGCGAAGGTGTGTTAGCATCCCAGCACGATTGAACGTACTGAATTCCGCACCCCCTCCTGCTTGATCAACCACGACAGATACTGAGGCGAGAGTGATTTCCCATGATGCAGCGCTAGGTTCTTGAGGGTCTGCCATCCATTGACTAGGCGACACTGCGTGAGCATCGTCCGCAATAAGGCCAATGGGCTGGTGACATCTACCTTTCGCTGGACGAAAGAGGCGTACAGGTCGCGAGAAGTACAAGGCAAGGCTACGGGTCGCTGTGCGAGCGAGTGCCGCGTAGAAGGAGTTCGCCTGCTCCTGAAGACCGTCTTGGGAAATCGAGGACATGCATTTGCGAGAGCGTAGACAGGTCAAAGTAGTGCTTGCCACCGCCGGGCGTGAGACAGCTTGCACGGCGCGTCGGTGGCTCGGTGCCGATGGGCAGGCGGTGACAGTCAGATCACGATCTCGGCATATTCCGCGCCCCGAGATCGCCGGACGCCACTCTGTGTAACCTAGTGTAACACAACTGCGTGGACAACGAGTATGTCTCGGACTATTTACTCGGATGCGAGTTAGTCTCTACTGGCGCACTCAGGCTCAGCTGAGCGGCACAGACCAATCATTCTCTCCCGTTTCCTCTCACTCATAAAGACCATCATGAGAGGTCCACGGCACATCGGAATCAATACCTGCAAATCGGAGAAACGATATCTGCTAAGAGACATACAGCGAGGAGTAGCACCGTACGAAGGAACACGGAAAACCGATATGATATTTTAGTGGTTGGTGCGTGCCGAGCATCAAGGGACACTGCAGAAGGATGGAGCACACGCCGAGACACCGTGACAGTGATACCGTATGTCCCCGCATCGTACATCATATAGATTGCGGAGGGCTTTCCAGTTTTTTTTGTATGTTCCACAGCATTCGATTCATGAGTAAATTGAATAGCTAGCGAGGCACAGTAATGAGTCAACACAGAAAGACATAATGCTTCAATAATTGTAGGCTAACCTGGCCGTTGCGATTTGCGTGCGTTGCTAATTCACGTAAGGCGTCTGCGTATATATTGCCGTGCTACTGGCAGGAGCATCGTGACCTCCTCATTTTCTACCACCGAAATCTACACGTACCACAGGATGCTCGCTCTCGTACTCGAAGGCACTAGGCGCGACGCTACAGTTCCAGATTCGTCGGCATGTGGTTCTCTACAGACACGCTCCATGAAATAATGCCGTATATACCTCAAGTATCAGCACTCACCGCCTCATGCTATGAGCTTCTGTTGAATTTACTCAAACGTGCTACATGCGTGAGGCCAAGGATCTTATGTGCATGACTGATATTCGATGTCTTGACATATCAGATGGCATTTCAAACACCCAGCGATTGTATTGGACAATCCAGCCACGACGCCCGTGCCCTCATTCATTCCTGCAAGGAGGTGGTGTCAGTCCGCACGCCACAGCATAATTTTAGCGACTCTGAGTAAGTACCTCCATATGCTGATGGCACGACTGCCCTAGTATCCGTAATGCCATGAGCATGGGGACGCAAATTCCGTGACGATCGAGGCTTCTCGTGGCAACGGTCAACGATTCTGGTGGAAGCAACTGTGCCAACTTAATGAATCCCAGGTGGCATGCAGAAGTTCCCTCAAGTTAGCCGAGGTCGTGGCTGCCGTAGCAACAGTGTACCTCGCGGCTTGGTGTCAAGCGTGGGTTGACGGTGGGAATCTGCTAATGACTCACAGCGACAATGTCGGGCTGCAAGGAGTGACCGGAGTAGTAGGCGCGTATGGTCCCGAACGCACTGTCGAAGACGATCGGTGCGATAAGACCCCATTCGGTGTAACGGCCCTGTGTTTTTTACTAGACCACTCGGTCAGCAGCTATATGGTTTCTCAGCAGAGCAGAATGCATCGCGTAGGTAAATGGTCTCACGGCCGGTAGATGCGATGGTTCCGCGCACGCGACCGAGGTCATGTCTCTCGGATGCATGCGACAGAAAGCGAATACAGTATACCCAAGTTCCGGGGCTGCAGCTTCAAGGCGATGTCTTCCGATCCGCCGTTGCCGCGAGTTCATACCGTGAGCTCAAGAGATGATAACGTAAGCGAATACTTATGTTGCCGCTCACCTTCACTGCACTACGATCACAAATCTGTCTCACGGTGGGGCAACGAACCCCGGGCCCACAAGGGCGGAAGCTGATCATGGCGTAGAGAGCTTGAAGAATTTGCCCCACAATATACTCGGTCGTACAGAAATTTTGACGCAACCTATAAAATAAGACATGTTACATAGAGCAAGCCGTCAGTGAGCCAACTCAAGCGCGGAAGAGCCTGAGATCTCGAGTGCCGATCTCGATCTGCCTGGGCCGGCTTGTACCACGTGGCGTGAGACCCTATATCGGCTCTTTCAACAGTTCGTCAACTTGACCTTGCCTCGGCGACCACTGCCAATTCAACGGCTTGAAACGACCGTTGCCCCTGTCCCCCTTACACTGAAACAGCTGACGACGCTTCAAATGGCCGAAGCTAACGCACACAGACATCCTCTGCACTTCCACCCGAGGAAAGCAGATGCGACGCCGAAATTGTTCGCCAGTTTTCACTGTGGTTCATTACGGTCCCGCCGGCTTCTAGCATGCAATGTTTGAGGAGCCCCGGACTAGATCAGTGTTCCTCTAATCGCCCGCCGATTATCTAGACATGTCCTCGGATCGGGACAAGTTGGGTATGAGGTTCCCGAAGGTCGGCCGCCAGTGACGTACGTATGATAATGAGACCAATAGCTGATGCGCATGTCCGACTTTCAGGGAACGATTGGTTGATAGAGCGGCGTCTATGGCCACTTCACTTCAGTCGATAATGACATACTCATTACATTGTAGCCCTCTACCCAAACCCAAACGCGTTAGGTGTCGACGCAGTCCAGACCACTTGCAAGCGCATGGTCATGCCACATGTACCTTCGATGTTGGGAATGGGGTAGCGAATGCCGCATGACACAAGGCTGGGAGGCTGTCTTCTTCACACTGACATCAATAGCGAAGCCCTACGCTGCTCGAAGAAGTCCATGCATTACAAGTCAGTAGCCAACGTTCCAATCGATACATCTAGAGCCGGGAGAAGCTGATAGTCTATGGAAGAGGGATGGACGACGAAATGGCTACAACCTATCGCTAGAGTCCCACAGTATGACGCTGTCCGATGTGCTAGTCTAGTCCGTGAGCTTTGAGTATGATACTCAACCGATGCGTGTCAATACGTTGATTCTGGGAGAGGGCATGAGGAGGCAAGCGCATCAATCCACTTTAAACACTGGTACTTACGGAATTTTGATGGTGTTGTCGGTGCCGTCGACTTTGATGACAGCAACCTGCATAGCCTGTGTCCCGTTAGACACGAGAGGGGGGATTGACAATTGTGAGCCCACCTCGACAGTCTCGATGGCTTGCACCGTGCCATGTAATGCCTTGTTACCCTCGTAGAATGTAACACGGCTGCCCGCCTAGAGTCCAAGATTAATGCCAGCCACATGAACACTTTGGACATGCGTACCTGTATGTTGTCCATCGCAAGGGCTGGTCGGGTGAGACTCTCTCTTGCCGGGCACTAGCCGGGGCAGCAGATGTTCCTCTTATACACCTTCGATCATTAGGGGGAGAGGGGGCTAGAGCAGCCGTCAGTTCGCTCACCGGCACTTAGGAGTAAGTAATGAAAAGAAGGGGCGCATGAGAGAACACAGGTCAGCTCATTCGATACCAGCTGGAGAAATGTCAAGATGGATACGCCGACTTTTTGATCTCGTCATGATGCAGCGTGTTGAGGAAAAGGAGGTCCAGCCGGGTGAATGAACCGGGCATTGCAATAGATGATCGTCGGCGCTAAGGTCTGCCTTCAAGAAGCGATCCTCCGAGAAGGAACAGAAGGACCAGCCCAGGACCCTAGGCTACATGGAGAGATTAGTGAGCCAAAGTCTGACGGCTCATATAGGGAGACTACACAGAGGGCAGCTTCGCGGGAGAATTTCGATATGAAGAGGACAAAGCTGGCAAGAATCATAGAAGCGTCTCCACGAGCTGCGTATTGTACGTAAATTTAAAGCAGGCTGTAGGATCGACCGTGCTGAAATCGGCCATGCGACAGACCGCAGGGCCTAGGTCTCAGTGCCAGTGAGTCAGACAACTCAAATGTCACTGGAACACTCACCTTGACTGCGCCGTAGCATAGCTCAGCGTTCACCAGCGAGTGCTAAGTTGAGGATCGCATGACGCTCACTCCGAGTCAGGCTACGCTGCGCGAGAAGACTTGTAAGTTACCGTAGCCTAAGACCGGAGGTTGCCAGAAGTCGCGGTAGACAGTCAATACGGGCCAGCTGAAGCGACCATATCGAACAGTTGCAATTCAAGCGGGTAGCATCTCCGAGAGGTTGATTCAGTCGCACTGTCGGTAATCTCCCAGGCACGCTGAGTATGGAAGTTGTCCTGTCGTGCGCGTCACTGCAGTGCTTATGTAATTGTATCCCCGCGCGTCCCGAAATGTGTGGCCTGGAAGCAGGTTGCACACACCCACCATGCCTTCAACTACATCCAGAACAGCAGCACCCCCTCGTCATGACATGTCTGTGATCTTAGCAACGGGCTCGTACGATCATGATATACGATTCTGGGAAGCCTGGAGTGGTATTTGCTCCAGAACGATCGCGCGGAAAGAGGAGTCAGGAGTGAGGACGACGCTTGTGTGTTCCCATGAAGTGAGCTGATGAACCCTTCTTGGACTCCAACAGCAAGTGAATCGTTTAGCAATATCTCCGGAGTGAGTCCGCTTCGTCCCTCGCTACGAGATCTCACTCGTGAGCGGGCTCTCAGTAAGCGTCTGCTGGCCGCAGCGATTCATAAGAAGATCAACATCTACGAGGTATCCAGCACGTCTTCCACCCCCGTAGGTTTATCATTGTCAATTAAGAATCAGTCTAGTAGAGCTGAACCTGTCCAGCTCATCACCTTTGAAGGACACACCATGAATATTACTTCGGTGTCTTTCCACAGTGAAGGCAAGTGGCTGGTTACTGGAAGTGAAGACGGAACAATCAAGATCTGGGATCTTCGGTATATTTGGAGGTCTTTGTATCGTTCTCCTGACTGACCGGGCCGCCTCAGGAGTGCCCATCTCCACAGGAACTACGACAACGAGGCGCCTGGTAATTCTTAGTTCCCGTGTGCCGATCCCTTCGCAACGCTCACAATTCACAGTCAACGACGTAGTGGTCCATCCAAACCAGGGAGAACTCATTTCGTGTGACCAGGCCGGACGAATCAAACAATGGGACCTCTCGGAGAACATCTGTACCCACGAACTGGTACATTTTCTCATTGATGTTCCATCGTGTCAATGTTGACGCTCGATACGATATTCGTCTAGACCCCAGCTGGTGATACCCCTATGCGTTCTATCAGCCTTGCGTCGGATGGATCCTGCCTCGTTGCGGGAAATTACAAGGCGTGTTGAATCTATGGATAATTTGCGGTGTAACGGGCGGGACTGAACATCCAGACAGGGCAAGTGTTACGTTTGGAAGATTAATGAGGAACGTTCAGAACTGCCTCGGTTTCAAGCTGTCACAAAGTTCCAGGCGCATAACAAATACTTGACAAGGTGTCTTCTGAGCCCTGACGTGAAGTAAGCAAATGGAATAGCTCCTTGACGTATCCTCTCAATACCTTCACTACGCAGATACTTGGCCACGTGTTCAGCGGATACGACAGTCAAGATATGGTCCCTGACACCGTCATATGAATTCAGGCTTGAGAAGGTTCTTCAGGGACATCAACGATGGGTCTGGGACTGTGCGTTCAGTGCGGACTCAGCGTACCTCGTTACAGGTCAGCTATAGGCCGTTACGTACGGAAGTTGCCAATGGCCGCTAAGTCCGTCTCCCTCTCCAGCGTCATCAGATCACACAGCGCGTCTGTGGGAAATGGCCTCTGGCGAGACTGTTCGCCAGTACAATGGGCACCATAAAGGTTTGCAATTGCGTGTCCTGTCCGCCACACGCTGACCGTTGTGGGATATAGCGACAATATGTTGCGCTTTACACGACGGCGCTGGCTAGGTCTTCCGTCGAAAATTTTTGTACCTCGTGTACGTGTCGGAACGCTTCGCAGAGGCCAGCGCTGTACCTGGCGTGCAGCGGTGTTACAGCATCCGTGACTTGCTGTGTCCTGCAGCGGGTCCGTGCATTCTAGTAAGTAGGGCAGTGCCGTTCTCGAGGGCCACGCTCCGGCAGTCAATGGATTCTACGGCATGAGCCGTTGCATCTTGGACGCGCATTCCCCGGAGTCCAGGCTCACATTCATTCTGCTAACCGCTCATCGGATCGAGGACTGCCCCACCGAAATGGTGTTCGACCTGGTGGACGTCAAGCGTGACGAAGCGAGGAGGTGAGGATCTTGCTCCGCGCTAGAAGCAGTCTAAGGTCTTGATGGCGATCTCTAGTCAGTCCGGGGTCGATTGGACTACTTACACGACATCGGCGCCAACTGGACCCGCCTTGGCGCGGTGAACGAAGTGCGGGCTCAGTGATAACGCACGTGTCGGCCTGAGCAGCAGTAGCCACCGTTGACTCTGAGCGGTCTGCCGAGTTTGCGGCCAGTGTGCGATACAAAAGCGGGCTGCGTGGGTGACATTTCGTAAATCTACGTTCAGCACCAGCTTGCTGGAGCACCACTCTTCTGACTGCTCAGATCCGTTCAGACTGCGAGCATCGATGCGTCAGGAGGTGTTCCCGTGGAGTCTTCGCCCCGCGGCGATGTTCATCTATGAACCGGATCGTTCATGCTCAAAGTTGCAGGGCTTCGACTGGTGGACTGGCCCGCGCATCTCAGCTACTGTTACCGCGCGGTGAACATTGGGGGACCACTTACGTCGCGGGATAACAGTGAAGACCCGCAGGACCCGATAGAGGTGCATAGAGTTTCTTGCGGATCCCACAACGGTGTTTGCTGAGATTGGCCTTCGAGCCCTCTTCCCCCCGCCCCTGACGGGCGCACGAACATAGCGTGGCGGTATTCAGAGCGGGCGCGCCGCTGCTTCGAGGCCAGGTGCAGTCTGGAGAACCTAGATTGGCATCGGCAGGTGCGTCGAGCTTCTCGAGACCCGATCATCTTTTGTATGTGTGGCAGGGAAGCGTGTAGGTTGAGAGGTGCTATGGGTCTCCGAGTCGCCATGGCTGTCGGCACACACCTACGCTTTAACGCCTTTGCCAGTTGTGTGCACGTTCGAATTTGAATACAATGGATTTCGGTGATCCCGTTCCCGCGCCCGCAGCACGAGCGGGTGTTCAGTTGTTCCCCATTGATCGACGGAGTGCGCTCGGAGTGCCTTGCATCGTGCGATAAGAAATGAACCAAGATAATTGTCATTTGTGATCGACGGATCCTATGCGACGGGCGATCTCCGCAGGCCTCCCCTGGCTGGTGCAGGCACTGCGCTGAGTGTGCAGGCGGGCGCAGCGAGGCGGCGGGGGCTGGCTTCCGGCGGATGGCCGCGGGGCGTGGCGGGCGCGGGGCATGACAAGAGCGGGCGCCGTGATTGGCCGGCCAAGGCGGGGAGCGGGCGCCTAGGGGCCGGGAGCGGTGTGGCGATCGGTTTTCCGGAAGAGAAATATTGGCTTTCTCCTGGCTCACTCGGATTCCTTCGGGTCGCCGGGCGTGAACGTTCTCCAAGTGACTCCATCCGTCCGCCAGACTCGCATAGAAATTCAGACCCACAGCTCCTCCCGCCGCCATCTCCCCAGCAGGAACACTCGCATCCCAGCACTTCCTGCCCGCTGCCGTCTACAGAGCCGTTCTATGGCCATCGCGCATTCTCATACCCCCTCTGCACTCCTGGATCACCCCCTACCCGTGTCCGACGACGACACTCAAAATGGTTTCAACACCGTAGAGCGCGACCCCACCTCCTGGGACGGCGCCCTCCCCGCCAGCCAGGGTCTATACGAAAATCAGTACGAGAAGGATGCCTGTGGTGTCGGCTTCATCTGTCAAATCAAGGGCGAACAGAGCCACAAAATCGTCTCGGACGCGCGACAGCTTCTCTGCGCCATGACCCACCGCGGGGCGACAGGCGCAGACAGCCGTGATGGCGATGGTGCTGGTGTCATGACAGGTATTCCTCACCTCTTCTTCAAGCGTGAGGCCGAGCGAGACATCGGCGCCGAGCTGCCCGACGCTGGGCAGTATGCCGTCGGAAATGTCTTCTTCAGGGCGAACGACCCTGTCGGCATGCAGAAGCAGCAGGCCGTGTTCTCCAAGATCGCAGGGGATCTGGGCCTGCGCGTTCTGGGATGGAGGGAGGTGCCTACTGACGGGACGATCTTGGGTCCTGCTGCTGCCAGTAAGGAACCTACCATCATGCAGCCCTTCGTTGTGCTTCGATCCCACTACGGAGACGGCAACACCCCTCGCGGCAGCGCATTCGATGCTACCCACTTCGAGCGTCAACTCTACGTCCTCCGTAAGCACGCTACCCATAGCATGTGAGTTGTCTTTCCCCTCTTATCCCATGTCGAAGCTGAAGCGCTGTGAAGCACACTCTCGAAAGGCTTCTACGTCTGCTCCCTCTCGAGCAAGAACATCGTTTACAAGGGCCAGCTCTCCCCGCCGCAAGTCTACAACTACTACCATGACCTGAACCATGTGCTCTACAGCTCTCATTTCGCGCTCGTACACTCCCGTTTCTCTACCAACACATTCCCCAGCTGGGACCGCGCGCAACCCATGAGATGGGCTGCCCATAATGGTAAGATTCTCCTGCGGATCTACCTGGTCTGGCGTTGAACATTCCCTCGTTAGGTGAGATTAACACCATCCGTGGCAACAAGAACTGGATGCGCGCACGCGAGGGTGTTCTATCTTCTTCCCACTTCGGCGACCAGCTCGATCTGCTTTACCCGATCATCGAGTCCGGCGGATCTGACTCCGCGGCGTTTGATAACGTTCTCGAGCTACTGGTTGTCAACGGCGTCTTGACGCTCCCAGAATCCGTGATGATGTTGATCCCCGAGGCGTGGCAGGGGAACGACACGATGGAGCCGGGGAAGGCGGCCTTCTATAACTGGGCAGCCTGCTTGCAGGAGCCTTGGGACGGTCCTGCGCTCTTCGCGTTCAGCGATGGCCGCTACTGCGGTGCCAACCTCGACCGGAATGGCTTGCGTCCCTGCCGGTATGTCGTGACGAACGAGGACATTATTGTTTGTGCGTCCGAGGTGGGCGCCGTCTTCATCCCTCCAGAGAAGGTCGTCTCGAAGGGCCGCCTCAAGCCCGGGCGCATGCTTCTCGTCGACACTGTGGAGGGCCGCATCGTCGACGACAAGGAGTTGAAGCAGAGCACCGCCGCCAAGCAGAACTTTGCTTCGTGGATCGAGACGCATGTCCTGCATGTCCCGAACATCGTCAAGCGCGTCAAGCGTTCGCAGTCCATTGACCCCGTCATCGACGAGTACTCGCTGAGCACGGACCCGAAGCTCCTCGCGTTCGGATACACCGTCGAACAGCTCAACATGCTTCTCCTGCCCATGGTCACCGACGGTAAGGAGGCGCTTGGCTCTATGGGCAACGACGCGCCGCTCGCATGCATGTCCACGCAATGCCGCCTCATCTACGAGTACTTCCGCCAGCTCTTCGCTCAGGTGACGAACCCTCCTATCGACCCGATCCGCGAGAGCATCGTCATGTCGCTCGAGGCGTACATCGGGCCCGAGGGCAACCTGCTCGAGATGAACCCGCAGCAGTGCCAACGCATCCTCCTCCGCTCCCCCATCCTCACCATGGAGGAGATGAACGCGATGAAGAGCCTGAAGTACGCGTACTCGACCTGGCCGTCGCGCGTCATCGACATCACCTTCCCGAAGGAGCAAGGCCTGCCGGGATACCGGGTCGCGCTCGAGCGCGTCTGCAGCGAGGCGATGGAGGCTATCGAGGAGGGCGTGAAGGTCATCGTCCTCTCGGACCGCGCGACTGGCATCGACCGCATTCCCTTGTCGGCTTTGATCGCTGTCGGCGGTGTTCACCAGCACTTGGTCGCGCAGAAGAAGCGCGCTAAGGTCGCCCTGCTCGTCGAGACTGGTGAGGCGCGTGAGGTTCACCACCTTTGCGTTCTCCTGGGTTATGGTGCCGACGGTATTTGCCCGTGGCTGGCGTTGGAGTGCATCCACAAGGTTGTTCGTGAGGGCTTGTGAGTATCGATACCATTCCGTACATGAGGGCCTTGCTCACCACGTCCTACAGGGTCAAGGACAACAAGACCTACGAGGAGCTTCTGGAGAACTTCCGCCACTCCGTTGACAGCGGCATCCTCAAGGTCATGTCCAAGATGGGTATCTCCACGCTGCAGTCGTACAAGGGCGCGCAGATCTTCGAGGCGCTCGGCCTGCACACCGAGGTCATCGAGGCGTGTTTCACGGGCACCGCGAGCCGTGTCCAGGGTGCTACGTTCGACCTCCTAGCGATGGACGCGTTTGAGATGCACGAGCGCGGATGGCCGACGCGCGACACCGTCCTCCCTCCGGGCATGCCCGAGTCTGGCGACTACCACTGGCGCTCCGGCGGCGAGGCGCACATCAACGACCCGTCCGGCGTCGCGAACCTCCAGGACGCTGTGCGCGAGAAGAACCAGCGCGCGTACGACGCGTACGCGGACAATGCGAACCAGCAAACTCGCCACGTGCACCTCCGAGGCTTGCTCGACTTCCGCTACGAGAACGCTACTCCTATCCCCATCGAGCAAGTCGAGCCGTGGAGCGAGATCGTGCGCCGCTTCGTCACCGGCGCGATGTCGTACGGTTCGATCTCGATGGAAGCGCACTCGACGCTCGCCATCGCCATGAACCGTCTCGGCGGCAAGTCGAACACGGGTGAGGGTGGGGAGGACGCGGAGCGTTCGCTGGTCCTAGCGAACGGCGATACGATGCGGTCCGCGATCAAGCAGGTCGCGTCCGGTCGTTTCGGTGTCACCTCGAACTACCTGGCCGACGCGAACGAGCTGCAGATCAAGATGGCGCAGGGCGCGAAGCCCGGAGAGGGCGGTGAGCTGCCTGGTCACAAGGTCTCTACGTCCATCGCTCGCACTCGTCACTCGACCGCCGGCGTCGGTCTCATCTCGCCCCCGCCTCACCACGACATCTACTCCATTGAGGATCTGAAGCAGCTCATCTACGACCTGAAGTGCTCGAACCCTCGCGCGCGTGTCTCCGTGAAGCTTGTCTCAGAGGTCGGCGTCGGTATCGTCGCCAGCGGTGTCGCGAAGGCGAAGGCAGACCACATCCTGATCTCTGGCCACGACGGTGGTACAGGTGCTTCGCGCTGGACGGGTATCAAGCACGCTGGTCTGCCGTGGGAGCTTGGTTTGGCTGAGACGCATCAGACCCTCGTCTTGAACGACCTTCGTGGCCGTGTCACTGTGCAGACGGACGGTCAGATCAGGACGGGCCGTGACATCGCCATCGCATGTCTTCTGGGTGCCGAGGAGTGGGGCTTTGCTACTACGCCTCTCATCGCTATGGGCTGTATCATGATGAGGAAGTGTCACTGTAAGTTCTGATCCCATGGTTGCCCCGCACCTTGTGTACTTTGTGTACTAATCGTGCATCGCAGTGAACACTTGCCCAGTCGGTATCGCCACCCAGGACCCTCAGCTGCGCGCGAAGTTCGCTGGTCAGCCCGAACAGGTCATCAATTTCTTCTATTACATCGCCGAGGAACTCCGTGCCTACATGGCGAAGCTTGGTTTCCGTACCATCAACGAGATGGTTGGTCGCGCGGACATGCTCAAGGTCGACGAGAAGCTCCGCACGCCGAAGACCGCGCACCTCGACCTCTCCGCGATCCTCAAGCCTGCGTGGCAGATGCGCCGCGGTGCGGCCACGTATCGTGTCCGTCCCCAGGACCACAAGCTCTACATCCGCCTCGACAACAAGTTCATCGACGAGTCCGAGCCCGCTCTTACGAAGGGCCTGCCTGTCCATATCGAGTGTGACGTCACGAACACCGACCGCGCACTTGGCACTTCGTTGTCATATCGGGTTTCCAAGCTTTACGGCGAGGAGGGCCTGCCCAGGGACACCATCCACATCAACATGAGCGGATCTGCCGGACAGTCTCTCGGCGCATTCCTTGCTCCTGGTATCACGATTGAGCTGGAGGGTGACGCAAACGACTACGTGGGCAAGGGCTTGTCCGGTGGTCGCCTGATCCTGTACCCTCCGAAGCAGTCCACGTTCAAGGCCGAGGAGAACATCATTGCCGGCAACGTTTGTCTGTACGGCGCGACGTCGGGTGAGGCGTTCATTCGTGGAGTCGCCGCGGAGCGTTTCGCAGTCAGAAACTCCGGTGCCAACGCCGTCGTAGAGGGAACCGGTGACCATGGCTGCGAGTACATGACTGGCGGCCGTGTGGTCGTTCTCGGAAGTACCGGACGGAACTTCGCCGCCGGTATGAGCGGAGGAATTGCCTACGTTCTGGACACTGCGCACACATTCGCCTCTAAGGTTAACATGGAGATGGTGGAACTCGGAAAGGTCACCGATCCCCGTGAGATCGCGCAGCTGCGTGGGTTGATCGAGGACCATCGCCACTACACCGGATCTGAGGTCGCAGATCGTGTCCTCCATGACTTCCATCATTTGCTTCCGCTATTCGTCCGCGTCATGCCCATGGATTACAAGCGTGTACTCGAGGAGCAGGCTGTCAAGGCCAAGGAGGAGAAGATGCGGCAAAGCGTGGTCGACCTCATTCCGTCGCGGACCGCGAGCCAGGTTGACCTGGCTTCGGAAGGTCTCGAGGACATCCTCACCCCGAAGGAGCGTCCTCTTTTGACTCCCATGCGTTCATCCTCGAAGGCTCGCCACGAGCCTCTGATGCTTGATATGGAGGATTCCTTGGTGGACGATGCCACGACAAAGCAGCGTTTGAATAAGCTGGACAAGACACGCGGATTCATGAAATACAAGCGTCTCACGGAGACGTACCGCCCCCCTCGCAAGCGGGTCAAGGACTGGAAGGAGATCTCCACACGCCTGACTGAGGAAGAACTGAAGTACCAGTCCGCGCGTTGCATGGATTGCGGTGTTCCGTTCTGCCAGTCCGACACCGGCTGCCCGATTTCCAATATCATTCCCAAGTGGAACGACCTCGTCTTCAAGAATCAATGGCAAGATGCGCTTAACCGTCTTCTGATGACGAACAATTTCCCCGAGTTCACAGGTCGTGTGTGCCCTGCGCCTTGCGAGGGGGCATGTGTGCTGGGTATAAATGAACAGCCGGTGGGTATTAAGAGCATTGAATGCGCCATCATCGACAAGGTGTGTTACTTCGGACCTTTTTCTTGCGTCCTTGTCTGATGCGCATGTGCAGGGCTTCGAGATGGGGTGGATGCAACCCAAGATCCCTCAGTTCCGTACGGGCCGCAAGATTGCTATCATTGGGGCTGGACCAGCAGGTTTAGCTTGCGCAGACCAATTGAACAAGGCTGGCCACACCGTTACGGTGTACGACCGTAATGATCGCATGGGTGGTCTTCTCATGTACGGCATCCCGAAGTGAGTGCTTTCCGCTGTCTGGAGTGAGAGACGCGTTCTAACTTTGCATCAGTATGAAGCTCGACAAGTCGGTCGTGCAGCGGCGCCTGGATCTTATGGCCGCCGAGGGCGTGGTGAGTATCCCATGATCAACGACTGCGAGATTGCGTTAACTGATACGGTCGTAGACGTTCGTGCCCAACACGCACGTTGGCAAGGATATCGATGTCAACGACCTCCGTGCCGAAAACGACGCCGTCATCATGTCCACCGGTGCTACATGGCCTCGTGATTTGAAGATCCCCCACCGTGAAGCCGATGGTATTCATTTCGCCATGGAGTACCTGCAGGTACGCTAGCAGTATCCTCGTCCCTTCTGAGTGGCGCTAACAAGCCTTTTGTAGCTGAACACGAAGTCCCTGCTGGATTCTGAGCTCCAAAACGGCAACTATATCAGCGCGAAGGGCAAGGACGTCATCGTCATCGGTGGCGGTGATACTGGAAACGACTGCATTGGCACTGCGATGCGTCACGGAGCCAAATCGGTCACGAACTTCGAGCTGCTCCCCAAGCCGCCTGCTGCTAGAGGAAGAGATAACCCGTGGCCGCAGTGGCCGAGGTGAGTGTGATCTTCTCCCGCGATACAATAGAGAGGTACTGATGATCTGCGTCGCAATTCAGGGTCTTCCGTACCGATTACGGACATACCGAAGTCGCGGCTCACTTTGGCAATGGTACGTATCGAGTGCTGTCATATGGCATCGATTCGCTCATGTTTGTATGGTTGCAGATCCTCGTGAATATTGCATCTCCACCAAGGACTTCGTCGTGGATGACGAGGGCAAGCTCGCGGGACTTAACACTGTTCGTGTCGAGTGGACGAAGGACAGCGGTGGACGCTGGAAGATGGAGGAGGTTCCCGGCTCCGAGAAGTTCTTCCCGGCACAGCTTGTCTTCCTCGCACTCGGTTTCCTTGGACCCGAGTCTGACGCTATCAAGGCTCTTGGGCTCAAGCAGGACGCACGGTCGAACATCCAGACGCCGCAGAAGAGCTACCACACCAGCGTCGATGGTGTCTTCGCCGCCGGTGACTGCCGCCGTGGCCAGTCTCTAATCGTCTGGGGTATCAAGTGAGTATTTATACATGAATGTATATGGTCAGTGTCTGACGGCGGCATTTACAGCGAGGGACGCATGTGCGCTGCTGAGGTCGACAGATGGCTTAGCGGTGGCAAGACGAGACTGCCTGATGACGGAGGGATCAAGAAGCGGGTCTTCATTCCCCCCGCGAGTACGCTCTCGAGTGGAACGCAGGTAGTGCAGGTCGAGGCTTAAACGGGCGCGAGGGTCACTCTGGTTGTCTATTTCATGATTGCTATGCATCTGACGAACGGCTACGCTTGTATAATTCACTTCAACACTACGTCTACGCTACGTTGTATGAGTAGTTCACTACGATATGGCAACATTGTATCGAATATAGTTTGCTTTCACCTGAGGATACATCGGAGCGAGACTGAAGTACATCGACTCAGCAGCGGGTATAATACAAAGATGGATGGATACATATGAATAACGACAAGCCGAGGCCTCAACGTTTCGACATACACAGGCACTCATCGCATTTGCTCTTCTTCGTAAATACGCACACCACCTTTGCCCCAAGATTCGAGGATGGCCTTCCCAGCACCCGTAGGTTGGGTGAACGCGATCTCACCCTTCCTGGGGTCGAGGGGGCATCCCAGAATGAAGTTCTGCGCCGCGGCGGTGAGCAAGTGTGTCGCTACACCGAGTCGGCGATGGGTAGAAGAGACAAATAGGCGAGGAATGCCCATAGGGGTCGGAAGCGGAGCAGGGTGGACGTATAAATTCGTCGACGTGTCGACGGGTATCAAACTGTGGAGGGGACGGCGAGCGGGAGCTGCGCTACCGGGCGCAGGATTAGAGGTGCGCGCTGCGAGATCGGCGTCGGTCGCGATGGCCATGGCGGTGGAGATACGCTGTGCGATGACACAACCGACGATCTTCTCGCGTGGGGTAAGGGATGTGCTCGAAGACGTGGAGAGTAGGAAGAGGTAGATCTTGCATTGTTTGAGAACAGCCGGAGAAAGAGGGGGAGAGGACAGAGCGAGGCTCATCGTCTCGAGGAGTATGGTGAGCTACAAAGAACATGCATTGTAAGAACCCCTTGAACGAGATGTAGGAATAAATTCGTCATACCTTGGCACCGATCTTGCCCCCTACGTCCGGACGGAAGCTGACCATGCGACCCTTGGTGCCGTTCTTCAGCTTCACGCCTGTGGCCAACTCCTCAACATTTGCCTTCGACGCCTCGCGCTCTTCTTCGCGGCCCCATTCCAGGCCGCGTTGCACCCTGGCGCAGTGCTTTCGATGGAGACTCTCATCGTCGGGAGCACCCATGGTGTACGAGAGGTCGCAGCGCTCGCACGTCTTGAGAACAGTGACGTCAAGAGCGAAATGCAGCTGAGTGAGCTTCTGCTGCTTCTTGGATGCGTCGGCTGCGCCTTTCTTGCCCTTCAGCACGTCTTTGCCCTTGACAGAGCCTAAGACAGACTTGCGCGGCCTCTTGGAAGAGGGCGAGGGAGAGTTTGGCGCGGAGGAGTCCTCGAGGAAGGAGCGCTTTCGCTTCACAGGTGGTGGAGAGCTTGAGGCGAGGTCGGACGGCGGCGTGGACGGCATAGGGGGCAGGCGAGAAGCCCGTGTAGTGTATGTTCGTTTGAGGTCAGGAGCCATCACAGTGTTTGACAAGAGATGGAGGAAGGAGGGGAGGGAGAGTGAGGAGGGATAGTGTGATCCGGTGAGGCGATCATATACACCGCGTCGCGTTGGCTTTGTTTGGCGTTTGCGCACTTCGCGCGTCAGTCACATGACTTTCGCGTGGACGCGTTTCTCGACCGTCGAAAATTATCAAGCTCTCGACACAGTACGACGAGGAGCGCGTAGTCGGAGATGTAGATCCGCTGTACTACATTGCCCTGTACTCACTGCCACAGCTCTGAGTACTAGCCCTCGATCACACCTCCGGCTTTCTTGCGAGACTCTGAGCCGGTAATCAACCAGAGTGACAGGTGAGATAGTGTATTATCTATTCTATTCACAACATATCTTGCTACCCATGACACGATATACCCCAGGAGTCAAGACTATTAAAGGGGAATATACACACGACCAAGAAAAGACCGTAAGACATAAAGGAGGGCCGCCCACGGCGCCCTTCTCAGAGCGATTCGGACATGAGATAAATAAGAACGAAGGTGATAGCGAAGAGCGACACTCTTCACTGTGTCCAGGACGTGACCGTGTCTTGAATACCATCAGTGTTGCTGCTAGCCGCTATGACAGGCGAGCTATCGACGCTGAGCAAATTGACGACACCGACAGTCGATAAACTATAAAGGCCAATTCGGGTGGACGATGAGTCTACGTTGACGATCTGCATCTGGCAGGTCGTCGTATTGAGGCAGGTCTGGCCGTAGTCCTGGTAGAAACTGTAAAGGCCCGCACCTAGTATACGCAGGGTTCAAGGTTAGGTCCAAAGCGGTTTATCGTGTGTACAGGACGTACCAAAGACAGTGATGTCTGTCGACGACTGAACGTAGAGGCCCCACGCAGCAGTCAAGCTAATGGGGAAGCTAGGATCTTTGTAGGTGCCATTGATGGAAAATGGGACTGGGGGAACTGGTAGAGGTTGGAAATAGGGCTGAACAATTGAAGCATCCCGTCGGTCTCAAACGAATCTAGATGTGTAGTACAACCACGTACAGTTTCCGACTGCATCACTCCAATGTAGTGGTTCTGTGCCCCGGCGAGGTTGTACTGATACAGGACGTGGTGTTCAGCTAAGCGACAGGTCAGCCCGTCTAATCAAGTCTTCGCGGAATTGCGACTCACAAGCTAATAGTAACAAGACCAAAAATCAACATAAGGACAAGACATCAGAGAGCCGACGCACCGGTGCCAATCATCCAGACAGGTCCTGCTGACTCTGACAAGATACCCCTGCCACTGTAGAGTGTTAGGTTGCTCTGAGCAGCGTCGTCAAGATCATGGTCTGCGAGCCACACCCAAGTGCCCTGCAACGGTGTCAGCGCCGCTTCTTGAACAACCGAGTAAGAGGAAGCCTGCCTCGATATACGCATTGGAGTTGGCCGTTAAGTGCAAGCCGAGGAACGCCGCCGAACAAGACGGTGAATTCATCTCCATCTCCACGCCATCGCACTGCGCCACCTCTAAATCCGTGCCTACAGCACCTCCCAGACTACAACATCAGCGATCAGCGATCAGCAAACTTTTCAACATAGCTTGGACGTACCGGATGAAACTATCCCACATGCCAGCGCCGCCTTGAGCGGGCGAGTTGACATTCCACTCGACAACGATCGCACCGGCGGCTGTTTAGATGTTTAGATGAGCCTGACACTCGTGCGGGGAAAATGAGAGCGCGTACCAGGTCCCTTCGTGGTGAAAATCATGTTCGAGATTTCCATGATACCTGACGAGCCCGGTGCACCGACTTGCACGACCGGCGAAGGATTGGTCTGATCCTCGAAGGCCGAACCAGATCCCATGATGGCTGCCCACACCTCGCCGACCATCTGCGTTCCTGCGGGGATCTGAAGCGTGCTGGTGACGACGTAGGTTCCGGCGTCGAAATAGATGATGGCGCAGCCGGAGTACTTGGAGACGGGGATCAGCACGATGCAACGCACATCCGAAAGGTCTCCAACTTAATCATACCTTGTTGAAGACAGCTTGGAGCGCGGCCGTGTCGTCCGTCGAGCCGTCACCCTTTGCGCCCTGGTCCTTGACGCTCACGAACTGATCCACAGCGTAGTCCTCATACTGCGGTATCGTCCGGCCAAAGATCTTGTCGCCAGCCATGAGGCTGCTCGCCTTGGATGGCCCAGTGATGTCTCCCGCCGTGAACGTTGCGGAACCGCTCGTACCGGAGTACACGTTGCCTTGGCCCCAGCTGTCGATCGTCATCGTTCCGCCCTCAAGAAGTGCTTCAGTGTGGTTGAGGACGCTGACGGCCGCGGATACATTGTTCAGCACGATGTTATTGAGGACAATGGATCCGGCGAGTGTGCCATTTGAGGCTTCGGAGGTCCGGTAGAAGACGGGTGTGTTGGACGCGGTAGCGTCGATGATTGCCATCGACCCGGCGGTCTGGGTAGCTTTGGTCAAACCGCCGGTCGTCACATCGAAGCCAACTTCACAGTCGTTGACTCAAGTAGCAACGTGAGTGATAAGGGAATGTTGGTTTTGAGTCGTACTCACTCGTCACATCCTGGAAAGTCCAGCCCCAGTTCCAGGCCATGTAGACAGCTGTCGGATAATTACTTGATACACTACAAAATCAGTCGACCAAGTACACACCAGTCTGGCAGTTGTTCATGGTCACGTTGCGGACAGTGAACTGCTGGTTGCCCAACCACATGGCATACTTGCCTCCGTTGAAGACCAAGTCTATTGTCGCGAGGTAACATCAACAGTACATCCCGGACCATCGCGTTGCAGCACGGCTCACCTCCCATCTTGCCACCACTACCGTTCTCCATGAAGATACCCTGGTGCGCCGTGTCGCTCGCAGTGCTCATCTCGAAGACGACATTATGAAGCGACGTAGCCTGCGAGACCTGCCAGTGGATGCCGGTCGAGCTCGCGTTCGCCGGGGTATCGGTCAGGTCGATGACGAAGTTGCGCACGGCACGGTAGAAGTTGTTCGTGGCGTTGTACCAATTCGCTCCGTTGCCGCCTGTTAGATACGGGTTTGCGTCTGACAATGAAGGTAATTAATTGCTATAGTATGGGTTTCAAAACTCGATCGAGAAATCGGACACCGCGAGTGTTTGACTTACCGATGACCGCCAATCCGGTAAAATTCCGTGAGGCCAGTAGGGTGGGTGGTACCTTCGCATCACCGATCATCTGCGTGTAATATGTCAAGCTATAGATTCGCGTCGTAAGCACGACGTCACGGATGTTAGACCACAGGCTTGACGCACTTGAGCGGGGCCGATACCTTGTAGGTACCCTGAGGGAAGTAGACAACCGCAGGTGTGACGGTGGACGATGCGCAAGTCCCATTGCCACAGCTGTCCAGTGAAATCGCGGAGCTGAGAGCCAGTAATGAGTACATGACCAACAGAGACATCAGGGAATTGTGTGTACTTGATGGCATCGGTGTCATCTGCATTGCCGTCACCAACCGCACCGTAGTCCTCTACATTACGGAAGACGGTGTAGGAACTAGGGTCCGGGTTAAAGGCTGAAATGCCTTGGTGCTTGATGCTTTGCATCCAATAGGGATCCGTGGGGGCAGCGGTCCCGCTGGTGAGGGCAGAAGAGCATGCCGACCCTAGAGCTAGAGCAGCAGGCGCGGAGGCCAGAAAGCCATATGTCAAAGATATCAAAGAAAGAACAGGCGCCAACATGGCGATGAAGGAGAGACAGGAACTTGGACCTGAAGGAGGCGGGCGTAATGGAGCTGAACAAAATGAGGAATTTGCTGGAGGCCTATATAGCACCACAAGAAGCGTGCCATGCAGTGTTGTGCTGCTGTTTCCGGTAGTTGCAAGAGGCCGTTAATATGTTCGATTGACGACTCCGCTGAATACTCTCACCCGGATCTAAATTAGCGCTGTTCGAACAGTCTTGAGGTGAGACAGGTTATGATGTCGGACACTGGCAGACTCGGAGTGCGTGCTTGTTCGGACACAAGAACGCATCAGTGTACCCAGAGACTTGTTGCAAGAGCACTTTGGTTCGACCCAGGTCCCACCGCGGAGCAACAAAGCATATAGCGTAGACGTGAAGCTTCGAGTTTCAGTAGGTGCATAAATCCAGGAGTGATCCGGATGTAGTCTGGGATAAGTATGGACGTCGCGTAAAGATGCAGAAGCTCACACCGGCACCCGAGGCCTGAGATTGTAGGTTGTCAGCTCAGTGCGACGGCGAAGAGCGATACTATAGCAAAACACATCAATGTCCTGGAAGTTGGAGTCCTGCAGTCAACGTGCATTGTGGCTAGGACAGGACACACGAACTTACTCAGCTATGTCATTTATCCCAACCCATGCAAGACATCTCCGAGAGCCACTGAAGTGACTCAAATACGGTGGTTCCAAAAGGTAGCCGCCGACTCAGCCTGTTGGTCCTCGCACTGCCAGGGTTATGTACCGTTCGTGGGCTCAGCTCCTTCTCGGCCGGGCTTACTGAGTTCCTGTTTGCTGTGATTGCTGGGAATCGCGCGTACTGTACCGCACAGTACGCAGTGTCATCTCGCGGGGGTCTTGAATCATGTGGCTGCACGGTGTTAGGGCCGGCCTGTGGCACTGAAACGCGAACATGTGATCGCGCCTGCAGCCTCAGCTTCAAACAGGCTTGCGCATGGGCCCGGGTACCGCTGCGAGGGCGACTTGCGCGAGATACTAATTCACGTTGCCGACATGACGAAGTCACCCTGGAGACCTGAGGCCTGAGGCCTGAGGAGGTCTTGGCGACGCGGTGTCAGTCAATGAGCTAGTATGCTGTGAGATTCAGACAGAGTATGACACACCTCCGAGTGAATGGCTCGCGTTGGCAAGACTGCATGGTTCACGCATCATCCCCTCGACGCCGTCACGTTGTCACCCAGACGGAACAGTCCTCGAAACTTCGCATGCGTGACGCTCTCGACACGGTACAATAACGAATGCTAAATCGGAGATGTCTTTCTGTGCAACACTCCCCTATGCCTAATTTCGCCCGTTTGCTCTTACATAGGTCGACCGTCGACCTATCCTGAGCCCTCGATCACACCGAATCTTTTTGCGACTCGGCTCTGGGGTACTCAACCAGATGATGAGACCGTGTATCCTCTATAACTATTCAATTCATAATTCACAACCTGTCGTGCATCCCATGACGATATGCCTCAGGCCACGGGCCTTCAGATTAGTGAAATGTAACATATGCACACAACCCAGGAAAGACTGTCTACATAAAGGAGGGGACGCCCAGAGCACACTGCTCAGTGCAATCTGGACATGATATCAAAAAGGACGACAGCGATAGCGAAGAGCGACGCTCTTCACTGTGTCCAGGCCGTGATCGTGTTCTGAATACCGTCAACGTTTCCGATAGCTGCGATGACAGGCGCGCTGACGACACTCAGCGAGTTGACGACACCGACAGTCGATAGACTGTAAACGCTAATCCCCGTGGACGATGAGTCCACGTTGACGATCTGCGTCTGGCAGGTAGTCGTATCGAGGCAGATCTGGTTGTAGTCCTGGAAGAAGCTGTAGAGGCCGGCGCCTGGCATACGAAAGGTTGAGTCAAAAACGGTATATCATGTGTGCAGAACGTACCGAAGACAGTGATGTCTGTCGACGACTGAATGGAGAGGCCCCACGCAGCGGTCAAGTCCAGGGGGGAGCTGGGGTCCTTGTAGGTGCCGTTGATAGAGAACGGGAGCGGGGGAACTGGTAGAGGTTGGAAATAGGGCTGACCGAGTGCAGGATCCCATCAGTCTCAAAGCGAATGAAACATTGCAGCGCGCCCACGTACAGACTCCGACTGCATCACTCCGATGTAGTGGTCCTGCGCCCCGGCGAGGTTATACTGATACAGGACGTGGTGCTCAGCTACGCAAAAGGTCAGCCCGTCTAATCAAGTCTTCGCGAGATTGCGACTCACAAGCTAATAGAAGCAAGAGCAAAAATCAATGTTAGAGCAAGACGTTGACGTCAGAGACCTAACGCACCCGTGCCAATCATCCAGACAGGTCCTGCAGACTCTGACAAGATACCCCTGCCACTGTAAAGAGTCACGTTGCTCTGAGAGACGTCGTCAAGATCATGGTCTGCGAGCCAAACCCAAGTGCCCTGCAGCGGTATCAGTATCACCTCTTGAACAGCCGAGAAAGAGGAAGCCTGCCTCGATGTATGCATTCGAGCTGGGAGTCAAGTGCAAGCCGAGGAAGGCCGCGAAACAAGACGGCGAATACATCTCCATGCCGCCGCACTGCGACACCTGCATATCCGTGCCTGCAGCACCTCCCAGACTACGACATCACCGTCAGCAATCAGCAAACTTTCAACAAGAATTAGGACGGACCGGATGTAGCTGTCCCACATGCCAGCGCCGCCTTGAGCGGGTGAGTTCACATTCCACTCGACGACGATCGCACCGGCGGCTGTTGAGATGCTTCAATAAACCTGACACTCGTATGGAGGACGAGACAGAGTCCGCACCAGGTCCTTTCGTGGTGAAAACCATGTTCGAGATTTCCATGATGCCTGACGATCCTGGTGCGCCGACTTGGACGACAGGTAAGGGGTTGGTCTGGTCCTCGAAGGCCGAACCAGATCCCATGATGGCTGCCCATGCCTCGCCGACCATCTGCGTGCCCGCGGGGATCTGAAGAGTGCTGGTGACGACATAGGTTCCGGCGTCGAAGTAGATGATGGAGCAGCCGGAGTACTAAGAGACGGGGGTCAGTACGTAGGAGACCGGTACGGTGCGATGCACACCCGGAAGGTCTCCATACCTTGTCGAATACAGCTTGGAGTGCGGCCGTGTCGTCCGTCGAGCCGTCACCCTTTGCGCCTTGGTCCTTGACGCTCACGAACTGATCCACAGCGTAGTCCTCATACTGCGGTATCGTCCGCCCAAAGATCTTGTCGCCCGCCATGAGGCTGCTCGCCTTGGATGGACCAGTGATATCTCCCGCCGTGAATGTCGCGGAACCGCCCGTGCCGGAGAATACGTTACCCTGGCCCCAGCTGTTGATCGTCGTCGTGCCACCTGGGAGCACCTCGGCGCCGTTGAGGACGCTGACGGCCGAGGGCACGTTGTTCAGCACAATGTTGTTGAGGACAACGGATCCGGCGAGTGTGCCGTTGGAGGCTTGGGAGGTCCGGTAGAAGATAGGCGTATCGGACGCGGTAGCGTCGATGATTGCCATCGCCCCGGCGGTTTGCATAGCCTTGGACACACCACCGGTCGTCACGTCGAAGCCAACTTCACAGCCGTTGACTAAAGTGGCGACGTGAGTAACGAGGAAACATTAGCGTTCAGTCGTGCTCACTCGTCACATCCTGGAATGTCCAGTCCCAGTTCCAGGCCATGTAGACAGCTGTCGGAGGATTAGGTGATGCATCAAAAAGCAGTTGGGCAGCTACGCACCGGTCTTGCAGTTGTTCATAGTCACGTTGCGAACAGTGAATTGTTGGTTGCCCAGCCACATAGCATACTTGCCTCCGTTGAAGACCAAGTCTAGTTGCGCCGCAGCATCAACATGACATCCCAGACCCAAGACATGGGAACGGGCAGCCCAACTCACCTCCCATCTTGCCTCCACTACCGCTCTCCATGAAAACACCCTGGTGCGCCGTGTCGTTCGCGGTGCTCATCTCGAAGACGACATTGTGAAGCGACGTGGCCTGCGAGACCTGCCAGTGGATGCCGGTCGAGGTGGCGCTCGACGGGGTATTGGTCAGGTCAATGACGAAGTTGCGCACGGCACGGTAGAAGTTGTTCGTGGCGCCGTACCAACTCGCTCCGTTGCCGCCCGTTAGGTACGGGTTTGCATCTAACAATGAAGAGAATTACTTTCAATATAGGTTCCTAAAGCACAACAGACCCAAGCAAGAAAACATATCAAGCATGATCTTGCATTTGAGCTTTGAGATGATAACCATCCGGGAGGGCAACCTCCGAGCAGTCGTGCCGAGACACTTGAGAGAACAGACATTGCGAGTGCTTGACTTACCGATGACCGCCAATCCCGCGAAATCCGACGAGGCCAGCAGGGTGGGTGGTACCTTCGCATCACCGATCATCTGCGTATAATATGTCAAGCTTTAGACTCACATTGTGAGCACGACGTCACGGATGTTAGACCACAGAGTAGACGCACTTGAGCGGGGCCGATACCTTGTAGGTACCCTGAGGGAAGTAAACAACCGCGGGTGTGACGGTGGACGATGGGCAAGTCCCGTTGCCACAGCTGCCCAGTGAAATAGCTGCGCTGGGAGCCAGTAATGAGTACACAGGTAGCAAAGACATCAAGGGACTGTGCACACTTAATGGCATCGGTGTCATCTGCATTACCGTCGCCAACCGCGCCGTAGTCCTTCACGTTACGGAGGACGGGGTAGGAACCAGGATCCGGGTTGAAGGCTGAACTACCTTGGTGCTTGATGCTTTGCATCCAATAAGGATCCGTGGGGGCAGCGGTTCCGCTGGTGAGGGCAGAAGAGCATGCCGTCCCTAGCGCGAGAGCAGCAGGCGCAGAGGCCAAAAAGCCGTACGTGAAAGAAAGAACGAGCGCCAACATGGCGATGAAGGAGAGACGGGAAGGAGGCGCACGTAACGGAGCTGATCAGGACGGTGGAACTGCTCAATGCTTATATAGCACCACAAGGAAGCGTGCCAAGTGTGGTGCTTCTGTCGCTACGATGGTAGCAGAACCGGGTAGCTGAAAGAGCCTCGCCGTTGTTCAGTATGTTCGACCGACGACGCTGTATCCCTCACCGGGATCCGAAACGGCGCTACGCGAACAGTCTTGAGGTGAGAAAAGGTGTGGTGGAACGAAGGCGCAGCAACGTTCGGACACGAGAAAGGTGAGCGTAGTGCTCAGCGACTTGCTGCAACTGCACTTTGGTTCATCCCAGGTCCCACTGCGCGACGGGGGCATCCGTCGCCTAAATAAACGGTCGGGAAGACCTGTGGCGGACGCGTAACGTAACGCTCGCCTTCGAACCGTTTCCGAGACCAGTCGGCGCGGAGCAACAAAGCAAATCACGTCATGGTGAAGTTCCAGTGAGGTGCAACGAATCGAGAGTAATCCGGATGTGGCCAGGGATATGGGCGTATTAAATTGTGGAAGCTCTCACTGGCACCTGAGATGAGCATCCGTGGGTGATCAGCTCACCGCGATACTGTAGCAAAATACAGTGGTATTCTGGAAGGTCAGAGGCTTTCAGCTAGTGCTAAGTGCACGCTGGAATCAGAATGCATTGTGGCTAGGACTCAGATGCGGCAGACACGATCTTGCTTAACTATGTCATTTGTCCCGGGGACAAAGCCCCATCTCGGCCTCGGCAGAAACGGGTTTACGGGGCTCCTCGTTACTGAGATTTGTCGCAACCTCAGAGCGACAAGCGACTGCGCAGTGGAGGCGCATAGTAGAATTTGAAGAAACACTACGCGGTGTCTTCTCGCGTGTCGCCGGCTCCCCGGCTCGCGGTGGCGCGCTGTAGCTCAACGCGAACACGTGACTGCAACACAGACACGCGCGACAGCCAGTGTAGGTGGTTTGATGGTTATGTACCGGGTTATAAGCTTGTCGGTTTTTATAGTCTGCAACGAAGACTCACCGAGTTACTGCTGAGTCCGAAAGAGCACGGCTGACCACTATGGAAATGTGAACGCTCGGGCCTTGCACAGCGCAGCGGTCGATCAAGTTGTTACCCAGTAACTCGCACCTCGGTTTACTCAGTACTGCGCTCTCGCCTATGTAAGTCGATGTCACCAAATGGTGAGTCCACGCTCTCATACGTAGGGGCACGGACATCGCGACCGTCCTGCAACCGCAGGCCCAAGACACGCAGACGCGACAAGTGCACCTGCATCGATTCGTAGACACGTACACTATGCATGTAGTAATTATCGCTACGCGTGAAAGACTATCAAGAGAGAGAGAGGCAGTAGAGGTGGAGGTAGAGATATGTAGTGTCCAAGACGTGACTGCGCGACACCAACCATGTATGTAACCAGTCCATCGGCGCCCGCACGCATGCATGTATACGTACACCGGCGGGGCCCACACGCGCACTATATAAAAACACAACAAGTCCGTCTCTCTGTCCGCATGGTACCCGCATCGTCCCAGAGAGAAAGAGCAGAGCAGAGCCACACCCGCACCCGGATCATGACGAGCCCACAGGCGTCGGCGCCGGGAACGCATACGCGTCGCGCTTGTCGTTGCCCCCGCACAGCGGGCTCGGCGGTGCCGTCGGCCCAATCCACGGGTACAGATATTCGCACGTCTGTATTGCCGTGTATTTCTGTGCCGTGTCCTTTGCGTTCTCCCACCCGCTCCCGACGCTCGCGCTCACCGTCGCGCTCGACGCGGTGAACGTCGGCGCCGCGAGGGTGACCTGCCCACCCGTCGCCGTGTATGATGGCAATGCCGTCACCGCCGACGGGAAGCCCGGGTTGCTGATCGTCGCCGGCGGCCACGCGTACTGCGTCGACACGCTCGCCGCGGTGCTCCCTGCGCCCGAGCCGCCCGTCTGCCACGCTGAGAGCGGCGGCGCGAAGGGGGCGCTGTTGCCGCACACGCCGTCGGCCTGTCGCGGGTCGGTGGGCATCCAACCTCCCTGGAGACCGAGCTGGTACGACCACTGAGGTGCCTCGACCTTGCCCGTCACGGAGGAGTTGCCAACCTTCCATGTCCAGAAGAACCAGTTCTGCATTGGCGGTCAGCACTGGCGCCCATTCTATCCAGGTAAGCGACACCACATACCTGGAGAGAGCTCATGCTGGCCAATGCCCAGTCCTCGATGCTCGCCTTGAACGTCTCATTCCAGCCCTGGTAATCAATCCACGGCGCACAGTCGCCCGTAACCGCCGTACCGTCAAAGGTGCCCTCATACCGGCTCCCATCATTGACGCCATTCACCCACAACCCACAGTCGTTGATCGCGTTGCTCCACTCGCCTGCAGTCGTCAGCCCGAACGCGGTCATCGAGGTGTTGACCGTCGCGCCCCACGTGTCGCAGGGCACGGTCAGGCGCGACGAGTACGGCGCAGACGACTGGCCGTCGAAGCAGACGTACGGGTGGTTGTCGAGCGCGATGCGGTCCGCACCGGCGAGGAAGCCCACCCACTGCGAGAGCTGGTAGAATCCGTCGTGATAGAGGACATACGGACCATTGCCTGCGCCGATGCCGCTCGCGGTCCTGATGATCTCGTACGCCTGCACGTAGCTACATAGACGTCAGGATGTCGAACATGTGATAGGGCAGTGGACTCACTAAGCTGCCAACTGATCCTGACCCATCGTAGGACCCATTGGCTCGTTAGTAACACCGAAGATGGTTACGACGTTGCTGTACTCGGGCTGTGAGATGAATTCGGCAAGAATCCGGATGTAACCCAAGGACCGTTGCGCGTTGGCAAGACCCATCGGACCGTACAAGACGTTGATCGAGCCAAGCTTGCCCGAGTGATTCCAGCCGTTCTGGCTACCGGGCAGCGCGTGGAAGTCGAGATTAATGCGGAGACCATACTTGCGAGCCCACTCAATGGCCTTGAGGAAGTATCTGTAAGACTGTTAGAATACATCTGGTGAGAGGGAATGGCGAGACTCACGTCCAGGAAACCTTGGCGAGGAACGGCTCGCCTTCCCACGTCTCGATAGCCCAGTAACCAATGGGTATACGGACATGGTTAAGGCCAGCTGCCGCGATCTCAGCGAAGTCCTGCTCCGTCTACAAGGGGAATGAGGCAAGTTTCTTCCAGTCATGCAACGCACTTACGATGAACGTATCATAGTGGTTAGTCATGACACCCTCGAGACCACCCTTGGAGGTCTCGTTCATGAGATTGTAGCTAAGCGTCCATTCATCGACGGCGGGGTAAGACGTGTTCACATACGGCTCGAACAGAGCAGGCGCACTGCATGCCGACAACGTTTAGTACGGTGTCTCCTCACCTATAAGTAGACAGATACTTGCATGAACTGGGTTGAATATCACATCAGGAAGACGGTCCGAAGAAGCGCATCGCAGTGACTTACAGGTTCCGGAACGAGCCAGCCACCAAGGTTAACACTACAGGTCGCACTCAATCAGCACCTCGTGTGGGCGCGCGACGCGGCGTCCGTACATACCCCCGAATATTATCCGTGCCATACTGGAAGGTCTCATTCATGGGGGGCGTCCAGGATTGCGCGCGCGCGTAGTTGGTGAGAGGATTCTCGGGGTCATAGTACCAGTAGCCGCCGAACTTGTTCGCGTACGTGAAGGTCGTGCCGTCCGACATGGTGACAGTGCTGCCGTCGCCGCCGGTGACGACGGCGGAGGATGTGCCGCTGCCCTTACCGCTGCCGCCACTCTGGCTGGACGAGCCGGAGCCGGAGCCAGAGGCGATGTTCGACGAAGAGGAAGCGGAATGCTTACGGACGGTGAGGGTGACCGCCACCACGACGACCACGATGATGATGATGAGGGCAATGGCGCCGACGATGAGGATGGCACGGCGGCGCGAGCGTTGGCGAGGAGAAGCATACTGGGTAACAGGATCGCGCCGCTTTTCGGCGAGGTTGGCGTAGGGGACGGTAGGTGACGTCGAAGAGGCGAACTCCTTTGGCGGTTGGCCGAGGCTCAGGTCGCCGTCGGTAGGGTCGTCGCGATAGTGCAGGCCATATGCCGAAGGGTCGGCCTGGGACTGGCGATTGAGTGCACGGACGGAGGAAGAGTAGTCGTCAGTGACGGAGGAGGGGCGGGTGTCGAGAGAGGAAGCCTCGTCGTTGAGGGCAGGGCCCATGAAGGTGCCCATGCGGGGCGAGTGCAGCTCAAAGTCGAAGTCGGGGTTGGATGTGCGGGCAGCGGGATTGGGGACAGGGTCGTAAGAACGGAAAGCCATGGCTGCGAACGCTAAAATAAAGAACGGGCGGTGAGCGGTTGCGAGAGAGGCGTTGGGATCCCAGCCACACGAGACGCAACCCACCCTCGGGGCCCTAGTCGGACGTCCGGAAATAGCAGCGAGTTAGTCGGATGCGCGCTGCGGACGCGGGGGGGACGCGAGGGCGCCTGGGAGGGGAAAGAAGGAGACTGAAGGAGAGGCAGGTAGGCTGCGGGCGAGCGGTCAAAGAGGGAGACCATCCTCAATTTGTAAGTACGCCCTGCCTATATCGGGCACCCACCGCACGCCGGGCAGCCGGCCCTTTGCCGGCCTCTTTGCCCCGCCGTGTCCTTCTCCGACTTAGACAGTCTTCTCCTCCAGCCCCCGTCCCTTGCCCGCCTTCAAGCTGCTGCTGATCTTGCGGCTGCACCGCCCACCGGCCCCGACGTCTCTGCCATCGTCGCAGGGCACGCCCTCTCTCCGACTTTGCTCAGACTCTCACAAGCAACATGCTCGCGTGCATGTCGGCCTTGGGTCACCTGCCGCCTCCTGGGCTGTCCGTGTCCCTGCCGCGTCCGGCGCAATGCTTTCTACCCGCCTTCAAGTTGTGAGACCGCTCAACGATACCCTCCGCGCATCTTTCCGAGGCGGCCTCAACAGCCCTTCGCATGTGTCCGCGATCATAGGCCCCCGTGTCTCGTCAGTAGACGGACGAACGCTACCGCCGACCAGGCCACAGAACCTTTCCGAGAGGCTTTGCTCGGCCTCTACTTGCCCCCCAGTCTCATACTTCACCAAATGGCGCTAGTGTGGATGAGGCGTTTGCTTCGAAGCTTGTTCGAAGCCCCCGAGTCTTCGGAGTCGATCGCCCGTCTAGGAAGTTCTGTGGTCTGCCAACGTCTCCCCGAGCGCGACACCTCCGAACAGTGGCAACCTCACGCGACACGACGCGCGACCCGCTCAGCTAGCCTCATCTCTCGTCCCCTCTGCGACCGTCAGCGGCTCCGCATCAGACACACTGTGCGCCAATGGTATTTGCTTCATCACAGAACAAAGGCTTCCTCGACGCCTATTCCTGCAGACGCTAAAGCGTTCCCTGGATTATAGATGGAGTCCGTCCGGTACCAAACCCCGTATGTCGAATCGATGCCTTCGATAGGGGAACGTACGCACTGCCATTCACATCACAGCGCAGTTCACACAACCCACATAGCAACGTTATTTAACCATGTGCCCCTCTACTACCAACGCGGGTCCGCGCGACATCAAGGTCTCAACACCGTGCCCCATGTATCCTCGGCGACTGGCCGACTACAAACAGCGTGATCTCACGAGTTGCATTGCCTTCCGTGCGGCGTCCCCTCACTCAAGAGCTCATTGACTACTCAGCACAGCACATGCACATGCACATGCACAACACCAATCACACCCATCGATCCTGAAGAACTTGAAGCTTGACCGTCACGCCGACTCTGCACGCTCAGCGTTCTCATGCCTCCCTCCGCGTTGCTGCCTGCCGGCGGCCGCCGCGCTATCCATAGCCCTCCGCGAGGCATCGAACCCGGAGGCTCTATCATCACGGCAGTGTACGGCTCGACTTCCGACCACTTCTACGCCCATTCAGACTCAGTGTGCGTCCTCCGGGCTCAACGCGCTGAGCTATCTATACATAGACGGCTTAGCGCACTGGCTGAACCGCTGCAGCTGGACGTGGACGCGCGCGCGCGGTCCCCTATCTACGTCCTCCTTCGCTTTCGACGGAAGCACGGGTAGCTGCGTATCGGGACTGTGGCCGTATGTACTAGTCAACGCCTGGCAGGAAAGCGTATCGTCGATCAGGCCGTGTGGGTTTGGTGAGTGCCGTCCGTAGGCGCTGCACACTCCGATTCCTTGCTCTCACCCTGATGTGTGTGTACTTTCATTGTCGTGCCGCTGGCTGGGAAGCTACTGGGACATCCGCAATGCTGATGAAACAACTTCTTTGGCGTATCATTAGTACTTATGCGGCGTCACCCTTCCATCTACTTAGGCGGCGTCATCCTTCCATCACGACTCCGAACTCTACGCATAGCCATGGAGTCAGCCAGGCCTAAAATGCACAAGCTGATCAAGACTGCACAATGCGTCACGCTCTGCTGACCATTTCTCTCTCTCGCTGCGACTTATCGTGAACTCCATGCGCGATTCGTCCACTTCCACCGGCCGGCAGACGATTCTTTTCGCACAAGAACGAGACGCCCTGGCCGCAGCGTTCATGTACGTCCTTGACGCTCCCGCAAAGTACTACTGACAAGGATATCGTCAAACGAGCGACCGCACATTTTGGCCTCCCAGCTGTGACCGGTTGACCTCGTACCGTCTCGCTACTTAGCATAGCAGAACACATACACCCGAATTCATATCTGGTCCGCTTTCGGCCCTGCTGTGTGCATGTTCAGCAAGTACGCTACAGTATCCCGTTGGGCTCGGTACGAATAGAAGCACGGAGTGTCTGCGCATGCACATGTCCGTCGGACCACTATCGGGAGATAGCAACTCAATCGGACTGTTCGCAGAGGCTAAGGCTATCTCATGGCAATCGTGGACATCGTCGTCGTAGAGGTAAGGTACGTCACGTCCCGAACTTTTCCAACGGACGTTTCGGGACCTTCCTCGCCGCAATTCGGAGACGCTCGCGCGCATGGTCCGTTTCGAAGCTTTATCTTGTGTGCCGGGGGACAAACAGAGATCCGGAAGACATTACTATTCCACAGCCAAGTATGCGTACAATAAATATACAAACACGACAGGACACGATGAACGATCACTGCTGCTGCTGGTACGCGCCGCTCTGCGCATTCTGGGTCATATTCGCCGCGTTCTGCCACCCCTCGTCAGAAAACCATCGCTCCCAAGTGACTCATGCACTCACCCTCAACAGATTCTGCAGCTGCATCGTATGCTCCATCTGCTGCTCCTGCGTGAACTGCGCATTATGCAGCGTCGGGATATTGTAGTAGCCCAAGCTCGTCTGGCGTGGTACGCCGACGCCCTGCGGCTGCTGCGCCATCCCCGCGTGTGGCTGCGTTGACGATGGGCGTGAGGAGCTCACGCTCGCGCCGTTCGCGGGTGTCGCGGCTACGTGCGGCGGCGACGCCTGTTGGGGGATCGCCGGCGAGGAGCTCGTAGCACGCGCAGCATACGGCGGCGAGAGGTGCGCGTTATTCATCGCACTCGAGGCTGCCTGGGCTTGCGCTTGTGCGAGGGCCTGTGCACGAGCTTGGGCCTGCGCCTGCGCTTGAGCTTGGGCCTGCGCCTGCACTTGAGCCTGCATCAGCTGTGTCGGCGAGAGACGGCTGTTTCCCAGGGCCATAGGGTTGGATAGCCGTTGTTGTTGGGATATACCGACTTGCGTCCGGATCTGCGGGACTTGAGATGCTTGCTGTTGCGGTATTCCATTTGCGACAGGCCTAGGCGTCCCGTTGGAAGGTGGCTGTTGCGCCTGCTGTTGCTGCCCTGGCTGTTGTTGTTGTTGTTGTTGTTGTTGTTGCTGCTGCTGCTGCTGCTGCTGCTGCTGCTGCTGAAGCAGTTGTGCCTAGAATGTTAAACGCCAAACAGTCAGGAATACTTCAGACTGCACACGGAGACTCCGATTATGACTGACCTGCTGTCGCTGTTGCGCTTGCTCTCGTATAAGGGTCTGTTGACGGGTGATTAGGTCATTCTTACGCATCATTAGTTTGGGTTGTTCGCGTGCCTCTTTTTCATGTTTCATACGACTGAGTTCCGCAGGCGTATACCTAGGCAGCTTGTTGTATTGGCCATGAGTATCGTGCACGGCTGCAGGCTTGCGTTGCGTTGCTGCACGATATGTTCATTTTGTGGACGTAGACACGACACGGGAAGAGGTCGCACCATTCTGTTTTGCTGCGGCCTCTTTCTTCTTCATGGCCTTCCGTATAGCATCATGCATAAGATTGTGCCTTCGCTTCTTCGCGTCCACGCCTGTCGAGGCGGCCGCGTTTGCAGCGAGCGAAGCTGCTGCGTTGCTCGCTGCACGCTTGTACCGCGTCGTCATCTGAGTCGGCGCCGAGGTGGTCTGTGTGCGGGTATCGTCAGTACCAGCGTCAGATCTGCCCCATCGCGTGTTCCAGCGATCCAAGCAGTCCGCAACGCTCCTCCTGTCCGTGGCGATCGTTACCCGGGATGAATTGAACGCATCCGTGATCAGAGCCCAGTTGTTCGAATACATGCCTGCCAATTGCTTCAACAACGCATCGTCTTGCGGGGTCCACATGATGTCGGCGGCACGTCTGCGAGCGTCCTTGGACCCATGAGGAAGTAGCGATGAGTGCGCAGAGGGAGAGCCGGCTTTCGGGCCCTCGAAAAGATCTGAAGACGTTGAGATGATTATGACGCCACTAGACGGAGAGTTACTTACCGCAAGAGGTATTATCGACTGTCCGAGACATTGGGGAGCCATAGTCGATAGTCACTGGCATCTCCTCGATATGCTCCCAGTGGTCGCCACTCCAGTGCAATGATGGCTGAAGAGCACCAACCAAAGTGGGCTTTTGTAGCATGAAGTCGCTCATGGGCGTCAACTTGCTGTACAATGTATCGTCGATACGTTTGGTTGGGTCGTCTTTGTCCAACCTTTGTTTGTCAGACTTCTTTCTGTCGACGGGGAATTCTGTCACTGGCTCCAGCATACCGTACGGTGTAAGTTCAGGGAAGATAGATGAGAGGTCGGCGGGAGGGAGGGGAGCAGTGTGACTCGAATGTGGGTTCTCCTCGGTCGAGAGTTCAGCCATGCCTTTCACGAGCTCAACGTCGTCAAGATCAAGGACCAGCTTGTCCAGGTCAAGGCTCAGGATCTGGTCGCGTAACGGTCCATAAGTATTAGCATCGCGCCTCGCCTTGGACTTCGAGGCCGGTGCAGCCAACGTAGGGTCCCTCGAGATTGACTTGAGTCCTTGCTTACCAACCCCACCACCTTCCTCCGGCTTAGCGTCGATGTGAGACTGTCCATTCTTCTGCGAAGACAACGCGTCGCTGTTGGTCTGATTTCGCCGAGTAGAACTCTCAGGCAGACGTAAGGCAGAAAGATCATCATCGTCTTCGGTCTTGGGTCTCAGTTCGGTAGGACCAACCTTGAAGGAACTCCGACCAGGATCATGGTTGGTGCACTCCTCAGCCGCGTCCCGTGCCAGGTTCCCTGGAGCGAGCGGATCATAGACACCAGCCCTCTCCTTGTCCCCTTCATCGTCACTGTCGTCCTCAGATTCGGAGTCGTTAGCGGGCGTGTTGGTTTCCCTAGAGTCGGCTCCCCGGTCATTGTCCAGGTCGGGCAGCTCGACATCATCGCGCACATCAGCGTCCTCGCCTGCCTCCTCTTGCTCCTCTGGGCGTGGCCTCCTCCACAGCACACAAATGCCCCTGTTTACCCGTTCTTCCAGCGATCCTGCTTCGTGCCAATCCATCACAGCATGAACGAGATTGTAGGCGAGTGCAATCTTCCATCGCCTTTCTTCGCGGAAGTCGGTACGCATCCATTTCTACAAACAGTAGTCAGGTAGTGGTTCCAGCGAAGCACGATTGGAGTTGCTTTACTGACCATTTCATCCATGAGGTAGTCCCAGTGAGATTTGGCGGTCCCGCCTAGAGCTCGCTGCTTCTTCGGTTGTCGGAAACTCCAGCCACTGCCTTCTTTGAGCATTTCGACTCGTTCCATAGTGCGGATCAGTCTAAGCTCTCTGTAGGCAACCTGAAAGTTATTGAGCCACAGGGAGAACACGCAAGATGATGAACATACATTCCACTCGTGGGTGCTGACACACTTGGTCGCCTTTGCAAGCCTCTTCCAGACTGGATTGGCACGAACTAAGGCACCCCATTTGTTTATGCCGATAGGCATCCAATCATCCTTTTTGGAATCTCCTTTGTCGCCACCCTTCTCATGTTTTTCCTTGTCTCGCTTCTTCTTGTGTCGGCCAGGTGTGCTCTTGCGCTGAAACTCAGCGGGAAGGACATTCAAAGGAGGCAGTGAATAATCTTGCTTGAAGCGGAAAAAATCAGGGGGTAGCCGCGGTTTTCCAACCGACATCGTATTCTCGTCTGCCAGCCGTTCGTCAGAGGCGAAGTTGAACGCGACGACAGGAGCCGGGGGAGGTGCGATTGTGATGTATTCGAGCCGTCGGCTAGGCTCAACGGCAGGACTCGGCCTGGATGAAGGGGGTAGAGAATCATGTAATAGATGAGAGACCGTGTCCGACGATGTCTCGTCGACTCGCACATCCTCCTTGTAGTCTTCTTCCGCGTCAGCAGCGGGAAGCGCAGTAGGCTCGTTCGGGTCAAGTACGTCAGGAGTTCCGACAGAACGTGGAGAAGGAGAACGACGTTTCTCGGGACGAAGGCATAGCTCGTCTGTGGATGCTGAGAGGGACCTCGGACGTGATGTATGGGAGACGTGCGAACGAGTGCGAGAACGGTAAGGTTCGACGACAGAACCCTCCGAAGGTGTTGACGACCGCTTGCGCTTGATCCCTCTCTTCCCGTCCGAACCATATCCTTGGTCCTCGTCAACATTCTCAGCTTCTGGAGGTGAAGAGATGCCCCGAGTGTCGTCGACCTCCACTCCTGTATCCTCGTCCTCCACACGCATAGCAGTGACAGCGGCCTTTTCTGGCTGGTCGAAAACTCGGGGGAGGCTGAAGGCTGAGATCCCTCAGCTGCAACCAGGGCATACGGATGGGACACATCGTCTGGGGAGTTACCATCGTCGGCGGGAATTGTAGGGTCACCAAATATCTCAGCGTCCGACAGAGAAGAAATATGCCCGGTTTCCGGACTTTCAAAAAAGGGATCAGCCAACAAACAGTGAGCGCAGGGATTAGAGCTCACTGTTTGTGCAGATCGAATCTCTCTAGGAAGACCTCCAGGTTCGGCCCATCGTCTGGCTCAACTGTGGTGGCAATGCCTAATCTCTCCTTCTTCTGCATGAGTTGGTACATCTCCTGCAGCAACTGATCCCGCCGTTTCGATATTTCTCTGCAGCATACCGTCCAGCCTCCAGCTCTGTAGCATTGTGACGATAGGACTCACTGCAACTGTGCCAAGCGGTCTTCAACCAGAGCCTCGGCCAACTCGGACATCGTCTAACGCTGGCGGCGACACGAGGAACGGGAGAGCAGGAGATGAGAACGACAGGGAGTCCGTTCCTAGTATTCGGCGTGTGGCTTGGATGGCCGAACGCGAGGCCACAAGTAGGATCGTATGAGCCCAAGGCAGAGCACGCGGGAGGGTACAAGGTCTCTCTAGACCAAGTCGGCAAGTTTGTATGCACACCAAGTTCACTGTGATACAGCCACAGCAGAGCGGTTCCGGAGACAGGTTGAAGATGAGAGTACGGAAGGACGGATATGGCCGCCACCGTACTCTGTACTGAACGCTCGGGAGTTGCCGAGGCTGCACCTGAGCGAGAGAGGAAATAATGCTTCCCCCATTAAGAAACTGTAGAGGAACGTCGGGACAGGTAGCGCACCACTTTTCTCTGGTCCACACAGTAATCGTTCGAGCCTATGAGCTGGTGCATGGTGTATACCGTATCTGGTAAAACATACCATTGCCATCGAGCGCGACATTATGCAGAGGGGATTTCGATTGGACCTCAGACGTACTGGGCTACATACCGTCGTATATAAGTGAGAGTATGCAGTGCGGCTCTCCCTCTCGGAGGCACTCCACTTACACAATGCTACCAACGGATCGCGGACGCCCTCGCACAGACGCACTCATTATGCCGACCGACGGTTCTAAACTGACGTCAAACCGACACTGCATATGCCATATTGCACATGATGTAAGTGTTATCCGTGCGGGAGAGGACACCGTTCACTAAATGGGGACTACGGGTATCGGAAACAATGCATCTGTACGTACAAGCGAGGGCGAACATAAAATAATGAGTGCAGAAACCCGGAAGCAATGATGTGGTACGAATGTCCAGCCTAGCCAAAGAGTTCTGCAGATATCAACCGCTCCCCTTGATCGACGAGACCGAGTCCTTCTTCCGCCCAATGCTCTTCAGACTCGCCGTGATGCTCTTCCGCTTCTCGCTAGTGGGGCTCGTCTCCGCCGCGGTCGGCGAGGCCGGCCCATTCGAGTCGTCTTCACGTTCCACCGACTGCGGGTCGTCAACAATAACAATGTCGTTCTGCATCGAGTCATCAACCGTACCGGAGATACCTCCTCCGCCAACGAGACGGATGGGAGCTTCAGGCTCGACGTCGTCCGCATGGATCAGAACTGGAGAATCTTCACCCGACTGGGCTGGCGACTCCGAATCGAGCAGCACCGCTGCCATCACCGGTGCGGGGACAGATGACGTTGGGGTAGTTGGTGATGTGGGCGTAAGCAGATCAGGTATCGGCGCGGTAGGCGAGGCAGCGTGTATTGTGTCCGGCGATCCTGTCAGCGCCCTTGAAGGGGGAGAAGGAATGCGAATTGGATTTGAGGTTGATGCTGCGGGTGGCGAAACGATGCGAAGAGGCGACACTGTCGCAGGAGGCGACGACGCGGACGATGCATCAAACACCCCCACGTTGTGGCCTGCTTCGATGTCGTCGGGCAGCTGCTGCGACGCAAACGACGGCGAATCGATAGCTGCTGGCGTGGGCAACTCTAGAGGCAACGGCGCCGGAGGTTTTGTGACTGCGATGGTCGGGACGGATCGCCGAGATGATGATTGTCTCTTGTCCGCAACGTAGCTCAAAGGTTCCGGGGCCGTGGTGAGGGCTGTCGTTTCCCCAGATGCGTCTGAGAAAACAGGTATAGGCACCTCTGCGCCAGAGCCGTTGCCAGCCCCGGCTAACGGTATATGATCGAGAGAAAACCGCTCCGCCGCCTGCGGGAGGGAGTTACAACGGCAAAGGAATCAAGTGGATGGTTCACCGCACCTTGCCCTTCTCCCATGGTGGGTATGCATCATTGGCGTATAGTCCGGCCTCTTGCCACTTCCGTATGCTGCGATCCGCCCAGGCTTCAAGGACATTCCACCCTTTGTACTCGCCCGTCATACGCAGACCGCCAGTGCCTGCATCGCCACCAGTGTCGCCCTGACCGCCGCCGACGCCGTCGAAGAAATAGCTTTCGTACCCAACGGAGTCCTCGCTGCCATCGCTCCCGTCATTCGTCGACCCCAGCTCATATCCCTCCCCGCTCTCGAGATCATCCACGAAGCCAGCGAGCCACTTGCCCCACCCGCCCTCGCCCTCCCCTCTGAACATCACGATCTTGGTGTCAAAGTCACGCCCGAAGACGATGACCTGCCCTGACTTCCCCTCCTCGTCCGGAGTCATGTCGATGCCGAGGTAGTTGCCCCCCTTGTCCGTGATGAGCGGGAGCCAGCCCTTGCAGGTGTACTCCCGCTTGACCCACTTCGGAGGGATGGACTGCATTACCTCTTTTAGGCGTGGATTCGCCCCAGTGCTCGGGTCGTCGTCAATCTCCCTCCAGAACCTCCATTCCTCCAGAACGTCCTCCATCGGCAGCAGCGTCAGGCCGAAGAACAGGCCCTCCGAACACCCTGCTGCGGACTCCGCCTCTTGCCCGTCGACACACAAGTACGAATCCCGCACCGCCGCTGGCAGGCGCATGCCCAGGGCCATCTCAATCTGTTGCAGGTCCAGAGGAAGAATCCCATAGTTGAGTGTGTCGCCCAGCTCCGGGTACTCTCGCGAGAGCCATTGGCGGAGGCGATCCCACGTGTGCGATAACGGAGGGTAGGATGGTAGAGGCGGCAAGGATGCGTTGGAATGGAGGGGGAGTATCGAGGATTGTCGTGATCGTGTACCGGTGCTGTAGAACGTCGGTCAAGAGGCCTAAGCAGTGGCGGTTACAATAGGACGGATACACGTACGGAACATAGTCGTAAGACCCCCGTGACGAGTGCGGTGGGTATGAATACGAGCCGCTACTTGTCGGGGAAGTGAGCATCTCCGGATTGAAGGCGTCAGGGTGTGGGTGGATGCCGGGCGAGGAAGTCGGCAGGCTGAAGGCATCGTGTGTGGAGGACATGGCACTGGCTCTGCGCGAGTTTACCGCCTTGTTCGAGGAGGAGAATAGACCTGTGAGCCAGCTCATCTCTACAGAAAGCTACGCTGCCAGCTCAGACAAACGGCACGTCACAGCGAGAGGTGCGTGCGAAGCAGTGGGCCGCCAGTCGAGCTGTAACCTGATACGGTGGAGCCAGAGAAGTCGGCAAGCGTTGAGGCGATATGCAACAACAAGCCTACGCGTGGTGCCGAGCGGGACTCTAGCTTTTCCGGGTGTCCACAAGAACTTTTGCGTGTCGACAGTTGCGCGGAGGATAGAGACGACGGCGACCGTTGAGAGAGGGAGTGGATGGTGAGTCTCTCGACCTTGAGGCAACGTCCGGACGCAACCCGCTTTCAGACGCGCCGACTGTCCGTGTGCAGGCGCTACAGCCACCGTCGTGTCTCACGCGTCCGCAGCACTGGCATGCAGAACGTACAACCCCACTCAAAACCCACCGCTGCGGTCCAAGTTGCGTCCTCTTGCCGCCATTCCAATCAACGCTGCCGGCCACCATCATCCTATCCGTACACATTGTGATGTTTCGAATTATGCTGCATTGCGACGATAAATACGTGACTACTTCTACACAGTATGATGCTTAGAAGGTACCAAGGTTCGGGGACACCTTGAAGTCGCAGGCCGTCTTAGACTTCAGCTCCTCCACCGTGAGTCCCTCAGCGATGTCGATCAACGTCAGCTCGCCCGCCTTCCTGTCAACGTCGAACACGGCGAGGTCGGTGACGATCATGCTGACAGCGCGTGCGCCCGTGATGGGAAGTGAGCACTCTGCCACGATCTTCGGCGTGCCGTCCTTGGCGCAGTGCTGCGTGAGTGCAATGACCTTCGTCTTGTCCGGGTTTGAGACCAAGTCCATCGCACCGCCGATACCTACGCCGCGTCAATCACGGTTGTCACTGCATCGCTGTTTCGGACTCACCCTTGACCAGCTTGCCAGGAATCATGAAGTTGGCAATATCACCCGCCTGGGAAACCTGCATCGCCTGTCTCACGAGTTGGTTCAGCATGCATTCCCGTGCGCTTTAGAGAAGAAGTACGAACACCGAGGCAAGTAACGTCCATATGTCCTCCACGAATCATGTCGAACGACTCAATTGAATCTGCGCCGGATCAGTTTGGCACGGAGCAGAGCGCTGTGAATGATCGCACTCACCGAAGCAGGCTGCGCCGGGTAGAAGCGTGGTCGTTTCCTTTCCAGCGTTGATGATATCACTGAAACGGCGGAGACTCTGTCAAGTACTGACATCCCGACATGACCAGCAACACACGTACGGGTCAACTTCGTCCTTCGTCGGATAAGGGCCCATTCCGAGGATACCGTTCTCGCTCTCCACCCAGACCGTGGTGCCAGCCGCGAGGTGCTGTAATAGAGATATGGATTACGGTTCGAAGACAACAGCTCTGATTCTACTTACCTCAGGGACGAGGGTAGGAACGCCCACACCGAGGTTGACATAGAATCCATCGCCAATTTCCCGAGCAGCGCGCTTCGCGATCTTATGCCGCCAGTCGTGTGCCGCCTTGTCCTTGCTTGCGCCTTCGTCCTGTTTCGAAAGGGACTCACTTTCCTGACGGAGGGCGAGGACCTCAATGGATTTAGGCTCCGTGGCCTTGACTATCCGATCGACGTAAATACCAGGGATGTGGATGGCGTTTGGTGATAAGCTTCCGACGGGACTTTGGGCAGGATGTCAGTACCGTGATCGTGCCCCAACACGTGGATACTTACACAATCTCCTCGGCTTCGACGATGGTGAGCTTGGCATTCCGGGCCATTACAGCGTTGTAGTTGTTGGCAGTGTACCTGAAGGCGCAATCTATTAGTGAGCGACCAAAATACGACTGGACTATCCACCCATTACCTGAAGACCAAGTTGCCGACCTCATCCGCTTTCCATGCATGCACGAATGCGACATCACCGACCAATGCTGGCTCGACGACGTATCTCCGACCGTCGAAGTCCATCGTTTGCTTCTTGCTACCTGGTACCGCGACGCCGTGCTGCATACCTCCGGGGTTGTACCGAATCGGAATATCACCCCGCTCAACAGCGGTGTGCGCGCCAGTCGGGGTAAGGACCGCGGGGTAACCGGAGGCATGCGCCTTCAGACGGGCAACGAGCGTACCCTGGGGCACGAGCTCGATGCCGACCTCGCCCTGCAAGTACTTCTGCTCGAGGAACTTGTTCCTAGTGCACGGTTATGCACGTGAGATCCGCGGGAGGAACGGAAGCACACACCCGCCAAGGTACGAGATCATCAGCTTCTCAAGCTGCCCGGACTGCACCAATCTCACTGCGAGCGGGTGTGTGCATGAGCCGTCCGATCTAACACCGCTCGAGGTAGGACTCACCGAGGCCAAGGTCCTTTGCACCCGCATTATTGGAGACGGCGGTGATGTTCTTGACGTCTTTCCGGCGAGTGAGGGCCTCGATGAGAGTCTCCGGGATGCCGCACAGACCGAACCCTGCGTAAGGAGTGAGACGGGGGTCCGGGACATACGGCGCGCTAGAGCGTACCTCCGCACAGGACGGTGTCGCCGCTCTTGACATCCTTGACGGCCTCCTCTACGGAGCTCCAGACTTTGGTCTTCTTGGGTATGGGGGCATCCTGGACGACGGTGTAGAAGCGGACGCGCGCCGCGACGAGGACGGGTCTGCGGAGATTGCGGACTGCGGGTCTGCTGGACTTGAGTGCCCACATCTCGTCTGTGGTGGTGGGTGCGACGCGCGCGACGAGAAGGAGCGGGGTCCACGCGATGCGGGGTGGGAGAGGTGGAGAGCCATTGCGGAGAAGACTTTTATACACAGCTGCGAAAGGGTATTCCAGGCTCAAGCCGGAGCACCGGCGTAGGGAACGACTGAAGCCGGACGCGGGCAGCCAACCAGGACGCGTCTGTCACGACGTCACTAACGTTCAGCCCGCGGCCCTCGCTCCCGGCGCCCCGCAACGCCCTCTTCCCCGGCCGAACAGGCCCAAGTCACCGGCCCATCCCGGCTTAGCGCGACGCACCCCGCCCGCACTCTCCTCTCCTCGCCCCTACCCCGTGGGGTATATGTTCTGTCCATCGTCGCGGACGTCGAATCTGAGCATCGTCGCTAGGCAAAGCAGGAACCGTAGTCTACATCGACCCCAAGTGACCAGCGACCCGGAACGCACACCCCGTCTTCGCCCTCACCTCGTCCACCGTCACCCCCGCCGCCACCTCCGACAACGTCAGCTCCCCCGCGTCCCGGTCCACATCGAATACGGCCAGCTCCGTGATGATCTGGCTCACCGCGCGTGCCCCGGTCAGAGGCAGCGCGCACTCCTTCAGGATTTTCGGGCTTCCATCGCGCGCGCAGTGCTCCATCACGGCGATAACCTTCGTCTTGTCGGGGTTAGAGACCAGGTCCATGGCTCCTCCGATGCCTTTAACCATCTTCCCAGGGATCATGAAGTTCGCGATGTCACCCGCTTGGGACACCTGCATGGCCTGTGATCGAGCGTCAGCTTCTCCATCTCACATGAGAAGTCTATCCACGAGTACTCACTCCCAGGATTGCAACATCGATATGGCCTCCTCGAATCATAGAGAAGGATTCGTTCGAATCTACGAGGAATTGTCGGAACGGAAGTTCATCCCGTTAGAATGCCTGATCGACGCACCGAAGACTGAGGCACCGGGCAGGAGGGTAACAGTCTCCTTTCCGGCGTTGATAATGTCGCTTGTCACTCATGGTCAGCACATCAAGCCGGGATTAGAGCGGACGTTGTAGGACTTACGCATCGACCTGCTCCTTCGTCGGATACGGTCCCATGCCCAGGATACCGTTCTCGCTCTGCAGCCATACTCGCACGCCCGGCTCCAGGAACTGTCCGCAGATCGTGCGGGTCAGTCGGAGTACAGAAACTGCAGAGATAACGAGGTCACTTGCCTCTGGTACAAGAGTCGGCATTCCGATGCCCAGGTTAACGTGGAAGCCGTCCTTGATCTCCTTCGCGGCGCGCCTCGCTATCCGGTGTCTCTGCTCTTGCGCTGCCTGCTTCTCTGGTGTCAGAGGCTTGGCGTCTTCTGCTGACTCGCCGTTTGTTGCAAGCGTCATGATCTCGATTTGCTTCGGTGCGGTAGCCTTCACGATACGGTCGACGTAGATACCAGGTACATGGACTGCGTTAGGGGAAATGGAGCCAATCGGTACGATGTCCTCCGCCTGCAAGACAGTCATTATTGCGAACAGCCGGACAGTAGACCCCAGACGCACCTCAACAATAGTGAGTTTCGCGTTTCGCGCCATGGTTGCTGAGAAGTTATTTGCCGTATACCTACGTCGTTCCATCTCAGCATCTTCGGAAAGTCAAGGCCAGACAGTCTCTCACCTGAAGACACAGTTCCCCACTTCGTCAACCTTCCATGCTCTAATGAGCGCGACGTCCCCAGCAATGGCGGGCTCCAGCACGAAGCGCCTCCCGTTGATCTCCCTGGCCTCTTTCTTGTTGCCAGGGATCGCAATCCCCTCTTTCATCCCGCCCGGCTTGTATCGGATCGGTATTGTGCCATGTTCTACAGCTGTGGATGCACCGGTGGGGGTGAAGAACATGGGGATACCCGCGGCGTGGGCGTTCAGCCGGCCAACGAGCGAACCTTGGGGGATAAGCTCGAGCGAGATCTTCCCCTCCAGGTAGAGCGACTCGAAGTACTTGTTTCTGTGCGCAGTGCATTGGTGAGAAGCACGAAGTACATATGTGCGTGCTATGACGTACCCTCCGATGTACGAGGCCATCATCTTGTCGATCTGTCCGCCGTGTAGCAGTTTACCTGGCACGTAGTCTGAGCATGCGAGTGCTTTGGAAGGACGGAAGCAGCAGCGTACCAAGCCCATTCTCTCCCGAGCCTGCATTGTTGGATACAGCCGTCAAGTCCGTCACATCCTTTCGCTTCGCCAGGGCCCCGATCAAGGTGTCTAGTAGACGAACTAGTCAGCCGATATATGCAAGCAGCACGCATAGAGCCTACCTGGTGTTCCGCACAGACCAAAACCTGAACGAACGTCTGGGTCAGTCTGAGTCAACGCGTAGTGGATCTAATATCAACACGCGCACCTCCGCTGAGTATGACGTCTCCCGACTTCACTTCCTTGACCGCCTCGTCGACCGAGTCCCATACCTTGGTCTTATTCGGCACAGGCAGGTCCGCTTGTGTGCCACCAGCGCTGTAATACCTAACCCTCAGCCGCACAAGCACAGCTGCAGACGGTCCACCAACGCGGCAAGACACAGACGACCTTGGCGCTAACCGCGCCGATCGTGCAGAACGCGTAGCGGCGAGCATGTCAGAGTAGCAGGACGACGGAAGCTTTCGTCGGTCGCCCAGACTCTTATAGCGGACGGAAGGCTCGCGGACGGGGCCAGCAAGCGCATATGCGATGGGTCGTTCTGTTCTTGCGCCCGGGATGGTCCATGTGACGAACAGGGCTGCCACAAAAGGCGACGACTTCAGGCTCCCTCCCGAAGACAACGGCGGCCTTGCGTCGGCCGCGGTGCCGATGGGCGGTGGGTGGCTTGCTGCATCAGGCCGATTCAGGCGTTTGAGCAGACACGCTGCGATGCGTCGGATGCATTCGCTACGTATGTAATTTACAGGCAATACAAGTTGGTCTACATTCCCTTCCATCTTCAAGTTCGCTGACACCTCCCGGTCGTTCAGGACTACATGACACTGGGTGTGCGGCATTCTACCGCTTCCTGCCAGGTCCCTTGGGGCGCGCAAATGCTTTCTTCTCGTCTTGCACGACAGGAGCAGCGGCTGAAGCGGCCGCTACACCGTCGCGGCCCAGCTCTACAGCAAGATACTTTTCGTCCAGTTCGCTAGGATCTGAGGTTTCGATCTTGCGCGCTGTAATGGTGGCCACACTGCCCGCCAGCTCGAGTATCTTCTTGGCGTCCAAGCAGGTTGAGATGAACCCGGACGAGTAGAGCATACGGTTCTTGACAGGGGACGAGGAGGGACACGAGTATATGAAAACTACGAAGATGCTCAGCTAATTGTGCAGGGATAGGTTCGGATTCGGTGACTGACCAAGTTCTCGTTGTGACGAGGTAAGCGATTGTGGCAAAGCGAAGAACGCATACGCTGGAACATGGCAATGTAAGATGCGAGATCAAGGCAGGAAAAGCGATCGGCAGTGGACGACTGAACTTACAAGGTTCTGAAGTAGGCAAGGAAGAACCTAATTGCTCCACGGGGCAGTCTTTGGTAGACGATAATGTGATGGTCTCCGACGATGCATCGATGCGCTAACGTCCTCGTCAACAGCAAGTTAGGCTCTCCTTGATACGAAGAACTTACCAACACTACCAGTGAGATGCCTAAGCCGGATGCTAATTCCTTGATGGCGCTGTCTGCCTCGTGCGACCACTGGAAACCAACGCCCGAGGCGACATGGCTCCTTCTGGCGTTGCTCCCCTCATAGGTGTAACCACCGGCCTGCCGTTCAGCGGCTTTGACAGCCTCAATCTCTTTCTCCCTCGCACTCATAGGCTTCGGGGCCGCAAGGTGCTGTTTATGTTTCGCGTAAGCGTTCGCGGACAGATCGTCCTTACTTGTCGCGAATATACTATCCGGGAAATGAGCTGCACCAAGGGACTTCGTCAAGGCTGTCCTGGTAGCAGCGTAGAGCATCTGGCGTCATATGAGGAGACATGCCAGATGATCAGTACTAAGGCCGTACCTTGTCTCTCACTTTCGCGGTCTCAGGAACGTAGTAGATCGCGAGCCATTCCGAGGGAGGGTCATCGAGCCTCACAAGTACATACGCCGGGATATCGTCGTCCACGATACTGTTCAACCTATCCAGATCTTGCTCGAGAGTCCCCGAGGGCGGGATTGACTCGTCCGGGACGAGAGATTCTAGCGCACGGCAGCATGAGTCGCGCAGACGGTCGGAGAGGGATGAGAGTGTGCGAGACCATTGCGTATGGAGATCTTGAGGAATCGGACGTTCTGAGACTCGATCGCGCTTGCGAAGACGGAGGAGAGCTCCTCGGAGACGGCGATGCCTGTGGGAGCAGACATGATTGTTCGTGGTTAAGCCTGGTCGAGCTGGACGACGCGTGGGCGCGAATGGCAAGGGGAGACCGCAGCCGCGAACGCATGACCGCGCGAGCCGGTGGCGCGTCAGGTCAGGTCGCGTACACGGTCCACCGTGCCTCTCCTCCTCGACTGCCAGCGTCGGTGAGTGCCCCGTTGCTGCCTCTCGCCTGCCATTGCCAGCAGTTACGGACTCCTGTTGTCATCTTTGTCTACCATCTCTAGATCTGCCGGGTGAGGAGCGCGGTGACAGCCGGCTCCGAACTCATCGCCTCTATTACGGCTTCACGATTCATAGGTCACGACTCTGTGGTCCTCGGCATCGCTGACCACCATGAACTCTGCTGCTCCCTACGTTCCATACCAGCCATACAAGGTACGCTGCTCTACAACCTCGTGGTTTATGAGGGCTGATCGTAGTATAGTCAAAGAGACATGCGCGAAACACATCCAATCAGTCTGCGGCTAATGGCGCTGCGTCGCCGCAGTCGCGTCCTCAGTCGATGATCAGCAATGGCCACACGAATAATGACCCGGCCTTCCACCAGAGGACAGGAAGCCTGACTAGTGCTGAGGCCCATGCGCGTCCCGGCACATCGCCAGCTGAAAGAGCTGGCATGTCAAGGCCTGCATCCATGTTTGATACCACACCTCAGAATGGGCACGGCCGTTCCGAATCGACCGTATTCTCATTTCCAGTACGAACGCACAGCTCTGCCCCCACACCCCCGCCGGAAGTCTCGCATACACCCTTGCCGGTGGCCCCCGTCGTGCCGTCCTCGCCTATCACCTCCATTCCCTCGTCGCCTCCACCTGCGCCTCTGCAGTCTCCAGGAAAACCTCCTATCCCTTCTGGCGATGGATCCGATGATGGGTCACCCTCCGCATCCCCGCCTGTGCCGCATGCAGCACCCTCTGTGGCGGTTTCGTTGCCATTACCAAATGGCACTTCTTCGTCCTCGCAGCCGGTCGCAGGACCGTCCACTTCCGCAGCATCTCCCCCACCGTCTCCGCGGAAGACCACAACCTTCCGTCGCGTTCCATTGCGGAATCCCAACGCACGCACGCCGTTACCATCTTCTCCGCTCCGTCCGGCAGACACACATTCGCGCACGCCGTCAATGGCTTCCACCCAGTCGCGACAGATCGAGCCGCCTCCCGTTGCGCATACGCCTAGTCAAGGCTCTTCCGGAACACCGTCACCCTCTGTCGTGGCTGCATACGACAGAGCGTTACCCCCAATCCCGAGTCTGGACATCGTTTCAAGGCCGGCAAGCTCGCCCGAGGATACAATGGTGCATACTCCATCCTCTCCCTCATCTGCGACCCCACCTCACGCACACTCATTGGGCCCATCCCCAAAACCTCAGGCGCGCGTGTTGTCGCCTGCACCGGGTCTGTCGGCAACCCAACTGCCATCCCCAGCTGTGTCTCCTTTTGTACACGAGCGCTCTGTCGCGCGATCTCCCGCGCCATATCGCCCGGGCTTCCAGCCGAAGGGTGTGTACCGTCCGCGCACGGACGAGTTCATCGAGGCACGCAAATCGAGTCGAGACGTCGGGCGAACTGAGCGTACACGGCTCGAACGACGACTAGAAAAGCTCATCAACCTGCACTTCCCTTCCGAGTCACAGAGACTGAAAGAGAAGCCGAGCGGTGACCAGCGTCCGACACCACGTCCGAACAAACGGTTATCTTCCATCTTCGAGATGGACTTCTCCGAGCTGAGGAGCAAGAGTGCGACTGACTTGTGGAAAGAGGTCGTTCAGCCCCAAGTTATTCCAGGAGGCAAGAACGACATTCGAGGTAATACAGCCTGGTCCACCCTTATAGAGAATCGCACACTGACAACCCCGAACAGCTGCGGAGCAGACTATTACACCTTGGGAGGACGATGCCTCGGTGACACATTGTCCCATGTGCAAGTGAGTCTGCATCTCCCGGAATGATGCGTGGTGGAATATTAGAGCTCACCCGTTGGACTTCACAGATCAGCCTTCCATTCTCTGACTAACCGCAAGCACCACTGCCGTCTTTGTGGGCGGATCATTTGTTCATTACCCGTCAAAGTTCCGCAGCGTCCCCAACCATGCTCCTTACTGTTTGTTGCTGACTCGAAGACGGGTCGTATAGAGGAGGTCAGCGAGGGTGTTGACTACGGTGTGCGTCGTCGTCCCAGTGCGACCCCTCAGGCACGGGGTCGAGGGAAAGAGGAGACGATGAGTGAAGAGGAGAAGTTTCTAAAGGGTGTTCGGATATGTCGAGATTGTCGGCCAGTGTTGCTGTGAGTGCATTGACAACATTACATATTGGGGTCCAGTCTCACCGCTCCGGGCAGACGTGAGCAATACAAGCATGAGACTCGTGGTGTGCCGATCTTCTTCAAACTCTATGATGTAGGTCTCCCACAGCGTGATAATCGCCCGCTCACGAACCCGCTCAGGCTTTCATCAGCCTCGAGAAGGATATCGAGGATTCATTGCCACAGTTTCAGGAGCTCATGCTCACTCTAAGGTCAGGCAGTCTTTGCACCCTGCATATCCGCTACAATTCTGATCTACATCTAGCAAGCACGAGAGGCCAACGCCGGAGGCTTCCGCCGCTCGTAAAGACTCCTGGAGGCCTTCGGCCAGTATGACGCTCTTGCGAAGCGCATACGGCAGCTCCCAGCCCCAAGCGGCCCTGGAAGCTCACAGGACCGGATACAAGGTGCCATTGCCAGTCGTGCGAACCTGTTCTTGCAGAAGAACATGTTTCCCCTTCAGGTCAGTCGTAAATATGACTCATGCATATCGGGTTGGCTTAAATGAACGCGCACAGACATTGCCCAAAGCAACCAATGGCATCAAGTCGTCACCTTCGACCTCTTCGACGACGCCAGAAGAATCCCGGATCGATCCCGATTCGGAACTCGCCCGTTCTCTCCAGCCACTGTTGGAACAGGAAGCTCTGCTCGAGTCGTTTGTCGAAGAAGCGAAGGCTCATCGGAAGTTCGAGGACGCCAAAACACTGAAAACCAATCTTCAGGAGATCAGAGCCGAGATCAACCGTATTGTGGGCAACGCGGACGTCAGTGTGGCGGGGAACTCTCGCAAAGGATCCACCAGGACAAGACGTTCGTGACAGGAGGACACCATCTACATGCTCACACGCTATCTTGAATGCAACGTCGTTACCACTGCATACTTTATTCTTCGTCATCAGGACAGTTGCCGTGCTTTCGGTGTAATAGACAATCATGCCCAGCGGGCTGCATTGAAACAGAGATTACACTATGCGTAGATAACATGCGGGAAAGTATTATGGTAGGTAATGAGTGCTGCCCCAAGCGCGAAGTGTCATGGATGGAATAATTTAGTTCATCAAATGGGCCCAAGGGGTGCACACGAGCGGGTAGGCACCACTAGCTCTGCACAGGTGTCGAATTGTCAATGCCGTCTCTTCTTGACGTCCCGAATCGTGGCAGCGTCGGAATGGCGAATGTTTGGTGGGGTTGTGCGCTATGCGGAGGGTCCCGCATGTTGGAAGGCCTGAGGTTGTTAGGTGCCATGGCGCTGCGGTTGCGTGAGATACCGGTGCTCGAGCTCAGCTTGTCGTCCGGTACTCCGAGCGGACTGGGCGCAGCGACCGTGGGCATAGGTGAATATGGCCGAGGAGTCGGCGCCGGAGAGAATGAGGAGACGTGCAGCAGAATGACAAATTCCTCGGTCGCACTGGTTACTTTCCCAATCTTGCTGCGGAGCTCAGCGGACAGTGGGTGCGCCTCAATGCGCGTCTTGATAGCACTGGACAATTGGATGACCATCTGGCAACGAAGCATGAGTCCTCCCATTGATCTCCAGTCCGTACCCACTGACAAAACACCCACCTTTGCGAAAGCGCGTGCGTCGTCATGGAGAGGCTTGGACAGCTTGTCCACGGACGCTGTGCCATCCTGGAGTGCATCTATGTTCTTCGAGAGCCGTTCTACCGTATCCTTTGCCTTCGCAAGTGTGTCCTTCAGCTCCTCCTGATCATCCTCCTTGCCCTCCATAATCTCCGCTATTGTCCTCCAGATCGTTGGCGCAGCGTCCAGGGCCTGCTTCATCGCCTCGATTGCCTCGTTGTCGACCAATGTGCTTGTGCTCGACGGAGCCTCCAGTTGTGCCATCTTCAACGCGAGCATAGACGCGGATGATGGAAGGACAGACGACCCAGAGCCGTTTCGCGAATGCACATTGAATCGTGTTTGGCCGACTCCCGCGGTGGCAGAACCATTCGTATGGTGCGAGCCATTCACAGTGATACCCGAGAACGAATGCCCCGGGGCAGAGACGGGCGTCATCGCCATCCGCCTCTGCGTGCGCAGCACAGGCGTTGGCGGCGCTGCGCCGGTCAGCACGCCCGCGGCCAATGACGGCACGATGTCATTTGACGGTATCCATCTCCCCTTCTCCACATCCCTCGAGCTGAAGGACCCTGCATGACGCCGCGACATGCGCGTCTTGTTCTCGTCCGCCGTTGGCGGCATGTTTGGTCGTAGACGCGGTTGATCCAGCGGGAGGCAAAGGACGAAGAGCCGTGCGCGGGTGCAGAGATTGGTGACCTAGACGAGTCGGCCCCATGGCCGTTTACGATGCGCGAGACTTGTGTCTGCGCTGCGTAGCTCTTCCCCACTGGTGGCGGCCTGCCCTCCCAGAGGAGAGGCCTGACAGCTTCGATACGACTCGCCATGGCCTGCCATGACGCTGCAATCTCTGCCATCGCGCCGTAGAGCGTTAGCAGCATCTGCCGCGTATAACGCACATCGTCATGCGTCGCGAGCACCTTCAGCTGCACCGCCAGCACCCCCACTGCCTTCCCAAACACCGTCACGTTGTCCCTGCAGCTCTCCACCACTGCTCTGCATACGCTTGGAGGAGGCACCGTCCGTCGACTCATCGTGTCGAAGCGGTCCAGAGCGGTGATGAGCTGTGTCATGTAGACACTCGCGGGGTCAAGCACTTTCATGAGCACCGCGGAGAGGCGTTCGTCGATGGCATAGACCGTGTAATGTTGGAAGGTCTGGTAGATCTGGGAGACGCCAAAGAGAATACCCTCACGGCATCGACGAGGGCGAGGAGATCCTCTGGTATAGTCTTGGACAGGTTGAGCGGGGTCAACGCAGAGAGTCGTCGGAAATAGGCATTGCGTTTCTTGTCCATAGCAGGCGCGGGACGCTCCGGTGCTGCTGTGATAGGTGATGCTGAGGCTGAGTCGCCCGGCCCACGATTCGGCGAGCTGTAAGTATGGACCAATTATTCAATGAAAGACATGACTAGGACGACGCAACGAACCTGGCCGCGCTGTTGGATGCACTATGAAAGAAGAGGGGCGTGGTGGTGGTAAATCAGCGTTGTCAAGGCTGGTAGTTAGTTGTAATTTTGCTGGCCGTGCGTCCAGCGAACCCTTCCTGACAGTTAGCGTACTAGTCATACTGGAGGTCCTGGAGGCACTGACGGCCTCCTTCTGGATCAGGCTATTCGCGGCCAGATGCTCAAGACCCCCATTTGGTGAGTCCTCATCCGCAGATGGTATGTATTCATCAAGGGGATAATAGGAATCCGGCGAACCTGAACCGACAGAGCGCGATGGCGACGGCGCCGCGCTCTTCGTCGGGAAGCCATTGCTGAACTGCAACCGTGGAGGCCAATTCAAACGAGGCTTTGAAGGTTCACTACTCGACTGGGAACGATCGAGCTGGAAGTATGTCGACATCTCCGACTCCGCGGAATAGGAACGGGCGTGGTAAGAAGCGGATGTGTGAAGTTCTTCCCTGGAAGACGAGGCCATCGAGGCAGCTTGCAGGCTGTATTCGCTAAAGAAAGGCTCCTAAGAACAGAGTACGTAGGCATACGACATTGTTCGCGTACCTGATCACATCAAAATCGTCGCGGAGACGATCGAGGCGCACGGAGTCTTCGCTCATCTTCCGGCTGGGTGAATGCTCTTCAATCCACTTCTGCACCCGCTTGATCCAGTCTTTCATGACCTGAGGATCATCCAGATTCTCAGAGGAATCCATGACGGCCTTCGGCGGCCATTCGAGTGGGTTACCATCGACCTTGAACAAGGTCAACTCTTGGAAGCGAACGAATGACGGAGGGAGTTTCTGAATTCTGTTACGAAGGATGGAGAATACCTATAGGCCCGTCAGTGTCGCGTAGGAGTGTGATGGCCAGACGACGGACCCGCAGGTTAATGAGGGAACCTGGATCACTGGGTAGACGTTTGATCTTGTTTCGACTGATGTCGAGAATCTCCAAAGAGGGCATGACCGTCAACTGAACGAAATCGGGCGGAATATCAGGTCTGCAGCGCCACCGGGAAGCAGCACAGGCACGTACGACATGAGGAAAGACCGAAAAGTTATTGTTCTTGAGGACAAGGTACCGTAGGTGTGCGATGAGCGCAAACGCCATGGGCAGCGTAGTCAGTCGATTGTACGCGAGTGCAATCCTAGCGTGCTGTGAACATTCTCCTCATGCGCCTTAGGACATGGGCCCATACCTCACGACTGTCGAGCTGCTTCCCGCTTCCTGACCTACGGTAGCAATCTCCTCTGCACCTGCCTCCCCCACATCTGTCAAGCCCTTGTGCGCGAAGTCGAGCGTGGCACCGTCGTCCGAAGATTTGCCAAGAGCCTCAAGGATGTATTCACGGCTCAGCACGACCGAGGGCAAAGGAGAGGAGGAGCCATTTCTGTAGGCTTGAGAAGGAGTGCGACCATCGAGATCTGGGCTCAACATCCGCGTTTCGTGAGGCTCGTAGGGGGCGTTGCCGCACAGGGATGTCGGACGCGACGAGCGTGTGGTCGACGCGGCCGTCAGGGTGGGAGGCGTGGTATGGACGGAGGGCTGGCGTCAAGACAGCGGTCGGGAAGGACAAGGCCCAGCTCACTCACTGCCCGAGTCTCAGCCTGTGTGGTTCGTTGGTCCCCGCGGCCCGCGGCCCGCTGAGCTCGATCGCAAATGTTTTCGCTTGTGCGCCCGCCACCGCCGCGCTCCTCCCACCTCTGCATTCCACCCTCCGAGTCGACCATGTCGTCCTCAAACGCCTACGCCGGGCCATGGTCGTCGCTTCCAACAACGCTGACGCCCTGGATGTGAGTCGGTGCAAGAATTGTACGCTACCATCCGCCCCTGACCTCAAACCTGCACAGTATGGACGTCATCAATTCCATGGGTTTCGCGCGAATGACCCCTGTGCAAGCATCTACCATCCCTCTCTTCATGAAACACAAGGACGTTGTAGTCGAAGCAGTCACTGGCTCGGGCAAAACACTAGCATTCGTGATCCCGGTCCTGGAGAAGCTTATACGCCGAGAACGCAAGCTGAAGGAGAATGAGGTTGGCGCATTGATCATCAGTCCTACCAGGTACGTTTCATAGCTTCTCTTGTGCACAAAGATGGGTCTGAGAAGAAGTGCAGGGAGCTTGCTACGCAGATACATTCCGTCTTCTCTCTCTTTCTGTCTAGCCAACCACGATCGGAGGAAGGCGAAGCATCCAGCAGCAAACCCACATATCCTTCGCCCCTTCTACTCGTCTCATCTGACTCCTCACCGGCTGAAGATGTCCGGAGATTTATGTCCACTGGTGCAGACATCGTAATTGGTACTCCCGGGCGAATAGATGAGTTCCTCCTGGGGAAAGGGAAGGATACAGTGAGCGTGAAGGAGCTAGAGGTGCTGGTCCTCGACGAGGCAGACCGGTTTGTACATCCGTACCATGTCTGAAGGCGGTTTTGCTGACTCTATGGGTAGACTTCTCGACCTGGGCTTCCAGTCAACGCTCACTCGTATCTTGTCGCATCTCCCAAAACAACGTCGCACGGGGCTCTTCAGTGCTACGATGACAGATGCAGATGCACTCTCCGAACTTGTTCGCGCTGGCCTACGTAATCCAGCCCGCGTCGTCGTCAAAGTGCAATCCAAAAAGTCGAAGATCAACAAGGCCAGTGGAGAGAACAAGTCAACTCGCGGAGAAGTATTGGAGGAGAGACGCATACCGGCGAAGTAAGCAACTCTACGCCATGTTGGCATCTGTGTCCTCACATGCCTGCAGCTTGCAGAACATGTCCATATCATGTCGTTCGTCTGAGAAGCTGGTTCAATTATCGAGAATCATTCGTCATGAAGTCTCACAGCACCATTGTTCGCGCTTCATCGTGTACTTCTCAACATGCGCCTGCGTGGATTATTTCTATCGCGTACGTTCTTTCTACGCCGAATCTTACAAACACTCATGGAAGCATTGCAGATATTGCCCTCGTTCATGCCTCCGAATACAACACTCTACTCCCTTCACGGTCATCTACCACCAGCCACTCGTGAACGCACCCTGAACAACTTCAAGTCCTCACCCGCGACTCCCTTGGTTCCTTCCGTTCTCCTGGCTACGGATGTAGCAGCACGCGGTCTTGACATTCCCGACGTCGATGTCGTAGTCCAGTTTGACCCGCCCTCCGATACCAAAGCTTTCTCTCACCGCTGCGGGCGTACTGCGCGTGCTGGTCGGAGTGGGCGAGCTTGGGTTCTATTGGTGGGCCGTGAGCGCGACTATGTCGGTAAGTGCCATTCGAACAACGCGTCGCGATACTAACATGTTTTTGGCAATTACGCTTCGTTTCAGATTTCCTGGCCGTCCGTAAAATACCTCTCACCGACCACGGACGCTTCGCTCGAGATGACGGGGTTCTTCCTCTTCTCGACCCGGACTCGAATGAAGACGAGGATCCTGCAGTGCTGTCTGCGCAGACCGAGATCAGGCAGACACTTCTGACTGATCGAAGCCTGCACGACAAAGCCGCCAAAGCCTACGTCTCTTTCGTGCGGGCTTACTCCAAGCACGAAGCAGCATATATCTTCCGAATACGAGACTTGGACCTCGTTGGCACGGCCAAATGCTTTGGCTTGCTGCGATTGCCCCGGATGCCAGAGCTAGATCAGATCCCGAGGAATGGCTGGCAGGATGCTGACGTTGACGTGAGTCACTTGTACGTGTCCACTTGACATCGCTTATCGACCTTCCCACTACTAGTGGAACAGCTATGCATATGCTGACAAGCAGCGCGAGGCGAAGCGGATCACGGAGTCGGAGAAGCAGAAGGTGGCCGTGGCAGACATCCAGAAGCGCAGGCGTGAGCGGCAAGAGAAGAAGAAAGCCAACGCGGCCTGGAGTAGCAAGGTCGTCAAGCAAGACGAGAAGTTGAAGAGGAAGGAGAAGAAGGGCAAAAAGCGTGAGTGGCTGAAATTGAACCAACCTGAGCCGGAGGTGGGCGAGAAGCGGCAACGTGGGGAGAGTGTTAGTGAGGGGTCGGACGCTGGCGCTGATGATTGGGACGAGTTGGCGAGGGAAGAGAGGATGGCGAAGAAAGTGAAGAAGGGCGTGGTCAGTCAGGATGCGTTTGATGGCGAGTTTGGGGAGCTCTAGGTGTACAGACCGTATGGTTGCGCGAGTGTATGGCTGTGCGCTGGACCTAATTGTGTTCTTCTACTCCCATTGTGCGAGCAGACGCGTACGGCGCATTCATTGACCGTCGGAGTCGGCGTCCACGACTCGGGGAGACCTCGTGCGCGATGTTGCCCGATTGGGATGCCCTCCGCGCCTTGCCTCAACGACGTTGCTCTCCGATTTCCAACAGCCGCGACCGTCCGCGACGCTGACCGTTCTCCCCGTTCACGACCGCTCACCGCCTTGGAACACCGAAGACACACGGCTCGGCTGATATGGCGAAGTACCCACACATCCGCTGCAACGTACGTCAGGTCCACCAAACGATGATAGAAGTCTGTTTGACAGGGTCTGCAGTGGTTTGATGACAAGGGCCAGCCATTGCGGTACGATGGCAGGCTGGGCTGTCCTCGCAGTGCCAGTGAATGCTTTTACATCCACCCGGACAACCCGATCTGGGCTTCTCTCAAGCCAGCTCGTCCAAGGGTTCCTCAGCAAGAATTCAGAGACTCGTCTGCAAGCCAGGGCCGATTCATAAATTCCGCGCCTCGTGCACAAACACCACCCAGAGCGCGCTCGCCACCTGCGAGTTCATCTTTTTCTCGACCCCGCACCTCGTCTGTGCCTCGCTCGCCTGCGCTGAGCATTGCCTCCCGCACGCGATCCCCGCGTGGTCGTGTACGGACACCTCCACGCTCACGTTCTCCCCCCAGTGGCCCTCGCTCTGCATCAAGGCCTCGCTCCCGTACGCCAGTGCGCCATACCGAGCCTCGCTCTCCATCTCCAAAGCCTCACATGTCCCGTGAAAAACATGCATCCGGCTCGGACGCTCGGTTGAATCGTGAACATGCAAACAGCTCTGCTTCGTCGAGCGCACCGCCCCGGAGACAGGACAGTTCCTATTCGGGATCCCATAGAGATCCACCGCGCGCTGTGTCGCCCCCTGGCTCTCGACCGTCCGGTTCAAGTGGCATTGTCGGTCGTCCGCGTGCCATCAGCGGTGCCAGCGCGAGCTCTGCTTCTCATCGACAAGGTAGCGTGCCCTCCGAACGTATGCGCGACCAATCGCCGACCGCGCCTGCGACGCCGGTGGCACCTACTAACTCGATGGACGGCCGTTTCCGTCCCATATCTCTTGGTCCCCGTGCGCAAATGAACGGTGTCAGAGCTCATACTCCATCACATTCATCCTCCATGCCGCCTCCGCCTGTTCCCTCAATGCCACCACCACCGACGCCACCGCTTTCATCAACGTCGAGCGACCACGCCATCGTTGCCAGACCGCCGCCCAGGGAGTTGTCGTATACCGAGAAGCGTGATCTGTGGGTCGAGCGCATCAAGTACGTTGACCGTCGTCTATCCACTTCATTATCTGAACGAGCTCCGCAGGCTGCTCACAGACGCCACGATTGCTCGCGCTGAATACCTCAAGTTGACTCAGGAGGTGGAAAAGTACCAGCGTCTGGTCCGATCTGCCCGATACAACAGCATATCCGAGGAAGATCAAGCGCGTCTGGACGCCCAATTATCGGAGGTGAATGGGCGGCTCGATGCGAAGAAGAGCGAGTTGAACTCAGTCTTGCCGCGTTTAATCGACGCCGACTTCTGGGGTGCCACCGTGGACTCCCCTCCCAGCATGGATGAATTTCGCACGGAAGTGCATACAATTATTTCGGAACTTAACAAGAATATGCAGAGGCTCCACGAGCAGTACGAAGAACTGCGGACAAAGGCCACTGTCGCATCGGAAACCCCCATGGAGATCGACGCCGCCGGGTGGCATGTACATGAAGGACCACCTGCTAAACGTCGGCGATTATCCATTGGTGAAGCAAACATTGCAGTCAGCGAAGATGACCGCAAGCCTAATGGTGATGTTCTCGGCGGGGGAGCGGTCCTCCACGACCGCGTCCTCAATATCGAAGCGCGTGTAACGGACATAGAGAATGAGATTGTCGAGCGAGATCAAACCTTGCACGAGGAGGTCGAAGAACTAGTCCGCTTACAAGTGGAGGAGCATCGCAAACAAGCCAAGGCCGAAACCCGCTCGAAGAGCCCTGCGTCAGCACCCAAACCTCCACCTCACAACGCGGGTCTCCAGCGCGTTGAAGCTGAACTAGCAACCACTGGCAGTCAGGTAGAAGAAGTGGCTATTGAAGTTGCCAGCTTGATTACACAGATGGATGCAAGGAATCAGGAACATGCTCGTCTGGCAAAAGAGAATCAGCTCCTCCGTGATCGCATCGCTGTAGTGCGTGTGCCTTGACCGGGTGACATACGGCGTCGCGTGCTGACCGATTTCGATAGCTTGAACAGCTGCGGACGGCGGACGCTGCGGCAATCGAAGCTACCAAAGCCGAGATAAAGGCCCTCAGTGCTGCCGTCCAGAGTTATATTACTCAGGCCCCCGCTCAGACGCAGCCTGTACCCCTGCAGCAAATACCCACTTTAGACGAAATCCTCAGCAGAATTCATCCGTCACTCATTCAATCACTCCATGAGGATATCGAGCCGCGCCTTCTGGATACCCATGGAACTATTCGAACAATGTTGCAAGAACAGCTCAATAATGTATACACTACATTGCTGTCCAAAATGAATCCTACCATGAAGACAGTCGACGTCGTCGCGGCGTGGATGGAGCGTGTACGACGAGGGGAGGCATTCGTGGATAATCCTGTACAATCCCACAATTCGCAATGAAGGATTGGTCCGGGTTCTTGGTCAAGTCCGTTGGCGGATTGAGATTCGAGCGACAGTATGTCACATGTAACCTGTAGGGCAGCATGTACCAGACAATTACGTAGACAGTACATATGTATATGAATCCTGTATGCATGTTGGCGAATCAGTAGGTAAGCGTCGCAAAAATGGACCCTCCGAGAATCGAACTCGGGACCCTTGCATAACTTAAGTAACCTCATAAGTACAAAGCTCTACCGATTGAGCTAAGGGTCCGCCACAGAAATTGACGCTACGTACAACCATAATCTTCGACGCTGCAGGTCCGACATCACGGTGACAGTACCAACACCGTACAGACGTAGGTATCCTATATTACTATACTGCTGAGTCCCCGTCCTCCTGTATACCTCCGGAGGTCAGATGGACGAATCGCGTTCCGACGCGTCTCCCTTGCTCTTCTGAATGCGTGACCCACACTAGCGCCTTCAAGTTCGATGAAGACGACTTAATCTCGGACTTCAGGAAGTCCTCCACGCCGGACGCAGTATCGGGGTCCAGCGCAGACGTCGGTTCTACGTCGTTCGTCAGCATGCGCATCTGGCGATGGGTATTGGGTATGACTCACCGTCCAAGAGGAGAATTTCGGCACTCCTCATCCCCACTGCTATGGCGAGCGCGATGCGCTGCATCTCACCTCCGCTGAGATTGCTCCAGGTCCTGTCCCAGAGCTCCTCGTCGATCCCCCAGGACTCTGCTAGCTCGACGGTCTCGTGTGCGATGCTAGGCGCCTTGCTTTTCGTTGGCTTGCCCCCGTCGGTCTTGGTGTAAGAGCCAAAGGACGTGACGGCGCCCATAAATTCTCGAGGAGTGCCGGGCAGCAGAGAGGCCCGCTGAGGGACGTAGAGCACTCGCGTGCGATAGTATGGGATGCCTGTGCAGCAGTCAGTTCGAGCATACTCTGTTACGCATGATCAGAAGCTCACCATACGACTTCGGAGTTCTGACGATATGCGGACGGCATCTGAACGAACGCGACTAGCAAACAGATGTACAGGGACTCACTTTCCTCTGTACAGGATCTCGCCCGGTATATATTGAGGTGCGAGAGACACTTCAAAATAGTAGACTTCCTGCCACATAAGAGTGAGAATTGCAGTACGACTGACCGCCTAAAATGCGACGTACCCAGAGCCGCTCTTCCCCTGGACGATGAGAATGTCGCCCTCCCGCACGGAGAAGTTGATGTGCGAGAAGATGGGGTCGCCTTTGGCCGCGGGCACTCAAGGTCCTTGATTTCCAGCAGAGTCTCCGGCATCGTCGTGGAAAGGAGAGAAGCGGAGATAGACAAGCTGCACTGAGATGCGGTCTATACATAGTGGCGGCTACGCTGAGGGTTAACTGGAAATCCGTCGACTGCAATTGAACCGCGCGCCCGCTACAGTGACGTCAGGCCATGTTCGGGCACAATCACCCAGTAACATACTGTTTCTCGGGACAGGCCTGACATTATACGCGAGCAAGAAAGCATATGCACAATAAAGTCGTAAAGCTGGGATGCGTTGCGAGGCAGGCAAATACTAGTGTCTCTAAGTGTAGTGTATGGACGGACTATCACGGCGGGGTGGGAGCATCTGCATCATGTTCATCTCCTCCGGGGTCATGCTCGGGCTCTCAATCATCACACCCACGCCGACTTTGGCTGCGTTCTGCAAACACGACGGCAGTGAGCCAGAGCACGAATGAGTGGCTGCGACAACATCATACCTTGAAGTGATCGATCTCCCCGGACACCATGAACGCGAACGAAGGCGCGAATCGCTGCTCAAGCAGTGCGGACACTTTCCCAGTAGAGTCCAACTGCGCCCTGAACGTCGACATGCGAAGTCATACTTCGCGCCGAGGGTCGCAATCGCGTCTCTCCGAGCCGGGGCGGCGATGACCTGCAGGTCCGCAGCAACTTCCACCTTTTCGCTCAGTTTTTGCCAGTACGTCGCCTGCAGCATGCCAGCGGGCTGGAGCTGGGCGGTAGCGATCCAGTTCTTGTCCGTGCTGGTGAACTTGGCGAGGTACGACGCAGCGGTCTCTGTCATGTCGGGCGCTGGCCGTTGGTGGAGCATCTCGACACCAACTGCCACATTTTTGGTGAAAGACTGCAGGTAGCTGGCCATGTAGATACCAGTCGCATCCACAGGGGAGGGATTCATGGCCTTCACATTGACAGAGTAGTCTTGGCCCTGGTAGTCATGCTCTGCTTGGAGCATACTGTGCCCGACTTGCGACGACAGCTGGCAGACGACACATGAGCCCATAGACTTTGAAAAATCACTCAAAGGCTACATACCTGACATTGCGCTTTTGTGACATTGTTTGCCGACCATCCTTGGTTTAGTCGACCGCTGACGTTGCCTTCATGATCAACGCTGCCTTGCAGGAAGACCTGAGAACGACATAAGACACCGGAGCATGATGCATAGCGGCAACGTACATTGTTGTTTGCGAACACGGCACCAAAATTATATGAAGGAGCAGCGGTCTGCGATCCCAGCGCAAATGAATGCGTCACCTGGAAGATGGGGCTGACTGACAAGCTCTTCGACAAATCCGCTCTCGCTCCATCGAAAAAGAAGTTCGTCAGCAGCGTACCTACAGCGTTGTCAGTATTACAATAGCTGCACCAGGGGAACGGGAGTACTTTTGACCTCCTTCTGAAGGTTCTCAACTGTCCCCGGGTTCGGAAGGCCAAGAGAGCTGCGCCACGATGCGATTCGGTGGAAGACATTGAACGCTGGCGACTTCGAGGTCGACGGAGAAGGGCCCGGAGACACTGCGGCAGGCTCGACAGTGTTCAGGGATGGTGGGTAGGCGGCCATGGGGGAGACGTGTCGATGACCGGATCGCTTGCACGTCCCGGGTCGTCGCTGGCAGTGGCAAGTCGCGGTGGTGACAAAATTTGGCCTCAGTTTGGCCACGAGTGTGCCCTAATAAGGACATATCGAGATATTGCCGATATTGCCGTCGCACTCAGCCACTCCTTGAGCAGGTTCTTACCTGCATTTCAATGCGTAGATTCATGAGGCCTCGACAGGGCTTCGACGCTTTGAGCCCTGCTGTACTTGAGTACCATCATAGCATAGCATACGGTAGGAGGAGTACAACACGTTGCTCGAGTAGCTACGACACCCTGCTCACCGGGGCCCATTACAAGTAATACAACTACGCGTACACTATCATACCGACTATGGGTTTGGAGACTACGAGAGGAAGGGCGAGCCCGGGCATATGGATGACCCCGCACGGATCTGCGGGTACGAAGGTGCTGTGAACATCACGATAGCACCGTTGGCTCACTTTGAAATAGGTGTCTGGATCGCACAGAACATTGTCGGACATTGAGACATGCAGCAAACGCACGCCGTACGAAAAAGGATAGACGGATGTGTACCCCATGTTCGATACTTATCTTGAGCGAGGAGGACCGACGATGAATGTCACGAACTGGACTGGTCCTGAGTCCGAGTCCATGGACCGCGCCGATCGATACACGCACAGAACGCATGTAGCACGTACAGGACTGAGATCCCCAGCGAGATCAGACTTCTCAGTTGAGCCCTGCAGTTCTGAGCTCAACTGCGTGCTGGCGCATGGCCGAAGCCACTAGAGTTCTTCCGAGTACAGTTATGGATGATGATCGTCTCCGCGCTGCTTTTGCGGCACACAGCGTCATTATGCGTTCGTGCGCGACGACCACAGCAGATTGTGGGGTGGCCAGGCGACGATTGTGACGAGACCAGAGAGGTAGAGGAGGTTGGCGAAGGTGGAAGAATGGGCGAGAGTCGTGCTGAGACGCGCTTCCGGACCATTGTCCGCCCAAGGACGCGCCTGGCGCCACTTGCGCGTCGAGCGCCGGATCACGTGCATGTGGCCGATGACGCGCGAAGACGCTGGATGGTCACGGAAGAGGTAAGAACGTGCTGGAATTCCTCCGAATGCAGGGTGTATATATAAGATGGGCGCGCCGCCCCCGCCCTCCTCACTGTACTCCTTCACGACATCCCCTCCATCCTCCTTCTCGAATCTACAAGCCTTAATTCCTTCTGATCCACAATGGCATCCTCAAAGGCAGTCGGTATCGATCTCGGTACCACTTACTCGTAAGTGTCATTTGGCTCCTTGTTCGCATTAGATAGTTGTTCATCTTTTTTCTGCAGTTGCGTCGGTGTCTGGCAAAACGATCGTGTTGAGATCATTGCCAACGACCAGGGCAACCGCACGACGCCCTCGTATGTCTCATTTTCGGACAATGAGCGGTTGATCGGCGATGCCGCGAAGAACCAGGTCGCGATGAACCCCCACAACACCGTCTTCGACGCGAAGCGTCTCATTGGTCGCAAGTTCGCCGACGCCGAGGTCCAGTCCGATGTCAAGCACTTCCCCTTCACCGTTTTCGACAAGGGCGGAAAGCCTTACATTCGTGTCACCTACCGCGGCGAGGACAAGGAATTCGTAAGTGTCACAAGTAGCTCATCAGGCCATCGGACACGATGCTAACCTGTTTATCTGCAGTCACCCGAGGAGGTCTCCTCCATGGTCCTCCTTAAGATGAAGGAGGTCGCTGAGTCGTACCTCGGCACGACAGTCACGAGCGCTGTCGTTACTGTCCCGGCCTACTTCAACGACTCTCAGCGTCAGGCGACCAAGGACGCAGGTACCATTTCTGGCCTCAACGTTCTCCGTATCATCAACGAGCCAACGGCGGCTGCCATCGCCTACGGTCTTGACAAGAAGACCGAGGGCGAGAAGAACGTCCTCATCTTCGATCTCGGCGGTGGTACCTTCGATGTGTCGCTCCTGACCATCGAGGAGGGTATCTTCGAGGTCAAGGCCACTGCTGGTGACACCCACCTTGGTGGTGAGGACTTCGACAACCGTCTCGTGAACCACTTCGTCCAGGAATTCAAGCGGAAGCACAAGAAGGGTAAGTCTGCGCTTTTTCGGAGTTCCATTCAACTTCATTAATTGACTTCTCCCGATTAGATCTCTCTTCCAACCCCCGTGCACTCCGTCGCCTCCGTACTGCTTGCGAGCGTGCGAAGCGTACCCTCTCCTCCGCCACCCAGACCTCCATCGAGATCGACTCGCTCTTCGAGGGTATCGACTTCTACACGTCGCTCACGCGTGCCCGTTTCGAGGAGCTGTGCAACGACCTCTTCCGCAGCACTCTCGAGCCCGTCGAGAAGGTCCTCCGTGACTCCAAGATCGACAAGAGCCAGGTCCACGAGATCGTCCTCGTCGGTGGTTCAACCCGTATCCCGCGTATCGTCAAGCTTGTGTCCGACTTCTTCAACGGCAAGGAGCCGAACAAGAGCATCAACCCCGATGAGGCCGTCGCCTACGGTGCCGCTGTCCAAGCTGCCATCCTCTCGGGCGACACCTCGGAGAAGACTCAGGATCTCCTGCTCCTCGATGTTGCGCCTCTCTCTCTCGGTATCGAGACCGCGGGTGGTGTCATGACCGCCCTCATCAAGCGGAACACGACCGTGCCGACGAAGAAGTCGGAGATCTTCTCCACGTACTCCGACAACCAGCCTGGTGTGCTCATCCAGGTCTACGAGGGAGAGCGTGCGCGGACGAAGGACAACAACCTGCTCGGCAAGTTCGAACTCTCCGGCATTCCGCCTGCGCCCCGTGGTGTTCCTCAAATCGAAGTCACCTTCGATATCGATGCGAACGGTATCCTCAACGTCTCCGCTGCTGACAAGACGACCGGCAAGTCGAACCGCATCACCATCACCAACGACAAGGGTCGTCTGTCGAAGGAGGAGATCGAGCGCATGGTCAACGAGGCCGAGAAGTACAAGGGTGAGTAGTATCAATGCATTCCGTGCGTGACCTGACACTGACTGACTTGTCTCTAGCCGAGGATGAGGCAGCGGCCGCTCGTATCACGTCGAAGAACGGCCTCGAGTCGTACGCATACAACCTCCGCAACTCGTTGACCGACGAGAAGCTCGCGGGCAAGTTCGACGCGGCCGACAAGAGCAAGCTCGAGTCCGCCGTCAACGACACCATCTCATGGCTCGACGCGTCGCAGGAGGCCTCGAAGGAGGAGTACGAGGACCGCCAGAAGGAGCTCGAGGCCATCGCCAACCCATCATGCAGAAGCTCTACTCCGCGGGTGGTGCACCTGGTGGCTTCCCTGGCGGCGCACCGGGCGACTTCCCTGGTGGTGCTCCGGCAGGCGGCGAGGACGGCCCCAGCGTCGAGGAGGTCGACTAAGGGCTTGTTGGGCGTTATCCTCACGACACTGACGACTGGCGTGGACCTGAAAACCAAAAGGCGCATGTACATTATACTCGCATTCTAGATTGCTATATTGTATCTCTTCTTCGCTCTGACATACGCATAAGTGCCTGATGTGTGCCTCCGTGTCGATGCCGAGTGACGAGACTGCAGCCTCGGAATAGATGAGGGATACGAGCGCTTAGATGGTGTCTTGACATCTTCAGCGCCATCTCACTGATTCTCAGTTTTGAGTCTTGTCAGTGCTACTCTGGCGAAGCTACTCTGGCGAAACTACCTTGCGATCCTCGAATTGTCCAAACTGCCTTCACGCATACGCGCTGTACGACCCCTAGTCGTTCTTCGTCCTCGTTTGTCCAAGTCACGGCTGCCTCGTCCCTCGCTGAACATGCCCAAGGCACCATCTTCGCTCCCGGTGTCTGCCCTCTTCGGCATAGCCAAACCTTCAGGGCCTACCTCCATGTCCATCTTGGACACACTTAAACCACTCATTGCGAGCTCCCGTCTGTTCGTCGAGGAGAAAGAGTTGAAGAAAGAGAAGGGAAAGACGCGGAAGGCGAAGCACACGAAGTACGCCGTCAAGATCGGCCAAGGCGGTACTCTCGATCCGTTAGCGGACGGCGTCCTCGGTATATGTGACTTATCCTCGTCGATGGTACTGTAGGGTGACGGATGCATCCCAGTTGTCGGTGTCGGCAAAGCCACGAAGAAGCTGGGCGAATTCTTGGATTGTGTGAAGGTGCGCTGACTGGGCGTTGTCGTTCAGTGACTCGGGCGTACTAAACGTCTAGTAGGAATACCGCACTACATGCCTGCTTGGCTGTGAGACGGACACCTATGACAGCCAGGGTGCCCAGGTGCGCGTCGCACCGTGGCGGCATGTCACTCGGGAACAGGTCGAGGAGGCCCTGAAGGACTTCCGAGGGGAGCTTATGCAGACCCCGCCGATGTGAGTTCCATTGCAAGTCTATCGACCTCCAGCTCGATCGTGGAGCAGCTTTTCAGCCCTCAAAATGGACGGAAAGCCACTATATGAATACGCGCGGAAGGGTATACCCCTACCCCGGCCTATCGAGAAGCGAAAGGTCACCGTACACGAGCTCGAGCTAGTCGAGTGGATCGGCAGTGACCACAACTACAGCTACCCCGAACAGAGGTTCACAGAAGAGCAGAAAAAAGCCGTTGAGAGCGCTCTACGCGGCGCCGAGCAGGCCGTCGAAGTCAAGGACGAGCCTGAACAAGAAGCATCCAGCTCGGAAGCCCCGGCGGCGTTCGTCCTCCGTATGAAGGTGTCTGGCGGGACGTACGTCCGGTCCGTCGTACACGACCTCGGGCACGCTTTGGGCTCGGCAGCGCACGTCGTGACTTTGACACGGACTCGTCAAGGGAGGTTCGTCATGAAGCTTATGGAAAAGACGGATCGTGAATGTGTACCATGGGATGTCGTTGAAGAGGCGGCGAAAGATGTGGGCGACAAGGACGACCAGGGATGGACGAGATGGGAAAGAGAAGTCCTAGATAAATTTGAGATAGCAGAGGACAGGTAGACATGGTGACGGTGAGTAGAACGAGGCTCTGTTCGTTGTATACTCATTCGAGAGCATCCCTATATAGTTCGCACTTGCAATCATGCCCGTCCCGTCTTCAACACGTACGCCAGGCAACGTGTTGCCGTGTCACAGCATAGTGATACAGGACCGACAAGCGCACCGCTCCCTATGTGCAACGCTACCTCGGACAGACGCATTACCCATATCCTACGTCCCGACATTTTTGAATGCCTTCTACTTATGTCGAGGAGATCTCGGAAGGTTCGGTCTCCCTTTAGCGTCCGGCCTCCGTACTGTGGGAGCAATGTGCCTATCGTATCGCGACCTGTTACGATGAGGATTGCGTCCGTTCTCTATGACAAAGATCGCAGGAAAGCTGCTTACTCTGTGTGTGAATGTGTAGAGGAAGTTGCTGGCACATTTCTCCATCGCGCTGTCTGGCAAGATACGTGGATAGCAAGCAGGGTACTTGCGTTGTGTACGACTTCACGGGCCAAGCTTGGCTGCCAGGTTGCTGCCAGGCGAAGTAAGCCTGAGCGTGGAGATGCAAGCGATATCTCCGATGCGATCTTGCATGCGGGGTAACATCAACTTGCGGGGCAGCATGTTTAACTGTCCTCCTGAACGTCATGTCAGTTGCACAGCACACGACCTACTGAAACTGTCTCTCAATCGTCTCTGATAAAATCCTTTCTGTTGTCGCAGCACATGAAAGACGGAGTAGGTAAGGGAAGCAATTCGCGCGGCTCGGTACGGCAGAAGGGCACATGTCCAGTCAGTGGGAGTGTGACTGACCGAGACCACTGGGAATGGATCAGAGCCCATTCAGTGATCAGTATGCAGGAAGGCCAGGTGACTCGTCGGTAGATCAACAGACCTGAGGGTCTTCGGCCTACAGGTCCGTGAAGAGACCACCCTTGAATTCAACGAGCAGGGCGACCCAATCCACCGCCAACAGCGTGCGCAGCCTTATGAGCTCGATGCTCATTTTTCGCGCCGCACCGAGTGTGCCAGTGGTGCACTTGGCTAGTAGGCTCGCTGCCAGTGCACGTCTTCGGAGAGGTGAGTCTTCTTCTGCGGCGTTGGCGGGTGATTGGGAGATACAGTGCACTCATTGTTGCTTCCACTGCACAGTCTCTTGTCGAGCTCGTCTCTACCATGCTTCGCCGCAGATACGAGATGGAGAGAAGGCTGCCAGTGCTAGTAGTGGCACTATAGCCAATGGCGTCACACAGGGAACAACCGGTACGTGTCATTCGATCTGATCATGTGCAATTGGACTAGCATCTCAACTTGAAAATGAATAGACCCAGGTCGCCCCTACTCAGAACTGAGCGTCGGAGTCCCGCTCGAGACTTATCCGAACGAGCGGAGAGTGGCGGCAACGCCTCAAAACGTGACCGCGCTCATCAAGAAAGGGTTCAAGCAGGTACTTGTCGAGAAGAATGCCGGTGCGGAGGCGCAATTCCTCGATGAGCAGTACAAGGCTGCAGGAGCAACTCTGGTGGACAAGCAGCAGGTCTTTGCGGCCTCAGACATCCTGCTGAAAGTCAGACCGCCAGCGTCGCAGGAAACGGGTTTGGTCAAAGAAGGCAGCACGGTCATCTCCTTCCTATACCCTAATCAGAACCAGGAGATCGTAGACGGCCTGGCGAGTCGTAAGGCTAATGCTTTCGCCATGGAAATGATACCCCGAATATCCCGTGCGCAGGTTTTTGATGCTTTGAGGTATGTCTTGAAAGGCTGGAATACGGACTTCAGTATTCATGACACGGCCTCTAGCTCCATGGCGAATATCGCTGGCTACAAGGCAGTTTTAGAGGCTGCGAATCACTTCGGGCGGTTTTTGACCGGTCAGGTAACGGCTGCTGGGTGCGTTCTGCCACATGCATCGTCTCGTACTCATCTCCTGACGTGTGATCACCCAACAGGAAGGTCCGTTCAGACGTGATCGTCGCAACCATTCGTATCCTCATTGTGCGTTCGCTAGATCCCACCGTGTAAGGTCCTTGTCATCGGCGCTGGTGTCGCCGGGTTGAGTGCCATTGCTACCGTAAGGGACCGCTTCCGTCTCTGTCGATGAGCATCATCTGAATTCAACACTACAGGCGAGACGGATGGGTGCTATCGTGCGCGGGTTTGACACGCGGTCGGCCGCTCGGGAACAGGTTCAATCACTCGGTGCCGAATTTATTGAAGTGTCCATTGAAGAGTCCGGTGATGGGGCTGGGGGCTATGCAAAGGAAATGTCCAAGGAGTTCATCGAGGCCGAGATGGCGCTCTTCATGGAACAGTGTAAAGACGTAGAATCATCGTCACAACGGCTCTTATCCCAGGCAAGCCTGCTCCGAAGCTCATCACGAAGGAGGTGCGGAAAAACCGCGCAACAGCTTGGCTAGGATGCTCAAATAACTTCACTCAGATGGTGGCCGCTATGAAACAAGGCTCTGTGATCGTCGACCTGGCCGCTGAGACCGGCGGAAACTGCGCGGTGACGAAGCCTGGCGAGCTGTACGTGCACGATGGTGTCACTATCATCGGTGAGTGTCTCTTCTACTTCCCTTGGGTGGTTGATGACAACAGGTACTAGGATACACCGATCTGCCGTCGCGGCTTCCAACCCAGTCGTCTACACTCTACTCCAACAATATCACCAAGTTCCTGTTATCAGTCGGTACAGAAGGACGTTTCGCTGTCGACTTAGAGGACGAGGTTGTACGCGGCGCAATGGTCTTGCAAAACGGTACTCGTCTGCCACCTGCTCCCCGCCCGCTCCCTCCTCCTGTGACGGCGCCTTCACCCGCGCAGGCCGCAGAGGTCGCTGAGACGAAGGCTATCACGCCATGGCAGAAGGCTCGAAACGAGGTTGCCACTGTCACCGCCGGCATGGGTACCGCCATTGCGCTCGGCAAGCTGGCAGGCCCGACATTCATGGATAACTTCTTCACCTTCGGGTTGGCGGGTCTCATCGGCTACCGAGTTGTATGGGGTGTGGCACCTGCGCTGCATTCACCTCTCATGTCCGTCACGAACGCTATCTCAGGTAAGTAGAAAAATGCACCACTGGATGATACTGCTGACATGGTGTAATGCTTAGGCATGGTCGGCATCGGCGGCCTGTTCGTCATGGGCGGTGGTTATCTGCCTGGAACCGTCCCACAAGTACTGGGCGCCGTATCCGTCTTACTGGCCAGCGTGAACGTTGCCGGAGGATTCGTCATCACCAAGCGGATGTTGGATATGTTCAAACGTAAGCGCGACCGTCATGCTAGCATGGCAGAACTAACTCACTCTACTGCACAGGTCCAACGGATCCTCCAGAGTATACCTGGCTGTACGGCATTCCGGCTGTACTCTTCACGGGAGGTTTCCTGACCGCGGCAAGCACCGGAATGGCTGGTCTCATTCAAGCAGGCTACTTAACCAGCAGTGTCCTATGTATCAGTATGTATAAGGTGTTGTTGTTCCGGAGGGTTCTCCGCTCATATCACACCCTTAGGTTCATTATCCGGCCTCGGGTCTCAAGCCACCGCTCGTCAAGGCAACCTGCTCGGCATGCTTGGAGTTAGCTCCGGTATTATAGCGTCCCTAGCTGCGGTTGGCTTCCCTGCGGAAACTCTGGCTCAGTTCGTTGGAGTCTCTGCATTGGGAGGCCTTGTTGGTACCGTTATTGGGCGGCGCATCACTGCCATTGAACTGCCGCAGATGGTTGCAGCACTACACTCCGTGGTCGGTCTCGCGGCCGTACTGACCAGCATCGCGAGTGTACTGGCGGACGTTGGCCATGCATCAACCTTGCACCTCGTGACTGCTTACTTGGGCGTTCTCATCGGTACGTCGTTATGTCTCCCAACCGGGTAACACGGTTTGCTGAAGGCCGGTCTAGGTGGTGTAACCTTCACGGGTTCTATTGTGGCGTTCCTCAAACTTTCTGGAAAGATGTCCTCAAGGTCATTGGCACTTCCCGGTCGGCATATTATCAACAGCTCGCTGTTGGCGACGAATGTCGCGACTATGGGCGCATTCATCATGACAGCGCCTACCGTCCCCCTCGTGGCCGCCGGGTACCTCGGTGCCAACGCGTTGCTCAGCTTCATTAAGGGCTTCACCACTACAGCTGCGATAGGAGGTGCTGATATGCGTGAGTATGGCCAACTCCGTCCACACATCATCTGACTGATGACTGGTTATGTAGCTGTTGTCATTACCGTGCTCAACGCCTACTCTGGGTTTGCCCTAGTAGCGGAAGGTGATGGCGGCATATTTGCAGTTTGGTACCAAAGCTCACGAGTGCATAGGCTTCATGTTGGACAATTCGCTGCTAACAACCGTCGGTGCACTGATCGGCGTCAGCGGTTCGATCCTGTCATACATCATGGTGAGCAAACACAGCGGATTTGGCGATCGGATAGCTCAGTTTGGCATGCCAGTGCGTCGCTATGAACAGAACCTTGACCAATGTACTCTTCGGCGGCATCGGGTCATCCGCAGCACAGTCGGATTACAAGATTGAAGGCACGATATCTAAGACGTCTGTTGACGAAACGGTCGATGCCCTCGCAAACGCTGAGAATGTCATCCTGGTATGCTGCCAGGCTCTCCTAGTCACTGGACCCATGTAAAATTCCTTTGTCACCGTCTAGGTCGTAGGATATGGCATGGCCGTCGCCAAGGCACAACATGCGATTGCGGACGTTGTGTCGATGCTGAGGGCGAAAGACATCAACGTGCGGTTTGCTATCCATCCAGTAGCAGGACGGTACGTGTCGTGGCTGTTCCCCTACGACTGTGGTCAACGCTGACGGCTTGCCTGCTATCCAGCATGCCCGGGCAGTGCAATGTCCTGTTGGCAGAAGCCTCCGTACCATATGACAGTGAGTCAATATAAACTCCTTCGTCGGAATAATCTTTGAAGCTTATCCACGTAGTTGTCCTGGAGATGGATGAAATCAACGACGACTTCGGCGACACGGACGTGACACTCGTAATCGGTGCGAACGACACGGTGAACCCGATTGCACTGGAGCCCGGCTCGCCCATCGCGGGCATGCCCGTCCTGCATGCGTGGAAGAGCAAGCAAGTCATCGTCATGAAGCGTGGAATGGCCAGTGGCTATGGTCAGTCCCATCCCCCTTTCCGTGATGCTTGGATTTGGCAGATGCTGTGTCGGACAGCCGACGTGCCCAACCCGATGTTCTACATGCCGGGGACGAAGATGCTGTTCGGCGACGCGAAGGATACGTGTGAAGGTGCGCTGACGGAACGGTCGTATCTTATCCCTTTGAGCATCACTGCTGACCGCAGCTCCCTCCAGCCATCAAGAAGGGCCTCGAGGGCAAGTACGCGAGCTGAGACCTGAACGCCCGCTGTCTCTAACTATGATAGACTATGTGTGTATGTATCTGATGTACGTCGTGAGAGGGCTGTGTTATTATCGTGTTGTACATGTCTAGTTGCAATTGAACCGTTGTCCCCATATTATTTGACATCTGATTCGCGATTCTCGACGAGCTCAGAATCACCTCTTGATTATAACCTTCAGCTGTAGCAGTACTCTCACTGCCGTATACTTTCCGGTCATACGAAGACCAGAGTTGAAACGTCGGGCCTCGAGGTCGGGGCACTCGAGCAGATATACGACGGGGGCAGAATACCCATGATGAAATCACATTTCTGTCATGTATTCCGATTCGTGATGACATGCCAAGAAGAAAACAACAGTACAGCGGTATGCCGCCGCTCACACAACCGAGGAAAGACTGCAACATGCAATGCAAAGGAAAGGACTCGGACACCCGGGGGCGCAACGCACTGTGCGGACCGGCAGGCGTGGAATAGATAGACATGAAGGCGAGCGCGGGACGTGACGATCCTCACTGCGTCCAGGCAGTGACCGTGTCCTGCAGACCGTCGGGGTTGCTGCTGGCCGCGATGACGGCCGAGCTGCCGACGCTGAGCGAGGTGGCGACGCCAACAGTCGAGAGACTGTATACGCTGATCCCGGTGGACGCGGTGTCGACGTTGACGATCTGCGATTGGCAGTCCACGCTGGTGAGGCAGGTCTGGGCGTAGTTCTGGAAGAAGCTGTAGTGACCAGCGCCTGGAGAAGAGGATACCAGTCAGCGGCGAGATATGAACGTACGAAGGAGAACATACCGAAGACGATGATGTCGGACGATGACTGGACGTACAGACCCCACGCAGCGGCCAGGCCAGACGGGAACTCGGATCGGCGTAGTCGCTGTTGATGGAGAATGGCGACGGGGGCGACGGGGTAGGTTGGTAGTAGGGCTGAACAAGAGGCGTCAGCCGGCACAGAACTGCGCACAGAGTAGGGGCACACACCGATTCCGTTTGGATCAAACCCATGTAGTGATCTGATGCTCCGGCGATGTTGTACTGATACAGTACATGGTGCTCAGCTATCCGTATGGTCAGCAATGATACTCTTCGTCTCCGTAAATCACAAACTTACAAGCTAGGAAAAGACAGTGAACGTTAGCGCCACGGTACAGGGACGACGATGACACAACCCGACGCACCAGTACCAATCAGCCAGACCGGACCGGCAGACTGCGAAAGGATACCCCTGCCACTGTACAGCGAAAGGTCCGTCTGTGCTGTGTCGTCGAGGTCGTGGTCGGCAAGCCAGACCCAAGTGCCCTGCCACAGTCTCAGCATCGCCCCATGGATGGTTCAGGAAGGGTACACCCACCTCGAGGTACGCGTTCGACTTCGACGTCAAGTGCAGGCCAAGGAAGGCCGCGAAGCAAGACGACGACGGGCTCGACTGCGTGTAAGGGCACTGCGCCACCTCCAGGTCTGTGCCGGCGGTACCCCCAGGCTGTAATCAATCGTGACCGCGTGAGCCCCCGGCGTCTCAAGTGCATCGACTCCAACGTACCGGATGTAGCTATCCCACATCCCGGCGCCACCCTGAGTTGGCGAGTTGACGTTCCACTCAACAACGATCGCACCGGGGGCTATCCAGAGTCCCGTTAAACCATCACAACCGCAGTAAAGCAAGCGGGAGCATACCAGGTCCCTTAGTGGTGAAGATCACGTTCGAGATCTCCAAGATACCTGACGAGCCCGATGCGCCAACCTGGACAACAGGCGAGGGGTTGGTCTGATCCTGGAACGCCGAGCCTGAGCCCATGATCTCCGCCCACGCCTCGCCGACCAGCTGCGTGCCAGCAGGGATCTGCAGCGTGCTGGACACGATGTACGTTCCGGCGTCGAAGTAGATGATGGAGCAGCCGGAGTACTGACAGACAAGCGGTCAGCACAATGCACCACCGAGCACACGCGCGGAGCGTCTCCGGAGCCGTACCTTGCTGAACACAGCCTGGAGCGCGGCCGTGTCGTCCGTCGTGCCATCGCCCTTTGCGCCCTGGTCCTTGACGCTCACGAACTGGTCCACCGCGTAGTCCTCGTACTGCGGGATCGTCCGCCCGAAGATCTGGCCGTTGGACAGGAGGCCGCTCGCCTTCGTGGGCGCGGGGATGTTCCCCGACGTGAACGTCGCGGAGCTGCCCGTGCCGGAGTACACGTTGCCCTGGCCCCAGCTGTCGATCGTCATCGTGCCGCCGGCGAGCACCTCGGCGCCGTTGAGGACGGTGACGGCCGTGGGCACGTTGTTCAGCACGACGTTGTTGAGGACGACCGAGCCCGCGAGCGCGCCGTTGGACGAATTGGAGGTGCGGTAGAAGATGGCCGTGTTGGACGCGGTCGCGTCGATGATCGCCATCGCACCGGCGGTCTGGGCGGCCTTGGTGGTGCCCCCGGTCATCACGTCGAAGCCCACTTGGCCGCCGTTGACTGCACAGAGGCATGAGTGGAGCTCGAACAGTGATGCGGCGGGTTATTGAGGCTTACTCGTCACGCCCTGGAACGTCCAGCCCCAGTTCCAGTCCATATAGACGGCTATTGAGAGATCAGGGAGTGTAGTATAAATGTTTTCATCATATGGACACACCAGTTTGACAGTCGTTCATGGTCACATTCCGGACAGTGAATTGCTGGTTTCCCGCCCATATGCCATATTTGCCTCCATTGAAGACAAGGTCTGCAACAGGATCAGCACGCGGCACACAATTCCATGTCACGGAGCGTGTCAAACGCACCTCCCATCATGCCACCACTGCCATTTTCCATCCAGACACCCTGGTGCGCCGTGTTGCTCGCGGTGCTCATCTGGAAGACGACATTGTAGAGCGACGTGCCCTGCGAGACTTGCCAGTGGATGCCGGTCGCGCTGGTGGCCGCACTGATGTCCGTGAGGTCGATGACGAAGTTGCGGACCGCACGGTAGAAGTTGTTCGTGTCGTTGTACCATTGCGCGCCGCTCCACCGGGGATGTATGGATCCACATCTAACGGTGAGCAGAGGCAGCGGCGTCAGCATGCAATTTGCGACCACAGCGGACCCGAGTGCTGCTCCTGCGAGTCGCGCTCAACGATGGCGCTCGGAGGTCAGCTCGGATGCGAGACGCCAGTGATCGGGACGACGCTCGGAGCGATCGTGCTGAGACGCTTGCCAGCCTGAGATCGGCCGCCTCAACTGCTTCACTCACCGATGACCCCAATACCCGAGAAGCTGGATGAAGCCCGCAGGGTGGGAGGTACCCTCGCGTCACCAATCATCTGTGTGTAGTAGTACGAACTGCGTCGACTTTTAGCAGAAGATCTGTGCCACGAAGCAAGTGGGCATACATGAGTGGTGCCGAGATCAAGTAGGTACCCTGCGGAAAGTAGACGACTGCGGGCGTGAGAGTAGACGATGCGCAGGACCCATCGCCACACCGGCTGCCGTCGGAGATGGCAGAGCTGAGGAGTAGGTAGTCAGTAACGTGATTAGCGAGGGCAGGGGAGAACGTACTTGATAGCAGCCGTGTCATCTGTAGTACCATCGCCGGCGGCGCCATAGTCCTTGACATTGCGGAAGACGGTGTAGGAGCTAGGGTCCGAATTGAACGCAGAAGAGCCCTGGTGCTTGATGTTCTGCATCCAAAAGGGATCTGTGGCTGCAGCGGTCCCGCCGCTGAGCGCAGAAGAGCACGCGGACCCTAGTGCGAGAGCAGTAGGCGCGGAGGCCAGAAAGCCGTACACCAAAGAAAGGACAAGCGCCAGCATGGCGGCGGGAGACAGAGAGGTAACGGGGCTTACTGGGCGAATGCAAGGAGTGGAGGGCTATATAGCAGCACGAGGAAGGGTGCCGAGGGCGGCACCCTACTACGATGGCAGACCGTATGGCAGTTCTCGGGACCTGAAGGAGGCTGGAGGGAAGGTGCAGCGACGAATTGTTCGGACACAGAGAAGTTGTCCGCCGTGTGTTGCATGGAGCGCTGTGGGCCCGTGATAGCTGGTGATGCTCAGGAATTCGCTGGACCCCTTCTCGTCCAATCAGGCCCTCTCTGTGCGTGCATCGCGTGCGCTGGGCGTAGTCAGGCGCGGCTCAAATGTCTGCAAGGCCACTAATCAGGCCAGACGAAAGCGGCAGCACGCGCGACGTACCACTCCATCTACCCATATACCGGAATCGTATGTCACACGCAGGCAGGCTGCCGGATAGGGAGCCATTTCGCGGGTAGGTGGCAGATGGGTGCGAGCAGCGACGCGTCGATGCACGGACGAAGCGATCGTTGATCGACCCGCCACCACGCGCACGGCCAGCTGATTTCCCAATGCGGCCGCCCACTGCACCCTCCTGCACGGTCCGCTGCCACATCCTCCCTCTCTCCCATATGTCGCGTTCTCTTGTGACCCTACGATAACCATCGCCGTCTTCGCGATGCTCACAGACCTCTCACCTGCCCCCGTGCCGCCTCCCCGCACCTTTGTGCACCCCATTTTGCCGCATGGCCTAACATAGCCGTGTGCTCGTACGGGCACTCGGATTGCAAAGCGGGTGCTGTTGCCTAGGCAATATGACACCGTCCTTTCATTGAGGCCGCCAGGCTGCACATGGTTGTCTTCGCAACACAGGTATTTACCGGTACCGAAGCTCCTTAGAGTCTGGACTGCCCTCGGCGTGGGGTCGCGACGCCGGTGGTTGCGAAAACAATCTGAAAGCCATGGGCGAGGTCAAATCCGCGTTTCAGACGAGATTAAATCCAAGCCTGCGCCGGAGAGTCTATCTACTTCTCACATCCAGGCGGAGATTAGCCAACAAGGTCAACGGCGGTGAGTACTTGCTATGTTTACCTCAGATAAGTACCTGCTCAGAACGCGATAGACAGAAACGTGTGTCGTCGAGCTTTATCGACGAAACTAACGGCTCGCACGCGCGAGCTTCTGGTATACCTCATGGCGTGCCGCCGCTAGCTTCGAGGACGCGGCACAGATTGCATGAGACGCATGCCCAAGCCGACGCGCAACTTCATGTGTGAACCTCTGTGGAGGCGGGCTATACATATGCAGCGAAAACGGGTCTCCTGCGGCACTATCTCAACGTTGCTGCTTGCCGCCTTCAATCTGCGTCGCACGCTCGCGGGCTTGTGGTACGTCGACCACTATATACTTATCGAGCTTGAAGCACGCTGCCGTTTTCTTCGGCTGCTCAGATATGCAGAAGATGTCGACGCCATAGGCCCTGCACTAGTAAGTACTCAGGCTCATGATCACTGGCCGGATGAGCTCGGTCGCTGCACCTCGCGGAACGGCATACATCAGGCACACGCCTGCCAAACGGTGAGCATTGACAGATGGAATCACCAGTTGCGACGCTCAGCCATCGTCAAGGACGTCCTGGACGTCTACCGCGCGGACCTGCGAGGCTCATATGGCCCCGCGCGTTGACCATCAGGTGGTGATATCACCTGTCAACGATCTGCACATCACACTTAGAGTCCAGTGCAATGTGGACGTCGGCGTTATACGAACAGGGAAGCCAATATCTTGGTTGGGAATCGGGAGATGAATGAAAACCGACTGTGCGTGCACGGACTCGGTGCGTTTGTCTTGCTCCAACAGTCGCTCAATTGTATGGCTCACGGGGTACGCCGCCCCGGATGAGGGTATGGTCTGTTAACAGGAAGTGTTTGGATCGGAATGTTGCGGAACGACTGGCTTCGCTGCTCAAATGGCGAGAAGGGTGTTCCAACTTAGAAATGCTGATAACTGCAGCGGACTGCGTGATGTTGTTCAGTGCGCGCGCGTGAACACTATTGCACAGTCCGCTGCGGTTGTCCCAACCACCTGTTCCTCGGACCAGCACGCCGGAGACACGATGGGCAGGGCGCTCCCGTCGGTTCACGGTACTCGAGGTAACTTAGCTCTCTCTGACGTATCGAATACCGCTCACGTACTACGTGCCTCCGTGTGCGTGGCGCGTTTACTGTTGACACACTCTATTCACCTCCAATTGAACTCTACCATTTCGTAGCGAGTCGCGTGCAATTAAACACGGCATGTGACCGCGCCTGGCCCAAAGCAGCGACTACGATGACGTCTCCGCCGGCTGCAGCAGCTAAGCCCTGTGCTAATGCGCACCACCGCAGCATTCCCACTTTCCTACCCACATCCACTACCATCGCCAACGCAGCAGCCATTAACTATGTCAGGCTCGACAGCGCAGGCGAGCACCACAGTACCTCACTTCACATGATCCGATGTACTGACAGCCCGTCCGTCCAGGACAACGCCTGGAAGACCAAGAGCAAGGCGCAGAGGCGCAATACGTCCGGCAGAAGGTCCGTCCTTCCCGCGCCCAGCTCGTCCCCCTGACGTCTGTGTAGGAGCAGGAGCAGCTGTCCGCTCTGCGCGAGTCGGCGAGCAAGACGCAGAGCAGGCCCGGCGACGAGCGCGAGCGCGACTTCGAGGGCGGGTTCGGCGGGCAGGAGGATCTCGAGGACCGCTACGCGACCACTTCCGGGGAACACTGAGTGCTGAGGCGGTCCTCCTTCCCCTGCGTCATAACAGTATACGTCGCGCGGACGCGGCCGATGGATGGGTCTGCTGAGGTTGTACTAGGTACCTGCGTCTTCAATCTGAATGTTGGATATTATGCTACACGTAGCGAATGTAATCGTATCCCCTTCGCAGCGTCGGAGCGTTCAAATGCAGCGTGTATGCCCATGCAGGCGCAATGTCTCGTACCCGCCGGTCCAGCCGCCGGAGTACGATCAGGTCGACTCCGTGCTGCATACACGACCGCCCGCCTCCACTGCCCAACGAGTTCGTATCCAATGTCTGCCTACCGGAGACTAACACCGTCCGCACGCACGTCGACAACTCTCGACGGAATCTTGGAATGAGACAGACTGATGTATACTGCTTCCTGCTCTGAGCTGTGCATTGATGATTGCGCGGTGCCCGTCAACCTCTCCCTAGAGACAATGCCGCATTCGGTGTGCCCGACATAATGAACAAACAGCGACAGGCAGCGCCCATCAAGCCATCACACCAACAGCAGTTTCGTTTCTATCTGTTTGCATTCAGTCCAGCACCGCGCACGGGTATCATCCGTACCACAGAATGCAAAAAAAGTGTACGCTGGCGCGAAAGATTAAGGGGCCGTCAGGGCACCGGGACCGCGAAAGAAACACGAAAAGTAAAGCAGACAAAGGAAGGATGCGGCCCCAGCCCACAGCGGCAACGTCAAGTATACACTGCGCGGCGTCGAAATGGCGAAGACGAGAAGAGACAAGAAAGGTCCAGGCGTGATGTACGGCGACGAGGTATGGCTTGTGGCGTGCAGTAAGGGTGAGCTAGTATGGGGTGTATATAGCAGCGGACATGGTGTATGCGGGGCGGGTGTAGGTACGTGGGTGGGTAGAGGTAGAGTGTGCGGTTGAGTAGTAGTCCAGACAGCAAGGAAAGGCAAGACTAGATAAAAATACATGTCCCTTGGTTTCTTTCGTATAGTAACAGTGGACAAGTGTTCGCGTACATGCGTGGGGTAGTGGGGGCCTACAATGCAGGCACGGCCGCGGGCGGCAGAGAGGCCTGCTGGTCTACGTACGGCGCGGGCATGACACACGAGCTCCGCCGTGCAAGGCAGAGTACGTGCGCTGGACGTGCACAAGCATAGGTGATAGCTGACGAGGCGCAGGGGCGCGGTGGGAAACCCGAGAAAGAGAAAGGCGCGCTCACCCTGCGGGGCAGTGGTATGATCAGCATCATTGGTGCGAGTGCGCCGCAAAGTCCGACGGGGCCGACTGCGACGGCGCGTGGCCCGTAGCGCTAGCCGGTCGTGACGCCTGTGATAACGCGCTCGGTGGACGTGAGGACAGCGGTGGATGTGAGAAGGGCGCAGCGAGGCCCGACGACGACGATGACGTCGCGGGAACGGGCTGTGGCTGGAACGCGGGCGCATGCTGATGTGGGAAGTTGTACCCGTTGTCGGTCGCCGAGAAGAGGAGCGCGGACGTGGACCCGGGGCTCGTCGTAGGTAGGGGCGCGTAAGAGTGGCCGCGCGATGGAAGCAGACGGCTCAGCGCGCGGAGAGGTGGGAATGCGGAAAGCACTACGCTTAGGCGGCTTGGGTCGTCCTGCTTCTTGCTCGACGCCAAGAGGTTCTTCTCGAGAAGCTGCCCCAGAATCGGGGCGTCGCGCTCGACGGGTGAGGTAGGGCTACTCCTGTGGAACGACGAAAGCGATGACAGCGATGATGTTGATGCGCGACGGGAGAGCGTCGCGCCCGCAAGAGCAATAGCCGAAGAGGACCGAGAGGACTGGCTCGGGCGTCGCCAGCGCCAGCTCCAACTCCTTCCTGAAGTGATGGCACTACCGTCGGACGAGGAGGTAGACGAAGCAGTGTCGGGCTGGTTGTACATCCATGTCGCAACGAGAACGACCGTCGAACCGAGGATGAACGTGAGGGACATGCGGAAGTTGAACAGAGCGACCGATGCGAGGAAGGAGATGACGATGCTCAGACTGGTCGCGAAGCCCTTCAGAATGTTGTCCGCATACTTGATCACGAGCGCGGTGAGCAGGCCGCCGAGGACTTGAACAGCCACAGTTGCCCATGCCCACAGACCGAAGTTCGCGAACAGCTGCAGGCTCACGACGGGTGCACCAGGTGCGGTTGGAACGTTCCGTGACACAATGATCGGGAGTAGTGCGGGGAGAAGGGAGAACAGGGACAGCTGGACGTTGCGTACCCATAGATCCCCAGGCGAATTCTTCAACACCATCTCGAAATACACTCCGGCGAGTCCTGACGTGAAGCAAGCCGCGACGACGGCCATGAAACCCTTGAGGGGGTTCATCTCGTGCGAGGCGGACTCTGCTTTGTTCGAGCTGCCACCCTGGATCTGGACAATGCCGACGCCAATGGCGAGGAAGAGAAGGGCAAGCCATTTAGTCGGGCTGAGCTTCCTGCGGAGAAGCACGACAGAGAAGGCCGCGGTAGTGAGGATCTTCATCTGGTAGCTTACCTGGAAGGTCGCGGCTTCCAGGTTCGACACCGCCACAAATTGGAGATTATTTTGGATGACGTATAGGATAGCGGGGATAGATAGCTTCCAGCAATCCGGGCGGAAGACCTCCTTGCCAAGCCGTCTGAAGCGGTAGAAGAGCGTGCGCGGGTTCCATAATGAGGAGGATGAGCTGCCTGAGGAGTCTAGTCGGGAGAAGGCGACGAGGAGCGATATCGAACCCTTGAGCAGCTCGGTCATGAGGACGGCTGCAGCTGCCGAATATGTCTCTGAGGGCGCGGCGGAGACGCGCGAATAGTGCATTATGAGCGTCAGGAGGGCATTTTGGACTGCCAGAGTCACGAGCCTGCAAAGGTACACGGAGATTAGGATCCGGAAAGGCGGCATGGAAGAGCGGGTGGACGGCTGCCAGAGAAGGCAGGCAGACGAGGCGACGCGGTCGCGTGCATGACGCGCCTGGGTGGGACATGAAGGAGACTTACGAGACGTATTTGAGCGGCAGGCCGCACACCGTCGGTACGGGGGTCGGTGAGTCTGGCGGGACCCCCAGCTCCTCTGTCTCGAGCGCGTCGACCTCCTTGAGGTGTATGGCGCGATGCTGCGGGTCATGGTAGGCTTCGTGGTGGGCCATGGCAGGGATTACGGGGAGTGTAGGCGGCGCACAGCGGGGGTATCGTACGGCTGAGCGAGGAGGGAGGAGGCAGAGGGAGAGAGAGACCAGGCTCGCTCCGCAGCGTGGTCAGGAAAGAGGCAAGACAGAGGACAGGGAGAGACTGTCCGCAGGCTTTTCAGATCAGCCCTCGCCGTGGGAACAAACGCTGGACCGCCTCGACGGTGCGGGCGCCTCCAATTCCGGAGTTCTTCCACTCTATTTCGGGTAACCGCCACCGCCCACCCCCGCCACCCCGGCCGCCCGCCGCCGCCCCACCGCTGCCCGCCGCCGCCCCACCGCTGCCCACCGCCAGACATCCCGCCCCGCCCGGCCGCCGTCGCCGTTGCGTGCTCCCGTTTCCTGAGACCCGCCACATCCCCGCTGTAACCTCCCCGCGCATGGCCACAGATCATCCAGCGCTACTCGATTGCAGGCGCCTGGAGCAGCGCATCTTTGCTTGGCGGGGATGTTTGGGGGTTGCTTCCGCCGCATCGTCAGCGCTCGGCGGTAGCCTCGGTTGCACACTCAACGTCGCATTCCATTGGACTCCACTTCAATACGATCGCGCGTTATCACTGCGCCTCCGGGCTCGCAGACGGTGCAAGGACCCCCGTTGTTATTGCATTCATCCCGCTGCTGCGCACCGTCCCCGAGCTGAGCTGCGTCATACCCCCGGAACCACTCCCCGCTCCCGTCTCTTCTTTCCTCTCGCCCCGCCTCAACGTTCCCTTTCGTGCATCATTTCGCAGGCCATCCCCGAGATAAGCCCGCCCAGTACGCACTCCGACAAAAAAACACAGGCAGAACACCCGCGGCCCTACGTCATACCTCCCCCGTGTGGCCGATCGCACACAACTAACCATAAGTGTTGTACTTGCAAGTACCGACGTACCATGCCGTCGTCATCCACGCCCTACAGCGCACCCTCTAGCTCCAACGTCACTGGGCAGTGGTCAGACGCGCCGTATATCTCGCTCCGGATCTCACACATCTTCACCCGGTCCACCAGCCGCTCGCTGACGACAACTGCACAAAAACACAAGCAGATGCATCAGCCGCCTGCACAATCCGCATGTGGAGCTGCTAGTCCGAAGTCCTCTTCCTCCGAACACTACGTGTGTTCGAGAGAAGATAACATGGCCAGCGCGCGCAAGGAAGAGGAGTGAAAGCATGGTACGCACACATATCTAGCCGCCACCCGATGCCCTTGCTCCTGCACTGGAAGCGGTACCCAAAGTATGTGTAGTGTCGCAGGTCGGGATGTATCTTCCGCCATATGTCGACAAACCCACCGGCCCCCTCATCGGTCTCGGACTTGGACTCGGAGTCGGACCCAGGCGGCGGAAGACTCGGGTCGAGGATCCGCGCGAACGCGCTCGTCTCCGCCTCCGTGTACCCAGGCGTCTTGTTCCAGTTCGGCTTCGGGTGAGCCAAGTCTGTGCGTAGCCCGCGTCAGTCACAATAGACACATATGACCCATCGCCATCCATCGCCACACGCAGCCACGTATCCACGTATGTCCAGCATTCCGCAATCCGTGATGATAGAGTTGACAGCGTCGCGAAGCGTGGAAGGTCACCAGGAAGAGTGATAAAGCAGAGCCATACATAGCGCGTCGAGGATGACAGGCGTGTCCGTGAGAGCGTGCGCAGCAGCAGAGCCAAGAGCAGGTATGGAATGCGTAAGCTCGACGAGCGTGCCCGCCGAAATAGACACGGACGCACCCTTCTCCGTGGGCGCAACGTTCAGGTCGCCGGCCCAGATGACCGGCTTCTGCCTGTCCAAGCTCCGGATGTACGCCGTGAAGTGTTTGTTCCATTCCTTCTTCGCGTCTAGTGTCTGCAGCCCCACCGCCCACCGATTGTCGCATCAAGTATGGGGAGCATGTAGGTACGGCGGCCGTAGATCGTCGTGTTGCGGAAGCATGAGCGTGGAGCGTGGGTGGATAAGCACCGCGGTAAGCAGCCGTGACCCAGGAAGAACAGAATTGTGCACCTTCAAGCCTGTGCCAGCATTGACGACGTAGGTCCCGACGAGCCAACAGTTCTCAAACTCGAGCGTCAAGAGGCGGCCTTTCACTGCGCTCCTGTCAGGGTGTCCCGGGAGGGTAGTACTGACCGATATCGGTTGAATTTTCGAGAGGATCGCCGTACCCGCTGTAACAAAATAAAGTCAGGGCACGCCCGGTCAATGAGCTCAAATTGATCGATAGTGGGGCGCGGGGAACGCACAGTAGGTCTTCTTGTCAGCGATCGACCAGTAACGGTACGGGAACCGGCTGGTGAGCGCAGGGTCCACAGGTTCATTGTTGACCTCGAGGAGGGGGCCTGCGCTATCAGCCAAGCCCAAACACTGAATGCGCGCAGCAACATCAACGCACCTTGGTTTCGGTCAGAATTAGGATGTCCGGATCTTCCGCTTCGACGTAGTACTTGAATCCCTGTGTAATGCATGCCCGCATGAGAACGGGCGCGGACAACAGAGTCGCGGACGCACCTTCTTCTGAGCCGCGGCGAGCCCGCATATATTCCACGTCGCGATCCGGACGCGGCCCTCCTCGCGCGGCGGGAAGGAGACCTGCACGGGCATGACTCTGTTCGTCGGCTGCCCGTTGGGCGCGAGCTCGCTCGTGCTCCCTTCACCTCCATCCTTCTGACCGTCGTCGTTTCCGTTCGCAGGCTTGGCCTTTGCCTTGCCTTTGCCTTTCGCCTTACCGGCGCCCTTCGCCTCCGCCTCATCAACCTTCGCTTCTTGCTCGCGCGCGCCCTCGCTTTGGGCTTCTGCTTAGCGTCCACCTCAGCGTCCGACTCCGTGCCGAAGGACGACTCCGTCTCGGGGTCCGCGCTCTCCTCCTCCAGCTTGCGTTTCGCCTTCCCGCTCGCGGCGCGTTTCGGTGGCATCCTGTGGCAGTCGTACAACTTCACTGATCCCGTCAACGGAAGATGTCGTGTCGGCGACAGTGACGCGGGCGTCGCACTTCGAAAAGGGGTGGCAGTTGTGAGTCGTCTATGGAGCAGATGCGGTGTGATGAGGCGTATCGCAGCGTGGGCGCGATGGGCCGCAGCGGTGATGGTTGACAATGACCGCGTAGAGGCCCAGGGCGGTGGACGTCGCATAACGAGGTTCCCGCGCCACAGACGCGTCCAACGCGCCGGCGGCAAGCGTCTGCTGTGGGCGCGCGTGGATGATCGACTCGTGTGTGGGTGGCCGATCGCCCAGCCTTTCTGTCCTGCCAGTGTCGCCGACTCCAACCACAACTCAGAGAAGCTATAGGCTCTGCCCTCGACTCCAAGGTACAGGAACGATCACGGCTTCATGGACTCGGACATCCATAGCAGTGCGCAGTTTAAGAATACATCGATAGGGGCGGTATTACTGCTACAATAATCTCACTGCGCTTCATTCGCTGCGTTGCCGGTTCACTCGAACTGAGAGGGCCTTAGTACTCTCCAAACTCAACGTGCCCGGTCTCTGAAGCATGCGCGCGGGCCTCCTTCTCTCCCTTCAGACCCTTCTTGCAGACCTACAGGTTGCATATTGACGTCGATCAACATCTCAGCGGCAGTATCAGACCTGTTCCTCTGACGTACCTGACACCGGATGGTGAACGTCGCTGTGTTCGTGTACGCTCTCTTCGCCCTCAAAATATCCGCTAGCTTCTTCGCAGCCACGATAATTGGATCCGAATCGCCCTCACTCATAACAGGCACGACGGTTTGGTGGAAGTCCGCGGGGGCCTCCAGCATTGGGGCGAGCGTCGCCGCATCGTAGTGGATACCAGAATACACCAGGACACACCTGTTTCCGGAATCGCTCGCGGGCGGCGGCGTGAAGTGGTCGACGCGGCCGGTCTCGACGTCAACGGAGGCGATCTCGGTGGAGTAGTGCGTGGCGAGGATGGTGAGCTCGATCGCGCCTCCCCAGGTGGCTGGTTTCAGGATGGTGGAGATGTACTCTTCTCGTGAGCGGCTGGGGAGAGGTGATCAGGCTACCTCTCCACGCGAGATAGCCCGGGGGAACAACACGCACCCGAGGATGGCGTCGCTCCATGTCTCGGGATCCTTCCGGATCGCATCCGCAACAACTGCTCGAGCACCCTCAGCCATGATCACCACGCGCACAGGCAACACCACACACTCTGTCGTATCATCGGCGCCTTGCCTATGTCTTGCTCGAAAACGATAGCGATCGAAGAGAACAGACATGAGTTGTCGTCCGGGACAATCTGCAGTCACATATGGTTCAATGCACATCCACGGGCGGACACTAGGACCCTCATACTCGGTGGACAAGATATCCGCCTTCGGTCGGTACGGAGTCCGGTCCCTGTGCGTGCGTCGCCCTCACAGACGGAGGAGCTGCTCGTGACGGCCTACTCTGGGGTAGCGCAGTCGGAGACACGATGTCTTGTAACGGGGCGGCCTGAAATGGCGCAGGCGGCGCCCTGGCTTGCTGCGTGAGTATGAGCTGATCGCCACCTTTCAGCCCAAGGCTAGCGAGCGGAAGCTCCGGGATGAGTGTGAGCGATTGCGGAGGGTACCCGGACTTGACTGCACAATCAGTGGGTGAGTTCACAAGTCGATAGTGCGCTATGTCAGAGGAAAATACCGACGCTCTTGCTGAGATGGGGGTACATCCGTTGCGGAGTAGATCTGCTGCTGCAGGTCGAGGACGGATGCATTGTCGACGTCGACCTGGAGTGTGGTCACGCCCTTGGGGTGGCGGAGTCGGATAGGGGCCATCGTTTCGACGTGGGTATGTAAGCCTACGATTGCGGGAGGAGGGCAGAATCAAGTCGTGTGCGATTGGGACCTTGGAAGAGATAGAAAGGCAACCTCGGGCGAGACTCGGCGTGCGAGGACGCGTCGGTGGCGTCACCGCCGGAGCTCACGCCGTCACATGAGCAGACGTTTTACAGGACGCGTCGACGCGTCTGGCACTTGGGCCTTGGCATGCGTAGGCATCGGGCGCCTATAGTAGCGCACCGTTCACTCTGCTGCAGAGAAATAATCTCTCACACATAGACAACACATAGATACCAGAAATCGCCCCCGCAATACTACGCATCAACTGTCCTCTTCATGTTCCTCACCATCCACATCTTCAGGTTCCTCATCTTCGCGGGCCTCCTCATCCTCCTCAACATCTTCATCAGGTTCCCCTTCCGAGTCCGTAGTCACGATGACCACCACGGGATTCAAGACCAGATAGAGCACAACGCTCGTCACTGCTAGACCAATCCAGCCCCAGCGCGCTAGCCTGAACCGTTTCTCCTCTTCTGTCACGGTCTCTGTCGGCTTCGACCACGTCCACACAGGGAGTGCTGGCCTGGGAAGGAGCGACTTCAGAGATAGTGACAAGTCGAGTGGAGCAGTGTGTGGGAATGGCTGCGCGTCTGGGAAGGCGGCCGATTGTACCGCGTTGGCGTGGGCAACGAGGGTCGGGTATGATTCAGAGAGTAGGTTTTGGAGTAGGGGGTCCGTGAAAGCCACGCTCATTAGGATGTGCGTGTGCGCAGCAAAGACAATATCCAATGTCGATGGGCTAAGTTGAGCGCATTTCACAGTCAGAAGTCAGGCGTACGTGCGGCGACATGTCGTATTATGTACCTGTCAGCGTGCGGATTGAAATACCGCCGCTCTCCAAGGAGGGTAGCATAGCCAGAGAGGAAGGCGCGAGCCTTCTCGACGACCTGTGACCGGTGGGTAACAAGATGCAGAACGTCACGATCTGGCTCACCTTCTCGCGTTCGAAGACCCGTTTGAACTTTTGCGCTTTCGTTTCCTTCTTCTTCTTACGCCTATCCCCGCGCAAGGTGGATAATCTGTCTCCCTCTTCCTCCTGCTCGATTCCGGGGATATCCCACAGCTCTGCAGCCTCCAACCGGGGCTGGTACGAGTTGCGAATACGGCTCGGGACATAATAGCGCTGCGGTACGGGTAGCATCGACGCCATTGCAGGTCTTGTCACTTTCCACCAATTGAGCCGAAGCGAGTAGAGCATGTGCGCCTTAGCATAAGAAGACGAGTAAGTACAGATAAGTTCCTTGCAGCCTCAAAGGGTACGCACGACAAGGTCCCCATATTCCGACTGTATGTGTGCGATTCGCGCCGCAAACTGAGATTTCTCCATCGTACTCAACGACTCATTCAAGTCGCGTGCGTCGGGCAACTGAGCGACGTATTTTGCAATCGACGGAAATGTAGTCGCATGATGCAGCCCATGCGTCAAGTAGGGAAGTTGTCCTGGAAAAGTCTTGAGTTTGGCTGACAAGCCCTAGAGGGAGCCGACTTCGACCGACCTACCACTCGGTGACGAGTCCGGGTTGGCACTGTACGCTACAGAGAACCGGCCCGGGATGGCTAGTTGGGTGTAGAACAGGGCGGCGACGCTTGACGTATCGAATGAGAGGGTGTTTTCATGTGGAGGCCATATGTGCAGCGTAACTTGACTTGTAGCTGGGGTAGAGTTGGACATTTGGCTGGAGAGGCTTGCAGCCTGAGTGTGCACAAACGCTGAGGAGGGCGCAGACAAGCGCCGATGCACCCGACATGCTCGTGATTGTGTCACGGCCGTGACAGTCGCGTCCATGCCCAAGTGCCCAAGTGCTGCTCGCGTCTAACTCACACTCACTCACATCCGCTTCCCAGCCTTCGGGCACGCACAACTCTAATCCCCGTTCCCGTTCCCAGGCAGAATCACCACCATGGAAGACGATCTCATCGTTGTTGACGACGTGGACGACCAGGACCAGGACCAGGACGACTCTGGCCCGTCGAGGGAGGCCGACCAGGACTACCGTCCCACCCGCGCAGCGGCAGCTGCAGCACTACGTGCCACCCGAGCAGCCTCTAAGAGAAGCACGCCTCCAGTATACACCATGGACTACTCAGAGGGGCGAACAACGCGCTCCGCCTTGAACAGGAACAAGCCAGCTCCGAAGCTAAAGCTAAAGCTGGGCGAGAAGGCAGCGGCGCATGCTCCCGGAATGTCCTTCCTTGGCTCATATGACAGGGAACTCGATTCCGATGATGAAGAACTGGTCTTCGAGGAGCAGTTTATACTGCGGATGCCCCCGGGCGACGACTGCGACAGGTTGAGGAAGATGGTTGCTGCACGGGAGATCAGCAACGACGTTTGGTTCAAGTTCAAGGGTGAGGCCCCTTCCAGTTGTCTGCGCCGATTGTGGACTAAATGCTGTGCAGACTCTCGCCGAGCTGTGTTCCACATTGGCAACAAGACTTGGGCGGCGAAACTTGTCGACATGCCCTGTATAGTCGAGTCACAGAAGACACTAGACAACAAGCAAATGTTCAAAGTCGCTGACATATGTCAGGTTGCGTAGTCCGCTATGCCCAGCACATGTCAGTGCTGACGAAAGGGCCGACACAGATGCTTGTCGTTGATAAACCTATTGACAATGAAGATTCATTGACTAACCAGAAGAACTTCAATGTCGACGAGTTCATCTGGCCGCACGGTCTCACTCCTCCCCTCCATTATGCTCGAAAACGACGCTTCCGCAAGAGAGTCAACAAGCGAGTTCGTAAACCTCCGTCAGATTCCCAGCGTTCTGCTGACCGCTCTCTGTACAGACGATCGAGACGGTCGAGCAGGAAGTCGAGCGATTGCTGGAGGAAGATGCGTTAGCAGACCAGGTTAAGTACGGTGCGTCCCGAGGCTCACTCGGCATTACACCACCCCTCATGTTATGTCGCAGACGTACTTGAGAACGTCAACCCTGACCTCTCCGACTCTGAGTATATCGAGCTCGAGAAGGAGGACCCCATGGGTGCCACAATGCCAGGATTCCTCGGCTCCGACGCGGGAGATGCGCCAACTCCTGGTCACGACCACGGGGAAGGCGATGAGGAGGATGAGGGGAACGAAGGCGAGGGCGAGGGCGACATCGACGAGGAGCTTGCTGCCGAGCTTGACCTCGCCTTGGGAGACGAAGAGGAGGTAGATGATGAGGAGGGGGATGACGAGGAAGAGGAAAGCGATGAGGACGATGACGAGGATGAGGACGAGGATGATGAGATGTCGCAGGCGAAGAAACTTCTCAATGAGGAGATCAGGGACTTGGAGGCGGCTGTGGCGAAGAAGGGCAGTGAGATTTCGAGCTCGGCGAATCCTCTCATAAAGGTCCGTATCCGGTTCCTTGCAAGATGTACATTGCTCATATCCCTGCAGAGGAGATTCGAAGACGCGTTGAAGAAGCTACAAGCAGACCTTGACATGAAGCTTGCTCAGCGAGATGAGTTGAAAGAGAAGCAAAGATTGAGGAAGGAAGGCATTATGCCGGAGGAAGGCGACACTGATGGTGTCAACGAAGGGGATGCTGAAGATGAGGAGGAAGAGGACGATCTCTTCGGTGACGAGCCTGGTGCAGCCATGGACGTAGACTGAGCTGGACGGACAGATCGTATGTTGTATGAATATTGGTCTGTATTTTTATGCTTGGCCGTTCAGGCAAGCTGACGCTTAGGTGGGGAGCATCCAGGCCACAATACGACATTACAGGGTATGGCAGGAAGCACATTTCGTACCTCATTGGCTTTCGCTGGGCAAGAGACATACAAGTGCTGACTGTAACACTAACGGCGCGTACACGATGCATACGAATGGTGCGAACCACACTCCCAGCAACTCCCAGTTCGCGACCGCCTTCAACACCTCCTCTCGCTGCAGCACTATCCACCCAAATGCTAGGGCCGTATATGCCGCGTATTTCAATATGCGGAGTCCCGCGCGAGGCGAAGAGGAGGCGTAGCATAGCGGCACGCCTGTCAAGAAAGCCATGACCGCGGCGAGGGAGAAATTGAGGACAGAGAGAATAGATATCACCGTTGAAGTGAGGCAGAGGTTCAGCGACTTCAGCATCACGGAGAGTGGTGCCTCCTGGGTCGGTTCTTTGCTGGGAAGCAGCAACGACGGAAGAGGAAGAAGGACGGGCAGGCTGAACACGGCAAGAGGCGCAACCTAGAACAAGATCCAGTCTCAACTCTTCACTTCTGACAAAGTGGAAGATTGCGTGCGTACCGATGAGTGATACCATTCGCGCGTCGAGAGGTAGAACACGACAGCCCCAAGGGCATGAGTTGCGGCCATGACTACTATTGCCTTCAGGACAGGCCTTCGTCGGCGCGACCAACGACCGTCGCGCACAATTTTCTCGCCCGGAGTGTTGTCCGGTGCCTCGCCTATCACCCATGCCCAGCCAGCCTTCACCCATCCTTGCAGCCCACAGAACATCATGGCTACACTTATCAGAACCGCGCTTGGAAGGAAGCTTCCGATCTTCAGGAATGTGGTGGGGCCCACGAGAAGGAAAAAGAAAAATGACGCGTGAAGGCGCTCCAGTAAGTTATTCATGGTCCTCAGAGTTGACTCGACGATCCTGGACGGGGCCTACATGAAAAAGAGGGCTCCGGATCAATTAAGATGATAGGCCACGTACCGGCCTATGGCATGGAAACCATGGGGGCCTGCCGCAGGGACAGCAAATAACGTGATGGCATCAATGCGGAATCTGAGAATGAGAGAGAAAACATCAGACATGGTGCTGGGTGCACGAGAGCCGAGCAGGCATACTGGTGGAGCAAACCATGTACACCACTTGCTTGGCCTCTAGCCTGATACCCAACGTGTCGCACGATATTCTTGGCCCGACGGGCATATTCCTTCAACTGGTCATTGTCTTTAATAGAGCCTGGAGTCCAGGGAGGGAGGCCGAGACCATCTTCGGAGTCTTGGTGGTCATAGACGATCATCGGTACGCCTCCTGTGTATTGAGAGATCCGCTGGAAAGAATTGATGAGGTCCTGATTTGGGAGACGGCCATTGAGGCCCTCTTGGATCACTTGAGCATGGCACTGTATATGAACGCACGCGAGGCACTGACCGAAGAATACACCGAGATGTGAAAACGAGTGCCCAGGGTAATCGATGTTCAAAGCCGTCCATATCACGCCGGATGACAATCTCAGAGGTTCAGCCTGTATATCTATGAGAGTGGACAAGCGTCACGGTGGAGCGCGTTCCTGGAAGATTTGAATGACTTACTTGGCTGCAAAACACCATGATACGTTGTGACCCATGCTTGCATGCCGTCCAAGTAGCCATCGCTGACAACAAAAATAAGGTCCTTCGCCCAAAGCGAGTAGCCTACGAGTAATCAGGACGCTGATTGTAGTCGAATATGCAGTAACGGACCCCTTAGGAACCAGGCGAGCGATAGAACAGTAGACACCCCTCGCAGGTTCAGCGTGCCATCACCTTCACCAGTCCTGCTAAGCCAAGAGGCGCTGATGATCATGGCTTCAGTGCGAGAGGCACGAGGAGACGAGAAGATGGCATATGTGTTTACACCGGTCTTGGACTATCAAGGTTCAGCCAAGAGCAATACTCGAGGACTACGACTACATGGGGGTACTCACTTCGCTTGTAGTGGTGAATGCATACTCCTGAGTATCGGCGGCCAACCCTGCTTTACGGAATTCCGTCACTAAGTAGTCAGCGATCCTTTGCATCCATGCATTGAGTATTACAATAATGAGTGACACGGCATAGTTAAACTCACTCGGCTCTCGACGCGTTTCTGTCTCGTAGCTGCTCCAACGCCTCAAGAAACCGGTCTGCGCGATGAACATCCTCCCAGCTCCAATATGTGTTGACCTGTGCCATATTTTATCAATTGAGAGTGCCGAAATACCAAGGCACCACGTACTTGACCTGGTTGCAGTGCGTTCTCGTCGATGTATGCCCTTTGCCCAAGTGTAGGCAAGGGTATGGCGACCATCCACAAGTATCCCGCTACAAGTAACGCAACGCTGTATCCAATATCAGGTCGTCCGCAAGCATAGTGTGTAATGGACTTACATGAGGGATGACAGACCTGCCCAGAAGGCACCTACGAGCTTCCTTCGCCTGCGAATTCTAAGGGCATTTCTGTCGCCATCCGGTTTGAGATAATTGCGTACTTTGACCAGAATGGCTGGTGGCATCTGCCCAAGTGGCGGCCAAGGGACGTAGTACCACAGGCTCTGGATCCGGGTCTGATCCTGGCGTATAACGCTCGATAGGTAGCAAGGGGACGTAACGCTGTTGACTCGTAGGGAGTGCCCTTCAGGAGAAGTCGTCTGTCGAGTCGTCAGTTGGTGACTTGGGTCTTCAAGCTTCAACCTTTCATAGATGGCAAGCGGAGTGCTCGTCGCTCAAGCTCAAGACTGAGAGCAAACGACGAGTTTCGAAGTGCGAGCGATGTTACGGCGCATGGGCGCTCCGAGACACGCGGGGTCGTTCAAACGCTCACCGCCGGTCGCAGACTGTTAGTCTGAAATATGAAGTTACACCCTGGAGAGCAAACAAACTACAAGACACTGAAATTTGGACACAAAAATAGGATACAGCCAATAACGACAACAAGCAGTCAACAAATCAGTACCGGCGTCGCCCCGGTGAACGCGAACGCTCTCTGTCACGTCGTCTACCACCGTCAGCTGGGAAATAGATCGCAGAATAGAGGAAACGTACTCAAAACGGGGGCCGTGCCTATCGTATCCCCGGTCCCTGAATTCATCCCGCGAAGAGCGGAAGTCGCGATCGCCCCTTGGGGGTGCACCACCGGGTGCAGGAGGGATACCGCCACTGCCCGCCCCAGCTGGCGCCGACGAAGGCACGGAGGAAGGAGGCCCCATCTTGCGTTTCTCGCGCTCCTCTTTGAATTTCACCAACATGTTCCGCAGCTCGTGATAACCGAGGTGCATCTGAGCGGTAAGGGTCAGTTTCTTGAACAACTGACTTTAGGAAGTGCTCACCTTTCCACCGAAATGATCAGCGAGACGACGATCGGAGTCAAGTACGGACAAGTATGCGCCACAGACGTCGCATACACGGAGCTTCTGGTGACCAGACGCTCCAGAGGTGTCGGTCAATTGCTGAAGCTCTCTCTGGACATGTTGTTCAACGAATCAGTCCTACTGAGTTCGTCAGGTGGCGCACCTCTTTATCAGCCTTTTCGCTTTTCAACGCCTCAATGGCAGCCATCTCCCTCATCGACTCGTCTACTTTCCCTTGCTCCCCTGGAGAACGCTATTAGTACGCAGACGAGATGCATGACGGTAAACATACCCAGCGTCTCAATCTTCTCCGTTCCTCCTTGGATAGCCAACTCAATCTCAGCAATTTCCCTCATCTGAAGCGCTGTCAGCAATGCGGGCATAGAGGACAGCAATGATACATACGAGGTTTGTTGTCTTCGCGTTTTCCTCAGGTGTTTTCTCGAGCCTCCTGTGAGCTGCACGGATTCTCCGGTCACACTCGTCGACGAAGGCGAAGATGTTCGACTCGTACTCCATCTGAAAGCGCGAGAATATGGGGTCGCTCGGGTTCGCTTCCTTAGCCTGGAGGAACTCTGTCTTGAGACGTTCTGTGTGCGACTTGGGGCAGGCTCCGAGGTCCATTTTCTACTATGGTGTGAGCATCAATGCATAGTTGGCACGCTGGAGACCATACCGTGTTCGTGAAGAGGGTATGGGGACATGTCCCACAAAGGAAGTTCCTGCAGACTTTCTCGTCCGACCATGTCAAGTTCGCGTTCGCAACACCCATTGCCTCTGGGCCCATCATTTGCTACAAGTTGTCAGTATCATCGCAAAGCTCCATACTTCATGCACATACCTCCAGAAGCTTCCTCTGCATCTCAGCAAGCCGACCCATGTTGTCAATAGCACACTGCAGTCGTATAGATGATGGCGACGGGTAAGTTAAGGCGATCGTGAGTGTTCGGCACGAAGCTGGAGCCACTGAATTCCGGCCCAGCGGCAAGCTTTGTCAGCAGTAATAATTATAATTATGTAATTAATAGTGAGTTACGGCAACTTATTATGGACGTGGCACGCAAAATTTACTTAAGTTATTTGGTATGATACGGCGTTTGTGCCAAGCAGGCTTATGAAGTTTGTAGAAAGGATGAATGGGTACTTGACTGGAAAACGGAAAACTATGTGTACACAAGCATTCTATGACAGAAGTCAGTTCGAACAAAGTAATGACGGTCATGGTGGGATCATGGACAACATGTGAGGTTGCGTGCAAGACGAAGCGACAATCGAAATACGGCCAGGTCATGAAGTGGAATTGAAGCTTTGCGAGGAGATGAGGTTTTGCGAGGACAACGAGAGGAAAGCACATAGCAGTGGAAGAATATCTACAAGGGAGGCTGACCCCGACCCCGACCCCTGCCTCTACCTCTGCCGCGATAACCACCCCTGCCACGACCACGGCCCCGTGCAAAGGGCGGTTGTGGCTGTGAAGGTGTATCGGTCCCGGGACTGGGGGGCACGTCGTCACAAGGTGCGTGGTCGGGATTTGTGGAAGGCGATTCGTGGCCGAACTGGTGGTACTGCTTGTACGGTCGCCTATTGCGGGGTTGACCACGATAAACCTTCCCTGACCTCGACGTATTTTGAGGGACGTAGTCATCCGGATGATATTCGTCTCCTCCTTCCGGTGGTGGTGACGGGTACGGTGACTCGTAAGCGTCAAAGTCAGAAGCTGGTCGAGGTGTTCCGCCGTTCATGGCACGACCGTTGGCAGCTTTCCCCTTCGATGGCTTTGGCGTCATCTCTTGGCTTTCCGGTGGGAGCTTTCCGTAGCTTATGAGGAGGTTACGAATTTCCTCATACTTCGCTTCCTGTTTCCTTCCTCCTGCTCCGACGATGGCAGCTCTACCTGCGGCAGATTTTACCGAAGACCACTCAGCGACTATATCGTCTTGAGTGGCTAGTTGATTATCGAGCACTATCCAGACGGCTTCTGGTTCACGGGAGTCCAGAGCAAGCCTGAGCAGCGAGCTAGATCCAGGTCGCCTATAGATGTTCTCGTAATCGGAGTCCTGAGGGGCATAGGTGGTCACGAAGTGCTTGACAATGGAAATATGCCCAGCCTGTAGAGCGACATGGAACGCTGTGAAGTCTTGCCCGTCCCGTTCGTCTAACTCGGCGCCTGTTGTGCTTCAATGAACTGGTGGCCAACAAAGAGCCCATACAACATACCATGGGATTCCAGCCATTCCACCAACTCTGCGTTACCATGCTTTGCGGCGATGTGCAACAAAGCCTCTCGTGGGTCGTTCGGCGGAGTCTTGACGAACTTCTCACCGCCTCTTCTAATCTCACCGCCAGCGGCGTCGACGTTATCCTCATAAACGCCTTTCTTGACGCCCGCCGAGTCTCCACGGCGAGCAGCAGCGAAGGCATCAGAGCGCAGATGTTGGAGGCGCTGCTCCTGAGTACGGGCCTTCTCTTCGGCTGACTTCTGGGAAGCAACTGCCTGGGCCTTCTTCTGAGCGACCTTGACTCTCTGTCTTTCCTCAGCCTGCCTCCTCTCTGAGTGAGGGCCTCGTCAGTGACAATTCAATGCATAGAGATTGGACTAACCCCTTTCCCGTTCCATTTGTTGCGTCTCCCTCCGCGCGGCCTCTTCCCGCTTGCGACGAGCCTCGGCTTGCTCTTGTTCTTCACGCATACGAGCAATACGCGCCTGATACTGCTCTGGGGACTCGGGCGCCGTCGGTTTATGACGGCTGTAACCTAGTGAAGCGAGTGAGAATGATCAAAGATGCAGTAGCAGCACTACTCACGCATGTTGGCATAACGGTTGGCGCGGCCCCTCAACAGCTCCTCAAACAAGAACCTAGAGCCAATGTCAGCGTCCAACTCGACTGAACCGGTCGCGTTCAGCGCACATGTAGAAGTCCAAGTCCTCGAAGTCATCGTCGTAATCGTCGTAATCGTCATAGCGGTCGAAGTCGTCGTATTCATCGTAATCGTCATCGAATGGGCGATACGAATAGCTATGTGGCTGCCTGCGTGGGGGAGACGATGACCGATCTAGATGCTTGACGAGCACGTTGTATGCTTCACTGAGCCGCTGGAACTGGGCAGTGGCATCTTCGTTGCCCGGATTCTTGTCCGGATGTGTTTTCAGCGCGAGCTACGCGAGCGCGATGATGAACGCGTTGTGAGCTGATATTCAATGTCCCACACGCGCGTCACATACTTGCTTGTACGTGCTCTTGACCACCTCCAGCGACGAACCCTTGAAAAGAGGGCAGGGATCTCAGCTCAAACTGGTTGTCACCAGGAAAGTTATCGTACCTGTTCAAGTCCGAGGGCCCCATACGCCTCTACGACTGTCGAATGTTTCACCATGGCATGAACTGAGTGTCTCGATGCGAGTGAGATGTGGCGAAAAAACGCGTAGCAAGTGGGCGCCTTCACGCGCCGCGTTTCCGCGTGGTTGTATACTGCACGTGTAGACGCCCATCTTCGTGCGCCCCAGACGCGTCGCCGCCGCTCGCAGTGCACAGGTATCCACTCTCGCAGACATGCACGGCACAATGCGAGCGAGATTTTCTCAAAGACACTGTGTCCCATACAAATCTGCAGTGCCGTTGGTTGTCGCAGCTGACTGCCATACTTACTGCAGTTCGTCATCGCACGACATGATGCACAGAAGTTACCAGTCGGACAGGTTGTCTGCTGCAAAACTGCGCACTCTTCAGCACGCAGGCAACACGCACACTCCAACTGTGACACCAGTGCCTGATCCAGGTAAATAGAGTTATGGAAGCAAAAGGTCATTGTAAAAGCTGACAATAGTACACTACAGCGTCCAAGCCAAACTCAGCAGAAGCGGTCACTACGACAATGATGAGCCGTCCAGAGTTCACCAATACTTAGAGAGGTCTCTCACCTCTTCAATTTCGCGCGGCGATCTAGCAATGCCTCAGCAAGACGTCCCTCTTTCCTAGCGCGTTTCAACTGCGCGATGGCAGTCAGATTAGTATGGGCGACCTAAACATGCAACTCACCGCTTTCTTGTCTTCTACCGAGGTGATAGATCGTCCGGCACCCCAAGCCTGGTACATTTTGCTGGTAAAAATGTTTCAGACAAAGATTCGCAGGAAAGGTGAGGCGACTCACTTGGTGCTGGCCTCGTCTATGCTGACCTCATCCATCGCGCCTTCCTTCTTCTTCTCTTCCTCATGTGCTTCCCTCTTGTATTTGTTCTGGATTTTAACCCAAAAACGCTCCGCAAAGCCCACCTCGTCGCTGTCTCCGCGCAAAGCCATCGTCCCACCAGCGACTTCGTCAACGGCTAGGTACTTCTCGTAGACGTTCTGAAATGCGACCATTCCGTCTGGGAAGACGATGGGCGTCCACTCCTCCTGAGGACCTCGGGCCTCTCGATCTGCGGATACCAGTCCGTGTTTATCGCAAGACAGGAACTTGCCCTCGCCTGTGCCAGTCCGCAGATTGATTGTGGGGGAGCCAGCAACGCGTGTTGTCACCCATACCTGCGAGACTTCGGTAGGGGTGCGATGTAGGATGCTCACCGACTCCGGTGCGTCCTCCGTCTTGTCCTTGTCTAGGGAATGGAGTAAAATGCGACCACGGGTGGAATCATATGTTATAGAGATGGGTGAAGGGTCAGAAGGGTGCATAATAAAGGTTGGTCCACGGAGTTCTGTAGCTTGTTCAGGGAGGACCCAAGTATCTGGGCTCTCCTCGTCCTCCTTGCGTCGACGCCGGCCGCTGCTAGAGCCTTCCTCTCCATCCTCCCTTTTGCGCTTCTTTTTCGTCTTCTCGCCCTTAAATTTGAGCTTGGTAGAGCGTACCCTTTCATCCGTAGACATTGTGCTAGATAGGCGCAAGTGAACCGTGAACGGTTCAGTGAAAGTTCAGTGAACGGAAGTGATTGCAGTGTGAGTAAGTAGGCGCCCAATGGCGCACATCGGGGTGTCAGGGGACTCGTTCTGGTCGCTTGCGTGGGAGCCTTTCTCGGTTTGAGCGCTGGCAAGAGAATCAACGCCATCCCACCCGCCCGCCGACGAAACCCTCAAGACCCTCAAGATGAAGTTCAACCCTGGTCAGTTGCTGCTGCTTTGATGTCCGGGATGCTGTCAGTTTGCTCGAGTGCGAAAGAACGGTCGAAATTGGTGGAATTAGTGGCTGGATGCATACTCGGCGGATTGGATGTCGTCTCGGTAGGTCGACCTTATGCTGACGCTGTTTGGTGATACAGATGTCTCCTCTTCCCGGCGCAAGTCGCGCAAGGCGCACTTCGCTGCTCCCTCGTCGGTCCGCCGCAAGATCATGTCCTCCGCTCTGTCTAAGGAGCTCCGCGGCAAGCACAACGTATGTCTCGTTTTGCGATTGGAAGAATGAATGCGAATGAATGCTCATGCACCACATAGACGCGGTCACTACCCATTCGCAAGGACGACGAGGTGCGGATCGTGCGCGGCAAGTACAAGGGTCGGGAGGGCAAGGTCACGCAAGTGTACCGTAAGAAGTGGGTGATCCACGTTGACCGTGTCCAGCGCGACAAGTCAAACGGTGCGACGGTTCCCATTGGCATCCACCCCAGCAATGTTGTCATTACCACTATCAAGCTGGACAAGGACAGGTGTGTTTGTCATCACGATTCTCGCATTTCTCCCATTCTGAGGCGGGATGTCTTTACAGGCGTGCAATCCTCGACCGGAAAGACCGCAAGAAGAGCGGTAAGTCAGGTGAGGATGTGGAGATGGTTGATGTGAGTAGGGTCAGTCTTGATTCATTCGCGCTTGCTAATGCGAAGACAATCATAGTGATTGCGTGCTCCTTTGTCTTCTTCTCTTCCCGGTTGTCGCATTGCATCTCAAAATTCACCATGTATGTATGCGATATCACGCACATCGTATGCCGTATGGGGCCCCGAGGCCAATTTACCATGCCGTTCGCCTTGATTTTCGTCATGGCGTGGACATCATTTCATTGAGAGCCGATCCAGTGAGCAAAGTCAATGAAAGCTGGTATACACAAAGGCATGTGAATCAGAAGATAACGTCTTCGTCTTTGCTGCTTAGCAAGTCGCCGCCTCCACCACCAACCTCCGGGGTGAAGTCCACTGACTCTTGTGCCTCTGCAAGCAGTCTTCGCTGCGCTTCCGCTGCTTCTGCATCTCGCTTCTTCTTGCCTTGTACTTTCTTCAACCTGGTCATACTACTTAAGCAGGCTGTGCCATCCCTTCGGAGTAAGAACCCGCACCTAAAGAATTCTTCACGATCCATCTCGTCGAGCTCACTCAAGATGTACTTGATGGTGTTCTCCAGACGAGGGATGACGACGTGTTCAATGGCATTGACTCGACGATTTGTAGCACGGATGACCTCGTCTAGGATCATGAATGCTGTCTGCAGAGATGCAAGTTCCACCAGCGTCTCGACGGCTTTGGCGTAGACTTCTTTTGCTCTGATAACTTGTTGTCCTCCGCGTCCGAGACCGGTCAGGTTAAAGTCTGCAGTGCAAGAGGTGAGGAGAGCACGGATTCAGTGAACGTACGATGCTTACCGGTTCCTGACACCCGGTCGACTTCGAATGTGGGAAGAACAACGCCTGAGACGTTCTCCTGCTTTGCCTTCACACGAAAGGTCGCGGTTTTCGCCTGTTCCTGTACCAAGTACGCGATATCTCCGGTGGCATACGTGACCTCTGCCAGCGAGAAGGATGCCAACTGCATGACCCGGCCCATCTTCCGCTTCGCCTAGGCAGATCAAGGGTAATTCCTATTAAAACTAGCACATACACCGACGGACAAGCTGCAGCATGTCCAGAACAGTATCACCGCTCACCTCGTCAACCCTGCGTAGGATAGCCCTGAATCTTGTCGTCAGCGCATCGCGCTTCTTTGCTAGCAACGAATGGCCTGTCTGCGCGCCCTTCAGGCGTAGTTTCGTATTGGTCAACGCCATCCGAGTGGGGAAGATGTTTTCGCGAGGGCCGGCGCCGGACATCTCGAATACACGTACGAAAGACGGGAAGACAGATATGAAAGGGCAATATTACCAACAGCGGTGAGATTCAGAACGATCTCAGAGCGAGCACTAGGAGGTACCCACGTGATTGAACGCGTAGCGGGCGCCTGTAATAATACTACGTAGGCTCAGCCTCCTATGTTGCGTACCATCATACAGCCCTGCTGGCATTTTGTATAGCACATCCACACCGTACATGTGTACCGAGGTGGAAATGTCAGGAGCCGCTGCTTCCCAACTTTGAGATGCTGAATTTGCCAAGACAACGTATAGCACGAGCTTATACTTAGGCTCTCTGGCAACCGTGAAGTGACAATTATTGAAGCAATTGGCACACAACGTTCAAACGTCCACCACCCGCTCCTACCTTGCTAGGATGCACACCGATGGCCAACATCGCACTCATTCACAAAGCTGACGACGTACGGGACATTTAGAAAGCAATGACAGCATATATGTAGCTAGAGTACGACTGCGCTGATCTCAACATGCAACCCAAAGCACGCACAAAACTTGGCTGTGGCGGCTACGCTATGGTGTACTTCCCGTATTTCTTCTCCGGATCATAGACCTACATATACCATCAGTGAACCGCGTGGCGCACTGCACGATGATGTGCTCACCTCCCATCTAGACGCAGGAAATATATGCTTGTTTCGCTGGTAGTAACTCCTTTCCACGACCTTGCCTGCATGAGATTCGTCCTTTTCGATGGTAGCATCGGCTAGCAGACGAACATCGTCGTGGACGTCGAAGTTGAACAGCGGCCCAGACTTGCCGCGAGCTTTGTTGATTATGAAGTCGTAGAAGGTATAATGCTATCGTCCCTGTCAACCCGCAGAACGCAAGAATCCCCCGATGACGATGACTTACGTGGGGAATGATCAAGTCCTCCTGTACACTGATCGGTCAGCACTGCAGCATCCACAATGACGGACATCTTACCTTCACGTACATGAGGTTGTCAACGCTGACACCTCGAAGCTCGGGCAATTGCTGTCTGCACTTCTCCAAGAAGGTAGCGATATCATCGCCTTTCTTGCACTATGTAGTGAGGAGCAAACAAGCCGTGTGCATGTTCTACGTGGTCAGGCCGTGCCCTGCTGTCTGACGAAAGGCGACTCACCATCACACTCTTTCGATGACCGCTGCCGTCCCAGAACGAGTAAGTGATCTCAATGTCTTCCTGCTTCATCTCATCTTGCTTGCGCAGCCATTCCTGCCGGAGCTGCTCCCGCTGACGTCGCTCAGCCTCCTCGCGTTCCCGGTCAGGCAAGAAGGACGTGTCGACATTGGGATTCTTGCGCGACTTGGCCCGCTTACTGGGTTGCTCCCCGTCGTCGCCGTCTCCCTCGCCTTCTACCTCTCCCTCCTCGTCATCCATGGCAAACGAGAGCGTAGACTTGGCCGCCTTCTTCCGCTTCTTTGCTTTCTTCTGTTCATCTCTAAACAAATTCTCCACGTCTGATTAGCGAACTGCACAAGCATATGTGTTGAGTGATGCATTGAGTGAAAGCACGACATACTTCAGTTCGTTTGTGCGCGCAGCTTCCCTGGCTTTCGCTTCCTCGAGTTCCTTCCGTCGCTGCTGGAACTCCTCAAGCCTGACCAGACCAACCGTACTCTTCTTGAGAGTGTCTTCCATGGAGTCATTCTGGCCCACGAAACGGTTCGACGAAGGGCGAGCCTTCTCAGTCTCGTTGATGAGAGACTGCTTCTGCCGCTCGAAATCCTCTCGCATTTGATTGCGCTGCTTTGCCAATGCATCCTCGCGACGTCCTTCTGCCTTGTTGTTCGACATGGCCGTGCCTCAGACGGAGAGTAAGTAGCGTGAGTTCAAGTAGTCGGTCTCGGAGTTCGAAATCGAGGCAGACTGACGATCAACGGGCGTCTACTCGCTACCTGCGCCTCCCAACCTTTTGCACGCTGGTCGACCGAGCCCTGAGCACGGCTTATTCGCAGGATGGTGCACATTCTTGGCACGTTGCTACCAGAGAAACAGCTAGTCAAGGTATGCATGCTCGAGTATTGCTTCGCGTCCAGGCATTGACTTGTGTCGTAGTTCGCGTTGACACATTTCTATGGCATCGGACACCAAACTGCTGCACGGATCTGTGCCCGTGCTCAGATACACGACAGGTGCAAGATTCGCGGGCTCACATCCCCACAAATCACGACCTTGACGGCTTTCCTGTCTTCGCCGTCTACCGCGCCCACCCTGCCTTCCTTCCCGCTCGCGACGCTGGATTACGTCCCTCCTCGGCCGTCACAACCGGTTCCGGCTGTTCCGAATCCACCTACGTCTGCGGACGCTTCTCCGTCGGAGAAGGAGCTCCCTGGAGATAAACTGAGGGGCCTCAGACTCGGTGCCGAGCTACGCAGGGAGATCAGGGATAACATTGCGCATCTGCGAAACATCGGGAGTTACGTGGGGAGGCGGCATGCTCAGGGATTCCCCGTCAGGGGGCAGAGAACCCACTCCAACGCGAAGACGGCGAGGAAACTCAACAGGGTCGTGCGGTACTCATAGAGGCGGTGCAAGGAGGTCAGCGTACTTCGTGTTGGGCAAGGACTACTCGTTCGCAGCTGTTCTCACTAGTACTTCGCCCATCCTACTCAATATTCACGTCGTGTTGCTCGGAGCCGAACTTGGGCCAGGGGATGCGATAATTTACATACTGTACATCGGTGCATACGCACGCCTAGTCGTCTCCTACGGGTACTTCCTCTTCCAGGTACTTGAGTAGCGTCACTCGGATCTCGGTGGCCTCATCGCCGCGCAACACATCGGATATGAAGGTGGCCTGGACCTGCATTTGAACCTGAATGACAAACGTGTTGTCAGGTAGATCAGGAGCGAGGCGAATAGTGCAGCGTTACCATTTCGAGAGCACCTCTCAGAACACCACACAACACGTTGCTGAACCAAAGCTCGCCTTCAAGCGCCTCCTCTGGAAGTTCCACGAACTCCGCGAGAGGGTTTTCGTCCAGGGTCAATGTGAAGGATGACCCTGAGGCATTTGCTGAAGGTGTGGGAGTGCTACTTCGCGTTGATTCGGAAGGAAGGGGTCCGGCGTGCATTACAGAGGGGGTAATGTTAAGGAATGACTTGAAGCCAACCTGTGGTGGATCAGGGCATTGCACATATGATGCATGAGAACGGATCGCCCGCACGACGAATAACTACGTACCTTTGCGACCACCTCTCCGACCTCCTTGAAATCTGAACAGCGTCCAATCGCACTCCGTGCGAGGAAATCCTCAATGAGACGCGTTCCAATGTTGTAGCCCATTTTCTCTAGCTGTTTGTTGACCTCTGCGTAGTCCTCATAGTCTTGTATGAGCTGCACCACGAGTGCGCCATATGTGAGAGCGAACAGTTCTGCGTTCTAAGTCTTCAAGAGTCAGGCTTGCGCGTGCGCCGGAGACATGGTGTATGCAAGCCGGAGCAGAAACGTACGATCTTCTCTGTCCTGCCCTTCCAAATGTCTTCGCCTATGGCCTTGTACTGCTTGCTTGTTGAAGCCATCGCGGGCGTGCGACGCACAGAACGGATGCAGGACGGAGACTACGATGGGCGTCTAGTATGATCTCGCGGTCGACAGACTGGATGAGCCCAATCAAGGCCATTTTCTCAAGTTGGGTGGGACCCGCACGCCGAAATGTCGGGTCATCATGTTCATTCACAAACAACTATGGACGCAAGATCGCCTGACATTGGCCAGGCGAATCAAGAACAACGAGTACACTAATATAATGTACGGAGTCTATGCGCTGCTTCCAGCGATTGCAGATCACAGGCCTCAATGTCGACCGTTCGGACGCTAGCACGGATTCGGGACCATCAGTGGAGAGACAACGAAGGCACAACAACATGCAGACGAGCCTAGAGCTCAGAGGAGGAAGTCCATCCACTGACTTCCCGTGTAATGTAATTCAACAGCTGATGCCCATGTAGGCGTCCCGCTGCATTGGACTGGACCAGGCCACGCGGATAAGTTGCCGTTACGTCTGAGCGCACCGAGCTTGATAGCCAGAGCAACAGCGTCTGATGTAGCAATGTATGCGACACGTTTACTCACATCTATCACGAGTCCATCGTGGTCAAGGCACGGGAAGGCGGATGAGGAGATGGGAAGGCAAGCGCTAGATAGTGTGTGTCTTCACGCGCAGACGGAGCTTTGAATTATCCTGTCTTGGAGGATGTTCGACGGCACTATCGACGGGTATCGTGCCCAGCTGGGCTACATGACTTGGCATGGCAGGTGCGACTGCGGGAAGGGGCAAGCTCTCGCAGAACGCGGCGTCCTGATTCGACGAGCGAGCGCTGGCGTGAGGCGGTGTGCATGTCGTTGTCGCGGAAAGCCAGAAGGCGGTGCCCAGCCGTCGGGTGCCGTCGCGGTGAGTGCGCAGGACGGCGAGGGCGCGACGGAAGCTGGCAGGGGATGGGCCGAGGACTCGGAAGGCGGAGAAGGGCGGGCGGTGGCGCGAGAAGACGGAGTGGCTGCCTGGTGGCTGCTATCTGCGGTGTTTATTCGTGTTTGATTAGATAAGCCAATGCGGGAGTTCATGAATTCTCAGCTACGGCTAATTGGGAAGCGACTCTCGCCAGTGCAGGTTACGGTCTCGACCTCGTCCCATCCGCCTCGTTCTCTCCGCCCGCTGCTCAGCGCGCCCGAGTTCCAGCATCCGGTCCTGCCAGTCTCCTTCAGGGCCTTTCTCTCTCAACCCTACGACCTTGCTGCCCCCTACAGCCGATAGGACCCGGGAGCCGTCCCAGCGATCTTCTTGATCCCCACTACTCGTGTCGTGCCTCGGACGCACTTATCCTTCGTAAGTGGCATTTAGAACCCTCCATCAAGCTTATGTCTGACGCATCTAGGTTTTTTCACCGCTGCTTAGGCCGGGGAACTCAAGACATCCGTCCCCGAGGCGATCAGAGTGCTTGACAGCCGTGCTTGCCGTTGTTAGGCCGCTGTACAGACAGTACTCGTCCTCTGCGCCGCCATTGTTATGGCCTCGCAGCAGGAGCTACAGTCCTCGGCGAATGCTGCACGTACAGCCGCACCTCTCGATCCGCAGTCTTTCTTTCAAACGAATGGCAGCGCATCCGCCTTTCCGTCCATGATGTCGTCTTCGCAAGTCGACAGCACTGTCACTGCTACCTCCGTCACCCATGTCAATCCTCAAATGACAACTCTGTACCAGTCCGACATGGATCCCACCCATGCAATCTCCCTACCTCACGAGCTGTCACTGGGCAATTTACCGTCTCGATCACTCGACGTATCTGCCATGGATGTCGTCTCCGCAGCGTCTGCAGACGCAGCGGCAGCGCACGGGCTTTTAACGAATTATTCTAGCCAAAACACCTCTTTTACACTCGATCACATTAATGGGCTTGACGCAGTTGATGTCGCTCGCCTGGCCTCATCACCTAGTGCGACGACTGTGTCAACAAACCCATCACACGCCTCTTCCCCTGCAGTGAACGGCATGGCACCATCCTTCTCTACGACGCCGTCCTCACTCGTGTCCGCGCTTAACGGCGTGGAAGCTCGACGAAGTCGCACAGAGTCATCAGGATCGCCTCCAGATTTATTAAGCTCTGGATCGGAACTAGGCTTTTCGACTACGAGTAGCGGACCAGCGACATCAAGCCTTGACCCAGGGTTTCCGTATCCGCCCTATGACGCCGCGCGCCATGCGAAAGAGGACTCTCCAGAGCAAGGCGGTAGCCCGCACTTATTCACTTTAGGTACCATGTTGAAAAAGTGTGTATTATCTTCTCCTACTCTCGAGGGTCACCGACACTGATGCCTCATCTATCAGCATCGCGCGTACAGCGAGCTCTGCCAGTAAAGCTTGTGACATGGGTTCAACTACAGATGCGCAGCAGATCGTAGACGAGCTCAAGCGGAACGTGTTACTCGTTGCGGAACTGGTCTCGCAAGTCAAACTAGCTGACGCATCGGGTTAGTACTCCTTTCCTCACTTGCGCAACCACACTCAACATCTGGGTTTGGCCCTCTTCAGTTACTGTACCCGCGGTTCCTGGGTTGGACGTTGAACAACACCAGCCTTTAAATACTCTCTCGCTCTTCCCGCCGTCCACACCGCTCGACCCCAGCGCTATGTATGACACGTCCGATCTCTCGCGAAAACGCGGCGCGTCTTCTATGGACGGCGATAGAGCCATGAAGGCCATGAAGTTGGAACCTCAAGACGAACCTCAGCCCGTTTCCACTGCACCAGTCAGGCGCCTGTCGACTTCAACCCATACTTCCTCCGGTTTCGCGTTTACTCCCTCAACGATACCACCTCCATCAATGTCCTCGCTGGGCGATATATCCTCCATTCCACCGTCGTTGTCATCGAACGGCTCTAGTTCACGTCCACAAAGCTCTGCTGGGATACCCCCTCATCCTTTAGCTCTCGCATCAGACCCGCCTAATTCCTCGCACCCTTTGCAAGCTGGCGTGCAGTATCCGACAATGGACAACCCACAGGGTCTGGTCGGCTCTTCAACGGAGTACGTGTCTCCCGCCACCTCCAGCGTCCCATCCACTGCGCTTCCTTCCACCGGCTTTAATCCGTCCTTACCCGGTAGCATGTGGCGCGACCCGCAAGGATCTCTCACTCATCACCATCAGCACTCCCTGTCTGCAGGCGCCGTATTGGTGCGCATCCCCGAGTCTGGTATGTCTGCAGCGGGACCGTCTTCGTTGCAGTTCCCGCCGCCGCCCGCATTCCATTCGCCTATTCGAGCTACCATGTTATCGCACCAGCAATCAATACCCATGCCGTCTTCATCGTCTGTCTCGCTTATCTCGCATCCCTCTGTCCGTTCGTCGCGTTCGTCGTCGTTCGCTCACCAGCAAGGTGAAATGCCAAACCTTCCGTACGACATCCTACAAGCGCGCCAAGCCGCAGCGCTGCGTTCTCGCGCTTCGTCCCCGGCGCTTGATGATGAGATGGATGGGCAGGACTCCGATGACGAACTCGGCGACTTGTCGTATTCGCAGTACCACTCACCCTCTGCCGGTGCTGAAGGAGCGGACGCTGTAGTCGGTGCCGAGGGGCCGTCGGCTTCTGTGCAGCCACCCCGTGGGGGTCAGCGCCGCATGAGCCGCGGATCACCTTCTGCCGAGGGTGGATCGACATCCTCGGGCCATGCAAATGAAGTCCCACAGGAGTACCGTGCCGAAGTCGAGCGTATCTTCTTTGAGTTCCTCAATATGATTTGCTCGAACCGTAAGCTTTTGCCGGCAATCGTCAGATTAAGGCTGACTGATCGATCTCTCCAGTGGAGGCGACCGACGCGAAGGGGGAGCCTATACACCAGACGCTCATGGCCAAGAAGATGCAACGGCTCGACGAGTCGCCTGATTTTCGGCCATTCAAGTTCCGGATACAAGCGTTCACCAACGCGTTTCTAGAGGAGGTGAGTTATATGATCATTGGCACAGTTCGCGCCGCTCACTCGTCCATGTAGCTTTCCCGTCAAGGCTATCCGGAAGAGAAGATCCCGATGAAAAAGGTGCGCCCCATTTTCCCCTGATGTGTTGCTGAGCTCACCAATACGTAACGTAAAGATCCGCAACTTCTTGTGGAGTCAACCTTACATCTCTCGGTTCAACGAAGACGGCAAGAAATCGAAGTCAAAGGGCAATCACATTTGGCATGTTGATGGGAAGAAGACCGAGAGTGGTTGGATGTTCCGTCCTTTCAGGCGGAGACTGGCCGGTACGCCACCTGGGGTGGCTTATGTCGGTTTGCGGTGGTCTTGGGCTCCGCGCATCTGGGATCCTCAAGCGTCGCGGGCGAATATGCCCGTAAAGTACAGCTCCCCGTCGCTGCCGTCATGGTTGTCTTGGAAAGATGATGTTTTGTCCGGCATACCCACACCGGATGCTCAGAACTGCGATGTCACTGTTGAGGCCAGAGTTGGTGAATTCTCATTCATGTCTCTCGCCTAGTCTGACGGCAGCTCGCTAGTTCGTACAAGATGGTACAGAGGAATTCCTATCCCACACGGTGCATGTTACTATCGCACCCATGGCATCAGTGGACTCGACGTTCACTCCTTCACGACGGCCTTCTTTGGTCGGAGACATTCAAAATCCTCGCCGTGTCTTGAGTGATACGGCAGTGGTTGCGCAGTGTAATCCACCCCGGTCCGTTGTGATGCTACCGTCTGCATATCCTCTCGATTGACACATTGACTAGAATCATGCGAACACAAACGACAATGGCACCGGTAGCCCCTGTAGTTGCGCCTGATTCTCAAGTGGTCCAAGTGCTGACCACTGCTGCCCAGCGAGTCGCGCAGGAGGCACAGTCACAAGTTGTGGCCTCACCCAACGAAGTCGGACCGGAGTTGCAGGCGCTTGCCAAACAGCAGCACGTCCTCACGGTGACTGCGCAGGCGATTAACACGAAGATGGCTGCAGAGGCGCAGGAGGGCACGTCTCAGTCCAATGCTCTGACGGCAGCCGCGCAGCAAGTCGTGCTCCAGGCGGCTCGCCAGGTAGCAGCGGACCGCTCAGTGGCCGCCGTTTCTGCCGGCATTCCCCCGTCGCAGAACTCGGCACCCCAGGTCACGGTGAAGGATGTGTCGGTGGCCACGCAATCCGCGGTGGCCCAGGCCGTCGACATGGTCGGACCTCTGTCCAGTGAGGTCGACGTTCTGATGACTGCGAGCTCGCTCCTGCAGCAGCAGACTCAGCAGACTCAGCAGACTAGGCCGCCAGTCCCACTGGTCATGGAGTCGCAACTTGCCGCTCTAGATGCTAGTCGGGCGCATACGACAGGCACAACACCGCCGCATTATGGGATGTCCATTCCGCCCACTTCACTCCCAGTCTTCTATTCTATGTCTTAGTTCTCGTTATGCGGACCAGTCGTTATGTTATGTGTTACATCCCGGGTTTGCCATAGACTGCACGCATGCATGGTTCAACGTCCCTTCATCACAGTCGTTTGCTGTATAATGTTTTGTAGAAAAAGCACCATTGCTGCCGCCGAACTTGTAATTACTAACAGTTATGTATGTACGTACATATTGTTTTCGCAACTTGTTCTTCGGACCGAGACTATTACAGGCTTGGGTCGGTCACTACTGCACAGTCACAGTGGAGTGTCGCAGACACTGCATGCAGCGGAGTCAAGGGCATTGCGAAAGTGCAAGCGGGGCAAGCTCTCGTCGAAGGATCTTCTGGTTGTGGAGAGGGTTGTGAATCCCCATCAGAAGCAAGGAGTCCACTGAGAAGAGTGCCCCCAAAGCCTTGACCTTCTGCTCTCCTCTTCCCATGGCGCTCCGCTGGTTCATCATCCGAATCGCTGAGCAAGTTGATATCTTCGGCCTGTTCTTGTAGATCCAGCAAGTCATTCGATAGAATACCCAGAGACGAGAGTGTCGATGAGCTGTTGTCAAGTTCATGACCGTGATGGAAAAGTCGCTGAGATATCACTGGTGTGCCGAGTTCGTCCTGGAGCTGCACGTTGCTGTAGGTCACCGAAGCGATGTCCGAACGGGTAGACACATACCATAACCTTGAGGTCTTTCACCGACATGGCACTTGTGACGGTAACCCGACGTCGTTTGCCGTGTTCCTTCACCTGCCTGATCCTGCTTGATTGTCGCAGTGCAGGAGCCTTCCGGGAACCATACGTGATGAGTGTAGACGGCTTCGCTGTTTCAGCTACCCGTCCAGCTGTCATTTCTTCGGAGTAAGTTTCGGGGGTGGGTGTTGGGGCGCCACGACCAAGAATGCGAATGGTGAGTTCAGTGACATCGAACGTAGATTTCCTAACGCCTTCTTAGTATGCAACGGGCATAGCATGGGTAGACGTACCTCTTCAGACGACACGGCGCACACACTGATAACTCATGTTCGATCCTCGCACCCGTGTTTTCGATCGCAATCAAAGGATCGCCAGAATAACTGCATGGGCGTATTCTCAGTCTGTGAAGCTACGAGAGTGTAGAGAGACTTACAGTTCTTCGATGGTGTTCCAATCAGTACGTTTGATGATTGCAACCGAGGTGTCCATATCGCTGTTGACATTTGGGTCTAGGACAAGGAGGCCATGCTCACAGACGAAGAGCGAGTTGTTAAGTCTGTCTGGGCGAGGAACCTCAGCCGGACGTAAGAGCCATTGCCTCCAAGCTCGAACAAATTGAGCAGGAACAATGGCACATGGGACGTTTTCTAGCAATGCCGTATTCCCATTTAACGCATTGTCGTACATATGCTTGAGTCTGGCCTGAGTCGTTGGTCGTGAGCAGTCATCATGGTGACGATGCGTAGGACAAAGAACCTTTTCCTCTTCTGCTTGTCTTCGGAACTCACGCTTGTCTTCCTTAGAAATGTGCACGAGAGCTTCACATACTGGACACAATTCGGCTTCTGTCGACAGTGCTTCCCAGGTCGGAAATATTTGTTTCAGGAGAAGGCGAGCCTGCGTGATACAGTTAACTTAAGCACCCGCCGAAGCTACAGACGGTACCTCTGATGATATTCGCCGGCGGGCAGTAACGTTGGCAGATAGACCATCGTGTTCACATTTGACGTCTTGCACGAAGTCGGCAGCGTCTGGGGGAGGGTCTTCTTGAGAAGCGACGTGCATCTTAGGTTTCGATAGTCTCCAATCTGATCGACAGTTAGCTTGAGCTCAACGTGCCCCATGATCAACTTACCTTTCAGCCATTGCTTAGAGATCCAATAGCCAGGCTCGTCCTCTTCGACCCCAGATAATTGGTCAAATTGATCTACCAAGCGTGGATGTTCAATGTGATATAACTTCTCTATACACAGAGCATTAGAAGATACGATTTTGATTCAACTCGACCGCACCGTTGAAGATCAATGCGACGCAGTCTTCGCAAATATCAGATGGACGAAGTTCCGGAGCTAGTTCGCAATCATCTTCCGCTGCGATACGTTGGTGTGCAGCCTGCAACAAGTGGGCGAACTTCATTGCCAGTTTTAAGGATACAGAAGTGACTCACAGTAGTTATCAACTTCATATCACCCGCCTTACTGGGATTCAACCGACCATGCTCACACAAGACCTGCGACATCACTATGACATGCTTGTCACTACCTGGCTCTACTGTTGTTCAGACTGACGTAGCCCTTTGACACACGATGGGCCACTCACTTGTGTCTACACTATGATCTTCCGTGGGAGAGGAACTGGCCGGCTCAGGTGCATCTTTTGAGCCTGGCTCAGACTCAGAGGGAGAGGCTTTGAGGTGTCGCGACACCCACGATTCAAGACCTCGCCGACTCGCCACCACACAATCCTTTACAGGATGTGTCAAGTAGCGGCAATTCGTGCATGTTCAGAACGTACCTGATCACGAGAAGTGAGGTTCCACGACTTGACAATACCCATGATCCTCTGGCGTATCTCGTCAAACTGAGCTAGAGTTCGATGCTTCCTGTACTGCTGGTCAATCCAGGCACGGCCGTATATGCCAGGCTTCCTCACTTGTCACCATATGCTTCGCACGCTGCAGTATGCGCCTTATTTAACGCATTAACTGCTGCTTCCGCCCGTTGAGGTGGTCTCGGAAGCGACACGCCGACTCTGTGATTGTCGAGATCTGTAAGGCTGGACGTCGCTACAGGCCGCTTGCCATTGGCTTGTGAAGCAGGCTTGACATCGTCAACGCGGGAATAGACCAGCATGTAAGCATCCTTGGATGAGATATATCTAGACATACGGTTAGATTCTGTTGAGATCGACATAAATAGCATCCCTACAGTGGTCTGTCAAGCAAGGACTTCTCGGCGGACGCCGGTGGAGACTGTCTGTATTATCCGTTCAGATCCATCCGACTGCCTCAAACTCGAAAACATACTCCAGAATCTCGATGTCGCTGTCGCTGTGAGCGGAACGAGGCTTTCTTCTTAGCTTTGCCATTAGGTACTGCCTGTGCTATTATAGTCTTCCTGTGAACATCATTGCTGTGTCATTATTCGGCGGGCTCGGGAGATCCAGTACATGTACTTCGCTTTCGGGCCAGCCTTGGGCCCATTCTGCACTTTGCCCGCAAGCGAGTCGATCTTGGTCACTGTCTCGTCGTTGAACTGGTACCACGACTGGGTCCTTCGTACATCAATGTCAAGACGAGGGGGCGGGCTGATGGTGGGCATACACTCACTGAACGTCGAATACTTGCGCTTCGTAATGCCCATGATAGGCACTGGCTCCTTTGTGCAACAAGATACCCCGCAGTTGGTACAGATTTTTCTCTTGACCATCGCCCTTCCTCCGACGCTTACGAGGGCCCGACTCCGGTGGACCGAGGAACCTATCCATATCGATGGTAGTCGGAAAGGATATGTTGTGCTTGCTCTTTTTGCGCTCCATTGTCGAGAGGTCATATACGAAGCGCAACAAAGAGAAATGAAGCACAGAAGGTAGAGAACTAAGTTCCATGTGTCGTTTGGCATCTTGCAGTCCATCACACCTCGGGCAAGAGTACCTGGAGACATTGAGACACGACCGACGGGACATGAGGTGGCGATGAGGCCTACTGATTATCCCCGGACATCATCTCGGGTTCGAGTAGAGCACCTAACCGTTCCTCGAGCGTCGAATTGTTCTGCAGATTGCATTAGGCGATTTCCGAAAGAATCGACCATAACGTATGTACCTTGATGGTGACCTCGAGCTCAAGGAAGTCCGAGCTCCGTTCTGAACGATACTGGCACTCTTGGCACGTGGTGATGTAGGTATGTTTGCCTTGAAACTAGGTGCCATGAGCAACCGAACATAGACAAGAGCCTAGGTGGTATACTGTACCTGGTTGGCTATCAACGTCTTGAGTGTTGGGTCAGCCTGTTTCTGAAATTCTGTATCGAGGTGGGCCATGAACAGCTTTGAAAATCTGAACACGTCTGAGAAAGCACAGAAGACGATCATATCCAAGCACATACTCTTGCGCATCCTGCTGTTCCGTAGTTCTGAGTTTCAGGCTTTCCACCAGTTTGACGGGATTGAAAGCACTCTCGATACCCTCCTGCATTGCTGCGAAGGTGACTTGTAGCTGGAATATCGGTGAAACCTATTGACAATAAGTCATTGATTGGAGTACCACTACGATCAATTCACCTCTAGGTTGAACTTCTCGTCCTCGGGCAGTTGACATCGGTATACGCCATTGCGAAAAGGCAGGTCCTGGAACCATACCTACAAATGAAGGTTGAGCCGAGTAGGCATACGCAGTGGAAGATGATTACTTGAATGTATGCGTTTGCATAGCATGTGGCACCCAGGTTCTAGGGAGACAAAGCCGGTGTTAAGTTCAGCTCAACATTGGATAGCTCATCCACATACTCTCAAGCCGACTGGATGTCCAGGCCTCCTCGCGTTCTCCGCTGGATTGTCTCCGAGATTGGCAGTTTTCACAAAAGCCTCACGCGCTTTAACTAACGGGACGTTGTCACGACTTACAGAGTCTTCACGAGCCAATGCTCTCACCTTCGTCATCCCATTTCTCTTGGCCGAGATAGTTAAGACAGTACGGATTTGCCTTGCAGACCTTACTGTTACATCTAGGTGCCTCATCGTCCGAGATGACAATGATATCGTCCTCCAGTTCACCCGCTGCCACCTTCCCACCACCGTTAGAATCGCCTTTCACTGAAGGCGAGGACCTAGGAACGGCGTAGCGATTCAAGCAAAGCGGATGTGAGCTGTTCTCAGAGAAACCACAGGTAGCCAGACGATGTTGTTGGGTGATTTGTGACACGTCGGCCACCTCTACGCCCACCCAACCCCAGGCTGAATACACTCTGCTGTCGGTGAGCTTCGCGCGCTTGAGCCGTTCTCCGGCAGTTAGCCCAGAGTGTGAAGGTGATGTGCGTCGATTCCGTTTCGGCGGCATGTCAGAGACGGCGACAAACCCGAGCTAGTCGTGTAGGATGTTCGAGCAGGAGCAAAGCAGGAGTGGATTCCGGCTGGTTCACGCGACGCTCAAGCGCTCAGTGCCTACGGGCGCTTAGCTCTTGGCGGTTGCTTTAGATCTCAGATCGAGATCCGTTCAAGCATCCCCGAAGATTTCGGTCCAGGCGCAGACCGCACCGCGACCCTCTTCTCCTCAACCTCCCACCATGTCTCGTCCAGAGCTGCAAGCACCGCCGGAAATTGTAGGCATATGCAAAGACACTTACGTCCTGTAAACAAGCTAACCTCGCCCTTGTTGCCAGTATTATGGCGACACAGAAGCCAAAAAGTACACCAACAAGTGCGTCAAGTCTTGCTTTCCGACAGAGAACCGAATCTCATCTCACCACAGCTCTCGTATCCAGCAGATTCAAGCCGATATGACGTATCGTGCTTTGGAACTACTCAGCCTGCCTCCTGACCAACCCGCCTTCCTACTGGACATCGGATGCGGCTCTGGGCTCTCAGGTGAGATTTTGGACGAGCAAGGCCATCTGTGGGTGGGCGTAGACGTTGCACCGAGCATGCTAGGTTCGATGATGTTCTCAATTATCTCCTCTTTCGCTTTACTTACAATATATAGAGGTTGCGCTTGAACGGGAGGTAGAGGGCGATCTATTTCTGCAAGACATTGGTCAAGGCTTTGGTTTCCGACCTGGTAGCTTTGATGGCGCAATTAGGTTCGTGCTTGCTGCACATGTGTCATTCCTTCTAACAATGCTTTAGCGTATCGGTCATTCAATGGCTACTGAATGCCGAAACGTCCCACCCAACGTCCTCTCCCCCGCACCGCCTCACACGCTTCTTCACGACACTCCATGCAGCACTACGTAATCCGTCTCGTGCAGTCCTTCAATTTTATCCGACTTCAGACGACCAAGTACAATTGATTACTTCGATAGCGCAGAAGGCAGGATTCGGTGGTGGTGTGGTAGTGGACTATCCCAACTCCAACAAGGCACGGAAGGTCTTTCTCTGTCTTTTCGTAGGAGGAGGCGGTGGTGCGCAACAAGTCCCGAAAGGTCTGGAGGCGGAAGAGGAAGATGGCCAGGCTCGGTTCGAGGCCTCAAGACAACGTCAGCGAAAGCGAGATAAGAACGGCAAACGGAAAAGTATCAAAGACAAAGATTGGATCCTTCGAAAAAAGGAGGTATGTTGGGCCTCCAGACTGTACGGTGATGACAGCTTATCCAATCATGCCAGCTATACCGACGGAGGGGCAAGGAAGATGTCCCTCGCGACTCAAAGTACACGGGTCGCAAGCGGAAAGCGGTCTTCTAGTCAGCAGATGTCTATCTGGATTTCCTTCGAGTGCTAGGGTCATTTTCGCAATTGAGCTTGTCCACAAATACACGTGGTTGACGGCAGCCCGGGCACGCAGTACAGTGTGCGCTCGTCAGCGCTGTGCTTTTAACAGGGAATATATACTTGAACATGAATAAATGCGTCAAAGATATCGCTCTGACTAGTACAGCGTCGTGCTTGTTCACACACCGTCTATTGCGGCACTGTACGGAATGTCGGCCCACGGAGACCCGGGAGAAATTCTTTATCAGGCTAATCTTGCGGTCACCTGCGGTAGCTACGAGTGGTTTACCAAACGGGACAGGAGCATAAAAGTAAGTGATCGCAGATTGTCGACATTCGCGCGCTCTGTACCGTTCCCTCACAGCTCTCAACCTCGTGCTGGAAGGCCTCCTGGTGACAACATGTTGGTGGACGAATCACCGCTTCTTGGTACACTATGCTGCATTATACGTAATGTGATAGTGCTGACCACCTATGTCACCATCCAGATCTCAAAATCAAGAGGCCACGGCAGATAGCCCAATCGGCCGCCTGGAGCAGAACCGGGCATAACACGCTCAGGTCGCAGATGAACATGAGCGCAGAAGACTTCGACACATTCGTTGTACGTCATGACGCTCCGGTCTGCAGCGTCCGAAACATGTTCATAACACTTCTTAGAATATTATCAATGAATCTGTTGACAATCATCTCGATGTCTCGCTCCCGTGGACTCAGCAGTCCGCTGACGCAAAGTCCGCGCACATCAGTGAGGTAACATCACACCCGTAATCTTTCTTGGAGTTCTTCAGCTCACGGGCGGGGCCTACAGGTGGCTCAACGCTGCACTCTGATGGACAAATATGATGGCTATTGGCCGGTCGAGGCATACACCACGAAGTTTGCCAAGTTGGCGAGTAGGCAGTCCAGCAAGCCAGCAAGCACACAAGACAAGGTTTGCCCTATGAGCCTCTCGTAGCTGAATGCTTGTTGATAACTGTTTTAGTCTGGGTCTTCCCAGATCATTCGCGTCGTCGGCAAGGGACACCGCAGTGAACCCATCCGCAAGGAGCCCAGTCGTAAGGAGCCAGTCACAAGGCCTCTTCCGTCAAGAACCACGCCTCCGCGAAACAGAAACCAACGTCATCGCCTGCAGTGATCCGCACCAAGTCTAGACGGTTCTATGCCGGGGTATGTCCCGTCAAGATCAAGCGCAATTCTTCTTCTCCACCTCCACGGAGGTATGTGAATCATCAAACGTACTCTTGACCGGCTAAGCCTACATTATCCATCGGCAGATCGATTTCCACAGTTTGTCGCCGGTCAGCGACGACTCGATATCGGCTCAGCCCCAGCCATTCAAGCGCAACGTAGCACCACGCCCCCCTTCCGTTCAGATGGGCGACTTCGAAGCAATCCGCAAGTTCCTTGCGTCACTCAGCCTGCCGCTGATTGAACTGCTACCACGGTTCGTCGAGCTGGGGATATACAATGAGGACAGGCTGCATTTGCTAGCCGCCAGCCCGGCCAAAGATAGGTATATGGTCATTAGTGAGCTTGACTTGGACCCCATGTCATCTATGGTACTTAGGAGAGGCCTGCTGGATTTGAATGCGCAGCTATGAAGGCGCACTGAAGACATTAATCGAATGTATCGCTATCCTGACATGTACTATATCTATATTTACCTCCCTCTGCTGAGCTATGATGTAACGAACTGCGAATATACACGTAGCGCGTCCGACCACTAGTACTGGGTGGCTGCAACAATTCGACTTATGCGTCCTAAAGTCTGCATACAGAGCTCCTGCATCATGATTCACCTCCCCTCAATTGATTCTACAAAGATTCGATTCGATACACATGCTTCGATCAACCTCCGTACGTTAGTGACATGACGCTCTCTGCGATTGGCATACACGATTATTCATAACAGTGGTGTCGTAACGGAAGACGATTCTCGGGGTAGCAGATTGCAATGTAATGTGTATATGGAACAGTATGGATCACAAAATGTGTGAGCGATAAGCCAGGGTGAAGCGATGAGAAAAGCGTATTCGTTATGCTTAGAAGTCGTCGTCTTCTTCCGGGAGAGGGACAGCCTCGGCCTAGACCACTAATCAATCGTTTATCAGACAAGGTCACAATAGAACGTACCTGTGCAAGCTCCTTCTGGTACTGCTCCATGAGAGCGGGGTCAACCTGGACCTCAGCCGGTGCGAGAGCGGGTGCGGCAACGAACTCCAACGCCGGGTTACTGGGCGAAATAAAGTTGGCATAAAGACATCAATGCGATTGAGCCAAACTTACCCAACAAGCTTCCTCGCAAGCCAAAGGAAGGGCTTTTCGAAGTTGTAGTTGGACTTCGCGGAGATCTCGAAGTACTGGATGTTCTTCTTCCGGTGGAAGGTGACCTGACCAGTCTTTACTTTCCGCTCCTGCAAGATCACGCGCAGTCAGCCACAGCAGCGGCACAATGATTCATCTGCAACGCACCTTCACGTCGACCTTGTTACCGCAAAGCACGATCGGGATGTTCTCGCAAACACGCTCAAGATCGCGGTGCCAGTTGGGCACATTCTTGTACGTGATGCGAGAGGTAACATCGAACATGATGATACCGCACTGGCCCTGGATGTAGTAGCCATCACGGAGACCACCGAACTTCTCCTGCCCGGCAGTGTCCCAGACGTTGAAGCAGATCGTGCCGAAGTTGGTGGAGAAGGACAGAGGGTGCACCTCGACACCGAGAGTGGCTGCATGGTGTGGCGCGTGAGCGACGACGACGACGATACACACCTCGCACGCATCGAGCTATCGCGACATACCGATGTACTTCTTCTCGAATTCACCCGTCAAGTGGCGCTATGGGGTGGATAGATCAGTACGCGATCAGACAGGCTAACGGACAAACGCGTCCCACATACCTTGACGAAAGTGGTCTTTCCAGTACCTCCATCGCCAACTGCAGTCCATCAGAGTTCATCGCGCAGTGAGGCAAGGTCCGGGATGTTAGAGGAGGCGAAGGGGACACAAAGAACGCGAATGGTGAGTGTCGATCGAGAAAACGCGTCAAACACAACGGGTCAGAAAGCGCGTAGGCCACTGGGCGATCGAAGCGTACCAAGCACAAGCTTGAAAGTAGGGATCGTAGACTGATCGGCCATGGTTTTGCGAGGACGGGGGAGATATAGAGGAGGATGGGAGTAGAAGAAAGAGGAGGGTGGTGGTCCTGAGTGAAAACGCGAACGCAAAGAATCTGGCAGGTCTTTGGGATTAGATAAGTGAGTTACGTAAGCATGCGTTCATCCCTCGACACTTTCCGCTCAAAATGGAAGTTGTGTGCTTTGTGAAATCCTACTTATACTCCTTGCTCACTCGCAATGGTCGATGTAAGGGTACGAAGTGGGTCGGGTAGACGGCAATATTCATCAACGTACGGCGTAGTATTGAGTACATAGCTTCGAGAGACATGACTCGAGCGATGCGTGCTAGTGCTAAGTAACGTCGCCGTTTATAGCTGGGGCGGGCAATTAAAGGCACAGCGTTTTGTTCCCTTCGATTGAGTGTCGTAACACGGAAGGACGGCGACGCTGCTCGCGACGCGTCTGCAATTGTGACGGCGACATCCCGAGCAAGGAAATCATTTGTCGCTCTCGATGGTACCTAGTTCAACAGCAGGATCATCTGAGCAGCACATGGGATCTACGCCGCATGTACATTTGTCGCGATGAGCGCAACATCGGTGACCATTTGTACGACCGTGCCTAGCAATCCTAGTCATCTTAGGTCGACAAGCAGATGCCTAGAGGGGCAGCATTAGGCTAATTGATCACGGGAGAGAGCGACGACCAGTAGCAAGCCCATCGCAGACTGCAAGCGGTCTCGGTGCGCTGGGTTGGGCCCGTAGGGGACAGAGCTTGCGGCGCTAGTTGTTGAGTCGAGCTGACCGAGACTGACAGCGCGTACCTTGAAACAACGAAGTTTTCCGCTACATACAACATCTACGACGATGCGGTGCCTGTATTGCGCAAGGACGTCACGCACCCATACTCGCTGAGGGAGTTCGCGGGCGACACGCAGGAGTACCAGTGGAAGATGAATGGCAAGAAGAGTGCTCCCCGGCGAGTAAGCGAGAGCCGTGGATTAACAGCGTCTCTTCATGAAGACCATGACGAGCCGGGAGCTTGAGAAGGGTGGGTACAGGACGCATCCTTGGCCACCAAGCGGACACCATCCGACAGCGCTATGAGCGCTGGTCCATTTAGATGATCATACAAAGCTATCGGATTGACTGTCCGAGGGCGTCAGTTTCTCTGTAAAAACTGCGGTCAGTGCTCACCCTGAATATTTGAATGCCTGGCATATGGCAGTTCGGGATTTGTAACTCTGGAGGGCTCCCCTGGTCCTATTATCATTTTCTCAAGGGGAAGGAGCACCATAGTCCGAGCTTCCTTGTTGCAAACAGTGCTGCGACGCGAGAATTGCAAGTACCCAGAGACAGACAGACCAGAGATGTAAGTAATGAGGATGGTTGTCGCCGGTGGTTGTGGCATATAGTCGGTGGGCTATACATAAATGGCAACGATCTCCCTAATTATCCCAGGATCTCATCCAGATAACGTGATCGAGGAGGAGGCCCGTTCCTACCGGACAGAGAGCGGGTTGCACTCATCTTCGGCCTCGCACACGCAAGCCTACGGCTCGGACTCCTGAGTCAGCTGCCTTGCTGACTAGGCGTCGAGCGCGCAGCTCGGCCGCGTTCTGTGGGCCAGGGTGCATATACGACTGCAGACGACGGCGCAAGGGGAAAGCGAAAGCGCGTTTTGAGCACGTTCGGTGAAATCAGTCAGCTTGCGCAGATGGTGGCTTCAGTTGAAAGCAGATAGAACACAAGCGCCCGGCATCCCCGGCGCCTGATCGGGACGATGCCTCGGCCCGGCAGGAGGGTTCTCGACGGGCCAATGAGGGGGCGGCGGCATGCCGGCAGAATGTTGCTGGAAGAGCTTGTGGGGGCTCCGCTTACTTTTGGCCGGCAAATATATGGTATGCATCCGCAGGATGCGCGGGGCGTGTGTCCCCAGGCGTCCCTCAGTCGCGCTCTGTCTGCCCCCAGGCTTGTCCGGAATCCTCTACGTTCACTAGGTTCCTAGACTCGTTCCACAGCCATGGCCCAGCAAGCAGCCACCGTAAGCGAGAAGGGAGGGCGAGAAGACCCGCCTACCTCCCCGACGAGCGTAGAGTCAGGGAAGAAGACGAAGCCGGATTGGAGGGCAAATGAACAGCAGGTTCTGCCAGAAAACAAGCTGCCTATCGTATTTTTCGGCCTGATGGCTTCTGTATTCCTTTCTGCACTCGATCAAGTGAGTGCTGCCCCCCGATGTCATGAGAGTTTACTAAAGTCGTCCAGACAATTGTGTCCACCGCCTTGCCTACCATTGTCGAGAAAATAGGTGGAGGAAGTGAATATGGATGGGTTGGAAGGTACAGGGTTCATGAATGGTAGGATAATTGTGCACTGACCCGCTCACATTGAACAGTGCATATTTGCTTGCGGCCGCTGCTCTCTCGACTGTCTACGGAAAGCTCTCAGATATTGTCGGTTCGTATTGTCTAACAAGGTACTCAGCGCATCGTCTAACCCTTACCAGGCCGGAAACCCGTACTGTTCGGCTCGATCCTGATTTTCCTGGTCAGTGCCGTCCTGCACCGCCCGCATGTATAAACTACCTACTGAAGATGAACTGCTCACAGATCGGCTCCGCGCTATGTGGTGCCGCACAGAACATGACCTGGCTTGTCGTCTGCCGTGCCGTCCAAGGTATCGGAGGTGGTGGCATCATGCAGCTCGTGCAGATCACTATTTCAGACATTGTGTCACTCCGAGAGTAAGTGGCTTGCACTCACTTGTATTTGGCGTGGTTCACAGTTGTCTAGCCGAGGGAAATACGCAGGTCTCATCGGAGCAACTTGGGGAATTGCGAGGTAAGGCAAACCTCTGGTAAGGGGCTTCTTGTCCACTGACGCATGTCCGGATGTTAGTGTCATAGGACCCCTTCTTGGTGGAGTGCGTGATATCCTTTCTGGCATTCGGGCGCGGCCGTATCTGACGAACATATCCTAAGGTGTTTGCAGAGCACGTTTCGTGGAGATGGTGAGTTACCCACCATTCCAGAGAAACACGGCCTTGACTGACCAAATCCCTCGAACAGGTGCTTCTTCATCAATCTGTAAGGACCCAAGCAGTATGCAGAGCTCACCTTCTGATCGTAGCGAACCATAGGCCAACCGGTGGAGTGGCGTTCGGCATCCTGTACTTCTTCCTGAACCTGAATCCACACCACGGCAAGCCGTTCCGCGAACATGTCCGGGAATTCGACTTCGTCGGCCTCATCCTGATCATCGGCGGGGTTGTGTGCATTCTCATCGGCTTCAACTATAGCGAGAACTCCTGTGAGTCATCGCTGTGATTTTTAATGTTCCTATCTAATGGAGTCCTTCGGAGAAGGGGATTCTGCTGCGGCCATCGCGCCGTTGGTGATAGGCGTCGTCCTGCTGCTACTCGCCGTTGTGAATGAGATATTCACGCCGAGGTCACCCATCGTCCCCCCACGCCTCTTCAGAGTAAGCTTTGATCATGGTGTTTAATGGCTCAAGCAGTTGATAATTATTTACGATCTTCCTGTTAGGTACGAACAACCGCCTTCATTTCCATCTCCGTCTTCATACACGCCATAGCCTTCTTCAGTGGTACATTCTACCTGCCTGTATATTATCAGGTACTGGGTGCATCGGCCACGATGTCTGGCGTTAGGTGTGTATTGACAGACTCACCTGCCAGTATGTCACTGCTTACAGTCGAGCGCAGGATGCTTCCCTTTTCACTCGGGGCGTCAATCATGTCTGTGGTCTCCGGCCAAATCGTCGCGAGGACTGGCCGCTGGAGACCCGTGATGTGGGTCGCATGGGCCATGTTTACCCTGGGCTACGGCCTCATGATCATGCTCAGCGAGTCGTCGTCAAAGTAGGTATACAGCTCCACGCCCCAGCCGCTTGCTGACACGGGCAACCGTCCATCATATTTATAGCGGCGTCAAGGAGGCCATCCCGCTCATTGGTGCCCTCGGCCTGGGCTGCCTGTTCCAGGTAAGGAGGCTGCTGCCAGTCGCCCGATGCATGAACGCTGATTTCCGGCCTCTCGCAGACGCCATTAATCGGCTTGCAGGCAGCGATGCCGCTCAAGGACATGGCGACGACCACGGCGACCTTCGGCTTCCTCAGGTGCGGACTTCGGCTTCCCTCGCCCCTCCCACAGCGCGCGCGCTCCGAATGCGCCTTACTGACAGATCGGTTTCGCAGGTTGCTCGGCGGATCTATGGGCGTCACGATTGGCGACGCGATCCTCTCAGGGGTGCGTGTAACTTTCGTTGCGTCACTGAGGCGCTGTGCTGATGGTGGTGTGGGCGGATTGGAATAGGTGTTGCAACGGAAGGTCAAGAACATCCCGGGGCTGGACATCAACACGTCGGCGTCGAACCTGAACCAGTTCGTCCCGCAGATTCAGTCGATATCCGTGAGTGACGATGTGGAGGCTTGTCCCGCCGTCCTGAAGTTCACGTTCTGTCTTAGGATGTAACGACCCGCATCGCCCTCATGAAGGCATATTGCGAGGCCATCAGCACGATCTGGATCGTTGACACACCAATCATTGGTGTCGGTTTCATCCTAGGTGATCGCGCTCCTCCGTTCTGCGTTCTGCGCGAGTTCCTGACAGTTTCGCTCGCAGTCTTGTTTTTGCGCGGCTACACGCTCAAGCGGAACGTCGTCCGCGGCGGCCAACAGCCAAGCACAGCCGACGTCGAGAAGGGTCAGGCGGAGGCCGTCGCGGAAGGCAACCCAGGCGACATGGCGATCGACCCGTCCGCCGGCGACGACGGCGCGACCCAGGAGAGGACACAGACGTCCATCTCAAGAGAGGACACGCGCACCATTGCGGGTGGCGAGGAGGTCGGCCGGAAGGAAAGCGAAAAGCAGTAAGTAGCCGCGAGGGGATCTTTCATGATGCATGTACGAACGGATTTACTTTTTATGACACGCACGCACGACACGAACGGGGATGTGCCGTAGCATAGAGACACTACTAGCATACATTCCACTACTCTTTGCACTATGATCATATGCGGACGACGGCCAGCGTCTCCGTACTTCGGAACGGCAGTGATTCATTGAGGATCTGAGCAGGACGCACGGTCAGAGCTCGATCGCAGCTTGCGGCGAACGATAGATTACGGAAACATGATCGCGGGCCTGCGGGATCCCTGAGCACCAAGGATTCGGGCACACTTTGAGTGTTGGGATCACCGAACGTAGATTCCCGGCGGTACAGAGAGATCCGCATGCGCCCTCGCGGCGGCGATTGGATGGGGCGAGCGTGCAGGGAGGGTGACCCTTTACATGCCTCTTGCAACGTACGTCGGCAGCGGTGCACGTCGGGGGTGCCCCGAGCGCCGCGGGGTCGCTGACCGTAAGCAACGGAGGTCACGGCTGCTTCTCTGCGCGCCTCGCTGGGCAGTCGCGCATGGAGCGGAAGGGGGACTGGTGTCACCCCCGCTGCGTCGGGCCTGCGGGGACGGTTCGACGAGCGCAGGGAGAGGACCGAGGTGACTGGTGAAACGTGCGCGATGGGGAGCTCCGCCCGACGCAGCGCCTCGGGGGCTTCTCATGCAGGCACTGCAGGGGATGCGCTGACGGGTGTCAGCAGAAGGGAGGGGCAGGGAGCACGCGCCATGACGGTACCGTAAAGGCGATCGCCTGGGGGCGGCTAGTGCCCGCGAGCGTAGTGCGACAGCCCAAAAGGGGGCCGCGGGGGAGACGCCTGGGGTGGCGGGCAGGGAGGCGGTGCAGCGGGCGCACGGACGACGGCGCAGACAGACGGGCAGGCGGTACAGACATGAGTGGGCAGGGCAGGAAAGCGGGTCTGGCTGCGACTGGCCTTTGGGCGAGTGGGTGCGCGTAAGGATATGGGTGATTGCCGCACGTGCAGACCGAAGCACTCGCCGCTTCGTCGACCACCGTCGAGCTCCCACACGCTCTCCCCACGCTTTTAGGCTCCCCCGTCCGCCCTCCGACTCCCCGTCCCCGTACACTCTCACTCTCCTCCACACTATGCCATCAGAGCACCCCGTTCCCGCGATACACGACCAGCCCTCCTCAGACTCCTCGCAGGGCCAGGTCAAGCTCTGCTCCGCATGCCATTGCCCCCTCTCGGCGGACTCTCCCAATTCTGCTTTCTTTCTCCACGGCGACCCTGAATCCAGCGAGACTACCATTGTCTGCGGTCCATGCCACACCCGTCTCGCCCCCCTCCGTCCAGATGCGCCGCTCCCGCCCGACGAGTACTTCACCATGGAGCGCGAGCTCTTACGTCGCGCGGCTTCCCTGCAAGGCGGCCACAACGAGGCACCGGCCCCACCACGCAGGGAACCCAGCCTTCACGCGACGCACTCGCCGGTCGACCGTCGTCTTGATGTCGACGAGGACATGGACCGTTTGCCCAGCGCCCCGTCGACCGTCCATGTTCAACAGCACCCGACATGCTTACCGACTCCGTCAGAGACGCCTGTCGTCCACGTTCCCGCTCGCCCAACCCCCGCACCCATCGATACCAAGCTCACCCCTCCTCAGCCTTCCCAGCCATCCGCGACAGCACAACTATCCCCGGTCCAGCTCGCTACCCCGTCTACGAGCAGGACACGCTCAAACGCAGCGCTTGCCGTGTCGCCTGACCCGTTGTCGGACATCACGCGGCTACGAGTACGCTCGCAAGGACATCACTGTCTCTACCCTGGCGCCACATTTCAGGGTACGCAGAAGAGCGGGAGGAACAGCTACGACGTCAACGTTACCATAGTGGTCAGTGTCGGAATCATGACGGGTTCATTAATTGTCAACTGAAATGATTGTCATAGGACGTCGACTTCGCGTCATCGCACTTGTGTGGTTATTTGCGCATACGCGGGCTGACGGATGATTGGCCTGAGCTCACCACATATTTCGATGCCGAGATCATCGGAAGCCGGTACGGATTCTTGACGAGGAATTGGGGAGCAACGGAGCAGGATGATATGGTTCATTGGGCTCGCTTCCCTGCCTTCAGACATGTCCGGCATGAACTGAAAAAGCCGCACATGACGATGAAGGACGCGAACCGTGGTGCGGTGTTCATGAGGTGGAAGGAGAAGTTCTTGGTTCCCGATCACCGTGTACAGGACATCAACGGCGCGAGCTTCGCAGGTATGTGCCATTTCGACTTCAAATTCATGAACGGCCTGTCAAGTGGTCGTTTGCGGTTCATTTGCTGACGTACCTTGATGTGCAGGGTTCTACTACGTCTGCGTTGACTTTAACCCTCAGCAGTCCGGCTCCACGGGTGTCCATAATTCCCCGTCTCCCACGTCCTTTGATCCGTCCACACAATTGCCGTCGTCGCCCCCCGCAAGTAACAAGCCGGAGCTCAGCCCGCGCTCACGGCGAGCATCCGTGAATCAGGGTGCGAAGAGGCAAGGCCGCTCGCGATCGCGCGGCGTACCATCGTCCCCTGTAGCGACCATGAGCGGGTTCTACTTCCACCAAAACTCGGAACCGTGAGTGACCTTATCCTGCGGGGCATCATAACGGTGCTGACCGACCTTTGAACAGATATCAACAGCTCTCGCTGGTGCACGTACCGGAGGGTACGACGTCATCCTTTGAATTCCGATGAAGCTGCGCTGCTAAGGAGGGATACCAGGATGAAAAGCTGTCTTGGACACGGAGTCGCCCAAGCAGTGGCCTTCGTCGTATCCTCTCCTGACGTGCGCTCGCACTCACCTTTGCTATCATGTGCTGTCTGGGTCTTGTACGTAGTCGTGTTACCCCCTGCCCGCAGGACCGCATCTGCCCCCATCTCATTGCCACTGGCGCCCCGCTCGCATATCTCCCTCACGCCGTGTTATGACCTGTTGTGTATTAGTCTGTGACATGCCATACCATGCCCATAATAACGCGTTTGTTGTGTGACTGTTGAAGAGAGTGTGGCTGGCGCGCCCCGCAAGCGCCGGTGCTGTTGCGCGGCCGGCAAGTGCCGAGGGCGATAATAGGCAACGGTTACAGGAGAGGTCGACGTCGGGCCTCTGGCCTTCCCGCTTCTCCCTCCTCGCCGTCAAGCCCACTGCCCGACATGGCCTCGCACGCACACTCATCCTCCTCCACTGCGAACATCGTCGGCGTCCACTACCGCGTAGGCAAGAAGATCGGCGAGGGCTCCTTCGGGGTCATCTTTGAAGGTACAGACCTCTTCCCGCTTCCCGCACTGAAGCATCACGGACGCTCGCGGACGCCCTGCTCATACATGCTTCGTGTCCAGGCACAAACCTCCTCAACTCGCAGACTGTCGCCATCAAATTTGTACGCGCCGTTGCCTTTCGTGACGCGGGCCGGGTGCTCACGTCCACGTCTTGTTAGGAACCGAGGAAAGCGGAGGCGCCGCAGCTTCGAGACGAGTGCCGGTCGTACCGAATATTGGCAGGATGCCGTGAGTCGTGCGCGTGTGCTCCTCCTGACCGGCCTCCGCTGATGCGGGCCACGATGCAGCGGGGATCCCGCAAATCTACCACTTCGGCCAGGAGGGTCTCCACAACATCCTGGTCATCGACCTCCTCGGGCCCTCTCTCGAGGACCTGTTCGACATGTGCGGGAGGAAGTTCTCGATCAAGACGGTCTGCATGGCCGCGCGGCAGATGGTACGGGCGACGCCCTCAGCGGTCGTAATGCGTAGCTAATGCGCCGCCCAGATCACTCGCGTACAGACAATACACGAGAAGAACCTCATCTACCGCGACATCAAGCCCGACAACTTCCTCATCGGCCGGCCGAGCACTAAGGCTGCTAATGGTACGCCTACGTAGTCTTTGAGGGTCTCCGCCATTCTGAGTGCGTTGTTGTGCAGTCATTCATGTGGTGGACTTCGGTATGGCCAAGCAGTACCGGGATCCCAAGACGAAGCAGCACATCCCGTATCGTGAACGGAAGAGTTTGAGTGGTACGGCGCGGTACATGAGTATCAACACCCATCTGGGTCGAGGTATGTCTTCGCTCCGCTTCATGACCGGTGCGACCTAACATGCGTATGCAGAGCAGTCCCGTCGGGACGACCTCGAGTCATTAGGTCATGTCTTCATGTATTTCCTGAGAGGGAGCCTGCCATGGCAGGGTCTCAAAGCCGCTACCAACAAGCAGAAGTACGAGAAAATCGGGGAGAAGAAGCAGACGACACACATTAAGGACCTCTGCGATGGGTTCCCGGGTGCGTCGTGTTTGCTTGCCCTACCGGCCCAGCTCATTGTCTGTCCAGAGGAGTTTGGCATCTACCTCAACTATGTTCGAAAACTGGGCTTCGAGGAAACCCCCGACTACGACTTCTTGCGCGAGCTCTTTGTGAAGGTCATGAAGAACAACAATGACGTCGACGATGGAGTGTATGATTGGAACCTGCTTAACGGTACGCGCTTCGTTTGGATCCGCTGTGAACGTGCGCTGACTGCGTGCTTCTGATAAGGTGGGAAAGGATGGGAAGCCTCATTGGTGCGTTCAAATCAACACGAGGAGACAATGTGGTGCTGACTGCTCCCTATAGGGCCAGAACCAGATCCTCTCTCAAATCCAGAACACGTCTCCGGGCCCGGGCCAGGATCGTCGTCGGGATGTGGACCGCCAGGCTCGCGATGACAGACGGAGAGTGTCGCAGGCTGGCCAGGGCGTTGTGCCTCCGTCACCCGCGCTTGTACGGCACGGGTCCAAGCACCGCGCAATACCTGGGACGCCTGGCGGCGCGTCGACTCCAGGACCGATTACACCCATGTCTTCGGCCGCGGCTCATGTGGATGTCCCCATCGGCACAATGCAGCGTCGAATCAGCCAGCAACCCAGCGCGCAACATCCGTATGCCAATCCTGGACACGACTCGTTCGTGAGGGAAACGACGGTGGACGAGTATTCAGCGACGCAGCAACCGTACGGCCGTGTATCACCAATGGTCTCCTCCGTCGGTGCGGCGCCCCCTGCTCTGAGCAACGTGCGCGCGCTGGGAGGCGAGGTGGGAGCGTCCAACGGCGCCGGATACCAGGGCCAGTCCGAGGCGGAGCCGCAACAAAGCTCCCTCTGGAAGATTCTTACATGCCGGTGTGGCTGAGCCCTCCGTAGTTTTCGTTACGTTCTCTCGTCACCTCTGGATCTCCACGCCGTCACGCTCACTCTCGCTACGCTCGCTACTGATCTCGTCCACGTATACCTGTCTGCACTTTCGTCATTGCTATCATGCCTCTGGTCTCCCGTGCTTGACACCTTAACAACGTCTCTTAATATTTTCTAATCCGCACAATTTGTTTCATTGGTAGGCATTCGGTCGGTTGTCCCTGGTTATGGGCAATGGTAGTACAAGCAACATCTACATGGTATCAAACATGGATGAGAAATCCGAGGCAGTCCTGGCGAGTAGAGGAGTCGACGCTATCCAGCCATCCAGGTAATGATACAGTACTCGTATACCCTACGGAGTTTATAATACAGAAGTGTTACGTACATGATGGACGCAGAAGTACAAGCCATGCATATGAATATTGTCGGATTGCAGGCAGCATAGTGTCGAAGTGCACAGCACAGCGGGGACGATTATGAAAACTGATCTGGAGACTGGGATTGGGATTGGTGGCCGGTGTCGCTGCGGCTAGCTGTGTCGCTGAAGGAAGAGTCTGACTACGCGTAAGACACTATCCTGAGGCGCATAAACAAGTCACCAGAGCTCACCTGGGCCGTGAGCCTCCCTCGACTCGGAGCCGGAAGCGGATGACACGCTTGATAGGGATGAGGATTGTACGGAGATCTCGCCGTCGTCCTTCTCGTCCCTGTCGTACGTATCTTCCCAAAATGCATGCGACTCGGTCACGGACTCGGCCGGCCGCGGCCAGGTTGAGGGGCTCCTCTCACTGTGACGCGCCGGTGTAGCTACATATCAAAGTTATTTCGTGTCGTACTGTCGAATGAGGCAGCACACATACCTTCTCGGCTTTGGTCGCGATCAGATTCCGGAGGTCCACGGGCTGAAAATGTACTTGGCTCGCGGGAGAATTGGCTGGGCCCGCGGCGAGGGAGAGAAACGGATGTAGGAATAGGTCCTGAACGATCCCCGTCGCTGGACTGCAAACGCTCGTGCAGCGGCCGATGACTACTGCTGGACTGTCCTCCCTCGTACTCGGGAGCCTGTGAGTTCGCATTCGTAACCCATTTCCGAGTGTGATCGCCTGAGGCGGGGTACGGCTGTCGCGGATGAGGGCGATTTGGGGATGCGTTTAGGTAGTTGCCTCTGCCACGGAAGTACGGCTGGCCGCGATTCGGAAGCCTGCGTCCGCGGCCTCCTTGTCCGTTGGGACCGCCATACCATCCTTGGCGCATGCCAGCGGGTGGCTGATTGGAATCCTCTGGCTGTCCACCGCCCCATTGGTCATCGCGCCCAACCTGAGCATGGTTCAGTGATAAAGAACGCATACTCGACGACATAGACGGACATACTCGTTGAGACTGGATGACTATGCCTGGGCTTGACGTATTCACCCCGTGTTGGTTTCCGACCAGGAACAATGGCTGAGCTTCGCTGAAACTCCCAATGGGTAGTCGTTGGGTGGCCTTCGTTATGAGCCCGCCGATGAGGTCCGTGAATTGTCGAAGCTGGTGATACATGGGTTGCATGTGGTCGGGAACACCGGAGGGATGTTGCAGTGCGCCGTGAGACCGCAAGTACGTTTCGAACTCATTTGCCAAGTACTGCAATCCCTCCTTATATCCCTCGACATCCCTTCTCTGGTCCTCGATTTGCCGGTCCTTCGATTTCAAGGCCTCCTGTGCGTTATGGAGCTTTCCCTCCACCAGTTCAGACATAGCTTTGTAGTGCCCGACCTCCTTTCTATGGTCCGAGTATCTGTGGTTGTCCATGTCGCGTTCTGAACGGAGCTTGTCGCATTCTGAACGAAGCTTGTCGCATTCTAAGCGGTACTTGTCACGTTCTAAGCGAAACTTATCGCGTTCTGAGCGAAACTTGTCGCGTTCTGAGCGAAACTTGTCGCATTCTGAGTGCAGCTTGTCGTAGTCTGAACGGGAGGTTGTGAGGTCGTGTACGGATTCCGCCAACTTGTCCTCTATGCGACTCTTGTCTTCTTCCAGTCTGATTCGCTTGGCCTCGGACTGCCGCAACTGGGCCCGTAGTTCCGACAGAGGCTCGGTACTATCGAGATGGGTCTGATCACGACCGCGACCAGCGTGTGTCCTAGGAGTAGACCGATGAGTGTGGGTTGTCTGTGGAAGAGCGTCGCAGTCAGAGGCAGGCATCCCAGGTGGTTTGCCCCGGGGTGCGCGAATAAGTGCACGGTTCCCGGTAGTACTTGCTTTAGACGATTGCGCAATAGGGTTGTCCCTCGCACTGGTCAGCTGTTGTGATGCTGTGCCGGTTGTTGGTTCGGGACATGGCTCGGGTCGTCGAGACTTGGGTTTTGCCTTCTTAGAGGCTGACCTCATCGTCTCGCGATCCGGGTCGACAAGATCTCTACCAGAGCGTTGCCGAGGACGTGCTGACGGAAGTCGAGATCCTTGTGGATCGTCACGTCTACCTCGGGGGATCGGATCCTCTGGTTCAGGATCAGGGGAATCGACTCGTCGTGCGACCCGTTTAAACTTGTTCGGTCCTGGTCGTTGTGAGTCTTGTGCCTGATTGTATGCACTCTGCATGACGTTGACAAGGGCTCCCCCGTAGTCGTCGTCAACGAAGTCCTGGTCGAGGACGATGTCAACAAGGTCGAGAGAGAGATAACGACATCAAATTCACCTCTTCCTGAGGCTTGGATGCCTTCACCCGTTTCCGCCTCGATGTCTGCTCGCTCGTGGCAGCTGCGTCCCTCTTTCTCTTGCTTGAACCAGATGCTGGACCGGATAGAAGAATATAAGCTCGATTATGTCGCTGGGGAGGTTCAGTTACGCTGCGCGCCGCCGTAAGCGTGTCGAATCGAGCATCGTCGATATGCGTTTGGGCGAAATGCTCCTGCGACATGACGCCGTCCGCGGGCGACGACTCTTCTATTTGAGCGAGCGAGTGTCGCAACGGAATTTCGGGCGACTGCGCACGCGGAGACCCCAAAGCTGGAGTTTGCGAACGACTGATGTCCATAGCATTTTCATGCTTTGTGTTCTCCGGAGCGTTGCAATCAGGTGCCGGAGCATCAACAGGTTCTCTGGGTGACACCTGGAACAGTTTATGTCTCGCGTCCGCCTCTTTTGAGACGGGAGACAATTGCGCACCTCGTAATCATAGAATCCGGGGCTCGTAAACACGCTGTTCACAGCTCTGCAGTGCCGGAATCTCTGGGCTGCCAGGACGAGTCTCGCACCAAGCCTCGCTGCTTGTGGTGCGAATACACCGGTCTTCTCCACACCCGTCAGGGCAGGCTTGACATTGCCGAATTGTGTCTTGGCATGGAGATGTGTTTGATGCAATTGACTATAATCCGCTTTCCCCAAATCCTTGTGGATCGCGAGGAACACCTCCGACGCATGTATGCCAGTATCCAGGAGATGCATCAGACAACTCGAGTAGTGACATCCGAGGCAATATAACGATGACAGGTACGAGACGCTATGCGGTGGCGAGAGGTTGGAGCGACACGATCGCATCTCGTGCAACTAGTGGGTACAGTATATCCGTCAGCAAAGATACTGAGGTAGAGGAGAGTGTGAGAACCTTGCTCGAAAACTCGGCTCGACGAACACGCAGGGCACACGCAGCCTGGAACACACAGACGTCGTCACTGTCCTTGAGCTCCCTATAGAACAGTCTCAGTGACATTGCAGTAGCAGCTGTGCCACGGGACTCACCTCGGTGTAAGAACAGCTGTATGCGAATCTTCGCCTGCGCCCAGTTGTCGGAGGATGCGAACAGCCCTATTCCGGTCGTTGATGAGATCTTGCGTCTTGCAGCGTTGTGTAGGGACCATGTTGGTGCATTTGCAGGTTCGCCCTTCGACGTAGCAAGTGGAGCATATCACCAGGCAGTCACCTCGGTTTTGTTGTTGACAACATGAGTCGCACTTGAAGTAGCTCTGGAAGATATCGGCTCCACAGAAGTCGCAAGCGAACGTACATGGTTGCTCGTTGGCTGCATGGGAGCGCGAAGACGGCGATGTTGGCGGTGGTTGAGAGCGGACATTGTGAACTGCGCCTCCGTCGTCAACATTATCCACCGGCTCGCCGTACTCTTCGCGAAGCACGCCATCAAAGAGCGACACCAATAAGTCCAGCACAGCAGTGTCTCTGGTCATTCTGCGAGCTTCGGAGGGGGATACCTGGGCTACTGACTCGAGCTCCTTGGTGTAGTGACGGAGCGAGTGGTGCAAGACTGACTTAGTGCGATAAATCTCTGGTCGGCAGACCCTGTAACGGCTAATGAGCACGCATACAATCACAGCATGTAAGAATACTCACCGTCGGTAGATGGGCAATTCGTACAACAAAGCCGTCGTCAGTCCCTTGACCGTTATTCTTGACCACGACAGCTTCATTGTAAGACCGCCATGGTTGACCACTTGATGGCAGCTTCTAGGCGGAATGATGAACAAATCACCAAGTTTTTGCTCCGCGACGTATACGGGAAATGGGGCGTCCCTCAGCTCATCGATGGTCGTTGCATGGTTCTCCCAGTCCAACTCTTGCCCCAGCGTCTCCTGGAAATATTTCGCAACCTCCGGGGCGACATCCGAAGCGGTCATGAACCAGAACGAACTGCCGTCCTCTGTGTGGCACATGAGGTTATGTCCCGTGGATCCACAGAGATCTTTATGGCAAGGCGTGAAGGTGTCGCCGATCCCATAATAGCACATGATAGTCTCAACTCGTTCCTGAAGAGGTATGCTGATAAGTCGGACAACTATGGTGGGCGAGGATATATCACTCACAGAATGAGGAAGATGTGCCAATAGGTCTTTGGATCCGCCTGGTTGTAGTTCTGGCGGGATTACATCAGAGTAAAGCCAGTCCCTCCACTCCTGAGGGCAATCGACATCCTTGGCATAGAGAGGCGGGTCTAAATCAAAGCGTGTCAGTATAAGACCAGCGAGTCTCACATAATATGTGGCGACGCGCGTAACGACGTTGACTCACCTCCTGTCGTGAAGCGCGAAGTCGTACGGGAGTGCTCGACGAAGTCGGAGAGTGTCATGTCTATGTCTTTGTAGTTCTGAACGTTACGCGCCGAGAGCACTTCATGATACATGTTCGGACTGAGCGACGAGCGGGCATTCAGATGGAATTATAAGTTGCTTACCAGTATCTCCATCTTTTGCTACGAGCCGGTCCGCGTCGAAGGCCCCGCACCACCTCGGGTCTGTATGCCAACCTTCAACAATGAGTGGTATTCCCTGGCGCTCGGCTTCGTCGGCCTTTGTAGGCCATAACTCGTCGTGTATGGAGACCCGATGAACCAGCTGAAAGTTGCTATTCTCCAGCAATCCAGAGAGCGTCCAGTCTTTCGTAGTGATCGAGGTGGGCGATGTGATGGGAGCAGGCATGGGGACTGGAGGGGCGACTGCCTCAGTAATAGCGTTACCTGCATTCGCCGTGGGGCGTTCAGCTGCAGATCGGACACCTGAGGAATGGTGGATCCCTGATGGGGCGCTCGATGCAGGTCCTGCCTGAGGGGATTGCGCCTCTCTGAGGAAGCCTGGACGCGTGGTCGGGACCACCTTTTCGCTCTGGGCCCAACTTGAAAGGCGGTCGCGCCCTGGTAAAGCTGGGACTACACCGTCACGAAACTCCCTCTGGGGCCCCTCCATGATCTTATGTCGCATGTTCTCCATGGCAGCTGTAAAAGGAAGAGGAAGCGGGAGTTGGCCGATGTTGCAGCCCGCTGGGCGAGAGCTTATGAAGGAGCCTGAGATGCCTTTGATGAGTCCGGTGGTAGCGTCAGTGCCTCGTACGGATGGAGTGTGCAATGTCCGTGCAGTTGAGGGAAGTGGATTGCCCGGGAGGCTATGCAGCGACGGGGACGTGCCTGCGTCTCAAACCGCGCGCAGGGTCATTTCATTGAAGAAAGAACTCTGTCGTAGCCGCCGGCCCATGGTCTCGCTCCCGCTGTGATCGACGCGACGCGCTCTCCCGCGCGTCCCGTCACGCGACTGTGACGCGCCATCCTCACACTGGCAGGCTCTGTATGTACGCTGCCCTCATCCCAGCAGCTCTTACTCTGCTCTCCTGCTCTTCTGCTGCGACCGCCATCTCCTTCGAGTGCGCGACTCCGGAGACACCGCGGTGATTGCCTGCCTTCTTCCATCGCAGGACCACTGCCCCACTGATCTTACACTACGATAACCCACACAGATCACACGGCCTTTCGACCTCAGTCCGCGCCGTCTCAACCGACACGATGTCCAGTGTCTCTCTGCCAGAGTTGGACTTCTGGGAGTTCGTGAACTGTGCGCGATGTCATCTGCCCTTCGAGACAGACGCAGGAATGCCGCCCATCCCTTTCTGGCTCACGGAATGCGGACATGTCGTATGCAACAATCATCTCAGTGCGTGTTCGGAACATTCCTCACCTATATCCTCCGAATCATCGTTCCCACACTGTGCAGACGCCGACCAGAGTTGTGCACAATGCGGTGCGCAAGGGATACAACTCGTGCCGTTGCAGAAGGATGTGGGTACATGCCTGCCCTCCCTTCTATGCACTGCTTCACATTGCCAATGCCACATAGATGGAGGCTCCCATGTCGGAATGGTTCCGGTCTGTGACACAGACTCTAGACAGTGTGGCCTATGCAACGAGGGTATGTCTCGGAAGCATGTCAGATCGTGGCTGCGAAGTCACCGGTTTGGTATAGTTTCAAATGGAGACACTTGCCTCGTTGGCACGGCATTACAAGAACAAATACATCCAGCAGCGCTCCCTTATCGATCGCCTCAAGAACGAGTTCAAGGCAATGAAGAAGTACCGGACTCTGTCCACGGGTCGTCCACAAGTCTCACATATATGTGTGCTAGGGCGCTGGAGGACCTGAAGGCCGAGAATGCTCAACTGCAGCAATATGCTGGGTACCAAGGCATGTCTTCTGACATCCAAAACGCGAATGGGAAGCGACGAATGCTAGCCAACCATCAGTAAGTGTTGGATCTTCAAGATGTCAGTTCAGTAACTCTATAGCTTTCAGGCACCCGAGCGGTGTACGAACGAACTCGAGCCCACGTTCTGTTGTCACTCCAATAGGTCCAGATCGGCTAACGCTGCCGCCCGACCGTCAGCAACCCAGTTTCGCGCCCGTCGCACAAGCTCCAGATCAGAGTACGACTCCGCATAGGGACAGGCCGGGGTCTAGTCGATTCGTTCAGTACGTATCGTTCATAGTCTTTTACATCACGATTTTACTCCGGTCGGACGTTCTGTCTGACGGCCTCCTATTCAAGGCAGTATGCATATCAGCCTGCACACGCTGTCCATCCAGGCGTTGTGCACGCGTCCTTGTCCCATGAGCAAGCAGCTCCTAGGCAGGCTTTGTCACGACAAGCGCAAGCGCAACTATCGTCTGGACGTGCGCATATATCCACCCAGGGTCTTCCTTCTTTCAATGACGCCGCTACGGAAGGCTACCATGAGGCGGGGCCGTCGTCCGGCAGTCTTCGGCCAATTCAAGGAGATGGTTTTAGAGGCGCCGGTCACGATAGGACACAGATGCCGCCACCGCCAACTCCTCAGATGCCGAGGACGTCTTTACAACAGCGTGCTTCCTTTAGGCCTCCTGCAACACCCCAACTACAACCATCTGGTGGCTCTCGTCGTTTCTTACCTCCTACGCCGGTTCGACCGAGAGAAACTGCTGCTCCCAACCGTGCATTGCTTCAACAACCTCGCAACCACCAGGTGCTGCAGACACAGCGCTTCTCAGGACCATCGAACATGCAATCGTTCTCTGGGTCATCTGCGTCTGGTCAACAACGGAATCAAGATCTGGTCTCGGGCCCATCTCGTGCAACATCCTTCGCAGCTTCGGGGGGTCAGCGGACGCCCTTCGTACCTAATCGCTAACACCTTCGAGAGGTCGTCTGAGACTCTGTGTCGTCATTTACAATTAGTCTCACTATCCTAGTGCCTCTGATTGTAGTGTGTTTGTCTTGCGTGTTATATGATGCGTTTCGAGTCCCGTGCGACACCTACGTGATGCACGGCATGTCTGAGCGGCTTGCGACCCACTGGTAATTCCATGAAGTAAGTATGCAAAATATACAGGCGATGGATGAGGTCACGTAGAATCTGAATCTTGATCTAAACCCCGATGGTGGCGCGCCACGGCGTGACGGGCCCCTGCTGGGTGCGAGAGGCGGTGGCTGCTGCGCAACGACAAAGCTGTTCTCCGCACTCACCGAGCGCAGGCCGCTGTTTTCTATCCGGCCTCCAGTCCACTTTGTCTTTCTTCCTTTCATCACTGACTCTAGTCGACGAACATGGCGTACCAGAACGCGTACGGCCAGCCGCAGTATCCGCCGGCGCAGTATGATGACTACAACCCCTACGCTGCTGCCGCGCAGCCGCACAAGACCTACGAGCAGGGAGGCTACAATTATGAAAGCGGAGGCTACAATCAGGGTGGATACACTGACGATCCGTCTGGTGTTGGCAAGGAGAGAGACAGGAATGTGTTCGAGCGGGAAGCGGACGACGCATTCCCAAACAGACCCTCGGGTCCCAAGTACGCTGCAATCATCTGCTGCCCGTTCTCTGACTGATGGCGCCTTACCTGATAGGAACACGAGGAATATGCGGCGATGGAGGCTCGAACATAGTGAAGGTCTCTGGACAAGAGGGGGGGCATTGGCCACTTTTGGACGGTTCTTCTGCTGCACCATCATGATCGTTGTGTTCCTGTTCATCAGCATCGTGCTGTCCTTGGTTCTGGTATGTAGTAAGTTGAGTGATGCGGTAAGGCGAGGCTGACTCTCCGTGACAGTGGGTCAGACCACCGAGTGTTCTGATTGGCACTCCGACTCTCAACGGCACCTCACCGGTAAGCAGTTTCGTTTAGAATTCCATGCAGGCTATACCAACCCATATGGCGTAGGTCTCAGTACAGAACAGTGCTCTTGTCCTTGCGCTTGATGTCGATGCTAGGTACGTGGTCATTCTACGCCATCGTCATGACATTGTGACTGAGGCACGGATGCAGCGTCAGCAACCCCAACTACTTCTCAGTCCAGTTCACGGACCTGGATCTCAATGTGCGCCTTGATCCTATACGCCGCATGGACAGCGCAACTAATAGCTGGATTCTAGCTCTTCTATCCCATCAACAACACCGCCGTAGGTGGCGGGTCATTGAAGAACGTCGACTTCAGATCACACGAAACCACGAATATTACCTTCCCGCTCGATCTTAAGTACAACATCACCGGCTCGTCCAGCACGAATGTTCTCGTCGATCTGGCTCAGAAGTGCGGTGTCCTCCCCGGGTCCTCGAAGTCCGACATCACCATCAACTACAAAGCGACGGTACGTGACGGATCTTGTCGCATGAGCGTAACACTGATGCATTCCATGTGCGTAGGTCGACGTCCGTATCTTCGCGATTCCTGTGAAGCCTACAATCAGCAACAGCTTCAGTTTCGAATGTCCGATTGATAGCAGTGATATCGAGGTGGGTTCTCTGTACCGCGTTCCCGGTTGGTCGTATGCTCAGATCATGGTTCCGCTTCCAGAAATTGTTGCAGGAAGCAGGAATCAACATCTCCGACCTTGGCTCGTTGCTCTGATATTCCTGCTGTTAGACCTGATGGACTGATGTCGTATACATCCTGAACTCTTGCACATGCCACTATTGTACATCTCGGACACGGACCTTAGGCTGTATTATTCATTGACGATCTCTGCTTGACACTGCGGTACATGTGCTCTGTCCGCTATGGCCAACGCGCGGTGTGCATGGGCACCGCTCTCTGGCTTCGCCATGTCAGTAAATTGGCCAGAGCAAACACTCGATGGCAACGCTCGATGAATTCGAGTGAAATGCTAAACAGGTTATCCATGCGAGTGAGCTATGCAGTGAGCGGCGTCGCTCGGATGAGTTACGACTTGTCTGCATCTGGTGCATGCCCCAGACCTTCGTCGACAATGCGCTCTGCCTCACGCTCGTCCATATCCATCTCGACTCCCGTATCAAGCTCGAGCTGTTTTTCAACTTCCTGGTCGACGATCCCTGGTGCCTTAGACTTGCTCAAGCACTGGCCGACCATGCTCCTCCACTTTAGATGCCCGTCGACTTCATCACATGCGACGTTCTCGACACCCTGGACAGGGACTGGGCCCATACCAGCCACGTTCCAGGTGATGTCGGACAGCCTCGTCAGCACGGCGAGGATGTAGTCGTTCGCGCCGTAACCGTTCACTAGGCGGCCTGCTACGACGCGGCGCGCGGCTGTCCATTGCGCCTCGTCGGTGGATATGGGTGCACCGAAGAGGTAGACGTCTTGGACGAGATGGCAGGTCTCGGATGGTGGCAACGAGGAGAGGTACTGGAGTGCCTCGAATATGACGAGGGACCCGAGGGAGTAGCCTACGAGTGTGATGGGCCGGTTACCGAGGACTCGTTGGGCGAGGAGCTTGCCGAGCACCTTGCCTGCCTTGCTGGCGAGGCTCTTAGCGGTCATCCAGGGGTTGTCTGAGATCAAAGAAGTTGGTGAATATGGCTATGTCACCACAGCGGCATGATTGATTACGGACCAACGATGCGCGTGAGGTTCAACCATACGGTGGGCGACAGCGCAGAGAACAGGCTGGCGAAGACGGTCCGCCTGATGATCTCTGCTTTCACGTACTTCATTGCTTGCGACTTGATGAGGGCTGTCAAGGCACTGGATAGCTCCTCGAGAGCCTGTACTTCCTGCATATTTGGAGTCAAGGCCGAGACTTTCCTTGCAAGTTATGTCTCACCCACTGCAACGCGAACGTATCGTCGCCGTCAAAAACTGTCCAGGGAGCTACGACGTCTGACGGCGAGTCTAGCCAACCACTGATGCAGAGCCGCACGCCCAACGTGTCGCGAGGCTGGCGCACTGGCACGATGGCAAGGTCGTTAACCTCTCGCAAGTATCGGCCCACGGTATCTGCCATCTTTCGTGACCCATAGTACCCAAAGAGCGCGCCGCAGACGACTGAGGAACTCGCCAGACCAGTCGCGAGGAGGCCTGCAGCGGTTCCACCTACACCAAGCCATCCGAGGACAGTCGACACGCCTGCGCCGACCAGAGGAGCGGCCAGACCACCCGTAACACCTATCAGGACGCCGCCAGCTACCGCGCCCAGGCCGATGCCGACTCTGCGTAGTGTCTTGGACTGCTCGGAGGCTTCCTCCTTCGCACTCCTCGTCTTCCGTTCCGCTTCCTCAAGCGCACGGCTTGGGTTCTTCAAGGTGCCCGCTACCGCGGTCTCGTCAGGCTCGGTGAGCGAGAACAGGAAAGCGCGTGTCCTTGCTGAGTAGTGTTTGTGGCCGGTGATGTGGAGGAGAAGCACTGTGGACAAGACCTTTCTGACGGAGGCCTCGTCAGGTAAGGGTGGTAGACCGACGATGGAGGTGTCAGAATATGGCGAAAGCTCTTCAAGAGGACCTGATCGTTGTATCTAGTTGAGAGACAGACACACTGAGCGGTGCAACGGACTTGCCTCCACCGGGCTCCTGGCAAGCGTGCCATACATGTTGTAGCAGGTCTTGACCCCATCGATCTATGACATCTATAAACGAGTCCCTGATTTGGTCTTTCTGCTCTTGAGGTTTCGAGGAAAAGGTGTATTCTGCGATCGCATAAAGTTCTGCGGTATTGCGATGAGCAGCGAGTCGACGGAAGACATGCTGGAAGATCGCAAGACGCTCTGCCTCGGTCAACTCTTTGGGCGGAGTGACCTTGCTGAGATCGGACATGGTGGAAGTAGTGTTGTCTCAGATATGGCCCACATACGACTTGTGCTCACGTTCCGAATCTAACCTGCGGCGAAGCCCGCACACCTTGACAAACGACGTCATACACTAAGGCTCCGAGTCGATCGTAGCTCTTCGTCTCAAATTGGACTCGCAGTCAATGACCTGTAGATCCAGAGTGTACAGATCCGAAATCTTGCAAGACTCAAGAATGTCGCGGTATCTCGGTGAAGACATTCTTAGTAATGTGAGATACAGTTCGGTCCTTTGGGCGCGTACGTTTGACCTTCGTGGCGGTGGCACATTCCGGCTGGACAACCGACGACTGCGTATATCTGAGAGCGAGTGATTATTTGAGAAGCATGGATCTAGCGTTCACAGAGATTCGACCGGCAGGTCCTCGAGAATTGCGGGCAGAAATTGAGCATGACTGTGTACTGCCAGTACTAGCAGTGCAGTGGGTCGGCGCAGCTCGGTGTCGCGCCGGAAAGGCCACGTGCACCCACGTCCCCAGCGCGGCTTGAGGCTTGTGCATCGACTCGGCCTCGACCACCCTACCTGCCTCTCCTCCATCCTCTCCTCGTCCTCACCGACGACACGTAGGGCGGCAAATGAGCCTCCCATCTTTGGTGAGTTATCTTCAGCCGCTGTATGTACGGCGAGATTAATCTTCTGCAGCTGGTGGGTGCTCTTCGCGCCCAGGTGCGACATACCAGGACAGCACCTTTGCATTCGCTACCTCAAGCCCGCTCGCTTTCACTCTCGTGTCGTCCATGCTCTCTACCAAACTTCCCGCCATCTACAGTCCTACATAGACAGATCCTTCTCTCTCAGCATGCGAGACATATATCTCTCGGCTCCATCTTCTCACGGAAACCAACACCTACACCACCTCCAGTGGTCGTAGCCAGAGTGGCTGCGATGGAGGCCGAGGCAAATGCAAACCCACATGACGTGCAGAAGCAAATTGTTTTGTTCGAAGGGTTGGTGGGAACAGGAGTAAAACCGGGTTATGACGTTGTCATCGCAAGGTGGGAGCGGATGTGCGAGTTTGTGAGTTCCTCGTTATTGGTAAGGACGTACAAATATGCTGATGCTGGACTAGGATCCAACGAACCCGCTCATACGGTCTGACATTGCCTTCCAGCTCTACCTAAACGCCTTACTGAAGAACGGACTTGCCTCCTCTGTGGATGCTGCTGTCCGGAGACGCGACTCTATTCTTGCTGCGACTGCATCCTCAACTCCTGTCGCGGCCTCATCTACATCTGAAGCGACGTCTGCGGATGCCGCCTCGGTCACGGAATCCTCGACATCAACTTCGTCTTCTCAGGTTACCTCGACACCCAGTCAAAAGCTCGCACAAGCTGTCCTCGCTGGACAGGGCGCTGTCTCTTCTGCTACCGCATCGCAGAACACCGACATGGCAAAGCTACAAGCCGCGTTAGGTGGTGGCATGGGCGGGCCTAGCAGTCCGATTGTAGTCACGCTAGCAGAACGTGAGTACTTGCTCAATCCGACTCTCTCGTGTCCCGGCTCTTCCTGCCGTCGTATATTCTTCTGGGACGCGTCCATTCTTTGTCGCGCACGAAGAGGAGGGACGACTTCACGAATGCTATCGTTGATTGCGGTCATACATCAGTGTGCTCACCGACACAAGTGCAGATTGATGTATGACAGCGCAGTCGATCTGGCTTCGTGGTCTGTATCCTCTTGCGGAGGGGAACGAAGGACAGCTTTGACTGGTCTTCCGCCTGCCGTCGCCGACATTCGTGCGTTCTTTCGACACTTTTAGATGACGCGTACCTGCCGATTGAGATTAATGCCCGTCGTTGACATATTGATCCTGATACTGCATCTCATTCAGAAAAGGGTTCATGGGTACCGCGGCTCGTCAGGTTTTTGGTCATCAGCGCAATCACCACCTTCTGTAAGTCCATGCATTACTCACGCGTTCTCGTACTGAAGGGACGACCATGACAGTCTTCCTTGTCCTCATGGCCGTGCTGCTTGAAAACTCGGGGTTGATGAAGGCTGGGCCCAGGACGTCTGAGTTCGAACCACAGCAAGGGAAGACCTACAAGTTCAGCGATGTCCACGGTGTTGACGAGGCGAAAGATGTATGCTCACCGTCGTCATCCGAAATGTCACACGGTAACTAAACCATCTTGTTAATTAGGAATTGCAAGAGGTAGTCGAGTTCTTGAAGGACCCTACTACCTTCGCGACTCTTGGTGGGAAGCTGCCGAAGGGCATCCTTCTCACCGGACCTCCTGGAACGGGTAAGACGATGTTGGCTCGTGCCGTGGCTGGAGAGGCCGGCGTTCCGTTCTTCTTCGCTTCAGGGTGAGTTGTTCTTATCACGCTTTAACCATAGGAAGGATGAATGCTGAACACGGCGCGTCTTGCAGTTCTGACTTCGATGAGATGTTCGTCGGCGTGGGCGCGAGACGTGTGCGCGACCTCTTCGCTGCAGCGCGCAAGCGACAGCCCGCGATCATCTTCATTGACGAGCTTGACGCGATAGGAGGAAAGCGCTCCAACCGTGACCAGCAGTACCTCAGGCAGACGCTAAATCAGCTCCTGGTTGAGATGGATGGTTTCCTGCAGAATGAGGGTGTTATCGTCATCGCGGCGACGAATTTCCCTGACAGTCTAGACCCGTACGTACACCATGCCGTTTCATTCCCTGCGCATCCCTGGTTAACCTGGATTTGTTGTTCATAGCGCGCTCGTACGTCCTGGTCGTTTCGACAGGCATATTGCAGTGCCATTGCCGGATGTTCGCGGCCGCGTCCAGATCCTCAAGCATCACATGAAGGACGTAACCACCGAGCCTGGTAGGTAACAGACAGAACCTTGACTGTCCACATATTCAAATTCGACCCTTCCCCGGACAGGTGTCGACGGAATGGTTCTCGCTCGTGGTACGCCTGGTTCTCGGGTGCTGACCTGCAGAACATGGTGAACATGGCTGCGGTACAAGCCTCTCGGGAGGGCGCGAAGGCAGTCAACTTGAAGCATTTTGAGTGGGCTAAGGTGCGTTACGTGGATGCCATCACGCAGGACGTCCTCACGTTCATAATCCAGGACCGGATCGTCATGGGCACTGAGCGCAAGACTGCTTATATCAGCGACGAGGTCAAGCGCATGACTGCTTATCATGAGGTAAGTTGCGCATTTCCCTCCTTGCAACGGGGCCCTGACTTCCTGTACAGGGTGGACACGCCCTTGTGGCACTCTACACGGACGGCGCGATGCCACTTCACAAGGTTACGTGCGTCCCGCGTGGCCACGCCCTTGGTATCGTATGTTCCCTTCCACATACTCCCCACCCCTTAATCACAGGCTCACGGTGGTGTGAACAACACAGACGAGCCAGCTACCCGAGGATGATCGCTATTCAGTATCTCTGAAGCAATATCTTGCTGAGATTGACGTGTGCATGGGGGTCGCGTTGCCGAAGAACTCGGTACGAGTTGGCTCGCTTGGTTACAGGCCTTTTCATATAATCCTTCTTGACATGCTTTTCCAGTCTACGGCCCCGCGAACGTAACGAGCGGTGCATCATCAGATCTGAGGCATGCCACTCTGACTGCTCGGGCGATGGTCAAGGTCAGTGCCCTAGTCTTATTGGTGCCTTCTATCAGACTGGTGGCTGACGTTATCTTGCACGTTATCACCTTCCGTCGACTTCGTAGAATTGGGGATTCTCCGACAAGGTTGGGCCGGTCTGGTATGGCGATCGTGACGCGATTAGTCCTGCGCAAAGCGACGAGATAGAGCGCGAGATTCGCGAGTGAGCGTTTGCTGCTTGTTGGCCTGCGTACTATCTCTTTAACACGTCCGTTTTTAGCCTACTCATGCGGGTGAGACGAGAGTCGCTACCCTGCTAAATCAAAAGAGGACGAGCTGCATAGAGTAGGTCGTGTCCCTTTCCGTCACCGGTGACTTTCCTGACAGACCCTCTTCTTTTCTCACCGCTTGCTACCGATGATCAGCTCGCGACTGCTCTTGTGGAACATGAGACTTTGGACGCCGAAGAAGTCAAGAAGGTTATTAAGGGCGAGCCAATACGAAACATCAAGGAAGTGATACAGGAGGACCTCTCACGAATGTCAGAGGAATCTAGTATTAGCTCATAGCACGAGTTGTACTGTCTTGGGTTGGCATGTTGTCTTCATGCTGTCTTCGCATTCGTGTCCTTAATTTACTGTCGCTGAGCTATAATCTTGTATGATATCTTGTCGTCGTGATGGTACGCATCGACCCTCCCTCACATCATCGTTGTGTGTACGTGTACCCTGGACACTCCGACAGGGTTCGCTCGCGGATCTATAACCTAGTTCGAGGACGCATGTCAGCCGGTCACGTAAGTCTTGCAAACGAAAATCCAATGCCTCTCGACGTTGCCTTCCCGGGCTTCCGAAAGCTTATACCGGTACAGGGCCCTCGCATCGCGGAGATCTCCAGCTACCCGCGGGCTTCTTCGTGCTAAGCAGCTTTTGTCGCGGGGTTCAAGTACAGTACGTTCTATCTAACATGGATCGCGGTACGGCAGTGCGACACACGGACCGGGAACCACCTGCCATTCTGGCTTGTACATGGCGGGCTGATGCTGCGCGAACGACCGAGAGGGCCATATGGCGCACAAAACATAGCACATGCACGGATCTTCTCCCGCGATACTCTGCGTCGCTGCCAGGCCGGAGGCTGAAGGACACGCTCAGTCCGGTATATTTCCGGGACCGCTGGCCTATCCTGCTCCAGGTGTGGCCGGATGGACAGGAGAAACAGTGCCCCTGGCACGATGGACGAGCCGGTGGACCTCCTGCAATGGAAATTGCCCGAATTGCCGGCGAGACAGGGGACGCGCGTGGTGTGATAGAAATGAATGACAGCAAGGGGCTTCTCGAAGGGCCCCTGACTCTTCGTCGGGGTCGGTATCGGTAGCAGCAGCGACGCATTGGATAGTCGCTCGTTCATGACATTGCGAGGAAGATTTGGGCGGAAATTAACTGCCTAGAGGTGGATTGGCGCCAACTTGAGGGAGGCGACACATGCGGTCTCAGGGGAATTGTTGGTTCGTCTGCTCGACAATACAGACGGGAGAGTACACGCCCGATCCGTGCGAGTAATCATATGCGTATCCCCGCATTGTCGAAACACCTGACGGCTTCAATCAATGGGACGCTTAGAAATCGGGTTCGACTTGTTGCTGAGGTTCACTCACCGGGAATAAGCAGTCTACGGGCCGACCAGAGCTCCGCAGATACAAGTCGCGGAGTCTAGCGCGGGGAAAGTGGTGTCCTGCCAAAGGATTCATGTGCCCGTCGGCGATATGAATTGTCGCTGTGTGGACTTCGCGACAAATGACGCGTCGCGCGGTATCTGCACTGAGATTCTGGAAACAGGTAAGCAGGCGAAATAGAAGGTCAGTTCTCTAGGGTGCTTCGGTGACAAGCACTGAGTGGAAATGTTGGATAATTACGAGGTTGAGCACCAGAGACGCCGGCGTGGTGTGACCTTGTCTACAGTCGACCGCTCCTGCAAAGACTCACGCGGACATGGCCCCGTTGAGGAATGCCAGGACATGAGAATACGAGGATGTGCGGAGAGGCCAGCCTTTGAGATGCTGTCCAATTATTGTGGCTCGCCTGTGATGGAGCGAGGGATGGATTGAAATACTATTGAGACGCGGAATAGCACGGGTTAGGATTAGCGTCGGATGAGCAAGAAGTTGTCTAGCCTAGGAATGGCTGGTGACCCGTCGTGAGTCTATCGTAATAGCAATTGCCTGTTGAAGTGTAGCGCCTCGAGTAGCGTCTAGGCAATACCAATGCATATTGGGGAGCGCCATTCTGGAACAGGGATGTACGACGGAGCGCAGCCAGAGCTCGCGGACCGCTCACAAGACGCACAGGAGAGGTTCCAGCGACGACGGAATTGGCAAGAACCGTACGCGCGGCCGAGCACGAGGGAGGCCCAGAGGAAACTCTCACCGTCGCATCCGCATATAGCTTCGCCATCTCGGACTTTGCGCACTGGTGATATCGATAGCTGGGATAAGGCTGCCCAGCGGATATTCTGGGGTAAAGCACACCGCGGATTCAGAGGTACAGGGGACACTTTAATCTCGTCCGCCCGGCCGAGGCTAGCTGGGAGCCATCGAGACCAGGCCTCCTGGTATGTGTGCTCGGAGGCAGCCACGGTATCCAGAATGCGCCCGGTGTACGGCATGGAGACTGGGAGGGAGGGGACATGTTCTGACGGAGCTGTGGACGGTGGAGGCGAACACTGTGGTAAGCGCCTGCGCGCCCCCTCACGTGGAATTGCGGTATGGGAGGAAGATCTTCCTGCAATGCTTCCGCATTCTGGTGGATAATCGCACTTCTCATGCACCTCATGGTCGATCAGACAGATGGGGCGAACTTTGTCCAGCAGGCGCTGCGGGACGGGCGCGCAGACATGGCTGCAAACGTAGGTCCTATCGAAATTCGGACCGCCTTAGATCCGTCCAGAACTGTGCGGCCTCCTATTGACCTTATAAGCCGTATACCGCTGGTCGGGCGGGTGGTTTGTCGCCTCTTATGCTGCTGCGACCACCGCGACCGCTCGACCTGGCGCAGCGGACGACGCTAGTCCTGATTGGAACGTAGCCAGCCTCGATCGAAGTTTAAGCCGGCGCACACTCGATCAGCGTTTGGCCCGGCGGTCGTCCCCCCCTCGAATCATCTCGCCCACGTCCTACCTCCGCCGACCATAGCGCCCGCAGTGAGTCTTCCCTCTTTGTCCAAGAAGATCCGCCCCTCGAGCGATCGGCCTTCGTAGATGTGTCACCGACAACTGCGGTTCTACAAGGCGAAACAATGCGGTCATTTGACCTTCACCGGCGAGACCTATATCGACTGCAATTCCCGCGAGTGTTTCCTCAGCACCGCCCACCCCTCCACCTGCGGGGCTCCCGGCTCACGCATCCTCTGCCGCTGTCGACGATATTATACGTGAGTGCCCACCGCCGTGCTCGCGACCCGCCGCGCCTCTGACGTGACCTGCAGCCAACCCGAGCGCATCACGACACACGAGGTGAGCATGTCCGCCTCTGCAGGACCTTGCAGTGACAAGAAATTACAGCAGGAGGGAAGCTGTCCTCGATGTTCCGGAACATGACCTACTCCACGACCACGAAAGAAATGTCCTGTATCCCATACACATCATCATGAATACATCACGTACACAGCATACTCTACACGTCGAGGTCGATCTCGCCCAGGATTCGGTCGTCCAGTCCGCCGTCCCCGTAGTAGTCGTCGTCTTCATCCATAGGTTGGTCCTCTTGCTGCTCGACTTCCATGGCCATCTCCTTCTGCTTGGCTTGGGCCTTCTGGACATCCTCTAGCGTCCACAGCGACACCCCTGTCTGGTTTTCGTTCGGGTTCTGTGAGATCGTGCGCATGAACAGTTTCGATAGTGTGAGAGCCATATCCGTCGACAGATTTGACGCAGTCTCCGTGATATATTGGTTGATCCATCGGGGCAGCTTTGCACGCTTGTCTGCACGTGCGAATCGCTGTGGGGAACGGTCCATCGACATCAGTTCTCACATATGAATAGGATCTACGGCGTACCTTATCCGCGAAAACCATTAGGCCCCAGTCTGTTTTCCCTCGAAGCACTCGCCCAACACACTGTGCCGCGTTCCGCATCGCGTCGAAGCCAAGGAACTCGGATTCTCGAATTCTGTACGCGTCCCGTAGGTACTCAAGGCGCGCCTTGAGTATCCGGCTTTCCGTATATTGGTAGGGAACCCTGGTTACATCGAATATGGGTCAATAGCCGAGCGCACGCAATGTCGGCAGCTACGCACCCAAACATAATCACAGCGCGACCGTAGTTATGGTCGAAATCGATGCCTTCGGAAACCTTACCTCGCGCAACAGAAAGGAGGACGCACCGCGACCGTTGTCACATGCCTTTGATATTGGGGTATAAGTCAGCGCACAGCGAGGCATCGATAACCATATGCGCACCCTGCGGTAGTTCTCCAAGGCGATGCTCGTCTCATTCGCGTCTGGAGTCTCCACGAATATCAGCTTGTTCTTCCACACTTCGTTCAGGATACCCTGCCGGCACATTAGACGTCATCGGCCTTGAGTATAAGGGTCGGCTGACCATGTCGTTCCAGGCCGCGACAATGGATTCCATGTATAGGTAGCTCGGGAAGAATGCCACAATGCCGTCGGGGACGATCTTGCTGTACTCCACAAGGATGCTGCCGAAGTTGCGCACGACCGCGGGGTCATTCCGCACTTCGAAACGGGAGCTGATGGCAACTTGGTCGCTTCCACGCGTGATGACCTGGCCGGCATTGTGAAGACCAGCACGGCGGCCGAGGGGGCGTCACGTACCAGCGGTAAGAACGCATTGCGCGTCAGGGTCATAGGGTATGTCTCTTGGACGACAGGGGTGAACTGTAGCATCTTTGGATACATGTCCAGGGGCGAGATCGTTCCAGACGTAATGACGACAGAGCTGAACCGCTCAAAGACCGGTTTGATCGCTATAGCAGGGTCTAGACACCTTGTATACCGGTCACAGTACCGCTGCAATCGGCAGAATGACCACCTACGTCAAGTGGAAAATAGGGTTGGGCACGGTAGCATTATCCGTCTCGAACGGCTCAAGAATCAGAAGGAAGCCTGCAAGCACAGTCAGAGGCATGAGAACCCAAGCGGTAGGGCTTACCTTTCTCGTAAGTCGCCACCAGTGTAGCAAAGGTGGCCACCTTCTGCAAAGACGAATACTCATCCAGCCGATTGAGGTCTAGTGTTCGAACGAGGGACTGTAGGCGTTCGGCACAGAAGCTACTCGCTTGGTGCTGAGGAAGCAATGAAAACAGGTCAGGAGGGAGACCTACCGCAATGGTCTGCGTTCAATGTACGTGATATCTTTGAGGTGTTGTAAAAACGATAGCGGTGTCTCGGCGACAACATGTAAGACGCGCATCCGAGTCTACCACACACCCCTCACTAAGAACACGACCGACGCCAAGCTTATCTTTCCTCACCTTCAGGTACTCGACAAAACGTGTCAGAAATGCGACAAAATGCTCCGCTTTGCGTATGTTACCGGGCACTGCTTCTTTCAGCAGATCCTCTGGAAGCACTGGGAAACGTGTACGTCACGTTGTGAACAGCGCATCGCGGACATCACACGACGCACCTGGATTTGACATGAACGCGTCTTCGTCATTGGCGGCCTCCTGCAATCCTTCCACAAGTTTGGCATATTCGTCCTGAAGCTTGGATGCATCGGTCTTCTTTATTCTATTGGCAACCATTATCACTCGGTCCTATCCACGTACCATGAGCATACTCTTCAATTTTCTCACCCAGTTTGCCGACACTTCGGGCCGCAGAATCTAGCATGGGCCTTGTCAGGTCAATGCTGAGTGATTCAATGCAGACGTTATCTTCACTCGAAATGGCTAGCTCAGCGTCTATGTACCACGAGGGACACCAAACACGTACCGATGTTGTGTGCCTCATCGAAGACAACTATGGCATCTTTTGACATCTCTCTCGAGACTTGTTCTGCGACCTTCGGTCGAGCAGGTAGTGAAAAGAGTAGATGATGATGTCCACAAAGGGCATCTGCTCCGAGCTTCAACTAATATGTCCGGAACGGATAGAGATACTCACCATCCGTCGGACCAAGAAATACGGACACACGGTGTTGTCACGGCCGTGTTGGAGTACATCAGCAAGGGTCCAAACTCCCGGGGGGATCAAGTTCCCTGGCTCGAGCTTGCCCAAGTTCTGCAATACGGGTTCACTTAGCGGGAGTCCAGTAGCATGCGGTATCTCTGTGAACGGACCTCATGCCAGTCACATAGGTCGACAGATCCGGGGTTTTGACGGCCCTTCTCGCAAACGGCCGAGTTCGTGAGGTCCCGACAGCGGGCATCGACCACCTTGCCTTTCTTCTCCTTGGCTACCTGCAAGTGAACCAGCTCAGATGGTGTTCATGATGAGTAAGACTAGCTGTTCGGTGGATAGCAGCGACGATTGCTAGCGAGTTATGCCAACCCGCCCTTAATCTCGGGAGAAGCCAGTAGGATAAGCCAGCACATCACACACCTCTGGGTGGATGCAAAGATTCTTCCGGCTAGTCAGGCCAATGCCGTAGAAGTTGCGTTCCTTCTCCTTCTCCTCCTCAGTCTCAGCGCATGACAGACGATATGCCATCAGCCGTTTAAGCTCTTCCAATGCCTTCTCAATCTCTGGCACAGTTCGAGAGCAATAGATAAGTTTGCGTTTCGCTGGATAGAACTGGGAACTATTCAGGCGGGGCTGAAACGACAACTGTCACACACACCTGCTGGTAGGACACAATGAGGGAAAGCAACGACACGGTCTTTCCTGTCCCGGAAGGCATCTCAAGCACGCAATGACCCTGGAGCAAGAGATGATGAGGAAACAGTCATGAGCAAAGCTCTGTACGTACTTGGGCATCCAGAGTGCGCTTCAGATCACACATGTACGCATATTGTTCTGAAGATTGAGGTTAGCGACGCTCACGCAATAGGCTAGTGAGCTACCTGGTATATCCTATCATAAGGGAAGACAATCTGCGCATAGTGAGCGAGTTGAACAGGTTAGCAACCAAGGGCGTACCGGCAAGTCGTCAATGTGGAACTTCATCTTCAGCAGGGTTCAATGGCGGCCAGACAGGCCTGCAAGGGTGATGATCGCTACTCAGTGGGGGACCTTGTCCTGTAGACCCGAATCAAGAGTTGATTACAGATACGAAGTCGAGGCAAGCTCGATGAAGGTGGCAGTCGCGGGCAGAGCGGTCTAGCGTGACGCGGTGGTACGCGATCAAGACGCGTTACACATAAGGGCGCGTCGGGCGTCACGCCGGATCATGTCACGCTCTCCGATGTTTGCGAAGGGACCATCAACTGTCCTCCGCGCATCCCGTCCGTCCCTTCGCCGCCTACGCATCCCACCTCGCCGCTATGAGTCCACCGAGAAGGGAAGGCTCACGCCGTGGAAGGCGGACTCGACCGAGCCCCAGTCGGTGCTCGTGGAAGGCAACCTAACGAGATACACTTCATTCACACTCGACTTCTTCTACCGCTTCCTCAAGTTACCGCTATTGGCTTAATCACGGTGGGCACGACGATCGGTACAGGCTTCGCCGCCACACACATGTGGGTGGAGAACGTAGGGCTCGCACCGGAGACCGACGAGGAGGTTCGAAGGTGGGAGTGGGATGTCGAGGCGGAACGCTGGTCTGGGGGAGCGAAGGGCGGGACGGATCCCGGTCTTGGGTTCAGAGGTCGCGTAGGTGCTCGCGGCGCCTGGATGGTCATGGCCTGGGGACCCGGTACCCATACCAGCATGATTGGTTCCAAAGCATACAGCGGCCGCGTGCGTTCAGAGAGCGGCACTCTGAATGCCGTACCAGCCCAGCTAGAGATTGCCCAGGACTTTCTCGGTGCTGCCATCAACGCTGCGCAGGAGAATTCCAATAAAGTTCGCCCAGAGACGGTCGCGGAGCTCACCGCTACGCACGCTAGCATCATGGAACGCATGGGGACAAAGGAAGGGGTGTTCGAGGCGAGGACTGAGCTCGAACGAGTATGGGCGAGTCTTCCTGGCAAGGGCTTGACGCGGCTCGTGTTGCGTCAAAACTCGGGGACCTGAATCAACGCCTAGATGACCCCGAAGACGCTCTGGCATGGTGGGCACGGTCCATGCTATTGGTACAAGACAAGCCGCCCACAGAGCTCGCCTCTGTCACGCCAGTCGTTCCGGAATCTCCTCCTTCCTCTCCGCTGCACAACGGACGCTCGCCTCCACTCTTGTCTCCCTGTCCGTATATTATGCGACCTCCGGACAACTGAAAGAAGCGCGGACTCTGGAGAAATTGTCTCTTGACCTCATGCGGTCCATCAAACAGCCGGAGTCATTCGACTCGGCATCGCGTCCCCAAGCCCTGCACGCATTGTACCTCCTACACCGCTCGGCACTCCTGTCGGTCCATCTAGCAGAAGTCGAACATGCTCTCAAAGCGAAACAAGAGATCCCACTGCAGTGGCTAACGCGTGCGGCCGAATCTTCCGAGCGAGTTGCTCTTACATTGTCCGGTCTCCCCACCATACATCCTGACGCCCCCGAATCTAAAATCCCGCATCCGCCCTCTTCCGATACGCCTCTCGTGCCTGACTATTCCAAATCAATGTCAATGAGCAAGCCTGCTAAGAGTCTCCTTCGGGATTCACGGCGCACTGCGGCAGAGGCATGGAGCTTGATGGGCATCCTCGTCGAGAGAACTCGAGCCGCGGGGTCAGCGGAGAAGGCACTCGAGTGTTATGAGCGGGCGCTGGGCTGGGCCGGCGTCGCAGCGGACAGAGCAGGTGGGATTGGGAGAGCGGGTGATGGAACGCTGGAGAGCGAGTGGAAGGCATTGTGGGAAACTATGTGCGCGTCCGCGATGCTGTCCGACAGCAGCAAGAGAAGTAGATCTACTGTCGCTACACTGCCACTGGCAGGTCGCTCACATCTGCTTGTCTATGTAATGCACTCGGTACTCTATCACTTGCGTTTGTGCATATGCTGGTGGCGCGCATCACATTGCTCGGCCGCGTGATAGTACTGGACTGATCAGTTGTGCCGAAGGGGCGGACGGTGTGTGAGGGTGTGGGCACGATGTGGGCGGAGGTGCGTAGAGGCACAATCTTGATCGAGGCAGCATCGGAGATCGGGGTGCGGCGATTGCCAGATGCTTCCGAAGCCCCTCCAGCCACAGTCTCGTGCTTGCATCTGATCACTGGCTGCAGATGCTTGCAGCTCGTCTCTTGTCTGTTCGCCATCTACGCTCTCGCTTACCCTCCGTCTGTCAGACTACACCTTACAAGCTCTCATTAACCGTGCGAACAATGGTCAACGTCGCAGCAGACCGTTTCCTGGCGATCGTTCGGCTCCGTTGTGCAGTCTGGACGTTGCAAAGTCCTTCGCGCAACTAACGTGAGTCTTGGATCCGAATAGTCAGAAAGTGGTGCTCATATAACATGGACGGTCAGGTCAAAGGAGAAGAAGTATGCTCACCATATCGGCCAAGCTTCTTGGGCAGGCGCGCGCATCATACAGGGGCAATGGACGCCGCAAGCACAGAAGCTCTATGACTTGCTCATCCTGACCTTCAGCGACAAGGAAGGCTTGCGGACCTCCCTGGCTTACAGCAGAAGTCTTCGCTGACGTCAGAGGAATGGGAAGACCTTATGCAGTACACCACTCAGGTCCTCAGCAACCTAGTAAACTACAAGTCGTTTGGATTTACGAAGATTGTCCCCCGTATCCCCGAAGCCAAGTTCGCTGCTGTTGTTGAGAAGTCTGCGAACGCGCCGGAGGCACTTTCGCTCTGGAATGAGGTGACTAACCGACCAGACGTATCGCACTTGGCGATCACACTGAGTTGATGATTTAGTTGAAAGGCCACATTTACCGACTGCTCCCAGAGTCGAGCAACTTCATAGGGAAGCGCCGTGAAGGCCATGTCTCCAACTACTATCCCGGCGAGCCCATTCTGGATGACGAAGTGGCTGCCATCCAAGCTACTGCGGAGAGCTCGGTATCGACGTTCTCAACACCCGGTAGGATTCCGTCACCTCCGAGAACGAGTGTTTGTTAATACAGACCCAGCGTGCGGAAGGATGGACCGGACAGCTTCGCTCTTCTGGTTGCATCCGCCAACCCCAAGCCCGCGTCTTTGCACGAGATCGAGGTAGTTGGCAAGGGTGTCCAGCTCACTGTCGAGTACGGTGATTCGCCGTGCCATTGCAGAAAGCTGTCGCTGCGCTGAAAGAGGTATGTCGGATTAACAACCTTCCTAGCTGGGCCGCTAAAGTTGGTGAAGGCGAAGAAATATGTCGCTAACGACCATCAAGCAGCTATGCTCGACGGCTACATAGAATCGTATGTTTGAGGAGCCCCACAGTGGCCTCAAGCTCACATCTTTCTTAGTTTGAGACTGGTTCAATCGAAGCACACAAGAAGGGTTCGACCGAATGGGTGAAAGATGTCGGCCCTGTCGTCGAAAACTACATCGGTTTCATCGAGACATACGTCGACCCATACGGCGGCCGCGCTGAATGGGAAGGTTTGTGCCGTCCTAATTCATACTTCTATCAGCCTTGTTTATCGCGACATCCAATGACAGGCTTTACCGCTATCGTCAATAAGGCAATGAGCGCAAAATACGACACCCTTGTCTCAAAGGCTCCCGAATTACTCGAGGTGCTTCCCTGGGGTAAGGACTTCGAGGTCGACAAGTTTCGAAAGCCGGATTTCACAGCGCTGGAATCTTGACCTTTGCCACGGGTGGTAAGTGAACGTAGTGAAGGCCCGCATCATTTCTGATAGCGGTGATCATGTGTTGATCCATTCAGGAATCCCGCTGGTATCAATGTACGTGCATAGTTCTTGGGTTCATGTCCATGTCTGACAACGCACGCTACAGATTCCGTAAGAGACTGATCATCGATGCCGAGACAAAAACTTAGAACTGCATAGAACTATTACGAGATTCGTGAGGCCGTCGGTTTCAAAATGTCTCTCTAGCGGTACGTCTTATGCCTGGATCATATTGCGCCAGGCTTTGATCTTTACCCGCCGCAGAACATTCTTGCCGCAAAAGCACCTAGTACGTTTACGCGCACCTCAGATCCGTAATTCGAGCGTCTAACATTGTTACGCGTGCAGACGAGGAACTTACGTTCATCCACCCGGATGACGTGGACCTTTACAACGCATGGGACAACCGCGCTTTGAGCTGCAGGTTGCTAACCACGAACTGCTCGGGCACGGTAGCGGGAAGCTGTTCCAGGAGAATGCGGACGGGACCAAGAATTTCGACCCTTCGAAGGTACAAGTGCATCATCATCGATATGCTAGTGGCCCATGTCCCTAACTCAGATATAGATCACTAACCCGCTTACGGGAAAGCCGATGTAGGTCATGCTATACGGTAGTCAGGCGGTTAGTCTTTGGTCTCACATTCATTACCAAGTACGTCCTGGTATAAGCCCGGACAAACGCCAGGCTCCGTCCTCGGCGAAGTGTCCTCTTCTATGGAAGAATGCAGGGCCGAGACAGTCGCACTATACCGTAAGTGCTCGCATATCTGCTCGTTGCTGTGCTGCTGACAGAGTCATATCAGTTGTCAGCGAGCCCGAAATCCTCAAGATCTTCAAAGTAAGCTAGACTCAGAATCGGTCGATGATGTGAACGTTCATTCCCCGTACAGTACACGGAAAAGAAGGACGTGGAAGATGTCCAGTACATCACCTTCCTGCTCATGGCCCGTGCTGGTCTGCGCGCCCTCGAATTCTATGACCCCGCCACGAAGAAGCACGGGCAAGCACACATGCAGGCTCGGTAAGTTGCCCGCAAACTGCGTCCTCGTCTCCCCTCGCTGACTGACCTGTCCCAGACTCGGTATCACACAGCACCTGATCAAGTCAGGCATCGCACGGCTGGAGGAGATCCGCAGCGCTGACGGCACGCTGGAGAACCTCTACATCAGGGTATACATCCCCTATCGCTATTGCCGCATAAGCACGATGTCCCTGACCTTGACCTTGTAGGTGGATAAGGAGAAGGTGCTCACCCACGGCCGTGAGGTCGCAGGCACGCTTCTCGTCGAGCTTCAGGTGCGGAAGAGCACTGCGGACGGCCCGGGCGCGCGCGCGTACTACACGGAACTGACGACCCCCTCCCCGGCTGGGAGGGCGAGATTCGAGACCTGGTTCTCAAGAAGAAGCTGGTACGTTCCCGCCGCCGGCTATCAGACTCATTGTCTCACTCCTGTTGGACGCTACTCCCAGCCGCGCAAGATCTTCGTGCAACCCAACACCTTCATCGAAAAGGATGAGGTCGTGCTGAAAGAATATCCCCTCACGCCCGCTGGCGTCATTGAGAGCTTTATTGAACGGCGGCTCTGATCTAGCGCGGACTGCTAAGTATGTTTGCCCGGTGACACAATGACCACTGGATCAGTTCTTGCTTAGTATGCATCCAAAATGGTTGCATGGGGAAATGAAGGCTTCAGCCCGAGCGCAGACAGTGTTTGGGAAGATCCGATGAAAATTAGGTTGTGAAGGCTTGACCAATGTACAGTACATTTGACAGTGCTATGTAGTGAGCGACGAGTCTTAGCGTGGATAGCAGTGTCTATGGGTGATATAGCGAATGTGTGTAATCCTGCCTAATGGTATGGTGTATGGGCGAGGCAAGAGACGCAACCTATAATGTCTCCTTGACAAGCGCGACAACCACTGTAACGCTGCAGTGCGTGGTCAGTGACAACTTCAGAGAGCGCGCTAGGTTGGTGGACTTACTCGTCCTCTTTCTGGAGAAAAAACAGTTAGAGTCATCCGACCCAATATGAGAGAATAACTCACTCCACCACGGAAGTACATTCCCTCCCTTGCCGCGGCTCGCTCGAATGGGCTCGCGCGGTTTTTCTTCTTCATGCATGCAGTAGCGTACTCTACTAACCGCTCTGCGATAGTTTGTACAAGTTTATCGTCCTCGACCTGACCGATATTCGTTATTGGTTGGTAGACTTTGAGAATTGGTCTACGTACGTCTTGTGTTGGCCGCTTCTCATCAGGTCCGCTTTCCTCTTGAGAGCTTGGCTGCGGAGCAGAGACACTGAATTGACGCGACACGAGCGTACATATCGTGCTCATTTCCGCTGGAAACACATTATCTGCAAGGCCATCGGTCTGGAAGGTAGGCGACCATTGACATCATTGTCACTCCAGTTACAGATTGATGACATGCGTACATATACAATCACAATGTCCCCATCTCGCAGTTTCGTCTCGAGGATGTCTGCTTCACGAGGAGAGTCAACCACGGCGCGAGAGAATCCTGGGATGCCTTGGGGTAGCTTTGACAGTTGCCTGCGCGGAAGTTGTGTGAGCGGTGAAAGTATGATGTCAAACTTGCCCTACTTTGGACAGTTAAAGAAGTGTTGCTGTGAGCGTTGTTGATGAATTAAATTTGATGAGCGAAATATCGAGAAGCCGCTATCTCCAAGGCTGAGTGAGCGATGTTAGAGCACGACTACTGCGTGGGCACATGGATTGAACATACTTTGCGGCGCGAAGCACACCGGACGCAGCGTTAAGCGTAAGCAGGCAAGCAGTACTGGAGCCTACAAATCATAAACAGTAGGTGCTCCAGGCTCGTCAGAATTCACTGGACGTATGGTACTAACCACATACCCGCTTTAATGCTCCGTTCGCGCAGCACACCCCCATACGCAAGTTCCAGGCACTCCGCCGGACTCATTTCCCAACCTTCCACCTGCGGACACTCTTGCAGATCCTGAGTGGGATCTGTCTCTGGTTCACCTGCCCACGCATCCTTTGAGTAGCGATGGGCGTGGTACATCAAGGCTTGCGAGAATAGCGAAGGATCCACTCCTGAGTCGACCCAACCTCCAACACCGTCTGCTACGCCGAACGACACGCCCTAGCATAAACAGAAGCACATTGAACAAATACATACAGAGGCATGTCAGAAAGATAGATCGTCCTGAAAGCGGCTCACCTACCGACTGATTTCGCATCTGTGACACGCGGGACTGGTCAACTCCCACGCGAAAGGATACCCATATGGAGACTCACGTCCTGCACGTAGAAGAAATCCTCGCCGACATGATTCCCTACCGGTGAGTGGTACTTGTCCAAAAGGCTATCTCTCCATCCACCGATGTCACTGTCTGGCGCGAAGGGCTTCGTCTTCAAGCGGCGCATTTGGGGATCTGGCGGCTTGCCCGCCCAGCTGGCCCCAACATGAAAGCGGTACGGTCTTGGCAGCGAAGAGTACGCACGACGGGTAGATTTGAGCCGCGCGGATGTCTTCTGTGTGATACTGCGACCAAGTGACATGCTGCAGGTAGTACGGCGGAATGCGGCAGTCTACAGCGCACTCGGACTCGGACGCCACTGGTACTACTCGGCGCTTCCTTCGCGACATCATCGGCACGTGCTGCAAGCCACACGGCGGATCGGAAACAGCAGCCTGCAGTGGTGCAACGCTCGGCAGTGAGTTGCATAACATCCTTTACAGGCCTTCTCCAGGGAGCATGAGAGGGATGCCGAGAGGGGGCCCCGGGCAAGGAGTAGATCAGTACTGTTATGCAGCTCACTGCCGAGCGTTGGGTTGTGTAAGTTCTTTCTGTGGCGGATGTGGTGCGGCCGCAATACAGCACGTAGTATTTCAATGACTGTGTTCAGGTCCCGTCGAGGCCGTGAATGAATCGAACTGTCTTGATGATGCTCACAAGACTGGCATACTGGGCCGTGATCTCGGTCAGACATCCTGGTCGGCCACCCCATACATTGTTCAACAATCGCACCACATTCATGAACGGGCCCAAGGTAAGTATATACCAACAGCAGTGTATATGCTAACAACGGTAACACGAAATCAGACTGCTACATAAGCAAGCAACATCACTCGGACGCACACCAAGCTCTCAAATCGAACGACGTCCTTGACTCCGACTGGTTTTCAGACCCAGGCTTGATTTTCGAGCCCCCTGGCGTACGTTTAGGGTCGACTTTGGGTCCCGACGTGCCGATGCTTGACGCTGCAGAACGGCCCGCGCCCTTCGCTTTGCCGCCTGCGAGCACTGGCAGTGACTGAGCGATGGTTGCCTGGGTATTCTTGCTCGGGGGTTTCGATGTCGCGCGGACGGGCTGTACCTGTTTCCGCGGACGACTTCCGGAGGGTGGTGCAGGTGCAGGGGGGACACGCAGCTGTGAGATCGGCTTGAGAGCCTTCACCTTCGGAGCTGAAGCCTTCAAAGCACCGTCTGCGGCACTGGTGGATGTCTCACCGAGACGGGAGGAGGAGCCTTTCCTTGATGATGGCTCGGGAGCGAGCGATCCTGGAATGAACGGCTTATGTCACCCACCAGACACAACCTGAATCATTTGCGGGACGCACCGACAGGTTTCTGGCACTCGAGGCGCGCCTTCGCTTGTGTGTCTACCTTGGCTGTTCGTGCGAAGGGATTTCGCGAGATGCTGCGCTCAGGTTCGGCCTCCGTGGGCGAGGCCGGTTCCGCCGTGGCCTGTCGCTCTTGCAGGCTAGCATGCAGTGCTGTTACCGCCGCTGTCACGTCCGCACGCTTGCGAGCTGCATTCGTGGACAGTAGATGTCCATCTGCCAGCGGCGCGTCAACCCTGGCCCTCTTCCGGCGAGCTGCGCCGCTTAGGGACACGTTCGAAGGTGCGTGTCCGAGTCCTGAGGTAGGCAGCGAATCCCAGGCTGGTGGGAATCGGAAGAGCATGAGTTTTGTGGAATCTGTGGTCGCGGGCCTGTGTACACGATTTGACACATTGAATGCAGTAGGAGCACGAGGACGCGCCACGCTCTGCTCATAGAAACGCATCACCGAGTTGTGCCGTGCTGCGAGGAGGGTTTCTTCTTCGGCAACCCTGACCATGTCGCGTTGCCCGGGCGACCCGTGGAGTCCACGATTGCTGAAGTCTTGGAACGTAATCTCCGAGTCACCTTCGTTGGCCTCGTCTTCGCCGTTCCAGGAGACGTCGCCTTGTTCGGGCTGAGCTTCTCTGAGTACAGTAGCATGACCGTTCATCCAGAAGTCCCTGCCCGGTGACTCCCCGGCAACTCCAAGTGACGATGAAGATCTTGTCAGATTGGGTGAGTTTGCCGGTGGACGAAAGACATCTCGTCGGCTGCCTATCGAGACCGTCTCGTCCGACGAACGTATCGCGCGTGCACTAGCAGACGACACATTGTGCTCAAGCCCGTTCACTCTGAGTACGTATGGTTGTGGATGTGAGAATACGGTGCATTGCTCGCGTTGAGCAAGCATGTCTAGGGTTGACAGAGCGTGTGGAAAGGGGGTGGGATGGAAAAGCTGGCCATGGGGGCATGGTTCGAAGGAAGATGCACTTTTGTACCTGCAGCGGGTACCCCGGATGTCTGCTCTCCGTCAGTCTTCCACAGTGATACTTGACAACCCAAAATTTGACACTCACCAACCACAGACAGCAACGGAAACATGGGGAGACAGTCAAAGACTTTGTCCTCAATATTGATGCAGTCACGCAGGCTGAGGATACGCAAGCCCCATGGTCCGCGCCTGTGGGCCCTGGGAGACGTATCCTCAATCTCCTCGTCCTCAGAGATGGTCAAAGTCTTTGCGAGAGACTTGATACCCCATGTGCCGAGCGCGGTACCACTCGCATCAAATGCGCAGAGGCTATGCAACTCCTTGAGCAACACAATGTTCTTGTCCGTAAGCTCCTGGCACCCCGGGAGCTCAAGGATCGTCAAAAGGGCGAATTCCGGAGTTGGAGGGATGCGTTGCAGCAAGGGGACGTGTGTATCAGCAAGAGGTAGCGTGTACACACGAAACTGTGCTGGGATGTCGTCGTATAGTTGCACGAGCAGCGCCCAGAGACGCGGATCGACCCGCGTCAAATCGAGTGGCCGGTCCGGCCTGTATGCTGGAATGAGCTCGCGCAGGATGTCGTGCGCTTCCCGGGTCTTCGGAGGTCTGTAGGTAAGACGAAGTGGACCTAGAGTGTGTATCTCGTCTGGATAGCCGAGGAGAGCCTGAAAGCAAAAATAGGTTAGGGACGGCAGATGGTTCGGTTTCCCGCGCGATTGTGTCGCCAGGTCGTATTGAGTAGACGTTCGCGACGCCTGCGGCAACGTGGTTTTCAAAACGGTGATGCCCGCCTCGTCAAAGGTGCGCGTCTGGCGTGGCCGCCAGAGTCGGATGGGCTTGCTCATCACAAGCAAGAAGGATCCAAGGTGAACGCCCCAAAACTTCAGGCTTCAAGTTAGGTATGTGCTGAGAGGGCCATCATGAGTAGAGACGGACGGACGACCACGAACGATGGACCGTGACGGTCGCGGTCTCTGTGGAACTTCTCACGAGGCGGTGACACGGTCATGTGACCGCGATTCACCGACACTGCCTAATGTCTGTACTCTGAATTGTTAGACCAGATATTAGTACATTGCATGGGCTGTAGCAGCTGTTGATTGCATCCCGAAGGCTTCGTTTCCCAAATCGTGCCTTCGCTCAATCCGCATAACGATCAACCGAGCAAGCCAGGTCCCAAGACCAATTCACGCAAGTGACCATGGACCCCGCCACCCACTCACCCACCACTCTTGTCTGCATGGATCAATATGTTGCCGTCTAACAACCGTAGCGGAGAGAAGTCATATGTCCGAGTGTCGTTCCGGCTGCAACGTTCCTCGCCTTGCGGTCCCGTAAGGCGCCCAAATATTGTTCGACGAGCCTTCCCATAAGTACAGTAAGCACCAGTGACAATAGACAGCGCAAGTTCGTCAAACCGAAATCACAAAACGACGGTGATGAGAAATGAAGTCCGCAGCGAGCAGCCAAATTATGTGTTATTTCTGTCAATGTTTGAGAGGCTCGTACGGAAACAGTAGGGTGCATAGCCCTGTGTCATCTATACTACAAGAGGCGTCAGATATTCACACGGGGGGGACAAACGGCTGAGACAAAGACGACATCTGATTGGCTGAGAGACGGACGCCCGAGCGCTGCCCGAGCCTAGCTGCGCGAATACTGTCGACTCCTCCACTTGTTAGAACGTGCGGCGCTCAATTTCTCACTCTGGCATGTACATATGTAGTCCACTCGCTGCGCTCTTCGACCTAGCCGAACCCTCTAAGTTTGGAAGCATGCTTGATCTTGTGCGGACCGTCGAATCGCTCGCGGCGTTGCCTCATGCATCTGCCACTGCCACCCTCTCCCTCTCTCGCCGTGGGCACCACCCCCTCAATATTCATCCACGACGGCCTGGCTCGAGCTCAGGCGTGCAGTACGAGCATCACCACGAGCGCGACAACAGTGGCACTGTGAAGCGCATCGAAGGCCCGAGACGGAACGATGGGCACGCAGGGTAAGTGCCCAGCATGCGTATGCGACCGACGAGCGCGTGAGCAACAGACACGAAGATGAGTGCCATTATTGCACGCGAGCGAGCTGGCTAAGAACGGGCGTGGGGTATGGTCGGCAGGTCCGGGCACACAGAACACACGTTGACCGTGAACGCGCAGGGCATAAGCCCAGCACACAAACACGGCCGACGACCGGACCACGGGTGCATCAGCGAAGGAATCGGACGGATGGGAGAATGTGGCAGGCGCAGGGCGCAGTCGCCGTGGCGCCATGAAGCGCGATACACACACCGACCACGAGCGCACCGGGCGAATGCCCAGCACGCAGACACGGCCGACGGACGCGCGCGGAGCGAGCGGGCAGGCGGGCGAGCAGGCGTGGACGGGCAATCGGATAGGCAAGCGAGTGGATGGGTGGGAGAGCCCGCAGGCGACAGCGCACACATCAACCGCGAGCGCGATGGGCGAACACTTACTGCACGCAGGCACGGCTGACGTACGCGTGCGCAGAGGCGTGCGAGCATGCAGGGCAAAGTGCCACCGTAAAGCGTAGCTGACGAGCGGACCATGGGCCCGGACGTAGCTACGAGCAGGGAGGGCGGACAGACGGCGGGCGGCAATACCAAGGGTGCAGGCACAACGCGCACGAGTCGGAGTCGGAGAGTGGCTACTCGGAGGCCCTGGGCATAGGTGTGCTGCATGCCTGAATAACTTCCAGGTTCTGCTGTTGATGAGCGGGTTATAGGGACACCATGATTCCCAGACTACAAACGTCGTTCACTGGCTGTCATGAACAGCATGCCCAAATCACTGGATGCCGCATTCGTTGACGCGACGCAGGATTGTATCTGAAATGGTATGTGCGTCATCCCCCGAACTCCAGTCTGACCATCTCTCCACTACGGCCTCGCGCTCTGCCTCGCGCGTCGCACGCCAAAAATTCGGAATGACGACAGTTGAAGCGACTTTGAAACTCGCGGCGACAGTCAACCATCTCACGCGCGGGATCGAGCCCAACGCGGGTGGTGGCGGCGCGAAGAACATTCAATCGGCACGCAATACACGAACATGTACCCGAAGACGGTGTCTTCGACCCGGCGATGTTCTCGGATCCTGCCAGTATGTTCAGCCTCGCGATGGAACAAGCGGCGGCGGCGGCGAACGGACTTCATTCGGAGTGGTGATGTGTTCTCGCCGAGGAGCGTTGTGCTGCTGAATGAGTATGCCGCTGAGGCGGGAGGAGGTACTGGGATATGCGGAGGACACTGAGGAGGAGTTCGAAGAGTTTAATGCAGAGGATGACGAGGACGAGGATGGGCACATCGCGGTAATGAGACACCGTCGAGTGGCAAGGAATCATTGTGCATGAACTGGGCTACATAGCTGCCACGCAAGGCCCTATGAGCACTAGGTAATTACATGTATACAGAGCAATCCATGAATCTGGCCACTCAGCCGCCTCCATACGGGAATCGGCTTCTTGACCTTCTGACTCAGCAAGCAACTCGAGTTGCAGTTCCGTGTCTCTGCGGACTCATATGGTATGTATGTACAGTACAACTGTATTTGCGAGTGCACACCGCTACCGTAGCGTAGCACGGGCTTCGGCTAGTTCAAATACACATGAGGCTCTTATGCATATTTATGATGCGAAAGAGGTCGCCGTCGCGCGGGCGCAGAGGAGGCGAGCGGGCGGGATCAGGAGAAGAGGGTGGACTTAAGCGGTTATGCGAGCGCTTCCCCTGGCCTGCGCAACGAGTTCCCACGGAGGTAAGGCGGTGAGCAAAAGAGCTGCGACGCCCACTCCCACTTCTATATCACCGACAACGGCCGGCTCCCCAGTCTCAGCGCAAGGCCTTCTCTGCTACCCTCATATCCCTCCAGTCTGTCGCTGGCCCTTCCACTCCTTAATAACCGTCTTTGCTAGTACTTCTACCACAGCGTCTTGTCCTACTCACCTTAGCCATGGCCGCACCTCCAGGATATGGACCTCCGAACCCTCATAATCCGTTCTCTGACCAACCATCGCCGTATGGAGCACCCTTGCGTCAATACCCCGGGGATCATGACTACGCCAGTCGCAATGCCAGTACGGTTCCGCTAACCAACCCTGCATACTTCGATACCGCGCCAAAGTGTGAGTTGCTGCCCTTGCCCTGTCCTTCTACCCCAGTGTTGTGCCTTGTGAATGCGCTGACCTTCCTGAATACCAGCGGTTGCGGGAAGCGTTGAATCGATGGACGGGTTCGACCGTCCGTACAGTGCTTCGGTGAACTCTCGCTTTAGTACGGGCACCGCGGACGGCCCCTACAACCCTTTCGCGGACATGCCTGGTTCTGGTGAACCCTACCCCGCGTGGACGTCCGAGCGGGATATTCCCATGTCTGCCGAGGAAATTGAGGACATCTTCCTTGACCTTGCCCAGAAGTTTGGTTTCCAGAGGGATTCCATGCGTAACATGGTGAGCTGTTCCACCAAAATTTATTTTGAATGTTGCTGAACGCTTCACCCCCCCCCCCCCCCCCCATAGTACGACTTTCTGATGCAACTGCTGGACTCGAGAGCGTCGCGCATGTCACCCAATCAGGCCCTCATCACCATCCACGCTGACTACATTGGCGGGCAACATGCCAACTACCGCAAGTGGTACTTCGCCGCACAGCTCAACCTTGACGACGCCGTTGGCCAGACGCAGAACCCCGGCTTGCAACGTCTGCGGAGTGTCACAGCAAAAGTGCAGACGACCAGCACGAAACACCTCGACAGTGCTCTCAACCGCTGGCGCAATGCGATGCACAACATGAGCCAGTACGACCGGCTGCGGCAGGTCGCCCTCTGGCTGCTGTGCTGGGCTGAGGCCGGGAACGTCCGGTTTACCCCCGAGTGCCTTGCATTCATCTTCAAGTGCGCGGACGACTACTATCGCAGTCCCGAGTGCCAGAACCGTGTCGATCCTGTGCCTGAGGGTCTCTACCTCGAGTCCATTATCAAGCCTCTATATCGCTTCATGAGGGATCAGGGCTACGAGGTTGTTGAGGGCAAGTTCGTGCGGAGGGAGAGGGAACACCACGAGATTATCGGGTACGACGACATCAACCAGTTGTTCTGGTATCCCGAGGGTATCGCCAAGATTATATGTCACGATAACGTACGTCTAGTCTCTATCCGGCCGCTGTGCGTGGCTCACATAGGTTCGTCTGCAGACGCGGTTGGTCGATGTCCCACCAGCTCAGCGGTTCATGAGGCTTGGCAAGGTGAACTGGAACCGCGTCTTTTTCAAGACGTTCTTCGAGAAGCGTTCCTTGGGACACTTGCTCATGAACTTCAACCGTATTTGGATCCTGCATATCGCGGTCTACTGGTTCTACACCGCGTTCAACTCGCCTAAGGTGTACACGGCGCCGAATAAGTCTCAACCATCCCCGGCAATGACGTGGTCGGCCACGGCTCTGGGCGGTGCCGTTGCGACACTCATCATGATCTGTGCCACGCTCGCTGAGTTCTCCTTCACGCCTACGACCTGGAACAATGCCTCTCACTTGACGACCCGACTGATTTTCCTGCTGGTCGTGCTCGCTCTCACAGGCGGTCCGACCGTGTATATTGCCTTGGTCGACGACACCAAGTCCAACATCCCGCTCTACGTTGGCATCGCGCAATTCGGCGTGTCTGTGGTGGCCACGCTCGCATTCGGTATCCTCCCGTCTGGCCGTATGTTCGGCGACCGTGTGGCAGGCAAGTCGCGGAAATACCTCGCGTCGCAGACGTTCACTGCGGCCTATCCCGGCTTGACGTCCAGTGCCCGGTTCGCGTCCGTACTCATGTGGCTGCTGATCTGGGGCTGCAAGTATGTCGAGTCCTACTTCTTCCTTACATCCTCGTTCAGCCAGCCTATTCTCGTCATGGCGAATATGAGGGTGCAGAACTGCAGCGACAAGATCTTCGGCAACGCCCTCTGCTCGAACCAAGTCAAATTCGCCCTCGCCGTCATGTATGTGATGGATCTGGTACTCTTCTTCCTGGACACGTATCTATGGTACATCATCTGGGTAGTCGTCTTCAGTGTGTGCCGCTCGTTTTACCTCGGATTGTCCATCTGGACGCCGTGGAAGGAAGTCTACACGCGCATGCCCAAGAGGATCTACGCGAAGCTGTTGGCGACTGCGGAGATGGAAGTTAAGTACAAGCCCAAGGTGAGCATCGCATACATATGTCCCTAGACTGTCACTCATTGCAATGTCTCCTAGGTTCTCGTGTCCCAGATTTGGAACGCGGTCATCATCTCCATGTACCGCGAGCATCTCCTGTCGATCAACCATGTGCAGCGACTGTTGTACCACCAAGTCGACGGACCGGATGGGCGCCGTGTACTCCGCGCACCTCCCTTCTTCACGCACAACACCGGTAGAGAGAGCGACTTCTTCCCTACTAGCGGCGAGGCTCAGCGCCGTATCTCGTTCTTTGCGACTTCCCTCACGACGGCTTTCCCTGACCCGTTGCCCGTCGAGTCCATGCCTACTTTTACGGTCCTGGTTCCGCACTACTCGGAGAAGATTCTCCTGAGCTTGCGGGAGATCATCAGGGAGGAAGACCAGAACACTCGCGTCACGCTGCTGGAGTATCTGAAGCAGCTTCACCCGATCGAGTGGGACAACTTCGTCAAGGATACCAAGATCCTGTCCGAGGAGAACTCGGCCACGAACACTGTCGACGGTCACGATATGAACGAGAAACACGATAGTCGCTCGGATGATCTTCCGTTCTACTGTATTGGCTTCAAGACAGCGGCTCCGGAGTATACCCTGCGCACACGTATCTGGGCTTCACTTCGGGCGCAGACGCTTTACCGGACGGTTTCGGGTATGATGAACTACTCCAAGGCCATCAAGTTGCTCTATCGCGTGGAGAACCCTCAGATCGTACAGCGGTTCGCCGGCAACACCGACCGGCTCGAAAGCGAGCTCGAGCGCATGTCGAGGCGCAAGTTCAAGTTCACCGTCTCCATGCAGCGGTACGCCAAGTTCAACAAGGAAGAGCTCGAAAACGCCGAGTTCCTGCTGCGCGCCTACCCCGATCTACAGATCGCGTACCTGGATGAGGAGCCTGGCGACAAGGGCAGCGACCCGAGGCTGTTCTCGATCCTCATCGACGGTCACTCAGAGTTCGACGAGAAGACTGGTAAGAGGAAGCCGAAGTTTCGCGTCGAGCTGCCTGGTAACCCCATCCTGGGTGACGGCAAGTCGGACAACCAGAACCACGCCATCATTTTTTACCGTGGCGAGTACCTGCAGCTCATCGATGCCAACCAGGACAACTACTTGGAGGAGTGTATCAAGATCCGGAACATTTTGGGCGAGTTCGAGGAGTACGGCATCTCCAGCCAGAGTCCGTACGCGCAATGGGGCCAGAAGGAGTTCAAGAAGTCCCCAGTTGCTATCGTCGGCACTCGCGAGTATATCTTTTCGGAGAACATTGGCGTACTTGGTGACATCGCCGCCGGAAAGGAGCAGACGTTCGGTACCATGACTCCTCGTTGTCTGGCGTGGATTGGCGGTAAACTGCACTACGGACACCCGGATTTCCTGAACGCAACGTTCATGGCTACACGTGGCGGTGTGTCGAAGGCGCAGAAGGGCTTGCACCTGAATGAGGATATCTTCGCCGGTATGACTGCGCTGGCTCGTGGCGGTCGCATCAAGCACGCGGAGTACTACCAATGCGGTAAAGGACGTGATCTCGGTTTCGGTACCATCCTAAACTTCCAGACGAAGCTTGGCACCGGTATGGGTGAGCAGATGCTCAGCCGCGAGTACTACTATCTCGGTACGCAGCTGCCTCTCGACCGGTTCTTGACGTTCTACTACGGACATCCTGGTTTCCACATCAACAACATTCTCGTCATCCTCTCTATTCAGGTGTTCATGGTCACTCGTAAGTGCGAATTATAATGCTGTCTGACGTTCTGCTGACTGGCTGTATAGTTTTGTACCTGGGAACCTTGAACAAAGAGCTCGCGATCTGTACCACAGATGTCTCTGGGAACGTCCCCGTCGGCCAGGATGGCTGCTACAATCTCAGCCCTGTCTTCGACTGGGTCAAGCGTTGCATCATGTCCATCTTCTTGGTGTTCTTCGTAGCGTTCCTGCCATTGTTCTTGCAAGGTGTGTGTCCTGATTTCACCCGCTGCGTTGCTGCGCTAAACGCTCTCCCTAGAACTGCTCGAGCGAGGCACCGGCAAGGCGTTGGTCCGACTCGGCAAGCAGTTCCTTTCGCTCTCCCCTATCTTCGAGGTCTTTTCGACGCGGATCTATTCACAGTCGATCGTAAGCAACTTGACATTCGGCGGTGCTCGCTATATTGCGACTGGACGAGGTTTTGCGACAACCCGGATCTCATTCACCATTCTATACTCCCGCTTCGCCGGTCCGAGCATTTACATGGGTATGCGCAACGTCCTCTTGCTCACGTATGCGACCATGGCCCTTTGGACTCCCTATCTCATCTACTTCTGGTTCTCGGTCGTGTCTCTCTGCATTGCGCCCTTCGTCTTCAATCCTCATCAGTTCAACTTCCCGGACTTCATCATTGACTATCGCGAGTTCCTTCGTTGGATGTCTCGCGGTAATTCGCGTACGAAGGCGAGCAGCTGGTACGGTTACTGCCGTCTGTCGCGTACTATGATCACTGGCTACAAGAAGAAGAAACTCGGTCACCCCTCGGAGAAGCTGTCTGGCGATGTTCCCCGTGCGAGATGGCGGGCAGTGCTACTATCGGAGATCGTCTGGCCCATCTGCATGGCGGCCCTCTTCATCGTCCCCTATATGTTCGTCAAGTCCTTCCCGACGAAGGGTAAGGAGAATCCGAGCGCTCTCATCCGTATTGCCGTGATCGCCGTCGGGCCTGTGGTCTGGAATGCAGCCATGCTTCTAGCCTTGTTCTTCGTGTCACTTTTCTTGGGACCGATGATGTCCGGCTGGACCAAGTTTGCATCCTTCATGGCATCTTTAGCGCACTTCCTGTGCTTGATCGGGCTGATCGCGTTCTTCGAGTTCTTCGTAAGTTGGTTGCACATTCATGGTGAACTGGAAATTGTACTCATACGTCATTCTAGTGGTTCTTGGAGCTTTGGGATGCCTCTCACGCACTACTCGGAGTCATCTCCATTGTTGCAGTCCAACGTGCGATCCAGAAGTTCCTCATCTCGGTGTTCCTTTCTCGTGAGTACAAGCACGACGAGACTAACCGTGCATGGTGGTCTGGAAAGTGGTACGGCCGTAATCTCGGTGCTTCTGCCTTCTCGCAGCCGGCGCGTGAGTTTGTCGTCAAGATCGTGGAGATGTCGCTTTGGAGTTCCGACTTCCTGATGGCGCACATCTTACTCGTCGTCTTGACGCCGCCCACCCTCATCCCCTTCGCCGATAAGCTGCATTCGACCATGATGTGTAAGTCGTCACCCTCAACTTGTCAGGATCGCGACTCACAGTTACCCCAAGTCTGGTTGCGCCCTTCGAAGCAGATCCGTCCTCCTCTCTTCTCTACGAAGCAGAAGCGGCAGCGCCGTTGGATTGTGAGTTTCGACTGTTATCATCAGCTTTGCCATTGTACACTGACAATTGTCGATCTAGGTGGTCAAGTACACAGTCGTTTACATGATCGTAGTTGCAGGTCTCGCCGCGCTCGTCGTGCTTCGTACGTTTTCGCTTACCGAACCTACACTGCCCCAAGCTGACCATTCCCCTACAGCCACGCTATTCCGGGACCGCATAACGTGGAACTGTACCTTATGTCAGAAAATCTAATGTCCCCCTGCACGCTCTGGTTTCGGTGATACTAGGACGATTCCGCATTACGGCGGAGCTTCGGCAGACATTCATTGTATATCCGTATACTCACCCTTGGCTACCTGTGTAATATCAATAGAGTTCATTGCATGCATCGTATCACAGACATGTTGTTCGACGTTGTTCCTGCAATTGGCATGGAAGATAAGGGAGTACAATGACGGCGATGCAGACTACATCAGAGAAACTACGACATAAGAACGGACATCGAGATTGGACGGTCGCGGATGCTCTGCCGTGAGTTGCCGTCTTCACGCAATACCGTCGCACTTTGCAATATCTTCGTGCTGTCCTGAGATCGACGCTGCTAGCAGGTAAGGCGACTGATTGTTGCACAGGTTGAACAGGACGGACATACCTTGATAGCTTGCGTCGTCTTGCGCATCTCTTGCAGAACACAAGAGTCGCGCCTGCGAAACTCGTTCTCCTTCCCTCTAGCCTTCGGGTTTTCTTCCTGCTCCTTGCAACGAGCAAGATCCGCTCGCAGTCTCTCGATGATGAGCTCCAACTGCAGAACAATCATTTCTGTTGAGCCTCTAGCGAAGGCATGCATGGCCGTCTTGAGTTCGCAGTTTTCCTTCTCGAGCTCCTCGATTTTACGGCTGTTTTCGACGGCGAGCTCCTGCGAATCCTGCATAGTGCGGAGCTTCCCTTGCCACGCCCTTGCATCAGTGATCCGCCGAGCCGCCTCCTTCTCAGCCTTCACTTGAGCTTGTGCCAGGACGGCATTCTCGTTCTGCAGTACGGCGATACGGTCTTCTGCGCGCCGAGCCCGGGCCTCTACTTCGTGCCTGAGCTCACGCTCGGTCTCGAGTGCGATGGTCGACGCATCCACGCAGTCGTTCATGCGGCGTGAGGAAGAGCGAATGACTCCCTGCAATGAAGTCAGTTGCATGCGTAAGGCGTCCTTCTCTGCGGTCAGGTTGTGGATGTCCAGGCGAAGAAGGTCTTCGGTTGCACAGCGGGAGTCGCTCTCGTTCCTCGTCTTCAGCGTTTGAGGTGCAAGCACCTGGACACGCTGAGCAAGCCCTACAACGACGTTCCCTCCCGCATTCGTCCCGGGCTCGTCATCGGATGGAATTGGAGGTAGAGTGGCTGCCGAGTCAAATGCTGGAAGCAGAGAACCGTGATAAGCAGCGTCTAGACTGAGAGTCTTCTTCTTGTGAAGCAACGGAAACGGCCGTGCAGAACGCGAGTACCAGCCAAGTTCTCCAGAATTGCCATTACCGCAATGGCTGAACGGAGACCGCAGCGGTGTCGAGGGTGGCAGCCTTACGGACTGGGACCGCTTGATGCCAGCGATCTTGTCCATGGCCAAGCGGGACCGAGACTGAGGCGTGGTGACCGGGGCAGGGAGGAGAGACATGCCAGTAGACCAAGAGCAATAAAACAAAGCAGATGGAAAGCGAGAAGCCAGGGCTTAAACTGCACGTACCAACGATCTGGGGATACCGGGAGACGTCTGCTACTGCAGGTTGCTGACGGGGGGTGGCGGGTGTTGTCAGCCTCTTCGAGCAACGTTACACGATATGACCGCCGCAGCTGCGTTCCTAGTCCGACGGAACTCACCGCCTTTGTGTGCCCATTCGCCAAGCACGATGGCATAATACCAATTGCGAGAAAGCGTGCATTGTGTCAAATCTCAATCGAGTCGCGCGTAGCAGTCCTTGGGTGGCATAGTAGGTTGGTTGGGATGCATAGAGCGAGCCACACTTCCTCCTCGATTGAAAGACAGATATTCTGGTCAGACTCAAAAGCGTAAGGAGAGATGGAGGTGGTGTAAAGTGTGGGCCAGCAGCGAGCAGGAGGAGGGGTGGGATAGACGCATACTTATTATTTAGATAAATAGGCAAGGCCGAGGAGAGGCCGAAGCATGATCGCGCCTCTCGACAACGCGCTCCTTCGCGTTCCAACCGAGTTCACTGCACGCTATCCGGTTGCCCTCTAGCACAAACTCATCGAGCTGCAGGACCCGGAGGCTTAGCCGTGCCTGCGGCCATGGACTACTTCTCCAAGTTCCTTCGTTCGTCCAGTCAACCAAGTCCCAAAGTCGAGGTTCGGCTGCTCTCACTGGCAGTTGAGGTGATACGCGGTGCTGAGTACCCAGCAGGTCGACCATGCCCAAGAGTTCCATAAGTCATGGACACTCATCAAGGTTCGTAAGGGTTGAGCATGCCTATGTTATGCTCGAAAACTCACAATATGTCAGAATACATTGTCACATCCTGACGAACGGCAACTCTCGAGAGGTATCCAGTCCACCGACGTTCCGGCGCATCTGCAGTCAATAGTAGACTCTCTCGTATGGGAGTCGACGCGAACCGAGGAAGGGTATGTGGCCAGATCATGGTCTCAAGCTTGTTTGTCTCACCCGCTCCAGAGGTACAGGTGCCTGCCTGGAATACTTGCTCAAGAACGGTGAGCTCTGAAATGCATCCTCTCATATCTGAGCCTCATGGCGCCCCGTAGATGTCTTGGGAACTCTTGTCAAGCTAAGCGAAGCAGACCGCCCATTTGGCACGCAAGCGGAGGTCCTAAGAGCGGTCCAGAACATGGTTGTCCTCCTGGACGAGCAATTTCTCGTACATTCGGCCGTTCACAAGGCCGTGCTGAGATTGCTGAGGAACTGCGTGGGCGACGACATCCAGGAGCAGCTTGATGGGCGCAACAAGGTCATGGGTGCTGCGGGTACCACCGTTCGCAGCCAGCCTTCCGAGTACGAGGAAGACCGTACGTGTACTACAGATCGTACAAGACTTATGCTGATCATTTGACTACAGTGGTTAATCTACTATGCATCTTGTGCAGCAGAATTCGGACATACCGGGAACTGCTCATGATCTTCTTTCACGACAAGCACTGGTATCGACCAGAGCCTCTATTCGCTGTAGAAGAGGAGGATGAAGATGAGGAGGACGAGGACGGGGAGACTTTGGTAGAGCAGGAAGCTGCAGAGCCGCCTGCTGAACAGGGTGTAGATGCGTCACGAACTCCACGCCCCGGCTCTCCATCACCTTCCCAAGACACGGCGAGCTCTGCGCCTGCATCTTCTGTGACGAAGAAACCGGAGTATGAGTTTCTGCTCTTCAACTACCTACTCCGTTTCGTACACCGAGAGGGGCGTATCGGCGACTTCGCGCGTGCTGGCCTACTTTTCCTCATGGACGTTGCCATGTCTCCGACGGGATCCCAAGGCCGTTCCACAGATGGCGTACAACTCTCGTCTTCAACCTCTTCGCTGCAGGATTCGTCGCAATCAGACCCCGCAACAGATGCAGCCCTCGCGTTGGCCGAATATATCATCGACGGAGACTTCTCTGAAGTGCTTGCCGCCGGTGTCTCTGCGGTATACTCCCTCCTTCCCTCGAAGCTCGAGGTCCGACCTCCCGCGCCTGCAGAGAACGTGTCAGGCACTGCAATGGTTCTGGGAAGCACTACCGCAGAGCTGTCAGCAGAGGAGAAGGAGAAGGAGGAGGAAGCCCGCGAGAAGACTCGTGCCATGGGCGTCGAGGACGCGTCTAGTCCGGAGTTCAAGGCGCGTCTCGATCATTTCCTCAAGCTCCTCGAGTTCCTGCAGGATGTGCTTCGACGAAACATAGTTCGCGAAACCAGCGACGACAGCCTGGATCCGTCCACACTTGTGGGCTTCGCGATCGTTCAGTCTATCTTGGACGCGATCAGGAGGGTCTTCCTAGAGAACGTGCTATACCCCTCAATCCTGGAGTGCTCAGACGCAGACGGCAGTGCTGTCGCCGTCATGTCCTATATCGACATCATGATCCGCACGCTCCAAAATGGACAGCTCGCCGACCTCCTTGTTGACTTCCTCATGAGCGAAGACAACAACGAGCTTGCGCGGAGCCGCATCAGGCACCAACATCACAACACCCTTACCCTCAATGGCAGTATGCCACCTGTCACGCGTGCCCCGGCGAACGACAAGGAGAAGAAGCTGCGGCGACGGAGGAGCACAGCCATGGTTCTCCTAGAGATGGAAGCACCTGATGCACGCCGACAATCGGAGTACTTCACCTCGATGGGCCGTTTCACGCTCAAAGATTTGCTGCTGAGCAACCTACGATCGAAGACTCAGCCTACGGCGACCGCTGCCCTACAACTACTCCAGTCCCTGCTGTTTCAATATTGCCAGCTCTGCGTGGACCGGCTGCTTGTGGTCATCCGGGATCCGTATGCTACCAGCTTCCCGCAACCGGCCGCGTTGGAAGCGCTCACGCAGGAAAAGCCAACAGCTGCGCCCGCGGAGGACGATGAGGAAATGTTCGTCTATCCTGGTGCCGACGATGCAGGATTAGCTCGCAGCGCTAGCCCGGCTCCAGACAACTCGATGCTCTTCGTCCAGCCTGACACCACTTACTGGACGCACGAGCGCGAGATGGGTCTGTATCTGACCCTTGTCTCGCGTGTGGACCCAAACCACAACGAGGACGCCTTCAGCACAGGTTACGAGCACTACCTCCGGGACGCTCTGCTGTCCATCGAGAGCTCGATGTGCTTCCAGCAAGATATAGATCCTGAGGTAAGGTCGAAGATGAAGCACCGTCTGAACCCCAACGACCCCGTGCTCTCCTTGGTCCTGGAAGCGCTACGGAAGTTCTTCGCGAACACGCCAGAGATGAACATGGCACTGACAGGCGTCCTGGCGACCCTGGCGACATGTCCCGATCGCTCGCTCGCAGGCTGGCTGACGTTTGCGCCGAAGGACACCGACGCAGGGCCAAACGGGGCAAGTGCGGACAGTAACGTGTTCACGTACGGGGACGATGGAGATGACCGCTCAGTTGACTTCCGTATTGAGGAGCGACTCGTAGCTGAGTCGCACTTCCTGCCCGCGTCCAGTATCGATGATCAGTCACGACCAGTCGTACATTCTGTCTTCCATGGGCTCGTCTCGCAACTGGAGCGCTACCGGCAGATGGTCCACAACTTTGACCAGTACCTGATGGAGCGGAGGCAGGGCCTCCTATTCAACGAGAATCTCACGGACGCGCTCACTCTCGCCCTCGACTTCGAAGGAAACCCGGCACCGAAGTCGACAGCCACATTATCTGCTACAGGTACTGCGGTGCCGGAGCTCGTCGCACCCAGGCCAAAGCCAAAAGCCAAGTCTGCCTCGTCGACCCTCGTATCGTTCCTCACGCCTAAGAAGAACAAGCCGTCCAAAACGCTCCTTTCTGAGCCGACCACGCCTCCGCGAGGTGCTGATCGCGCTGTTGACGCGAGCCCATTCGGGCCACACTACCAGAAGACGGGCGCGATCGCCGTCGAGCCGTTCGCTGCACCTGCGCCGTCTTCGGGCCCATGGACGCCGAAGAAGTCGCGTCGGTGGAATGCAGACGAAGAAGACGTCTTTGGATCGTCAACGCAATGGGGTGAGAGCCGTTTCAAGGCGGAAGAGAGCGACGAGGAGGACGAGAGCGCGGAGGAGGAGAGGCTGGTGAAGCCGGCAAGCGTCACGCTGTCGAGACTACTGGACAATGTGGTGATCTTGGAAGAGTCGATCAAGGAGCTCGTCGCAATTATTCATGCGAGACGTAGCCTTGGAATCGACTCGATACGCTATCTGTAGATTATAGTACATATATACTCGCCCTTCGGACATGTGCATATGCTGGATTCGCATTCTATACCACACATCGAGTTTAGACGAGGTGACGGATAGCAATGGCAACATAAGTATGAGGTCCTCGATACATACAATACAAGTTAGGGTGACACAGGAAATATATCATACAGTCCCGACCCACGAATAGGCCGAAAAGAGCGCGATGTCCACCGTCATCTTGCAGCCTTGCGCCCTTTCGTAGCTGCACGTCCTCTTTTCTTGGGCGATGACGCAGCCTCAGTGTCTTTCGCCTTGTCTGCGAACAATTTGTCTTGCAACCTTGCGAATTCTTCATCGTCAATGTCAGGCATTTCGACGGCGCCCTTCTTTGCTTTCTTCGCCGGCGGCCCCTCCTCCTCCTCGTCTGCTGCTGCTTTACCACGCTTCTTGCCCTTCTTGCCCTTTGATTGAGGCTCAGCATATTTCTCCGCAAGGCTATCGAAGAAGCGGTCTCTGTCCTTGTGCTTCTTCAAGATGAGGGCCTGCAGCACAGAATGGTCCTCCTCCGCCTCGCCGCTGTCTTCCTGCACCTCCTTCTCCTTCTCCTTCCCCTTCTCCTTCCCCTTCTTCTTCCCCTTTGCCTTCCCCTTCTCACTTCTCTTCCCCTTTCGCGCTCCAGGCTTGCCAGTGCCGTAGAACTCGTCCCACACACCGAGCTCCTTAGCGAGCTCTTCCGCCTCGTTAGCCTCCTTCTGGCTCTGCTTGCTGCGGACGAGTTTCGCCCTCTCGTCCTTGCTGCTCGACTCCCATTCCGGGAGAGATGGAAGGGTGCCATCTTTGATGAGCTTAGATATCATCACGATGAAACGTGCTTCGTCGTCGTGGGTAGAATGGGGGACGTGGTTCATAATGTCGCCGATACACCCATTCGTCTCGACATACGCCTGCTTGACGTCTTCGATCTCCTCCAGAGAACCTATATGGCATGAGCTCGAATCACGAACTGCATGGGCTGATAGCCTACCCTGATACCGTTTCTTGTCGTCATCGAGTTTCTCTCTGGTGACACTGTCGAAGAGCTCCTCGAAGTACGCCTCCCAGCCATCCTCTCCGGGCGAGAGTCCCGCGCCGTCATCCGTCTTGCCCGTTTTGTCGTACCGCGACCTCCACTTCTCATCGGAGAGCACAGAATACGCAAAGCCGATCTGCTGGAACTTCAGCGACGCGTCGGCCTTGGCAGATTCACTCGCGGTGGCGTGTTTGTCAGGATGGTGCGCTAGGGCAAGCCGGCGATAGGCCTTCTTGATCTCGTCTGGCCTGGCGTCGCGGGAGACTGAGAGCACCTCGTATAGATCTACAGACTCTGAGTCTGAGAAAAACTGCGAGATAGGATCCGCGCTGTCGTCCATTGTGAGGGGGCGCAGGCACGAGCAAGAGTGGTTGAAGTGCGAGGCGCGACTCGGTCGCGACGCGTTTACTGACTGTGACGCGCTACACGTGACACCGCGTCCACGAAACGCGCCGAGGTCAGAAGCGGCCACTGTCCTTTCGCCAACCATCTTGTCGACAGCTTCATTCGAGCCCATAGACATTCAACTTCCAGTGGTACGTGTAACCTCTTTGCTACTCGTTTTTTTCTTTTCTTCGGTCACTATAGCCCTCAGATATCGAAGCCTGACTCTCCGTGCGGGACGTTGTCCGAGTCGAGTTTACGGAATCACGGCAGTGTACTTTGTTTTGCGTGAACAGCTTCATATTTCGATGCAACTAGGGCCGTGTCTCTGGGCTTCTTTACACTCTTCTAGATTACAGGATACATATTACGTGACACGCATCGTGCCTCACTGCGAGATTCTGCAACGACAGGGGCTTTGTTTCTATAGCTTGCTATGACCGGCTGACGATAGCCCAAGCTCCTCAGCTAGGATTTGAAGAGCCTATTTGGTGCGCAATATCATCAGGGCACCGCATCACTGTCATGCCCACTTGCACGTACCAGATGCTTGCTGAAGAATCGACCGTACGGGAAGGGCCCCATTACTATCCAGAACCCAGGCTGGCCAGTGGGTCTATAACCCTTCCTCATTTCTCCTCCTTCATCTAGGCCTTCCATTTGCGTGCCGATACGCTCTGTTATAGACTCTCCAAATATCGTTTTGATATTCTCAACCAGAGGCAAGTAACCCGTCCTGTAAACACGTCAGCTCATGCATCTCACAGGTCGTGTAGATCCTCACGCATATACGACAACATCTGCACCGGCCTGGGATCCGTCGTCGAAAATTACACCATCGTTCTCAAAACGCACAATTTCACCGTTCTTGACCTAGTATCGATGACGACACGTCGTCAGATCGACTACAAGCCTAACATGCAAAGCTTACCTTGACTTTGCCGTCAATGATGAGTTTGCCACCGCCCCTGTCCAGCACTGCGACCTTCGATTCAGATGGTCCTGACTCAAGATCTAGTGACAACTTACTGGTTCCCGCCGCCATGCGAGCAAGAAGATATCCAAGGAACCCAACCTCGCCTCCGCCCGGTGTCACCTCCCAAGTAAGTTGATAACCCGCTTTAGTCAAACCGTCAAAGAGGTCCTTGTCCATGGCCTTGAGCCTCGCAGTGCCGCCTCCGGCGGCCATCTTCATACCGAGGCCTGGGGGCATGGAATTGCCGAGGAAATCTGCATCCTCGATCGCGTATTTCTCGTTGAAGGTGACCTCGAAGACGGCCTTGTCTACAGTGTTTGCAGAGACTACGCACGTTGGGCTTCGTTGTACCATCGTCACCTGTACGTGCAAAATTGGATCAATCTTGGTGGCTTGATATGACATGACTTACGCTAGAAGCGCCTTTGGCAACGAAGTCAGTACACAAGTCATGGCCGGCATTGCCCTATTCACGAGTCAGTGATCATTTGCGTTCATGCGCAGACGAGTAGAACTTGCCGATCCCACGACAACTACACGTTTTCCCGCAAAGGGCGCTGCCCCGCGATGGTCGTCGGAGTGATATACGCTGCCAGCAAAGTCACTCATTCCCTCCACCTTCGGCAGATTCGCCGGGCCACTGCCTACTGCGAGGATAATATGCTTCGGCTCCAAGTACACCTTCTGCCCGTCACGTTTCACTGTCACTTGCCAGCGTTTCTTCTCCTCGTCATAAAGAGGAACGCCATCGACAGTGCTTGACAGCCAGATGCGTAGGTCTTGGGCTTTGGCGTAGAATTCAAGGAAGTCGGCCACCTTGTCCTTTCCGATGTACTTGGGGTAAGTAGTGCTAATGGACTCGTTAGTGGGGTGTTTGTGATTCGAATGATTCGTCTTACGGCCAGGGCTGGTAGGCCACTTTCACAGAGGTGAGAATTGAACGTTGTCTTGGTGAGCTGTATTTGGTCACTTACTCGAGCAGTGATGCGCCGTCGTCTGCGTTGTCAGATTTGGATACCTTCACGTACGTCAACACTTCAAGAGTCAGCGTGCGTACAGCGATTCTTCAGACATACCTGTTCCTCCACACATGCGCGAGCGTGGGGTTCTTGTCGATGACGAGTGCCCGTATGCCCAGCTTCCGGAGACGGGCGGCGGACATCATGCCCGTCTGCCCACCGCCAACTAGTTCACGATGAGTTGATCCGTTCGTATACACGGAGATCAAGATCTCACTGATGAGAACAGTTGGGTCTTGGTCAATCGCCGCAAGTTCCTTCGCCTTGACTTCATCGTACGTGGAAAGATCAGGGAACAGTCCCAGCGGACGACCGCGCGGCTCTTCGTGTCCCTTGATATCCTCCAGGGTCAAGAAGACTGTCAGAGCCTTCCATGCACCATTGGGATTCTGGACGACACGGAAGAAGCCGCGGCCCACAGCTGGGGGTGAGGTTAGCCCAAACTCAAAAGCCCCCTGAACACCTTTCTTGGTTGGGTCAGAGGGGAGAGGGAACGCTACGGGCGGCCCCAGCGTTGACGTCGGTTGTATGCGAACGTCGTATAGGCCCGCGCGCGCGAGCCTCGTGCGGTCGTCCACTTTCTCAGACAAATATGCCTTCAGGTTGTCATGCCCTCCGAGCGACTTCATGTCCCATTGGAAGCACAGTAGGTCTGGTAACATATCAATGACGATGAACATTAAGCCGGTAGGCAACCCGGGTTGTTTCCAGCTCTACGCACCTCTCAACCAACCCGTGGGGAGGAACAAGTCGACTAGCGCCTCGACATCAGCGGCTGTGGCCGCACTTTGGAAGGCTTCAAGCCACCCGTTAGCGACGGCGTGCGGGTCCAGCGAGGTCATGACGGGGGCTCAAGGAGATACGCAGGGGCCAACTAATGGTATGGACGCCACAAAGGTCTTGCTAAAGAGCCTCCGAGTTGACAGGCTAGAACTCGGCCTCCGTATCAGAGGCATCTGATCCAACTCGACGCCATAGCTTTTTGGGCATGTTGAGAAGAGGACATGCATGAGCGCATCTCGGTCGATAACCCCAGAAGCTTGATCAGGCTGTGGCATCTCGAAAGGCTGGGCGCCGTGATCTACACCGCTCAGTTTGCTCCGCTATGCACGTAATATCTCCAGTGAGAAATACGATCACAAGTCGGTCGTAGCTAAGTGCGGCGTACAGACGGGCTCACGTTCACTGGCAGTCTAAACTGTCGAAGTTAACTCACCGTAACTTACTGGCTCCGAATCTTGCTTCAAACTCGTCTGGTTCATCTGGTTTAGGCTAGCATTCCGTCGTGAGACAACTGGCAAGGCCCACTGTCCGGGATTGTATCGGTCGAACACCATCAGCACAGCTGCTTCATAGACAGAGTTACGAGAGTGCACGTGGTCACTGCTTTGAGCAACGATGTGGGCCTTTCCATGTCGACTGGTTCGAGTTTGAACTTGAAAAACTTGCTCGGCGCACCGTGTCCCGGGTGCAGCGACGTGGTCTTCCACTACAGAGTTCTGCTTGTCGTGTAATCTCTTCAGTCGACTGAGACCGCTGATGGCCCCAGTAAGATGGACTGAACGGATCACTGCGATAGCGGTAACTCAGGCTAGTATCATGTGGGTTATGAATTCGACGAGGCACATTGTCAGCACTGATACCACGTAACCACCTTTACATTCATCGGCGCGCTGAGCTTCTGGGTCCAAACAAGTGGATGCGTTTCCGTAAGGATTTAGATGCGTTTTGATGGCTCCAAACCTCAAATCAGTTGGAAGAAGCGCCCGTGAGCCCCGCCGTAAGCAGGTTGAGCATGAATACACTGAAGTCCGACGACTGCAATAGGAAAGGCGGCCGTGATGCCGGCAGCGGCGTTGAGATCGAGATAGTGGGAGAGATGTTTTGCCACAGGCGCGCAATGTCTACCTCTGAAACATCGTGAACGCAGCTCTAACCACGACGATCAAGCAAGGGGGTCCAAACCCCCTTGCTTGATGGAGCCTTTAGAGTCGGTTTGGGAGGCTTCACCGGGTGTCGGCATTTGCCGGATTGCCGTTTCTGGTCAGTCGTTGTCCACGATATGGGTACTGGGCCATGGTGGATTGTGAGGTAGCCGGGTTCGGCGACGCGAGCGATGTTGCGGGTGAGTCTGAGCGGGCGGCCGCCGCCGTCGAAGCGGGTATACACGAGAAGGTGGGCGATACTCGGACGGGCGGCGAGTGAGTCACGGCGAAAGTCGTCATATCATTGCTTGGGCCTCAAGCTCTCAAGACGTATAGTGCTTATGTATACCGCGACTATTCGAGACGTGAGCCACTACGATACCGTACGGTCATGAGTCAACGAACAAAGTAGGTGAGTGGTGAGCCTAGTACTTGGCACCGGTAATGACTCTGGTGCCACTCTGAGTACAGTTTATAGTGGAATAGAAAGGAGTAGAGTCGAGTCGAGGATGAGTAAGACGAGAGAAAAGAAACATAAAAGAGGAACAAACGACGGATCTACGAGCACAGTGAGCATTGGGCGCTCGCGCGATGTATGCGGGCGCTTATGCTACCCTTGCGATCCCGGTACTTACTGTGCTTCGTTTTTGCGTATGTGTATCAAACTCTTATTTGCAGATGCCTCAAAATGGCGAAGTTATCAAGGAATCATCATGGTTGTCTCATTCTCTGTGTAGTAAGCCGGGTGAGCTCGATTCATTCAAGTAGCCGTTGGGTGCGAGAGCTTCAAGTTCAACGCGCCGGCGCGCGAGCTCGGGCTTCGGCCCAAGTCACTTGAGCTGCGCCCAAGTTCGCGAATGTTCATGAACTCTCGGTACTACTGAATCATCTAGCCACTACGTGTGTTCCATGTGGCTGAAAAGCGACACGAGTCGGCAGTTAGCTGCCATGTAAGTTAGTCGAGAAGGGACGACTCACAGTGACACCGTCCAATGAGCAACAAGTTGAACAGGTCACCACGGCCGGGCATGTCATATTCAAAGAACTGAAATATTGTCAGTGAGCTCGTCACAGCCTGTGACTCTATGGTTAGCAATTTCTGTCAGACACAGCACCCTGGCCGAGCGCAAACAAGTTGGCTACACCCTTTCGCCACTGCCACCGCCGATCCCACCACTGGTCATGCAACCGCCTGCGCTCGAAATCTGTATGTAATGCTCACCGCTGGTCGTGCACTGCGCCGAAGCATTGGCAATGAGGTCTTCGCAATGATTTCGCTTTGATTCCATTGTTGACTAGTATTGGGTATCCGGTCCATTCCTCGTGCGATGGACGAATACTTACAGCAACCATGACACATATGGCTCGAAACAAATGTATTACTCACAGCTCCTTGTGCCATTGCACACACACACACCCTTTATTTGTAGTGCGAGGCATACCAGTACGCAAGGGAGGCCACCGTGAATCCAGTAGCAGGTGAAGAATACCTGTCTTGGCTTCTAAACATGTGTTACGGATCTGGAATGCGGCTCTAAACTACATTTAGACTCCGCCTGAAGCCGGTTAGAGCCAAAGAAACGTCCCTAAATCCTTACGGAAACGCATCCAAGTAACAGCCAAGACTCGCCGCAGACTGCCTGTGACGACGCACAGCAATAGCGACCGTCAAACCAGTTGTAGACCTTGAGCAGCTGGAGGTGTTTCGTCCTAGCAATGACATGCAGTCCGATTGAGTGGGTACTATGGTACATCGGCATAGATCTAATAAAATAGGGGGTAGTCATTAGCGAGTTCGTCGTCGCACAACATAAGAAAGCCTCGTAGATCCACAGTAGTCCGTCCAACGACCCAACAACAGACAAGTAGCTAGTGTCCAAGCGAGATCGACAACAGCAGATGATCGTACAATCCCTCCTCGCCCAACACAACGCGTGCGCGCGCAATCCGAATGGCGAGTCGATCACTCTATCGACAGCCGTCTTGAGTCCATCGGGCCTCCTGACGTATACGAGCTCTTCGGGTCGGCCATGAAGCGTTCGCCTGGGCGTTCGTGGAAAATAGAGGGTAAGTACTTGTGCCCCCACGTCACCCCTGAGAGGCAAAGAGGATGTTAATTTACCGAGTAGAGTTTCTTTCAGCTGTGTCGCAACAGGCTTGTAGTACTGACCGTGCATTTTGCTGCTCTGCAAACCCTTGTCGAAGTCGTGGAAGCACTTGCACCCGATGCCAAATGTTGCGAACAGCAGCAGCGATGCGACAATGGCTGGTGGGAGAACGTGAGTGGGGCGGATCAGGGGCAGCGAATGGGACGTACTGAACGTTGTCAAGGTTGCGCGGGTTGAGAGGTACGTTGCCTCTGATGCCGGGGAATAGAAACGATATAGCTTGAAAACTAATTCGATGGTTGTCAGCTTCGGGACTTGCGATCCGCGCCCGACGGATACTTACTGACTAGGAACAATCATGACATGAGATCAATGGTCAACGGAACGGAGGGAGGATGCACATACAGTAGGTCTGAGCCGCCAACATCAAGATGAGTGAGATGGTCATCAACCTAGCACGATACACGATTAGCGAACCGATGTCACTGCGGAATCGCGATGGAGACTCACGATTTGATTTCACGTTGGACAGCATAACCAGCCATGATGAGCAGAATCATCGTGACTGGGATAGCTGCAACAGTGAGACCAAACTCCGCGGTTTCGTCGTCGAGGACGAGGATGAGAAGCTATGATAAGATGTCAGTTGCGCGTGCGCACACATACGACGCAGGTAGCTCACCTGCATCGTGACGCCTACGAAGACGAAGAAGTCGAGCTTGAGGAGGCAAACCATTATCTGGTAGTATTGATACATTGTCTTCATCGCAGGGTTTGCACCGACGACATGAAAAATGGCCCAGCTGTGGAACAGATGAGGTGACGCCACAGAAGCGGACATAGTGCGGCGACATACCCAAATTCATGGTACAACTCCCTCACGAACCACATAAGCGCGAACCACGACAACGCGATCATAATGGGTGAGACTATGAGGAACGGCTCGACTTGTGCCAGATGTTCAGGTGTATGGACAATGCTGCCCGAGTCTCATGGATTTGAATGGAAGAGAAGACGAGCATAGCTGCCTGGAAGCCTGTTGCAGTTCGCATTAGTGGAAGACCTAGCCAAGAGACTCTTGACTTACAGAGGATACCGAAGAGTTGGATGACATTCCGTAGCCTCAGTGCATCAAACGCCATCAGCATCTCAAAGACTCTGATGAACGGTGAGTCTACCAAAGGGGGCCGTGAACTGGACTCTCACTCTGCTAAGATAAATATTGCAAGATAACACGGTAGTGTCTGTAATCATTCTCAGCCACGCATATGGACTACCTATAGACGGGGGCGCACCTTGTATCGGGACGAAGTGAGGTTAACATCATCCGCCACCGCGACCTGAGGCAGGACACGATCGTTAAACGCGGTGCAGACTCAAAAGTAGAGGATGACATACGAATCTGAAGGTGAGGGAAATCATGACAAGGACCACGATTGCCTCTGCAAACGACCCCTGTTAGACCGCATAGACTGACGCTATGTACACTAACACTGCTTACGGGTGGCAACTGTGGATCATACGTCGTGATTAGCCTGTCCACGCAACTCTGGTTGAATACGCACTGATGGCAATGAAGGCCTTTTGCGCCCTCGTACTCAACAGTGGTTCGGCAGCCATGATCGGCGCGATGATTTGCAGGAAAGAAAATCAGAGGTGGTTGAGCGGACGAAGCGTCCGTGTCGTGATAGTGAAAGCAGTGGCAGAAAGAGCGGGCGGCGTCAGTCGTGAGGTCGTGACTTTGTAGGTTGAGGCCGAGGAGAGGGAGCGGTGCAAGAAGCCCGAGCCACACAGCGCCGAGCGCCCTCAGGTCGTCGAGACAGATTGCATTAACTTACGTAATCGCTTTAACCGCCGTCCGGCGCGAAGCGGGCGGTGCCTCGCAAGGCGGTCGGGTTGGCTGGCGACCACCGTCGTGCGCACACCGTGCACTGCCTCACCCATATGGCTTGCCCTCGTCATCCCTCAGCTTACTCTTGACCTTGGCTGGGCAGTACTTCCAGTCATGCACCGACGTTAGCATTGCTGCGCGCTCCGTTGCAATAGTCGACCAGCGCTGATCATCATCATCCATGGTCAAGTTTTGTCACTGCGCACGCGCGCAAGCCCGGATGCAGACGAAGACGAGGACTTACTTAAGTGCATTTGTACAGCCGGTGAGAACACCTCGCTCGCCGGCAATGCCTCCCAAATCCGCGCAGCTACTGGGTAATACTAAAAGAGCAGTCGGTAGCGTCGTATTCACACCAACATGTAGAGTGTAACTCAGAATACTTCTCCTGCACGCAAACTTTGTGCGACAGCGTCTGCCACCTGCGCTTCTTCGCGCCAGAGGTACAAGACATTTTCCCGCATCCAAGCTGCCCAACCATCTGCCCCAGCCAGTTCTTGCACTGTCCTGTCTATCCCGGTCCGTGCGCGACGACTGGTGCGTTCACAGACCTTCAGCAAAGCATCTCTCCAACCCTTTTCATTCTCTTCGGATATGGACTCCCGTCGACCGCTCAGAACATCCCTCCATGGCTGGATTTCGTCATCAAGTAGGGAACCTGCCCCAATGCGGATACGAGTTGAACCAGCCGCAGCGCTGTAATGAGTCTGTACGACGGATGTGCTGGCTCGGGCGCCGAATCTAAAGTCCATTCGCTGCGTTGAGACAACGGATTACCATTAGTAGCAGCCTACGCGTATATACATAACGATAGTACCCCCAATATCCTTCCTCTTGTAAAGCGTTCGTCAGCCAGTCTCCAATGTTGCTACGCGTACGAGACCTTCCGAGGCCACTTGGCGCAGGGTTGACAGCCAGGATGAGTTGTTCAACGAGGTCTTGTACGTCCACTTCCCGCGAAAGTGACCGTTCGCTATCGAGTCCGATGGGAAGCGATTGACGAAGCCGTACTCCACGAACAACGTTCTGTTGGAATGCCCGCCGTAGCGCAGGAAGAGCTGCTGACCATCCTCGATGGTGCTGTCCGAGCAAGACCTGAATTCGAAGTCTCCGGAGTGCTTGTGCGACCCAGGTGACCGAGGCGATGGTTCTAGTATTGGTAAGATCTGCGAGGATGCCTCGTTGTGGTTGGCGAAGTCAAGGATCGGGCACAACGTCAAGCAGTCCTTTTCAGGATCTGCATCTTTTATCGGGTAGTATATGGATCGTGTGTTCACTACAATTGAGAAGTCAGTGCCAGGACGACTCGCAACAAGTTGGTAAGAGGATTACCATTGAGCCAGGCCCAGCAATAATCACTCACAAGTGTTGTGGATGTGCACGTTCCGTAGGGCATAGGCAAGTGTGACTTTGCGCGACTTGCATTGTCGAGCACTGCGCGATTGCGATTCTTCAAGTACTCAGCAGAGGGGCCGGTGGAGAACCGTAGACGACGTACAAGGTACAGGCATATTGTCTGGTAGTCTTCCAGAAACCGGGCATACAATGTGTGCAGAGTGTCGGTCACACTGGGTGGAAGGTTCTTCAAGATCAGCTCCTCTGTCGTCATCCTACCTTTGCGAGATCTCTGCACGAGCCAGGTGAGTGGGTGGCTATCAAAGCTTCGGGGAAGCGTTGAGATGTAAGGCCCGAACGTCGCATCGAGGGAATCCTCTTCTCCTACAGGCCTATGCAGTAAGAGATGCAAAGAGATGATCTGTACGGCGCTGAGTCGAGTTTCTGCGGCTTGTGGGTATAGTGATTTCAGAGTGTTCAAGTTCGTCAATGCGTTCTTCGGTATGATGAACAAAATGGTGGAGGGCTAGCATAGGAACCATGGGTCAGAAAGTCACCCGCGATACATCGCTTGAGACCGCTTGCATACCGGGCACGACTTCGCAGCGAAGAGACCTCGACCAGCACCTATTCCGAGCTAGGCATCTGCTGACCACGCTGAGCACCATGTCCGATGCACGCACCTGCCACGCTCCTAGCCTCAACTGCGAGCGCACGAGTGTCCATGCCATGGCTGCTCTTTAGCCAGTGCAATAAGCGAGCCCAGCGAGCCGGGTCGCTCGTGCGGTCGTCCGTATCGCCCATCCTTCTCTTCGTCTAGCCACTCCGTGTGAAACACCTTCCTGTATCTCTGGCCAGGGACCACCAGTGTGTCGACAGTCTTAAGATAGATGACGGGATAATGCACGGTGAGGGCGAAAGAGAGGGGCACATGCGCGCCCCGGCTGATCGATAGCACTTCCCAGTCATCGCACGGCTCCCCTTCCTTCCGCGGGCTCTGGCGATACATAGACAGATCCTTGGGAAAGCCATACTATCGTCGCGCAGGATGTCTGTCTTCAACGCCTCTCGTCTCGTCGGCAAGACCGTGCTCGTTACTGGCGCAAGCGCGGGTATCGGCGCAGTGAGCGGTCCTTGAGCTTCGTGCGGTCGTGCAGCAATATTGACTGAGGGATGATCACAGGCCACTGCCATCTTGTTTGCGAAGGTCAGCATACCTGTTCTACACTGTTTGAGGTGAAGGGGTGTCTTACTGTGCAGTCCAATAGGGAGGATCGAATGTGATCCTCTGCGCGCGCCGCGTAGATGCCCTGGCAAAGGTCGCTGAGGTGTGCGCCACTGTGCACCAGGAGTCCGGCCTCAAACAGGGTGGCAAGTTCGCTACCGTCCAGCTCGACGTTGCGGACAAGGCGCAGGTCGCGTCTCTCTTCGACAAAATCCCTCAGGACCTGCACGACGTAGACATCCTCGGTGAGCACACACTACAAGTTTTGTAATGCAGCCCCAGCCTTACCCGTTGAGGTAGTGAACAACGCTGGGTTTGTGTATGGCACTGAGCGTGTGGGAGATATTGCGGCATCGGACTACGAGGCGATGTTCTCTACGAATGTCTTCGGCCTCATTGCTATGACTCAGCTCTTCGTCAAGAGTAAGTGAGATGTTGACGCTGTCCGGTCTTCAATCCCGAAACTCATCGTACCAGGGTTCAAGGCTAAGAAGTCCGGCCATATCATCAACCTCGGTTCGGTAGCCGGTGAGTGTAGACGACGAAGTTGCACGCGCATCCTTCTCACAGCTTGTCAGGCCGAGAAGCCTATGTGGGAGGTAGCATCTACTGTGCACAAAATTTGCCGTCAATGCGTTCACCAACTCGCTCATGAAGGAGCTCGTCGACACGCCAATTCGCGTCACAGAAATTCAGCCCGGTGAGTGGGGCCATTGCAACATACGCTCTCTAACCAGTGGATCAGGCATGGTTGAGACTGAGTTCTCCGTCGTCCGCTTCCGTGGTGACAAGACAGCGGCGGACAAGGTCTACGAGGGCCTGCACCCATGTGAGTTCTCCCGCATGCCTCATGTGGGAGACTTACCGACATGTTCGCAGTAACTGCGGAGGACATCGCTGAGGAGGTCGTGTGGGCAGCTGCGAGACCGCCACACGTCAATCTGGCCGAAGTCTTTGTGCTTCCGGTTAATCAAGCCTCCCCTAACATTGCTTACCGGGGTGGAAAGTGAGTGAACCTGCTCGGGAGGAAGCGCACTCACGATACTTAGCGTACAAACAAGATCGAGATTGTAAGCTAGCGGTATATATCTTGTAGCAATACATGAGGTATTCACATGAGTCATAATCTCAATAACCCGCCATGAGACAGACAACAACGATGACAGCAAGACAGCGAAGTACATAAGACAAATCGACAATGAGTGTACACAGCCACATGACGAGAGAATCGCTGCCTATCGATATGGTAGTTTATGCATGAACACGTAGGGAGAGTTAGGTAGATTAGGGTTTGTTCTTCTTGCTCTTGCTCTTTGGTTTGATCTCCAGGGGAGCAACAGGTTCAGCTTCGGGTACTTCAGATTTAGCATCTTCGTCATCATCATAGACAAATTTCTTCACGACGACATCCTCGCGCACGATATTGATCAAAGGGGCGCCAGCGTCCAGCACATTGCCCAAGGTGTCGAGACGTAAGGTCTGTCTGCTATCTCAGCAACCTTATCACTTTTCAGAGCGGAATGTCCTGCTGACCTTGGCCGTAGGGGCTAGGCAGCCCTTCTTCGCAGCCTCGGAGCTGGCTGGTTTCTTCGGCTTCGACGAGATTTCATCGAGGTAGACACTGGTCGCGAGCCCTCGGTCCCACTTGACCCTCTTGTCATCTTTGACCTTTACTTCGTGATCTAGCTTCTCACGTTTCGGCGGTCGCTCAGGTCGCGGAGGCGTCACGTAGTCCTCTTCGTCTCCAGGACCCCGTCGATGCCGCGCCGGAATACCGTCGTCATTCAGGGTGATAGTGCTCACATCACCGAGGTCGACAGACATGTCGGCCTGAGACTCGCTCGCATCAACCCCTTCCGATGACCGCCTCGCTCTGCGCTCAGCACGTTCATGCCTCTGCTGCGCCTTGATCTCTCGCTGCTTCTCCAGTATCGTCCTCACTTTCGTAGTAGGACTGCCAGGCCTCTTTCCTTCTTTGTGGATGACCTCCGTCTTCAGCGACACCACCTGCTGTTGATTCTTCTGGGTATTAGACGACGTGAGCGCTCTAAGAGCCATAGCTGTCATCCCAGCAAAGGCGCTTGTATCACTGAGGAGTGGACGTTTCCGCCGAACGTTGAGAGGGCGGACAGGAGCGGCGTTGACAACACCGAAGACATCCGTTGTAGGATTGGCGACCGTTCTGCGCGAGCGACTTGAGCGACGGGTACCGTTTGACCGAGTCTCAGACTCTGTTTCCGCACTATACACAGGTGGCGACAAAGGTGGTGGTTGAGGGGCGGCCGGGGCGTGGCTGGCTGGAGGGACTGTTGGGGATGCAGCCTGCGGGCTAGATGACATAGGGGGTGGGCTGGAGATGACCTTGGGTGAGGTGTGTTCGGCTACGGGTGGAGGTGACACTGCAGGTTCGTCCACCACTGCTGGCGCGGCATTTACCCTCGCGGGCTTAGGTTCGCGAGGTGGTGGTTTCCAGTCTGCCACTTTGCGCATCCTGATCGGTCCCCTTGGCTTCTGAGGGCTGGGATATGGCGTCGGCTCAGCCGCAGGCGTACCAGCTGGCGGCGCGGCGCTTGTGCCAGCCTTGGACGACTGGCCAAACATCCCGGGCACGACCTTCCGGATTACGACGACGGGTTTAGCACCGGGTGGGGAAGCAAGCGACTTCTCCCCGTCCCGTTTCCTCTTCAGAGCTGAAACCCGTGAGCCTTCCGCAGCAGGAGGTTGTTGGGGGATTGCATGGGCCTTTGCCGTAGATCCTGGAGTGCCATAGCGGGGGGAGCTGCCATCAGAACTACTGCTGCTCCCCTGCCCACCCTGGAGCGCCTTGAACGGTCGTGTCTACAGATGCATATGTCAGTCGTGCAAATGACGGATTGAATGATAATACTCACCGCGCCACCGGCCGCCCCCAGGGCACGTCTCGGAACTATTGGCGGCTTAGACTCTTGAACCAGTGTGGGACTCGGCTCCTTCGGTTTTGGTCTAGCATATGGCTTGGCACCGATTCGCGGTATGCGACTGCTGGCGGATGACTGGCGCAAAGCAGATACATTTTTCACAGGACTTGGACCCGGGGGACTTCTCGACCGTACGCGCTCTTGTTGTGTCGCGCGATTCTCCTCTTCACCCTCATCGACTTCAGGAATGGGCGGGTGCACACGACTTGATGACGGAACAAGCGGATAAGGGAGTGGCGTAGCAGCATTGGTCCTGGGAGGGCTACTGCCCCCTGAAAATGGCCTTGCGAGGCTACTCGCCGACGGCCTGGTGGGTTCCGCCGACCTGCTCTGCTCGAAGAGAGGCCGGGAGACAGGCTCGACAGAGTTACTACGGGCTCGCTCCTTCAGGCTGGGTCGAACTGGCGACGAAGGCCGCATAGGAGCCTTGCCCTTCTCGGGCGACGGCACAGTCGACGGTGCGAATGCTTGCGAAAGAGGAACGCGCTTCGCGGGACTCCGATTCGGATCGTCAAGGGCCTGACGAGGACGCCTGAACACAGGTGTCCCTAGCAAGCCTACGCTCGAACCAGCTTTGGCGATCCCTCCTGTGAGCGTGGATTGCTTGGACGGAGAGAATGTTCCCTGCGCGATGGCCTCATGGATAGGGATTCGACGTGCGGGTGAGCGCGATGGTTCGGTGGTGGCGATGGGTGTGGCTGGAGGGATATCGGTTATGGATTGCGGTTCCGTTGCTTGACCACTAGGTTGTGGGGTTGAAAGAGGTTGCGACGGATCGAGACTTGTAGGAGTGGGTTGATGCATGCCATTCGGTACGATTGACGCTGTAGTTTGTACAGCTGTTGCCTGGTCCCCTGTGGATAAGCTGGAGCCATTGGGCATCAACTGCATTAGGAGCCCGGTTGAAGTTGGAGACAGGGACCCCAGCCGGCGACGTTGTTGTGTTTCCATATTCCGTCTGGCCTCTCTGCCAGGAGAGACCGGACGCTTCTCGTCTACTAGTTGCGTAATGTCCACGGGATTCACCGAGCTGCCGCCCACATTAGGGGATACATCTCGACTGCTACCCTTTTTCTTGACGCGTACTCCCAATGGTGGGAAAACAAGTGCAGGGGCCGGACTCGCCAAAGTAGACGATGAGCCCGCCTGATGGGGAGTTGGGACGCCGAGAAGGGTGGTCGGCTCCGTAATAGGACGTGGCCTGGCTGGACTAATGCTTGACCGTTTGCGCGAAGAGCGCCGGGCGGGGGTGTGAGGCTGTGGTACTGGTGAGGGTTCAATTACCTCTGGGACTGTTGCAGGAGCATCGGTGGTTGGGACGTCTAGCGCACGGGCCTCTGTCGGTACCCGTTCTTCTGGCTTTGATGAAGGTGCATCTACCGCAGGAGCATGATCGATCAGAGTATGAAGTACCTGCTCTTCGTCTTCGGCAGTGGGAGTCAAGGCATCCAATGCGGACAGCGTATCTTCTTGGTTCGACTGAGGTCCAATGGGTACGCTTGGCGGCGACAGCGAGAGCAGATCATCGACAGTCGTGGCTATGGATCTACGGGAAAGAGGAGATGTGGCCTCAGTAGATGTACGAAAGTCCGGTGTTCCGATGCGAGGGGTCACTGAGGGTGTGGAGAACGAGTCGAAGTTGATGAGGTCTGGTAGGGACGTGTTCGCCTCTCCGTCGCCCACTTGACGAGCAGGTGAAGGGGAGTCGGCATCAGAAGCAAGCATGGGCATCGGTTCATCTGCTTGTGTCAGGTCGATCAATATGTCGGGATTAGGCAGATGCGCTTCACCGTTCGGAGAGGGACTGGGAGGGGGCGATGGGTTGTCATGGGCGTGTAGAACCTTATTAGCTAGGACTAGTGATGGCTCTGCACCATAATGAGCTCGCATCAGTGCTGCAACCAATGCGCGCTCACCATCCTGTAACATGTCCTCCTCAGAAGATGAGCCCGCCCGTTCTGCCAACTTTGTCGGTGTCGACTGGTGGACACGCTCATTCACATGCGTATGCTCTCTGGCTCGCGCCGACGAGAGTCTTGTAGATTTTCGCACAGGTGTCTTGAGTCTTGAGGTAGACGCGAACTTCTGTTCAGGCGATTGGAGAGGCCCGAAATAGATCTTCGCGGACTCGGTGTTGACTGCGTCCGCATCGTCACTGGAGGCCGAATTGAGGGAATTCATATCGCCCATATCTATCAACACGTCGTTGGACATGCCGGGCGCAGGTCAGGAAGACGCGAGGTGGGAGGCGCGAGGGCGGGTGGATGAGAGAGGCGTGTTAGGAGGAAGGCCGGTAGGGCGTGGAGCGGAACGTTGGTCGCGTTTGAGCCACGTGATCGAGCATTCACGCGACGCGTTGTTGTTTCACTTATCCGCGCTTGCCGATTGCCGATCCGAGTCGTATGCCGAATCAGCCACAGCAACTCGCGCGCGATCCACCTCACACTGTAACAGCCATGACAAAAACATGTTCAGCATGCAGGTGAGAGCTACTTTGCGCCAGGTGCCTAGATTATCTGTCCCACTCATAGTCCAATTATAACTAGAAGCCGTAAAGTGGTATGTTATCGCCGCACCAGCCGTAGGCACGACGTTAGTACGTTACCTGACGTCCAAGGCCATCCTGTGATAGCGATGCGACGGCATTACGCCAGTGTGTGGGCCATGCTCAAAGGCACGTCGGCCTATTAAATGCGTCTACGTAGACAAGCCTGCGACCCAACCCAAAGGCCCCTTGCTTCAGAAAGGGAACGCGTGCATTGCCTGCCGGTGCGTTATCCAGCATGCCTGGCACCAACAATGTACTGATACCTCACTTTTCTCATGCTACATTCAGGCGGAAGAAGAAGGTCGAGGCATCGTCATTATGTGCTAAGTCACTCTGACCTATCTTTGAACAGAGATGTGACGCCAAGCGGCCCTATTGCACGACTTGCGAAGTGGCCGGAAAGCAACAAGAGTGTTTGTACGAAGAGAACGTCCAGCACCATCTGACTGAGGCTCTCATCGCTCGTACACTAGAGCTTGAGAATCGCCTGGCTGTCTATGAAGGGCAATCTCAGACGTCGTCTCCAGAGCAGTCAGGTATGTTTACGGGCCTGATAACATACGTCTTTTTTCAACACCAATGCTTACAGGCAGAACATCTCAAGCCGATGACCCCTCGTCTCTGTCCGTGCTCCCGTCCTCACCACTCCCATTAGCTCTAGACGGCAGTAGCACACTCGACATCACGTTTCCAGGTGCTATATCGAATTTAGGAGCATCCTATACACCTGATCTAATCGAACAATTCATGTCATCAGAAGGAAGTACCCCATCTTCAACGGCCTCCTCCAGTCGCTCTACACTAATATCCTCGCAGGATTTGACTGACTAGTGAGTAACTGCGTGCATACATGATTGGACGCTCACAGATGATCTTCCAGCCGGGCAACTTTCCTCGCTCACCATTGCCAGCTCGGTATCAGCTTGACCGAGCAGAGGCTACAAGCTATCATGAATGGGGACATGTCCGGAACGTACATCCATCCGGTGCTTGTTCACGTCGCGCAAGTCATCGGGTGTCGCTTCTGGCAGGTCCAACGTCGAATCGTCATAAACAGCTCAGTAGAGACCACCTTACTGCAGCATGTCGAGCAAGCTATGAGTGACACACCGGCCCCAGTAACACGGCTGCAGGTACATTGTATACTGGCCATTTACTTCCTCCTCAAGCGACAGATGCGCGAACGCCGGGAGCAGCTCATGAAAGCCGCACAGGTCACCTTACACAATAATATCAGGTTCGACACCCATACGGCGGAGGCATTTGCGTCCCTCGAGAACACCATCGACGAAGCCCATGAACAAATATGCGCTTTGAGCCAGTTCATGTACCTCGACAAAGCTGCCGCGATCGTCCTCAATGATCCCTCACTGCTGACTTCCGACTATGACCAACAACTCAACATGCTGCCGGTAATGATCTGCTCTTCTTGCTGAGAATCACGCCCTGACTCCCTGGTCAGTACATGTTCCCGATCATGACCAAGAGCAACCTAGTCGTCATCCGTGCCAGAAGTATTGCACTCCTCCAGGAAAGTCACAGGCTTGCAGTCAGGTGGACCGAGATCATGATGAACATGGGGGCATTCGATCCGCAGGCCACGCTCAATGACCAAACGAAGTGGTACGACGATTACTGGGAGCTAATGGAGAACGTGCTGGAGCACATCTCGACGCTCACCGTCAGCACGCTGAAGTCGAGCTTTGGTGGCCAGAGAGAGCTGGCGCTGGCGCTGAAGATGTGCACGATCGTATCGTTGACGGCGGCGGCGGAGTTGCATCGACTGTTGGCGGGCCACCATCCAGACTCGCGGACCAAGTGTCTGAACACCGCCCTTGAGATCATCAGCGTATGTGATCCCTCTACATACACATGCAAGGTTGTAGCTGACCGTATCTCAGATCACAAAGGAGCTGCGCGACGATGATTACCACTTCTTGGACCCCATATTAGGCGTATGTGTCGTCATGATCCTATGGGCGAGTCTGACGTATTCTATGCAGACATGTTGGTCTATGATTGCTGCTCTGCTCGATCAACAACGACCATATGTCGAAGAGCAATCACAATTGAAGGCGTCCTACGACATAATCCTCAGCTCTGCGAACAAGCTTGGGCTCGCATTGCCGTACATGGGTATGTACCGCAGTACCAGTGTCACCGCCACGGAAGCTGACATGGTGAACAGAGCATTCGCTCGTCACGATCAAAAACGTCGCGCCCTCAGACAATGAGGGTCGGAGTCAATCATTTTGACACTGCCGTCAACGTGTCGTCATATCACAAGGCTGGAAATGTTCGTGATCGTAGATTTGTTTGTTCACCTGGGCACTCTGTAGGTTATTGCGACAGTCCTTTTCATTGCGTCTGTTAATCGCCGGCCGTATACAAACCTCCGTGTGGTACTGTATTGTAGTGTGTATGTAGCGTGCCTAATTGCGCAATGAGACATGTGGTTCTGTAGTCATTAACGGATGTCGAGGTGGTGTATATCAGATCTCCTTGGTTAGCCTTGGACAAGATGCTCGTTTGATGCCGGGACTTTTATCAAGAACAAGTTGACTCGAAGTTGGCAGGCCCTCTCATGCATCTTCGATCGTATGGCCAGAAGGTGCAACATAGCATCATGGCCCAAATATGTCGTCGATCTCGTCCCGTTTCTTTTTCTTCACTTTCTTGTGTTGTGTCTCGCCCGTGCCCTTCCGCTTCACCACGGTGTGAACAGGCTCGCCAATCGAAGAGGTACGGCTTTCGCGAGCAACGTTGGTCCGCACGGAAGTAACTACAGCAAAGCAGTTATTCAACAAGATAAGCAACCGGACACGTATTAGCATTCTTACCGATTTTGCTGGAGACCATGTTAAGGTCTTCTAGCAGAGAAGGCGTAGGATCAGAGGGTGCGGAATCTACTGGCAGCACAGACGGCAGAGGGGACTCGTTGGCCGAAGTTGTCGTATGTCGCACCAAGACACTCCCAATATCGACATCTTCGTCGACCAGAACAACGCGATCTGGAGTGTAGCGCGATTGTTCCACCTGAATGTCAGAAGCGATGGGTATGATCTGTGGCGGAGGCTGATGCGAAGGGAAGAGCTTGCCACTGCGGGCTAGTTCTGGCTGACGGAGAGCATGAGTCCAAGTTCACTGACCCTACTCGAAGGACTCACGTCGAGATTTTGCAATAAGCGACAGCAAGCATCTTGAGTAAGTTTCATGCACGATTGAACCTCATTGAGCAATTCACTCAGTCTGGAGGTTATGGCGGCTAGCGTCAGGATAAGCTGCAGGAAGGCGGCTGTCTGCATCACCAGAGTGAAGGAGCTAATGCGAAAGGGTCAGTAGGGCATTTTCAGGGGGGCACGTCTTCCCTCACTGATATGCTGATGAGAACCGATCTTGAGCCTGTCGAACCAAGTTACTGAGGAACGGACCGACGAGACACGGCGTATAACTACCTTCTCAAGCAGTAAACACCCCTCTGAACATCGCCGCAGAACGAACGTTACCAGACTTGCATCAGGAGCGTGCGTCCAGGGCCCTTTGAGGAGTTTTGAACTACATTGACATGAACTTGACCGGATGGTAAGAGTGCTGAATCCCTTACTTCTGTAGGGCGGCTTCTCCCCAAAATGCAACTCGCATTGTCTCAACGAGTCCATACAATTGCATCTCCTCTACCCGTGTACCATAGCGCCTGATTTCTACAACGCTCCTCCAAAACAGTTCTGTGCGATGCTGGTTCTTGCCTTTGTAGTACAACCTCTCGAGGACTTGCAGTTCGAGCGCATGAGATGCGAGAGCTGTCTGCAGACGTCTGGTGCAGGTCTTGAGCTGCTTGAGGACACCGTTGATGTCAGACTGAGCCGTCGAGCCAAGAGATGCTTTCGGAAGGTAAGCTACTGGCGGAGGGAGTGCGACGCGCCGAGCCATTTCGGCGGTGGTGGTGGACCGGGGCGAAGGAGTCGATCATTGACATTGGCTGTTGGGCGTCTCTCCTGAGATGATCTCAGCCCCGCGGCCTGGGACGCTCACGCTCGACACCAGTGCCCTGCACCAACGCGACTCTTCGGCGAAGCTAACGAGGCTGTACTCCGTCTGGTCTTCGTCCGACGCGACATAACGAAACTGGACATCTGCACTTGACACGAACCACCGGGGAGCGGCAAGTAGGCTCGGGGCGATACTTAGCTGGACCAGCACACCATGAGCGGACAGGGTGCCCAAGATGCCAAGTTCTTTCAAAGGGGCAAGATCCAAGTGAGTAGATGCATAACATACTTGGCGCAAAGTTACACATGTATGTGTGAATGTAGGAGTTCCGCGCCGAGTTGCAGGCGGCGGAGACTAAGGACAAGAAATTCACGAAACGGAAGACCGTTCTCAAGAAGATAGTTGCTAACATTACAATGGGCAATGACAGTACGTCGCATGTCTATGTATCTGTTGAAAATTCCTGAACTATCGTGTGCGTTAGTGTCACCACTGTTCAACGACGTGATCCAATGCCTAAGCATACCTTCCCTTGAGATCAAGAAGAGTACGTTTCCATGTACGCCTCTCCGAGAGTTCTGAGAGATCTTCATTGCAACAGTGGTATATCTCTTCCTGGTATGCTACGGCAGATCCAAGGCCGACCAAATACGCCTCGTGATGCCAAGCTTCCTCCAGGTGAGCACCTCCTACCAACTATGTTCGGTCCGGCTGAGACGGTCTAGGACTGTGAAGACCGGAATCCTTTGATCCGTGCCCTCGCAATTCGAACGATGTCATACATACCCGCTCCCATTGTCGTAGAAGAGCTCGAAGACCCGCTACGGCATGCTCTCAAGGACCGCGATCCATACGTCCGCAAGACCGCCGCCATCTGCGTGGCGAAGCTGTACAACGCCGACCCACGGAAATGCGAACGCAATGGCTTCGTGGAGCTGCTCCGTGACCTCCTTCTGGATACCAATGCTACCGTCGTGGCAAATGCTGTCGCTGCATTGACCGAGATCGGTGACCGGCAAGATGGCGTTATCTTCAAGTTAAACTTGACAGTTGCGAATAAACTCCTAGCAGCACTGGGTGAAAGCTCAGAGTGTGTATGGTCCATTCGGTACGACTGGTCTAAATGCTGATTACCTCACCTGTCAGATGGGGACAAATCTACATCCTTGACTCACTACTGCGATATGTACCCGAGAAGCATGAGGACGCTGAACTGATGGCTGAACGAGTTATCGTCCAGCTACAACACGCTAACTCCGCTGTCGTTCTAACTACCATCAAAGTTCTACTATATCTCATGAACTACATGGAGAACCGACGCTTGATGGACTACATCTGCAAGAAGATGGGACCGCCATTAGGTCAGCTGGTTCAGTCTCTCGCCCATCCCCCGATTACTCATTATTTTCTAGTGACACTACTATCATCTGGTCCTGAGGTGCAATACGTAGCACTACGGAACATACTGCTCATCATTCAACGACGACCACAAGTGCTCAAGAACGACGTGAAGGTGTTCTTCTGCAAGTATAATGATCCAATATACGTCAAGCTTGCCAAGCTCGAGATCATGTATCGTCTCGCAAGAGAAGAGAACGCCCGTGAGGTGCTCGCAGAGCTTCAAGAGTGAGGCCTCGCTACCGTCGTTCATAAGCTTACTGGAAGCTCATATACACACCAGGTACGCATCAGAGGTCGACGTCGACTTCGTGCGCAAAGCAGTGCGCTCAATAGGCCGGCTCGCTATCAAGGTGCAACCAGCAGCAGACGACTGCATCAAGGCGCTCCTCGAGCTCATCGAGACGAAGGTGACGTACGTCGTGCAGGAGGCCGTGATCGTCATCAAGGACGTCTTCCGGCGGTATCCTGGGCGGTACGAGGGCATCATCCCCACGCTCTGCGCGAACCTCGACGCGCTCGACGAGCCCGAGAGCAAGGCAGCCATGATCTGGATAGTGGGGCAGTTCGCGGACCGCATAGAGAACGCGGACGAACTGATGGACGACCTCACGTACACCTTCCTCGAGGAGCCGACTGAGGTCCAGCTCGCGCTCCTCTCCGCTGCGGTGAAGCTCTTCATATACAAGTCCCAGAGTGACACGACGAAGGCGCTCGTGCACAAGGTGTTGAAGTGGGCGACAGAAGAGGTCGATAACCCTGACCTCCGCGATAGAGGGTTCATGTACTGGAGGTTGCTGGCGCTCAGCCCGTCGGGGGCGAGTGAGGTCATCCTCGCGGAGAAGCCCGCGATCACGACGGACGCGGATCGTATGGACCGCGGTGCGCTCGACCAGCTGCTCCTGCACACCGGGACGCTTGGTAGTATATACCATAAGAACCCGGAGGTACGTCAGTTCCACAGTCCCTCAGCCTCGGACTCACTTTTCTGAACGCCCCGTATACTAGACCTTCATCCGAGGCGCAACTGGCAAAGCGCTCACCGACAGCCCAGCCCTCAACCCCCTCTCGCGGCAAGTCCTCGTCCCCGTCGCGCGCACGCACCTCCTCCCCCCAGCCAGCATCCGCGTGGCTGGCCCCGTCGACCCGCGCGTGGCCAACCCGCCCTCGCCCGTCCCGCCGCCCCGGCAGAACGGCGCGTCCCTCCCCGCGACGGCGCTCTCGCCGTCCGCATCGCAGGCGTCGACGACGTCAGTGCCGCTCGCGACGCAGGACCTTCTGGGGGCGACGAGGACGGCGAGGGGAGGGCGAGACGGAGGACAACGACCACGACCACGAGGACCTCGTGCGCGCGGAGGCGGTCGCGCCCGCGAGCGACCCGTACGCTGCGCTCGACAATGCGTTTGGAGGCTACGTCTCGGATGGGCCGAGGCCGCAGCACAACGGGGATGCGAATGACGACTTGTTGTTCTGACCCGCCTGGAGGTATGCTTAGGTGGCGATGAAGGAGGTTGTGTGAGGAACGCTGACGGCCGCAGACGCGCGTGTGTATGTACATTCTCCCCCATGAATTAGGCTTAGTGCTTGTGTTAATGACGAACATGTGTTATACGAGGACGACTTGACCTGACTCGAGAGAGCAGACTCACCGCGGACATGTCGAGAATGAAAGACACAGACGAGTTCCCCGAGAATCCCCCGCAGTACTGACACTTGACTGACACCGTCACGAAGTGTGAGGCTTGTTTATGAAGTAGTGCATGCTAATTCAAATGCTGGATACAAACAGTAGTTGCACTAATATACATGCACCGAGATGCATTACATGATGGTCATTAATTGAATCAAACGGCGATCGTACAGTATTATCATCAATGCGGGGCCAGTGGCGAATCTTAGACTCGAAACAACATATCACACGCGAGGACGGTTTTTCGTGCATACAGTCCCGCGAAGCACCGTACACGCGCGCGATCGTTCGTATTTCGTGGTATGCCGAGAAGAGGCCCATGGGCGCTGCACGCAAGCGCGTGCGCTCACGACGAGAGCTTTAAAGCAACGACGCCCTTAGACCCGGTTCGCCGCCGCTGCGCCGCCTGATGCTGCCGCCACGCCGTTCGCAGTCGCAGGTCCCGCACCCGCACCAGGGCCCACACCCGCACCAGTGCCCGCCGTCACGCCATTCGCTCCAGGGGCAGCCGCCATGCCTGGGCCGCCCGCACCTCCACCCGGGCCATACCCCGTATCAGTGTACTTGCCCGACCACAGCCCGAACGCGGCCATGTCGACGGAGCGGAGGCCGAAGAGGAAGAAGAACAGGAAGACGGGGCCGGCGAGGAGGTCGAGGATGCCGTACCAGATCATCTCGCCCGTGACGGAGATGACGTTCCCGCCCTCGGCGCACGCCCAGCAGATCGGGTAGAGCATGAGCAGGAGCGAGAAGTACGCGGCGGTGCGGATGTACCCGCTGCGCACCGCGCCGCCGCTGCGAAGGTCGAGCGCCGGCTGTAGCCGAGGAGGACGTGCCTGAGGGCGTGGGTGAGGTAAGTAAGGCCCGTGTGCTGGGTGGGGAGGGCGACGTACCAGATGTAGAACAGGGCGAGGAGGCCGAAGACGTAGAAGCCCCACTTGTAGCTCGTGGGGACGAGGGCGCCGACGAGCCCGCAGATGACCAACACCCAGCCCATGAAGACGGTGGTGAAGATGTCGGAGAGCGTGAGGCCGGTGGCAAGCAGCAGTCAAGAAGTAGAAGCGGGAGCGTGATGAACCATTGGATGTACCGGACATACTGGATTGTAAAGTATTAGTCTCGAAGATGATTAGTTACACCGGGCGATACTTGCGAAGATCTGACGGGTCGTGCCAGGTACACCGCCGCGGAGAAATTCCTCCGTCACAGGGGCAGCACCCAAATCGGATGCCATGGCGAAGTAGGCAATCGTCGCAGTGGTCAGGACGATGATGCCAATTTGGTGGAAGAGTCGTGTTCCCCGAGCCCTCTGCGACAAACAATTATCGTCTGCAGATGTGATGACTGCGAGGCAGGTAGCACATACGGTAAATGTCCAGCCAAGCATTGCGAGGTCACATAGGCCCATGATGGCGGTGACAGCCCATAGCCAGTCAGATCCACCAGGGGTGAGGTGGCGGGAGGCATTGGGCGGGTTGTTGTCGAGGGAAGAGCCAGCCATTGCGTGTCGTATGAGTCGTGAATTAGCAGGCGATTAGATTACGATGCGGAGGAAAGCTCCAACTGGAGGGTAGAAGACAACGAGGAATGCCGAAGGACAGCGGGGGATTATATGAAGGCAGGCAGACGACCGCTCCACAAGCAAGTACGATGACGGGCAGCCATCGACGTGCAGCGGCAGGAGGTGCTATCATGGGTGTCGTCAGAGGGGGCGTACGACGAGGATAGGATACATGCGCGGAAACTCTCGCGATGATTCGCGTTCGGTCGCCCGGAAAGGCAGCACGGAGGCAAACCGGAGCAGTGTGGCGGCACAGGCTTTGCCCGGCGCACTTGTTGAGGGAGATCTGGGCCTGCGTGTGGGCCCTCGGAGGTCGAGAGAGGCACATCTCGTATGTTTACTGCCTGAGTGGACGGTCGGGTGCTGGGGCAGCGCCATGGGTGTCGCGTGAGCACAGACATGATGATCTTGGAGATCTTGAGTGAATGAGTCTACCTCACCACCGCGATCACATGATACGCGTTTACGATCGAGAATTGCCTCCGTGTCTTCCTCTGTCGCCATCACGGTACTTTGACTGTACTTGTCCCCCCTCGTCGCATGGCGATCGGCACTCCCAGGACGCTCTGTGAGCTGTCCAGCGGCTGTCTGTTCGAGGGCCTGTGGTCAAAGTCCTTCCAGAACTGCGCTTCCTTCATGATGACAGCGCGCCACTTGCCGCGAACAGAGCGATGTTGCGCTCCGAACGACCAACTTCGATCTGGTGCTTAGGTCATTTCGACCCTCTTGCTAGCACGCTACCCTCACCACGCGCCGATAACTCAGCACAGTTCAAGCGGGCAGCCGATGGGCCCGAAGAGGATCCCGACGCGTTCGCTCACTGATTTGCGCACGCATCCGATATGGTATAAGGGTAATGTAAATTTCAAGGTGACCTCATCCTGATCCGTCTTCTGCCGTGCAGTCAATCGTCTCTTCCGGACTGAGTAGCTTCCTTCTGACTATTGCAGTCATGGAGCCTAAGGTACACTCGACCATGGGCATAAGATAACCTACGACATGTACCTCGTCATCGAGACCTAACGCACATGTCCGTACTCATACACTCCACTTGGCACTCACTATTCCTTCCTTTCTTCTTTCCAGGCCTCCGACAGCACTCCCGCGACCCTTACCGCCAGTACGTCGGCGCCTCCGATCCGACGATGAGCTTCGCCTGGTCAAGCGCCTTGAGGACCTCCTCGGGGAGCGGGCCCTTCTCCGAGTCCGCACAGTTCTGCTCGAGCTGCGCGCACTGCTCGCGCCGAGGATGACGCCGTCCGCGGGCGTCAGCGCGGAGTGGTGCTGGCACCACCGGAGCGCGATCTCCGTCAGGCGGAGGTTGTGCTTCTCCTGCAAGCGGTGCGCGTCTCAGGATCCGGTTTCGTACGCGCGGGAGAGGCAGAGCACGTACCGCGATGGGCTTGAGGTAGTTCAGGGCCTCGAAGTACCCGCCTTTGAGGTACCGCGCGCGGTACATCGCGCCCATCTTGCTGCTCGGATCGAACCGCCCGCCTTTCGGGGCGTCCGCGTCGGGCGCGGCTACCTTGCCTGCGAAGAGGCCACCGCTGTGCGCGCGTGCGTCAGCGAGACGGTGCGCTATCTGAAGGCAAGGACGGAGACGCACGCGAGGGGGTTGTAGATGACGATGCGCAGGCCGAACTTGCGGCAGCAGGGAACGAGCTCGGCTTCCATCTCGCGCGTGACGGCGTTGTACATCCTGTGTAATGGCAGAGGTGATCGTGAATTCATTGAGCCCAGCACGTCTACCGCAATAGAATAGAGACGTACGCCTGATATATCTTAGGCTGGACATAGCCCTTGGCCTTGCAGATACTGACGATCTCAGCGACCTGACGAAGGGCAATCGCAGTCAAGAAATCAGCTTTATTGGGTAGCTAAATGTGCCGCAGAGTATGCATACCTCCCAGCTTGCGTAGTTACTGAGACCAAAGATCTGGCTGCGGAGTACTCAGTCGGTCTGTCTAGTTGACCATGGGAGTACACACAATAGGCCCTGCTTGTAGAGCTCATTCACTTCGTGCAGTGTCTCCTCGAAGGGGACACTGCGGTCGGGGGCGTGTAGGTAGAGCACGCGGGCCTTGAGAGGCGTAAGGAGCTTGAGGGATGTTTGGAATATCGCGCGGAGCTTCTCAGGCGAGTGATCGCCGGGGTTGACTGGGAAAACTCTGTGAGAGCCGTCAGCGCTGGTCCTGGCAGAGCACAGCGGATGTGGATCAAACGTACTTGGTGTCGACCGTGACGTCGCTCGGGAGCTTCAATTGGGTAGCAGCTGGCGAAGCATGCAAGATGAGCAAGACGTATTCTGGACCTTGCAGGCGAAACGCACGCACAGACTCCGTCGTCCCTTCGGCGTACATCTCGCGGTGTCTAGTTCGCAATGGCCGTGCTTGAAAAAGACGTCGACGATCTCCTGACACTCGCCTGGATCGGATGTGCGGACGCCGTTCTTGCCAGCTTCCCCCATGGTCATAGTGCCCTAGCACACCACCGATAAGCACATTTCTCGAGCAAGCTCACCGCCAGTCAGCCGCTCACAAAGATCAGCGGTACGCGGGTCGACATCTTGGCAGAGTGTTTAGCGGCGGCGAGGTGCGATAGAGCAATGGAGGGTCGTAGAGAAGGCCTGCAGCTGAGGAGGATGCGCGCTGAGAGCCTGGGACTGAGAGACGAGAGCATGGATCATCTGCGGGTGCCCGTCGGCCCGCGCGTCCCCAAACGCGTCGGTCACGTGTGCGAGACACTGGCGGACGGGCGAACGACAGTGCCTGCCCGATATGGCAGGGCTGTGGCCTTTTCGGGCGATCGGGGTGGTACTTGGGTGGTACCCCGGTCTGTCGCCGCCGACTCTTCGGACTCCTTGCGCGCTTCCTCGCCTACCTCCGGCTCTCTCGCTCCACACTCCGCCCGCCCCCGCTCCCCCACGCCCCAGCCATGGCCGGCTCGAAGCGCAGCAAGCTCAAGAAAGCGCTCTCACCACCGTTCACAGCAAAGTCACCAGAATCCGAGCACTCCATGGACGACGATGCGCTCATGGACGACCTCATGTCCCAGCTCGACTCCAGAGACACAAACGTCCAGGCCGAGTCGGCCGCCGTACTGAACGAGATCAACATCAACAACGCTGCCGAGGCGCCCCCGCCGGCTGCGTCGCCGCCATCCCAAAAGCAGGATAGCAAGGCCAGGCATCGTGCCCGCATGGTGCGTCACCGTTGACGTCCGGATGCGTGTGGTTAGGTTTCTGACGTGGTGGTCTGATGCGGTGGTGTCCTGTGCAGGCCAGGAAGGCGGCCGCAGTAGCAGAGCAGCACGTTCCGAGCAACCCGGAGCAGGACGAACGGCTGCAGAGGGAGGCCGCGGAGGAGGAGCGAACGTCATGCGGATATGCGACGAGAACGGGCTTGAGATGTACGAGGTGCGCACTCCCTACACCTTCCCGATTCGAATGTGTAGCTCACCCGTCTCCCACCAGATTAACCCAGACGGACACTGTCTCTTCTCCGCCATCGCCGACCAACTCGCCCTCCTCCACATCCTCACACCAAAGCAGGCCACCTACGCCCACACCCGCGCCGCCGCCGCGGCCTACATGCTCGCGCACCCCGACACCTTCATGCCCTTCCTCCCCTGCGAGGGCGGCGAGGACGGCGTCGGCTCGACGAGCGACACCGGCATCATGAGCCCCGCCGCGTTCGAGCGATACTGCGCGACGATGCGCGACACGGGTGCGTGGGGCGGCGAGCCGGAGATCATGGCCTGTGCAGCGCGTACAAGATCACGATCAACGTTGTGGGCGTGCCCTCTGTCGTGCCCCATACCCCAGTCGACTCGCCTGGTGGCGGGGGGAAGGTGGCGTGGATCAGCTACCATAGGCGGATGTATGGGCTGGGAGAGGTGAGCCGTCTGCCCGCGTTGGGTCTGCCGTACTAAAAGACTCGCGCCTCAGCATTACAACTCACTGCGGCCGAAGCAAACCTTCTCTGAGACGGTCAAGTCTGTCTTTGCCATAGGTTCGCCACAGCGATGATCAACTACTTGGGTGGCCTTCAGAACGCTATAGAATCGGTCATTGACAGGAAGGGTCAAATTTGTATCTTCTATACGAACATTTTCACACTGTATCCATACTCATCACAGGTACCATACGAAATGTTCAGTACCTGTGTACCCATCTTCTTGATGCTATCATACCGAGGCCTGCCCATCTACATCTAATCGACTTTCTTGTGTGCACACAGCAGAAGACCTTCAGATATAATCGGAGGCAAATGACTGCAGAAACCCGTCCGATGCGCACGGAGATCCAATTTGCATTCATACAGAGGATCCGCGCCCTCATCTCATACAAATCTCATACACAGTAATTATCAATATATATGATAGTTTTACATTGAGCACCGCCGTCTTGCTCAACTCCCAGATTTAAGGGGGGTCGAACATCAGCCGCCTACAGCCTGCAGCTACGCCGCTCACTGGGGGGTGTTCGTGGTGGCCGGGAACTTGGGCCGGAAGAAGCCATGCGAGCCAAACCACCGGCCCTGGATCTACAGGCGGGGCATGAGCATTTCGTCCCTTATACAGCAATACCACAACGGCACATACCATGTGGTTCCAGTAGGCCCACGGGAAGAGATCCTTCTTGAGATGGTAGTAGATTCTTGACGGCGTCTTCTGGTCCCCGAGATATTCCGCAAAGCTCTCCTTGGGCTCCAAGCCGTACTTGAACTCGGCGAGCATGAGCTGGCCATAGCCTGTCAACAGCTGGAAGAGTGTGATCAGCCACCGGGAACACCCCGAGGAAGTCGCATGAGCTCACTGGGCAGCTTGTGTAGCCGTCATATGCAACGCCGAGGTCCTTGCCCGTCGAAACGACCGAGAACAGGTTCTCAGTCAGGATGGGCGCCTGAGCCGTAATGGCCGCAGCCGTCTTGCTCGTCGGCAGGCTCGAGCAGTCGCCAATCGCCCACACGTTCCCGTACTCGGGTTCGTATGCCTGAGCGTGCCCTTGTCGACGCTGACCCAGCCCGCCTCGTCCGCGAGCGGCGAGTTCTTGATCGCATCGAGCGGGCCCATCGGCGGCGAGACGTGCAGCAGGGTGTAGTCCACGTCCACGGTCGAGCCGTCGCCCTTCTTGAACGTCGCCTTGCGGTTGTCCGCGTCGACCGCGACGAGGTTGTGGCCAAAGAGCCCGCCGACGCCGCGCTGGATGCGCAGCTCGTTCAGCGCGTCTGAGTACTTCTTCACGCTGAACATCGACGGCATGCCCGTGTAGAAGTCGACGGAGATCTGGTCGCCCCGCCCGCTCTTCTGGTAGCGGTCCCACGCCATCCACATGATTTTCTGGGGCGCTGTCCCCGGGTGAGGTGATGTGCGGATGAAGTGAAGGTCAGCGGGGACGCACCTCCGGCGCACTTGATGACGCCTGCTGGCTGCGTGAAGATCGCCTTCCCGGAGCGCAGTGCGTCCACGTCGTGCCAGACCTTGTCGCAGGTGTCGTACGAGTAGATCGAGGACACACCCGAGGAGGAGTCCGCCAGGGCCTTGGGGAGCCCAGCGATGTTGTCCCAGTTAGTCTTCAGGCCCGTGGCGACCACGAGGGACTCGTAGGAGATGGTGCGGCCCGAAGCTGTGGTGATGGAGGAAGTCTTCGGAGTGAAGGACTGGACATTCTCGGGGATGTGGGCAAGGTGCGAAGGAACGAGGGACTTCAGCGGTTGGCGGGTCTCAGTTTTCTGCTTGAGGCCGGCGCCGACCAATGTCCAGCCGGGCTTAAATGTGATGTCCCTCAGCGCTGAGCTACCGTGCAAAACGATTTGCGACGCACCTGGTAGTAGTGGTACTCATTCGCATCTAGGATCGCAATGTCCCCCTCGTTCAAAGGTGTCCCCGCCGCCTTAAACCGGTTGAAGATCTGGTTCGCTACCGTGAGGCCCCCCGAGCCTGCGCAAAAAGCAATCCGAATGAGACTTGTCTCGGTCGCACGAGCACCAATACGAGGACATACCAGCGCCCACTACGACAATTTTGTATTTGTCCTTGCTATCCGAGCTCGCCCATCGGACTGACGAGACGACGGAGCGCGAGCCGAGCAGCGCTCTTTTCCGTGCAGCAAGCAACGCAGACGACATGATACACAAGTCAAGCAGAGGACAGGCTGGTCAGAAAGAAGACGGGTGACAGGCGCGAGGGCGGGCTGAAATGAGTGTGGGTATGCGTTCATCCCCGCCCGTACGGATGTCGCAATTTACATGTCACGGACCGGTGACGAATCAGAACGACCGGAGGCGGACGCGCCCCTGTTCTGAACGAACACTCCGGAACGACTGGGCGAGCCGGCTGCTCGATGCCATTTCGGATAGTGGGCACAGCTGTGGAGGTAGTAGGAGCACATTTCGAATGCTGGACGCGATCGTCGGATAAGTAACACTCTGTAACGGGCGGGTCACAGGCTGAGCGCTGAGCGCTGAGCGCTGAGGCCGAGGCCGTACGGTAAATAGGAAGACGCTGTTCGAGGTGGCGCGGATCGAGTCGAAGGCTACCTTGACGAAGTCCTCACCCTGTAGTAATTTACCACTCGTCTGGGACGGTCAAGTGTCTGCATGGAATCGGCGGAGACAAACAGGCGAAGTTTAAAGAGTCACGATACGCATACCGCGGCGGCGTTATTGCTCAGTCAGTCCGTATCATGCTACTTAGCTGAATATGTCGTTATTGACTCGAGCTCCAGCAGGCCGCGGGGCCGACAACCACATATTCAACGGTTATCAATAGAGTCACATCTGCAACTACAAATAGGTGGCCTATCCGTCATGGGTGGAACTTGAAACATCATTGAGAGAAGCCACCCCAAGGGCGCAAACTCACCTGATAGTACGTGCCACTAACCCAGCTCAATGGACACCCCGCCGCCCGGAAATTACTGAGATAAGATACTGTAGACAAGACCCTGCAGCGACATATGGAAGGCCAGAGTCATGAGGAGGCAAGCTAGCCGACTAGGATGGCATTCAATGGCGCATGCACACCTGAGTACCACAGCTCAACCATTAGTCTCGAAGCTTCCACGCTCGTATTAGCGACGGAGCGACCGATGGTGGTGATGCGTACAGATGACTTGGAAGACGTCGGAGACCCAGAGCAGCCAACCGGAACAGGTGCATGCCGCGGTACCAGCTAGAACAATCAAAGTACAACGCCCGCGGAGGATGCGCTGCAAAGGGCAAGTTGACAGACTTTAAGCCTCATGCCTAACACGCAGCAGGGGTGCGAGCATACCAGACGTGGGGCTTCTAGAATCCAGTATTCTGATTCTCCAAGTAGAGGCCTAGGTTCCGGAAGTGAGCGTCATGACAAAGATGCGCAGAGAGACCACCGCCTCGTGCACCTCTGTTGATCGAATAATGGGGGTTGCGGCGAGATGATGCTCTCGGCCACTGCAACATTCGGATTGGAGTGAGTCGCACCTAGCAGCGACTACAGAAGGAGCCGTGTGTCCGCCTGAACGAACCGTGCATCTTGCGAAGCCGTTGTGACATGGGCTTGCGCAAAGGTCAGTCACCAAAAGGCGCTGACTAGCTGTGTATAAGAACTGCCTCGAATTGGGATTGGCCCATGTCCACCTAGATCGTGCAACATCACACTGCAGTTCAAATTGACAACAAACCTATCGATGCACAGGAAAGTCATACTGTGAGTGGCGAATGGATTTCGCTGGGCAACGACGATGTCTGAATTGCCTTACCTAGTGTCATAGGCCCTTCTGGGACGGGAAAGACGAGAGTAATGCATAGACCATTCGGATATGCAATCCTAGTCACTAACGGATCATCCGATTTATACGTTGCAGTATGTCAACCTAGCCGCTGGCAGACCGGTATTTAGGAGGGTATAGACCTCGAAGGAAGCACAGCGCAAGTGCAGTCTGTAGACGTCGTCATAGATGGTCAAACCGTACGAATCATCGACACTCCAGGTTTAGACTCGGACGAGGGTGGCAAGGTCAAGGGAGATCTAATCCGACTGTTTCGTGAACTGTGAGTAGCTTACGTTCGCTAGTAGACTTACCTGCGCAAGAAAAAACAGCGCTGACGGCTTCTCCAGGTACAAGGGGCAACACGAGATCGTCGGAATCGTTTATATGCACGACATCAGCCAAAACCGCGTTGGCAAGTCTGTTGTGGAGAGCTTCGAATGGCTATTCGAGAAATGCGGGAAGGCTGCGATGCGGAACGTCGTCATTGCGACCAATATGTGGTGGACCGCGGATGATCCCGGCCGAATAGCAGAGGGAGGGGGCAGAGAAAGAGAGCTCCGCTGGGGAAATCCTTGCTACAAACCTGCGCTCGATCAGGGTGCCTCGCTCGTCCAACACAACAACACAGCGGAATCGGCCCTGCGCATATTACGGCAGTTGATGGGCAAGGAACCGTCGTCTTGAAATGTCAAAAGCCCGCTATCGACCGTGACGAGCAAGACAGACAAAGCGTGAGCACCGAGAGGACATACGTGAACTCGGTGTACAGCGAGAAGATCCGGAAGGAGACGGGGTGTGGTGGATGTTTCTCACTTCTGCGAAGAAATCGGCGGTAGATTCAGAGCGGCTCAGCAAGGAGAGACGGAGAGAAGCAGGGAGAGGTGTGGTATAGACGAAGGCAGACTCGTAGACAGCGTTGCGCTGGGTGGTGGCAGTAGTATTAGAGTTACCCGGTCCGGGTTGGGTCCGGGTACACAGACATTCTTACGTACGGTGTGAGCGGGCCGGTGCCGGCCCGCTCTCTTGCTCCCTTCCTCGACCGAGTCGGATTGCATGGCACCATCACGCCCACCAACATACTTATGCAATGCTCGTCCCTACTCAACTACGACGCCTGCCCTCTCCTAGTGCCTCCCTCGTTCGTGGTGTGAAACCGTTTACTGCCACAATTGCGAACGATCATGACGGCCCAACCGACGAGGACAACTTGAAGTCACTGGCAGCGACATTTCCATATGACTAGTCTGGTGACGGGAATTGCGCTCACCGTGGCAGCGAAAAACGGAGATGACAAGCATGTGGGTGCATCAACGTAACGCGACGCTCCTTTCTTCCGACGAGGATATAAACCGGCTAATGCTCGAGGGAACGCGTCGCGACTCTCTGTCAACCAGTCTGCCGCTGCTTGATCCTCGCATCACGGCCTGTAGCTATGGTGTTCCGGACGTGCCTCGCTACTCTCCTGTTTACCTATGTGGCTCTCGCAGCTTTGGATCCTTCAACCCGCTGCGTTGACGGCTGGGTCTCCGAGTCTCGCCCAACCGTCTGCGTCATTCCGTCGTCTTATGCGTCGTCGAACGCGACGGCGGACGATGGGCCTGCTATCCAAGCCGCTTTCACTAAGTGTGCGCAGGACTCTGTGATATTGTTTAACGAGGGTGTGAATTAGTGAGTACCGGATGGTATTGTGTTGCACAGCGGATTGACCAGCGCTTGGGCGCTCTACAGCAATGTGTTCAGCCCTATAACCGCGACGAACCTCAGTAACGTCGCTATCGTTGTACAAGGAAACCTACATCTGCCAAAAATATAACCTACGTGCAGTGAGCAGAAATCGCACTTTCTTCGTGACACCTCAGTGACAATATGAAGGTCCATCGTAAATGGCACGTCTTACGCCGCGGGTACGGGCTATTGGTTTACGTTTTCCGGCCCGCAAATCGACTTTGTCGGTAGCGATAACGTCACAACCGGTTGGATCTACTCGTATGGCCAGGCTTGGTGGGATGCAAACATCTACCCCGGCTCAGGTCTGGCAAATCGTCCGCACCTGATGAGTTTCAACACTACGAATGGTACGATCCAGTACTTCAAGTCGAGCAAGCCCATCGGTTGGAATGTCCAGCTTCTGGGGAGCAATATCACCGTCACGGACACGATCATCGACGCATATTCGACTTCGGGCAGCTTCCCCTTTAATACCGACGGCTTTGACGTTACGGCGACGGACGTGAAGATCTTGAACAGCGTGATCTACAATGGAGATGATGCGATCGCTGTGCAATCTGGCTCGCACAACGTTCTGTTCCAGGGCGGGACCATCGGCTATCAGACGCACGGCATGAGCATCGGTTCGCTCGGTCAGAATCAGGCGTCCTTTGCGTGAGTTGACGCGTCCCTACCTGTATGGACACAGTCCTGACATCTATTACCTTCGAAGCAACGTATCGAACATTCACTTTGACGACATCACCGTCGTCAATGGTGTCTATGCTTCTCGCTTCAAGTCTTGGATAGGCGGGCAAGGTCTCGTGCAGAACATTACCTGGTCCAACATCCGCGTCTACAACGTCACTTTCCCCATCTTCGTGACGCAGACGTACATCAACCAGGGCGGGGCGCAGACTCAGCTCGAAAACGGGACTGTCACCGATCGCCCGAACAACTCGACGGTGAACATGAACAACTTCACGTGGACGAACTTCACAGGTATGCTGCCTCGAATGACGCACGCGCTCATGATTTTGACGACTGCGCCCAGGTACTATCAACACTTTCCAGCCGGGCGACGGCAGCTGCGTGACGGATCCCTGCTGGTACAAGCGGGGCTCCCAAATTGACGCACACCGAGGCGATCATCGTCGAGTGCAACACGGACAGCTCGTGCCGGAATTTCCAAATGAGCAACATCAACGTGTATCCGCAGACCATGGCGCAGCCGACCGTGATCTGCATTGACGCGGAGGCGAACCTTAACCCTGAGTTGGGCTTTGTGTGCGCGAACGGCACGTACAGCCCAACACTGTAGTAGGGAAGTGGACATGAAAATGGGCGTATTTTATGGTTGACGTGACGGCAAAAATGAGCGGGGAATATCGCTATACATTGTGGGATCCACCACAACATCTCCATGTTGGCTCCTAGCGAAGCCGTGAGAAGTTGGGCTCTAGCATTCTCTTCTGTCTCCCACGTCTGTCCACTCTTTCACTTCCCCGAAGTCCATGACCCGCCGTTCTACGCCCCATCGGCCCTGCAGGTCCTTCCAATCTCGATTAACAGCGGTCTCCGGTCGCCATCTGAACGCATCTTTAATCGCCTCTCCAGCTTCCCTCCAGCTCATCCACGATGAAGCCTCCGATGCTCGTGATGTGCGCAAACCCGTGGCCCGACGCGCCGACACCCAGGATGAGAGACGGGTGGTCAGGGTGCGTGTCGATCAGGAACCTCCGGTCAGGCGTGTCCGCGCACCAGCACACCCTGGCAAAAGCGAAGGGCGGTTCGCGAGTTGGGGCATCGTCTCCCGGAGGAAGTTGCGCACGCGCTCCTCTGACGCCTCGGGGATCTGGTGCTTCGCGAATGGTACACTGCCACTACTCTCGGCCGCAGGCTCGTGGCAGGGACCCTTGAAGTTCGTGTAGCCCGGGTGCTCGTCACAGATCTTGAGTTCGTGCCGTTCTTCGTCCGGTTCCATGAAGAAACCGCGCTCCACGTTGAATAGTACAGGAAGATTCTTGTAGAGTGGGAGCTCAGAAGGCTCCATCTTGATGTGTGCGAGAGTCCATGCCGTGGGTCGCAGCTGATCCTTGAAATCCAGGAGTTGATCTGCATACGGGCCGGCGGTCATGATTGTTCGGTCGCACGGTGCTCCTTTCCGTCTGCCGTCGTCACACCCACGACGTCGCCGCTGTCGCTGTAAAGTAGACCAGTGACCTTTCCTTCCGGCGTTCCAGTCAGGAATCGCACGCCTAGCCTCTGTGCTTCTTCCGCGGCACTGACGTACGCGTTGCGCGCGTGCACCCAGCCTGCTCCGCGCTTCTTCCAGAAGCCTTTCCAGTTGGGGAAGTCGCCCGTGAGCACGCCCTCGGGCATCGTCTGACGAAACTCCGTGCCGGCGAGAGGAATGTACTCGGACTCGTCGCCAGTAATCTCGTGCTCTTGACGAATTCGAAGGCGTCTGGGGTGCTGGCTGCCGCGATAAAACCGGTGTCGTGGTAGTATGGCTTGAATACGTGATCGTTCAGCCACCCCTCGCTCGTGCGAGCGGCGATGTGTGTCTCAACGGGGACGCGATCGTCTTCCTCGCCTCCGGATGGTCGCCATGAGACTGGGTGGTCATTTAAGACGCTCGTTGTCTGACGGTTCGAGAGTTCTATCACTCACTCGTCTCGGCGATCTTGTTCACATCGTTGCCCGCCGATATCGGCGATGGATAGGGGTGTGGGTCCAATACGACGACGTTGGTGTATCCCCTGCGGCCCAGATACAATGCTGTAGATGCGCCCCACGTTCCTGCCCCACGACAATGATAGGGGAGTCTTTCGCCAAAGGGGGGCTGGCGCATTCTGACTCGAGTGAGGCTTCAGCTCAGGCTCCTCCGAACGACTTTGACCAACCCCATCTCGTTGACTGGAGCCACCGAAGTAGACAGGTACTATGAGGTCAGCATTTGAGTGCGCAAGGATGAGGATAGCTACCCAAGTGAGTGGCCGCTGGAGGACAGACGCGGTCGTCGTTGACGCGTTGAGCAATGGCCAATGATCGACGCTAATTAATGAGTGGTGCGATATGAGCGCCTAGATGAGATCCAGATCCAGATCTTACCGTACGCCACACTGGCACTACGATCCGAGGAGAGGACCTCTTACGGTAGCGTCGGTAGTGAGCCCACACAAGGTGTAGAACCGTGTATTCGTGACTGGCTACATGAGTGGTGGGATCAAATATCCGCCAGACGGAATGTAGATAATGACTCCGAAGCCGACCGGCTTCGCCCTCAGGCTGGCTTTATTAACAAGTCGGTGACTCACTGCTGATCGGCCTCTTGCCGCGGCGTACCCAAGGAGGAGCGGCACTTCCTAGCACGATGTAGCCGAACGTTGCTTGAGGGAGGTAAGGAACTGCGGAGGTTTTCAGGGTTGCGGGCGTGCTCGTGAGGTAGACCGTCACCGACGCCGATCAAGCCCGGAAGAAGGTGGTCGCCTCCAGCAGACTCGGGATTCATGGCCTCTCACGACGCACCGAGAGTACTTTTGGCACCACCGATGCGGCCGCCTACGCTGCGGGCTGATAGAGAAAACACTGATTGAGGTGAGCCACTCCGGTCGGCCATTGTGACAACGGTGGCAAGCATGCCAGTGCCGGTGCCCGGGAGTGAACGAATGGCAGAGAAAGCGGACTGTATTTTACAAGCATGATCATGGGAAGCTTTTGTTCTACTGTATCAATGTACGTTATTCTCGAGGCCTGAGGTCTCGTATTTTGAATCACGCTAGTAGAGGCACCATGCCAGTGCACTGCTTGGAAGTTCCGGTACTGCCACTGGACACAATAGGCCACACACTAATGGAAGATCAATATATATTCATGTGTACGAGACGCTTTCGTCAACAGACATGGGAACGAATCATCGCAACCACTGCAATGCCCCAATCCGGTATAGATGCGCTCAGCGGCCGCATCCTCATTGCGAAAGGGCGTGCCCGCCCGAGGGCGGTGGTGCGCACAGCTAATCACCGCATCACGACACACACTAGTCAAAATGGACGATCTCGTATACGATCCCCGCGGGAGGCGTCTCTGTAGCCGCACAGTCGACCTCGGACTTGCGGCGCGGGAGGCAGATGACTGTGCTCGTCCTCGTGTGTGCCGCATGCGAACATGCCAGATATAGCAGCAGCGCTCGACAACGTGCCCGAAGCTTCCTTGCCAGAATATGTCAATTCCGACAGATTGCTGGCTTGGTGGGATCTTCAGACGCTGCGGACTCGAGGCGGAGTGGAATCCGCACAGTCAATACTCTTGCGTTCGCTCCCGGCCACCATCGTCTCCGATTGATGCGGTCTACCGCGGAGGAAGACAGGGCCAGTGGATATGCAGTGCCACCCGCACTCGTTGGGACACATGCGACGTAGAAGGGATGGCCCTAACTTACGCGGATTAGATGAGTCGAGGCTTGGCGCTTCAATATCGTTCGGAGTGGTCCCAGAACGTCTGGCGGCGGTGGCTATGATGCGGGAGATAGGTGGTCAGGGCCTCGTTCAAAGGAATTATAAGTACACCCGCTGGCGTCGTAAGTTTCCAGCAACACCGGAGCAGCTAACGACCCCCTCTTCTCACTCGATATGCACCACTTGTCTTCGAGCATGCACCATTCGTCTTCGAACATGCGCCACTCGTCTTCGAGCATGCGCCACTCGTCTTCAAAATGCGCTACTCGTCTTCGAGCATAACATTGAAGATGGAGCCCAATCGAACGGTCATGTGAGTCGAGACGATTTGGCGGACAACACAGGTCAAGAGCTTATACTGCCATTCCAGTGTAATGGGTCCGTCGGGCTCAGGGAAAACAGCGTGAGTTACATCTGCGCGTATAGTGGACAGACGAGCTGACATCGATGACAGTTCGTGAATGCATTGACGAATGAAACTTCCCTGTCGGTGAAGATCTCGAGCCTTGCACGAGAGAAGTTCAACAGGCCAGACGTATCTGGTAACATCTGTTTCAATGTTGTCGATACCCGGCCCTGGACTTGAAGGAAGCGGGAACCAGGTTGCGAGCGACCTGCGCCAACTGTGAGTCTCATCCACGCATCATGAGAGAATTCACCTCACGATAGGTACGACAGAGGGCAGAAAACGATCGTCGGCGTAATATTCATGCTCGATCTCAGCGACAACTCGAAGGTGGACCGGGCCGCCACCGAAAGCTGCAAAAGATTCATAGAGACATGCGGATCGAGCAACATACAAAACGCCGCGATCGTGGCCCGTGTGCGGAACGCCGGGACACAGGAAGGCATGGAGAGAGTGAACGAGCTGCGAAACTTCCGCCCGTTCGAAAAGGTCTTCAACGGCGGGGCATCCATCTTTCCGTACGACGGCGCCAGGAGTCCGCCCGAGACATTCTGCGTTCATTCGCAGACAAGCAGCCAGTGACCTGGCATGTCTGGACGAAGGAGGCGCGGCGCACGGTCACCGCCGGTTTATGGTGGCGAACCACAGACACCGGTACCGACATGCGGTGGCTGGTGGTGTTGGAAGTGACCAATCGGCCTGCATCGTGGATGTTAGCGCACGGATCATGGTCTATAACTGATCGCGTTGCAATGGTTGTTCGTTTGCATGTAGCCATAGCTTTCCCCACTCCTGGTCCTGTAACGGATTCCCGCCATACTGCAGTTGCAGCGCCCGTAGATACTGGCACGATCACATGCCGTAGACACGACACTCCGGAAGATATTGGGAGATGTAGCTTACTATTTATGTCGATTGAGAGATGTCGGATAGAAGCGTATCCGTGTGTCCAGCATGCGATCCGCTGTTCTCTGCGCAGATGCTGTGTCGTCGTCCTCTGCGCATTAGACACTGGGCTCATCTGCCGGTGTATCGAAAACGCCTATGACTGCACACGGTGTAGGCAGCATTTCAAACTCGCAGAATCGCAGACTCACGACTGACAGTGATAACACCCCATCCACTCGAGTCTCCCACAAGGACCAAAACCACTCGGAATTGCTGTCATGGTGGCTACAGATTGATGACTTACTGTACATGTCCGTCCACGTCTTCCACGTACACAGCCCGCCCTCCGACGTATCAATCACAGCGGCACCGCGTCTGTCTGCGCGATAGGAACAGAGGTGGGAACAGGTGGGTGAGAGGACGCTGCGCGGGTATGTGCACGACCTCGCGATAGAAGCCGGAGTCTCACCGGTGCGATAGAGCCGTTCATACAGGCTTTCTGTGGAAGCGGAGAAGAGGGCCTCGCTGCAGCTGCATGGTGGAGGACGAGGCGAAAAGAGCCAGCCGCTGTCTCATTGTCTGGATGGGAGTGACGTGCCGGCGAGTGACGGTGCAGTCGAGGCCAGGCAATGACAAGCGCCCGAGGAGACCGGTCGTGAAGGCAAGTAAAAGGGCGGCCGCGCCGCGCCAGGCTGGTAACGCGCTGCCCTTCGTCCCTCCCTCTTTGTCTCCTCCCCGCAGGCTGAGCCTTCCGCACCAGCGGTCTGTCTCCCCAGGACATCAGCTGCGCCGTGTCTCCCCGCCAGCTGTGCTGTGCAGTCTGCCCGACCGCGTCGAGCAGCGACTCCCTCCGTCGCCCGGACCCGCCCTGGCCGGGTCCACGTCCCTGCACGTCCTAAGAGTATCCAAGCTCTAATACACCATGGCCCTCCCATCGCGCCCCAACGCCCGTGTGGGTCTCCCCACAAACCCGCGATCCCGCTCGCTCGCCAGGCGACCGAGCGCCAGCGTAGACATTCGCTTCTCCAGAGAGGACATGGCACGACAGTATGTTCCCTCGCGCCCCGCTCCGACCCCTCCTCCAGTCCCGCAGATGCGACCAGCCCGCTCGATGACGGACTTACGCGCTGGCGCTCCGCGATCCCGCTCGCTCGATCGCGGCCGTGTGGCTCGCCCTGTTGAGACCCCACCGCCCCTCCCCATCGCACCGAGTGCACGGCAAGCGCGTGAGGCCGAGGAGCCACATAAGAGTACAGAGGGATCCTTCGCATCTCTCAAGCGGTATGTCACCCAGCGAAAGCGCACAGACGGGTCTATTACATCCTGGGGGTCATCCTCCTCCGAATCCTCGACGTCCGGGAACTCTCTGCGTTCCTATACATCTTTTGCCTCGTCTCAGACGAGCTTGGCAGATGACGACATGAAGAATACCAGCCCGACAGGCCAGCCCACTGCTTCCGGCTCGGCCCCGGGCAGTCCTGAGAGCCCTCCAAGCTCGCTTGGCTCTTCCCTCTGGACTCGGGTGGCAACCGCTGCGGAGCACTTGAAGGTGAACGTAAGCAAAGCTATATCGATTCCTGTGACCACGGAGAACGGTGAAAGTAAGGTGACCATCATATACATCATCTTGCGCGCTGACACTGTCTCCTCCAGACACTCCTGATGGACAGGAATCCAGTCTCGCCAAAGCCATGAAGGCATACCATGTCGATAAGGCCAACGGCGATGCCAAAGAACTTCCCGACTGGCTCTTCGAGGGACGCGACCGCGAGATCATCAACAGGCTGCGTGGGCCCTCCCTCGATCAACAACAGCCCGCAGCGGCATCCGCCACCCGCGCGAACGTTGTATCACCCGTCCCGCGCTCGATTACTGCGTCGCCCGCGCCCGAACGCGGGCGCAGCCGGGCCCCAGGCACGGGCATACGCGAAGGCTCCATCCCCCGCCGCGACGACAGCGCGACCCGCGCCCTCCGCGAGTCCGTCGCGTCCATCCACGCCACTGTCCCCTCGCGTGACAACATGAATCGCCTCAAGGACTTGCGCCTCGCGAAACGCAACGCGCGCGTGCGCTTCGAAGGGCAGGACGAAGAAGAGGTACCTGAGCCCGTGCCTTCGCGCGCCCCGTCGCGTGCCGGGATGGCACGGCATGTTGCCCCGCCCAGCGCGTTCAAGGACATGCCCATGCCCGAGGTCGCCCCGCTCCGCATTCGACCTAAGGAACGCAGTCAGGAGAGACAGACCCCGGCGGCGCCTGTTGCGCCGCCGGGGGGATCCTCCCTCCAGAGGCGGCCGACTGGCTTGCCAACGCGTGCACCGAGCCGTGAGGGGCGGCGTTCGTCGGACGAGCCTACCCAGGGTGCCCCGACGCCCCTGGTGAGACGGACGACAGGTCTGCCTGTGCGCGCACCGAATCGCGAGGAACGGCGCTATCCTGAAGAGTCGTTCCAGAGTAACGCGGCGCCTTTGGCGAGACGGCCTACGGGCCTGCCAGCGCGCGCACCGAGCCGTGAGGGCCGCCGCATTGGCCTGCCCGGGAGTGTTAGGCCGCAGAGGATCTGAGGTATTGTCGATCATGCCTGTCTCATACCCAGGCGAACAGTCGTGCTGGACATGCTTTCTGCCTCCTACTTGTTTTTACACCATCTACACAGCTCATTGTCATTCTAGATTCCGTGTGTCAATAGGTTTGCGCCAGCGGGGGTCTGTTATTCCTATGTATGAGTTGTTAATCGTGCATGCTTTGTCCCCTCTGCGGTCGTTTTGCTTTCTCTGTAAACTTGGGGTAACCGTTGCTCATGATACAGCTTGGTGTACGGATAGAGAGCTGTCCTCTACACTTCACGAGTGCTCCGTTACGAAACGTCTATGATGCCAATTTGTTTGCAATCGACATCGTACACAATGTTCTGCGCTCTTGTGCTGCGTTGTAGCCCCGTTGTGCCCACGTTCGGTGACGTGAACGAAGACCAGTGCACATGAAATCGCGGATGAACGTAAGATGTCGGATACGGTGATGGAGAGCATGGTGGTAACAATGCGATGCGGACATGACAGCCTGAGGGATGATCTCAGTGAGTGACGGTGGTGCGTTGTACGTATCAGTAGCGCGTTCTTTTTCTATCCCTCCCAACCAACTGCTTTGTATCTTGTCGCTGGCTACGGTGATGTGACGGATAAGTTGCATGGCAGGGTGGGTCCCAATCAGAGGGTGCTATCTGCCTGCACACTCACCTTCCGCCTTGCAGCGTTCAGGCGACTCTATATATAAACGCGGGGCGCATCCTTCCGAATGAGCGCGAGAAGCGGACGAAGAGTCCATACAGCGACACCCTCGAGATACGCGACGTCTCGCCTGTGGAGGGCAGAGAGACTTTTCCTGCAGGGCGCACTGTGATTGGCTGGTTGCAGGGAGCATACCGAACGCCCGACTTCACGCGGTTGGAGCGCGCCTTGCAACGGGTGGTCGTCATGGCCGCAGGGTCGGGCTGGCGAATGACCGGCTGAGAGACGTGTTGCCATGTCGGGACGATATCGATGCCCGCCTCGCCTGAGCCACAGGGCAGCTGCAGTCAGTCGACTCGGAGCGCTGCCACCGTCTATCACGTCGCGTTTGTCGGTTACACGAACACGGCGACAGTCAGACACCCGCTCCGGGGTTGTCGAGCAGCCGTGTGGAGGGCGTCGGGCGTCGGGATCACGCATCGATGTATATTGCACACTCGGACAGCTCGGGGATGCATGATTAGCCCCTCGCGACCGACGAACTGGGGGGTTCTGATGGAAGGGGCGGTCAGGTCCTCCGTTTGCGGTTGCCGACGGGCGACGTCCCTGTTGGAAGCCAGGAGGGCGACGCGGGGTTTGATTGGGTGGGTGAGCGCGGGCGCACATTGGCTGGCAGAGGAGGCGCGCCAGGCAGACGCAGGAACGGGCCAATCCGCTGATTGCCTCGTTCGCGAGGTCCGCGTCCATATGAATCGCGTCCCCCTAACCTATCTTCTCGATCGTCGCTATGGCCCCGAGAACAGTCCCATCTCCCCACGCCCGCGCCCACGCGTCGGCCGTGATAAAATGTGCGCATCCGCCGCCCTCTCCGCTAACCTTCTCCTCCCTCCCCCTTCGTTTTCTCCTATCTTTGTCGAGTCGATTCTCGACCCTTTCGTTCCTTGTTCGGGGTCGGTCGTCCTCCTGCTCCTCACGGGCACCCTGCTAACGTCGTTTGCAGATCACTCTTTGATAGAGAATACAAGTCCAATTTCCTCTGGGAGGTTTCATAGCGTTCCTTCGCTCGCATCGACGACGCACCCCTCGACGGTATCACTACTAGCCCCCACCTTCATTTAGTCCAAGATGGTCGGCTTCACTTCCGTATTTGGCGCGCCGCGCTTTTCGCTGGTTACGCATCTGCACTCCCCCGGCCGGGCTGGGCGTCTGGCCCGTCCTTCATGGATTCGTACGTTGCTCTTGTTAGCAGTCAGTGAGGCTCATTGCTGACCATGCCCATTCAGAAGCCCGTACGGAGCGGCCGGCTCTGGCGCTGGTAGCCCTGCTGCCGGGGCGGAGGGCTCCGCGATGTCGGCCCCGGCGATGGAAGGGTCGGGCATGATGGGCTCCGGTATGATGGGCTCGGGCATGATGGGCTCCGGTATGGCGAGTATGGAGTCAGGTATGATGGGAGCCGGTATGGCGAGTATGGAGTCAGGTATGATGGGCGCCGGTATGGCGAGTATGGGGTCAGGCATGATGGGGTCGGGTATGGAGGGTATGGGGGCGGGGATGGCGTCGAAGGCCATGATGACCTCGGCTGCGATGGCTACGGAGCCTATGATGACCTCGGCGGCGATGGCTACGGAGACTGCTATGTCCACAGAAGCGATGATGACCTCGGCCGCGATGGCATCCGAAACCGCTATGTCCACGGAAGCGATGATGACGTCCGCGGCCATGATGACGTCCGCCGCTATGGCCACCGAGACCTCGATGGCCGCTGCGACCTCCACAGCGGCTGCCATGTCCATGTCCTACGGATCTGGCAGCTCGAACTGGGGTGGTTCTGGCTACTCAAACTGCGTCCAGCGTGAGTATTCGACACTAGTGCTTGATACGTCCTGGCGAGCTGACGAATATTGACAGAATGTATGGCTTCCTACGGTGCCCCCGCCATGGTGACCGCATCTGCGACTTACGCTGCTAGCGCCACGGCCTCGGCCATGGCCGGCACCGGCACGACTCACACCATAGTCGTTGCGCCCAGTCAGGGTGTCCTCCGCATGGTGCCATTCGCCGTCAACGCCTCAGCAGGCGACACCTTGTACTGGGTCTGGGGAGCAAACAACCACACCGTCACGAAGAGCTCCGAGCTCTCTCCTTGCAACAAGACCACCGACGGAACTGCCTTCGCTTCTGGCACTCAAAATGCTAGCTTCACTTTCACCGAGATGGTGAACGACACCAACCCGGTCTTCTACTACTGCGGCACCCCCGGTCACTGGTAAGTGGGTTTGCCAAGACTCGGTGATGTGGTGACTGACGATTCATTGATAGCCCCAAGGGAATGTTTGGTGTCATCAACCCACCCAACGTCGAGAACAACGCTGCTACTTCCGTTGCGTCAATGATGCCCGCCATGATGGCCAACAGTTCCACGCTCTCCGCTATGTACGCTGCCAGCAACATCAGCAGCAACCCGATGGCCGCTACCTGGGGCGACAGCATGGACATGAGCACCATGCCCGACTGGTCGCAGTCCCTGATGGCCGAGAACGTCTTGTGCGTCTTAGTCTCCTCCCTTCACATGATTTCTTACTGAGCGATCCGGGCAGGTACACGCGTTCGTTCATAGCCGCCAACCCCAGCATCATGGCTGCCGACGGCACTCTCAACATGGGCGCGGCCAACGGCCAGTTCATGGTCCCCCAGGATGTCAGCCAGCTCAACAGCGCGGGCTCATCGTCATCTGCGGCGTCTTCGTCCTCGTCCCCGTCCGGTTCCGCAGCTGCGGCGGGTGGTGCAGCTGCGTCGGCGTCTGGCGCGTCCTCTGCCTCCCCGTCTGCGACCGGCTCTACCAGCGGGGCGCGCGCCAACGTTGCCTCCGGCGCGCTGCTCGGCGTCGCCGCCATCGCCGCGACTTTCCTCTCGCTCTAAGGGAGTCGCTACTGTACTCACTCCGCTCTCATCAAGTGCTTGTCTCTACGTAGGTGATACCGCTAGTACACATCCCACGGACTCTCGGCGCACGCGCCGCGCGGGATGGGCTAGCTAATTCGTTCGGACCTTTCTGCTGCTTCGTTCCTGTTAGCCTCGCCGTTGATATCGTCTCTGGAATTGGTGCACGGACACTGTATCGTCGATACTTCTCTGTTCATCCCCTGTTGCGTTTGGACACTGTGATTCCTACGCCTCCCATCTTGTTTTCTTTGTTACCGTACCCCCTCGCGTGCGAGGAGAAGGCTTCACCTTCCCCACACTGCTTACGGGTGGTTAGCTACTGATCGCCAATAGTATCAGGCTACCGCCATGCTCAGTGACCATTTATCGTGTGATTGAAGGCGATGATCGGTCTGTGCATAGGTGCGTATAATTCTGTGTTATCGTGGCTCTTCGCCGTACCGCGAATTGTAGACTGCACGCAATGAACGCACTACAATTACATTTGTTCATGGAATAACGGTATCTCACAGCTTCAGGGTGTATGTGAACCCGTCCCAGCCTTTCTCTCCCACTGTAGATATCGTGGTAGCGTCCACTTCGCGATCAGTCTTCAGGTGAGTTAACAGCTTGCGGACGCCCTCGACATTCGCGTCGGTATATTCGGGATCGGCGACCTTGCCCCGGCGCACCACATTGTCTATGATCTGTGGGAGACAACTCAGTATCCGTGCCACGACTCAGAATGACTGCTCACTATGACTGCTCCATTCTTGGTGAGGCGCTTCGCCTCCAAGAAGTATGCCAGGTTCCCTGGTTTGTCTGCGTCGATGAAGACGAGGTCAAAGGGCTTGTCCGCTGGCATCTTCGCCAGAGAGTCGGCAGCGGCGCCCTGGACGATCTTCACCTTGTCCGCTAGACCAGCGTGCGCGACGTTCTCGCTCGCAACCTACCGGTGAGTACTCAGTACTCAGATCTCGAGCTTGTGACAGGTTTAACATGAACACGGACTGTGGCATGTTTCTCGTCGAGCTCAAGAGTGACGAGCTCGCCGTCGTCCGGGAGCGCACGGCCCATCCATATCGAGGAGTACCTAGATCGGGGTCAATACAGTACGCGTATCTACCGAAGTACGGAGATGAAGAGGAAAGAGGCTCACCCTCCGAGCGTACCGACCTCAAGAACCCTCTTCGCGCCGATCGATCGCACGAGAAGGTCGAGGTACTTCCCCTGTGCCGCGCTCACAGCAATATCTGGCAGCCCATTCTTCGCGCCGTTTGCTTTGGCGAAGTCGAGGGCCTCGTCGGGCAAGAGCAGGAAGCTGTTGTGGTAGGTGTCGGAGCGAGCCCAGTCTTCCTGCATGGCGATTCAAAGTGATGATCTACGTGCAGAGTTCGATTGGAGGTGAGCACCACTGGCGCTGTCGAGAATTCAACGCTCCCCTATTTATGCGATGCCTCCCATGACTAGACATCGGATGACATGTTGACTCGTCACGCACATGACACTCTGATTGGATCTCCAAGGTTGGGAAGGGTACAAGTGCGTCAACATATGACTCGGTTCTGCCTCGACGATATCATACAACGGCTACAAACTGGATCGGACTCAGAATTGGTGATACTACTCCAGCAAGGGCGCAAGGGCGCTCTACGGCTCTACAATTTCAGGATGTAGGTGAAGCCATCCCAGTGCCTCTCCCCGATCGTCGAGATGGTCGTAGCCGACAGCTCGCTGTCGTTCTTCAGGTGGGCGAGAAGCTTGCGCACACCCTCGTTCGGCCCGTCTGTCTTAGACAGGTCGGCTACTTGTCCGTCGCGCACGGTGTTGTCGACGATCTACAATTCAATGAGCCTCACCCTCTTTGAAGACAAATAATGGTACGTACAATGACAGCTCCCTTCCTGGTGAGACGCTTGGCCTCCAGGAGGTAGGTCAAGTTGTTGTCCTTGTCGGCGTCGATGAAGACGAAGTCGAACGGCGCGTCGCCGGGCTGCAGCTTGGTGAGGGACTCCACGGCAGGACCCTGGATGATTTTGACAACATTTCCTAGGCCTGCTTTCACGACGTTTTCGCGGGCAACCTGGACTGGTCAGGAGATGTCTTGTGATGTGCATTAAGGACGAACCTGAACATGGTGCTCGGAGAGCTCGAGGGTGACTACTTCACCGCCTTCCGGGAGCGCGCGAGCCATCCAAATGGTCGAGTAGCTATGGATCAGGTTAGACATGATGATCGACAGGGAACGTGGACGTCGACTTGCCCTCCAAGGGTGCCAATTTCGAGGATCCTCTTCGCACCGAGGGTGCGCACCAGGAGGTGGAGCAACTTGCCCTCGGCGGGACTGACTGCAATCAAGGGCAGGCCCTTCTCGTCGGTGTTCTTCTGGGCGAATTCCAGAGCCTCGTCCGGCGCGATCAAGAAAGAGTTGTGGAAGCGGGCGGACCGCGCAAAGTCCTCGTCAGGAGGAAGGTAACCGGTCACCCTGGTTGCGCTCATCGTTGCGGTTCTAGGACTGGAGTATGCTGGAAGGCTTTGACTTGCGGGAAAGCGGGGGCCTGGAGAAAGTGCGTCGTCCGCTGGGCTTTTTATACGCTTCGTTGGCGTGAGATGACTGAGCCTGTGACAATAAGACGATAGACTGCGATAGTCTTCACGTCCAATGCCGCAATATACAGGCGCGACAATGTCAGCTGTCAGATCGGATGTATTGAGCCAGAGGCGAACTCCAATGCCTACGACATGCCGCTATGCTTGCGTACTACTGCAGGTATTGTTGACGTGGTCAGCATGGATGGTGACTCATTGCAAGCCCCGCAGCATGTCGGCTAATTAGAAGCCCACACGGTGTCTCGCACAGAGGAGCTGATTAGGACGAGTAGCCCCAGAGTCGCCTGCGATCTGCCCATAGGAGAGTTAGAAGCACAGTCTTAACGACTCGATCGTGCGGCACAAGTGCGGCCTATCTGATAAGATGGCATACGAGTACTTTCGGCATGCCGTGGGGCCTGGAGCTTAACGAAAGACCAGCGGCCTTCCGCAGTCGAGGTTCGGCCGTATACGCGCGTACAAAACCGAACCTCGACGCCGTCGTACGCAAGTCGGACAACGTTCACGCCTGTTCGCATCCGAGTCCACCTAGAGCTGGCATAGTGATACTGAAATTGAGCAGTAGCCGCTACTAGGCCTTCTCGAGTCTTCAAGCTTCAAGCTTCATGAGCAGTTGGTCCGTGCAAACGAGCGCTTCTTACGTTCTGCACATCGATTTGAAGAGTGGCCTTCGGAGGCATGCATCCTCAAGACACCGTCTCGTTGAGCAGTCCACCCAAGAACTCAGACCGTGGTACTGACCGAGTAACCTAACCCGGTGGCCGGAGGAACGAGGCAGTAGGATGAGCAATCACGTGCAGTGTAAGGCGTGTGTTGCGAGACGCGCTGTCGCGGTCGTGGGAAAGTTGGCGCGCTGTGACCTCGACACGAACCATCACCTCCGCCTGCCGTCACACACGGCTACCACGCGTCGCGCGCCATGTCGCGCCTCACCGCCGCCCAAGTCATCGCCCTCGGGGAGTATCTCGAACCTGACTTCGAACCTAGCACTCTCACCGTCGCTCAGCTGCTCGGCGTCTTTGGCTATCACAATGTGAACTATCCATCCCAGTACACCAAGCCCCGGCTTGTCCAGCTATTCAACGACGAGGTCAAGGCTAATGCAAGCAAGCTGCGGAGGCAGAGGATCAAGAAAGAGAGCAGTCAAGCCAGCGATGACGGCATAACTGATGGCCTCACTGGGCGTCCGATCAATGAAGGAAAGAAGGCAAGCGATCTTATGCAGTCAACGGGCGACTTGTCCACTAACCTCCGGGCAGCCTGTAACGAGAAGATCCTCAAGACGCTCATCACGAGCACCTCCTGAACAGCTTGAAGAGCCTGAGCCTGCTCCTGTGCGTTTCCTGCCTGGTTTGAATCCACCACGTTGTCGCCCCTCTTATTCTGTACATCATCTAGGCGAAGAGACGAAGATCGTCCGCCCAGCCCTCCCTCGGTGGCCCTTCTCGCCAGAAATCCAAGTCCGCAAAGCCAGTGGAACCAGTGCTGGTAGAAGAGAGCGAGCCTGAAGAAGAAGAAGAAGTCGCTCCGCGCAAAGTGGGCAGAAGCAAGAAGAGTGTATGTGACTGATCCTTGCTCCAAGTCCTAGGCTCTCATGTAGTACGTAGACGACAGATGCAGGCAGCGAGACGCGCCGCGTATCGCAGGCCTTCCCTGAAGATTCAGGCTGGGAGGATAACAACATATTCCAGTCCGGCGCAGAGTCTTCTTCTCCAGCTCGTCCTCCGCCCCGACGCACCCGTCGGACCAGTACGTCAGCGCGACCCGCACCCAAATCACGCAAATCCCTGTCGGCGCCACCGCAATATGCCTCTGAATCGCCCGAGAGGGGCACCGAACCAGCTCGGCTGCCGAGAGCCAAGCCGCCATCCACTGTCAAGCTACCGTCTTCGGCAAAGCCACGCTCCACTTTTAAACCTCCTTCGAATGTCTTTGACCCTCAGCTCCCACCCGACGTCCAGCGCGAGACACGCTCCAGCTCTCGGTCGAGGAGGGGGTCTGCTGCTCCGGAAGTCAAGCAAGAGCGACTGTTCATGATTCCTTCGCAGGTCACTGAGGAACAGGAAACGGACCTCGAAGAAATGCGGCAGATGGAGGCTCTTCGCGAGGACATTGCGTCCCCGGCTGCCGAAGTAGAGCCAGAAATGCCAGTAGTGCCCACGGAGGATTATCAAGAGCCGGAGGATGACGTGTCTCAGAACCCGAGGAGTACACGGACGAGCAAGTTGCTGCTGTGTCCAAGCGAATCTCAGAAGGTGGACAAGTCGTGCGACAGCAATCAGAATCCAAATCTCAGGGGCACTCGTTCTTCACTCGTCTTGTCATGCTGTTGCTTTTCTTATCAAGCTCCAGTATGCTCTACGAGTATAAGCGCGAGTCTTCAGAGATCGGTTTCTGCACTGCTGGCACTACGACGAATCCTGTCCTTGAAGAGAGGCAGGCGCGGGCTGCAGCGGTCGAGTTGTGCCAGAGAGAGAACATGACCACTTTGCACGTGTCGCATACAGGGTCGGCCGCGTCCCCTGTCCCTACCGGTACTGCCAGTGCTTCCGGCCAGCAGTCCCACTCTGCAGACGATAGTGCCGTCGAGCTGTGCCCCCCTCCTGCCCTTCTGCCTCTGCCATGGCCAGAGACGTGCACTCCCTGCCCCCGACATGCGACATGTACACCCTCGTCAATCACCTGCGAGAACGGCTACGTTCTCCGCTCGCATCCGCTTCTTTACTACGTGCCCATCCCCGATTCGTCGCCCCCCAATCAATTGTCGTACACGACCTTTACTCGCCCTAGAAGCTTGCTTGCGACCGACGTGGACGTGCCGGAGTTGATCTACTCTGCGGTCTCAACACTATTCGATGGCTTACCCGGGCTTGGTGCCGTCGCATTCCCGCCGCGTTGTGTCGCAGATCCGCGGCGCAGGCGACACATCAATGGAATGGGCAAAAGCATCGAGACGTTCCTTGCCGCAGAAAGAGGCAAGCGTCTCTGCTCTGGGGAGGGCGCTGGTCTACCCGAAATTACCGACATCGAACAAGCTAAGAAATGGGGCAGGGAGCTAGAGAAACTCAGGGACGAGAGCATGAAGAAGACATCGGTAAGTTTGTCTGGTCCCCACCATGCAGGAACCTCGCTCATTACACAATGCGCAGCCCAACCTGCTTCCGCTGTTCAATGACACCTTCAACGAAGCTATCACGCAGCTGGTGGATTGGGGCGTTGTCTTTATGGCCGAGGATAAAGAGTGCGTCCATTACGTTGTCTGATTCCGGACATTTGCTCACAAGACTCGTTCTAGCGGCACTCGCTACATCGCTTCGAAGAATCCCTCGTTGGATGTAATTTGCACCCTGACAGTCAAGTCGCGTGAAACCTGGGCCCAATGGAGGGCTTCCGTCATTGGTACGTCGCGCATCCTTGTTCCCCCACCCTCAAACACTGAGACGAACTTCCGACCGCCGCTGTCTGCAGGAAGCGCCCTCTTATTTCTGAGTGCCTTGGTGCTTAAACGCCGAAGGGCCCAGAACGCGGCAGAGAACGAGCGCGTAGCGGGTCTGGTGCAAATCGCACTTGACCTCCTCCGGAACCAAGAATTAGCGTATCACACGGATCCCGTCACCGCGCCGCACCCCTACCTGTCGTCGGTCCAGCTGCGTGACCTAGTCTTGCAGGACGAACATTCGGTTAGCGCCCGCACACGCCTCTGGCATCGCGTCGAACGCGTCGTCGAGGGCAACACCAACGTCCGCACGAACCTCGAAGAGGTCGAGGGTGGTGACGAGCAGCGTGTCTGGCACTGGGTTGGAAGTGCCGGCAAGCTTGGTGCTCCTCCAGCAACTGGACGGCACGTACCAGTGGACGAAAGAAACCCTTAACGGCGACGTTGTCATTCGTGTATGCGCCATTTCCGCCCTGGCTGGCCCCCTTTCCCCCTACCTGAACTGTATTCCTCTACTTATGGTGTTCCATTTCCCCCTTCTGCTGTCGTCCCTCGTCGCGTCCATGTGCTGCTCTGCTGTCGGAACCTCCGCTGTGGAATTGGGGTGCTCCCCTACTGCTACCTATGTTCTCTTTGTCAGAAACGCTGACTGTACCAGTACAATCTATATCTCCTATGGTTCCTGTGGCTATCCACGAGTGTTCCGAAGTTTGCGGGACAATTCAGTAGACTGCCGCTGTTGTTGTGACAGCTCTAGACCATGTCCTCCTTAGTTGTTGTATGAAACGAGGTGCCGAGTACGAGGGTGCGAAGTGCCTAATGCGAACGAGGGTGCCTGCTACGCCTTCTTACCAATACGCAGGCTCTAGGCCGGCATGATGCAGACTCGCCGCAATTGTCTGCGGAGGCGCCGGGACACCAGATGGCGCAATTGAGTCGCTGGCCTGGATCTCAGAAGCAGCGGGATCGGGCAGCCAGTCCCGCACGCGCACACCCGCGAGCCACTCTGCGAATCCTGCACAGTGTGTCCCAATGGTGCCAGAGGATCGTTGATCGTCCCACGCAGCAGCGTCAGTCAGGAAGGTCTCGATTCATCGGAGCGGTACAGCCTATCAGAACCTGCCACCCCGCGCCGCTTCCCTACTACCTGAACCAAACCACGTAGCCAGATCCGCGGACGGGCACCCTACTGCCTGCTGGGCGGTCACGCGAGTCCCCAGGGGTGCCCGAGTCGCCCTCCGCTGTCGTTCGGTCGGAGTGGCTGGCTAGCTCCACTCCGCCGGCGTCGTCCAGCGCATGTCGGAGTCTCCTGGGGGCAGCCCGGCCTGGATCTTCTCGATCAGAGCGCGCTTCATGAACTGCTCCTCAGCCAGTGCGCGCGCGGTCTGGAAGAGGCAGGATTCAGCGAGAGGTGCCAGCCCGTCGAGAGAGAAGCGTACAGACCCTGATGAATTTCTCCAGGTCCATGCGGCCGGAGTTGAGTGCGCGGTGGAGGTGATAGATTGTGTCCTCGATGGCGTTGTCTTCCGCGACGAGGTTGATCAACCTGACGGGTTCCATGTCAGCAAAACAGCGCGGCATGGAAGGCAAGCGACGGAGCGCAATGAATCGAGCGGCCATGGAAGACCCACACTGACGGAACATGTCACCAGCCGACATGCCCGCCACGACACCGGGTGCTCACCGCGCGCCCAACGTCACGACGCAAAAACGCCCTCCGCGCACCAAAAAAATGACCCACTGATTATGCACGATCGTCGTCGAGCACACGAGCTCGTCGACCTCGGGGTCGCCCTTCCTCCTGAGCTCCGCGACGTTCCGCGCGCCCGCGTCCACGACGCCGCGCATGCGCGCCGCGGCCGTCGCGCACACGTCGCGCACGGCCTCGAGGCGCGCCATCTCGTCGCGGAGCGCGGGCGCGCCCGCGAGGAGGTCCGCCTGGTGCGCGCGCAGGCGCTCCGCGTCGAGCGCCATCGCCTGCTGCAGCGACGCGAGCTCGGACTGCAGCTTCGCGTGCACCGTCTCGTGCAGGCGGCGCAGCTCCGGGTTCGGCGGGCGGGGCGGCGCGCGCGCGCCGCGCGGCGGGGGCGCGGCGGCCTGCACGGCGGAGAGGTCCTCGGCGTCGAGCAGGTCGGGTGGGGGGAGGTGAGGCGCGGGGGCTGACGGAGGATTGGGCGCGGCGGGTGGTCTGTGGTAGTGCGGCGGCGCGTACCCTCCTGTTGGCTGGGGCGAGACGAAGGGCGGGGGCAATGCAGGGGGCGGCGCATCTGGCGGTATGCCACCTGCTGGCGACGCTGGCGGTGGGTAGTTTCCATGCGGTAGCCCAATTGAGACGGCCGACGAGGACGGTGGATGATGTGGGATAGGGGGCGGCGACTGACCCGGCGGCAATGCAGATCGAGTGGTATGCGGTGGCCGGGCTTGTCGCTGATCTGCGTAAGACATCCCCAGGGGCGCCGGTGAGCTGGCGACGCGCGAGAGGGGTGCGGGGTCGCCGGCGGGAACATCGATCGGGCGGCCTGGCGCGTGGGGAGTGTATGTCGGGGGCACCGGTGAGTTACCGATGGATTGAACGCCTGATGGCATCGGGGGATGCGGCGGCACAGGAGGCGGTGGGCGCATGCCAAGGGCCGGCTTTGCATCGGGAGTTTGGCAAAAATAACCGACCAGGAAATCAGCGGGGCACGGTATGACGCTGTCGATCGACTTACATTGCCGAGAACACCGAGCGAAGGGTTGTGCGCATGGGCAGGGGCAGGCGACTGCACGCTGGGAGTTCTGGAAACCGACGCTGCTACCGGGCTGATGGCGGGAGTGCCAGGTTTGGCAGGAAGAGGCGGAGGGGCATCATTACTCGTTGCTGGGACAGGAGACGACGTCTGGGAATGCGTAGGAGCATGCACACCAGGTACCGGCGGTGGAGGCCGCGAAGAGTAGTCCGGGCCTGTCGGGCGGGGCAGCGTGGCTGGCTGGGTCGCCGCGTGTGCAGGTCGGAATAGACCGGAGGAAGACGCGAGAAATTGTCCTGCATGGCTTGGAAGAGTGCGACGAGACTGCACCCCTGTGGTGGATCCGGCGCGTCAGTATCACATGAGCGCGTCGAGGACGGAGGACGCACCTCGGGCTTCTTCTCCCAATCGCGCAAGTACTGGATATGGGACCTTCCGCTGACGTCCATGTCAGGCCCGGGGCGAACGAGCATGTCGCTGGTGGGGACGACGTATGCGATAGGGGGCTGCTGCGGGTATTCCCTGGTGAGCCACAGTGCGACTGGAATGTTGTACGACGCGCCGCGGAATGCTATCGGGAGGAGCCCATGGAGGCAGAGGAGCAGCTGGGTGCGGCCGTCGTCGAAGGCTGCGAAAGACGGGGGAGTGAGCACGGATCGCGGCACGAGGACGCAGGGCGTTTGGACTGAACTGTAGACGTCTGTCTTGGGTCTGATGGTGGGATAGCGGGTGAGGGCGGCGTCGACGTGGTGGAAGAGGGCGTCCCTGTGTGTGTAGGGCTGGGTGTTCTGGCGCAGCCACTTGTGCAGCAGGTTTTCGTGCGAGCCCATTGGCAGACGCGACGACGAGCGTGCCCGTCTCGCGCCTGCCTCGCCGCCACCGGCAGGCGCCCGGCGCGCCACATGCTGAGCGCCGGCAGGGCCGGGGCAGCCGGTGGCGGGGTGGCGGAGCGGCGGGGTATCGAGACTCCGCCTGAAAGGCGCGCAGGCCCGATGGACCGGTGGGCGGTGAGTAGCAGCGTGTGCGCGTGTGCGGCGTCTTCGGGCGCTGTGCGCTGGGACGCCGGGGCTGTGGGCGGCGTCTGCGGGCAGCGTCTGCGGGCAGCACAGCAGTGCACCAGCTGACACCGCGCAAGAGCCCGGGTGACGTGCAGCGGGCGGAGGACGGCCGCGGGGGAGGGCGCAGAGACGGCGCGCCGGGCCAGGGCTGCTCGTTCGAGGGCATCGGGCGAGGGCATGTACCTCCGCGTCGCGCTATGCAAGATTTGCTTCCGCTGCGAGCGTGATCTGCCACCGCGCGCGATCCATCTCGCCCTCGCTGCGCCTGCTCGCCGTCGCGCTCGAGCACATGGCCCTCGGTCCTGCGAGGTGCGTCTCCGTGACCGGCGGGCGGGCGCAGGTCCGAGCCCCGTTGTTGTCCGTTCTGGGCGAGTCGCTTGAGCACGCCGCGGGGAGAGTCCCGTTCGGGAAGGCTGAAAGAGAGCCTCGCTCGGTGCGAATTCGCTTCGTCGCCGGCACACCACATGAGAAGCTGCGACGCTCCCCTGTCACCAGCCCGCCAATTGTGCACCGTGCGTGTGGCCGCCCGGAGACGCGCTCGCGGTCACGCAGCTGCAGCGTCGCCCGCTCGCCCGGTCGTGCACCGGTAGTGCATCTGCGCTGCATCTGCGCTGCTACAGTCCCCGGGCCCAGATCGCCCGCTTTTGTTTTCCATTCCCGTCCCAGACGCACGCAAGCTCGCCCAGCCGCCCCGATCCTGCCACACATCGACCGCTGCCCCTAGCGACTAACTGCATATCTCCACATCAGTGGGCCTCTCCTCCCATACCCGGATCACGACGCCTCTCGGCTCTCGACCCAGCGCCGAATCGCACGTCTGCACAATCACCACTCCAGACAGCCATCCTATCAGCAGGCGGGCGCTACTCCCTCGGCTCCTTCGACGGCCTATTTCGCATATATAACCCCTTCTCCGTCCCCGCCCTGCCTTCTCTTCTCCCTTTGTTCCTTCCAAATATCGGCCCTCCCATTTCACATGCTTATATCCTTTCGCTCGTAATGTTACGGTACGCTCACCCTCAATGCACGCCCGCCCGCGCCCTCACCTCTCGAAGCTCCTCCACCTCCAACTCGAGCATGGAGTCCAACGAGCCTACAAAACGCAAGTCCCTCACCCCCCAGCGCAAGCACCACAACTCCTCAAGGACGGCAACGAAGTCTGGTCCCAAGAAGTAGAACGCATTTTCGTTGAAGGTGACGCCCTTTTACGTGTACCACAAGGAGCCAGAAGCTGATTTACGGACGCTGTCCCCCACAGGTCTGCGCAAGTACTGGGAGTCCCCTTGGGCCACCTATTCCCGCGGCCGCAGTCGCTGGCGCAACCAGTTTATGGTCGACCATCTCAAGAAACATGGCATCGAGCGGTCCAAGAAGCAGGTCGCGAGTCACATCCAAGTACTGCGCAACATGTGGAGAGGCGAGCCAGGTACGTCCGCACAAAGCACCGCACAGCTTCTGACTCCAGTGTATGGCTGACACTTCATCCAGAGTTTCACCTCGTCGCCGGAGGGGAAGAACTATTTCAGGAGAACGGCCTTCTCGCATCGCCTAAGCTCACTGAGGGCACCGCTTCGCCGGAGGCCTCGCCGCCGGCCAACCTCGACTCGCCTGACTGGCGTTCGTCGTGGTCTTCGTCAGCGTCGTCGGCGCCCGACTTCTCTGCCTTTCCGCTGAACTTCGGCGCGTCGACGTCGGCGCAGCGTCTCAGCCCTCCTGCGCACACGATGGCGGTTCACCACTCCGACCCGGCGTTGCCGTCATTTGTGTCCGGAACGGACTTCGCTACAGTCACGCCCGCCAGCATCGCTCGCCCGCGCTCGTCCTCGGTCAACCTCGAGCCGCTCTCACTTGGCCCGGCGCTGTTCAACCTCCCACAGAGCACCTTGCCTGACACGCCCGACTTCACATTCATGCCTCAGACATTGCCCCCACCCAATCGGCTCTGCAACATTAACCTCTGGACCGACAGTTCGCCGATGTGCCTCATCGACGTCGACAAACTCACGACATCGGCTTCGACCGCGTCATCCGCGTCCGGCCAGCGCCCGCCGCCCTTCCGGATACTGCTCCGTCTGCACCTCAAGTACCCCCCGAACGACGTGCACAGCCCGCTCGCGTTCCAGGGCTTCCACGCGATGGTCTCATTCGCGCTGCCCTGGGCGTCCTCGGCAAAATGCCACACCAAGACGTGGGCAGGCAAGACATGCACGAGCCACGAGGTCGGTCTGCTCGAGCAATTGAATCCCCAGCAGCCGCAGGCGATGCTGCCCGGCGGCGCCGTCCCGTCGTCCATGCCCATCGCGCACCTCCCGCAATCCGCCCTGAGCCGGTGCAGGTGGCTCGAACCCAGTACGTGTGCAGCACGCCCGTGATGCCGCCCCCTCCTGCATGCGTGGACCTCATGTTGACTGAACACACGTGTGATTCTTGCCTTTACAGTGGTCCAGAGCATCTCGCAGCAGATCGTCGTCGACACGGACGTCCTCGCCGTCATCCTCTACACCATCGACCGCTCCGCGGGCGCAGCGGACGCGCCCGCGGTCGAGCTTGTTGGGTTCCACAAGTACCCGTGGCGCTCGGCGGCCACCCACAGCCTCTGGCATCCCCGCCCATCTCGCCTGTGACGTCGTTCGCTTTCCCGGGTACGCGGGACCTCCCACACCACCATCATCGCACGGCAGCTGCGTCCGCCACCACCGCATGCACCAGGAACCGGCGGTGACTTCGCGCTGCCATCCACCATGGGCTTCAGCCACACGACGGCACCGCGCGGCCCTTGCACTGGCTCTGGCACTGGATCAAGGAACACGCAGAAGTTTTTCTGAACTGTCTGATTCTGCGTGTCGGCACCGAGTGTCCCACTGACTGACCTTGTGTCCCCTCCGCCGCGCGTTGGACGTACCGTGCGAACGCCTGTCCTCCCTACCTTCGTATTCGATTATTTCTCCTCGGACGTTTCAGCGGACCGTTCTTAACCTGTGCGTACCCCCTCCCCTGCCTCCTGCCCCGTTCCACGCTGTATCGTTACGTACCTGAGATTATGTAGATGTATCAATCAACCTATTCGACCCAAAATAAATGTAGCCGTTAATCCCTCTCTCCTCCGTCGTGTTATGGGTCCCGACTCTGCCAGTACTTGTACGTACGAGTAGCCTAGGATGTCGAATGCAATACTTTGCGCGCCTGCGTGCGAACGCGGGCGTCCAGGTGTCTGTGGGCCAGGACATGCAGTTCCCAGAACGTCGTGCCGAACGGATTGCTCAGTTGTGGATCGTCGAGATCTGGGCGGTACAGCCCGTTGCCGCCCCGATCCTCGGTGGACAGCAGCGCCTCGAGCTTCGGATCTCGCTCGACGAGCACGCCGACGAGTTCAATCGCCGTGAGGCTGACGCGGCGGCCAGTGGAGGGCGGCGGTCAGGAGACGCTTGGCGAACGCAGCGGCGCGCCACGGCGGTGCCACGGACAGGGATACCCGCGGGGTGAACACCAAGTGCAGCGCGCGGAACAGCATGTCAGCGGTGGTAGATGGCTGGAGACACGCACGTCGGACCTGAACGCAACCGCGGGCACGGTCTCGACGTCATGCGCCATGCTGAGCGCGGGCAGGATGGCGTACAGGCGGTGGACAAAGTCGCCCAGGTCGATGTCGAGTGCTTCACCTGTCAGAGACCGCGATTATGCTTCAGCCGTCTGACCGCAATGACGCAGATGCGCGCACCTTGTCCGGACAGAAGCTCGAAAGCGGTGACGATGCACAGCAATTCGTACTGCGCGCTCCTGCTGTCTGGCGTATCATGATCCGTCCGCCCGTGTCCCCGTCTGCCACGTCCGGATCTCGAGACATGATCCCTTTGAGGACTTGCAACAGGTCACGGAAGAAATCGATGTTGACCAAATGCGAGAATTTGGATATTCCCTGGAGGGCCGCGGGAAGCAGCGGTGTCGGCGTGGGATTCTTGAGAATCCTGAAATAGAGAACAAAGAGCAACTTCAGCGTCTCGGTTTGCTGTAAGATGGTTGCCGTTAACACCCAGACTGATAATGGAAATGGAAGCTCCATCTACCTTCGCCGCGCGCTCTTCTTTGTCAACCTCCGCTTCTGCCTCACGCATTTCCTTTGCGATCTCCTTCTTCTCTTTGAAGACCTTCTTCGCCTTCTTACTCAGATGTGGCCGCTCTGCCTTTTTGTTCTTGGCCTTCTTCGTCACCTTCTCGGGCTGATCTTTGTCCGCCCTGGTTTCTGACGCCCGGACACCAAGTTCGGTTTTCAATCGCAGATAGAGCAGACATGATAGGACATCCGGATGGACGTTAAACTTGCGTTCCTTGATCATGCGGTTCAGCAGGCGTACAATCTCCAGCGAGGCATCGCCTGTGTTGTCCCCGCGAAACACCTTGATGAGGGAGTTGAGACACAGATCTGACATCTGGCGATGGCAATCTGGGTAAGCAATCGGAAACGGTCATACCGAACAGTGCGACAATGACACACCGGGTCCCAGGACTTTTTGCTCAAGTATGCAACCACGCAGTTCATCAAGTTCACACGGAAGTTGAAGTGCGTGAGTTCAACGAGCAAGGAGCACATACACTGAAGAGCGGTCTCAGCGAGATCATTCTTCGCTAATGAAATCTGTTAGTCGCTCGCCGTGCGCTGTATAAGTCTCCACTGTTTACCTTTGATCTCGGCCTCGAGCACGCGAAGGTAGTTCTGATACACTGTGACCAACCCTTGTTCCCAGTCTCGTGTACGCTGGACCATCTGGCTGACCTTCTCCGACTTCTCTATGTCAGTGAGCGCACGTATACGATAACCCGGTATGATGTCCTTGAATACCGCCAACTGAGACAATACTGTCAGCTTGCGGATGACGGGATCGTTCGGAATGGGTTCAGGATGGGAAGGCGTGGAAATTTCAGGCAGGGAGAACGTATGCAGTCGTCTCAGAAGGCCGATCTACAAAGTGCGTTAGATCAAAGAAGCGCATGGGTAGCGGAGACGATTACACTGTTTTCTGGCTCTGCAACTATTTCCTGGCATATGCCAGCTAATTGCTCCTTTGCTCCTTGTATACGGGCTTTGCGAGACTTGTTGCCGATGACATCGACTACTGCTGGACGTCCGAACCGAGCGCCAGTGGATACGTCCTCTACTTTGTATTCAGGGATGGGTTCGTCCTCCTCGGGATAGTCTTCGTTCTCTTCAGTCTCCTCCGCATCAAGGATAACCTTGTCTTTGCTCTTCTGTATTCGTCCGTCAGAGAGCTTGATAGGCAGCCTCTCAACTCCTTTCTCCGTCTTCTCTTCAGGGTCCCAGGACGGTCTACGCTTTCGAGGGATGGTCTCGTATGACATCTCTTCTTCGTCTGAGCCCGCCTTTGGCTTTTTGCGTGGTCCTCTAACACTGGAAGACGAACTTGCTCCCGAGTCTGAGACCATACGGCAGAAGCAGCATCGGCCAAGTCTTCTTCCTCATCTTCTGTATCATCACCGACACTGGAACCCCAGTCATCTTCGTCTTCATCGTGGGAGTCGACGGACGGCAGGTCGTCCTGCGGAGCACACGAACGGGTTTATGGAGGCGGTGCAGACGTTCGGTCTCCTTTTTACTCCTGAGCAAAAGGTTAATGGCCCAAGGGCAAGGTGACGGCTGCCGGATGGTCGCTTACCTGGCAATACCCTTCTCGTCCAACCTACTCAAAAACCCTACCGCGTCGCCATAATCCTCAAATGCGTCCAGATCTTCGTCTGAGAGCTCAATGTCCTCATCATAAGCGGGAATTGGAATAATATCTCGATTGCTGCTTTCTCTTTGCCCTTGACTTTGGACTTGCTGGACGGTTTCTTCGACTCGGTGTCCTTGGAGATCTTGCGCTTTTTAGATGCACCCTGGTCACACGGCTCAGCATGAGCGGTGTATATCATGAATGCAAATAAATCACCTGTGTTGGTTGTGCTTTCCGCTTGTTGTTCGACTTGACAGCCATCTAGCTTGGAGGATTTGCAGAGCAAGTCTCAGCGAGAGCGTAACTTACTGCATGGCAGAGCGCCCAGGATGCAGCAAGTCGATCGAGAAAAGAGATCTGGCGTTCTATTCCCACGTGTCACGCGCCTGACGCGTTCGCGCGACGCGTTCAGACGCGTGCCACTCTTCTTCCGTGCATTCACTCCAGGGGCCGCCGGTCCTAGCATCTATACCACAACCATTCCTTCCAAGCGACAAAGTATGCGCAACCCGGCCAACCCCCCTATAAAGCATATACTACGGCCCCATCACATCAACCTCCTTGTCATCGTCGTCCTAGCGTTCCAGACATTCGATCATGCGCCCGATGGACCACTCCCCGCGCCATTCATGCTTCACCTCTATCGCATCCTCATTCGCGAACTCTCTGAAGTGAGATGAGCTGTGATTTGTGCAATATACTGAGTCCGACCATCCATAGGTAATGGAACCGAAGGGTTTCGGCGATCTGACTACGGAAATCATGAGAGGTCCTATGGGCGACCTTCCAACTGCGCAGAAATTCTGCCAAAGTTTCTCGAGCGAGGTGAGACCGTGTATTAGATGCTACTTCACAGCCTGACTTTCCCAGCATCAACGACTGCAACGGCCACAAGATCTGTCTGACTTCTTCTCAAGTACGTCTGTCCAACTCGTACATGTATATTGATAGGACGATGTACCGCATTTTCAGACCTGCATACACTCTATCTGGATAGAGACGAGGAGGACGTAAGGTCTATGCTAGTAACATCCTGACTCTGACTCAGCATCTATCAGAACATGTCAGATTTTGTCGGTTGACTTGACCATTCGCAACACGCGGAAAACAACTGAATATAATGATCCACCTAGGGCCGACGCTCCCTCTTTGGGTATTTCTGCCATCGATGTTACATCAGCTCTCGCAAGCTATCTTTCACCGGCCTCTCCAAATTGCACCGGGACTACATATCCTGGATCGAACTCACCTACCCAGCTGGCCTCCACCCAGATGAGCGCTCAACGGTACTTCCGGGCTATGAAGATACTAGAGAGGATGCCCTCACAATGGGTATGAGGCAGTCACATCACTCGGCTCTTGTTTTGTTAATTCACGACAACAAGACTATTTGGTTCATAAGACGCAGAGCGACAAGAAGCCTCACGCGGTCGGGACCGCACTCGGCGAGTGAGTAGATCCGCGGTTGCTACTTGATGACGTGAAACCTGTACCTAACGAATGCAGTTACGAGAAAGCAGCGGCCATAGGTGACGAGAATGGCGCGACAGAACATTTGCGACGCTTCTTCGAGCAGCACTTTCACGAGCTCATGATTCGTACGTGTTCTCTTGCAATCATAAACAACGACACTCAATGATATTGATTTCTCAGAGGACTCCGGCAACACGGCCTACTCAACGTTGCCCGGAGACATTACTTGCACCACGAATTTGTTGCCTGCCGGAAGGTAGTATAAAAACGTCTATCAGGTTTCAAGTCGATCTAATGTGCCTTGTCGACGTCCTCAGACTCTTCAGGAGGCTATCGGCGTAGCGCGGACATGCGGTGACAAACTTACTCTGCAGGCCTGCATGAGGTATGGACTTAGGCGTCATATCAGTTTCTGACAGCATAACATTGTGTGGCGTAGTTTGCTCAACCGTCTGCCTCCTACGGAACGCGGTCGAAAGCCGATCATCAACGATATCCAGCCTGATCTGCATCCTTACGAGATTCTGCGCGATGTTGAGAAGCTCATGCAGATTGCCAATGTACGTTCGGTGACATCACGCTCGTAGGTACAATGACTGAGTGCCTATTCATGAATGCCTTCAGCAACAACCGCTGACGGCGGCTTTCGAGAGGATCATCAAAGCAGGAGGATTGTACGATCACTGGATCAACCTTCAGCGCGCCCCCTTCATAGAGGCGGAGCAGTGGGGCCCACATACCGTGCAAAGTGTAGTATGGAGCATGCACGGTACGTCTGAGTTCTTGCCCCGATCCTCAGTAGTACCCATTTCCCCCAAGGTTGCGCGAGACTGGCGCAAGTGCAAGAGAACATGGTCACCGCGTTCACTGAGGTCGGCGGGGCTGATAACAACCGGCTTACGGTCGCGTTAAATCGGGCATACTATGTGAGTATCGTCTCCGAAGGTCGTCTGACTGTGACTTCATGCTCGGCAATCTGTAGCGCGCTCGACAGGGTAAGTACGAAGCTGCCCTCGCCAGTCTCATCGACCCCGATGTGTGGCGAGGGCTGTACATGACAGACTATCATATTTGGGCGAACGAGATTTGGCATATTCTCGCCCTGCGTGCCAGTCGCCGGTAAGCCAACATATACAGCGGATAACCAGTATTGATGCTTGCTCACACGTTCGAAGTGGACAACCACGGCAGTTCACGGAGTTCCTGAAGCAACGCCGTCCGCACGGCGTGTACAAGGGCCGGGAGTATTGGAATGGAACTTCGATGTCGCTCGGGTCGATGATTCGGGATCCGATGTACGAGTATATACAAATGAAAGTGAGTGACACATGTTATTTCTGCGGTATCAACATAGTGTTGATACTCAGTTGCACTAACAAGGAAGCGGACCAAGGGTATACCTGGGTGGAACCACTGTTGACAGCCAGCTGGCAGGCCGAGTTTCAGCGTAGATACGGGCACTACCGAACAGCGCTCGTCCTGTTAGCCGACGTTGCGCTAGAGCTTGGGATGACGAAATGGTGTAGGAGAGTGATTGAGGAGATCCTACCTCAGGTACGCAGTGAGGCGTCGGCGTACTCCGGTATGCTCATGTTGGCAACACAGATTATTGGTGGGGATGATCTTGAACAGCGAGCGTTGACGTGTTTCGTGTTTGCACGTTGTATCATTGCCGCAGGGAATTGGTCGCGTGCGTAATCCGTTGATACCAGCGGTGTCCTCAAGTTAAACTTTGCCTTCCAGCTCAATCGCTGCAAGAATCCATCCCATACTTGGTCACTGCTGAGAAAGACTACGAGTTATTAGAAATGTTCCGGCGGTTGCAAGACGTTCGATATTTCTTGTCAGTGGTATACCACAATCTCGGCATGACGAAGGAGCGAGATGCTACCGCGGTACGGCACTTGAAAGCGGACTCCGACCGAGCAAAGGCGGCGACTGTTGTATTGGAGGAAATGGTCACGGAGGTCTGGGATCTTGTTGTAGATGTAGGTGCTGCACTGGCAGCTAGATGACCCGTACCATTACCTCGTACTTGAGCGCCGGCTAGTTCGGGTATGTACTATCAGCCTAATGTAGTGCAATCGTCGCCGCGTTCAAGCGCAGCGACAGTTGCCTGCGCGTCGCGCGCTGAACGAGACGCGTCATTAAGTGTGGTCATGTGATCGCGAGTGAGCCCAGGACCCCATCGAAGGGCGATGCCATTGGGGACTGGCTCAGCCTCGCCGCGCCGCAATTGGCAGCATACAGTCCGAGAGCATACACCATACGTATGGCTTCCCTAGCGATCCGTGCTCTTGACTACTCCCACTCTCGACGCGCCCCGCTTGCGAGCTCGCTTCGAGTCTTACCTCTGACAACTCCTCATACCGACTGCGAGGACTAGCTTGCATATATAGGTCGCGAGGCACGCACCATGATGTCTCCAGACTTCCTCTATGCTTTTGCTATGTTTCTGTGGAGGTCGGCAATAACCATCTTCTTTCGCGAGGTCAGACCCAGGGGTGCATTCCACATCCCTCAGGAGGGACCTGTGATATTCGTCGCTGCCCCGCATACCAACCAAGTACGCCCAGCGTAGGATTTACGCACAACCACTGACATATTGAGAAGTTCGTAGACATGGTGCTTGCTCTTGAAGTATGGCGCGAAACCAGGCGAAAGGTGCAGTTTCTGGTGGCTGCTAAGAGCATGAAGCAGCGGGTCATCGGCTTCTTTGCGAGGATGGTATCAAGCAGTGAGTGGTATCTCTGTCTGCCCTCCCAACTCCTGTAATCCAACGGGGCATTTCAATCAGTCCCGGTAGTTCGCGCGGGAGATGAAGCGAAGCCAGCGACAGGCTGCATCTCACTGTCCGAAGAAGATCCATGCCTCGTCATAGGTCATAATACGGCTTTCACAAAAGAGCTCAGCCCACGGATGCAGATCATGCTCCCCAAGTCAGTCAATGCGCCTCTCGCTGAGGTTCTCGAAGTCATCTCCGATACGAAACTGAAGATCAAGAAGGAGTTTGGCGGAGACGGTGGTGGCAAGAGCACGCTGAAGATTCGCCAGAAGGTGTCGGAGCTCCAAGCTGAGGGCCAGCCAGGGTTGGACTTCAAGAAGATACCTCACATCGACCAACAGGACATGTACCACCACGTCTACCAGTGTCTTACTGAAGGCGGCTGCATTGGCATCTTTCCGGAAGGCACGTCTTTCACAATGTTGAATCCATTGGATATGCGTCGGCTCATTGACATCTGCGCAATTCTAGGTGGAAGCCATGACCGTGCCGACTTGCTACCCCTCAAGGCTGGGGTGTCCCTGATGGCGCTAGGTGCAATGGCTAACAATCCGAGCCTGAAGGTCAAGATAGTGCCCGTTGGGCTGTCCTACTTCCATCCCCACCGATTCCGCTCTAGAGTCGTCGTCGAGTTCGGAACTGCGTTCGACGTCCCCGAGGAGCTCGTCGCACTGTACACGGAAGGAGGTGCAGAGAAGCGGCAAGCTGTCAGCCAGCTCCTCGGCCTAATTTACGACGCCCTGAAGATCGTGACGGTCAGAGCTCCTGACTACGACACGTTGATGGTACCTTTCTTGCGTGAACCCGCCAGGCAGGGTCATACTGATAACGCATACAGCTTTGCCAAGCAGCGCGACGCTTGTATGAAATGCCAGGACAGCATACGGGTCTGGGACAGGTCGTCGAGCTGAACCGGCGCTTCCTTGAGGGCTATTTGCACTTCAAAGATGAGCCCAAGGTCAGACAGCTGCGCGCTGACGTGCTCAAGTACAATCGCATGGTCCGGGATCTAGGTCTACGCGATCACCAGGTCGGTTCATACGTTGCCTACTAGTTGCCTTTGGTAGATTGATTGGCATTGGCATTGGCAGGTTCCACGGGCACAAAAGGCCAGCTGGCATACCCTCGGATTACTCATCTACCGCCTAGGTTTGCTGGAATTCTGGAGCGTGTTGGCTCTCCCCGGCGTTATTCTCAACGCACCGATCTTCCTCGCTGCCTCAGCGATGTCTCGGAAGAAAGCCAGGGGTAAGTCCTCCGCCCTCGACTAAACTGCCGTTCCCTCAAGTACGATTCAGAGGCGCTTGCCGGTTCTGTGGTCAAAATCTCGGGCAGAGACGTCATGGCGACATGGAAGATCCTCATCTCACTTGGACTGGCCCCGATATTGTACGGCTTTTATGCCTTCCTTGCGACCATGATCGCCGTCAGAGCCGGTGTGCCGTTCAAATGGCGGATCTACACACCGATCGTGTCATGTCCGTTCTGCCTTGGGTTGCATACGCCGCACTCAAGTTTGGAGAAGCCGGTGTGGACGTCCTGAAGTGAGTGTGTTCTTTCCTCTTTGGTGTCATCAGGGTTGACGCTGCTGGAAGATCGCTGCCTCCGCTGATCGTCACGTTGATTCCTGGCCAATCGCACTCACTCGACCGGCTCAAGGCGATGCGTGTGCAAGTAACCGACGAATTGATAGAGATTGTAAATGAGTTTGCACCCAAGCTATACGAGATTTCGACGAGGTAAGCTTTATGATGCATGGGCATGGTCTCCCTATATGAACGATGAGTAGCGCCGCAATCTGGTACCATCTGTAAGCCGGCCTGGACTCTCCCGCCGCAGGAGTGGTAATGCTCCGTCGCGGGCACAGGGCACCTTGCTCGTGCACCCAATGGTAAGCCACTTCGATGCATAGCGACCGCTCTCCCTGATGGCTAGCACCTCGCAGACCTGGCTAGACGAACATCTCTTTGGCTGGACACCAAGCCCATCGCCGGGTAGCGCTTGGTCAGGGGGGAGCCAAGACGTGAGCCGCTCGCCCTCAGAGGACGGGGAAACCGACGACGATGCCCACGAGCATGGCGACTACGATGACGTCCTCGGCTACCTCGAACAGCGAGGAGCAGAGGTCTCAAGGCCACGTTCAAGCGAACGAAAGGGGTCCTACGCCGATTTGCAGCGGCTCCGGAATGAGTCGCGCGAGCGGCTGAATGGGGCAGCTCTATCTTCTGCACGGTCAGACGAGGCCGATGGCATTGAGATACGCAAACGGGCCAATAGAGCAGGGGAATTTGGTGCACCTTCTTGAGTGGCCCAGACCCAGGACTCTTGCGAGTCGCCGCAGATGGCCAGGATGATACATCCTTAGTGTATTGCATAGCGTACTAGTAGCCAACGATTTGTCTCAAATTCCCCAACGCTGAAATCACCAGTTACGCAGGTAGGGAACAGCGTTCGGCCGCAAAGGTCCGCAGCCTGATCTTGGTTGTTTCTGAACCAGCGACGATTACCAAAACGGGATCGCGCGAAGAGAGTCAGACGCGCGGCTGCGGCGGTCCATTGCGGAGGGGTGTCTGTGCAAAGACGCCTTTACTACGTACCTCCTCCATTGCCCTCCATGAGCACAGCGACCCCTTGCCAGAGCAGCAACTGCCCCAATGGGCGCCCCCCTTCGAAGTTGGAGTGTCCGACATGCCACAAGTGAGCGACCAGCCGCAGTTTCGGGTCAAGTTCTGTGTCCGAACTGACTATTCTCAGGTTGGGTATCAAAGGATCCTTCTTCTGCGGACAAGAATGTTTTAAGGCGGGATGTGAGTGAACTTACGTATTGTTGACTAAATGTCCGATGACGGATCTCCGATTCGGGTGTAGGGGTGAGTGGTAAACGGCCTGAATGCATGTGGCGGCACTTACAGCAATACACTCAGAAAACACATAAATTGATCCACGATCTCGCTACACCGAAACAACCGCTCCTGGACGATCCGAACATCAACAAAGGTCCATCTACCAAAAATTCACCGCTGCGCCAGAACTGACGTTCGCTTCTGAATGCTTCCCTAGATGGCACCTTCAATCCGTTCGGCAATTTCAAGTTTACGGGACCACTGCGTCCGGTGTATCCATTGTCCCCCACACGAACAGTCCTGAACACATCCCAAGACCGGATTATGCTGAAGATGGTAGGATTGTCACTAAAATGTTCCGTGAGGTGAAGACCACGATGTGAGCTTGCCTTACCGATGCGCCTTCTCTACAGGTCAGCCCACCTCGGAAAGCAGACGTGCCGGGCAGCCCCCAAAATCCTCTCAAAGAGGAGCAAGAGAAGATGCGGACCGTCTGTAGAGTGAGTTCGCCAGCAGGTCGTCGATTTCCTGCTTGACCGCCGCGTCACTAGTTAGGCCGAGAGATTCTGGACATCGCTGGCGCGAGTATACGACCTGGTATCACGACCGACGAGATCGACGAGATCGTTCACAATGAGACTATCAAACGCAATGCGTACCCGTCTACTCTGAACTATCGCGGTTACCCGAAATCTGTCTGCACGTAGGCCTTGGCAGTTGACATGTTGCTCCATGAACAAACCAACCAATGTGCGTAGGTCCGTCAACGAGACCATCTGCCACGGCATTCCGGACAAGCGCAAACTTCAGGAAGGCGACATCATCAACATCGGTGAGTGGCCGCCCAGTTTGACTCCAGTCCGTAGCTCAACCACGTATCGTCTTTAGATATTTCCCTGTACTACGAGGGTTCGTATGCTGCCCCATCGCAGCTCGCTTGGTGATTGAACGAATGCATAGGCTTCCATGGTGACCTAAACGCGACGTACCCTGTCGGGCGCGTTGACGACGACAGCAAGAAGCTCATGCGCGTCACGCGTGAAGCCCTCGACGAGGCGATCAAAATCTGCAAGCCCGGTGCGCTCTTCCGCGACTTGGGCAAAGTCATGTTCGTACAAGCGCTCCTGGAGGGTCGTCGCTGCATTCTCACTTGAGCTCATTGCTCGCAACAGCGAACCTATCGCCCGTACAAATGGCTGTTCCGTCATTCGCACGTACTGCGGACACGGCATCCATGAAATGTTCCACTGTGCGCCCAACGTCCCCCACTATGCCAAGAACAAGGCCGTCGGCACAATGAAGGCCGGAATGGTGGGTTCAGCTGCCGTTGCCATAGGGAACAACCTGACGGTCTTCGTCCAGGTGTTTACCATTGAACCCATGATCAACCTTGGCACAACTGGGACCTCATCCACTGGCCGGACAACTGGACTGCGACCACTGTTGATGGCAAGCCCAGCGCACAGTTTGAAGAAACGCTGCTGTTCGTCGTTGATTTCTTCAGACTTTGACGGTGCTGACGCCTTTCCAGAATTACCGAAACTGGTGTAGAGGTGCTAACTGCCGGTAAACGAAGAGAAGACTTGTATGGCTAGAAATCGCTTGTTGGTTGGGTTGTACCCCGTTTTCATAGTAGTGTTGTTCATCGGGCCTCTGTCATTACATCCGTCGCCACGAGGATAGTACTGTAAGCAGAGAAACAAGAGCAGCAGAAACGAGAAGGCTAGATGGAGTCCTTGGTCATTGATCTACTTGTCCTTGTGCTCCTTTTTATTCTCCAGCTCGTGATTTATGTCGTCCGTTGCCTCACGGAAGTTCTCATCCCTATCCAGCGCACCGATCCTCTCCACCGGTACCATATCTGACAACGAGGTCTTGCGGGTCCGCGAGCTGGCTCGCTGCCGCATCTGGAGGCCCTCAGCGTCGCCAGCCTCTGTCCCGGTGCTAGCCGCAGCGAACTTGACGCCATTAACACCCGCGCCAATCTTCAGCCGCTGGATATCGGCATAGGAGCTTTGGTGACTACGTCCGGGGCGCGACGACTGAGTACTCCGGCCCTCGAGGTAGCCTAGAACGTTGTCGTAGTCGCCGGTCTCGTCCTCGGATGCGTCTGGACTGGGTGCCCTGCTGATGTCCTGGCTGCGTGTTCCTGACCACGCACTTGTTCCCCGAGACGCACTTCGAGTCCAGCCGAACAGGCGTTCGTCGAGCCAAGTCTAGCGAGACGTCAGATGTGTGCAGTAGAGGGCAGTGCACGGACCGACCATTGGATGTACGAGCAAGTTTCCCTGAGCATCGACGCCACCTGTGCCGCTCTTTCGCCTCCAAATACCCTGTTCACCTGTAGACGGTGGGACACTCGCAGACGGTACCAAAATGCGATTCTAGAGGGTGCGAGGTGGGAGGTTGATGTCATGAATTAAAGGATGTCAACAAAAGCCACAACAAAAGCCACGTACTGCGTCAAAGTCTGTATAGAGCTCCGGACCAAATTCGCGGATCACTTCCGCGAGTTGGTTCGACACTTCGACACGCATTGCCTTCAACTGATTCAGCGAGCGAGACTGGCCAGGTATCGATGCCACTACCAGTGGCCGCAGTGACCTGACATGCAATGGTCAGAATAGTCTACCGACTGGGGAAGTAGACTGACTTCAGAACATCCATGCCAGCTTCCCCGAACTTCAGGGCAGCGTATGCCACGAAAGGCAAGATCACCATGACCAAAATAGGCGTCCAGATCTTCACCTCCAGGGGCGCACCAGCTCTGACGACTATCATGGTGGCCAGGAATGCGTAAAACCCGTAGAGGAGAGGAGTCATCCCCAGTGAGATTAGGACTTTCCATGTCGCTACAACATCTCGGGCAGCAATCTTGACAGTCGAAGCGGCGAGCGCCTCTTTTCCAGCGGTCAGCGGTGAAGACGAATTACGTTGAAGGGCCTGCGACAGTACCTTTGGCCTTCTTCCTTGACATGATTGACGCTGCTAGGAAGATTGGTCCGTTCAAGATGACACCAGGGAGTGCAAGCATCGTCCAAACGAATAAGAGACCCAGGCGATACAGGAGTAGACCCAGTGTCTTCCAACTGGCCCTCTGAGCATGAGGAACCTGTGATAGGAGGTTGTGAGCACACGTTTTGCCTTCCTAGCCAAGGAGCGCACCTGATGGTCTCGCAGGCCGAGATCCCGTACCATGCGGTTGTATTTAGAACGTCGTTGCGCAACTTCTGGACCTTGGGCTCGTCCTTGAAATGTAGGTAACCTTCCAGGAAGCGACGATTGAGTTCTACAACTTGACCGAGTGTCAAATGTTGACCGGGAGTCTTGTACAGACGGCGCGCCGCTTGACAAAGCTACGGCGGGATCTTAGGCTGTGAGCCTGAAAGCGTCCGTGAATACGCACCATCAAAGTCTCGTAGTCCGGGGCCCGGATGGTGACTGTCTTCAGCGCGTCATAGGTATAGTCCAGTAGTTTGCTGACAGCCTCTCGCTTCCGTGCGCCCCCTTCCTTGTACATCTCTACCAACTCCGGGGGGACATCCAGGGCTGTCCCGAATTCAACGACGGCCCTCGACCGGAAGCGATGTGGGTGGAAGTATGACAACCCAACTGGAACTATTCTGACTTTGACATGCGGGTCGTTCGCCATAGCACCTAGTGCCATCAGAGAGACGCCCGCCTTCAGTGGAAGCAGATCGGTACGGTCATGACTCCCGCCTGCCTAGCGCAATCAGCACCTCGCAAAGCGATATAGCGAGTGCAATGAGCCTACATACCCTCAGGGAAAATACCTATGCAGCCGCCTTCTGTGAGACATTGATACACATGATGATACATCTCTTTCTGGTCGACGTGAGGTAGTTTCTTGAAGTCGAAGCCTTGCTTCCCGTCTGCCCGCAGCTCCTTTGTCTTCTCGCGAATTCGGACGGTACCCTTTCCACTCTCTCCTCCGAACTCCTTCTTGATACGGAGCTGTGTATCCGAGATGACCTCCGCGACCTCTGCTACGGCGAAATTAACAGTCTTGGGAAGCATGATTTGCATTTGGGGAGTGAACTCTTCCGTGAAGCGAGTATCGAAACCGATGACAAGACACGGGTCGTCGTCGGAGATCATGACTTGACCGATTCCAGGTTTCGCGTCATCTGCAGCGCGAACAACTGGGACTACACGGAAACGAATTAAACGCCACTAAATCCGGACGCGCCGTGAATGCTTACTGCTTGACATCATCATTGCAAAGAACCCAATAACCTTCCTCTTCATACTCTTTGCCGCAATGAGGAACTGTACTTTCCGCCTCGTCTCTCGGTGGACTTGTAACGTGAGCAATAAGGGGTCAAGGAACTGGCTCGGGCGTGTTAGCCGACACCAGGTTGTTCTGGCAGAGACGTACCTGGTTATGGTGAGGAGCAGCTACGAAGATGACGGGTCCATCGCGAGGGATATGGAATGCACCTCTCGGCCTAATCTCCCGGAAGAATATGGTTACGACAGTTCTCCACAAGGCAAGAGCTACTTCGTATAGCAGGTCTTGCGAGACAGGGAGGGCATCTCTTGAGATAGGCATCGCGGTTTAGATATGTAGTGCTAGGAGATACAATTGCGGTCGTCGTCGTCGTTGTCGAGTCGTTAGTGGAGGAGGGGCTCGAGGAGTAGCAAGGCACTAGACCGCGCACGGGCACATGGGTATGAAGGCGAGACGTATGAAGCGCCCGAATCTACCCGTATTGCGCGTCGTGCATACAGGCTAAGTAGTAGTTGATTCTATTTCATTCTAAATAATCCCAGGTGCGCTACAGACGACAAATACACAATGCATACGGCCCATGCAGGGGTATAGAGCAATGTTACTAAGTACAACCCACTATACGATACTACGATGTCAATATACAGATATGCAAACAACAACTGCGTCCAAACCAAGTCCAAGTAATCCGACCAACCCGAATCAACCTGGTGCGCCACGAGTAAATGTTGTCGGCGTCGATCGACCTTGTGAGGACGAAGTGCTTATGATACTCGTGCGGTTGTACTGGAATAGATCGTGCAGCCTCGATAGCTTTTCTTGTTGCGCCTCTGGCAGTTCAGCTACGCTTGATCGCGGTGGTGACCTGGGGGAACGTTGTTCTGAACGAGTCGGTGACGTCGGTGTTGCGATACGCGAGGTCTCCGACGCCGGGGGGTCTGCAGTACCAATGGTCATGAGGCCTAGATGCTCATGGGAGGCATGCGATTCGTGCATACCTGAACTGGAACCCGTGCTCTGCGGCCGTTCTCGACCATTGGACTCCAATTCTGACACAGCGACATCATCAGTGATAACTGGGTACGACCTGGTTGAACCTACTCACTGGAGAGCGTATTTGCTACAGCAACAGTCCTCTCCTGGTCTTCTGCAGCACGACTGGCGAGAGCTCTCGTAATGTACTTGCGGAACGCAGGACCCGTGGATTCAAGAATTTTGTCTACCTTTGTCTGCTTCTGTGGGTAGGCCTTCAGGAACTGATGTAGCTCCGTGATTCCTTCCTTGTGCATGGCGCCGGTCGTCTCACTAGAGATGTGCTGGATGATGACGTTCAGTTGTTCGTCGGGGTCGGGTTCAGATACAGCTACACCGTCTCCGTTCGTGGACGACACGCTGTGGCTTCGAGCATGACTTGAGGATGAGGGGGCGCGGGGGTCGGATACGACCGACGATGTCCCGGGTGAGATTGGTCGACTCAGCGCTGGGGAAGTGTGCCCCAACACATCTTCTCGGAGATTATTCGGCTTGACCGGGAGCTCTGCTGAGGTTCGAGTGGAAGAGTTGAGGATGCGGTAAACATAAGGATAGACGATGGTCGCTGAGGGGTCGTCGAAGGATGCGGATAGCATGTCGTATACCTCATCCCCGTAGTGAGCTGGCGAAGAGACATCAGCTTCAGCCAGCTAAAGCGGCCAACTAGACCTACCGACGACGTGCTGGATGATGACCTTGATTGTACGCAGAGGCATATCACCGCAAGGTACCTTGTTGGTAGCTCTCGCGCGCCATTCATTGGGAGGGACAGACTGTAAGAAATGCTCTATGGCGGGAAATAGTTCGACGGGATCGAGCAATTGCTTCTCCAGGTCCTGAGGAATGTTCCGGGCCAACTTCCAAACACATTTCAACACAAGCTCGGCGACCTTGGCTTCTTGTGAGTCGAGTGAGGTTCCGTTCATCGTGAATGGTTTGACGATCTGAAGAAGCAGTGCAAAGAGTGCACTGCAGGATCACATAAATGGGCTGACATAGGCTGACAGGCTGCGGCACTCACCGGAAAATGGACATCTTACGGCCAGTCGCAAATAAGCGCAAGATAATCATGTTGATGAAGCGCGATAGGTCCTTCACTCTGTTGTCTGGGCTATTGTCTGTCTGGAGTAGCCGGAGCGTCAACTCTTCGAGCAAAGACGTCAAGATGTCCACCGTCAATGACTCCGCGAGGAACTGGTGATCGCAGAATGCGTTGAGAGTCTGGATGAGGTGCTTGGCCAGCCGGAAGTTCTCCTGGATAGTGATGTCGTCAGGCCTCTCGAATACGTGAGCCATCTGCAAGGTGATTGTCTCGATGAGACCCTCCGTATGCTCGGCAAGTTCTCGATAAGCCGGTGATGATGGTCCTTCCTCTGGTCCAATCTCGAGCACTTTCTGGATCTTCTTCAACGCGTCAACACTACGAGTCGGGTCGTTACTCAGTATACTCGAGATCACCACCGTGATGTCGTCAGCACTACGCGGATCCTCCATGCTGTCGACGCTAGCTAAAGCTTCTGCTGCGTGATGATTGCCATTGACAGGTTTGGGCACGGATACTTCGTCATAAGCGATCTCATCAGGTGGTGGGGCAGCGACAGAGCGAGGTTGCGGTATACCATTGAGGCGCGATTTCGGCTGACCGAGTCGGGAAGGCATCTGGCTTTTGGGACGACCAATACCAGTTGGCGATGACGGACCCGGCATCTGTGAGGCCCCAGGGAGCTTCGAGAATTTGGTAGATAAAGTAGGGCTAGCCAGTCCAGGAGAAGCAGACCTGACTGTTCCTGCAGGAGAGGCAGGACGACCCAAACGCGACGCGGGGATGGAAGGGCTTCCAGCTCTGGGAATACCTCCTATGCGAGAAGACGACGCAATTCCAGGAGCAGGAGAACCGGATCTCGGAATACCTGTCTGCAGACGGGAGGCATGAGTCGCTATTGCAGGTCCGTCCGTCTTTTCCGGGGTGCCCAAGCCGGAGACACGGCGCAGACGTTCCTCAAGCTGCGTCTTATCCTTTGGTGACAGGTGGCCAACATAACCCCAGATCGGTTCTCCGACGAGGACGTAAGCTTCGCTTTACGTGCGGGGCAAATTAGTGAGCGCAGATTCAGTCAGCGGGGAAGAGACACACCTCAGAATTGCAAGGGCTGACTTGCGAACCTGAGGGTCTTTATCCGATATTGTAGAAGCGATTACAGGGAACGCCTTCGGAGGATCACAAGCGGCAATTCCAAATTTCTTCAATACGCCAGCGAGTTCATCAAGAGTGCCTTGACGTGTCTTTGCAACCTTCGATTTCAACCCGTGTTCGAGGAGAAGGGCGAACACGCGGCTGAAGGAAAAGACTCTGGGCAACAATTGGACAATTTGCGCTACGTGCGCACGGACAGGCTCTCGCGCGTCACCGAGCTGTCATAAAGATGTAGCAGCAATTCGGAAGTGAATATCGACGGCGTACCTTGTGGATAATGGTCGGGACGAAGCAAAGGGCTTCAGGGTCACCAATTTGATAATCGACACTCTGGAAGAACCCTATGATTGCATCCACGACATCGAGACACTTTTGCACCAGGTTGGACTGAGGTTCATGCGCCTTGATGGAAACGTACTTCAACGCAAGGTCAGAGTTCGCCAGGCAGATCCTCTGTAATGACTCCAAAGGGAAGCCGGGCTTCTCTTCGCCACCCTGCACAGAGCTGTAGAAGTCATAAAGAACGGTCAAGCCGGATACATGGTCGTTGACTGCGTTGTGATCACGGCTGAAAAGGAGAGACAGAAGCTCCTTCGAGGCGTGAGGTTCCATTTGATGCTGCAAAAGTTCCGCTGAGTCTTTCCTCGTAGGTCCTGATTCATTGATCCATTTCTGCGCGTCTTTGGCCAGTCGTAATCTCTTCGCTTCGGTATGGTCTCCCATCAGTGGAGGCGTGTATGCCGCTATGACTGGCTGTGTAGACGCTCTTGCGGGTCCGTTCAGCGTAGTACCGGGGCGCTTCAATCCAGTCCCTGCCTTGCTCGTGAGGCGTGACGACATGCTATCTGGTGTCTCCGAGCGAGACTCGGGGCGAGCGATGGTACCTTGAGGCAGTTTCCGACGTACGCCGCCTCCTAATTTACTTGGAGGTGCAATCTTCGGCGCAGGATCTTGGGGCGGGGGAGATGGGGAGACAGCAGGCTCCACCGACGGCGGCGCTCTCGCTTGCGTAGTGGCCTTGACAGCGGCGGGAGCCTTTGCGGGAGGGGCTGCAGGGGCCGCAGGAGCTGTCGCTCTCGCCGCCTGAATGAGGGGCGCGACAGAAGACCTTGAAGCAGGCTTGAGCGAGTTCGTCTGACTCATCACGTAGTCATAACCGCGGAGGCGACGAGTGTGGGCAACAGAGCTTGGGCACCCTTCCTGACATCGGCGCTCCGATCTTCGAGACAAGCAATGACAGGCGCGACCCAGCTGGTTAGATCAAGTCCGGGACTAAGCGGATGCTCCTTGAACCACTCCGCGAGCCAGTGGAGTAATGAAGACCTTTGCAAGGGGTTCTGCGCTTCTAGGGCGGTAGTCAGTCCAGGGACCATAGAGTCGACGCCCTCGCACGCAGTAGCAATGGAATTGAGCGTCTGGACGGCAGCAGCACGGATGGGGGCCTTCTGGTCGGACAGGACTGTCGCGACAGGGAGAGCATACAAGCGCGTATACTTCTCGAAGGGCTTGCCCATCCCAACCGCGACACGGGATACGACGTCCAAGGCCAGAGTCTGGACAGCCTTGTTGCTGTCGGTGACACGAGCCTTCAAGACTTGGCCAATCTCGCCTGACAGACGGAGTGAGTTTATACTGAAACGCCTTACATGCAGATGACGACCACGTACCCATGTTTGGTTTCAGTCGCTTGTTCGAACCCTGGTCTAGTATGGCTTGTAGAGTCTCCAAAGCCTCCTTCTTGGTCTTCCACGGATCACTCTTAGCATCGGCAAGGATGGTGGTACCTCTGAGAAGACTATCGATCTCGACCCGGGGGAACAGGTCGTCGAGAGCATCTCCCCCGGCGCCCGCGCTCTTACCCGGTGCACTAGCTGACACCTCGGCAACGTCTGCTGAAGTCCGGGTTGGTTGCGGCGGCGGTGTGCCTTCGACCTTGTCAAATTCACTCATGATGGTGGTCAGCAACTGCGGATTCAAATCTTCAACCAGGTCCTTGATAGCTGAAACGAGCATGAGCACGCAGGCTTGACCAAAGGAAGGTACAACTTACAGGGGCCCGCGAACAGCTTGACAGTCACAAGTGTCTTCGTCGCGCTCGTTCTGACGGCAGCATTTGAGTTCTTCAAGGCGCTCTTGAGGAATTCGATGAGACTGCGCAACGACAAACTGGCGATGCCGAACTCGGTCAGGCCTGGTCGATCCACCCGACAGCATCGGCTAGTACTTTCGGAGCCTTCTGTTTTGACAAGGGTTCATACGCTGGACCCAGAATTGGAATACGGGAAAAGCGTAGACGGAAGATAAAAACGTACCATGTCCAAGGACAAACTGCAGCGACGTCTTCTCAGCGCATAGCAGGAGGGTCTCGCCAGCCGGTTTCTTCAGCTTCGCATCACCCATTTCTCAGAAAGGTGACCGACGCAGAGTGCAACCGACGATCTGCCGAACGACGGGCAGCTCTCCGCGAGAATGCTGAGTATACCGTACAGCTTCGCCGATACCTAATACCAATGATGTCAGGCAGGATGCGCAATATCACGGCATCATATACTGACCTGGAAATTCTTCTCGTTCCAACCTTTCTTCCCCAGGAAACGCACGACGACCTCAGCATCAAGCTCGGGAGCAGCGCCCTCCACCCAGCCTGTCATCTCTTCGAGAGCGGCCAGTCGCACCTTCCAGTTGGAGTCCCCGAAGTCAGTGGCGAACTGGGCCGGAATAACCTCCGCAGCGAGGGCCTCCGCGTCTTCTGGTGTGTGCTTGAATTTGAAAGTATCCAGAGCACCTGGAGCCGCTGCGGGTGCAGCCTTCGCCGACTTGCCGCCCGCTGCTGCCGGGGGTAGCTTCTTCACAGCGACGCTTGATGCAGCAGAAGGAGCACCGCCCGCGTCCGCAGCTGGGGCTTTCTTCGCCTGAATATAACGCAATCAATGTGGTTCTAAACTCGATTCACCATGAGACTCACCAGTAATCGGGCAGGAAATTTCTTGGGCGGCTTGTTCTCGGCCGACGCCAATACGTCGTCTTCAGCCGCCGCAGGCGGCGAGGCAGCGGTAGGTGCTGGCTTGGATGCTTCGGCTTTCTTCACTGGCGCCGATGCCTTCTTCGGAGGCTCTTTCGCAGCTGGCGGAGGGGCTCTGGGTGCAGGGCCGCCGGCCTTGGCTTTGACTGTAGCTTTCTCGAAAGCTTCCTTCACCTTTGCTTTGCGGACGTCGGCGAGGCTCTCCATGAGAGCGTTGAGCGGCCGCTCGCCAACCATCTTCATCAGCGTTCCGAGACACGAAGCAGCTTCATTGCGAGCTCCCTCGACGGAGTCCTCAAGTAAGGGTGCGAGGGCATCAGATACAGATTTGACTTGTGCTGGGGGGATGGAGTGGGAGACGTGGAAAGACACCGTGCGAGAAACTTGAGAGTGCCTTCTTTGACCTGAGGATTCTTTGAGCTCAGAGAAGGCAAGATGTCTGGGATGATATCTGTTAAGGTAGTCTGAGACCTCAGTGTGAGCAACTTATCAGAGCTATGATAGAGATGCCGTAACGTACCGTCACGAAGACAGCATCTAACGCATTTCCGATAGCATCCGTAACGGACGCTTTCCTCTCCTTCATTCGCTCGAGCATCGGCGGTACGATGGCCTCCCTGAACCGCCCGAACGGCGTCATCACACCCTTCGCGAGGCGTTCTATACATCCCGCAGCAGCCGTCACACATATGACGTTCGCGTCTTTCTGGACGCAGGTCGCGAGCCGTTTAGCAAGGTCGCCGAGTTCGCCAGCGTCTTTAATGCGTTGTGTGGCGTTAAGAAGAGCAAGTAGCTCGTCCAAGACCTCCTTGCGATCCTTCCACTTGGAGGACGTGAGTCTCGTCATGTCTTGGGGCAGCTTCGAGACGATGTCAACCTCCTCCGCAAACATACGCGGATCATCGGGACCTCCTCTGTCATACTCGTGAGTGCTGCCCGAATACGCTTCAAACTGGGAACGCACCCTCTACTGGACCGCCTCCGTATCGTCAACTCCCGCCGCGGCGTTTGCTTCTGCCTCGCGCGCAGCTGCCCTCGTCATCCGCTCCGGCTTCAGACTACCCTTTCCTTTCCCCTCCTTGTCCAGCTCTTCAAATGCTTCCTTCAGCTCCTTCACTTGTACGGGCTTCAAATCCGCTAGCCATGACTCAATACCAAGTCCGATGTACTGGTAGAAAATGTGGGTGAGCTGAGTTCCTTCGGAACGGACGGTTTTGTCGGTGTGTGCGAAGATCTTTGGCAGGGCTTTCATAATGGGGCCCGGAGGAGTTACAGACACTCCGAAGACTCTATTCGCAACGTATTATGACCGAATGGCGCACTTCCTACTAGAACGACCACTTACCGCACTATTGCCTTCAATGCGGCGACACATCCTGCCACGGTCTTTGGCTGCTTTGCTCCCAGACCAGGAAGGATGTCAGCCTGGAGAGCTGTGAGTAGTTGTGACGGACGCAGAGACCGCAAGACTCACCACAACACCCGCCCCTCCATTCTCAACCTCCACATATTGAAGCACTAGTTCGGCCGCTTGCGCCTTAGTCCCTGCTCGTGCGGAACCGAGGCACTTATCAACCAATGCCGGAACTACCACCTCTCGTGTGCGTGCTGCATTCTCGCCCGCGAACTTCACAAAGGCAACGACGCATTCTACGCCCTTCTCCTGCGCGACAGCGTTGGCATCCGTCACAGCCTTCTTGAGGAGTTCCGGGTTGTTTAGATATGGCTTGAAAGCGGGATCGTCGTCGGATGATGTCGTATGGAATGTCTTTACGAGAGCCTCGTATGCGCTGACTCGGGCCTTCCAGTTCTTGTGCGCCAGACGGTCAGGAATAGGGATGGTGCTGAAGTCCTCCTCTTGCGGGGGAGCGCCATCCATGGCTCGTAGGATAGGAACTATAGTCCGAGTAGTGCAAGCAGCTGCTTAAGGATCGTTGTCCCAAACCATCTCAACGCGGTCGGTCACAACTGCTGTGACACGTGACGGAACGTGTATCGGCTAAACGCGTCCACCTCTAAGTACGCGTCATCCCATACCTTCGAATCCGTTCATTTCCCATCGGCGTCCAGTCCTGCTCGTTGGCCTCCCATGAGTATATTTGCATGTTGACGCCACCGCACATCCCGGCACTGCATTAGAGAGACGTGAGAAGAGACCTGTCTGCTGAATAACAAGGTCACTAGGCGTGCTGCCAGTCAGTCGAACCATGTTCCGGCTGCTCACACACCCAGATACTGCATAGCACGCCTGTCAGCGAGGGTAGACGTTTCATGATACACCGTCTGTCTTCAGTGACGACCCACGCCCCGGCTGGCAGACTAGTGCTTGGCTAGGCTCGTCCGAGTGGTGATCCAGACATATCGCACGAGACTTCGGCCAGACGAACGCGTGCATGCAAACTGTGACTATGCGTAGACATCAAAGAGTGTGTATTGGTTGGATGATCCTAGACCATGGTGGCATAACATGACGAAAGTTGCGAATACATACATGCAGAACAAAAATGGTGTTGCGGTACGAGTGAATGCGTATGAGTCCAGAGCGGAATAATGTAAGTAAGGTAGTGATACGCCATGACCTAGAGTCTACTCTATAATTATTGCGACAATAATACCGTATAAGAAAGCACAATTGCACGAAGAACGTCGAGGAGCATGATTAAACGACAGCAGCAGGCAGTGATAGAGTACGCAGCAAGGGATTACGGGGACGATCAACGTGTAGGTTGGAATAAGGTACGAAGCGCCGCACTCGGAAGGCATGGCTTCGGGTCGGTGGAAGGCTTCTCTCCACCCGGGTGATCGACGCGACCACAATTTTGGTTACCGCCACACCAGGAGGCAGGATGTTTTCAGACGCGTCGGCGGCGAAGGATGCGTCAACGACCCTCGCGCTCGAGCTTGAAAGCGATGCGGTTGTCGCCAGCGCCCTGAAGAGTTGTCGGAAGTGCGTGGGACCAAGGATTTCCGTCAAAGGACCTTCATGCGAGGCGACCCATTCCACCGGGGGCAACGCGCGGATCGTCCTCTCGACGCCACCTGCTGGCAGGCATTCCTCTTTCACGAGGACGACCATACCCGTGAGGAGACATTGGAGAAGGGAGAGGAGGTCCCCGATGGCAGGCACGGTATGTCGCATGCCAGGGAACAACGCGCTGTGGAAGACCATTTCCCACTGCACTCGTCTCTCCCGTGAAAAGAAAGACGACGCGTGAACGGGCATCTGCAAGCGCAGGTTGGGACTGCGAGGGAGTCCCCTGGCCGAGCGGTACGGGGACGGGCACTCGATGTCGAATAGTAGGCGGGGGTCCAGGGGAGTGACGTCGCACCAGCCCATGTTCTGGACGAGTTGGGCGCGCATGGACAGCATCCACCGTCGCGCCCGCGCGTAGTTGGTACCCAGGGCTTCGGCGCTGGTGAGAGGGATGCCCGTACGACGCGCCCACTCATCCATGTGAGCGACATCGTTGCTGAAGACCAACTGCGGCGGCGGGCCGGCCATGACGAGACTGGACGCTACTAATGAAGTGCTCGCCTAGAGGTATGCATAGCCAGATAGAGTCGCGCAGACATTCTTATACGACGCAGTTACTCACCGCGAGAGCGCGGACAGACGCCTGACGTCTTCCGGCACTTAGCAATGTGTATCACTAGGTAGCGTGGTGCTAATAACGCGTTCCACGGAGAATGTGTCGGGAACGACGCCGGACGACGTTGGGCAGGGACGCCTCGATGGAGGAGGGAGGAGGAAAACATGATATTTCTCGCGCTTTTTGAGGTCGGACGGGCGTTGCGCCAAAGCGACCAAAATTGGGCCTGGCGATCGCAACGGGTGGCGGTCTCATGGGTTCGTGCGACGTTCCGACGCGGCAAGGACACGAAACGTGTTTCGATGAGCAAAGCAAGCGGCCTTTTTCGCCCAAACTCCATCGAGATTCCCCCCTTTGGCCACTCCCTCCTGGCGGAGTCCCACGCCCGCGCCGCGCCCTGGCCCGTCCGCCTGCCCTGAACCGCTTTCCCACAGATCTGTCCCTTCCCGCCCCAAATCCGGCCGTCTTTCTGGCCCAAAGCTGCCCACAGATAGCAACTGGGTCTTCCCGGCCGGAGCCGCTCAGATCTGACAAGCGCAGATGGGTGCGGCGTTACGGGCGGCGGGCGCCGTCCTCCTCGGGGCCGCCCTCTGTCGCTTTCAGCGTGCGTGCCACCGCTCCCCGTCCTTCTCCCCGACCCCAGCCAGCCGTGCCGCACTGACCTTGCGCACCTGCAGTGCTGCCGGGCTCAAAGCCAGCCCCCAGGTGCTGCCGGGGCCGCCGGCGCAACCCGGCTTGCCGCTTAGGGTCGCCCGACGTCGTCACCACTGGGAAATCGCACTCATAGATCTTCCCAATTACCGCGTAGCAACGGTGGCACCCCCGATCCAGGTTTCATCGCCCTTTACAACAACGACCATCTCGGGATGACATATGACCGAATTGGTCGCGGACCCGCCCCCGCCCGCCACCCTTGTACTCCTTCTCGGCAGCGGAAGATCTCAGCACACTAGTCGGCTCGCTGTGTCCTCTTGAATGCACACGTGGGGCGTAATCTCGCTGGGAAGCGGTGTTTCTCCCCTCAAGGCCTCACCCGCACGGCCGCACGGCGGACGCTTTTACCCGCATTGTCGAATATGATGCCGTCATGTTTATCCGGCGCTGTTGACGACGTAGTCAAAAAGTTTAAATGGTCGTCGGTCGCCGGTCGCGACTGCGCGTTCGGCTATTTCCTAGCCATGATTGGGCGGGGGCGCGACTGGTCGCCGAGCGTTCTCGGCCCATGCCTTGGAGCGGGGTATCCTGAGCCGAGGTACGACCGCCGCAAAGCGAGAATATACAACAGCGCGCATTGCTTCCATGGCTCATGTAGTGTTGAAACGTTGAAGGAATGGAGTGTGCTCGACGGATGCGAGAGTCAGGGGATGACCATGGCCGTGAGATCCCTGGCGTGCTCATCGCGACTAGACTCTTCTTCCGGTAGGATGAAAGGCGGTGTGGGCAAAGTGCAGCGAGCAATCCCTGGAAAGGTTTCGCGCTGAACTTGATGCAAAGACAACAGCTAGGCCCGAAGTAAAACTATCGCCCCGCTTGTTAGACTGAGTAACACATACAAGGCAATCTGGTCAGACAGGGCATGGGAATATCGCCATATGATACGCCACCGCATTTGCATAGTGCCGTGACAATCAAGTCCTGTATTAGTCGTGATCAAGACAAGTCTCATCACGGCTGCCAGTGCGAAGTCGGCTTCACACAAGACAGCTCACCAGATAACAGACTGACCGTAAGCCGAAAGCTATGCTCGATGGGAGAGACGCGACGGGCATGTGGCATCAGCTGCTCAGCCAAAGATGGATGCGGCGAAATTACAGAGAGGTTGCGAGCCTCGAGGCTCGTGGTGCTGTGTATCCCGGAGCGCCCGTCTAGATGCGTCCTCCGGAGTCACGTGAGAGATCCGGAGTCATTGATCCAAGTCGAGTCGATCAGAGCCTGCATGTGTCCGCGTTTCCCTCATAGCACCGCATTCCGAGCAGAACATATCGAGCTACTGATTCATCGAGGCCAGCGCAATGACGGGACACGAGGAGAGCACAAAGTTTGATGTCTGCGCTACCTACCAGCGTATCATCCAGAATGCAGAAGTACGTCCTCTTCATCCGGTGACAGTATTGAAAGTGCTCAAGCTAACTATGCAAGCTATCACCGCCACTTGCCGCCATCCTGACACTGACAGAGTCGATAGTCAAGTCAAATGGTGAGTACTTACAGGGCACATGGGTGGGCCGTGTGCACTGAGATACAATTTTTGCTAGCCGGTACCATGTTCGAACTTGTCCAGGCGTTGAACGACGATGCCGAGGTCTTGAAGAAGCAGATCCCGAATTCGATCAGCCTGAATGCAGGCTGCGAATTGTTCATCGCCTTCGTGACGTTGTTCCCGCATGAGTCCGATGTGCGCCACCCCTTTGCCCTTCCTTGGGGCTAATTAACTCGTTGCCTGATGCAACTACCCCGCAGAGCTTTGCAGAACTCAAGACCGAGTTGGTACAACAGGGTCAAAAATACGCAGCGGAAGCGATCTCCTTCCGTGATAAAATAGCTGAAGCGACGCTCGGCTTCATTAAAGATGATTCGGTGGTACGTCGTGTCCATTAGGATGATTCGGATAAGCTCAGAGTCCTTCCCCAAGATACTCACCCACTCCTACTCACGAGTGGTCATGAAAGCCTTGCTTCACGCTCATAAAACGAAGCGCATTTCCGTTTTTGTAACGGAGGCGAGACCTCGCGGGCTCGGGTGCGTCCGTTCCGTCATGTCTCCGATAGCACGAAGCCAACCGCGCCTCACTTCAGGCTCAAGACGCACGAGGCACTAGCGGCGGCTGGTATCCCATGCACGGTCGTCCTAGACTCCGCCGTCGCATACGTCATGGACCGTGTCGACTTCATCATGGTGGGATCTGAAGCAGTCGTCGAGAGCGGCGGCTTGATCAACGCAGTGGGAAGCAATCAAATGGCCATCATAGCGAAGGCGGCTAGCAAGCCGTTCTATGCGCTGGCTGAAAGGTGAGCTCGCCGCACACGCCTTCGGCAGGCACAACGGCTGACATGCCCTGGTCTCAGTTACAAATTTCACCGACTCTTCCCACTATCGCAATATGATCTTCCGACGCACAACCCGACGATACTGTCTTTTGCGACGCTACAGCAGCGCCCCACGCCGCCAGATAAAGTTTCGCACGGTGCAGCTGCTAGTGGTCAAACCCTTGCCCGAGATGGCACTTCGGAGACCACGATCGTTCCTCCTCCTACGGAAATGAAGATGACCACGGAACAAATGACGCGTAATCCCAGCGTGGATTACACTAGGTACGGCATCTGTGTTCTACTCGGGGAATTCCTTACTCACAGGTGATTCTGCAGACCGGACTTGATATCCCTTGTGTTCTCAGACGTCGGCATATTGACGCCGGAAGGAGTGAGCCAGTACCTAGTCGGAATGTTTGCTGGGTAATCAGTATGTACCACTACTACCATTCCTGTCGAGGCTCCGGACCCACTAGTGTCAGCCTTGGTCTTCTAAACAGGCAATGCTGCACAGACCGACACCGACGCACGCATTATCGTCAACACGTGAAAGATCGTCAAGTTCCGACTAAGCCACGCCCGTCAAGGGGCGTGCCAACCACATTGATAGGGATGTTTTTACCTATTACCTGAGGTGCCCGTCCGCAGCTGGAATTCAGCCTTGGCTCCATATAGCATGCGTCGCTCGCCCTCGTGTATTCTACTTCGGATATGATATCGATGAAATCTACGATGTTCCTCTCGAGCACTCGCGCATTGCTCATCGGAATGCACGACCACCAGTGAGCCTCATGTACGGCTTCATGATTACCAATGTTGCTAGCTCTATTCGCACGGTGAGATACATGTGGCGGTCAGGGCGGGATTAGTGATTCATGCTCGCAATGCTAGATCAATGAACAATGTACGCTCTTCGCGTCCGGTTGGAACATGGCCCACGCGCCGATAGGCGAAGCACAGGGAGCTCGGGCTGAAGTGGTGGCGGTATAAATGTATCAGGCGTATGCATTCGACGCACGGCGTCATCATCCGTGAGGAAAGACACTCCCTATCATCCGCTGGCTGGTGACGATAACCACTGCGAATTAACGTTTTAGCTTTAGTGTGCCGAAGCCGGACCAAGTTCCGCAAAGGGAGTGTTGATCCAAGGGGCGCGGGACACGACTTTCGATCGACCTAGTGACGTCTAATCCTGACGAGACTGCACGGATTCGGATTGCATTCCACCTCCGCCCTGGCTATCCCATCTTGATTATTGATATGCCCGAGAAAATGCGGACCGGCACGTTGATGTTATCGACGCTCTCCAAGTTCGCGGGTAACGGCGACTGCCTTGAGCAAGTGTGCCGGACCCTTTCCTACAAAGCTCTGTGGGCTATAAAATGTGAGTCGCTCGTCTTCGTATCCTCCACCAGACAATCAACCCACCTCACCTACTCCGACGCCCAACATGTGCCATTACCGACGGTAAGCTTGCGTCGTCATCCCGCCTCCCCTGAGTCGGCTCATTTCGATCAAGTGTCCGGAACCACTACAAGAAGTGCACTCACTATATTGACTTGGTAAGCGTTCTATGCCATTCATTCTGAAGCCCAACACTGACCGTGAGACCACCAGCCCGACGAAGAGGTTGACGTCGTTGAATCGAAAATCTAATTCAGTTGGCTGACTAGCGCCTAGATCAAATGCGAAGATCGTTTCTGCAAGTTCAGTCCTAACCATCCCCCCGATTGCGGACCTCCGGCGTGCACGACGAGCTGCTGGCAATAGTAAGCTCACTGCATTTTCGGAATCGAAGGTTCTGCTTCTGAACGCTCGCTATTGCAGTCATCAGTCGCCGGTGCAGTACAGTCAGTCTTCTCTGTCCCTGAGACGACGCGAAGCCAGGCACTCACATTGTTCGCCGCCCCAGCGCCCGTCATTGACAACTACTGTCCTGTCTGCATTCAGACCGGCAGGGCCCGCTGATTCGCTGCGAGGCTTCGCGATATTCGCACTACCGCATATTTGTATAATTTGCTTTCGATAGACCTTGCCGTCGGAACTTGCTGTGTTGTATAGAATGTAATGATGTCAGAGACCTGGATGCCGGTGGATACTATGTCGTGGCGGATTGAACTATACCGATGGATGAGAGATTTCATGTTCACAGATGTTCGAGCCCGTCATAATGGAGGGCAGAGCTACCACGCACCTAGTTGGTCACCGACCCGGGGACATGTACCAGCTCGATCGTATCAGATAGCAAACATTCCCCTTGCGGATGTCTCGGCGAATGAGCACGAGCTGGGTAGTTCCGACCGGGAATCCCAGTATTCCTGGTCATCGGAACTCGATGCTCAGTGAATGGAAGATTGAAATAGATCTGATGCTCGAGCGCACTGTAGATTCGGGCATAGTTATCAGTTCGGTAGGGGTGTTAACATACCCGAACCTGATAAGGAGTAATTTGTCGAGAAGCCAGAGGAATGCTGTAGATGGTAGGACTGTCCCAAGTATCCGAGGTGACAGGCGTCGTCGGTGAGGCTCCGGAGATTTGCTGCGAAGTTGTTCACAGATCTGCCAGCAGTCCATTCTCGCATGAAGGAAAGGCTGACGAACATGCAATCGTTGATAGGTCTGACGTCGATAACACGCGCTGTCGGGGATCAAGCCAATGAGAACTAGTCTGCCTCTCCTCGCAGAGCTTGTTCAAAAATGCAGAGTGGCGCATTGCCTGCGAAACCATCTGAGCACGCGGAACGCGTGCCAACGGTTGCATAGCTTGCAAGTGATAGGTCACCGGTCATGGCCAGTTGAGCATACCAATGGCCACAGCGCACCAGTCGTTGAAAGAATGGCACTGAAATCGTCAGATGATACAAGCGATAACGAACAATAATGGAGCTTCAGCGGCGTGTCAGAGCACTATCATAAGCCACGGAAACCCGTAAGGTTCGGAGGGCAGGAAAGGAACGCTGGAGCATACCGACCAAACCCGAGATTTCACGGGAATGAACTGAAAGGACCAGCGACCGACATAAGGGAAGCTGACACGACGTGCTAGAACACGCCTGGACTCACGACGATCGGCCTATGTCATACCCCGTAGTGTCAGCTTACGACGTTTTCATCTAGCACTGTGCAGTTGCGGCTCCGCAAAGCAAGTGTGCGATGCGACGAGCCTAATCTACCTTTGCCCGAAGGCGCCTCCGAGGCACTCTGTATGAGCCCGGGACGCCGGTAGCTACTACACCGGAACGAGATGAGCATGTTCCTGTGGCAAGCAATACGGAAATACCTCGCCAGACCCTGCTGCAGTCGCGATGCCAGCAGCAGCGCTGCTCGGCGCTCAGCGTGACTTGTAATGGCGAGGCGATCGTCTTCTAGCCCCAGCGCGGATTGCAGAAGCCTGCTGAGGGCGTGTAGATATGTTGGACAAGTACCAGTACTAGCTGCCAATATGTCAGGATCAGCCCGGGACTGATGGGGACAAGTGCAGAAAACATACCAATGGTGTGGCCCGGAAGACGGAGGAGACGGTGCACTGGCGGCGCCACTGGCGGTGGCTTGCCGTTACGTATCTAGACGATCGCCCGGAATCCCGATCCAACCGTTCTACCGCCAATTGCCTCCTCCGGACACACGTGAATACCGCCTGTGTACCACTCTCGTCTCTCTGTACCTCGCTTCCACTCTCAACAACACCTTCGGCCGGGTTCTGCTCGCAAACCGATTCTAAGCGACCATGTCTGCGCCAGACCGACACAGAGATATATACACCGAGGCGCCCCCTCGCAACGTCTGCATCGACTTTCAACTTTTGTCTCTGCGCGTCTGACAAGTGTTGTAGAACCAACGGGTGAAGTTGAACAGCACAACACCCTTTACTCCGACTTACGTCAAGGATCATGTATCGGGATCCGCACATCCTGTCCTGACCTACGCAAGTCGGGTACAGGGCCGCCAGATACTCCTCGAGAATCCTGCGGGCACCAGCAGAACGAAACAGCTGCGTGAGGAGAAGAAGACGAGACGATTGTCGGACAAGGCAAAGAAGGCGGCAGGGGTCGCCCCCCACAGAGATGTGCGACAACGCTCCTCCTGGCAGCTCAAGCAACAGGAGGCTAAGTACGACGATCGTCCTTGAGCAATGTCAGCCTCTGACTCTAGACCGGCTAGATTCCATCTGTTTCTACCGCTACACACATTATGGATGGGCTACATGGCAGAGCTTCTTGCGCTTCCGCCTGCGCCTTCAGGTCCAAACAACAAGTCCATTCCCGAGGCCATTCCAAATTCGGCAGCTATGCACGCGAAACTTGTGAAGGCCGACTTCCACGGGTCTATTATGACCGGTATGTACTGTTCAGAGGTGTTTGCTATCTCAAGCTCATGATGTCGACAGTGCGACAGAGCAAGAATCCTAGTCTCGTTGGTCTCTCCGGCATCGTCATCCACGAGACCGAGAATGCGTTCAAAATCGTCACCAGAAAGGATCAGCTGAAAAGTCCGTGACCTTATCTTGCAGCACCTCGGATCATTCTGACTGCAGCCGCCCAGTGGTCCCGAAGCAAAACTCGATATTCGCATTTGCTGTTCCACTCTACTCTAGAAGCGATCCGTCCGAACCACTCCTCTCCTCGCCGACTGCGACAAACGGTGGTAGTGCCTTGGACCCGGCGGCAGATACTGGAAGCACGCATGCGGATCTTATGCGCACCGTTCATGACTCGCCGTACTTAGAGTTTGAACTACATGGGAACCAGTTTTGCTTCCGAGCAGCTGAGCGCGCCGGTAGGAAGTTCAAGCACAAGGAAACTATCGAGCTATGATGATCCGAGCATCGTTCAATGTGAGTATGGCTCCCGAGCGTCGTGAAATGCCAAGGCGATGACGAGTCCCCAGTGGTGTGGATGGTGTTCCTTTTGTTCATATCTTGGCTATCCCGGTCCGAAGGCACGAAGAACGGTACCTGAAGGGCAGCATGAGGTCGGAGCTCACCTGGGTGTTCCGTGAGTCGATTGACAGGGGCATGTGCAGGTACATATGAGGGAAGACAGTCGTCTATAAACGCCTACATGGAAAATGGACAGTGTCGTACTGGACACGGACCTTCGGCGACATCCTCTCCGTATGTAAGATAAAGCGACGCATGCACGACAAAGAGGTAAAAGAGGGCTAACCCCTTCATTCCTCTCGATCACTACTGGTGCAGAAAACGCGTTGTCCGCTTCTCGTGCGAGGCATATTCGGCGGACAGTCGGGCGAGCCTACGACGACCTGATAATCATCTCGAGCGATAGGTAGCGTAGAAGATTGTTCATACGCTAGCCAGATCCTCGGATTGGTTTCCAACCTCGCGACTGAGGCTTTCCGGGAGTACTCGCACCGTGGGTCGATGCCGGCGAACCACTCGCGTCGCCGCCCGTCGTTGCCTGTAAGTGACGGTGACTGTTGAGCTGGCTAAACGGGGTATACAATCTCTCCCGGGACGTCGACACCCTCGGAGGAGGTATCTGTAGAAGGTGCGCTTAGACGGTCAACGCAAGGTTGGGCTGTCACCAGTACATACAGCTGCCACCGGCCCGAGGTGGGTTGCGGTCTGCAAGTCTTGTGCTGCATAGAATTCAAGGATGATGTTCAAGACCTCTGTTGCCGCCGCATGAGATACTGCATAGACTGATCGCGGCGGCTACGGACCTGCGATGCTAACCAAGTCTACTTCATTGAAGCCGAAGTGTTCGAGGGCAAAGCGCGAAGCCTCAGGCGGCACTACCTTATGTGACGGCGGCGTGGGTAATGACGTTGACGGAGCAGGAGAAGCTATTCGGACATCCAATGACGGAGATTGAGGACCTTCTATGACATGTTGGGCGAGGATGTAGCAGGCCGCCGCTATTATGCGTGCAGGAAATAGCACGCACAGAGGTGTCCTCGCACTATTGAATTAGTGAGCAGATTCTAGCACAAGCTATCTTCAGACATTCTTACGTGTCGTTTGCGACTGACCAAGCACATTCTTCGAGTTCCGTGGTGTCCTGCCTGACTTCAAACAGGTCCACGAGTTCGGCATGTGGGCTCTCCACTACGAAATCGAAGCAGAGTCCCTCAAGCAAGATTTCTTCGGTCACCAGAATGGCATTCTGATATTGCTCTAGGTCCTGATGCACAATCAACCTTCACGACGATTCAAGTACCCCTGCGACATACCTTGTGATCGTCAGGGACCTCTGCGGCAGACAAATTCAATGTCTTGGCACAAAGCACTTTGGCGACGTCGCGAAGTTTCCTTCCGCATTCCTCGGTTTTGGTGGCGAGAAATAGACATGCTGCTGCTACTTCCTGACCGATCGGCATGTCAAAGCTGCCGTGATGAAAGGCGTATAATTGCATATAATACCTGTCTATGATAGTCTTCCAGCGAGAACCGCATGTAGAATCTGTGAAACCAGACCGCAGCTGTGTAAAGAGCTGAAAGCGGCCTACAGTACAGGTCAGTCGATCTTCCATATGCACAGTATATCAATACTCACAATTGCAAAGCAACTCCCATTCGGAAGAGAAACTCAACTCCTCGTGCCCTATCATAAAGCTCCTTCTCGAGAGGTATATCTGAGGTTGTCTGACTTGGCGTGTATCGGAGAGCAGTCACGGGCAAAAGCCACTGTGAGGAGGAACTCGAGGGCACGTTTGTCGCACCCATCCTGTAATTTTCGTGTGTTAATGAGCTAAGCCGTGAAGATCCTGCCAGGCAATGCTAGAGAGGTCTGTGGACAAGGTGGTGGATGACCTTGACAGAATGCGCTTCGTTGCAGGTCTGTGGCCACACTCACGTGCATCGAGTAAACACGTGTAAGTAATCTGCACTGTACTTATAGTATGCACTTGTGTGATCATTCTATCATAAGTACCGTTTTATGGTCGTGTCTCCTTGCTATCGTCAACCGCTACTGTACGTCGATTTCGGGGCATTCAATCACGATTTCACGCACGCGTTACAATAAGTGCTCCGACAAGAGGAGAGGTTGCACGATGAACAAGGATTTTGACTTCTACAATATATGTACTGTGTCCATAATGGCGGAACGTAACTTAGAAACACAGGCTCGCGATGTTGTACCTACATCGACATACTTTCCTCCTCTACCAACCAGTTGCCGTGTTGATACTCGTGGTGGCTGTAGTCCTTGATGGTAGATACTGAGAGTTCCGAACCATCGAGCGACGGCGATGGAGAGCGAACTTCATCTCTCCATGTATGGACACCCCCCTTGGTCTCTTCGCGATAGAGTGTTGGTGGCGCGTATGGGTTTCCATCCACAAGCGAAAGCGTTGGGTGCCTTCCTATGAGATACCGCTCAACCAATTGGTCGTCTAGGTCATCAACGTCTGATTGCGTGACTCGTGCTAGGGTGTTGTGGTTGAGCAGGCAATCAAGCACATAATAGTCGGCGTGCTCACCACTACTGTGTGCAGACCATTCAGACTCGGACGGTGCGGCGTGGATCCTTCGACTAGGACTTTCTACGGGTAAGTTTCGCGCCGAGGGAACATAGGGTTCGGCGACCTACGCACGGGAGACGAAAATGTGAGAACGTCGTTCACCGTCAAGAAAGCCTAGATATCGCCAAGAGGGCTTGTCTATCCCGCCCATATTGAAACGAATCGGGCGGAAGAATGTCGCCGACGAGGCAAGGCGTCTCCACGAATTGCGATTCTTCACTGACCTCTGGTACTTCCCAGCCCCCTTTGAAGCCCATAGCGGACAATAACCAATAGATGAGGCACTCCAAGATCGTCGCACCCGTCTGATCATGTCTCATTATTTGGGAGAGAAGTCCCACCGTCCGACCTGCATGTCTCATCAGTCATGATCTCCCAGCAGTTAAACGACTACAGACCTGGTGTAAATACACCGAAGACCCACCCCCAGTACGTTGTAAGAACGAAATAGTACGATCCGTTACGTTGGCACTCGTCCCAGATCTACGCCGGATATGTCAATTCCGGAATTGACACATAACGTGGAAAACCTGCGCACCTTCGCCCAAAGTCTTTCCTTGCTAGTGTACGCGTAGGGCTTGTCATCTTCATGCATGTGCGCAAGATCATCCACACGCCGAAACTCAATACGCCACACCATGTCAGTCGAAGGCGTTTGAGGGCGTCAAGATTGTTACACTCACGACGTCACAGGATACGAAGGATTCAAGGTCTTTTGTTGACAATATCCAAGGGGGCTGCACGAATACCATTACCGACCCCGGACCGCCCGTTGGGCTTGAGGCGGTGGCGGTGGAGCTCCAGATATAGGACTGGAATATTTCTTCATCGATGTCAGGGTTGACATGACTGAACGTCCAGTCGTCCGACTGAGGAAAGAGTGCATGCATGACCGCTTGCGCCGAGTCAAGCGGGAATTGAGAGATCCAGCGACACAACCTATCCAATGCAACATCTCAGTACGGATATCACTTGAAGGATAGCGACCCGACTCACTGTTCGAGGTTTGCCGGCTTTCTCGGCGGATTCACTGCCACCTGGAAGGTAGGAGGGCAGGGGATAGTGACATGCTCGACGTCTTCCCGGTCACGGGTCTGGAGCCCTTCTTGTGCGGCATGCATGTCCAATACTAGACGATCCAGTCAGTAAGACAAGGGGCGAGCAAGTGGCGGCCTTACCTTCTTTCATGCTTGACCTGAAGGAGGGAAATTCTATCTGGTACATCTTCTCAAGCACCCGATACTGCTGAGGGGTTATAGAGAGTACATTTCTGTGCGAGTGATGGCCCGAGGGCGGCAGTGGTGGCGCTCTAGACGCGAGCTTCATCGGCGGGAGGGTGGCCTGCGAGAGGTAGGCTCGAAGTTTATCCAGAGGCTCAATACTCAGCAGAGCTTGAACATGGTCGTAGACGTTGATCCTCATGGCGTTAAGCAGGGAGACAGCAGTGCTAGAGATTCAACGCAGAGCGGACGAGGATAGTATGCAGTGGCGGTTGTGGGTGGGTGAAGCGCGCGGGATGCGGTGTTCTAAAGTATCTCGAGGGATGAAGGTCACAAGACGATACCATGGAAACAGGACAATGCAAGAGGGCCTTAATGGGCGTCGTCGGCTGTGGCCACCCATTAGCGGAACAAGGCGAGGACAAAGACAGTGGCATTCCGAAGACAAGACGCGCCCGTTTCGGGAACAACGCGAATCGTCACGTACCCGTGACGCGTCACACCACTGGTCCTCGCGTTGCGCCTCGGTTCGGCCTCGGTCCATGATAGAGCATTTCGACATTGAACATAATATGTAACACGACATCGACGTGTGCGCGTGCGTACTACGAGCTACAGGAGACATATCATAAGGAATAGATATAATACAGTATAATGGGCAGTCCGTCATTACACCAGCGCCAGCGCATGTCATACAATACTTCGGGGTCGTACAGGCTCATAGCGGCGAACGTCCAATAGGCGAACGTCCATGGTACGTGGCGTGGCGAGGCTGGACACTAGCGAGTCAGGTGCAGCTCATCGCGCCAGTGCGTTCCCGCATCACGCAGTCGGCGCATTTTGTCTCGCTGATGCGGATGGGGTTTCGTTGGGGAGGTGTCATTAACCTGACGCAGGATGGAGACCTGCAACCTGTACCCGGGTCAGCCTCCCGCCAATGTACTCAAGACGCAGGGGCGAGTACGTACCTCCTTGGTGTGCGTGCCTACGGCTGAAGAGGCAGTTTGGTTGGAGGCAGTCTTGTGTGCGCGTAGACATAGGGATGAAGTGCTGGCACTCGAGGTGGAATCTGCCGTCAATAATCTGGACGTTGCTCGAGTGAGAAGATGCAAAGTCAATCGCGGGGAAAGACGTACATTATGACACATCTTGGTTGTATCGTCGTGTGCAGGATCGACCTGGTGGGCAAGGGCTACTAGTATGGAGGCACAGCTGGGCCCATATATACATCACCTGGAGGGAACGCGCATCACTCGGGCGACAGCGTGGCCCGTTCTCTTGCTCGACTCGGAATGCATGTTAACAGCGTTCTCTATTTAGTCGGCTGGACCTGCAAGGCGAGGCCTGGAGCCCCCCACAAGTCTACGCGAGATGAGGGACAGTGCGACACGCCGCGTTTCGGAAAAGTCAATCAAAAATGCTGAATAATTCGCCGAACCTTCTCAACAGACAGCAGGTACGACGCGTGAACTCCGTGTTTCGAGGTCGTGATGGCAGCCGCCCTCCTAATTCGTCCTGATACGGTACCCCAGGCAGAGCAACCGGACCTTGCCATCTGAGGTGGAGACCGGTCTCGAGGGTTGCTGTCGTCACTTGCTTTTGCTAGGTGTACAGCGGGCGCTGCAATGCTATCGTATCTGGACTTGTCTCAGCGTGCCTTGCACGAGGCAGGCGGCGTGTACTGCGCGTGTCCGCCAAAGACGATAACTGTGGGTCTTATATGGTGAGTCGAAGACGGCATTAGCCTATCCCGCGAAGATTTACAGTCCCTGCATCCAAAATCACATCAGCTGCGAAGGAAAGCCGCTTACACTGGTCGTGCAAGCCTTCCGCTCAAGATCCTGCCGAGCCTGACTTACCGCTCACCGGTGCTCCGAAGCCTGCATTAAATGCAATATGTATGAAAGCTGCGGCCGTTTCTTCCGGGTATGCCCCTTGGCATCATAACCAACCGACCCTTCACGTCCTGAAGGTCCTCGACGCACGGTCGGGCTCGTAACCGCGCGGAGAGAGCGCGCAATGGAGTCATTTGCGCTGCATGTCTATACGGCAGCAACGCGACACACGCAAATATAGACGGTGAAGACGTCGAGAAATGGAGGTGGGGACGTGAAATGACCTCTATCACGCGCCCCGAGCACGAATTTCGTTTACAACCTTCACTTTCATCCGCACCTGTCAAGGATGCGCGTCAGACAGGCTATCAGCAAAGCCGAAGAAACATACCTCATGGGCAAATCGCCGCCTCCAGCGCTCGCTCGTAAGGCGATTGCGCTTGGCACCCGCCCTCTCGTGCCTACTGTACTGCCTCAGCTCCGCAGCAATACGATTCGACATTACTATCCTCTTCATCTTTCCAAGTGCAGCGGCTGCGTCCCCGTTCCTGACATAAGCGCTACGCCCTGCCAGGGTCCGTTCAATGCGTGAGTAGATGTCTGGACAGAATTGGGAACAAAGGGCACCTTCGTAAGGACCCTGAGGTTTCGGTAGATTTGCCACCACAGAACTCTCCCTGTCCTGCCAGATTTCTTCTACAGACTTGTTCGCGTTGGATGACTTCAAATTCGCCGCTGTTGATTGAAGGGTCTTCCAAGTTGTAGCCGAGGGCCGCGTTGACTGGTGCTCATTCCATTTTGGTTGGATACGCCTTGAGCTACCAGCGACCTCGGCCACGAAGGGACTAGTTGGTTGCGAGGAGAGCGCCCTGATGCGGTTAGGCCCGACAGCGTTCATTGGTAGGGCAAGGTGCGCTTGAGGAAGTGCTCTGCAAGAGCGTCGTGCAAGAGCGGCGAGCATGGCGGCGACTGGCTCAGCGCGGAGCCCGGTCAAGCGAGGTGATGAGCTCGTCTGTTCGTCCAGAGTCGAGCGACATCGAAGGCGCTTGCAGTGGTATGGACCCCGGCCAGCGCAGCCTTCCAGACATAATCGATGTGTTGCGAGCGGCACGACTCTCGCAACAGGCTTGCACTTGTTCAGACTCCTGCAGCTCTCGTCTAGGTGGCACAAAATGTCATCGGAAGTCCTGCAAGAGGAATTCGAGGTATAACGGACTACACCCTCGCTTCATTCTACTGGCTGAGGATACGCGCGAAGGTGCTCGAGGCGATCTATCCCACTGAACTCACAAGTACGTCCCCGCTGCCCCCGGCGTACGTCAGATCTAGCTGAGACTCATGCGAAGAACTCTCCGAAAGGGCATACGGATAGATGTCGAACCAGACGATCCGTTAGAGGGTGAAGAGAGAGTGCGTACCGCGTTCCTCCTCACTCTCTCCGCTGAACGGTTTCACGCAGTTAAACTGACACTCGAGTCAATTACACTGATGAATACCCCGACGCTCTTCCCGAGCTATCCCTAGAAACTCTTGAAGGTTCCGTAGAAGAGAATGAGATCGAGAACCTCCTCGCAGAGCTGCGCACAGTGGTGCGCCATCAGTCTTCCTGTCTTTGTGTTGTCTAAGCTCAAACTACGCACAAGGGCGAAGAGAACCTCGGCATGGCGATGACATTCACTCTTGCTAGTCACCTCCGAGAACGACTGTCAGCCTTGATTCGGACACGGGCAGAGCTGAGACAGCAGGAGGACACGGAGAAGGAGAGACAAGCAATCGAAGTACGTGTCTATCCGATTTCGACTGCTGCATTCCAATGACGGATATGTCCAGGCAGAAGAAGCTCGCACGCGCGGAACACCTGTCACGGTGGAAAACTTCAATGCCTGGAAGGCCAAGTTCGACAAAGCACAAGCTATAAAGAAAGCGCGAGAGGATGAAGAGAAACTCAGAGGCATGACAGCGAAGGAAAGGGAAGAGTATAAGAAGTTGGCTACACGCTTATCAGGTTCAGTGACCTTGTTCTGCGCTTGACGGAAGCCGCTGATCATCGCTGCACAGGTCGTCAGCTCTTCGAACGTGACAGGACTCTGGCAATATCCGACGACAGTATGATCGAGGAAGGCGTGGTATCTGTTGACATCAGTCAATATGACAGGGTGGTCATGGAAGAAGACGAGGAAGAAGAGCGAGTGACCTTCAGCGACAGCGATTGAGCAATGTTGGACCCACTGTATCGAGACTACTGACTGGATGTAGCCTATAACACATCATGTATTCTATGGTCTGCGGTGAGCGGATCTGCCCTACAGACCGGCGAAGAGTCCCGCCTCCCCTTCTACCCCGACAACATGGCCGCCGCTCTCTACCTCCTTACAGCCGATGTCATCGCGACCGACTTCCTTCAGGAATCCGTCTACAACGTGGAGAGATCCGACCTGTCTGTCCCCAACCACTAGGTCTTCGCCAACTGCCCGCAACCACTGCACGATAGGGCGACTAACCCATCGTCTAACCTCCCCTGTCGACTGCACTGTCTCGAACCATCCTAGATGTCCGCCTTTCTCAGTGACAGCGAACACTACATACGGGTTCCCGCCTGCTTCGACAGGCAGCACCTGGACTACGGGGTCATCTTCTGCGTTGAGGGCCAAGAAGGGCACGCGGATGTTAGGGAGCACTTCGTGGCTCGAGGCCCAGACGTAGTAGTCCCATGCACTGGGGAAAGGGAAAGGCGGAGAGGAACCGCCGACGACGCGAGTGACTATGGCATCGAACTGCGTGAGGGACATGGGTTTGTTGCTCAACACCTCTGGGAGGGTCTTCGCGAGCGGGTGTTCCGGAAATTTCGCAATTTCGTTTGCATGTCGTCCGAGCAATCTTCGCAAATTCTGCGCCATCGCTTTTCCGTAGACTGTTCTGTGCAACCACTGATGCTCGAGGCTGGGGTGATCACAGCCTGGATCGTCAGTATCACAGACGTCTGCACTGCGTGCGGTACTGACCCTGCGGCGTTCTTGGAACAGTCCCATGGCTACGGAGGTCTCAACGACAGCGCTTCCACGGAACAAAGGGATACGCACACAAGCAACCACACAACCCGCAGCAAGGCGGCTCTGCGTCCCCTCTTCCGCCAGGTATCTCGTCAGAACGTTAGCCCCGAGTGAGAATCCTATGCCGAGCAGCCGTGCTTTGGGGTAGCGGTTCGCGATGTGCATAACGGCGACTCTGATATCATCCGTGTGTCCCGCGGAGTACATCTGGGGGGTGGTGAGAGGTACGCCAGCACCTGCCAAAGAGGTCTTAGTCGGATGCGTGTGCGAGGAGTGTAGCACTTACATCCGCGGAAATTGACTACGATGCCTCTGTATCCAAGGCCTCCTTGCTCTACAGGCGTGCAAGCCGGGGCTAGAATCGCTCGAACGTATGATTCGTGTGAACCTATGAAAGGACAGTCCTTGGTATCACGGAGACTGAGAAAATAGACTCAGGATCACCTCCGGTCAGTCCGTGCAGGGCTACCACGATGGGCGTGTCATCTGGCAGTGTGCGTTCGTTGGCGGGCGGTGTGCTGTCCAGTCCTCTGTGTAGTTCTCATCCATCAGACGTGGTTCTGAGACTAGAAGCGCGGAACACGTACATTGTGCCGCCATCCAGGGTACGAAGCAGGGATCTACCACACAATTAGAGTATGTGTGTCCAATGGACTCGGGTCACCTGCCTATCGTATTCAACTCTATCTATTTTCGAGAAATCTCCCATGACTGCGTATGCCGTCTGGAGGTGACCGCTGTATCATAGAATCTTCTCAGTTCGGATCGGCAATACATTCGCAGGGGACCTACTTGAATAGCCACCACGGCGGAGAGAAGTCGCCATACAAACTCGGACACCGAGCTGCAATGAACGCATCTAGGCTCTCTTTAGGCTGCTCGTCGGCGTCCGAGCCTGTGACCGCCGGTGCCTTCACGGAGACCTTTGCAGGATCAACAGCGAAGTACAGGCGGGGTACACGACTCGAGCGAGCTGCCCACACCTGGCTCACCAGTGCACCCATATGTGAGCCTTGCCTATCACAGATGGCCGTCCAGAATCACGAGCACCTGACGACTCGGAGATGCATCAGACAGACTCCGGCAGCCTGGCGCGCGCCACACAGACCAGCGCATCTCAACATGTCGACCAGTTCAAACGAGCAGAAAGTTACCACTCCCTCGGTCGGCCGTTGGACCGAGGCGGTGCAGACAGTGTGGACATGGAAGGGTGCCTTCCGTCATGCTGCACCCAAAATGAATCGAGATCGGGCGACGTGTAGTCCAGTTTACAGTTAAGTAGGCGAAGATCCCGCCGATTCCGATCCTATTTGCCGATGCGGAGGCCCGCCTCTCGAGGCCTGACGCTACCGTCCACACGTTCCACATCCGTGAGTAGTTATCAATACACCAAGATACATCACATCTGAAAAATACAACATACAACGGCACCGATACATTCGCAATGTACTGTAACTCTACTACGCCCAAGCCTCCAGAGCGCGTCTAGCGGAGGCACTCACCATCTGCGTGCTCCCCTCCGAGTCTGCAGCCAGTCTCTCCAGAAGCTCCTTCGCGGCGCCCTTCATCCGCGCCAGATCCTCAGCACGGTCCTCACCCACCACGCCTTTCCGCCCAAGCTGTCCCAACAGTGCACACACATTGGACCGCACCTCCGCAGGCATGGCATCCGAGTTCCGCAGGACGGAGAGCAGCATGTCCAGCGCGGTGCGAGGCTCGGCGTCCGGTGATCCCTCTGTTGGGATAGCAGACACGGGCTGCGACTGCGACGGCCTGATGACTTCACTCGGCAGAGGGTTCATGATGGCGTCAAGGACGAGCGTGCCTAGGCCCACGCGCACTCAGCCAGCAGACCAGCGCGGCCGCACGCGAATGACGCACCTCCGTTCGCGTGTGTGCTCAGCAGCGACAGCGCGACCACGCCCTCGTTGATCAAGATAGGGTACTTCTTGCTGCGTCCGACGAGCTGCGCGAGCGCCGCCGCGCCGGCTGCGTTCGCGACGGCCGCCATGCACTCCCGCCTTTTCTGCGCCTTCGCGCTGTCGTCGGACGCGGAGTCGCTCGACCACAGCGACTTGACAACATTGACGAGGACGCGCGTACCCTCGCTCTTGACGGCGATAGAATCCGATCGACGCACTAAAGCTAGGATCTGATCCAAAGCCGAGCCTGCCGAATCGTCCTGAGGCTGTGCGATCAGGGAGAAGACGTTCTCGACTGCGATCGGGAACCACACGAGGTGTCAGAATTGGGCAGGAGAGGTTCGAGGATGCGCTACTGACCATTCGCATTGCACATGTACTTGGCTATGCCAATTGCAGACACCTGGACACGCTCCGCCATGTCCGCCTTCTCATCCCAAATCTGGCAGGACGCTAGTCTCTCTATTATGCTCGCCTCACCCAGAACAGCCCTGTTACTCTGCGCCTGTGCAAGATGCTTCAGCAGTCCCACTATGCCGTGCTTCACCTTGATATCGGTCAAGGGCTCGAGGAGCTGAGCCAGATTAGGCGCCAGCGCGACGGGAGGCTTGACCAGGGCTATGGAATGTGCGTCTAGAGAGGAAGATCAGCGGACTGGGACAGCAACCTCCGTGTCACGTCACTTGCCTCCCGTAGCGAGGTTCCCGAGACTGAGCGTTGCGCAGATGATGAGATCCTCGCGATGCCTTTCCTTGAGGCTTCCATGCGATCGAATCCACTGCACCATGGTATCGACAAATTCGCCTCCTGGCTTCTCTGGGTTGGAATCGTCCCAGAGCTCGTTCTGCTCCCCTGCGACTTCCACGACGGCCTTCACGACGGCCGCTTTGCACATGTCCAAGCCCTTCTCCATCGACGCGCGTTCCGACGGGGACTCCGCGGACCAGTAGGGAGGGTAGTCGCCCTTGTCGAGGAACTCGAGCATATCCTTCAAGCACGCGGCTCCTCCCTCCGTGCCATCTGGAGACTTGAGTATACGACCGAGCGACAGCCTGACCTCGTCGACATCCAAGGAGAGCGATTCCAAAAGGCCGCATGTCTCTTCTAGAAGGTCATAGTCCTGTTGCACCAGCGCATGGCGAGCAGGCGACCCGACGAAGAGGGACGGTGTTTCCGTATATGGCGGGACGAAGGCCTTGAGCGGTCGCACCAGATAGGGTAGAGCATCGGCACCAAACAACTGGCGACTCTGCGAGGCTTCGGGTGTGAGAGCATAGTGTCAGCTGACGATCGAGCGGGAGGAAGCAATGACGTACGTGTTGCCTCGTCCGAGTCTCTCAGTCAGAAATCACCCTCCACGTCCACGAAGACAGCCCGCTCCGTAGATTCCACGACTCCAGGATGGTGGCTTCTAAGTCGGACGAGCCCTCGCTCACCGGCAGTTCAGGATGGGTGAGCCACGATCCGGGAGGATAGAGGGCCATCGACAGCTTCAAGGTCGTCATAGCAGCACGTATAGATGTGAGCCGTGCCTTCACCAGTTCTGATGATCTATGAGTAACAATGCATATGGATCTACGCGACACGCACCATATCCAATACTAGCGTTAAGGAGAAGCCCAATAGACGTCTTGACCACCTTGAGATCAGGGATGGAGAGTGGTAGAGGTTCCGCCGCTGCGGGTGGGATGAGGAGTGCATAGTTCTCCAGCATTTGGACCACGGTGTCCAGGTATCCAGCTCGTAATAAGTGTCCTCGGTTTTCGTCTACATGTGCAATGTATTTCGGCATCAGTCGATCGAAGCGCGAACGCACGTACCATGGTCCATGCACAGGTTGGCGCCCACACGTAATAACTCGTAAACTGCAGCCTTCGATCGAGGGTTGGGTATCTCGCTGCCAGCGAACGCGGTCTTGAAGAGGGAGGTGATCGTTTGGGGTAGCACCGACTGTCCCAGGAGAGTCTGCTGTTCCACTGGGTGACAACGAACGTCTCAGGTGCACGCTCCGGCACTGCGAAAGTACATGGTTCTGACCGTCCTTGACACGCAACTCATCGGCGAGTCCTCGAGCGGTGGATTCGACGTCGTTCCATTGCTCTGGCTGGTCGAGGGGCAGACGAGCGAGATCGCCGAGCTTGGCGGCAGCGGCGTGCTTGGACGCGCTGCTCATTGTTGCGCTCAGAGGGACCCAGAGAGAGCAGCTGGGAGTGGGAGACAAGGACGATGCAAAGACAAGGTTTGCAGTGGGGATTGAGAACCGCACTGACTGATGCTCGCATCGGCGGGACTAGATCTTCATCGGTGCCTTCAACAGCGCCCAAGCGCCCAACTTGTGGGCGCATCACCCTCACGTGAGAACGCCTCCACCACTGTCTCGCGCAGAAAGTCCGATCCACGGGGAGAGCCGTTGCGTGCAACGCGTTGCGCGCAACGCGCAACGTCACGCAAGTCACGGTGTGGCTTGCCTCGTCGGGCGGGACAAGGGGTTACGGGACAGTTGGTGTATACATATTGGCAAAAATAACACCAGACCACTTCGCACTTCGCTCCAGCTAGATATATACAGGCCTAGAATAAGAGCTAATACGACCTCAGTCTGCAGAGCTGGGAGTGATTCGCACTGTGACTCAACGCGCCACATGTCGCTTATGTAATTTCTCGGGCAATGCATCGCGATTCGCTCGGTGGCCGCGATTGCAACTTGGCCGAGAAAACGCCATGCAAGGCCTTTCTTGCGTAGGAAATAGCACACATTCCAACCACTCAATATCTTCAAACTGAACAGGCTCACCACAAGTGGACTGTATGGGGATGTGGCCACAGCGCCTCGTCGCATGTCCTTATTTGGCAAGTCATCTGTCACCGAAGGCTACACACAAGACACATTGACAGTAGCCTGTTGTATTTAAGAGTACCATTCTATTCCTCAGTTTGTAACCGATGCTTTATTTTCATTTCCAATGTCATAGCCACACGGAGGCGGGACTAGTTCGTAGGCAACATAAGTAGGTTACTTACCCGCAGTGGGTGCATGTCACAGCGTGACTAAGTGACTGTTGCACGTTGCACGTTGCGCGTTGCGCGCAACGCCCCTCCCAGTCGATCGAACGTTCTCGTCTCGCGCGTCGCCGGAGCGTGCTGAAGTACAGCAGACTGTATACATACAGCGTTCCGCAGGGGCGCAGGCTTATCATCGTCAAGGTAGCGAATACTGTCTTGTGCACCACAGCATAATTCCCCAACTCGCATGCTGTCTGGGCTTACAATTGTGTTCGGTGATAACCCCACCTTCGCACTCTGAGTGTAACGCCGCGTGGGCAATTCGCCGTCAGTGTATGATGTGGCCATACAAACAGCCTTATCTCTCCATCGGTGCGCTGGGAAAAATGTGGGCAGTTCACGAGACATTGCCCGCACGTCTTGGGCGAAGGGGAGAGCCCTGTACCAGCACACGCGCTCTGCCTCGGCTCGGACGGGGCGGCTCTCGCGATGAAGACTGAGAATGGGTCCTCTGCAGAGATGTAGTACCTCTGGTCAATGGCCACCCTGCGTACGCCTAAAGCTAGTTGGGCCGAATTTGTCTGCACGGGGATGACTTTGACTCGATGGCTGCTCTCGTCATGCGAATTGGTCAGGGGAGGACGCAGCGGACGAAAGAGGCAGCGCTCTCCCAGCACGTGGGGGTCGACGCGGGCGCGGTGCGCGAAATGGGCCCGACAAGGCAAGGCGCTGCACGGCGCCGCGCTCCTGCTGACTGTTTTGCCTATCCGAGAAATATTCTCTCTCGCCCGCGACAATGTCCTACATAAGCACATCGCCATTCGTTCGACGGCTTTCGATGCATGTATAAAGCCGTCGCCCTCGCTGCCCTCGTCCTCACCGTTGCATACTATCTCGCTCCGATTCGCGTCGACGATCTCCTCCACATCGTCACAGACTCCGTACACCCGGTCAATCCGTTCCAATCCGCAATGGCTGCTCCGATCTCGAGGCATGTTGTGAAGAAGCTCCTGGCCATCGAGACGGCCGAGGTGTGCTGCTCATGTTCTACACGCACCGGAAACCACAGTTGACCAATTCCCGGATCAGGGCGAGGGTGCCCTTGTGCGCCGCTCTATCGGCAGCATGAACCTACGAAACCTCACGCCGTTCCTCATGCTCGACCACTTCCATGTGTCCAAGGGGGCTGTGAGCATCGTCCGTGATTCAGCTCACATGGTCGCGACTGACCTGGTGTCTGCAGGGCTTTCCGGATCACCCCCACCGCGGCCAGGCAACCGTGACCTACATGCTGGAGGGGTAAGCCATGCGTCTCTCATCTGCGGTGAGCACGGGGCAATCCTAACATATGCTCCGCTGGACACCAGCTCGAGCCGGCACGAGGACTCTGCCGGTCACAAAGGCACGATTGAGACGGGTGGTGTACAGTGGATGTGTGCGGTGAGTGCCCGCATTTCCAATATAGTCGCATTGGTATTCAATTTCAGCCTCCGTCAACAGGGTCGTGGAAGTAGGTTGCACAGCATCGCCCCCGCCCGCCGTGTAGTCTAACCTCTTTCCGCCAGTCATCCATGCAGAGATGCCCGTGCAAGGCCCGGGCATCCCAGAGCCTCGCGGTCTCCAGCTCTGGGTTGACTTGCCCAAGCAATTCAAGATGGTCGAGCCCTCATACCAGGAGCTAGGTCCCGCAGAGTGCGTTGTTCGGCTCCCACCTCACCGCGCCGGGCGGCATCGTCTCATGCGTGTCCGTCTGCTTGCAGGATCCCCGCAGCGTTCCCGGAAGGTCCGGATGGCGGGGTCAAGATTAAAGTCATCAGCGGCAAGAGCCACGGCGTGGAGTCACCCGTCCGCCCGCTCGGCGGCTGCTGGTTCTTCCATGTCATCTTCGACAAGAAGGACAACTCTATCTTCCAGGACATCCGTAAGTAGCGCGGTCTGTCACAACGCCCCGATGACGGCATGCTCATCACCGAGGCTTCTAGCGGCGGGCTGGACGTCGTTCATCTACAGTGAGTCTCCGCCACCCGTCCGGTGTCCCTCGGCACAATTGACTCATATCACCCGCGTAGCTTTCAAAGGATCGCTGAAGGTTGGCGAAGAGCCCAACGCACATGAAGCCTTCCATACGCTAGTGCTTTCTGGGGACGCGAACGAGACTGGCGTGCAGCTCACGGCTCTGGAGGACAACACCGAAGCAGTCGTGGTCCGTGCTTTCGTCACATTTCCCCCGGTCAGGCCGCACATCTGACATGCACGTCCAGATTGCCGGCGAGCCGCTCGAGCAGACCGTCGTACAGTACGGACCCTTCGTCATGACAAGCCGGCAAGAGATCCAGCAGACGCTCCTGGACTGTAAGACGCGCATCCGCGAGCACCCCATCCTTGCATTGACTGACGTTCTGCTTGCAGACCAATTCGGCAAGAATGGGTTCGAGAAAGCGCACACCTGGAAGAGCCTCATCGGCGGCCGCTAGTAACAAGCTCCACTCTCCCGACGTCAACCGTCCGACAGTTGTTCGTACGCTTGTACATCAGAAGACGACTCCGGATCGCATACCCTACTACATATATTCATGTCAAGGCCCCGAGTCATACTTGTATCCATAGCTTACGTGCAATAAGTTACAGTCGTCCTATCTGAGTGTGAACGGCCCCCGCGCTGTCATGGCGGCTCAATGGATCGAGCCCTGTCTGAGAATGGTCGCGAGCGTAGCTGCATATCGCGCAGTTCGTGCCAGAGACTGCTCCTCCCCATGTCACCGCCCGACGCAGTCGACCCCCCGCGTGCGCGCGACTTCGGCAGGTCAGCCTCCTTCCCGAACGCATACGACGACGCCTGCGAGTGGGCGGGGCTCGTCGCGCGCGTCGTACTGGCGCGAGTCGACAGCTTCGGACGTGCAGATCCAGGAACGGGCTTGTCACGTCTCCCTGGTCGCTCGGGAGACTTCGTCCGGGCGGAGAGCAGGCTGGCAATACCAGGTCTGATGGCGAACGGTCTTGCGGGCGCAATGGGTGCATCCGCTGGTGTGACGGACGGTACCAGCGTAGGACTCGTAGAACGCATACGGGTGGGATAGCCGGTGGTGCGAGGACGCTCGATGACTTTCCGGGCGGTTGCGATCGGAAGATGGAGGTAACGCGCGCGGCTAGACGTTGTAAGATCAGTCTAAACGTAGGACTCAACGGGAAAGCAGGTACTGACGCAACAGCCTTGAGCTCGATCTTCGTCTTATAGGCCTTGTGCCACTTCTCAAATACCTTGACTGTAGGAAGACTCAGAAACTCTGCATGGAATATGTGGGCACAATACATACTGAGTACGGCACGCCGATCGACCTCTCGGGCCTTCCGGGCTTGCAAGGCGTTCGGCATAGCGTCACGCCATGTTTTCCATGCTTTGAGCTTCGTATGATACGCATCGAAGCGCACTGCGGGCAGAGACTGGGATAATCTGTATGAACGCCCGTCATCTGTCTATCCGACTAGTGCACTTACCCTTGTCTTAGAGTGCCAGATACCAAAGGCACGGAACATGAGGTGTTTCTGTCTCTGTACAAGGAAATCATCCGCCTGCCGAGCGCACGTTAGATACAGGGAGGCGGAGAACAACAGACCAACGCACCACCGGCTGCAGTCTGATATCGAGGAAGCGTTCCCTCCACTTGTCCCATGTGGCCGCGAGAACAGTGGACTTCAGCTCGTCCTCTTTCTGCTGTAGGTACATCCGCCTGTGGCGCGCCTTCCTGGCTGCCGCAAGCCAGCGGTAGAACATCCGCCGCATGTTCTCTGGGCAAATTGTCAGCTGCTGTGAGAACCAAGTGGTACATGAACACAAACCTTCCCGTTTGACGTCCTGGTAGCTCTCCATGAGACTGAGCTCCTCGACATGCCGTATACACAACGCCTTCCATTTCTTGAAGGACGTGCTGAATCAATGATATGAGTGTGCCAACAATTGACGCGTATATGGGCACTCACCTCTGTACTCTTCTGTCGCGCATCTGCGTTACTTCGAGCTCACGGTCTTTAATGTCGACGACGCGGTTGAGCCAATGTGACAGGGCGGCCGACATAATACGCTAAACCCAGGCATGAGATACGCTCGCTGGAAGGAAAGAACGCCGCATTACCATGTCAAGACGTTGTCGAATAATCTCCTCGGCCACCTTGCGCTGTCGCTGTTTCTGTGCTACCATAAGCCAGTCTAATGAACAAGAACATATCAGTTAGTGTGTCCGATGCGTTTGAGTCAACATCATACCAATGAGATATCGCTGAGCCACGCGCATCTCGAACTCCTTGCGTCTCCTCTCCAGCCGCTGCTGCTTGACGCGCATGTACCAAAGCTTGAAGTATCTCCTCTGTAGGAAGAACTTCTGAGCTATGCGAGCCTGCTTGATCATCTTCAGCTTGGCCCGAAGCTGAAGTCGCCAAGTCAAGAGCGCTTTGTATTGCAGCTGCGCAGAATGGTAGTGAACGGCGAAGGTTGTTGCGTTGCGATGGGTACTATGCACTGCACGCCATTTCTGGAGAGCGGATGACGCAACGGTTGATGTCGACCGCGTGTAAAAGGCCATCGCGAGGTCTGAATTATAAGTGAGACATGCTTCAAGCGCACCATAAAATACATGCATACCCTCCAGCTGTCTTTGTTTCTGGATACGTGCCTTCCAGACAGCCCAAGCTTGCTTGAGTAACCGTGAGTTTCTGACACGATCGAGGAGCCTTCCTCGTTCATGCGCCTTCCAAACCCTCAGGACGGCTCGTATCAAGAGGTCATCTTGACGAGCTACATGCTTCACTGCGCGAGTCTCGAGCGCCTGAAGAATACTGAGCAGCGAGCCTACGGAAGTAAAGCTGGTCACCTACACGTATTCGATCGCGGGCGGCTTTCCAAGCCCCGAAGACCCGCTTCACAACTACTACATCGTAGAATTCATCGGCCACACGATCCTGGTGTCTACACATCCAGCCGTCAGTGAAGCCATATGGATATAAATCAGGAATAACGTACAGGCGTTTTCTCCATACGTCTATTGCTTGGCCCATGATCCTCATATCAACACGCTCTGCCATGACCCTCTCTTGTCTGCGCATCTCCAGAGCCCTGCGCCACAGATCCCAGCACCTCTCTGCCTGACGCTCTTGCACAACATATTCCAGATGTTCGGCGGCCGCATCCAGCTGATCCAACTGGGCCAGTCGCGCTCTCCATTGCTTCAAACACCTCGAGACGAGGCGCTCGTTGTAATGTTGTGTGGAGAGGTGCGACTGGTAGGATTGCCGCCATTTTGCCCAAGCATCTTTCATTATCTTGGTTTCCCGGCGCTCGCGGACGGTTTTCATCCTTGCTCGCATTGAGTTTCGCCAGTCAGCTTGCTTCTTCTCCTTGACTTTGACCTTCCAGATTTCCATCGCAGCCTTCAGCCGTCGTTTATCGGAGAGGATGCATACGCGCACAAAAATGTCCTGATGTGCAGCGGTTCGTTGTCGCCAACGCTGCAGCGCTAAGCGTAGTATGAGGGTGTCGCGAGCCTGAGCGATCTGCTCATGGGTGGTCTGGAGAAAACGATTTGATTTGGGATAGTAATGAGAAATACAGCCAACGTACGATAATCCAGTCATATCCCTGTTTCCAGACTTCCCAACAACGCTCTACTAGTTTGTCTTCTCTAAAACGATCCGCATCCTTGAGGTCCTGCGCCTCCTTGATCTTCTTCCACGCATCATCCTCATTGATGGCGCTATTACGACGCTCTGTAGCAGTAGACACGACTGGGGGCGCTGCGGAGAATGCAGGTGACGGGGACGCGGGTCTGCTCAGGAGGCCTTTCGCTGCCAGCCGAGATAGAGCATGGGTAGCAGGACGCATGGAGGCGCCATCCCTCATCGCGGCACCGTATGAAGGAGGGATCGTGGACGGTGGGACGCTGGAGCCGCCAGTCACCTCGGAATCAGCATCGTTCCATGACGGAACATGTCGAGTAGGGACATGGGGTGTTGGTTTCGGGTAGGAAAGCGATGGAGGACCTGTATGAAGTCCCAGCGAGTTGGTAGCGGATGTCACCGCTGGGGAAAACGGTCGACGAGCAGGGCGCGGTGTGTCATGGTATTGTGGAATAGCGGTGTTATTCTCGGTAGTCTCTGGTTCTGTCGGTGGTGCCTCCGTATCGTTCAGGTGCGAATGAAGAGTGAGTGTGTCCTCGGGATCAGTCTTGACGGGACCCCTCGTCAGTCGTGTCGTAAGCCTATGGGGAGCAGGACTACCTCGCGCGACTCGCGTTGTCCGCTGGCCACCGCTAGCTGTGCCAGGAACATAGCCGTACTGCCGCTTAGTCGAGTCCCATTTGTCGCCCCAGTTCTTGCCTTTCAGAAGGCCAAGCTTCAAGAGTTTCCCATAGTACACGACCTCGTTCTGAGGATCGAGCCCGCGTTCGTGCAGGACGTCGTTGTATGCTTTGAACGCCGACAAGAATGTGGTCGACGTGGGTGGTGCACGTTGAATAACAGCATCAATGAAGTCGACCTCCTCGGGTGAAAGGCCAGCGAGTTCGGGAATGGTTGCAGTCGTCGAACGCGACTCATCGAGTATTTCGTGTGCAATGGCAGGCACGCTGGCGGCTTTGGCGGGAGACGACGCACGAGTAGGTTTGAATCGTGACATGCAAATATAGCAAATCCAGTGGTGAAGGCATCCAAGGAGCCGACCGAGGACAAGTCGCGAGAAGAGATTCGGACAGGAGCCTGGCCACACAGCAGTCGAGGACTCCCCTTTGCGGCTTCAACAAACCGTCGCGTCAAACACGTGCCGCGCGCCGGGTCTCAACGCGATCAGTCACACCGTGACCTGTCGCGTCACCGTGGCTAAGCTTGGACGCGTTGCGCTCCTTGACTTCAACTTGCCAGCCCGTCGACTGCAGCCTGTTACCTCGTACAGCCGCCAAGCTCGCTTTCATCCATTCTATTTGCATTGTTCAGGGTCTTACTACATGCTCCGCAATCGAACGAGCCTCGACACGCTCCCCTCAGAGCTCATCTGGGAAATCCTTCAGTACTGCCAATCGAGCGACAGTGCCCGTCGCATCCCGAAGCGTTATTCGTCGCTGAAGAGCATTTTGCGCGTTAACCGACGTCTGCGTGGCTTTGGGACAAGGCTCATTTTTGGAGAACTCATCTTTCCCTCGAACGACCAGTTCGTCCCCGTGCTTGGACGACGCAAGTTCGTACACAATGCCGGCGAAGTCAGGTACGCTGTGTCCACTCGCCCTCCAGATAATCTAATATCATGGCCTGAACATTAGATCTTTGCAAATTGGACGCATCACTGATGATTCCTACATGTCGGAGCCATTTGAATGGGAAGAGTTGTGTCGCTCTCTTCCCTTCCACCGTCTACAGTCTTTCAGTTGCTGGGACGTGATGGCCGATCAGCATATCCTCTCCTTGCTTTGGTCGTGTCCAGACATAACAGTTCTCGAGCTCATCTGGGACCAAATGCGGGGCCTGCCGGACTTCCGTCCTTGGCCTCGACTTGCGAAGCTGCGACTTCACTTCGCCGACTCAAACCCACCCTCCTCTTGCGTGTATCCGTCGACCTTCCCGTCCTATGACATGCTTACTACGCTGATGGTATTCGAAGAAGGGCACTCAAGCTGGCTCTGCGCGCACATCCAAGAGGCCACTTTCCCCAGGCTTCGGGTTATAAGTCTGCAGCACACCACAATTGTTCCGCAGGCGATATACCAGTTCATCCATCGTCATCCCACGCTATTGGAGGTGAACGTGTCCATGTACGACTACTACAACACCGCACTCGTCTTCGAGGGTCTTTTGAAACTGATTGATGGCACGGGCAATTGGGGCGATCCAAACGATCCAAGCAACGAGGGCGCTGTGGACATCATCGACTGTGATCCCGACGGCATACCGCCGAGCGAAACGTTCATCACCTTCACGACATTCGCCTTCAGTCGCGTCCCGCTTGCCCCCTTGGCCACGGAATGGCGAGACTGGAATGGTTCAGCTGAGCCACGGTATACGGTCACCACTCTTGCAATGGAGATCAAGGGCCAGGATGAATGGGAATACGAGGGGTTTCATGTGACCCGGCTCCATGGCTTTTTGGAGAACATGGCCCCTCGCTTTCCGAAGCTCGAGGTGCTGCGCCTGGGCTACCACACGGACTACACGGATTGGAGCTTCTGCGGATTCATGGAAGCCTGCGCAGCGAGCCTCAAGCAATGGCCCAAGTTGCGCAAGCTGGCGTTCTGCTGGGGTGACCTGCGTCAGTTCGTCTGGCGTGCAGGACAACAAATGCACAGGCTCGGCCAGGTTGAGCCTCCTGTCAACCTTCCTTACGCCTTGATGAATGAGCAATTGGACAACATCCACTCTCGATACCTTGGACTGGAGGAAGGCTTTCCGTACACCTTGGAGCATATTCGTTTGATCTACGGTCTCGGCGATGACGAAGTCGCGAAGCTCATAGAAGACATCGCGGACGTTCTCAACGAGTCTGTCTACCTCGACGAGGCGATGGACGACCCACATTTGGTGATGCGAGCGTGGCAGGGCTTTTGCGAACGCCAGTACGTTGAACCGATGATGCGTGCGTGGGCGCGGTGCTGCCCGATGCTTGAGGAGATCGAGTGGTACCCCGTCGGGCCTTTCTATGTGGATTATCCTGTTCGTTGGATGTGGAAGGTGTACAGGGAGCGTGACGGCAGGGACGTACGAAGGATGACTGGCGAACTGACTTACAAAGGGTGTCCTCGGGGCAATGCACCCCCGTTCGAGGTCCTGGTCGGGCAGGAGCTGGACAATGTCATACGACAGCAATCTACTGTTTCTTATGAATCTTGACTATTTTCATCTAGACGGTGCCGCATTCTGATTGTACTTGGACAAAGTTAATAGCACACTACTAATAAATAGGCTGCCAGTGTATGATGCGCGTCCTGTGAACCGACTGCAATCATTCCAGACCCACCTCAGGCCTCAGGCTGCAGGTCACTGCGCCCCCGACCCGCGGCCGTCTTCTCCGAGTCCATGCAAGCTCCAGACTCAACAAGGTCTCGACCGTCAGACCGGGTTCCTCCGAGGTCCCGCCTCCGGCGGTACATGGCTTCAATGTCAATCTTGCAATTGGTCCTTGGTGTCTTCCTAAGTTACTCTCTTCGGTCCCGAAGAAGCGTCGTTCGTCCAGACCAAGCTCTAGCCAGTCCTCAAAGTACCTTCATGACATAGTGCTGGTCCCTCAGGTCAAGTACCGGCCCATGGTCTAGAAATCTCTCTCTCACTACAGCTAGAAGCAACTCGGCCACGGCTCACTGCCCCTCGACCAGGGTAGACAGGTCTCTGGCCAATGCTATCCTCCGCCGTCCGCCCGAGCATGCTCCGTAGTAGTTGTATAAGTTCATCGTTGAGTGCGCCATGAACGGCAACAGCACACTCAACAACCATGGTCCAAGGTTTTACACCAGCCAAGCTTCCGCACTTCAGGGAGCCAACCATTACCCTCTTCGACGGAAGTCAGCTTCCGCAAATCGGCGCTGGGACATGGAAGCACTCTGACGAGATTGCCCCGAAGGCCATCTACACCAGTCTCCAACTCGGTTATCGACTTCTCGATGGCGCCTACGGTATGTTCCAGCTTCACTCGTATACCAACCTGCATGACTGATTTTTTCGGGGGCGGATAGATTATGGTAACGAGAAAGTTTGCGGTGAGGGCTTGAGGCGTGCCATCGCCGACGGCGTCGTAAGGCGAGAAGATGTTTGGGTCGCCTCCAAGCTCTGGCAGACGTTTCACGCGAAGGAGCACGTCCGAGCCGCCGTCAAGAAGTCCCTGGAGGACTGGGGCGTGAACTACTTTGACCTGTACTACATTCACTTCCGTATGTATCTCACTTCGTTTCACCCATCACAATACCGAGACGCTCCCCGTAGCTATCTCCCTGGCATATGTTCCCATCGAGACCCGGTATCCTCCTGGTAAGCATACGCCGTACATTCTTAGCATGGACTCATCCGATCTCGGTTTAGGCTGGTACTATGACGGCGAGAGTGAGGTCCGCCACTCACGCGTCCCGATCCGTGAGACCTGGGAAGCTCTGGAGGAACTCGTCGACGAGGGGCTCATCCGCCATCTCGGCGTGTCCAATTTCAACAGCGCGCTGCTCATGGACCTACTCAAGTACGCCCGTGTCAAGCCTGCCGTCCTCCAAATCGGTCAGTCCTCGCTGTCACATCTAGTCTCGCACCACTGACGCCGACTCTTGCAGAGATCCATCCATACAACGCTCAGCAACGCGCCGTTGCCTATGCGCAATCTGAAGGCGTTGCTGTGACGGCCTACAGCTCCTTCGGTCCGCAAGGCTTCCTCGAGATCAGGACGCCCAAGTCTCTCCACGCCACCTCGCTCTTCATGCAGCCCGTCGTCACGCAGATCGCCGACGCGCACAACAAGACGCAGGCGGAGGTCCTCCTGAAGTGGGCCATCCAGCGCGGGCTGGCGATCGTCCCCAAGGCAGACGACGTGCGCCTGCAGGAGCTGAACTTGCGCGTGGGCGAGACGAGCTGGAGGCTGGACGATGAGGAGATGGAGAGTATCAATGGACTGGATTTAGGCTTGAGGTTCAATGATCCTGCGGATGTGAGTGGACGCTGCTATTGAGCCCTGTCCGTAGCATAGTAGCTGACGGTTTCTCACAGGACTTTGAGGGCTGTCATATCTTCTCATAGTGCCGACGCTTCGCCAGGGTTCCTGTACTGATGACAACGAAGATCAGTATCGGCGTGTATCAGTACTGGTATAGGCCGCTTAATCACCGCGCGTCACATCGTTTGTAATCCAAGCCTTATGCGCTATACTTACGCATTGCCTCTATATCAGCGTACTGTGCACTCGGAACAAAGCACATTTGCGAGGCTTTACATGCTTCGTTGGTGACTCGCCGGCATCTCCTTGGGTGCAGGCTTCAAGAAGTTGATCAGCCTCGTATTGGCATACAGTTCGACTCATGGACGTCGGAGTTACCTCCCCCGGCAGACGCGGGGCAGACGCAGACAGGACAATATTCCTTCAAACCTTCCGAGTCGTGCCTCAGGGTCTCCTTGTCTGATGGCACCGTAGCACTGGACTTGGAGTCGATCAAAATGTTATTGGCAGGCCCCGCCGACTCAGAGCCCGAGGCAAGCTCTGAAGCTTAAGTGAAGTCTCATCATGACAATATTAATGTCGTTTGTATGCACGAATCGAGGAGGACTCGGATTCCCCATTGATCCGGATGGAGTCCGAGTCCGAGTCGGACGAAGACTGGGAGGAAAAGCCGTTCAGTTTGCGGTGGTCATTGACGCAGGTGAGCTCGCATGCACCAATGTATATGCTTCTGTCACTGAAGCACTGAGGCTCTAGGAGGACATAATAGTGTATAGACATACCGGTGCAGCATCAGACGGCTTCGGCCCGGACTTGGGCGGATACTCACCTCACTGGCGTGCACAGCTACAATTGGTGACCCATTACCCAACGGCGTCGAACGCCAAAACGGAAGCGCCAGGCCAGGAACTTACACCTTACACACGACTCGGTGTCCTACTGGTCACTGCATTCTGACAGTTGCAATCTTTTGTACCAACGCGACAGGATATCAAGTTCGGAATTTGGAATTTCCCGTTCTGTAGTGTGCACATCCACAAGGAGGCCAACTGTATACGTGGATGCCGCCAAAAACGGTTCGCTGATTACCTCAAACGTTCAGCTGTCACACGTTTGGTGAAATGCAGCTATGGTGAGCATGATCATCAGAACCGCCGCCGCTGAACTGCCATGTATGTCATTTGCAATGGAGAACGGTACTTCCTTCAATACCGCTGTCTTTGGCTGTCCATCAAAGGGGGACCTAGAAATACGCTCCAGCCTCCCCCTCTTACCAAGGCCCCCATGCTTCCCATGACTACCCTTGCGTACATGTCTGGACGGGTTCAGGTCACAGCCATCCTCATTCTAGCCCTCTATTCCACGCTGATAGCTGGTTCATCCGCGCCCACTTGCTACCCTGGTAGCGATACCCTTCAGTGGTACATCGATGCTGTCGGAGAGACACCGTGTAAGGATTTCGTGTCTCATAGAAATGTCATTGGCTAATCTCACTTTTTTGTAGGCGCGACTTACCAGCGGCTGCGGCAGATATGCAATAGCGATTGTATGTTGTGACTCAACCGCACAATACTGAAATCTGAACTGCTGTGCAGATACGACTCCAACATGGAGTATCGACGCCAGTACAGATCAATGTGACGACCCACTGAGTATGCCCATCATGTTTTTGCTAGCGTGTTTTGGAAAAAGGTTAATGATCGTCGACTTAGGTACTTGTTGCTGCAACTCCATCACATGGTCTGTGCGAATGTTGTGCATCAAGTACGTTCCCGACAATCCTTTCTCTTCTCGCATTGACATTGGCACTTGGCACTATCTGCGACAAGCTGCCAATGGGACGAGTTCGGTGTCAACGACCCTGGGCACACCGCCGGTACGTGTCTTATTCAGTCTGGATGTGTCACTCTTATAAATCCGGTCGTCCCAAAGGTGCGGGTGCATACTACAACTACCGATGGAGTACAGGGACTCCGAACAGTGGCACGTACTGCGGGGACGGGTACAATCAGACGTAAGGCTTAGGTCTTTGATTTTGTGAGGGCTGATGTACTCATTGTCGCATGGTCAAGATTACCGGACAGCCTCCAGCGAGCAGTTTGCGACAGGGGCATCAACCTTGCTAGCTTCTTTTACAGCGTATTTTGGCCTGATGGATCATGGTGCGTGCATTCTGCATATGATGGGTGTATAGTAATTCTACACTGACTTCACTGTCCAGGGACTTGTGAGTATCATTGCTATCGCTTTGCCAACGTCTCATCAGCCCCATTACAGCCCGACTTTTGAAACCCTCGCAAAAGGGGTTTTGGCGTCGAATAACAACCAGTCACTCGACTCTTGTGCTAACAGTACGAGTACTTCCACCGTGACCACTGTTACTATGTCAGGGACGAACACTGCAAGCATAGTACCTCCGACGAGCGCAGTCGGGGGGAAGGTAAACACTAGTACTGTAGCGGCGGTCGGTGCCACCCTTGGCGGTGCATTGGTGTTGCTTCTTGGCGCAATCATCATCTATATCAAGAAGCGGACTAGTACGGCTGAGCTTCCTCGTTCAAGCATGGACGTGACAGAGAACAAGTGGCAAGCGGACGATCCTACTGGTATCACTCCTTTCCTCGGCCAATCTCCGCATCAGCCGCCGGATGCGAGACTCTTCCGTGAGTGGCATGCCGCACCATCGGATTGATTCCTGGCTCATACTAGTGGTATCCGACTAAGATCTTACATCACCGTTGCCTGCTGCCCTTCGCGAGACAGACGTACTCCCGCATACCCCGTATTCGATGCGAGCACTGGCAGCCCCGGCTAACACAGCCGACTCGGAAGCCTCGGAGTATCCGCCCACTCGCGCAACGACCGCCCCCTGGGATAAGGAAGAGAGCGTAAGGACCAACAGTCCACCGCGCAGCGTTGACACGGGCAGAGCGATAGGAGCTGGACTACGAGAGCACGACGGGGGATACACTATACAGGAGTCGCGGTTGCCTCCGGAATACCGCACGGTGTACTCAGGCTCGGGATGAGGCACGCTCCTGAGTCGCAGATTGCATAGGAGGCTTCTCTGTTCAGGTGAGTTGTGGTCATGCCCGCGGCTGTATAGTATACTGAGATTTATGCTTAGTCCGCATACTCTCCACCGTCGTTTACTTGGAACGCTTCCTTGGCATATGTCCGAGTCGTCGTCAGCCTTTTTGCTAAATCACTCTGTCGTTATCCAAATATTCGACGCTTACGGGTCGGCACTATATCACCAGTGAGTTTAGACGCAACCGTACGCGGCTTAAGCAGAAGTTCATCGAACATACCATTCACTATCTATCATAACACACCACGGCTACATACAGAGAGGAACACATCCCTCCGTGCACCCCGAACTACACCTGGAGCCTACTTCCAGAGCGGATGCTCATCAGGGCCACCCAGCAGCAAACGACTTTCTTCATCGTCTTTCTCGCTGAATTCGCCCGACTGCAGCAACTGGTGCTCCTCCCTGTTCAGCCTCGTGAGTATGGTCCAGTTGAGCGCGGTGGCAGCGGCGCTGACAAGGACGAGGTATCCGATGGCAAAGCCGTGGCCGAGGTAGAACTTGAAGCGCGGTGCGTATCTGTACAATCCCGTGCCAACGATCGCCCCTGCATGCATGCGCGTTAGAGCTATTGGTATCAACTGAACGAGGGCAGGGCGACTCACGTTTCCGACACTGATCTGCAGCGCACACTGGCACGCGACGGCACATTTGACTCAGTCCTCGTTAACTTGAAGGCAGGCCCCGACTCACTGGAGCCCGAGGCAAGCTCTGAAACTTAAGTGAAGTCTCATCATCACAATAATAATGTCGTTTGTGTTCACGAACCGAGGACTCGGATTCCCCATTGATCCGGACGGAGTCCGAGTCCGAGCCAGACGAAGACTGGGAGGAAAAGCGGTACAGTTTGCGGTGGTCGTTGACGCAGGTGACTGAGGTGAGTTAGCATGCACCAGTGTAGTATATGCTTCTGTCACTAAAGCACTGAGCCCCTAGGAGGACAGAGTAGTGTCTAGACAGACTGGGGCAGCATCAGACGACTTCAGCACGGACTTAGACGGATACTTGCCTCAGCGTGCACAGCTGCAGTTGGCGACCTATTACGCAGCGGCGTCGAACGCCAAAACAAAGGCGCTAGGCCAGACACTTCTACCTTCAACACGACTCGGTGCCCTACTGACAGTTGCAATCTTTTGTATCACCGCGACAAGATATGAAGTTCGGAAGCGGGGATTCATCGGAATTGCCCGTTCTGTCACGGTAGTGCCACTGATATACTGCACACTGGCATGTACAAGGAGGCCAGCTGAATTCACGGATGCCGCCAGAAACGGTTCGCTGATCGCCCTTTTCAATCAGCGCTACGCCCACCCGGATACCAGTCTTTACAAGGTAAATAGTCTCAGCTATCCAAACTCGACCTACTACTACTCACGAAGAGCACAGGTTTCCCTTAAGGCTGTATCATGATTCGTGACCTTATCAACTTCTTCTGCAAGAGATACAGATACGTTGTAGTCTGTGACCTCAGACCCTCCTTTCTGAGCAGAACCGGTACGCCCTCCATAATTACACCCAACTTATAGCATATGATTCGATGGATGCAGCTCGAAGTCGTCTTTGTTCTGTCCTTATATCTGATGCTGCCAGTGGTTTGCATTTGCCAGCCTGACTGAAAGTTCAGCTGTCACACATTTGTTGCAATGCGATTATGATGAACACGATCATCGCTGGAAACGCCGAACTCAATGTTATCAACTGTCCGGCTTATGCCAGTGGATGTCATTTGCTATGGAGAACGATACTTCCTCTAATAGTACCGCTGTCTTTGGCTGTCCATTAAAGGGGGAGCTAGAAATACGCTCCAGCCTCCCCATCCTACCAAGGCCCCTATGCTTCCCATGACTACCCTTGCGTACATGTCTGGATGGGTTCAGGTCACAGCCATCCTCGTTCTAACCCTCTATTCCGCGCTGATAGCTGGTTCATCCGCGCCCACTTGCTACCCTGGTAGCGATACCCTTCAGTGGTACACCAATGCTGTCGGAGAGACACCGTGTAAGAATTTCGTGTCTCATGAAGATGTCATTGGCTCATCTCACTTTTTTGTAGGCGCGACGTACCAGCGGCTGCGGCAGATATGCAATAGCGATTGTATGTTGTAACTCAACCGCACAATACTGAAATCTGAACTGTCGCGCAGATACGACTCCAACGTGGAGTATCGACGCCTATACAGATCAATGTGACGACCCACTAAGTATGCCCATCGTGCTTTTGCTAGCGTGTTTTGGAGAAAGGTTAATAATCGTCGACTTAGGTACTTGTTGCTGCAACTCCATCACATGGTCTGTGCGAATGTTATGCATCAAGTACGTTCCCGACAATCCTTTCTCTTCTCGCATTGACATTGGCACTTGGCACTATCTGCGACAAGCTGCCAATGGGACGAGTTCGGTGTCAACGACCCTGGGCACTCCGCCGGTACGTGTCTTGGTCAGTCCGATGGATGTGTCACTCTTATAAATCCGGTCGTCCCAAAGGTGCGGGTGCATACTACAACTACCGATGGAGTACAGGGACTCCGAACAGTGGCACGTACTGCGGGGACGGGTATAATCAGACGTAAGGCTTAGGTCTTTAATTTTGTGAGGGATGATGTACTCATTGTCACATGGTCAAGATTACCGGACAGCCTCCAGCGAGCAGTTTGCGACAGGGGCATCAACCTTGCTAGCTTCTTTTATAGCGTATTTTGGCCTGATGGATCATGGTGCGTTCATTCTGCATATAATGGGTGTACAAGGCTACACTGACTTCACTGTCCAGGGACTTGTGAGTATCATTGCTAGCGCTTTCAAGTTGCCGATGTCTCATCGACTTCATTACAGCCCGACTTTTGGAACCCTCGCAAAAGGGGTTTTGGCGTCGAATAACAACCAGTCACTCGACCCCTGTACTAACAGTACGAGCACTTTCACCGTCACGACCACTGTTACTATGCCGGGGACGAAAACTGCAAGCATACCACCTCCGACGGGCGCAGTCGGGGGGAAGGTAGACACTAGTACTGTAGCGGCGGTCGGTGCCACCCTTGGCGGTGCATTGGTGTTGCTTCTTGGCGCAATCATCATCTATATTAAGAAGCGGCCTAGTACGGTTGAGCGTCCTCGTTCAAGCATGGACGTGACAGAGAACAAGCAAGCGGACGATCCTACTGGTATTACTCCTTTCCTCGGCCAATTTCCGCACGAGCCGCCGGATGCGAGACTCTTCCGTGAGTGGCATGCCGCACCATCGGGTTGATTCCTGGCTCATGCTAGTGGTACCTGACTAAGATCCTACTTCACCATTGCCTGCTGCCCTTCACGAGACAGACGCAATCCCGCATGCCCCGTATTCGATGCGAGCAGCCCGGTCAATACAGCCGAAGCCTCGGAGTATCCGCCCACTCGCACAACGACCGCCCCTTGGCAGAGCGTGGGGACCAACAGTCCACCGCGCAGCGTTGACACGAGCCCATCGCTAGGAGCTGGAATACGAGAGCACGACGGGGAATACAATATACAGGAGTCGCGGTTGCCTCCGGAATACCGCACTGTGTACTCAGGCTCGGTGTACTCAGGCTCGGGATGAGGTACGCTCCTGAGTCATGGGTTGCATCGGCTTCGCTGTTCGGTGAGTTGTGGCCAAGTCCGCGGCTGTATAACATACTTACTGAGAATGATTCTTAGTTCGCATTCTCTCCACTGTCGTTACTTGGAACGCTTCTTTGGCATATGTCGTCAGGCTTTTGGCTAGATACCTCTGTTGTTACCCATATATTCGACGCTTGCGGGTCGTTATATCCACCTGTCTTTTTTAACATTCCACGCCTACATACAGAGAGGAACACATCCGGCCGTGCACCTCGAACTACACCTGGAACTTCCAGAGCGGCGGCCGATGCTCATCACCCAGCAGCAAACGACTTTCTTCGTCGACTTTCTCGCGGAAGTCGCCCGACTGCAGCAACCGCTCCTTCTCCCTGTTCCGCCTCCGAGTATGAAGCAGTTGAGGGCGGCAGCGGCGCTGACGAGGACGTGGCCGAGGTAGAACTTGAAGCGCGGCGCGTATCTGTACAACTGCGTGCCAACGATCGCCCCTGCATGCATGCGCGTTAGAGTTATTATCAACTGAACGAAGGCAGGGCGACTCACGTTTCCGACACTGATCTGCAGCGCACACTGGCACACGACGGCACATTTGAGTAGTCCAGAGACGTTGTTCGCGGGCGATGACAGCGTGGTCGCGTGGCACGCTACTATGAGCCCTGTCCATGGCATCTGCCTACAGGAGTTGAGGGTTGTCAATCTTCCTAGTGCCGACGCTTCGCTGGGGTCCTGAACTAAGTAGTCTCAGCGAGCAGTATGGGTTATAGGATTGAGATATACACAGTAGTACTCGTATAGTTAATCACAGCGTGTCACATCGTTTGGTCACCAAGCCTTTTGCGCTATGCACATCTCGCAATAAATATCCTGTTATGACGGGAGGGTTTATTATACATTGCTGTTGAACCAGCAGGTCACAAAGAGTTTAGCACGGCCGCCACTGCAACACAGACGGTCCGGGTCAAATGATGATACATAATGCACAGGTTGGTGGTACAGTCCATGAACTGATATACAAACGCGATAGCACTGTGACAAACCTAAAATTGTACACGGAGAGCGCGCCAACTTGCGATTCGACAGGACAATATGGCACTTGACTCGGCTGGAAAGGACAGCCTCGTTAGTTCATTAATGCGCCGAGCACAAATTACTGACCCTCCTGGTTTGCTCAGCTTCTGCAAGCTGTCCTTCGTGATGACATGCCCCACCCATCATCATTGGTGGGTTCTGGTCTGTCGACTGTTCCTTGAGACAGGACAGGCGAAGATCGAGTGGTATCTGTTCTCCGGCGGTAGTGGAATCTCGATCTAGGGCAAAGGTCAGCACCAGTTCAGGGGCAGAAAGCGGCATTCGACTTACAGGCAGCTCCTCTGAATGGCTCCACCCGCTCTTCCGCTCGCGCATGACCTTCCTACCTTTCTCTATCCGTGCCAGCGCCCCTCCCCCACCGATGTCGCCGACAACACGCAGGGGCACCTGTCTACTCATCCCCAGACTGGCACAGTACTCCTTCGCGAACATGGGCTCGAGGTCGAGGTGCAGCGACGACGAAGCGAGGTCGGCGTACGGTGACGATGCCAGGCGCGACACAGGCAAGTAAAGCAGGCAGCCCATCAGCCTACGGATTTCTGGCTCGTGTTGATCGTAGAAGGGAGGGAAGAAGGCCCTCGCGTACTCTATTGCGGTGTTCTCTCCTCGTGGATCACGTATTATTGTCAGGTAGCGCAGGTAGCGGGAGCGGTGCAGGAGGAACTCGAGCGGCGATGCGCGAGCGTGGAGGAAAGATCGGTTTGTTCTGCCCATCTGCGTAGATGATTAGACACGGCTGCGATGGTTGCAGCAGATGTACTGTGTTGAATACGCACTGTAGCGCGGGGTCGATATCGTGTTCCCTGAGAGCCGTCACAATCTCATGGAGTTCCTTGAACTGACGTCGTGTAACTTGATCAATGTCAACACTAGACTCCTGATTAGATGGTAAGCATCCCTAGCTTAGAACAGCACGGCACGCACTTCGATGAAAGTCTCGGCTGTGTTGAATTGTCCCGTTCTGAGAAAGTGCAGTGCTATCGTTCTCTCCAATGCGGCGTTGGCCTCCGGTGAAGAGAATAACGGAGCATACGTTGGGAGAGTTGCTTGGAATCTCTGCTTGAGGCATCAGAATACCCCATGGCATTGGACATACACGACCCACCTTATCCAGTGCCTTCCCAATCTTATTCAGCGCATTATACACCTCCTTCTGCCGCTCGTCTACCTCCCTCTTCCTCGTCTCCACGGTCTTCGACAGGATCGTCAACGTCTCGTCCGTCGCCGTGCCGACCTGCAGCCTGTCCTTGACTTCCCGGAGCGACTGCAGGAGCGAGTCTAGGGAGTCGTTGACACTCGGGCTCTTGCCCTTCGACGACGACGAGTCTGACACCAGCTTCTGCAATCTCCCGAGCTCCTTCAGAGGGCCGTCCATGGTGAGCCAGACAGAGCGTATGCAGTGGTAGTAGCAGCTGGAACGTGGGTCGCACACGACACAAGCGGCCTTGGGACCCACAGCAGGCAGTCCAGAGGGGACGCTGAGAGCGGGACTGGGCCGACTGGCCCGGTACCCTCACGTGGACACAACGCTCGATCGCCCCGCGGAACAAGATCTCGATCTGCGACCCGTCATTTTCTCTCTACAACCTCGAGCCATGCCTCGATTCTTCACTGGCGACGAGCTCGGTTCCGTGAAGGCTATTCGTTGTTCACAAGACAGTGCAACAAAAGAGTGGAAGTCTGATGTCCAGATAATATCGAGCACGGCGAGCGACGCGAGGCCTGTTCCAGTGCAAAAGCTCGCCTTCTCTGTGGTCGGCGCAGACAGAGCAGTAAGTCGAGCAAGTGGATCGGTTACAGTGAGTTGCTGACATTGACGCGCTCAAGCGAAGTTAGCTGCAGCTCGTGGGGATGGCTCCGCATCCGTTCACCGCGTACCAGAAGGCGAAAGTGTAGTACACGCTGCCTCGCCGAGTGGAAGGACCGCGGCTCAAACCTGGACAACGTTATGTCGGCTTATCACTGTCGGAAAAGTGAGTAGTATACATCTGGTCAAGGCCCGTTGGCTGACAATCTGTCCAGCCGTGTATTCTCATGTACATCCAATGGTGCTTTGCGCTCGACGACGCTAGGTGAAGGCGATTCTGCGTTCTCAGCGCAAACGTCTGTTCTGCCAATGCGACTGTGCGAGTGGAGACTCTCACCTGATAGCCGGACTTTTGCCTATGGAGGGGACGAGGTGGAGCTGTCAGTTTGGGACACTGAAAGTGCTTTCGCTACCCGGGACAAGGCCCCTGCCGAAACCGACAGCAAAAAGAGGAAGAGGGATGACCAGCTACTCCCCGGAGAAATTGGAGAGCCAAGAATGTATGCCTAGCTACATACCCATCCACTATTACTCTATCTCATCTATCTCCCCAAGGTACCAAATGACGGTCTGAGCCTGCGGCAGCCCGTCCACAACACCTCCCTCACATACCTCCACCCTCGTCTTCCACCTCTCAGCATCATCTACTCGCTGGAACACATCACGGCCACGTACGCCGATACGACACCCGAGCGGCACGCCGTCCCGTGGCCGACTGGAAGGGCATCGGAAAAGTAGGCGGTGTCAGGATGGTCGAGAAGGGGCTCGCAGAACAGTGCGTATCCTGTCTCTTTCCTCCGAAGGACATATATTCACGCCCCCTATAGCGAGGCCTTCGTCTCAGACAACGGCTCGAACCTCTTCGCCCTCGACCTCCGCAACGGGCGTGTCATCTACGGGTACAAAAGTACGCCCTCTCGCCTCCCCCTCCCTCCCATTCACTCACATCACGTTACTCTAACAGATGTTGCCGGGCGGTGTCTCCGTCGCGGCCTCGCCTTCCCACCTCGCCTCCGTGGCGCAAGACCGCTTCCTCCGCCTGCACACCACGTTCCGCCGCCGAAGGAGCCCGGACAGCAGCAGGAGCACAAGGGCGAGGTCCTCGACAAGTTGTACATGAAGCGATCCCGACTGTCGTGGTATGGGACCAGAGCGAGGATGCTCCGCGGGCAGTGTCAGCTGACGATGAGGCAGAGGAAGAGGTGGATGACGATGACGTTTGGGAGGCGATGGAGGAGGCCGAGGACGATGAGGAAGCAGCGGGGGGAAGACGGAGAGGAAAGAAGGGCAGGACGGCGGAGTGAGGGCATCGGGGGACGTCCCTCAGGCTCACCACATTCTTGATTGTCGATAACGTAGCTTCTTCGTTCACGTACGCCCTGTGCACTTCCGTGGATCGTCCCAACGTCTCTGCCTTTCGCGACGGCACCGCTGAGCTTGGTCCGGCGGAGAGGCCGGCCATGCCCCTCAACCTTAAGAGTTACGGTAGTACTGCCACCCGACCCAGTTCGCGATCACGAAGTACGACGTCGTGGGTATCAGGAACAGGGCGAAGTACTTGTAGTGCGTGTCCCGCGCGAGCACGTCGAGGATCTGCGGTGTCCGCTCTAGCGGCCGAAGCGGTGCGGTGTTCGAACGCGCACTCACCGGAATGCCCGTGTGCGGGTAGAACGCGCTGAAGAGCGTCGCGTAGCTGCCGAGGGCGAAGAAGAGGATAGACGAGATGACGATGCAGTACCCGGTGCGCACGCTGGGCACGCTGGCCTCCGTCCTGGAACGTCAATGAGGAAGGGTCAGTATCAGTGCGGATGATAGCCCCAGGACGACCAGAATCCACTTACGTCTCGTCGTCAAGTTTCAACGGTCTGCCTCTGTCTGGCATTACTGTGAACCGTTAATTGGTAGGTACTAAGGTAGTGTTGAGTCTCGGAAGCCTCGCCCAAGCAGTCGGTCAAGTCATGAGTGACGCGGACACTTAGACACGATGGTGGTTTGACGTCAAGATTCGCTTCGTTCAGGCAGGCAGATCGATGCCAGTACTTAGATTACCGGTACCGTGGCCCGTAGCGTAGTACTTCCGCTGCATATGGAGGCGGTAAAGTACTACATAGTGAGGTGAGCTCATCCCGGCTACTTACCAGTTGCGCAGAAGCTTTGAGACTTTGCAAATCGGTGACCTTCCGTCCAATTTCAATAGCAAATGTCGATTCCAGACTTTATTACAGCGACTGTACAATATACCACAGGAACGAGCTACGTAACCGGAATAGCGGCAAATCAGCGAGAAATGTAATAAAACAAATAAAGGAAACGAGGTATACGGTGGACACGACGACGCGCCGTAAGCACCAGCAGTTCTACAGTACGCGTACAGATACACAGGTGGCCAGGGGCCACATCTCTCGTAGATGGTAATAGATAGTATAGGCTAGAAAAAAAAGAATGTCATGAGATGGGCAGCCCATGGTAGGAATTCTGACCGGAATGGCGAGGAGCTTCTACGATGTCGCCTCCAGCTCGTCGGGCGTCGGAAGCGGCAGAGGAACCGCCGCCGGGGACATGGAGACTATGGCAGGTGAGCCCGGAGACAGGGGCCCGGGCGATGCGGACAGCGGACGGAGAATACCTGCGAAGGCGTTCTCGTAGGACGGATGGCGCTGGAAGGGGTTGCGCGTGTGGGTGCGTGACACCGGGGACGCTGCAATACGTACAGAGCGACGGTTCATGCAGAGGAGGTGCATCGGCAAGCGTCAGATGATGAGCTTCTGGTGAAAACAGCATCGGAAGAATTAGCACGAACCGAGGGACCCAGACCCGATAAGCTTGAATGGGTACGCAGGCGTAGCGCTGTCTCTCCGCATCTCATCGGCGGCATCGCTCAAGGAGACACCGAGCCCCTCCTGGTGCGACGTGCTCAAGCTGGAGGAGGCACGGTAGAAGAAGGTGTGTGCGGCGCTGCCGTTGCTCGCGCGAAGGATGGGCGAAGTGGGCGGGAAGTAGAAACTCGACGACTGAAGGATGGAGAGGAACTCCTCCAGAGCTTCGGACGGCGCCGACCTAGACAAAGAGTCGCGATGTTCAGCTATGCTCTGCTCAAACGTACCGGAGACTCATCGGCAGATCGGAAGCGATCGCGTCCTGCGGGAGGAGAGGTCAGGGAGGGAGACATACCGGGGAGAGGCACGAGGAGATACAGGTTCCCTCTCTGCAGGCTCGGTGGGTTTCATGATGTCGTCCTGCGTCTGGAAGACATCGTCGCCCAATTTGAGGCGATCGACGCCATCGGCGACAAGGCGCATGCCAGCCATGCGGGTTTGGGGACGATTGAGGGCGCCTTGGAAGGGGGAGAAAGGAGGGGCTGCGGTGGGGGCTGCGAGCCGCACTGGGCGGGGAGCGACGAGAACGAAGTTGTCGGCATTAGAGGACATGGTAGGGATGGTGTTATACAAGCAGAGCGGGAATACGGTAGGTAATGGCGGCAGCGGTACGCGTCCAAGGCCAACCTCGTCAGCGCCGATGCGGCTCCTCGGATCGACGCTGGCGGTGGCTGTCCTGTTTGACCTGTTTGGCGCGCGTGCCATGTGCGCGCCTGGGAGCGGGCGCTAGCAGTCCTCCTGACTGCCGCCACATTCTGGACCTCTCGCCGAACGGCACAGAACACGCTCCTCCGTTCCTCCGAGCTACTGTGACTGCGTGCCTCTCTCTCCACCCACCGCTTGTGTTCAGAAAAAATCAATTGGAAAAAATGAGCAGTGCGAGAGGCGAGCACACGCCTACGCAGATCGTCGGTCACCTTGTGGTGCACAAGTTACACCGACGTCGCTGCAGGGCGTACCCGCACTTCCGAGCCAGGCAAGAAGAGCGTTCCCGCGCATTGCAGAGTACCGGCTTCTCCTTGTTTATAGACGTAAACGATTACATCCGTCATCAGAATCGCCATCTCCATAATTCAGCGTCATTGGCTAGGCAGCTATAAGTGCCTCACCTTTTCTTGGTGCGTGTAGCTCCCGCACGGCCGACCTCCCCCCGCTCAGTGCAGCCATGGCGTCTCTCAAAGCCGGTCCCTCGAGTGAGTCCGCGCAAAGCGAGGCAACGCGACGGCTTTTCGACGACCAAGATGCCGGAGACAGTCATGGCGCCCTCGAGGAACAAAAGTTCGAGTATGAAGACGCCCCCAAGCGCGTTACGCCCTTGCCGAGGGCCCAGCTGGCTACGCTATGTGCTATCAGGCTGGTCGACCCGATCGCCTTCACGCAGATTTTCCCTTATGTCAATGAGATGATGGAACGCCTGCACCTAACGAACGACCCCTCACAAATCGGCTTCTACAGCGGTATAGTAGAGAGCAGCTTTGCCGTGTCGCAGCTGTGTTGTATCTACAATTGGGCACAACTATCCGGTACGCCGACGCTCGCAGCTGAACATGGTTTTGGACCGTTGCTCATAATTCCCTCAGACAAAATAGGCCGTCGTCCGGTTGTCTTGACTGGCATACTGGGCATCGGCCTGTCTACTATGATCCTTGGCACTGCGCACAACCTAGCTGGTATCCTACTGGCTCGATGTGTAGGTATGTAACTGCCATATGTTACCGCTCGTGGCATGTTCTCAACACCTCGCAGCTGGTATCTTCTCTGGCAACATCGCGGTTATCCACTCTGTACTCGGCGAAATTACCGACTCAACCAACCAGGCAATAGCCTTCCCCATTTACGGGCTCTTCTGGCCCCTTGGTGCCATCATCGGTCCCCTACTAGGCGGCACCTTCTCCAACCCCGCCGACCGCTTCCCAAGTTTATTCGACTACGACTTCCTCAGAGAGTACCCCTACTTCCTGCCATGCTTCGTTGCAGGCTGTCTCTCCATCTGCGGAGCCCTGCTGGTATACCTCTTCCTTGAAGAGGTGCGTACATGCGACTCGCTAGTCACCCGAAGCCTCGCTGATGTCCCCGCGCAGACACTGCCCAGCAAGCGCAACAGAGGGGATTGCGTACCGATGCGGCAGGTAGGGTCTGAGCACAGGAGCGCCGATCCGGAGAAGCCGCCACAACCTGCTGGCATCCGGTATCTGCTGTCAATCCCGCTGATCAAGGCGCTCTGCTTCAGCGGCTTCGCGCTGGCATTCCTGTGAGCCCCGTGCGCCCGCCTTCGCCCGCGGCCATCATACTCACTGACGTCCGCCCCACCCCAGCAATACCGGCTTCGACGTAACCTTCGGTACGTTCTGCTGTTGGTGGCTAGACGCGCGGAGCCGCGAGCTGACGCGCTTCGTTGCGCAGTCCTCTTCTCCTACTCCGCAATCGAGCGCGGTGGGCTCAACTTCCAGGTCAGTCTCCCTCCCACCGTATCCCGGTCCCCTATCGTTCTCCCGACATTCCCCCGCTGACCCGTGCACCCCAGACGCACCAGATCGGCTATGCGCTCGCGATGTCCGGCGTCGCATCGGTGCTGCTCCAGCTGTTCTTCATGCCGTACCTCCTGAGGCGCTTCGACCACGCGCGGATGTACAACGTCTGCATGGCGATTTGGCCCTTCTGCTACGTGCTGATGCCTGGGCTGAACATCATCGCGCGCGCGGGCATCGACGAGGCGACGGGCGAGCCGAGCGATGCCGCGAGGGCGTTCATCTGGATGGGCATCGCTGGGCTGCTGTTGACCGCGAGGACGGCTTGCTTGGCGTATTCGTGAGTTGTTCGACTTCGGCGGCGGCGCCGAGGCTTAACAGATGAGAACTGATGCGTGCTGTCGCGTCAGTGTGAGCATGATCCTCGTGAAGGAAGCCGCCCCCCACCCATCGGCGCTGGGCTCCACAAACGGCCTCGCCCAGTTTTTCATGGTGCGTTCCCCCCTCGTCCGCAACGGTCCTCTGACCGACCCATACTCAAGTGCTTCGCGCGGTCCTTCGCCCCCGCCTTCACGAGCTCCCTCTTCGCGTTCTCCAACGGCTTCGACTTCTTCCTCCTCCGGTACCTCTGGGTGCTCGTCATGGCCGTCCTCTCCTTCCTCGGCACGACGCTCTCGCGCCGTATCGCGGAGGGCCGCCCTGCGCGCCCCACCCCGAAGTAGAGCCTTCCGTACATCATCCACCACATTTTGTTGGTGTAGGTAGACTCACACTTTCTCGTCAGGGTCGTACAAGAAGCATGGCCTTCACCACCATACATGATGTAGACGACATCCCATCCACGAATCTCTTCCCCCCTTTCCTCATCGCATCTGTACTAGACAACGTGCACGCATGTTCTTTCTTCCATACATCTCATCCTTGTGGTCTGTTGTATCCTTTTTCTTTGTGTACTAGACACTTGCTATCGAGTTAATCCAAGGCATGTAGCGAGTCTTTGCCGTATGTGATGATCGATTACAGCGACATGGTGAGGATCGACGGTGCGACGCCTCACCTGAGCAACTCGAAGAGCCCACTGTATCTCGCACGATGATATGTAGAACTGAGTGGGTGCGTATTGTGATTTGGAGAGTCACCACAAACGGCTGAGCGAACGCGAAGATGCATCAAAATAACTAGCGCATAACAAGCCATGTAGATAACAGTACAACGTGTCGAATCTCACAGCTTGGACGATGCAGGGAGAGGCAGAGCGTAGAGAGCGTCCAGCTCTTTCTTATATGCCTCGTACGTCTCCTTCCTGTGGCAAAAGTCAGCAATGGTCATGGAGTCTAGACGAGTGATTGAAGTCGCACCGCTTGATCTTGAACGTCGGTGTCAGGCAACCGTTCTCGACGGTGAACGGCTCCATGGTGAGGTGGATGCGCTTGACCTGTTCGAAGCTACGGGCATTTCTCGAGTAAGTCCCTTGATGCGGTCACGGGGCGATCCACCTACCCCTTCAGCTTGTTCTCCTGCGCAGTCTTCGTGAGCTCCGAGAGGATAGCAGCGTTGACCTTGGGATCGCTGAGCGACTCCTCCAGCGCCGGGATGTCACTCGATGACACATGCCGGCCCATCTTCGACAGGAGTTTGACAGGAGGACAGGGTCGGGCACGGCGACGGCGAGGAGGTACGACTGCAGCGAGTCGCCGTGCACGAAGATCTGCGCGACGAGCGGACATGAGCTGTAGACATTCTCGATATTCTCGAGCGCGACGTATTCGCCCTGCGCCAGCTTCATGATGTTCTAAAAAACCGTTCGTGAGATTTATTTCGAATACGTCGCGGCATCATTCAGCGTGCTCTTACCTTGACGCGATCGATGATTTTCAGTCTGCCATGCTGGTCCATGAGGCCGACATCACCGGTGTGAACCCACCCGTCCGCGTCGATAGTAGCCTTCGTGTTCTTCTCATCTATACCAAGCGTCAGCATCCCACGGACATTTATCCACTTGTGCCGCCGAACCTTTGTAGTAGCCCTTGAAAGCGTGGTCACCTCTGAAGCAGATCTCGCCTCGTGGGGATGGCTTGTCCTCGGAGAAGTAGCCCATCGACGGAACGTCAATCAGCTTAATCTCCGTGTTGGCGAGCGGCGGCCCAACTGTGCCGCCGGAGGAAGGATCATACTGCCATACGTGCGTGCAGGTGCCGCCATTCTCAGTCATGCCATACCTGGAGTGCGCCCGCCGTCAACATCGAACATGGTACCTAGAATTTTTCTCTTACCCTACGGATCCAGACAGTCATCAGTACAACGGCAACATCATAATGGAGAGAAATGAATACCTTCAAGCAGGTCGCATCCAATCGCCATCCGGAGGAAGTCCATGGCGGCGGCGCTAATGGAGCAGACCCACAGACATGAGTTGGACCCTACCGCCGAACACGGCAGCAACCTATCCCCGTCCGAAGTAAGGCACACGTCGCGAGCATAAACGACGGGCACTAACCTTGCTGAAAACCAGGCGATCATAGAGGGCATGTGTCCGCTGTCCAGTGGCGTGCAGCTGTTGTAGTTTTACCTCCGTCGCGCGTCTGAAGAGCACGCCCTTCAAGCCGGGTGCCGAAGCGTTGGCCATCGCCGCCTGGTACACCCGGTTCAGCACGCGAGGAACAGTGGCGACGAAGGTCGGCTTGAGGATCTGCATGTCCTCAAGCAGTCTCAGCGGGTCGCCTGTTGAGTACCCGATACGCCCGCCCATAGCAAGGTTGCAAAGCGCCATTACACGCTGGAAATGATGAGGATCAGATCGAGCCGGCCTCTGTTGACTACGGAGACAGTCATTGTGCGTACCTCATAGATGTGTGCCAAGGGCAGGTAGGAAATGGCACAGATGTCACCATCTGGGACGTACCCACTCAGCTGGGCGTGGACGGCGTTGGCGAGATTGCCATGGGTCAACAATGCGCCTTGATCGGGCTCAGTACTCTTTCCCGCGCCGCCCAAGGAAAAGTATCCTTACCTTTGGGATTGCCAGTCGTGCCCTACCGGTGAATTAGCCACACTTCCCCGCACAGTTGACAGATGGGTAGCTTACCGAGGTATAGCAGATCGTGGCAAGTTGGTCCGGTCTGGACTTGACAGGCTCGACCAGATCAGCTGCACCTATCGCTTCCACTATGTTGGGGCGGCAAGGTCAATGCGCAAGCGAATAGTGGCCCAGTTGACGTCATGCACGTACAGTCAAACAAATCCAGGACTTGTACTTTCTTATCCTTGCCCCATGCAACGAGGATGTTCTTGCTCTCGGTTGGGATGTCATCCATGATAACCACCATCTTCATTCCGGGAACACTGGGCGCGACATTCAACAAGAATTGCACGTGGTCTGATGTAGCGAAGACGACAGTTGTTTCTGCATGGTTGATTCTGCATCTCCATTGAACACAAGCCCTTACGGTATGGCTCGCCCACTCACATGTACTCTGACGAACACGCGAATGATCGTCCAAGTCAAGCGCAGTGCAAACACGGGATCGTATCGCTCACCGACTGCATCCTTCCCCAGCGTGTCATACAACGCGACACCTACCTTTGCATATGCATGCAGGGCCATATCCACGAGTTGCCATTCTTCTCCGCCATGAGACGAATGAGAGCTACAGTTCAGTGGTACCAGACGCACCAGGGGAATTCTTGCTCCAGATACCAACTGTCTCCAGTTGTCCGCCGCCCAGTGTCCCCTTCTTGAACAGACTATGGAGGGCACTGCCGATTGCTCGTCTCCGCGCGTCGATCCGAGGCCAAGACTCCCATTCATAACGATCCGCGAACTTGAGAGGCTCCTTGGAGACGAGGGGACGCCGGCCAAACACCGGGCCTCCTTTCGATCTGCGCAGACCCTCCTCGAAGATCTCCCAGCATGTCGTGAGAGCGCCAGGAGAATCCAGGGTCATGAATGGGTACGCGGCTGGATCACAGTCCTATGTATAACCCTCTCGCGTCATAGTACAAGGAAGCACCTACTTGAGCGGTAGTGTCCTGGAAGAGACATGTCACCAAATGCTACGCGTCCGAGTTGCGGCCGTTTACGTACCTGTCTGCCCAGGTTTCCTGGTGCCCGGTACCTCGACGGCTTGCCGCGAGTAATCCGGATTCGTCGGAAACGAGATCGGTAAGTGGTACTCGGGCATGATAGCAGGAAGTAACTGAGAGGCTGCGGGGCCGTCTGGGGTAGAAAGAGAGAGCAGCAGATGACGGTCGGACGTAAGGACATGAGTGGGTTGTAGTGCAATATACTGGGCGTGATGCCGGGACCCTTGAACCGGGGGGACCAACACTCGGATCACATGAAAACGCGCATAGCGTGTTCCCCGCGCCACCCGAGTTCGTCATCCTCCTCCTCTCCTCTCTTCCTCGCATATTTCCTCTGTCGAAACAATGCTATTGAGGACCAGAACACGCTGCTAATTCTTCAGAATTGTCTGAGCAACAGACGACGTTCCCTATCCAAACTACAAGTATGCATGCATGCCCCACAGTGTCCGACCGTCCGTGTATGGTGGGCCGGTGCGGCGCGCGGATCATCGTGCCCCGCACCATAACAATGTGACCTTCTAGTGCCTCCGCGATGTCTGCTGTGATTTCTGTTCTCCTGAGCACTTGCCATACACGAGCAAAAACACCTGAACCAAGGTCACGATGGCCTGGTCGCAGTTCAAACCATTCAAAGACCGAACATATTGACTATGAATTTGATGCACTTGACTCGCCCCCGAGACCATCCGGCGAAATGCGCGTAAACAGCTGCCAGTGCACGATGGCAGATTGCGGCCGCTGGTCCGGGATAGTCTAACGGAGAACACGTAAGCATGTGTCCGAGGAACTCGGAGAGTGATATCATCCGCTAAGGGCCAATGCAAAGCCCGATGCTACAACTAGTACAATACATATATCGTTACAGCACTGAAGAACGCCTCGACAGATCACTGCTATACAGACACAGAACTCCCGGGAACTCGTCTCTCGTCATTACGGCATGCTTAGAACAATCTGTCGGCGGAACAAGTCAGAGGTGCGGAAATAGGATGCGACATGAGACGAACCCTCATGAAGTCGTCGTAGTTCAGTTGCACATAGCCGTCCCTGTCTGTGTCGGCCCTAATAATAGATAAGGCTATGGGCATAACACGAGTATGGGTGACGTCAACATACCTCTGGAAGGATTCCGAGAGCGACTTCACGACGACGCATGCACGGACGAATCGATCGAACGTAATGCCAGGCGGTGGTCCGTAACCGCCCACAGGTGCAGACGCTGTGATGACATGACAGAGTCGTGAGACGGTTCTCGCTGACAGAACGGCCACTAGGAGACACACCATATTTCTGCTCGATGAGTGTAAGGATGGAAGGCGAGAGATTGTAACCAAAGCTACGCAGTGCTTCGGCGAGTTCGTAGCCTTCTATAGAACCAGAACGATCCCTGTCGAAGTGCCTGAACACGCCCTGCCATTCTTGGATATATCGCCATAGGCCACAGAACTCTGTGCCTGTGGTGAGATACGGTTCTTGATGCGTTCTATGCTCGACTGACCATTAAACCCAATCGTCCCGCTTCGATCGACATCCTGAACGACTTTCTCAGCAACGGCTGCTGCCGCCGAGCGGAAATGGGGTACTCACAAACATAGTCATCAACATCTTCACGGTGTCGAGATCAAATTCTACAAGGATAGTTCCCGTTAACAAACCCACGCTCGATGCCGGCGTCGACCCTGAGTCTGAAGGTTCTAACTGTGCATAAATGACACTCACTCGACCAATCGCCTGATCGCATAACATAACGGCACGATCCTGATTAGCGCAGCTCCATTCACGATGTAGAATGTTTCTACGCACCATTTACGAGAGCGTTCTGCAGCTCGTGCACTACGATAGCTCCCGAATGCGTCGTGTTCACTGCACTGAACCACTGCCAAAGCTGAGGATCCGCCCCAGCAGGAGCGACCGGTGTAATGGCGCGATCGCCATAGCCGCCACTGTAGCCGCTGCTGTAGGACGGTGTGGCCGACAGGGTGCTTCTCTGTAGGATACGGAGGGCGTATGGTTCCGATGGTTATGATGGTGGTGGTGACTATGGTTTGAGTGTATGGACATGGTGGACGGTGGTAGAGCGGGTGTCGAGAAGCGCTGGATGAAGATGGTACGGCGAGGACCACACTCCCTCCGAGTCGGTGCCTTATAGGGCGTCTCGGCGGTTCTGCCATGGAGTCAGAATCGTCCGGTTGGCGATGCCGCGGGCGGTGTGCAGTAGATAGTGCACAGCACCGACGCTGAGCGGGGCACATTGCTCTGCCTCCATTGATCGCAGTGACACGCGGCATCGCGCAGCCAAGTATGTGCAGCAGCACAGCCGAGGAGTGTCCCAGAACAGTTCAGAAATAATGCGCAGCGAGAATAGTGCCATAAAATTGTATGATGGGTCCAAGAGCGGGAGTACAGCGGGCTGCGTGCCTCCGAATCGACCAGCTCAGGCATCTCTGCTCGAGCCCGCAATTACAGCGTCGACATCGAGAAGCGCTCAGGGCGGCATTTCAGTCAATCACAAGACCACGTGAGGTCCGGCAACTTAGACGGGCGTCTGCGGAGCCTGTGGCTGGCCGTCCGTGCGCCCCGCACTCGAATGGCAGGCCAGCGGTATTCTGCGCATGCACCATGTCCTCCCAATATTTGAAGGCAGTGATTTTCGACGTACGCTTCATCGAATGTCCGATGTTGCTTCTGACGGTGCAGATTCTGACCTTGAGATCTTCCAGGTCGGCGGCGTCGTATGCCGTAGCCCCCTCCTTGCCATCTCCGCCTATGAGAGAGAGCATGGAATCCCAAACAATTACATCAACTGTGCAATGTAGCCACCGTGGACATCTTCTGGAAATGTGGTGCGCATACTAAACAGTGTTGTTCTCAGAACCGGGCGAGGCGCACATGGCGCCTGGCAGAAATTCGAGCGAGGTGAAATGCCCTTGTTCTCGTTCTACGGGGCGTTTGGGCGCGAACTATCGGACACTACCGTGAACAACGTTTGGTATGCGGAGTACTGCAAGCGGAAGGGTTTTGGTAATTCTCTGGTGTTAGTGGCGCATCACAACTTCCGAGAATGTTGATCCTTCGCCTCGACAGAGTGTCCCAGGCTCCCCGAGTCGCTCAATATTAATGGAAGAGAGGTGAGGACCAGGAGCTGCCCTCTGCCGATGACTCAATCGGCCCCTCAGCTGTTTGGTCGCATGATGCGCGAAAGTGGAGCGTTCGACGACGTAGTGGTCAAGGCCATTCACCGTATTAGAGGCTGGTACCTTCCGCCCTGCACTCCTTTGGGTAGGCCTGTTGACTGACTCGACTTGAGACACAATCAGGCGTTGGCAGATGGCGTGTCATCGCGCTCACGAACAACTTCTCGAAAGCCGACGCTGACAGCATCGGGGAAGCACTCCCGTCGGCGGAGGAGCATCCCGACTTTACCGTAGAATCAGAGCTCGCATTCCTAGGCTGGGAGGAAGGCCCGACCCCCCCTCGACTGCGGGCTTTGTTCGATGATTTCTGCGACTCCAGTACTCTGGGAATGAGGTCCGGGCCTCTGGCGTCCACTGCGGTAACGACGATCATTCACATATCTCACAGGAAACCGGAACCTGAAATTTATCTCCTGGCCTGCAAGAGAAATGGGATACAGCCACACGAAGCCGTCTTTCTAGACGACCTCGGGATGTGAGTGGGCCGTGTGGGCATGCTTACGCATACCGCCTTACAAGCGAAACTGTAGGAACCTCAAAGTAGCTCAGACGCTTGGAATGGAGACGATCCGTGAGTGAACTCGGTGGTCCTTCGATCGCTTGTACCTCAGTAAATCCAATCGGATGCCATACTTACCGCGAGTCCTCCCACAGACGTGCCCATTGGGAAATCGTTCGGCGCGATCAGAGTGTTGGAGGAAAAGTTGGGCATCGACCTGACTGGTGACGGTGAAGGTGCCAGCCAAGTATCTCACAAACTCTAGCAATTGGTCATCTTGTTGCCCTTGTCGTGTAGACCGTATGCTGCGCAAGACACATATCGGAGAGCTATGTGTTTCAGGACCAAATGCTAAATCTATTCGCATTGCGGGTAAGAATACGGCTCTAGAACGGCTTGTCCGAGGCGGGGATCTTGTCTTGCCAATATCCGCCTACCTAAAGCCGACTTGAGCTGCCGGGCCGAAGGAGAGACGTTGAAGAATGTCATACTCACCACAGGCAACTTGGAAAGGAATTCGCGTTTTACCAACGGCGTCACGGAGAGAAGCTAAGGCGGCACGACCGTCGGCTTTTCAGTACAGAAGAAAGTTCGCATCATAGACTACGCACGTATAGTGCCGTGATCCCTGCGCCAGCGCCCCAAAGGCCCATGCTGGTTCCCCAGCGGCGCACAAACTGGGACCAGATTCAACGTAAACGACGTGTCGGTGCGATACAGCGCGCGAGAATACGTACAGTGAGGGGCCGCTTGTGCTCGGGCTCTACGTGCAAAGAGTAGCGAGACATGACTCGAGGGTGCGGATGAGGTTGTCGCGGTGGGACGAAGTATAGAAGAGATCGTTGTCGTGGTCGGGACTCGGGCAGAGCGGCCGTGCCCGGGCAAACAGCGGCTACGAGCACGTGCGGCGTTGGGTCGCAGCCGACATCGCGCGGGTCCGTTGGCGCCCAGAACTCGGAGACCCTTGGTTCTGCACTTGATCGTCCTCGGTCAACTTCTACCACACTTCGCTGAGATAGTCCAGTCAGGTTCTATCGGGCTCTGCTTCTAGTCGGCTTGCTATCCTGCGCACTCCCGCCGGATCAGCAGCTCTTTCCGAGGCTCACAGTACAGCGAAAATGGCAAATCCGCGACAGAGGAGAAAATCGCGCTCGGGATCCTACAAGCCGGTCCACCATTCTCGTAGTGCGAAAAAGAATCTCAACAAACAACCACGTCCGTGGGTCTGCAGTGTTAATTGTGATGGGCTGTAGATATTAACACCGCGGCAGCAATACGCGCCCCTAAAGTCCTTCAGGACGCTTGGGATAAGCACAAAACCGTCCGACAAAAGTGAGTTTGCCGTGCGCCTCAGTGACGACATGGAATACCGGACCTGACCTGCGTGGAAGCTACGAAGCTCTAGGCCTCATTGCGTCCCTGAACCCTACACCATCAGGAGGCGTCGAGCAGCCTGCGAACCATACCGGCAACTCCCAGGGTGCGAGTGCGTCGGCCCCACCAGAAGCATCCACCTCTCAGCAAGTAGCGGACGCTCATACGAGTGTCCCCAGTATCCCCAAAGGCTATGGCCGCATTGTCCGAGATGAAAACGGGGACGTTGTCGACGTTTTGCTACCGGAAGAAGAGGAACTTGCTCCTGCCGATGAGATAATGGAGGAGGTCCCAGATCCTTCGCATGACGAACAGTTAGCACCCTGGGTCGAACTAGGTTCGGCCACGAAGCCGGGTGCATCGAAAGTTCCGGCGACACATGCTGTTCGAGGTGAGTGTTACTTGTCCGGGACCTTCATTTTTATTGATTGCAATTCCTTTGCACGCATTATTGACGCTGGCTGACGGTCAATCACGGGGCCAATCTACAGCGCTGGAAGCGATCTCCCAAGAGCGTAGCGCTCGCCCGCCCAGAACTACGTCTACCGGGGAGCAGGCTATCCTCCGACGTCTCGTTTGCAAACATGGCGAAGATGTGCAAGCAATGGCGAAGGATAGGAAATTAAATCCCGACCAGCGCACTGCGGGTGAACTGAGCCGTGCTGTACGGAAGGCCGGAGGGTTTGCGCAGCTCAGAGAGATATGAGCACTAGATAGACACGTGTATACCAGGAAAAGGGCGTTGGGGTTGAATGCAGACGGTCTGTCTTCTGGCTTCCCTGTTTAGATCCGTCAGGGAAGATGTCGGCGCGCTGGAGTTAGATATAGACCGTATGCATCCCACAAGCCACGACATATACACTTCGGCGCAGCCAGAAGGCCGTGCTCTCCTGGTCGTTAGGACCGGAGCCGGTTGACGATCATTAGGATGCGAGAGCCAACGCTGCGCGTCCGCGAAAGCTTCGACAAATGGCCACAGCAGACGCTGGGGCATTAGCCGACTTGCGGCAGTCACCGAGTGAGCTCCGCGAGCATGCCAATGTCCATAAATCAATTCCAAGGGCGTTGTTTTTTGACATTGCCTGCCGTGTTGTAAGTGCTATCCGTGCTGGCACTAACATGCGTGGCTTGCGGCTCGAGGTTGCGACGTGGTATCATAGGAAGTGTCAGAAGCGAAGACAAAGTCGTGTCAGTGCTGAATGTTTGCCTTCGTAGGGTAGAACGCGTCGCGGGAGTCGTCGACACCGTGCTCGATTAACTCCTCGGAGAGCCGAATGATGCGTACCACGACCCCCTGTAGACGGATATGCGCACCCCTAATCGGAGTGGTGCGTGGTATTCGCGATCTGCATGCAATGGGGTCGATGCGGCTGAGCTAGGAAGGACAGGCCACCGCCAAAGAAGGTATGCAGGCCCTACGATTCGGCAACAATATCTGATGCAGTTGGGTATTTGAAACCACGCTGTGACTGGTGGCACAAACCTACAACGGGCAGATAGAGTAATGAGGGTCAGGGAAGGTGGCCATGGCCAGCCAATCCCCGCCCCGTCCAAGAGCGGAGCGTGGTCTTGGTGCTGACCAGCCCGTCGGACGCCCATCACCAGCAAATGGTTTCCCAAATGCTATCCAAGGTGCGAATCTCCCAAGCCGCCGGGGTTCTGAGATGTCTCGCGTTTCATGGATGTATGGAAGGTCACTCGTCGAGAAATCCCATTCTGGGGGACATCAACTTCTATGACTTTGTGTCGATGCCTTTGGAGCCCTCGCTCCGTCACCTATAAAGCACTTGCGTTTCAAGGCCTCCGGTGTTCTTCCCGCATCGCAATCACCAGCTCGCCCACTGTTGTGGTCACCCCAAGATGTCTCCGAGGCCCCCAACAAGCAGATCATCCTCTACCTCGCCCCGTCCGTCCAAGCGAGTGCCCGGACAGCCTAAGTCTACGCGCCAACAGTATAGCGGTGGGCATGTTTCATGATCTAATCATCTTAGTATCTGATGGTCGACTAGCATGTGGTGCATGTCGTATGAGAAGGTTTGCATAGTGCTGACGCATCGCGGTGTGTCATCTACTAACAACGATGATTCAGAGTTCGATGTGACCTGAAGGATCTACCTATCTCGCCAACGGGGCAACACCCTCCCTGCTCCAACTGCAACGAACGAGGCCTGAAATGCGTGTAAGTCTCGACTGTGTGACATCGTGGGAGGATTACTGATCTTGTCTGGCATTCAGAGACGAGTTTGCGGAGGTCAAAGCTGTCAAACTTCTACGACGCGGTAGGCGCCTACAACAAGTCGAGTACGTCTCCCGACTTGCATTGGCCAGCTCGAGCTAATTCCATCTCCGTAGGGCTGTTTACGGGCAGAATGCTGGGAGGAGGGCTCACTACATTCCATCACACCACCCCGGAGCGTCATTCCTCGTTGCGACCTGAGTTCTTCAACTCGCCTTTCTTTCACCGGTTCCACACACAGCGTGAGCGACAAGACTTACCTAGCCTTATCGCCGTTGGCCTCTGACACTACCCATTAATAGGTCCGATATTGGAACCTGTTGATTTTGCAACAGGTACTACGAATTCTGCAAGGGAAATAGGGACCAGCTGCACGCACCTGGGCAGCTTATCGCACTCGTCCTCGTATTTGGGCAGCGAGCTTTGGTGTCAACGAATACGGCGTAGAGGAGCTTTACGACGGCCAAATAAATCCGCGTCGCAGAAGGGACCGCATCAATGAGATGGTCCAGGAAGTCTTATTTCTCATCGATATCCACAGCATTCTGAGGAACCATCATGGGATGGCGTGAGGGCTCTCCTCCTGATCCTCCCGCTTACGCAGGGTGGGTACAATGCCCAGCTTTGTAAGGATGGTGCTGACGGCGTGGCTGATATAGAGGTGCAATCTCCCATGGAACGACTGGTGAGCACATGTGAATATGAGTCGCAAGGCATTTTGCTCACTGACGGTTATTAGGCTATGTACGAAGCTACCATCAGCCAGGCGTACACACTGTGTAGCTTGTCTTCCGTGTCTTCCGTCAACAGCGGCCATGGTGAATACGTAGACGCCCTCGTGCGTGCACGAATCTTCTGGTGCGCTCACGTCATCGACGGCGTTACATGTGGTCTGCGCGGAGGCAGGATCCTGCTGTGAGCACAGTCATTGGTCCGCTATTGAGATCTTAGCTTGACAGCGAAGCACGTATGCTTATAGCACGGATGACGATCTGGCCTCCTTCGAGACAACGCTTCCGCCGACAACAGAGAGCTCTGGCAGCTCGTCACTCTATACATTCTCCTATCGCCTTGCCACCGCTCCTATCAGAATCGCGTCCGTCTGCCGCGAGATTCACGCGGCACTTACGGGACCCAAGGCGCGCCAAGGTCGTGAGATCGACGAGGACAAGCTCCATGACGCTTGGGAGACACTTGACCAGTGCTGGAAGGACTTCGATGGCCTTCGGCACCTCGGCACGGATGGCTTCGTCCAGGCGGGAGATATTGAAAGGTTTGTCGATGGCTGGCAGGTGAGAGCTTCACGCCTTATCCGGTCACGTTCGAACCCAGCTCACCGTCGCATCCAGATATTCATTTTCGAGTGCCGTAAGTCATCTTCACTGCTTATTCTCCGCAGGGTCATTGACCAGTGGGATCCTACTACTAGACAACGTTGTCCGCGAAGCATTGAAGCAACGCCTCGTTGCACGCCCCACCCCTGAGGCACCGCTTTTCCCCGAAGCACAACCAGCTGGTCGGACGCGGGACTTCGAGACGATTTCCCGTCTGCACGCGAAAGCAGGGGCGAAATGCCAGACCATAGTCCGTCACGTCGTCCAGATACTTCGACGAAACCTGGGCACCCACTTCTTCCAGTTCGACGCTGCCTTCATACGCGACGGTTGCTTCTTTGCTGGCTTCCTTCTTGCTGGTGAAGGCGGAAACACCGAGGACATCGAAACATGTCTGCAAGCACTCACGAGATGCGTTGGACGTTCTCAAAGTGTGAAGAGCGGGAGCAGACGGTGAGGATGATATGGGAGTCCAGGACGAGCCAGGGCCGCAGCCGCAGCTTCACGAACGGCCCTAACGAGGACGGCCTTCGTCCACTATCGCCGAGTATCCGTACGCCAGACGTCCCTTGCGCGACCTATCAGCGTGCCCCCTCTATCACTCTCACTTTCTACCGTTTCTTGGGGGGTCCATCATCCGCGCCGAGCACAGCCTGTTCGAACGATCCGTGGCCCTTGAGCGCTTCGCCGAGTAGCTCTGGTACGGGTATGTACGAGGGATCGGTATCGTCCGACCGCGCGTCCCCAACGTCACCGTTCTCCCACCACGCTCCGGAAGGACTATCCCTCGACAACGTCCATCAGAAGGCTGCCTTGGTCAGCAACCCGTCGCTGTCGTTCGAAGGCGCGAGCCACGCACGCGGTGCAGAGTCGGGATTGGACGTCTTCTACTGGCAAGCCTACCCAAATTACGGCTCCAGCAGTGAGACGCTGGCAGGCAGCCAGCACGTTTCATCCACCGGGCTCCTACCGGGTGCCGCTGACTCGGATTTCACGTCCGCGCATTACTTCGACGCCAGTACCGTTGTCTTCCCTCATTCCGGCATTGGTCAGCAGACTCCTGCCTCACACGAGCTCGCGTCAACGTCTGCTATCGGCGGAGATACTCGTCACTTCGGTAACAATCCTTCTTTATATCCGTAGGTTCGACGGACGGTTTGAATTTGTCTTGCAGTCTGTCTATCTTTAGGGAACACCATGACTAGCGGTTACTTCTTGGACTTTAACATTAAACCTAGTCGGCTACTATAATACGTATCATTGCATATGAAGGACGATGTCGCATTATCCCCAGCGCTGTATCTACTATCACCGTTATTTGTTTAGTTCTTTTGTGGTGGCCAGTATGTCATCATCCCAGATCCATGTACACACGGCCCGACGGTTGCCTTTACATGTGCCTGTCGCGACCGACTGTTCGAGCCTCTACAGCGTCAAGAATAGCTGATACAAGGACCAAGACCGGTGTCACCGACAGGGTGACTTGCAGATCTTATTAGGCAATGTTGAACCTACTCAAATGTGACGACGGACACTCCAAGGGGTGTACCGACAGCCGCGCCAAGAATCTGCTTGAGGTTTATACCGGGGGCCGCCTAAAATGATGACGCGGGTATACGCTCCCCGAGGAGGGCACGCGCCCGTCCTTCGACTGGCCTTCTCGTGGTCTGTTGAAGGTAATTTGGCTCTACAGCGGATACCGTTGCCAGACCTGAGAAGAACTATTAATAGTCGTCGTCTTTGCTTAACTGACTTTGCTCGCCTGTGCCTTATGACAGCAATTCGTCGTGCATCTTAGCCGTGACATTAGGCACGCTTTGATATGTTTGAGAAAATTAGGAAGGCGCCAGTATTTGCCGACAAGTCGATAATGAGCGCTTCGCAGCAGCATCTGCCGAACCACCTTTGAGTACAGACACTCACCGTGCCCTAGTACCTACGCTGACTGCCATCCCGAGTGACCCATGCGGACTCCTCGCTGCCTTATCACTGCAAACTTATCCGGACCTACGTCGAGTTCGATTATTCGTCATCCTACAAGTTCGTCATGACTGGTACCTGATGTCGGTCCCCGATAACGCGAGACTGGAAGCCATTCATACAAATTGAACAACGCTCACCCACGGATAGGCGGCCGTAGGCGAAAGCGCCGTCTGTGGCAGGCCCCATCGGAAAAGTTGAACATTAGACTCGGAAACGACTCCGCAAGAGCGACAGCACCGCTGATCCGGTGTATTGTCTTCATTGAATCCACGCGGTTAAGTGATTGTGCTTGAGAAGCGAGACAACGCGGACTCACATAGATATGTCATACAGATCTCGGCGGTGGATCAGGGTCGCGGTGAAAGTTGCCACGTGCATTCGCTAGTCGATCGCTCAGTCGTAGGCTAGCAAGTCGCCGCGGCAGAATCCAGCTCAGGAGAACGGTGCTGAGTATGCACTGCGTCTTCGACTGGGGACACTTCTTCATTTCAGATTACGTGTGATGTCCAGAAGTTATTGAGTCAGCCGATATCCGCTCACCGGAGCATATCTGCAAGAACGTCACCGAAACATGTACGGCATGTTTGTAGTCTGGAAGCCTGAGGCTGGTCAAGCGTACTCACCCCAATTCCGCGGAGTGTAACGGATCATGGTGTTCGAATGGCCGACTGTAAGTAGGCTGTAGTAGCCACGAGTCTCGTCTTCTCTGGTTACTGTGAATTATGTGCATGCCCCCTAAGTTCGGAGGTCCAGATCCGAATGCCCTTTGCTAGCGTGTTTCGGGTGAGCACCCCACAGTTGTGCGTACGGGCGTGCATCAACTTGAAAGCACCGACTGGAAGACCTGAACCGGATATACTCAGTTCTAGACTCAGCAAGTAAAAGGCACTAGTACATGACTTGGAGGCGTCACCCCAGCATGTGGAAAGCGTCAGCTGGTGCCTTCCTGCTACTTCTGAGTCGTCGAAGAAGGGTCGTTCTCGGCATCAAGCATATACGGCCAAAAAGGGTGAGACGGAAAATATCCCAGTGACATAATAAACCATCTTTGAGCGGCTCAGAACTTCACCAAGTGTAGACTGGAGACCGCGGAAGAGCCACGGTACATCGCACTGACAATTCTCGCAACATGATTGTGAACGTAGTTGCCTAACTGGGATGACCCCCGCTGACGTAATGTGTGGTTGCTGTGCGTGCCGAGTGAGGACCGCTCCACAACTCCAGGTTCCTCACACATTCGACTGCGCCCCCTTCGTCCTCTCAACACGACCACCTCGCTGGTTTCACGACTCAACCGATCCTGTTTGTCCTGTACACCTCAGCGCTGTCGAGCAGCTTCGTTCCGTGATGGACTTCATTTGTGCGCGCGTTCTGCCCTGGATCGTGTGATACATGCTGATGCGCGGACCCATTTCTGACAGTCTGCCTCCCGATCATCTGTACGCGCCTCTTTGGGTTGCTGCCAGTTCATTCGCGTCCGTCTGACCCACTCTGGTTTGACAGTCGGCTGTCCGACCAAGATCAAGCCGGATGGCGACCAGACACCCAGAATTTGTCCTAGGTGTAACAACGGTGATTATCAGCCGTTTGCATTAAGTCCACCGAAGATTGTCAGCCCGCTCATTTATCTTTGTCCGCAGTGTCTGTGACGAGCGCGAAGTCGAGATTGTGGTTCGAGCTTTGCTGGATCCCACTTATCCCAATGAAGTCCAATCACATCTGGATGTGTTCCATATGCCAATGGAACATCCCGCTCCAATCGAAGTGAGCCTTTTCATTGGCCTAGGATGGTTTGGCGTATTGACATTTTCGGCAGCTGGGAACCCGCACGCCCTGGCGGTAATTTCCAGCCTGGAGGTCGGGGTGTCTTTCAACCCGGGCCCCAGTCTGGGAACATAAACTTGCCTCCGAACAACTATCAACCGGGATACCAGCCAGGCTATATCAGCCATGACCACCATGCAGGCCAGAAGGGACCTGCTTCTCAGTAATCCCCGTCGCCTTTCCAATAAGAACTTTTATTCACTTGTATTCACAATATGTAGCCCTGCCCACATGTAACGCCATCCTCCATTCCCGTATTCAGTACTTGCTCCTCTTGCGACCGCGCGGCGCGAGCCATATGTGTAGGAGGTGTGACAGAATAACACCGAACACGAAGCCGCAGACAACAGCGATGCCGCAGACGTCAGCGCCAGTGAACGAGCGAGGCGCGCGCGAATGCACCTCAGCGGGCGCAGTTGAATCATCGCCTCGGACAGCCCGAAATTGCGCAAGTGCTGCCGTAGGGTCTGTAAGACCGAGAAGACCAATTTTCGGAGGGCTGCTATCTGTAGCGGCATGATGAGCGGCGTAGACGTTCTGTATGAGCAGCGGGAAGCAGCGAAATCGTTAGAGGACGTGTAGTTTTATGATGAGGACACCCACCCGGAGGAACGTGTCACCGAGCAGCCAGTCGCCAGAAAAAACCTAGAGCAGGATCAGCACCCGGACAACAGACGGCGAGATATCCAATACGCCATACTCCGTCGTTGGCTTGTATGCCACCCATACACCACCCGTCCTGCTGAGTTCCTGGTTCCCAGTTGACATCGGTGGGATCCAGGACAAATTCCTTCTGGTCATCGCCGTCGCCGAGAACAAAGCCGACGATGGCAGCGCGATTACAGCGGACCTGCCAGCCAGAGTCCGTATTCCTTGCGTTCCCCACCGACTGCCAGAACCTTGCGACGTCTGCTGAAGGGCCGAGTAGCAGTGTAGTGCCAGTGTCCAATATCCCGATATTCGTAGACGCCCCAGAAACTGACGATCTCGAAAGGTCGAAACGCGTTGAGTTGATCGTGATGTACTCGAGAGGAACCTTCCAGAAATTGTAATTCCCATTGCTCAGGCCGGCGGAAGAGACGGGAATATACGTGAAGTTCGACGAAGAGTTTGCGTAGGTAGGATCCAGTTGCCCGATGGTAAATGAAGAATCGCTGTTGTTCCTCCCGAGCTTGTAGGCGAAAAATCGGTCGTTTTCGTCCAAGGATGCAAAGACGTTGTCAATGAAGGTTTGGCCGTAGGTACCCGGAATCGACGCCTCCGCAGGGAAGGTCAGCCCTAGAATTCCACTGTAGCCAGTCCCAGATAGATCAAGACCAGAAGTACTGTTGGCCAGCGCTACGTGATGAAGGTATATTAAAATCGGTCTAACATACGACTCGGGGAGCACTAACCAAGGACCTGGGACGAGACTTCGTAGGATCCTAAAGTGACGGTATCGGTAGCGATCATGCCTGTAACCGACCCGAGCAAATAACCGAGGTGGAATGCGGCCCCAGAGAGTGTGAGATTGACCGTGTCACTCGTGTCGAACGTCGGTACCTTTGCACAGTCTTGAATTGTACAGTTCGACGAGGCTACCCACTGTCAGCAGCTGTCAGTCAAGACGGGGTTGAACCAAATATTGTCCTAACGTACCAAGTCGGAGGAGCCTGTGTCAAGGAGCACCTCGAAGGTTTGTCCGCCGATACTAGGCCAAGCTCAGGTAAAATCAACAGGATGATGTGAAGGCAGACTCACCCCACGTCCACGAGGTACGCGCTAGCAGCCGAAGAGCAGTCATTCTACTTGTCCAAGAGCACCGATGCATGACTTACTACTCATTGGAATTGGACAACGAGACATCGCCATTTGTGCCCTGTGCATTCGTTCCCTGGTATCGCGGAACTGGGGTTATAGGGATGCTGATACCTGGTGCCCCCATGTCGCCCTTGAAGTGTGTCAGGGATATGCAACTTGCCTGTGAGTAGGCTTTACCCGGTAAGTGAAGGAATCCGAGAGCAATGGAACGGGAGGCTGGCGGCTGACGGAGGCTGACCCCATCCAGCTCACGTCCAAAAAGCGCTCAGAGCGCATGCGGTCATTTGAGTGGGTACATTTCTTCGGCAGTAATTAGTTTTGGGACACGCATACCATAGAGGTCTGCGTCATCACATAGACGCATGGACAAGACCAGGAAATTAAAGACCAGGAAGCTGGCAAGACATGCTATCCTCGGCGCTCGATGGAACCTGAGGGCGCCGCGGTGACTGCGTTGTAGATCATAGCGTGCAAATTGTGCCGACTCCTGTCAACAATCGGTCGTGTGTGAACATACCTTTTGTGTATTCCCGTGCTCCGCCCTACGCTGCAGAACGATGCTCTACGGCGGTGGTGCAGGACGGAGAGGGAGCGTGACGGGCTGAGACGAACGGAAGGAGCAGTGCCTCCCAAACAGGGGTTTGCCGGTCACGCCGAACAGCACGCGTCACAGCCAACAAGCCATTGACACACGCCTTCACCACCTTCATCCGCCCTCTCGACAACGTCCTGCCCTCCCTCAACGCCCTCCCCCACCAGCCTCGTCACCATGCACACCAGCGAGTACGACTACCTCTTCAAGCTCCTCCTCATCGGCGACTCCGGTGTCGGCAAGGTAAGCCCTGCGCGCGTCCTCACGCAGTCGCCTAGGGCTGCGCTTATCCCAGTCGTGGCTCACGGACGTTTGTCTACCCCAGTCGTGTCTGCTGCTCCGTTTTGCCGACGACACGTACACGGAAAGCTACATCAGTACCATTGGAGTCGACTTTAAGATCCGGACGATTGAGCTGGAGGGCAAGACCGTAAAGCTGCAGATTGTAAGTCATATTTCTTCGGGCATGGGCAAAGAGCACCATTAGCCTCAGGAGCAGGCACAGGTAGCTGGCTACCAGCCTGCCTTGTCTGCTGTGCTCGTTTGCCTCATGTTCGCTCAGGCGCTCTATGGGCGACGCGTGTCGTCCGAGCGCAATCACTATACCGGCCATACTCATGCTTTTTGTGAACAACAGTGGGACACGGCTGGTGGGTGCTGCAATTCATTGTCTATCATCGCTCTCACGCGGGAAATTTACAGGGCAGGAACGGTTCCGCACGATCACGTCTTCGTACTACCGTGGCGCACACGGTATCATTGTTGTCTACGACGTGACCGATAACGGTACGTCAACCATGCTCTTATTTGGGACCTTGCTCATCGCTGTCCCTGTCCTCAGACACCTTCACGAATGTTAAGCAGTGGCTCCAGGAGATCGACAGATATGCGTCTGAGGGTGTCAACAAGCTACTGGTTGGTAACAAGTCAGATTTGACGAGCAAGAAGGTTGTGGAGTACAGTGCCGCGAAGGTGCGCCTTGTCATGGTATTTTGTTTATGTTGCTCAATGTCTCACAGGAATTCGCCGACCAACTCAACATCCCCTTCCTCGAGACGTCGGCGAAGAACGCCACCAACGTCGAACAGGCTTTCTTGACTATGGCGAAGCAGATCAAGGACCGGTGCGTGTCTCAGCCATGTCCTTGGAGACAGCCCCACTGACGTCTTATTACGCTAGCATGGGCTCAAGCTCGTCAACTGTTGGCGGTACGGGCAAGTCGTCGACGATCACACCAGGCCAGACCGTCACTCAACAGTCCTCGGGCGGATGCTGCTGAGTGGTTTCTCGCTTTACTGGCCTTCGGGGTCCAGCCACTCTATCATAACTGGGCGCGTAGAGTGACCGGAAATGGTTTCTGGAGGGGTTCTCTGCTACATTATCTATGCTTACAGCACTAGTCTACGTGTTGTCGGACTCGTCTGTCTCATATTGTCACTCAATGGTTTTCTTCACCCTTGTGCGGCTGATGTCCGGTCATGATACAAGGATGTTGTCTTTTCTCGAAATCACATTTCCTCGTTGCATCATCGGTGGAGGAATGTCTGATCCGGCTCTATAGATGGGGACAGCATCATGAATAGAGTCTCCCAAGTGTAGGTCTGCGGCGAGCTCCAGAGATCTTTCGGCAGCGTGTCGATCCTGTGTATGCTGTGACTCACGGAAATGAAGCGTCTTCGGGGCTTGATCTTGTCACTGCGGTGTACGGTGGGTAAGATTTGAAAGGACCAAAGTTGGCCGCTACTGAGCGACCCTAGAAGATACATGCCGTGCATTGCCCTCAACGAATCTCTCCACCAGGTGGTCGCTGTTCTTCCAGCCACTGACGGACGCCCTTCTTTGCCACCATCCCCATCACACGCGTGTGGTCTTCTAGTGTCTGTGCGCGGTAGAGACACGTTATGTACCCGCAGACGCTCCATAGGTCATCCCATTCCGCATCGAACAGCTCCCACCAGCAGTTCTCGGGTGCGGACGGGAGGGCGATGCCCAAATGCCGTGTTGTGAGCAGGATGGCTGCGCACACGATGGTCGGCACGGAGTAGAGGGCGTACACGGGTGTCTGCAGCCTGGCTCCGACGGAAGGGTGTGGATAGTAGTGAACGGACAGAGGGAGGCCGAGGGACTTACGCGTCGTTGAGATAGCCCCAGGCCTTGGTGCAAACATCCTCGCGACTTGTGAGGCCGAGTACCCGGAGGTAGTTCACCAGTGTGTTGTAAGGCAGGACTACGGTGAGGTTGAAGCCGAGTCGCTTGAGGATCTGCATTTCGGCGACGACGACGGCGTCTTTGAGGTCGTAGAAGGTGTTGCCGAAGTAGGACATGGGGGTGTAGTTGAATTCGGAGCGGGTTTGTGTTGATGATGACGCGAGCTTTGATGCTATGCCTTGTGCTCGGATGTGCGCTTTGCGCTGGAGGAGTAGGTCGTAGACGTTTATGAGGTCGCGGATTCGGATGGGACACTCCTCAAGTTTGGATGCTAGGTAGAGAGCACCCATACCTATATCCTGGTTACGGGTGGTCTGAATATGATTAGATGCAGGTGCTTGACACTGTGAACGCACCCCTATGCCAAACTGCTTCATGGACGTAACGAACCAAAATCGTTGGAACAGGATCTGCGCAGTAGCTACTCCTACTTGATTTCTGCGCAATGAGGTGTAAGAAGACGGAGAGATGATCAAAACATTCGCCTACTGTTTCAATAAGATCCCAGCTTCATGAATGAGCTTGCACCCATAGGCCCGTAGGTCTCCTTCCAGGTCGTCCGGGATGCCATCTTCTCGGGACGGTGTCTTCTCTATCTGAGGGAATGAAGCCAATGGGTATAATGATGTCGACATCTGGCGCAGACCAATCCACGCTGGACAAAGTTGCGAGTCCGAGCCTCAGTGAGATTCAGTTCGCGTCGATCGTTCGGCAACTACCGGGCGTTGAATCACATCGAAGGATTTGCCAAATATAGCCCACTGACGATTACAATATTACTGCTCGCCTCATTCTGAGTAGTGCTGGTGAGTACTGGCAGATAATTCTGAGGTACTTTCGTGTATCGCAATAGGATTTTTTGAACAACCCTATCTTTCCAGGAGAATGGAAAGAAGCAATAGCAAATTGTCATTTAGCGTGCCGCAACAGTTCTGCATATCCGCCGCGTCATCACGGAGAACACCTGGGACACTGGACACCTTCTATGCAACCTCTATGGTGAATGTCAATACATACAAGGTGCGAAACCTATACATGTATAGGCAGACGCTCATTCGAAGCGACGCGCCCTCGGTACCACCGCCCAGATGACAAGCATGGCAGACATCATCGACACCAGCCTGCAGCCCTGCATCAGTAGAAGCCGGCGGTAACACGGACTCGGACACTCACAACGGCTGGAGGCTGCCTATGCCGAACTTCGACGCCAGGAGCCCAGTCACAAGCGGCAATACGGCGGAGCCCGTCTGTCCGATACCCGCGATGTAGCCCATGGAACCGGTGCGAAGCCAGTGGGGCAGCAGGGCGGTCGAGTGGTTCATCATGATTGGGTACATGGGCCCCATGAAGAGCCCGATCAGCGATACGGCGACGGCGTTTTCGACAAGGGACGGGACCGTCCAGACAGTGACTTCCAAGCTGTCAGGGCGTCAGCGGGAGCGACTTCGAGCCATGGATGCTTGACTTACGAGATAGCAAGCGCGCCGTAGGTGAGTATAGACCATCTTTCTCCGAGCTAAGCCTTCTATGAGCGCCATATCCGAGAATGAGGAAGTCAATACCTTTCGATTGAACCACAGAAAGACGATCCTTCCCAGCATCAGCCCTAAATGAAATTGCCCCTTGAGTGTCATTGCAGATCGCTGGTAGGCATTTACGTACCGCCGAAGAAACCGGACGAGATATAACCGGCGGTAGCGTTACCGCCTCGCTTTTCTTCGATGAAAGTGACAATCCAACCTTTTTCATATCATGCAGCTTCTGAGCTGCGTTCATCGTACGACAAGACTCACCACCGAGGGAGACTTCAACGCCGACGTAAATCAAGCAGAAAATAGACAGAAGGTGGACCTCCTTCACTCGCAAGATCTGCGTGTATACATTGCGTCCGCCGGAGCTGGCCTGATGAGCCTGTGCGGCGCTTTCGCCCAATGGTGCCACCTGGCCGGCATCCGCAAGAACGTCTGTATCGATGCAGTTTGAGTGGTGATTAGGCATGGAAATGTTGTTGATCACCTTCTTGCCTGCGCAAACGGAAGACGAGGGCCAGGATCACGATATTGCTCGCCGCAATGCTAGCAGCGACGACGTAGTGGAACGACCAGTGCTGGCTAGTCGAGAAACGCGTTGCGACCAACGGCGAGACAAACGCACCAAGACCTTGGGTAAAACAGTCTGTGAGATATCGTTCTTTCGAACTCGGTCGTGCAAGATAGTCACCGTAGCAGGCATGCAACATGCCGAAATGCAAACGCACATGCTGCTTCAGGCTCCCGACGAACCCGTTGCATTGGGCCATCTGCATCGCAATCCCGAGACCCGCGAACGTCACGCCCGCGTTCATCAGGGCAAACGGACCCGCGGGAGCGACCATAACGTAACCGACGAGTTGCAATATAGCACCTGGGGTGGAGGGGAGGGGTATCAATCTGGTATCAGGCGAGGCGAGTCCACACACTGGCCCACCTATTACCATCACCTTGCCGAACCCGATCCGTTGATTCAGGTAGACGTTCGCCATGGCGCCGCCTATGAAGCCCTGCCTTCATATTGAGAAAATGCGGGCGGACACCGTCGAATTGGTCTGCACTCACCAAGGTCATGAAGACGAATAGCAGAGAAACGATGTCGAAGCCGATCTGGTTGACTTGCGTCAGACTTCAGTCCCCCCCATCAATCGTGTTCAATAATGCTTACATCGTAGTAGCTCTGAATCCTGGGCAACAGAGGCCCGAGAGTGCCGTCATTCCAGCCCTCCAAGAAGTAGGAATAGCAAAGTGCTGCGAAATGAACCCTGCTTCTCCAGCGATATGTCTTGGCCTGAGATGCTGAGACCTCGGAAACGTCTGGTCCATCATCCCCAGTGGGACTGACAGCAGAGCTGGAGACAAACTTGGGGGTCTCCGGGTCCGTGGATTTGCCACCCTCGATGACGTCGCGAATGGTAGGGTTATCATGTACGCTCGGCTGGTCATCCTGTCGACGTCCAACGGTCCTGAGCTCAATTCCCTGTGCCGAAGACATCTCACCGTCTGTGAGAGAGGGAGATAGGGATGACGGAGCGAACACAAGTTCAACCAAATCGCTCAGGCAATCAATTGCATGCGGTACCGCTAGCGATTGCTTAGCCGTGTTCTCATGACCAGCGGGCGTCGGGCCGCCGGGGTCTGAGGAGTGTCTGGGCGGAGGGAGACACGCGTGCAAGCATGTCGCTGGACTGGTTGTCCGGGGAGCTTTCGAGGAACTGACTCTGGGATGATATCCATGACTTCATGAGATGATCGCCGGATATTCGCCGGGCGTTGAGTCGAAGTTCGTGTTCACGCTCTTGCCAAACACTGCACAACACAGCGCGCTACTTACAGCGCTCCTCCAGATGGAAGGTGTGCAGCTTCAGGTTGCCCACTTGCTCAGTGCTTGTCCTCCTCGCCCATCACCACATACCTCTGCTCTCTCTGATGCATGTCCTATGAGTCTTCCTCCGAAACCAGACTTCTCTCCCTCTCGCTACCCACCAGACTCTCGCGGTCTCGGCCGCCCGCCACCACCCCCGCCGACGCCCGATCGGTACCGCTCCGAGCGAGACGTCTATCTTCCCCACCCCTCACCTCCACCACGTTCGCGTTACCCAGCGGACTCGTACGTGGCACCAAGACCAGTCGATCCTTACAGAGCCCCGAGAGCAAGCAAAGACTCGTATGTCGCAGCGTATGACCGTCGCGGAGACGACCGCCCGCCTAGGGAGTACTGGGAGCGCGAAAGGGATTGGCGAGAGCGTGGGTACCCTCCGCCTCCGCCAGTAGACCCGAGGTATGCAGAGGCCGGGAGGAGCAGGGATGAATGGGACAGAACACGCAAGCATGAGTCGAGGGATCGAGAACGGAGGCCGAGCGAGCGGAGGGGAGTCCAGAGGGAGTGGGAGCGTAGGGAGTTCACGCCTCCGCCGCGAAGTCGTAGACCACGTCCCAGGGAACGGTCACGAGAAAAAGGTGATCCCAAGGAGAGGGTATGGCTTCCGCGCCAGTCCAAGTCGCCACCGCGTCGCATGGGTGCGTTTCCGATCCACTACGAGGGATGCTTACGATCTAACTACGCCCATAACATCAGCTCCACCTCGATCTCCTTCTCCAGGACCCGCAAGACGGCGTTCACGCTCACCACTGTCAAGTCGTCGACGTTCTTCTCGGTCACTCAGCCCCGCTCGCCGTAGTTCGCGCACACTCTCACAAAGCCCGGTTCGTCGCCGCTCACGCAGTCCAGTGAGACGGTCATCTCCCCCTGCTCGCATGACGCTGCGGTCACCGTCATCCTCTCCGCGAGGGAACCGTTCGCCGACTGTGACACCACCCCCTGCGCATCGCTCGCCTACTCCGCCCCGCTCGCTTACTCCTGCTCCTGCTCCTGCACGAGCACGAGAGAGGTCTCCTCCTTTGGTATGGCAAAGCAGGCAAATGTCCACTGGCCTCTCTGCGCGAGCCAGCTCCATTCGACGCAGGACACCGTCCCCGGAGATGCAAATTGTACCTCCGACCCCGAGTGCTCAAGAAAAAGGAAAGATGCGAGAGACATCGCACGATACCGACAGAGATGGCGACGTACGAATGCACGAACATCCTGCGCCATTGCGTGCGCTGACTCTGTCAGTGCCGAAGGAGCCTGCGACGCAACCCGAGCGGCGACGCTCGCGCTCCCCGCCGCTCGCACCTCGCAATTACGCACCTACACCTCCAACGCCCTCTTCGCCCTACCCAACCGCTGGGCTGCCGGCCAAACCTGCCGCATATCTACGCCGCCCCAGCAAGCACGCTGAGACGGGCACGGTAGAAAGCCCGTTAAGCGCCACGAAGCCAGCCCCTCCATACGCGAAACCTAGACCAAGAGAGTATGAACATGAAGATCCCGAAGTGAAGGCTCTTGCAGTCGAGGTGCGTCCCGTCCTGCGTTCACGCAGCCTTGAGTCGCCCTAACTCGCTGTAGATCACACACGCGCGTAAGCGGCGTGAGAGGGCCACCAACGAGTACCTCCAAGATCTGCTGGCTACGCGGCGTGCCATGCACGAGCTCGAGCTGCTCGAAATCGACGTTCGCGCGGCGGAGATGCGGAGGATCATCGCGGATGACCTGTTGGAGCGGGCGAAGGCGGGGCAGCTTGGGATCGAGTACAATGGCGAGCCTGCTGAATTGCCGACACCTGTGTCGTAATGAGACGCGCTGCGCGTGTCTGCCGACCCTTCTGTGAGGATATCCGACAGCGGGTTCAATGGATTGCTTCGGTATTATAAGAGACAGTGTCATTTAGATATGCGTCTGCATTCCATGTGTGTCCGACCTGGCTCCATGGGTAGAGCGCAGAAGAAGCCTTGCGACTACATAAAAGTGAGGCCCACGGAAATCGCGGAAAGGAAGCCGTATGACACACCTGCATGGCCGAGAACATGGCCGTGGACTGCATCATCAACTAGTAAGGCGCAGAAAAGCCGTCTCAGCCAAACACGGGTCGAAGTGCAAACCGTTTGTGAGGACGCACCGTGATGCACTTCCTGCTCTTTTCATTGCCCTCCCTGCAGATCTCGGACTGTGGTGCGCCCCGCTCACCGTCAAAGGTGTACCGCGAGTTCGGGTCCTCCTACGCGTCCGGAAATCACGCTCTCGTTAGTTCGCTCGCGGGGAGACGACGCGTGGATGAACACGTACCGCAACGAACGCCTTCAGCTGCTCCTCCGGTTTCTGACTAGACGACATCCCGCTCGCTTGGTCGTTGTTCTCGGACCCTGACTTTATTCTGCAGAGGAGCTTGTTCACAGCAGACATGCGCTGGTCGAGCCAGATATTAGGTGGAGGGCGTCGCGGGTGGAGACGTTGAGAGACTGCGCGCTTCACCGTTCGGGCTTGCGGTTCTGATCACGCTGCCGACGATGACGTCCGCCCGTCGGGCGCTGCCGATCGAGTACCGTCGCGGTGCGCCACCGACACCCATCCCCGCCCATAATTAGCCGTACGCACTGCCAGTAGCAGGTTATGCCAACCTCTTGAGCGAAGTGGATATAGTAAATCCCATTTTGTTATTCGAATCGGCCGTAGCCGCTCTACGTGATGGTACAACATGCATTTTTTGCTACATATGATAGTAGTATGCCCTACCGTGACTGAGTACGTGTGCTAGTCGACTGTGAGCCAGCCAGACCTTATGCCCGAGGGTCCTCAAGAAGATCCATAGACTGACATGTACTGGGAGACCTCAGACCTCACCATCCGCGCGACGCGAGCCTTCCACCCTTGATGTCGTCGGTGCTGTAGGCGGACGAGGTGAGAGACAAACTTTCGACGGTGGTATGAAAGTTACATACATAGTGAGCCCGACCATCGCCTCACCTAGGTCTTCCGAGATCTGTCGTGGGTATTTCAGCCTTCTGCACAGGGATGCTAGTGTACAAGTCCCACTCACCTCGGCGAGGATTTTGGGGTTGTTGTAGTGGGTAACGGCCTGGACAATGGCCCGTGCACGCTTGGCTGGGTCGCCAGACTGTCATATCATGTCAGTCAGACCAGAGGCAGCGGATCATGTAACGTAACTGACGTGGAAGATACCGGAACCAACGAAGACTGTCGGGTGCCCTCAGGTCAGGAACGAGCTGTGCCTTGAGATTATTACTCAGGGACATACCTCCGTCGCAACCGAGTTGCATCATGAGCGCAGCGTCCGCTAGAACATATCAGCACCGCAGCACGAACGACACGGCATTGCACCTACCCGGGGTGGCGATGCCGCCAGCAGCGAAGTTGACCACGGGTAGTTTCTTCGTCCTCGCCGTTTCCTTCAGGAGGTGGAACGGTGCTTGGAGGTCCTTCGCATACGCATACAGCTCCTCCTCGTTCATCACGCTCGCCTTCCTAATCTCACTCAAGACCGCGCGCTGGTGGCGGACGGCCTCAACGACGTTGCCCGTGCCCGCCTCGCCCTTGGTGCGGATGAACGCCGCGCCTTCGGAGATACGGCGGAGGGCTTCGCCGAGGTTGCGCGCGCCGCAGACGAAGGGCACCTTGAACGGGTGCTTGTTGATGTGGTGCTCTTCGTCTGCGGGTGTGAGCACCTCGGACTCGTCGATGTAGTCGATCCCGACGGCTTGGAGGATCTGTGGGGGCGGTTCGGGACTGCGAAGGACGTGCAGACGGGTGACGGCCTACCTGAGCTTCGACGAAGTGCCCGATGCGCACCTTGGCCATGACGGGGATCGTCACGGCATCGACGATATCCTTGATCATTTTGGGGTCGCTCTAGGAAGCCATGTATGAGCCTGGGAGAAGGTCCGCCAGCGCATACATCGGCGTACCATCCGGGCGACACCACCGTTGGCACGTATGTCGGCGGGGACACGTTCTAGAGCCATTACGGCGCAAGCACCTGCTTCCTCCGCTATACGAGCCTAGTGCGGGTAAGACAGCTTCCTGGTGCGCCAGAGACGATACGACAGACCTGCTCCACGTTCACGACGTCCATGATAACACCACCCTGTTCTCGGTGTTAATCTCACACCGCGTTTGGAGAAGCAAGCAATAGACATGCCTTGAGCATCTGGGCTAGTCCGGACTTGACCTGCAGCGACCTCCGACGTCAGACCGACGCACACGACGAACAGCATCCATGCAGTTGCTCACCCCAAAGGTTCCGAGATTGCTGCTTGTTCCATCCTTGCCCGTCGAAGATCGCGTGGGCGCAAGGACAGGCGTGCCGGTAGGGTTACCCGCGCCCTGGGGCACAGGCGGGGTGCCACGACCAGATGTAGTCGGCGTCGACATGATGCTGTATGCGGGGTGAGCGCGCGAAAGTGCAGACTATAGAGGGAGCAGAACTAACTGTGGGTGACTCGAGCGAGAAGAGGACAAGTGTGTAATGAGCAGGTCGCTTTGGGCTCGGCGTCGACGCCGTCCCGGATGGGCGGAAAAGGGACGCCCGTCTCATTTTGACTCTGTGATCGGTCTTGCAGATCATCGGATCAATCATCCTCCGACCCGCCCCCGCACCGTCACCGCCGTGCGCGCAGGCGGTCCTCTTTCTTGCATCGTCTTCTTCTCACAGTACAGTAATGCTGCTCTACATACCATGAGTCCCTCAGAAGGCACAGGCTGAGCCATGCTAGAAAGCCGGGCTGCGGCGTAGCGCGATTAGTGCGGGCCAACTCGGGGAGCCTCCGACGGACTCACACTGAGTCACACATGAGGTGAGCCCATCGTATTCGAGCATCAGCTGCAGTACATGAGGCACGAGAATCTGGACTTTTGTTTCCGCTAGACTGAGGGCAACACTAAGTGGACATGTACATGCGTCGTCACACTTGCTGGCTGGACGTTCGGACACGTACGAAGTCATCGTGGATGTGTACGAAGGGGGAGTATTTAGGCTTCGAGCATGACATCGTGCCGGCGCTCTCAATCGCAAGCCATCTGCTTCCGGAGAGACAACTCACTCTCCTGTCAATGTCATGGACACAACGAGGACGGCGAAACACCGGAACTTGCTCGTCGAACGTCGTATTCAATACGATACCCTCTCACCCACCGTCGGCCGCGACGATTCTCTGTACCGTCTTCAGAACACCGCTCAAGAGTCATTGGTGCCCTAGGATGCACGCGCAGCAGGTGCAGATCCACTGTCAGTGGTCCGAACACGACGTGCAAACCACCTGTCTGTTCTTCGCTCTCACAGGTTCCGGTTCATCGATGCGTAGCCGTCTCGAAAGCGGCTGTTTCTATACGTTCAGCCTCTGCCTTCTGACGCACGGGCGCAGGGTATCGGCCTTAAGTTTGCCCCCTTCGTGTTCGGTCATCTGCTGGGCATCTGCAGTCAGCCGGGTAAGTATGATCTAATGCATGTTTTCTTGGAATGCGGTACAAGTTGACGAACGTGATTTCACGCAGTGCTTCACAGATGCGCGTACGTGCGGTGTCTGGTCAACGCCCAACGGTAGCTCAGATCTCAGCGCTGACCGAAAAGTGAGGCTGCGTAGACTCACCGTGGCCTGCTTACTCACTCTTGACAAACACCGTCGCCTCGCACCTGGCCTGGTGCTTTTGACTCACCAACAGGTGCTTCGGTGTTGGACGAGAAAAGCGCGTTGGAGTGCTATTTGCGAACTACCCGTCCTTTTTCCCTCATGAAACCTCCGTGTACATAAGGTGGGCGTATTACAAACAAGACGAGACATTATGCGTGATATTTCACCAGGCCAGACTGACCTGTCGTCTGTCATTTCAGGTTTCGACGACACCTCGGCTGTGTCAAGATACAGCGTTGCTGAGGTACGTCGAAAGGCTCGCATCTGTCGTAATCAATGTCTGGGTGGCCCTACTGCATGGACGCAATCAAACCATCATTCACCTCTCATCTCTGACACACCTCGGGAGCTCGTTATAGTAATATACAAACCCAGTGTTCACGATGGAGATGAGCCAGGCACGATACTATAGCAACAGCGGGTTCGCGGCGATGGTGTCGCTGCGATTGAACTACTCAACTAGCAGTCCTTTCAGGTCTGATCGACGCTGTCACATCAATACCGAATGGTGATCAATTCTAAGCATCATCAGTCACTGAACAAGGCACGACGGCATCGTTTGGTCTTCCAGTCCCCTCACCCAACCATCCAATATGATTGTGCGTTGGACGTGCTTCACGTAGAGATCGCGTCTCACCCGGGTGCGCCAGGTGTCTTACTGTAAAGTCCATGCTGCTTCCGAGTCTAAAGGTTTCCATATGTTTACCGGTATCAGGCATATGCCACTAACACCAAACAGCCATCATATATGTGCCCGGCGAGTCCATCGTGGTCTCATCCTGCGACAGTTCACTGATATGACTATGTATTACGATGCGGCCGCATCAAACCAGCCATAAGCCCAGAGACAGCCATCAATACTTGCGACTACTCACTGCAGTTTCTCCTCCCCGAGGCGTTGAACATCACAGATGTGTTTGGGGCGCGCGCCCACAGCGGAAGTGAGGTCGTGTCGTACATCGCATCAGTCATGTCAATAACAGCCATCATATCCGCCTTCGCATTGGCATCCGCATCCTTCCCTCCGTGCAGCGGGCTGTCTCGGGGATCCGGAATGGGGTGTCGGTGGTGATCGTCGACCTCGATGAGTCTCTACACCAACAATAGGACCGAATTTGAACCCGTCGAAGCGTATAGGTAGCCCACGACGGTTGACGGCATCCCAAGTTCCATCCTGATAATACCGTATATTACTCACAGCTGCATGACGCGAGTTGATCTGCCACCGCGATCAACTGAGCCGCCAACTACGTATCCCCGCCGGACTGTTCAGCCGCTCCCGCCACTACGACTACTGACCGCTGACGGAGGCAGTACTGTACTCGGCTCATACGCCGAGCAGTCGCATTTGTGTATAGGATCAACGTTACGTCCGTCAGCTGAGCCGCGGTTGGTGGTAGACCCGGGCCTGCAACATCGTCAACAAGTGATAGGCATTCAAATGAGGAGCTCACGAACTGCAGCGATAAATGGCCCGAGACTAGCCCCCCCATTTACCCGGGCGCGCAAGTCATACGGTACGTCACAGCCTGCTGTTAGCGCGTCCATTATCCTCATCCTGATCGCCGGGCAGACACGAGCGACACCACTTACGATATGTACCGCAGCCAGCGGTTGTGCGTTATGCGCACGCAATGTCAACAGCAACCGTCGCCGCGCCGCTATCGCACAGGCCTGGAGTAGGACAGACGCACCAATACGCTCCAGAAGACGTCGTGCGGGGCGCGCCAGGCCGCGCCGGACGTCAGGCGGTGCCACTAAACCGTGTTCTGAATCGACTGCAGTGGATGGCTGAACACCGAACCACCGAGCCACCGAGCCAGCAATCAGATGCAAGTGGCCCACGACCTCTCGTGTCCAGTACAATCACGCGCAGACATACGTGCGCATGCATATCTTAATCTCGACCGTCTTTTCGTCCATCGTAATACGATGGCAACACGTCTCGCCATTGATACGCTGTACACCACCAAGCCTTTCGGCCATGCAGAGCGCCTGGGACGACCGAAGCAGCGTGCGTATGACCACCTCCGAGCCTTCGAGGCACCGATGAGTACATACACGGGCACGAATCCGCCTGCAGGCAATTCGTTGGTGGGATTATGGTCGGCGCGTAATTGCTGTATGGACGTGAATACACAAATTGTGCGCGGCGCATGTTTGGGAGCACACAGGCATGGCGCGGATCGCACTCGTGCGGCGACAACGGTGCTGTGCACGTGAGGCTGAGTCATAAAGTGTCAGAGCAATCTCAAGCGGTTAAAGTGGGCGGCAAAGTCGTGCCATAGGGCTAAAATGCGAAATTTGATCAAACTAGGGCTCGAACGCGTGCACCCGTGCGCTCCCCTGCGCATCACAACCGCTGCACCAAAGCGGCATTAGTGGTTGTCTAGCACAAATACATAAGAATAGCAAACTCCTTATGGGGGCTTTTGTGATGCACACTGTCTGACGTGCCTTATGTGCCATCATCCTTTCTGGCTATGTGATAACTTATCAAGGGTGTCGGAACATAGTTCTCAACCCGTGGAGACTGAGCAGGGAGCCAGTAGACGGGACCATTCACCTGCCAAGGATGAAGTGGACTTGGAATGCTCGAGCGAAAGGTCACCTGATGTGTCCATAAAAGGGAATTGATGGGGTTTACAGGCGGCCTGTGCGCTCCCAAACGTGTGCGGACTGCAGTCGCGGCGTGCCCCGCCATAACCGCGTGCACGTTTCCCACAGGCGGCGTCGCCAACGATTTGCCCGTGGTTTATTCGGTGGCCGTGTACGGCTTGCAATCGCGAACGCGGGCCTGGGAGCGGCCGACGCGGTCGAAGCTGGCACCGATCGCATCTCCGGGGTAACACCCAAACGTCCCCAAGCTCAAGCTCAAGACACCCAACCCCCGGGACGTTCCTGAACGTTTGAACCGCTGCTCGGCGAAGTCAGCCCGCACGCACGGAGGGAAAACCGAACTCACGACGCGTATCCGGACGCGCAGGAAACCCAGGGTAACCGGGAAGCACTGGCAGGGTGTGCGTCCGAATCAACCGACTGACAAAGGCACCGCGGGCGAGTGGCAGATCGCGATCAGGCTCACCCATTCACAACGCAACGCGCTTATTGGCGGCGTGAGTGTGCCTTGTGCGCGCCTGAGCAGGTACTACCTATCTGTATATGCAGAATATTGTTAGGCATTAGGAGGACAGGGACGCGCCACCCGCCCCGAGCCAAAGCAGGCGGAGTGGATCCCGCAGGATAAGATACGGCTAGGAGCAGGAGACTTGCCTCCACTTGGCGTAGGCGGATCGCCAGGACACGATCGCCTGAATACCGTGCCCGCGTGCACAGCGGCGGCGACGCTGGTCCGACTGACCGTTCACAGACAGGAAGGCTCAGCTGAGCAGGCAGTGGCGGGCGTGGACACGGCTGGGCCCCGTCCGTGGGCCGTGCGCGCGAGATAGGGCTCGGATTAGCGAAGATTTCATTTGCGCAGGCCCGGTGCCCACCGCACTACGGCAAGCCACGCAGACAAAGGAGATGACAGGGATAGGGCGACCGCCGCGTGTCGCGGATGACGATAGGAATGGACAATAGAATGCCTGCAGACGTGCGCGGCAGAAGCGGGGTGTGAGCCAGATGAGGGGCGGCGAGGATCAGATGTGGCGAGTGCGCGTAAATGTAGGGGAGCGGCGTATATACAATGCTAAGTTAGTGCTGTTGGGAGTGGCAGAGCTGCCGGTAGCTATGACCCTTGTCCGTCTCTGCACACGAGGAGTGCGCCGCACGCCACGCGTGGCTTCGCGCGCGATCGCAGTGGCGTGATGGTTAAGCGGGCGCAGTCGAACATCTTTTTGAGCAGTTGGCAATGGTTGTTGTGTGGACACAGATTTTTGTGTTCGGGCTCGGTTCGCTTCGAGCGGTTGCGCGGCACGTCCGGGGGTGGATCAGGATCAGGATGGAAGACGGTGCATGGACGGATGGGGACAGGGACGCAGACAGAGTGGCACGGTGTGGACACGGAAGCGCGATCAGATTGAGATAGCTTAGGGTGTTGGTTCATATTGCACCGGTGTCACGACAAGTGTCAGGACTCAGAAACCCCTGTCGACAAGCCAGCGGACGACCTGGGTTTTCCACATGCCGCCACTGAGGACAACGTGCTTGGAATGGAGGACCTGGACGCGCATGCGCTGGGCCTCAGGCGAGCCGGACGGGTGGAGGGAGCTTGCGAGGTCCTGTGCGAGCGCCTGCGGGGAGCGGTGCAACGGCGTAAGCGGGTGTGCAGACATGAGAGTGATGGGATGAAACGAGAGAAGGCACTTACACTGGCGTTTCCTTCGATGTTGCGGATAAGTGTGAGGTGGCGTGTGCCGGCGTTGCGGATGTCGGTGTACACGGGCATGGCGCCGCGCGTATTTCTGGGGACGCGGTACACGGGCGGTGCATGCGCGACGGCGGTGGTGTACGCGCGCAGCTGGGCGGGGAGGGTGTGTGGGACGTGCATGGCGGCGAGGGACGAGGAGGAGGAGGAGGAGGAGAAAAAGGCAGGGCGGGAGACGCGCCGCGGAGTGTGAAAGTGGCGGACGGGCGGGAGAGGGATGTTGGCAGTGGAACAAGAGCCGAGTGTTCTCGTCTGAGCGTGGAGTCGCATCTTTGCAAATCCGCAATGTCCCCGTCACAACCGCTAATTACGCAGCCAGGCCCCCGCCTTTATCCGCTTCCCAATATAAGGCCCTCTCACCTGCCCGCCCTCTCCCTGAATCCCCACCACCATGGCCACCGTCTACCCCGCCCAACGCCGCCAGCACCTGCCATACCACCCCCAGCTGCAGGCCAGCGCACCTCTCCAGCCCGCGGCCTTCGCCCCGCCCCAGTCGTGGTACCCGATGCCCGACTCCTACCTCTTCAGCGGCGCCGCGAGCGCAGACCTCCTCAGCTCCCTCTCGCGCTGGAACCTCGGCCCGCCACAGTTTCTCCTTCCTCACCACCACTACGCGCAGGACTACGAGCAGGAGTATGTAGCACCGGAGGCCGCACCAGGCTGTAAGTGGCGTCCATTGTTCCCCATTGTCTCATGTCTGACGCCGAGGCCAGTCTCCCCTGCGCCCTCCGACTCATCCTCCGTCCTCTCCTGGGACACCAGCCCCTCTCCCGCGCCCGCGTCAGAGCCGCTGCACGTCACCTGCAACGCGCCGCTCGTCGCCCCTGTGCCGCTCCCCTTCCACTCTCCATTCTTCCTCCAGTACGACGACCTCCCTGACCTGGACGAGGACCTCTCGCATGCTCCCTATACCCACCGTCCGCAGAAGCGCAAACGCAGCTTCACTGACTTCTCGCGCATGGAAGGCGGCGCAGACGTGCAGGAGATGCCTGCGAAACGGAGATCCATCGGCGGCGGCGACGCACTCCCGCTGCTGTCCAACCGCATGCCGCTGCCGATGCCCGCCCACGTACGGTCTGCGCGCCGCAACTCGCTTCCCAAGGGCGCGACGAGGCACGCACGGCCCCGGTAGGCCGCCGCCAGCCCGTAGGCGAAGCCGGCGTTAGCGTGAGTCAACCAGCAGCTGCCTGTCAGCCTGCGACCCGCCGCTCACATCGTCCTCTTCTGCGCTGCTTCTAGTTCGCCTGCATCCCGTAACGCCTGCCCTGCGGCGCGCCCGGCCAATCCGCGTCCCTTCGCACTGTCCGCCTTCGATCCTTCGCACTTCCGCTCTGGGAGACGCTGAGCCTCGTCCGGCACACGACCCGTCGCGGTACATTCAGCGAAGCTCGCCCGTCGATGCTCCGACGTCCACGCGCCCGATCGCCTTGACACTCAGCCTGTCGGCTGCCGCCCTCCCCACCCGGGCGACGCGCGGGCGTGTTCGTTTCCGATACGCGGATGGTCCTGCTGCCATGGACCCCAGAGCCGGGCTCCGCTGTACATACCCGTTGTACATATCGTGCGACACCGTCCCACCTCCAATCGCCTCGCAGAATTACAGTATCCCGTTGCCCCGATCCGCCCTCGCTGCACGAGGCGCGGCGGGCTCCTATTGTTACATACATGTAGTGTACATATCTGCCTAGAAGCGCGGTCACGCGCAGCGGCCGTAACACCCCCACCCTAGTTCACGTAGCACCGCATCTTCCACGCTGTGGTCCGTCGACACGCCCTATGGAGTGCTGCATACCCAGAACCGTCCGCGCGAGTGTGTCCGCGCAATCTTCGCTGACGTGTGTGTTTCCCTGACGGCTCACTGTATGCATATGTGGCAGATGGAAGGCTCGAATCAGATCGAAGACCCCCACCGTGGATGTTCGAACTCTTCCACACCCGCCTGTACAGCACCGCAAGGTAAAAGTACGTTGACACAACTGATGCTCAATTGCGCGCTGCAGGTATGGAATCAGCAACCCTCTCGCCGCCCGGGTGCCTATCTTGGCCCGCGAACGTAAGTTCGTGGTCTATGTTGGCATCCGTATGCAATATCGCGGTGTGGCACGCGCGCGATCAGCGCATATATGCAACGTATCCCGCAGCATCGATACATGTCCTCCGCCTGGGAGCCCGAGCACGGTGCGTCGCTTCGAACATCCCAACTCGTATCAATTGCCTGTGTCACGGACGGGTCCGAAGCGCTGATAGCCCCCCGGCGATTCTCAGCTGGCACAAGGCCTGCAAGTGCGGGTGCGCGAGCACTGCTCAGCGAGCCATTCAGATCCTGCTCCTGGGGGATCCGGTGAACCCTCGGATCCTGCGATCGCACCATCGCACGGGCTGCTCCCCACGCGTGAGCGTATTACTCGAGTCCGGTGGTTGGCAGGCCCGCCACACTTTGTCATCTGCCGCGGCTAGTTCTGGGGTCGGAAGCGTTGTATGGCACGTCTGTCCACCAGAGGTGTCTCGCATATGACCGCGCGCGGACACGGTGGGGCAGGTACGCTGCTGGGATGGGACAATCATCGAACTCAACTCACCGTCAGCGATACAGCATCGCGCAGTGTTTGAGTTCGGATGGGGAAGCGGGGGCAAGTTCTGCACCAGTTCTGCATCGCCGGGACCTGTCGACGTGATATGATAGTGCCACTGGTATGTACTACGGCTGATGTATTTCAGGAACTCTGTCCACCAACGGGCCTGACGCAATCGCGTGCACTGGCAGCGGGGATTGAGCGCCGCCGGCGGTCCGCGTACATACGACTGAATCATCCGTCGATGACGAATCCAGGTGCGCTAGAACGACTCGGTAAGTAAGTCTCGCGATGGTGTGGTCCAGCGGCGAGCCAGGACGGATACGGTGGCTCGGAGGTTTGATGCGGGTCCGTGTCCGTGTCTGATCCAATTTACTGCTCGGGCGCGGCGGACGCACCAGGATCCCATCTTCGAGTTGCGATCGCGCGCGCGGCGCGGTTCTTCCGATGGACCTGCCAGACGAACTCCGAAGTTTGCTGCAAGTGTAGACGTACCGGGTTTGCACCGGTGACGCGCGGCGAACGCCCACAGGTACGCTGCGGGTGGATGCGGCACACGCGGAGACAGAAGACAGCGAAGCCCTGCCAGACCAGTGTTCCCTCACACACCAACATGTTTATGCCGAACGGTGGCCAGTGCATTTCACTCCGAGTCATCTTGTGTGGGTCTCGATTCTGCGACGGACACACCGTTGATGCGACGCGGGATTCGAGGAGACCGGCGTGCACTGGTGTCCTGACCCCTGGCACATTTCCGAGCTGACCGACACCGGTGCTCCGTCCGAGTGGTACGTTCGTGCGCGGACGTGCGCGGATCGATGCATACCTGGAGCAGCGGCTGCCGAGCGTAAGTATGGTCGCGGGAGTAAAACGTCCTGGTGAAACTTCCGCAATTTCGTGATGAGCCGCGGAGGTGCAGGCGACGACGTGCAGCTGCCAGATTCGGCTGGGATACATTCCATTCGGACATACTTGAAACGGATACAGAATACTATCTATGTTTTCACAAATTTGGAGCTGCTGAGACGAGTCTACACGCCGATGTCGCCGGAGGGGTTTGTATCGTACAAGGTGTCGCCACAGATTTCAAAACAGGTTCGAGAAAGCATACGTCGGGTAGAGAGACAGACGGCGAGAGGCGCCAGACAGGATAGACGCTACAGGAGGCAGGGAGTGTCGTACAAGTACAGCGGATTTCCGCAGGAAGAGCTTCGCCGAAGGAACACCGAGCAAGACCGCGCGACAGGTATCGTACACCGCTGAAAGACTTCTTTCCTAGACAAGACATCACAACGCACCACCAGGACAATGAACCATACCGATGCTCTGTACAGCAGGCGACAGCCAGCCCTACAGATAGTACATCTGCCGCGACATGTTGAGCATCGCGGGCTTGAACTTGTCCGCCCAAGGGTTGAGATCGAACTCCGCCCTGCTGCCGCCTGCAGTGCTCGCCGTGTCCGAGTCCCCGAAACGCATTTCGTCTGGGAAGTGGTTCTCGGCGCGCGAGCAGACTCGCTGGGACAGAGCATGGGGCACGTCACCTTAGAGGTGGATACCTTTCAGTCAAGAAAAGAAGAAACGTACGTCTGCATCTGGTGGCGAGTTGCGAGGAAGGTCAGCACGCATGAGCACCGGAGCGGCATAACACACGTACAGTATACCGGTGCTGGGATGGACACAGAGCGTGTCGCGCTCGCGTAGACATGGCAAAGATCGAACGAAAGACGTTGATAGCTGCATGCTTCATGAGGATGGTTGTACAATAGCGAGGCCGCTATTTACGACTTACATGTCAGGTGGCAAGCCGATGTCATTGCACAACACGATGTAATGGCTAGGTCGACTCGCTGCGGACGCTGAGCGGTTCGTCGCAACCTGAATGAAGCTAAGTTTACGTACTGCCTTGAATGCCGCTGTGCGACTGTAGGTAAAAGTCCGGATATTTTGCGTTCGTGATCTCCTCATCGACGACGAAACCAGGCAGACAGTTCCCCGAATTGTCAGCCTCCTCTCTGCGGAAATGCAGTTAGTCACAAAGAAGCCAAGGACTTTATCTCTCTACACACCGGTTACGCGGGAAGAAACGGATGTGGTGCCTGCATAGCTCATTCAGCGATGCATCGTGTATCTGCATACGAGGACAGTTACCGTTTACCAACCACAATAAACGTAATCTTCGGCAGCGCACTAGGCGAATATGCCTTCGCGCCCGACGCAAGAGGCCTGCCATCCGGGCCGATCTGAGGCATGTCCTTGAGAGTCCCTACGCACGAACAAACGAAGTCAGGCACCAGTGACTCGGACCTACACATCATCGGCACGTACTCTTGATCTCTTCAATCTCCTTCTCCGAGACTTGCTCGTACTCGCCTTCCGAGACGCCATCCCGGAAGAAGACCATTGTCTTTGGGTATCGCCCCTCCCAGCGAATAGCAAACTGGGTCAGCGCATCCTGCAGAAAGCATTGGACGTTAAATCAACGAGTAGCGGGATCAGACAACTTCGCCCACCGTAAGCATCTTGTAGAGATTGGAGATCATCTCCACGCGCGGCGGCTGGACCCCACAGAGGGCGACGTACTGGGTGCAATCCCAGTTCACCGAGGCGACCAGACTCGTGATGGAGGGTCGGGTAGTCACACCGGGGCCGGGATGGCCGACGTCCATGCCTGTGAGCCGCGAGTAAATACACAGATGCGGGTAGAGATGTAGTCATACCTATAACCATCGTAGCCTCTGGTACAAGTGGCCTCGACCCATCCACCCTCGAGTTGACGCCGCCGATCTTCGCGTTGATCCTGCAAAAGCTCTGTGAGTGACACATACTGCGATCAACATAGACACAAGCATACTTAAGTGCCACATTATTGAGGTATTGATCTTTCGCCGGCTCCCACTTGCCCGCGCGCTGCGAAGCAAGGTGCATGTAACATCACCCAAGATTAACGAGCAAGGGAGTACTCACGACACACTGCGTCGGGATGCCGCGCCTGACATCGCCCCAATGCTTGACCGCGCGCCGCACTTCCGGCGCGTTGGTCGGGAGGAACGCGAGGATGATTGCGGGCAGGATGGGCTTAGTCTGTGCTGTTCCGGGGACCGTCGTGCGTTGGCCGAGCGTATCAAGTTCCTGCAAACGGTTATTATAGATTCGAAGTCTGTGAGCTTGTCAGTAAGTACACACTTGCAATGCTTGGAGAGGGTTGGCCGGCATGATGACCGGGTCACGCAAGACGTCTAAGCCGCTGTCAGAGTCGATCGAGTAGTATGAGTGAATGGGACGGAAGACGCACTGACGCCTGGTTTAGGGGACGGTTAGCATGATGATCAGTGGGAAGTGGATAGTACGTCAAGGACTGACCTAGCGCCTGTAGGTTCCGTCTGAGCTTGCTGACGAAGTCATTGACCCTGGCTGGCTGGGCCCTGTTGTCGAAGACAGCGACGCCCCAGGCCAGGATACTGCCTGGAGTGAGGAATGCCTTCCTCACGACGTTCCAGGCTCCGCGTTTGACTTGTATATTCTGCAAACGCGTGCCGTTCGCTTGCGATCACATGCCTTGACAAACAGATGCCAGACCTACCTCTACACCGTTGCCATATTGAATGCGAGGTACACTGAGAAGTCGTCCATTTATTGTGAGTGCGGACGGGTTTACCGACATGCCTGCCTCGGTTACGAAGTCAGACGATTGATAGTCGAATACTTGTTCCTAAGCAAAGAATACGATATAAGAATGGCAATGGTCTTCGATTGCATGCCCTTTGGACTTACCTTTCCCGATACAGCATCCTGGATCGCCTGAAGGCGCGCATCTGGCCTCTGTGTCGCAAACTTCAGAAAATCGGCACCTATCTCCGCAGGGATCTTCTTTCGATACAATTGACCAGGTAGAACCTGGCAAAGCTCTGCCGGGAAGATATTGTCCCGCCCGATGCGAACACCGAATATTGTGGGGTGATGTAAATTGATGTTATGCGTTTGACGGTAGTGTTCCTGCATGTAATAAGCTTCTGTGCAGGGTATAAGGTAAAAACATGAATGATTACTCTGACCGTGGTCATGACACCGTCTTTCTCGAACTGGTATGCACCAGCATTGATGACGAGGTCCTTGATGGGACGTCCTCTCTTCGCCTTAGATGTTGGATGGTGACGTTGACGTTCTTGAGAAAACTTTTGAGCCGATTGAGGTTGGGGAGCGTTATCTGCTCAAGGTCTCGGATGTTTCTGAAGTTGAGAAAGCCTAAGGCCAGAGCAGTCAGCTCCCCGGGCCGGTAGCTAATTTTTCTTGATGAGAAAAACCCGAGGAGTAGATCATAGTCGCTTACACGAGGGAATTGGCTACATCAACGTTGATGAGCAGATTTCCGAGCACGGGGCGGACACTCCTGGCAATCCATGGATTAAACATGTTCACGATAGATAGGACAGTGCTGAGCTCACTGAAAGTATCCATGCCATGCCTGTAGGCCCATCGACATGTCCTTCGAGCCGCGCTCTACGAAGAACGCGCGGGCGTCCAATGCAAAGCCGTGGCGCCTGATGGCGAGTTGTATGTTTCAGTACAGTATGAGCACAGAGCGTCCTCACATGTTCGTGGCCTGACGGACAACCATTTGTAGGAGATTGAGCGCCATCGTGTTCTCCCCTTGTTGGGCGCCGCCTTTAGCCATGAGGCGCTGTATAGTCCTTCGTGCATGGCTCAATTACACAAAGCCTTCCAGACATTCTCTGGATTACACGTACTGGGGCTGTATCGTAGACACCCTCGTAAGTTTCACCTTGAATATACCCTTTCCAGGTGTCCTGGACATTCGTGCTTCGTACTGCACAGCGACATGAGCCGCCGGGTTGTAAGGTAGCGAGTCATGCGCTTGGTGACTTACCTCCCCGTTGGGGATGTCATTCCGCGAAAACAGGTTGGCGCGACCATCGTACACAGCACGAGGATTAAATTCCCGCGGGTATGCGCGTTGCACCTCGTCCATAATTTCGAATGCTCGCGTGATTTGTCAAGTTAGGGTCGATTGCTACAATTTATGCCGTATAGAACAAGTCAACAGGCACAGCAATAAATACTTGCCCACTTGCAATGGAGTACGTGAGGCGATGGCATACGATCGGGAGGACAAAGGACACGTACCATCATAATGGAAATAATCGCGCGGGGCCCTCTGGAAGTCGATCTTGAAGGAGTTCGTCTTCACTTGCATGCGGGAGCCCTGCGTCCCCCTTGGTGTGGCCATGGCGGGCTTGAGAGAGGGGAGCGACGCAGGACAGCGTCCGAGCGGGGGGGCTTTGTATCCCCTGGCTTCGGACGGCACGCGGTGCTCGGAGAGCGGTCGATTGGACGAACGCGTCCCGGATAAGCGGGACGCGTCTGCACGTGACGGAGTACCAGCCAGCGCGGCGATCGCGGAGTGCGCGTCGCGCGTCTCCTCCTCTCCTCCGCCATGCTCGACCTCTGTTCCATTTCACACAAGGGTGCGTCGTGCCACCGCATCCCAGACAGCTGACCGAACGCCCTCCAGGCGGCCTCGTCCTGTGGTCCCGCTCCTTCACCCCCGCCGCTTCGCAGACAGCAGCGTCCTCCGCGTCACCCGTCAACTCCCTAATCCGGGAGGCTCTCATTGAAGGCCGGACGGCGGAGAACAAGTACGAGAAGGATGGCTACTCTGTCAAATGGACGTTCGTGAACGATCTCGAACTTATTTTCGTCGTGCGTCCTCCCGCGCTGCTTATCGTCCGCACCCGGTCCGCTCAACCGCTGCATGCAGGTGGCATACCAGCGAATTCTGCAACTGACCTACGTCGACGAGCTGCTCGCTGCCCTCAAGACACTCTTTGTCAAACTTTTTGAACCGTTCTTGGCCACCTTCGTTGCCTCTCTGCACGCCGCCAGTAATGGGAAGTTGTCTGCCGGCGCGAACCAGACGGCGACTACGTGGAACTTCACGAAGGCATTCGACGGCTGGGATGGTATATTCGACAAGCTTCTCAGAGGCCTAGAAGACAAGGCAGCTCAGGTTAGTCTCCACTCCGAAGCAGCCTGCCGTCATTGCTGACCAATAACAGGACCGGAGGGCGCGCGTGGGCCATGTCCCTCGTCCTGCCATCGATTCCAGTCCGCCATCCGACGATCCTAGCACGCGTGAGGGTCAACAATTCAGATCCCCATTGCTTCCGCGCTAAGCTGCTTCCACAGTCCCTTCGCATGATAGCGAAGCATCCGTCGATGAACAGCAGATAGCGCGCAATGTCCAGGCCTTGAAAAACCGCCTTCGCGGGAGAGGCGGACGAATGGGCAAGCGCGGGGGTGGCCGTGCGGATGTAGGAAACGGGAGAGACAGTCACCCCGGTTCCGAGTGGGTGCTGTCTCTGCTTGTTCTTCAGGGAATGCTGACCTGCTTTGCAGTTCCGACACGCCCACCAAGCGCAAGCCCAAGAGTAAAGCGCAACGTAAATGGGGCGATGAAGCTCCATCCGAGTCCGATATGGCCTCGCTAGATTTCAGCTATGAGAATATTAACGGCAGTGAGGCCGCGTCATTAGACCTGTCGGCGCTCGTAGACAAGGGGTCTCTCGGAATCCGTACCCAGGACGGCCTCTACGAGGTCAAAGACTGGGAGTTCAGTAAGAACAGTGCGGCAGACGATGTCATATCGAGAGTGATTCAGGATGGTGGTGGACCAAGTACGAAACCTAACGCGACATCGGGGTCGCTTGGGGCGCTGGGCTCCATTTTTGCCCGGCTTACCGGATCGAAGGTCCTCACGGAAGAGGACCTGAAGCCAGTCCTCGAAGCCATGAAGCAGCATTTGATGAAGAAGAATGTGGCAAGGGATATCGCAGAAAAGGTTTGCGAGGGCGTCGGCGAGGGTCTCATCGGCAAGAAAGTCGGCGGATTCCAAAGTGAGCATTCCCTCGTGCCATTGAGGTAGGCAGAAGCTGAATTACTCTGTAGCGACGAACGCAGCCGTCCGACAGGCGCTTTCGAACTCACTCACCAGAATCCTCACTCCGAAGACGTCAACAGACCTGCTCTTGTCTATCCGTACGAAGCTTTCATCGCCCTTGCCATCGACACAGCAGAGGTTACCCTACAGCATCACATTCGTCGGTGTCAACGGCGTTGGGAAGAGCACGAACCTTTCTAAGGTCTGTTTCTGGTTGATCCAGAACGGCCTGAGGGTGCTTATCGCTGCCTGTGATACTTTCCGGTGCGTCGATGGCTGAAGGCATCATATCGTGACAGCCCGTTCTTACATGGACCCATAATAGGAGCGGCGCCGTCGAACAGCTTCGAGTTCATGTTCGGAACTTGAGTATGCTGGGAGTGAATGGAGCCACCAATAGCAAGGGCCGAGTGGAACTCTACGAACGAGGCTACGGCAAGGATGCTGCTGGTATCGCCAAAGAGGCCATTGCGTATGGTAAGCAGACAGTTTCCATGCCTCCCGTGGCAGTGACATATGTTTGCGCAGCGCGAGACAATGATTTCGATGTCGTGCTTATCGACACGGCTGGCCGGATGCAAGATAACGAGGTAGAATGCACATCAATCGAGTTTCCTTTCGTACGCTCACGTCTCTAATGTAAGCCTCTCATGCGTGCCCTGGCCAAGGTGAGATGGTTCGTATCAACGAAGCTAACTGTCATCTGAAAATGTCGCCAGCTGGTCGCTGTGAACAGCCCAGACAAGATCATCTTCGTCGGCGAGGCCCTTGTCGGCAATGAAGCTGTCGACCAACTGACAAGTTCGATCGGCCCTACGCGACTTCTCGGCGTCGTCGGGTAGCAAGGAACGAGGCATCGACGGCATGCTCGTCACCAAATGGGACACCGTCGACGACAAGGTTCGTTGGCCAGTCCATCTCTCGAGATGAGGCGCCATTCTGCTTGTCACAAATGGATGCATCCGATCCTGATGCTGGTTTGTAGTGCCTACAGGTGGGCGCTGCGCTGTCTATGACTTATGTCACCGGCCAGCCGATCATCTTCGTCGGATGTGGACAGGTGTTATCTCCTGTCCTTTCTGAGGAAGCATTTCTGAATCTGCCTGCATAGACTTACACGGATCTTCGGCAACTGCGTGTGGCAACGTCGTGCAGGCCATTCTGAGCGACTAGTGTGCTATTCGCAGCGAATGTCCGACACCCATCATGCCTTTTGGACAATATCACGGCTATTATCTATCGTACGTAGCAGCGCGGTACAGCCTGCCCATAATAGTCTCTTAGTTATTGTATTGCATACGCAGATCGTAAGTTAGTCTGTCATTATCCTGCTGTACTGAGCCATTCCAGCTGTTGCAGAGCTTATTCGACGGATGATCAGACCTATCCAGATTGCGTTCAGTCAGTGCCGCTGCGACTGATGGACCACTGGTGTTGTTCACATCCGCTCTCACCTCGTCCTCGACCACACTGGGTCAGTGCCAGTGCTGTAGATCATTCCGGGCTTACCCAATTTTCGTGCAAGTCGGAACTCGATGTCGCTCGGTATGCCATGGTGGGTATCATCTCACTCATACACGTACAGCCGAAACGGAAGAGCCCAAGAAACGGGACGACGATATGCGGGCGTTCGTCGCAGCGAGGAAGTGTGCCAGCCGGGGTACCCAACCTACATCGACTGCCCTTGATGACCGTCTCCCCGATTCATCCCATTGACAGCCTGCTCTCCGACTCGACCTTTTCGCTGCTGTGCTCTCCCTCTGCCGATGCCTGCGCCCTTTCCTCGAGGACCCGCTCGTACGCAGGGGGCGGGTCTGCCTGCTCGTCTGAGCTGCCCTGGACGAATGGGCTTTGGACAGGTACCAGCCCGGACTTGGGAGAATGCCTGTGGCCCTGAACCAGGCGGATGGTGCCATTGTCCGTCCTCGTCGTTTCCTCAGGTACCATAGCCCCAAGGCAAGGAGCAGAAACGCGAGTATGCCGACGATGCTTCCGGCAATGGCGGCAGTGTGAGTGTGGTGTCCTGTGGTAACGCGTGCTGATGGCGGCATGATGGTTGCAGTAGGTATACTTGATGTTGCATTCTGGGAATAATCGGACGTGAAAACCGCAGTGATTTCAGTAGACATGCTTGACTCAGGCGTCGATGGCGCAGTGGCTACGCTGGCTGTGGTCATGTCCGCGGAAGTCGAAAGACTTCCTGCGTTAGTTGAGGTTGCCGATGTCGAATAAGGAGGTTTGTAGGCTGTTGATGAAGGTTCTGAAGTGGACGTAGTGAGAGCTGGAAACGTCGGTAATATTGATGTGTGGCAGATATTCCGTATGCCTGTGGCATGGGGTCAGTGGGGGTTTCTACGAGATCAACAGCGTACGGTACGCACCGTAAGTAGGCAAACTCCATGTCCACGAGCAATCCGCCGTGACCGCTAATGGTTTACTCCAGGAAAGTTGTGTCTGCAGTGCATCCCGGTTGACTGAGCATACAAAGACCGGAGTGGAACCCTAATACCGGACGAGACACGTACGTTCATCTGGTATGTCTCGATTTTCAAGCTGCGTGGCCGATCCCGGTTGTGCGCGTCCACTGTGCACACGGCAGGGTAGCAGTGGGCGTGGAGGTGGGTTCTCAGTATATGAAGTCAGCGCTTTTGAATACATGCCATGACCCTGTGGCAGACTGCAGCCCGTTCATCAGCTTGTTCATCTTCATATTCAAATTTTGCACGATACAGAATGTATGATGATGGACAAAGATCCGTCGCTTCTCAGAAACCCAACGTCACGGTGATCAGTCAGAGTCGTTAAGACGACGAAATGATATCATAAACCTCCCGTATACGTGGATTCCGGAGCTCCCGCCCTAGACATATCATGCCATGTCTGTGTCCATGTAGTCCGTGGGATGCATCCACTCCAAAGCACATCCCCGGGTCATATGGCCTCGCCAACAGTCTTCCAATGCAAGTCCGCGCTCTCAGACCGCAGGGTTGCAGACCCATCCACGGACTCCTCCGCGTCATCCTCCCCCTCCAGCCGCTCCTTCTGGTCGCCTACTGCCTTCTCATAGACCTGATCACTGTACGCGCCCGACGTGAACGCCGGTGGCGGCTCAACCGGCTCGTATGAGCTATCACGTACGATCGCGAGTCGGGTGGTGAATGGCCCGGGAGTAGGTGTGCGGACTACGCCCATGAACTCGGCTGAAGGGGGGAGTTTTCGCCTGTGCTGCCTCCGCCGGAACCAGAAGAGGGAGCTGAGGAGTAGTAAGAGGCATAGTATACCCCCGACAACTCCTCCTGCGATGGCGGCGGTGCTTGCGTGTGAAGAAAGGCTCGCAGAGGACTGCTCGGCGACGCTGGCAGGCGGTCCGCCCATACTGCTGCTGATGGTCGACGCCGTAGGTCGCTGGGTTTGCAATTCTGTCTCTGTCCAGAGCGGGTCTGTGGAACCGGACTGACTCGAGGACCGAAGAGACGGAATGGTTGCGGATGGTAATCCCAGCGAGAACGCATTGTCCGTGGCTATCTGTCCTGCGGAAAAGCTATCCGATGGAAATGTGGTATCGAGGCTTCGTGAGGCTGCATGCGAATTCGAAGTATTCTGAGACTCCGAAGGTGTAGTAGGATTTGTGTCACTGGTCGTGGAGGGCACGCCGGTGCCAGCAGGCGTCGATGTGGGCTCTCCCGGACTCGTCAGCGAGCTACTTGGTAGACCGGTGTCGGTGACAGCATGCGCTTGACAGAATGTTAGCCATGTACTCTGCAGTGGGCTGCCTGTACTCTGCCACCAAGAAGGGACCGCAGTAAATGTTGTAGCCTGCTTCCCCCAATCTACGGTGCAGGGTAGTGGCAAGTCGTAACGTGTCCCATCGTAGGTCACCGTCGCTGTGGTCTTGAACACGGACACGGTCAAACACTGTGTGACGTACTATATCCATGAATGATTACACACCTTGGAAGGTTTCGTCATGTCGTGCGAGAGCTAGGGAGTCGGACTCGGGGGGAGGGAAGCTGCACCACTGACAGACATGTCTAAGGCATTTTGAAACATGCACACATCGAGGGCACACCGTACAATCACCATCACCATCTTGTTCGTTCGATGACTCATCCTCATCTGTCCTTGACAGAAGAAGACCAGCTGAGAAAGCGACTGCTACTATAAGTGATGATCCTGGGACGCCGGTGATGGAGAAGGAGCTGTACTGATTTGACCGAAGGCTTCCTTGTACAAGTCTAGAAAGCGTGAAGTTCTGTAAGTAACACCGGATGTAACGAGGTACAGATGCGAGGAATACAAAACGTATGCTGTGTGCGTTGTGCAAATGCTGTAGGGGTCCCTGACACTGCTCACCGGTAGTCTCTGAGCAATCCCACCAGGCTCAGGCTACATACGGCGATCACCGGCACTGCATTAGGACCTTTGTTGCGAGCATGCTGGTTATGATATGTTGGGTCAGCGTCCCTCAAGCTCACGGGGAGGTCTGATACAGTGAAAGCAAAGGAAAAGAACAGTGATGATGGAGACTACCTACCTGTGTTATGCAACGAATGGATCGTACCGCAGTTCACGACGGGCGAGGAAGCAAACCGGGTATTGAGCACCATCTCAAGAACCAGATATGATCGTCCTTGTGTCATTACACCTAGCCACATGATGCACAAAGGTCCAGTGAACGAACACCCAAGATACAAGAAGTCCGTACGTTACCACATTCTGTTGTCCAAGAATCTACTCCGCGAAAAAGTAGTACCCCGTCGGCTTCTCCTCTTCAGACCCACCGCCCTCCCCGTCGGGACCCCTGATATGGGCCATCTGCGCGACCGCCTCGCGCAATTTATCAAGGAGGGGGTCCGGCGTGTGTGCCCCCGACCCGGTCCATGTCCAGGGGGCGGTTCGTCAGGCTCACCTGAGCTGTCCCGCAAGAATATCCCATCAGGTTGGGCGTCGGGCTATGGCGCATGGCGGCGGCAATGACCATGAACTCGCTGATGGCGCTATCTTGGGTCTTCGCTGCTGCGGCGAAACCATAGCAGAAAGCCACGAGGGCGAGGAGGCCTATGAGCCGCCGATGACGGCGCCCACTATGGCACCGAATGCGAATGCGAGTGACGAGAAGTGGCAACTGACGACGAAGAGTGTGGTGTGCCTCGATGTGATGAAAGGTTAAGTGACTGTGTTGGGCTGCGTCAAGTGCCTTGGAAGATGATGATTCGAGGAACATGACCGTAGGGGGGTGTGAAGACTCAGCGGTGCTCGAAGTGGATATAGGCGAGAGGATACTAACGGATGAAATGGGGCGCCAGGGTTGTTTGTAGAGAACATGGTGAGGAGAGAGCTGTAGTTGCTGAGTTGGATGGATCCAGGTGATTGATTGCCCAAGTGAATGTGGTTGTGAAATGCGTTACTAAAGGTATGGTAGGACGGACTGTTGGAATGCCCGGTGATACCCAGGTAGAGTAAAGAATGTCTGGAACGGATATTAATATGATGATGACCCAACGAACACAAACGCACCTGGCTGAATGAGAGTGTCGTCATTGTGATGGCATGAGATAACCAAATGGTATCATGGAGGTGGAGGCGAGGGTCCTCGTAATGAGAGCTCGCACTCAAGCTCAGCTGCCATGTATGAGTAGTTGGTTCGCGGCGTGCTGTTATGAACAATTCATCAGGCATCTCTATCGAAATGCTGGTGTCAGATGAGGCCGACTGACTGCTCGCAACCCGCATGTCGATGTCGGGCTGTGTGAGCCGAAGTGCTGGAGAGGTCGTACAGTAATTCGAGAGAAAGACTGGCTGCAGTGACTGCATGACACGCCTGCGACGCGGACACGGCTCCTCGGCCCCCATGATCCTCGCGCATCCCCTCCGCTCACTAATCCGCCCTCCCGTCCTCGCCCGCCCGTTCTCCGCCACCCTCGCTGCCAGGATGAAGGTCATCCCGTCCCCGTGCGCGACGACAACTACGCGTACCTCCTTGTCGACACCGCCACCAGCAAGGCCGCGCGGTCGATCCGTACGACGTCCCAAGGTCCAGGCCGCCGCGGAGGAGGCTGGTGTCCAGATCGTGCCAACATACCACCCACATCATTACGACCACAGCGGTGGGAACAAGGTGTGTGTCGCGTTACGCCTCCATACTTGGGAAACAACAAATGACCGGACGCCGCACAGGCATTCGTACGTCCATCCGTCTAACGCCTGAACCATTATGGCACTCAGATGCTCTCGCGACGCATTACAGGCGTCCGCATTTCCCGATGCGCCCGTCTACGGCGGTAGCAACCAGATCCCCGCCCTGACGCAGCTCGTCAAGGACAAGGACGTGTTCAAGGTCGGCGAAGGGATCAGCGTCCGGTACGCGCCCCGCCGGAGGCAACTATCATCGTACCAGTGCCAGGGCTGACCGCATCCTGACAGGTGCCTCGCGACACCCTGCCACACGCAGGATCGATCTGCTACTATGTACCTCGTCCTCGTCCTCCCACCCCGGCGGCGTGTTCACGGGCGACACGCTCTTCGTCGCGGGGTGCGGCCGCTTCTTCGAGGGCACCGGTGAGGAGATGGACCGCGCGCTGACCTACCTCGGCACGCTCCCTGACCAGACGGTCGTCTACAACGGGCACGAGTACACCTCGGGCAACGTCGCCTTCGCGAAGTCGGTCGACGGGGACAACGCCGCGCTCAAGCGGCTCGCGCAGATTGTGGAGGAGAATAAGATCGTGACCGGCCTGACCACCATCGGCGACGAGAAGGAATGGAACCCGTTCATGCGTCTGCAGAGCGCACCGGTCCAGTGAGTGTCCAAATTGCGGGAAGATGTGTCGTGTGTCCTGATTCAGGTGCAGGAGCGCACCGGGAAGTCGGTAACAGCGCCATCATGGACGAGCTCAGGAACATGAAGAACAGCTTCCGTGGATGAGTGCGACACAAGGACCCCGCTCAGCCAGGCACGCACATGTATGTTATAGATCTAAGCAGGAGAGGACATCGTGGAAGCTTTCGATCTTCACTGTACTTGTATCTGACGACAATCCCAACTTCAAGTGTACAAGTATGCAATGTAGGGTGATTCGTTGTGGATTCGGTGCACTAAGCCCGACTGACTTATAACCCCTGTCTGCGAGACTAACCAGGTACATATCCCTCAGTTTGCAGAAACGATGTGAGATAAATAGGTCCTAACCCGAACAAGCGCCCATAGACCCTACAAATAGCAAGCGTACTTTTCCATAGTACAGACATCGAACGAAGTGCTTCCCTGGCGGATGTGATTACGAGAACGTAGTAGGTGTCGAGCGGCCGGCTCCACATTACATCCCGAACACCTTCAGGATGGCCGAGCGTGCGTAGGGGATGTAGGAGAGCGTGTACCATGTGAAGGCGATGTACTCGATGAACACGAAGACTGGACAGCGCCATGTCAGCGGGATTACGAGAAGAGCGGCGCTGGCTGCTTACCTAGACAGAGAACCTGCAATGCGGTGATGAGGCGTTGAGTGTGAGCAGCAGGAGGACGACAGACGTACGTCGCTGCCAATGACAAATGCCCCGACGAGCACGAGAACTATTGAGAGCAGGAAGACCACGGTCGCGACGACTCGAATTGGCTTGAACATCTGGTGTGGTGGTCAGCTATCTGGCGGTAGGCAGTTGGAGGGACGGACATGCAGACGTACGAGCTTAATTTGTTTGAAAAACTGCCAACGTGCACTCTCAGTGACGGTGCATGCAAGAATGTCACGAAGTAGAAACATACACCTATCAGGAACCCCGTGCCGACGAGGGACACTACTGTACCCAGCACATACAGGACTGCAAACGGCGGGTCAGTTCAGACGTGCTCTGCCCGGCAGCGGGACAGTATACGCACTCGCAAAGGTCGTAATATCACCGAAGAAGAGGACGATGGCACCCAGTATACTGAGGATGAACCCGACCGCCAGACTGCATGCTCGCGTCGGACACAACACCCACCAGCGCCACACGTCGCTGGCACTCACCATCCACCAAAGCCATAGAGCCGCTGCGTCCTCGACAGGCCCATAAACTTGAACGCAGACTCGCCCTCGAAGAACTGCGTCTCGGGGATGGTGCCGCCGACGGCATCGAGGTTGAACCAGCCTTTCGACATGTTGAGCGTAGATGGGCTTCAAGGTCGTTACCAGGACGTGGAGTTGATCAGGTAGCAGTAATGAAGCAAGTACGGCTTGTTCGTTCGTGGATGGCACCAGGCCGATGGGACGCGTTCGCGGAGACTGACTGCGAGGCGGTCGGACTCGCAGCACCGTGCTGCTTTCCACGTGGCTAGCGCGTCTCCGCGCACTGCATTAGCGGTCGCGACGCGCTGGTGGCTGGGCAGATGAGCGGACATGGGCGGGCACGATCCCCCCTTTTCCTCGACGCTTGCACTGCGTAGCACTCCATGCTTCGGCATCATAGATGAGGAAACGAAATGTATATTTTCTCGTCAGTGTCATGATGATCATGTCAAATGTCAACGCTACAGGGATTTTCGATGGTTTACAACACAGAACCCAAGACCAAGATATCATGACGTTGCGTAAGGGGTCATAGCAAAGCTCGTTTGTATGTCGTGAAACAAAACTAGAGTGCGTGGCGTAGCGGAGTCGACGGCAGAGCGGACTGTCATAGCGAACACACATATTCCTAACTTACTTTCATGCACAGCATCGACGTGTAGGCGGGGCGAAGGGGAAAGCATTGGCAGCAGATGGTCGACATGAGCATGTTACAGCGGCTTGCGGCTGAGGATATCCTGAATTTCGGAGATAGTACGAGTCGCCTCGATTGGCGGACCGGGGATGATGCCGAGGCGCTGCTTCGTCGTGTTCAGCATCTGCTGCACGCTCGGCAGTACGCGCGCGACGTAGGGGGAGATGAGAGGGTCCTGTGCCTCAATGTTGAGATAAGACGCTCGGACAAGGACTAAGACAAATGATGACACACCGAACTGTTCAGCGTCGACGCCGCACGCTGCAACCACCACATGGAATCTTGAACGACTCGTCGAGAGGAGAAGTCTCGCCGACGATCGACGAAAGCTAATGGATGATGCACACGTCAGCGAATCAGCACTGAGCACGAAGACAAGGACATACCCTGTGCACAAGGGTAGCACAACAGCCTGCGACAGCGGGCCAGGTCCCTTCAGCGGCATGATCAAGTCAGGGTTCGACCGCGCCAACAGCTCACGGAGTTGACGAATGTCCTGCGTGCCCAGCACAGCAAGGTAGGTATCGTCCCACTCCTCGGTCTGCGCTTGCGGACTAGTGCGCAGCGCTTGCTGAGGCAATGGCGGCGGGGCAGTCGGGTGGGACGCCTGTGGCGCCACAATGTTCTGGTTGAACCACGGCTGGTGCATAGTCGGCGGCATCTGCGACTGCTGGAAGGGCCCTGCTGCCCAGGGTACGGTGTTGAGACACGGAGGTGGCAACGCCTGCTGACGGAGGAGCTGCGACAGAGTGCCCTGAGTCTGGCTGCCGGGCGCACTTGGAGACGTACGACTCGGCGCCACCGAGTTGTGGCTCAGTAGCCTCATTTGCTCAGCTAGGGAGCGAACGGTCTGCTCGAGTTCACGAATCATACCCTAGCGAGTGCTAGTTAGCCTCCGATCTGCGCAACAATTGAAACCTGTCTTACCTCCTGGCTCCGGAACGCTGTCTCTTGCCAGCCCTTGACATCCTGCTTCAGCCCATGATTTCGTTATGAATCTCACGCGACAATTCTTGGTGCATGTGATTGGTTTGCTGCTGGTACACTTGAATCAGGTTCTTGGAGACTGTCTCCTTCAGCTGCCTCTCAACGACAGGCGTCACAGCATTGGAGACGTTGCGCGCAATCTGGGAGGATATCTCAGGGCGCAAGAGCATCCGCTCGATTTCATTGGGAAGGTTCTGTCGAATGATGGTGTGAACAACGTGGTAGAGTCGTGACGGGGGACAAACTGACCTGTTTGAACGACTCCGACAGCCCCTTCGAGATCTGGTTGCCAAGCGCAGCCTTGACTTCGGTCTTCGTGATGTGCTCGAGCGACGGCAGCACCGAGTTCTGCACTTCGTTCTTGACGGCCATCTCGACGACGCGCGTCGTGTTCTTGCTCAGCTCAGTAGAAATCAACTTCAAGATCTTCTCCTGGCGCGCGAAGTCCTCGGCCTGCTCGTGAGTACGAGCATCCTCCAGGCGTTGGTCTGTAGGAAACTCCATCAGTACGGGTTAGTGGTGGTACGAAGGAAAGAAGCTCACGTTGCTTGTCGAGCTCCTTTCCGATCAGCCGCCCGATGCGAGTGTGAAGGTTCTCTTCCACCTTACGCATCTCCTTTGTGAGTGCGACGCCGAGTGGAGAGTCATTGATGATAGTGGGATCGCCGCCACGTGCCTTCCCCTCTTTCTCCTTGCCATCGTCCTTCTCTTTGTCTTTCCACCCGACGTTCTTACCCTTAGCATTCTTGCCCTTCTGCTCCTGCATGCGTCCAGACTCATCGCGGCTGTGCTCGCCCTCGACGTCCTCCGATGGTGGCGTCGGTCGCCTTGGCGCTGGCACGTTCATGAATTGGGGCGCAGGCGCGGGCTGCGTCATCGAGCCGCTGGTCAAGAGTGGAGGAATACCAGGCCGCTGCTGCGTCTTGATCTCAGCCGGTAGCGACTGCGTAGGCAACGACGGGAACCTAGCCGGAGCGGACACCAGCGCAGAGTTAAACCACTCGCTACGGATGAGCACCTGGTCCACACCGGTGGCGTGCACGGAGAACGCAACCAAAGCCAACTCCCAGGAGGAACCTTGGCCGCATTGCAAGCAGCAAGCCCTTCTTCGCCAGTAGGATCAGCATCTGCGGTAAGAATGACGAAGTGAATGGTCGGACGGGGTCCTCCGAACTCCAACACCTGGTCGAAGTATGCGCCTCTGCTGACGTCCTCGCTGTTGGGCGACGGCGCAGAGTTGTCGAAGCCGATCTTGAGAGCGATCATGCTGTCCCTCCGGTTGTTCGCGACCCACAACGTCTGTATGCGTGAGTCGTAGCTGACATGTCCGAACATGTCCGGATCTTCTTGGACGCTGTTGACGAACTTCACGGTCGACAGAACGTATCTACCCATGATCGCCAGGAGCTGGAACACCGTGCCGTTCTTGCGACCAACAACTACACCGTTCTCGACGAAGGTCAGTGAAGACGGCATGTCGTCGCCGCGGACCTTGTGCGACCAGAACGGCAACCTGTCGTTTATGTTCCACATCGTCAGAGTGGAGTCCTCCGATATGGTCGCAAGAGCGGATCGAGGGACGTCGAAGTCAATGGCAACGATAGGCTAGAAACGAATCCGTGATTGTCTGGACATCGGTACGAGAGACGAGAAACATATACATACAGACGAGACGGCGTAGGTCTGTGCCACGCGGTGCAACTCTGCCTGGGGAATCGGTTCGCCGTTGAAGACGTGCGCAGCATCTACGACGTTGACCAGGTAGACGGTCTTCTCGGAAGCGACCGCGACTAGATCAGGCTGCTGCGGGTGCCACTTGACGGCGTGAAGAGAGTCTACGTCCGTAGGCTCGACGCAGAGCATGATCGTGCCCCTGAGTAATGAACCTGAGTCGGAAATAGGAAGTAAACTCGCAGGCACTACGTACGGGACGTCGTCCATGATGACTTCAGGCAGCTGCCAAACGACGAAGCCACCGTCCGAGGTAACTCCTGCCAGACGGTTGCCGTGCACAGACATGTCAGTCACAGATGCCTGCGGCGGAAACGGTGGGGGCAGCTGTAGCAAAGTCCGGTCGCCACTGGAGCGCGAAATGACGCGAACACGGCCTATAAAGCAATCAATCGAGGTCTTGAAATACTGCGATCGTACTGACCTTTGGTCATCGCGTACGCAACCCAGTGCGTTGCGCCAATGGTGGATCCAGGGAGGAAAGTCGCGTCGACCTTGACCAGTGCGATGGCCGTGGTCTTGACTGCATCGCGAGGAGCTTGGATTTCCTCCAAAGGCTGCGAGACGTCAAAGACGACGCTCTGCGGCTGCGAACTAATGCCACCACAAGCGTCAGCAACAGGCAATAGCAATGAGGAAGCTCGCTCACCTCGGGCTATTGGTCTTGAACTTAGGACCACCGCGGCTCCTGCCTTCAGATCCACTGTTCCTGTACCCAGAACCGGATATAGGAAGAGAGGGCCCGTATACAGCAGGACCCAAAGGAGACTCGGCAGAGCGACGTTGCTGCTGACGCACCTGGGCCTGCTGCTTCGGTGGCGACAGGCGAGGGGGAGAGGGCGCGTGTGGTGGTTGAGGAGGTAGCGGACGAGACGCACGCGTCTGTGCAGGCTCAGCCTGCGGCGTGAACTCCTCGCTGGGAGTGTACGGGTCGTAAGAAGATATCTGTTGTACAGGCGCAGGCTGGGGTACCGGACCCCTCGTGAGCTGCTCCATTAGGTTCTCTACAGATTTTCGCTTGGGATCGATGGTAAGGCTGGGGAAGGAAAAGTCTTCAGCACTGCTCGGCATGCCGGATGGCTGAGGAGCCGCTTTTCGCTTGCTAGCAGCCGTGTTCGCCAACGCCTCGAATGGTGAAACGAAGGCCTCGAACTGAGATTTGCGAGCGGGTGATGGGGCACGCTGGTCATGAACAGGAGGGGGACCCAGCATGTCGGATGTCGGCGGGACGTACAGGTTTGACGAGGACTCGTTGGGTGTAATCTCGCCGACGTCCTGACGAGCCCCCGCCTCAGAGATATTGGCTACGTAAGGAGGCGACGGGCCAGATGTAGTAGGCGCAATGCTGGGGTAGAGGGGTTCAGGGTAGTTGTACTTCGGGGTGTTTCTACGGAAGAGGCGACAACAAATGTCAGAGGCGAAAATCAGATCGGAGGAATCCCAGCCCATTGCGGCACCACAACGCCGGGGAGTCGTGCCAACCGTGCTGGGAGGGGTACCGATCGCACAGATAGCACGCCCTCACAACCCGACGGCGCCACAGCGAACGGGACACTCACCCTGACATGAGCTGCTCCAACAACAATTTCCCCTGAGACTCGTTCGAAGTCATGCCACTCCTCGGTGCTGAACCGGGGGGCGTCGGGACTTGTTGAGGCGGAGGGTGCGCAACAGGGGCTGTCTGGACATTGGACGGTCCCGATACTGTGCTGCCTAGCAAGGACAGGAGCGCATTTTGCCTCTCAGTGGCCTGGTTGCTCGGACCCGACATAGACGAAGAGATAGACCCAGCATTCACAGAAGCCGGTGTGGCGTGGCCCGAATTCGCCTCCTGCGGGCCAGCATAGATATTGGAACCGTTGTTACTGGGCTGCGGACTGACATGCGAGTTGGAAGGTGCATTCAGCGTTTGAAACAAGTTATCAAGGTGAGTCGTAGATGAGGCAAGAGGGGGTTCACGGTAAGAGGGAGCCGGGGAAACGTGCGGGTCGTTCGCCTGCGACAGGGGGGCTGCAAAAGACTGCTGGTGCGGGGGTGAAGGACCTCGTGAAAATACGTTATCTCTTGTGTTGGCGTGGTCCATGATGTGCGTTCCGCAGGGTGTGCAGGACAGGAGAGATCGAGGAGAGGAGGAAAGATGTCGGACCCGTTGAGCGTTCACAGTCTTACAGAACGCGCTCGTTGCCTCATTGACAACACGAGGACGCCGGCAATTGCCGTCACGCCTATGTTAAGACCCTCCGCCAACCAGAGCCCTGCCAGGCCCTCTCGCACCATCACCATGAGTCCTGGGCTATCAGCAGCGCGATGCAGACATGTCACAGCAATCGTCCCTCATGGGAAGTGGCCGACTTGGGCGTGATGGTGGAACTAATGCTGTCGTTTCCCACTGCCCTCGGATCCTGCTCATACTCGATAGCCAGATGTTGTGGTCGAGCTCTGGGCAGACGCGACAAACTCACAAAGAGCCATTCGCATGACAGAATGCATGGGTGAGAAAACCCCAGGGATGCTGCAGTCGAACCACTTCATGAGCGCAGTCAATACGCGGTCAATAGATTCGATGTTTGCCTCGCCGTACTACGCACTCATGCTCCCTGCAGATAACCCTGGAACGAGGCGTACGGCGGCACATACATGCCACTGCTAGGTTTGAGTGGAGGCGCCATAGCGTGGTCAACCGGTCACACATTGCAGGCAGACGCAGATAACCTACGAGTCAGCATCACTTGACGACTAGATCGAGGTCCAATCGAGTCTGTTCATCGTCTACATACGAGACCGTAGTAAGTTCATGGCAATCCACATTACAAGCGGTGAACGCATTCACCTGCAAGGAACTATCCTCATGTGCGGAATACAATGCAGCTAATGGGGCGTATATGGCAATTGTGGACCAACCATGAAGTCGTTCGAAAATACGTGGGGCTTGCCTGGACGCCGAAAGTGGCATGATCTCTGTGAAGGCATAAAATGTACATAGTCGCCGCCAGTGTGCGAGAGTGTGCACGGAAAATTGCGAGTGGATGCATACCTGGCTGTGGTTCCCTATCGCGCGTCGGTGGTCCAGACACCAGGATAGACAGCCGAAGATCCAGGCTCGTGTGCGAGCTTATCTCGGCGGGGATAGCCTTGGGGTTGTGAAGCTTTAAAGGGGTGAACCCGGATACAGTGGTTGCAAATGAAGGTAAATACCTAATAGTGATGCGAGTAGAAGAGATGCGAGATCCGTATCCCCATTCCCCGTGGGGACGCAGGTCAGCGCAAGACGCGGAGCAGTCCCCGTTTTCAGACATCCCCGGGATTCGAGCGGTTGCCCACTCCGTATGACTGAGAAGGACTGGCCGTCCGAGGTATAAAGTGGTTCGCGGCGTCGTCTTGGTAGCTCCGCAGAGTTTACGGCAATGCGGCTTAGCTAGCGGATGCTTGGAGCCTGTGAAGGAGCTCAGCGCATGGTCCGGAGGCACAAGGACAATGCATTCGATGACTGCAGATCAGCCCATATACCAGATCCTCCGAGACAGACAGCGCGGCGGCTATAAATGTCTATTGGTGCAATGTCTTCTCCTCGCCATCTTCAAACCCCTCCCCCCGATTCGTTTGGGGCAGAACCGCGTGTAATGTAATGCAACGGGGTACCTCGTCAGACCAGGTGGCAAGTATTTGCGATGGTCGCAAGCACCTTCCCAGCGTCAAACTAGTGGAGGCAGATGGGGCGAGTCTAAGCAAAGTCTAAGTGTGTCAGTCAGCAAAGAACGACAGAACGTAGGAAACTCGAGGCAGAACAGAGCTTCAGCTTCAGCATCGGCCCATGCGGCACCCTGAGCATGCGGGATAGACCAACACCCGGCGGCCGCGAAGGCATCGTTGTGAACTCGGAAGACCTGAGTGACGCAGCAGAGTCAATTATGCCTCTGCGCAGCACCTGAGTGGATGATTAGGGTCTCCGAGGCATTTGCGCTGAGGCACTTTCGCTGGCGATCGTCAACTGAGGCATTTTCTGAACCACTACGCCCGACTCAGCCCCCTTAGGAATACTATAGAGATCCTGGCGGCGGCGCTGCGTCGAATGAATTGCCGGGTGCGATACGCCACCGGGAGGACGATAAGATTGTGGGCTCCGTCAGTCAACGCACTATCGGATTATTACTGACAGACTTACGATGCCCAGCGTCCCGCAAGACATCAGGACATATGCGAGACATCGGGGAGGGGGGGGGGGGGGGGGGCGCAGACTTAAAGGTACATTCTTCTGCAAAAAGAGTTGCCAAAGGATGAGAATCGAAGACACAGACATTACCGGTGCAACTCACGATCCGTCCTCGGATGGCACAATGCCTGGATTCACATCGGTCCACGTCGAGCATCCCAAGAAAGATGTGTAAAACCAACGGCCCAGATCTGATGCGTACGGCCAAAAGGCCTCAACGTTGATGCAGATGTCTGAACTCTGAATATATCAGGCAAAATTCGTCGAAAGAAAGGAAGCCGATGACTCGAGTCCACCAGGTCGTGAATTATTCTGACTAATGGCATGACATCTATGACTCGAGTACAGTATGCAGGGCAGTAGATTAGCATAACATGAATGCGTGCTTCTCACCGGATGCATTGTCACCTCCAAAGAGGATAATCTGTACAAAGTTGGTACGAGGTGCGCAGATTTGGTCGCGTGTCGTCGACATATCCGGCAGAAGGGTAGCCGCTATTCCAGTGCCAAGTGGGCATGGTGCACCAGGTACCACACAGTGTCTGATGTGTGATGCAACTGACATCGAAGGGTGGTGCAGTCTTCCAGCTGTGGGTAACGAGGCGTTAAGCCTCCACCTGACCATTCAGCAGCGTCAGGGATATCGGCCGCTAAGCGGGAGGTCCTAGGTGCCGACACTCGGACAGGAGCTGCGCGGTGGTAGAACGCATGCCGATATCATCCAGGACGACAGCATACAGGCAACCACAGCAACCAGGGTGACTATCTCAATGCGGATGCATTGGGAAAGATTCTGGAAGGTATGTACCTCCATCTGGCGGCTAGACCACAACGGGCGCATCTGTACGATCACTGATCTGGAGTAGGCTGCCGCACGTGTCCGATCGAGAAAGATATAAAGAGGGCGTGCAATGGCCATCGGTCTCTCCAGTCCCAGACTTCACAACGCACCTCACAAGCCCACCTTCGCCTCACAGCACTACTCTCACAATGTTCACCGTCAGTAACACATTTGACTCATCGCCTTGAATTAAATGCTCACCGATGATGTTTCTAGAACGTCGCTGTCCCCGTCAACGCCGCCAACTGCGGCCAGTCCAGCTGCAGCTGCGGCGAGGCGTACGTCCATCGTTGCGTACATCGTGGGCTGTGTGCTTACAGCCTTACAGTTGCCAGTGCAAGCCCAACGAGTGCAAGTGCTAAACGCCTTGCCGTTCGACCCTGTCGCGCCAGCTGTTCTTGTCTCCCCTTACAACACGAAGCATGGAAACACTAGCGGCAGTTACTGCATCGTACATCATGTAACACATCTGCGATAGGAACAAGGAGAAATAAGCAATTGTTGTAACACCATTGACGTCATGACGTCTGTGAACGAGCGCACTCCGACGGCGTACTATAGGAGAGATCACAGCTCTGAATTGGCTCTGGACGTAGTGCCAGTGGACTGCTGGTCGACCAGGGGCTTTATCTGATGATCTTCTTCAAGTCCGCAGCTGTCGAATGCTGTAAGGACTTTTCCCCGTAGAATCATTTAGATGGGCTCACCCAGGTCCTCGTATCGTTGCCGGCGGTTCGGATCGATGTCTTGCAGGCTGGAGAGCAATCGTAGACATGCTTCAGTCAACAATAGCCGGTCCGCCTCATTTAGCTGTTGCGCGTGGTGCCGCAGCACTAGTCGTTTGTAAAACACAAGGGACTCCATGCACCCTATGCATTCTCATTCGTCAGTTGGCGTTCATGGCATCCTCGTGTTCTCACATTTGCTGTCCGGCTGTTCATCCAAGAGTTCTTCGATAGAAGTAATCTCCCTCTGCAGAACATCGTAATCGTCGCCTAAAGCTTGCATTAGATCTACCTTCCACCTCAAGCATGATACTCGCACCTGCCCCGATCAGCCATCGATGATAAATCCAGACGCTCTGGTCACCGGGGTCGGTGTACATCGCGTTCTTCACGAGGTCGTATTCTGTCGTACAGTGACACGCATTCGACAGTGAACTTACGGTATTGTATATTCACGGACTTGCCTTCTCCCTTCGATTTGAATGGCTCGAGCAGACCGTTTGCCCAAAGAGACGTCAGCACTTTGGAACGTTGGTGCCATGCGCTGAAATTCGAGAAGTTGGCTTCGATCTTCCGTGTCGTGTATATCAATTCGGTCTGCACCGGACGCTTCACAGGCATACTCGCCAGGACGTAACGACGATAATTCCAGGCATGGACTGTGGGGGGTAAGGTCGATGTTCCCTCACACGCATTGAGTTCTAATGACTCACAATTACGTGCGTCCGCGTCGAGCATCTTCTCCACTACGTACAATTCCTTGTTCCAAAAAGCCTGACGCCAACCATCGCGGTCGGTATCGGATGGGCCGTCGGGAACATTCGCCAGACACCACCTACGGTGATTCCAAATTGCATAGACTTTGGGATGCTGCTTCAAGTACGAGGTGGTGAGGGACAGCTCGTCCGTGATGCGCTCATTCACCCCCGAGGGCGAACTGTCGAGCAAGACACAGCTGATAGTGAAGTCTCGCACTCAAAGAAGACCATAAACTCACCTGTTCGGGAATATGCCGTGAATCAGAATGTCGCGTCTGTAGTTCCACACAGTGTATATTCTGGATTTACATGGAGCATGCGGGTCGTCAGGTCGAAGGCATCGTTGCTCCAATCTCTTGCTTTCTTCTGCGCGTACGGCAAGTGACAGAGACATCAGCAACCCAAAGCCTGTTATCATGCTACCAGGCATGCCTTAGCCAGTACGTCGTCGTTTAGCACGAGATACTCCTTAAGCTTGGCTTGTTCCTTCTGCCTCTTAGCCTCAAGTGCCTCTCGTGAGTAGCGAACTCGTTTAACACCATGCTATGCAGCGTTAGCCATGCCTACCGGACGTCAATAATTGCGTACCATCTCAATCGACTGAAATATAGAGGTCAATTGACACGAGGTCCGACGTTGAGATTCGACTTGCAAGGTTCGACAGAGAGTGGTACGCGACCGACAGCTTGGACTCGGACCGTGACGCGACTGGCGCGGCTCGTGGGAAACCCGACGCCGCTAGCGCGCCTCTGCGCGAAGCGCCGACGCGACGCGGACCTGCTTCTTGCAAGTTGCGGTCCTCACACCGCTCCCGACATCGACCTCTCCATCTCGCCCACGGCTTACATGCCTGCACTGGTTGCGAACACTCCTTCGCTGGAGTCGCTCACATCCTCATTTCCCCTTACATCTCCTGTGCCCACTCCCACGACACTGCAGATCTGGTCTCGACGAAAGACATCGTCAGAGAAGAGGACTCCTGCGAAACCCGTTCTCATTCCGTCATGGTGGACTGCCATTCAGAACACGAAAGAGGCGTCTTCAACATTACTCAAGGCCGAGGGACCGTTGGACCTCAGTCCGGACGTCGCAGCATTGCTTGGTCCTCTCGCCTCGCCGACCGCGCGCAAATCCTTGCAACATTGACCTACCTGTACGAGGCTTCTCTCGTCAACTTCCCGACCTCCTTCAAACTATGGAAGTCATATCTGCAGACGCGAATGACTACGTTCTCGGCAAGCTAGTTATAAAAAAGAGGGCTGGCGGACGGAAGAAGCTCCCTGAGATGAGGGAGGCACTGGAAGATGAGAAGGAGGATATGGAACAATGGGACGGAGGGCTCGACGGGATCGTTGGGTGGGAGGAGTGGAAAGCCTTAGTTGCGACGTTTGAACGTGCTCTCATGTGGTTACCCAAAGTATGTCGCACCAATGAATTTGAGGAAAGCATCTACCTAACGGTGAATCAGATGCCACGAATCTGGTTGTTGTACCTCTCCATCTTCAACCACCCATTCTGTCCCCCTATTCTCTCCTACACACACGCTCGACGAACGTACGACCGAGCCCTCCGAACCCTTCCTCCTTCCCTGCACGCGCGAATATGGGCACGTTACCTCCTCTGGGCTGAGAGCAAAGGCGGCGCCACAACTGTGGCCGTATATCGACGCTACCTTGCTGTCGACCCCAGTATCACGGAACGATACACTGCGCTCCTGCTCTCGGAGCACAATCCTGATTCGCGACCCTCGGAGGCTGCGAAACTGCTGCTGTCCCTAGCGCGAAAGGCTGCAAGAGGCGAGTACACCAGTCCAGAAGGCAAGAGCCCGTACCAACTACTGGGCGACTTCCTGGACGTCGTGGAGCAGCATGCAGAAGAGGTGGGAATGGATGTTGACGACACCGTCGAGTCGCACGAGGCTCATGCCAAGAGGACGAAGAGCAACAGACCTCAACGGTCCCTGCGGAGCCCGCGTCCGTGAACGGTCAGTTGATCCGGTTCGCAGGCCCCGCAGTGGCCGTTGGTTCTGATGGTAAGACGCCTCTCCCACCATACGACAAGGACGAGGACCCTACTAGTCCGAGAAAACTTAACATCGAGCGCATTGTGCACAAAGACGGCTTGGAGGTCTATAAAGATCAGGCAGGACGACTTTGGACGGGCCTTGCGACATACTGGATCAAGCGTGGCGAGTTCGACCGCGCGAAGATGACCTTCGAGAACGGCATTGCTTCCGTCCTCACCATTCGCGATTTTACACAAATATTCGACGCCTATGCCGAGTTCTCGGAGAGTCTCATCAGCGCTCTCATGGAGAGTATGGCCAACCCGGACGACGATGAGGACGAAGAGGACGTCAAGGAGACCGAGGCGGAGTTGGACACGAAGATGAAAGAGTTTGAGGAGCTCATGGACAGGAGACCGTTCCTGGTCAATGACGTTCTTCTCAGACGAAACCCTAACGATGTTCAGGAATGGGAGAAGAGAGTGGCCCTTTGGGGGACGAATGACGAGAAGGTAATTTCATCGTGTACTTAAGTCTCCGTCCTCTGATAGGGTACTGAACACGTGTGACGCTATAGGTTGCTGAAACATACGGCGAAGCACTCTCAACCGTACACCCTAAGAGAGCTACTGCCAACTTCCATCGGCTATTTATCAACTTCGCAAAGTTCTATGAGGAAGGCGGGGCGACAGGAGAGGCCGAGAAGGACCTCGATAGCGCACGCAAAGTCCTCGAGAAGGCCACAAAGGTCAACTTCAAGGCTGTCGACGAGCTTGCGGAGGTATGGTGCGAATGGGCTGAAATGGAGATTCGACACGAGTACGTAGTGCGTTTGACAATTCCAAGGGCATGGGCTAACTCAATTCTTAGAAACTACGACGAGGCCATTCGAGTCATGCAACGCGCAGCAGCGATTCCGAAGAACACGAAGGTCAACTATCACGATCAGGTAAGGTATACATGTCCTAGAGCGCAAATTCGATGCTGACGTCGCATAGTCTCTCTCCGTACAAGTACGGTTGTTCAAGTCTCTCAAACTCTGGTCCTTCTATGTCGACCTTGAGGAGTCACTGGGAACAGTTGAATCCACGAAGGCAGTGTACGACAAGATCCTTGAACTCCGCATAGCCAACGCGCAGCTCATTGTCAACTACGCCGCCTTCCTCGAAGAGAACAAGTACTATGAGGAGAGCTTCAAGGTGCGTTGGGCACACCCGTAACTGCTTCGGATCATTGACACTTGTGCTAGGTCTACGAAAGAGGAACCGAGCTCTTCACGTTCCCGGTATCGTTTGAGATCTGGAACATCTACCTCGCCAAGTTCACCAAGCGATATGTGAGTCCTTACCTCCCGCCACTTGATGGCAGAACCAAGTGTCTGATGGAATGTAGGGCGAGACAAAGATTGAGCGTGCAAGAGACCTCTTCGAACAAGCGCTTGAGAAGTGTCCGCCGAAGTCGTGCAAGCCGATCTTCTTGATGTATGCTACTACGAAGAAGAGTACGGGCTAGCAAAGCGAGCCATGTCCATCTATGATCGTGCCACAAGGGTCGTACAAGACGAGGACAAGTTTGAGGTAACGCATGTCACCCTCCGCCTAGCATCATAGCTGATATGACCATGATTTAGCTGTTCACCATCTATATCGCCAAGGCAACAGCCAACTTTGGTCTCCCCGCTACGCGACCAATATACGAGCGAGCATTGGAGATGCTGCCAGACAAGCAGACTGCAGAGATGTGTCTACGTTTCGCTTCAATGGAGCGGAAGCTCGGTGAGATAGATCGCGCTCGCGCTATCTACGCCCATGCCTCGCAATTCTGCGACCCACGAGTCAACCCCAAATTCTGGGCGGAATGGAACAGCTTCGAGATCGAGACGGGCTCCGAAGACACGTTCCGCGAGATGCTCCGCATTAAGCGGAGTGTCCAGGCTCAGTTCAACACGGAGGCATCGTATCTGGCGGCGCAGATGGCGACGAAGGAGGGGAAGGGCGAGGCGGCCGACGAACCAGCGGTCACAGCAGACCCGATGGCACAAGCAGAGCGACAAGCCGGCAAGGTCCTGCTTTCGTGTCTGCAAAATCAAATCCTGTCCGCCAGGAGTCGGAGGTACCACCGCCGCTGGCAACGCAGATGAATCCAAATCGAGATGATGATCTATAGCATCCTGTTCCATGCTCAAGTGTATTGTTGTGTGTTGTAGTGATTGTTTTGTCATTTTGGACGTTCCAACGGTCGATCTCTACTGCGCACAGATCCTCCCATTCTGTTCCCAGCTATGATCTTCAAGGTACGGTTGGGCGGCCCATTCTGCCAAAGCTCGCCGTGATCCTCGAAGGTGCTTCATGGCTTCGCAAATGCTGGTAAGCTCTTCATGCATCAAGAGGGATCGATGGTAAGGTATGAGTATACTGATATCGTTGTCACTGCGATTACCAGTCAGATCCGAATGAGTTGAGATGAATGTAGTCATACCAAACTTGTCCATGACCAAGACACCCATAGGGGCTCTTGGACAACTGCCATCCTTTTGTTTTGTGGCTTCGAAGAGCACGGCTTCTAGTTTCAAAATCGTGTTCATTCTTTGGAATTGCTTCTTCTACACGGTTTGTCGGTCAAAAACCGTTTTAGGCGCATCATGCTCACGAGCTTCTCGACGACACGCAAGGATCATGATATCTTGTTCCATCATTGCAAACTTGTCCCTAAAGGTGGCTGGTAGGTGGGCAGCTCGTTCGTCGCGAGGGTTACTACAATCAAAGAATATGAACTCGGACTGGGTGTCGCGATGCCTGCAGTGCTTACTCTAAGTCAGTCCTCGCGTCTACAAGTGACTTCGCCGCCTTGAGCCCGTCGAATATCACATATCTTCCCATGTCTCTGTCGCGACTCGCATCTCTTGTAGAAGCGTGCGAACCTTTCGATGATAGGTCGATTCCGCGAGCCTGGAAGGCGAGGACGGTGTTGACGATCTTTTGCTCTGACTGGGGAGGAAGTTGGTGTGGACGGTCCCTTGAAAGATGCAAGACGACTCATGTTCCAGTGAGTGTCACAATGGCTGATCTGGGTCTGCAGACAACCGATAGGTTCAGAAAAATGAATGCGTGAGATTCATCTGTCGGGCGTCTGTACGGACGTTGGTAGGATATCCAAAACAGGAAATCATCGACTATCCTCGACGAACTTGCAGTGCCCGCCGTGACTCTGCTTGCACTCGACAACGGCAACATGGAGGCCTCGGACTCCTCCAATCTGTTCAGATCAGAGGCTGAGCTGTCACTACATGAAGTATGTATGGATAGCCCTGCGGAGATGTGTCCTGAGGTTCAGTTTGAGGTCGTGCGAAGTCACGCAAGCAGAAAGCGGAAAGGACCAAGACCCTTGGATCGCCCATAGAGACTGTTGGAAAGGCTCTCGGCATAGAGATCGTGGCAATGCAGCGTGGATCGCGGAAAACACAACCGTAATACGGGTATTGGACTTGGAAGTTGGTCGTTTCCTTCCTTTGCTCTTCGGAAACCCGTTGACGTTCATAACAATAGACAGGCAAAACCCTGCACTTGCTTCGGGGACACTCGGCACCGGTGACATGTCTAGCATTCTTCACCGGGCAGTTTACACCTGGATCTGGAGATGTCTTGGTTACTGGCTCATGGGATAAGGTACCGAGCTTGTCTGTATCTCTGCTTACTTCACTGATCAATCGCGCGACAGACCATAAAGTTATGGAACACTGACGTAGGTCCCAATAATGTACATGCACGGGTGGCAAGGCTCTTATTGACATTGGAACCTCGATGCGCAGACGAAGGAGCTGATTTCTTCGACCCCTGCACACTCGGACTTCGTCAAGGCCGTGTTGACGATACCTTCTTTGCGTTTGTTGGTGTCGAGCAGCTCCGACAAAATCATCAGACTTTGGTAAGTTGATCATGCTCGCGACCAGCAGAAGGCAACTCACGTCATTCAATAGGGATCTGTCCACGTACCATGACGGCAAACCGCTGCAGTCTGTTGGATTCATTTCCGCACATACTCGTCCCGTAGAGGCCTTGGCCTTCCATACCACTTCCGATCGCTCCATCGTTCTGTATACTGCGGACACTATGGGGGTCATCAGGGTATGGGACGTGACCAAGGAGGACCACTCGGATCAATGGCGGATCACCCAGCAAGAGGAGCTCTGCTACCATCGCACTGGTATCAACGAGATGTTGTACGGCCAGGGACAGCTCTGGACAGGTACGAGGGACGGTAATGCAAGCGGGACCCAACTGATCAGCATACACCCCTAGCATCAACGGACGAGACGGTACAAGTTCGGCTGCACCCCGCGCCAGCATCGCCCGTGAAGCCCATCCCGCCCATAACGCACCCAACTGCCGTCAAAGCGATTTTATCCCTCTCCCTCACCTATCTTGCGGAGCCGTACTTGCTCACTGGCGCTGGAGACATCATCCGCGTCTACGATGTCTCTACCCTTGAAGAGCCCGAGCTGATCCGTGAGGTCGACGCACACTGGCATGACGTGACAGCACTGCACCTCTGGATGCGGACGACACGAGTTGAAGGAGCCGAAAGTCAGCTCAAGGTAGAGCCCTGGGTTGTTAGTGCCAGTCTTGACGGAACGATTAGGAAGTGGAGGTTGAGCGGTGCGTTGTGTGAGGGTGAATTGCGTTGTAGCAAAGCTAATACCGGCCACCCGCAGAGCTATTGGCTCCGCCTCTTCCAACTCCCGCAACGACGACACCTAAAGTTGAGCCTGAGAAGACGTCCGACGTGGCGACGTCCGTACCCTACCAAATGTCGGAAGAAGAGGAACGCGAATTGGCTGAGCTCATGGGCGAGGATTAATATAACGGACGGTAGTCTGAGGTATCATTTGATCCTGATAGTGCACGCTTGACATCCGAGTCGATGTACAGTATCATCCGAGCGGAACATACGTGAAAGCAAAGGATTCAATGGATTGCAACTTCGCCTGTAGCTCGAGCTCTTTGGCGACAGATTCATGAATGGTGCAGTCGATGGCGTTCAAATCCAGTCAGCGATAATATACACGTACTTCCAACTACTGCCCGGGCACCGCCTGCGACATCGCAGCTTGACCTGCTGCCGTCGCTGCCAATCGCGACCGTTTCCTTTCCGCCTCTGCGTGATGTCGTCATGAGATCTATAGAGTGAATAACACAGAAAAGGCACTGACCAGCCTCCTTCTCACGCTCAATCTCCTGGACCAATGTCTCAATTTCAGACTGCTCCAGAGCCTAAAAGGAGTTCTTTATGTGTGACCGAATAGAGTAAGAGAGCAACATACGGTGATCTTGCCATAGCTCTCCATGACGTTAATCTCGATGTTCTTTGCGCCTGTCTGGACGACCTCGAGCAAGCTCTTGATCGTCAACTTGATGGTCTCGTCTCGCGTCAGTTCGTCCTTGTGGTTCTTCTCGAGGAACTCCCGGACTGTCTTCGAGGATCGGCCAATAGCGTTTGCCTAGGACGAAGTGATGTTGTGTTGATATAGAATATCAGAGTATGCGAGTAGAGATGTTACTGTACCTTCCAAGCACTATAGATGCCTCCCGGCTCAGTTTGGTAGAGGCGGGGTCTGGTATCATGGGGATCAAAGCCGACGATGAGGGTAGACACTCCGAATGGTCGGACACCACCAGATTGCGTATATTTCTGTAGCCGTGTCAGGCCCAGTATACCACAGAACTGAGTTCCATGTGAAGACGCACTTGCTGTATACCGGCAATATGTCTCGTAATGTACTCCACGGTGACAGGGTCTTCAACTGTTAGCCGGTGGCTCTGACATTCCACACGCGCTTTGTCGATGAGTACTCGGCCATCAGCATTGAGACCTGTGGACGCGACAATAAGTAACGGTGCGGCACGGTTGGGCAGCCTACTCACCAGCAAAGGCGAGGCATACATGATCATCAAGCATCGCTACCTTCCTCACTGTGCGTGGGTCCTGTAGTTGCAGAACCGACTTCTTCTCCACCCCCAGGACTACGATATCCTTCCCTCGGACACCTACCTGCAGAGAAATAAGTATCCACGATGCGGGTCGGTGCGGACGCCTTACAGCACATGTGCCTTTCTTGACAGCTTCCAGGGCGTATTCTACCTACTCGACGCGTCAGTTCTTGCTCTTTGCGCAACCATGTTGTGTACCCACCTGGAACAAGTGACCGTCCGGCGAGAAGACGGTGAGAGCTAGTACGATGGCCCAGTCAGACCAAAGAGTTTTAGGAATGACACGGAGCATACCGCGATCGTAGGACCTGGACATGATGGGTGGTTATCAGAGGATACAAAGGTTCAGTTGAGGCTTGGGCGAGACTTAGCTCGAGGTGCATGGCAGGCGAGTGCACCGACGCGCGTCGAGCTTGCGTCGCCTCGATCACGTGCTGGACGCGTCGCGCTTGCCCAATGTGGCCTTGGCGCTCCGAGTCGACCCTCGCTGCGCCCGCGCCCTCCTCACATCCAGTCGATCGTCGTAGCCGCAGTCAAGGCGCACTCATCACTATTGAGCACCTGGATGGAATCGTACGCTGCGGATAACTCTCTAGCCAGGCCCAGTCTCACCTTGTCTCTTAGGGGCAGCACGATATGTCAGCTCTGCGGCGACGATCTCAGCACGAGACATTGGCTCAGAGACAGGCCCATTATGATGAGCATTTCTCTAACGAACCCGAAGGTATGCTTGGCATCGCTGTCTGAAGTGATGATAGAGCATTGGTCATATTTAGCGCCCCGTGTACACGGATCGAAGAGCGGGCAACATGATGGTCTGAAGGCTTGGTTTACTCCCTACGTTGCCAACAAGGGCAACCCGGAGACACAGAACATCTTTTGGTATCCCTCTCAAACCCATCACCACCTCGGAACTTTAGCCCAGGTACATGATGAGGCTGCTCGCTCCGAGGCTCGCACTCACGTCTCAACAGGACTCATACCCGTGCTCAAAAGAGCACTGGTCACTCTCACGAGAAGGGTAAGACAAGGAAGGCCTGGGTTTGCCATGATCAGGCAGTGCATATTCAGGGAGAAGCCTTCGACAGAACATGGGGCTGTGGGTAGTAATATCTTCATACCGGTAACACCCTCTTGACAACAAGCCTAGTTACCGCAACTTCCTCATGGCCTGTGCCTCGCTGATGGTACAGACCGCTCAGCCCATGTATTTCCTCTGTTGGATCATCCGTATCCCCTGGAGTTCGGCATCTACAGACCTCGTAGAGGAAGCCTGGTCAGCAGGTGCGGATGTTCTTTAATCTTGCGCCAGTCAGTGAATTTTCCGCGTTAGGATTTGATCAAGAGGGCGCTGAACAGCTGAAGCGACACCTTGTCGGCACCGGAAAGTACATTGGCACCGGAGGTAGTCCGTCCTTGTATACACTGCCTCCGCTAACACATGAGCAGAACTTTACGTCGCTTTCACATATCGCGGCATCCCGTAAGTTGCTGTCTCAAGCTCGATCATTCCACGGATGTTCATCATGATCAGATCACAGCTAGTCGACTTCGAGTTGAAGGATGGTTAGTCGCGGCTGTATGATTGTCAACCTTGGATCTTCAACATATCGTCTGGGTTTGATCAGGTCCCGAGCCACTGCTGAATTGGGTCCTGCAGTACTTCTCCGAGGGGACGTCTCCGCTGCGCGCAACAACTAGCATGGAGGCAATGCGCAATGCTGTGTTAGTCACGGACAAGATGCCACTAGTCCTCCAGCACGATGGTCACTCCCGGACAGTCGTTGGCTGCGAGCGTTGTCCTGATAATTCTATCAACCTCCTAGTCTTCGATCCATCAAGGTCGGTCCTCTGTATGATCCCGCCTCCGTTGACTTATTGGTGATGTGGTGCAGACACATTCAAGCGGACATACGCGCTGCGGGCTTGTCCAATTGGAAGCATGGGTCTGCGGCGGCGGACAATCTTGACACACCGAGCGATTCACAAAGGCATGCTTCGGCATCGAAGGTGCTGCATGAAGCCGTGCATCCCATACGAGCTTTCAAAGCCCACCACAAACGGAAAGCGGAAGATTCCCCAAGGGACCCGTCGGCGAAGAAGCCACGAGGGAGCCATGCGCACAACGATCATGACGACGACCCACATACCTATGACGGCGGCGGATGGACGATCGTCGACCAACCCCCTTCTACACCGGACGCGGGTAAAGTCCTTAATCTGTTCAGGCTAGGTCTGAATCGTCTCAAGTAAGGATGTCGCGCTGCATTACTCGGATGCTCTTGACTAATGACAAATGTAGACGAAAGAACAAGTACCAGATCCTGTATATCCCCCTCACTGAATCGCTCAACGAAGAGCAGCGCTGGTCTAGACGCGATCTCACTTGTCTGAAGGTTGTATAATGTCCAGGACAGTTTTCTCCTTGCTTTTCTGCTACGATCGAGTGATTTCTGGATCTTAGACTATTTCCCTCCCTGCGAACCGGGTGAGCTACGGGTGTACATGGACTATCTGATCTACTCTACAAGAGGCGTCGATAATTTTCACACGGCAGACAATTGGACGAGACAAAGATGACATCTCATTGGCTGAGAGACGAACACCGAGCGCTGCCCGACCTCTTGAGTCTGACGCGGCGCCCTCAGCCACTGCCAGTGCGCGTTCCTCCTCTGCAAGCTCGGAGGCCCTCGCTCCACACGTTCTGCACAGCGGACACTTTTTCCATATCCATGCAGATGGCTTGAACTTACTTATGCCACTACACTGCCGTCCTTTGCCCGCCTTCGCCACAATAACTCGGCACAAATGGCAGCTATACCACCGCCTGTCAATACTCCATGGAGTGCGCGTCGGCGTGAGGATCGTCAAGCGCAGGAGATGATGAGCCCGACGTCGACTAGGGATTGAAGTATTGAAGGCCAAGGGTATGCCAGTCATATTCTCACACTGTACTATCCTCTTAGTGAGCGCTTGAGCGACCGGATGACAGGACACACAAGCAGGCTAGGTCATCCGAGATGCAGGCTCCCACATACAGATTAGAGGGAAGTAGGCAGAATGTACGTCTTTCTTCCCAGTGGTCTGAAGCACCGGAGTTGACCTTCCCCAGGGTGCAGTCGCCGTGGTGACATGAAACGCGATGCGCACGCCGAGCGCGAGCGCGCCGGGCGAATGCCCAGCACGCAGACACGGCCGACGAACGCGCATGGAGCCAGTGGACAGGCGGGCGAGCTGGTGCGCAGGTGGGCACACGTGGACGGGCAATCGGATGTGCAAGCAAGTGGATGGGCGGGAGAGAGAGCGGGCGGGCGGGAGAGCGGGCGGGCGGCAGGCGACAGCGCACACGTCCACCGCCGCCCGTGAGCGTGGTGGCCGAACACCCAGTGCACGCAGACGCGGCCGACGAACGCGAACGCAGGCATGCGAGCGGGCAGACAAGTGGGCCACGACATGCACAGCGAGGGCGAGAGCGAGGGGCTGGCGGGCGTGACGTGCAGCAACACAAACTTCAACAGTACAGGCACAAGACGCACAACGACCACGAGCATGCAGGGCCAATGCCCTGCGTGCAGACACAGCCGACGAACGGATGGTGTGCGCGAGAGCTAAAGAAGGGCATCGGGGAAAGGTGAGTGCAGACGCACGCGAGCGAGCGCGCTGACTGCAGTCACAGGGCGCGGCGACGTGAAGCACGGCGGGTGACGGCGCGCACGTCAGAGCGCACCGGGCGAATGCACGTCACGCAAACACGACCGATGAACGGACCACCCGCCGCGTGTGAGCGAAGAACGCGCAAGGGCGAGTAGACGGTGGGCGCACGGCAACACCACCAACCACTAGCGCGCAGGGCAGAGGTCCCCTGTGCATGCGCGGCCGATGAGCGGACCACAGGTGCGAGCATAGCGGCGAGCAGGAGGAGAATGGGTGGAAGGTGAGTGCGGAACCGAGTGGGTGTGGACGCGAGCGAGCGGATGGTGGGCAGACCCCACGCGCTGAGCAAAAGACCAGCAACGGCGACGTTGTTGGGCAGGCCGGCGCACGCGCAGCACACCGACCGCGAGCATGGAGGGCGAATGCCCAGTACGCAGACACGGCCGATGAACGCGCACGCAGGCAGACGAGTGGACGGGCGAGCGGGCACACGACCGGACGATGACACACGCATGGCGACCGCGAACTCGCAGGGCGAGCACGCAAGCCCCGCCGACGAAGGGACTGCGCGAGCGTGAGCGAATGGCAGGGTCGGGGCATGCGCAATGCGCCGACTGCGAACGCACAGGGTGCCCCGCATGCCAACACAGCCGACGAGGGCGCCGTGGGTACGGCGAGCAGGCGGGAGCGCGTGAGGATGGCGCGTGAGGGGCGAAGACGGAGGACGGGGAGGACGGCGGGTGCAGGCAACAAGCCCAAACCCGCGCAGATACTGCCGAGGTAAGTCAACCAGCGGTCCACTGTCGACACCGGCGGTGAACCCGGGCAGGGTATGGGTACGTAGGTCGCGGGTCGCGGGTGCGGTATGCGCCCTGCGCACCCGCAGTGCTACCCGTGCCCATCCTGGCCCCGTTCACTAGCACTAGCCATAGTTTGGATAACAGACGACTTGATCGTAAACGTGCTATGGAATCCGTACTTACATCAATGTTGACAATACTATTGCAAGCTCGATGAGGCCACGAAGCCGACTCCCGAAGGGAGGCGGCTGAGTGGCCTTTGCGTACAACGTATACGTCTTCGCGCACAGCAGTACTGGCATATGACTGTTGTGTAGTATAGCTTTGAAGCTGACTCCCCGCGCGGCCGAAGGAGGCGGCTGACTTGGAGTGGCCTTCGTACCTCTTCAACGCGCATAGCACTACTGCAGTGGCATGCAATCGTCAATTGATAACCTCCAGTCCGTAGCGGAGCACGGGTTTCCGCTAGTAGAGTAATATGTACAGTAAATATCTTGCATTCCTGCATAACTCGTACTGTAACGCGTCGAACACAATCAGCGAGTGGGCTCTTCTTGTGCCCCGGGCCTCCTTAAGCAACGAACCGATAGCTGCAGGTGGAGTGACCTATCAGTCCCTCCGTCAGTTCCGCCGGCAGGCCGAGGAGGCCGCTGCGAAACCCCTCATGTAACAATGTACCACTGAGGTCTTCATTATTCCTGTCGACCCTAATCTGCGTCGTCGAGACAGGTGTACTCCGCATGACATCTGCGACTACCCGTAATTATATGTGCCACAACGACTACCATCGACTACACCAGACATGTGAGCATGACCGCGAAGTCGCTGGGTGACTGAGTACCTTTCAAGACGACAGTCCGTCGTTGTCTAGCAATGCCAACATCGCCCGCACCACCGGGTTACCCAAGCCTACGTCAAGCATGGTACCTTCATCTATACATCGCTTCAATTGCACGTCGAGAAGCCGGCTGTTTCAGGGGCCTTCAGAACACGCGTGTAGGCGGACAGTAACTCGACGTACCGTAACTGGTTGACGAGCACGCCAATACGGGGCCAGGCTTTGAGTTTCACGAAAGCGCCCCTTGTACCTATGGTAAGGCCACCCCCGATATGGTTCACAGCGACGGGTCCGCCAAACAGGAGAAGGGCATAGATCGGGACCTTGAAGTCATGACTATGAGAGAGACATGCGATGTGGAGAGCAAAGCACCAACCTCAGTGGCATCTCTCAAGAAGACCTTGCTTGTTGCTTGCTTCTGGAAGTAGGCCGCGAACGGCGCACGCCATGCTGCCTCGCTGAAGAGGACGGATGAAGGATGCACGAAGACCCTCTCGCCGCCTTTCAGGTCGTACAGTCGAAACTCACGAGCAGTGTTATCGCGCTGCACCGTGCCTGCTTGAACGCGGTCAAACTTGACAGCCGACCGTGGCAGCACAGCGCGGGCAACCTGTGGCCAGAGCGCGCCCAGGATCACCGCTTTGAGCAAGTTTTCGTGAGCGGAATTCGCGTTCAACGAGGGATCGTGCATTCTGGCTGAAGGCGGGACAAAGCCGAGCTCAACAAGAGAAGCGAAGAAATCTTGCTTCAGAGAGGTGACGTCACGGATCGTGGACGGCGCAATGAAGTTCTGCAGGAGGGAAAGAGATATGATCACCGAAGAGTCTTATGAAGATGCGTACCCCACGTACCTCCTCACAGAAGGCTCGTATGTTGTGTTGTGATCTTCCTTCGTCGCGTAGGCGGAGACACTCGTCGTATGCATGCATATCGGTCAACAAGTCGCTGTTACCTGTAGCGAAGCAAGCCCGAGCCCTGCCCAACTGTGAGAGACATTCCGTGCGAAAGCTGGAAACTTACTGTGTGGCTTCGTCCCTTCTCTCCATCGGACTCACGAACAAAGGTTTCGAAGACAGCATGGCCGCTATCGTTAGTGTTGGTCCCAAGCACTGGAAGATGGTGCCTAGGATCATCATCTGGACGGCGTGAGCCACATATATAATCCGGGTGCAATGACTGTTGTACCTTTCCAAGCCTCAGATCGACGGGCAGCATAGCCTGTAATGTGTCACCGTCTGCAATTTCTTGGGAAAGAACAAGGTCTCGCGTACCATGTGTCGTCCCAGTGGTGTAAGCTCACCATCGGTCTCGACAGCCCCTAGATCCTCGAGAGTGGATAAAGCAGCATCGATTGCGGTCAGTTCTGGCGGGTCGATGGCACGAGCTAGGAACGTCTGAAGGTCGGATGCAACGTCATGGTTGACCTGATCGGTATTAAAGCGCGTGAAACACACCTTCACATCATTGTGGACTACCTTGACCGTCAGTGCGATGCTGTCCAGGGAGACTCGTTGGATCTCCGGTATAGGGAACGCTGCCATCTTCCGCTCTTGTAGCCTGGTAAACAGCTTGTAACATATGCCGGGCTGAGTGCGGCCTGCACGACCTCTGCGCTGCTTGGCGGCTGCGCGGGTCACCCATTGTTCCTCAAGGCTGGTCAAGCTCCGCTGTGGATCGTAGCGCGTCTCCTTGACTTTCCCGCAATCCACCACGTATATAATGTCGTCGATAGTGATAGATGTCTGGCCATCATGAATGTGAGTTATGCGGTAAGCTGCAGAGCGCGGCAAGTCTCACCTCTGCCACATTGGTGGCTGCGACGACTTTCCAGCCTTTAACAGGTGCGAAGACACGGCGCTGTTCTTCATTGGACAGGTTGGCGTGCAGGGGTAGTACGTGCGTCTCTGGGATACTCCGAAGTTTATCTGTGCATTGTCGAATCTCCTGTACTCCAGGCAAGAAGATAAGAATGCCTCCTCGCTTTTCTGAGGTCGTGACGATGTGTTTAGTGAGAGCATATATGAGCTTCGAAATATTAGCCGGACATCCGTGGTTGAAAAAATGACGATGTCACATACGTCGAAGTCGATTCGATCCGAGCGACTGATAGCTTGAATGGCCTGCGCAGTTTCATCGTCGACGCCCGTCGCGACAAGATCGTCATGAAGCTTCTTGCCCTCTTCTTCAGCTTCCTTGCCCTTCTTTGTGCGCCCCGACGCAGAGGGACGATAGCCGATATGAGCCATAAAGTCTTCGAGATATCTGAACCCATGTTTTCTAGCTATCCACGACATGGGAGGGAGTTGCTTACCTATCCTCCACTGGATGTGTGAATCCCGGTATTGTTAGCAAAGGAGCGCCGTCAAAGTATTTAACAAAAATGTCGTGATTGATCGTTGCAGACATGAGGATTACTTTGAGCTTCGGATGCGTTCGCAATAGCTCCTTCAGCTCGAGCAGGAGGAAGTCACCGTCGACCGAACGCTCATGGACCTGTAGTTAAATATGAAGTCAGTGACCCGACCATACTTCTAATGCCCAGCAACGTACCTCATCCACGACTACATGCGTCACATCCTTCAGCCTGTCACCTGCACCTAGACGTCGCAAGACAACACCAGTCGTACAGAACAGCAGTTTCGTTCTGTGGTCCTGCTTGCTCTCGCCACGGATAGCGTATCCTACAGAACCGTCTTCCAGGCGTTCTGCGGAGACTCGGGCAGCGACGCCAATCGCCGATAGCCTACGCGGCTGAGTTACAATAATCGATGCGCTGGATCCATGGCCGCCGAGAATTAACGAGTCCAACACGAATTGAGGAACTGCATGTCAACTATAAGAAGAAGACAGAATCGGCAGCCCGTGCGAACATACGTTGGGTCGTCTTCCCGCAACCTGCGTGTCATGGATCAGTAACTGCGTCTCCTCCGGCACGGAACCGGCTCAGCGCTCACCTGTCTCTCCCACTACCACAACACACCTGCTCCTCTCTAGCGCATCCAGAAATTGGTCTCGAGCAGCAAACGCAGGAAGCTTCTGTCGTCCAGCAAGTATTTGTAGATATTTGTCGGTCTTGGTGAGTTGCGTGAACTCTTCCTTGACGCGGGCATCTGAACGATCGTCCTGCTTCCGCCCGACACGCTTCCGCCGACCGTTGCGTTTCTCGGCACCAGGAGTACTCCTCGCTTCTGCTTCTTCGACTGGAGTAGATTGCGATGCGCTGGGCGTGAGGTTCTGCAGAACAGTAGCCATGTCGGGAGGACCCGAGTCCTCGACCGAGATCCACTCTTCCTCCAAGAGTCGGACAGCACCCATGATGAAACTCTCGTCCTCCTCTGGCAACAGGCCGTCCTTGAGAGCCACCAGTAGTCTTGAGACCAGGTGCAGACGGATGTAAGCGGGCACGGATGAAGATGCGACATACATCGCAGGAGGGTAATCATGTCGGAACTTGCCATCAGACGACGGGACAATGATGAGTCTGAAGGGAGCGCAGGGCAAGGGAACCACCAACTCGTTGTTCTCGGACCTGTGCGCACCGAGAGCCTCCAATTCATCCCCGTCGAGGCTTTCGAAATGCTTCGCGGAAGATCGCCCTTGCGACAGGCCAGTCCAGTCATCGCCGAGCAGGCGTCGGTTCAGCGCCGACGCAAGGAGCTCCCAGTCACTGGCTACCGTCTCGTCTGCCATGCACTCCTTCACGATATGGGCAGGCCATCCGCATTCTTTGACGGCCTTCTCTTCGGCCCAACGCATTTTGAGATCAGTGGTCCCTGCATGCGCTGCGGTGACGAAGGAGTTCGAGGAATTGAGAGCAGGCAAGAAACGTTGGGGGAGATCGCATTCGGGCACTTGCAGAATGAGGTACTCGATGCATGCCTGCAAAGGTGGATTCTCCCGTAATAAAGTGGCAGCGATCGGAGATGTCTGTGAGAGCGCCGTTATGGCACTACGTGCCTGTACAGGCTTGAAGCCCAGTACACTGAGTTGCTGGAGAAGTTGCTGAGCGTCTTCAACAGGGATGACAGGGGGAACAGCGTCCTCTGATTCTGGATACAACGCGATTGCCTAACGCATCGACTTCAGTAACGTGGTCGCGGAGGCGGTAACCGTCGTACCTTTTTGATACTGTCTTCGACCAGTTCGCGCAAGGATCCAGCCATTTTTGCCTCCGGAGCATTCTCAAATTCTCGGGAACCATGCTTGACGTCTCTTGATGCGCCACCCTCGGATGAGGTCGCTTCTCTCCTTTGGGCAACCTTGGTCTGGCGGTCGTCGACCGCTCTGCGAGCCGCGAAAGGGTCTGCGTCGTACATCCATTTCTGATGCTCTGGAACGTTCTTGTGCTCAGCAGCCAGCGCGTTCCAGTAGTCCCGCGGCCCAGCAGGCAGCACTCGATTCAGCTGAATCCCATTACAAACCTAATCAAATCGGACGTATCCGCGACTGTCCATTTATGAAACAAGACATACTGACGCGATACAGCGCATATGTCGCACCCCAGTGACGGGCTTCGAGCGCACTAGGTAGGACGTAGGGCGGATGGGGCTCCAGACGAACGGATTCTTTGTTAGATGTTTTCTTGTTGACTCTACTCAGGGTGACCGCAAAAGAATAGCCGTCTACTTGTTTGCGCTGGAGAGGACAGTACAATAAGTTGTCATGTTACTAGAACGATGCTCAAACTTACTGTGTCGACGACTGGCTTCTCCCAGCCATTCTTCTGACATCTAGAGAAAGAGATGTAAGCAGAGAGAATTGTTCGCCGAACACTGCTTATAAGCTTGAAAAGCTACCGACCTCTCATTCAGTAGACTGAGAGGGTACTTGGATCCCGGAGGGAAAAGCGGCTTGTCGTCAGTGTTTGGGGTGGCAGGCTGTACGACGGGTGCCTTGGACGCTTTCGAAGACGCTTTGGAGGAATTCCCGGCATTCCCGGACTTGACGATACCTCGACGCATAAAAGAGCTGCAGACCAGATCGCTGCGCCCAGGGTCGTTGCCAGTGTTCTATATGATAGAGCCCTGGGATGGTGGCTGGAATCAATGACGAGACGCTCGCCGACTCCGGTACATATCAGTCGATTTCCCGACTCCTTTGCGGAGATCGCCGACTGCCTCATCCTCACACTGCATCCAAAGCACAAGGAGCCTGCTTTGGTGACAAAAACAACGGTCGAAGATGCATATTAAATAATTTCGATGGCGGGACTCGACGAAGCGGAGAAGAAATGCGTATTTTCCGGCCTTACCACGAAGGACTCACATGGGAACCCAGCGTGACGACTCAGGACACTGTCATGAAGGAAGTTGATGGTCTCATGTCGCAGTTTTGAGGGTGCGGGCGAGAGGGACTCGGAGACCTGAAGCTTCAAGGAGGGGAACGATCTCCGACTCTGCCTTGTTGTAACTTGTGATATTATCACTTTGACGCGACTCAGCATTCGAATGCGAATGCAACGCGAGTCGGAATGCACCGCCAGCTTGATAACGTGAAATGGCAGATCAAAGTCTGTGAGTCTAGTGAACATCCTATGGCTACATTGTGAGGCTCGCGTCCATCAATGATTCATACGGAGCGATGACTGCCCCGGCGCCGCATCAGTACATCCTACCCGCCGGAGGACCCAGTATCCTGTGTCGACAAACCCTGCAGAGGCATTATCTCAAGACCGGCTACAGCTGATCGCAATGCACGCTCCCATGCCTCCTCGACGCGATACCCACCAGCCCTCATGATGCCATCCCTGTCGCGCCTCACCGCCTCGCTCGCCGGATCATCGTAGTCGTCCCTGAGGACGAACTTGTCCTCGTACGTGTACCAGTCATCCTGAAGCGGCACGTGCGGCACATCCGCGACGACGCTCTGCACCGTGCGCGAGCGCTGCAGGCGGGCGTTCGCGAGGGCGGACGAGGACTGTCGTGCATTGGAGCGACGGAGGGCGTCGGCGCGCGAGCGGGCGATGAGCTTCGCGGCGTCCTTGTCGCTCGTCTCGAGCTTGTCGATGATCTCGCGCCGCTCCTTCTCGCGCTCTTCGCGCTCCTCGTCCTCGAGCCGCTTCTGCTCGAACGCCCGCTGCTCGCGTTCCTGGCGCTCGGCATCCTCTTGCTCCTTGAGGTACTTGTGGTACTGCTCTTCCCGTTGAATGTTGAGCTCGATGAGCGCGGCGTTCTCTTGGCGGTATGCGGCTATCCGTGCTTCGGTTTCAGGTATGTCAATGTTGTGAATCAGATTGAATGCTGTGGAGGGCCGGCGAGATCGTTCAGCGGTGTGTCAGCATACACTGGCATTGATGCACACTTACTAATGTCCTCAACTTCCTCCAAATAATCGTTGTACGAGCGGAGATCAGTAAAGTCTTCTCTACGCTTGTTGAATCTGAAACCGCGGGTCAGCAGACAGAGTCACGGTGAATTGCAAGCGTTACTCTTTGGCCATTCGTCTTCTGACAGCAACCTCCTTCTCTACGCCGAGGTCTTCAAAGGTCTGCGGCGTGAACGCAAGTTTACGCAGGATCTTGTTGCAGATCGGACAAGGCGCCGGCCCAAGCGTGAACAGTCGGTCAATGCAAGACTCACACCTGTGATCACAAGTATGCATTAGATCCATCATACAGGTAGTGTAGCCCACGATGCTCCTACATTTTGTGGTAGCACGCGCTGACCAGGAGGCGCAGCTTCGGGTTGAGGTACCTGTCTGACTTGCATACCGGACATGTATCGTCCATGGACTGGAGGGCGTGAAAGCGTCAGACGTCTCAGTTAAACCGTAGCGTGCTTGCTCACTGACTGAGTACTCCGATACCCTCCCAGATGCATCCTTCACTCCCCCTCCGAAGACCGTGCTAGAGGTACTCTGGATCTGCGGTGTACTTGTCCGAGTGCTGCTGCTTGTAGAGGCACCTCCCTTCCGAATGACTGTCCCACGCAGCCAGCTACCTGGTGCAGATCGAGACATTGCTGTTCTATAGCAGCAGGGCGGATTACTCGTGGAATGTTTGACAGGCAGGCAGTCTGAGTACGGTCTCAAGATCGTTGTTATTGAGAGGCCGCTCAGGTAGCTTGTGGCTGGGACAGACGCTCGCAGCGTGTGTTTGTGCTGACAAATCCTGCTTCAGTCAACTGCCGCATATGGAAATCATACCACACGCAAGATGTGTGTTCTTGGTCATCCTCGACGACGAGAACCCATAATGATGAGACAGCCAGCTGCGTTGCCTGACAATCGTATCCACGTCACTGTGGAATGTCCCTTAAAGCCTTCCTCTTTCTCCTGGTGCTCTTCGTCACGTCAGCCATCATCCTGTTTAGACTACCTCTTAGTCGCATCTTCCCCTCGCTCGCTCTCCGGACAATGACCACCAACGGGACACATTCATCGCTGCCAAAGACGCAGGCCGAATGGCGCAAGGCACTGGATGAGCTTCCCTCTACGCCGAACGACATTCCAGCGTTCTTTTTCGGACATGGCTCGCCCATGCTGGCGTTCCCAGAGTCGGACGCGCGGGGGAACCTTGTAACGGAGCATATGGGACCGAAGGGCCCCTTGGCCACGTTCCTGCGGGACTTCGGGCCCGCGCTGCTCAAGAAGTACCAGCCCAAGGGCATCGTTGTATTTAGCGCGCACTGGGAGACAGCAGGGGAGCGTGTCGGTACGTTCCTGATCTACACCTCGCTGTGCAGGTATGCATCTGACAGGATCGGCCAGTCACTGATTATGGAGACTCGAACCCCCTGTTGTACGACTATTATGGCTTCCAGCCTGCCCTGTATGAGCTCAAGTTCAGCTCCCGTGGTGATCATGCGCTCTCGCAGCGCGTTCTTCAGCTGTACAAGGAGGTCAGCACAGCATACTCGTTTCGTGAGATCTGTGATCCACGCTAATTTACGCTTGATTTCCGCTACCGCCAGGCTGGTCAGCTAGCCCGAACAACCTCTAGATTGGAGGCACGAGGCGAAGATGGCCGCGGCTTTTCCGGTCCTGGGCTTGACCATGGCGTTTTCGTGCCCTTCCGACTGATGTTTGGGGAAGATTTTTTGGATGTGCCTATCGTGCAAGTATCGATTGACTCGAGCCTGAGCCCGGAGAAGAATTGGGCAGTTGGCAAGACGGTCGAAGCTCTCAGGTTGGCGCTCAATTTGTTCTCCTCCAAATTGGTCTGAGATGCTCTTATCACTCCATAGGCGAGAGGGCATTCTCGTCATATCGGGTGGTCTGGTGGTGCACAACTTGCGGGACTTTTCGTCGTTTGCGGAAAAGAGTGCCGGGGTGCTGGTGAGAGAATTCGACCGAGCCATTCTCGATGCCGTCACGCTGTCCGACGTGAGTGCTTCGAGCCCTTCCCGCTTATTGTCTGTCCGACCGGCTGCTTTTCGCAGGCCAACGCGAGGAAGGAGGCGATGATCAGGCTTCCGCAACACCCGGGCTTCCGCGCTGCACATCCTCGTGCAGAGCACTTTGTTCCGCTGTATGTCGCGGCGGGCGCCGGAGGGGAGGGGAGAGCGCGGGTCGTGGCTGCTATATACGGGGCTCCCACGATTGCGTTTGGACTGTAAGAGACTAGTGTGTGTCGTCGTACGTTAGCTGGAACAATGTGTTATGTTTGCGCGCCTTGGACGGCGTTGGACGCCAGACGGCTGCGCTCGAGGCGGTGGCGGAAACGAGCAGCCCGAGGGATCGGACGCGGGCCGCGCGCCGATCGCGTCGAACGTGGTCACGTGGATGAGTTGCCACGCGGATCTGGCGTAGGACCGCGCTCGGGAAGCGGCGAGAAAACGAAGGGCAGCCACCGGGCCAAGTGCAGCGGCTGCAGCCTCCTTCGCTTCGCGTCCCGACCTGCTCCAGTATTTTACGCCAGACCTCCGCGCAGCGCGCACACCCCCGCCCGCCCGTTCCCCGCCCGCCTGCAAGCTCGTCTGGCACGCGTCGCCGCGGTTTCCCTCTCCCCGAGATCTACACAGGAGCCCGCAGACACTGCCCTTGATCCCGGCGCCGTCCTCCCACTCGTCTGAGTCCGCTTGCACCTCCGCCCCATCTCCGGTATAAAACCCCATCCCCTGATGCATGCACTGCGCCCTACGTCGTCACCCGTAATCCTCGTCTAGGTGAGCGCGTACCCGCCACACGTGTTTGCGTCGGAGATCCTCCTCGTCCTAATACCGCCTGTCCAGCCGCCTAACTCCAGGCGAGCAGGCGTTTGTTTAGCCAAGTCATATAATAGACCGGGGACGATGGACCATCCCGTCGTACCAGCCTTTCGTTCAACATCCCTGCCTAATTCCTCCAGCGCGCGACCGTACACCGCGCCGCTCAACACGGCCCTTCTTGGCCGCAACTCGGGTTTCGCGGTCGGTGAGGGCCCCATCACGCCTCCGATCTCACCAGGCCGTAGCGACGAGGGAGACCCGAGCATCGTCATCGATTCCGAGCCGCGGTACAGCGGCGGCGGCACTCCCCCGTCAGACTACCCGCGTGCGGCAGTCGCCGACGAGGCAATGGATGTCGACTCGGAGCAATCAGCATCTTCTCCGAAACCTCCGTTAAGACGGCTCGAAGACGAGGAGAGTCATCTGACCCGGGGGACCCTGAAGCTCACTGACTTCGAGGTGAAAGGTACCCTAGGTAGGGCTTGACGAAGCTTCCGCATTCCACGCCCCTCACCAGTTTTCATAGGCACGGGAACGTTCGGACGGGTTCTCCTCGTCCGGCTGCGCGGATCATCTGCGCCCAGCACTCAAAACTGCTATGCGTTGAAAACACTGCCCAAGAGCCAGATCGTCCGGCTACGGCAAGTCGAACATGTAAACGCGGAACGGTATATCCTATCACGCGTCCGGCATCCATTCATTGTCGATCTATACGCGACCTTCCAGGACAGCCTCAATGTCTATATGTTATTGTCGTATGTCCCCGGTGGCGAGCTCTTCACTCATCTCCGACGGGCACGGCGGTTCACTCCGGACGTCACGCGATTTTATCTCGCAACGATTATCCTCGCACTCAAATACCTACATTCGTTCAACATAATCTACCGAGATCTCAAGCCGGAGAACCTCCTGCTCGATTCGCGTGGTTATCTCCGTTTGACAGACTTCGGATTTGCCAAAATCGTCGACGACCGTACCTGGACGTTGTGCGGCACTCCCGAGTATCTAGCCCCGGAGATCATCCAGTCGGACGGCCACGGGAAGGCTGCGGACTGGTGGGCATGCGGCATTCTCTGTTATGAGATGGTCGTCGGGTACCCGCCGTTCTTCGACGAGACTGCTTACGGCATCTACGAGAAGATCCTCAACGGTAAAATCCACTGGCCGCGCGAGATGGACCGTCTCACGAAAGGCATCATCAAAGCTTTCCTGCATCCTGACCGCACCAAAAGGTTGGGAAATCTCGGTGGTGGGCCCCAGGACGTGCTGGATCACCCATGGTTCCGAGGCGTCGACTGGGACGCGTTGGAACGACGAGAAATCAGGGTACGTCAACGTCAGTGACGTTCGGCATCCACACTGCTAATCCGCAAACCGCAGGCGCCGATCATCCCGCACGTAGCATCGCTCGACGATACACGGCATTTCTCACATCTCCCACTCCCACCTGAGGACGAAATCCCCGGGCTCATCAAGGAGGAACACCCGCCGGCTCTCCATCAGCGTTTTGATCCTTCCGCGTACCACTTCATAGAGTTTTGATCAGCACAGGATCTGTCACACTCATTCGTACGGTCTCTTGCTCTCGCCAACAGAGAGCCTCCCGAAGCCAACTCGGCATCCGCAAAAGTAGCATGTCGGTGTGTGCTTGGGGCGGAGCTCTGTTTCTGTCGGGCTATGTCGCAAATCTGTCTGCACTGTATAGCATACCCTTCGTTCATCTGTATATTCTTGTTCCGTTGTGGTTCCTGTGGTAGCATTCCTCGTCAGGCGCTCTCTCACTCACGTCGGTTGGTATATTGTATGGTCTCACTAGCATACCCTGCGCTGTATCCTTCATCCCTGCTGCTGTCCCGCGTACTGTAATACTGAATCTCTCCCTTGCTGGCTGGGTCTGCCTTCGTTTATATCTGTATATATATGTACCTGCTCTTGATCGTCTTCGTGTCGCGGATTATACTCCTCTAATGATACAGCCAATTATGCGCCGTTATATCGCTTGGTTGCTCGAATGCACGAATATCAATTCGGTGCTATGCTTTTCCAATGACATGAGTCGCAGTCCCTCGTTTTTGACAGGAACGCAGTCTGCACGGCCTACATACAGTGACCAGCGCTCCAGCCACAATCCCATCATAGGCACAAATACACAATCTCAGATCCCGATCACTTTTCGTCCATCGGGCGCTTCTGCGTGAAGCTTTGCAGCCCGTCTCGCAGAACCTACTTACCGACTTATCCTCATCATGGGCCGTCGACGCAAAAACCGTACTCATCTCAAGGGTGGTGTTGCCTCCAGTCCTGCAACTGCGGAGGGAGTCCCGAAGTCATTCGTGATCAAGCATGGCCAGGTCGGCACCTCGCTCACGCAGCTCGTGCGGGATGTGCGCAAAGTCATGGAGCCCTACACTGCCAGCCGTCTTAAGGTCAGCCAGCTCCAGGTTGCGCCGTGAATGACACTGAACTCATGCGCAAGTGAAGGAACGTGCACGGAACAAGCTGAAGGACTTTTTCACCATGGCGCCCGCCCTGGGGGTCACGCATTGCTTGCGTTCACACTGACGGACGTCGCACCCTCGTTGCGTATCGTGCGCCTGTCTGCGGGACCGACGCTCAGCTTTAGGATTGAGCGGTATAGCCTTGTCAAGGATGTGCTCAATACCTCGAGGAGAGCGCGGAGTATTGGCAATGTCGAGTACCTGACGCCGCCGCTAGTAAGTGAAATCCTCCGTACTTCCATGTTATGTGTTCTCATTAGCACAAAGCTTGTTCTGGCATCCTTCCCTCAACCAGGGCCAGGGACGCCTCCCCATCTCCCCCTCCTCATGAAGACCTTCCAGACACTCTTCCCCCCGCTCTCCCCCCAAAAGCTGTCCCTCTCCTCAGCACGGCGCATCGTTCTCATCTCCTACAACGCCGATCACGGCACGGTCGACTTCCGGCACTATCTCATCACTGTCAAGCCATACGGCGTCTCCAAGCGCGTCCGGCGCGTCCTGGACAGCGCCACCACGAAGGCGTCCTCTTCGTCGAAGGCTTACCTCGACCTCGGCAACGAGAAGGACGTCGCGGACTTCTTCCTGCGAAAGAAGGGCGAGCCGGGCCCCTCCTCGGACGGCTATGAGAGCGCCGCGTCCTCCGCCGAGAGCGCTGCGGGGGACGATGCAGACGCTGTGTCGTTGGCAGACGACTACGTCGGGCGCAATAACAAGAAGGGCCAGAAGCGTGCTGTGCGGCTGGACGAGATCGGTCCGCGGATGGAGCTTAAGTTGATCAAGATTACGGAGGGTCTGCCTGGGAAGGAGGGCGGCGTCATCTATCATGAGTTCGGTGCGTTTCGATGTTCGCTGGCTTTTGGGGAGAGCCGCTGACATGGACGTCGACATATATAGTCACAAAGTCGAAGGCTGAGATCGCCACGCAGAAGGCGGAGCATGCGGCGAAGGAGAAGCTCAGGCAACAGCGTAAGGAAGAGCAGGAACGGAATGTTCAGCGGAAGAAGGCGATGGCTGGTGGCAAGAAGGCTGGGTCGGAGGGTGCAGACGAAGACGAAGATGTAGAGGAGGACGAGAATGGTCAGGAGGGCCAGGAACTGGAAGATGACGGTGTCTGGGATGACGAGGAGGAGTATAGCGGAGGCGAGGAGGACGAGGATGCGGGTGCAAGCGAAGCGGAAGAAAGCAGCGAGGATGAGTCCCAAAGACCACCGCTGAAGAAACCGAAACGGGGCAAACGGTAGCGATGATATCTGATACTTAGGGCCTTCTCTATTCTGTTTGGGACGTCCTCTCACTGTAATAGCGCTTTCGCATCTCATCTACCGTCACGAACTTCCATCCATCTCGTAAGCGAGCCATGATTGTATATTGTGTGATGTTTGAACTCATATGAGTGTCTATTATTTGCGAGCAAAGATACTGCTGGGATTATCTATCGAACATTGTACGACAACAACGTTCGACCGTTCTGCGGTCTGCATCATGGATGTCGCCTTGCCGCCCTCGTGTCTGTGTCCTGAGATTCCTGGGGCTCTGCCATCAAAGCCTCTTCCAACTCTTGGCCAAATAATAAGGTGAATGCGACAGCGAAATAAATGTCGTCAGTGTCCTTGTCTTTGAAGACGTAGCGGAGCTTGTGTGTCTTGTCGTCTATGTACTTCACCACGCATACAGAGAATCCGGGAAGGCAGACAGAGAATTCTGTAGGCACGCACGCAAGGGTCAGCACCGTCAAGTCAAAACAAGAGGATATGTGATTCGTACTGTTGAAGTCGAGATAGGGATTGAAAAAATCCGCACCGTACTCTCTCCCTTGTTCGAAAACGAAGTTCGCCCTATTGCCTTCGCTCAAAGCCCACCTCCGCCTCTCCTTCGCACCGCCAGGCATGCCGGCCTTCCGACGGACCTCCAACCCGCTGCCTTCTCCGCCTTCTTCAATGATATCCTTCATCTCCGGCTCGTCCGTCTTCTCGCCCACCCAGAACGCGAACCAGCAGCCCAAGCTTGGCCCGAGCAGCCACGGCTTGTCCGCGTATGCGTCGCACTCTAGGCCGGGGTCGATGAACTTCTTCACGATGCTGAAGGCAGTGTTGAACCCCGGCGGAAGGCGGTCGCGAATGGGGCGCGAGAACTCGTTGCCCCAGACCGCCGATTGGGAGGGGAGCGTGCGCTTGGGGACGAAGGAGAAAGAGATGGAATAGCGATCGGAGATGTGGAGGGGATGGGAGAAGTACGTTGCATCGTTGGGCGGACAAGTGGTAGGAATACCTATAAGGCACAATCAGCTCTAGGCATACGTACCAACAGATGATAGGACGTTCGACATCTCGAGCTCCCCGCAACCGTTTCTGAAACGCACCCTCAAAGTTCTTGACCCGTATCTTCACCTTCACCTTCATGTGATCATTCTCAAACGCGCAAGGCTCGTCGGTGTTCACGAGGACGACCTTGTGGGTATCCAGATCTAGGGTAGGTCCCGCAGTGACTCGTAGACGATACTTGTCGTCTGTGATGCTTGCCGTACTTGAGACGGAAGCTGAACGTTCTCTTATACCCGTGGTGTCCGGCGCTCTAGAACCTCGCACAGCTGCAGTAACGGACTCGCCGTTGCGTCGGCTCTGGATGACAGAGAAGACCGTGTCCGCAACCGCAGAAGCCATGCTCTCTGTAGATCAACAATATTCAACTCGAAGTGCAGCGATTTGAACCGGTCGTTGCGGGTAGAGTGGTCCAGAGGACGATGATTCTGTGGCTTATAGGGAGTCGTCGAAAGTGTCGCCACAGCGTCGGAAGTATCACACTCCCAACACTCCCTGGCCTCGTCATAGCGCTACTTTCGCTGCCAATGGTATACCCATTCTCGCACAGGACATTACCACAGGCATCGTCATAGCACACGAGACATGCGAAGAATCACACACCTCCATTCCCGTCCCTGAGTCTTGGGGTAATGAGTCTTGTGTGATTGGCTGGATTACAGAGCACTAATATATGAGCGGGAGTGAGTAGCACACCATGGTACAGATGTAGAATAATATCAAATAAGAGCTATGAACGCGAAGGAACCGACTTCGGAGGTGTCGTCTTGCTACTCCACATCTTCCCAACCCATCGCTCCCAGAAGCGTTCGACTCGCATGCGGGCACCATCCCAATTGTCGAGAGCTGGTCGGGCATCGAGGTAGAAAGATATGTTGTTGCCGGCTCGGCCTGAATGGCCCGTATAGAAGTCAATCACGTAGCGGATGCGCGTTCCGCAACGCTCGACGACCCAGTCATGGCGATCGAATGGCGCGGAGTAGCTGAACGCCAAGGTTAACTTTGAGCGAACAGGATGTCAGCGAGGACGCACCCAAGGAATGTCTTCAACCGTGCTTTCGGTGTCATGTCCTTCGGACGCCCCTTGAAACTCACAAGCTTTACTCCCCCACACTTGTCGCCGCCCTGACCCGCCTCCCACTTCATGACCTCCAGCCACGCCCGCTCGTTCACGGCGTTGTGAATAGGGACTATGACCTTCATGTCCGACGCCTGCGGGTTGTGATTCTTCCGCGCCATGGCAGCATAGAACTGCGCCTGTGAAGGATACACCCAGTTTGCGCCGTCGACTCGAGGGATCGAGGATGTTTCCCGGTCTTGCGGTAAGGGAGCGGGCGCGGGCGGGTGAGCTGGCACATCCTTGGAAGACGATGGGAGCAGGCTAGCCCACGTCGAGCGCTGCTGGTGGTCGACTGGACATTTTTCGGCGGGGGGAGCGAGGGAGCTGTGGTCGACGGGGCACTTGTCTGCCATGACTGGCGAGTGGGTGCGCAAAGGAGGATGAGCGCGCAGGCGCCCACCCGCTCGCGCCCGACTCTCATGTCGATCAGCCTCCGTTATGCAGTGCCCACCGTCCCTCTTGTCCTCATTGAAGTTATTGCTCAAACTGAAGGCCAAGTCATAAAACACCGACGCACAACAGTCTTCAGCCGTTGCATCACTGCCTACAGCAGCACGAACCCGTCAGATGCCCCAGCATTGTATCACACATTAATGCCAATTCTGTGCTTGGGTTTCTGTTCTGCAGCCCTCGGACATGCTACAACCGGAATCATATGCTTGGACGTACTATCAGTCATGATATTGGCAGGGGATGTGAACGTGAGCCTGAGCCTGGCCTAAAGCATCCTCGCAACTGTCTCATGACCTGTCGGCGGGTATCCCGGGTGCACAGTGCTCCTAGGAGATTTCTCGTACAAAACCCTGGTGGTCAGACCTTCGTTGGGCTTTCCTAGTGCCCCCGTACCAGTTGTCTGTGCGAACGTTATTGCCCATCGTCTCCGGTACTCACGGCTCACGCCATTCAATTCGGGCACCATGCCGTCGTCCTCACCTGTTTTCAGTACTCCACTCACGAAGCAATTCAAGATAAATCATCCAATCATGTTAGCAGGTCAGTTTTGTCGACCGCCGTCAGTGGGTAGCAGTTCACGGACTTGTTAAATGAACTAGGCATGAATGTTGCCGCTGGCCCTAGGCTGGCTGCCGCAGTTACGAACGCTGGTAAGTAGACTCTCCCATGCTGGCCGGCCTTGAACTCATCGTGTTGCGACATTTTTTCAGGTGGCATTGGCGTCATTGGGGGTATACACTCTAGCCCCAAGATGCTGCAGGGGATGATAGACGATCTGAAAGCTGACTCGAGGACAAGGACGCGCCGTTCGGTGTAGACCTGGCGCTACCGCAGCTCGGAGGCAACGCAAGGAAAACAAATGTGCGAGTGCCCCAGATGAGGCTCATGGAAGCTTCAGCGAATTGATGACACTCCTAGTACGACTACACCAAGGGGCAATTACCCACGCTCACCGACATAATCATCAAGAACAAAGCTTCGTTGTTTGTTTGCGCTATAGGCGTTCCTCCAAGGGACATGGTCGACAAGCTACACGCAGCTGGCATCGTTGTGATGAAGTAAGGGTAGACTTGTGTGTGCCCCCATGAGCTAACACGAGCCTACAAATAGCATGGTTGGCCACCCAAAGCACGTCGAGAAGGCACTAGCACAGGGCGTAGACATGATCTGCGCCCAAGGCGGCGAGGGCGGCGGACACACCGGCGACACGCCCTTCTCCATTCTCATTCCTGCAATAGTCGACATCTGCAAGGACAAGAAGAGCCCGCTCACGGGCAAGCCGATCATCGTCATTGCCGCAGGTGGCATAGCAGATGGACGAGGCCTCGCCGCTGCGCTCTCGTATGGTGCTTCTGGCGTGTGGGTCGGCACCCGCTTCGTGGCGAGCGAGGAGGCAGGTGCTCCACCGATACACAAGCAACAGGTCGTGACCGCCGGGTACGATGACGTTGTTCGAACCCTCATTTACTCTGGTCGCCCGATGAGCGTGAGGAGGACAGCCTACGTAGCCAGTTGGTCAGTCCATCGGGCTCGCGTTCTTGAGTAAGTCTGATGATCATGACGTTCTCGTCTCCTAGGGACGGTCGACAAGCGGACATTGAGGCTTTCACTTCCGAAGGCAAGATCCCGCACGAGGCGGAAGTGGAGATACATCCTGAGCGTATGCTCGAGGGTCGTGCATGTAAGGCTTCCGTCTCAACTGCACAAGCGCTGGACTGACTGGCAGACAAAGGGCTCATGGGCAAAGTGGCCGCGTCGATCAAGGTAAGTGCTCTGTATGATGTTGTTCCACGAGCCCGAGTTCTGACAATCTAACTGTCAGGATGTCAAGCCAGCGAAAGCTATGTGAGTATCCCTTCAGAACTCACGTAAGAACGTTCGCGCCTTGCTGATGCGCCCATGACTTAGTGTCGATGAGATGGTATCGACTGCTGCAACCAGTCTGCAGAAGGCAATGAGCCAGATAAGCGTCGATGAAGTCATTGCGCGGGCTAAGCTGTAATTGAGTGATTTAGGTCTCCTCTCCATGTGTAGTTACTCTGCAACTGCAAGGGATGTCGCGCAATGCTTTGTATCTTGTACAGTCATTCACTTGATATCTTCGCGAGAGCGTTCTCCGCTATCAGCCTACCCGCGGGCGAGCCCATACTTTCCTGCTTCCATCCACTCATCGGCCAGCTCGTCAACGACCTTTGGCAAGAGCACCCTGACTGCTTCCTCGCTCTTTCCACTGCCTTCGAGGTAGTACTTAATCTATGTCCGTCCGTCAGTCTGCCGCTCTGCTTCGGAAGACTACGCAACCGACCTTCGGTTCCGTACCGCTCGTCCTGAACGTACACATCGGTAAGTACGCATGGATGGTGGCATGTGGCAGCAAGAAGCTACGCACCTCGTGGTGAGCGTTATCCTCGTGCCGTCCACAGGCGACTCTGCCCTGAACTGCACCATCTGGCCGGACGAGAGCGGTAGCGCGGGCTTGTAGGTTGGCGGGTTCGAGCTGTCGTAACCGACAGTGAGGTCGCGCACGCTCGTGACGTCAACCCGGCAATCGTCTTGGGTAGCTGGGACGCTCTGGGGTGGCCTGGAAGAGTAGATGGTACATGAGCTGCTTCCGGTGCGCGAGCGAGCGGCGGTGAGAGGATTATTGGCGCACCGCTCCGTCGTAGTCGCGCAGTCTAGTGAAGATCTTCTGGATCGTCGGAGGATCGCTACAGACGAAGTAGCTGTTGCTCGTCTGTGAATGCGCTGGCGAGTCAATCTCCTGTCATTGAGGCCTGAGACATCGAATGACTCACCTGGAAGAACCCATAGCTAACGGATAAATTATCGTCAATACAGCGTCCATCGCAAGAGTACGGAAACATGTTACCGTTTGTACAGCTCTTGCAGGTGCTGGCTGGCCGACTTTCCCTGCGCTTGCAGTGAAGCGACCAGCTCCGCGAACATCACCTGGCCACCACGTCAGAGTCCGCCATAGCATGCTCGGACGATTGCCAAAAATACCGTCGCAGCAACGCCATCCTTGTCCCTGATATCAGAGCCGAACATAAAGCCGATCGCCTCCTCGTATCCAAAGGGCACCTCGTAACCTTCCTGGTCCAGCTTCAACGCGGCGTTACCAATGAACTTGAAGCCTGTAGAGACAGATACGGCACCAGCCCCTTTTGGAACATATTATAGCACGCTAACCTGTGAGGCATTCGGCGAACTTGAATCCTTCTGTCTGCGCCATAGCTTCAATCATCTTCGAGCTCACTGTAGAGGCGACCATGGCTAATCTCTCTGAGAGCGGGGTGATTAGGGTGACAGGTGAGATGAAGAGCAGAGACGCACCAAGGGGCTTGCCAGAGGCCTTGTAGCGATCCAGGGCAGCGCTGGCGAAGAGGGCACCCAACTGATCTCCAGTGAATTGGATCCACTTCCCGTCTGGCCTGAAAGGACGGGTTATTGAGACCTCGACACCTGCGTACAATGTCTCACCCTCGTTCTGCGCCGCGAACCGGTCCGCATCGGGGTCCTGGGCGACTACGTAGCTAGCACCACATTCGCCTGCAGTGGGATCGCCAGATCTTTCGCCATCATGAGTTCATATCGCAGGCATATCTCTGCGCGTAACACACCAAAGCACCTGCAAACATGTCGTCGCAATGAGATGGCAACAATACAGAGACGGGACGAGCATACCCTTTTCCTCGGGATTCGGGAATTTTACGGTTGGGAAATCCGGGTCTGGGTGCTGCTGCTCTCTACGGGGCGAAAGCGGGTAGCCCGAACACCTCGAAGGCGCGTGTCACGAACGGGTGACTGACACCGTGCATGGAGGTGTTCACGAACTTGATTGGGGTGCTCGCATTGAGGGTCTATCAGGTAATCAGCATATGACGTTGAGAGGAAGCCCAGCAGAACATACTTCTGAGGCAAAGAGAGGCGAGGCTGGAAGTAGGCTTCCCCATCTCGTCTGTTCGGTCAGCAGAGGGAAGACGAATGGATTGACTCGACGTCCCAAGTCTGAGGCTCAGATTAGCCCTGATCGATGCTGCGATGCCCTTGTCGTGAGGCTCGATGATCTAAGACCACTTGAGCCACAGACAGAATGAGTACGAAATGCACTAGCACAAACCTGAACAGCGTTCTCCCAGTAACCTAATGAGGTGTTCAAGCAGAATTCTTAGAGAGGGAAGGATGTCTACCTTGTAGCCATTGTCGTCCTGCAGAGTCTCAGATATATACTTCGTTGACACAAAGCACAGAGAATCAGACTTGCCTTTGGATTGTGACTCGCTGATCATGCTCGGTAAGTACCTGGATCCACAGACTTCAGCATGAGACGGTCTACCTGTGATCATGACACCACAAGCGGCACCCAATTTCTTCACGCTGAATGGCACCCTGCACGCGTGTTTTGAGATTGTGTTTCATGCTTGGAATCATAAAAAGCTTACAGCGGTGTATGTACAAGGCCCCTGTGAAGGTAAACCTTGACACCACTCTTGAGGAAAGCGGCGGCGGTCAACTGCGCCCATTCCTCAGAATGGTGCCGGTGGTCGTGTCCTACGACCACTCCGCGCGTTGCTGCGTTCTCGACTGTCCGTAGAACATACTGACAAAGGCCCTGATTAACCAAGCCCAGTCTGCTTCGTGTCATCATTCTTGTGTACAGACAATGGCGATGGACGAACTTGAGAGGCTTGGATGATGATGAGGTCATTCATACGAGAAAACCCAGCTTCCATACGCCCCCGCAAGCCTGAAGACATTCCATGTCACTGTTAGGATACGACCTGTATAAGCCCTACCTGCAGTCCCAAACTCTATTCGATTCCTGCGTGGGGACCGCGTTCGGGGGTAAAGTAAGTGGCATTGAATTGACCTGGATATTAGAATCAATGCGAACCTCATCCGCCGCTCCAATTCAGCGGTCTCTCCTGCAGCCCATAAACGTTCGATCTCGCTGCGTGTGGCTTCATTCTGATGTGGTAGTCGAAATAAGTCAGATGTTTAGTGCGATTATCCCAGACATGGACTAATACCTTGTCAAGATGGAGCCATTTCTGAACGAGATTTGCCAGGGGGATGTCCATATCTACAGAAACAGCTCTTCAGCTATGAAGACTTGACTTGCAGTAGCAATGAGCTTAGGACTGGTCCAAGCCGAACACAGTCGGTGACTCGGGACAGTACTTACGGACGTGGCCCGGGTGATCGTGATCTGAGATGTGATCAAGTGTATCGGGCCGAGATCTCAGCCACTCTGTGAATCATGCGGTGACTGTCCAAGGCTGGCAACAGCTGGCAACTTCGAACCGCTGACAGCCGTTCCCCCTTTGCTCAAAACACTCACGTACCGCTTCAACATATAGAGACAACCGAAGTCGATGCAGCGGACGATCCGTCTGCATGTCGTCGCTCCAATCAACATGCACAGGAACGTCAGTGCCCGACAGACCAATGTCAAGTTCTGACACTCGCCTCCTCCAAAGAAGCAACGCAGTTCCTTGCTCGTCGGAACCGAGTTTGCCTTTCTTTTGCATTTAGACGGCCTTCCGTGGCTCGGACACGGCGCCCTACATAGCATTCTCCTGTGGGTCTAAAATTACACTACTGGTAGCAGGTACATTTCTAATGGAACGTCCTGAAAACGCACCGCCAGCGCCCTCTCCGATGCTGTACTGTACCAGTCCGGTGCGGTGATCCATTGCGATAACAACTGTCAGTAGTAGCATCGGCGTGTGAAGCAATGCCGGAAGACGCTGGGAAGCCCTTAAGACCGCTGGGCATTCGCTCGTAACCCTCCAACGCCCTGTCTTGTCCTCCCCACGAGCGCTGCACCCCGATATACAACCATCGACGTCGGCAGCCCGAGATACACGTCCACGCACCCATACATGCCTTGTATACAACGTCCATCGAAGGGGGTTCCCTACTATCAAGGCAATCTAGTTCCTAGCAGTCCGTCGCCGGTCACGTCCTTGTCCTGGTAACACATTCAGTATCCAGCGAGGTCATTTGAATCTTGAGCTGATGATCCTACTTTATCGTCAGCGACGAGGGTGTCGCGGGTCTCAAACGACGCAGTAGTGGCCTCAAACAGACCTTGGTCATGGAAAGAGTGCAAGGGTGTGATATATGGGCCGTCGTCGTCGGCATAGACAACTACGCGAGCGCAAGTTTCCGCCCTTGAGGGGCTGTAAGAACGACGTGGACGACGTCTGCGAGTACCTGAAGGACAACCTTCAGGTCCCTGAATCGAATGTCCTTGTACTTCGAGACGCGAAGGCGACCCGTTCTGCGATACTGCAGAGCTTGGAGCGGCACTTCATTGACAACACTCGGCTCACTGAGAGAAGTATCGTCATGTTCTATTTTGCTGGACACGGTGCTCGTGTCGATGTCGGAAGGACCGACAATGACATCCGAGTCGTCGCGTCGATATGCCCGTACGATGCAGAGACAGTCGTCCCCGGTGTTGGTACGGTACATAGCATCCCTCAGCCAACCCTGCAGGCGTGGTTTGACCTGCTGGAGAGGCAAAAGAGGTGTCATGCTGTAATTTCAGAGTGTTGTCTGACTTTGAACATGATGTAGCTGATGTCGTGGCAGATCGTAGTGCTTGACTCGTGTTACTCAGGCGGCATGTTCACAGATACTCAGCACGGGAGCTCACAGGCGGACAGCCTGAGGAGTACTGCTGACTTGGCCCCGACCGTTCGAGGCTCTGGTACATTCCTTCCCTTTTCCAATCCCTCTCTCCCTGACAATGTCGACCTTGCTGCACGCCACGCTGGTCTGGTCGAAGTCACCATGACCAGTCCGTCGTCCGATAAATCCTGTACGTATCGGAGCGCGAGAGAACATGCTTACGTTGTCCTAGCTGCATGCGACCAGCACCAGATCGCGCACGAAGTGAGAGACGCAGATGGTAAGCTGCGCGGGGCCTTCACGCTCGCGCTCTTTCGAGCGCTGCGCGATTCGGAGGACGGGAGAAAGAGCTATCACACGATCATTTCAAACCTTAAGCTAGTAAGACCCTCGGTGACTGGGCAACAGCCGGAGTGCAGGGGGATGGACAGGTTCAAGAGGGCTTTCATGCACTACGCTGTGCATGAGGACCTCTCGTCGAACTCGCAGGAGATGGAGAATGGGCGACTTGGAGCCTACAGCGGGCAGGAGCAGATGCAGTCAGCATGTACAGCCTTGAGACGGCTAGACAGAACGCATACCAGGCGGCAGCGACTCCCGGAGTCCACTCCAGCGCTGCCGCGCCTCCGTCGCCTCCAAACGAGCGATGCACACATGCGTCTGCCCATCTCCGAGTCGATGGCGGCGGTCAAGTAACCTGCCTGCGTAAGTCTAGGCTGAGACAATAGGGGAGCTCAGACTGAACGGGCAAGGGTACGGGTACGGGCAAGGGCACGTCACGGGACGGTCCGGCCGCACGGCGACTGTAGGGTTAGCCACAATTAGTGTAGATGCTGCCACCGTTAACCCTAGCCTAGTTCTTCCAGCTTCTACGCCACTGCTCTTTGTTACAGACAGTATTTGGATAGTATAATCAGTATGGCTCTCAAGGCTAACGCGCACCAAAGAGAAAAATCAATTTGATGACAATCAATATGGCTCGTAAATATTGTACGCACGATGCACCTACTATAGCCTACTACAGCTGAACTCGAGTGCGGGAAAGTGCCAGCGCCTGCCGAAAGCGGAATATACTAATCGGGTAACATAACATTTCCGAAAGCAGAACTACGTACTTAGGTATATGTTTTCAAAGTATTAGAGGATGGCGGCGTCGCATTTGCGATGACGATCCAGCTGCCTCCTATCATGCTACCGAAACGGATGTACGTGCTCTATATACCTTGTCGGGACCAAACTATTGTACAATTACTGCTGCACAAACCCTAACGTTACGTGGCAGCCCCTACTGCTAACCCTACGGTTGCCGCGCGGCCGGACCGTCCCCGTGACCTACCCTTGCCCGTACCCGTACCCTTACCCGTTCAGTCTGAGCTCCCCTAATGTGCTCAACCACTGTAACGCTGTCTGACGCACGACTTTAGACCGAGCAATAGCTCGTTGCGTCAGCCACGGTGCCAGCATACGCACATGCCCCTCGGTGGTCACCCCATCTTGTCGCTCCGCTCTTCATGCGCCTCCGTTACGACGCAGATGCAGTACTCACCTTTTCCAACCGCTCCAGCTTGTGAGCAGTACCCCGGGCATTGCAGTCAGAGGGGAAGGTGTATGGGTTCATAACACTGGATCGTGTGGATGTCGGAGTCGTACCCCACCCCATACTCATCTCAATAGGTGTACAATGGTCAATATGCTGATATGAGTTCCATGTCTTTGTACGGCTCCTCGAAGTCAGCGATCCATTGAAATAGCGCTTGCACATACTACATAGCGATCTTCCATCCAATGCGATATTTAGTTAGCATGTCATGCCTTCTGCTATCAATACAACCCAACGTGTTAATCCAATTTTTCGAGCTGCCAGGTGTCTGCTGAGTCGCAAAGCGACGTAAGGTCAGACCCTGAGATTATCAAGCACTGCGACAAACGTAGACTCACAACCATCCAACACACCGTGTTCCATTCCATATCCTACCTCGCAATCACGTCTTCATAACCGTCAAAGCTTTCGCACCCACAGCCGCCGCATCATCCACGACCTGCACGCGCCGAAAAACATGCCCTCGCCTCGCCAGCTCGTCCACGATCAGCTTCCGATACGCCTCCACCCCGCTCAACGACCCGCCCATACATAGTATACTCTCCGCCGCCCTGATCCTCCGCTCCCCCTCGCCCGCCTCCTGCCCCTCCGCACGGAGCAGCACGCAGATCTGGTCCACCAGCGCGCTCGACGTCGCCCTCAAGACGCTCAGCGCGAGCGGGTCGCCGTCCGCGAACGCCGCGGCGAACACGAGCGGGCTGAGCGACGAGAGCCGCTTCTCGCGCGACATTGCGGACATCGGGACGAGGTCGCCCTTCGCCAGAATCGAGTCGAGCGCCGGCGGGGTCGGGCGGAGGGAGAGCGTCGCGTCCGCGCTGACGGGCGCGCTCGTGGTGGGTGAGATCGGGGCGGGGTCGGGCTTGTGCACGATGGTGAGCAGCTCGTAGACGTCGGAGATGCCGAAGCGAGCGAGGATGCGTTGGCGGAGACCCCATGGCTTGCCTGACGGTGCGGCCGCCTACGCGATCAGAGTTGAGCTGGGTGCACAGGCCACGTCGACGTCTCACTCACCTCGGCTGTCTTGGGCTTCACGCTTGCCCGATCCGCCTCATCAAGTACCTGCCGGATCGCCTCTCGCCCAACATGGAACCCTCCCCCCTCGTCGCCCAATATCCAGCCCCACCCTCCGCACCGCCCGAGCTCATCCAGCCCCGCCTTCTCCCCAGTCTCCTTGTGCACCGCCTCGCGGAAGCTCACGACAATCCCGCCTGTCCCTGCTACGATGGCTACAGCACCGGTAACATCGGGATAGAGCGTCATGGGTGCGGCCAGGAGGTGGGTATCGTTAGCGACGCGCGGGCGGACGCCGAGAAGGGCTTCGAGTGCAGGGGTCATGTCGGCGATGGCTTGGGGTGAATCGCAGCCAGAGACACCGAACCAGGCGGCGGCCAGGTAAGACTGGCCCGCTGGAGGAGGGAGGGTCAGAGGACCCGCGAGATCGATGCCTGTTGCATGAAGCGGTTAGAACGACGGAGACGTCTAGCTGGCTGAAGGCAGACGCACCATTGGCTTTCAGGACAGATAGGTCACAGGCCTTGAGAGCTTTCTCGACTGTCTCCTTCACGACAGCGACGAAGGGCTCCAAACCGAGGTACGCGAAGTTGGAGGGGCCTCCGAGGGCACGGGCGACGGGATTGCCTGTCTCGTCGGCGATGACGGCGGCAGCCTTCGAGCCGCCACAATCCACGCATAGATACAACGGCATCGAGCCTGAATAGACTGTGGTCCGATCTCCTGATTGATAGTCTGTGGAGGATGGGAGTAGGGATCGGGGAACGAGCAACGTATGTACAGACACAGCCCCGACCGTGACAGGGACCTATAAGGCTGGCTTGGTCGAAGACCCTCGTGGTTCCGAGAGCGCCAGTGAATAGCTGCACCTGAGAAACGGCGAATACAACGTGGTGGCTGGTCTTTGGCTTCCGGGAAAGGCCTATAGATAGTCTTCCACAGGCTTAGGAGAGGCAAGGCACACGAGCCTTATGCCAGAAAGAGATAGCGTATCAAGATGGAGGTGTCGAGCATATGTGCGCCGAGCGCTCTGGCTCGGGGACACTTCGTGGGCTCGCATGGCCGCGAGTGTCGACGATGAGCTTTGCTGCATTGGACGCACGGAGGTCGCGACGAGCAGATGGCCTGGTGTGGTGGTCGCATGCGAAGGTCGTGCGGAGGTCGTCGAGCGAGCGGACGCAGGATGACTTCCAGATCTGCGATCGATCGTCTGCGGCAGGTGCCGAGCGCCGAGCACTCGATGCTTTCAATGGCGAATGAACGGCAGAGCTCAGAATCGTTCTCATTCTGCAATGGAGGCGCGATGGAGGCGTGCAACGCGTGTTGCATTGCAGCTCTGAGCTGACGGGCGCCCTCTGCCAGTGCGAGCCACGGTTTGCTCGAGGCAGACGCTGTGTGCACGTGCTACAACGCGGCTCACTGCCAGTGCGTCATTGCTGGTCGGTTGCAGCCTGCCACGACCATCTTCTCCTTCCGTATTCACGACATACACTATTCGTACCGTGTCCCTTCAAATCACTTCGTACAGCATGTTCTCAGCATTTCTACGATCCATCGTGAGTGGCGTCTTGCCAATGCAGTGATTGCCCACACTCATCGCTCGTCGGATTAGCCGCAAATATCCATCTTGTACGCCGTACTCCCTGCAGTCTTCTTTCCTGTTTGTGTTGATACCGTGCCGCACAGTCATAACACGTCTTCTCCCCCCTCTATCACTACTTTGCAGCTACTCCGCGCGGCACTGTCCTCCCCCTATCCTCCCTCCAAACCAGATGCCCTCCGCTAAAGTTCAATCTCGAAGTGGTCGAGAACAAGCCCCCAACGGGCGATCAGCTCCGGACGATCCTGTCATACATACCAGTAGCAACATCCGCGACAGGCAGTGTCTCACCGGATGTTCTCGTCTCCTCTCACCCGACAGTGGAGGCACGGCCCACCAGCGCGGAAGGCGTCTCAAAGCTCGCCTCGCAGAACCTGCATGCGCTCAAGTGGCCCGTTGTGGTTGACTGGGACGCGGGAAGAGCGGCTGTGGGAGACGTGACGGCGTGAAGAGCATTCTGGAAGAGCTCCGGAAGAAGAGAGACGGGGAGGTGCAGGATGAAGGCCATAAGCCGAAGGGCTGGTTCTCGTGAATCAACAAGTGTGTCACTATCTTCATTGTACTTTTACGAGCGGCATATAGTCATATCAACCATATCCAAACGGCTCACCAGCGGTGCCTGGTCACAGCGTACCTAGGCCGTGGGGAAGGTCGGCTACCTAGCTCAGCTGCATCATACCACGACTTTCGCGTAACGAGGCCGGTACCCGAGGTTATTTCGACATCCTCTGCGCGGCTTCGACGCCCCGGACGTACTGGAGTTTGGGTTAGCGCGAAACACCCGGAGGTACCTCTCATTCACTCCGGACGTATGAAGCTTGCTCTGTCGGGGTACCCGAAGTCGACTGACTGCCAGTCTAACCTATGCACGATGCTCATACCGATGTTCGCATGCCTGTCTCTGCATACTCACGATAGGTTCGAGTTCACCGAAAGCACGCCGGCTCTGCAGCGAAGAACATCGAGCGGCCGGCATTGGCTGCGTCGAGCATCAATTGGCTCGCGACAGACATGTACGCGGTGATGAACGAGGCTCTCTCCACCTCTCGATCGATCGACGGATGGATAGTGCAGTGCTGCTCAGCTTCTGGTGCCCTCGAATTCTGCCCGCATCTGCGAAGTCGTCAAGGCGTCTGGATAACGAAGGACGAATCGACGCTGCGTACTATGTATATCGGGTTTCCAGCAACCTCGCTGTCGACAAACGGTGCGGCGATGTTTCGATACTATAACGCACAAGCGGACATCAGCGCTCGACAGCTAGCGTCGCGGGAATACCAACGCTTGCGGCGTTCGTCACGACCTCGACAGGTCCTGCCTCGCACCGATTCAAGACCGTGACGACGTACGCCGTCAGGCAATCCTGCCTCGAGACGTGGGCTCCCCGGTCTTCTCTCGTACCGCGTCTGCGAGCCGTGAAGGGCCGCCGCCGAGACGCGGAAGTCGACGCGCACACGTCCTGGTTCATCCCGCGTAACGGGCCGCGAGCTCAGACTGGTGGTACGTGTGAGCGAGGTGCGGCATGAGAGGCGCGTACTGCTCGATCGTGTCCTGTATGGGTTGGGAACGTATGCTTTGCGAACGTCGGTGGTGGACTGGGCAGCGGAGTCCTTGGTATGCGTGCGAGAGGTCTGCATGAATCGCAGGAGGGTCGTCGCATCTCCTGTGGACGCGTATGACAATCGGCATCATTGAATGCGTGCAGGTCGGGTTCGTACCGAGCGTATGGTGCCAGGAAACGCCTATCGCTGTCTGTTCCCTGGCTACTGTCAGTTTAACAGGAGCAGCGGCCCGTCGTCGTTAGCGGAAGAGGCTGCGCCTTGCTGTGAATGCAAGTACTGCTTCAGGTTGTCCTGGATGACGCGGTCGTCGTGGGCATCGAGAGCCTCCAGACGAGTCACCTCGATAGGGACGACAGACTGCGTTAGGACAATCTAGCCAGAGAACCTCGTCAGTACTTCACGTCTCCGCCGGCAGACAGCAGTGGTTTTCTCACCGACCAGCGAGAGTCCTCGTTCTTCAAACGGCCAGCCGCATGCGGGTACCGCTGCAGTGCGATCCGCAACGATCTGTGGAATCGCGGGATGTCTATCGGTGCTGGGACGACATGAACATTCTTGATCTTATATAACCCAGTCAGTCACAGGAGAGATGAGAGCGAAGTCGTCAGTGCAGACGTCCGTGTCTATACTGAGATCTCACATACGAAGGTCATCCATAGGTCGTAGCCCGGCAGGTCAATGCTTGCGATGCTCATGTTGTCCGGCGCGAGCCTTACAGTGACTATCGTACGCGTATATTCATCGACAAGTCAGGGTAGCACGTACGGCCGATCTTACATATGTAGTATGGATTCTAGGTGATGTCGGTCGGTGTCAAAGTCGGTGTGCACATGGTCGCGAAGTTGGCGGCCTCGAGCGCTCGTACACACATATATGCAGTCCTTGGAGCACCGACGTCGACAGCTCGGCATGAGCACGATGGTCGGATTCAGCCAACCCAGCCCTTGCATGGACGGCACACCATGCAAAATACAATCCGGCGGTTATTATCCTTTCCATGCAGACACGTTGTGCTCCATAGGTCTATAGTGCAGTACGGGCACCGCAGCCTCCGATTACGATGCTGTAGCGGACAATCCGCTCGTAACGCAGCAAAAAAACTTGATACATTCGTCAGGTTCGTAAGCAGTTCTCGATACATGTATGTGTGCACTTGCGCCAGCCGTTACTATTCGCTCACCGACATTTGCTATTCAGATTGAACGTCCACTCGGAGAATATCTTTACGCATCTCTCGTCCAGTCGAAGGCGCCATCAAGGACGCCCTGTACCCGTGCAACATCTTCGAATTCTCTTGCCCTGGTGTTCGCCGAGTTTAGGTGATGCCCCATGCCACCGATGGGTGCTCTGCACTCGGGACAGAAGGAGTTCTGCATGGCGCCACCGCACTGTGAATGTACATGTCAAAAGGGCACGCAAACCGATTCATGAAGGTTGACCCACTTCAGTGATGACAAAAGTATGCCCATTCTCGCAGTTGTAGAAGTGGCCTCGGTGCGCTGCCGGTGCAAAGGAGTGGTTAGTCACGAACTTGACTCCCGCGCAGTCTGTTGACAGGACTCACTAAATCCGAATGCCTTCACGATGTCCGCGCGCTCTTGGAGAGAGAGGGGCTGGTAGAACTTATCGCTGAGCATGACCTTCTCTAGCTCTGTGCATTCCTCCCTCCAGCGTTCAACCTTCCTTCCGCAGTTATCCTTGAACCACTCTCTCTCGTCTCTCAGGTCTTGCATATCTTCGACGGCCTGCTGCGGATGTATTCTCCTTCGTATCTGGCAATGGCGTTCAACATCTCGGAGCTCTTCGCCTTGACCTTCAGGGCCAAAGTCTGCCGACGAGCCGCAGTGAGGTCGCCGGTTCTCCCTAGCTCTGCCCTCTCCTCGACTATCTGCGCCCTGAACCTCTCGAAATCAGAGCGGATGATGTACACAGAAGAACGCGCTGATTGGCGAGAAGCCGACGACTTCTGCGCCATGGCGAGGGCCTTGCCCGCATCTGCAACGCAGGACTCGAGGATGAAGTCGATGAAGGATACCCATCGCTGGCGATGCGCGACGTCTGATGTGACCGGAAGGGCTTGAACGCGGCTCGATGCAACCTGGGCCAGCATGAACCTCAACTCGAGTGAGAGAAGGTAGGCTTCGATCTGGAAGCGCGTATCGGCCTTGTGGGGCGGCTGTCCGATCTTCATGTTGACCGCCTCGAAAGCAGTCTGCTCCGGCGTGTCCGACGCGCGTGAGGGGTCATCAGCGATTGCCGCCATCTCCAGATGATAGAGAGTCGTGAGTGCCGCTTCGTACGCCTTCACATGTGCTCCGCGAGTGTTCGCCACATTGACGGTGCGCCGATACAAGACCACGATATCCTTGATGGTCTCATACCATGCCTTGGCCTCCTCTTCGTCGAATCCGTGAATTGACTGCATAGAGCTTTGTTGAGTAGCCCAGGATCGAGCGGCTCGGTCGATTTGCCTTGAGCATCTCTTGCATGCAATACCTCCGGATCTGGCATCTCGTCTGCTTTCCGGAGGGCCTTCGCCGACTCTTGCATAGATCCAAGTCAGAGGCGATGCGCTCCATCACAGGCGAGAGATTGTCGAGTGAATGGACATCTTGCTTGCGACGTTCTGCTCGAGGATGTCGAGAGTGGCACGTTTCGAAACTCTGCCGTAGCGCAGCGCGGTGATCGATCCACGGCAAGTGGGACACGTAGGAGGCGATTGATAGTTGACGGGTGGTGCTTTCGTCGAGATGAACCGGCCCATGGGGTCAATTTCGTAGTACGAATGCATGTCGCAGTGTCCGTCCAGAGTCTCCACAGTGAAGATATGGCCACAAGCCAGGGTGATCAAGCGCTCGCTCGTATCGCTCGAAGACAGGTCGACCTGATCTAGTCGCCTCTGCATGATGAAGTCAACAATGTCGGTGCGGCGATCATTGGGCAAGCACACTATGCATGTTTGCTTGGCACATGGCTCCCCGCAGACTGCCGCAGGTCGTCGTGAACATAGACACATACTGGAAGTGCGAGAGACTCACCTGAAGGGCACGGATGTCCGCACGACAGCTGGTTCCTACAAGGTTCGTCGCATGGGAGACGGGAGCAAATCTGGACCGTGGTCAGTTGTGCTAGATGATCAGGTTTCCAAAGGACGCACCGATCCGCACGCAACTGGGCAGGACTGATGTGCACAAGACCATGGACATGGCTCCATGCAGGGTGCGCAAGGCTCGGAGCACGATTTCGGACACTTATGATGAATGCATTCTTGTCGACATGCCTGCTTACACTTCGAATTGCAGTGATGATCTTGCGAGCAGTCCAGTCCACAAGGATGCTGACAGTAGAGCGGACGATCGCATGGGTGGGGCTTATGCTGAGTTCGTACTATCTTGGCAGCGGGGTTGACAGCCGAGGCTCCGAGAGCAAGTTTTTGGCAATCAGAGCACGCAGACTTGCAAGTTTTCGAACAGCAAGAGAGCGCCCCGCCGCATGGTTTGGAACACGATACGGTTCCGGGATCCTTGAAGCACTGGATGGTGGCCGAATGTTCACATCGCAACAGTTGTTTCCGCACAGGTTCCTCGCACTTTACCGAGGCGAGTGTCTCCATCATGTAGCTTTGAAATCGAACAGTAAGACTCGTCTCAACCCCAACAACAGTCTGCACTCTTACCATGGGACACGGTCTTTGATGTGACCACAAGGTAGCTTGACGCCATATATGGGGAACTGGCAGTTGCCGCAATCGTCCGAACAGCGTTTCGTGCATGGGTGACGGCGAGGGCAAGGTGTGCGTGTGCAGCGCTCCATACACCTGTTTTCGAATGATTGTCGACTGCAACATGACACTGCGAAACGAAGGTGAGTGATCTGTATACCTCGACATGAGACATACTACTGACTGCAGACGGACAAAGATGGCCACACGTCAGTCGGAATCCGCATGGGATGAGGCACCCACCGCCGGGGGCTAGTCGACCGAGTTCTCCTGCTTTCGTGATGACTTGAACCTGATCCGGATGACGGGGACAGACGATCGGTATTCCTTGGCCGATTTGGTCGCGTGCTTCCATCTCATCGAGAATCGTCGTCCACGTCTTATTGCTGCGAAGGTTCGCGGCATTGCCCAAGATGTAGAGTCCATGCTTTGCTCTGGACAGTGCAACATTGATCCGGTTGGAACTCTAGTGGCACGTCAAATGAGGCACCTTCAGACCGAGCACTAAAGCCTCCAAGACGAAGTTACATACCTTCAAGAATCCAATGGATGCAGATCCCGTCTCATATGTACCGGAGTTTCGCACAAGCGAGACGATCACGACCTTGGCCTCTTGACCCTGGAAGATGTCGACTGTTCCCAGTCGAACCTATGCACGACGTCATGAGACTTTTCGTGGCGCCAGCTGATGCGGTTGGAACCTATACGTACATGCTTCGCAACGAGCACCTCCTCGTACTCCGCCTCTTCTTCTAATCCCTGTCGAGCGAGCTGTTCCTGATCTCTCTCATCTACTGAGACAGCGATCTTGAGGTCTCGCAGAGCGGCGCGGACTTTTGTCAGCTGTCCCAGGTATGCACAGAGGACAGCGATATCTCCAGCGCCGTTGTAGACACCTTGCCGCAAGAGATACAAGACGAGATCTCGGATCATCTCGACCTAGTACGATGACTGAACGGCTACGAAGCGCGCAAGTGCATCTTCACTTACCTCAAAGTCGTTGCACTTGGAGACCGACTCGGAGTCATCCGATCCGTTCTCCTTGTTCGTATGGGTGAAGAACAAGACGTCTTCTGCATGCCCGAGACGTGAGGATAGTTCTGGACGACTTCATTGTCATCAAGCTTTGGGTATAGAATGGTTCTGGTGGTGATGTGAGCGTACTGTAATCAAAGGATAACAGACGTCGCCACAGACCGGATGAAATGAGATATCTCCGGACGCATTCTGCGCTGCACATTGATTTGTGACATCGGAAGGCCTCCATCGGCGAGCCTCTCCATCATTGACCTGTCGAACTTGAAGAGCTCCTTGCCGCGTTCGCTATCCATGGATAAGGCTATCGGGAAGGTCAGTAAGATATTTATACAAGGTACATTGTGCGCGCACCATATGTCGCAAGATTCGGTCGCAGTTGCTGGGGGTCCCCGATGCATATCAAATGGTGTACTGACAGATAGTAAGCAAGCAGTGGAACCATCGAGGATAGTTGCAGGGTGCAACATTGCTCACCTGATGAGACAAGCGAGGTGAGGACATGCGCCTCAAGGACTTGTCCGGCCTCTTCGACCATGAGGACCCTTGGTGATATGTTCTACAGCCCATGAAATCAGTCAACCATAGAAATTATCCTGGTCGTACATACACTGAGAAGTGATGTGAGTTTTGCGGCACCTATTGGAGCCCCGTGTCCGCATTAGCACATTTAGAAGCCGGAGGAGATCATGCAGATGTACCCGTCGTAGTGCACCCTATCAGATCCGTCTGGCTAAGGAGACGTCGGCGAGTCTACGTGAAGCAGCCGCAGCGTAAGTTACGTCCACATGTTGAAGGGGATGCATACCTCGTCCTTCATGTCGTTGTATTCTTGACATGCTTCCTTATACCTGTCGCGTAGGTCATTATACGTCCAAATGAGAATTATACGCCAATTCGCGGATCCTTTTTCCCATTCCGTCGCCAACAGTGTCCGCTCGTCCTGTGACATATTCCATACACTGGCACTGGCTGTGTCGAGGAGGGAAGATATGGTGCGGGAAGAAGCAGGCACAGGAGGTAACGCGTCGAACCCAAGAGATTGAAGAAGGCAACAACCTCTGCATCATGTATCTTGCTGTCATTTTGGCACCGGTTGAGTCCGTTTTCCTTTCTTCTTACCCTGCTGTACTACTGGTACAGGGAACGGCTTGATGAAGTCGATATCGGTACCGTTCCTCCACAACCCATAGAGTGTGCGTGACAGATGATCGTCGATCTTCTTCCCCTTCGCTTTCTGGGTGACCCATTCGCCGTTGACGTCCTCCTCTGTCCATAGTCGCTCCGTAAGAGCAGCAACCCAGTAGGGAGGGCTTTCTAAGCGCTCAGCATGCTCTGGATGGTGTATCATCAAATACTCCTCTATCTTCGCCCAGGTTAGAGTAGGAAGTTGGATAGACTCCATCACTGTCTGCATCTGTTCCTCAAGTTGCTTCATAACCGCATACTGTCGCTTCATCGGCCGGCTGAGCAATCAGTGCCACCCGCCACTTTCTCTAGCTTGTCCAGCGTGTACTCTGCAATGCGCTCGTCAGAGGAGCGAGAGCCGAGACGAACAAGTTTGGTGGTGATCTTGGCATCGAGAACCGAGGTTAGCATATGGTCGAGGGCGTGATTGGTGAATGCAATGAGGACTACAAGCCGTCATTCAATGTATTGCATGTGCAGAATTGATCAAGTCTCACCAATCGGTCTGATCTTACTGGCGAACAAAACTCGTAGGATTTCCTTTGCCGTGAAGCTCTGCGCAGATCGCATAACACAGTAAGCCACAAGTCTCAATTGATACCGAGCGATCTCACCTTTCCTGTCCCCGGCGGTCTTTATATATACAAGATTAGTGATGAATGAGAAACGGCCGTTCCGAACACGTACCCTTGAATCAAAGATACTTCACGGTTGAAAGTGTTGATGACAGCATCGATTTGACTAGGGTCGAGAATGCTGTGTTCACGAAGCTGTCTGCGGGCGATGTCATTGGTACCAGGCCGTAAGATATCCAGGGCTTGTATGCGGCTACCGTGGCCGGGTTTTGCAAGACAATCGAGCTTGTAGGTGAAACCAGGCCGCATGGCGTAGCGTGGCGGATTTAAGGGCACAGTGTTCAAGGAACCACTGTGAGCGATGTAGCGCGCGAACGGGATCTCGGTCGGTTCGATGGTTTGAGTCGCTCTAAGAAAGGACGAGACGCTTCGAACATGACGCTGTTGTCGACGAGTAGAGCAAAACGAGATGCATTGCCGGCAACGGACAACGCCTCCTTCCGCAGGGCCATGAGCTCGACCTCAGCATCGAAGAATGAAATGCGGATTTGGATCCGCTCCGTACTTGCTTTCGCGGACTCGGCGATGTCGCCAGAGAAGGAGCTGACAACGCCGAGAAAGATCCTACAGCTGCCATGAGAAATGATGAGGAGGGCGACGAGGGTGCCGCTCTGAAGGCGTTTGCTATGCTCCCAGTACTCGACGCGCTTCTTCCAGTCCTTGTCCTTTGCACTTCGATGATTAGGCGTGTCGAGGTTGAGGCCGACCGTAAGGTTTCGACGCTCGGCCTTAACGGGTGAAAATTCGACGCCTGTGTAGACCTGGAAGAAGACCGAATCGTATCCAGTTGTCCGATAAGCGCCACCGTTCGTTCTGAGAATCTCTTCTAGTTTTGTAGGGAGCTGCTGCCTTTGCCTTGGTCGCCACATGACATCCAAATCAGCTTGGATCGCCGCGAGCGATGAACGTGAGGTCGCGCTAAGCCCAGTTCAGCCACGGAACGAATGGAAGACGAGGAGTCAGGAGACTCACATCAATTCCTCCCTAAGCAAGCGGAACTGTATGTCCAAATGTCTCTCCATTGAACTTGCCGGGAGGTGATGTGGTGCGTTGGGCAAAAAGACAGGGAGATACGCAGCAATCGGACATAACAGCTCGCCATGTGTGGGAGCAATGCGAATACCAGCGATGCTGTCCTTGTCGTTGTCATGCCTGGCTCCTCCAGGGCGAAGAGAACCAGGCGGATCATAGGTCTGAGCCAGTTGCGAGTACAAGGCCTCTCGCCTTTGCGCCGGGCTCAAGACCGCTCTCGTCGCAGGTCGCCTGAGTCTCTCCGCTGTCTCAGACTCACGCTGCACGATCGTCTTCAAGCGTGTGATCTCTTCGTCAAGCCGAGAGATGGTGAGTTTCCGGACGTTCAGTGGAGAAGAAGACAATGGGTCCATGAAGCGGGGTGGGTTCGCCGATACATCTTCTGCCCAGCTTTGGAACCAAGTGGCCAGGTCCATGACCAGCTGGACTATGTCCGGATGGTCACGAACCGCGTCCTTGAATCTGCTGAAGAGTCTGCACGAACATGAGTTTGACACATAAGGAATAAATCATGTTAAGCTCACTGATACAGGACAGTCGACACAGTGTGGAAGACCATGACACCATCTAGGCTGTTTTGCAGATTCGGCGGTAAACCCACTGTTGGATCCTTCCATGACTTCGCTTGGACCATCTTCCCGATAGATGCGTGTAGAACTGTGCGGAAGACATCGTAATTGTTCTTCAATGTGCTGTACAGATGACTACGCGAGGTCAATAACAGTGAAGCACGGCATGCATCACCACTTACTTGATATTCTTGTGCATAGTAGTCTTCAGTACTAGATTGGATGAAAGATACTGATAAATCGTCAGCAGTCTGTCTTCTTGGGGTATGTGCAAGCCTGACTAACTTCAAGAATCGGAAAGTAGCCATTCTGAAATGAAAGGACACCTCGACCATGTCCGATTGCGGTGTCGACGGGCTCAAAACGCAATACGTCGCCGATACGTAACAGTGCATTCCCCTGTAATGATGTCACTCAGTGAATCACAGCGAGTCAGTTTGCATGCACTCACCCTCACTATGGCATCCAAGAATGCCTAGAGGTGCGGCCCATAAGTACCGTCAATCAGATTTCTGCCGTCTACGACTCACTTGTGCATTCTCAGAGTTCTGTACAACAGACGTCAATACCAGATTCCATGCCAGAATTCACGAACTCACCCAAGCTTTGTTACGGTCGTTGACACTCGCGAGAATGAGCACAAACCCTTGGACCCTTGCGGCAGTCTCGAACCGGAAATTATCCCACAAGAAAGCCTTGAGATGATTATGGGCGTCGCTCGGAGTTAACGTGTACCGCTCATCGCGGGTCGACCCGTTGCCTGTAGCCAATCCCTCGACGGAGAACAGATCAGGTCCATCTTCTTGCTCCTCGGCTTCTGGGGCCTCTGCGGACGTCGCTGCAGCCTGAGGAGAGCGTTCATGCTTATAGGTGCACTCAAAGCCTCGAGTGCAACTTCCACTCGACCAATAGAAGTTGCAAACGCTCCGAGGTGCGCCGCCTGCAGCATTCTGCCTAGCCGGAGACTGGACGGGAAGTGACCTATTACTCGAAGACGGCCGAGGAGTTGAAGGGAGCGACGGGGTTTGCTCGCGCTCATGCGAAAACCTACACCTGTCGCCGAATCGACAGTTGCCCGTGGATGCGAAATTGCGACATAGACCGTTGTTTCGATGAGCCATCGCTCTGAGCAACGGACTGGAACAGAAAGCAAGGCGATAGCAAGAGGATGTGAACAGAGGAGGAAAGGCACAAGAGCGAGGACACGGTGGGACCACACGCCCTTGAGGCGGCCTCGTTGCTGCATATAATAAGGTTCTGTACAATTCGGACAGCCTCGGCCTATCGATAGAATCATGAAAACAGAGACGCCTTCAGGACGCCGCAGCTGTTCGCAGGGATTGGGCGGGCATCACGGCGCCTGAAAGGCGCTCGAGACGAATGGCTGCCGAGTATTGATGTGCACACACACACACCGCAAGTGATGACTGTGAAGCCCTATTCGTAGCGCAGACCATGAGTAAGACTTGGGTACTGTGGGATGTCCGACGGTGATGTACAGAAAATCCACATTCATTTACAGTATGCTTGCTGTAGCAAGGAGAATAGGAATCACCCCAGTGACGGATCTGATGCGTCTCTTGGGTTTCTCCTGCATCCCTTACAGTCACGACCATAGAGGAATCTGCTACCGTCAGAAGAAGACTTAGTCCTCTACTGACAGTATGTTCGACAATCAGTTTCCAAAAGTTTACAGCGCACCTGTCCTAGCTCCGCGCCCTCTCTATGCACATTGCCGTCTCAAGCTCGAGCAAGAAACGCCGTTGCTCGATTGAGGACTCCTGCTGGACAGAATACGCGTTGTCAGTCGCAGTCAATCTTTACGGGACGAACTTATCGATTGGGAGCAGCGACAGAAACAAGATGATTCTGAACAGCTCGAACCTCAACGAACATGGCTCTTCGTCACGGTTCTCTGGAAATGCGGTCCATAGATGCAGTCCAAACGACGCATGTCGTTTGCACGTAAGGTCGAACAACGGAAGAGCAGAGAGGTCCGGTCGCAATACGCAAGCAATACGTTTGAGCCTGTTTGAGCCTAATAAGTACAGCTGCAGGTCGGTTTCAAGTTAGGGACGTTCCGGCGTCTATGCGAACTGGCCTGTGGCGGCCATCGGCAGTCTGAGTTGGCACGGTACTGAGAACGGTACACATGTCCGGATCCCTTGAGACAGGCACAAACATATACGGCCGTCGGCACAGTTGTTGAGAGGGGTCGCAACTGTTCAAGTTCCTGACGAACATATTGCAGCGAGAACATATCCTGTCGAAGACTAATGAACGACTGCCGGCTGTTTTCCGTGTGGGTGGACCGACGATAGTAAGAAATTGCGATCAGAGACTCTAAATAGAGATATAAGGATTATGGCGTGATGCGAATGCTACTGGCAGGAAGACCGATTACAATGAAGCTGACGAGCCGCGTGGGCAACCTTAGAGCCCGAACGGCGCCTCTGGTTGTACCAAGTCATACACAGACACATTACAGTTCGCTGTACCGTTTACAGTATTTACGACCAGACGGAGGGTATGCTTAAACGTGCAGTCAACGACAGTGACAGAGTCTACAACTCATCAGACGACATCTCGCAGCAGTGAACATGACATACGTGAATGGAGAACAACCATGACGAGGGTTACCTCAATGGTCTGCGTCGTTAGATGCGGGTGTTTCATGTAGCGAGACAGAGGTGGATGTGCGGTCTCGCCGGTTGGACCGGCGTTCCCGAGGAGCATCATTTCTCGAGGATCGTGAAGCCCGGCTTCGTGAAGGAGCAGCGGACACCGAAGGTAATACGCGGCTATCCGCCGGTGCGATGGGTTTGGGTGCGGTGGACAGTGAAGCGCGGTGCAAGCTTGCGAGACCAGGCAAACGAATCTTCAAGGATGGAGTGGCCTCCCCTGTTTTTACTGGCGACGGCGCAGGGAGTGCTGACACTTTGGAGCTGGGAAGAGAGGGTGTGCTTGCTACGCCTCGAGACTGAGGCTCTTTCTTCGCGTGATCAACTGGCTTGTGACCAGACGGGAGCCTTGGTAAGGATAGTGCTAACGGGGTATCCGGTTCCTCAGAGTCGACACTAGCCACTTCTTCGTTCATGTTGCCACCATTGTGAGAGATTAGTGGCTCAGGAGACGGGGCTCTTCGTGCTGGACGCCTTGCCCTCCTTGGCTTCGCAGAGACGGAGGCTCCGGACGGAGCGAGAGGTTCCGCCTGCTTTGCGGATGCATGACTATCAGGGACAACAGCTTGAAATACCGATTCCGCAGGTGCAGTCGGCTCGGTGGCAGGGACCTGGCCTGATTCCTGCTGAGCCTCATCCTTGCGACCGCGAGGCCGGCGCGCCGAACTAGAGGTGGCTGGGAGTGCGACTCGATTGTTGGGCCTGTAGTCATCATCGTCTCCGCGCGTACTCCGTCTTACTGGTTGCGACCGCGACCCCGAAGTCTGTCTTGCTTTGGAGGTGTCGGCAGTGGGGTCAAGATTTGAGGCGGTAGGCTCCTTCTTAATGACGGACTGCAAGCGCGGACATAAGGATTAGAGACTCCAACGAATGCAACAAGCCCCACCTTCGCAATACCGTTGACCTCATGCTGGACTATCGCTTCGCTGGGAGGGACATCCTGAACGTCGGTCCGGTTGTCGCCTACAGGGGTTGTTCCGTTGACGCCGTTGATTACTAACGGCGGAGGGTCGGTACGACCAATGGGTGTACCGTGTCCGAGGTGCAGACCAGTCAACAACTGCAGAACGCACTACACTCAGCGTAGGTTCTGTGGTAGCTGATGATACAACACACCTGCGCGACACGGATATCTTCTAGAGAGAACAAAGGCACTGACGGGTCGATCGCAGGAATACGCTCGTCTTCATCCCCAGCTAATGAGCTTAAGGACGTCAAAGGAGATGACAATGGGCTTGTATCGTCCGTACGTCTATCAATTCGTTGAACAAGACAGTGAGAGCGGTAGGTAGAAGTCACGTACTCGTCGTACTGGCTATGCCCGCGACCCACTTTGTTCCAGAAGTCCAACGTAATAACTCGCTCGGGTACTCTGTATCGTCTACCGTTGATCAAGACTTCGTCAACGATCATCATACTCGGCGGCGCAGGGGTAGGCTCCAATTGAATGATCTCGATGTTCCCGTTGTTAGGTTGTCGAGGTTTTCGAATCTCGAAGGGAGCTGCGTTGGCCTTTGGTATGCGCCGCTTCGGTTGCTGTCGTGAACGAGTCAATGGCTAAGAAATAAGTGTCAAGGCGATAGACATACGAATATGCGGTCGGCATGATTCGGGCACATCCACTTCTTGCCCCAAGGCGGCATGCACGACATGGGGGGGTCCAGACAATCTAAATGCCAGTGGAGGTGGCAATAATCGCAGGAAACGATGCTTCTGCCGCTTTCCGAATGACTCGATCCTGATGGCTCTCTCCTTGCACGTTTAGTAGCTGGCGCAGAGGCGGCTACACCGGGTGGCAACGCTGATGTCCCACACTTGAAACAAAGAACTGGTTCCCCATTCCTGTCCTTCAAGCGATAGGGATCACGGTCCTCAAGTTGACCATGTCGACTAGGATGCATCTTGAGAGGAGCAACCCAGAGCAGTGCATAAGGACGTACTTGAAACGAGGTGGTCGAATCTCTAAAGCATTCATATAGGTACCGCGTGGCCCTGTTGCGACTACAAGTGTGAGGCATGGTCAGCGGAGCGAACACACTCAAGTGAAAGCTTCTCACCATCCTTAAAGTATGCTCTGATATCCGATGGTAGCTGGAACTCGATCGGTATGCGCGTCTCCAGTTCGGCAACGAGGGGCGCCATGAACCTCAGAGACGCGGGTAGCTTGGGAGGAGGTTTCTAGAAGTGGCACGAAGAGTCGTCAGATCACCGTATGGAATGATGTCAATGCCGGACGAACCTGCTGCAATGTGCAGGCTGGACAAAACCAACTTGCCTCGCCTTCCGGTAGATCAGACGCCTCTAATGGTGGGTCTAAACACCATAAATGGAACGCCCTTGGACATCCATCGCAGTAGATGAGATCCCCAAGTGAGCGGCAGGACGAGCAATGGTCTTCGTTTGACTATGGGATACGAGGGTTCAGTGGACCTTCAGAATGCACGCAAAGACGGCCCATATCGCGGATCAGCAAGGCTAGAACTCACCCCTGTGGCCGGAAAGTCGTTCAAGGGCAATGTCCCAAGAGTAGGCTCCTCCTTGATTCTTATAGTCGCATCCCTCTCCCTCCCCTTCCCCTTATCCTTGCGAGCAGCAGGTCCCCCTCTCGCATGGCTCTGGCCCACCACCGGATCCTCCCCCAGAGGAACAGAGTTTGAACGCGATAGCGCAGGATCGTCAGAGTCGAGGGAAATGAAGACAGGGTCAGTATCAGGGACGAGATGTGAAGAGGAGGCCATGGGCTCCAGGTGAGCTGACGCATCCGCCACAGAGGCGGTCGCATTCAGATTGCGCGCCGATGCACGCTGCGCTCTGCTGGCAACGGCACTGGGGACCATGGAAATCGATGTGTGTTGGTGATATGCACGAAGTTGAGGGGTGCGCAAGGACGTGAAGGATATAGAGGATCGCAAAACCGGTTTCTCAGTACCCGGGTTTCCCTCCAAGGTGTGTAAGACTTACCTTCGCTCAAGCCTTGCTCGTTTCCTCCGAGGGCCCTCCGCCTCAGCCGCGGAGGCGAGCGGAGTCGCCATATGTCCTGCGTAAGTGGTTCCTGGGTCAGAGGCAGGCAAGTAAGAAAACACCGTCAAGGTTTTCCTGTGGTCTTTCCTCGGTTGGCCGGCCTGCTGCACCGAGGCCAGCGGTGGCGGCCCAGGGAGGATTTCGGTCGCCAGGCTTGCATCACCCTCCAGATGTGAGGGTTGTGCGACTGATACACCTGGATGCATGTAAGCAGGCACACTTTCGACAGACGCCATGGCGGTTGAGTGCAGAGCTTGGAGTGGTGGGACTCGCGGTGGAAGGCGCGAGGGGTGTGCGTCAAAGTCGGCGACAGCAACACTTGTTACCCGGCGACCGAACGCAATCGCGGAGACGGTAAGAGACAACAAGATTGTCTGCACGCTCTCAGATCTCGACTATGTACATTGCTAAGCTACGCCAATTATGTTCCACTCCTCCATCTACCACCCTGGCCCGGCCAGGTCCGGCTCATCTCGACATGAATGCGAGCGACGAAACCCTCTGCGCTATAGTAGGTGTGAGTGAGGTATGTAGCGTGGAAGTAGACCGAGCACTGACCATTTCCATGGTACTGGGTGTTGCCAGGTGCCCCAGAGGTGCTACCTCACTTGGACATTCTTGACATTCTTCATGCATGGACGTGGCAAACCTCAGCATGGCCATGCGAAGGCAGGTAGCTCAGATCAAGCTGTGGAGAGGCGTTTGCTGACCATATCGTAGATGACAAGCTCGTTACTAGCAGAGGTCGCCAGGTGATTTGTTCCATATCGAGTACGAAGTGAGAGCAAACAATGCCTGACCTGGAAGATCTTGAATCTGAACTGTCAACGTTGCACACGCAAGCATGCAAAACAACTTGCCAATGACAGAAAGAAAGCCCTTGATGTCACAGTGCAGATGGAATCGACGTGTCCGCAAAGTAGTCATCCGCTCTCCCGCGCAGCAGCTCAGACGAGCACCGATCCTCGCTCCAGGCCCGTGCGTGCCCTCAGCGGAAACATTGCAGAAGCTAAGTAGAGGTGTCTACTCACTCGTCGTGCACACCATGGGGAGTCCCAGTGTTCAACAATCCTCGATTTCAGTGTAGCGTACCTGGAGACTCATCCGTAGTCCGACGGATGACCCTGATATGGAGAAGCGTCCATTTGTCAGATATCCAATCGCGAGCGCATCTGCAACTTCATTCATACCAATCAGGTGCACAAAATCAGGCCATATATTGTCAAGTACTCACCATGAGACCTCGAGGGTGACGGTATGTATCCAGGGGCAGGTTGTACGCCACCGGGTGCCCACCTATGGATCCACTCCTCCAGTGACAATGAGTAGGTAGAGTCACATATGATGCAGGTACTCACTGTGAAACAACTGTCACCGCCTGCTGCGACTGTGATGGAATGCGAGCTCGGCCTGCATGCAGACCACCGCACTTGCAGCCACCCGGTACCTGGAGATACTGTCAATGTATCAGATTGACTGCACGCACATTGAGGAGCCCGCAAGTTGACACAGGAACTCACACAAGATATGTCTTGATCAAAGACACTTGGCCAAAAATCCAGAAAGATAGGCTTCGCCCCGAACGTTTGTATGTTACTCTGATGTGACTATGGAGGTCGCCACCTGGCCCGAAGTAGGTAAAGGCTTTGGAATCTAACAAAGACAAACAACGCCTCTGCTATGGCCAACACCACTGTTCGCGGCGCAGAGGCCATCCACGGCCAGAACCCGCAGGTATGTTACGTTCTATACGCGTCTGAACGGTTTTAAAACTGACTGCACAGTTCTTAGTCGAGACTGTAATTCGAAACCGCATCTATGAGTCGCCTTATTGGAAGGAACATTGCTTCGCTCTAACAGGTGTGCTCTACATGGCCTTCGCTGCACTTTGCGGTCTGACGCCGAGTCTACCTACAGCGGAGTCTCTCATCGACAGGGCCATAGAGCTGAAGTGCATCGGCGGGTGTATGGCAATCAGAAGCCGACCGAGTTTCTCTGCCTTCTCTGAAGCTACTGCAAATTCAGCCGGAGAAGGAGATCCTGTTAGAGTATCTTCAAGCCGATGAGTTCAAGTAAGTCAGATTCGGACTGTCCCTCGTAGAAACTGAACAACTGTCTAAAAGATACTTGCGGGCATTGGCGACCATGTATATCCGCATGACCTTCAGATCGGTCGAGGTATATGAGATCCTTGAGCCATTACTCAAGGATACCGGAAATTGCGATATCGTGGATGAGTACGACGCTACACCTTCGTATGTAAATCATTTGATGATACATCTCTAGATGGCTATTCGCTCACTTACATGGACGAGTTCGTGGACAATCTCCTCGTAGATGACAGGGTGTGTGATATCATCCTGCCACGTCTCACAAAGCGAGATGCCTCGAAGACAACGGGAATTGGGTCCGCGTAACAGTCGTCTATTGGATGCAATGGAGGGCAAGAGCGAACACAATAGTGACCGGAGTCGGAGCCCGAGTAGGAGCCCTAGTCGTAGCCTGGACCGCAGGAGCAGTAGCCTGAGACGAAGTCCCAGTAGGGATGGCAGTCCCAGTCCTGGAGCTCCATCCCCGACAGGCTCCGGTTATCGTTCCCGTACCCATCGAGGTCGAGGTCGGGATCAAGGACACCTTACCGTTCTCGTAGTCGCAGCATTTCGCCTGACCGCCTCAATGGCGGTAGTCCGCGCTACCGTTCACGTAGTCGTAGTATCTCTCCGGATAGAATGTTGACGTGATTATCACCCTGGTAGACAGGCGTAGGGGCTGTAAAAAAACTATGCGCGCAGCGAGGACGTATGTATGACTGCATGTAGTCGTGTCTACTTCTGTTTCAGCAAGTCCTGCTTCTTGTACTTCGTGAGCTGCTCTGACAGAACCTTCCAACGCTCTTCGACCATCGGCATGGTCTTGATCGCCACGGGCGAGAGATATCCACGGTTCTTCCACGATGTATACCAGACTGTAAGGCTAGTCAGCGTGGCCCGTGCACTCATGGTTAGAACACGCACGAATGTCCCTCCGGTTCGTAGGGGCTGCCTCTACCCTGTCTGTCCGACCATGCACGCAGTCACGTAGAGCAAGCACGTTATAGTGCTTGCATAGTACTGTTCCACCGAGTTTCTCTACTGCGTGGATAGCGCTCTGGGACGCTCGTGATGGTGTGATATGAACGGGTGTTTTGAGGTGCTCGGCACCCTGTACAACAAGGAAACATGAGCAAACGAAAGAGTGCTCGAGGTGTCTTACGTTGGCCAGTAGCTTCACACCATCATGGGCATTGTGTATACAACCGCTGAGCAGCAGTTCTCGGGCAGTGATGGGCTTCTCTGGCGAAGACGTTAGCCGGCCTTGATCTATCCAATGTTGTATTCTGTCCAGGTTGACCGGTGCCCAAGTCTTCCCTCTACTTCAAACGAGGGTCAAATAAAGCGCGAAGGTGGGCATGTGAGCAGACATACGCATTGACGAAGCCCCGCTTCGGGATTAACTTGATAATTGAGTCTGCCCACCCTCAAACCCAGCCTTAGGCTTGCCATTGCCCGCGCGTGCCTTTTGACCCTTATGTCCTCGACCGGATGTTCCACCTCTTCCGGAGCCTTGGCCACGTCCCACACGTTTTTGCTAACGAGATGGATTGTGAGTTAAGGCGCGCCCTGCGTACGAGAGTGCTGACCTTGTGTTGGGAGTTTGCGGCGGGGGAGAGATTGAACAATTGGACGCGGCCCGGGACTGCGCGAAAGCGGGCTAAGGACATGGCTGGAAAGGATGGCGGAATAAGAGGCGCCAGAGTTGGCATGCGAAAGCGCCCAAGTCCGAGTCGGGCAGCACACTTCTCTCCGCAAAAGGCAACACTGTCTGTCGATCGCACCACTCCTCTATCACTGCACATCCCCTCACCAACTACTCAGTGGTGGTGGATGACACTCAGAATATCTCACCTATAGCGCCTTTATGAACTGTAATGACAGCGCATGAAGAATTCACAATGGGCTCATTACGACCTCTCATCGCCATCTGTGGGACAACCGGGGTGGGCAAGTCGAAACTCGCAGTCGAACTCGCATTGGCACTATCACACAGGTCATCAATACCACGATGCATGGTAACTGCGGTGCAAGAGTTATCAACGCGGATGCCATGCAGGTGTACTCTGGCATGGACATCATAACCAATAAGATACCGACGGAGGAACGCGAGGCGTTGACCATCTCCTGATGAGCTTCAAACGACCAGGGGAACAATACATAATCACCGAATGGGTGAAGGATGCAATGCGAGCTGTAATGAGCATCTAATTTCTTTGTTTCTACGTTTCTCTGATACCTGTTTGCAGATAGACGAAACCCATCGAATGGGGCAAGTACCGATAGTAGTCGGTGGAACGTCCTACTGGATCCAGCATCTTCTGTTCCCAAATCGCCTGATATCAATGGAAAATAGCTCACGAGGGTCTGCGGACCAATCCACTGTCTCAGAAAACCTTGCAAGATCATTATCCTCGCTCCCCTCGGAACTCCTCGACTTGTTTTATGCAGTTCCCACCCAAGCACCGTCTGCAACGGATCAACCCGAGCTCGCTGTGGCGCTGTATAAACTGTGGCGTCGCTCGACCCATCTACAGCACAACGATTTCACTGGAGAGACACGAGGAAGGTGTTGCGTCAGCTCTCCATCATCAAGGAGTCGGGTCGCCTCTCGAGTGAGATACTCGCAGAACAATGGCAAGTTGCTTCACGCCCAAGGTGCGTGTTATTGAGAGCTCTCGGAACTGACACATAATGTGACGGCGTTATAGATATCGCACACTTATGTTCTGGTTGTACGCGAAGCCTGATATACTGAAGCCTCGTCTTGATCTACGTGTCGATCAAATGGTGGAGGTGCGCCGTCGCCGCACTGGCATGTAGGTAACACTGAACGGTCATTAGCAAGGTCTCCTCGACGAAATTCGCGACCTGAGAGCGCAATTGTCGACTGGTTCAGCACAGACCAGTCTCTTGGAAGACCCAGATGCGAGGAATGAATCTGACGATGACTCAGTCGACGTCGATTACACCTTAGGAATCTACCAAGCAATTGGTACCGGAATCCTTCCTGTAAGTTGAATGGCCATTGCTCAAGCTCTCCGCAGGTTACAAGGAATTCCGCGAGTACCTAAGCGCTCCGGTCCACAACGAGGAACTATTTCAGGAAGCTTTGCAAAGCATGAAAACGGCCACTCGCAGATATGCAAAGCGTCAAATCAAGTGGATTCGGAATCAGCTCTTGCCTGAGGCACAGACGGCAAATTCTTGCAGTCAGGCCGAAGAGGGCTGCGATGTAGTCCCAACCTACGTGCTGGACGCGACCGGTAAGTATTGTCGTTGACTCTCTCACGATGCGAAGGCTGAGTACTTCGCGCCGGAATAGAGCCTGCATCTTGGGATGCGAACGTCAGAGAAGCAGCACAGGGCATCACTGATGGTAGGTTGTGCTCGTTGACAAAGAGTGTGTGCAGAACTGATATTTTCCAGCCTTTCTCAATTCCGATGAGCTTCCGGACCCTACGCTGCTGTCTGACACCGCCCGTGACCTCCTAGTAGAGAACAAGCCTAAAGAGTAAGCACACTATCAGCTATTACGCCTCAGCATGACTAACTAGCTGCAGTATCATACATCCACGGAAAGTGATATGCCAGGTATGTACGCATGACGAGGAGCGTCCGGTGATGATGGAAGAAGGGGCGCAGTGGAAGGGGCATCTACGGACGCGCTCTCACCGCAAGCGGGCGAGGAAGTTGCATATGCGAAAGCTCAATGAAGGCGCCCTCACTGATGGCCCACCAGAAGGAGAGAGCAGTGATACATCAGAGGAGATATCGTACGGGACAAATACGCTGTACACATAGCCGTCTTACTATAACTCGACGTCCAGAAAATCAATACTATACGTCGAAGCCGAATATGCAAACATCAGGACAACTAAATGTCATGACATCCGCTCGTTGGTCTTCGCTGGTCTACGCAGGAAACCACTCCGACCAGTTCTCCCAACAGCATTTGCGATGACCCATGGTGGTCGTGCGTTGCTCGCATTCTCCACTGCCATGAGCAGGAAGCGAGAGTTCGTCGATGACGTGAATGACACCATTCCGTGCTACGACGTCTGTTCACGAGGATCATGGTTTGGTAGGCGCGATACCCAATGCGCAACTTCCGTCTCTGGCTGCCACAACATGCAATACGCAGGTCAACAGACAGCGGACAAATCACCTTGCGAGAGATGCTGACACAAGTCGGAGGTTGACCATAGGTTGTTCAGCGAGCGGTGCGGCCCTTCACGGAACACATACGAAGACGCACCTCGCAAGGTTTGGATAACGTTGCTTAGTGACAAGCTGCAACAGGGCATGATGGCTCAGAGAACAGCGATCATGCGAATTTAGTCAATGATGTGCCGGAGACGTCGACGCTACAATACGGAAAGTCCTCTGGGTATCTTACTCTGCCAGCTGACGGAACTTCTCCTGGATCTCGCCATACAGGGCATCCATCTTCTGTTTGATTGGCTCCTTCCCTTGCGATGGTGACTGTACACGCAATCGTCGTCAGCCCGCCGCACGGGAGTGCATCAGCACGAAGCCTACCTCGAACTTCATCTGCGACAACTTGAACATGATGTCGCTAGCAGAGTCTTTGATCTTGGCGAAGGTGGTGTCACCTGTCGAGACAGCTTTGAGGGCAGAGTCATGGAACGCCACGAAGTTCCGCAGCATCGCGCTCGTCTTGTAGAACGGACAGAACCGGTCGTACTCGCTCATACCGTTCTGCTGCAGGAAGTCGTCCTTGAGCATGCGCGCCACTTCCAACGTTATCTTGTCGTTCTCGCCGAGAGCACTCTTTCCGACAAGCTGCACGATCTCCGCAAGGTCGTCCTCTTTCTGGAGGATCTCCTTCGTCTTCGTGCGGAGTTCGACGAAACCTGGCTCAGTCGTCTCATAGTGAGGATCGAGCACCTTGAGGTACTTGGAGTACGACAAGTTCCAGTTGACGGAGGGGAAGTGCTTTCGTTGCGCGAGCTTCTTGTCAAGACCCCAGAACACCTGCACGATACCGAGCGTCGCAGACGTGACTGGATCGGAGAAGTCACCACCTGGAGGCGAGACACTGCAGCGGAGCATATCAGTCAGGGATATACGAGCGTCATCGATCGAAATTACTCACGCGCCGACGATGGAGACAGTGCCCTGTCGTACGGGGTTGCCCAAGCAGGTCACCTTTCCTGCACGCTCGTAGAAACTAGCGAGCTTGGTGCTCAGGTAGGCAGGATAACCAGAATCGGCAGGCATCTCTGCCAGACGACCAGAGATTTCACGCAACGCCTCGGCCCATCGTGACGTCGAGTCAGCCATCATGGAGACATTGGTGCCCTGGTCTCGGAAGTACTCTGCAAGGGTGATACCGGTGTAGATAGATGCTTCACGGGCAGCAACAGGCATGTTCGAGGTGTTAGCAACCAGCGTAGTGCGCTTCATGATGGGTTCTTGACGATCGCCGACTTCCATCGAAAGTTCGGGGAACTTGCCGGCTTTCAGTTTTGATCACGAGTCAACGGTGTTTGTGGTACTCACCTCCATCAAGACTTCAGCCATCTACAGGGTGTATGAGTCTCTACGTCAAGCGGGCTAGAAGGCGCGGTCCTCGTACCTCATTGCCACGCTCACCACATCCAACATAGATAATGATGTCGCTGTTCGAGAACTTGGAGAGAGCCTGCGAGATGACAGTCTTTCCGCAACCGAAGGCACCAGGAATAGCGGTGGTCCCGCCCTGTACGCAACTAGAGCATATCACTTGTCATCATATACAACAGCACGTCGACATATGGGAGCATACGGGAAAAGCGCGTCCAGAATACGTTGGCCAGTCAAGAGAGGATAATCCGCAGTGTGTTTCTCTGTTACAGGCCTCGGCGCGCGGACCGGCCATACTTGCATCATGGTGTGCTTCGTAGTCTTGCCCTCGAATTCCGTTTCCAGAACGATGTCCTGGAGAAGCTTCAGCAATGACACAGGGGTGGTACTTATTCCAGACGTACGTCAACAGCGTAGCTACCCTTCTCTGAGATGTGGGTGATGGTTCCAAGAGCGCGAGGAGGCAGCATGATCTTGTGCTTGTCGACAAGCGAGTTTTCGTAGACACTTCCGAAGATATCGCCGCCAGATATGTGGTCGCCGACCTACACGACAGACCATATCCCTTTAGCTTCCGAAGCAGCACAACACAAGCAAGCGAAGAACTTGCCTTGAAATTGAGCGGGTTGAAGTCCCACTGTAGTGAGCGGTCGAGAGCATCGGTGTTGATACCACGCGGAATGTAGATTGACTTTGAAAGTTCTTGAATAGACTGCGATGGTAGATGAACTACTATTCCACGTTTCTAGACCAGTACACCTTACCCGTAGTGGTCGCTGGATACCATCAACGATGTTGGACATGAGACCTAGAATAACGTCAATAATGCATGCAAGAATTACGGCCCTTCAATTGCACGCACCCGGTCCGAGCTCAACACTGAGAGGCTTGCCCGTACGCAGCACAGGGTCGCCGACAGTCACTCCGGACGTCTCTTCATAGACCTGAATGGTAGTCTTATCCGCGTCTATCCGAATAACCTCTGCAACGCAACTCTGTGAGTCCCACATCGTGCGACAGTCAAACTAACGTACCGCCCACGAGTTCATCATGGCCGACGCGCACAAGCTCGTACATCGCGGCTCCGGTCATCCTCTCAGCGATGACGACGGGTCCAGAGACACCGAAGACGGAGCCAAAGCGCGATTCGCGGTCCTCATATGCGACCTTGGGGAGGTCTTTCTTTGCGTTTGCGAGTGCGCCAGCCATGGTGTTGAGCGAAGCAAGAAGGCGACGACAGCCTGCCGGGTGCGTCAGATTGTACAGGGCGCCCACTGTAGCGGCTGCGCACGTGAGAGCACCATCTATGGAAGGAGCGGAGATAGCACCCGTTATGCCCGGCGACGCGTCTGCGACTGACGCGTCCTTCGCATGACAAACGCCCTCGCTCTCTCTTCCTTGTCTCTGTACACTCACCAAGGCATACCTTTCTATCATGGCCCCGAAATCGTGAGTCACTGTATGGCTGAAAGTGATGCCTATTCTAAAGCTTCTTCCTAGTGATTGGGAGAAATGTGCGTAGCAGTAGGACGCGCCGCGAGACCATGCACTAACACTCTCGCAGGGGAGAAGAAGGCGGACAGCAAAGACGAGGAGAAGGAGATCAAAGGTACGCGCTCTCGCTATGCAGCATGCGTTCTCGCTCACATTCGCGGCAGCGCTGGATGATAGCGACATTCAAATCCTCAAGACATACGTACGCCGTGCGCTTCCTTGTGTGGACGCCAGACTTATCCGAAATGTAGGGACAAGGTCCGTATGCCTCAAGACTGAAGAAGATTGAGAATGAGATCAAGGATGTGCAGAAGCGCGTGAATGAGAAGTTGGGTACGTGTCCTTAAGTGCAATAGTCCACATACTGTGACTCAAGCCGCCGCCATGCAGGTATCAAGGAGTCTGATACCGGTCTTGCGTCTCCGAACCTATGGGATCTGCCTGTCGACCGGCAACGAATGGGCGAGGAGCACCCTCTGCAAGTCGCCCGCTGCACCAAGATTATCCCTGTCGACCCGGACGCGGCAGCAGCAGCGCGGGCCGTCAATCCTGCCGGAGCTACTCAGGGCCAGAAGGGTGCTGACGAGCAGGACAAATATGTGATCAATATCAAGCAGATTGCTAAGTTTGTCGTCGGCCTTGGCGAGCGTGTGGCACCAACAGATATTGAAGAGGGCATGCGAGTAGGGTGAGTGGTCACAGTAGCCCACTATTGGCTGTGCCTCACTCTATATTCAGTGTCGACCGGAACAAATATCAGATTCAGATTCCCCTACCTCCCAAGATCGATGCTTCGGTCACCATGATGCAGGTTGAAGAGAAGCCTGACGTGACTTACTCTGACGTCGGTGGTTGCAAGGAGCAAATTGAGAAGCTCCGAGAGGTTGTAGAGACGCCACTACTATCAGTGAGTGCGCTTAGCTTTCATCTTGAAATCAGCTTGACTAACAACATGCCAGCCCGAGCGTTTCGTCAACTTGGGTATCGACCCGCCGAAGGGTGTTCTTCTCTTTGGACCTCCTGGGACTGGAAAGACCCTTTGCGCCCGTGCTGTGGCCAATCGGACGGATGCTACTTTCATCCGAGTCATTGGCTCGGAATTAGTGCAGAAATACGTCGGCGAAGGTGCACGTATGGTGCGAGAGTTGTTCGAGATGGCGCGCAGCAAGAAGGCTTGCATCATCTTTTTGATGAAGTCGACGCCATAGGTGGTGCACGGTTCGACGACGGCGCGGGAGGCGATAACGAAGTCCAGCGGACGATGTTGGAGCTCATCAACCAACTGGATGGTTTCGACCCTCGTGGAAACATCAAGGTGTTGATGGCAACTAACCGGTGAGTATACCTCTGAGAGGCATCGTGAACAAAGTTCTGACAAGAATTCAGGCCTGACACACTGGACCCGGCCCTTCTCCGACCTGGTCGTCTCGACCGTCGAGTCGAGTTCTCGCTCCCAGATGTCGAGGGTCGCGCACACATCTTGCGAATCCATGCACGGAGTATGAGCTGCGAGCGAGACATTCGGTTCGACCTGATCGCACGACTGTGTCCGAACACGACGGGTGCAGAGCTGCGGTCGGTCGCGACGGAAGCGGGCATGTTTGCGATTCGTGCGCGGAGGAAGGTCGCGACTGAACGGGACTTCCTCGACGCAGTGGAGAAGGTGGTGCGACAAGGGACGAAGTTCTCGAGCACGTACGTATTCTCTGATTCGTATGTGAAGCTAGAGACTGATTCATTCTCTGCAGACCCTTGTACCAGGTGTATAACTAGTCGTTTCGTAGTAGTCACTTCGCATCGTTTGTCTCTATTTTCTATGTGCAGCATCTTCATTCTCTTGGACTCCGTCGCGATGCTACCGGTGTGACTGAGCTGGTTATGGAGGTCGCGAGTCATACATGCCAGTGAGTATGAGCGCCCACTTGCGGCTACCCACTCGGTCCCACCATGAGTTAGTACGATGCAGCGGCCACTACACTCTCCCGCCTTCCGCTCGGCCCAAGCAACGCACTTGCATTCTCGACTGCGGTCGTTAGCAACCCAGTCTCAAGGTCATGCAGAGCCGACATTTACGCCCGCTGAGCTTTCCCGGTCGATCGAAGAACATGCGAAACAGCCTCCCAGGCCGCTCACTCTGTCTACCCTGCTCTCCCTAGCTGACCCAGTCACACCAGACTCTGTGCTCAAGTCGGTTGGGTATGTGCTCACGGAGATTCCTCGTCGGCTGGCGAGGCGTGCGCGAGCCCTGGAGGACCTGCCGTTCATCGTGGGCATGAATCCGTTCGTCGCGCGCACCCTCGAGAGGTACCGCCAAAGCTTCCGCTTCTTATCCACCCATCCTGCGGTGGGCAGCTTGGAGAACAACAGACAGTTCACGGAGAAGCTGGAAGAGGTAGTGTCCAGCCATGCGAATGACATACCGACGATGGCGAAAGGGTGAGTCCTCTTGCATCCGGTTGCATACCGTTCAACACACCGCTTCATCTCTGCGTAGCTTCCAGGAATGTGCGCGGTACATGACCCCAGAACAAATCAGTACCTTCCTCGACGAAGCAATCAGCAGCCGTATTGCCGTCCGGCTCATCGCTGAGCAACACATCGCGCTGTCCCGCTCGCTGGAGGACGGAGAGATGGCGGCGGACCACCTCGGCATCGTGCACAAGTCGTGCTCGCCTCAGAGCATGATCCGCATGTGCGGGTCGTGGGTGAGCGACCTCTGCGAAGCGACGCTCGGTGCACATCCTGAGATCGTCATAGACGGGGAGGTGGACGCTACTTTCGCGTGAGTTCTGTTTTCGTGCCCCGTTTTCATTGACAGGCTTATGGAGATTCCGTGCAGCTACATCCCTGTCCACCTGGAGTACATCCTCACAGAGATCCTGAAGAATACCTTCCGCGCAACTGTCGAGCGACATGCCAAGCAGCATCCCATTGCCGCCTCAATACCTGCAGTCCTTATCACAATCTCGCCTCCACCTCCGTCCTGTCCTCCGCGCCAACGTTTCCTTTCCCTCCGCATCCGAGACCAGGGAGGCGGCGTCCCCCCAGCCTACCTTGCCCAAATCTTCTCCTACTCTTTTACGACCGCCGGCAGACAGGCGGCCTCACAAGGTGGCAGCTGGGAAGATGCGGGGCTCGGTGGTGGTCCCTATGCCGCGCAGCACATAGGTGGAGGCGCGGCTGTCGATGGTTCTGGCTCAATGGGTGGAGGCGGGCTCTTCACGGAGATGACAGGGCGTGGCTTGCAGATGGGGATGGGCACAATCGCTGGATTGGGGTACGGCTTGCCCATGAGTCGCTTATATGCGAGGTACTTCGGAGGTTCACTGAACTTTGTCTCCTTGGATGGGTGGGGGAGCGACGTATTTCTGAAACTGCGTTGTTTGGATGATGCTGGCGATGCAGAGATTTAATCGTCGCTACGTGTATTCTATCTGCAGACCTTTTTGCATGAGGCGAGATTGACAGTCTCATGGTATGCGCCCCAGCTGGAGTACTTGTCAGTCAAAGAGCGTCCACCCTAGTTGTAATCCAGCAATTGAGAACCGCTTGACTTTCTGGAAGTCAAGCACGATATATTGGAATGCAGAATGACTATGCGAGGATGAGTTGTGTAGTAACGATGAGGAGCGAATAACAACAACGGCGTAAGAAATCGTCATCAAACGAGCACTTCAGAGCGATGTGATAATAAGATACAGGAAACCTAGCGGGTATACAGCGAAGGGACCAGTCCAGCCTAAAAGTCGTCAGCGTGAGGATTAATGTATGCATTGTGGCGAGCTCTACTGGAGGGGCGACGAGTCCGGCAAGCCAAATAATAGGAGAGCCCCAAGGAAGATCACTTCGCAGTCTAAAGAGAGTGATTGGCATCACCACGTCCCGCCAGGTATCAATGCGAAAGACTTACCATGGTTCGACTGGAGTGATATGACGATATTGACTGCGCTTGCGATGTCCGATACGTCCTTGATGATGCGATACCAGCATGCAGAGAACCGGAATTATTAGGCGTGTTGGGGACAGTACCGGTGGTCCGTGTCGAACGGGCGGTGAGGGGCGTCGGCGCACTGATCATGGATTTCTTCGGAGTCTCCGTCACTTGCTTGCTGCCGCGACTGCTGGTAAAGCTTGCTGTTGAGGACAGCAACGCCCTTGCTGCTCCCGGGCTAGGGCTAGTGATCTTCGCTCTCCGACCTGCCGTAATGAACGGGTGACGCAAAGCAGCTTGCGGCTTGATCCTCCTCTCAGGGTCCCAGACTAGACATTTTGCAATGAAGTCCACGAAGGTCTCATCGTCGCAACGTAGTACCTGCGCCAAACTCTTCGTCCCGGGCCTTCTCCGACGACCTTTGGAGTTCACTACCGGACGAGGCGCACCAGATGTATCTAGACGATCATTCATGTAAGCTCTCTGTAAAACTTGGAATTTATGCAAGACTCACCAAAGAAGAGCCTTTTCCTCGAGCTACGGTTGATGAAGTCCTTGTCGGGTACACCAAGAACCTCCATGATACAGGACAGCTGTTCCTGTTCGTTCTCGCCAGGGAAGATAGGGAAGCCCGTGTACAACTCGGCCAGGATACAGCCCAAGCTCCACATATCGATAGCCATATGATAATTCATGCCGAGAATAACCTCTGGCGACCGGTAGAAACGACTTTGAATGTACGTGTATACTGGCGAAGAGTCAGCGACAGGAACGTGATGGACGTCACATCACTCACTCTTCTCATGCTCGAAGCAACTGCTGCCGAAGTCGATGACTTTGATAGCGCTTTTGGCAGGATGTTTCAACAACACATTCTGTGACTCGACATCAGCATAGTTCGTTCTTCAGACAACCATATCTTTACCTCGGGCTTCAGGTCGCAATGAACAATGTGGTGATGACGCATCAGGGACAAAGACTGGAGCATCTGACTGGTGAAGCGGCGAATCAGAGCAGTGGTGAAACCGACGAAGCCATTCGCCTTGATGAGCTCGTAGAGGTTGATGCTTAGCAGCTCCATGGCGATACATAGATGGTTTCGGAAGTAGAAATGTTCTGTCATCTTGATGACCTGATGCTTCTCCTCCTGATCCTGTAGGAACGGTCAGCCTCACGGAAAGCAGACCGAATTGCCTACGTACCCATTTGCGTAGACTGTCCAAGATTTTGATCTCCACAAGCGCTTGATGGTGGAATCGCTTCTTGTTACGAATGATCTTGATAGCCACCGATTCACCTGTGCAGTGGTCGCGACAATGCAGTACTTGTCCAAAGGATCCCTTGCCCAATGTGTCGATCACCTCATAGCGATACGCCAAGTGGTCGCGATTGACCACGAGATAATCGCCACGTTCGTCGTCGTAGCCATGATTGTTCGTCGAATTGTCGACAGTAGCAGGTTTCTTGTCGCTGTGTGCACCATAGTAGTAGACGGACGGATGATCCAATATCTCCCGCTTCTCGAAGTCCGAAAGGTACTGGGCCTGCGAGCTCTTGAGAAGGGCTGTACAGGCTGTGAGCGACGTTCACATGACGACATTAATAACATACCAGCCGGTGTCATAGCAGGTGTCGGCGCGATTGGCTCCGGGAACTTCAGCATAGCATCCAGGTCGTCCTGACTCGCTCCACTGGCAAGTTTCTTCGCATGCTGCCTCTTGATGTACTGAATCATCTCTTCATCACCTAGTAGCTCCTCCTCGTCGATAGAACTAGGTGCAGGAGAAGGCGTTGACAACGACTGCCTGCTCGACGACGGAGATGCCATGGCTTGCTGGATGCTATGCGTCGAAGAGGAGTTGGATGACCGAGACGTTGGCAGCGACATCTTGGGGCTGAGAAGCTTCAAGCCCTTGGAAGGCGACAGCGCAGAGAACCGATGCGAGGGACCTGATTCATTTTGCTGAGCTACCGAAGAGATGGATGCAACCGAGCCGGTGGACGACTTGCGAAGCCCTGCAAATGACATGGACTCACGGGTCTTGCGAGGTATCGTGCCGTTGGTTGTGGACGACGTTGGGGCGGACACCTGTCTAGGAACACGCGACGAAGTGGACGGAGATGCCCGGACAGAATGACGTTGCGCCGTAGCAGTTTTAGTACTTGCACCGTGCCCATTCTCGAGCACGCCGAATTCATTCATTGACTCGGCCGTAGCAGCGGGGGAACTTCCACGTGAACCCGAGACACCAGCGTTACCAACCAGAAGGCTTGCCCTGCGAGTAGCACCATTGCCTTTGAGGGTAGGAGAGTTCGTAGTCGACGACCGACTGGAAATGCGGGGTATCTTCGTAGGAGTTTCTTTCGTAAGGCTCGAGGTGGGGTTCAGAGACGATGGCGGCGGAGGCTCCTTCGGTTCCTTCATGACGTGGGAGTTGACACTACCGACGGAAGGAGAACCAGCGATAGTGGGTAACTGATTCCTACCACGAAGGGACGAGTCGGACTGCTTCTGCATGGAGCTGACGGTCTGCGAGGTAGCTCTTGACGACGCCAATCTTGAAGCTGCGGATGCACCGGACGAGGACGAGGACTTCAGGCTAGCAACACGTTGTGCAGTCGTCGCAGATAGCGCAGATATCTGCATCGGCGGTAGTGGCACGGGCTCTGTCTTCTTTGGCATCGGTTGAGCGGAGGACAGAGTCTAGTGATGCCCATGAGTACATATTACAGCAAAATCTCTGCAAGCTGACCTTTCCACGTTTCCTGCCCATGAGGACGGAAATCCTGCTCTCGCTTCGGTCTTTATCATCCTTCTTCTTCGTCTCCCTGTCGGAGTCCTTCGAAGTTGATGTGTCCTTGCCGCTCTTCGAGTCACTCTTTTCCCTGTCCGAGTGCAAACTCCTCCTTGAGCTAGAACCCTTAAGCAATGACGGAAGGCCCAAACTCAACACTGACGACTTCTTATGCGATGAGCTCGTAGTGGGGGACGTCAAGCTCGTATCATGTACGGGCGAGTGACTCCCCAGCAGATGCACGCGTGTTGACGCACTCCCGACACCGCTAGACGTTGGGGATGGAGGCGGAGGCATCGCGTTAGAAGGTGGCAACGTCATCGACTGCGACGAGGACCGACGGAAGAAAGGGATTGACGAAGGTGTGAGCCGCTTCGAAGAGGGGCCTCGCCGCAAGGAAGACGAAGGGCTGAGAGGCGCTTGTGTGGGTACATTGGTGCTGGCGCTAGAGGCAGTCTCCGACCGACTCGGCGCTGAGCGGTCCGGCGTCTGTGACGGTGCGCGTAAAGAGGCTCCAGCAACGGAGGGCGACAACGGGTCTCGAAGGGAACCATGAGCAGAGCCAACGGACGACATAGATGCCAATGAAGTCGCCGACGCCATGGCAGACTCCATAGGGGACCAGTCTTCCGCAGGCGCCTTCGACACCGGCGAACGTGCATGCTCCTTGGAGATAGACTTCCTGAGTTGGGCACCGAACGTCAGCGAGCGAGGACTGATGGGCAATCCAGGGGATTTAGGCGCAACCGATTCGTTCATAGACGAGATGGAGGGCGAGTTCGACAATTTCTTGCCCATGACATTGGAGAAGCTCCACTTCTTCGACGGCGTCTTCTGGATGCTGCTCGGAGTCGTGACAGACTTTTGGGCCTGGAGCGAGGCATGCTTCGAGGGAGTGGACGGGAACGACGGTACTTCGAGAGATGACTGGAACCTCATATCGCTCACCGTCTCCCGCTTGGACCTACTCGATCCTGGAACCTCGGGTGCCGGAGACACTACCGTCGAAGGAGTCTGAGGGGGCTGCTTGTAGTGAGAGATATCCTTTGGTAAAGGCGGCACAGGGGGCACGCGTTGCTCCTCGGACGAATCAGCGGCCCCAGCGAGCGAGGCGGCACGTTCTCGCACATACGTCGCTTCTGCACTATAGACAGACATTTCGCTGCTCGCGCTGTTGCGCTTAGTCTTGTTGGTCGATTGTCGGCCAGAGGTGGCGGAGACGGACGTAGCACTAGTACTGATGGACAACGTAGCGGAATCCCTGGAGCTCGTCGTGGGAGTGCTCGTGTATGTCCCTGAAGACGCAGAGCCACGCTTTGCACTGAAGCTAGAGCGCGTAAGGGAGTTCGACTTCTTGAGGGACGATTTCTCAGGCAACGGCGAGCTACTGTGCAACTCTTCGCCAGAGTGGAACGCGGCACCGTGGACTTCATTCTCACCGGAGAACTCTGTCGATGCGATACCAAGACCGACTGTTTGACGTTGTGACGCTACGTGCTCCGCTTTGGCTCTGTCCTTGTCCTTCGCAGCACTCATCCGTTTACTGCTTCGGCTACCCTCGATGCCTTCCCATTGACCAGAGCTACCGGCACCGGCTGGAGTACCCGGACGGCTCGAGCTTCCCAGCCGACTATGGGGACCGATACTAGATCTGGCACGAGCACTCCGGCCTGACAACCCATCAAGCTTCCGTAAAGCCTCCATTGTCGCCTGATCGTCCAAGTCCGACCACCCTTCTTGCGTGCCACGGAGGAGAGAATGAGCGACCATGTTAGCAGGGAGGTGAGAGGACGAGTCTTTCTCCTTCAACGGGTGATGGGACGGAGAAGTCGTCTTGCTACCGGTGCCTCCCTGCTTCAGGAACTGTTGAATGGAAGACGATGACGGTGACGGCGGAAGGTGTGAGAAGTCTGACGCGAGAACACGACGAGAGTGGTGAGCATCGCCGTGGCCTGAAGACGATGAGCTGGCCGATGTCTGCCTCTGGTGCTTGACGTTGATAGACAGGGTATCCCTTCGCCTCTCTTTCGCCTTCTCCTTGACTTGGGCTGCCGTGGCCGGCGGGACGCCGAGACTCTTGTGTCTACGGACTTTGTCCTTGTCCTTCGGGGTGTTCGATGACAATGTCGACTTCGCTACCAACGTGCCTGCATGATCCATCTCGAACTCGTCCGAGGTGCGCTTGCGTGGCCGATTGGTGGATGCCGAAAAAGCACTGGGTGGCGAAACATCATCGGACTTCATCGTGGAAGCAACCGGTTCAACCTCAGCTGAGGGAACAGTATCATCCAGTTCGTACTTCTCCTGAAGAGGCATGTATATCCCATCTGCATGCTTCCTATCGTCCAAGGGTAGAGGATGACGAGGATACAGGATCTCTTCGCCCCCGCTCTCGTCGGCCACGGAACGCCTGGAGCGCAACGGGCGCGAAATCGGCTGCACTTCACGGAGCTGAAGATATGGATGAGCTTCTAGTGAGCAGTACGACATAGTATGATATTCACCTCATCCTTCTCCTCCGGCTCACCATCAATTGCTTCGATAGTCCATGGACTGTCAGGCAAGTCTTGGTCCGGCTCGTCCACCATCACCTCGCCGTCTTCTACCAGCGAAGGTTCCTCTTCCGCTTCGTCTAACTGCTCGTCGATCTCAACCTCGTCACGGCGAGGACCCCGGGCCCATCTCGGGGTCGCCAACTCTCCCACCCCCACCAATCCCCGTCTGTCGATGGCAGCAGGATCTCTGCCAGGAGTGACTGGCTCGCGCGCGGGACGCATCTCTGGGGTCTTCGGAATCGAGTGCAGCACCGGTAGAGACGGGATGGGAGACTCGGATGGGCTCTGCACGCTGAAGTAATAGGGATCCAGTGACGAGGAGGCGGAAGGCGAGCGAGGGCCTTCGTTATCCGTCTCCAAGTGCTGGGCATCCGTCTTCTGATACGTGGAACGGGCTGCAGTGGAGAGTCAGCGGCGCGTCGGGTGGAGACGAGATTGTTGTCATTACCCGCTGCGCGTCTCTGCGATGATCTCGCTCGTATCGTACATCCCCGTCGGACACTGACTTGGGGTCGCCAACGTTCAGCGCCGGAGGCCTGTCTCTTCGTTTGGTGCGTCCTTTATCATGAGCTACTTGACCGATAGTCGGGGAGGGTGGGGCAGACATGAGATGGAGATGTTAACGAGTGAGCGAAGCAAATGAGAGACGGTGGCAGAGACAACGACAGAGGAGCCCAGACCGAGAAAATAGGTGTTACAGAGTTGGGGAAATAGAGCGGATAGCTTGAGGACGACGGTCGCGGTACCAGCTGGCCGTGGAGGTCAGATGGAGGACGCCCTTGCCTGTGTGCTTGACATTCCAGGGATCCCTCTCGCGTCGCCGCTGAACGTCCTCGTGTCGTTTAGTTGTGTTTGTTTGCCTGTGGCGCTTGTTGTCGGGCCTGCCGAGCTTCAGCGCTTCATCCACCGCCTACTCTAGCCGCTCGTTCGCGTACACATAAAACTCTGCGTGTCATTGTCAAAGACCGTTGGCGATTCTCGGCATGGATGTATAGGTATAACAAATGTGATTCTACCCTGTGAGACACAAAGTTCACGATACACAACGTCGAAGGTCCGAACGCGCGCATTCGCCATCCCACACACCAACGGGGTCGCGGACGTGAATGTGAACGAGCAGCCGGCGGCAGCTTTCGCGCCTCATGCCCTAATATCACTAGTCAGGGGATCTTATCGTGGAGGAGGCGATCCCGTCGTGGTGTTCCAGGCCGGGCCCTGTGGGACCTCCCAATCGCCATAGCAGCCCCACTCCCAATCCGTTTCCCGTATGATCTCCTTTTGACCCTGCACAAAAGTATCAACGGGACACATCCCGTCCTTCTGCTGCGGGCAACCCTTGATGCCCGTCAGCGGAACGACGCCGTCATTGATGATGATCCTAATCTGCGGATCAGGGATGGACGAGCATGACAGCACTGCATAGCCACCCGGCAGTTGTGAATTAGCCCGCATCCACTTCACAGAACTCGTCAGACGTACATTGGAACTGGATGTTTGTAGCGAAAGGCGCAAGACGAGAAGCCTTGAAGGACTGGTTCTCGGGTATGTGATCAGCAGGTAGAGGGCCATTCGCAGCAAGCGTCGTCAAGTTTAGCGCAGTGATGACTTTCCAAGATGCGAGTGAGCTAAGGAATCATATGCGCGTGCAACCACTCACCATGCAACACAACGACTTCATGAGTCGCATCAACGTACAAACTCTGGTTCAATGGGAATGTGAGTGGGTCGTCGGCCAATGTCGCGTTAGTCGATGTATTGTGCGTTTCGATAGGGCTGTGCGTAAGCCGAGCGACAAGCTCCTGGATGTAGCCAACACCCAGGACTCTGCTGAGCGGTGCCCCGAATGCTGAATCATACCAGAAGTACAAATCCATACTAGATCGGCGTCAGCTGCAGCTGTCCATGTACGCGGCATTATGTCGCTCACGCATAATCGAAGCCCTTCCATTCCTCCTCAGTGAACAGCTCGCAGAACCTGGAGTATCCGATAGCCACAGTCTGTGCTCGATGTGAGGCAGTGACTGTTCACCAAGGCATATGTACGAACCTCGTATGCACACAGCTGCTGCATCGTATAGACATCCTCAATGGTCAAGTCTACGCCCTCCAGCTGCGGCTGGAGACGAGAAAGGGCCTTCCGAAGATATATGGAGACCCACTGGGAGACGTACGGATGAGCTCGGTCTGCCTTCGCGGTAATGGCAGCATTCGGGCATCTTCAACAGGATGAGTATTCACATGTAGAAAGAGAAGTTGCGCTCACGTCTTATAGGGGGCGAGGGTGTTGTTGTACTGTAATTGTATAGATCAGCCAAAGACAGCCTGGTGCAAGCGAACAAAAACCTACGCCATTCTCCTCAACGGTGATACTTTGCTCGTATTGTCCATCGAGTGGATACCCAAAAAAGCCAATCGCGAAGTTGAGCGCGGATGCGAGCATACGATCCCTGCACGAAGTCCGCGTCGTTGATGAGTACGAGAAACGAGGAAGACTCTGACACATACTGGGACTCCGTACGGAAGACGGGTATCGTATTTGTCTCCGTGAAGTTCTACGCAACATGAGTTGTGGGATCCTACTAGTAAGGCAGACCACATACCTTCAACAGGAAGCCATACTTCATTCTCAAGGAGACGCCGAGATCGACTACGAGACACATTTGGTGTAAGATTCGACATGTCATAACTTAGTACTTACATAACTGCTGCCTCCCGAAGGGTGTCAATACTGCTCGGCGTCAGCGAACACAGTGAACAGAGGTGAACTGCTGGGTACTCACTCTCCTCGCCTAACTTGTATGTCCTACGCACATCATTCATAAGTCAATTGGCAAGCATAGTGGAGAAAGATTGGCACAGACCATTCATTCAAGAATCCCAAACTTCCGGTTGCATTCCAGCGGGAGGCGTACTTGTTAAGCTTGGCTGCGAAGTTGACTGGACCACCATAAGATGCTAATACGAATGCGTCATAAGCCCGCAAGCTAACAAAGACGAATGTGACTCAGAAGACGATATACGCGTGTACTCACCCCATCCAGTTGGATACCGAGCACCGTGACGGTGCAAGAAATGCAGTCCGGTCACCCTACACGTTTCCGGAGGCCCAGGAGTCGAATCCAAACCAAAAGCATCCTTGCCAACGCTGTACCAAGGTGACAAGTTGCCCCAATGCTTGAATAAGCTGAAATCGGTCTTGTTGGACTTCGACTTTGTGAATTCAGGCGACACAAGATGAGCTGCGCCGCTATGGATGGGATATGAAGGAGCGGTCGCTATAAGTGCCGGTTCCGCGCCTGTAGGAGTAGGCCCAGCGTAACCCACGTCCGTAGGAAACAGAGAGGGATACGCATTGGTTGGTGAAGAAGGAGGGAAGTGGTGAATCTCGGTAGAGCCGACGTAGGGAGGAGCGAGTGCATGTGCATCATCAGAAACAGGAGGTCGACCTCCAGTCACTAACCATTGGTGAGAGCCGGCGACGTACTGGAGAACACCGCATGTGAGGGCGCCCCCGAAGAAAGCTAATGCTAGGAGCCAGGGTGAATGGGCCGCAGTACACCTGGATGTTGTCGGCTTGCGCGGGGCCTCTGGCTGCTGTTCCGTCGCGACTGGGAGTGGGAGCAATGCCTCGCTCTCAGAATTGTCGTGAGAGTAGTACTTGTATTCTTCGGCACCGCTAGCCTCTTCGTGAGTGCTCATCCTGGCGTAACCACCGAATGGTGAGCCTGCTAGATGAGAGAGCTGTGCGAGGAGAATGCCTGTGTCCGCGCAACCTGTGGCGGAAACTCGAGGGACACGGCCCGGCGCCCCTTTGATTGAGAGCTGAATCCAAGTTGATCGACGCCGGCATGATGCATGACGAAGCGCTCGTCCACTGCTGGCCGTAGCATAGCGTAGCATTCAGATGGAATACATGTACATACTCGCAGACCTGCACTCCTTGAACTCCCTGTCAGTCTGATGCATAGCTAGTGCTCATATAATACAGCATTTATAAACCTGTCGTACAGCAAATCAGCCATCCAAATCCAGAATCATGTCATGCGATGCCACGCGTTATAGATACAACACAATCAAGTCCGAGAGGATAGGAGTGCAACGAAAGCTGGGAGAGATGCTTCAGAGATGGCTGAGAAGTAGAACTCGTGCTCCGAGTTGTGAGGTCCCACGATATTATGCGCTATCTCGTGCGCCAGCGTGAAGTACCTGAGGAACGAGATCATTGATTCATATGACTGTCTCCCAGATCGACACATAGAGGCCACTCACCAGGAGATGAAGGCCTCGGTCATGTTTCCTCGGTGCACATCTTTGTCATCTGTGGGACACGCTTAGCATCGTGTAACATTACAGCATAAGCGATACATACGCCAGGCCTCGAAATACCGCAGACTCAAGAACAGGCTTGCGTTGCGATTGAAAGCAATACGTTGCCCAGTCTCGTCAAGATAAAAGTGTATGCTGCTCCGAGGTAGTTTGTATACGTCTAGAAGCGGGAGGACGACGTAGATAAAGCGAGCAATCGTATCGCGCTTGGTGCTCATAACGGATGCTATGTTCGCAACATCTAGTGCGAATGTCAGCAAGACCGCAAAGACCTGAAAAGGTATACATACCTCGTGCAGCGTAGACCTTGAAGTCTTCCATGGTGCCTACGCAGACGTCGATGTCTCTGTTATCTTGCAGCGACGTTATATCACTCACCAATTACGGATAGGTTGAGGGACTCTCCTGTACCGTCGCAGTAACCCTGATTGAGTGCCTCCTTTACCATCTGCTGACTCTCCTGTGATTGTAGATGATCCCGCTTCTCCTCTTTACAAGCATTGATCGCCATATCGATGACAGAAGCTGGTAACAGAGTGGTTAACAGGACTTGGACCGTGCACCACAGCTCATCCACTCACCTATCCTATTCTTCGGTGTTACATATCCGGGAGGATTAGGTGTGGTGGACCGCCCTCCCATTGGCATTGGCGACGCAGTTCGGCTACCAGCCATAGACGTTGCCTACCGTACAAATGATAATGATTAGGTCTCGTGATGCCGTGTAGTGCAGGTACAAGCCCACCTCGCTGTCCCCGTCTCCGGCCCCAATTCGTCTAGCGTCCGACGATGGGCCTGCCATTTCAGAAGGCGAGCTACCAAAGTTAGAGAAGGCACTGTGCAGTCGTTTCCACGCGTCAGAGTGGCGAGCGTCCGACATTCGCTTCACCATGTCCAAGGCTTTGGTAGGTGCAGGTGCTGTCGTGGGCGGAGCATTTTGGGGCGGAAATGCACCGCCCGGTTGCGTCACAGTCTGCCCAGACAAGTCTGAGAGCGAGGATTTCTCGGAGCTGACGTCTTGATGCGACACGAGCGCTGTAGATTCGGTCTTCTTCCGCATGGCTTCTTCTTGAGCAGCTCTCTGGGCTTGTTGTTGCCTCAGAATTCGATCCACTGTGAAAATAATGAGATCGAGAACAAAGCAGTCAGAACCTCGCCCACCATTGTATCCGCGTCTCTTCAAAGACCGCAAGTCCGTAGACAAGATGGTCATGAACAGCAGGATATCGTTGGCTTTGGGCATGTCAAAGAGAACCCGGCACATGGAACTCGACACTCTGGAGGGAAGGATTGTCATTCTTTCCACGGGTTTACTCCCAGAAGCAAACAACACTCACTCGTACATGTCCACTTGGTTGTTGTAAGCCAACAGAAGCTCGATGGGTCCCATTTGGCTCCGCCGGGCAAGGGCAGACGACTCCTGAACTTGTGTTGCACGATTGGTCCCAAATTGTAACGTCTTCACGACCGTAAGTTTGCCATACATCTTGACGACGAAGTGCTTCTCATCATTGAGCCAGCTGTACTTGACACGGGGAGCGGCATGGGTATGTTCGTGCAGGAACAGAGGTAGACGTTCCAGAATAAGAGTTCGTACGTCTGCAGCTTTCGATGAATTGGGAATCTCAGTAGTCGACCGATGCTCTTGCTTCACCAAGGAGCTCAGGAGCTTGCTACCCAATTCCAGATAGAACGCTGCACAAACATTGACTTCTGCGCGACTTGCGGGCAGAACTACACACACCTTCGAGTAGGTCTTCTTGCGGCGCTGTAAACACCGAGTTCCCAAATAGCTGATACGAATTGGGGTCGTCCGCCACAACAATCTGACTCGCTGGCAGGAGATCGTACTCGTGTTCCCAGTCGTCTTCTTCCAGGTCAGCGAGGTCATCTGGTGTTTTGAGTTTCTCCGCCGGTTTTGGTTTCTTCACACGTCTCGAGCCTAGCAGTACCGACGATCGCTTGAGACGAGTCATCGTCGCCCCCGAGAAGAGCCGGTGATTAACCGCGATGTTGCGAAGTTCATTCAGGTAGCTGTCTCCTATGAGCACGGGGACACGTCTCAGCGGTACGGAAACCTACTTATCGCGACCACCCGCGAGTTCGTAGAACTTGCGCGGACTGTCCAGGATGATCTTGGCAATCTCCTCAACGGACGGCTCTTGCTTCGACCCACACGCCGATAAGAATTGATTCGCGCGAGAGCCGAAGTCGACGAAGGTGAATAACTTGGAATGTAATTGCGCCTCCGTTGTTCCGCGAAGGTAGCATTGTGATGGAGGCATCATCCGGGTCTGTTTCTCTCCTGGAGTCGTGACAGGCACAATAGCCATCTGAGCAAGGGTTTTCAACTGTGTCGGTGTGAATTCTAGAGAATGGGTTCAGTTCCAGGAGGGGAGATCTTATTGTGATGGACGTACCGGCTATCCTCCCAGCTAATACACCAAACCAGTCCCGAGCTACATTATCATTCGATGGAGGAGACTTCTGGAGTAGATTGACCAATGCCGCTGTAGGCGGATGTTCTCGAACCTTCAGCTTCGGCAACGCGTCCGCCTGGACACTGGGATCGATGATTGCGAACCCTAGAGCTGCCCATTCCGGAGACGCGTACACCTGTAGACACATACATTCGTCTTGCTATGATCTGCTTGTTTCAATGGAACGTGCTTACTTCTGACGGTTTTGCCATGTGCGGTTTGCGATCTTTGACAGCAGGTATGTATGCGATTTGCGAGAAGTTGTTGGGATCGTAATCTGAGTACTTCGTCGTGACGTTATCCAAGAAATACCTGAGCGCGGCAGTCCGTATTTTTTGGTCTTGACTAGCGGCAAGGCCGAGGAGAACAGGAAGGGAAGGGAACCTCTGTAATCCTAAACTGTACAAGAACTTCGCTGATGTATCGTCAGTACGACTCACTCATATACCGACCTGCGCGCACCTTCTTCTGAGTTTGCTCGCCACTTAGGATGTTGTCCCCAATCAATGATGGGTAGTCCAAGCTGTCTAAAGACGTCGGAAGGTTCGTACAGGGCGCTAGCTGCATAACGCGCACGCTTGCCATCATTTGCCTCTTCTGCCTCTTCTGCCTTAGTGAAGGCCGCCGTCGCGCGCAGCCGATCAAGCTCGAAGGGGGTCAAAGTAGATTGTACCGCGACCAGGTACTTCACTAGCTCAGCGATGGTCCAATCGCCAGTCTTGATCATCCTGGGCATTTCGTTGAGCTGAGGCACCATATAGATTCTTGTCAAACTTACCTGTTGAATATGATCTGTAGATCCACATGTTTCCGCACGCCAATGGCGGTGATAATCTTTTCTAGAGCACCTTTCACTAGCGTACCACTAGGCATGTGTACGATGGGCAAGTCCTTGAAAATATGGGCACTCTGAAAGTATGCCTCCTGCGGCAGCTTCATGCCTGCCGATGTAGGCACACACGTCTTGTCCCGTAGCAGCGTCACTACTTCCTCCTGGTTGCCCTTCGCCATGTTCGGCCACATCCGCGCGAGCACCTGGAAGACCCTCTCTGCCCACTGCGGAGACTTCGTGATGTCATGATCGACGTCGAGTCCAGACAAGCCAGTGATATGTCTCATCCAGTCAATGGTAGTGAATTCCCTCCAAGGGAAAGCAGTAGAGAGCTGGCTCGGATCCAGGTGTCTGCTGACAGTAACAGGGAGTAGGTGTGCTGGCAACGGTCCATCGGTGGGGATAGCACCCATAGTGCGAGTGTTGAGGAACGTTTGGATAGACGACATCGGGACGATGCGTTCGTGAGCTGTCCCCTTCTCGCCGACGCATAGCACCGCGGCATTCAACAGCTCAGTACGAATACGAGCGAGGTTCCGTGGCTCGCCCTGATTCTGGACGCCAACCCACCACTTGAAGCAGGCTATCATCTCACTCTCAGCGAGAGGACGAGCACGCAGTTCCTGCAGGACGTCCATGAACTCGATGTTCTTCACCATCCCACGGTCCTGCAACGCATCAATCATCCGTTTGGCACCAGAAAGGACTTCGTCGGGGATGACAGGCAGCTCCTTCACGAACTCCGAGAAGGCCGCGTCAGGGATACGCACGTCCGTTGCGTTGCGGACACCCGTCGTAGAGATGAGAGAGAAGGATTGACGAGGTCCACCACACAAGAAGAAGGCAGATTCCATCTTCTGCGAGACCTCTGCGAGAGGCGTCGACGGGTGGAAGGTGAAGAACTTCATGGCATGCAATGCTCTCGCGCGCAGCCACGCCGTCAGTTCTTCATCGGGCTTTGCGGAAGGTGTCTGCCCCATGGCTCCGGCCCAGAGTTGGCGGATCTGGTCCATCTCGAGTTCGTAACCAGCACGAGCGAGGAAGCCTCCCACATACAATAGCTCTTCGTTCCATACTGAGTGCCAATGAAGATCAAGCTCGCCACATACACAAAGCAGGTTGACGTGGACATACCGGACACTGTTCGGTCCCTGCGAACAACTGCTATCAGAGATGCACTTCAGCGGCTCATGTCCTACTCACATCAGATCTATCGATTCTCGTTCGACAGTGGGGATAAATCTGGCCGCCATATGACCCGCAATACCAGTTGTTTGGCTGGTCGCATGTCCCTTCACGACAAGGTATCAGTTCACACTCGAAGCCCCAGGAAGTATATCATACGATGAAGATTCTTGCTGAACCACTCCTGAGAGACTTTGTGAGCAACCATCTCATATTTATGCCGTTTGCAAAAACCTACCCTTCAATGTCAGCACGGAGTCCCTGGAATACACTTCCAGTCTTCTCTGGCTGTTTCTCGTCGTCCTTTCGACTAGCATCGTACTCGTCCTTTCCGGTCTACATGATCAAAGGAAGTTAGGCGAGTAGTATGACGAAAGTGCAAATACTGACGTAGATCAAGTTCAGGTTCATGTTGGCAGGTGGGTTCTTCTTAGTCGAGCGATGGAGCTCCGACCTTAACTTCTGATCTAGCTTGACCGACACATCCGCAGAGAATATCGAGAGCATGACACTCGTCTCCGTGACAGTGTCGGGTCGATCTGCTCCACAGCGGAGGCGGAACAGGGGTAGATGCTCGTTGAGGTGTATGCGTTCCTGATATTGTGGAGAACAGGGACGTAAAGAAGCCACTGGATTTTGCTGCAGCTGCAGCTGCAGGCTTCGGGGGTGCAGCCTTTTCACTCCCTGCCAGATATACCCACCGAATAAGGTCGGCTTGATAAACAGTGCTGTGAGCAGAGACAAATCAGTCTATTTGCAAACGAGCGAGCACAGTCATTGACTACTGACGCGTCGTGTTGATGTCCCGAACTGCATGATGCCCTTCGGACTTGTACTTTTCAAGCCCTTCGGCACGCCAACAGACTTCGTGATCCCGGGCTGCTTCGTCAACCTCGAGATACGCGTGTCGTCAAGATACACGCTGACGTCGGAGAGCTGTTTCATGAAAGTGATTGAAGATGCCAGGAAACGGGTGAGATCGAACGCTTTCGGAATTGACGCAGGTTCACGAAGAGTCATCTCGAATGTTGTCCAACTATCGTTCACGTTCCCTGTATCCGGGAGTTTACCTCGTCTGACGAAGAGCTGCACTAAGCCGTCAATGACTGCCCATCGGTCGAATGTCAGATCCAGTTACCTGGTCCTTCCGTCTTTCCAGTAGAAATGCATCCATTGTCCTGTGATATTAGTGCAGTGCAAATTAACGAGGAGCGTGGTTCCGACGACTGTAGCACTTACCTCCTGAAGTCACAAACGGCTCCTCCGTGACGGAGAATAAACTGTAGAAGCCTGGAGGCAGACCGCATGAGGTAATGCCTGACTAAGTACAGAAGTTAGATACACACCTACTCCAAAAGCACCGATCTTCTCTTCGTCGGGATTACCCTCGGCTGCGAAGTGTTCGCATCAAAGAACGACAGCAACAACTTGTAAGGCACATACCGATCTTCTTTAGACGATTCCAGTCCTCGTCTCTGAAATCCACGCCGTCGTTCTTGAACGTCCACTGATGTACCAGGCTAGCCTTCCGGTCCAGAGCCTGCTGGTCAAGCGGAGGTGGGGGTGCTTCTTCCGTGCCGTTCGCCTTCTTGCTATCTAGGTATGCCTTCGTTTCGAACCGTATCTCTACCTTCTCGCCCCCGCATCATCGGAGTTCTGCAGGAGCTCCCGGAACACTGACAAAGTCTAAGATGAAGGCAGCCGGTACAGCTAGCATGAACGAACCTGTGAACTCAGCGGAGTACCGCGCAAGGACTTTGTCAATCAGGGCACGTTGGTTGACCTCAACTGACTCGTCATAACCGCTCTCCCACTGTACGGAGTTCATCAGAACGGAAGCTTGGCCTAACACATGTATACTCACCAGTGCATCTCTAGCATGTGCCATCTCTCAATCCGGGTCTCACTGGCAGGCAGTCTTCGCGTGGCAGTATTCAGGGTATCTGCCGCCAAAAGACCGCGGTCGTGGTCTCGCCTGTCTGAAGCAAGTAGTACGCCAGTCGCGAAGTCGTAAGGGAATGGCAGGACAGCGACGCGTCGTCTCTGAGCAGCCTCAAGCGCCGGTAGACGCAGCGATCGGTCGCCGGCGACGCGTCCCGCGGCACACGTGGGGATCTCAGATTCGCAGATGTGGGTGCTCGCGGAGTTCGTCCGACTTGCGGTCCGTTCGCGTCAAGTTCACGCTGGCACCCTGATAGTACAGTAGCTTTGCCTGTCCGGCATATATTGAGAAGTGGACGTTGCGAGAAACCCGCGAGTAGCGATAAAGGTCGCTCGGAATATTCAGTGTATGATCTATGCGCTTCGAGCCGCACACTACGGGATTCCGAGCACACTGTATTGGTATCGCCAAACGCTCACTGGGCTTGTATATGATCATAGGCAGTGCGCCGAAGACTACATCTACTATCATATGCCGTCTAATTCAGCGGACAGAATATTCGTTCAAATGATATTTGCCAGCCAACCTTTCTACACGTCAACCGACGTACCCAGACTCGACTCCGCCTGTTTTACCTTCTCCCTCGCAAGCCTCCCCTTCCCGCGCGCCATCTCCACCTTCGCCCAATCGACCTTCGCCTCGTCAAAAATCCGCATCTCCTCGTCGTACGTGTCCAGAAACCAGTCCACATGCCGACCGAACTCCTCCACATCCGCCCGTTCGAGCACGCCCCTCACGTCCGCGAAGAACGCGTCCAGCACGGAGAGGTTGTGCATGACGAGCAGCGAGTGCGCGGACATCTCGTGCGTGTGCAGGAGGTGGTGCACGTACGACCGCATGAACGGCGGCTCGGGCCCTTCTGCAACCACCTGGGTTTCCCATGACATCCTGTCCACGGCGCTGTGCAGTATGTGTGTCTCGGGGTTACGGGGAGAACATGCACCACAGGGACAGACGGGCCTGAAGTTTGGCAGCCCTTCCGCCGCTCGCTGCACGTGGGACTTGCCATCGAGGAAGCTCGCGGCCAGGCGCGAGTGATCGTGCGCATACTCCCCGCTATACAAATTATGGCCCAGGTCTGCCTTCCCACTCGGACGGAGCTTCGGCCTCGGGCACGTAGTGTCGTCCGGATCCACAGGCTGAGTAAGACCCGGCACGATGGAAAACCGGAAATCGAGTGCGACGCCGATGTCCGCCGCCCGCTGGGCCCAGTGCGCGTCGAAGAGATCGACACCGACGTCCCGAATGAGGCGGAGCATCTCATGAGGAGAGCTCGCGGAGTTGACCATGCGCGGCTTGTGTGTCGGGAGAGGAAGCAGCGACGCCCGGAAGAGCTCGCTCAGCGCGGCTGGGTCCACAGCGCTCGCGTCGGCGCTGGATGTCGGGGTGAGCGTATTGATTGCTCCGCGAGGCTGGCCACGCCAGCGACTTGTCAGCGTCCTCTCCGTCCACCGGCATTGACCGCGCAGATAGAGCCGCGCGGAGGGGCACGAGGTCGAATACGTACCCCGCGACGCCGTCGTCGAGCCGGCGGTAAGGCTTCAACTGGGCCGCCTCCGACTCCTCGAGGTCCTCCACGAGCCTCTCTGCGAAGACCCTCCGCGCTTGCACGATCGCGCCGCCTGCCATGTGTACGACCACATTACTGAGGGAGTTCGCTGCCGCGTTAGGATCTGAGCAGCGGCTTTCTCCCGTGCAGCCCTGGAGTGTAACAGATTTGCCAGCCACGCTGTGGATCGCTCGAGAGACTTGGTTGTCCGCTTCTGGGAGTGCGGCTGAGGAGTAAAGGGGGTATCCGAGAGTGCGGTGATGATGTCCGGATTACATGCACCGCCATATTGCGCCCAAGTGTTTGCGGTCAACTAGAACAGACTTCATTACATGCATGGTGCGTAAGTGAAAGGGCGGATCTACCTTGCGCACTCCCCGTACGCAGTATGTGGTGACGTAGTCTTTGTTGTTCGCGGGCATGTCCCTTCCGTCGAATGGGTCGCGTGCCGACACGGACAACACACGGTCTTCCGGCGAGAATCCAAGAAACCGATGCAGCGGATGCGAACCTGGCTGTAGGGTGGGAAGTGGTGGATTTTGTTCGAGGCTAACAGAAGTCGGATGACAGTAAGATACGGTGATCACGGGCGCACGAGCTCGCACGAGGCTCGAATATTAATGTTACGTCTGTGCTGTACGCCTGTGCGCGGTCCTGCTCTCGAATCGACCAGCATAACCAAAACAGAAACCTAAGTGCCTAGCCCTTTGGGCGCCACTGAGCTCAAGTCAATGGCAGACCAACGCAATATTGCAGCAAACAGGCACTTTGTCACGTATGCGATATCATTCGTACGTGACATCACGTACGCGACACAGCACTCAGCTCACCGAACGTCCGCAAAGAGCGCACGTACGCCATCCTAGCGTCCTGAGAACTGGAATTTGCACGAGCACACGCAGACGTACTGCGCAACAGCAATAATGTTCGCACCGACAACAGAAACCCGTCGCCTGGCCATCTCAGATAGAAGCGCGTCTTACAATGTTTCAAAGGGCACATGCACCCAGCGGATCGCCCTCGTAAGCCGAACGTGATCGCGCGAGAGATGGGGTACGACGCCGCGCGAGGTCGCAGTCATCATCCCCGGCGTCTTGATCGCAATAGGCGCAGCTCCATCTGGACGCTGCACGGACACCTGGCCCACCCGGGGGTGGAAGCAGGGGAGCGGGGTTTCATTTGACGAGGACGAGGAGAAGATGAGAGACGAACGCGGTTTGGGGTCGAGGTTCATTGTCGCCATGGTCCTGGCAAGCCCGCGGAGTGTTGCCTTGGAAGGTATGGTTGTCGATGATCGGAAGATGGGGTGCTAGAAGTGTCGAGCTTAAACAGACAGGATCGAGCGACGCACGCACCCCTTGCTCAACGAGCGCAATGGAGAGCTGCAATCAGGAACCTGAACGACTTCGGAACCACCGTTCTGGCACATCCCGGGCGTTTCGTAGCACGTGGCACGTTAGCGCCCATACGCAAACACTTGAACGCCGACGACCAGTCGACGGCGTTTTCCAATCTCACTCTCCAGGCTGCGCTGAAAGTCAGGAAAGGGATTCATTTCCGATGCAATCAACACGAATCAAAGTGGGTGTGAGATAAAGAATGGCAGTTACATCCTGGATCACGAAATGTGCGTAACTGGTGTGTACTTACCACGTACCGTCCTCGGTAAAGCTAAAACTCACTACCAAGCAGACGTAACAGACTTGACGAAGAAGTTCCGTGTACTTGGCCGTGGCGCGAGCGTGAGTTGTGCGCCACCCAGAGGTCTTCTGCATGCTGTGCTGCCTGGATAACCGGTCCGTCAACGAGGCGTCGAAACGAGATTAAACGAGCCGCCCACGGCGACAAACTGACAAAAGCACAGACGGCGCACACGGTTGTCTGATGGGAATTGAGTACTCGTAATTCAACACGGTGTCCGTGGGCTGCATCGCGGGCGATTCGCCCTTAAGGCTTCGGCGACAAGACTGGCGAGGGATACTTACGGACACACAGGATATCCGACTGATGTGACGGAGAGCGTCGCGGGTGTGTCAGCCGTCGCGTGTCAAATTAGGCTTTTCAGGGACAACAAGGTTCAGAGCACGGCACGGCCGCACGGGCCCATGGGCGGGGGACTGCGTCTTACCATTGTCGGTGATCAGTCCAGTTGGGCAGTGTTGGAGGCAGGATTCCCAAGTCCGCGTGCTCCGAGAGGCAACATTGGCACGGGCGAACGGGGAGGAGGGTCAGGAGGCCAGGAGTGGATACCTGCGAGCGAGGGAGGATCGCTTCTGAGACGGCTAATGGCGGGGAGACCATTGGCGCCGGGACATGCCGAATCAGTGTGGAAGCTCGGGATCACGTACAGCAACCTTAATTCTAGACGTGGTAGGGCGTTTCGGTGCACAGCGGCGCGGGCGGCCTGCGCGGTTGCGGCGCACCGTCGCAGTGACGAGTGCAAATATTGCAGCGACGGAGGGCGGTTCGCGCGCAGGGACGACAGCCGCTGTCGCGGAGTTAGGGCTCTGTACGTAAAGGGGGCGACGGCAGCGAGCCCAGCAGCCGGGCGTGGGAGCGGCCGGGGGCGCTGGGAAGGCCGCGGTCGGTGGGCGGTGGATAAGACGGGCGAGTGCGCCTGCGCGGATTAATTTCTGGCGCCGCCGTTCCCTCCCGCCTTCGCCTCCGCTTTGAGTCGGAGTCCTGCCCCGGCCCAGCTCAGCGACGCGGCAACCGTAAGCCCCAGCCTCTCCCCGCATCGCGTTGTGCACTGACGGCCATGGCCTCCGCGCAGCATATCCCCTCGCCACCGCCCTGCACAGCGCCCCGCCCTCGCGCGACAGCTGCCCTCGCGGCACGTGCCACGCCGTATACGAAGGCGTCAAGCCACGCCTCATTTGGCACGCATCGTTCCCTCCTCGCGAGGGCGCTTCGCGACTTCCCTCTGCCTCCTTTCCTCCGCTGTCTTCCTCGCCCTATCGCGCTCCCATCATGAGCGAGCATAATCCGGACGGCGACGACCACCACAGCTCTCCGCCCCAATCTGCTGACGCCGTGCAGCCCCAGATGACCATGCACCCCATCACCTACTCCTCCATGCCCATGCACATGTATCCGTTCCCGCCGGGCGTCCTCCCCGCCTCCGCTGGCCGCACAAAGCGCAGGCAGGTCAAGAACGCCTGCACCAACTGCCAGAAGGCCTGCAAGAAGTGCGACGACGCCCGCCCCTGCCTCCGCTGCGTCAAGTACGGCATCGCCGAGGAGTGCATCGACTCCCAGCGCAAGGAGCGCCAGAAGGGGGTCAAGCGGGGGCCATACAAGAAGCGTGATGGAAAGCGTGAGTACTCCGCCTGCTCGCCGCCGCGCCGCGACATTGACCGCTCCGACCCCAGCCAACAGCGTCGACGATCCCGTCGACGTCAACGGCCAGCCGGGCATGGTCATCCCGCCGGCCGTTGCGGCTACGAGCGTCACGCCTCCCGTCCCGTACGTAGCCCAGTATGCGCCGTTCTACGGCCAATACCCGACCCACCTGCCCAAGCCCGGTGAGGGACCCGTCTACGTCCCACAGCTTGTGTACGCCCCGCTTCCTCCGCACGCCACCCAGCAGATGCCGCCCGGCCATGGTGGTCAGGAAGGCGAGGTCCCGGGGTACCCTCCTGCACCGTACTACCCCATCTTCACCCCGTACCCGCCGCAGTACGCTACGCCTATATGGTCCCAGCCCACGCCCGCCGGAGGGCCAGCCGATGCCAGGTCCGGTGGTGCATCCTGCCCACCACTACCAGCCATATCCGCCGCCTCACCCGTACCAGAAGCCGCCGTCCAGGGGCCCGGACATGAACGTCAACGCGCACCATCCCATCCATGATGGATCCTCGCAGGGACATGCGCTTGACGGCAGAATGCCTGAGGCCTCCATAAGGCCATGGCAAGTGAGGAGGGGATAACGTGATACCTGTATGTCTCATTGTCTGAGATTCGGACGCTCTTTGTCTTACGACCGGCTACGCAGTGAACGTGTCGATATGCTCTCTCATCTATGTTGCTGCTTATTTCACGCTTTCGTATCGCCGTCGTCGCGTGAGTATGTAAGATAGGATCTACCACGTCGTCGCTGTACTATATACTGTAGTCGTCGGTTGTCGCGCTGCTTGGATATTTCTTGTGTCTCCGTGCCATACTGCAAAACTGTGATAAATTGGATTCTCGTGCGAACAATGCTAACTATTCTGACTCTAAGCGAGGACTCGCGCTGGCGTGCGATGCGAGCTTGTCTGACCGGCATGGGAGCAAAAGACGTAAGTGTCGTAAGGGTGCACGAGACACTCGGCGCAGCGAACCCAAGACTGCGCGTCCCATCCCGGAGCCCGCTGCAGCTGCAGGAAAGCCAACGCGTGCGGCAAATCAAGCAGGCGCAAGACGCGAATCCGAATTTGCGTCCGAGGAATGCGGGGTAGGGTGATTGCGCTGTCAGGCCCGCGCGGGGTGAGGGCCGTCAACGTATCAGGCGACAGAACGCGCTGACTGTGAATGAGGGCCTGCCATCTCCGCGCGCCAGGGAGACCGACTCAGCGAACGTGCTCTCCCTGGATCATGCCGGGCGCTGGCGTCTGCGGATTTTTCTGGAGCATGGAGGGCCGCCTGGCTGCTGCTGCGAAACGCGGGCTTGCGCTGGGCTGACGGGACGACGACTGCTGCTGGTGCTGACGACCGGGCTCGTGGAGGACTCGAGGACGGGGCCCGTCTGGCACCAGAGCGCATCGCGAGCGATGCGGGGAGGCGTGGAGGTCCGCCGTTTTCCTGGGTTGCTGCGCTACTCGGTTGCGCGGACGGACGTCTATCTCGAGCTCGGTTCCGGAGGATTCGTCAAGGATTTTGTTATGCTGACGGCAGACGTCGACTGCTGCGCTCCCTTCGAGCACTCGAGGCCGTGCCGAGACGAATGACTTCCATAGGTGCGACCCATTCAAACGCGAGAGGCCGTCGAGAGCCAGGTGACACAATAGAGGTGAGCAGACCAAGCCCCAGGTGGGGACGGCGGAGCAAGGTCCGGTCCACGAGACGCACGACATGCGGAGGGCCGGGTGGGTGGTAAATGGGCGGCGAGCTGGGTCACATAGGGACGGTACGTGGGCTTCCAGTGGTTGTGCGCTCCGCCAGCCAACGTTCGGACGGGAAGGATGCGGCTGGATTGTTGTTGGCTTGGAACCATGCCGTAACAGCGAACCATACGCAGATGATTGCTCAGACTACAGCACCGTGGCGCCGTCCGGGCGGCACGCCATAGAAATTGGCCGTCGGCATGAACTAAGACTTGGATGGGATGCTCCATGCGTGCATGCGTGTGCGTCAACGAAGGCGCTCGCAGCGAACCCTGCAGGATGAGGTGAGTGCGACACTCACCTACTCTTGGAAGCAGAAGCAGAAGCATAGCATGCCCTATCCTCGTGCAGATGACGCATATACCCCTCTGGCCATCTTCGTCTCGTCGGGGGTGCACTACAGGAAGACGTATGGCTTGTATCACTGCACTGCAACGCGAGTAGGGCCAGCTGTGGAGCCGTCGCTGCATAGCGATCGCGTACGTACGCGCAGCACTTGACGACACGCAGTCCTGCAATTCCCAAGTGAGGGCTGATTCCGGCGGTGAAGGGAGGCAAAGAAACATACCGTCAAATCCATGCCTCATCCAAGCCCCACTGTTTAAGTCTCCACGAGTTTGGGTCACCGAGCTGTCCATCCGAGCGTAGTCTGACGAGTTATCTTCACCAGATCGTTTTTCTGCCTCGCGCTGCCTCAGGTATCCGCAGACGCAGCCCACCGCTGTTTAGAACGCATACATGCGCTCATCGGTGACGTGAAGGCGCGATCCCTTTGCCCAACATGAGCAGATGAATGAGAGGTATGAGAAGTGATCGACGATTGAGAAAATGGGAGGTCGCGCTGGACGCGGAGAATGCAAGAAAGGTCCGCGTCCCCCGCACACGATCACCGCATTTTTAAAGAGCGCCGCCTCAGCGACGACGCACTATGCCTTCTCGAGCACTAGCGCACCAGCACACCCGGACCAGCCTCCTTGCCGTCCAAGAGATCCTTCGATGGTCATCCCGATAAACGGGCACCGTGGCACGCGTCCGAGACACCAAGGCCCGAGTCTCCGTGTCGAACGGCGCGCGGAGAGTCCTCCGGATCTCCCCTTGTCGGGTGGCGACGAATGGTGGTGAATGCAATGATGAGGAGATCGTGGGGAGCTGATTTGTTCGTGGGTAGCACCGCCGTACGGCAAGCGAGCGGGCTGAGCGTGCACGCGGACGCGGACGCTGTCCGAGACTGTCGACATATAACACCATGGACACGCTGTGTTCGCTGGCCGACACGGTCTGCCGCGCTGGGTCTGACAACGATGCACTGGTCCTGGTCCACGGTCACGACATTGTGCAAGGCGGGAATCCTAATCGACGTAACCACTTGGGATCTTCCGACGTCTTGCAGTCTCCTGCCTGCCGCAGCGTGCTGGGCACCGTATATCTTGCACCAGAGGTCATAGCTCCCGACGCGTGGGGTCACTAGCATTCGACGCGCGACCCTTGACACGGGACACCCGAAAGCGTATGCAATACGCAGGGTGAAGGAAAGTCGCATGCGCCAGGGAATACAGCGCGACGGGATACGCAAAGGCTTGGTGTGTACGCGAAGGGATAACAGGTATGTGCGCGCCATGTTGAAGTCGCCCGCAGAATGCCAAGGCACGCAGCTTCCCTCCATCGAGCTCTGCGAGACCTCGGTGGCCGAGACAGCAGAATGACCGTGCAGGTGCGTACGAATGCGTATATGGCGCAGCTACGACGCCGACGATCAAAAGTCGCCGTGGCCACGTCCGGTGTGTTGCTTCAGTCCAGATCTACCGGGCCCAACGGGAGGGGGCCTATTGCCTGTGCGGTCGACGCTTCGCCATACCGCCGATTCCCGTTAGGACCGCGCCAAGCCTGGCGACAGTCGTCCGCAGTGTGGATCGGCAGTCGACTGGGATAATCCCCAGATTCGCGAAGGTTGCCCTCTGGGTTTGCTTGGGCCCAGCCGAAAGCTTCGTCCTCAGATCCCATCACCCGTGATATCGTCACCAATACCGCGGTGCTTCTAGATCTGACCCGCTGGGGCCACCGGCCGTCTCTTGCTACCTGCCAGACTCGAGGATGACTTGGTTCCGTCAGTGGCTCCTTCGTACCCGTTCTGGGTCGGACTGCGTACGACGACGCGTTCCCTGCGCATCGTATACGGCGGATGGTTCAGCGTGCAGATGCGGGCGATTTATAGATGTACACTCACAGGACTCCCTTCCAAGTCGCTCCCGTGCCGCAGCCTACGTTCTCTCCACCCCGAAGGAGTGCACAGCGGCCCGTGGCCGTAGCGAGCGCGTCGGAAACCTCCCCGCCGTTGGTGCAGAAATGACATGCAATTGACGAATGCCGTCCGTATCTCCAGTATCTGGTGCAGTCCATGGCGATGTCCCGCGACATTGACGGGTGAGTGGCTCCGAGCTGTTGCGATAGAGGCACTGGCGGCGTGGTGGCGACAGCGATGTCGTTCAAAGAGGAACGTGGCCGGCCACCGTCATGGGCAGTTTTCTGCGGCGCCGAAATGCAGACAGCGAAGAGCATCACTCCTACCCGTGGACAGTGATCCTGAGATTACTGTACGGGACAGCTCTCCGCGACGCGTCGTATCGGCCATAACGTCTCCATGTTGGGAATCGTCCCCCTTCCTCCCTTGTGGTCTCTCCCCCTTCCCCCCGCAGATACGAGTCCATGAATGCTCGGTCAGGCACTTCGGGGAGTTTGTATGTCGCCTTGAACGGTGGCTAGCGTCACAGATGCTACGACCTTTTCCCATTGGGGGTCGTCTAGATTTGCTAGGCGAGAGTTGCGAATACTGGTGATGGTGCATTGAAGCCCGACAAGGGTAGAGAGTCGTTGCCGCTGCATTTGGCGGACGCGCCGATCCGAGTCTGAAGGACGTGGAGTGCGGCACGAAAAAGTGTTGACGGATCATTGACGGACGTCAAATTTTGGTCAGACATAACCGTGACCGCCGTCTATCTGTCGCCTCGCCTTCTTTTGAATTCTTTGAAGCAACTTGCCAGCTGCATGATTTGTCCCGTCTTCCTACAACTAGGATGTCCTGACTGGCTTTGAGACGTCTGTTGCCTGTCGCCAAGTCCCTCGGTTCGATTGTCCGGGATGGTACTTGCGAGGACGCGTCGAGAATTGCCGGAATATCCGCTGACACTCGGACAAGCGGGGACGAGGCAAGAATGCGTCTACTTGAGCAGCGTCAGGGACTCTAAATTGCTGGTCGACTCGTCGCCCCTGTGCATGATCGCACTGACGTCGATGAGGTGCGCCCCTATTAACTAATCCGATCGCTTGGACATACATATGTACGATGTTCGAACGAGGATGGTTCCTCTGATGTACCCGCCGACTCTGATACGATGCGACTGCATCGTACTGTACTTCTATGCGGTGCGTGGTACTTAATACTATGATACGCGAACTTCAAGTACATACGGCGATGGCGAGACCTATGAAGCTTCAATTCATCAAGTCTGACTTGAAACCTTCACCCCGATTCCCCACTCTGAGTCGACTAATCCTACAAAACAAACGTATCATAAGTCACTGGACATGCTGAGCACTAAGGCGACCGTCAACTTGAAATGAAGTCCGAGGCGGCGCGCCACGACATGGACTCAATAGCACGCTCGATTATGGCATAAATATTGCTATGGCCTGTGCAGAAGACTCGACATCCAACATCTCCAAACGCGGTCTACTCCCACGTGCGTACTAGGCCTCCTCCCAGTCCCCATATGCATCTCACTCCTTCTGTATCCGGCGCGATGTGACCGTGCTCATGCTTGGTCGGGCACCAGGGTTCCTATCCCAACACTCCAACAACAGACCCCAAACATCGTCTGTTAGCTCCGGAATGTTCTGTGGTCGATTGGGTATATCACCGTTGGCCAACGCTTGGACTACATGAGCGTCTCGCGTCCTTTCTGCCCATGGCGCATGCATTGTAAAAAGTTCGAGCATTGTCATGCCGAAAGACCAGGTGTCGCAAGCCGCCGTGATGGGTGCAGTCTCAATGAGGAGTTCCGGCGCGAGCCAACGTGACGTTCCCGAGCCTGTTATCGTCTTGGCTGGTGTTCCATTGACATCCCCTTCTAATTTGGCCATCCCAAAGTCACACAGCAATGCCTCTCCCTGAACGATTATGAGTACTTCATCGCACCACGTCATCATACCCTTGGTACGAACCGTGCTTGACACCAGAATGTTGCTCTTGAGGAGCGATGCACTTAGATGGGCATGATAGATAGATCTCGCTGTACTCACGCATCGTACTGATAACCAACAAGTTAGTTTGTGAACGTCACCACTACCACGGACATAACATACCGTTCCCGTGCACAATGTCTTCATCGTGAAGGTACGCGAGGGCACTCGCTGCGCCCCACAGCTATATGAGCGTAAGCACACCTATGAAGATCGACAATCTCATAGTAATTACTCGCCAGGTGTCCTTTATTTGCGCCATTCGTGCGCCAACATATCTGTCACGTCGTCGCTCTGGTATCGCTTGCATACAACGTCAAGGTAGCACATACTCAAGCAGATTTCCCTCCGGTCTCCACGGCGAGACCTTGTCATAAGTATAGTCTGCATTAAATTAGGATACTGAGGGGTCGCAAATAAACTCACCACACGGAGGTGTAGTACTGACTTGGCCACGACACCAAAGAACGGTTGAATATGGGGGTGCTTGAGCTTTGACCAGATTTCGATCTCGTGCAGAAAACGCTACCACGGTCACATACGTACTGAGAAACTGCAGGTTATCTCCGAGTAGGCAGAACTTACGTTCTGTGCTCCTTCTGATGCTCGAACTCCTCGGAGGACTTTCAGTGCAACCTTATAATGACGTTGTGAGGTCATACTGTGAGTCGAGACGAGATTGTCAAACATGTATTTCGCCGAGCCAGAGTCCCTTCCAGATTTCGCTGTGCACCCCGATCACCTCTGCTTTGCTGCCTACACAGACGACTTCCCCGTCGAGTCGTTTGACGGAGGGCCAAATATTTGTCAGTTGCTGTAGATGCACCAAGCCCTTACGGCAGTCTTCATATTCTTCAGTGGAGAGTGCATCGATTGGGTCCCCTCGCCCTTCGGCCACTGCTGTCAATCAAACAAACTCAAATTAGTAGTTGGGAAAAATGAATGAGGTGAGCTGACGTGTAACTGCCAGTGAGACACTTACAAGCCTGTTCAGAATGGGAATACGCTGGAATTGTGCCAACTGTTACTGTTTGGTTACTACTGTACTGTAGTAGTGCCACGGCGTGCTGAGAGGAAGCGCTACAGATCAATCGGGCCCGAGCCCCACTGATCGAGATCGAAGCGCTCGCCACCATCACCAGCGCGACTCGGAGTCCTTTTAACCAAGACGAAATTCGGATCGCAGACACTGTACCTTCAAGTTGTGAACGGGATGATGTGGTGGGTGCGCCGTTACTCGCTGGCCTAACATCAGACATTGCTCGGATTCAGGGTAAGTTGAGCAGTGATTATCTCATTCCATGTGTATGTATCCGAGCGGCCACCACGACCATCTTGGGTCGGGCGTCGGGGTTCCTGTTCCAGCACTCTGACATAAGCTCCCACACACCATCCGTCAACTCCGAGATGTTCTGCGGTCTATTAGGTTGGCCACCCATGGTCATAGCAGCGATGACGTGAGCGTCCCGTCTCTTTTCTGCCCATGGTTCATGCAATGTGAATAGCTCGAGCATCGACATCCCGAAAGACCATATGTCGCAGTCCGTCGTAATCAGGACGGTGTCTTCAAAAATGAGTTCTGGCGCGAGCCAACGCGTCGATCCAGATCTCGTGAGTGTCGTGGCTGCTGGCGTTGCATTAATGTCTCCCACTAACTTGGCCATACCGAAGTCGCATAGCAGAGCCTCTCCCTGAACGTTCAGGGAAATCATCAGCAATTCTGATCTCTATTTGTCTGGCACGAACCTTGCTCGACACCAGAATGTTGCTCTTGCGAATGACGTGTTTCAGCGACAAATCAGCCAAGAAGTATGTTCTTGTACTCACGCATCTCACTGATGACTAGTATGTCAGGCCTTAATCGTCACACAAAGCTACGAACATGACGTACCATTCCCGTGCACAATTTCTTTGTCGTGAAGGTACGCCAGGCCACTTGCTGCACCCCATAACTGGAGGGCGCACTGTGAGTACGTCGAGGGCGACTATTCATCGGCGATGTCATCACGCACCAAGTGTACTTTATCTGCGCTCTTCATGCGTCCAACATACCTATTGTGTTTTCATCGCTCAGAGATCATGAGTCGAATCCGCCGTCTTGATATAGCACCTACTCCAGAAGATTCCCTTCCGGTCTCCAAGGCGAGACCTTGTCGGGTGGTCAGTATCATGAGACATACCGAGTGGGCGGAGACAAGCTTACAACATGGACGAGTGGGCCTAGGTTGGTCACAATTCCGAAGAGTGGTTGGACATGAGGATGCTTGAGCTTCGACCAAATCTCGATTTCTCGTATGAAACGCTGTGAGGATCAAACGGATATCAGGATTGCAGACTGTCGCAGAGTTAGGCGAGCCTCACGTTCTGAGCGCGTTGTGACACTCGCACTTCTTGGAGGACCTTCAATGCGACCTAGACGTCAAACCGTAAGACCAATGCTGGTCATCGAGAGGTGAGACTGTCAAACATCAATGTCATCGAGCCAAAGCCCTTTCCATATCTGACTGTGTCCTCCAATTTCGACTGGTCTGTCACCTGTGCGGACTACCTCGCCGTCAAGTTGTTTGATGGAAGGCAAGATGTCGGTCAGTTGCTGTAGGTGCGCCAGACCCTTGCGGAACTCTCCGTATATCTCGATTGACGTTGGATCGACCGGGTCGTTACGCCCTTCTGCAAGGAGCTAGTATCGTATAGTCGATCAGTAATGAGACGAAGGGACAAAGCTTTGCCCACCTGTTGTCCTTCCCTCATAAGCATCTCAGCAGCAGGATCCCCCTGCTCCTGTAGATCGACAGCCTCTTGGAGAGACGGTCTATCGCGTAGAACTTGCATCATTTCATCCATACGTTCGCGCATCTCCTCTTGACCGGCTTGTATTTGTCGCATACCTTGGGCTTGCGCGTTGCTTTGACGTACGGATGCAGCTATCTACTCATCGTGACTATCGGCACAAACTTGGATGTGTCTTGACATACTTGAAATCGTTCCATCATGGTAGCAAGCTCAGTGAAAAGTTCGGTAACGCCTTCTCCGATATCATTTCTATTCACTGATGCATATTCAGCCATGAATAGACTGCATATATATATTACAGTACTTACAGAATGCTTTCAGCTTCGAATATCGGGCCCATACATTGACACGGCCGTAGACGCCTTCAAGCTTCCTGCGGACAGTAAATAAGCACGAGCTACAGGCTGAACATACTATGTTTCACGTACAGCTCGAATTCGCTCAAGAGATCACGCAGCACCTCGTCTTGAACAATAGCAGAGCCTGAGGTGTGTGAAGTGATGGTATCCGCTAATTCTGCTGCCTTGTTCCCCAGCCTCCGACATGCTTTCTACGAAGCAGCGTGAGTCCGAGTTTCCCTGCTATGATGATACGACGATATGAACTCAGACCTTGTTTGCTTGCACTTGTTCGCAACACTTTCGGATTTCTGAGAGCGCGCCGGCAGCGGTCCCCGTCCCAGGGACTCCTGCGTCTCCCGCGATGTTCAGGCCCCCGACCGCAACACCAGCGATCATGCCCATCGCATTGATCATGAGGACCTGATTGGTCTTGCGATCTGACAAGGTTGCAGCAGTCGAGTAGATGGAGTTATTGCTAGCTGAACGGGCTTGAATCCCGCTACGATGAGAGCAATATCGCAAGCCCGGTACATCAGTACATCGTCCGCCGTAATCATGATGCTTCCACTAGACGCGCGGTGATTCCCGTCTGAGGTAGAAAGAGACATTCAAGTTGTTGAGCGCTTGTGTGCGCGTTGACGTTGAAACCTTGGGCGCTATTAGCGCCGAGTGGGTACATGTCAGGGCTTGCAGTGCGCGATGTTCAGATTGGATCTCTGACCAGTTGTTGAACGTTTTAACGTTGGAACATGGGCTATTAACCCAGATCTACTACAGTACAGGCTGCTATTCCATATTCAGGACGACTCGAATCGATCCTAAGAACTGCTCATCATCACTACGAATTTTTACCCTTACCCTACCATACTCCGCTTGCGGCCACGAAGACGGACTGAAGAGTTCATTAGACACGGGAGCAGATTTCGCTACCAAGTGCATACCATCATCCAATCGCTTCGATACTGGGAGCCATTCTTTTCCCATACTTTCCTGATACGCCTTGAGCACAGATGTGAAGAGCAGTTCGGACGCCGGGTGCGTTGAAGAAAATGCACGCTCCAAAACGTATAGGTCAACGGCCTTGTCTTCTGCCAGCGTTGACGTGAAGGCAAGCCCGAAGTCAATCAGTACCTATGTGTCGTCGGGATGAGTAAGGATATTCAATATGTAACACAGTGGGCCAGAGACGTACGAGCTGCAGCCCCTTGGTAGAGGACGGATGCCGTAAGATCATATTGGATGTAGTCAGATCGCCATGCACAATGTCGGCTCGATGCATCTTGGCTATCTGAGCTCCGATCATTCGCATGACATCGTCTGTGAGTGTCCATTAGCTTACAGACCGCATAACATCGGTACGAAAATTACCTTGTGAGACACCGAACTCCTTCAGGGGGTCTTCTTCGGTTTCCTGTGGTTCTTCTTCAGAGTCATCCTCTTCTGTGTACTCATCCTCGCCCTCGGCTCCGCCGCCTAGCAGAAATCTGACGCTCTTCCCCTCAATCCATTCGAGACCTAGCACCCCTTCCGCTGCGTCTACCATCCGGATGCTTGGTACGTTGACAGCGTGGCTGCGCAGAACAGATCGTTCAAGACTGCCAGGTGTAGACAAACCAGCCATAATTACCGTAGACATTTGATGATAGCGCGCGCTTCTCCAGCCACTCTCGCTTTTGTTAAGGTAGTATCGAGCGTCGGATGACGATACTGTTTGTGAAACCGATACTTCAGCAAGATCGGCTCGTTGTTATCTGGAGTATTGGATTGTGATGTCGAGCTTGATGGCTGATGAGATGGATGCAAATACGTCTTGAAGACTTTCTGTGTTCCACGATGCCGGACGAGAGCGCGTTAGAGCGATCATAGACAAGGTAGTATCCTACTTGCTGCTTCGGCGCCCTGAGAAATGGGTGTAGCTGTCGCCAGCAAACGCGAGGTCGGTGATTCCATAATGCCTCTCACGGCAAGAGGCGAACTTCTGACTTGCGATGAATGCGAGTACGCGATGGTGGCTGGAGCGAAGCAGGAACTCGGACGCGGGTCGATCTCGATCGCATTGAGCGCTTCTACCAAACCAGGCAAACAAGTCATTCGAGTAGCCGTATGCCATCTTACCAAGTCAGCGAGAACAAAGCATATGCACTAAATAAGCTAGGTGATTCCGGGTGTACAATTAAATCTACGAGCACAGTCCTAGCACACAGAGACCATCCAAAGAACACCATCCAGATAACAAGAAAAGAAAGACAAAACAAACATCACTACAATGACATCGCTGCGAAGCCCTCACTCGACAACTCCGGGATCCACCTTAATCACCACTTTGCCGGTCGCCCGGCCAGTCAACAGACGTTCGTACGCTTTCAAAGCATCTTCAAAGGCATATACTGAATCTACGAGAGGCTTGACTTTCCCTGATGATATGGAACGGTGTCATCAGCAGGTATGGAAAACTGGCAAAGGGATAGGCGCACCTTCAGCAACGTATTTTGCGATTTGCTCCAGATCTGCGCGCTTGGGATGGACCTGGTGGACCCTGGCGCAGCTTATGAGCCACCGTACGGAAACGGTAGACCTCGAAGAAGACTTACTTCCAAGAACGCTTGGTGCCACCGAGGAAGCGTGGTTGAAGGAAGATTTTCCACGCGATTTTGAGAATCCCGACAACATCGAATCCTTTCGGCTGAGGTCCTACGGAGATGAATTTGCCGCCGGGGGCGAGGTACACCTCGCTATGTGTATAGAGCGAGGTGTCCATGAGACCGGCTGCCTCAAAAATGACGTCGAACTTCGGAGTAGGAGGATTAGCGGCGAGAGTCTTGTGTAGCGGTGCCTTGGTATAATCAACGAACTGGTTGTGCGTCAACATCTCTCAGTGCGAGACTCTTGCCGCGCAATACGCTCACCTCATCTGCACCGAGTGACCGCACATACTCTTCGTTCTTCGCGGAAGCACTGGCGGTAACTTTGCAACCAGTTGCCTTGGCAATTTGAATGGCAAATGAGCCAACCGCGGTGCTACCACCGTTGATAAACACGCTCTGCTTCGGTTGGAGGCCGCCAACGTCAAAGAGAACCTGGTAAGCGGTCAAGGCTACCACCGTTATTCCCGAGGCTTGCACAGGAGTAATATTGGCGGGAAGAGGGACGAGGTCATCGGCAGCTACGCTCGCATACTGCGCGAGGGTACCACTTGCCGGCTTCACCGGGACGGCTGAGGTGATTCAAAACGATCAAGAAGACACCATGACAGCTTAGCTCGACTCACTTGCAGGAATCCACCCATAAACCTGGTCACCCTCCTTGAGACTAGTCCCGTTGGCATCAACTATTATGCCGGCGAGGTCGTACTCTGGAATGTATGGCTTCTTGGCGAGGAAGCCCGGCAACATGCCCATGAGCTTGTAGCCTCTAAGAGAACATAAGCACCAACACTACAATCACGAGAAACGTAGGTTGGCATACAATGGGTTGAGAGCCGCCGCTTGCACCTTGACCAACACTTCGCCTGCGGCGAGTTTCTTGGGGACTGGGACGTTCTTGTCACAGCGCAGCACCTTGGAGGGTTCCCCCTCGCGACGACACGCCACGCCTGCTGGGTTTCTGGGATGGTCATAGTGATAAGAGACAAAGATAAACCGAGAGTATCTCTTTTTGGTCAGGCAACGGAGACTAAGACAAAGATGCGAGAGCGGGATTACATGCCTGCACAGCTGCTAACTTATATGTATGGATCGGCGGACCCTTGATTGCGAATCCATCTTGACAGCTCAAGCTAGCAAGTACAGCCCGGGCGTACATACTTGTCATGTAGCTCAGCCACTGTGATGCCGATTGCAACAGTTGGGGATCTTGTGCCGAGCCCGCGAGTCTGGATGTACAGGACCGTGACGCGTCGCGGCGGCTTGCCGTCGCCTCCCTCCTGGACTTGACATATATCATAGACAGGCCGGTGGTATCTTAATTGTTGGTTTGGCGCCGTCACAGCTGTCGCCAGCAAACACGAGGTTGGTGATTCCATAATGCCTCTAGCAAGGAGGCGACCTTCTGACTTGAGATGACATTGAGTACGCGTACGTGATACGGTGGCTGGAGCGAAGCAGGAACTCGGACGCGGATGGATTCCGATTGCATCAAGCGCTTCGATTTCCACAACACTAGGCAATAAAGTCATTCGAGTAACCGTACACATACTACTAAGTTAGCGAGAACCAAGAAATCGAACAAGCTAAGTGACCCCAGGTGTACAGTCAAACTACGAGGACGTTGCCTAGTAGTACACAGAGGCCTTATAAGGAACATCACCCAGTGACCCATATTACAAGATGAGACAAACGCGTGAATTAGAGTGCCCTCGCTGTGAAATCCTCACTCGGCAACTTCGGGGTCCACCTTTATCACCACTTTGCCGGTCGCCCGGTTAGTCGCCAGACGTTCATAAGCTTTCAAGGCATCTTCAAAGGCAAAGACTGAATCCACGAGAGGTTTGACTTTTCCTGATAATATATAACGGCGTCGTCAGCAGGTATTGAAGAAAACCAAGAGGGTAGGCACACCTTCAGCAACGTATTTTGCGATTTGCTCCTGGTCTGCGCGGTTTGGATGGGCCATTACGAGCCTGGCGCCGCTTATGAAATGCCGTTCGAAAATGGTATGCCTCGAAGACCTACTTGAAAGAACGCTTGGTGCCACCCAGAAAGCGTGGTTGAAGGAAAGCCTTCCACGCGAGTTTGAGAACCCCGACAACGTCGAATCCTTTCGGCTGAGGCCCTACAGAGATGAATGTGCCGCCGGGGGCGAGGTATGCCTCGCTATGTGTATAGAGTGAGGGGTCCATGAGACCGACTGCCTCGAGAAAAACGTGGAACTTCGGAGTGGGAGGATTAGCGGCCAGAGCCTCGTGCAGTGGTGCCTTGGTATAGTCGATGAACTGGTTGGATGTCGTCATCTGTCAACGCGCAACCTCACAGTGCAGCAGCAGGCTTACCTCGTCTGCACCGAGAGACCGCACGTACTCCTCATTCTTCGCAGACGCACTGGCAGTGACTTTGCAGCCGACTGCCTTAGCGATCTGGATAGCAAATGAACCAACAGCGGTGCTACCGCCGTTGATAAACACGCTCTGCTCTGGTTGGAGGCCGCCGACGTCAACGAGAGCCTGGTAAGCGGTCATGGCCGTAAGCGTGATCCCCGATGCTTGTACGGGCGTAATATTGGCGGGCAGAGAAACGAGTTGATCTGCCGGTACGCGCGTATACTGTGCCAAAACACCAAGATCCGGCTTCAACGGGATCGCTAAGGGAAGTCAAAGACAATCGAATATGGACAGCATGGCACATGCACTCGACTCACAAACGGGGTTCCACCCATACACCTGATCTCCCTCCCTGAGATCAGTCCCGTTGGCATCGACTACTATACCGGCGAGGTCGTGTTCAGGGATGTACGGCTTCTTGGCGAGGATATCCGGCAACCTGCCCATGAGCTTGTAGCCTCTAAGGGAACATCAACATCAACGCTACAACCACGGGAAACGTCAACTGTCATACACTGGGTTGAGGGCTGCCGCCTGCACCTTGACCAACACTTCGCCTGTGGCGAGTTTCTTGGGGACTGGGACGTTCTTGTCATAGCGCAGCACCTTGGAGGGTACCCCCTTCGCGGCGACGCGCCACGCCTGCTGGATTTCTGGGATGGACATGGTGGTCAGAAACAAAGATGCGAGAGAGGAGTTACAGGCCTGCACAGCTAACTTATATCGTCACAGCAGTTGGAAATGTCGTGTATGGGAGTCCGAGCTCCTTCGCAGACCGCGTCATAATCGCGTGAGGCTCCCGACAATCCCGGACTTTAGCCTGTAAGTGCGGCGACGCGTCTGCCGTCGGAGTCTAAAAGCGTGTTTTCGGAGATCAGACATCGGATCTTGCTCACGCGGTGACCCTCTGCCCAGCCACCGCACGCTCTAACTAAGCCCGGTTTGCTTTGCCATCGACCACCACAGCGACGACGGACGGACGCGTTCACCGATAGCTTCGCCACCATGGAGGTGAGTCCCTCGTCTTCCGCGTGTACGCAGTCACTCAAGATCGCGCAGAGCATCTTGGACTTCTCGCGGGAGTTCGATGTCTCGGTCATGGACAATGTGGTCATCGCGTTCTACTCAGGGTCAGGACAGGAAGTGCGTGCGATATCGTTCCTCGGACTGTGTGCACCGCTGAACTTGTGCTCCCTGCATGCAGCAACAACTGGCCCAGCAAGTCTTGACGCAGTTCCAGGAGAACCCGGACGCATGGACGAGAGTCCCTGACATCCTCGAGCGGTCATCCTTCCCTCAGACAAAAGTACGTGTAGTCCGCGATACACGTCATATAACCGTGCTGATGCACTCTATCTCTCCCAGTACATCGGACTACAGATCTTGGAGAAGTTGATCACGACAAGGTGGAAGTCCCTTCCGGATGGCCAACGGCAAGGTGAGTTCTTGTACGTCCTGTCTGCTGGTCATACTTCATACAATTTTCAGGTATACGAAATTTCGTGGTCGGCATCAATGTCAAGGTGGCGTCCGATGAGGCGACGATGCGGAGGGAGAAGACGTATCTGAATAAGCTGAACCTGGCACTAGTTCAGGTACTTCGCATTGAATGCAGCGGTCCAGGGGTGAAACTGATGTATCGCGTAGGTCCTCAAACAGGAGTGGCCACACAACTGGCCATCATTCATCACAGAGCTCGTCGAATCTTCAAAAACGAACCTCTCACTTTGCGAGAACAACATGATCATCCTAAAGCTCTTGTCGGAAGAGATCTTCGACTTCTCCGCCGAGCAAATGACACAAGCAAAAGTGAAGCACTTGAAGAACCAAATGTGTGGCGAGTTCTCGGAAATCTTCAAACTATGCTCCGAGATTTTGGAGGAGGCTCAGAAGACGTCCTTGATCAAGGTCACTCTGGAGACGCTGCTGAGATTTCTGAATTGGATTCCTCTTGGCTACATATTCGAGACAACTATCATCGACCTTCTGCTCAACAGGGTAAGCCAAAACGCGTCGCGACGCGTTCTACGAGTCTAACACGCTGTCTATCGCCTGCAGTTCCTCGAGGCCCCCGAGTTCCGCAATATCACGCTCAAGTGCCTCGCCGAAATCGCGGCTCTCAATGTCGGCCCCGAATACGACCCCAAATTCGTCATCTTGTTCGCTATGGTCATGACGTCTGTGAACCGAATGATCCCTCCCAGCACGAACATCGCTGCAGCATACTCGGCCGCAGGTGACGCCGGACAGGAGTTGGTTCTCAACCTCGCCTTGTTCTTGTCGAACTTCCTGCAAAATCACCTGCGCGCCGTAGAAACGGAGGCGAATCGCGACGTGTTGTTGAACGCGCATCTCTATATGGTGAAGATCTCGCAGGTTGACGAACGGGAGATCTTTAAGATCTGTTTGGAATATTGGCTCAAGCTGGTTTCCGAGCTGTACGAGGAGATTCAGGCGCTTCCCATCGGCGAGAGTGGCTTGCTCATGGGCCTCAGCCTTGGGTCGAGCCAAAGCATGCTCAACGGGATTTCTCTCCGAAAGAACATCTACAGCGATGTACTTTCGAACTTGCGCTTAGTCGTGATTGAGAAGATGGTCAAGCCTGAAGAGGTATGCAGTCATTGACTTGCGACCGAGCGTTCGTTCATACTGAATACTCGCACTCGCACAGGTGCTCATCGTCGAAAACGAGGAAGGCGAGATAGTCCGTGAGTTCATGAAGGAGAGCGACACCATTGTCCTCTACAAGTCCATGCGCGAACTGCTCGTCTACCTGACGCATCTCGACGTAAACGACACGGAGAACATCCTGACAGAAAAGCTTGCCAAACAAGTGGACGGCTCAGAGTGGTCATGGCAGAACCTCAACACGCTCTGCTGGGCCATTGGCTCGATCTCCGGTGCTATGAGTACGTTCGCGGGCTTGTCCGTTCAAGTGCGCAATACTGACCGTCCACTCTTGTAGACGAGGAGACGGAGAAGCGCTTCCTTGTCACAGTTATCAAGGACTTGCTAGGTCTCTGTGAGATCAAGCGGGGAAAGGACAACAAGGCTGTTGTCGCGTCAGATATCATGTATATCGTCGGACAATACCCTCGCTTCCTCAAAGCACACTGGAAGTTCTTGAAGACTGTCGTCAATAAGCTCTTCGAGTTCATGCATGAGACACACGAAGGTATGTATCAACTTCGAAGACTTCGCCGCAAAACCCAACCCTTGCGCCGCTTGACGGCAGTTAGTTCCTGTATGAACATGGCTCTAACGTGCGTCCAGGTGTGCAAGACATGGCGTGCGATACGTTCATCAAGATCGCACAGAAGTGCAGGCGGCACTTCGTCATGCAACAGTCGGGAGAGTCAGAGCCGTTTGTCGATGAGATCCTGCGGTCATTACACCGAATCACAGTCGATCTCGCCCCTCAGCAGGTTCGTACTGGCGCTCGTTTACTCGGGGCGCCGACTATAGCTGATGTTTGTTTGCTATTGTAGGTCCACACATTCTATGAAGCTGTGGGGTATATGATCTCGGCGACGCCGAACAAGCCGCAGCAAGAAAAGCTGATCGCCAAGCTGATGGAGCTACCGAACAACGCTGTACGTCACTGCGGTGCTGGTTCTACGATGCGACGCCTGATGCTCCTTTCGTCCAGTGGGATTCTTTGATGCAGCAGGCAGCACAGAACATGGACGTACTGTCGAGCGACGATAACATCAAGATTCTCTCGAACGTACTCAAGACCAACGTCGCGGCATGTACATCGATTGGCAGCTTCTACCTGCCGCAGATCGGCCGTGTATTCCTCGACATGTTGGGCTTGTACAAGGCCGTCAGTGGTATCATTAGCGAAAGCGTGGCGCGCGAAGGTTAGCAAACGTGCCCTTTGAACGATGGAGCTACTGATCCATTTTGTGGCTACTAGGCTTGATTGCTACGAAGACGCCGAAAGTTCGGCACTTGCGGACCATCAAGAAGGAGATCTTGAAGCTCATGGAGACGTTCATCAAGAAGGCCGAGGATCTCGAGGCCGTGAACATGAACTTCATGCCTCCTCTACTCGATGCTATCCTCGGCGACTACAACCGGAATGTGCCTGCAGCTCGCGATGCGGAGGTCTTGAATGTCATGGCGACTATCATCGGACGCCTCGGGGTATGTGGCTACGTCTCCGAGTTATGTGTACTCTTGCTAACGGACTGCTTGGTAGCCACTGCTCACGCCCCAAGTACCCGCAATTTTGGAGGCCGTGTTTGAGCCGACGCTCAACATGATCAACCAAGACTTCGCCGAGTTCCCGGAGCATCGTGCTGGCTTCTTCAAGCTGCTACGGGCGATTAACCTCAACTGCTTCCCAGGTGGGCGTCACAGCTATCCCGCTAGTTACGAGACTCACTCTTATGCCTAGCCTTGCTCACTGTGCCTCCGCAACAGTTCAAGCTGTTCATGGACAGCATCATCTGGGCGATAAAGCACACGATGCGAGATATTGCAGAGACCGGGTTGAACTGTACGTGTGACCGCGTTGTTCCGGTGGCGAATGCTCACCATTCCATAGTGTGTCTCGAGGTCGTCAACAACTTTGCGGGTGCTGACCCACAGGTGTCAAACGCCTTTTTCCAGCAATATTTCCTCAGTATCATGCAAGATATCTTCTTTGTGCTCACCGACACCGACCACAAGAGCGGCTTCAAGCTCCAGTCTTTGTTGCTTGCTCGCATGTTCCAGCTGGCTGAGACAAATGCGATCACAGTACCGCTCTTCGACCCCGCGTCGGTGCCGGATCCGTCAATGGGCAACTCGAGGTTCTTGAAGGAGTACACCGCCAACTTGCTGAAAACTGCGTTCCCGCACGTGCAATTGTGAGCACTTGTCATCTCAGCATTGTCCCAGATACTGATCCTTCTGCAAATCAGGGGCCAGATTCAGAACTTCGTGCTTCACCTGGCGGAGTACCACAGCGATATCAATCGCTTCAAGCTGGCGCTGCGGGACTTCCTTATTCAGCTCAAGGAGTTCTCTGGGGACAACGCGGAGCTATTCCTGGAAGAAAAGGAGGCCGAGGCGCAACAAAAGGCCGAAGACGAGCGCATGGCGGCAATGCGCATCCCGGGCATGCTGAAGCCTTCGCAGCTAGAAGACAAGGATGAGGATATCTGAAGGACTGCTCCGAATACGCGCCGCTGTATGATAGACTCCGTCGACTTGGTGTCATGATTTGGTTCCACTGCTGCTGAAACGTACTGTATTCTGCCTTCCCCATGCCTCCACCACCCCACCCCCGTCCCTGTCCCCTGTCGCCGTCCCCGTCGCCCCTACCTCATTGTAACTTTGTCTCGCAGCAGCAGTGTATAATCGCGCTATCGTCATCTCGCTGTTACCGCATATATGTCCCACATGTACAAGTAGCTTACGACAGGAATACGATCGAGGATAATGTATCGTCTGCGCATGTGTATGCCCCTCCGGAGTCTGCGGCAGGGACTGGAGTCTGGACTGACGCGTAGGACGACGCGTCGACATTGTGGCACGTGCTCGCGACAATCTGCGATCGACTGAACTCTCATATTCATCGTAGCGGCGCAAGCGCCGATCCCCGACTCCTGCATGGTACACAGCTATTATACTCAGCCTGCCACAGCGGCACCATAGTATATTATGTGTGTATTTAAATAATTGTAAGTACCATCGGAATGGTATGGAGACTCAATTGGAAGCCCTCACGCCCGCGGCGGCTTCGCCGCCCGGGCGTCTCGGGCTTCCACGAGTCTGAGCCACACGGCGAACTTACTTACTGTAATACATACTACAGTACATGCGAGGGCTCTCAACATAATAGAGGCCCTCCTACCTTTGGGAGGACTTATTCGATGGTCAAAGATCCAGGCGTCCAGATGCAGCCAGAAGCACGGAAGGATCCAACCGCCTCGAGCTGCCTCGTAAGACACTCGAGCATTGCTGCGATACCGCTTATGGAAATTATGAGTCACGTGTTTCCCACGGAGGGAGCGGCATCGCCGGCTGCGAACGACTTATGGTCGACAAAGCCCTCCTCTCTCCCTCCGGTCGGAGTCGGGGATCTGTCATATCTACGACTCGTTCGCCACTGCAAGGCTACGGCCCCCATCTTAGCTTACACCTCGATCCGACATCAATCTCGTCGGCTCACAAGGCCTCTACAGACGTAGTGGGGCACGATATAGCATCAACATGTTCAAAAAGTACGCTGGACATGTGGGTCTGGTCACGGACGAGCTACGCTAACGGGCTTGGTATAGATTCAGTCCATCGAGCGATGTTTCTGGACAGACGAGTTTGAAGTCATCCGTCCAGCGATCCATACGCTCCGGGCTCCTTTCCCAGTGGAAGATCGAGCCGGAGCTGCTGGAACAAATCTGGCCCAAGAAAGAGCCGCTGACACTCGTCAAATGGTCAGTGCGACCCACCCCCACGCCGCGATTCTCACTGATCGCGTCCGCCGCCCGCCGACCGGCGACAGCAGAGACCACATCTCGCTCTTCACGCTGCACGGCGAGCCGCTCTTCTTCCAGCACTTCGACGAGCCATTCTTCCCCACGCTGCGCCTGCTGCACAAATGTACGTGCTCGCTCGTGGCGCGTGCTCACCGCCGCTGACCGTGTTCCGTGCCCCGTGCCCCCAGACCCGTTCATCCTGCCGACGGTGGGAGTCGACCGCGGGGCGATCCGCTTCCTGCTCGCGGGCGCGCACATGATGTGCCCGGGCATGACCTCGAAGGGCGGCTACCTCCCGCCCGCAGACGCCGCGCTGCCCACGGGCACGCCCGTCGCGATACACGCGGAGGGCAAGGAGCACGCGGTGGGCATCGGTATCACGAAGCTGGGCACGGAGGAGATGAAGGCGGTGAACAAGGGCATCGGGGTCGAGACGGTGACGTACATCGGCGACGACTTTTGGGCGGTGCAGACGTTGTGAGGAAGCCTGCGGCCTGGGGAAGGGGGGATGACGAATGTACTCACAATTGTATGCCAGATAACCTGCGCGGTGTGCGCTGAATGAAGTTCGTGATAGCTTATCATTCGCCCCGTGGGGATGGGCGTGGCCCTCGTGCTGGCTGCGTACCGATCACTGTGCTCGTCATAATTGAACGACGGCCGGTGACGCCAATGCGTGTGCCTTGTATACGGTCCACCCAAAGCTCCGTATGTCACGCGGGGGGCGCGTGTAGATCGGTATTAGGTATGTGGTCTGCATTGAATCTGCATTGCAGCCGAAGCTGAAGCTATCGGTGAATTGAGTGCTAGTTCTCGATCCTCATATGAAAAGCACGCTTGGTCCGTCGTGCGTCTCCTGGGAGAGTACCCGCTGCCGATTACGCCGCCTGAGAGGCACAGTAACCTTGTACGTGCATAGTCGGCTGTCAATCAAGACAATTATACCGCCTATAGATGGCAGCTGCCACCACGTGTGGCGTCGTAGAGGCCAAGGTCCGTGCGTCCGCAAAAGATGATTCGCATGTACAGCTCACTTCCACCGAAGACAACCGGATATGGGAGGCTCTGATCTCATTCAGTGCTCGTCCACGGTCCACACATTGCAACAAGAAGACGACCACACGGAACCGAGCACAGGACCCGACCGGCCTTTCCAGGTTTGTCAGGGCTGTGAACAATGGCTCGACTTGCCCACCGTCCAGACCATCGATATCAGGCGGTGTGTGTCTTCCTCTGCGATTTCTGCGGCTCGACCGCGGGGGAACCCCAGAACGTCGTCCGCTGCGAACCAATCCGGAGGCGCGACAGAAGCCTGTACTGCTTGGACTTGGCTCGGACGGTAAGTTATCGCAGATGTCTCATGTCCTCCCACCTGGCGGGCGAGAGCAAATGAACGACCCAAGTACGCTAGCTGTCGGACTCCGCCTGGTGTGAATCCGAGCTGCATCGGCGCCCCCCACGGATGGGACATCAAAGACAGCGTCCGAGGCCCTCAGCACGGCTGACTGGACGATCCTCGGTCGCTTTGTGGGGTTAGGACAGGAGTGCGCAGACGAGAAGCTCGACTGCTCTGGATGCTGCGCTATCTCGTTCGAGTTCAATGTCCGCCTCGTCTTGATTCGGCGGAGGCGTTGCAGGGTGCGGGCGCTCCAAGGATCCCACCGCTGACCGGACGTTTGTTGGAGACTCGGCCAGAACAAGATGGCAGTTATTCTGAGGGCCCCGTTGTGGACTACTGGCTGATGCAGCAGACGCGCAGCCGAAAGCGGTTGTTTGTGCGTGTTTTATTCCGAGGCCGTTGGACCTGCCATTTGCGGACGGTCTACTTACTGGTCGCGCCGGCAAATTGGTGGCTATCTCCGACAGCATTTTGACTTTGTGCGCTCGGCTGCCTGCTGACCTCCTCGCTGCACGAACTTCATTTGGGCTCCTCCGTCATCATGGCCTCGCAGGATGTGCCGTCATTCGCGTATTCGGAAGCCTTCACGCCTGCGCGTCCTCGGAAGAAGCGCAACAACAGGCCTGCGAGGGACGGCCCCTCCCCGTCGGCGCTGCTCCAGCAGACAACGGACGAACTGGCCGCCACCGAGTGGACGAGAGAGTGTAGACGTCCGTGGTGCTCGTCTCCCCGAGCGCGTCGCTGACCGCGTGCCGTCCGCAGAAATCCTCCGCGAGTCGTTGGACGCACTGGGCTTCCGGTGCCCAAGCGTACTCTGCCTTGGCCTGGGCAGCCCGTCCGCGTCGCGTGACGCGCGCGCCCAGCTGGCCTTCCTCCTTGCCATATGCGACGACATACGCATCGTAAGCGTCTTCTTCCCGCGTTCGCCTTCCGAGCATGCCACCCACGCCCGTTCACACGTCAGGACCGCGCGAATGTATCCGTGTACGACCCCGTCTTCGCGGCCGAGGACGTCGCGCTGCTGGCCGCGCTGGGCGTGGCCCCGCTCACGGAGGACAGGGCACGTCCCCGCCGCTCGCCGGCTCTGCATGGCCCCCGCTGACCTCCTCCCGTGCAGCGTGGCCGCTTCCGCGCGGCGGCCCCCACCGTCGCGTTCATGCCGCATTGCGACCTGCAGCTGTACGAGAACCTGTTACGTGAAAACTGGTCAGGCGCGGGCCCGCATGCGGCAGCGGACGCGGACGCGGGAGCGGGCCTCTCCAACCTCGTCCTTATCTCGAACCGCCTAAGCGACTATGCCGAAAGGTGAGTTCAGATCCAGATGATAGGCTGGGGCCCGCTCGTGTGCCCAGGGGTGCCTGCGGGCGATTCTCCTGCATCTGCTCCGCGATCCCGGAGAGGAGTGTGCATGGCTGACGATACTATATCGGGCGTGCACAGCGTCCCGGCGCGGAAGATGTCCGTCGAGCACCCTTGCGTCTGGCGTCTCGGTGAGTAGATAGGGCCACTGTCCGCGCCCTGCGCGTCTGGGCCAAGTGCATTGCGCTGATACGATGGGTGGGCAGCGCCATATCTCGTGTCCCGCAACCTCCCGGCGTGCGCGGCGTATCCGACGGCGTTTAACAACACAGCAGTCCAATATGCACGGGTCGGAGACGCAGGCGAAGATTTCTGGGAGCTACCACCTCCGACAGACACTTCCAGAGGCGGTTCTGATGAACATGGATGTGGCGTAGCGGGCGGTGGATCAGTCTGAGCGATGTTTCATAAGGCCAAGTGTAGCAAGTACTCCTACGTGTGGCCGGCCTGATAAGCGTACGTGGAGAGAGGCAGGGACAGCAATAGAGCAGGAGGTGCCTCCGTGGGCAGGGTTCGCAAATGAACGTAGTGTTCAACGCCATGTGTGACGTGAGCGGGGTGCCGTCATCCACAATGAGCGTGGAGATTGCGCGGGGAGCACTTAACCTATAGCGGCGGGGCTCTAGAATGGCGCCTCCCACCAGCCAATCGCAGCAGCCGTGGCCGTGCTGGTCCAGGCGAATCGGCGATCTCCCGGGAATGGAGTGATGCAACGTCTGCGACGGCCGAGATCAAACACCCTAGATTCCACAAAGCGAACAACGAATTATAGACATGATGCACGGCCAGTGGCATGCATGGCAGATACGGTAGACAGGGTCAGTCACGGGACAGCGCAATCACTGTAACGGGGGAGGGGAGGGGGCAGGCAAGCTAGGCGAGGCGAGCAATATGTACAGGAGCTACTAGCATTCCTGGATAAGCGAGGGCCGGTAGACACGGGCAGTATCGACGGAAACGGCGTCGTCGTGGTGAGGGGGAGGGGATCGAGCTCGAACGGGTAAAAGTACGAATCGTCCGTGTCAATATACACTTGGGGATGGGAGAAATCAGAGCGCTGCCGCCGGTCAGGTGGGAGGGGAACAGAGGCCGGGTCGACCAGCGATGACGTCGAGTGGTCGAAGGGCGTCGCCGGAGCATCCGACTCGTCGTCCGAGGTGTCCTCTATAGCGTCGGGCACCGGCAGGTCGTCCACGTCGTCGGCATCATAGTAGGGAAGGGGATCGTGGCACTCGAGCCACCTCTGCACGAGCGGCGGCTGGAGGGGCGGATAGGGGATAGGATACGGAATAGGAATGGCATGGGGGTTAATGTAAAAGCTGGACTGGTCGGCGAGATCGTCTGAGGAGGACATGGGCGAGTACAGGGGACTTAGCAGTTCGTCGTCGTCGTCGGCAGGCAGCACCGACACCGAGACACCTCCGTCGCCGTCGTCCGCATCCAAGTCGTCGTCTTCACCACCAAGAGTCTCTAGAAGCGATTCGAGCCACTCATTCTCCGAGTCGCTGCTGGAGCCAGCCACGGGGTGCGCTCGCGCGTCGGGGTCGGGAAACATGAAGGCGACCTCTTCGTCTTCGGCGCGTGCGTCTGGCGCATCACCTTGTGTGTGCGTATATGGTACATCATCGTCGCTGTCCGGTGCAGCTGCAGCGGCGTCCGAAGGATGAGAGAGAACGATAGAGTTTTTGAGCAGTACCCAGCGGTGCAAGCTGCAGCTGTCCCTCACGCCGGTGCCGACGACGGACTGCAGCTTGGTGCGGGCCATGCTGAACAAAGACGGAGACGGAGACGAAACGGGCGACTGAGAAGCCATCGCAAAACGCGGGCAGGTCAGCATATATGCGGTGTCGGGAGTCGGTTGAGCGACACGAGAGGGATAGGGGACAGCGTTCTACGGTGGTTGCGGTGAGCGAGGGGTCACACGAGGCACGGCAGAGAGACATACACGTACGAGGCCAGGGGTGGAGGAGACTTGGGCGGTGTTACCGGTGTATACGGTAGACGATGAAGGGCTCGAACAGGATGGTGCCGTTCTTGGATTTATGGACGGACGTGTTAACCATGCTTGTTCCGTTGGCTCGCCAGACTGGAGGTGGGTAGTCGGGGCGAATCACGAAAGAAGAGGGTTGCGGGGGACGAACGCGCGGACGGAGCGTTGTGTTTAGGCGAACATGGTGGCTGATGGGAGGCAGTCGCTGGCGAGGAGTCACCTCCCCCGACGCCTTATAACGATCCGTGACCGCACGGTGACTCAAGCCCCCAATCCAGTCCCCGGCGCCTCCGCTCGCTCGGGCCTCGCGGCGTCTCCCGGGTCCGCGCCAGGGAGGTCCCGCGGCCAGCCAGCCAGTCGCAGCAGCCCCGCCAGTGGCGGTTGCTGCCTGCCTGCGCCTCACCAGAGCACGCGAGCCCGCACCAGCCACGCCTCATCGCCAGCGTCGCAGCAATCACACCATCCGCCGCATTCCTAGTACAACAACATGCGCGAGAATTAATGACGAACACCACTCCGCTATGTACACCGTCCGACGCGCAATGGCAGCCTCATCCCTCGTCCATCACGTCCGAATCCTTGACCGTCTCCAACAGCTTCCGAATCTTGTTCACGCTCTTCGGCGACACGTCGCGCGCCACCGCCAGCATCTGCGCCGACTTCACGCTGTCTCCCTGCAACCGGTACACCTTCGCCAGCTGGAAGATCACGTTCGACTCTTCCGGCGACGTGTCCCGCAAGAACTCGAGGTCTTCTGCTGCCGCCTGTCCGTCGCGTAAGGCAAGTCGTGCACCGCAACGTGGACACCACATCAGTCACTGCGCTCCCACACTTCCCAGAAAGTCAAGTAGCACTGACCGTGTATCTCCTCAATAGGATCAGAATCTTCGCCCGACGATAACGCACGAGCGCGTTGTCCGGTGAGATTCGAACTGCCTCGTTGAACAGGTCCAGCGCCTTGTCCCGATCGCCGGCCCGCTCGGTGACCTGAGTACGGCGTCACAAAAGGCAATAAGCTTCAAGCTTCCTACCGTCATTCGCTCGCGTGATCCCACTCACCATGCCCACGCACCCCAGCAGCACGGCGTTCTGGGGTGTACTTGCGCCGCCTTCCGATAGTGGTAGTCGGCGAGTCGAATCTTGCTCATCCGCATATAGCAGGTACCCAGGCCATACCTGCAGTGTCGTAAAGATAAGCGTCCGAGTCAGAGAAACGCCGAAAGAGCTGTGGAGAGTCCGACACATATGAAACATGGTTATCAACGCACCATGCATTGTAGTGTCGTGGATCAGCACGTAAAGCGGACTGGAAGAAGTTGATGGCCCTATCCAGGTCTTCGTCGATCGACTCGTGGCCACTGAGCGTGTACGCGTATGCGCAGTTGGGATCAAGTTGTGCCGCGCGTCGGAAGCAAGTTAGTGCTTGCACGCGCTCCCTCTGCAGGGAGAAGCAGTTGCCCACTGCGATCCAAGCCTGTGGCGCTCGCGGATCCGTCGCGACCAGTTCCTGCGCAAGAAAAGCCAGCTTGACGTTCCGCTGCAGATGCCATAGAAGTGTCGAGTACACTTCCATATCCCACACGCGATAAGGCTCAAGGTTGCGCACGGCCTCGAAGGCGCGTTCCGCCTGTCGGTCGAATATTCTCAGACATGAGCCCGGTCCCTGAACAGAACAACTGACAGACACGTACGGCAGCATACTCCCCGAGTTCATAGTGAGCTTTGCCGACCATGGCCATCACCCATGCGGACCTTTGGTGCGTAGTGGGCAACTTCTCGAGTTCTTCGAGGCAATTTCGGCAATCGTACAGGGCCATTGCCCTAGTTGCACGAGCGAATAGTCGCATCAGCTCGTAAATGTGGTAATCGGCAAGCTCGAGCTCGTATGCTTCTTGTGCGGTACGTTCTTGTGCAGCCGTCCAGCTGCTTGGACCAGGTGAGGCGTTCGAATGTGGAGACTGAGGGGCAGGTGGGGGCGAAGGTGAAGAAGCCTCCCCACCTCCTGGAGGGGGTCTTCCTCCATATCCGAGTCCACCGTGTTTGACCGTGCTCTCGTCTGAGCTCGCCGGCGGTCACGTACGGTCGCGTGCTGCACAAACAAAGAACGACAACGATGAACACAGACAAGTTACACGCCATACATTGTGCCAACCTTGGTAGCCAGGGGCTTACTACTTGTGCCGCTGTTCAGACGCGTACTTCGTCTTGTCCCGGGGCCGGCGGCTGGCTGCTGCTCGCGCGAGTGCTTCCCAATAGCGGCACCAGCGGCATGTAATCTGGACGTCGCCGCAGTCTGAGCAGGACCGGATGATGAGAAGGTGTTAGCATTCGTCAGGGCCGGGCGTGCGCGTGCCTTTGAGCTTTTCGAGCGATCGTCCACTCTTGGGAGCAGTGCGCCAGCAGACTTGGAAGGCTTCAAATTCATGTTCAAGTCCGCCGCGTTTGAAGAGGGAGGAGCCGTGCGCTGCCGCACAGAAGAGCGGAGCTTCTTGGTCACCGGGCCCGCCTCATCGGCTGAAGAAAGGGGACGCACAGCTGGTGGATGAGCCGCCAACGCCGCCGGCTGCGACTTACTTGCTCGCATTGGCTGGATGAAGGACGCGTCGGGGTAGAAAGAGGAGTCGGCGGTGGCTCTGAGATCCACCGAGATTCGTCATTAATGCCATCTCAGACGAACAATACACATCCGCCTACATTGAATCGCGAGGACCGACCTGTCCCATCTGGAATGGTGGCAGTTGGCCTGCGTCGGGCTTCCAGGCGCGAAAGAGGTTACCGCCGTTGCCAGCGTCAGGCGTGAAAAATCCGGCACCTGTGGCAACTGGGACAGGCCTCGCTTCTTCCGGCTGCGTCTGCTTGACGGGCGTAGGTCGCGGCGGGAACAGCTCATCTATTTCGGGGACCATGCCTACAACAAATTACATGACGGATGTCCGAGGTACGTTGTATAAATAAAGATCGCTTACCCAGTGAACATAGACCGTCGAACGCGTCCCATAGCATCGGATTCAGAGCGAGAGCCTGCCTGAAGCTGAGCACAGCGCTCTCGGTGAGGTTTCCCTTCGCCGACATCATCCCTGCGCGACAGTGCAGAACGGACTCTTCTGGGAATGGCTTTGTTATCCTCGGACCCATTGAAACTGTGGCCACAAACGTGACGACGTGTGAGGACATGCGCTGGTGGAGGAGTAAAGGGACGTACGGCTTGGAGTGTACGACGCGTCGCGCATACTCGCGTCCAATGCCTCTCGAGCCTGCCTATGACGTCCTAGCGCTGCACAACACCTCGACTTGATCTCGAGGCAGCCAGTGCATCGAGACTCTGCCGCGCCCCCCGTGCTGACAAAGTATAACGCAGAATGTGCTTGCCCAGAGCAAAGAAGTGCAGTTGAGTAAAGGTGACGAGCATCATGATTTGTGGTGTCGAGGACATAATACCGCTCAGCATAGAATAATGCAGACTGGTGAAGATCGGCGTCGAGGCAGGCCCATATGAGCGAAGTGAAGCGTTGGCATAGATGCACGGAGGGCGTTTCGTGCGGCATTTAAATTTCCTAGAGCATAAGGTCAAAGCCAGAGATGGACGTCGGGATGAAGGCGATGGTGGCCACACCGCGGCTTGTTTGTTGGGACACAAGCGGCGTGTCCCAAACCAACCGCGACGTGGTCACGTGATGTGATTGATCGTGCCACGCGACGCCCGCGTTACATCGTGACCGTGACTCCTTGATAGCCACAGCGGTCTGATTCTGAAAGCGGAATATAACGGCGCACCATCGGGCAGTGGCACACGAGTTAGGTTCATACACATGAGATGCTGTTCATCGTTGACTATAGTAACATTATACATTGTCATTGTAAAAGTCACGGCGATCCTGTTGTTTCTCCCCTGACATACCCGCCCTCTAATGGCCGTGAGGGTCTGGTTCGCCCTTCGATTCTACACAGCGGAATGAATATCCAAGCCCAATGCACGAGAATGTTGCAGAGGCTACTCACCAGCTACGCATTGAATGGCATCGTCAATACGAAGAAGCGACACTGCAGCCTCAAAGGCCGACTTTAGACTCTTGACCTTGCTGATCGTTGGTTCCAAAATGCCGGCAGTGACGTTGTCGCGGACCTCGCCGTTCAACAGGTCAAGGCCATAGCGCAGAAGTGCCTTTTTCGGGTCTCCGGCCGGAGCATTAAGTGCCGCATTATGATATGCGCGCAGTTTGGCGACGAGGTCCGTTGAGTCCTTCGCTGCGTTCACAGCCAATGTCTTCGGAATGACCAACAACGCGCTAGCGAACTCGGCAATCGCCAGTTGTTCTCGGGAACCCTAAGAAACGTGAGCTTATCTGGCACGCATAACGAAACCGGATTACTGACCAAAGTTGTCGCAAAGTTCTCGAGATAGATCGAGAGTGCGGTCTCGACGGCGCCTCCTCCGGGAACCACGGCACCACTCTCGAGCGTCTGCTTTAGAATAGACAGAACGTCATGAAGGGCCCTTTCCATCTCATCCAGCATATAGTCGTTCGCGCCCCGGAGGATGATGGAAGATGAGCTGACCACCTTGGTGCCCTTGACTAGAATGAGCTCATCGTCCGAGATACGCTCCTGAACAACTTCCTCGGCAGTTCCGAGGTAGCTCGGTTCGAACGACTCCTCGCCCTCGAGATTCGCAAGACTCGAGACGAGGGTGCCGCCCGTCGCCTTCGCTATCCGGCGCAAGTCCTCCTTTCTACACCGGCGGACTGCTATGGCGCCTGCCTCGACGAACTCCTTAAGGCACATATCGTCGATACCTTTTGTAGTCAGGACGACATTTGCTCCTGCTGCGAGAATTTTGCGGACACGCTCCAATGTAATCTCGGACTCTCTAGAGGACGATCAGACAAGGTCATGAGGACGGCAGCAGTAGCCGTACCTCTTCCGGATGTCCTCAAGCTGGTTCGGATCATCGACAAGGATCTGCACACCCAGTTGCATGCGAGCTTTCTGCAAGTTGATGTCAAGGCACGCAATCTTGGCGTTGGTTATGCGCGTCTTCATGGCTGGTCAAAGCACGTCAGAGTATGAAATGCATCGAAGGGACAGGTACCTACCCTGACTCGCGACGGTACAATTCAGAGCATAGCCCTTGACGTATATGGATTCACGAGCACTGCGACCGTGGGCTTTCAGAACATTCACCGCCTTCACAGGGTACTTGATGTCGCCGCGGCTGTTGATAGTCTTTACAGCCAGCATAGCATCGACAGCCATAGGTGCAAAGAGGTCGTCGTCTCTGCCCACTGGTAAGTACACTCAAGATTAAAGATCGTCGGGACTCACCCTCCAATGATCTTACTCGACATGCTAGTCTTTGCTGCGTTGATGAGTGCCTCCCTAGCCAGCGCGTCTACCTTCACGCTCATCTGATCTTGCATGAACTTGACCGCCTCTCGGCACGCGAGCCTGTACCCAGTGATAATCGTAGTAGGATGGATCTTCTGCTTCACAAGCTCATTTGCTCGGCGAAGCAACTCGGCAGCGATGAGTACCACAGATGTCGTTCCATCGCCGACTTCCTTGTCTTGTTTTTGTGCAAGATCGACGAATACTCTGCCTGCGGGGTGCTCGACCGCGAGGAGGGACAGGATGGTCGCGCCGTCGTTGGATATCGTGACTTCCTGAAGCGATATGAGATGAAAGAATAATATGAGGACGCGTCACGTACTCCGATGTTGTCCACCAGCATTTTGTCCAGCCCCATAGGACCTAATGAGCTTTTGACGACGTTTGCGATCGTCTGTGCAGCCAGGACTGAGGACACGCACGCGTGAGCTACAGATCGCCATGACTTTGTGAATACTTACCATTCTGATCGCGTACATCTTGTCCGGAGATCCTGTCACCACCCAAGAAAACACCTGCACGAGGATCGCGTTGGAACATGGCGTCGGCGTCGGTGTAGAGTGCAGAATGAAAGGTGGCTGAGGCTCGAAGAGCTTGTGAGCGCCAATGGACGCGATTGACTTACGCACTCAAAAGTGGCAGTTTATAGCTACCATATCAGGCCTTGCATAAACTATTGACGAACAGTAACCATAGTGTTGTGTACTCCTGCCACATTTTCCAGACATTCCTGTCGCTGTCATATAATCCTTTGAACACAGGGTGGCGCTCTCACTCACTCACTGACTTAGAGCGGTGCTTGCGCGTTGCATGAACGTTTGAACATACAGCATATCATATCCTACACTACTTTTGTGCAATAATTTACAGTATCCATCCTAAGGTCCGACGTCCACTATCCAGTGTCCCATGCTAGTATGCATCCAAATCGTAAGTAGAACGTTACACTCTTGCCCATATCTCCTGACGTGCTACGCCTATTGGTGGGCTGAACATCGTGACAGGAATGTTGACATGCAAGTAATCCGCGGGTTTGCGACAGACTGCGGTAGCACTGCTTCGCCGTCTGCGTCTCGTAGACGCCTTCTGCGGTATTGCGGTCAATCGCAAGCTCGCGTTGGTATTGATCTTAACTCACCTTTATCATTGCACCCTCTTCTAAAACTTCGTCTTCGCCAGGTTCACTGTGGCATCGAATGGAAGGAACTTCGTCCGCAAATGGGTCCACCATTTTCGGGGCTCCCATCTCGACAGGGTAAAACACCTCCGCGAATTCGCTCGGTGGGTGTACTATTGTTGGCGAACCCCTCACCACTTGGCGGATGTGTGTGGTGGGGAGCTCGGAGCTCGAGCTACCCACGGGCTGCGTCAGATCCAGCTGACTACCCGATATTGATGGCTCTCCGTCATCGAGGAATGGGTTGCGGAAGTCAAATGAGCTCGCTGAGCGCGACGAACTATCTGCTCGCGGGCATGGCGGCCGAACGGTGATACTCTCTTGGGAAGGCACCTGGATGCACAGTCTGCCTTCATCCAGGTAGGGAGTTCAAGAAATACGCACATTGCCTGGAATGAAAGAGCCGCTCATTGGACGGTCGCGTTTCTATAGGTACATGAGGCTTGCGACAACGCTTCTAAAGCGGACAACGCACCTTGGACGCTCGTGGTCTTACGGGTGACATGAGGGAGGCGCGGCGTAGCCTCTGTTTGTCCTTGGACTTCGCTGGTGGCGCATCCATCTGAGGTACTTATGCCTGAGCAAGCTAACATAACCATACGGCATCAAACTCACCTCGGACTGCATGTCTTTCTTCCTGCGCATAAAGTCGAACATGATCGTTATCGGCGTGATTGTTCAGAGTCGTCGAGTCGTCGGGTGTGCTTGTGGACAGAGATGATGCCGTTACAGCAAGGTGCGCTTATATATACCTTTCAGCAGAGCCGTCCGAATCTGAACCGCTGTACCAGTCGGAACATCCAACAGATCCATATCCGGGGACGGTTCGGATGACCGTGACCCTCTCATCTGACTGTCTACGCCGGAACATAGTTGATCATGATGCTAACAGTCGGGTGCTCGCTTGACCATGGGCGCCTCCAGCCGTTTCGGAGGGCGGATGCGACAGAAATGGCAGTCCCGCCTTCCGTTCGCAGCCGGATGCATCCGAGCCGCAGCCCCGTCGGATTTGCTGCGTTGTCTCGACCGCTCGGTAGGATTTTGGACGGATTTCCTTGTTCGCACTGTGCTCAAGTGCACTGACGGTGGGGCGCAGCGAAGCACAGAAGAGCCGAAGTCGGTACGCGTGACCTCGCAGTAGACGCGCCCAGTTTGCCACTTACGGTAACTCAGCCACATTACACGTACAGTATTTACGTCCTTGGTTCCTTTACGCGAGGAGGCCCAATCCAGTTGCACTCTGGGCGACCTGAGTATCCTCTCGCACACAGCTGCTGCAATCCATACATACCTTGCGGACCATCATATTCACTGTCGAACCTACTGCCATGGCCTCGATCAGCTCGCCGTTGAATACGGTATGTATATGGCAGTGCTGTATCGGCCACATTCTGAAGTTCCCAAGGCACATCAACACGCTGCGAACGCGGACGATTATGTTGCACAAGGCCTCCTTATTCCCGCGGCGGAGGAGCATTACAAGGCAGCAGAGGCGTATCAGGCTTGTGTGGAGGCCGCGACAGACGAGAACGTGAGGATATCGAGGAATCGTACGTACGTCGCCGCCATGACGCTCATGCACCGTCTGCTCGGCCATAGACGAAGCGAACGTTGAGGATGCTCTGCAACGACCACTCAAAAGCCGGAAAAGAACTGCAGAGGCGCATAGCGAAATTGCGCGAAGAGAACAAAGATCCTAGTCTTCCTCAGAAACCTGCGGGCGCCGCGCCCTCTTCGTCTAACGCTGCGCGTCCAGTGACGTTGCCCACCGCTCCCTCTCCACCACCCCATGCGCAGAACCGAATGTCCGACTCGCAGCAGACAGTGGACGAGTCTTTTATGCTCCTAGGTCAACGGGTGAGTGTCATCTTGCAGCATCAGGTATCCGTAAGCTATCGAGACCATTATGCTCGTCGCCGCCTGTGTGGCGAACGAGCATCGATACCTTGTCATGCTTACCTGAGTAGCCTTTTCTAGGTAGTGTGACAAGGTCGTTGGTTGAGTGCCAACTGACTTGACTCGTAACTCGTGTTTGCCACTTGCTCAGACCGCAGGCTCCACGCACGCAAGGTTTGAAGAGCATGGTGGTGTGGTGATATTCTGCACTCTCATATATGTCACCTTGGAACTGGGTGTGATGAATGCCACCATACCACGCTGTCGACCCAATCGTCAGAAAAACGATGCTGTAGCATCGCAGAGTAATGGCTCAATTGTTGGTCTCGCCGTTGCGATCGTACCACTGACACGTCCTACGTACAGAGCGATTCAGGCGATCCTTTCAATCAGTTTTGGAAAATCACGGAGGGCATGCTGGACTACCTATCACAGCCCGTGGCCTTCGCCACGGCACCGCTTGCACCTCCACCCCCAGCAGAAAGCACGCGTCGACGAGATACGAGCTCCAGTAGTGATACCGACCTCGAAGACGCCATCTCAAAGCGCATCTCGCGCGGAATAGGGCTCGTGAAGGCAGCGCGATCTAGGATGCTCACTCGCCACGACTCTTCAGCAACTACGTCAGACTCCGAGAATGGCCGTGCGGGTCCGAGTACGTTCCCTCCAAGACCACCACAATCGTCGCCAGACGCTGCCCGCGATGATTGGGATGATGAGTTTCGTGCGGATGATGGTACGTCTTTATTCGTGCATTGAGCGGCTACCGGGATGTCAATGATATCGCCAGAAGACGACATGGCCGACTCTTTCTGCCTCATCCCATCAAAGTCCGACACGCCCGCTGATAACATGAAGAGGGAGAACGAGACGCTCCACACCGACGTCGAAGAATTGCGGAAACGACTGGCATCTGCAGAGGGGATGCTGAAGATGCGGCAAGAGCAAGATCAACAACTACGCGATAGTATCCTCTTAGCCAGAAAGGAGGTATGCCGTTGCGAAACCAGTTTGGTGTTAGTAACAGACTGAAAAGTAACAAGGCACATCGCGCTATGATATCGTCGGTCGTCGCACCCACCCCAAGGCCGAGTCAACCAGGCATCGACCTCGCCTCCCTCAACATCAACGTACCGCCGGTGCCACCACCCGTCGCAGCGCTCAACCCAGGCAACCCTGGTCGTGATCGGGAGGCACAGCTAGTGCGAAGAGTCCGGGAGCTCGAAGAAGAGGTCCGCACGCTGAAAGCCGAGAATGAGAAACAGGTCCGTGCGCGCGATTTTTCTTGACATTCGCTGCTCACCATCATGGCGCCTGCCCTATAGAAAGCCATGATCGTGCGCTTCCGCGAGCGGTGGGAGAAGCTCAAAGAATCGGCCAAGCGAAAGAAAGTAGCCAAAGCCGCAGCGGAGGCCACGAACATTGTCAACGAGCGTATAGAGGAAGATCCAGAAGCGGAGGCAGAGGCCGAGAAAGATTGTTTCTGAGGACGTTGACGCGGTATGCTCTATGTTACCTTACGGTCATCGCCATCTTGATTGTGCTTCTTGCCTGTCGTCCGCTGCCGTTCGTGAGTCTGCTTCGGATCGTGGTGATTCTCCCTTCACAAGGCGGAAACGAAAAGCATGAGTATGACAACATGGAACAATGAACAGCAGGTTGGCCTCGGCTGATGGCATAGTCATCGTGCATCGCAAGACGTATCCGATGCATCCTCTTTGACATGAACATGACGCTCGATCAACGCTCGATGGCATTATGGATCGCGCGTGTAAGGGTACCTAGTCCGTATCTTTGTCCATGATTATCGTAAGCGATACTTTATATACTACAGAGGTATCAGAAGAAAATAACGGCCCTGTGTGCAAGTGCTGACCGACGCGACGATTTTTGCCGCTGCGTGCTCAGGGCTGCGTCCCGAACGTCGTACCCATTTGCGGATCTCAGCAGGAACTTGCGGAGATAGTGTCTTGCTGCTGTCCAGTGCGATAGTCACTCCGTATCTGCACTTCGCTCCCGACGTTACTGATGATGGGAGCATTCTAGTAAACGTGTCAGTTACTCAGTCTCAACGGATGTATCGAGTGGCGGTAAGTACGTATACCTTGCTGTGAGCGAGTCGATCCCGGAATCGCCTTCGCTGGAGCCTGGCTAGCACGACGGAGTCCCCTAAGCCAACAAGGCTGTTCGCGGACTCCCTCAGTGCATATCTTGCGTTCAGCGTAGCAAAGAGCGAATTGATGCCCACTAGAACGTCGGTCATCCAACGTGGCACCGATGAGTGACCAGACTTCGGGCTGATTCTGCGCGGAGAAGGATGAGGCTCACATTTGGGTATGACAAAGAAGATTGCGAGGAACGTCGCGTTGTCTGGCATGAGCGTGGCATACTGTCCCCGACGGTGTCAGACTTCGCGGCAGAACAAGGAGCAGATAAGTTGCGTACAGTGACAAGGCAAGCGATGGACGACACGCTGTATGAAGCGGCCCGTGGCTATCAGGAAGTGCTCGACCAATGTTGAATTCGTAGGTTGTCTGACCTCATCAGAAGCCCGCATTCTATGGCATACAGCATGAGTACGCTGATGATGTGTTCAGTTCTGGCAGACGGTAACGTAAGTTGCAGCCCCATACAGGATACAAGGACGACGAACCTAGGCGATACTGTACGGCAATGTGCCAATGACCAGCATATGGACACAGAGACGACCGCGTCAGAGAACGCGAGGGACGCGAGGGAAGCGTATATCTCATGCTAGGCCAAGTTGACATGGTTTGGTCAACTGTGAATGACTCGAAGACCATACGACTGACCGATAGAGATGCTAGCAGCTGTACCAGATTGCTCTCCTGGCGTCTTAGGCGAACAGGAGATGAGTAGATGTCGCTTTCGAATGAATGGACAATGCCCACAAGGAAAATGATATCTCTTGGGAAGTGGTGAGCGAGTATACCAGCATGAGAAAATATTGGCATATGGAAGGCTTACTCATTGAGATGGCTACGACCGTGAAGCATTTTAGCGGCAGCTTAAAGAGCAGGTACGGTGCAAATCGTACAAAAGGTTGTCAGAGCAGACCCGATCTATGCGGTGCCATTAGCGCGCCGCTGAGTGACTGAGGCTCGGCGCACATACTAGAAGAGCCAAGGCGAGTTTGCTCTTGCTTACTACGACAGGATTGCTGTCAGACATCAATAGCTGACACTGAGGGTTTGCTCACGTATCCACGTCCGATATATATAGATGCTAGGGTATTCATGTTAGCACAATACATAGCAACTGGCGAAGATGGCCGCTCGCCTCTTGATGCCTAGATGCGTAATTCCCTGGTTTTGTAGGCTCAGATTGGGTGGGAATGTCGTAAATGCACAGACTATTTCACTTACACTCACAAAGATGATGCCCTCAACAGGATATCAGCAACATCCGTTGGTAAATGCGATGTACTTTACTTACTCGGAAGCACCTGATCCACACGCCTATGAGCGAGCATTAAGACAATGTGGAATGAATATCACCATGCACTGTTGTATATGATGTCTTGCAAGTCGAACAAGTGGTACGCCGACCATATTGCTATCGCATAATGTGCACCGTCGTTAAACCTATGTCACATCCTCCATGAATGCGACCGCTGCGTCGCAATGGGCGTATGGCACACCAGAGAAACATTATCTAGATTGAATACATGTTAGTGCACTGACATGCTTTGAAATCGTGCAACGTACGAGTGTTCTCAGAATGAGGCTGTCGGCTCCGTTACGGGCGCAAAGTAGCGATGCCTGCGCGACCGTGATGCCGTATAGACTGTTCGAGGCTCTCCGGATGAGGACTAGTGCGGGTACCTTAGACAGTTAAGCGAGACTTACAACGCAACAAGCACACAGCCTGCACGTCGATGCTTCGTTAACTCGTAACCTGTGAGACCAGCCCATACCTACATACCTATCAACGTCACTCCTACGTAGTTTCCCTGCAGTTCGTCGTGTATCGTGGTCATGTTCGAGGGTTTCCAGAGACCCTGACTCGCTCTGGAGAGGTGGTATGTACAGGCGTAATGCTGGGTGCCTTGAGGCAAGGCCTCTACTTATATTCGGCGACCTGCGAACGCAAGACACAGCACTGCACGTTACTGACTGTGTGCGCCTTCGCGATGAGCGGCGATGAAATTATGCTCAGTAGCCTAGGAAGTGCGAGACAAGAAGACACACACACAACTGCATAGCCAGAGCTGGGCGTCGAACCAGAGTGCTGTTGATCGCGTCGTTCTGTTGAGGAGCTAGTCAAATGCATGCCCCCGTTTAAGTCCTTGAGCATGCCAATCCAAGGGATATGTTGTGATCTACTCATGGACAACATCAAGTTCGTGAGCTACATGTAATCAGATGCTTACCTGTACCCTGGTATACTTGATGGACTTCTCACTCTCGAGCTCCATATATGAATGCGTCGTGGCCGCAACCACTATCTCTTTCCAGCTAGGTCCATATCGTTGGGCCCCGCGCCTTTCAAACGCACATAGGCGGAGTCCAGCGGGTTTGATATGGGATCACACCGAGCGCAGCGGAATTTGACGGCCAGGCTGAGCCAGGCAGCCGCGACCTTGGCTAGGCGGCCCAGGTCGGGCGGCACAGTGTCCGGATCGCCAAATACCAACGTCCGACGACCCCCGCTCCTATGCGCACTTTCTGTGCGGGGCCCAACGATATGGACCTAGCTGTCACACGGTACCACGCTTCGAACCTACACAGCATAGCATTCTTGGAAATATACAAACAATGCTGGACCCGGAGCGTCGCAGTGACTCTGGGAAACTTAGGACTGGGAGTCAGTGGACGAGTCACTCACTGCCCAGGTAATACTTAGGAGTATGCAAACCGTGCCTCGGAGCGCAACACCGGACACTTGCTGGACCCAGTAGAGCATAAGAATTCGCGTGGTACAGCCAATCGGCCATTCAATTATCCAGGCCCCTTCGTCGAGATCCACCATTATGCATAGCCTTTGGAGCTCCTGGGAGCTCCAAGGAGGATAGCAATTCGTGCCGGCGCCCACTGCGAGCTCACCTGAGTGACAATAGCAGAGTTCCATCGATCTGTTAATCAGGACGCGTGCGATCCGTAGACACAGCCCAGTTGCTGAAGATTGTGTTTCCAACAATTGAAGGAATTGAAGCAGACCCACGGACTCCGAGTGAGATGCCACCGATGTTGAACCGACGTCACTGAGACTCTACTAGACTGCATGACTTTCATTGTGAGCAGTGTTTCCTATGTACCAGCTAGCTGGTTCCCACAGACTAGCATTTCCCAGTCAGTTCCAGCAGAGGCAGTACTGTGAAATGAGATTTCGAGAGGCTCCGACGATCGTCGAACTACGAGATGAGTCCTGTCACTGTCAGACGCGGGCGCGCACCTCGGGCCGCGACTCCGGCAACCGCGAGTCTCCACTGAGCAGTGCCAGTGCAGTAGAGTACTCATCCCTCCAACGTTCAACCTTCGTGTCCCTGGATACTGTATCCTTGTCTGACGCAGACGCTGCCACCGCTCGTCCCGACCGGTGCGCGAGCACGAACCTCAAGCAATTGTCGGTGGAATGACCGTCGTATCTCAGCCCATGGCCAAGTTGGCAAACCGGACTCTCAGAGTCTCCTGTACGTTGTCGGTGGTTGCAGTTGAGTCTCGAGGTCTCCGGCCTTTTTCACCCATGCATGCCACGTAGTGACTTCACCACGATGATCTACGCATCAACACGGAAACACGGGGCTGATAGGATGCTCGTGTAACAAGGTACTGTCTACCGAGATGGCACGGCGAATGACTCAGAAGCAAGCCGCGAGAGTGACAAGGCACGAGCTAGAGGCTTGACCCGGGTTACGGTTGGGTATCCGTTCGACAGTGTCGATCCGAACCCCATGTTGCTGTGAGTCGTCTGTATCAGTGAGTGATTCATGGAACATAAAAACTGGACGTCGGGGTGACGGGTCGAATACATGCGGCCTTGCCAATGTTCTGTGTTCGTGCGAGGGAACTACTCGGCATACAGTACGCGGATGTTCTGCCCATGTATCTGCACGTCGCCTGCGCATACACGGTATGCTGACGACGTGAACGCAGTATTATTACACTTGACAAGGGCCCGGCCTACTAGTAGTAGCGGTGGCAATGTACCATTGCCCACGTCATGCCATTCCCGCTACTCGGTACGCAGTAAACCGAGTCGACTATTTGAATGCGACTGCCACGCTCGCTGTTTTCACTCCGTGCTCTGCGCAATGGGCACGCCTCGCCGTATATGCCGGTGATAGTGAATCGCGTTGATACTGATCTACAATGCACATTAGAACCTGCAGTTTGACCGAATACGACAGGCATATACTTACCTGTCCATTACTCTTCTGACCATGAGAGGAATTCTGGCTCAAGTCTTCAAGTGGAAAGGACCCAGGTGAGGCTGGTGAGTAGATAACATTCTGATGTGACATCCTCAAACCAGTTCTCGCATTTAGCATAGCAAGCATAGAGTTCAGGGCCACTTTACAAGCTATTTGTCAGCATACTAATTCTCGACATCAACAACAATCTGACTCACATTTTGGTAGTATGGAGAACAATGCAAAAAAGCATGCATTGTTTGGCATGAGTGTTGCATACTAGAAGCATCTGAATAATAGTGCCTTGTGTATATACATTAGAATTGATGCATACTGTCACAAGACATGCCATTGATGCTATGCTATAGGGAGTGAGTCTCAGACATATTCATATCATTCTTAACAGAAGAATGCTTACCTTGTAGTCAATCCACTTTGAACACTGTGCAACATCAAAGTGTGTATGACATTTGTAGTCCTAGGGCAACAGCATTAGCAGATAGACTTTACTTTTTTGATATGACAAACCTGATGGATGTGTTGGGGTACTGTGCAAGCAGTACACAGACTATGATGGCAACAGCCATATCAGAGACAGCTAAACAGGCCAGGCTTGCATAGATAGCATGCTATGAGAGAGAATGTCAATTGTATTGCAGTATCATATGATTTGAGAGAAATTGAGCACACAGATTCTGCTAGAAACAGCTTGATGAGATTACTCTCTTGAAGTCTTGATACCATGAAAGTTAACATGGATGCTATTAAAAGACATCAATGCAAGCAACACTCACGAAGAAAAGGCAACTGCTACAAGAATAGAAGGTTGAATGGTGAATCTCAACTACATAACCTATGTCACATATGACTTACTGAGTGCTAGGGCTTTGAAAGCGATATACATGTCAGAAAGAACCTGCATGTTTTGTAAAAGCCCAGATTCTGACCAAAGTTCACCAAGGAGAACACAGTCTGGTAAAAGCAGCAATTGAACAGTGGACCAACTGAGTTAGGTACATAATGACATACCAACAAAGCCACAAGATATCTAAGGCTGCTGACTTATTATTGGATTTGCATCAGCTGTTGCTGGTGCTACCAATAAAAACCTTTGCTTACGTTTCCAGATGCGATGGATATATATACTCCAGCAATGACCAATGTTATCAAGGTAGCTGCATGTGATTTAGGAAATTGTCTTACCTCCTGACTCCTAGATTGGATATTCCCTACACAGTTTACAACATTGCAGCACATAAGTAACAATGGCACACCCATTGAATTGCAACTCACAGTTAAGAGGACTGTGGCCTGTTCCCAAATGAGAATCCAAATGAATAGTTAGAGGCATTCAAAGGCTTCTTACCCGGATGGTCCTGGTAGTAAGACATCAGTACACAGACTGGGTGTCATAAGCATATTGACCTACCATACATTCCCAAACAGAATACCCAGAATATTGGACCTATTAGTTACAGCCCAAGCATATGCTGGCCATGCCACTAATGCACAGTGGACCCCATCAATAGTCCTGTATAAACAGTGGCTCTGTGGATAAACCAGCTAAGCTAAGTTGAGTCAGCTGCATACCACAGAGAGAAGACCTATATAATCCCAGTGAGGACTCAACATAGCTGCCATTCATGATAGTGCATACCATCCATCGAAGAGCCCGATTGTCCGCAATCTTGCTGGTCCAAAAGGTGAAGATCTGTGCAGTTGTGATACCATACAGGCTACATACTGTCAGAGAACACCAAAACACAGCTGGGGATCATCACGTACAAGGCAACAAAGGTGCAGCCTGTCAGTCAGCAGAGCATGATCAGCAATTGACAATGCGGAGAGTCGTAGTATGTTCACCAAGGAATGCTACTCCCACATAATGAGACACGAGCCCTTCTTCAGAGGATGTCATTGCGACTACACGGACCCCTGTTAATTGAGTGTGAAGTCGTGCGTGTTGCCAACGGGGATGTGATGGGCAGGCGACCTTTTAACTCCTTACTCCAATCGCCCGCGTCCTGCGGTGCTGATAAGAACCTTAAGCAGTTTCACTTGATGATATCGTCATTTCAGTGACGAACAGACGGTGAACATTACGCATTCCGAGTTCCATGGCCAATGATAAGAGCGTAGATGCACGCTCAACGTTCTGGAGTACAAGAAGTGATGAGCGTCATGTACAAGCTCCGAGGACCCAATGAACATACATTTTGAACACGTCCATATGCAGGCGCGCGCGGCAGAACGTAAGTTCATACGAAGGCATGCATCTTTGTGGCTGTTCAAACGTTCACCCTTCAGGTTCAATGTTAGACCAACGCAATCGCTGTCAAATGATATCCTGATGATGAACTATGAGATGAGATGAACTCAAGTTGGCAGGGAAGGTGAAGACATCTAATCATACCGGCCTCTACGCCCCAACGTGTAAACACAGCCTGCGCCATCCGTTAGAGGTCGTGACACTAACGGAGTGCTGGCACAGGCGAGACAACTACGTGACAAATCCCAAGTAGGGGGTGGAATTTCCGCCGTCTGCACTCCTGATGTTGAGGCCGCTCTTTGGTATGAAGCGATGTTGTCGGCGGTCAGTATCATCACCGCAGCCTCTGACCCGTGCCTTTCAACGTCAGTGCACGAACTCTGTTTTTGACATTGTCGACACTGACATCCATCAGCACACGCATTGGAACCTTTCTGGGACAGACACGCAGCCACGAAGATGTTGAGCAGACAGACGAGTCTACTTAACAGTCCGTACCTTGTTGATCATGCGATCATTTACTGTTGCAATTCTAGCGTACGCACTTTCCCACAGCATTTACTTTATACTGTTACAATCTCTTCGCGTGATACATTGAATGGTCAGCCAGTGCGTAGATAACATCGATGAGTAAGCGTACCTTGATCTATAACGCTTGGCTTCGACACCAGCAAATGATGTCCGCCAGTCCTTCAGGCAAACAAGCCGTAATCCACGATCCGCAATGATCGCGCAGCCAAAGAAAATGTCTCTTGTGCAACGGCGAACTGGTCTCCCGTGATAGTCGCACCATCGGAGGTCTTCATCGGGATGTTCATAGACAACACAAGATCGACGTTCTTGTCTTGGATACGGTACACGGCCAGCAGTATTCGAAGTTCATCAGGATGGGTGTGGTTGAATTTACGAACGAGTTGTGTTCCGCTCAGGACGATGGGCAAAGGAGTGCGGTTCCCACTGCTCTCGCCTGAGAGCTGGGACACTTCGATGATTTTGTTCTCGACAGCATCGTTATCGTGGACCAAAGATTCAAAGTGTAGCCTGTTTCGAAGGACACTGTTAGATGCAGTTCTTCGGATAAGTGACAGATATACTTTACAATGTCGGCGGTCTGTTCGGCGTCGACACACTGGAGGACCTCGACAATAATGCTGATCCCCGCATCAGGGTACAGAAAAACTTCTTGCGTGTCGGGAACTTGTCGCAAATCGCTTGGCTTCATCAGACTCATTCCCTTCAAGAGGGCAATGGCATACGTACGATGCGTCGATCAATGAAGTAGGTAGAGTCGTCGTAATTGCTCCGCCGAACAGTTCTCGGGTAGCCGACGGTGGCATCCTGTCGGTTAATCACTATGTGGCGGTGTAGTCGATGCTGCCAATGACTTGACAGTGTTCAACAAGTGGTGAGAATTTGAACAGCAAGACCGTGCCAGTGGACGCACCAAGAAGTTGAACTTGGAAGTGCGGTCGTGCGTCTTCGGTCGCGGATGTCACTGACAATCACGTGAGTGTGACGGACGCGTTCAACAGCGGCGCGTTGATTTGAGGCGTCCGCGCGCACTTTGTCCTCAACGCCCATCGCTCTGTCCATCCTCCATTCGTTTTCCAGCCGTTTGATTTATACAAAGGGATCCAGACACGTCATGTTTGACTCGGGGCGTCGCTCAACGATGCAGCCCGCAGTCGACCCTCATAACAATGCCCGCTCGCACTTGCCTGTCCCTCCACTGTCAAGAAACCATCTCATACCGGGCGCATGTCACTTGCAGGACCGGCCTTGAGGGGTCCTTATCCTCCTATGGGACAAGTACCGGGCACCAATCCAAGGCAATCGATGATGCGCTCGCAGAATGTCAATCCGTTGCTGCAGAGCGCGACGAAGCCCAACTTCGGCCGTACACCCTTGCACAGGTGAGCTCTAGCTACACATGAGTCATGTATATCTTGTGCTAGTTTGTTTATGTTCCTGTCATACACGCGTGATCTTCATACATGATATCTACAATATAACACATGGTGTTGTCCCTTGTCCTGACTGTGCCGCTCTCTCAGGACAAGTCCCCGAACTCATCCACCACCATGTTTACAGTAGTACCCGAAGAGGATCTATGTGGGCTGGAGGATCTCAAGGCTCAGCACCTTCCGGCAGTCAGGGCACCAAGGACACTCGACCCCTACGAGATAGGCAGTTCCAAGCGAAGATGCGACAGGATGTCGTCACTTGGCTATTGGACAACGGCATGAATTACTCCCCGCAGGTGTTGCAGCAAATCACGAGCAAAGACTTTCGCACCGTATACCAGGATTTGGTGAGGCTGCTTGACCCAGAATGGCCATTTACGGAGCAGAAATTCGAGGAGCAGTTCGTCCAATCGTTGCGAGCTCTACGATACCCATACCTAGGTCAGCTAGATATCAGGACCCTGACGACTCCTGGAGCGATGCATACGTGGCCGCTCTTGTTGGGAGTGCTGCATTGGTTAGCTGAGATGGGAAGGGTCAGTCGACTGTACCAGCGAATACTATTGTTGGTCGGCTGATGCATGATACTCAGGCGAGGACACGTTATCTTGAAAGCAAAGACGTCACCCTGCAAGACTCGGAACTCGTACCTGACGAGTTCGAGGATATCAATCACCACCAAGCTCTCGCGTTGGACCATTGTACGCTCGCGTATGGAATGTTTCTAGAGGGCAAGGATGCATTTCCAGAAGAAGAGAAGATTCTTGAGGCACGATACGGTGAGTCGCGCGGCCGCACATCCAGTACAATGCTCTCATGTGCCACGTACAGCGAGAAAGGACGAGAAGGTTGTGGCTCTACTTGAAATGCAAAGGGAGGAACTGCACCGCGCTCAACTCGAACTGGAAGCCTTGGGGAAAGCGCCAGTATGTGAACCAAATGGGCGTATAACTGCCTTTGCTTATCATTTGTCTAGGCACCAATCGAGGACCTCAAGAAAGACCACGGGTTCATAACGCGGGATAAAGCAAAGTTCGAAGAAATTCTCCGGCGCTGTGAATCCAAGAAGAAGAAACTCATCGACAGTCTGGCGCGAGAAAAAGCTGATATAGCATATCGGGGTATGTCGCGTTCTTTCCCCCGACCCCTTCGACTCATGATGACGTGCGATTTAGTGTCCACCTTGGAAGAATTGCAGGCGGAGGAAGCAAGGTTGGCGGCAGTTGTGAGGGAACAGAACCTCTCCCCTGAAGAGGTGATCCGCATGAACACCGAACATGAGACTCTTACTCGTGATCTCGAAACACTCAAGCACAAGATCGCGGAAACGAACCAAGTCCTGGTGAAGCTCGAAGTCTCGCTCACGAGGAAAGTTTCAGATGCGGAGGAGGCGCTGGATATGTACGCGAACCTCTTGGCAAACCTCGGACTATTCCCGCCCCTGCCACCGCCCCTCGAGGGTGTCGATCTGACGCTGGACCTCAATTCAGCGGCGGCTAACCCGCAGAACCTGCTCTCGGGTGCAGACATCCGGAGGGTCATCAAGCCAACTCTCAGCCGCGTCGCCGAGATGAAGCGCACTGAGCGTGCGGACGTCGAGAGCGAGCGGATCAAAGTGGATAATGAGCTCGACCAGCTGACCCTCGAATGCGAAAATATGGACGAGGAGGTGCTGGAGACCAGTAACAAGGTCAACGCTCTAAATGACCAGGCCGATGAATTACGAGAGGCATGTCCTTTCATTACTGACAAACCATTGCCTTGCGATTGGATAATACCTGACTGACGCGACAATTTGACACAGGCTGCTCAACAAGAAGCCCTAGTCAGCAACGCTGAAGCGACTCGGCTGGAACGAGATCTTGCGCAGGCTAGGACAGCCGCGCTCGCTAATGGCGTCGGTGTCAAGTCCCGTCTCCAAGCTCTACAGATTGCGTATGTGTCGTGGCCTACTTTGAGTTGCGTAGACTCTGACGCTCTTGTTCGCCAGCCACCGAGAACAAATTGACAAAGTCAATCGTCTCAAGGACGAAACAATGCGCGCAATCATCAAGAACAGTAGCGATATCGTCATGTTCAAGGAGGAAGTGTCCAAACAGCTCAAGCACCTCAGAGATTTCGCCGAGGCCAACTAAGCATCTACCGCATCTGACGCGGTGCTATAGTCTTGCGCCATCGACCTCCCAGCAGTGTATTATTGCCTTAGTCAGTGCACTTTCCGTATGCGGTACATTTATACTATCTATTTGACTCGACGCAGGATTCGGTAGCATCGTACGCTCGACATCTCCGGAAGGGTGGAATCGATGAGAGTATACGCCCCACGATGCCGAGAATCTGTCCGAGGATATTGCAGCTGATTCGCCAACCGAGGACTCTCCGTGGTAGAAGCCTGTCGAATGTCTTCTCAATATCCGTTTTGAACCTGGGCTCCACTCTGGAACAGACTCGAACTGTCATGAACGATTCTGCCTACGGTTGCGATGAGGGCGTGCGCCCAGTGGTTTCCCAAGGAGGGTGTCTGGCCGCATATGGCTTTCACACGCGTTGCTACGGTGCACCCTTTCATGTACGTATGCTTCTCAGCGACTACCACTTGAGGGATTAATGCGGCCAAAGAGCGGTTCCGCTCCGACGAAGATTTGCGCATACCCCCAGGAATGAAGTGTCCATAAGGTGTCGCATGGTGGAGCCTACCTCTCTCAGTTATGGGGTGCGTCTGAATTACAAACCACTGAACGATGCGGATCTACGCTGACACCCCACCCACTGCAGCTGCGTTGTACCTCACAGCCTCTTCGCTCTGTTGAGTGCAGGACTGTTCTCACTGCCAAATATCGCTTCGTGGAAAGCTGCCAATGTGTTTCCGCATTTCGGTACCGTCCTCTCACGCCATGGTTACCGGTAGCCGGGGTCGGGTTCTATCAAGGTACGGCACTTTTGCACAAACAGCTCTATGATTAGGTCTACCTCATCCCCATTGGGACGGTGTACCACGAGCGGACTTTCTGGTGGATACCCGGAATGCTCTCGTCAAACCGTCCTTCCTAGTGCAGCGGCGGGATCACTGCCTTCGAAGGGCAAGATGACATGTAGGTCCGTCATGAGGCTCGATGCGCAGCGAAAGCAAACCTTCAATTGTCCAGAATGCCATGAACTGGTCAGGGGACGATCTCGACACAGTTTCGCCTTGCACGATAAGTTTATTCGACGCCTGTCTGACGGGTGGAAGATGCGTACGGTAAGTCTGACTTGATTGACTCAACGCGAATGCCAAGGCCTCCGAGCACGGACAGTGCCGGTGAGATCTACAGAATTCCTACCCTCTCTCATGAGCTCCGCTCTACCGGAGTCACAGATGAAATCCGCTAGGTAGTCGGACTCGGACTCAGACAGGTGCGTAGATCTCAGACATTCACGGACCGCTCGTTGACTAATTCCGATTGCAGAGTAAGGTCATTGGCTCCCTGTACTGCTAGCAGTCGACCGGCCGTGTGCTTCCACGACTGTCTAGATCCAGATCGAAGCAGACTTCTGAGAAGTCGAAGTGGAGATTATCATCATTCGCCCTCCTGTGTGGCAAGCCGTGAGTCGGTGCGATAAGTGAACCGTCTTTTGAATAGTCACGGTGGGAACTGACCGCAGAAAACATGCGTAGCTGTGCGCTATGGTGTGGAATCGCATATGTTCCTGACGCCAACGTCGACGCAAGCGCCACCTTCATAGCTTGTGAGACTTTTGCTCACGGCGAGCTCCTTCGGGTGAGATACGTGCTGAGATATACCGTTTGTTTTTAGAAATCGCTTCTCGTTATTTCACAGATTTTGGTCCGTGCACACCGGCAGCACCACCTGCTCACGAATAGGGTACTGCATGGCGGATGCGCCGAACTCTCAGGAGAATCTGGCAGTACCCTCCTCGGTATCACGGGCCATATCTTTGACCGAGGAACCATTCTCCGACACCATCTCATGGGCAGCGTGGGTTGCGCCGTATATTACAGACCTGTTCTCGGCATCGCTCAAAATCTATATAAGGTTGTGTGGACTGCGCTGAGGATGACTTGGAACTCCCCCCTTCGCGTCTTGGGATAGCTTCACTGTTTGCTGCGGCCCTCACCAGCTCTCGATAGTCGCTGTCCCATCATGTCGTCCGAACCTACGCCTGAAGTCCCAGCGCCCGCGTACGATGAGGCGGAGAAGGGTGCTCTACCTGACATTCACTCTCGGCCCATCGAAGTCTCGTTCAAGGACGAGAAGAAGGACCTCACGATTGCTCAAGTCTTGCCCGTGCCTTCCGAGAAGGAGACACCGGCACCTCCTGCCAAGGCTAGCAAACCACAGCAGTGGAAGTACTCCAGGTGGATCATCTGGACACTCTGGTACGACATGTACCGGTAAGTGTTTCAGATCCATGTCCTAAACGTATGTGTGAGCTTACACGACGATCATGTATGTAGGAAGCTCTTTACGATCACCTTTTCCGTCAACATAATCATGTTTGGTTTTGCGGTGTCAGGCCATTGGCCGTATGCTTACAAGTATGGCGGTGCCATGGCTATCGGCAACTTCAATGTCTCGGTTCTCGTACGGAATGAGATCTTTGGACGGTGTCTGTATGGTTTCGTGAACTTCTTCTTCGCAAAGGTAAGTCATCGTCGCAGATTCTTCATGTGAGACCGTTGGTCTGACATTCATGACAGTGGGCGCCGCTGTGGTGGCGGCTGGGATGCACGTCTGTGTTGCAGGTATGCCTAGTACATCTGATGATGCCGTGCATCGCTGACTCCAACACAGCATCTGGGTGGAATACACTCCGGTTGCGCAGTCTCTGGTGTCATCTGGCTGACTCTGAGAACTGTCCATGTCTACGTGAACCATGCCGTCTATCCCAATGCGCTGCTGGCATGGGCAGTGATCTCTAACCTCACTCTGTTCATCACGATGGTTGCTGGCTTCCCTTGGGTACGTAACTCGCATCACAAGTAAGTTCGCAATTTCACTACATGCATTTTGTTCCCCACTGACGTGACACCAGCGTGTTCGAGCGCTGGCACCGTTTCATGGGCTGGACTGGCCTCTTCTCGTCCTGTATGCAGTTTACAGCCTCGCCGTACTGATTTATGACTGATAATGATGTAGGGATATTCGTTCTTTTGGGGGACCTGTACTATGAACCGACGCGGACATGGAATATCAACGGCGTTCACATCGTGCGACAGCAAGACTTCTGGTATGTGATGGGTATGACGCTCTGGATTGTCCTTCCGTGGATCTGCACACGGCGCGTGAAGATCGACATTGAGCTGGTAAGTAACCTACCGATCCATTGCACAATCTTTGTGCACCCTTCTCACTGCCAAGGTCAGCCATCCAACAAAGTCGCCGTGCTCCGTTTCGAGCGTGGGATGCAGCAAGGTCTTCTGGGACGTGTGAGCAGGAGTGCTGTGAAGGAATACCACGCCTTCGGTATTATCTCGTAAGTTGTATCCCACCATTCTGACTATTGATAACAAACGTTGAACTTCGAACAGAGAAGGCCCACATTCCAGGTATCATTACATGGTGTGCGGTGTCCAAGGTAGGCATCCGGACATCCTCCGTCGAGCGTTGGCTCACCACGTGTAAAGGTGACTTCACAAAGAGTCTTGTCAATGACCCTCCGCGGACCATATGGACACGAGAGCTGAAGGTCAGAAAAGAATTGCTTCCGGTCATCACCTGTTTCTGACGATTAGACAGTTGGCTGGTGTCTCCAATACGTCGAAGCTGTATAATCGGGGCATCCGAATCTGCACTGGAACCGGTATCGGTGCGGCGCTAGCGACGTGCATCCAGTCGCCTTACTGGTTCGTTCTTCGTCTCTCTTGGCTGTTTTCGGGAATGACAGTTTTTCAGGTACCTCATCTGGATTGGTACGCGCCGGCTTGACTCGAGTTCATGTTATAGACCCTTGATGCTGGTTGTTTTGCAGGGTCAGATCAGGAGAAGACGTTCGGTCCGACGATTAGCGGTCTGATCAACAGGAACATTGGGCCTGAGCGATACCTCCTCTGGGACAGTAAAGTGCGAGGAGGACGGCCTGATACACGAAAGATCCTGAAGGAGATATACCACTCCTGGAAGGCTGAAGGCGAGTCTAATCGGTATCGTTGACTCAACGTCGATTAACAGTTTGACAGTCGTCTTCATCACCTCTAACTACCAAGGAAACTCAGAGATGATGCGGGTGAGTGCTGAGTTCGCTATGCTGAGCGGTCGTACTCATCCCTCTCTTCGATAGGCGTGCAAGGCGGAGAAGATTCCATGCTTCGGAACGCTCTGGGATTTCGTGAGCGACGCACTTCTTCAGGGCAGCACCGGAATACTGACCGTAAACATCATCTCAGTGATCTTTCGTTACGACCCCACGATTCTCTTAGACGTCATTCCTTACCATATAGACGACGAAGGCAGACGGAAGTCGCCCATGACGATGGTCCTCTCCTTCGCTCACCGCTCAGAATGTATTCTATCGTTGTAATCGGATCTATGCATATGGTCATTCACAGTACCAGTGGGAAAAGTCGCACCCTGCGACCGGATCACCTATCAACTAGCAACAAACGAAGACTGGGAACGGGAGAACCAATGAGATGCATGCTGCCGACTGCAGATCGAGAGATGCCATCGGTAGGATTCAGTACGCAAAAACATATCATGACGCAATACCAGGATCCAATTGCAAGGGAGCACGGACTCGGAGAGCGCTAGTACCGTCCAGTAGCCTCCCACACTGCCAATGACCGTCAATGTTCCCATCCATGTATAGGGACGAATGGCAAGGCGCAGCAATCTATGGGAAGCGGGCCAGGAGCATGAGAAGCGACGCATGCTGCGTGATTGGTTGAGCACTGGGCGAGCGGCAGTGGATCAAATATAGTCTTCCAGTACTTTGCCTCGCTTGCCCATCCAGGGCCACCGTTTTCTGGGATTTACGTGCATATTAGGCTCAAGCTTCACTCCTCGCCTTGGAAGCTCAGTGAGGATCCGTGCGATGTTCCGTGCATCCTGTACACATGAAATTGTCAAGGTTTGTTAACGTTACAGACAGACTGATGTGAGAATGTGGTGTGCGATGACTCACGTCAATACCGCTGTGTTGGCGACCTTGGAATGGCGCAAGGCTCAGGGATGCCAGTTGGCGCGGAATCGTAAGCGCAACACGACGCGAGATTGGAAAGGCATGCTAGGGAACCACCAGGTTCACAAAGTTATCCATAGCCAGCACAGGGGAACGCACCTGCTGCCCTGACTGTTCGCCGATAGCCGAGCGTTTGTCCAGGACGGCATCGAGCAAGATGTGAACGGCCTTGCGAATGTCTAGCACGTCCCCTGTAATCCATGCCGGCATCGGGACCTGCCAAGGTGCTGATCAACATGAGGACAAGGGTGCCACCTGGAGCAACCGTTCTCGACCTTTGAAATGAAGCACTGCTTCACCACGAAGTCGCGTATGTCGTACGGGCCGTCAGAGCACCAACAGAATTTGACAAGGCGGCGGCCAGTGTCAGGGTCGATAAGGCCATTGGCTTCGAGGAACTCTCGGAAGCTGTCTACGAGCTCTGTGAACGTCGGAGCACTGTCAACTTGCTCCTGCGTAAGTGAGAGTCACGTATGATTGGGCTGTGCTCGACGCATTGTTCTAGAGACGAACCTGGGTAATTCCAGTGAGCTGAGTGCAAAATTCGGAGAGTTGAGGTCTCCATGTTGGCTTCACGAAGCTTCTGAATTCACTGACTACCTCGAGGCATTCAGCGAGACCCTCGTCGTCTTTGTCCTTCCAACGCAGGAGGCACACTGGCCATTCCTGGTAAAGTTGTCAGAAAGTACATATTCAGCAACCAATCCCGGGTACTTTCAATGATCTCGTTTGGATAATCGAAAGATTTTGTACCCTCGCACGTCCCCTCGACGTCTAGAACAAGGAATGCGTCGTACAACTGCTTGGCGCGTTGCCTACTTTCCTGATCTTCTAGCACAGTTATCTCCGGTGGCTCCTACGACGCATATAGGTACAGATAGTTCGTAGATAGACCGGAGAAAGCACATACACGGAGGGACCGTACGTCCGCGTTACTGCTCAAATTCCCTTCACACGACCACCACCGTCGCCGGATAGATCTCACACAAAGCAGGAGGACCACTGTCAGGCCGAGCAAGATGTAGTCTTGCACTGTTCCGGTCCACATGTACCTCGAGATAGAAAACATGTTGGACGGATGCTCAAGACTCCGATCTCCCGTTTGTCCTCCGATCTATCACTGGCCAGTCTCGCTGTTGATAGTTCAACGAATGTACCGTGCCGAGCACGTACCGTGTACTCGATAAGACAGATACGAGCGTTTGCGATGCGACAATATCCCCACTTCCACTACAGAGTGAGACGGAGGTAGAAGTGAACCTTGAGGCAGCCTTGAGGACGATTTTGACTTCGAACATCGCACGAGACACAGATCACATGATGCAGATTTTGCGGAGATCCTTGAGCGCTCGTCTGCCAAAGCCGTCGGGCCCTCTTCGAAAGAGCCTTCGCATGGGACCACTCTTGGACTCGAGTTCGTCGGACGCTACTCTGGCCTGCCACTGAGCATTCCTCGCCCTCGCTCAGTCATCACACAAAAGCGTTGGATTTGACTCAAGATGAGCAAGCAAGGCGGTGACGATCTGGATGACGACTTTGTACCAGATGACCTCGTTGCGCTCTCGGAGGACGAGGACGCAGGCCAGTCGGCTGAGGGGGATGATGTCGGCGCATTTCTGAGCGCAGGGGAGGAGGATGAACCTCGAACAACAGGAGCGCAGGGTGCGACCATGAGTGCCAGTGAGAAGAAACGGAAACGGCGGGCGAAAGAGAAGGAGCGCAGGGCGAAGGTATGTGACCATGAAACGTCAGTGGAATGGAGACTGACATACCTTTTGCATCATCCGTCGCCTTCAGAAACGCCGACTTGCCGAAACACTGGATCCTGTCGAGGCACCCTCTGTCGCTGCCCAGCCTTCAGTACTTCTAGCGGATTACCTGTCCTCCATGCAAGCGAAGACATTCGCGAAGATGTCGAGTATCGAGTTGGCGGATGTTCAAATCCCTGGTACATATGTCACGGTTCTCTCTCGGAGCATGCTCTTAATGTTGACGCCTAGGCAGAGAGTTCGATAGTGGACACCACGCAATGGACTGGGTCCAGGAATCTGGACCAACTGGTGGATTTCATAACCAAGAGTGCGTCTTGCTGTTCCCACCTTCGGGTATACATGTTTACCGAGCCAGCTACAGTGGTACCCACACTGCGTACTCGTTTGTCGCAGAGACCCAAGTCCAACGGGTCGCCGACGTTGATATTTCTGGCTGGAGCGGCGCTGAGAGTAGCGGACGTCACACGAATACTTAAGGACAAGAGATTGCGTGGAGAGAAGGGTGGAGAGATCGCCAAGCTGTTCGCCAGACACTTTAAGCTCGAGGAGCACGCCGCCTACTTGCGCAGAACAAAGATAGCTGCAGCTGTAGGCACGCCGGGCCGGCTAGGGAAGCTGCTGTGCGAAACAGGTACGCTTGCGCGGAGTTGCTCACAGTTGCTCACGGATGCATGCTCACGACTGGCTGCTGTACAGACGTGCTTTCCACCTCCGCGTTGACGCACATTATTCTCGACGTCTCATATCAGGACGCGAAGAAGCGCGGCTTACTGGACATTCCTGAGACCAGGGACGAGGTCTTCCGGACGGTCTTAGGTGCACCGAAGGTTTTACAGGGTCTTATGCAGGGGAAGATCCAATTAGTGTTGCTATGAATACATTAGGATGTCTTGCTACTAAGCATCGCTGCGAGTGTAGAACATGCATAGTAATGCAACTGTTTGTTGCATGCTCGATATCCGTAACTCAGAAACCCACAGGGCTTTGCCGCAAAGTCAGCTGAAATGCGAGATGAGTATTGAATAAACATATCGCGCCGGTCATGCTCACCCGAGTCCACTTGGGAACCTTGTGGATGCCCTTCCGGTAGCCCCTTGTGTGCCGAGTGAAGACCGTGTATTTGTCCCTGGGTGCCATTTCATGCTCTTTGGGGAGCTGCAGAGCTTTCGTCTGTGTACAAGTGTGAACGTACATCCTACAGGAGCTTGAATCGACACTTACGAGAGAAGCACATTCAACCCCACTTGCCCTGACTGCCTCGATGACTGCGTCCACCCTCTTCAGTCGTGTCCTGGCATTAGCTTTGCGAGTACTCGACAACTTCCACGGGACCTTCCTGTCTGACGCATTAGCAGGTTAACGACGTCTATAAGAGATCTCTTCTCACCAGAGGAGGCCGCTAAGACTTGGCTGTGTTGCCCTGAACGCCCCGAACATGCTGTCCCCAAGTCGCCGTACAGAGCTGAGCGTGCAACTTGCAGGTCGGTGGCAGAAATTTGCTGACTAAGCCGCGTCCCGGCAGTTCTCGAGCGCTTGACGCGGACACTGCGACCTCGGCGACCTCGTCTGCTCTCGCTCACTACCATCGTCGTCAGTCTCGCCGAGATGAGCGCAGTTGACATACAAATGATGTCCCCTCCGCTGCTTAACGGTGGTGGGCACCCAAACGGCCACGGCGACTTCAACGGTGTATCAAGGGAACCCAAGTTTGCCAGTGGACTCATTCTTCCTCCTCCGGAGATCAAGTGTGCGTATTTCGTCGCGCGATACTCAATACAAGGAGGTGGCTCACTCCACTATGCAGCTGTTATTGACCGGACTGCCGCTTTGTTGCGAAGTCTGCCAACCCTCCTCAATTCGAGGACAAAATCCGCGAGAACCAGCGTCAGGACCCGAAGTTCTCGTTCCTCAACCCCGCCGACCCTTACCATGCTTACTACAGGCATCGTATGGAGAAGGTGATCCGGGGAGATTTGGATGACGAGCCGGCACCTGGAAAAGAGGAGAAGAAGGCGGACAGCGTCGCCCCCGAGCCTGAGGTCGACCGAGGAGTAGAGCCCCCGGTGCCTGAGTTTATACTCGATATTCCCAATATCACTGCCATTGATCTGTACGCTTATACCTCATCCATGTCTCTCTGTCTAACTAATAATATTGAATAGGGACATAATGAAGCTCACTGCTCTATTCACTGCGCGTCGCGGTCGAGCATTCCTAGCCTCCCTCTCCGCTAGGGAAGGACGGAACTACCAATTCGACTTCTTGAGGCCCACTCACTCGCTCTTTGGTTACTTCAATCGGTTAGTAGAGCAGTATTCGAAGGTTCTCCTCCCTAGTAAGGAGATGTTGGCGCAGTTGAAAGATCGCACACAAGAGGGCGCCCGCTGGAAGGAGCTCGAGATCGCCCGCAAGCGCGCTCGGTGGGAGCAGGTCAAGCGGAGAAGGAGAAGAAACGCGAGGACGACAAGGAGGCGGAACAAAGTACGTTCAGTGCGCCTATGTAATTCCTTGAGCTGACATTCCTTAACAGTTGCTTTCGCTGAGATTGACTGGCATGACTACGCGATTGTCCAGACCATTGAGTTCACCGCTGCTGATGCCACTTCTGAACTGCCGCCGCCTATGAGCGTGCAGGAGGTCGAGAACATGACGTTGGCCCAGAAGAGGATGGCAGCCATGGTTATGGAGACAACCGCTGAGGATGTCGAGGCACATCGCGCTCGCCAAGCAGCTGCAGAGGCAGAAGCAGCTGCGGCCGTTAGCAGCGCTGGAGTGGCTCAGGAAGACGCCGCTATGGAGGAGTCCGACGACGAGGATCAGGAAGCACAGGACCGCCGCAGACGCGAGGACGATGAGCGGGCGCGGGAAGTCGAGAGGGCACGGGCTATTCAGGCCAACTCTTTGGATGCTGGTGCTCCGATGAAGATCAGGACGGACTACGTGCCGAAGGGTACGTACACCTCTGCGCGTTACGTACGTAACTGCAAGTGCTCATTGTTATTCTCCAGTCGGCAAGAAGTCTTCCGAGAGGATGACGACATGTACAATCTGTGGTCAGCAAATCCCTGTCGACGAACTCCAGGAGCACATGCGTATAGAGTTACTCGACCCAAAGTGGAAGTCGCAGCGGGACGCCCTGGAGGCCCGCAAGGCACAGGCCTCCGAGCTGCAGCGTGGTGCCAATGTCGTATCGTCCCTCAAGAACCTTGCGCGCACGCGTGTCGATATCTTCGGCGCGGAAGCAGACGAAGAGAAGCGCAAGAAGGAAGAGGAAGAAGAGCGATTGCGTCGGAGGGAGAGAGAAAAAGTTATCTGGGATGGTCATACCGCATCCAAGGCCAACACGCTCGACAAGTACTCCACGAATGTCAACTTCGACGAGCAGATTGCTGCTATTCATCGGGCCAAGGGTCTTGGACCGTGAGTGATACATTAATGTGTCCGGGACTACATACTGACCATTTCCCCCATACAGGCAAGAAGCTGGGGCAATTGGCCCTGGAATTGGGCCCGCCGCTGCCCGGCACCGATGACTTCTCTTCCTCCCCCTCACACATCCTTGCCTGCCCCGCCTAACCAGGGTGGTGCCCCGGGAGACCCTGCCTACTCGGCAGCCACTATCTCCTCGGGCCCCCAACCTGCCTCCCTATACCCTCCCCAGCCCCCGCCTGTCATGCTTCCGCCTTTGCACTACCAAGGGATGGATGCGGCTCAACCGTTTGGTTACCAACCTCCGCCTAGCGCGCCGCCTATGATGCATCCTGCTCGTGCGGCGCTCGCAGGATCGCCTGGGGCTGTCGGCACACCGCCTCAAACTGGGATGGTCCGTACGGCAGACCAGATGGAGGGCGGAGCGGACCAGATCCCTCCTGCGAAGCGGCAGAAGATTGCGAAAATTCCGGGCACGACGCTGTACCCTGAGGAGGATTGGATTAACATGCATCCGGTAAGGCAGTAAATGGCTGCACCGCCGTATACTCACTGACTTCTGTCGTCTTAGCATCCGATTTCTCTGGTCATCCAGTTGCCCAACGAGTCGTCTAAACCGGAGTGGAAGCTCGACGGACAGGTGGTCACCGTCCCCGACATTCCGCTCAACCTCCTGGTATCCACGCTGCGAGACCGCATCTTGCAGTACCTCGGCAACCCTCCAGTGCCTCTTTCTCGTATTCGGCTGTCTTACGCTGGGCGGATGTTGCCCAACCAGAACACTATCGCGAGCCACAACATTGAGGATGAGGACCTCATTGTTCTGAGCCTCAGAGATGCGAAGAAACGGTAGCCTTTCATTCCGACGCTCGGTGTGCTGTTCCTTTTGCTCCTTCTGTTTCCGTAGTGTATACGGGTCGAATGCGACTTGTGTTCTTGTTAAAGATGGTGTTGTTATTATGGTGGATTGTCACTTGATGTGTGAGTACGCGCGCGTCAAGTCAGCACGGTGACCACTCAACGTACGATGCCGACTCCACGAGGATACTAAATTCCAAGGTGAAATGCGAACGACAAGATCCATATATATCCCGATATGATACACTAGAGATGTTATACAGAGGCGTCCCAGGATAGCTGGGCCCCACAATGCTAATACTGACTGTCCCATAGCGGCGAGGAGATGACGAGTGGCGAAATATTAAGGAGCGATGCTCGATGCTCAGAAGACCCTCTTCGCGATCAGCGCAAAGAGGAGAACGAGTAAGACGCAGATGGCGGTGTCCAATAAGACAGGCGGGCGAGTGGAGGAGCTCTGGGCAACGCCGTCGCGCTTGGGCCCGCTAGCCTGCTGCGGTTGTGCTGATGAAGCGCCGCCGCCAGGGTGCGGCGAGACGGACCGAGGGGTAGGAGGGGTGTCGATGGGGTGGTAAGGATCGATGGGGGCGGGCTAGGGCGCTGGGGCCGGGGTGCGAGGATGGGCACGGAGGGAGAGGCGGCGTCTACTCGCGCGGGCGGCGGCTCGTCGGCAGATGCCTTCTGCTTGACGTCTGTGATTACAGCAGGCGTGGCGGGCGTGGGTGGGACGGGCGACGCCGCTGGCGCTTCTGTGACGGACGGTCCAGCACGGCCGGCGTCGGACGAAGGGTCTGGTAACAGCGCCAGGTTCGAGCAGTTGCAGTTAGGGCATACCCACTCTCGAGAACTGGAAGACGGGCTTGTGAGATGCTTCGTGTGATGAGGATAACGGGAAACGTACAGAGCCGCTAGACGCTTGCGCTCCGCGACTGGGTACTCGAGTGCTCCAACGCCGACCGCTGAGGTGCCTTTGAGCGGGAAGAAGCCTTGTAGACCAACAATGGCTGTGATAACAACTAGTCAGACACGATGAAGAGCAAGGCTCAACCGTGTACATACCTGTCCGTACGCCCCACGCCGGTTGCCATAGCTCTTCGTGATCTGTATCTACTTTAGTGGCGGTGCCAACCGTGACGACTGGGAAACATACAATTGGTAAAGCTAATGCAGATCTACACAGACATAGTTCAATGCCGCCGCTCAACGGCATTGGCAGGGTAGGAGTAAGCGTACCTTGGTGTTCAACTCAACCGCCCGTTGGGCGTGAGCATCATGATCGACGGCGGGCGGAAGGGGTACTCCGCAGGCAGGAGGATGCGGAAGTGGTAGACCCCGCCCTCGAACTCTGTCCCAGCCGGACCGCGCAGCGTGCAATGCCACTCCTAGCAACACACGAAGTCGGGGTCGGTAGACATTCACTCACGGAGCGGAAAGACTTACAAAGATGTCATCCTGCATTTCGTATCCCGTGTCAATCGTCGGCAACCATACTAGAGCGCAAGCCTACCTCCAGTGGCGCCGCAGAGTAGTCCGTACACGGGTCGTTAGCCAGCTCCCTGGCCTCTTGCATGATACGCTTCACGGCTGTGCTTCCGGTCAGCGCACGCGATGCACCCCCACACAGGCTCGCCGCTCACCCGAGTTATTCTTGTTGAGAGGCCTGCCATCTCGTACGTGTAGAAAATAGTGAACAGTAGGTGGTGAGGGGAGGAGAAGGGGGTCGCCGGTGTTGAGCGGGTTCAGTCGAGCGAGCCAGAGCTTGGATGCGGCCGTGTAGCCGAGATCTCAGCAACGTGGAAGGCCAATCATGTGATTCAGCCCCGTCGGGAATTGCCCAACTCGCCCTGGGCGCTTGTGCGCCGTCTGCACCAAAGTTCAGCCAGCCAGCTCGTGGACAAGTCCGGCCCCGGCGGTCCCTCTCCTCGTTCTCGTTCTCTACCGCGCTCGCCAAGCACACCTGTACAGCTCGTAGGAGGGAAACAGGTCGCCCACCATGCAGTTCAAAAAGCTCAAGGTGCGGCCGCGCAAGGGTATGTGCTCGTTTTGTTCTCGCCCTGCTCAGCGCTGCTGACGCTTCCAACAGAGGCCAATCTGACTGTCTGCGGCCCCCAACTGGCGCTGATGCTGAATTGCTTTACGGCGAAAAATGACATCCACGGAATGGGTCCTTGTCAGGACTCGGCGAAGGCGTTGTTCGATTGCATGAGGACCGTGGTGCGTCTGCCGCCTTGATTCCGGCTGCATGCTCATGCATGTGTGGACAGGACTTGGGGAGAGCAAAGCCAAGAAATACCATCAACTACCATCTCATGCGACTCAACAAGTTCCTCAAGTAGACGTATCACTCCCAATCGACTGGGCCCCATTTGCGTCCATAAGGGCACTGGTCAACGCGCCCAATCCCACCATACGGCATGCGAGGGAACCACCTGGGGAGGCTCTCGCAGGACCGCCGGGCGCATTGACGACTGCGAGTCAGTAGACGAATGTAACACATGCACAGCTTACGAGCGTGGCGAAGTGTCGTCGAAGTCATGATACATTCATAATTGCTATTCTGCGAGACAATTGCGAGATGGTATGGTATAAATACAAGGGCAGATCCTCCGAAGACGAACAGGTCTCGGATGAAGTCGCGGGCAAGAAGAAACTACGAACGTCACAAATCGGCAGGAGATGAGACGAAAACAAGCAGCAACCGCAGACCTCCATCAACCTCTATCCTTATCAGTCCAAACAGGAAGACGTACATCCAGACGGCGACAGTACATAACGTGATGAGCAAGTACTGCTCATCGCGATCCGAATGTGTTCTCTCCTGAGTAGCTGACGTATAAGAACCCGTCCTCGTCCCTGGAGCAGACACATGTCGTCAGTGGACTTTATAGGAAGTGGATGCGAGGTAGCGCACTTGTGCTCCTCGTAGATTGCGCTCATCAGTGCTGCAGTTGGTGGGAGCACCTCATCGACGAAGATGAAGATGGCCTTCTCGGGCGCCAGCTTGATGCGCTTCCGGATGACATACACGAACTGCCCGACAGTGAGGTCCTGCGTTGCGAGTCAGTGTGGCGTCCCCCAGCGCAGCGACTACGACACCCACTGATGGGACCAGATACTTCTTCTTGTCTATTGTCGGGATGTCCGTCTTGTCTGCCTTCTCGCAGATGACCTAATGCCATAAAGATAGGGCTGAGCCAGGTGGCCACCATCGCACACGACGGCACGACATACAGGTATCCTATCGGGGTACTTCTGCCTGATGCGCTCTGCCTCTGCCTTGCGCTTCTCTGTAAGCAGGACGAGCCCGATGAGCGTCGATCGTCAGCGGACATACGCGCCACGCGTACCGAAGGGGTGCTCGTCCTTGAACTTGGACCTCATTCTGGCGGTGCGAGCGGCGATGTGAGTGGTTGATAGACGACGAGGGGTGCAACGGCGGTGGTGGATGGGTGGCAAGCGGGGTGTGCGACTGGACAGTGAAGTAGTCGTCAGGAAGCCGTGCGCCGCAGGGGAGGCGCGACCCGCGTGGGCGTGACTCGGGAAACAAACCACAACAGCGGCGTACAACCGCCCATATATGGCAACCTGGGCTCTACCGAGCCGTCGGTCGCGACGAGGCCGAATCGCTCTTCCGCGCACCCCGCCTCTTTTGTCCTGCGCGTTGATGCACCCATGAGTCAGACTTGTCGCACCCGCCTACAATGGGCAGCCTGAGAGCAGGTCCCCAGATATTCTCATATAGTCCGCTCGGACTCCTCACGCGTCGCCTGTGCTATATAAGCCGCTACTAGGGTAGCTGAGAACGACACCAATGGCATTTGGCATAGTATTAGGTGTGTCTGGAATTCACCTATGCGCAATCCTCGATGACCGTTGTGCTTACTCCAGAGCTGAAGTGGCTACAAATGTCAGCCGCCTGGCCAGGACTCGATGGGCTGAGGGTCAGAGGCATCGACTCTCCTCAGGATTGCCAGCCCCAGCCCCAGTGCCCTCAATGGAAGGTACCGCCGTGAATAACAGGGGGCGGGTGATGGCGCATCAGAGACGCATCACTGCCCCGCGTGGCCCAGCGTACTTTCATTGTCCTGTTTTGTCGGCCCGTCCCAAAACGCTCACCGAAACATCAATGCAGTCAGCGCAAAATCCGCGTACCCGACGATCGACGGCCAGATCTGGCTTTGACCGTCGAAAACGAACACATCCGCGAACGCATGTGCCTCGTCGACGTGTGAGGCTCACGCTTTGACTTCGGGTCGCGTTGACTGGTGCTTTGTCCTGAGCCACAGCGCAGCAACGGAGTATAAAGTCGGCTGTCCGTGTGCGGACCCCCTCGGGAATCTCGTGCTAACTCTTTGGAAGAGCCTCAGCTCCTGCTGGAACGACCACCATCTACGACCTAACGACCTTCTGTAGCGCTATCCGTCTCATGTCTGTCTCGGCAACTAACAAGTCTCTCGTTTATCTCGCTTTACGGTTATGTGTACTATGTAAGTGAACACGCTTGCTCAAGCAGTCGCTGTCTCACAAAGACGTACAGTACTCTCTTTGGCTTTCAACGCGCTGCTGGTCGGTATGTCCGCGATGGCGTTGTCGTTTGGTACCGGTGGAGGTAATGCCACACACGCAGGGAATGGACGTTCGACTGACAACTGAGGATGCAGGTTATGAGGTTATTTCGACGATCCTTCACGTCTTCGCGGCCTTGCTGGTGTTCCTGCGGTAGGCCACACGCAATCCTCAACATTCGCTGCCCTGCTGACCTGAGATTGCAGCACGATATACATATTCCGTGTGGAAGACCAAGGCAGCCGTGGCTGTCTCATGATGGACGGCTCCATCTGGTCGTTGAGTCTCAGTACGTCATCAAACAACCCTCGTTGCATGAAACGACTGACACTTGGACACAGTGGGTTGTATCCTCCTCACTATTAGAGCTGCACGAAACTCCGGCCTCGTCCAAGATTACTCCGCTCTGACTGACGCGCGTAGTGTGGTGGCCGCTGTCCTCACCTTGGCATGGCTAGTCTTCTCACTAGGTGCGTCAGTTGCATTCCACCTTCTCGTGCTCATGCTCACAGCGTATCTAGCGTCCTTTGGTATAACACTTGACCTGCTTGAGCCTCACCGGCCCGCGCGCATCACACCATTCGTGCCTTATACGAGCCCTCCCCAAAGGCACCGGGTTGTCTTCCACAAGAATCACCGCCCGCTGAAGATCATCGAGTTCCAGAAGGACACCAACCCGTACTACTGGAAGCAGCAGGCTACCAGTACTAAGGAGCAGCAACCACGCGCTCCGAAGCCGGCGTATGCGCGTCCGACTCAGAAGCAACCGGTGCGGATGGATGTGGGATGGTCCATGGCTTAGAGAGCCTGGGTACGTACTTCGTCCTCGTAGGAGACGAACCATTCGAATTTCTGCCCGTCCTGGTATAGGTTATTTGTGATATGACGTAGTTTTATCTCTGCTCGTGTGCAAGTACGCGTGTACCGTATGTACCATTATCTCTGAGCACGTTTGATCAGTGCATACATCTAAGAAGCGGGTGACCTCCTGAGCTCGTGAGTTTACATCGTACGGACCAAAAGGTTAGTAAGTTAGTACAGTACACTGCTATACACATCTCCGGAACCGGTCCAGCCCCTCAGCTCTGCGAAGAGCTCGCAAAATTCGTACTGTACAGATCGCCATGCGCGTCCAATTCCTTCCAGTATTCGTCCCATTCATCGCCGCTCCCATCCTGCGGCCCCTCTTCCGCTTCCGCGACCGCCGCCTGTGCCCCTCCCACGTCTCCTGCGAATGGACTGGATGGCAGGCCATCACCCTCGATAACACCCATGTCGAACGGCGACACTCCGTCAATGGTGGGAATTTGCGTGGGCACCGGCCTCCGCGCAGAAGGAGGCGGCATGGTGCTCTCCGGAGCGACGTCTTCAGGCAGCGTGGTTATACCCTCCTTGCGCACGACGTAGTCGAGAGCCGCCGGAGGACCGACAGAGCTGAAAATGACGTTCAGCCGCCTGACGCGGATGGGCTGGGCGACGGTGGCCTGCGGCCTTTCGAGCCGCGGACGCTTCGCTGCCCGAGAGTCGTCCTCGTCGAGGACACGCATCCGCTCTGTACGGCTGAGCATCACTCTCACGTTGATCTGGTTGGCCCAGACGAGGCCCAAGCTCGCCTCCTTGCGGCTGCCGCCGGGTACGTAGTCCGCCCTGCTGAACAACCGCGACTGCTCGCGGTAGAGCACCTCGTCCGGCCTGCCCATGTCCGCGTCGGCGCTTTGCTCGAACACGTCCACGACCTCGTTCAGGACCAGCACGGCGATCTGGTACTTGCTCGCGATGCCGTGCAGGAGCGCCGAGATCTTGGTGAGGTCCTTGGACCGCTGGAAGAGCGTGTCCTTCGAGACCCGGTCGTGCGAGTGGAACAGCTCGGTCAGCGCGTCGATAACGAGCAGCTTCACCGGCTTGCGGTCGCGCTGAGATAACAGCTGGTCCAGGAGGTCCGGCAGACGTCTGGAAAGTACGTGAAGGAGAATAGGGATCCCGGGGGCTTTGATGGTGTGTACGTCCGATAGATCACATAGAGAAGGCGAGAGGAGTGGGTGGTTGTCCCTTATGTCTATAAGGCGAGACGTAGGGAGGAGAGTCGTGACCGTCACGTAGCACGTAGAGCCCGCGATGCCTCCTAGCCTAGGAGGGAGCTGGACCATCAAAGATAGCTGGAGAGCGAGTTGTGTTTTACCAGCAGCGCTGCATATTGTCAGAGTATGAGAGGTAGTCAGTGTCCGACGCGTACCTCTCGCCAACGACTTCCCAGAGCATCCCCATCCGAACGCCACCACCGAGAGCCTCATCTAGTCGTTCATCTCCAGTAGTAAACTTTTCATCCCCTTCACGTTGGACATCCTCTAGAGCGCGAGGCTGTTTCGCCAATGCATGGCAGACCGTGTCCAAGATTTCCTCAACGTCTTTTACGGACACCCGAGCTTTCCTGGCGACATCAAAAGGAGACGCGAGCAGCAGGTCTGCTACATTCACAATGCCACCTACGCAGAGTAATGCATTCTCTGAGTTGCATGGTCATGCATAGTGCTCAAACACTAACCTTGTTTCAATACGCCCAGTTGTTGGCTGGAAAGTGCAGCGATGGACGAGACTGCCTGGAACTCCATGAACTCTCACCAAATCCCATCACTCAACGAGGCGTCCAATGCTTGTAAGGAGACGCCTCTGGTCCAAACCCTCTTCAGTCGCTTCGAAGCTGCTCATGACGGATACTGCCAGACAATAGACCTGCATGCATTCTCACCACAAGCGCTCGCCTATGGCGCCTAGCGCGATCATTGAGGATTGTCCTTCTGGGCTCGACGTTCATGCAACGTTCAGGGACCAAGACAAAATAGCATGTACATTCATTCGAGAACTCATACAACCAAGAGCATAGGGTAACTCCCAAAGTCCTACATCCAGGTATCACAATACCAATTCTGATGGCAGTATCAATGACTATTCTCAGGAAGGTCGTGGCCGGTTGGCAATGGACTGTGACGACTGAGTCCTGTTCAGCAGGCCTCCAACAGCGTTGGTGACGGCCTCCGTGATAGGCCTCGATTGTGCCTCCGCGTGTTTCACGAGGAAGAGCCGCACATTGGTTGAATTCCAGATGCCCAATGGGCTCATTCCGCGGACATAGACCTCGCCCCAGATCAGGGACGTGAGCCAGATGATAGATGCATCCGACCACTACACGTCGCGTTAGCGTAGAGGACATATGTGTGTGTTTCTGAATGACTTACCACGAAGCGCCGCGCTGAGAGAGGGCCCGGCTTCGGTAAGATGTGTTCAAGATTCGTACTCTTGATGAGGTCCACAACAGCACCATTCGCGTTCGCTGGGTTCAGTGAACTCTGCAGTTCTTGTATCTTGGGAAGGAGCTCGGATACGACGAGCATGATGATATCGAGTGGCAACCTGATAGAGGTACTTAGCGAGGATGAACGGCAGACGGACTCTGGTCTTACCCTTGTTGCCACGATGTCACCCATTCTTGCGTGGGCACAAAGCCGTTGCGACCAACTGTGGAAGCCGCAAGGCTCTCAAGGCTGCCCGTCATCTCCAAAGACAGTGCCATCCCGGCCCTCATCTTACCCCTGGCCTTCTCCGACCGCTCTGTTGCTCGCCCACTCAGAGGATGCTCCGAGAGAGTCGGTGACATCAGAGGCATAGCGGTCACAGCGTCGTCTTCTGAGTTCGATCTTGTGTTGGCGGCCGAGTCGGCATTTGTGGGATAATCAGCGTTGCTCTCATTGCGCAACAGCCTCGCCTTCTCTTCGTGAGGTTGCTCTTCGTCCTGGTCATTCGCCCTGCCTTTGCCCTTGTCGGCATTAGCTTCTCCCGCCCTCGCTCGTTCCTCCTTGGCCTGCTGAATACGGCGGATCTCGCGCAGACCTCTGGCTAAGGTGAATGTACCGAGACCCTCAAATGCCTTGTGCGCATGGAGGATGCCGTACACCAGATTGGGATTGTCGGATAGGTTCCGCAGCAGTACCGAGTTGAACGTCTCAAGCCTGTTTATACTCAGTCATGCCTCGTACTCTTTTTTGGAACGAAACTCACATGAAGAAGAGCAGGCGCGGGTGCCCCTCATCTGCTAGCAGGAATGACGGGTTCGAGAAGGCGGTGAAAAGCTGAATGAGGCGCGTCGATGCTGTAACACTCAGGTGTTTGAAATAGGGCGCAGAGTTCGAGAGTGCGATGATCAACGCAGGGTAGAGGGAGGTCAGAGCACCCGACGTGGTCGCTACCATGGAATAGATCGCCTGAATACTCCGTCAGCAGCTGAGCACGCCGATGCATAAAGCACCTGACATGTATCATGAAGTCTGCCGCAGTGCCTAGATTGCTCCATTTCTGGGGAAGTTGGGTCTTGACTGGCGACGCAAGCTTCTGCCCAAAAATACGCTCCGCAGAGATACTCTGCACGATATACGATATCGTACGGCAAAATCCGTGTTGTTCTGACGCACAGTGAGACTTTGCATGCAAGAGATACGTTGAAGAAACTCACGCGGCTTATCCTTGATCTCGATCCCATAGCAAAGTAAGTAAGCAAGTATGTCGGTGGCTTTGTCTGAGTCGAGCACGTAAGCGCGGAATTTCTGTCCGACAGTCAGTGTCGGATGTCATAGTCAACAGGAGGCAGGCATTGTACCTTGTTCAAGTCTATCATCTTCCAGAAGAAAATGACTGTGGGACATGTTTGCAGCGAACCTATTGGCAGAGCGGAACACACGTACTGCTTTCAGCAATATACGGGATTGACTTTCTAGACCCCGGCAGCAGATTATTCATGGTAGCCATCTGCTGTTCGAAGATTGCAACAATGCCTTGGAATATGAACGCGAAGTCGTTGGAGCGGTGCTGCGAGCCATGTCAATGAATGATACGTCTCTGGCTCTCGTGACACGCACCAGCTTAGCAACGAAATACCTGAATGCGTTGGTCTTCGAGGTTGGCGCATGAGACGACCCGCCTTCACTGTCTGCGACTGCGTCCTTTGCAGTCCCACTCTGGAAGTCAAGGAGGGCGCAGAGGGTCTGGAGGCAGGTTCCGATGAGGGCAGTATGCGGGTCGTCGCCCTTGAAGACGAGGTGGTTATAAGGCAATTTACCCGCAACGCTTCCTACAAAGTTAGCGACGCCGGCTTGTGGCGAATGCATAGCAGTGTTCATGAGCGAACATAGTACAGAGAGGACATGGCGTCTTGGCGTCTTCTGTACGAACTGGAGGGAGTAGAGAGACGGACACGTAAAGAGCGCAGCAGGCGGCGTGTATATTTGTTTCGAGAGGAGCACAAGGAGAAGTCGCAGTACTTCCGTTCGGTTGGACTCGTATAGCTGGCTGGGTCCTGGCTCAACTGTTGATCCAACGCCTTTCTCCCTACACAATGCATGTAAGAATAATCATCGTCTTCTAGGTACAATCCAGCATACCAGATGACATAGCTAATCTTGTAATGGTCCACCTGGAGCTTAGTCGGTAGAGTGAAACCGCAGCAGAACATGAGGTCGATACACAGCTGAAGAGTTTCTCTGCCAGAGATGGGAGGTACTGCCTCTGCTTTGTCTCCTTTGTCCGCCCTTTAGTGGAGGAGCCAACCTGACCTTCACCGTCCTCATCCTCTTCGTCGTCGATGACGAACTGTGGGTCGCTATGGGACGAGGACACAACACTCTGCGCAGTCACTTCTTCTCTCTTCCAGAAGACCTCCATCTCGAGTCGACTCGTCTCGCTCTCAAGCTCGAAGATCACCGGAAGGACACGCTGCAGAACTCGTACGCAATTCAGCGCCTCCTTGGTAGTGTTGCGCGGACTGGCAGCCTTCATGAAGCTGGTAGCAAAGGTAGTCATTGATGTGTTGGGGGCGCTGGGGAAAGTGTGGTCCGACACAAGGTTGAAGAGGCGGGAAGTTATGACGCGTATCAACATCGCGACGTTCTCTGGCGCATCATACAGCGCGCGACGGACTGTAACAGGCGGTCAATAGAATGAGCTTCCTATTCTAGGCAGTGTACGCACCATCGTTGTGTGAAATGAGAGTGAACACATCCGACGCTGAATCGAACAGAGTGACATACTGCGGGCTTATGAGAAACCACTACACTGTCCGAACGTGCGCACATACTTGATCCCAATATGAGTCGGTCTCTAGGATGTGCTAAGAAGTGCAAGTTTCAGACCGCTTATATCCCGGGCATGAATAGTTCGTTCACATACACGAGTTGTGGCCAACTTGGCGATGCCCCCGGGTTGGCTGCGGAATGCAAGCTTAGCCTCGTCCCCGAGCAAGTTGAAGGGCACTGTGATCTTCTGGGGTAAGCTCGCCAGCATCTTCGACAGTGTTTACCGGTCTTTAGGATGTGTTCGGGTAGGCCAGGCTACTAATAATGAGGAGAAGTTGAGCGCTGGATGCTCTGGCGAGGTCGCTGCGCCGCCTGAAGCGGTCCATAGGCGGGCGCTAACTGCTCACGATCACACCCACGTGGAGCTACTCACGGTGCAGTCACCAACTGCAGTCAATTGCTCTAGTTCTGCTCCAAACACCGATTTTTGACACGGTGAATAGAGTGCTTAGAGCGATCTTGCACCCATAGATCTCGACCCTCCTATCAACAAGCGCAGATGGGTCATATAGTAGTGTTAACTTCCACACCGTAACCGTGTCCCCTCAGGACCGGAAGGATGACCTCTGGATCTAGCATACGTCGCATTGCACGTTTTCACCTTCCTCTGGCACCGACGTGAGTGAGGATCCGCTAGCTATGCTCTCGGCCATGATGATGACTCGGAAGATTCAGCTACATATTCATCTTGGGCCAGGGCCAGGCTGGGATACGCGGTCACGTGACACGGCAATTGTCGACAAATGCGTTGCATCCGCGACATGGACAATGGACATCCGTTCCTCCGATATAGTGGGGTGGTCTCGAGTGCGTCACATCCGCAAATCAAAGTCACTCTGTACTTTCCAAAGCTGGTCAAGGATGCTGCGCGACTCCACTTCGACGCGGATATGGACAGACGGCGGCGGACCAGGTTGCAAGGGACGCGTGCATAAAGCCGACCCCACCGACTCGACGATGTATCCACACACTTCCACCCCACACACGTCCACCCCGACCCCAGCACACCTGCACCTATGAGTTTCGGACCATTCTTCCGCTCTGTTGCTGGCCCACAGGAACAAAGACGACACTCTGCTCCCGACATCTTCGCGGTCTTTCGGCCTCACACACGCGAGAAGCGAGGGGATGGTGAAGCTACCAGCAGGCTAGGGGCATCCATTTTTGGTGGTCGGCCAAAAGTGCTACGCAGGACAAGCTCTACGCCAATGCTAGCGACGGAGCCGGACATCGCTGCTGCTCAGGCCAACGTGCCGATATTCGTCGATCTCGGCCTCGGACAACTGCCCATTAACACCTCTTCACGCCGTCATCAGGCACAGGCTGTGAGTACCAATTTAGACCTACAAGCGGTTCCGACAGAAATTGACGTATACCAGTCCCCCAGAGCGCACATTGGCCTCGGACTCGGACTGCCAGTAGACGATGATGCAGATGGCCAGCTCATCAATCTACTGCCCGGACCACTGGCACCGCATCCAACAGGCGTGGTTTCCCCTGCCAGGCTTACCAGCCATCGGACGGTTTCCGAGGAATCGCTCGAGTCATATACCGTGTCGCCGCCTGGCCTACCCGTCTCGCTCCCGAACGAACGTGTCGAACAATACTCGGCCGAAGCCGAGCTATTCGAGGAGGTGCCGGACGTAGTGGTCATCGCACCAGAGGATGAGCTTGACATCATTGCTGTCGAAGTTGTTCCTCCTACTCCGGCCGCGACATCGGATATCCTCGACATGCTGTTCAGGCCGACAGATCAAGATGGAAGCGACATCAGCATAGAGGTTGTTCCCTCCACACCCGTACAAGGAGCGATGCGAACGGATTTCATGGCTACCCCTGGCGCGCCACGTCTACCCCACATCGTCCAGTTCTCATATGATCCCCTATATGCATGACGCACGAGGGCATGTTATTACGGAGGAATGGTCGATACGTTTTTATGTATCCATCCGTCGATCTCAATGATTGAAGAGTGCATTTTGCTTTAGTCCTGAGTTTACGTCGAATGATTGTCTGCGTGATCTTCGAGGACGAGAACGGGGTATGCAAGTGTCGAATATTTGAAACCACAGCTTGAGTAGGCCCACATGTTGGAAACAATCACATCATTACTCCCATAGCCACAGACAACAGAACAAGATGTAAAATAACAGCTGTATAATCTACCGTTGCATATCATGTTGCCTCCCCAGCCCCGCCCATCCCATCCACCGCAAACTGCAGAGTCCTTACAGCCAACGTCCGCAAATTCAACAGCACAACCACACCGGTCTTCCTAAACGCAGGCACCAACACGACCCTACACCTCTTCTCCCCACCTTCACCCTCCATGCCTTTCCCTCCCTCCGCCGCGTCGTCCCCATCCGAGTCCACCTCCATCTCTTCGTCTCCGTCACCCCCGCGCCGCTTCCCCCACCCGCGCTCCGAAACGGTCCTCGTTCCAAACGCAGGCTGGTTCCCCACGACGTACACGTCCGGCGTCTCCGCGAGCACGAACGGGTCCTGCGCGAAGTACGGGTGGCACCAGAGCGTATCCGGCGCGGTCGGCGCGAGGTGCCGCCACTTGAGCGACTCGCACGCGAGCGCGAGCCGCGTGTGCGGCGGGGAGGGCAGGTACTTGTACATGTCCTCTACCGGCTGGCCGGACGATACCAGGATCGTCCGCGAGGGGCCGGACTCCGGCGGCGGGGCGCCCTTCGAGGTGGATGCGGAGGCCTTCTGCTTGCCCTTGCCGGTTTCGGGCGCGGGAGGGACGAAGGAGGAGGGGGGCCCGACGCGGATGTAGGTTGGGTTGGTTTCGCAGGAGAAGGAGGCGTACGCGGAGGCGCCGCGGAACATCGCGCGGGGGAAGGGTTGTTGAGGTAGGAGTGTGCCTGCGGGGTCTGAGGCACCGGGTAGGATGTGGACGGGCATCGAGCGCGCGATGTCAAGGAGGTGCGCGGAGAGCGTGAGTGTCGGGTGATGTGAGAAGTTCGCTGGATCGTGGCCGTAGCGGCGCTGTGCGTGGCATGAACGTCAACTGGCGTGCAAGAAATGACCAAATCACACATACCCCTTTACGGTCTCGTTCGACCTTTTCCTTTTCGTCTTCGTTCCCACCGCCGCTCGCGCTCACACTGTGTGAGAACGAATTCCCGGCGATGACCAACCTAGATATTCGGGAGCAAATGGCTTGGTCGTCTGGGCCGCCCGCCTCCCCAGAGAGATATTCAATAAGCATCTGTATTTGCGCATCCGCAGGCGACGGAGCGCCGATCTCGAGCCCGGACACGAGTGCGACCCATTCGTCTCCCTGGCCCTCACCTAGCGCACCTGCCTCATATGAGTCAAATCCCTCGTTCCGGCATGTCATGAAGCCTCACCGTCCACATCCATCGTGCTGTCCTTCTGCTTCTGCTTCGCCCACTCGAGCCCCTTCGACGGCTGAGGCGCCATCCCCGCATAGCACACGTCAACGATCTCGAACTCGCCACCATTCGTCTCGATGCCGAGCACGCCAACGATTACGCCGGTGACAAGGCTCGCGGCGCGGAGGCGCTCGCCGACGAGCACGATGCGCCCGGACTCGTCCTCGAGCATAACTTGGTCGTCGGGGCTGTGGTATTTGTGCGCGGAGGTGGCGCAGGGAGAGAGTGCTAGCAATAGCGACGTTGGGAGCAGTTCAGAGATGATTTAATATGCACGGGCTACATACGTCTCGTCCGATGTCCTCGAGGACGTTTGGCTTGAGGGGCATGTCCATGTAGACCGTGCCTATGATATAGCAGAGCTTGCCTTTGATGACCTCGAGCACTCGAGAGACAAAGACGGGGTTTCCTGTCCAGCGTACAGTCAGAACACGGGGACCGTCCGGACTTCCGGCAAGCCACAAGCGCGACACTCACCCGAGACGTCCTTCCATCTCCGCCTCGCCCTCGCTAGCACGTACTTCCTCAGCAGCTGCAGTCGCGCGAAGTATATGTTTGCATATTGATGCTTGTAGGACCTGTTCGACGCGCTGAGGACGAAAGACGGTGTCCGCTGCGCCGGAGGCAGCACGGACGTCGGTGGCCGCGTGAGCGGTGTCGCGGGAACGGCTCTGCAGAGGCGGTCAGCTCTGCAACAGAGACAAGCCTTAACGCAGCTTACAGAGGGTCGACAACCGACATGTCGAGAGCAAAGACGCGTTCGCGGCTGAGGTGACGCGAGGGTGAGTTAACTAGGCTGGTCGGCTAAGCGAGTGACGCGACGCGAAGACAGGACGCGACCTCCTCGCGTCGCGGGTGCTTGCGCGTGTTTGGCTTTTGACGCGTCCTCGCTTGGCCCGCTTGGCTCGGGCCTCTTCCCAACACCCACACGGTTCAACAAGGAGGTTTACATAAACTGTCACTTCGTGGACGAACGGCGCACCTACGCGTGCATCTACCACAGTACTTACTCCTTGAGCGGTGCGATAGGACAGGAACAATCCGCACATTCGATTCTACCCTGAAGTGCTGGGGCTCTCTGGCAATTGCGCTATGCTTTCAAACGTGCAGGGTGCCCGCTCCCGACGCTCGTGTCGCGCTGCGCTAATGCGTGAGGCGAGTGCCTTCTTAGCACTGTACGCAAGCTGTGCGACCCGGAGTAGGCCATGCTGAGCAGAACAAGGGGTACGTTTGAGCTCCCCGGTCTTTGCCACGCATCACCCTCTCATCCAACTGCTCGCGTTGACTTCGTGACGCTCGCTGCGCACACCCTGAAACTCTGTTTGACCAATACGGCGTTGAACGTCGCCGCTACCGGCCCTTTTGGATTGGAGCTGAACGCTGCTCATCGGAACACCCAGTCCGTAGTGAAGCGCCAACCGCAGCCCATTACGCCGATGCCGGAGCGGCAGACACCTAGGACGTCGTCTCATTTCCCTCACTTCACTAAGTGCCTGTACTGTAAGTTTCGGTGCTGCCTCCTCTTCGCGCATATATTGATTCCGTTCACAAGTCATAGAAGGTTCTCAATTTGTCTCCAAGAGAGAATCCAGAGCGGTCTCAGAATATGACAACGCCGTGAATGGCTGTGCAGAAAGAGGCCATTGAACGCTATTGTTAGCAGCGCGAGAGGGGCGGGGAAGACAGTCGTGATTGGGGCGCTGCCTCAAGGTATGATGGTGGTGATCAGGATAGTGTTCTCGTGCACACGGACGTATAGACTCATGCACGTTCTCTCCACTGACAGCGTCATCAGAGATTGGTGGAAGTAGAACATGGCGTATTCGACTGCGTTGTGGTCTGGCAGCGCCTTGTTCTATGGCTGTCCAGGTCTCGAAGCGCAGGATCTTTCGATGCAGAGTCCCGTGGGGTGCATTGTGTCAGCTCGGCGATAGTTGGTGGATGCACGAGTGACCGCAGCTGGCGATGATGCTCAGGACGTGCGTGTGTGGTTATGACTGGAGCCCAGCCTGGCCTAGCGAGGGAAGGAGTGGCTTTCCGATGGGAGCAGAAGAGCAGGCGCGAGGCAGGCACCGACGCGACGCGTGCACGTGCTGAAGCTCGACGCGTCACGGTGGCTCAGGCTGCGACCGCGCCGCCCATCGTGTCTCTGCAAGTCGACGCGCCCCCATACCTATGTGGCCACCGTCGTGGTTCTGAGCGGTGTCTAGACAGCGGGCTGCGTGGCGGACGTGTTGCGCGAGGGCGGACGCGGGCACGGACGGCGGGCGGGCTGCGACGCGGGCTGAATGAAATAGCTGCTATTTTGACTGATGATGTCATGTCATCCCCGCCACCGTCCAGATCTCTCATCTCTCGACACCTCTATATAAGACCCGACCAATATTGTGAGTCTCCCAATCCCCGCAGCATCGAACCCACCGCTCACCCACCCCCTTCAAGAAAAGCTCACCATGGTTCTGTCAAAGGTCCGTGGTCCTCCATCTCGTTCGCTCCTGATACTGAACAACCCGCAGCATCTCAATGCCGAATCGCTCCTCAAGCAGGCGCAGGACCATCCGAACAAGACCCATGTCCACAGCTCGAACGGACATCAGTTAATACACCCATATGGTGCTCGCTACGGCACGGAGCCGATTCCCAAGTACAAGCTCCCCCGTAAGGTGAGCAAACACAACTCGCACAAGTGTAATGTCATGCTCACTGCATTTTGTCAAGGGCACGGACGCTGAGTCTACGTACCAGCTCATCCATGATGAGCTCACTCTCGATGGCACCCCGCCCTCAACCTCGCGTCGTTCGTCCATACCTGGATGCCCAAGCAGGCTGACCAACTCATGATGGAGAACATCTCCAAGAACCTCATCGACCAGGACGATATCCCATGACGCGTGCGTAATCTACTCAACCATGTAGTTCGACCTAACACAGCTCGCAGAGGTCATCCACACGCGCTGCGTGTCCATCCTCGCCGACCTGTGGCACGCGCCCAGCGCCCACAGCGCCATCGGGACTGCCACCACGGGCTCGTCGGAGGCCATCCAGCTCGGTGGTCTCGCCATGAAGCGCCTGTGGCAGGAGAGGCGCAAGGCTGCGGGCAAGTCTATCCACGAGCCCGGCCCGAACATCGTCATGGGCGCAAATGCGCAGGTCGCCCTCGAGAAGTTCGCCCGCTACTTCGATGTCGAGGCGCGCCTCGTGCCTATCTCTGAAGAGAGCCACTACTGTCTTGACCCCAAGAAGGCCATGCAATACGTGGACGAGAACACCATCGGCGTGTACGTTATCCTCGGCAGTAAGTCACGACAATCACTACAAATGGCGCATATATAAGCATCTTCTGTAGGCACTTACACTGGCCATTACGAGCCGGTCGAGGAGATGTCTGAGCTACTGACGAGTACGAGAAACAAACAGGTGTCCATGTACCCATTCACGTCGACGGCGCCTCCGGTGGCTTCATCGCCCCATTCGCGACCCCGAATCTCAAATACGACTTCCGTAACCCACGCGTCGTCTCCATCAACACCTCTGGGCACAAGTTCGGCCTCTCATACGTAGGTGTCGGCTGGGTCGTCTGGCGCTCACAGGAGTACCTGCCCAAGGACCTCATCTTCGAGCTGCACTACCTTGGCTCGGTCGAGTATTCGTTCTCGCTCAACTTCTCGCGCCCCGCGCACCCGATCATCGCGCAGTACTTCAACTTCCTGCACTTGGGCTACGAGGGCTACAAAGCCGTCGCACTCGACGATCTGAAAAACGCGCGCTTGCTGAGCCGCGCGCTGGAAAACACAAAGCTGTTCACTGTGCTGAGTGACATCCACAGGCCCCTGAAGAAGGGTGCTACTGGCTTTGACGAGGAGGACGTCTGGTATGGTCGTATTGACACACCAGCCTCCGTGTCTAACATCTATACACAGAGCTACGTCCCCGGCTTGCCCGTTGTCTCTTTCCGGTTCTCGGACAAGTTCAAGAGTGACAACCCCGACGTGCAGCAGGTGTGGGTGCAGACGCTGCTCCGCGCGAAGGGCTGGATCGTCCCAATTACGAGCTCGCGCCGGACTTGGAGACGTGCAGATTCTCCGGGTGGTCGTGCGCGAGAGCGTCAGCGCTGTGATGATCGATCGGTTGGTGGCTGACATCGTGAGTGTCCGACTCTGGTCCTGCTATGCGCATGTGATGCTGAGGGTGCGTATAGATGAGGTCACGGAGAACCTGGCGAAGACGGACTCGCCGATGCATGCGCTCAACAGCCTCAAGGAGCGCAAGACCGTCGAGGCCACCATGGCAAGCTCGATCAGGGGTCGGGCAGCAAGTCGAGCGGCACGTACGCGAAGCAGTGCTGAGCGCACGTTGTCGATACAAAAATGTCTTGGCCGAGGCAGGACGGCGCTCTGCGGGATGGAAAGGGAGGCCGTCGGTGAGCTGAGCTACCTCGCCTGTGCCCGTTGTACGTTACGAGGAAGCAGACTACCATGTTGTACTGTTGTATTGATTCCGAGTTAACATTGCACCTGCTGCCAATTACACGCGGGATCAATAATGCCGCACAGACTCTGATCTTTCCATTCGTAAGTCGTCTCAACGGTGTCAGCCCAACGCACCTGTACCTACAGTCCAGTCCGAGGATAAGCCTTCGACGACTCGTCTGATAGTGACGGCCTTAGTCCAGACCCGAGCGCCCACCCCGACGGCGCTCTATGAGCGACGGAAGGCCTTAGCCGACGCCTCCTATGGATATCCACCACACTCGGGGCCGCAGTGCCGACACGCACGTAAGGATGGGTAACGAAACCCACCAGCAGAGGCAAGAGGCGCACGACAGCCTGCGAGAAGAAGGCTCGTGCAGCGCGGCCGCAATCATCATATGACACGGCGACCAGGCCATCGCGCGTTCCGCGGGCCAGGAGCGCGGCGGTACTGTGACCGCGCTGCGCCTCGCGACGACGGGGGCCATCTCCCCATGACCCGGGCGGAATGAACACCTGGGGCTGGGTATGGATTGTGTATTTCCGTGATGCGTGCTCTGGGTCCGCGCGGGATCCCATGGCATGCATATTGGGTCCTGGGCGACATTTGCCAGGCGTACAAAAGGAGAGGGGGGCGGCCTGTCGTAGGCATCGTAGTCGAGCACCTCCAGTGGTAGAGCAAGTAGAACTTGACCGTAGAGGTAGAAGTATCATAGAACGACATGTCGCTCGCCACGAACTTGAAGAGCCTCCGACTCGGCGCCTGCTTCCGCACCGCGGCGTCGCTCCCGCGCGCACGGTTCTCCACCGCACGAGCGCTGTGCGCGGACTTGGACGCGTCGCCGCTCCAGCCGAGCAAGCAGAAGAGCAAGACGGGCACGCTCCCGCCGTACGGCCCCGTCGGCGTCGCGGCCGCGCTCGAGGCCCTGCCCGACCAACGTGAGTACCACTTTCCCAGCAGAGGTCTCACCGTCTGATGGGGCGACGCGCGCACGATACTTAGCGACGAAGGCCACGCTCTCTCGCACGAGTTCGCGCTGACGGACCGCGTCGCGCTCGTCTCGGGTGCGAACCGCGGGTTGGGCCTCGAGATGGCGAGCGCTCTCGCGGAGGCGGGCGCACGCGCGGTGTACTGCGTCGACCTGCCCAAGGAGCCCGGGCCGGAGTGGGCGAAGGTGCAGGAGTACCTGGCAGGATGACGGGCCTGCAGAGCGAGGCGCGCTTGGAGTACGTCTCTGCGGACGTGACGGATCAGGTGCGTTTGTGGCTTGCAATGTGAGAGAGTACGGGCGGCTGATGCAGTCGGTCGGTCGGTAGGAGGCGATCTGGAAGGTGGGCGAGATGATTGGCGATCGGGAGGGGCGGATGGACGCGTGCATCGCTGCTGCTGGTATCCTCAGGCCGCATACGGACTGTCTGCAGTATCCGGCGAAGCAGTTCCAGGAGGTGAGCTTGATCTGTACAGAGCAATCACCGTCCGCCAAGATCTGACGCGGTATTAGGTTATGAACGTGAACGTAAACGGCGTGCTGTTCACGGCGCAGGCGGCTGGAAGGCAGATGCGACGGTTCGGCAACGGAGGGAGCATTACTCTGATCGCAAGCATGAGCGGCTCGATTACGAACAGGGTACGTACCATTCACAAGCAACTGTGCTTGGCCTAACGGATCGCAACACTACAGGGGGAGCGCTGGGTGTCATACAACACCTCGAAATCCGCCGTCCTGCAGATGGCACGGAGCATGGCGTGCGAGCTGGGCCCAGAACGCATCAGGGTGAATACGCTTAGTCCTGGACACATCTACACACAGTGCGTATCAGTGCCAGACGTGTCGTGCGGTTTGACATCCCTAACATGTCCGTGACGCACTCTACACAGCATGACCGCCCAGGTCGTGGACAAGGACCCAGGGCTGGTGGACAAGTGGTCGGACTTGAACCCCATGGGGCGGATCGGGCGACCCGACGAGCTGAGGGGTGTGGTGACTTGGCTGGCGAGCGATGCGAGCACGTTCTGCACAGGTAGCGAGTGAGTACCACTCATTCTATGTGGTTGTGAGCCAGGGCTGTGCTTACTTCGCGGCAGCATAATTGTAGACGGTGGTCACCGGGCATGGTAGACGACATGAGTGTCATTTCTTTTGGGGGTCAACTGGGTTTTACGATGGGTCGTTGTTATCACTGGTCGTTGTTGTCATATCTGCTGTACCTTTAGACGCACAGTACACTTGGGTAGATCAGCTTGCGCTTTGTTCTCTACGGCGTACTGGAGGACGGGGAAACGTCGGCATTTCTCGCGCGACTTGTGCGTCGGGCAACTCGGGGCAGGGAGCCAATCAGATTGCGGTGAATCGCACAGCAGCGGAGCAAGGGCAACGGTAACCGGATGGGTGCGTCCAGTGCGTCCTCCCTCCCGACACGAATGTCTTGGGGGCCGCGACGACGAGCGTATACGACAGCGTGACTTTCTGTAGCACGGAGAAGTCGCTCGCGGGCAGGGTAATGGAGTATGTGTGGAGGGAAGATTGAGTTGACTGATAGTGTTCCTGGACAGACGTGCGCAGTGGGCAGCAGCGGAAGCTCTCGGAGGGACTGCGGCTGAGCGTGGGCTGCGGGTGGCCGCGGCGGCGAGGACGACGCAGACTGTGTTCCGCCATGCGCGCGACGCGGCAGGTGCGTGACTCGGAGGTGTGTCTGAACATCTGGAGCAGAGACTGCGCTGGCGGAGGCCGCAGAAGACGGGGCGGTGGAGCGGGCGGTGAGCAGGGGTGACGCAGTGACAACGTGACGGACGCGTGACCGGGCGCGGTATGTGTCACGATCGATCGAGATTGGCTGCGGGAGCTGCGCAGTTGTCCGCAGGCCGCAGACGGGCGATCCTGCAGCACACTCAACCCACCGCAGCAGCTGCGTCTCCTCCTTTCCTTCTCTCCCCCGCCTCACTCTCCTTCACCGTCGTCGCCGGCAGCCCCCTCGCTGTCGCCCTCACCACCATGTCCGACTCGCTGCAGCCATCCCCCGCGCCGCCCCCCGCAGGCCGGCGCAACCCACAGATCTCGCAGACAAATTTGTCGCGTTCCAGCGCAGGCATGCCGCGTACGTAGCTCCGTAGTATTTATTTCGCATGCACCACTGACCCGCCGCGACTGCGCTCGCAGTGTAACAAAACGAGCCGACCGAACGCCCGCTCCCTCAGGCTCTTCTTCCACTCCCCGACCACCGCGCGCGCCCTCTCCTCGCGGATGCACGCCCCTCCACTATCACCCAACATTGTCGTCAACCAGACCTCGCCATCCGCGATGGAGGCCGATGCTGATGACTTTTCACGCCGTCTCAAGATTACCGCTGCCTCTTCTCCCCGTCCTTCACCCGACACCAGGCGGGCCCATCCTCCGGCAGCCCAGGCAAGCTCTACAACCCCAATGCCGTCAGCCCGCGGCGAGTCATTCTCACCGCTGAGCCTGAAGGCATGTCGGACGCTGCGTCGAGCTCGTATGCTCCGCGGGGCCCCGCGCCACATGGGCCGCGCCAGGCTGCTCCCCAGTCCAGAGCGGCACCCGATTCACATAGACAACTCTTCGATCATCGTAAGGACGACCCCGTTCGTTTCCTCGCACGACCACAAGCATCACCCAACGTCGCCGCCAATCGCCCACATGCAGACCGTCCCACGCCGACGCCCAAGTCCTCTGGAGACGTCTCTGCTTCATCTACCTCCTCCGCTTCCTATGCACACTCCACCCTCTCTTCGAACTTCACTCTTCATCAGCAACCACCGACTCCTCTGCCCCCTCGGGCTGTTTGAGAACCCAATGCGCGACGGTCGGAGGATAGCTCGTCGAGCACAAATGCGTTCTCGATGCAGCTCAAGAAACTCTACCGGGCCATTACTGCACTCGAGCAGAAAATCCTCGGTGAGCAGCGCGATAAGGACGCGGATGACGAGGGCGATCGGAATCCGCAAACGGTCGGTATTCTTGTCAAGGGACGCCCTGGCCGGCGGGGGGCTTGGCAGGGGGGTAGAGGTGAGAGGAGGCGAAGACGAAACGGAGAAGTGGAAACGTCTCTTGGTCGATCATAAGGAGTGCGTACATTTGATTTCAAATTCCTCGCCCGCGTGTCGCTAACTAATTTGTAGGCTCGCGGAGAAAGTGCAAAACCTTCTTACGCTCACGCTAGCACCCACTGTCCCGGCGTCGTTGCGCAACATCCCTACCAAGTACAACCTCATCGCACGGCTATGGGCGCACGCCTTCCATCGCCTTCTCGAGTCCTTCCGGCAAGCCGCCTCGCCACCAAATAACTCCCTCGCTGCTCTGGAATATCTGCAGGTAAATGTCATACTCGACCTGATTAGGCATGGTGGCTAATCTTCTCTCGCGTGACAGGACTTCATATACTACGCATACACTTTCTATTGTGCTCTTCTCGAGGAGCACAATCTGTCCGACTTCCGAAGTGGATGGGTCGAGGCCCTCGGCGACCTCTCGCGCTACCAGATGGCGTACTGCGCGCTCGTCGAGAAGCAGCAGACCGCCGCCTCAGCCACACTCTCCTCCGCTCCTGGGCCCTCGCCGATGGCTCTCCTCACCAACCCTACGGGCGCCGACTCCCAGATCAACACGCCACGCCCGTCGTCGCCAGACGGCGGAGGGAACTCCGATCGTGCAGAGTTACGCGCACCGGCGGCGCCCGAGGCGCATGCGCGCATCGACGACTCGCCGCCTCCGTCGCCCGGACCTGCGGCGAGGCAGCTCCTCGATGTCCCCAGCGTCGGACTTGCCGCCGCGCGTGCGATGGAGCTCGTGCCGGAAAAGGAGCACTGGAGGCAGGTCGCGCGTGACTGGTATGCGAAGGGCCTGGCGGGGACGCCTGGTGCTGGGAAGCTTCACCACCACATCGGGCTGCTCTGCAGGGAGAGGGACGGGAGCAGCGAAGAATTGCGAGGAATGTATCATTTCGTCAAGAGGTAGGTTGCTTCGCTTGTATATGGGGGCGTGATGCTGATCTGTATCTCTTTTAGCATGATCACTGTGCACCCGTACAGCACCTCCCGCGAGGCGATCCTCCAGGTCTGGTCACCAGCCGCCCAGACGCGCCGTCAAGGACCCGACGCCGATGTCGCCGACCTGTACACCCTCCTCCACGGGATGCTCTTCACCCACATCCAGATGGACGACTTCCGTGGTGTACTAGACCGCTTCGACGAGAAGCTAAATATCGAAGGTCAGTTATGTCTCAGTAAGCAGAGGTGAGTCAATGCTGACGGCTGTTCCCTCAGGCGGTGCAGTTGTCGAAGAGCGCGACTGGATTATGATGGCCGTCGTCAACCTTGGCGCCGTCCTCGAGTACGGGCGGCCCACTGCTGTCCTGCGGCGCGTCGCTGGCATCGGAGGTAGAGACGGCGTCGGCGCTCGCGCTGGCGCCAGCCCCGCCATGGCTGCGTCGTCCGCGGGCAGAGTCAAGCTCATGGCGAAGAGGGTCGAGGAAGACGACAAGAAGATGGACGTCGATGACGAGGACGCCCCGCCGCGCAAGACCGATCGGAAGCTCGACGCCATGAGTATGTCGCCTGCGCTGTCCGAGGCTGCATCCAGCGGCCCGGAGATCCCGCCGTCCCTCAAACTTGGCATGCAGTTCGCCTTCTCGATGCTCGCGCACGCACTCAGGAAGCCGATGCGCAAGTCCTCGCCGTTCGCCCGCTCGACGCTCAACCCGTACATCACCGTACTGCTCACTTTCCTTGCGACCGCCGTCAAGGACACACAGGCGCTGGCCGTCATGGAACGCTTCATCCCCTGGGAAGACCTCGCTGCATTCCTCACCGCGATCCCGCGCCGTGTCACGTACCGCGAGCAGCAGAAGGAGCGCAGCGACAGCGCGGTTCTGCTGACGAGCGGGTGCAAGCCCCTTCCGGAAGACTGGTGCCTCCGTGGTCTTGGATGGGGCGGCAAGCGCGTGTACCCGATGGGCTTCTGGGGCAAGGAGTCGAACGGCGAGGACAGGAACGTCGAGGTGGACGTCCTGGACAAGAGCGAGGGCGGAGACGAGCTGGACGGTATCATCGAGGACGAGCGGGGCGAAAACGAGGCGGCGAACGAGCTCAGCAAGCGCTGGGTCCGCGTCGCGCGCGCTGGCCTCAAGATCGCGAAGCATGTGGGCGGGTTTGCGTACTACCCGGCTGCGAACGAGGAGCAGAGGGGCCAGTGGAAGGTCGAGGGAATGCTTGCTGCAAAGGTCGAGAAGTGGCAAGAGGAGGAAAGGCGAGAGCGCGAGGAGGAAGAGCGGCGCCTCAGAGGTCGCCGGTGGGATGAAGACTCGATGGATGTCGACGACGATGAGGGTCTCGCGGCGGAAGAGTCTACGGATGACAGCGAGGAGGACGAGAATGATACGCCCGAGATCAAGGCGCTGAAGGTATGTTCGGTCTCATGTTGGGCTAGCACAGGTGTTGATTGGTTTATTGTCAGGCTCGCCGGCGATATCTACAGTCTCTACTGGACTCATCTGCGCAGGGTCGTACCTCCCCGTCGATTCCTCGACGCCGCCCTCGAGGCCCGCAATCTCACAAGCCAGCACGACCTCGCAGCTCCCTCCGGGTCGTCCCTGGCTACACTATCCTTGTCGTCGACACGAACATCCTTCTCTCTTCGCTGACAATCATCTCTTCTCTGGTCGAAAGCATGCAGTGGACAGTAGTAGTTCCTCTCCCCGTGATCATGGAGCTCGACGGCCTGTCGAGCAATGCGTCGGCACTCGGCGACGCTGCGACGTCCGCGCTAGATTATATCACCTCGCACATCCGCTCTCACTCGATGTCTCTCAAGGTGCAGACATCGAGGGGTAACTACCTCTCCTCCCTTAGCATCAGGACGGAGCAAGTCGACTTCGCCGGTGACGAGGCGTCTTGGGAACGGAATATGGACGATCTGATCCTCCGCGCCGCAATCTGGCAGGACGAACATTGGATTGATCGCTCGCCCATGCTCCAGTCTGACGGCGTTTCGCGCGATACATCCGGTGCGGCCAAGGTGGTCTTGCTGAGCTTCGATCGCATGCGTAAGTTGTGCTATATGTCATCCGGAGACCGTGTCACTGACCGGTGTTATAATACCTTACAGTACGTCTCAAAGCTCGCGCTCGACAGCTCAGCGCGGCGAACGAACAAGACATGGCATCGATCCTCGCACCCGGGCGATAGAGCCACGAGTGCGAGTGCATTGCGATGCCTCTATAGAGTTCACTGCACAGTCCATCGTCGAATGACGATTCGGACACACTTCTGAGGTGCGCTTCCGGCCCCCATGTCCAGCCGCGATACTCTGCCCGCGACGGATCGGTGGTCTACTCGGTAACATCCTCTTACCTTACCCACGCCCGTCCGCGATCGGCGCAACCTACCAGCGCCACTCAGAACGCCTACTTGCCTGAAACCCATTGGGATCTATGGGGTACACGTACACTGGACATTCCGGTCGGAACAGTCATTCCTTATCGCATCGCCGTATTTATCTTGTCTTTGTATCGGGATATTGGCACAGCCTCGGTACTGTACTCATGATACCCTTGCATCTGTCTCTTCGCATCGGCTTGTCGTATCCCCTAATAGCATTGTATCCAAATAGCACCCATCGAATCACAGCTTCTTGCATCACCTTTCTCCGCGCCCTTGGTGGTGTGCGTGCTGACCGGACAATCGAACCGGTACCAAGGTGGCGGTGGCGGCCAAGGTGAGTCGTCCTTCGAGCGTTCCGTTTTCAATGGGTTTTGATACTGGAAAGGCTAGTCACCTCGGGATCGAATACAGCCGCTTCGTGCTGAAGTATCCGAGCGTTGAAAGGCTGGAGTTAGGTCGCCGGATGTATGCAATTGCGTCAGACGAGGCGGTTGACATTGTTCTCATAGCGTCTGCACGCCGACTTGTGGCCCCTTCGGCCCTCGCCATCGCCGTACTCTGCTGTCTCACAGTACCCTAGAAGACTCCCCGTGTGGCCGCACAGGAATCTCCATGAAAGCGAGAGCGATTCGCCCGTATTTGCCCATGTCAAGCCAGGTCGACCCAGTGTCGAGCGTGCAACACCAGCGCCTACCTGAACGACACTTGCCGAAGTCCAAAAGCGGAACCACTCTCCTATACAAGATTGTCTGGCACCGGAACGCTCGACGGAGCAACCATTTCCGCCGGAGCTTGAGCTATCTGCATGACGGTTGTTCTAGCATGGACGCCGCGATCGTTCAGAACTGTTTGCTATGGACACAATAGGGGCTCTCTGTCAATCTCCGACTCAGATGCCCCTCCATTGTCTGATCTGCTACGGAACCCCTCACTTGGACATCTCCATTCGGCGTGGAACTCGACCTTCGCGCTCACGAGTCACTCGAACAATACTTCCCGGGTGCACCGGAGTGGCATGGCGCTCTCCTGTCTTAGTGACGAGCGTTCTAGCATCCGATCCGATCATGGACCGTTGGTTGGTTTCGTCAAGGCTGTATATTGCCTAGCGGCAGCGAAATGAGGGTCTTGTATGGCTATAAAGCTAGCCAGTGTCTTGTGGTGAGCCGTCTCAACTGAGTCCCCACTCCTCAAATACCCGAGCCCGTCGCAATCATTGTGACTAGCGGTCTTCACCTGGCATTCTACACAGCATGCGCTCTCATACCAAGTTGTATGTGCATCCTGACCTCAAGCCGGAGGAGGGAGACGTGACCCTAGTCACTACGATATGCCTCGTACTATCCCTTGCGCTCGCGGGCGCCATCTTCATCGTCGCGCTGTCGTGTCTGCTCTGGGATGACTGTCAATCATGTGTGTGTATAGTGGATACCTCGCATCTTCTGACTTACCGACATGTGTCGTAGCGTACGGCCTCGTACTGGCTCATCGGGCTAGGTACCTGTCCGCGCAACAACTCCTGATTACGTGACTTTGGGATGCTTCGATTCACCACTGGCGGAGATATGTACGTGTTGCGCCTTCCGCAAGAATGCGTACCGAGATTCATTCAACTAATGTTTTGGTCTTTGTCTTAGTGTGCCATATCCATTGCGACGTATCCCATACCCCATTCGAATCCCTCTACATCGTCCATCGCTACCTGATCCTATACTGCAGGATCAGCTACTGCGTATTCTTTTGCAAGCCTTCGCTTTGCCAACGCTTGAAGGACCGACACTTTAACTTATCACTCACTACCATACAACTGTTCGTCTAGGTTCGAATTCGTCTGTCCCATGTAGCATTAACACTCAGGGTCCTCCCAATATTGAACGTGTATCACATTCGCATATGCAAATCCTTGTACATCAGCGTCAGCTATCGCCGTTGCGGTACCTGGGCAACGGCTCTGAGGGATCTGGGGCCCAGAACGTTCCTTAGCACGAGTCGGACAACGTGGACAAACCGGCCTCCAAGTTTTCCGATCGATTCACTCAACAAACGGAGGAGGCGGAGAGACGAATACCGAGCATCGATAGCCTGCCCGCTTGTGGTATACAGATGTTTCTATTTTGTTACAGACTTCCACCCACGCCGCTGCACACCCCAGATGATGTTTACTCGAAGACCCACTGAGCGAGGTCGTGGTTGTACTGCACGATGCCCTCAGGGAACCAGCTGTCCCAAGCGACGATGATTAGTAAATAAGTTCGGACGAAGAACTGCGGTGACTTACAGAGCGATCTCCTTCTCGGCGCTCTCGACGGCGTCCGAGCCGTGGCAGATGTTGCGACCGACAGCCAGAGCGAAGTCACCACGGATGGTACCTAGAAACACGAGGTTAGGTGGCACAGACAACCGGCGGCGGAGTAGCATACCAGGAGCAGAGGCAAGCGGGTTGGTCGCGCCAAGCATGGCACGGCCAGTCTTGACAGCGTCAAGGCCCTCCCAGACCATGGCAACAACAGGGCCGGAGGCCATGTACTTGATCAAGCCAGGGAAGAAAGGCTTGCCCTTAAGGTCAGCGTAGTCTGGTAAGAGACAAAGGCTCAGCGTGCGTGCTAGATATTCACAATTCAACGCTTACGCTTCTCAAGGTGCTCGGGGGTGGCGTGCACGAGCTTGAGAGCAATGAGCTTGAACCCACGCTGCTCGAAGCGGCCGATGATGTTGCCGACAAGACCCCGCTGGACACCGTCGGGCTGCGCGCGGTAAATGATCAGCGTCTGCCGTACGACGCGGCGGTGGGGGGCAGACACACCTTGACCATGATGTAGGTGCGCTCCTTGATGCTGGCCATTGCGAATGCTCGGTCTGTGGAGGGCGAGGGAGATGGCAGATGGATAGACAAGGTCTGAGGAGGAAAGGCCTGGCGGCGCGTTTTATAGCAGCCTTTCATCGCTGCCAAATCGGGCAATCAAAGTATCAAGCCGCAGCCACCGGAGCCAAACAAGGCCACACACCGCTCGGGCACTCTCGTCACCAAGGCCGGCGCCGGGTAAGGCTCGACTTCAGACACTCTCGCCATGGTGCTCAGCAACCCCCTCGGTCCTTCTCTCGCCCCTGCTATTCTTAAGAGCAGGGGGCTATACAGATACGTGAAGCCCTTCGCCGATTGGTACGCTGGCCTGTCTGGCTACAGGAAGGTCGGCTACAAATACGATGACTTGCGTGCGTGACAAGTCGCTTGTCTGGGTTGAGCAAATAAGCTGACCGGTCTGAACGGTAGTCGTTGAGGAGCGTGACGACGTACAGAGGGTTGGATATATTCGTACAGAACGTCTTATATGACACTGACATTTCTACCTAGGCTTTGACGCGCTTGACTCCTCGCGAGGCATACGACCGCCAGTTCCGGTTGAAGCGGGCTTCACACTGCAGTGTCCTCCACGATGTCCTTCCCAAGGAGCAGTGGACAAAGCCCGAAGAGGTAAGTGGTGGCCTGCCTGTATCCTTCACGTACACTCATCTGCCTTCAGGATGTCCGCTACCTCAAACCCCACGTAGAAAGCGTAGAGAAGGAGGCGCTCGAGAGAAGGGCCTGGGACAACATGGTTCTCTCCAAGAAGTAAATGGCACTACTCGCGCGTGCCTGCTCACGGGAGCCATGCTCCGCTGCAATCCGGACCCATAGACCTGCACCTCTACATTTGTATAATGCGCGGGTCTAATGCGATCCTCTTCGAAGCATTGACGACATCTGAGATCAACATGCGACACGTTCAGGTGCACATCAATTTCGTCTAGCTTTTGGATTATGCCGAAAATACAGAATTACATTTGCCTCACATCTTCCGAATGACCTCGTTCACCCGAGAACCGCTCAGCTCATCCTTTACAGAGCCTTCACCAGAGGAGACACAACCTCACCGCCCTTCTGCTTGTAGAAGGTGATGACCTTCTTGCTGACCGAAGCGATGTCTGCGCGGGCGAATTTCAGTTACACGTACAAGGACACCGTTCCGGGAGGGTACTCACTGCTGCCCGTAAGGCCGAACTTCTCGTAAATCTTCTTGTACGGACCAGACGCGCCCCAGCCAAACATGCCGAATTGCTGCGTAAAGATGACACTCAATACACGTCCACACAGAACCCGAACGAGTCTCTCACCTCATGGCTGTACTTCTGCCATCCGAAGGGCTACAGAAGACACGATGCTATCAGTATCCGATTTCCAGAACTCAGCCATACATTCGACTTACGAGAGGGCCTCAACCGCAAGGATCGGCGCACCGCTCCGGAGGACACTCAGGCGGTACTCCTGGGGCTGGAGGTCGAAGATGGACCAGCACGGCAGGCTGACCACCCGGACCTTGACACCCTCCGACTTGAGCTGCACAGCCGCCTCCAGCGCGATGCTGACCTCGCTACCCGAGCTGACGATCGTCAGCTCCTCGCCCTGCTCCTCGAGCACAACGTAGCCGCCCTTCGAGGCACGCTCGAGCGTGGACTCCTCGAGGTTGGGGAGGTTCTGCCGCGACAGCGAGAGAATCGACGGGGTGTGCTTGCGCGTGAGCGCCATATAGTACGCCGCCGACGTCTCGTTGCCGTCGGCCGGGCGCCAGAAGTCGATGTTGGCATGGCGCGGAAGTGCGCCGCAGTCTCGAAGGCTGGTGCGTAGGACCGTCCTCGCCCAGACCGATGGAGTCGTGAGTAGCTACGTAGAAAATCAGGCATCGATAATTAAGAAGGGCTCCTGACCACGTACCAACCCAGATGACCTGGTGCTTGCTGAGAGCCGATAGCCGAACAGCACCTGCCGCGTACGAAACGAAGTTCTGGAAAGAGGAATGTTATAGTCAGTACGTAACTCAGAGGTCAGTGCGGCGAAATACCACCATGAAGGTCGCGACGAACGGAATGACACCGCCGTATGCGTGCATGCCGTTCGCAATGCACCCATACCGTGCTCACGTACACCGTAGCGGATGTACGTCCCTTGTAGCTGCCGAGGCCAGTGCTCTCAGGCTGGAAGTCGATCATGGCCTTCGTCCGTGTCAAGTTACTGCCCGTAGGTCGGCGGAGCCGCCTATGAGCTCAGGCAAGATCGGGGTAATGGCGGTCAGCACGATCTCAGACAACTTGCGCGACGCCTGGGCAGCATCCGACGGCTTGTAGATGGGCAGGGACTTCTCCCAGCCCTCCGTAAGCTTGCCTGCAATGCGGCGCGAGAGCTCGGCGTGCTCCTTCGGATACTTCTGGCCGTAGGAAGCGAACAGCGCATCCCACTTCTTCTCGAGGCAGCACCGCGGGCAGCAACTGCGGCATAGACCTTGTAGGTGTCTTCTGGAACGTAGAAGGTCTTGTCCGCGGGAAGGCCGAACTTGGTTTCAGAGCCTGGATGTCATCGGCCTTGAGCGCTATACGACAGGATGTCATGAGTCGTCGCCGAATGAGCAACGATTACTACTGACGAGCGCCGTGAACACCATGTGTCCCTGCTGCTTGGAGCCGTAACCGATGGTTGTTCGCAAGCGAATAAGAGTGGGCTTGTTCTTCTCTTCTGGGCCTCGACGACGGCGTTGTAAATACCCTCCAAATCACTGAGATTGTAATTAGCAGAGGGTCGTACGAGTCGAGCGAATGACGCACCGATCACCGTCGTCGACGTGTAGGACCTGCCAGCCGTACGAGAGGAACCTCTGCTCGACGTTCTCAGTAAAGGCAACGGCGGTGTCACCGTCAATAGAGATGTCTGAAAGCGCGTCAGGGTGTACTCCGAATAGCTGAAGACAAATCTTACGGTTGTCATCGTAGAACTGACGAAGCGTTTAGTCAGTTTCTCCAGCATCGCAGAGGCAAGAGGCTCTCACGTAAATCAGGTTACCAAGCTGCAAGTGCCCCGCAAGACTAGCCGCCTCACTGGCAACGCCCTCCATCAAGCACCCGTCGCCGGTGAACACTGGTTGTCAAAATTAGACACTGTAACAACAAGTTCCGCATACGGTCGTCTCACCATATGTGTAGTTGTTTATGATGTCAAACCCATCCTTATTGAACGTCGCAGCCAGGTGCGCCTGCGCGATGCCCAGGCCGACACCGTTTGCGAATCCCTGACCAAGAGGGCCGGTGGTGACTTCGATACCATCTGTGTGCCCAGTCTCAGGGTGGCCGGGAGTCAGCGAATCAACTTGACGGAACTGCTTCAGGTCATCCATGGACAACTTGTAGCCGAGCAGATGGAGCATAATGTACTGCAGGGCACAGCTATGGATGTTGTAAATTTCCGATCTACTGAGATCGCTGTTGGATAATTCTTACGCATGGCTGGAGAAGTCATGAGTCTCAGCGTACGGAAACGCGAACTACAACATACCCGTTAGAGAGAACAAATCGATCACGGTTAAACCACTTCGAGTTCTTGGGGTTAGCGTTGAAGAAGCTACCGCACGCACGAGAGTTGAGCGGAACGGTGGCAAACAACGATGATAGGACGCAACACACCGAGAGAAGAGGACGTGGGCAATTGGTGCCATCCCCATGGGAGCACCTGGGGATTCACACTGACTCTTCAGCGACGGCGCACGATGAAGCGAAGCACTGTCTACGCACCGGGGTGACCAGAGTTGCCTTACCGACGACATCCGCGGCGAGGGTACGGATGGTAGCAATGCAGACGTCGTCTGCGGAATCCTGGGTGAAGTTTGCCATGGCTGTACTGCTGTGAGACGGAGGGGGCGAGAGACGATCCCCGCTCCGGTGCGATCGACTTTATAGCGCGACGGATCACGTGCGAGCACTATCGTTGTCGCGGCCATTTCTCAGCCATCCCCTCCTTCCTCCCCGCTTTCTCACCGCCCATCGTCCCGAGCAGCAGCTTGACCAGCCTGTCAGGCGGCTGACACGCAGGTAGAGCCCTCGCGTGCTGCACTGTGTGAGCCTGCTCAACACGGTCTGTTTCAGACTATCCTCCGTCGGCGCCGACGAGATGCATCCCCAGCTGGAGACGGACAAGCGTCTTGGTGCGTCTCTGCGTTTTCTCCCCACTGCTCACGCAGCTCGGCGCTGGCGTCTTACTCGGCTGCCGCCCGTCCAGTGTGCGGGGACTTCATTCAGGCCCTGAACGCCTGCCATGCCAATACATGGGCCAAGTGGACAGGAGGCTGCAACCAGGTGAAGCACGATCTAAACATGTGTCTGAGGAAAGAGGTAAGCCCGGGGTGTTGCTGATACTGCAGGGTGTATCCCGTTGAATACCTGGGTCCAGCGTGTCAATCGCACTACCAAGAACCGTGAGGGTGCGTTGGAGCGTCGGCAGAAAACCGAGCAAGTCTGGAAGGAACTTCGCGAGGAGTGAACCATACTGCATCCCGTGTCCCTTGGATCCGGCCATGGCTTTCATCTCACATTGCCCTATTTCGACAGTTCATGGCTTTCCTATCACCGCAAAAGCATCCTCCCTGTACGCTCAATAGGGTCACGCTTGGCCTTTGTCAAACTGGTGCTTCGGCCCAGTTCACGCCAATTCTACAAACAGCTGCGATAGTCATGCAAGCTTATCATGGTTGTCTGCAAACTGTAACTGAAACGGAGCGCCCTGAAGTATCTGGGCGAGATGTATTGTGTTCAGGGAATCTTACAATATTCATGCGACGAACGAACCCATTGCTCTTGACATGTGCTATCTTACAGGGTATGTCGTATTTACACTTTTGCTCACTTCTTTTCAGAACTTCAGAGAGACCTCTGTCTGACCTTTGCTCACACTCGCCGCGACTTCATGCCCTCCCACAAACAGCTTCGCGGATGTCAGCTCCACACTCCCAGCAACGACATTCACGGTCACTTCTCCGCCTCTCTTTTCTGCCCGCACCGTCCCGGCCACAGCTGCCCCGTTTCCAACGGGTACATCAGCCTGGACGATCTGGCCGTCAGCCAACTCGTATACTTGCACCTCCACGTCTTTGGAGTACTCGTAGTCTGGTCGACCGATGCCTTTTGGCCCGAGGCACAGCAAGGTTCCCGGCCGGACATAAACCGGTATCTCGTTGAGCGGGACGACCTCCTGCACCCACTGAGGGCCGTCGATTGTGCGGGTAGGGTGGAAGAACGATGTCCAGCGCCCCGCGGGGATGTAGTACTCCGTATTCTCACCCTCCGGGACGAAGACGGGTGCGACGAGCAAGGAGGGCCCGAGCATGTATTGGCGGTCCAGGTGGTGAGTAGTCCGGTCAGCCAGAACTCGATGAACATGGCTCGTTGAAGCGGGTGTCCGTGCGTACGCGCCGTCAGAGCCTGAGCATCAGATGTAAGACTGATAGAACAAGAACGACGTGGGAGAGACTCACGAGGTTGTACAAGTACGGCATGAGCCGGTGTTTCGCGTCAAGGAAACGCGCCATGTATGCTGCGGTCTCTTCGCCGTAGTGCCATGGTACCCGGTAGGACATTGAACCGTGGAGCCGAGAGTGGGAGGAGAACAGTCCATACGCGACCCATCGTTGGTAAATCTCTGGCGGAGGATGTCCCTATGTCCCAGGTATGAGCAAGATTCCGTGGGATCCCGTCCATATACCCACCTCAAATCCTCCAATGTCGTGCGATGCGAAGGCGAAGCCCGACGCTGTCAAGCTCAGGGCGCCGCGGAGGGACTCAGCCATGGCTTCGAACGTAGACTCGCAATCCCCTCCCCAGTGCTGCTCGTTGCGTCGGTGACCGTATTACCAGCTGCACTGAGTTGCATGAACACTCACCACCGGGAATCTGTGCACAGTCATTCAATGCCGCAGTTTCTACAGCATATGTCAGAACGTACCTCTGACCACCCGCGCTGGCGGCACGAGCAAATACGACCGCTTCACCCTTGCCAAATCGGCGCTCCAGCACGCCGAACACCATCTCGTTGTAGATAACCGAGAACGCGTTGTGCATCCGCATTGGGTCGGAGCCATCATGGAAGACTACTTGCGCGTGTGGGATCCGCTCGCCGAAGTCCGTCTGAGATGCAAACATGTCAGGAGGGATGCATTGCTGGAGAGGCGTTAGAGTACCTTGAGGGTGTCCACGCCGAGGTCAATCAAGGCGTCCAGCTTGTTTTGGTACCATTGCCGTGCTGCTGGGTTCGTCACGTCCACGACACCCAGTCCTGGCTGCCACAGATCCCACCTTGACGTGAACAGAGTCGAACATTAAATCAAGAACGCTAGTATGTAATGCCACACTTACTGCCATGGCGTGCCGTCCGTGCGTTTAATCAGGTAGCCTTCCCTCAGCGCCTCCTGGAATATTGGCGACAACTGAGAAATGTATGGGTTGACTTGAGTACGCGGGGTCAGAAATTCCAGCAGCCGGTTTCCTATACGTATGCAACCTACTACTCCATACGCAGATCTTGACGCCGTATTTTTGCTTGATCTCAGCCAGGTACGCCTTCGGGTTCGGGAAGTTGTCCGGGTCGAACGTGAAGGAGCACCTATTGCAAACCGCGTCAGATCGGATGGCCACTTGGATTAACCACCTCGGCACGTACCACTCGTATTGCTTCATCCAGAAGCAGTCTAGGTGGAACACGCGGACGGGACAGTTGCGGTCCTGCATGCCCTGCAAGAATCCAGAGACGGTCTTCTCGTCGTACGAGGTGAGGAAGGACGTCGACAGCCAGAGCCCGAATGTCCACGCGGGCAGCAACCTGGGCTGTCATGATCGCATCCGAATGTCACGCAGCAACTTTCGTGAGGCTTACGCTGGCCGTCCGGTGATGCGGGTGTAGCGCTCCAGGATCTGTATGGTTCGACGGCGCGTGAGTGAGCGGGCTGGTATGTCGCGGACGGGCAGGCTCACTTCCAGAGGTGTGGCGCCGTAGATGATGAAGTATTCAAGGCTCTCGCCGGCGACGCTGACTCCGACCCGGCTGACTTTCTCGCTGCCTACTTCAACTTCCACTTCGCCCGGATGATTGATAAAAACGCCGTAGTTGCGATTGGTAATGTAGAACGGCACGCATTTGTATGCCTGTTCGCTGGATGTTCCTCCATCTTGATTCCAGATGCTGACTGACTGACCTTAGGCACCACGAGTCGTAAGTTACACCTGTATCTCGAATTTGACCACGACATACCATTCTTGATGAAAGCACCGAACTGCTCCCCGAGGCCGTAAATCAGCTCACCAGGAGAAAGGTTGAGCTCCGAGCTCGTGTAGCGGACACTGTCTGGAGGTTGCTCGGGGTGAGGGTTCGAACTGAAGTCGGTCGCAAGGCACGATCCGTTGGCCGCACTGCGCAGAGTCCACTTGTACGGAACGTCGTAGATCGCTTGATACTTCACTCCCGACGTCGTCAGGGTGCGCTGGGGAGAACGGAAGGTTATCGTATACGGATTCTCCGTGACTTCTGCGGTGAGGCCGCCGCTCGTGACTGTCCAGGAACCCACACCGTCAGCGAGCGTGGCAGCCGGAATGGGCGGATCGTCGGGGAAGAGCTGGAAGTTTGGCTTAGGGTCGACATGTCTGAAGTGGTCGATCTTGACTCCTATCACGCCTTCGCTAGGTGAGTGTACCCGAACACTCAAGAGCGGTCCTAGAGCGGCCGAGCTGCGTTAATATGGTGAAGTCATACATGGGCTTCGGAGCTTAAACGCACCTGCGAGAGTGTCTCCTCGGTGACGAATTGGCTTAGTCGCCACCTGAAGGTTGTAGCCATCGCCTTCCGGTAGTGCCTGGACGACCTGGAGGCCGTAGTGTCCCCTCACCCCATTCTTCAGGAGCCAGAAACCGTCGTTGAAACGCATGGCGGCCGTGGTACCAGGGAGTGGTCCAGGTCTTAACGGAAGCCACTGCGTGGGGGTGGGTGGTATATATTGCACTGAAGGGGTCTGCGGACCGCCGAAGCCGGCGCGGAGGGGCACATGGACATGGCTGGGAGCAGTTGTACAGGCATCGCGCCCACCGTGCTCGAAGCAGGCACTCAGATGACTGTTGGGCGCGACGTGTTGTTGAGGCTCTTGCCAGTGCGCGCACAATCACAACATGTAGTTCGTCTGCCCACATCAGCTCGCTTGAGTCGATGATCGACCGCGATCACCGCGCCACGATCACGTGTGGACATACTACCCGCCAGGTCGGCCTGGGGGTCGGGTTTGACACCATCAACGCCCACGGCGTAACACCGCCCGTTGACCGACTCACGGCTGAGTAAGGTACCGAACAAGTAGTACAAGAACGTGCGCGTCGGCGAGGAAGACGGCACAAAGTACAAGGGCGAACATGACCACTGCTGCCGATAGCGACCCCGAGAAACTCTGGCTCGAGACCCCACTCGTCTATTCGCCGCACATCTCTGCTCGCCTCGGCTGTAGTGTGTATCTGAAGCTTGAGGTGCGACTTCTATCACTTACGGCCCACGGTATTCAGGTGGCTGACGTCCGACAAAAATAGCACCTCCAGCCTGCCCAGTCCTTCAAGTCGCGCGGGATATCGTACTTCATCCTGCACGCACGTCGCAGACGTGGACCTGATGTCCATGTTGTCATTGCCTCTGGAGGGAATGCCGGCCTCGCCGCCGCCTGCGCGTCCAAGGCTCTCGGTCTTCGGTGTACCGTCTTCCTTCCAATGGGTGTCAGCGCATCCACCGTAGAGTTCATGAAGCGAGAAGGCGCAGAGATCGTTACCGTAGGCAAGATCTACCTCGATGCCCTCAAAGCGGCGGAGAAGGCTGTAGAAACGGACTCGAACGCGTACGGGCGACCATCCGCTTGCCCATGACGACACAGCTAATGACCCTCGTCACGGCCCTGCCTGCAATTGAACAGTATCATGGTCCCTGCTTATGACGAGCCCCTTCTCTGGGAAGGCCATAGCTCGATGATCGCAGAGCTCACCCGACAGCTACCCAACAAAGGCAAGCCGGACGCCATCTTCTGCAGCGTCGGCGGCGCCGGTCTCTGCGGCGGAGTTATGCTCGGCTGCAAGTCGGTCGGATGGGATGACGGTCAGTCCCACTTCTCCGCGCTCGTCAGAGCTTCTCACTAATTTGTCCGACAGTGTCTGTCGTCGCTCTCGAGACTACTGGGTCGAACTGTTTCTACCAGTCACTCGCTCTCAACCCCGGTGTGTTCTCCACTGGCACCACAGCCGAGCCCACGAAAGGTGTCCGCTCTGCATATTGCAACAAGTACGACGTGACCGTGGCGCACCTTCCCACTCTCACTTCACGCGCGACGTCGCTAGGTGCGAGCTCGCCTGCTTCGGGGTCAGTGCGCATGGCGCTCGACAGGAAGGGCGGGATAAAGAGCGTCTGCGTAGACGACGAACTAGCCATGCAAGCTGGGCTACTCTTTGCCGGTAGGCCTTCCCATATGACCAGTGTGGACCAGGTCTCTGAGCGCTCGCATCGCAGACGAACACAAGATACTCGCGGAGCTTGCCTGCTCGACCCCGCTCGTACCTGCGTACTCCCGCGAGCTGTTCGACAAACTTGTACCACCGTCCGCGTCTGGGGATCCGCGAACCGTCGTCTTCGTTGTGTGCGGAGGGTTCAAGATCTCGCTCGCGGAGTTCGAACAGTATCGGACCATCGTAGAGAGCAAGGTGAAGGGACAGACACACTGGGATGTGTTGTGTAACGGTGAGCAGTGGAAGATCGCCGTGTGAGCACTGGGTTTTCTACTACTCTGCACTGTACTGTTTCCCACTGCGTTCGCACGTACTGCGTCAAATCGAAAGGTGCACACTTTTCGCCCTGGGCGAAGATGATGTATCCAGGCGAGATGCCGGGCCGGCGCCCGCCACAGCAGCCACCGCCACTGGCCGCAGCAGCCACCTCAGGACTCGTCAAGTTTCCCCCTGGTGGCTGAAGCGCTGACTCCTGACATCGTCTTCGCGGAGCGTGATGGACACGTCCACATCGGTATGCGTTTGGCTGACATGAGTCACGAGGGCATGTCTTTTCTACGACTTGCTTGCACCCCGCTTGCTCAGTACTTATGGCCTCAGTTGTTGTCGTCACGGAGGCTGGGGGCAGCTACCATGTCTTCGGCCGTCAGCCAGTGACTGAACGTACTTACTTTCCTCCTTCGACTTCAATATGCTTCAATATTCAATGCCCAACGTTCACTGGCAGCGTTCAACATCACTCGGCGCCAATATGTTCAAACCTTACCACCCACAGGCAATAGCAAATAAACGCACGCGCACTCTACTTCCCAATGGCCAACCAGGACCACAAGGATTGCAGTGGTCTTTGTCAAGATCATTGTGGGGATGCGACCGAGAAGATTACGGACGGTCCTCGCTGTCGTGGACGCTGTCGTAAGATTCGTATGGTTTCGCTGTCGGCCTATGTCTCACAATATCCACACGACGTATTAGCGCTGATCGTTCGGGATCCGATTCGCTCAGTACATGATGACAGCCACCTGGGCCGTGTGCACAGTGGGTGTGTGGCTGGCCGCTGGCCACAGGATGCAAGGCGAGGCGGGCGGCTGCTCCATCTCTTGTATTCGCCAACATAAATGTGGTTCTATGGTGCCGCCGGCCCAGCCGTGCGATACAACCAACGATCCCAGTTCGGTGCTGACACGCAGAAACAAGCTGTACATGCTGACCTCTGGGCTAACTACTAGGCGACTTCGATCGAGATCATTTGATAATTGGCATTGAATTGGCAGGTATATATGTACGCGACACATTGCTGCACCACTTGCACACCTGTTCGTAGCAATGTCGGCGGTTGAGCTCGAGTATGTGATTTCAATGCTCGATGTAGGGTGAGTGGCACCGTACTGGTCCTTATGTACTTGACGACTAATGGGATGGTCGAGCTGGTGGTAGATTCGTGGACAACTGCTGCTATACCGCAGCGTGTAGTGAGTGCAGTCCGCTATGTCGCGTAGGTGTTTCTGGCTTACATGCACAGCAATTTATACATATGACCGCTGTCTCACCTTCTGGCGGGAAGTTGAGCTGCTATGGCGGCGCCCAAGCATGTCTACAGCAACGAGGCTGTACCTATTACTGCATTTCTCCATTGCGGTGTACCTGTATATAGGGATGATATTGGCACTCTTCGTCACCAACTGTAAGGTGAAGTACAATCCCCCATTGGTGCGACGACTAGGCTGACTTGCTGTAGAGGTAGAACCTGAACACTCCGCCATGGTTCCAGACTTCCTCATGACTGCTTCATATAGCGCCTACATCTTGAATGTGGTACAGTTTTGTGCCGACACGATATTCCATATCGCTAATGGCGGTGCGAAGGAATTTCTACTCAGACTGTCATATTCTCACTCACAGTATCCGCCCTTCCCCACAGCCTTCACGGCCTTGCGTGCCTACGCCATCAGTTATCGCTCCGTGCCACTCGCAGTCGCAATTTGCCTGTTCCCGTAGTGGAGGCCGCGATAAACGTTGTACGTCCCTCGTCGTCACCTCTAAGCACACGTTTTTAACAGCCACGACCGTCAGTATGAGATTTGCTCCCTCACCGAAGTATTAGTACCCCAACCTGTTGGCTGCGAAATCACCAACGGCGACAACTCTGCGATTAATCGGTACGCCTCACGTCCTGTACAAGAGACTTGACTAGCTTCATTCAACGCACTCTAGATCATGTGCGGAAAATTTCCACTGACTTGCAACTGACTCTTGGGTGACGCCCTGCTGTCACCGAAACAGTGAATCCTGCTGCGCAAGCATCCACTGTTATCCCCGAGGTATTACTGCTAGCGGCGACCTGGCGCTATGTCTACACGACCAAACTCGCCAATGACGTGCAGATTAAGATTCCTGTGACAAAGCTCTTCCTCAGAGATGGTCAGCCAACGTTCAATCAGTTGCCTTCGTGTCTGATTCATCTCCGAAAAAACGCGCCCCGCCGACAGGCACAATGTATTTTATGTGAGTACTAATAAAATATGCATTGGCACGTTAAAATTGACCTGGCCAAGCGCAATCTTCTGTCTTATGATCATCAATATCGTCGTGGACGCGACCACAGTCAGTATCGCCCATGCTTCAGCTTCAATGGTTCCTCTACCCCAGCATTGACACCCACTTTGTAGACTGTTGTCGGAGAGATGACTCCCATTGCCTATGCGTGCGTCATTTGCAATGTTCGACATGAGTACTTACCATCTATCTGAGACCCCGAACAGACTGCAAACAATCCTGCTCTCGCACTTCTACCTCAATTTGCACAAAGCCTATTTGTCTGGTGTCGACACATCTGCCCCATCAGAAATGTCGGACGTCCGTTTCGCGCGTCTGGTAGGAAGCCTTGCTGGCTCGCTTCCCCGCGGGCCAGGTATCTCTCCGGGGGAAGATATGACTATGGGCAGCAACTGGGAAATAGACGAGGGGTTAGCGGATGTGCGAGCAATCGATGTCGAGCAGTAACGCGGAACTCGAGACCGGTACCTCGGGTCTACTCGAGTCAGGGCATCCTTCTGTTGAGGTTCCGAGGGTCGTATTCGTTATCGCATGACCTGCATTCATGTGTCGCTCTTGTCTTGACCGTTAGCTGTATCACAACATCTACTAGTACTCAGCGAAGGATTGGTGCACTGAAGTGAAGGTCATCGGGGGATCCCTGTCATTGAGGCTTCAACTGCGCGTAGTTCTGCGCTGAAGGTCTAACAATATGGAATCAAATGGTAAGCTACTTACAGAATGATTGATAGAGACGACGCCCGACTAGAACAGATAGGAATCAAGCTTTCTAGTCAAGAGATCGTTCAGTATCCTAGCCGATAGGCTAGAGGATGCAGAGCAATGGCGAGCAGTGGGGGTTTGCAATGCATGCTAGATGTATAGGTACAATGTGCAGAGCGGGTGCGTTATACAGACATGTGGATGATGACTGCACAAAGAGTCAGTCGCGTCATCGGTGAGAAAAGCAACGTTATTCTCACTCCAAATAACATGTCACCTTCGAGGCCGTAGACCGACGTAGATGCTACTTCGTGCATCACGTCCTAGCTTGAGCGTTCCTCCCGCTCCCTCTCCGCTCGCCGTTCCGCTTTTCGCGCACGTATCTTCGCAAGCTCGTCCCTCAGTGCACTCTGGTCCGTTGGCAATTTCTGACACAAGGATGACATGGACGTATCATGATATGTCGGTGTGCATGATCAAACTCAACCCGGCTCACCGTAACGAGACGCTCATCCGGCGGAAATATTCTGTCTTTGTACTGACCGGCGGTGTGCCAGTCCGTCAATATCCACACGGGAAGGAGCTGTGGCGCATGTGCGTACCGTCAAGACGTGCTTTCGGTACCATTCTGGGTCGCCATAATGCAGCATCATGGCCACGGGGAAGAAGACGTAGACAGCGAACTTGAAGACTTCGAGATTAGGTCCGCCCATGGTGCTTTTCCACACTCCACTGCTGCCAGTTTGTTGATATGAGTTCTCGGAGCCCACCGCAAGGCTCAAAGCAGTGGTGGATTGAATGTGAGCCTGTGCCTGGCAGAGATCCTCGCTGGTGTCACCTGTGGCAGTTAGACGTTGAGGCAGAAGATACACGCCTAGTTTGAGTTTGGAGATGGAGATAATGCGGTCTACTTCTCGCAATGAGCAGCAGTCAGAGTGAGCTGCAGCAAATTACCAGCGATCCCGCACACGGTCGGTATAAGGATGAGCGAGACTCGAGCAGTGAGCGCTGCGCTGATCAGTGAGCACGACCACTGGCAAGCGCTCGTCTCTGCCTGGAACGGTCACGTGTGTGGTGGCTGACGTGGTTCCCAAAATGGCGTTTCGGCAAAGTTGGAGGAGCGGACAGCGTCCCTGACTCCTCGCTTTGACAATGACAAGAGTCAACGTTGCTTTACTCCATGTCTCGCCTCCTCCTTCACGCGCACGGATGCTGTCTGAGTACTATCACCCAGGACGCAGGGAACGCGACCACGACGACCGACTCTCTCACCTAATCTGGCCTGAAGGCCGCGTCTGCTCCCTTGTCCGAGGCACACCCCAAGAAGAATGGGCATGTAAGGAAATTCATGACTGCGGGACAACAAACGGATGCATGTATCTCGTATGCCAGTCCAAATGCACAGCTTCCATGACATGTCCTACATCCTTCACCACCGTATGCGCTCACAGGTTCTTGAGGTATTTGTCCTCATTGCATGTCGGTGAGAAACTCAGTCACTGTGTCTCTGGCGAATCCCCTCATGAAGGCTTCATCCTTCTAGGGACACGTTAGGCACAGGGCATCGTATCGTGAAGCAACTTGTCTATGTACGGTACAAAATATTGGCCCTGGCCAACCCTGGCTTGCACTTCCGTAGCCGTAGCGGATTTACCGTCTAAACCGCACGCTGATACTTGTCCGCGATCTCCGCAGTGAGCTACCCCCAAATAGCCGTTCTGATCGCCCTGTCCGGTCACGCGCATCCACTGAGGTACGCTGTATTTGCGATATGTTAGGAACATGGAACTTGGTTTCCTAGCAGAGGCGCTGCCTGTTCGCCCTACTGCGACATTGCTCCTGGTACGCGGGGCCGACGTCCACAGGCGGCAGGCGCTCCATTAATACGAGTTGACATCATACTACCATCGTGGTAGTAGTCAATCCACTTTGGATGATGCTAGGTCCCCTGGATGCTGGCAACATTACTGCCTCTTCTGCCCCGCGGAAACGTCGTCTTGTGGAATCATTTCCGGTCGAACTCAGGTAGCGGCTCATGCACATGATACACCTGGAACTCTGTTTCTGCCCAATGTTACATTTTTAGCATGCTCATCGTGGACGTGAAGAGAACAACACGAATTTCAACCTGGTATTCGGTTCAGATCCGTTCCTGTGTTTCGGGTTGACCCCTCTCCGCTTCCCCATCGCGCCTAGATTCACTTTTGCTCCAACCATGGCATTGGCAGCTCAGTTCTGGTCTGCTGCCATCTAGTTGCCGTAAGTACTGTCGCGACAGGCGGGTCTCAATACGATGTCGTACCGAATTTAGGTGCTTCCATTGTCTGTGCCTCAGCATAACATTCAACGTCAAGATACGAACCCTGCAGAGTCGCGGCGCCATTGGTGCACCGACCTACCTTCCAGTCGCCGAACCGAAAACGCTCTAAATCCCGCGGAACACTGGATGGGCAGAGTATAAAGGCTGGGCGGGCTCTGCCGTCCGTTCTTCGTCGACTCAGCTCGTTCACCTTCCAGACCTTGCTTCACATCACTCTTTCTGGTAGTTTCGCTTCGCCTTAAAGCTCTCTGCAACGCTTACCATCTCTTTGTAGCATACCATTCAACATGTGCGTTGGCGAAAATTGCGCCCCCAGGCCGTTCATTAATGAATGCGCAATTGGCGGCGCTCTTCGAGAATGCCGTCGATTGCATCAAGCACCACGACCGGACGAACAGGCCTGCGGAGCAATTCAGTACGTGCTTGACTAACATGGAGTGGATGGCAATGATCTAACACTCTTTCACAAATTTCAGAGTACTCCCATGCGCTCGCTGAGTTCACCTACGTGCCACCCTACGCGAGGAACCAGACTATGTTCCACGCAACCTTCAACAAGCCCCAGATCGAGTTCATCTGCAACCACGACGCTATCCTCCGTCTCAAAATTAAGAAGGGCTACTACCGCTTGACTACTCCAGGTCCTCAGCCATGAACTACTCCGACAAGTGGGCACATTTCTCTCTGATATGGCATTGTTCTTACTTTCTATCAGGGACCGCGTCCAATCCATGGCGGATGTCGAGCTCGCCTTCCGTGTCTCCTTCGACACCGCAGCTTGCGCGGTAAGGACTCGAAGATCGGCAACGGACAGAACCTCGTGCAGCTGATAATCCTCAACTTGCCGAGTACGCGCTCCCACAATCTCCCGCGTGAACCATAGCTGATTTGTCGCTTTGCAGAGGCTCACCTCGTGTCTGCCCACCCCGCCGTCATCATTGGGCGGGACGCGTTCGTGCACTACCTCAACGAGTACCTCGTCTTCCTCCACCAGGCCGGCAACCATGTCTCTTCTCCCTCCCGGACTTCGACGACGACCGCTACCGCCTCACGATCGACTACTCGCTCATGGGCGGCACGGTGCTCGAAGTCGACGACATCTACGGTGTCAGCGTGGACAAGATCAACACGTACTTGTCCTCAGTTTGGCTGAAGGCTGCCATGCTCATCGGCAGCGAGCTCGAGGACTGGAAGTCGCTCTGCCTTGCTGAGTACCGCAGCACTTGGCGCCCGCTTCCGGACTGGGACGGCCACTTCCACCTCCGCCTTGGGGCCCCTCGCGTCAAGCCCGTCTGCTCTCGTGAGGCTATCGTCTACTTCAGTGTGGATGAGGTTCTCTTCTACGAGGACGCGGACTTCACTAAGTGAGCGCCCTATGTTTTCCATGTTGTGGGCTGAGCTAATCCATGTTACAGAGAGCCACACCGTCGCTACAGCGGCTGGGAGATCGCGGTCCTGGTCGATATCACCCATGAGTTCGACGGCTTCGTCACTCGCTGCGTGCTCGATTTGGCGTGTAAGTGAACGTCCTTCCCATCCTTTTGCAATACTTATTCACCTCCCAACGTAGCTGCCCGCCCTTACCACGCTCAGTGCAAGTATGGCGGCTTCGAGGAACACGACGAGATTGCTGTGACGTACTGCACCCGCATCGTCGAGTTCTTCTCCTCCACCTACCTCGACATCCTGGAGACCGTCGAACTCCACGTGATCTACTTCTTCGACTCGCGTTGGCCCATCGCCGCAGCGGGCTCGATCACCGTCAACGGCGAGGAGGCAGATGACGACGAGTCCTTCGACGAGGAAGGCTGGTTAATGTCTGGCGAGAGCAAGAGCACGCGAGTGATCGAGTGGCGGGAGATGATCACGCGCTGCAACATGTACGGCTTCGACCAGGTCATCGCCCTCTCGCAGTCGACCATCAACGCGTTCTTCCAGTCGATCTGGTCCGGTGGGCAGAGCCACAGGCACAGCGACCATGCCTTGGTCAAGTGGCACTACGAGGAGTTCTTCAACGCACGCTTCAAGCCGATGACTCTGCGCCTCCTCAGCAACGGCCGCGCTATCGTCTGGATCCATCTCGAGCACGGTCACCTCAAGGTCCTCAAGAACAGGCTGCCTTGGAGCGAGTAAGTCCACGTTTTACTCGTTGTGATGCATATCGGTTAATCCATTCGTCTTGTAGGAGCGAGAAGTACCACTTTGAGGGCTGGCACCTCGCCTTCGAAGTGGACCTGAAGAAGGTCGTGCACTCAGAGCTCAAGTGTTCCGAGTCGTGGACCGCACAGTACAAGGAGTCGTCTGTCTACAAGGAGCACGGGATCCGCGAGGACCGCATCCTCGAGCACATCATCCTGGACCTGAGCCGTATGTCTTTCGCATGATGAAAGTTTTACCACGCTAATCAACCCATCTAGATGCTGAGTTCCTATACGAGTTCTCTAGCTTCGAGGGCCTCTTCCACCACTCGCACGGCCCTGCGCACGAGCACCGTCCCATCGAGCAGGTTCAGGCTGTCGTCCACTACCTCCAGGGCCACTACCTGCCCCACCTCGCACACTCCGGTCTCAACATCATCCACACCGTGCCGATCTGGAAGACGAAGACGAACATGACGTCTGTCTCCCTGACCACCATGCATTTCCACGTCTACTCGAAGACCGAGATCACCCGCCAGAACTGGGCTCACGTCTCTGGCAGCTTGGAGCCGGTCATCGCTGTCCTCGGCATGACCGAGTTCCGCCCGCTCCCCGCCCCTCGTCTTGAGTACTCGTCCAACCTGATCATCCGCGCCTCGAGGAATGTCTCGTACGGCACGGTCTGCATCTCTCGCTCGACCTTCATGGATAAGCGCCTCCTGGACCTCCTCAGCCTCATCAACGCACGCACGACGGTCATCCCTCTCTTCTCCGGTGTCGTCGACGGTGTATGGCAGCTGCAGCTCACGACCTGGGCCGAGCACCAGTGGAGGAAGTCGCAGTCGTGCAAGTGGGAGGAGGTCTCTGAGCACGGCGGACTCATCAAGTACAGGTGGCAGCACCGCGACGGCTGGAAGTACGAGCACGAGGGTACTGGCGAAATCGACAACGGAACCTACTCTGTCCACTGTAAGTGCTTATCATCTCGCAATATCCGGCTACTCACTGAATCATTTCTTAGGCTCGACTCGCAACTTCGTCGAGCTTCCGACCGCGGCGAGGAACAAATCCATGGATATCAAGATCTCGGGCGAGACCGATCTCGAGATGTCCTTCAAGTCCGCTACTCGTTCGGGAAGGTTAGTCTTTGTCGTCTATATTGACCTCTGTTGGCGCTCATGTTGCGAACGCTCACAGCTCGAAGTCGTCGGCGAAGTGGGGTGTCGTGATCAGCATTCAGAGCGACTTCGACGGTCTCAGCGTGAAGGTCATCGGATCCTTGTCCCCCGTCATCGAGGCCTCGGCTGCGCACGTCCCTGCCGGCATGTTCCCTGACCTGCGCCAGAAGCTCCACGAGCATCTCCCGAAGACGATCGACCTGTCCCAGGTCCTCGGCGAGCTCAAGGCCTTCGAGGGTGTCTGGCACTACGGCTACCCCGGCTTGCACGCCTACTGTCTCGCGAACCCCGTGTTCAACCACAAGGGAGACGTGATCTTCGAGCTTCGCCCTCAGGGACAGGGTGCTGTCTCGCACCGTCACAACGGCAGCGCGAGCAAGGCCGACACCATTAGCAGGCAGTCCTCGCGCGCGACTCTTTCTTCGCGGCCGTCTTGTAAGTCATTCCCGAGTTAAATGCTGCTCCGGTATTGACGTCGTGTTCGCTGTATAGTCTTGAGGAAGATCAAGGACACGGTCACTACAGCCCTCTCAGGCAGCTCTCCTAGCTCCCCTGCTGCCGGCAACGGACACGCACATTCCAACGGGAACGGGCATTTGCACGCCAATGGGCAGTCCCGCAGCGGTTCATACATGGCCAACAGCATGACATTCGACCTCACCGGGAAGCACGAGGAGCTCGTCGAGGAGAGCGTCGAGGAGAGTTCCTTTCTTGTGTCTGAGGTCTCTTCAGTGGCGTAAGTGGACGTGTGTCCTGAATTGCTGGACTTCCTGCTGGACCTCCTGCTGTTGCGATTGTTGTTGTTGTCCCGGCTCCGATTGTTGCTGTTGATGCCCACCTCGCTCTTTTTACTGTAAAACGAAACGCACACTCTCATTCTCGCATCCTGTCGTCGCCACTCGCATAATATCTCGCACTCTTGATTCTCGTCAGTCGTATGATCACTCCGAACTGAAATAGTGCTGTTGTACTCAGTCATGGCAATCTTATATCCCTGCTCCATGCTAGTGGCACTGGCTGAAACGTCTGAATTGCGAGAAACTGCTGGGAAGTAGGCTCCGTTACATACCATGAAAGAATGGCAAGCACATTTATGGCTGGGAAGGTGAAGTCCACAACTGTCTGGTTCTCCCGACTCGTCTATGGTATCGTATCAACACATCGAAGCTTCATAAATAGGTGACTTTCATGCCGAATGTCGCGTGTATCCCAGAAGAAAAGACACAATGAAAGGCTTGTGAAGGACAACCCGTTTACCATGCGTGATGTCCTCCAGTCACAAGCATACTAAGTATCGAAATGCACAGTGAGCACGAGTTAACGGTTTCAATGACGTGGTCACTCACTCGCTTCCCGTGCAGAATGTGCTGGCATCGCTAGCAAGCCACGTCACGACGCCTCTCAGTTCATCAGATCGGCCGAGGCGGTTCAGCGGATTGGCATTCGATAGCACTTCGACCAGATGCGGGCGCACGTCCAAGTAAGCTGCGGTCATGCTGCAAGGTAAACACCGTATGATCAATCGTCCTCCGAACCATGCGAGGGAGGACAAGCAGGCTTACTTGGTGTAGAAGTGACCAGGACTAAGGGAGTTGACCCTGATGCGCTTCGGTCCTAGTTCGCAAGCCATGCTACGGGTCATCTGAAGGACGGCGGATTTGGAGGTGTTGTACGAGATCCAAGGATGATCCTATGCCGCACATATTAGTCTCCAGTGAAACCCGAGGGTGCTTTGAAGTGAAAGGCTTACCCTGTTAGTGATGCTTCCGCTCATGCTGGCTATGAAGGTGATACTGCCGCCGTTCCCGAAGCGGGCCATCTGTCTGGCAGCAGCTTGTGCGGTGAAGAGTGCGCCGTTCACGTTGACCTCCATCACCTATCTTTGTATGAGCATCGTATTCGTGTATGATTGCTGTCGGGATAGAAACGCAACATACCTTCTGAAAGGCCTTGGATTCGTACTCTAGACAATCAGTCTCCGGGTTGAGGATGCCCGCAGCGGCGATACAGGCATCCATACGGCCTTCCCTGTCGCCAATCATCTCACCAATCTTCCACAAGCGCTCCTGGGGCGCCTCCGTCAGCATGACAGTAACCTTCGTCGATGGGTGCTTGCGCATACCTGATCGCGCACGTCCGCGCTGAAGTACTCTAGCCTACCTTCTCCAGCTTTGCCTTTCATCCGCGCCATGTATTCCTTGACCTTGTTCCACTCTTCTCCCGGCTTCTCAGGGAGGTCGACACAATATACTGCTCGCGCGCCGGCTTCTGCCAGCGCCATGGCCATCTCGAGACCGAGTCCACGATTCGCGCCGCTGACAAGGGCGACCCTATCTCTAAGAGAGAATTCGTGTTCGAAGATAGTCGGGGTTGGAACTAGCTAATATGTCAATATCGGCTAGTGCGCCCTGCATAGTTATATTCGACTCACTGATACTGGGAGACGCGTCAAGCGCAGCAGCTACGCCGACGGGACCGTAGGAAGGGAGGACGCCGGTCTTGTTTTGCTGGTGCTCGATTTTCAAGGGCGAGTCCTGGGCGGAGCGACAACTGAAGCCAGTAGAAAAACTAGCCATCGTCTGACGCGTGCAGACGATGGCTCGTCGTGAACCAATGGTCGCCAGAACCTTGGAGAACGGCCGCTGAAGATATGTGCTGAACATCTGGGGGTAGAACAGTCCTACAGATGGCTGAGGGATACCGGCCAATGTGGTGACTTATATCTCCCCCTCCATGAGCTATCACGAGTACCGTGATATTCGCAGCTTGTCCACTGAGACCTCACGGGGCAACACAAGAAGCAGGCGGGACGCGCAGAACCCCGCGCAAGGCGGCAGTTCAGACTGAGCGGACAGCTCGTGGGTGATGCGAGATCTCGGTCTTTGCATCCCAAACGTGAGATCAAGTCGCGGGGAGTTGTGTTGGCCACTGAGGTGTCTTCTTTACCGACAACGTCGGCGGGATCGGGTCAGATGATCAGGTGCATGATCGCGGGCAATACAGTCCATGTCATAGGATGAGTCTTCGTTACGTGCGTGGATGTTGGCTCAGCGCATCACGGAATGAAAATACTGACCCCGCATGTACGAAGCGGGTATCATGTCGAAGGACTGCATTGGGAGTCCGCCAATGTAGCGGAACGGAATCGGACGACCGTCTCGACAGGTCACGGAAAGTCTGAGCCCAGGCCGTATACACCTGATGACTATGTCTCGACTCAGCGAATCATTCTCGAGAATCGCTGAGGTACTCACCGCCAACGGGGATCACACGGAGCCGCTGGGTCAGTGACATGCTGCGCACCTGCTTCGTGACGCTCTTCATGCTCTGGAGGCCATCATAGTCCAAGTCACCCCCCAACGGAGATGGCCTTGCTCGGGCTCCCGCTGTTTCGTGCAACTGCAGAGGTTAGTCTCCTCTAAGGCAATCTCCATCCTGCAAGAAGCTGTGACTAGTGATGTGACGCCCACAAGTTGCAAAGCTGGTGCCAAGTCGACGGTCGTCTCATGATGAAGAGGTAGGTGGCCCTAATCTGGTATGCAAGTACTGATGTGACTCGGATGCCTGGCGCATTGGTAGAGTGGTCCAAACCAAGAGACTCAAAGTCGTGCGGTGAGCGTAACTTACCACACGAAATACCCCATTAGGGTAGAAGGTTCCGGCGCAACGGCGCCACTGCACCCCACTACACGCGCGACCTGGGGTTGGAAACGGTGTTGCTTGGGTGTTGCACTGGCAGGCAGTGGCACCGCGCACAGCCCGTGATGCACTTAGTTCGTAGGCATTGAACACAGTGGACACAAGGCGTCGTGCAAGACAGACAGAAAAGACTCACGCCGTACATTCAGTTGGATCGCACCTCGCCGCCGGAAGCAACTCGGAAGCGCAAACTGCTGGCACACTGGCAGCGAGGCCCCAGCTTGCGCTTGATCCGTGTCCTTCTCGGCTGTGGAGGACCTGAGAAAGCCATGTTCGGGTGCGACGAATATCTGGTCGTAGACCTGTGAGGACGCGTAGCTCCGCTCCTATCCAAGCCCGCTCGCCACTCGATAGCTTGCGTGACACTGTCACCCCTGGTTGTCACATTGTGGGTCCACAGCTAACACAGCCCCTCCTCGCCTCAATCAGCTGGAAGACACGCGTTCGCCTGCGCGTTGCCGCACGTGTATTCATCTACATATAACACGGCGTCTTCAATGCCGCCAGGCAGGAGCTCTTGTGCTTGACCACCGTCAAGCAAAGCCCTCCGCTCTTGTCCAGAATCTGAACCGGGATTTCATCCTCAACGGTCCATTATGCCAGCGTCGGAGAGTGTAGCGGTCTTCTGGGACTATGGTACGTGTTGTGGCGAACAGTCGCCGTCGATCGGTCGACGCCACACTGACGGTGATCAACCCATCCATGTCGTTCTGAACACCATCTTGCCCAGAGAACTGTGCTGTTCCATCCAACACATCTGGCAGTGTTATTGCCAACAACATCCGACGCATCGCCCATCAATATGGGAGTGTGAAGACGTTCAAGGCGTACATGGAGCTACCAGAACAGTCCTCACCAAAGAGCTATGCTCTGCGATCGGAGCTGCAGCTTTGCGGGGTCTCTTTGATAGACTGCCCTCACAATGGCAGCAAAGATGTCGCCGACAAGATGATGATCGGTACGGACACTCTACTCGGTGCCCCGGATGACCTGCTCATGAGCCCGCAGTGGATATGATGGCCTATGCCATCGATACCCAAGCTCCTGCGACCATCATCCTCATCTCGGGCGACCGAGACTTCGTATACGCGGTCTCCGTACTGTGTCTGCGCCAATACCGGCTCATAGTGCTTGCGCCACATGCGGCACACACGAGCCTGAAAGCGCAGGCCAGTGTGGTGTACTCCTGGCCCGCCGATGTCCTGCCAGACGAGCCGTCAGCGGACGGCACCAAGTCTCGCAGCGGCACCATCCCCGAGTACTTCCGTTCTCGAAGCGATCCTCCACCATCGACGGCGGTGCGATTCACCGCAGCCGTCCCGGCGTCGCCGCCTCTGTCTCCCGCGCACCGAGGCGGCCGATGCCCACGAGTGCACCGTCGGATTCTGCCCTCCTGCGACCAATGCCGCAGCACTGGGTGCCGAAAGTGTCCTCATCACCCACGGCAAGCACCCCCGGGCTGCCCGTTGCTTCTGGCACGGTAAGCCTCGTCCCTATGCATTCTTCTCAATGGCTGATGCGTCAACTGTCCCGCCTAGCCTTCCAGCGACACGACGGCGGTCGATTCTGAGCAGAAGCTCCGGCGTCCCTCCTTCCTTCCATCGAGACGCCGGGGTCGTACTTCAGCAATCCATACCAGCAGCCCAGCCCGAGCCCATCGCCGAAGCGGGACACTGCAGACATACCACATCTGCAGTGGGGCTCCCTCGCATCAACCGAGGTCGAGACATCGCGGCTGAACGTGGACGCCCCCTCTTTCACGAGCAAGATATGGCCCGAGGATGAACTCCCGAACCTCTCTTCCAGCATCCCGGCCCCGCTAGTAGACACCACGAAGCGCGGCCTCCCCGCGCACTTCCGCCCGCTCGTCAAGGTCCTGAAGCAACGGCTCAAAGAGGGTGTGGCGCAGGTTGCCTACTCCGAGCTGGGGACGTTGCTCCGCCAGGAGTCCGCGGCGGTCTACGAGCTGGCCGGCGTGTCGAAGCTGAAGGAGTACTCCTGCTTGGCGGAAGACGCGGGGGTCGTGATCCTCACGGAGAACGTGTACGGCCCTGGAGGCGTCGACGGGCAGCGATGGGTGTCGCTGCACCCCCGCCTGGTGAAGGGCGCTGCGCGGAGGACCCTGGATGAATGGTGAGTAGCGGGTTTGTGGGATTGCGTGGTTTGTTGAGATCACTGAAGCTGATGCTCGATTTGCCTCAGGACGTTCATGGCGCGCCAGGGTACTAGCAAGTAGGACACGACGGAGAGGAAGCCGGGGAGCAACATTAGCTTACTCCTAGATTCTGTGATGCGCGTTCTTTATCTTGGTCTATATTGAGTGGTCATCTATAGCGCACGATGCGCGCCCGTCTCGCGATGGTGGAGAATGCAATCCTTCCAATCTAATATGAATGCGAGATTATCATGATAGCGGATATGTGTGCGACAGCAATCGTAGTACAGACCATTATTGATGCTAGAGTGGATGGTAGAACGACAGAGACCGCCACACGGTGCCACACGACCTACATACTGCCACACGACCAGGGACCCCAGGGCGACGCCAACGACGTTGTACACTAGTTTACCACATTAACCCTCGACGATAGATTATGGACCGCCATTGGCCTGGGTGCCCTGCCACAGACCATAGCTTTTCCCGGGTGTCGTTTGCCAAAGTCGAATCGTGCCATCCTCTGCGGGTTCAAGATCACGCGATGAGTTGAGGGTTTAGGTTTGAGTTCACGTACCGCTGCCGCTCGCGAACATCTCTCCGTCGGGACTGTACTCGACGCAGTGCACGGGACCATGGTGACCTTTGAGCACGTCGCGCTCTTCTCCGTTCAAGTCGTGGATCCTGACCCACTCATCGCTGATGCTCCCGGTGATGAATCGATCCTGGAGGACAGGGTGGATTGAAGCAGACGACGGCGCATACGGCAAGGTAAGGCTATGGGTCTGGCCGCCATTGAGCAATGCCGGGATGAAGGACACGGTCTTGCCAGACGTCACGACCAACCGATTTGTTTGTGCCGAGAGCTCCATGGACGTGATCGGGCCCGGGAACGTGAGACTAGTCGTGAGCTTCCGTGTCCGCAGATCCCACCATCTGGGTAAAGCCACCAATGAGCGGACGGTCCATGCAATCATCACATCAGGGCAGACCATGTGCACTCACTTGACCAGACCATCCTCCCCGGCCGTGACCCCGGTGTGATCACCTACCCATACCACGCTCTTGACCGTGCCCTCGTGTGCAGTGGCTGCACCGCCCTCCATGAAGATATCTGGCTCTGCATCTGGGCGACCGAGATCGAACAGGCGCACTTTCTTTTCTTGGCCGCCGGTGAGTAGATGGGAAGTGTTTGGCGACATCGCGACGGTGCGGACGATGTGATTATGAGGGAAGGAATGGAGCGCCTCGCCCGAGTAGGTATCCCAGATCTTGCTAATCGAGTGGCACTGCCGTTCAGCCCCATAACACCCACATAGAAGCGAAGCTGGACTGCACGTACGCCGTGAAATCTGCGCTTCCGGAAGCGGCACGGGAGGTGTCAGGAGACAGCTTGCTGCTCCATACCGCGCCCTTGTGTCCTATGAAAGTCCCTATCCAGTCGCCCGTCCATTCGCGCAGCATCGGGTTCCCGTCCTTGCAGCTCGAGATGAGCACATACGTGTTGTCGTCTTGCAGGGCGGAGAAGGAGAGGTGGGTGACGGGTCGCGTGTGGCCAGGTGCCACGAGAGGGACGGCTTTCGGCGGGATGAACGACATTGCTGGGCAAAATGGGGATTGAGTTAGGTGGGAAGGAGATCGTACAACGTGGGCGTGATGAAAGTCGTGATACAGGCGCACCGCGCACTGCTGGGTCGAGGTCGAGGAGGCTGGTCGAGTGGTGGGCTGCAACGCGCTTCAAAACCGGGCAGTGGCCTGTCTGATGCCACGTGCCCGGCGCCACCGCCTCTGTGCTGCACTTGTTCGTCGCGTTCTGCTCGAGTTGCCTGCGCTCCTCCATTCAGTGTCCCTGGCGGTCTGCTGCAGCATCTGCTTGTGCATAGGGGCTGGCGACTTCTTGCCTATGCCTCTCCGAGAAAGTCCTTTGGGGTGCGACTAACAGTAGCTGAAGTCGTCTTCTTTATCCCGCGTATCAGAACCAGCCTGAGCGTAGCGGCCACTTCACGTACGTACAAGAAGCACTACTGCTCTATAAATTGCAGGACTGCGGGCGTTTGTGATTGCTCATGGACCGCAGGAGCCTCCGCGATATCGCGTCGTCTTTGCATGACTCTACGCATGCTTTGTTATCTTCAGTGCTCACGACACACTACACGAAGGAGGTCCCGGAGAAAACTGCATCGGTTTATTGCTTGTGGGCAGCAAGCCGCTGGACGCAACAATGAAATCACCGTCCAGTGCTTCGAGAACCATTGGCATTGTGCCTACTACTACCTGGGTGGCTGCCAATGGCTGCCAGCCCACATCATGGGTTATGAACGCGTGTGAGTACCATTATCCTACTGCGACTTTCCTCCTCCCGATAATACTTCGAAGGATCCTACCGAACCTTGTGCGTGCCAATCTTGTAGGGTTTTCAGGTCTGTGTGGCAAACAGCACAACGGGTTGTCCGTGGACACTGGGAGCGTCATGGTACGCGTTTAGAAGTCACTGGAGCCTGCCGTACGTCTTAGCCGCTGTCAACGGTGGGATAAACGCTCCCAGGCGATGAGACCATGTGGAGTCTAGTGTTCTGGATATCGACAGTGGTACTCATTGCCTCACCGCTCGTTGTATGTCGAAAGAGGCACACCCTTTGGGGAGAATGTTGACCTGTGGCTGACCGTGGCCACAGTGGCTGAGGATGGCGATCACAGTGGCCCGTTCGGGCTGTGTCCCTGGACGGAACCGCACTACACCCGCATTGGCACGGCAATCACGGGCTTGGCGCGGGTATGGCGACGCCAGTGAGTGCCGGCGCTTCCCTCGGCATTCAGTTGCGCCTTCTCCCGCCAGAGCGCCCTGATCGAAGGCGGGCGGCGGTGTGGGGAAGCGCGTCAAGGAGCACACGTGACCGCGATGGTGGCGCAAAAGCTCGCCATGTCCGCCGTGATGGCGTGCTCCGGGAGGACGGCTGTTGAGGAAAACATCCTGGGCGGCCTCGCGGTCCAAACCCGTGTCCTCAATTCCGAATAATGATCAACGACACGAGCTACCGCGTTCTGAGCCATATAGCGGCGACTCAGCTGCGAACAGCCCGCCGTGCCCCAGCCCAACCCTCCGTCGTGGAACCGGTGGTCCTTGGGTGTCCCCGCCAGTGCTACTTACCGCCTCGCCTCGCGATCGCGTGCGATAATTTGTCATTACCCCTGGGCCTGGCAGAACGGAATACCTGCGCCAAATTGCGCGCTCCAACCTCTTTTAAACCGAAAGGCGCCCCATACTGCGCCTCGCTCCCTCGTCCCGCCTCTGCTTCTTTGCCATGCTCACAGAAGCGAAGAACGTAGCCACAAAAGCGGCGAAACGCGCCGTCGGTCACCCCAAAGATCCTGTTCCCGTGGTGACCGTCGACCATTGGGTCCGTCGTCTGTCCCCGGACCCGAAACGAGAGGTGTGTACCGCTCTTCGATCACCTCCCGCGAAGCACTGATCGCGCCTTACAGGCCCTCGACTACCTACGGAGTCTGTTCCCCATATTCGGCTGGATCACCAGATACAGTATGTCGTCCGGACGTCATTTACATCGCCTTCATTGAATATTATTGTGACCTAGATCTCGGCTGGTTAACGGGAGATGTCATCGCTGGCCTCACCGTCGGTATTGTCGCCGTTCCCCAGAGCATGTCCTACGCTAAGGTTGGTCCCACATACTATATTCTGAATCACGGCTTCTCACTGACTATATATAGCTCGCGACACTCCCTGCCGAATACGGGCTCTATTCCACCTTTGTCGGCACTCTGGTCTACTCGGTAAGTCACCCATACCAGCTGAGTCTTACAGACCATCCTGAGAAGTGTGCAGCTCTTCGCGACGTCCAAGGATGTCTCGATCGGTCCGGTTGCCGTCATGTCGCTGACAGTCTCGCAAATTATCGCCTATGTCAACGACCATCATCCAGGCGTTTGGGCGTCGACGCAAATCGCGACCACTCTCGCGTTCATCTGCGGCTTCATTGTTCTGGGCCTCGGTATCCTTCGGCTCGGGTGGATCGTCGAGTTCATTCCCGCACCTGCTGTCAGTGGGTACATGACTGGCTCCGCCATCAATATCGTCGCTGGTCAAGTTCCTGGCCTGCTCGGCTTGACAGGTTTCAAGTGAGTCTATCGTATACGATGCAGTTTATCAATCCTCATGTTTTCATTAGCACTCGTGCAGCCCCATACCGGGTCATCATCGACACGCTTAAACATCTACCGCAGACCAAGCTGGATGCCGCCTTCGGGATCACCGGTCTGGTGTGCTTGTATCTGATCCGCTTCGCGTGCGTGTACTTCACAAAGCGGCTCCCGCATCGACGTATGTGCATCGTCTGCTGTTCGCTTTGCCACATGGGCTTACGTTGTTTCTTAGAGCGACTGTTCTTCTTCATATCGGTCTTCAGGAACGCCTTCGTGATCATCATTCTTACGATTGCGTCCTGGCTGTTCACCCGGCATCGGGAGACGAAGGCTGGCAAATACCCGATCAGTATTTTGGGAAACGTTCCTCGGGGCTTCCAGCACCTCGGCGCTCCGAAGATCGAGAAGGACCTCGTTACCGCACTGGCCAGCGAGCTCCCAGTCGCTACCATCATCCTGGTGCTCGAGCACATCGCCATTTCGAGATGTAAGGCGTATGTTCCATCTCTAGCATGAAATGATGTCTGACATGCTGTCCAACAGCCTTCGGCCGTGTCAACGGATATAAAATCAATCCCAACCAGGAGCTCATCGCCATCGGCGTGACAAACACCATCGGTACGCTCTTCGGCGCGTACCCTGCTACTGGTTCGTTCTCCCGCTCTGCCCTGTCCTCCAAGTCAGGAGTGCGCACCCCGGCAGCGGGTATACTCTCCTCGATGGTGGTCCTCGTCGCGCTCTACGGCCTGACTCCCGCCTTCTACTGGATCCCGAACGCGGGTCTTTCCGCGGTCATCATCCACGCCGTCGCCGATCTGGTCGCGTCTCCGCGCCAAGTCTACCACTACTGGCGCGTGTCGCCTCTTGAGTTCATCATCTGGGCTGCGTCTGTCCTGGTCACCGTCTTCTCGACCATCGAAGACGGTATCTACACCGCCATCGCGACCTCCGCCGCCCTGCTCCTCGTGCGCCTCGCGCGGCCTCGCGGCTACTTCCTGGGCAAGGTGAAGGTCCGCGGCAGCGAGAAGTCGGACGCGGAGTCGCGCGACGTCTACGTGCCGCTCAACCCGAAGCCGTCGCTCTTGAAGGCTGGCGTGAAGGTCGCGCCGCCCGCCCCGGGCGTCATCGTGTACCGCTTCGAGGAGAGCGTCCTGTACCCAAACGCGGCGTTGCTCAACACCGTCATCGTGGACTACGTCAAGGAGAACATGCGCCGCGGCAGGGACATCAGCGCGATCAAGCTCAGCGACCGGTCATGGAACGATCCTGGCCCTCGAAACGGTGGAGATGAGAACGCGGAGAACCTGAAGAGACCCACGTTGCACGCCATCGTCTTCGATTTCTCTGGAGTGTACGTTTTTTCCTTACCTAGATTTCGGCGCCGTCGCTCATCATCACTTGTAGCTCGCAGATCGATACCACCGCAATACAGGCTCTGATCGACACGAGAACAGAAGTGGAGAGATGGGCGGACCGGCCGATCGAGTTCCACTTCGCGACCATCCTTTCGCCCTGGGTCCGTCGCGCGCTCATCGCCGGAGGCTTTGGCACCGGTGCCCGCAATTCGAGCGTGCCTCGAGAGATCGCCGCCGTCGTCCCCTACCGCGGTGGCCAGGCCCTTGATCGTGTGGACAAGCCCGAACAAGATGAGGAGGCCCGCCTTCCGATCGCCGAGGAGGAGCGCAAGTTTGAAGAGGAGACGTCACCGTTGGACCTCGAAGACACGCCCTTCATCCACTTCGACCTCATCAGCGCTGTTCGCTCCGCCGAGGCAGGCTTGCTGGCGCAGCCCGTGCAGACGTCCCGGTCGAGTACGTCGACCCTTTGCAGTAAGCAGAAGGCGGAGATTGAGGAGCGCGACGCGTAGTTGTAGGTTGCACCGCTCCCGCTGGGTTTAATGTGATGACTTGATGACTAGTTGGTGTATAATCATGATGTTGCTGCACACACTATAGCATTAGATGCATGACGCTCATAAGGAGCTGTACGATAGTTTAAAGTTACTGACAGTGCCATTCGAGCCCATGTATACCATAATAACATACAAAAGTACTTGCCTTAACGTGAACTTGCGTTGAGAATGCCTGCGATTCCGAAGTCAGTGCGAGGTCTGAACGAACGGAGCCGATTTCCTTTTTTGGACACGGGTTGTTAACCTTCGATCACTTCACACGGCGCGAGGTCTCCGCGTCACCCTGCGCTCAGACTGCGACGAACCACCTCCATGAATCTCTTGCGACTGTCCTCGCGGCTTGTACTGGGCGTAGCTACTCGGAGGCCACTCCACACTTCCTGTGTTTGCGCTTCAGGACATAACAAAGTCAGTGTATGGTCCTCCAACCCTGGCAGTTTAGTGAACTGACCGAAGCGTCACGCAGTGGTCGAAAATCAAAGGAGTAAAGGGTGTCATGGACCGCGAAAGAGGAAAGATACATAGCAAAGCGAACAAGGTCCGTCTTCACGCGTAGTGCTTTGTCGATGCGTCCAGCTGAACCTGCCACGCAGGATATAGCGATCGCGGTGCGAAGTACGCCTGTTTGCCCTCATTCCCGTCGTTGAACTGTGGTTCCAATCTCCTTCGTATGGTAGCGGGAGGGAGCCTTGACCCCGAGACGAATATGACACTGGCTGCGGTACTGCAGAGGTTGAAGGCACAAGGCGTGCCGAAGGAGCTTGTCGAGAACGCTCTCAAAAGGGCTGCTGGTGGAGGGGAAAGGGGAGACCAGCAGCTGGTCTATGAGGCTATAGCGCCTGGATCCGTCGGGTTGATCATGTATGTCCATCCGCCACTCTCTTGTCGAAGCCCTTACACCGACTCCGCGTAGAGAATGCCAAACGGACAATGTGACCCGGGCCATGCACAAGGTGCGCAATGTACTCACGACAAATAGGTACGCCTTGGCAACTATTGTTGTTGATGCCACGATGTTGACTGTAGCCTAGCGCACGTCTCGCACCAGTCAAGTTTATGTTCACTCGGCAAGGTCTCGTGAAGGTGGCACTGGAACATGACGGGTCATACGCAGAACTGCTTGAGCCTCTCATCGAGAAGATGATAGATGCAGGTGCCGAGGACTTCGTGGAGTCAGTACCAGAAGAGGGCGATGCGGAGGTTACTGTAAGTGTTCCTCAATTGGCTTCAGGGCTTGTAGCTAACCCGCACTTCAGTTCACCTGCCAGCCAGAAGACCTCAACAAGTTGACCTCAGTTGCCACGAAGACGGGTATGTGCAAGGAGCTCCTGAGCAGTGACCTCGTATATAGTCCTGTAGAGAAGACTGCAGACCTAGACGAGGACACTGTTCGAAACACTGGACGAAAATTGCGATATTTTCATGTGAAAGATTGTAAACAAGAGGCCAAACAATTTTTGTGTATTTCATCTGAGAATGATCTTCAAAATGATTGAAAATATCTTTGCTCTCCTTCTTAGTGAAAGATTGGAAAAGGATTGATGAGAGCTTTGAAATCATTTGATTGCTGTCATACATGTGTCTTTCTGCCTCAATGATTCAATAAGTATATGAGGCATACTAGCAATCAATTTGACTCTAATGATTACAGAAAGATACAAAACCAGAACTTGAAGTCCTGATTGTCAATCCTTGCTTGAACTTTCTGTTGAGAATGATAGTGATTTGGTTTTGAATCTTATGGCCTTGAAGTATTGAAGAAAGATGGTAAACAATGATCATAGAACAGGATTTCAAATCTTATTAACAGATTTTGTGGCCAATGATAAGAAGGATATTATGAATCCAGTCTCTATCAGTGTACATCTTGCTACAGTGCATATTGTGTCATGTTCTGCATATGTTTACTAGGTTTTATCATGAATGATTTAAAAAAGATTGCAGACATTTTTCTCTATCTTTTGGCAAGAAGGATCACTTTATTATGCTAGATGGCCAGGCATCATGGTTGTATGGTACATCTGTGATCCAGCCATCATTCATTCAGAGATCATTAGCTTTGAAAGATATATAATGGATTGTCACACCCTGTTATGAATCCTTTTGCCATCATGTTCCATGAAGGATGTCAAAATGATTGTCACACCCTGTTATGAATCTTTTTGTGATCACTTTCCTCAAAAGATACATAAATGATTGTGACAGACTGTGAATTTGCAAGGGGTTTAATTCAGTCACAAACAGAGCTATCATAGCAGCAATCATGTACAGCTGTGGACACTGTGCCACTGTGGTGGTCCCTGCCAAACAGAGGCTATGAATGGTCTGTGCCACATGCATTCCATATATGACATTCTCTTTTGCTCAATCAGGGTCAGCATTTACCCCCATTCACAATGTACACAGAAGTGCAGAGTACAACACAACTTACTTCCAAGTGTAGTGTGTGATGCAGGAATGTATTGTACATGCTACAATACACACTGAGATGTACATTGTGAGTGGCACAGCACATTGATGTACTTCAATGAATGTGATGCACATCTGGATATACATTGTACATAGTCATATAGAGCATGGCCTGCTTGGTCAAGGCCAATGTATGTGGGAATGTATCATACATGCTACGATGTACACTGGGATGTACATTGTGAGTGGCACAGCACATTGATATAGTTCAGCCAATGCAATGTACATGTGGATGCACATTATGCATAGTCACCAGAGCATGGCCTGTTTTATCAAGGCCAATGTATGCAAGATTGTACTGTACATGTAATGATGTACATTGGGATGTACAATGCAAGCGGCTGAGCATGTTAATGTACCTCAACAAATGCCATGTGCATCTGTATATACATTGTGCATTGCCAATAGACCATAGCCTGCTTGGTCAAGATCAATATATGCAGGAATATACTGTACTTGATACAATGTACACTGGGATGTACATTGTGAGTGGCACAGCACATTAATGTACCTCAACAAATGCCATGTGCATCTGTATGTACATTGTGCATTGCCAATAGACCATAGCCTGCTTGGTCAAGGTTAATATATGCAGGAATGTACCATACATGCTATGATGTACACTGGGATGTACATCATGAGTGGCACAGCACATTAATGTACCTCAATAAATGCAATGCACATCTGGATGTACATTATGCATAGTCAAATGGAGCATGGCCTGCTTCATCAAGGCCAATGCACATGGGAAAATATCATACATGCTACAATGTATACTGGGATGTACATTGTGAGTGGCACAGCAAGTTAATGTACTTCAGCCAATGTGATGTGCATCTGGATGTACACTATGCATAGTCAATAGAGCATGGCCTGCATGGTCAAGGTCAATGTATGCAGCAATGTACTGTACATGCTATGATGTACACTGGGATGTACATAGTGAGTGGCACAGCACATTCATGTACTTTAATGAACATAATGCACATCTGAATGTACATATTGCATTGTCAACAGAGCATGACCTGCTTGGTTAATGTTGGTGTATGTGGCAATATACTGTATGTGCTACATTGTACATTGACATGTACACTGCAAGTAGCAGAGCACATTGATGTACTTCAACCAATGCAACATACATCTCAATGTATATTGTGCATAGTCAATAGAGCATGGTTTACTCACTCATCACTCTCAGTATGCTGGGCAATCTTGATGACAAGACTGCATTTGATCGAGATGTATGTTGCATTGGTTGAAGTACATCAATGTGCTCTGCTACTTGCAGTGTACATGTCAATGTACAATGTAGCACATACAGTATATTGCCACATACACCAACATTAACCAAGCAGGTCATGCTCTGTTGACAATGCAATATGTACATTCAGATGTGCATTATGTTCATTAAAGTACATGAATGTGCTGTGCCACTCACTATGTACATCCCAGTGTACATCATAGCATGTACAGTACATTGCTGCATACATTGACCTTGACCATGCAGGCCATGCTCTATTGACTATGCATAGTGTACATCCAGATGCACATCACATTGGCTGAAGTACATTAACTTGCTGTGCCACTCACAATGTACATCCCAGTATACATTGTAGCATGTATGATATTTTCCCATGTGCATTGGCCTTGATGAAGCAGGCCATGCTCCATTTGACTATGCATAATGTACATCCAGATGTGCATTGCATTTATTGAGGTACATTAATGTGCTGTGCCACTCATGATGTACATCCCAGTGTACATCATAGCATGTATGGTACATTCCTGCATATATTAACCTTGACCAAGCAGGCTATGGTCTATTGGCAATGCACAATGTACATACAGATGCACATGGCATTTGTTGAGGTACATTAATGTGCTGTGCCACTCACAATGTACATCCCAGTGTACATTGTATCAAGTACAGTATATTCCTGCATATATTGATCTTGACCAAGCAGGCTATGGTCTATTGGCAATGCACAATGTATATACAGATGCACATGGCATTTGTTGAGGTACATTAACATGCTCAGCCGCTTGCATTGTACATCCCAATGTACATCATTACATGTACAGTACAATCTTGCATACATTGGCCTTGATAAAACAGGCCATGCTCTGGTGACTATGCATAATGTGCATCCACATGTACATTGCATTGGCTGAACTATATCAATGTGCTGTGCCACTCACAATGTACATCCCAGTGTACATCGTAGCATGTATGATACATTCCCACATACATTGGCCTTGACCAAGCAGGCCATGCTCTATATGACTATGTACAATGTATATCCAGATGTGCATCACATTCATTGAAGTACATCAATGTGCTGTGCCACTCACAATGTACATCTCAGTGTGTATTGTAGCATGTACAATACATTCCTGCATCACACACTACACTTGGAAGTAAGTTGTGTTGTACTCTGCACTTCTGTGTACATTGTGAATGGGGGTAAATGCTGACCCTGATTGAGCAAAAGAGAATGTCATATATGGAATGCATGTGGCACAGACCATTCATAGCCTCTGTTTGGCAGGGACCACCACAGTGGCACAGTGTCCACAGCTGTACATGATTGCTGCTATGATAGCTCTGTTTGTGACTGAATTAAACCCCTTGCAAATTCACAGTCTGTCACAATCATTTATGTATCTTTTGAGGAAAGTGATCACAAAAAGATTCATAACAGGGTGTGACAATCATTTTGACATCCTTCATGGAACATGATGGCAAAAGGATTCATAACAGGGTGTGACAATCCATTATATATCTTTCAAAGCTAATGATCTCTGAATGAATGATGGCTGGATCACAGATGTACCATACAACCATGATGCCTGGCCATCTAGCATAATAAAGTGATCCTTCTTGCCAAAAGATAGAGAAAAATGTCTGCAATCTTTTTTAAATCATTCATGATAAAACCTAGTAAACATATGCAGAACATGACACAATATGCACTGTAGCAAGATGTACACTGATAGAGACTGGATTCATAATATCCTTCTTATCATTGGCCACAAAATCTGTTAATAAGATTTGAAATCCTGTTCTATGATCATTGTTTACCATCTTTCTTCAATACTTCAAGGCCATAAGATTCAAAACCAAATCACTATCATTCTCAACAGAAAGTTCAAGCAAGGATTGACAATCAGGACTTCAAGTTCTGGTTTTGTATCTTTCTGTAATCATTAGAGTCAAATTGATTGCTAGTATGCCTCATATACTTATTGAATCATTGAGGCAGAAAGACACATGTATGACAGCAATCAAATGATTTCAAAGCTCTCATCAATCCTTTTCCAATCTTTCACTAAGAAGGAGAGCAAAGATATTTTCAATCATTTTGAAGATCATTCTCAGATGAAATACACAAAAATTGTTTGGCCTCTTGTTTACAATCTTTCACATGAAAATATCGCAATTTTCGTCCAGTGAAAGGTGAAGCGGATTGTCGAGGTACTCGAGGAGAGAGTTGATGATGTGCTCAAAGTATGGACTACACTAGACCATTAATGATTCACTGGATGCTGTCGTTCTGTGCTGGAGGGATAGCTGATCATAGTGGCGACCGTTCCACTCCGTATTCGCGATGAAGGGGATTTGTTATAAGTGAGGTACTAATCACTTATCATGCGATTGCGGAGTGTGTCCACACCATCATAATATGTACATTGCTACCAATACGATCAATTCAAACACAGCAGAAACTGTAAAACAATGCGACGACAGAGCAGAGAGCGTGAATACATCCAAGCGATATGATACAACATTGACGATGTGAGAGGAGCAGTGCGTAACTGTGTCCGTCGTGATACATGACAACCTCCGTTCTTCAGCGCATAACGCAGAGACAAGCAGGTCGCCTGGAGTACCTCATCGAGCGAGGACTCACAGAGAGGCCTGGCCAATCCAGTCCGGGTGGAGTTTCATCCACGCGTAGCCCTGACTGCCACCCATCGTTACCAATCCGCGCTCTTCCGCTTCGGTGGAGAAAGCCTTGAAGTTCGGGAAGCCAGCGTTCTTGTACTCGTTCCTGTGTCGTTGGGACAACAGAACGGCAACGGTGGACCGCAGTAGTTCTGGCTTCGCCGTGGTCTGGTGCAGCTCCTCCATTGCGCGCACGAGGTTCGCGAAGTGCGGCTCCAACCAGGAAAGGGCAGTAGCGGGTGCAGGGTCAGAGCTGGATGTCGGGGAAGGGCCCGGGAGAGAGGGCGCCGCACTCGAGGGCGATGAACGTGCACTCAGTGTTGTAAGCAAGGTACGAGCGGCGTTAGCGCGCGTGGTGTTGGGGGGCTGGTACACGGGTGACGGTATGTTATCAAGCACGGGCGCAGTGCCATTTGAGCCAGGCGCGTGTTGGGACGGGTCATCTCGGATGCCAATGCGTGATGCTGAATCCACATCGGAAAGAGCCTCGCTGGCAGGACAAAGCATGTCCATCACGGTACGCGGACGCTCTGCTACTGGCGCAGCCATGGCCACGGATGGCGGATCTGACAGGCTGGATGCTTGCGCGGGAGCGACAGGCGGGACGGGAAAAGCATCGCCACCTCTGAAGAGAGCCTTCACCTCTACCGGCGAGAGAGAAGAAGGGCGTGGAACGCTGGCGGCATCTTTGCTTGGTCCTGCACACGGGACTTCAGGAATGGCAGGTGTGCCCGTCAATTTCACCCGGGCAGGCCACTCATCCGTCTTGCTCTCCTCCACAGGCGTGACAGAGATGTATGGCTAGTAGTTGCACGTCAGAAGCAGTCCCATACATTAATATGAAGAGTCAAACTTACCGATGGAGAGCTGTTCGAAGGCGTCCGGCTACTGCTGAGGTTCTTGAGATGAAGGTTCAGATCGGCAATGTCGGGCCCGGAATCGCCAAGATCGATGGCCTCGTCAGGCATGGTCTTCGACATCAGTCTAGTAGAGCCCGGCTCGGACGATGGAGTAGGTAGGCCTACTTGGGTCGGCCCCTGGGGACGTAGCAGGCTGCCGCCTGATCCTGCTGTGTCGGGCGTATCACCTCCATCTGGTGTCCATGCTGCCTGCAGAGGCGTAGTCGGCGCGCGGGGACTTCTGGTGTACGCTGGGGTCTGCAAAGGTTCGATGGTAGGCCGTTGCTGGAGAGGGTCGCGGAAGGAAAGGCGACGCGAGGATTTGGGTGCGAGGGGCGAAGCTTGAGCAAGCGTCGAGTTGACGGATGATTGCGCTCTCCTGTGCCCGGAACGCGGCTGGTCTCCAGGGGTAGGAAGACCCGAAGCGGGCTTCTCCTTCCCGAGGATGTCAGTGCCCCAGTCGAGAACAGCAGTTGCCTGCGATCTGAGGCTGTTGTGTGTCGAATGCGGTGCAACGAGGACAACACGGTATCGTCGGAGGCGCAGCACCGACACTGCATATACAAAGTCTCTGTCTCCGGAGATGAGGACGATGGTCGCTGGGGCCGGAGTGTCCAATGCGTAAGTAAGCATGTCCACTAAGTCGGGTACAGATCGCTATGTTAGGATGGAAGACGAGGCTGCGAAGCATGAAGCACCGACCAATCATCATCTTATCGGCAACGTCCTTCCTTCCATTATGCGGGCAGTCGGTGAGAGACACACCACATGACTGTAACTCGGAACGTAGGATAGTGGACTTTGGTGACTGTTCGGAGAGTTCCAGGTAGGCTTTGAAGAGCTTCACGCTTCCATAGGTATGTGCAATCTCGCGAATATTGTTGACGATGTCATAGCCGGTCATACTGCTCGACGGGCAGCAGTTCTCTGTAACACGTAAACTGGAGATCAGCACTTCTCGGGCCCGAAGGTGCCGTGGGACACACCGTAGTCCCAAAATATGGCGACATGTTCGTCGTCCGACATAAAGACGGTGGAGGGAAGAGAATATAACGAGCGGGAGCCGCAGAGAGCGCGGCTGTGGATGGAGGCCTGGAGGAAGGAGCATGGGTATGAGCCATGTTTATAGCTGCGCGGGCGCCGGCGCCAACGCACGGCAGCCTGACAGTCGCGCGTCTGTTCTTAAACACCTGCCTTTTCGGGCGATTGACTGGGCGGCGCGTCGCGACGGTGGCGGACACGATCACCTGCAGGCGCCCGCCACGTTCTCTGTACGCGTCGACCTCAGCTAGCAATGCGTCTCTGGTGGGCCCTCCTGCCTCTCGTCCCCGCCGCCCTCGCGCAGTCAGGAAACGACTCCGAGTCTCTGCTATGGGGCGCATACCGCCCCAATCTCTACTTTGGGCTCAGGCCCAGGATCCCGCAGTCGCTCATGACAGGTCTCTTGTGGTATGGCACACAAGACTACCAGTCCCTCACCCGTCAGTCCAGGCTGTGAACTCTGCTGGAGATTCTGACAATGAGCATTGCCTCAGGCGCACGACATAACTGTGATCAGGGAGACGGTCTAAGCGGTTACACTTGGACAGAGTACGATGCACGCGAAGGCGGGGTACAAGTCATCAAGGATGCTCCGAATAACGTCGTCATCACGACTGAGTTCCTGAAAGTACCAGGGGGAGCCCACGGCGGAAGTTGGGCCGCACGCATCAAAGGAGAACCGCTGAATCCAGGTTCGTACCTCATTACGTTTGGCGGATCAGCACAAGCAGACAGGACAACAAGCATTTCCTAGTCGGATATCCGCCATTTTTTATGCTGGGCTGGAGGGCCTCGGAGGGCTAGAGATGGAGAATGAGGAGAACGAGAACGTTGGTGATGTCTTCGCATTTGACAGAGTCTTGCCTCATGTCGGCCGTAGGGTTTCAATGGGCCTGCCAAGATTATGGGTAATTCTCCGGACTTGGATGAGTTCTCGATCCGCATTGTGGATGGTAAGTGAACTCACTCTCAGTGATTTGGTAACTCGTTGAATAGCTGCCTTGTAGGGCCGAATAATCGACATGTCGAGAGCGGCCCGTTCGCCCACGACCATGCGCACCGCATTGGCAAGACTCATTTCGCTGGCCTTCGTGCCCAGCCTGGCACGATCTGGCAAGCAAGAGGTTTGCTCCGGTTTCCTTCTTGCGTGACACGGAGCCTGACTAAATTGACTGAAGAGTTCATTTTGAAAAACATCCTGGACCATGCGCGTGACGCCTTGGGGGCGTATCAGGATACAAGCAAAGGTCTTCCCGATCCATCCTTCACGTTGCAACTATCGGACGAAGTGTACTCTGCAAGCAACCTATATGCAGTACAGAAACTCTTCGACGGTCCTTTCCAATTTGATGTGTACTACGAGAGTGAGAGCGCGAAGCAACCGTTGGATGGTGAGCTATCTCAGATAGCGTCAGTGGCTGATACTGAACCGCCTCTTGTAGCCTCTGTGCTAGAAGAAGGGATACCTGCTCTGCTCTCGAAGTACGACAAGCGCTTCGACACCGTGCTCGCCGTACCCGCTGATTATCCTACCACCGACCCGGAAGCACTGAAAAGCTTCTCAAAGGCCATAACGTCCAACCTGATAGGGGGCATCGGCTATTTCTACGGTACTTCGATTGTGAACAAGGGGTTCAGATTTGAGTGGGACAAGGAAGAAGACGACGCTTCCGAAAGCAATTTAGATATCGATGAAGGCGCCCGGTTGACTGAGCCGAAAGCTCTGCTGACGGCAACGCCCAGCAGAAGCTTCTTTCCAAGAGGGTTCTACTGGTGCGTATCCACTTCAGTCGATTATTCTTTTCTCATACTATGATACGACAGGGACGAAGGGTTCCATTTACTGCACATCGGCGAATGGGATAACGACCTCAGGTAAGTGCGTTCGGTTGGTATATGTTCATCGTGCTCACGCTTGCCAGTCTTGAGATCTTGAAGGACTGGATCAACCTGATTGATGAAGATGGCTGGGTCGCACGGGAACAGATCCTTGGCGAGGAAGCCCGCAGCAAAGTGCGTAGAGCTTTGTCGTTGGGTCGGGACTGCACTTAGACTCTAGACACCATCAGGTGCCACCTGAGTTCCAGACACAAGTCCCGACAAACGCAAATCCGCCCACGCTTGCGATGGCCGTCACTGCGTTCATCCATCGTATCAAGGCCTCCTCTGGTGGTCTGTCCGACGCAGACCTAGGAATGGACGTTGGCATGGGTGCCGGCTCACAGGTCCCGCTCACTGGCGCTGTGTCCCACCCAGGTAGCAAGTACGTCACGGACCACGCGCTGGCGACGTCCTACCTGAGGTCAATCTATGCACCGCTCAAACGGCACTACGACTGGTTCCGGCGCACGCAACGCGGGCAGATCAAGCAATATGGCCGCAAGGCACGCTCGCGCACGGAGGCGTACCGCTGGCGCGGGCGCAGCGAACAGCACGTCCTGACCAGCGGCATGGACGACTACCCGCGTGGACCGCCGCATGCCGGCGAACTGCATCTCGATCTGATCAGCTGGATGGCGTTCTTCTCGCGGACGATGCGGGAGATCGCGGAGTTCGTCGGTGAGGTAGACGATGCCGCTGCGTTTGAGGAGATTGAAAAGGCGACGATCGGTAATATTGATGGTGAGTTTGTGGTGGCTTGTGGTGAGTCCCGGTGATCTGATCGTGCGCGGTGTCTTAGATCTGCATTGGAGTGAGGAGAACCAGATGTATTGCGACGTCGGGGTAGATAACGATGGTGCGTCCGAATCTATTAGTCCATCTAAGCTGACCCATTGACATGTCCCTTCAGATGAGTCCTACCACGTATGCCACAGAGGGTACCTCTCCATCTTCCCCATGCTGCTAGGCCTCCTTCCCCCCGACTCGCCGCACCTCGGCGCGATCCTCGACATCGTCCGCGACCCGGAACACCTTTGGTCTCCGTTCGGCCTGCGTAGTCTGTCTATTTCGCATCCTGAGTTCGGCAAGGGCGAGAACTACTGGAAGGGCCCGATATGGATGCAGATGAACTTCCTCGCTCTGCAGTCGCTTTATAAGGTGCGGTCTCCATTCAATGTGTGCGATTGATGTGTTTTGACGGAGATGTCCTTCGCAGACGTATGCTGTCCAGGAGGGTCCGTACCGGCAGCGTGCACAGGAGATTTACTCGGAGTTGAGAAGGAACGTTGTGGACAACGCCTTCAAGGTAATAAATTATCTTGCTGTCTTTCTACGTTGTCCAGAACGCTGAGACGGCCTCAGGAGTATCAAAGGACAGGCTACGTATGGGAACAGTATGACGCTGTTTCAGGAGAAGGAAGGAGAAGGTATGTTCACATGCGGCTTTCGGTGCGCTTGTCGTCGCTGAATCAGCTTTTGCCAGTCACCCATTCACGGGCTGGACGTCCCTCGTAGCCCTGAGTACGTCTTCGCGCCTCCATTTGCTTAGCCGTCGTTCTAATGTACTTCCACAGTCCTGGCTGAGAAGTACTAAAAGCCCAGATTGCGTAAGTGTCCTGTGCAATGCATCAGGCACGTCGTTTGTCATCTTCCCATTCTACATGTGTATCATAGTACCGTTCCTACCTTTTTGCGGACATATGCGGACTAAAATTGTGCGATATCTATTGATACTACTATGCCGAAGAACTTCTTGCGCAGCCAAACAAGGGTCGTGGCAAGTCGATGCATTGGTAGCCGTGAAGGTGACGTGACTCGGAGTGGCCTATGTGCGTGGTGTAATCAATACACCAATCCTCCGCTGAGTACTAGTAGACGATGTCATACAGCGAACGGTCAAAACCAGAGCGACAAATGAAGGAAGGTCATGCGATAACGAATACGACCCTCGGAACCCCTACGGAAGGATGCCCTGACTCCTCGAGTAGGCGTGAGGTGCCGGTCTCGAGTTCCGCGTTACTACCTCTCGCCGCTGCCGGTTGCTCGACATCGATTTCTCGCACATCCGCTAATCCCTCGCCCAATTCCCAGTCGCTGCCCATAGTCATGTCCTCCGGAGAATTGCCTGGCCCGCGGGCAGGCGACCCGGTGAGGCTTCCTACCAGACGCGCGAAACGGATGTCGGATATTTGTGATGGGGCAGATGTGTCGACACCAGAGAAGTACGCTTCCCGTAAGTTGAGGTAGAAGTGCGAGAGCAGAATTGTTTGCAATCTGTTCGATGTCTCAAACGGATCGTACCCTCGAGCATGGCAAATGACGCACGCGTAGGCAATGGGAATTATGTCTCCGATGACACTCTAACAGGTCGCGTGAGATTTGGAGTGGGTGTATGCACCGAAGAAGCACGAGTGACACTGACTGTAGTCGCGTCCAGGACGATATTGATGGTCATGAGGAGGAAGATTGCACTTGGCTAGGTCAGTCTGAGCGTGCCCGGGCGCGTTGTACAGGGACTCACACAAAATACATTGTGCCTGTCAGTGGGGCGCATTATTCGGGGAGAAGGATCAGACACGAAGGCAACCGATTAATGCTGACTTACCATCTCTAAGGAAGAGCTTTGCCAAAGGGATATCAGTCTGCACGTCGTTGGCGAGCTTGGCCGTGTAGACATAGCGCCAGGTCGCCGCCAACAGCAATACCTCGGGGATAACGGTGGATGCTTGCCCAGCAGGGTACACTGTTTGAATTATGACATGATCAGGTCGTCACGAGAGTCAGTTACAAGTCAAACGGAAAAGCTCCGCACATGATCTAGAGTGCACAGTGAATCGAAACTAGTCAAGTATCTTATACAGGACATGAGGCGTACCGATCAATTGCAGGGTTGCCGCCGCTGGTGATCTCGCAGCCAACAGGTTGGGGTACGGATACCTCGGTGAGGGAGCAAATCTCATACTGACGGTCGTGGCTCTTGAGAGAGTTTGCATAGAGGTGAAGATGAACGGACGTACAACATCTATCGCGGCCTCCACTAGAGAGAACAGGCAAATTGCGACCGCGAGTGGCACGGAGCGATTACTGATGGCGTAGGCACGCAATGCCGTGAAGACTGTGAGGGAAAGGCGGATACTGTGAGTGGGGATATGGCAGTCTGAGTAGAAGTTCCTTCGCACCGCCATTAGCAATATGGAACATTGCGCCGGCGCATATCACTATCACATTCAAGATGTGACCGCTACATGAGGCAGTCCTGGTCATGAGTAAGCCTGGGACCATGGCGGGATGTTCTACCTCTACAGCAAGGTCAGCCTGTTTGCCGCACCCAAAGGAGATTGTACTTCACCTCGCATTTGGTGACGAAGAGTCCCAATATAACGGTCAAATATAGGTACACTGCAATGGAAAAATGCAGTAACAGGTACAATCCAGTTGCTACAGACATGCTTCGATGTCGCCATAACAGGTCGAATTCCCGCCAGAAGGTGAGACAGCGGTCATATGTGTAGATTGCTGTGCATGTAAGCCAAGGACACCTACGCAACACAGCAGAAGGCACTTACTGCACGCTGCGGAATAGCAGCAGTTTTCCACGAATCTGCGAGCCCTCGCATTAGTCGTCAAGTACACGAGGACCGGCACAACTCACCCTACATCGAGCATTGCCATCGCATATCCGACCTCGCCCGCAGACATTGCTGCGAACCAGTCTGCAAGTGGTGCAGCAACGTGTCGCATACATATATACCTGCGAACCATCAAAGAACCTTGATTGAAGTGACCACACGGCATGTATTGTACCACCGTGACGGTAGTCAGCCTGGAAGTCAGCATGTACAGTGTCAGTGCTGCCCAAGACGCGCTTGGGCTTAAGGGGCTCATTGGCTATCGTGGGACGGGTGGCATACTCAGCACCGAACCGGGATCGTTACTTTAGTCGCAAGGCAGGGGCGGTGGCAACAGAGAACCACATGTCAGCTAATTCCATGATGCTAGATCCCGCGCCGAAAGGAGTGTACAGGCGGGATTCGTCGGCCTTGGTATTCCTTCTGTGTGCCCGTCAACATTTCACCATAACGAGCAGTGTCGAGAACTCAACGAAATTTGAGGCCGAGGTCGACCGGCACGCGTGCGGATCACCTGAAAACAAGGCCAGGCGAAGGCCCTCCGCCTGTGCACACATTTTCGGGAGGGGGTCTAACAATATGGAATTAGCTGGTATGTCAGGAATACAAGAGATGGAGCATCTGCCTGCCTCGCCTTGCATCCTGTGGCCAGCCACACACCCACACACGCGGCCGGCATGTACCGGGCGAACAGGATCCCGACTCGCGATCAGCGCTGAACCATCGTGTGGATCATGCATATTGTCAGACACACGCCGACAGCGAAACATAGGAATCTTACGACAGCATCATGATACATGACCACGGCAGCGGTATGTACCTATCAGTTAGATGCAGTACGTGCGAATACAGTGGGCAACAGTACAGTGTCTGCAGAGTAGACAACCCAGTGCTCACACGGCAATCTTCCACTGCTCACCATTACACAAAACCTCCCAGTGTGTCTGTCTCTTCAACTTGCTCTCTACGATGGTCCGATACTCGTCGAATTCCATGACCGAGATCTTGAACCCTCCGCACACAACGAAGACGACGGTTCGCGGATCCCCAGACGTGGACGGTGGTACAAGTTTGTTGAACAGCTCGCGGGAGTACGCCGGTACGAGCGTGGTCGAGCAGGCGAGCTCCGCGAGTATCTTGTGTTCGTCTGCAACGCGAGCCGTCAGAAAGCTGGTCCACGATCATCACATGGGAAGGCCTACTGGCAAAGAGTAGTCCAGCTTGCATAGCTAGTTCGTCGTCTACGCAGACACTCTTTATGCCGCCCTTTCTGTCAAGCGCCATGCGCACGGACCCCGAAGCAGGCGAGCTCGCACCTAGCGACGTCGCGCGTGAAGTGAGAGTGGGAAGGTGCGCAACGGTCACGTCGTACTTGTCGCAATGCACAGGTCGGACACCCTTCGCGGGCTCAGTTGTGGTGGAGAACGCACCAGGGTTGAGAGCGAGTGACTGGTAGAAACAGCTCGATCCCGTGGTCTCGAGAGCGACGACAGGAACTGACGGACAAATCAGTGAGAAGCTCTGACGAGCGCGGAGAAGGGGGACTGACCGTCATCCCATCCGACCGACTTGCAGCCGAGCATAACTCCGCCACAGAGACCGGCGCCGCCGACGCTGCAGAAGATGGCGTCCGGCTTGGCTTTGTTGGGTAGCTGTCGGGTGAGCTCTGCGATCATCGAGCTATGGCCTTCCCAGAGGAGAGGCTCGTTGTATGCAGGTACCATGACACTAGTCAGCAGATGTTGCCGAGATGAAGAGTTCGTTAGCTATGTTCGCCGTGGGTAAGCCAACGGGTCATGCATACGCGTTTGAGTCGGCCGCTACAGCCTGCTCTGCTGCTCTAGAGGCGTCGAGGTAGATCTTGCCTGCCGTGACGATCTCTGCGCCTTCTCGTTTCATGAACTCTACGGTGGATGCGTCGACACCCTCTGGAAGGAAGACAGTACACCGAAGGCGTAGTGCCTTGGACGCGCACGCTGCAGCGAGGCCGGCATTCCCTGAGGAGGCAATAATGACATGAACATCAGGTCCGCGTTGGCGACGCGCGTGCAAGATGAAGTATGATATCCCGCGCGACTTGAAGGACTGCCCAGGCTGAAAGTGCTGTTCTTGTCGTACATTGGCCACGTAGACTTTGTGTACCAGGAATAAGAATTCGTACCTCAAGCTTCAGATACACATTACAATTGAGACGAGCAGAGATGTGCGGTGAGTGGATGAGCGGAGTCTCCAGCCAGAGTTTCTCGGGATCACTATCGGCCGCAGTGGTCATGATGATGGGTTTGCACGTTCTGCCATCTACCCTTCCGCTACGGGCGTTCTTGTACTACTTGTTTGCAATCTGACTCAGTCGTGAGTCAGTCAAGCGGGAGTGTTACTAAGAGGTTGGAATTGACTCACCCTGGACGTTGTGCGGCCCGTTGGTATCAGTTCCCATCCCGAGTGATGGAGAATGGCCGCACGTGACCGTGGCGCGCCTGTTACAGTGTACGCGGCGGGTCGCGAGCACGACAGTCACTGGCAAGCAGTACCCGCAGGAGTTTGCACTCAGAGCCCATCTTACTGATGCGCGTGCGTAGCATGCTCCTGAACGTTACACATAAATAACTGCCAACATGCGTGTGAACATGGTACGATTCCGAAAGCAAAAACGAAAGCGACGTGGAAGTGGCGAGAGCTAGTACATAGCGAAGGATAGCAGCATGGCTGACGAACGACGAACGAAAGCGGTGAATGAATGAGTATGCAAGATGCGATGCGAGGGGTCGCGCTACGTTGGTATCATACATCGGTGAAAACATGTTGCTGTCGTAGGGGGCATGAAAGGGATTGCGGTGTCCGTCTCGGGATGTACGGATGCGGATCATTACCTGTAACCTGAAGGGGGGAACACGATTTACACCATTTCGTCAGAATTCGTCCGGGTCGAAGTGCAATGAGTCGAAATGCAGCGAGTCCAGTCGCATCTCCATGTCCAGTTCCCCCCCATATTGATCTTCAAGCGGTCCTCGATCCTCACTACGTCTCCGTAGCTCGTCTTCTGAGAGAGAGCCAACGGAGATGAGGGAATATGACGATGAGACCGTGGAAGTGGATGTCGCCAGCTTGGACAAACCGGCAGTGTCAGGATCGCTGCGCGTAGGTTCTGGCGCAGTAGCTGAGGACGACCCTTGCGTGAATAGCTTCTGCAGATCCAGGACGGATATTCTATTCCGGAATGACCTCCGTTTGCTAAGGCGTACGGGCGGGACGGGGCTTGTTGGCGTTGATGAGCGCACTTGCCCATAGTCCTCAATCGAGGGCGATGGGTGGATCCGCTGGGAGTAGGCTTTGGACGGCGAGGCGATTGCAGGCATTGTTTGCATGTTGTATCGCTTCGGCAGAGGACTACCTTCCGCGGGCATACCTAATGGATCAACGTCGGATTCTGCCGAGGTTGGTCGATGGTTCGGAGAGAAGGTAAAGAACTGGGCAAACGTAAGCGACTTGCGACGTGAAAGATTGGGGCTGCTCGGGCGGGGGCTCATCTCCCGTAGTAAGTCGCCATCTGAATACCGGACGTTCTCCGCGTCTGGCGAGGAGCACGTCGGCGATTCTGTATCCACCTCTGTCGCTGTCGGACGATGATTCTGAGAGAATGCGAAGACATGAGAGAGGGTGAGCGATTTCCGGCGAGGCAGCTTCGGGGAACTCGGGCGTGGTGCGGTATCCCGCCCCGCTGCATGCTCGGGCTTGCGCGCGGGCCGAACGTTCTCCTCTGAGCCCCAGGAGCCAGCGCTGTTAGAAGCGGACGTGCGTCGAGGCATTTTGCCTACGTTCTTTATCGACTTCAGCGCCTCTGTTGCACGCAGCCTGAGCGTCCGAGACTTCTTCATCCCCTGACCCTGCATCTCGGCCGCGTCGTTCCTGCCCTCGCTCCTCCGCACCTTGACCACCTCCACGACGTCCTCGTCCATGACCCTTCTGCGGAGCTTCCTTGTGCTCCTCAAACGTTCTCCCTATCAGGGCTAAGGATCCCCGCCGCGGCAAGACGATCGTGTCCTGCGAGTCGTTCTGCAGCGTCCGGTGAAACGCGGGTGCGCGGTTGTCCATCTGCTGGTAGAGATGGAGGGCGGTCTCGAGCGCGCAATATCGGGGACGTAGAGTGTACCTCGTGCACAGCATCCGCAGCGTCGAAGTAGCAAAACGGCGGGTTCTCGTCCTGCTCCTCCTCTGGTGGGATCACGAAGACGTTAGGTACCATGGCCTGCGCCATGGTAGGCTCCTGGGACGGGGGTGGTACATCGAGGGCGATGGAGGAAGAGCTCTCTACTGAAGGAAAGGAAAGTGCAGAGGCCATGGGCGTGGGCTGGCCTTGTCGGATCGTACAGTCCAACGCTTGCGGGACAGGTTGAGTATGGGCGCTTGTTCGCATTCGAACCAGTCGCGTTACGCAATTGTCAGCCGCCAGATCCCGTGATCGCGTCGCGTCGTCGTTCGAAAGCCTGGCGATTCGCACACGTATATGAATGCAGTCGGCAAGTAAACAAAACGTCTATGAGATTCGTACGACACTGGTAAGTCTATCCATGCATCCCAGTGCAAACATTCGTAATAGTGCGTGAGCATTCCTCTATGTAGATCATCAATAAATCGTCGCCCTTGATTGAGCCATAGCAATCACGGCGGTCTTCTCGTCTAATTAGTTCTTCACAGCATCAGAGGGTATCACATCCTTGATGGCATAGCGTGAACGGTTTCGTATCGCAGGACCATACGCCTGCGAGAACATGAACACCAGCTGTAGAGACTCGCGAAACACTCACCCAGAATAACCACGGCAAGGGCATACAAACCGCTGTCAATATCGCGAAGACAGTACCGGCCCAGTGGTCCCGAGGTTCCTATACATGATCGGTATCACCAGCGGGAAGAAGCACGCGCAGATCGAGCGGAGGACGACAGTCGCTGCGAGTGCACTTGCGGCGTAGATCTGGTACGTGTCCATAAGGTACTGCGTCGCGCCCTGCATGACCAGCGCGACACCAGTTCCAAAGGCGCCCCCGCCGCGATAGGCAGCATCCAATGATACGAGGGTGTGCATGTCCTGCGACACAACGTTTCGTTGAGAATCTCGCAGCCCACAACGGAAGAGATAACGCTTACCATGCGAACCAGAATAGCCCGACGGGCAAACACACAGCGCCAAACATAGGGGAGTACAGTCGTCTGTCCGTTGGCTGTCGGACGTCTGCTTACTAGCGCGCATATAATATAGACTCACGCCTCCGGTGGTGCACGCCCCGTAGGACTCTTCGCCATCGCTGCCCAGTACAACCTGTTCTGCACGGGCGCGAGACACATCCCGAACGTCGTCCCAACGCCGACGCCGATGAACGCCAGCCCGCCGAGCCCAGGCGCCAATGCCGCTGCTGCTGGAATACGATCGGGTACGCAGCGAAGAAGGCATAGAGGATCGCGTAGGCGACGGCGACGTAGATCGCGAAGAGCAGGACAATGGGCTCTGTCGCCAGGAACACTGGTGCAGAACACTGAGCACGCGGCAAGCCACGCGATGAAGATTACGAGAGGACGCACAGAAGGGCCGCGAAAAGTTCGTGCGGAAGTGAGCGATACGGTCGCGCGAGCGGCCAATGTCAAAATGGGAGACATAGACGGCCCTTCCTTCGCTTGCCCTTCGCAGCTTCCTTGCGCGCCATCTGAGCAGCACCGGCCCATACTGAATGACACAGAGAAGGTGCGAGCGACCGAGCTTCAGCTGTATTGATACGTTTGTGGAATAAGTGCACTTACAGTTTCAGGGAGAATCACAATGAAGCCGATGAAGGCTACCGCCGACGCGATGAACATGATCCAAAAGTTGAATCGCCAGCCCAGGCGCGATGTTGACACCCAGCCTCCGATGATAGGACCTACGACTGATGCATGGCTAAGTGTCAGCGGGTGACACGAGGGTGTACGAGCAAAGTGTACCACACCTGGTCCGAGAAACGGTGCACTGGCATATAAGGAGGATGCAACGCCGCGGTCCCGGGGAAGCCATATATCCGCCAGTGCCGCACCAGAGTTCGTAAATGCTGGAGAACTGTGGGTCAGTCATGGGTGGACAGCAGGCAGGCTTCAGTAGTACGTACGTGACACGCCGAACATTCCGGCAAGCAGTCGGGTGGCTAGGAGTGTTGCGGCGTTCTTACAGAGGGCGCCCCCAAGATGCAACAGCGTAAATGCGGCATATGAGACGATAAACACCATGCGCTGCGCCAAGTATATTCAGTAGGTAGTCTCAGCGGTGATTCTAATGCAGGGCTATTTACCCGTCCATACATCTGTGGAGGGTGTTGTGAGTGATGTCAACCTACTGGTACAGCAGACAACGCACCTCGCTGAGAGGTGCCCATAATAGCGGCCTGGATGTCCGTAGTGTGTTAGAGGTCTTGAGGCAGAGTGCACTGCGACAGTAGCTCACCCAACCATGAACCCAAGGACAAATAGGGAGATGCCTAGCAGTGCTACTTCTTCGGAAATATGCAATGCCACGGCGGAGTAGTGTAGCCCAGCACTGTAAGAGCTACTACAAAATGACGATACCCATGTCGCGTAGGCGAGCTGTAAATCATCATGGATGGTTCAAAGACTACTTGCAGCGTTAGAATAAATCCCACCTCGAGTGTGAGCACCCATCTCCGTGTCTTTGACCAGTTGAACGGGTTCTCGGGATCATCGACATCCCAGTCAACGACGAACGGGTCCTCGGCCGTGCCACTACCCGGATAGCGCGTTTCTGTGGGCCCATATGCGACCTCGACATCCTTCTCATCTTCCTTCTCCTGCTTGACAGACTCTGGGCGTGAGTGCGGGTTGGCATCCTCCTCGCCAATGAGCGTGGACCGTATCGACGACGGCATCGTGCGTGGTCAGGATACCAAAGCCGGGGCCGTGTCCTCACGAATCCCCTGTTATATGGAGGCGTCCGGCATTGCACACGGCAGGCAGAAGGAGAAATGGAACGGCATCCTCGGCAGGAGCCATCGGTGGGACCGTTGGGATCCCAGTCGAGGACGTGAAGCCGAGAAATGGTCCCGGAATAGCCGGTGGAGGCATCCCGCCGGCGATCAACTCATCATTCCCGAGATCAACGGACCACCATCCGAGCTCCCCGAGGGTCCTCGTCCGAGTCGTGTACGTTCACGCCAGTACCAAGCTAGCACAGTACAAGTTCTGTTTGTTCCCGGACTTTACGCACGACCTTTTCACGCACTGGTGGCGCCCCAGGCGCGCTGAACGCGACGTGATCGACGTACCCACCGACGTGTCGCGCCCGTGCCATCCCCACGTGATACATATGCCGTTTTGTCTGACTCTGTCCGTCGGACCGTCGTTCCTCTCCTCTGGGTCTGAATCCTCGTTTGTACTGCCTCCATCCGAACAATACGGCCGCGGTCTGACCTGCTGTGCATATTGCATACAGACTCTGTTGTGTCTGAAACAGAAAGCTCATTCAATACAGTGCTGCAGCACGACTGATACCCATGGCCATTCTCCCGATCCTTCATTTCAATGATGTCTATCGCGTACAACCTTTCAAGCTGTCTCCGAAATCGCCAGAGACCATCGACGTCACCCAATGGGCTGCGATGCTCGACAACTTGCGCGACCAATGGCCCGAGCGGACTGACGGCAAACGCGACGGCCTCGTTCTCTTCTCGGGCGATGTCTTCTCGCCCTCCGTAGAGAGCTCAGTTACACGAGGAAGTCATATGGTCAGTGACATCCAGATCCTTCCTCGGGCATCGTAACATCGGCCAAGGCGCACTGATGCTAACGTCGATATACTAGGTGCCGGTCCTAAATGCAATTGCCCCGGATGTGTCCATGACAGGTTCGACATTGCTTCTGTGTACCTGGAGTCTCATGCCAATGATATTCCCAAGGAAATCATGATTTCGACTTCGGTGAGTGTCAAACGTGCCCGGTTTCGCGTAGCTTCTCAACGATCACCCATACGGCCAGGCTATCCTCATCTATCCGAGCTGATCAAGGACACGCACTTCGTCTGTAGCCTTCTCATTCGATCGCTGGACAGAGCACTGGTACTCACAGCGAGACACAGCCGTGGTTGCTCAGCAACATCGTCGACAACACCACGTCTCGCATCCCTGAACAGTTGCAAGAGTTTCAAGTGCTCGAGCGCGCGGGCGTACGCGTCGGCTTAATCGGGCTCGTCGAGAAGTACGTCCATCTCACTGTTCTGGTCATGTTTCATCCCAGGAGACACACAATCTGATTGAGCCTTGGTAAGAGAGTGGATTGGCACTGTCTCATCATGGCCCGAGAACTTCGAGTATCGCGACATGGCGCAAGTAGGCATAGACTTGTCCAAACGTCTCCGAGATCCCGAAGGAGAACACAAATGCGACATCGTCATTGCTCTGACGCACGCACGGTATGTGCACACCATAAAGCCTCCTAGTGCATAGCTCACAACTCCGTTAAACTCGGAGCCAGGGTTCCTAATGTTCGTGCGGCTTTATCAGTCGAGTTCCGTCAGATCACAAATCTCTGACCGTTGATTGGCTGCAGGACATCGCTCTGGCGAAGGCATTGCGCGCTTGCTCCCTGCAGCTCAGAAAAGCGTCCCATACATGATGAGCACGGCGTAGATCTCATCCTCGGTGGTCATGATCACCTCTACTACATTTCCCATGGTGTGACCTCTTGGGAGGGCTATGATATCACACATCCAGTGCTGGGGGCAGAGGAGGACAAGGGTGACGTGCTCATCGTCAAGAGCGGGACTGACTTCCGTGATCTGAGCGAATTTACTTTGGACCTGGCCGATACACCGCCTGGGAGCGTGCGACGCAAAGTGATCAAAGAAATACGAGGTAGGTGGTCAGATTGAAATCACATGCCTGCCTATGTTAAAGACCCTGCTCAGGCAAGCGACATTCAACACAGCCAGGCTCGAAGAAGAACGAGCGCATCGCAAAGCTGCTGAAGTCTATCCTATCTTCCGTTTCGGATGCGCTCAAGGCGCCCGTGTGCAAGACAGAGGTCGAGCTCGATCTCCGCTCACAACTGATCCGCGTACAGGAGGTGCGGCCTCTCGCCCCAGCTGCGTCTTGCGCGCACGTTGGATCGCTGATATTTGTTGCATGCGAGTCAGACAGCAGCTGCCAACTGGTTTGCCGACGTCCTACGACACGCATATGATGAGGCTCCAGACATGGCCGGAGGCTCTGACGGCGTGTTCATATGCGCAGGGACTCTGCGTGGCGATTCTGTCTACGGGCCCGGTATATGATACCTCACTTCTCTACTGACATCGATTGACTGAGACTTGCAGGAATTGTAACACTTGGCGACATCATGGAGATTCTCCCCTTTGAGGATCCTATCGTCGCGCTTGAATTAGATGGCGAAGCGATCTGGGACGCGCTCGAACAATCGCTTTCTACCTGGCCTGCGCAAGAAGGGTGCGTCACTCATGTCCCTTCCCTTCCCAAGAGGCCGTGTTGATGCTCTTGTCGTAGACGCTTCCCAGTGGTCTCCGGCTTCCGGGTCTCCTGGGACTCGCGTCGCCCGCAGGGTCAGCGCGTCCTCGGCGTGTGGCTCCTCCAAGAGCCCACAGAGAGCGTGAGCACGAGTGTCTCTCCGACGCCCGTGTCCTCCGCGAACGCGTCAATGACAAGTCTACGCTCGATCGAGGCACCGAGCAGCGGCACTGCTACCCCCACGCCTGCGCTGGTGGATGGCCAGCCCATCGAGCGCACCCAGGGTGGGCGAAAATATCGGATCATCACGAGGGAGTATATGGCTCAGGGTCATGATGGGTTCCTTGCGATGAAGGGCAAGAGGTACCTGGTGGATGACGAGAGCGGGCAGCTGATGAGCCAGCTCGTGCGCAAGTATTTGCTGGGTGAGTCCTCAATCCGAAGAGTGTCAGGGAGTTGTTTATGGGATCGTTTATAGGGTGCCGCTATGTGAACCGCATGTCGCGCATGTCGGACATCTCGACCATCGAATGTCTCCACCCCAAGACCCAGAGCGTGATCTCAACGGAGAAGGCCCGGCGCGAGCACTACGATCGCCATAAGCATTCGCACTCTCATCACAGCCACCACTCTCACTCGCAATCGCACTCTCGTTCCCGTTCCAAAACTCCACACAAAGTGTCAATCGACAGCCAAATCACCGGCCTGCGCGAGCGCTCACCGTCGCCAAGTGTCGTCCACAAGTGGCGGCACGTAGCGAAGCGAGCACTGCGCTGGTCTCGCGCGCACTATCGTGACAATATCCGTATCACGGGCCGGGAGCATATGAGCCCTGTCGATCACTTCGACGGCTCGAGTCTGAGGAAGCGGCCTACGGAGCAGACAAATGTGGGGGTAAATGAGGCTGAGACGAAGGCTAAGGAGGATGAAGAGGACCTCGCAGTGATACATCCGGTGGTGGATGGGAGGCTTAAGGACGAAGGTAGAAATTGATGATGCAGGGGTACTGTTTACAGCAGGGGCAGTGGACAAGTTGATGCGGTGCCGCGGGAATATCCCAGTCATGATAGAAAATGCGCTGACGCATACCAGTAGAGCACACAGAGTGTTGGCTCACGGTGCAGTGCAGTGCAGAAGCAGAATCAATGTCCTCGGGCGAAGACTCGGGCTTACATCGCAATGCACTCCTCGAGAGAGATGAGAGTGCCGACCCTTGTCGCAATTGCATTATCCACAACCGGTGGGGAATCAGGATGACCAGTAGTGCGCCATACTCCACTGTATCATCGCGTAAGTCCCGCTCGTGAGGTGGGAAATCCTGGTCTCGTAAAGATGTTGATGCATCAGTGTATGTGTTGACTTAGAAATCCCGCGAATTTGAAGTCAACATTCAGGGGGATAGGGATGGCTCAACTGGCGTGGTGGGAATATCGGGTGCGCGTACTACGGGTGCAGGATCACCAGTGACTGTCCTTGCATGATGTGCGAGTAAACCAACAGCGGACCCGATACCGGCACCGCCGAGAATCACTGCCCAACAGACGTCAAATAAATAATGGCAATGTAACACTTTACTCACGATTGACCGTGCTGGCCCTCTTCCACATTATAGCGGGGGTCAAGACAGCGAACAGGATGGAGCCAATGGTGGAATGGTCGTCGGCTCGTATTGAGGAAGTCTGCGACAAGATGACTATAGTCATCTTCGAGAATAGCAGAAGGAGCACTCACGTCATATACTTCCTTGATTCGCCGGATGCGAACTTTGTCAGGGTTTGAGTACACAGTCCTGGCATACTCGAAGGCACCGCCGCCGGCTACGCCTACACGGGCCGTCGTACACTGTTGTTCGAACATTGAGAGAAGTCAAACGCACCAGCAGCACCTCCTATCCATGTGGCACGTAGCAGTCGGTTGACGGAAAATTGGGCTCTGCCGTAACGAGACAACGCGAAGGTAGCGTACAACGGTGGAGCGACGAAAGACATCAGTTGGTAGCCCTTGGTCATCCCTCGCCGGACGAGGAACTCGACGTCGGCGGCATGGGCTTGGGGAGTAGCAGCGACGGCAAAGTTGTCGGTCATTGCGGTGGTCGTGGGTCGAAGCAGCGGTGCGCTGAAGCCTGCGCGACGGATGCGCGAAGCACGCCGGGGCATAACGTCACGCTCAGCCACGGACGCGACGCGTCTCACGTGCACACTGTAAACGCGTCGCGAGCGATCACAGACTCGTCTTTAGGCTTTCCATCAATGCGTTGCAACCTTGCTTGGTGGCACCAGAGCGGAATCAGAAGCTGAAGACGCCAATGCGGCTAGTTGCAGTGTATTGAACTATACAGTGGTAAATACAGCTAGTCTATTCTATCGCCCACGGTGCCTGGACTAAATCCTCTATATGCGAATCCTCTATCATCGTAATAAACACCCCAAGACAGTCGTCTATGGCCGTCTACGGCGGTCGACATCTAGTGTCAATAATGTAGCTTGCCAGGAGGTACATATAGCTGCAATGTTATGCGTGCGGAAAACTCGGACTTATGCGTGGCCATTCATCTATGTGTAGTACGGGCCATGAAGACGAATCACTGAGAGGTCATCTATGTGAGCGTTTATTGTGAACGAATCAATGTGTACTTACGAAGTCCCATAGTGTGCCAAAGCACGGGATACCCTCCTCTTTGCATGCCTGAAACGACATGTCAGACACTGAGCGTTGACATGAATGGCGGTAGTCTGCACGCTCACCTGCATCATCTCCGAGTTCCCGGTGTAGTTGGACGTGATGAAGACGACTGGGTGCACGTAATCAGCTAAGCGTGGTCAGGGTCCACCAATCTGTCCCACCTTCAGCGTTGAAAGATTTGTACACGTCCTTGAGGATCTTCCGCGTGTCGGGGCGCCCGCCTCGCACCTTGCTATCCCAAAGAAGGTAACGCTCTGGCTCGATGTTGCGCTTGATGAGCCCGCTGATGGTCGGACCGAACGTCTTTTCCTGATCTGAACCTGTCGAGAAGATGGAGTGAGCGGTCTCGATGATTGGGAAGATTGAATGAAGATACCTATCCAGATGAGGAACCTTGATGGTCATCAGCGACGCGGTAAGACGGAGCTGGATTTTGAACTCACCAATTCGGCGACTGTATACATGTTGAAAGAGCGGCACCGATGCCAGTCCCTGTGCAAATACGGATACCGCGTTTATATAGCTTGGAGGTATTGGATACGCCTGCAAACTATGAAATGCTGTTGTTTAATGACCATTACATCGCTGCTGAGTAAAAATCCCATACCTTGACTTCGCGGGTCCAGATATGCTTGGGCGGGTCATTCACTAGGCTACGTGTGAAGTCGCCTAGAAAAGAGATATGAACACCGCTGGGGTGGTCCAATACACATTGCCACCGACCTTGAACACCGCAGACGAGATAGTGATATTTCGCATGTGTCCCTTCTCTGAAGCAACTATGAGCGCCATTTCATGCCGCTCAGTCACCTACGTACGAGATAATACCGAAGGCATGGTATTCCTTAATTGCGCTCCTGCTGATACGCGCCAGCAAGCTTTGCTGCATACCTCGCTCGAAGCGTAAGACTGCGACCTTGTTGGACGGCTGCAGAAATTTCCGTCAGCACAGCACGACGGCCCAAACGCATGATTGACGCACGAGCTCAACTTCAACGGCAACCTTTCGCGTACAAATCCAGGGGAGGGCAATCCAGAAGGTCATGCACATGACATACCAAAAGTCTTGTTGCCTGACGATGTGTTCGCCGCTGAGATTCCACTGCTTGGTCGTCGTGTCCCACAAGTCGCTGAGCAAGACGAACATCCCTACGCGGACAGAAACGGTAGTCGGTTACTAAGCGACATCATCCCGACAAGATCGGTGACTACTCACAGGTAAGGACCAATGACGACCAGCCCATGAACCGGTGCCAGCGTTCGAAGACGCTGCCAACAAGTCAGATTGAGTTCGTGCACTGGCAATAGGCCGGAAGACGTACTTGTGGTGCGTGTTGCGCACCCACGGGAGAGCCGCCACAGCAGTCATCACCATCGTGATACATGTCAAAACGCCGAACGCCAGAACCACGGCGTGCTCATCCTGGTGGGCCCTGAATACATCGACGGTTCTCAGTATCAGCCATATGATGCCGGAGATGGCGCAGCCCGAGTGTATGCCTCCCAGATGCTAGAGACGCGACATCTGATGTTAGAGAATAGATGATGCCGGGGAGAGTGGCCTGTGAGATACCTGGAGAATAGACGTGCACATCAGCCGCCACTGGAGCGGCGTCCACTAAAGCAGTCGCAGATTAGCACCCCGCCACAGTCATGGGAGTTATATCTTTACACACTTTTGCGAAGCAGGTATTCACAAAGAGGTACAAGAAGCGACCGAATATTTCGTTCCGCATAAGGACCGCGACGTTGAAATTGCCGACGGCCATAGCACCGCCGTATTTCCTGGCGTAATCCCAGCGACCGGACGCAGCGAAACCAAACATTATGATGTTCGCGGTGAACACAATAGTGAATAGTTTCCTAAATGAACCACAAGTCAGCCTCTGGACCGCGGATATGAACAAGATGAGCGCGTACCGATATGTATTGAACCATAGCTGCCACAGGATCCATTTCGAAACCTTCCTCTTCGCAGGCTTGCTAGTTGTCTGAGCCGGCCTTTCATCTTTCGCTGCCCCTGCAACGACGGGAATGATTTGTTGGACGGTCAAATCCTTCTTTTCGTCGCCAAAAGTGATAGCAATCTCTCCAGAGTAGACATCAGCGACGCCCTTCTCGGCATCGTCAGGAGAAGCAATATTAATGGTGGGGTCGGAAGACATTGGAAGGGGGGTCAAGGAAGAAGGAAAGAAGAAGGGGTGGGAGGAGACTCAAGATGTCGCTGAAAGGCTGCGGAAGAGAGGGCAGCTCCTTTATACCAGTCCAGTGCGCTACATTTGTCCCGATTGAGTCGACATCGGAGGATGCGCAAGAAACATGAGCGAGTGGCGCACAACTATTCGGGCCAGAGTAACAGTTTTGGAAATGACATCCCGGCCGCAGATTGTACGACACAGAGGTGCCACCATACTGCAGTTCCGGAAGTTTGATCATACTCTGATTGTCGCTTCGCTCCACTGTTCAGGTTTCGATATGACAGCAGCCCTTTGGGTTGAACGCCGTCCCTTGTCGGTATTGTGCGAAGAACTTTGCCTGATACATTGTTGTTAATCCGGTTGCTAGGTTTGGGATATCCTCAATATCTATCCGCCTCTGAGATGTAAAAATGAATCGATGTGACGTGGCGGCGCGCATTCACTGGCACCCAGAATGTCGGGGAGTGGACCGGCCGCGCATCCTGTGCATAGGAACGTGCTGATCAAGCAGAGCAGCTCGCTGCATACTTGCATCCGCGGAGATGACTAGAATCACTCACCAGTTTTCTGACATGTTCGCACGAAGTGTATGTTGGCAAAGACGTAGATCTTTAGAGCATGCCATGGGAAGACATAACGCTCACGGCGCTGGTAGCTGAGTGCGGAAATCATCCCGTAACCTCGGACGCCCATCGCGCAGGGGAGGTCCAGATGCTATCCACGGTTTGGCGTACAGTTTCTCATAGCACTTGAATTGGAATGCCAGTGCGTGCATCAGACGATTCCGGTCCCACGGAGAGCTTCATTGCGTGTCGTCCTGGGAACTTGCAATCGTACCTCTTGCCCGCGGCGTCTGGGAATAGTGAGTGCCGAGTGCGTCAGAGCTGTCAATGAGAAGGAACACTCAGCGCGACATCCCAGCGTGTAAGGGATCCGCCGGCGCATGCATACTCACAGCTGTCAAACTGACAGTCAGTGGCAAACACGAGGCACAGACTGTTTGCACAGTGGTAGATCTTCTTGGTACGATGGAGTTTGTACCTCGCCGACGTCTATTGGTTAATCGTTGCAGCACTGGGGGGAGACCTAATTCCGTGTAGGGTCAGTGCAGCTAATCTGGGCACTCACTCTGTGAGGCGGTGTCCAACATTCCGTGGCCACCGGTCCTAGAGAGGGTAGCGCCGAGATATCGCTATGAACACAATCTGAGAAGGAGATGTCTCTTCGCGCGTCTGCGGAACAAACCGTGATTCGGTGATGGATTGCTGTAAATGGTGTAGTACCGTTTACGAGCAGTTGGTCCGCCATACACAACGATAGAAGCAGGGGCTGCAACGCTCGCAGACATAGCCCCGCTATCAAGGGTGATGCGCTTCCCGTCAGTGTGAATTGCGCACTGAATGGCCAAGCAGCGCCGCGGTCAAGGAGTGACTTGACATGGGCGTAGCACCGAGGGCACGTTACACGTATGTGAACCTAGTGCGGCCTGCAGCAGTTGCAATGCGTCCCGCTCTGTGCGTCGATATAAGCCGGAGACGTAAACCAGCGCTGCGCAGTTACAGCGGGCCCTAGCTAGAGCGGTACCGAAGCTGGCATGATACCCAATCAGTTCCATGAACTGGCGCTTCACACTGGACGCACCTGATAATCCCAGAGGTTGTGCAGGAAGTTCTGCGTTCGGATTACAATGTTAACCCGACGTCAACCATTGACCTTCTCCAGCGGGAAGATAGCTCTTCTACTTTAAGAACCAGGCCCGCTGCGACCCTTCTGAGCCTAAATTCCTGCTCTCCACCTTCTCCGAGCATCCTCTCCCCTTGATCTAGTCTTGAGAAGACCTCCTTTGCCCACTCCCCTGTGCCAAGCAACAAGGCAGTGTGATCCAGCCCCAAAGAACGCCCACCATCCAGGTCCAAGCAGCCGTTCAGGACAATCAGGGCGACTTCGAGAGCGGAGCTCATGACAGCTGCCTCTTTGCCTCTCCCTCTCCGCGGTTCCCCGTTCTGACCCTGAGCGTCGTCTTCGTCTTCGTCCTCACCTTCCATGGCAGAGACAGGCCTGGTCCCAAGCGTGACAGCCAATTCGAGCGCATCGGGCGCGACGACTGCCAACCACTCCGGGGCGTTTCTCGCCGCGTGTACCAGAACCGCAAGTGCGCCCAAGAAACGTGAGAGCACCATAGCGTTGAGAATGAGGCCCGTCCCTGCTCCGCGGTAGCGATGGAGCGCCGGTTGATGCACAGTCCTCTCTTCCCGCGTCTGCTGGTCGCGCAAGAACAGCCAGAAGCGATTGATCAACGGGCATATGAAAATTTCCGCCGCGACCTCTGTGAACGTCATATCTTTGGGGTGGCCTGCCAGTTCGTGGAGGTGTTTTGTTGCTGGAGTGCCCGGAGGCACCTCCGCGACTTTGGCCGGCTTTCGTACACGTAAGTGTCGCTCACGGACGATCCCAGGCACCCTATCGGCGGTGGCCTCTTTGCCGCTGTCAATCGCCTTGCGACTGATATCGTCCACGAGGAGCCGTATTGGGTCGTTTGCATTGTGTCGATCGGCGGCAGTGAGGTACTTCTTGTGCAACGCAGGTGGGAGCTGTTTGCTGGGAAATGAAATACGTTTGGGGTCGGGAGTTACTGAAGGTGATGGGAGAGGTAATGACGCGAGTTCTGCTGCCCCTGTGGCGAGAGCGTTGAGAATCACGAAACGCTGACTTGTAGAGTACTGGTTGTGAAAGAATTGCTCGATCAAGGCTCTGGGTCGGGTGCACTTATTTCAGCGGCTAGAATAACCGTACTGTGAACCACTTACGGCGCAGCCTTGCGAGGGCAGCACGCCACCAGGGCATTCAGGGCACCTTGTCGTTTTTCGTCGAAACCATGGAGATCGTAGTTGTCTTTCAGACCGAGGAAACCATAAGCAAGGTTGACAGCATTCTCCTCTACAGACAGAGCTGTTAGTGTGCATAACAAGCACACCAGCGCATAACTCACCGAGTTCAGTCCCATACGATCTCTTGCGGCGGATCAATTCTTCCGCGACATTCAGAGCGACTTCGATCTTTTGCGCCTCCATATTTTCTTGTTCAGAACGCAGCCCAGATGCGCTGCGAACCATCTCTCCCAACTGCGCCAGGTACATCGGCCGCGCCACCTTTGTCTTTCCCACATTCAACGACGGGTCCCTCTCGATCTCTGCGAGCTCCGATGGCGTCGGCGATGCAGAGCGGGAAGATGGCGCCGGGGACGCGTACCCGGTGAGAGAGTCGTCCGAGTCGTAGCCGACATCCTGGATGACAACTTTGCCTGATGCGGCGCCCGACGGCGGAGCCTGCTCGGCCGTATTTGGTCCGTGGGTGCGAGCGTTCTCACCAACGTCGTGGTCCTCGGCGGCGGGCATGCGGTCGACGTCAGCGTCCGCGTCGCGTTCCTGTAGCAGGGCTCTAATTTGCCGACACCAGTCTTTACCATGATCCTCGCCTGTCCAATCGTCGAAGTCGAGCTTCCTGCCTGCGCCATGAGCGACCTCCTCCGCGACGAGCATGCCGCAGCGGCGCACCGTGGGGTCGAGGTGCGCGATGTAAATAGATATGCCTGTTATGAATGGAGGGTGAAACACGAGTGTCTGGAACGGTGCGCTGCCACCAGCATCGGAACGGAAGGAGGCCAGGATTAGCAAGAGGAGTGCGGTGACGTCTTGCATGGCTATGATGAGTATTCTTGGAGTTGGTGAGAAGACGAGGACGCACAACGGTGTCGAGACAGTAACGAGTGTTTGATGTAATCCACATCAGTCCACAGGTCGACCACTTTCCACAGTACCACATCCAGCACTTCGGCCCGGGATCAATGGGGGAGTGGTAACGAAGAAGACAGCTGCACACCTTCCGTGTCCGCTCGGCCCTTTTTCGCACCACAGAACCAACATGCGAAGATGCGAGCATCACCTTCGTTCCAATCTCTGCTAAGAATGATTGCGCTGACAGCATCCAGGATCTCTAGATTGTCTTTGGTAGGCCTTCCCAGCAGCTCTCTGAGCAGAACGGCCTCCCGCTTCACCGAGGCGCGAGTGCCTTGCCGAGTATCAAGTCGATCAGGGACGTCCGACAACGACGAGAAGAGTGCCGTCAGCACGGAATGCAATGTCAACGATGACGAGAAGCAGACAACATTTCTGCCAGTAGGTCGCGTATGATTTTGGTGTCCGATAGCCGATGACGAATTGTAGGGAGTGTTGTCTCGAAGAAAGACGGTTGTGACAAGGCAGTCTTCGAGGTGGTGAAGACGCCGACGTTCACGAGTTTCGTCAGGAGATAGTTGATGGAGGATGTATCACCTGCCCCAAAAGTTGAGTCGTCGTGAGTTGCGTGTACCATACGAAGACGAACCTCGGGAAGAGTTGCTGGAGAGCGTGTAGATGAGGCGTTCACACCGTAGACTCACATTGTTGAAGTAAACATTGAATTGCAGTTCTGCAGGTATGCTGCCTCTGTCTCCGAGAGCATTGGCGACCTTCACAGGCAAGGCTGCAATATTGCGTACGCAATCTTCCCAGGTCACCTCCCTGAGCTTTCCTTTGCCAGAGAAGACGACAGAATGTAAGACGTCGATTGGATACGCACGACACAGCTTCACGAGGAGGCGGATCGCTTGCTCGTGTAGAGTCGACGAGAGTTCGTGGAGTACGCAAGCAAGGCCAGCTGGCCTGCAGTATCGGATGCGAATGACATTGAATCCGGACAGAAGTACTGTTCCACCAGATCATAGCTGTCTTCCTCGACCAGAGCGGCATCCCAGGTAGGATGATATGCTCTACAATGGCACGCTGGAGGGGAGGTACATGCCGCATATATTGAAGCTGTTCTTTGACAACGGTTCGGATCGTATTTCCTGTAGCGCGGAGGTAGGAGCCCGATACAACCGAGAGGCGACGCGAGGAGGCGAAGCAGCGTTGAAAGGTCAGGTATCGGAGCTTGCAGGCGGGAAATTACATCTTGATCTGTGAGATATCAGCGTCGGCTTCATGGACAGACATGAGAGGATACGCAGTAGATGAGGTCGGTGCAGAGGAAAGAAGCAAAGTCGCTCCGAGTCGGGTGGCAGACGCGTCGACACAGGGACACGTGATGGTGAGGGTGTGCGACGACGAGTCGAGTCACGAGTCACGACGCCATCGAGCGGCGAGAACCAGTCGGCGAAATTGGTTGAACCGAATGCCTCTGCTGACTCCATGCTTCGCGTGCTCCCCATCGGCCACCTTCATTGACGTCGAGCCGAGCTCGCACCAGCCTGGCCGAAGGGCACATTAGAGGCGATACTACATCAGCTCCCGCTTGCTCTGTTCGGCCATGTCATCTCTTGGCTCTCAGCTAGTCGGTCCGGCAGGTCACTGCAGCGCGAAGCCATGTGACTCCCTTTGTCGGTTTGTGACACGGGGGCGTGGCTGCGCGAGGATCGCGAGAGGTGTATGTCGTCTGGCGCGCAAGTGCGAAGACCGCACCAAGGTCACGATTGCTAGAGGGCGTGTCGTTGGCGCAGGTCTACTCTTGCCTGTCATATTACGTGCAGAACAAGAATCAGCCTTGACGGTGCGAATGTCGGGCATGGAAGTGACAATGTTCCGCCCGCCCGACGAAGACCACCACACATGCCGATTACCCGACCACCTCAATCGCACCAGTACGCGTCGAAAGAGGAGGTACAACAGGCTATCGAAGAATTACGCAGGGCTCTTCCAGAGGGGGCACTGTCATGACCGACACAGACACCCTCACGATGTATGGTCATTCCGACAACTCATACCACCGACATCCCCGCACTCCGTCGCGGTGCGTCCGCAGAGCACAGAAGACGTGGTGAAGATCGTCAACATAGCGCGGAAATATCGCGTGCCCATCGTGCCCTACAGCGGCGCTACGAGCCTGGAGGGTCATTTTTCCGGAGTATGATGAACCCCTGCCTCTCATGGGCCATGCTAACATTGCGGTATTGCGTCACAGTACCCTACAGGGGACATCTGTGTAGACATGTCGGGAATGGATAAAATCCTTGAGATTCACGGTTAGCCAGCCTACTTTGTAATAGCCCAGTGAGGACTGACTCGCGAATGTTCGACAGAGGATGACGGTGACGTAGTAGTCCAATCGGGCGTGCCATGGGAAGAGCTCAACCGGACGCTCAAGGAGAAGGGTATCCCATTATTCTTCCCGGTCAGTACTCACCCATCATTGCTCTTCATCATGATTGCTCAATCTTGGCAGCTCGACCCCGGTCCTGGAGCGGTAAGCACCCTCCGAGACCTCCCCTCGATGTCCTCAATTTATCACACGTAATACAGACCATTGGCGGAATGATCGGAACGGGATGTTCAGGGAGTAAGTCCCAGGGTTGAGTTTACATCTGCCAGCTAACTCGTGAACAGCAAACGCCGTCCGGTACGGAACCGCGAAGAGCGAATGGTTCCTAAACATAGTACGGCTTTTGCACTAGTCAGTATGACATGCGTCACAACGTCTTGATCCTCTCAGACTGCGGTCCTCCCCAATGGCAAGGTCATCAAGACACGTAGAAGGGCACGCAAGTCGTCGGCCGGATTCGATCTGACGAAGATATTCATCGGTGCGGAGGGCACTCTGGGAATCGTCACAGAAGGTATATTCATCTCTACCTTGAAAGAAAAGCTTGACTGAAGCTGAGTTCCGTCTAGCTACTCTTCGCCTGGCGCCGGTGGTGCCGACGAGAGTTGCCATGGCACAGTTCCCCGACATTCAGCGCGCAGTGAGCGCTGTCCAGGAAATCCTGAACAGCCCGAACGGGCCGCATCTCCGTACGTAATTGACTGTCCGTAACAACTATGGCAGCTGAACATCGGTCCGCTCAGAATGCATCGAACTTCTCGACGACAAGAGTGCGTACCCTTCCCCGAAGGCCCCCTTATCTGCCACACCCTGATTCGCACCCCAGTGATGGCAGCCATCAACAACGCGGGCGAGGTCTCGCGCACGCTGCCCATCAGCGACACGCTCTTCTTCAAGATCCAGGGCTCGCCGGATGCGATCGGGGCGACGGCGGCGGCCGTGCGCGAGACGACGGCGAAGCACGGCAGCACGCGCTTTGAGTTCGCGCAGACGAACGAGGAGGCGGAGGAGCTGTGGGAGAGCAGGAAGTACGCGCTGATCAGCACGATTGGGAGCGAGCCCGGGGCGAAGTGCTGGACGACGGATGTTTGGTCGGTACCCTACCGGCTGGTGTGAGCGGCAAGTGGAGGCTCATGTATGAATAGCGTCCCGCCCTCGAAGTTGCCGCAACTGGTGTCGGAGACGAAGAAGGACCTGGCGGAGCATGGGCTCAGGTCGACCATTGTCGGCCATGTCGGAGATGGTCTGTGGTTGGGCTTTTGCGAGCTTGTGTGACTGGCTGACTTCAGTATCACAGGTAACTTCCACGCGCTGATCCTCTTCAAGGACGATAAGGAGCTGCACTCTGTGAGCGACGCTGTACACAGACTCGTGCGTCGAGCAATCAGCATGGACGGTACATGTGCGTGGCTTCAGTCTGTTTGCTTGTGACTATCTGACCATGCCGGGCGTTCGGTAACAGGTACGGGCGAGCACGGTGTCGGTGTTGGCAAGAAGGAGTATCTAGTCGAAGAGCTTGGCGCGGACACGGTCGAGCTGATGAAGACCATTAAGAGGGCAATCGACCCGTTGAACATCATGAATCCGAGCAAGGTACGCCACGACCCTACGCTTCGAATCCGACTTCCGTCTGACATCGACCACGTTAAGCTGTATCCTGACACGGAGAACAAGACTAACGGCCATTAAACGAATGTAGACTGAGCATTACTTGAATACAACATGCTACATGACTCGAACACCGTGTCTGTTTGTCTGTGCGCCTCGCCAAGCGCTTATCTATCTCAGGAGGATGGCAAAGTTATTCCTCTTGCCCTTCCGCAGCTCAGTCTTCTTCTGATACATGGTCGTGCTGGTAGCGGTCGTCGGTGCTATCGCAGCTGACTTGCGCAGGAGCCAGTATGCCATCTTGCCGCCTTCCTTCCATCGGCTCTTGATGATCGACAGACCGATGGTTTGGAGCAAACCGTCTAGGTGCTCCGGGGTGAGGTAGCGGGAGTTGAGTATGCAAGGTAAGGGAAGCTGTGGTCAAGCGGGGATGGGTCAGCCAAGCGGTGTCTACGGTGTGAATACCTTCCTCACCGCGAGAAACAGGAGACCATCCTCGAGGAGCATGGAGTGGGCCAGTCGAAGCATTCTTCCTGCGTCACATTCCCGAGTCTATTTAGTTGCGAGTACTCGTGCAGCACAATCGATGAGTGTTACCTCGGTCTCGAGAATCCGGAGCGAAGTTGAGCACCAGACTGAGACTGATGATGTCCCACTTCTCCCGATTCTCGGTTTCGTCCATGAGGAGGAAGTCCTGCTCTCTGATAGACGGGTGCCGCGAGCGGAGGTCAATAGGTGTGTTTTCAATCCAATTCGCACAAGACTCGTAGTTGTCCGGTAAGAGAGCTCCCACTTCGAGTAGTCTGCGATGCCATTGCGAAGTCGAGAATGGTGAACATTTTTGGAGTACGACGACGTACGTACTGCAGCTTCTTCTTGGACTCTCTTGCCGTTCTATGCACGCCGAGCTCTTTGAGCCATTCAATCAAGACCTTCTCACTCCCTCCACCCCGGTCGCTGCCCTGGCCAATGCTGGACATCCGTTGGTATGCTCCTAGCCCACCCAGCTCCTCGATTTCCCGCTCGACATCCCGGAGCGCTGCACGAGGCTCAACTCCGTCCACAACTGCGTCTCCTCGTTGGATAGCCTTCTCCAGTTGCGCCCGCCGTTTGATTAGGACATGAAAACGGCGGATGACAGTGCGCGTCGCTGTCGGCCTGCTAGACGACGCGGACGAGACTGTTGTGTGCGGCTGTCGGGGACCGCTGGTAGTCACAGGCAGCTTCCTCGTCTTCTTGTGTGCTTTGGGCATTGCGTTAAGGACATGGAACGTGCTTCTGTAGACGGCCGAGGAGACAGAACCAGGTTTTTTCAGTAGCTAGGTTCGCACTCCGTGTGTAAGTACAACTTCGTATCTGGATATCCCGATCGGAAGTAGTGTACACGGGTTATGGAGTATGGGGTTGTCATGTAAATAGAGAGCGTTGTCACACGTGGCGAGCCTTATGGCACGCAGACGTGAGACTAATGGAATCCCCTCCTCCTCCTCCTCGTATAGTGCAAAGATGTTTGCGATTGCATGGTGCAGGAGCCGCACAAGCGCCGGCGCCGTGTTCACGTCTCCGAGATTGCTCCGATCAAAGCCTCTTCAACAACGTACTTCAAAGACGCAATTTAAAACGAGCTCCAGTTCACTGCCTGTTCGCTCATGTAAATTTCTTCACGTCGGGGGATAGTCTTCGGACATGTCATCGTGACACAGTGCATCGTTCGGATGGAGTAGTACTGTGCAGGTATGTAGAATGTAGAATGACCAGCCTGCTATAATATCGGCAAAACAGTGATTGAAGAGCCACTTGAGAGAAAAGATATGAGATACAATTGACTCGGACGACCTCTCCCCTGGAATGTGGGAGCGGGAGTCCAGTTACAAAGCGCCATACGGCTAAAGAGTGTTACACGACAGCAAGGGCAAACGGGACTCTAGGAAGTTCTTCTACGCACTCGCATAGAGATCCTCGACTAATTTCAGCGTAGTTCATAGGCCCCGCACCACTACTCAGGCTGGTGGAAGTCTTCCGCCCGACCTCGTCAAGTTCGACCTCGATATGCTCCTCATCCTCATCCAGATCGAGGTCGCTCCACGAGCCCGCGCCTTCTTCACCAGTGCTATCCGCACCAAAGGCGAGTGAGCCCCCAAGGCTCCCTATGACACGCGTGAAACGGAGGTCGGACATCTGTTCGGAAGGCATAGCGGCTTCGGACGAGTTCGCTTTGTGCAGGTTGAGGTAGAAGTGTGACAGCAGGATCGTCTGGAGCCTGTGACGATTCTGTTATGGAGGCAGCCATCCGCTCGATCGCGAATAACGTACGCGTAGGTGATGGCAATCATGGTTCCTGCGGCGATCTGAAAGGATATAGTCAACGTCGCGGTAGTCAAGTGGCGTGCAGGCCCGGGCTAGAGATACCAACAGTAGTCGCTTCCAGTGTGGCGTTGATGATCAGCAAAACGAGAATGGTTCTTTGTCGGGTCAGCCGTGACGACCGCGGTCCAGAGTCCATGTGTACTCACACAAAGTAGATAGTGCCTGGTAGCAGCATACAAGACAAGTCAGAAATGCATGCGACTTTGATGAACATACTCCTGACCATCTCTAAGGAAAAGCATTGTGAATGGGGTATCGATTTGCACAGCTTTGGCGAGTTTGGCCGTATGGTATGCGCTACGCCAGGTAACCGCGAGCAGCAACACTTCGGGGATGATGGTGGATGCCTGGCCAGTGACGTACACTGGGAAACACGAGTAAGAATAGTAGCAATCGTCAGCCCTATTGTATTGCAAGTCGAGTGAGACGTATCCTACATGGTCTGTGACATTGGTTGCTGGATTAGTGATTCAAGTAATCAGGTCAGAATGCGAGGCGCACCGGTCAACCTTGATGTCCGAGCTCGATGAGATAATACAGCCAATAGGCCAAGGCGCGAAGACCGCGACCAGTGAAGCGGCCTCGTACTGACGGCCACACTTTTGAGATTTCGCACAAACTGACCAGAGAATATACGTACGATCTTCGTAGCGGTGTTCACCAAAGACGACAAGAAGATTGCGAGAGCGAGCAGCACAGACCGATTTCCAATAGCGTAGGCACGCAAGGCCGTGAATCCTGCAGGAGGATAAAGACAAGTCAGGTGGGGAATATCAGCGGCATCCTTTGACGCACCACCGTTGGCGACATTGAACGTCACGGCGGCGGAGCATTCGAGCACACTCAAAATGTACCGCTGCGCAATGCACGTAAATGTCAGTGCAACTTCGTATCAGGCAAGGCTGTAGTACCTCTAAAATGTGTAGTCAGTACTATCATGTACCAGAATAATCGTGATTTACCTTGCAAGTTGTGAAGAACGTGTTTGCTACCTGTGTTAATAGATACACTGCGGCGGACAGGTGCAATAGCATGTACAGGCCAGTCGCCACCGAAACGCGCCGGCGTCGCCATATCAGATCGATTTCTGGCCCCAACGTGAGACAGCGGTCATAGTGTAGCTTGCTATGCAGACGGTGAGAACAGACCACACGTCACAACAGATCTGCACTCACCAAACGCCGCCATATTGCAGCAGTCGAGTACAAGCTGTCATCTTCTCAGTAAGGTTACCAGTAGACCTGTTTTGCAACTGACCCACACTAAGAACAAAACTCAGCTCGCCGACGACATAGCTGGATCCTGGGGAAAATCTGCGCGAGCGGTGTATTTATGCAGACTAAGACATCATGCTGCTTATCCGAACCCCCTGCACAACAAGGTGCTCTGCGCGCGCTGCCAGGGGAAATTTTGGAGAAGTCTGCAGATCTTGTATATTGTTGGAACGTTGCTCAGCACTGCCGCACCCGATACCGGGCGGTTCGGGCTTCAGGAAACGCCTGTAGGCTTGAGCGGTGAGACATGAAAGTCCTATTGTTATCTGCCGTGTGGCACACCGCGGAGAATATGGTTGGTGATACATGGATCTCAGGATGCCCGTCGCGACATGGGAGCCACCATGCACGGATTCACGACATTTACTGCTTATGTACCCTCTCGAGAAGCACGGAGCAACAGTGTCGGAGCCGCAGGCAGCCATCTTGGCGCTTCACTGAGACTCTCCCGCGTTGCCCATTCAGTATATCGATATCACTGCAGATCGGTGTGGTTTGATCATCAGCACTTCTAGTGAGCGCGGAGCAGATCAACTTGCGTGAAGTACTTACATATGTTCCGCATCGTGGTATGCAGGACAGCATGCGTCCCTGAGCGCCGGCGCTCTGGCATGCGCAGTAGGCCAGCGGAGGGTATTGACGTGCGGTCGCCATGCATGTGCAGATTCTAAGTATGTCGCCACTGGTCAGTATGAAAACACGATGCAACTTGAAGTGACTCGCGTTCGAGTCGGCGCGCCGAGGAGTACTACTACCAGCGCAGATGGGAACATAGCGCGACAACTTCGTCATAGCACAATAGAGACGCGTTGACGCAAAGCCACGAGGCACTGTCACCGCATGCACAGAGCTGAGCTGTGACTGTAGCTTCAAGTTATATAGGACAACTCAAGCTCAAGTACTTGGACGTAGCAGGACGAAGTTCAAGTTCGAGTGGCACTGGCGCTTATTGCCGACCTACGTCGCGGCCCACGTGTTTACAGTAAGAGCGAATATCGGGTTAGGTCAGCTTCTGGCTCGCAGTGGTACTTAGGTAGACTTAGGTCGACCTTCAGGCGTTGACCATGGTACTGATATATGATCTGACCTTGATCTGACCAGTATCGTCTCGTAGCGAAATACTAGTATTTATTATCGAACAATCTAACTAAAGGCGCATCACAAGATATCCACCAGTGATAAGTATAGTACTCAGAATTTCCTAGATGTCAGACACAGCAGCATAATTAAAACGAGCATCAGCTCAACCCAGCTCGCCCAACAGCATCGATATCCGCACCACTGGCATGATACTTTCGTCTACATCGGCACGGCGTTCAGAAATGTAAACCCCATGAGGACCAACTTGAGGCCTGCCGAGACCCGAATGGCTGCCCGTTTTTACGTTGCCAAGACGCACTGGCAGGTCCGTCATCTTCTGCCCTGGCCTTCCGACGGAGTACTAGGAGGAGGCTAGATCTGGGTTCGCCACGGCCACGAGTCCCCACTTAAGCCGAACTCAGTGCCGCTCACCGGGGTGTTAACTTGCTCCCTGGACTGTTTGGCGGTGTATGAGGGGGAATCGCGTCCGCCCTCCGGATCCGCGCCGCATTGTCCTTTCGTGCTAGGAGGACGGCCAGTGCGTCGTACATACGCCTCGCGCCTTCGCACGTTAGCTTGCTTGCGCCGAGCCCTCGGAAGTGGGGTCGCATTTTCAGGTTCGCGTGGCGGCGGTGCTGGCATCGTCGGCGCGTTGAGGTACAGGAGGTTGTTCACCAATTCGGGGAGTCATGGTCTTCCGGACGGGGGGACGGAGGATCGGGCGCAAGAGGTTGCAGGTAGTTGTTGTCTACTCTCCGTACGTTGACGGCAGCACCGCGCGAAATGAACGCCTCACGGAGCTCACGCTCACACAATGACTCCAAGAGGCCAAGGGGATCGCGTAGCACCGGCCGCACGTCGCCCCAGCGATACCTAGCCAGAGATTCAGCACGCCTGGCCAACGCAGCGGTTAATACTGTACCAAATCAGGCCAGATCTCGCGCCCACAAGGACTCGTTTGATGGCAGCTCTACCGCTCGCGCGTTCTCGACAGCAGCATATGTCTGCGAGGGTGTGGAGGCCGTGGTGCGATAGAGATAATTTGGATATGGCAACCACACACGACCTGTGGGGAGATGATGTGCATGGAAGGTTCATGGAAACGATGCTCACCGAAGCACGAACGCATGGGAGACCTGGATGGCTGGTTCGCATACTTTATGAGAGTCAAGAAGCGCTGCAGCTGGGTCGGTGCGGGCGTTCGGGTGGCGTGGCGGTGGGCGGTGGCGGGATGTGCCACGTCAGCGCGGATGAGAGACGCGTGGCCGAAGCGTCAATCTGCTCAAGTGCCCGAGTCTCGACGCAGCCTGAAACCAGCAGCTACGACTCGCCCGCTTGTCCCCCAAGCACGCCATACCGAAGCTCCCTCCCCGCGTCCGGCTGTACCACTGTCGGCATGGAGGAACCTTGGACAAAATCACCTGATGACGTCCTCCAACACTACTCGGTAGACCCTGCTCGCGGCCTTTCCACCGACCTCGCTGCGAAGCATGCCCAACTCTACGGCAGGAACGGTAAGTTCCCTCTGCTGCGGCTCTCATAAGGCGGTATTCATGGCAGTTCAACAGAACTTCCCGAAGAGCCCCCAACACCGCTTTGGGAGTTGATCCTCGAGCAGTTCAAGGACCAGCTCGTGCTCATCCTTCTCGCGTCCGCCGTCGTCTCATTTGTGCTGGCACTCTTTGAGGAGTCGGATGGCTCAAGCTGGTGGGGTGCCTTCGTCGAGCCTCTGGTCATTCTCCTCATCTTGGTCGCCAATGCGGCTGTCGGCGTAATACAGGAGACGAACGCAGAACAGGCCATCGAGGTGAGCGCTTTGAGCGGTAGTCCAATGGTCAAGCATCTGAGCCCCGGAAACATAGGCATTGAAGGAGTATCACCGGATGAAGCCAAGGTCTACCGCGACGGCCAACTGGCTCGCATTCATGCCTCAGAGCTCGTCCCTGGAGACATCATCTCCGTCGCGGTGGGCGACAAGGTTCCTGCAGACTGTCGCTTACTGTCGATTTCCTCCACTACTCTTCGCGTGGACCAGGCCATCCTTACGGGCGAGAGCACCAGTATCAACAAGAGCGTCGACGTTGTAGCTGACCCGAAGGCCGTCAAGCAAGATATGACAAATATGCTTTTTGCCGTACGTACCCTTCTCATCATGTGGGGCATTATACTGACATCCCTCCGCAGGGCACGAGCATGGTCAACGGCAAGGCAACAGCCATCGTCGTCTTCACTGGCCAAAAGACTGCCATTGGCGACATTCACAAATCCATCACTTCGCAAATCAGCGAGAAGACACCCCTGAAGCGCAAGCTCGACGACTTCGGCGACATGCTCGCGAAGGTCATCTCCGTTATTTGCATCCTCGTTTGGATCGTGAACTTCAGGCACTTTTGGGACCCGTCGCACGGCTCTGCGCTGAAGGGCGCAGTGTACTACTTCAAGATTGCCGTCGCGCTCGCCGTGGCTGCCATCCCGGAAGGTCTGGCTGCTGTCATCACGGCATGTCTCGCACTGGGTACGAAGAAGATGGCGCAGAAGAACGCCATCGTGCGCAACCTGCCCAGTGTCGAGACCCTTGGCTGCACCAACGTCATTTGCTCGGACAAGACTGGTACGCTAACGACGAACCAGATGAGCGTTTCCAAGGCGAGTTCAGTTTGTCACAGCGCGACAATACACTCTTACAGTTTTGTGCATGGTGTGCAGTTCTTCGTTGTCGGGAGCGCTTCTGGCGGCCTCAGGGAATATTCTGTGGAAGGAACCACCTTCGCGCCTCACGGGTCGGTTAGGTCTGCTGATGGCAAAGAGGCCTCTGCTGAACTTCGTTCGCTGCCGATCCAGCTCCTGGCCGAGACCAGTGCTCTCTGCAACGACTCCAAGATAGTCTATCACACGGTGAGTTCCGCGCGTCGTGATGCAACTCCGGACGTGGCGCTGAAATCTCCTCTCCACGCAGGACAAGGGGACCTACACCAATGTCGGCGAGCCAACTGAAGCCGCTCTGAAGGTCCTCGCGGAGAAGCTGCCTTGCCCCGACGGCGAGCTGACGAAGTCGTTGTCGGCTATGGACCCAGCGTCGCGCGCCAGCGCAGTGAGCGACTTCTACGAGCGCGCCATCCCGAAGGTCATGACGTTCGAGTTCTCCCGCGACCGCAAGATGATGTCCGTGCTCGCCCGCAAAGAGGGGCAAGGCATTCTCTACGCCAAGGGTGCGCCCGAGTCCATCCTCGACCGCTCCGTAGCTGCGCTGGTGGGCGGGGACGTCGTGCCCCTGACCCCCGCCCTGCGCGCCGCGATCCAGCAACAGACTCTCGCCTACGGCAAACAGGGCCTGCGCGCGCTCGGGCTCGCGTACGCCGCCAACCTCCCCCTCGACCCCGCGCGCTACCGCCCGGACAGCACCGGCGACTTCGAGAAGGACCTTGTGTTCGTGTCGCTCGTCGGCATGCTCGACCCGCCGCGCCCCGAGGTCCCCGCTGCCGTCGCGAACTGCAAGGCCGCGGGAATTCGTGTTATCTGCATCACGGGCGACAACAAGGGCACTGCGGAGACGATCTGCAGGCAGGTGGGCATCTTTGGGCCGGACGAGGACCTTACGGGCAAGAGCTATACGGGCAGGGAGTTTGATGAGCTGAGCGAGCAGGAGAAGCTGGCGGCGGTTATGCGTGCTGGGCTGTTCTGCCGGACGGACCCGAGGCATAAGAGCCAGCTCGTGGACCTCTTGCAGAGCCAGGGTCTGGTTGTGGCTATGGTGAGCGTCCCTGCAAGTATTCGTTCTGAGTGCGCCGTTCATGTTCTTGGCAGACTGGCGATGGTGTGAACGATGCACCCGCATTGAAGAAGGCCGACATTGGTGTCGCGATGGGTAGCGGGACTGACGTTGCGAAGCTCGCTGCAGACATGGTTCTCGCTGACTCTAACTTCGCTACGATTGAGCTCGCGGTAGAGGAAGGCCGGTTGATCTACAACAACACCAAGCAGTTCATCCGATACCTCAGTGCGTATGGTGCCTCATCCTTCGCTACTCTTCTCTGACAGAGACTCGTAGTCTCCTCGAACATCGGCGAGGTCGTCAGTATCTTCCTGACCGTCCTCCTCGGCATGCCCGAGGCGTTGATCCCCGTGCAGCTGCTCTGGGTCAACCTCGTCACCGATAGTCTTCCCGCAACCGCCCTTGGCTTCAACCCCGCAGATCACAGCATTATGCGTGTACCCCCGCGGGACAGCCGGGAGCGCCTTATTGGGCCTTGGTTGTTCGCGCGGTACATGATCATTGGTATCTACGTCGGCGTCGCAACAGTCGCCGGCTACGCCTGGTGGTTCATGTACTACGCACGCGGCCCACAGATCACCTTCTCGCAACTGGTATGTTCGCCTTTGCTTTTCGCATCTACGGCAGTCACTGACGCGGTGATCCCCAGACGCACTTCCACCAGTGCTCTACACTGTTCCCCGAGATCGGGTGCGAGATGTTCACGAACGAGATGTCGCACCGCGCGACGACGATCAGCCTGTCTATCCTGGTTACGATCGAGATGTTCAACGCGATGAACTCGCTGTCCGAAAACGAGAGCCTGCTCCGGCTGCCGCTCTGGAAGAACCCCTTCCTCGTCGCCGCGATCACGCTCAGCATGCTCCTCCACGTCGCCATCTTGTACATCCCCTTCTTCACGGTGCGTCCTTCCCTGCTGATCGTTGCCGGTGTGGACGGGGCGCTGACTGCTGGCTGCGGTTGATCGTTTGTAGACGCTGTTCGCGATCACGCCGCTGAACTGGGTCGAATGGAAGGCCGTGTTGTACTTTAGCGCACCCGTCATCGCCATCGACGAAGTACTAAAATTGGTCACGGTGCGTCTCTTGTCCGTGTGCTCGTTGTTGAGCGCTGATTGCCCGCGCGTATCAGACCACGTTTGTTGACCCTCCAGCGAAGGTCAAAGTGGACTAGTAGAGGAGTTCCTAGACTTGCTCTGCAGATTGTACTCTATAACGATTAGAAGCAGACACAACGTCATCTTCCCGCTAAGTGTATCTGTGAGTGAGGTGGATACTATCGGTTTTCGAAGCGCTACAGCCTAAGTAGCACCTGCGAATGCGGAAGACACAGGTACATATGTATGCGTGGCAAATGCTCTCCGTCATAGTAAGGCCGTCCCCGGTCTTCCCTGTTTCTGACACTCTTCTGTACTCACGCGGAGCAATGGAAGTCAACGACGGGGTACCTTCCAATTATCCAGCGTCCCTGGTCGCTAGGATACGCAGACATAATTATAATACATCATGTAAGTGGACTATCGAAGTTGGCATTACCTGAAGGCAGCGCTTCCAGGCTCGCATTCTTAGGTGGACGTAAGTACGTGATGGGCCGTGGCAGCAGCGCTATTGTGAACTTGTTGTGAACCGTTTATTACTTCCGTTCCACCCCGGAGCCGAGTGAACAGGGCATCACTGCGGACGTACCTGTATGTTACTGAATGTTGTAGATCGAGCCCAGCTACTATGATGCGATCCGGACCTATCAGTGCGTTCGTAGGCCCGGGGACGCATGCTCATTATGAAGAACCCTCGTTTACGGCACCATGAGAGCAAATTGACAAGGAGCCAACTTGAATGCGTCATAGGGGGGACAAAGGCGGTCGATGCATAGCGACCGCACGATTCATTGTACGTCGGTGGACATTTCGTTGATTCCCGACGGTGTTGGAAGATGGATGTGGACCCTGCATGCTGCGTTCTCGAGGCCACCCTGAGCTGTAGGCTGTAGCGTTTGATCAACTGTGCACCGCGTCCCGCGTAGTGGTCTAGCAACGTATGCTGACTCCAATGACATGACAGGGGCTCCCTACAGATGCGCCATCATCGTACGCCGCTGCCATGAGAAGGGGAACGCTGATACGTGACTTCATGGGTCACGGATATGTGCACCAGTATGCCGCTCAGGCCTTCAGCCCAAGAGTACCGAGTTTACCTGTAATAGGAAATGGGGGTGCTGCGCACTGATGAGTGCTTAGGGTAGCATTGGGGGTGCTTGATTGGCACTGGGACCCACGAATAGCCACTAGCACGTACAGAAGTCGAAACCACAAAATTAGCACACTGATTCGAGGCATATGATAGGGCTCGAGCACATCCGACTACATCACGTGAAGCGCCCTACGCCCGTGCGCGGGCGCTGGATTCGAGCGTCTACGGTTGACCCCTACGATCGCGCGCACAGCATCGGCGTCCTGGAGCGTAAAAAGCTTCGAAAAAGCAGTAGAAAGCAAGCAAGAGATACGACATTACGCAGAGGAGTAGTACTACACAAAAGTTTGGGCAAATACAGTGAAGTCTACGCAAAAGAAGCCCCCTCCAGGTTCTCAAAAATTGAGGCAGGTCTTTATGCTCAGACAAAGCTCACATTCTCGCGTTCATCGTGACATCGCTTTCTTGAACCACTGAAAATGAGATCTCCGAGGTTTGTGACCGCAGTGAGGGCCTTCGCTTTTTTTTCGCCAGACATTTCGCGTTTTTCGAGTCGGCCGTGCTCGCGCTGCGGCTTAGTCAGCATACGGCGCTCTTGCGCGCATACCATGCGTAAGAGTTTGTGCGTCGAAAACTGCACACCAGCCGATTCTGTTCAGAGATTCTGTTCAAAAGCTCGCAATCTCTCGATCGTAGCAAAAAAAACCATGAATTCTGCTTGTGTGATACCACAAACTCTTAGGGACCGTTTGGCGGCTTTGCGCCCGCCAAATGTGCCTGGCGCCAATGCAAAAATCACGTGATGTAGTAGGATGTGCTCGAGCCCTATCATAGCAAATACATTAAATTGGCACTCACCACGGTTGGCAGCCTGAGCAACGAACCGGGATGCCCGTTTTGGGAAGGGCGCACCGAGGAGAGCGCATCAGAGCGCCGCTGTCGAGCGAGATCCAATCGATCAGCCGGGGGTATTTCACCGAGATTGGCCCGCCCGCTTTCAACCGCTGTCAAGCAAGCGCTTTGGATGGAGGAAAGGAATTCCCTGCAATCACTGCGGACAAACCGCGTTGTGCGAAGCGCTCACATGGTACTTACATTGAAAGGGCGTGTATATTTTTACGGCTCTAAGTCGGAGCTCCTAACATAGGGAATGGGATTCCTTTGTTCGGCCTAACATTTTGAATGTTCCTAGAATCGGGAATGTAAGTGTTATGTTCTTCCTATGTTCCGAAATCGTGCCATGTTCTAGGAATGTACTTTCCATGTTAGGGAAGTTCACTTGATGGCTTACTAATATACACGCCCTTGCAATGTTAGGCCTATGTAAGCGCCTCGCACAATCCGGGTTGTCCGCAGTGAATGCGTTAAAGCTCCTCTCGCCACGACTTGGCAAGCCGCCCGACTCCTGCATGCACGGAGCCGCGCAGGCGGTAGCAGCGTAACGTGTACGTACGCTGAGCGGGCATGACAACGGAAATGAACACGCATCCATTCGTTCATTCTTCTCGTATACAGGAGCAGCGGAAAGTCGACCGAGTCTGTGACCGTGCGCTGCGGGTGCACTCGCAGAAGGCCTCTGGCAGGAGGTAGATTGGCTTCCAGTCCAGTCTTCGTAAGTAAGTGGCCGGTACTGCGCTAGCTCTCGAGGGAAGCAGGTGAGCAGGCAGCATGTCCGCAATACAGTTTACGGTTGAGCAAAGCGCAGCAGAGACGCACTGCTAGTAGGCTACTATAGCACCGGAGGAATGCACAGCTGGATCGCATGCACACGACTGATGGCAACACTGCTTGGTTCTAGCTCGCCAGAGGCGTACCGACCAAAAACGCACCGAAGCTGCATTTTCCGGCACCCACCGTGACGTGACAATCCCGATCCCGACGAGACTCTGTTAATATTCCTGGGACTCGCGGTCAGGCTCATCTGGCGTGCGCAACCCTGACGCGACGGTGACATTTTGACGACTCGGGCGACAGAGAGGATGTGAAACCGTGGCGATTCCGAGGCTCGAGGCATCCGTCACCCGTCTCGGATCTCGATCATCGCAGCTCGACGGTCCATACGTAGGCGATTTGATTTTGACTTCGCATCGTGGGCGGCGACGGATCTAAACGTCCTCGAGCACGCTAGCCCAATTCGGGCCACACCCACCCAACCTTCCCCCATGTCCGACAGATTGGGCATCGTGCAGGCGGGGAAGCGCGGAGTGCGCGAAGACCGCAGCCACAGCCCAAGCCCAGCCCAAACACGGCAGCATACTGACTCGGAAACAATCAGACTCCCTCACACACAGGACCACGTTCCGGGCTTCTGAGTAGCGCAGGGCAGTGCCACATTCGCGAAAAACAGCAGAGCACATGTACACGGACGCTGGGACAAGAGCAGGAAAGCACAAGCGACATTAAATAAGCACGTTGTATGATGTTCCAGTCAGCATGGGCGGGAGAAGGTGGAGAGTGCGCGCGTCGCGGCCTACCGCCGAGTGGGAGCCGCCTCCGGGCCAGCGGGATGCTCGTGTGGAGGCAGCGCGTCGAACCCGCTCTGACCGAGGTCTGCGGGCAGTGCGGCCGTCTCATCCAACACATGCTCGGAAAGCAGCCTCCGGTTCTCCTCAGCGTCCTCTGCGAACGAAGTCGACACGGGTGCGGTCTCGGCCGCCGGGCGCAGGAAACCGGGCGGCTTGACGAGGCTGTTGAATAGGAACTACGAAGAACGCTGGTCAGCACGCATGCGTTCTGAGGCCCGCAAAAGTCGCGCACCGTTCCGTATCTGGACATACGTAGGGTGAGCATGAGAGAAAGCTGCCGCGCGTGAGTCATGCGACACTCACACCAACAGGCCGAAGCCAACGATTTGAAGGCCTGAGATCGGCCACATGAGCCGCTCCCAGCCAAGCCCCAAGCTCACGATCCAGATACTCAGTGTCCTGCAAGTGTCAGTCAGACTCCTCACCGTCGCGCTCGCATGCCTTGTGACGCTCAGCCCGAAGAAGTTGAAAAACGAGATGGAGAACGCAATCGCGACGCTACTCCACAGGACGGACGGCGTGTTGATCATCTGGTGCCAACCCCGAGGGAGGTCGAAGAACGGCGAGACCTGCGAGTAGTGGGCGAGCAGCGGCATGGCGAGGACGATGGTCAACGCGCCGAAAAAGCCCTCGAAGCCGACCGCGACCAGCGGCGCGACCGAGTAGCGGGCCATGATCTTCTCTGCATGCACGGCGATATGATGGATGCGGTTCAGGCAGGCGTGGCGATGGGTGCAGAGCATGGGCAGGAAGCAGAAGCAGCGAGATGTCCGGGAAGACGGAGTATTAGTCAGCACCTTCTTTCGGACTGCCCGGGACGGGCACGGCGAGAAGCGATAGCTCGTACCTTCGACGACATATTGGGTCGCAGTGCTGCAGTGCGGGAGCAGACGCGTGCCGCGTCAGACGAGACATGAGCGAAGGCAGATACGAATACACAGAAAACACGTACAACACCTGCGCGAAGAGAATGAAGAAGACACCTGGACCGCGTGGAGAACGTCAGCAAACGCTAAACTGGCGGTATTGTGGCTTCGGATAATGGTATACGGACCGACGAGAACCTTCGTAATCTCGGGCTCTTCGATAGGCTGGGGCGCAGGTAGATCATCCAACAGACGCGCAGCCGCACGGACGAAACCGGCGAAGCCCGCGTCCTCCTTCACAGCATCCTTGATCATGGACCCACTGAAACCCACCAGCGAGACTCCTGCCATGACGGTGACAAGAGAGATCCACCTGTGCGTGAATGTCAGGCTCAATCAAGGGGACTTTGGGCGGCATTATGACGGAAACGGAACAATGGTGGGAACGATGCTCAACTGGTAAAGCCACAGCCTGCGCCGCAGGAAGATGACGGAGAGGACTCCAACAAAGAGAACAAGCGCGCCCCTGGTCATCTGATAGATCGAGACCGGGGTGTATAGCAGACCGACGTTCATCAGCTGGGAGATGTGCACGGTTCAGGACAGATGGAGGAAGACAGGCGACAGACGTCCGGGCACGTCGGGCAACATTGATAGTGCGAATGCCGAAAGAGGACCGAAGTGTGCTGGGTGAGTGGGAGAAGCAGATGCGAGCTAATGCGTGGGCTAGCTTACCGTCGTGCCGGTAAGGTCACAGGCTGCAGGGAACCATAGGAGGAGGATCTTCCAGCCATGGAGATGCTCTACCGCGATCTGGGCTTTGGAACCGGCGGCTGGTTCTTCCTCTTCCTCGGGAGGGAGCTGCACGGAAGGTTGAGCGCGCCTAGACGCAAGCCACGCGTATATTACGGGCAGGAAACCTTGGTGTTAAACGGATTAGGCAAGCCGTGCCACGAAGGCGCGTGAGATATATGGACGAATGCTAACACAGATGGGCGGGGGCAGGCATGGACATTAGCACTTACAGAGCATTTCACCGACTGCGTTGCCAAGGCACGACAGTTAGAGGCGAAGAGGCTAGCGGGACGAGGTGACGATCGACGCACAGAACATTTGGAGCGTCTGCCAGACCGGTTGCTCATAGAGGACATGACGCGCAGGGTTTGGATCGTCGCAGTTCTCGACACATTGGATGTCCTGAGGAATGGTAAATGGGTGGAATGCAGGAGCGAAGCTAGGGGCGTACCTGCCACTTGCTCCAGAGGGAGTTGCTGGAGCCCTGTGATGCGTCAGAACAGCGACGGGGCCGAGGGGAGGGCAACGCACCGTGATGAGCATGCCCGCGACGAGGATGGGCACGTAATAGGACGGCATGGTGGGCAGAGGCAAGAGGCGGGTGCAGCGAGCACTGCGCGCAGCGACGGAGGAGAGGGAGTCGAGGACGGCACGTGGCGGCGTGGTGGCGGAAGGCGCGCAGGCTCGGGAGTAGAGCGCCACGTGGGGCGGGGGATCTCGATGGGAGGTGACGGAGACGTGACGGGCGCGTCACGGCGGGGAGAAGCACGGCGGGCGCCTGAGCCGCCAGGGAAGATGGCCGCAATCAGCTCGCAAAACAAGCAATCAGCCTTCTTAGCCGCAGAATACAAATGCGCCCCGTCCCACACCCGTCGCCCCCCCTCCCCCCATGGTCACCCTCTCCATCGCCACCGCGAGGGGCGCACCGTGTCCCTCCCGCTACTTCCCCCACTCCGGCTACCTTGGCCTCACCCCCGTCAGAGTCGAAGGCAGTACGTCCAGCCCTCCTCCTCCCGCTCACCCTTGACAGACTTGCGCCCAGTCGTGCGCACAAAGCTAGACGAGGACCGGAGACCACTCCTCGCCAAGGCCATCTCCATCTCGGTCCGCTGCTATGAGGCCCGCGTCAGTCGCTCGCGCGGGACCGTCCACACAACCCTCCTTGTCGACCACACCGAGGTTCTCTGGACGAAACAGCCCAACGCAGAATGGGACGAGGTCGGCGACCTTGAGCTTCCATTCAGGATCACGCTTCCCAAGAGCACGGCCGGGCTGAGCACCGCCAACTTCCAGGTCTACCGCACGTTCTGGCGCGTCGAGGCAAGTGAGTGTTGCCGCCCATCCATCTGCCACTCCCGCTTTGTTAATATCACACATCCCTGCCAATATTATCGTTTTCGTGACGCCGCGTGCTGACTTCACTATGACAGTGATTGACCATATCCCCATCACCGGTGTTGGTCACCGGCTGCTCCGCTACTTTGACCTGGCTCTCATCCGGTACGACGTCCCTTCGTATTCCCTCTCCACGCCGTACGCGTCTTCCGCATCCCCGTACCTCCACACCAGTAAGCCACGAGCGCCCGTCGTGCGCTACAACGTCTCGACGCCTGACCATCCGATCGGGCCGAACGACATCATCTTCGCCGCGGTTACCGTCCAACCGCTCGATCTCGGAGTTTCCGTCCGTAGCGCGGTCCTCACGGTAGAACGTCGGATTGACCTTCTAAGCACATTCACCGCTTCTTCGTCGCCCCCAGCAACGCCTGCAGTGGGTCCTTACCACGCTGATGACCTTCCCACACCGAGCTCCAGTACCTCCAATTTGTCTCCTGCTCCACATGACCACGAACCGCACGACGGCCTGGCGTCGTCCAGCCAGATTACGCTCGAATCCCTGTCCTCTGGTCGCCCCCTTCTTTCACCGTCGTCCCCTTCCCCGCACACACCATCCACTGCCGGTTTCAGTCCTCACCCCGACACGTCTGCTAGGACAATCACGTCCAATGTCATCACAACCGAGTACACTGACTTCGCACGCGACCGCCTCGGTACGTTCTGCAAGACCACGACACTGCAGTGGCCCGCGTCGCGTCCTCACAGCAGATGGGCGATTGGCGAGACGATGTACACTTCACGCGCGTCGGTGCGTTTCTTTGTTCGCGCCTCGCTACGCGTCGTCGGCCCCGGAGGCTCTGACGTGCTGGAGCTCGAACCGCGCGAGATTGCGATCGCAGCGACCAGTGAGGCCGAGCGACGGCTGGCGCTTGCCAAGTACGCTGAGCAGCGCGAGGCAGCTGGTGGGGGTAGGAGCAAGAGCAAGAGCCCCTGGCGCTCCAGGCGCGAGCCCGACGAGGAACGTGTTCAAGCAGAGCTGGCCGTGCAGGGACAGGCGAAGACGTACCCCGGAGCGGTGTCGGACGTCCGCGATCACGAGAGGCATCGGCATTTTCAGAGGGAGAAGGGCGCGTCCAGAGGGACGAAACGGCCGCATACATCCGCTGGCCCGCGGGACAAGTCGAGCTTCGCGATGTACAGCACGAGGGAAGAGCCTAGTGTGGGCGACTCGACGTCGAGCGGAGAGTCGCGCGACCATCGCCAGGTGCGCTCGCATGGGCACGAGCGCAAGGGCTCACGAGGCCACACCGCCGTCAAGCAGGAGTCGGGCCTCGGGGAGAGCGCGCTGTTCTTCGGGAGGGAGAAGGAGAGGGAGCGTGTGGTGAAGACAAGGGAGCAAAACACGCCGCCGCAGCCTCCTCATGTCCGCGCCTGGGAAGAGGAGCTCGCGCGGATCGAGGCGAAGTCGCGCAGGAATAGCTCCTTGCTGAACTTCTGGGGCTTCGGGAGGAAGAAGGAGATCGTGCAGCGCGGCTAGGTGACGAGACCTAGCTGGTTCATCTCTCCACACACCGTCGCGTCCAACGACGCGGCCTCATACTTGCGCTCGACCCCGCCCACTCACTGTTCTGCAGTGGTCGCACAACGTGTCCGCGGGGTCCACGCCACTCCGCTCTCAGCAGGCGGTAAGTTTCTGGCGTAGCAGTCGACTGCAAGCTCGCAACGCGGTTCACCAGGAAACTTACCCAAGCTAGACCGCCCAACGCTACCGGTCGCATGTCAATGTCTGCCTTTCGCACCTGTCTATTAGTTATCATCCGAATTCGCTGTATTTGTTGCACCTGCACTGCTTGGTACTTGCTCTATATTATTGCCCTGCTTCACGTACTAGACTCTGCATCACCTCACGCATACCAGACTCCAGTAGCTAGCCCATAATACTCTGCATGGGACCGACTCACTATACACGCCCGGACAAGCATGCCTCACGCATACGGATACCTCATGACATCCTCATTTCTGTACGAGTTTCGTCCCGGCTAATGCGCTCCATGGCGCTGCTTCTGTCACGCCTTCTGTATCTATCACCGTGTCTTCTCCCGTAGTCGTAATGCACCATCGATAATATTTGCTTGGGGCGCCGGAACCAAGGCGGAACGCCATCAGCGAAGTCGAAGTCGCTATGCCACTGTCGCGGTAGCGCTACTTGGCGCTACCCGCCAGTGCTTCTCGTCGAGGCCTCCCGTAGAGAGGCGCCGCGCCTTCGCAACTCCCTGGTATACGCGCCCCCATCTGATTGTCGCCGCAGCTGCGGTGCGACTGCCAGTGGGTGCTCGCCGCTCGGAAGACGGCCGGACATGCGTCGCGCGCGGTCATGGATCCTGACGGTGCGAATCAAAGCTCCGGTGTTGTCGTCTCCTTCCATTCATCATTCGATGCATTCGATGTGTCAGTCGTGCTCGCGAGAACCTATACGCTGACGCCCATCCCTATAGGCTCAGATCGAACACTTGCAGAACACGGCGGTTGGGCAGAAGACTCGCCCGAGTACATGCGAAGACTCAAACGTACCCAACTTCTGTCAAGGCGAAAGTGCACTTCCGAACCAGGCGTGCTGGTACAGTGCAACTGCATTTGAGCCTCTTCGTCCTCGATGCTGGATGCCGTCGAATGGGATGTGACCATGAGACGGGGACTACAACGGAGGGCAGGTTCCCTATGCAACTTGTACTCACGGCGAAACCGCCGTCATGCCCAGGGTAAGATGCTGTAAGGTGGCTCGCTGCAGAGCTAATTTGACTTGTCAGTACGTCAAGTACTCCAACATACGGTGGATATCGCCGCATCCTCACAACCTAACTAGGACTGTCGATGTACGTGCATGTCAGTCTGCTGTGGCTTCGCATGAATCGGGTGGATAGCCGGATCCACGCTGTTACATCACACCTTCCCCACCATCCCAGCCTATCATCTGGCCACCGGTAGCAAGGCTACAGACTCCCTTAGACTTCCTCAACATCCCGCCGGAGAGGGAGCGCGCTGACTAGGCTGGCGACGGTCTGCATGCGGTCCCCGAGGTACGAAAATAGTCTCCACGGCACATGACCGAGCAGCACGTCGAGCTCACCAGAATACAGTTCTTCACCCACCTCGATGCTCGAGGCAAGCATGCTTTCGCACAGATCGTAATCGCTGACCAATCCGAGAGTTTATCAATGCTTGTTGCAATTCTTCCCGAATTTCGACAGCCACATAACGCACGCGGCAAAGTTCGCTGAGTGGGAACTTCGTCGTTCAGACTACCTGAAGGCTGAAGCCTGCTGCCGGCGGTATGGTGGTGGAAATCAGAAACGGCGTACCCGCCTTCTTGTCCTCGAATGCCGAGGCAAGAAGTCGCATACTCGGTGGACAAGACAACGTGTCGGTGCGTGACGAAGTGCTGTTCGTTGTACTACCGTCTTCTTGTGTTATGCGTGACCCTCGGACCATCAAACGTGCTCCTGCCGCATTGCAGAGGAAGACGGTAGATGGCTGCTATGCGTCGTCTTCCAGTTCCGAGCCTGTTTTTCGTCACATCTCAGAAGACATCGATGTTGAAAAACGTCATGCGCAGCCGCGCTGAAGCTGCTACACCGTCTTCTGGCTCTACTTCTCGCTGCTTCACGCCTTCTACACCGCATCTGGCTCCCTTCTCCCGCAGCATGGCCCGCGTACGTCCCTAGTAAGGCATCATTTCTACAAGCCCCGTGACTGTACTAATTCCCCGAACGCTTCCCACCAGTACGCACTGATTCCCAGTGGCGCATTTCGACCGTACTACGATGCACCTTCGATAGCGTGTACTATGATCCCTCGAACGGCGCGAGCCGTGGATCGTATGACCCGTCCCGGTGCCTCCGTTCTCTTCACGGACAAAGCGATGGTGTCCGCGCATGAATCCCGGATAAAGAACATCGACTCTCCGTTGCCCCGGACCGTTGGGGGCCAAGGACAGGCGCCCATAAACCTCTCGGTCCCGAGAGATCCAAATCTACGAAGGCGGAACGCGACGGCCCGCGAGCGCGGCACATACCACAACGAAGCTAACCCTGGTTCAGCCCCGCCCAGATCATTGTGCCGCTGTCTCAAGGCTGCCTTCGACAGATGGCCAGCCTTTGTCCGGCTCAAGAATCCCACTGTCCTATTGGACTTCCATACACAGGCTTTGCAAGTACTTCTCAATCTCCGCTTGGTGCAGGGTTGTACATGCTCCTCGTCACTGATCGCCGCCCATACTACAGCGCCAACAATAGCGAATGCGTAGTGGAAGGGCACCGTACGACCGGGCGATGTCACACCTGACATTTCCGAATTATCCCGCGATTGAATGGGCCAAACCCCCGAGTCCGGTGACAGCCCATCAGCACCGCGTCGAATGCACGTCATGGTACGGGGATCGCATCTGCCAAAGTCTTTCTGAGTTTGACATTGACAAAATGAATACAAGAACTCGTCCGCTTCCCCTGCGCGAGGAATGATGAATACAGCTTCGCTTTTCCACTCGAAGTCATTTTGGGGATAAAGGCCGAGCAGCGTCCCGACGGTAGTGAGTGACGTAGTCCTTGTGGTTCTAGACGGCACGTATGTATAAGTGTGTGACCTATCTCCTGTCGCTTTGTGGAATAAAGTTCGCCGTCTCACATTATGAACCCGTTGACCAGATGTCCGGTGATGAACAATGTACAGAAGGGCAAGATAGCTAGCTGTCTGTATCGACATCGGAGGTGTACGCAAGAACACCATTCATTCCGACCATACCTCAAAAGGTTTCATCTCTATCTGTCGAAGCTGTCGAACTGCGTTCAGCGTCACGGGTAAACGATACCCAAGACAAAGACAAGAGCACCAAAGGGGATGAAATTTCGCCAACGTGACATCTGTACGATTGGTCTCCATCTCATGTATGCAGACGAGATTGTGAACTTGGCCTCTTGTAGTGCGCAAAGTCGCCAACGGAACCAGACATACAGCCTTCTGCACATCCAGCCTGAGAATTGGCTGACTCCGAGTTGAAATAATTTGATTCAAGAACGACCAAGCGACCTCCTATCGAGGTTCTAGTCTCGGAGAGACGTCGCACAATAGGTCAGCACTACCGCCTGACCCGCACAGTCCAACTCACGGCCGCATGTTGCAGTTACGAGTATTCGGAAGGCTGTCAACTCCCCCAAGGAGGACAGCCTTGACCGCTACAAAGGCGCGGGGAGCATGCGCTCAATCTCGTCTTCAGACTCATCATCGCTATCGGGCTCCCTCCTCATCGCCTCCTGGGCCGACGCCTCCAGCTCGTCAAGGTCCCGACCGATCATGCTCTTCTCCATCTTCAGCGACTTCACTGTTGCAGCTAGGACATGTAGCGTTTCATCACTAAATTCAACCATTCAGCGCACGCTGACGATCCGACGCGCATGGAGGCTGCGCACCTTGCGTATGCTAGTGTCCAGACGCAGAAATCGTCCAGCCATACCTTGCTGTATATGTAATACACCTCGTGGTGGTCGAGGATATGCTTCATCTCGAGGAGACATCTTGCGATGACCCGCTTGCCTTGTCCGAGGAGCGCCGCGACGTCAGCGCGACACTTCTCCGCCAGTACCCAGGAGCGGTAAAGTGGGAAAGCGAAGACACGACGGTAGGAAGCCGAGAATGTCGCCGAGAGCTCCTCCGCAGAAAATTTGTCTGGATCTGGGGGTGGCGGTTCCGCAGAGTAGGGCGCCGGATCGAGCGCGGAAAAGGCTGGTGTGAGGACACTGAGTGTCCAGGCGCTCTCAGGTGTCGGGTCGTGCTGCGTGGTGCGGCAGTCGTATGCATAAGAGAGCAAGAGTGTGAGAAGGGTGAGATAGAGATCGTGCGTCTGCTGTGGCATCGCAAGATCTGGCGGCAATGTCAACCGGCGAAAAAAAGAGGACATTGTTCCGATGTACACGTACATTCTTTCCGAGGGAGACGGAGCATCGTTGCATTATCTTCCTCGCTGTAATGGAAGCCCTCCGTAGAATCTGTATGTGGATTCTGCCAGTGGAGAAGCTCCTGAATGTATTCGTCCTCGACATAATCTGCCCTGCCCAGTCACAGCTCGTCAGCCACGTCACTTGGTCACGCGATATCAGGTTGCATACATGTAGTATTCTTCATCCCATTTCTCATCCTCGTGCTTGAGACGCCGCTTCCGGCGTTCGCTCGGTGGACATGTCTCTGCATCGGCGCCGATTTCGTTGACCTCGTTCTCGGTATGCGTGACATGTCTGAAATATCCAGAGTGCATGTCCAAGAAGCCATACCGGTACTCCGGCGTTGTTTTCAGCTGAGGGAGAGGCTGAGGGACTTCCTGTGGCAGCTGCCAATCATTCTCCGCAGCTGGATTGCATCGTGTCTGAGCATAGCTCTCGTGGTACAAATTAAGTTTTGGCCTCACCTCGCAGGATTTCTTCCTGTTCTAATGTCAACCGCTGCGTCCGTCGAGCCAGCTCCTCGTCAGCGTCCTCTTCGTTCGCAGCTGTGTCCTCGGAGGATAGCACCTCGATCACGGGCTGTTGTGGCGGCTGTTCTGACGGACGTGGCGCAAGCAGTTTCGCGAGCAGGTCCAGGTCTTGGAAGTCCTGGCCCGGCGTTTCTTTTGTTAGGGTCACGGTCAGGTAACCCGAGCCTGCATCATACGATGCGGAGGCATCGTCGTCGCCCTTGAGAGGATGCGAGAAGTTCAAGCGAAGAAAATAAGGGTTCACGTGGACGCTGAAGAGTTTCTCATCAATGTTGATCTCAACGTCAGACGCCTACTTCGGAATACAGGGGGTCAGTGGCAGAGGTATAGATGCAACTGCGACGACATACCCGGACAGACGGGCAGTACATTTTCACGACCACCTCAGTGTCGGTCTGACTGCAAGAGAAACGCGGCGTGATCATGACTGTATTATTGATGCGTGATGCAAAGTCGTCTCGAGCGACTTGTGTCTATCGAGAAGGATGAGACAGTGCCGCAAATGATGTTCAGTAAAATTGATTACTCACAGGAATATAGCCTTTCAATACAATGCAGACACCAACATACAGATGATGATTGCACGATATTCTCTGGCTGTGTTATGCAGGTGTTCGCTGTTGCAAGCAGAGGTGGCTGCAAGGTCGGAAGTGGCTAGGATGATATGATCGTGTCTGTGACTCGAGATCTGGCTCGATCAAAATTGAGATCGCATGCTTATTTAAGATGCACTCATCCACTCGCGTATCAGCAGCTCCAACGACCCTTGCATATTCGCCATGCCCGTCGACCCACAAGTGAGTGTGATTATTCCTATAACAAGCATACCTTTGAGCAACTCTACTTTCCGTAGAAACTACCCGCCTACCCACCGCTAGCCGTCGTTGAGCAGATCATACTCAAGGAGAAGAGGGGAAACTGCGTTCCGGTCTATGTCGAGCTTCCTGGCGACCTCTTGACACCATGCGTTGCATACCTGAGAATAGCCAAGGATGCGAAATACAGCTTCATGCTCGAGTCGGTGGTCGCAGGAGGGCAGATTGCGCGGTACAGTTTCATCGGGGCAGGTGAGTACTGAGCATGACTCAGAGCTGTCCGGACAGTACAACTGAGCGAACACCACGCGAAGACCCATTCAAGGTGGTCAGGACAGGTCCGTATGAGGAGAACACGGGCGACCCCATGGCAGCCTTGCAGAAGGAGCTGAGCGTGTACCGATACGTCAAGCTCCCGGAGGTGCCCACATTCACGGGCGGCGCGATCGGCTACGTCGCGTACGACTGTATTCAGCACTTCGAGCCGAAGACGAGGCGGGAGCTGGACGACAACCTCCACATTCCCGAGGCTATCTTCATGCTCGTCGACACCCTCATCATCTACGACCACCTCTACCAAAGTATCAAGGTCGTCTCCCATGTGTTCAACCCCGGCACCACAGGCCCTGTGAACCTGTCCTTCGTCTACCAGACCGCAGTCGCGAAGGCACGAAGGCTGGCAAAGCTGGTGTTGTGCTCAGCGATTCCGGAGGTTCCACAGCCGCCTATCGTTCTCGGGAACAGGGCGGTGTCGAATGTGGGGAAGGAGGGCTACGAACACTTCGTGACGAACCTGAAGGATCACATTGTAGCGGGCGATATCATACAGGCTGTACCATCACAGCGACTTGCACGGCCGACGACCTTGCATCCGTTCAACGCCTACCGCCATCTCCGCAGGGTGAACCCGAGCCCGTACATGTTCTACTTGGACTGTGGCGAAGTGCAGTTGGTGGGGGCAAGTCCAGAGACGCTCTGCAAGGTGGAGAAGAACAAGGTGTACAACCATGCCATCGCAGGTACCGTCCGGAGAGGTCAGACGCTTGAAGGTTGGTGTGTGCCCTGGTTCGTCGACGACAAGGCACTGATTAGCGGGACCTTCATAGAGGATGAGATGCTGGGGCAGCAACTGTTGTCTTCGGAGAAAGACCGCGCAGAACATATCATGCTGGTAGACCTTGCGCGGAACGACGTCAACCGTGTCTGCCAACCGAAGACTGTCAAAGTTGACCACCTCATGCGGCTGGAGAGGTTCAGCCATGTTACACATTTGACGTCGCAGGTGTCTGGTCAGCTTCGGGAAGGGAAAACGAGGTACGGCGTTTCAGCGATGTGGAAACAGCACGATCTCATGCGTATCAGGTTCGACGCTTTCCGTTCCATTTTCCCCGCAGGCACGGTATCAGGTGCACCCAAGATCAAAGCTATTGAGCTCGTCTACGAGCTCGAGAAGGAGCGGCGCGGTGTATATGCAGGGGCAGTTGGGCGGTTTGACTTTTCAGAAGATGAGATGGATACCTGCATCGCGATACGAACCATGACATTCAAAGACGGTATCGCCTACCTGCAAGCAGGCGGCGGCATTGTCTATGACAGTGTTGAGGAAGATGAATATATCGAGACAATCAACAAGCTGAAGGGTAATGTCAGGGCACTGGAGAGGGCTGAACGTACGTTTTCGTAGTTGCTCCTCTTTCAGCGACGCTCACACATGTTGACAGAATATTGGTACGAAATCCAGATGTCAGGCGCTGGCACCTCTGCGTAAACCCAGAGATGACTACGATGAATATAAATTATGTATCCTATATTAGATACGATGTGGATCCCATGCAGCCTCGCGCACTCTCTGTAACTTCACCTGTAACTTCACCGCACGCGCTGCTTGTCTCTCGAACTCCTCGCGACGCACTGCGACACCCTCGCGCCCGGCAATGCTCAGAATACCCGCCACCAGTTCCGCTGTCCTCGTGCTCTCGTCGTTCGCTGGTATAGGGTATGTTACTATCCGCGGGTCGACGTTCGAGTCCACAAGCGCAATTGTTGGGACATGATGGACCGTGCACTCCCGTATCGCGTGTAGGTTCGGGATTGGATTGAGGAAGATGACGAGGTCAGGGATGACTTGTTCGTCATGTACCGTCTGTAGGCCGAACATGTTCACTCTGTTCGTCAGTGTACCGGCTAGCCATTTCTCGCTGAGGTGGTACGCCCTCTCGCCGATGCGCTCTGCAGCCTTGCGCACAACCGGGCGGAGGTCTGCTCTCGTGCCCACAAAGACGACCATGCCGCCCCTCAGCGCGACTGCTCGTACGACTTGCGCGGCGCGGCGGAGGAGAGGCACAGTGTGGTCGAGGTCGATAACGGTAATGCCTGCGCGTACACCGTACGCATAGGGCAGGAAGTTGGGGTTCATGAGGGACTGAGAATGACCCATCTGTGCGCCCGCGGCCAGGAGATGAGAGACGGTGAGGCCTTGGGGAGGGGTGGGTCGGTGCAGAGGGTGATGCGGTTGGAAGGTGTTTCCGCGGTTTTGAGTCGAACCGTAATCCGAGTAGAAGGAGACTGGTAGAGATCAGCACAGAGCTCCGAGTCGACACACATAGACACTCACTCAGAGACTCGTATTCAGCGTTGCGGAGCTGGAGCTCTGTCCAGTCCTCCGGGGTCTCGGGGGGAGCTGGCCCACGGGTGAGGGTGCAGACATGCAACGCCTGAAGTTGAGCTGGGCGGCCGTGGGCACTGCAGCGGTCGCTCGCCAGCATCGTGCGGAGGCGGCGAGGCGTGCGCGGGCTTGGGAGAGAGACATGTCGGCCGCCACCAAGGTCGAGTGTCCAGCACAACAGTCGGACGCACCGGCGAATGGGGATCGGCGCGCCTGTCCCGCTTACATCAGCAGCGTCGATTTTTTTCTGCTGCCTTGCACCCGCTCGCATCCTCACCGCCTCCTTCTCTGCCTCGCATCCCTCCCTGTCCTTTTCGCTCATTCTCCCTTCCCACCCAAAAAAATGGAGGACATCTTCGACGGTGCGATCGGTATCGACCTCGGAACCACCTACTCGTGAGTTCTACAGCCGGAGAGAGAGTTGCAGAGTCTAACCTTCCTTGCCTTGCAGCTGCGTGGGTGTCTGGCAGAACGACCGGGTCGAGATTATTGCCAACGATCGTGCGTATAGGACTGTGCCTATACGGGCTTCACACTCACCTCCTTCACAGAGGGTAACCGCACGACACCGTCCTACGTCGCCTTCTCCACCGAGGAGCGTCTGATCGGCGATGCCGCAAAAAACCAGGCCGCCATGAACCCTAAGAACACGATCTTCGACGCAAAGCGCCTCATTGGCAGGAGATTTGAGTGAGTGTGGTTTCAGTATCTCGGCTTGATCTGTCCCTGACATGCTGTCCAGCGACCCCGATGTCAAGAAGGACATGTCGCACTGGCCCTTCGAGGTCGTTGAGAAGGATGGCTCCCCTCTGATCAAGGTCGAGTATCTTGGGGAGGAGAAGTCTTTCAGCCCCCAGGAGATTTCTTCCATGGTCTTGACCAAGATGAAGGAGATCTCGGAGGCCAAGCTCGGTAAGACGGTGAAGAAGGCTGTGGTCACGTAAGTCCGCCATGTTTCACCGGGTGAATACCTCGCCTTACGTCCACGCAGTGTGCCTGCCTACTTCAACGACTCCCAGCGTTTGGCGACGAAGGACGCCGGTACCATCGCTGGTCTTGACGTTCTCCGTATCATCAACGAGCCCACGGCTGCCGCCATTGCATACGGTCTCGACCGTGCGTCGACTGGCGAGAAGAACGTCCTCATCTTCGATCTTGGTGGAGGAACTTTCGATGTCTCCCTGCTCAACATCACTGGTGGTGTCTTTGCCGTCAAGGCGACTGCCGGCGACACTCACCTTGGTGGCGAGGACTTCGACAACAACCTGCTTGATCACTTCAAGAAGGAGTTCCAGCGCAAGACGAAGTTGGACATCTCCGACGACGCTCGTGCCCTCAGGCGGTTGCGCAGTGCTTGCGAGCGTGCCAAGCGCACCTTGTCTAGCGTCACCCAGACCACGGTTGAGGTTGACTCGCTGTACCAGGGCGAGGACTTCTCGGCGAACATCACCCGTGCTCGTTTCGAGGAGATCAACGCTCCTCTTTTCAAGTCGACTCTCGACCCCGTTGAACGGGTGCTCAAGGATGCCAAGATGCCCCGCGAGAAGGTCGATGATATTGTCCTTGTCGGCGGATCGACTCGTATCCCCAAGGTCCAGTCGCTTGTCTCCGAGTACTTCGGTGGCCGTCAGCTTAACAAGTCGATCAACCCCGACGAGGCTGTCGCCTACGGTGCCGCGGTCCAGGCTGCCGTCCTCACCGGCCAGACGTCTGACAAGACTGCGGACCTTGTGCTTCTCGATGTCGCTCCCTTGTCGCTCGGTGTCGCCATGCAAGGCGATATCTTCGGTGTCGTCGTTCCCCGTAACACCCCCATCCCCACCAACAAGTCGCGGACGTTCACGACGGTCGAGGACAACCAGACGACTGTCACCTTCCCTGTCTACGAGGGCGAGCGGACTCAGTGCCGCGACAACCGTCTGCTTGGCGAGTTCGAGCTCAATGGTATCCCGCCTATGCCCCGTGGCCAGGCCGAGCTTGTCACCACCTTTGAGGTCGATGCGAACGGTCTCCTCAAGGTTACTGCTCAGGACCGTGCCTCTGGCCGTAAGGCGCAGATCAGCATCACGAACTCGGTCGGCCGTCTGTCGTCTGCTGAGATTGAGCAGATGGTGAAGGACGCGGAGCAGTTCAAGCAGGCGGACAAGGACTTCTCTGCGCGGCACGAGGCCAAGTCCGACCTCGAGAGCTACATCCACCAGGTCGAGAACACCATCACGTCGCCTGAGATTGGCATGAAGCTCAAGCGCGGCGCTAAGGCGCAGGTCGAGGCCGAGCTCGCGCGTGCCATGGAGAAGCTCGAGATCGAGGACTCGTCGGCGGACGAGCTCAGGAAGGCGCAGTTGGGCATCAAGCGTGCCCTCCAAAAAGCCACCGCTGGTATCCGGTAAGGCTGGGTGGTGGTAGTTGTTCGGCGAGTGTGTTGTGGTCGCAGTCGTAGCATAGTTGTCCTGTCTCATGTCTTTTCACGTCCTACTTGCTTGACCGTCGTGCATCTGTGGCATACAAAACGAAGCTGTCCGTCCTTGCATCGTACTGTTGTACTTATATCAGTACCGATTCTTTGCGAGATGCATTCTGTTCAGCTCGCGTGGGCAGTGAGCGCCTGAGCGTTCATGAAGTGTCCCGGAAGCAACGTACAAAGCAGGATAAATGACCGGAAATAACAACAGACTACGGCTACAAGGGTAAGAAAGGCGACAACACGAAGGCTTGAATCATGTCGACAGCGCCTTATGCACTCGCAGAGAGACCTCAAGAATCCACAGCTCTTCGTCGGCACCGTCACACAGGGCCTTGTCTGCGTCAGCGAAGGCAAGAGCACACTGGGACTTTTGCCTCGCCGACAGTGTAGGATGCTCGATTACGAGGTCATGAAGCTAGGATGCTCGATGAGCACGTCGTCGAATTGTGGGTGTGGGCACTCACTTGAGAGATGATCTGCGAGGCTGAATATCCTTGCCGGATGATAGCCTTCACTATCTTCCTGACTGCGTCAAAGCCCTTCGCCTTCACGCTACTGTCTATATCCATGGCATCTGCAGAGACCAATTCGACGCCAAGCGTAGTTGCGAAGTCGTTGATAACCGAGGACCGCACGACGCCTGCGATCTCCTCGATATCACTGGGTGTAATGTCCGTTGGAGGGGTTGTGGACATAGAAAGGCGTGAGGCGGATTGAAGATACGTGATAGAACGACGGAGATCGCCATGAGAGGTGTTAATGAGAGCAGAGATGACAGCATCAGTGACAGGGATCTTCTCTGCTGCTGCAATCTCCGCCAGGCGACTCGAGGTAGAGGTGGGGTCGAGAGGCTTGAATCGGAACTTGGAACACCGAGAGGCGAGGGGCTCAATGATTCTAAGACACGACATGAGAGAGCGCGTCGCTGTGGACAAAGGAGAACGCACCGAGTCACATAGTTGCATACGAGGCAGAATCGGGTGATACGGGCGTATGTCTCCATGATTCGTCTCAACGCGGCCTGAGCATCCTGCGTCATGGAGTCTGCTTCGTCGAGGATAATGATTTTGTACGGTGGACAGGGATACGTCTTTCCATCGGATGCGACTACCTGTGCGCGCGGAGTCTGCCGCGCGAAATTCTTGATTTTCTCGCGGACAATGCTAATTCCACGCTCGTCAGAAGCGTTCAGTTCTAGCACTCTTGAGCGGAAGTTGTCTGGCCTGAAAACTATGTGTGAGCTTAGCATTCAGCGTAAAAGAGCATTTCGCCAACCCAAATAGCTGCCGTGCCAGTGCGAGGATAGTGGATGTCTTGCCAGTACCAGGTGGCCCGTAGAACAGCATATGTGGCAACTACCCATGATGCGACTCGTCAGTATACAGGCCTGGCACTTCCCGCTGTTACGCACGTTTGACGAAGTTAATGTCTTTCGGAGTACAGCAACAGTATGTTCTTGCGCTGAGACGTCGTCAATGGTTTTTGGACGGCTGGATGGGTGGATGAGTACAATTGCATTGACACGCGACGCAAGAAGACTTACTATTTTTCGACCCATGGCTGATGCTGTGGTTCAGCAGCTTGTCTTTGTGGTGCAGCTCTTGCCTGCGGCTGAAAAAATGACATGCTTATCCTGGTCAGAGATGGACTGAGCACATACGCGCCGTGGCTCACGACGACGCGTCGGAACGCGTTGGGTCACACGATAGTCACGTCCGTGACAAGACGCGACTCTGGCTCGACGCGTGCGGTTCCTTCGCGACTTCCACAACACCCCATACTGAACGAGCTCTGCGTTGCGAGATGTCCACCTCAGACCCCCAGCCATGTACGTGGAACGCATTCTCAGATACATGTCGACGCTGAATATCGTTCAGCCGTGGTGGACCTCGCAGACGCGGCCGGTGAGACTACACGATCTCCAGACATACAACATGTTCTCAGTATCGTACAGAGAAATCCAACAAGACAAGATTAGTCGATCTCAAAAATGGGAAGCTTGTGTTGAGACAGAAACTGCTGTCTCTGGAGAAGATGTCGGAAACTATGCAAGGTGTGCAGGGCTTACATGTCATGTCACTCGGTCCATACTGACTTGTTGTCATGGGAAATGCTAGACACCGTCAAATTCCGAGAATTTATCGAGGCTCGAGTGCAACACCAGGAAGAGGCATTATCTAAAATACCAGACGATCACCTACCCCTCATCGTTAAATTAGTTCATGAGAGGTAACGACAGTCCTTCTTCCACTGCACCGTTCTCATATTCGTCCCACAGCGACAAGACTGTTCACGCACTGGCAAAGCACATTCAAGGCGAGTTGTTACCAGTGCATGACGCTGATGATATCATCCTCGACCCTTCGTCCGTCCTTCCTCTCGATGTCATTGAACAAGCAATCAAGGCTGTGGCCACAAGGAATGACTACGGGCTGGAGAGCACAGCTGGATCGGGAAAGGTCCCGGCTGCGCTGCACATCTGGAGATGGGAGGCGAAAGATAAACATATGGACTGGCTTCCTAGGGCAGCCATGGAGAAGCTCGAAACTCGGCTGGCAGAACGGCGTCAAGTATGTACACTTGCCTCTCTTCTGGACAGAAGTCTGTAGACTGACGCACACTAGGCGAAGCAAGACGTCCAGGAACTATTTGATGCGCTACCGGAGGATGTTCGCAGCGGGTTGCTCGGCGTCAAGAGCACCACGAGGACACCTTTGAAGACGAAGCCCAGCATGCAGAGCACGGACGACATTACTAGTCCGGACCAAAGCGAGTCTGGTACAAAGGGTCAATCGCAAACACCGGAGGTTGACGGGGTAAATGCCGTTGATCGACGTCTGACTTAAGGGATGCTCATGCGCACTGCATTCAGGATAAAGTCGGCACCTCCAAAGGCTCTGGTAGATCTAAGAAGCCAGCGGATCCGGAGAAAGCTGCAAGGGTATGCACCATTTTAGATATTCAAACCTCCAATCAAGCTAATATCTCCAAACAGGAGAGGGAGAAGCTTGAAAAGAAGGCTGCAAAGGCAGAGAGAGAAAAGAGAGAACAGGAGGCGCAAAGCAAGTCGCGGTCCATTATGGCGAATTTCTTCGGGAAAGGGAAGGCCACCCCTACGAAGCGGTCTGATTCGTCCACATCTGCGAAAGCGGGCAACTCGGAGGTAGCGGGCCCGTCAACGACTCGATCAGACTTTGCCAAGACGTTCAAGCCGTTTGTATTGAAAAAGGGCTCGGAGATTGCTCCTGTGAATTGGTTTGAACAGGCGCGAAGACGACAATGCGCCAGCAAGACAAGGACCGAAGGCGATGTGATTGTGCTAGACGATGTAGAGGAAGACGCACTTGATGCGGTGCCCCCGCCAAACATTAACATTGGTCAGATGGATGCAAGCGGTATGTTGCCACGTCCATCTCGTTCGCAGTGATTTAACTACAGTCGTATGCTGTAGAACGGTTGCACGATATTCTGTCTCAACCTCAAACCTCCCTTTGCCCTATCCCCCGTCGTCGGCAACCCCGATCTCACCTCAAGTCCTACACCCCGTGTTCCGTCCGGTTTATCATGACTGAGCTTACTGAGGCGGAAGTGACAGGCGATGATGACAGGGTCCGCGCACTGCTGGCGGTGCTGCGCAACCGACGGACGATTCCCGCAAAGGTACTCATCTTCACCGAGGACGCCCGCCCAGGCTACTTTGGGACATGGACTCGCAGCTCGCGGGAAATCGGGCCCCGCGCACCCTTTGGCAGAGACGTACTCGCTTTGGACTACAGCTACGACAGCGCGGAGGAATGGGAAGGCGAGGAAGAGAACGGGGGCGATGACGTCGTCGAGGATGCAGACGATGAAGAGGTGGGTGAGGGTGAAGGCGAGGACTCCGACTTGGACGACTGGTTGGTGGACGATGACGAGGTGGAGGACCCGGGTACCCCAGTGGAGGAACGACGCGATGACAGCCCGGACTTGATGCTGGTGGACGCGCCGTACGTGCCGTCGAAACGGAAGACCACGTCAGAAGCAGGAAAGCAAGGGAAGAAGCGGAAAGTTGTCATCCCACTAGTGCCCTTTACTAAGGGGCCATGTTGGGAGTCGAGTGTTGGCCGGTGTAGCTATGAGCCCTTCGAACCGTATCGGATTGAGCTGTTCAATGGTGCGTTGGGTCCATCGTATTCTACGGAGGTCCCGGGTGCTCACAAAAGTACGACTAGATACTTCCTATCCCATTGATCCGTTCACATATGTCGCTGCCGTCCCAGAGACTTCAGCAGCAGGAGCCAAGGACCGCAGTGACTTCGCCGTACCCGCGCTTCCCTCTCGACTTGCTGTCTCCAACGCGCAAGGAACGTCTGCACCTTCCGATGCTTCCTCGACATCAAATACCCCCGTAGCAGTAGGACCAAAGAAGCCCGCGCTGACACCGAAGACTATGTTCCCCGAAGCACACCTGCCGGTACTGCTGTCCAAGATCAACACGCTCGCAACAAGCAACCTGGCGTTCATAGTTGAGACGGTGTACCAGGATCTGCGTGAGCAGCGAGTGAAGAAGAACGCGATTGAAGCAAAGGTGAAGGAGGTTGGCGAGAAGAGCAAGTCGCAGAAGATCTGGATTGTCAAGCCCGAAGTGAAGGTCAGTTGCACTCGGTTTGCCCCGTCAACCCAGGCTGACGTCGTACAGGCGGTTCATGGGTTAGCTTAAGGACACGAAGGTTTGAGTTGTTGTGCTGTCGTTATTTATAGTGTTTCTTGTTTTCTTGTCGACTAACTTTGGTGGCCATGGATCCATTCAGTACGAATACAGCATTAAGAGTGTACATATTATACACGCGTTGGCATTGAATACCACTACGGCATGACAATCATAGGGGCAAAATACCACAATCAATCCGACAACTGCTATGATGAAGCGAGTTTCCAAAGTAGGTCGGCATACTCCTTGTTAGACTTCGTACTGTCGAAATTGACGCAGTGTACGTCGCCTGTTATTGAACCTGAGGCAATGGCAGCATGAGCAAAGGGTTGGGCGTGGGCATGATCTCGAGAGACGTACGAATGAGCATCTTCGCGATGCGCCCATCTTGTCCCATGATAGGCTCGAAGCCAAGGCCCTTGTACATGGCTAGACGGAGACTGACGCACGGACAAAAGTGAGGAGGGGTTCGCGGAAGTTATCGTCGAGGAGACTCACGCAGTTGCATCCAACATATGCTCTGCAGACGGATCTGACTCCTTCAGGTTGCGCAACTCGTCTCCGACGCGTGCTAGTTCAGCCTCCTTGCCCGCGAGAGCTCCTTCCGCGTCATTGATAGCCTTTATCAACGATAGTCGCGTCTCGTCTAGTTCATTCATCATGGCGCCATGCTGCTCTGCAGAGGGGAGAGTGGACGGTCTTGTAGATGACACACGCGCTGCGTCGAGGACCCGAGCAAGCGCTGCTCACAGGCTAGACATGGTCAGACGAGGACGTCGTTAGGCGGATGGGCGACTGACAGCGTACGCGAGACTGTGCCTCTTCAATCTCCTTTCTGCGCCCTTCCTCCGTAATGGACATCTGCTCTTCGGCGGCTGCAATGGTGAGGTAGTCCTCCTCAGGATCTATGATGGGGATCATGTCCCGGATTGCCTTTCTATATACCGACACAAACTCAGACGAGCAATATGCTGACAAAAGTGAACGTACATCGTGTCCTGTATGCTGATAGACATGGATAAATCTGTGACGCAGCTCGACGGTTAGGATGAGTAGCAAATATTGAGTGGAAATGACGGTCAATGGCAACAGTACGCGTTCAGAATCGTGTTGAACTTGAAGCGCTGAGTTAACACGCTCACGTGATCGCGCCGACACCGACGGATCCTTAGAACGATCCTGGATCAATGTCTTGTGAGCGCATGTGAGCACTGAGACTGTTGTCTTGTATCGTGCTGGGCGTGCCTTTTCATGAGGTTGTGCGCAATTCAAAGGGGGTGCACCTTCACCGCTTACCCCCAGCTCATTTTCGCATTTCGAGCTCAAGCGCTCACCGAAGCAAGGATGCTGGCCGGTCACTGCGTCCATTCCCCTCGAGTTATTTCCTGTAACAGCTAATGACGGGAAACCGGATTATCCTTAGCCTTTGATTTTACATGACATCCTACCACACGAAATTTGACTATACAAGAACTCCACGAGCTCTACTCCACGAACTTCACGACCATCTCTACGCCCAACCTCAACAACATGCACCATAACGTTCACCAGACAAACTAAGCCATGTCTTGGTGAGCACAGTTGTCATCACATCATCACACAGCTTGACACACCAGAAAGCGAGCTACCCATCGCTGGGACTCTGTGTAAGCTGCCCGACAATGGCTTCTGTATACCGGGCTTGACTGTATAACTCATACTGTGAATTGGTCTGGCTTCATTGGAACTAGTATTGTCGGCCACGTACACACTTCCAACCGCACAATTAAAGAACCCTCCGGTATATCCCGTCCGCACTAACCATACCTCCACTCTAGGTCGTAGACCCAGCTCGAGGAGGCTGGGCTGTAGAAATCCCAACCGTCCGGCGTGATCGACAGCCGGTGAAGCCAGCCGCGCTATGCTCGATCACGAAGGCCGTGCCGCGACATGCCAGACAGTGAGCCCGACGCGGTTCGAGTTAGAAAATGGGGCGCGCCCCGGAGGCTGGCCTCCCGCCGCCGTCAGCCCCGCTCGCTCACCGTATAAATAGCCCGCCTACCTGTCTCGAACCGCCGTTCCCTCTTTCTTCTTCTCTCCCACCTTCCCCTCACTCCAGCGGCGGGGTCTTATCTTCGTGAGTGACCCTCTTCACCCTCATCGCACATGCACTGACGACTGCCCCGACCTGCCACCAGTGCACGGACTGTGGACTGCATCGCCTAGAGAAATACCGTCGTGACGGGGCGTCGTGTCCACAACTCCTGCAGCTTGACCCCCCGCCCCCAAGACCGACGCGGGTGTCTCATTGTCAGCTGAGGAGCTGTCACGGTTGGTTCGTGAAGGGCGCCAGTTGACTGTGACTAACTCTGCGAGGAGCCCAAGCAGCGCTATCGGCTAGCGAAACACCGTTGGGACAGGGCGTCCGCGTTGTTTGGGTTCACGGTCTTGGGGGATCCCGCCTAGTATACAGTAGTGTAGCTTTCTCCAGGGCGGGCGGTCATCCCGACGTAGTCGGGCGAGGATCGTCCGGGCGCGCATCTCATCGTGATCCTGGAGTCTAGTACCTCCTTCGCCCAGAGGGGCGGGGAGGGAAGCTAAGACGCGCCAAAGAGTGTTGTAATTAAGCCTGTAGCGTACCTTGAGAGGGCCATTGCGATCTGCTGGACAATGTCGCGTGCAACTGTGACACCTTGGAGAGCGTTGGGTTCAATGACTGCTATAGCGAGGGCCATCAAGTCAATCAAATCAGAAGTACTGCGCTGCAGGTGTCTGTCCTTTCGTCCCCAGTAATTGTTCGATGTACGCATAGTAAGGCTCACGCACGGTGACATGCTCTGCACGGATTGGAGCTCGGAGACCCAAGCAACTGCAGACGCGCGGCGACTTCACCAGGGGGGCCCAGGAGCGCACCGTGCACGTCCTTGAATTCCGTTGACGAGAGTCTGGAGCAACAGTCAAGTCAGTCTTACACTGCCTCCCAAGTTGTATCACCGAGTGAGGTGATGGACATAATATGCCATTGTGCGTTGGGACCTCCCCAGGACGCGTATGGGCATGGAGTGTAACCTAGAGCATAAGAGCAGCTCTGCAGCAGATAGCATACGGCTCATAATTGACTGACAGAGTATGGCCCATTGAGCAAGGTCGAAACGGCTGAGGCGCTGTTGCGGTTGGGCTGCAACGATTGCCCGGCGTATCAACAGATTCAAAGTCCGCTGAGCTTCTCATCGCCCCGCCCAGCTGCCTGCGTCTCCCCTGCACAGGCCCTTCTCCTCGCTCACTCGCACACACCCATTCGCCTTTGTATTTTTGTTACATACGCATCGCTGCCATGGCTGAAGGAAGCAACTTTGACTACCTCTTCAAGGTCGGTACATGCGCGTGGTTGCGCGCCAGCTCAGGTGGTTGATATACTCTCGTTCCATATAGGTCGTCCTCATTGGAGACTCCGGTGTCGGAAAGTCGTACGTCCCTCTGCCTGATTGCTCTTCTGGACATGCTTTGACGTTACCCCTGCATCTGCTCGCTGTGAAGTAACCGTATGTTCTGATTCGTCCCCGCGCTGCGAATCGTGGTTGACATTCTGTGCCCCTGCCTACCAGTGCTCTCACGATTCACGCGTAACGAATTCAACTTGGAGACGAAGTCAACGATTGGTGTAGAGTTCGCGACTCGCTCAATCACTGTGGACGGCAAGACACTGAAGGCACAGATCTGGGACACTGGTGAGCCCATCTCGCTTGCGTAACGCACAGAGCCGGAGCCACGAGGATTAGACCCCCTCTCGCAAAGCAACATCCATCTCATCGTGCAGTGCGCTAATACAATACCTCTGCAGCTGGTCAGGAACGGTATCGTGCCATCACTGCTGCGTACTACCGCGGCGCGGTCGGCGCGCTCCTCGTGTACGACATCTCGAAGCATCAGACATACGTCAACGTCACACGGTGGTTGAAGGAGCTGCGCGACCACGCAGACTCGAACATCGTCATCATGTTGGTCGGCAACAAGAGCGATTTGAAGCATCTGCGCGCGGTTCCGACGGACGAGGCGAAGGCCTTCGCCGGTGCGTGCCTCCTCGCGACTTGTCTCGCTGTGTGATGACTGAACACAACTCAGCCGAGAACAACCTGTCCTTCATGGAGACTTCGGCGCTGGACGCCTCGAACGTCGAGTCTTCATTCCAGACGATCCTGACCGGTGAGCACCGCCATCCCATTTCGTGCAGCCTTTGACTGACTGGTTCGTTCTTAAGACATTTACCGCATCGTATCGAGCAAGTCGCTGGAGCAGTCTGCGGACCCGATCAAGCCATCAGCAGGCGACTCGATTACCGTCGCCCCGAGCGTCGACAACAACGCTAGCCAGGGCAGCAAATGCTGTTAGTTGGGAGGCGTGAGGGATGTTCGTGGTTGCTGTGGATGGATATCGTCGATACATTGGGCCCTTGTGCATAGCTATACTCCGAGTTCTTGTAATCTGATGTTTTCTTTCCCCTGGTACCCGACTATGTGTGTGACACGGAGCACGGTGCACCAAATGAATGAGAGAAAGTAACTTGGCCTGCATGCATTCATGGTTCTCACATTGACAAGACCGGCAAAAAGGGTTTATGAGGGGCACGGCCCATCCGCGCGAACAGACGGCGCGTCCTTGTCTCCTAAGACTAACTCGGCGTGTCCTGCAGGTTGCGGAATTGCTTCCCTGGCCAGTCAAGGACAGATTACACCAGGCCGTGCCTCCGCTTCCGCGGTGACAGCCAAAGTAACCAAGTTTTCTGGAGGGGACGGCCTTGAACCAGCGCACAGACGAGTAAGCCCGTTGATTGGTTAGACCACCTCACATTCCCGGTATAGGGCCGCTACAGCCACTACGCCATTGTACCATACAATTCATCCTTGTGATACCCCATATCATACTTCGCGCACATACCTCGGCGAACGTGGCTACGACGCGATACGTGGCTGCTCGCTCGTGCGGCCTGCACTGATGCGGGGAGCCGCCGTTTGGCCGCCTTATATGAACGTCTGAGACGAACATGCTGACTGCAGACGACTCGCCCATCTGCAGCCATCTCTGGGCCTGTGCGCCGAATCCCTTCATTGCCTGTGCGCAGAGAAAGCATCCCTCGCAATCATGCTGGATCTACTCCTTGCCCCCATCGTAGAGGTCTACCGACTGGCTCTGCAGCCACTGGCCCCGTTTACGTGGTTCGGGCTGCCCTTCTCCGCGCTGGACGTCGCAGCGGCGTTCCGGACGTGCATCGCGCTGCGGCAGATCAAGAGCAGCTGCACAAGGAGCACGCCACGAAGAAGGCGGCGACGAAGGACGCGTCGATCGCGGAGGCGCAGGAGAGGTCCTTTGTGCGGGACCTGGCCTCGGTGTTCTTGGTCGTCTTTGGCGGGGAGGCGTTGGCTGGTTAGTCGCATGGCAGTGTATATCTGCTGTGGTGTGTTGACGAACTGTGGTTGCCAAGCTCCGGTCTTGGGCATACCCGCGTCGTTCATGGTGTCGGGCGCGGGTATGGGCCTCTGGGCTGCCGTGCAGGCTATCGTCGATAAGCTCCCGCTGTCTACGCACCGTCGCTCCAGACGGAGCTTCCCGTCTCGTTGCTCGATGGCTTCACGCGTGCATTCCTGCTGTGCAGCCTCATCCCGCCCATGGTCGTGGGCCATCCGATGGAGGCGGTGGCGGCCTCGCCGTGGTCCCTGCTCGTTACATCCCTGGTTGGTGTGCTGCTCCTCACGAGTGTAATGCCTTCTCATGTGAGCCTGTTGTGCGATGACAGGTGACCGCGAACGGCGGCTTCTTCCTCGTGAACACGATGTCCTTCCTGCAGCCATACGCGCTGACGCTCACCACGCCCGCCGAGATGCTGCCTTGGGGGTGGACGACCACGGATCTCTGGGCCGCGCCGTTCATCACAGGCCTCTACGCCCTCCTGACGCATGCTCAGCCCTTCTGGGCCGACGTACATGCTGTGGCGCTCGGGTGGTTGGGCAGCTCGGCCTCCGAGCTCGCGAAGATTCAGCCTGTGGATCAGGAGTACGCCCGTGCTCTGTGCGCGGTGGTGTTGATGGGACTGTTCTCGAGGCGTACGGTGAAGAACTTCAGCGCGCTGAAGGTGAAGCGGGTCGAAGGGCCCAAGACGAAAGTGCAGTGAAAGGGTCGGTTGCAGTTCACTGGCTTTGATGAATGGTGACGATGTGTCCGAAGGAGCAATGACTGTACTTCTGTATGAACGATAGATATTACTCACCGCAACGGCTTAGCACGACTAACAGGCATGGAAGAATGAATGATGCATAGACATAGTGACATAGGGTGTGCGCATAGTACATAGAACCATAACTCCTTGCAGCGTTCGTCAGCTAGATTCTGGCTTCCCCGCCTGTTCAGGCGTCGCTGTTATCATCGCCTCCAATGGCTGATTGCTCAATCAACCTCAACATCTGCGCGCGGACCTTCTTCCAATTCGGATGCGTCCTCATAGGACCTTCAACCGGAACCGGCGTAACAGCATCCGCCTGAAGCAGTTGGGTGTAAAACTCCTTATTGAACTGCTTGCATTGCAAGACCATCAATTGCAGCTCCCCAGCCTCAGGCAACTTCTTGATATCCTTGTCGTTGAGTTCGGTTCCATGAGGCTGCCTGGCCCTGAGGAACCGCTGCATGTGGATTTGATCCTGAACAGCAATCAGTACTTGGCACAACGAAGAGTTACGTGGCGCACTGACCGTCTCATCTAGGGAGGTGAACCTGTCGGGAAGGAGGGGAGATTTCGGGTCGTGTACTTCGTACAGACCAAGATACCGGACTTGTTCGCGAGGGCCAGCCTTAGACTGGGTCCCGCTCCGGATGATTAGGTGGAAATCACCCAGCGCAACGACCTTCTGAAGTACAGTGGAAGGCGTATAAACGGCGGCGTGCTCCGACGGCTGCAAACCGTCGGCACCAGTAATATTCTGTTTACACATAAATACTACTGGTATCGCTCGTCCTCCCTTAGGATGCTGCGAGGGAGAGATGGTGGCGTCAGTCAGATCTATAAGAGCCGGCAAGCATGGCACACGTACAGTATAACGAATAATATCATAGTCGTGCTCACGAGCGCGAACTGCGAGGCCTCGGGACCTTGTGTATTCTGCCGCCGTCTCGATGAAGACTTTCCTTACTGTCCTGGCCCGGATGGAACCCGAAATTTGGTGATATACTCCGCTTGGACCCATTGTCGGATGTCCGGAGGTAGAGACGACGTGGGTGTCTCCGGTGTGTCTGAATCTAAGTATGGCTCAGCTCCTCGAGGAGCGCCGGGACTTTTCGGTGGCCGCCCGCCACGGGGGTAGGGCTCGAACTACGAGCAAATTGAGGACAGACGTAAGCATTTTGGAGGTTGCGGATGACTGCGGATGGGGCTTACACGTGTACTGGACGGTTTCTTGCGAATGGGGGAGGCTGACAGGAAGCCCTTTGGTATGGTTGACTTTTTCGGGGACGCCATGATCAACACGGCTGAGGCTGAGGATTCTTGAACGGGGGTTGACAGTATACGGCAGGACACTGGGGACTATTTATATAGACGGACCAGAGGCGAGGGATGCGATGCTTTGACTTTCATGGCTAGCGGTGGCCACAGACGATCGTGGCCAACAAAAGCCATGGGCCTTCATGCGCAGCTCGTGGGAGGCGAAACAAAGCGCAAGAAATTACCATTCGGGGAAAGCTGTTGTGTTTGTGTATCCCGCTTTCTTCGGTAACGAGGCAGAAGTAGTGCCGCACCGAGGGCCATAGCAGACCATGCCCGTTCGGTAACGATACGCCACTGAGAAGCCACGAAGGCAGGTTCAACAAAGGCCCAGGAAGGCGCGTTCGAGGTCAGCCACCCTGCAGATAGCACTTTACCAGTGTTCCGTTGTTTCCAGGGCTGCAGAGCATGCATGTCGGCGCGAGCCACATACATGCACGCCGAGATCACGGATGACGCCACAGTGAAGCCTCGCGAGTCAGACAACCCACCAGCTGAGTGAGGCAAACCTGGTGGTTGGAGGCAGCATATTTCGTCGTGTTTCAACGTTTCAACGTCGAGGTCGCAAGTGTGCGAGGGTCAATCATGAGGCGCGCATCCTGGTGGCGAGCGACGCGTGCCACACCGAGCGCTCGCAGGAGTCGCAGCCACTCACGCGCTGCGTTCAGTGACCGTTCACCCTCTCGCTCCCGCCCTTGCGGCACCTAAGATGCGGTCTAGCTGTGTTGCTTCCAATCGCTACTGCTCTTCGATACTTCCGCCTCGACAATAGGCAGCAGCATCTACCAACGCATACGGCCGTCCTTGTCGAGCAGGAGGCCATACGAGAATGTGGCACGCTAAGAATTGGCTGTCTTACACGAGTCTCATCTTGCTGCTCGGTCTTGTGCTTCCTACGTATGCTATCTGGCCATTCACTCCCAAACGATTTGCCGGAAATGCCTTCCTCGGAGCTGGGTCTATGGGTGTGGACGATGACGGGAACATCATAGCATTCGGAGACTTTAACGGGGACCAGTTGTGAGCATGATCCGCAGTGCATGCGTATATTGTACTTACATGATGCAATCTAAGTTTGGATCTACTCGGACTGGCTTCAGACCGACAAACACTATCAGTGTACCTGTGGGATCATGGTGGGTACTGTCCCATGGTCGATGAAAGGGCCGTCTGATGCGTGGCCAGAGGAGTACACTTTCCGGAAGTCTGCTGTGTTTCGCCATCCGCAAAGAGTCTACAATGTCATTCCGGGCGACTTCACTCAGGACGGCAGGCTTGACCTCCTTGTTCTAAGCCAGGCTGCCTCCGCGAGTCAGCTTGCGGTACATCTCTATAGGGCCCAGTCGGGGGGTGGATTTGGTGCGGGTTGCATGGTTGCCTCTGGGCCAGCCTATCGTTGACCGCAAAACCCCTAGAATTACATCCTGTCTCGGGACCGCCATCTGTAATGGCCCAACCTATACCTATGGATATGAATGGAGACCTCAAGATTGATCTCATTGGTGCCTCCCAAGCAGCTCGTCAAGCTCGCAGTTCAAGGTGTGGGACAATGCTTGGAACGTGTCGCAGAAGAATAGCCCTATTTTCGATCTGTACGTTGAAACAACGTGTTTCGCTAATATGGCTTCATCTCCTTCACTTGCGCTTTCGCAGTGTCGATCCGAAGTTCAATGGGGCACAGTGCACACTGTCAAATCCACATAGCAACGCAGCGGTGGACTTAAATGGAGACTGCTTAGCAGGTGCGCAGATATGTCACACATAGGTGCCTTGACGCTGACGAGCACGAATAGACATCTTCCTCGTATGTGATGACCCGAGCACCGCATCCAAGTACTTCCAGATCTGGGTTAACAACAAAGACGACGGCTTTGTCTTGGCCTCACACGGCCGTCTACCGAAAGGTACCCAGTCAATATCCTTTGCTGACGTCGGTACGTATCATTGCCCTTGCTGTTCTCCCCGTCTGATAAGTCTATCACAGACCGAGATGGGACGATCGACATGGTGTTCGCGACATGCTCATCGGTGTCAAATTCCGGCGTTGGGTCGAATTGCTACATCAACATTGCGTACAACGAACAGCTACCTCTATGTGGAGCCACGGCCGATTCCGGGCTGCGCAACGGGAAGCGTGTGTGCAGACCTCCCGAGCAGCTCTGCACGGCCGACCCCGACTTTCACTTCGACTTGAGTGACAGCAGCGACAACGATGTGAGTGGGATTGGATTGTTGAGCCCTTGACCTGAATCGCGTATACTGAATCGAACTTTTCAGGCGCTCCTGCGCATTCCTCTTAGCGATATCTTCCCCTCGAACCCTTCTCTGCTCGTCATGGACGTCACGCAAAGTCCGCCGCTACCTGTTCCTCTCAAGCTCGGTGACGCCAACCAAGACGGCTTCCCCGACATCCTCGCCATCATAGTCACAGGTTCGGGCTCCCAGACGTCGTACACACCCCAGCTGGCCACATCTGAGCCTTGCGGCTCCGGTGTTGCGGGCTGCGGATCGAGAGCGAGGGGCCATCGAGGATGGAGTTTAGTCAAGAAGGGTATCGACTCGCTGAAGAGGATCCATGATGCCCGTTCTGTCGCTTTCTTCGACATGGATGAAGATGTAGGGTGAATTCTGGTTTTGGTTGAAGGTCGAGGCTGATTTCGTATGTTGTAGGGGAGTCTTGATATTATGATTCAGCGGACGGGTGCGCAGGGTGAAGGACACATCCTGTTCGTGCAGAACAACTTCTACTATGATGCGTTCTTCCTTAAGGCGATCGGTATGCATCCATTGCCTATGTTTTTCGACACGCTCTCATCCCTCGTACCAGTGCTCAACGGGGCCTGCGGCAGTTCTGTCTGCAGAGACGCAAATACGTCTGCTCAGTATCATGTAGGCGGACATGCACATTCGTTGACGATGCCTAGACATTCACGATGTAACAGCCATATGGTGTGAGCTACTCCGGCGCGACGTACAAGTATACAGTACTTGATACATCGGGGAGACGTTCCGCAGCTGCTGGTACGTGCATACCGAGTCCACATGTCACCGACTATCTCACTCGCTTTGCCGCAGTCGGCCAGCTCCCGCAGACAGCATATCACGCCCTCCTCACGCCCTACTCGTATTTCGGCCTAGGCCGCACCAACAACTACATCGAGAACCTGTTTGTCGGCTCGACAAAGCACTCAAAGCAGCATTATATCAACATGGAGGGCGTGATCCCGAATTCGAAGGTCGTCATCATCCCTCCACTAGGGCAAGACGAGACATGGAGAAGGGAGCTGTATTTGCGGCCAGGAGAGTGGATTCCATGGGTCACGCTTACTGTTATTGCCACTCTGGGCATACTGGCTGCGATCGTGATCGTACTGCACTTGAATGAGAAGGTATGGGTTTACCGACTCGTGCTGCATGCGGACGCTGACATGTTTGGTGCAGAGGGAAGACGAACTAGAGAGGAGGCGGGCTTCGCACCATATCAACTTCGACGCACTGTAACTTATCTATAATTTCTCGTTCCGCCTCATGTCAGTGAATGCTACACGTCCTGTGATGTAGAACCTGTTCCATTCCCCAGAACACCTATTCCGGATACTCCACATGAAATCAACCGTTCAGCTCCCACTGAGCATGCTTGCCATCACCTCCGAGGCACTCGACACGACCCTCCGCCTCCAGCTTGCGCAGATGCAGATCGACGCTGCTGGCCGCACTATCCCAAAGCTCGCGCGGATATTCCGCATAAATCTTCGTTACGAGCGTCCATGTCGTCCACGTCTCGTGCCCTGCGGGAGGCGGCGTCTCCAGCCTCCGACGAGCTGCTGCTCACGCGCGACGCGGTGCTGCAGGTACATCTTCACCTGCTTGTAGCCGTCCTCCACGGGAGGTCCGTGCCCCGGGTGCACGGTGCCGTACTTGGTGGCGTTCTCACTGAAGTCGACTAGCTTCTGGAGAGTGCCCATGTAGGGCCCTAGCTCCTCGAAGACGGCGCTGCCGTGCCCGAGGATGGTGTCGGCTGTGAACAATGCTTCCTCCGCGGGGTAGTAGAGGCAGATCGAGTCTGCTGTGTGGCCGGGAGCATGGATAACCTCCAAGACGGAAGCCGACTTGTCAGTCTCAGATGTGGTGACCGAAAGCGTCTGCTTGTGACTGAGCTCGTGGAAGGTGTTGCCGGAGGGGTCAGGGACGATTGTGTCGGGCATGGCTTTCAGCATGTCGACTACGGTCTGCAGCTTCGCGTACGGCGTGTGCAGAGGGAACTTGTGTAGCCGCGGAGGTTGAAAAGAGGGACTGTCGGCGGTGCGTTTCTCCTCCCATAGCTGGCGCAATAGGTGGACCACCGAGGGCAGGCCTAGACAATGATCGTGATGCTTATGCGTCAAGATGATGTCCGAGATGTGAGGCTTGTCGGGGTGGATCGTCGAGGTTGTATCGAGCAGGGCATCTCGCAGGAAGAGGGGATATGTATCGCGACCTTCACCGGTGTCTATCAGGATATACGGGTTGTGCTCGCCGACGAGATAGGTGTTGGTTCCTGCGCGGCAAACGAATGAGAATGGGTATGACCACGATAGCTGCTGTAGAATAACTCACCTTGCAGAGTATATGGCCCGGGATTCTGAAGGGAAGAGATCAGGTCGGCGGAGGCAGCTGCCTGGTGCTGATACGCATACCTGTCCCAAGACCCTCACCACTGACTTGCTCAGCTAAAGCGAACGTGAGTGAACGGGGTTATAGCACGCCTGACCGCACGTACCCTCTCAACGTTTGGTAATTGCCTGGTTCCGGCCATCGTGGTGGTCTTCGGTCGATATGGACGATTAATACCAAGCCAAGGAGGACTGTACTTGCTCGATAGATGACGAGATGACCTCAGACGAGCGCTTTGTTCCCAGAGAGCACGCCCCTAAGCCATCGCACGACTTCAACGCATTATTTGATCAGCGATTGCAGAGGACCCGGAAAAGCTTGCGAGCGCCATGTCTTTTACTATTGAGCAAGCTCGAGAGTTGCAGAAGGCAGAGATCGAGTAACACTGAACAGTCTCTGGACCGTCCGTGTCACGTCGAGCGCCTAATATATATCCACTGCCCACAATGGTAAACGGCCAAATAACACCAAACACGCAGGCGCCCAGCAGCCCGCTGCTTGACCAACATCGTCAGTGACTGCAACACACCCATCTTCCACCATGGCGACTGCAGCGACCCTGACCCCTTTGAACGCCTCGGACGGACCCTACCAGAAGCGCAAGAGGTAAAGTTTCTGCTTGTATAGGAAGGAAGCCCTTGATTGACTATTCAATGTAGGTCGCGCTCCCCGGAAAACTCGGAGCAGCCCCCTTCAAGTCGTCGCAGGTCAGCATCCCCTCCAGGCCCAGGTCGCCTGGTCGAGCTTCCGCGGGTGGACGATGTTGACCCCGCGCGACGTGCAGAGCGACAGCGACAGCTCGCAGCGCGCATGGCCGCCCTTGAGCTCGAGAAGATGGAGAAGGAGAAAGGCAAGGACGCCGCCGACAAGAAGGCGCCTGAGCTCGACGCAAAAGCCGAGCTCGCCAAGCTAACGAGCACGAAGTCTGGCGGTGTATACATGCCCCCCGCACGCCTGCGCGCCCTGCAGGAGGCTGCGTCGAAAGACAAGGCCAGCGCAGAGTATCAACGCCTCTCGTGGGATGCGCTGCGCAAGTCGATTACCGGTATAGTTAACCGAATCAACGTCGCGAATATCAAGCACATCATGCCGGAGCTCTTCCAAGAGAATCTTATTCGCGGTCGAGGCTTGTTTGCGAGGAGCGTGATGAAGGCCCAGTCGTCCAGTTTGCCCTTTACACCGGTATTCGCGGCACTCGTGGCTATCATCAACACGAAGCTTCCTCAGGTTGGCGAGCTGGTCTTGACTCGGCTGATCAGTCAGTTCCGACGAGCCTTCAAGCGTAATGACAAAGTGAGTACACTGTGGCCGACAACGCTGTATTGACTGACCGGTGTATCCAGATTGTCTGCCACTCTACGACGACTTTCATTGCCCACCTCGTCAACCAGGGTGTCGCACATGAGATCATCGCCCTCCAGATCCTTGTTCTTCTGCTTGAGCGCCCGACCGACGACTCAATTGAGATCGCCGTGGGCTTCACGCGTGAAGTCGGTGCATTCCTCGCTGAAAACTCGCCGAAGGCCAACGCAACTGTCTTTGAGCGCTTTCGCGCAGTACTCAACGAGGGCACGATCAGCCAACGAGTGCAGTACATGATTGAGGTGCTTATGCAGGTCCGCAAGGACAAGTACAAGGACAACGTGATCGTTCCGGAGGGCTTGGACCTAGTGGAGGAGGACGACCAGATCACGCATCAAATTCAGCTTGAGGAAGAGCTGCAGGTGCAAGAAGGGCTGAGTACGTTCTCAGTTCGCTCGTCTTTCCATCTCAACTGACATGCTTTTCAGATATCTTCAAGTTCGACCCGAACTACATCGAAAATGAAGAGAGGTATAAGTCTATCAAGGCTGAGATCCTGGGCGAGGGCTCGGATGACGAGGAGAGCGGATCAGAAGAAACCACTGACGATGAGGAGGAGGAGGAAGGTATGCATGGTCATCTGCCGTTAGACTGCTCATTTGTTGAACTGCTCTCGTAGCCGTTGAAGACAAAGCTGGTATCGAAGACCGCACGGAGACGAACCTCACCAATCTCCGTCGTATCATTTACTTGACCATCATGAACGCATTGAATTACGAGGAAGCCGTCCACAAGCTGTTGAAGGTCCAGATTCAGGAGGGCCAGGAAGTGCGTCTACCGTACGTTTGATTGGTGACGACCATGCTGACTGGACCCACAGATTGAGCTCTGCAATATGATCATCGAGTGTTGCTCGCAAGAACGGTCGTACTCTACATTCTACGGCCTGTTGGTGAGCGGTTCTGCAAGCTCAACCGCGTGTGGAACGAATGCTTCGAAGAGGCCTTCGTCAACTACTACACGACCATCACCGTTACGAGACGAATCGTCTGCGGAACATCGCACGCTTCTTCGGACACCTCATCGCGACTGACTCCGTCTCGTGGGCTGTCCTCGGATGTATCAAGCTCACCGAGGATGATACGACGTCGAGTAGTCGTATCTTCATCAAGATCATGATGCAGGAGGTCACTGAGTCCATGGGTCTCAAGGCTTCGGTCGAGCGGTTCAAGGACGAGGAGGTGAGGATGACGTGCAGGGGCATGTTCCCTATGGACAACCCGAAGGACACCCGGTTTGCGATCAACTATTTCACGAGTATCGGCTTGGGTGCGGCCACGGAGGAGATGCGTGAACACTTGAAGGTATGTCGTTGTATACCCTGCCCTTGGAATACATTGATTCACATACGTTGCACAGAATGCGCCAAGAATTATTATGGAACAGCGTCGCGCAATGCTCGAGGCCGAATCCTCGTCCTCCGACTCAGATTCAGATTCGGATGACGACGACAGCTCGTCCGACTCTGACTCTGACCCTAGCTCATCCGACTCTGATTCAGACGAGTCACGGCGTTCACCCCCGAGACGTCGTTCGTACAGCCCGCCGCGCCGCGACCGAGCACGGGACCGTGATATCTCGCCCCCTCCACGTCGGCGCCCGTCTCCCTCTCCTCCACCGCGGCACCGTGATGACAGGCGGCCAACCCCTTCACCGCCGCGCTATCGCAACGGTGACAGAGACAGAGATGTTCGCATGGCCGACGCCGACCGGGACATGGATAGGTATAGGTCACGCCGCGACTCGCCCCCGGCCCGTCGCCGTGCGCCGTCTCCGCCTGTCCCGCGGTCCCCACCGCCGAGGGCGCGGTATGATAGCCCGCGCCGTCGCTCGCGCCGCGCCCCCGAGGCGAGACAGAGACTACGATAGGAGACCGCGCGACGACTCGAGGGACCGGCGGGACAGGGATGATCCCAGGGATCGCCGGCGGTCTGATTCGAGGGACAGGTACCGGCGAGACACGAGGCGGTAAGGCGGGTGTAGTGGTGTATGATGCGATTCACGCTTTGCGGTTTATGGTATGCTGCTTGATGGATGCGTATGTACTGTTTGTGCTTTGTTAGCATCGCTGTAACGCCAAAGCTAAATGTTCTTCCATGCATTGTGGATCTCCATTTGCGAATGTGATGCCTAGGCCCAAGACACGCTGTCCGTCAATTGAGCTGAAGTCCGTAATCGTGCCAGTGGATTCACGCTGAGCGGGGCACTACACGCAGCAACGACTGGCAGACCCGACCGGGCCTTCTGAATGAGCAGCGAGCGGAGCGACGCCACAGACGCGTCTCGACACGCGTTACGTCAGCGAGTCGCGTCGGACGCGCACGCGGTCGTCATGGGGCCGCCGTGACCTGAATAAACAGATCCAACACAACACCCTATTTCACACATCCTTAAAGGGCCACATATCTCCCGTATTCCTTCCCACATTTTGCCCCCCTCTTTCTGCCTATCCTCTACGAAGCACCAGCCATGCCAGGTCCGTCCCCCGTCCCCCGCCCCCGCACGCACCGTCCTAACGTCGTTTGGTGGCCACAGGGACGAAGCGCGCCGCCGAGGACGACCACGCAGGGCCTACCACCCGCTCGGCGAAGGTTCCCAAGACCGAGGGCGCGGCCAGCCCTGCGAAGGGTCGCGGTCGGGGCGGCAAGAAAGGTCCCAAGGTGCGTTGCCTGCTGCGACGTACCTGCATGATAATGAACGGAATCGCGAATCCAGGCCACGATGGCCGCGTCCCAGTTCAAAAACCGCGCGATGCCCTTGCATGTCAACATCACCCACACGCCTCCCGCGCTCCCCGACGCGGCCGGCGACGACAAGGAGACCGTGACAGTCGCATCCCAGGACCCAGGCTTCGTCGGCACAACCACGCTCGTGCCTGCAACGTTTGCAACCGGCAGCTACGGCTGGAAGGGCTCCAAGCGCGTCACCATCGAGCTGCAAAACGCCGATGGCGCGGAAGGCGAGAAGGAGAAGGTGCATGTCATGATTACGTGGGTGTCCGTTGTTCCGTGTGTCTAGGGCTGTGATGCTGAAGTGGAGACAGCATCAATGCCACCGTCATGGGCAGCAAGGGCGCGAAAGAGGGTGCCGACGAGAACAAGGAGGCCAAGGAGTACGCTGAAGACCAGGCTGAGGACCAGGCTGAGGAAACTGCCAATGGCGAGGAGAATGGCGCTGAGCCCAAGGAGGGCGACATCACCGAAGCCCTGCCGGAAACCGAGACAGCAGCAGCAGAAGCATGAACAGGATGAATGTGGTACACGAACTTTGATGAAAATGAATGATCTCCTGTCAATATGCTCGTTTTTATCGTTTAATGTATACCTTATCTGTTCGTTGACAGCGAAGTGTGCCCATCCTGAGAGACCTTGCGAGGTGAGGCCGAGGCATTTGTACTGCATTGCAAGCTGGACTGTATTGGCATGGTCATTACTGTACATCTGGAGTATCTTCCTGGGTGCCCTCTGTGAAACAACAAGTTCAGGTCATTGTCAGGCCCGAATGACAGTCACTCACATTATGCCCCTTCCCTCTTCAATTCGTCCACCACCTTTGTCAACGCTTCCCGCCTCATCGGTATCCAGAGAGCTTCCCCTCCCCCTGACCCACCAGCTCCGACGGGGGCGACGGCCGATACAACCAGTCCATGATCCCTAAACTCCCCAAGCAGTGCCCTCAACGCCGTATCACTGGTCGCGATAAACTCTTCTCTCGCCGCACCGAAGAGACGTTCGTAATCATACGCCGCGTCTTGCCCTGCGGTCCCCGCTTCGCCTGAGGCCGCGGCCGGGCCAGCAGCGCCCGTCGCAGACGCCATGAGCTCGAGCTGCTTACTACCCAACAGCACGAACAGTCTCCGCGCCTTCTGCGTGACACTAGCCAGCACATGCCTCGCGGCTGTCTCGCTCACCAGACGTGGGCCACCCGCTGCGGCGCTGGCACCAAGGTGTGTGCGCCGTCCGCTGGCAGAGGCGCCCGCGATAGAGGACGGGTCTGCGGAAGCGAGCTCGGCGTCGTACGGCGCGAGCGTGGTGAGGTCGTGCCAGAGCCATGCGAACCCACGGCGGGGGACGTCGTAAGACGTATCTGCGCCCTCTGCCGAGTCGTCGACAGCGCGCGCCTTGCCTTTGCCCTTACGTCTGCTTGACGTGTCTTCTTGCGGCGCTGATGCCGCGGGCGCTGCCTTGCGCGCGAATAGCTCTGAGAGCGACCAACGGCCTATGGCTTGGACGTTGTCGACGGACGCGACGACGTGTACCCGTGGCGCGCGCGCGAGGCGACCGATGGCGGTCTGCGCCTTTGGACCGCGCAGGCCTGACCCGTCGATGTTGTGTATCACCAGGAATAGCCTCTCGTCCCCGTCCGCACTAGAGAAGTAGTCGTAGATCCTCTGAACTTGTGCGTCTACGCCCGCCCCCGAGCTCATCTGCGCGTCCAGCGCTCTTGCAGGCGGGGATCGCTCGACAGAGTTGAGCAGGTCTTTTAGCGCGAAGCCAGGCAAGAAGCCATTCGCGATGACGACGTGGCCGCCGCGTCCCTCTCCCGGCGACCTTCTCGGCTTGTGAGCGACCTTGCGAAGCATTCAGCACACCGCGTTTGCTCCCATACCCATAGAACAACAGACTGAACCCCTCGCGGAGCTCGTCCGCCCATGCGTGAAGAAGCCCGCGCGCAGCCTCTCGTCCGTCCACAGCCTCTTGCTCTCGAGGAGGTGCGGCGAGCTGAGGGCCGCGACCCGCGAGGGCGCTCGCGTACGCGGGTGCGTCGAGCGCGGGGACGAGCTGGCTGAAGACGGCGGCGGAGTGCGCGCGGGCCGCGCGTGCAGAGCGAAGTACGCGTCGAACGCGGTCTGCGCGATCAGCCCGGGCGTGGGCTCGCCGAAGGGCGCGTCGTCGTCGCGGTCGTCGAGGTACGCGTCGAGGCGCGAGGACGCGCGGGAGGGCGACGATTGCGGTTCGTTGTCGTCTTCGGACTCGAAGTCTGCGTCGACGTCGGTCGTCCCGGGTGGAGGAGGCGTAGTCCACATGGACGATGCGCTCAGGGATCTCCGCATTTGTCGTAGTTGAGAGCGGGATGTGCAACAGCGAGATGGTGAGAGTCGTCACCGAAGAGGCCTTCTGCCGAGTGTTGGCTTTCAGCGATCAGACAAAGGATGTGGCCTGCACTCGCTCGTAACGGGCAGAATCATGCGGCTCAACTTGAAGGCATAACAAGGGCGAAACGACACGATGGACAGAACAGACATGAGGCTGTGGATAGCCACGTTCAGCGACCTCTCGGGTCGGCTAGCGGCCCCCCACCACATGCATATATGTATTGCCCGTCCTCCGATCCCACAGGCTGCCGGCGATTCTGTACCGTCCTAGCATACACGTCCGCTCCCAGAACTACATATGTACAGATAGCAAAAGAAAAACGCACAACATACTCGACCAAGACCACGCACATGTATCATACTCATTGTCAGTCGCGCCAATCGACGCCTAGTCCTGATCGCATGTACACAAACCATCGGGAGAGCAAAAACGTATATACACTATGTACCCAGTCGCATCGTACTCGCCAATGATAGCAATGGAAAACTCGAGACAAAACAAGACAAACCGAGAACTGAAACCAAGCCTGTACCTACGCCAATATACCACCGAATTACTCGCAGCCACCATGACAGTGGTGCTGTGCCCGAGCCTATATGCTAGTCTTCCACTCCTGGTCGTCCCACGTCCTCGTCGACACCCGTTATATCGTCGACTGCGAGGTCGTCGAATGTCGTAGTTGCAACGCACATACGCGACGCGGACGTGTTCAGGAATCGTTGACCATTGCAAGTATCCGTTCATAGTCTTTCCTGACCGCCCAGAACGTCTCATCCAGCTTTTGCTGACGTTCCTTCTTGTCCAACTGCGCCAGCACCTCCTGATAAACACCAAGCATCGTCAGCCTCCCCACCCTTCCCCAACGACAAGAACCACAAGCCACGCACGTAGTTGAATCTGTACAGCCTCTCCTTCACCCAGATCCTATACGCCTTCTCCATTCGCTTGTCGCACCCATCCATGACGACGAACCGGAGCATGAGCATCTCCACGAGTCGATAGAACTGCCTGCTCGCCATCTTCAGCTCGACCCGCCGCCGCTCCAGCCACCCGCGGTCCGCCGGCGGTCCGAGCTTCCCCACCGCCCGTGTCTTCGTCGCCCCGTTCCCGTTCCCGTTCCCGTTCGTGACGGCCCTCAGGCCTTCCTCCAGCGCCTGGAACTGTGACCGCGGCGACGGGGGCGGGCTACCACGGTGGCCGTTCCCGTTCCCGTGCCCGTGTCCATTCGCGTACGCCTCCGCGAGGCGGTCCATTGGCGTGTGCCCGTTGTCCCCGCGCCCGTTCGCGTGCGCATACGGGTGGAACCTGTGCCTCTTCGCCCGCTGCTGCGGCTTTGCCGCACTCTCCCAGCCCTCGCCCAGCGCCTCGCCCATGAACGCCGAGTCCGCCAGGAGCATCTTCAGGTCATTCCTGTCGCGCAGGTCCTCGAAGGCCTCGACGGGGTCCTCCACTGTGAGCTCCGCGATGTCAGGCGCGTCACGGATGTATCGGTAGATTGCGGAGTAGAGCGCTGACCCGTGCCCCTCTTGTTGGTACGGCGGGACGATAATAAACTGGCTCAGACGCAGGCGGACCTTCTCCGGGAAGCAGTAGAACGGGTAGAGTGTCGAGTACCCGACAAAGTGGTACGTTGAAACAGACGGGTCGCTCCGCCGCTTCCGTTTTTCGTATCTGGGATGCAAGAGCGTCAGTAAGATACACGGAGGCCCGGGAAGAGTAGGAGGTGAGATTGAGCGGGATCTTCAAGCCCATAGACGGCAGGCTTGGCCATAGGCTTGTCCAGACGTCCCATGAATGACCGCAGCTGAAGTTAGCCCTCTGTTCTGTGTGATCACTCATCTTTCTTCTCGGGGCCAAACGCAACACCTCGCGGAGATTGGACATGCCATATGCGCCCAATCTAGCCGCTAACTGTGTGACAGTGGCGTGTCGCTGGGACCTTCAGGGTCAGAGCCAGACCAATGCAGCGCGGGAAAGCCTGAACAGGCCCAGGCCAGCTCCTGACATATTGCCGCCCGAGGGCGAAGGCAACGACGGCGGTCCAGAAGCATCACGGTGCACCAATGTGCCGGTTCGGGGCACTACCTCAAACGCGCGAGGGCAACGAGACTCACAGGACGACGAACTGCCAGACATCCTCGTCTTCTCTGATGTAGGAGCCGCCGTCAATGTAGAGCAGGATGAAGAGCTGCATGCGGCGATGAAGCTCTCTGAACCCTGGGGTGTCCCAGGTACACTGAGCGTACAATGGTATGATTAGCGGATACGGTGGTGGAATGAGGCGCGGCGCACCTGGTAGACCTCGAAGTCGATAGCATCCTCGTCTTCGCGCACGACCTTCTCCTTGCCCTTGCCGCCGGTGCTTGGCCGTGAATAGCTATGGATACGAGTACCAGGTGGTCTGAACGTGATCGCGTCTTCTTCGACGCGTTTGAGGAAGGCAGCTTCGTCGGTGTAGTAACCTGAGGCAGGCGAGGCGCGTGAGATTCAACGCGTGAGTAGGGGACATGAGGTCGCGCACCTGGTGGGATGAACTTTGAGATGGCGCCCACGATGTCATCTACCGCGGATGTCGCCGGTAGTTTGTCGGTATGTTGAACGCTGAGATACTGGGCTAGTGAGCCGGATGCAAACTTGAGCTGGTGGACAAGGGTCAACGGTGGAGGACAGGAGGCGAGGCAGACGCGTCGACGCACGTCTATGCGGAGGTCGCGGTAGCCATATATTTTCTCGTCTTCCCCGAAGAGGGGATAGGTGTAGCAGGGGTTGAAACCCTCGTAATGCTCGCGGGCATTGAGGGAGGCCTTGTCCGCGGCGGCGCGTACTGGCGGAACGGTGAGACGCGTCGGGACGCGGCAGACGGAGGACTTACCGAGGGAAAGGTGGATGGCCTCGTTCGCGTCTGCGGCCCAGAGGTGGGCGTCGGTGGCGGCCATGGTGGACGTTGAGCAAGAGGAGGGCAGTGGCCAGAGTGGACAAGGCTCGCGCGCTCTCACTGCACTCGATCTGGGTCTGCCGATCCCGGCCTCTGCCGCGCCCGGCCGAGTCTCCGCCCAGACCCCACACGTCATTCCGCGTCTCCGGAGACCACCTGCCGGATGCGGAGACCGCATGCGGTGCCTGCGGGGTCGATCGTCCGGTCCCCGCCCTGGCCCAGACCCCGCATCCGCGTGTCTCCCAGTCGCCGCCTCGCCCGCCACCGCCCGCAGCAGCCACCGCCCGCGCCGCGGCCTCGCGCTCGCCGTCGCGGACGACGGGGCCTCCTGCGCGCGGGTCGCCGGTGGCGACGGCGATGCTCCTGGTCGCGCTCATCAGGGAGGATCAGGCCAGGCTCCAGGGCGGTCTTCGGGTCGCAGCCAAGGACCGAGGCCTGCAGCCTCCAAGAACGCCCCCAAACCGTGTCGCCCAGCGCCCGTCGCCGTTCGGCACCAAGCCTCCAAGCGTCCCGTCCTGATGTCTCCCATTCGACTGCCCGAGCCTCTCGGTTTCGGACCATGACCCAGCAAGTGCCTCCGGTCCCTAGCCTCCATTCCTACTTAGCCCCTTTGCGACCGCAGACACATGCCACGCCGTCATGCTGTCCCTGCTAGCAGCTCTGCTAGCACATAACGGACATGTCCTACATACGCTGCAGCTGCTCGCTGCGCGCACGCCAGGCAAGAACGCTGCGTTCCATTAGCCCGCCAACCGGGCGGAAAGCACTGTCCATACCAGCGCTGCAGCTGATCAGGGCGGCTCTTCGGTGAGTGTGTGCAGCTACACCACATCTCACACGTCGCCCACTCAGACTGCAATGTCCTTTGTCATGCCCTGCTTCTCGCGTCCAGGCCCCGTCCAAGATTATGTACAACCAAGGTACACCGCTGCAAGGTTGACTCAACAGCCGCCCCGGTGTTCATCTCAGCGTCATCGACCGTCTCCGCATGTCCCGGGACAAAAGCCACCTTGGCCATGTGGATCGAGTTCACGAATGACGACCCGGTCCTCGGATGCGTGTGGAGGCATTCGACCCTCATGCGATGGTTAAACTTGCGACGTACTTCCCCCGGTGTCGACGGTATCCACGACGAGCGAGAGCACACCATATCTCCGTGTCCGGGTGTTCGGATCTTCCGCGTCCCACCTGGCGCCCGACTCGTCCAGGCCATACCACCCAGACACAGAAGTCCCCCAGCGCATTCAAGTCGCGTGTGTCCTGGGCCCAACTCAACCTGGGCAGGCAGCGCAGCCATAGCATCGCGGGTTCACGTCTTCCAAACCCATCGCCCAACGCCCGCAAATGTAAGAGAAGCATCCTCCCCGCCTTCTCCGTACGCGCCAAGGAGTCTAAACAAGACCTCGACAACGCACGTCCCAAGCTTCCCGTCCACCCTCGGCCTTAGAAGCGCGCCTCCCTCCTCGGGTGCTATCTCCGTGTCACAGCAGCAGGCAGCGCCCGCATCCCACACCGAAGCCTTCGCCATTCACCCACCCCGCGCCTCGACCGCCACCCATCGGGCCGATCGTCTCGTCGCGCCACTACTCGGGCCTAGCGGGATCGCGATCAGGTGCGTGCCCCCTCTGTCGCCCTCGCGGGCTGTACTGCTCGCCTCTGAGTCTATTGCGCGACTGTATTGCGCCGCTGGGACGAGCGGTTGCTCGCCTGATGGTGCGAGCGTGCTCTAGATCCGTGTGTACACGGGACCAGGGCGAAGTGAAAGTCTAATGCGCTCGGTCCGTTGTCTCCAGCGTGCTGTGTTTTACCTGGTGGGAGGGGGCGGCCCAGCTTCCCGTTAGGCTGCGACGTCCTTGGCGGGAGGGGCTTGCAACTGCGTTCGTCGGGCTGTTCTCATCGAGGAGGCTCACTGCCGCGCTGCAGTCACCGAGGCACTCTTGGATCAGGCATGGGCTCCTGTGGCCCACTACAAAACTCCCGCCTGTGTGTTCGACACCACTTACTATACCATTCCGCGCCATTGCAGCCCCAAGACCCTCAGACTAGCGAGATGGATGGATGGCCAACCCACGCCAGACCTCATCTAGACTGCTCGATCGCTGTGCTGGCTCCAGTTGGTTATCACAATGGGCGATTGGTCTTAATCATAGGTCTTCTTCCTCTGGCTGGTCCGAATTCATAGCTTAGTTTTGCACCACGGCGAATGGCTCAACGCCAGTGGCGCGTCATGCACACTGATACTGACGCAACTATGTGCTAATGTCGACGTCGAAAGCATCCGATAGTGCGTTGTATGATGCGGGCCTACCTGTTCTTTGGAAAGATGAATATATCCGGTTTATGGTCATGATCCGCGCCTGAAGCTTTGAAGGCCGGGTGGAAGGCGGAGATAAGTAAGTCGATTCGATAACTTTCTGGTGTATGTACACCACTGACCGACAACCCGTTACTCTTGGCTATCGTAGGACATACCTTTTCGTTGGAGCTACCTAGTTCATGATGCATATGCGCCAGGTTGTAAGTACGTTGTTTCTACAGCTTCAGTCTTAACACATGGAATGCCGCGAGCTCCAAGCCAAATGAAGTGTCACTGGGCGCTCAATCGTCCTCGGGTTTCAATAGCTCTCGGAGCTTGTCCAATGTCCACCCTCGGCGTGAAGTTCACCGCGAAGGGCAGCGGAAACAGGGTCGCCGTCAGAGCGTCCGGGTCGATGGGCCGCGCGGGATTCTTTGCGGTGTCGAACGCCCAGAGCATAAGCGCGGTGGCCGCTGCATGATATCAGACACAAGGCCGTAGACCAGGCCTCGCGCGGCGTGGACGAAAGCAACGGACGAGCTACACGGTATCTTCTCCACCATGCAAAGCCGTGAGCTCGAGCACATCGCGTTCTGCGTTGAAGTTGACTTCGAGGCAGCATTCGAGTCGAGTCTGACCAGCCCAGCGCTGTCTTCGAGAAGCTCGGCGTGCGGCCTCCTGCACGAGTCGCAGACCCGGCCTGGCGACGACGTCGCAATCGGGGCGAGTGCGCCGGTGTGTCGACAGACGCTAGCAGCCTGACTGGCGATACTGCATGTCATTGTCCCGGTCACGGCACTCAGCGTGTGGCTCACCAAGCTCTAGACGGACGCCGGACCTCTCACATCCTCCAGTATATCACCGCCGAGTCGGTGCGTCCTCGAGATCCCTCGCTTAGTGCGCCTCCAACCGCGGGGTACGAGTGCTGGATGTCCGATCTCCAGCTCGATGTCGTCATCTTGCTTCTGTCCACTGGCATGATTCCGGCTGATGCGTTCACTTACCGGTGGTTTCCCCCTTCCCCTGACGATGCGCACATGCACAGGTCACGCAATGTGTTGCCGACGAGCATATTAAGTTGATGTCCGTAGGAGCAGTGCCGATGAATGCAATGACTAGAGACCGAGCGCCGATAAACAGAGCGATGAAGACTCCAGTGCGTGCTGAATAGAGAGCGACGACTTCCGCGCCAGAGAACGGGTCTTCGAAGGCTGGCAAAAGCCAGTTATCAAGGCACACTCCCGCTGGCCCTCTCCGCTCGCATCCCGCCCGAGGTCTTCGAGCTCGTGGTTGACGCGATCACGTATCAGCCCACGTTGCCGCCGTGGCGCTGGTCTGCGCGTTGTGGTACCCTCGGGCGATGCACAACCTGTACTACAATCCCGAGATTCGCGGCCACACAAGTTCCAACATGCTGTTCCAGTGTATCGCGCGCCACTCCGTGTCAAGCAGTGGCTCGCGAGCACGGCAAGCTGATGGCAGACGAGCAGTGGGATTACTATGGCGACAGTGCACAAGGACGACCAGGAGAAGGATGAGGACCCCGGAGGGGCACAGAATCCCCGCAGCGTAGAAACAAGAGCAATATTCACAATCACTTCCTTCAAGCACTACCGTCCGCGCTCGCCAGTCTGATGCCTCGTGTACGCATCCTTCACATCGGGTTCGAAAAACGTCTGTTCATCCGTACGGATTTTTTCTTCGCTCTATCGAGGTTCCAGTCTGTCGAGTCATTGACGCTTGTGAAGCGCCGACTGAACAACATCGTCATAGCGAGGTCGGTAAGCTGGGGGAATGCGGCGGATTATGTCTGCATTCCCCCAGCTTACCGACTCGCGATGAATGAGGACAGCATCGGTCAGGAGCTCAAGATCATGTTCCGTGGCATATTACAGCCGTGGTCTGCGCGTGGCATAGTGACTGTCGGGAATTTCTGAATCAGCTCTGGATATCGTCGACGTGAGTGAGCCGGTTTGCACACGCGCGTGTCTGTCTCACTTGTCTCCCGTTCAGCCATTCAGCAGCACGTCATCCGATCTGTACAAAGGGGAGATAAGTCTTGCCATCGTCTGTACGGAGCGCGGGCGATGCGAGGTCGGTCGTTCGCAAGCCGTCGTCTGGCTCCGTCTGTCTATTGGCCGACTCATTCTAGAAGTTGATTTGGGTATCCCGCTGTCTTGGACTCGGTATGGTTGCTGTCTCGATCGACTCGTGCTTGCTACGATGGCTGAAATGTGTTGCGCTTATACGATGAGTTAATGTACTGTACACCGACGATTTGGGCTCAAGGGTATTGCTATTTGTTTGGATCGATGAGCGTTGGACGTGACTCACCAGAAGCAAACTGTGGTCGCCACCTGGCCGTCTCAAGGAAGAGCGTCGTCATCTCCGGCATCAGGTCCTCGTCTTCAAATGTCGGTGCTGTCCATTCCGATCTTGGCTGCGCTGTGAGACGCGAAAAGGTGAATGTAGCTGACCTCCGTCCCGCCCAACTACTTTGTCGAGCCGCGCCTGGACGCGGGCTTGCGCGTCCAGATGAAATGCAGCGCCATGGCCACGATGCTGAGAGCAAGGCCTGTCTGTTCACAAAGTAGATCAGTAGGTGACCGTGTTTCCGTGCTGAATGACGGGCTCACCGTGCCACCCCCACCCCGGACATAGCACCTGCGAGGTATGCCATCTCGTCTTTCGATAGCCGAAAGACTTGGATTTTTCGTTGAACAGGTAGGCGACGAAGGTCCCCGGCCCTGCAAAGCGGAGACGTCAAGTGCAGATGGAATCGTACACGATGGTACGCTCCATCTTGCTCTTCGCGTACGCAACCATCCCATGGAAGAACGCCAGCTCTTCCTCATGGTACCGATACAGGTGTCTCAGGTATCCAGGGATATACCTCAGAAACGGGTACGTGCCGACGAGGTACGCCCCCGGCCGAAGGGCTGCACCGAAGTGGGGTGCAATGCGGTTGATCTCCTGTACTTCCGGGCCGGTATACGAGGTCGGGGCGGTCTTACCATATGATGTCGACGCTCGCAGCGTAGCTATCAGTGCGACGCGGGTGGTCAACATCAGTTGGAAGGAAGACGAGGACACCCAAGTCCCAAGCCACCATGCTGGACGTGACTGTTTACGAGCTACTTACGAGTTAATTGCGGCTTGTCGCAGATAACGTGGTGTGTGCGTAGTACGCAGCAATAGCCATCCACTGGAGAGGGAGCAACGTAGACACTTAGTGCGCCGTAAGTTATGCATGAAAATGGTGGGGGCCATGGATGGCCCTATTACTAGAGTTAAATCTGCTATCTGAGCAGTCTGCGCCAGATGCACCGGCTGACGTGTAAGCTGTTGACAAGAGCGTCGGCGTATAGTATTGTCCGTGTTGTGCTGACTTACCACAGGCCGATTAGTGAAGGCCATCACGCGAGGAACAACGAGCATGTGTAGCACGTCAACTCGACGTGACAATGCCTCTGGACGTTGACCAGACGCAAACAAGATGACACTGGATGTCATATATCTGATCGCAGGGGCCCATGAGGACACCTATGTAGAAGAAAAGCGAACATTCCCTGTAAGCAGTGCAGCAGCGTCTGCTAAATTCGACAGATCACGCTGTAGAACGCGTCCGTCGTGCTCTCGTGGTTCCTGTCATCGATATCGGTTGGTGGGCTGCCGCGGAGTAGCAGGTACATAGTCGCATAATGAGGGATGAGAGGGCCGGACTCGATAGGCTACTTTGGATGATCTGCGAATTATTTCAGCACCGACGTGGAGACTGAGTACTCATCGCTGGCACGTAGATGTGCGCTAAGGGAACACGACCGGAAACAGACTCAGTGAAGAACGCCAGTATCGCGTACGCGGTGTGCGATCGTGGTGGTGGCAGAAACAGTCAGACTGAGCGAGATGACGGAGGAGGAAGGGAATGTCCGGCAAAGTCGGAGATGATGCCATTCGTCGCGAGCACGACCACGTGCGGGCGCCCTGGCTAGTTTTGGAAAGGGCGCGTACGCGAGGCGATCTACAAGCTTGGGCGCGAGTACGAGGCATATCGTAGGCCCCTCTGGCAGGCTTACCGACCCCCGTTGCATGCTGGCGCAGATAGCAGGCCCTTACAGAGCATCTTTCTCGACCACCGCGGACAGCATCAGCGCTCACGTCATATGACATTCTCTGCCCTCTGCACGTCGCTGACATGCTCTGCGCGTCCCCCGCCTTATAAAGCCCTGGCTTGCAATCCCACCTTCCCCTTCTCATCCCTATCGATCTCCGCGCGAACATCACCCATATCCGCCTTATCTGCATCGCGCCCTTTCACCCCCCCAGCATCCGTCGCGCACACGTCGACTCCTACGACCACCATAACATCTCGCACTCTCACCGCGACTCGCAGGTTATCCAACGTACGCCGTGCGGTGCATGCTATTCAGGCACCGCTTTTGACCCCCATCTAGCTCTCTAGAACTATCACAACATCAGCTGCCTCCAGCATGCCTCCAGTCACACAGCCGGGACGCGACAAGTACGACATTGTCTGGATTGGTGGTGGAAGCGGTGGTGTAGCGGGATCTGTGAGCACCTCCACTCGTGACAGTCGCGATGTATGCTCATGCCATGTGTGCATGATAGCGTCGTGCAGCATCGTATGGTGCTAAGGTTGCCCTCATTGAGGCCACACCCAAGTTGGGCGGTACATGTGTCAATGTCGGATGCGTGCCCAAAAAGGTATGTACACATTGACCGCACATACCTGTGAATGTTTTCCAATGCATCTGTCAGATCATGTGGCACGCGGCAGATATTGCTGAGAAGATCCGCCACGCCGAGAATTACAAGTTCAAGGGTACGGCGTCGGCTCGCCCCAGTTCGACTGGGCCTCCTTCAAGCCACAACGGGACGCATACATCCGCCGCCTGAACGCATCTACGACAGCAACGTCGCCAAGGAGGGCGTCGAGCTCCACGAGGGCAACGCAGTCGTCACGTCCCCCACCACCGTCGAGGTGAAGCGGCCCGACGGCTCAACCTACACGCTCAACACTGACAAGATCGTCGTCGCGACGGGCGGGCGACCGACAATCCCCTCGGACGACCAGATACCCGGCGCGAGTCTGGGCATCAACTCGGACGGGTTCTTCGACCTCGCGGAGCAGCCGAAGCGCGTCGCGGTCGTGGGCGCAGGCTACATCGCGGTCGAGCTGGCGGGCGTGCTCCACACGCTCGGGAGCGAGGTGCACATGTTCATCCGCGGCGAAACGGTCCTGCGCACGTTCGACCCGTCGCTGCAGGAGGTGCTCACGAAGTGGATGGAGCACACCGGCATCAACTTCCACAAGGGCTCCAACATTAAGAAGGTGGAGGGCGCGAAGGGACAGGCGATCACGCTGCACACGGACAAGGGCGAGGCGGTCGAGGTAGACTGCTTGCTCTGGGCGATCGGCCGCCATTCGAATACGGAGGGACTGGGCTTGGAGAAGCTCGGCGTGGAACTGGACAAGAAGGGCAACGTCGTCGTGAACGAGTACCAGGAACGAAGATTCCCGGCATATACGCGCTGGGCGATGTTGCTGGCAAGGCCCTGTTGACGCCTGTGGCAGTTGCGGCAGGGCGGAGGCTGAGCAATCGGTTGTACGGCGGGGGGAAGTACAAGACTGACCACCTCGACTACACGAACATCTCAACCGTCGTCTTCTCGTGCGTATCTTGCATGCCGCGTGTCTTTGACCTTTGTATTCATGTGCATATAGCCACCCAACCATCGGCACCGTCGGCCTGACCGAGCCTGAAGCCCGCGAAAAGTACGGCGCCGAGAACATCAAGATATGTACGTTTTCTTCCTTACCTAGCCGTTACCCACGCATTCATTCACGCTCCGTACCACACGCAGACAAGTCAAACTTCCGCGCGCTCTACTTCTCCATGATCAACGAGGACCACAAGGAGCCGTCGATGTACAAGCTGATCGTGACGGGCCCCGAGGAGAAGGTGATCGGGATCCACATCATCGGTCTGGGCAGCGACGAGGTCATGCAGGGCTTCGGCGTCGCGGTCAAGATGGGCGCGACAAAGCAGGACTGGACGATACCGTGGCGATCCATCCCACGTCCGCTGAGGGTGAGTCCCGTCTCTATCTATGCCCCCTGGGGTATGGTGTGGACTGGGTTGCTGATTGACGTGTGCCTCTTGCAGAGCTGGTCACCCTCCGGTGAATGCCTGATCCGGGAGGATCCCAAGAGTGGACTGATGACATCGCGTGAGCACGGCACGATGGATGGTGTCGTATGGCGGATAAAGTGAAAGAAGTACTGGTACAGTCCTGGTATTGTATATGTTATACGCGTTTTCTGGCAGACTGATCAATCAGGACGGTCATCGATGAACCGATATGCTCGAAGTCAGCGGAGCCGCGGCTGCAAACCGTACAGCCGTGACGAATTGCTACATCGTGGCCCTGCACGCGATGTTCGTAGGAGAATGAGATATGCACCAGATTGCAAGTATCGCGGCTGTGGGCCACAGGAAGTGACTCCAAGTCTCCATTAGCCTGTAGACTCCACCGAGGTAGTGTACCCTGGTTTTCGTCGCATGAGATCATGGCACTGTCTTGGAGAGCAACCTGTACGTGCGTGCCAAAGGTCCATATGTTGCGTGATGTTGACGGGTAAACAGGGGCTCCCCTGGCTACTTAGCCTGAGGGCATTGCTGCGGTTCATATCGGTCGGGCAGTACCCAATCCCGTAAGTATCTCAGCTAACTTATGATGGCATGCTAATTTATGATGGTGCGCACTAGGATGCACTATCTACAAAGCTCGTATTTGATCAGCACTAGTCATAGAGTGAGTTGCAGCTGCATCATGGTCTTCATTTACAACGATCCAACGCACAAACGTCAGCGCCATGCAGCAGAATCGGGACGTATCGTATACGTCGCATGGATACTCGCGAGTCACTCTCAATGCAATGCCCCCCCCTCTTCAAGACAGCCAACGTACGTTCGCAGTACTCGTTGTGCACGAAGAAGGATAAGATCCGGACTGCATCCGGAGAGAGGACTGGATGCTTGTGACATCGCCATGGTGTTGGCTCATCAAGAGACGTAGTATCCGGGTATCGGCGCCTGTTGTCCCGAGACCTCATACGACGAAGAGCGCATAGCGAGGCGATCTGGCGATCCATGGATAACTTACCACTTGTGGATACCAGGCCGGTGAGCACGCGCGCAGGGATCACCGCAAGGTGCCTCCTCCCCTAGTTGCTTCCCCGGAACGCGATTCCGGAGATCCCTTGGGTCACCGTGATGTTCCTGCTCATGATCGAGGGCGAGTTTTGCTTCTCTCTCATATGCTTCTTCAATCCTGACCACACGAATGCACGCCTCGACCATCGACCCATGTTGAGCGTGTTTCTCATGTGAGTTCGCGTATACCAGGAGACCATGCGAGTGATGTCGATGCAGGCCGAGCATGCGCATGAAATCAACGGAATGCATGGCCTGTGTAGTTAAGTAGTGTAACTAGCACGCGGAAACACTGGGAAGAAGCGTCGAAGGCCCGGGCGCAACAAGGTGCAGAACCGTCTGTGAGTGCAGTGCTTATCGCCGTGCACGTGGGGCTTGGAACCTGATCAATGTACTGCCAGTACTATGTCATAGTATTATGTACTGTCAATATTGACCAAATGGTCGTGCCTTGGCCAGAAGCCACTGTGGCACCAAGATATGAACCAAGATTTCCACTGTCCGGGGAAAGCGCATGGCGCGGGCGGCCTAGCCAAATTTGGTCCCGATTCAGATGATCGCCCACCTCAGTGTCGCAGGGCGGTTAACGTTTGCGACTCAGCACTCAGTCTTTGAGCAGTGGGCCTGGCAGTGAGATACACCGTGGCAAGGCATTGGCATAAGGTGCCAGTGCAGTATGAGACTTCGAGTCGGTCGGGGCCCAGCAAGGCAGTCAAGTAGAAATGCCACTCGCCGGCAAGCTCGCCGGTAGGTCATCCACATCAGCGTGGGGCTGCTAACACTGATAGAACATTCAACAGCCCCATCCGCATGACGGTACATTCCGAAAATTGAAGTATGCGCTGATAATTTGATTGCAAGCGGCTCGATCAGAAAAGGCGGGATTGCGCCCCCGGCATCCACAGTGTACTTCTAGACGACACGTTGTGCACGAGCAACGTCCGTTCCTCCGCCCACTCGTGCACAGATCATCTCGACAGGGTATATCAATCCCTTTGCCTGTCATCCGTTGGTTCTTGCCTGGGCGATGCGCATCCTGTGCCCGCACTCGGGACTACACAGGCGGTGACCCGACACTATGTCGTCAACCACGGAACAGGCTATCACTGCACTCAATGCCTCGTAGGTTGCATTTACCTAGCTCTACAGGCTACCACGACTACATCTGACGTGCGCGCACAGATATATAGCAAATTGCATCCTCGCCGTGGCTTGCAGTGAGTCTTGAGTGAAGTAAATCTGCATATGCATTTGACGTATCCTCCGATATTCAGCTCTTTACGTTTATGAACGATGCCTCATTTTCGATCAAGAGGTCGAGCTCATTTGGCGACGCAAGTTGTCCATAGCCTCCGTAGTGTACGGCATTATGCATGTGTCTATGTTCACTACCCTCTGTACTGGTGTGGCTCTCCTCATTACAACAAGCTGCAACGTGAGTATATGACATTAGATCTATGCAAGCTTGGCTTACAGTCTAACAGGCGTTGAGTATCATGGATGTTACGTTCTCGACCAATTTCGTTGAACTTCGTTGTCTGCAGTGGAATGATCGTGGGTATTACTGAGATTTCCTCCAAGATATTGTTTCGCTGGGCCATTGCAGGTGCTCTCCTCCAAGTTCTATCTCCCCGCGAACAAGCTCACGTCCGTCCATAGGCATTTCGGCAGTGCGTGTATACGCTATCAATGGTCGTACGCTCGGGATGCCCTCGGCCATCTTACTTCTCTTCTTGACTTACACGCTGTACGACTTTGTAAGTAATCGCCACAGATACCTGTCTGACACTGACCGAACATTGCCTTCAGTACAACGCCTGTAGTTTGTACAAGCTGCGAGCACCACCTCCCGTCGGCTGCCTTCTTCTGTCCAGCATGCGCCCGGATGTCCAGCAGTAAGTTATACACTTCAGCGCCGCGTTGACTTGCCCTAATTTACATTACAGTGGATGTAAGGATCTAGCCTTCAACGCTAGGAGCTTCTGTCAAAATGCTAATTGCTTGCGCCCCGTTGAATAGTGAAGATTGCTGGACTCATATGTGCCGCTGTTGCTGAGGCTCTTGTCTTGGTAGCTACCTGGCGTGCTACGTACAGGGCAAGAAGAGCGACGGACAGCTCAAGTATGAGGACTTCTGTCAGCGGAATGTTGCTCCGGGACGGTGAGTGGACTACGGGCTCTCTTGTCTAGTAGCAGTAACCCATCGTTGCGCGTACAGGGACGGTCTACTTCGGGTAATATGATACCGTTGATCTCATGTAGACACCTCTAATATTCTTTCACCGTAGCGTGATTTTCCTCCTGCTCGTCCTCAACGCCATATTGGAGATCGTAGACGTAAGTCTGAAGTCCACGTGGAAGCAGAATTCCCCTTGAACTAATGGTCGTGTTTAGACAGATGTCTCGATCGCGTCTTTGACCTATGTGTGCGTCTTGACTGATGCCGTGCACTATGTCGACGTCGCTCTGACAGGCTTTATGTTCAGCTTGCAGACCTCCTGCATGTCGCACTTCTACATCGACCTTCGACAAGCCGCATCGCCGGAAACGATGCCCAGCGGTCACTCCCAGATCCACGTCTCCCTCTCACGCTTCGTAGGCACACTCGAGGGTTCGCTTGTCTTTGGGTCCGACGGATACGTCGGCGAAGATGAGGTAAATGACAGCTCGCTATGTTCGAACGACAATTGGGGTGTCAAGTCTGTTGGGGGCATAGCGATGGAGAACATGGCAAACTCCGGATTCTCACCTGATCTCAACGCCTCGCTGGCATTGAAGCAGAAGCATCTGGGCGCGGATGCGAAGGCCGTTTGATGGTGCCCTCTGCTTCATCGGTCTGCCATGGTGGGTGTGGTATTTGGTTAACCATGTGCTGAACCCAGCTGAGTGATTAGTATGCAGACTTTGGGGCTACATAGCCGTCTTTGATGGTTGTGTTACATTTTTGGGGTTTGGAGGATTGTAATGCCGTATACTGTCATCTGTAGACTTGATGTTGTGTGTACGTACGTATGTGCATGTATGTTTTGCTGGAGTGCCGAGATATTTCCTGGTGGCATTGACGCGCGACTCGGAGTTATGCTTGTGTACACGTCCACGTGACCGTGTTGGCGGAAAGGCAAGGCGAAACCTGGCGGCTCTATGTTGCCTCAGGCTCAGGCTTCCGCTTCCAACGTTAACTGGATGTCCTTTTAGGGTGCGTCAATATTCTATGCTGGCTGATAGGATTGATGTTACGAGTGCTAATAGTACTACTGCCCGGCGTTCGTTTAGATCGTCCTGAAGGCATGTGGAGGCTGCGGCACCGCTGCCAGTGCCTTCCCAACGCACGATGTCCGGTATCAATCAATATCTTGATACATTGTCAACATGCCCAACAGACATCCAGTGAGAATTTCAGCCCGGGACTCAGACGGCTACGGGGCGGACCTACGACCACCTGCTGCGCCTCCCGAATGCTACATCTGAGCGGCGCAATTGGGCCACGCTGTGTTTGTCAATCATCAATGAGCTAAAGGTGGCCGCGGCGCTGACAATTTATGATCATACGAGTTCTTGTCTCTCTCCGATAAGTTGACCGAACTTGCGTTTCAGGTGTGCGTCGTGTGCCCATTGGACGGTGCCAGTTCCACAGAAGGTGTGCGGACTGGAACAAGCAATAACACATTGCGTACTGGATGGCTGCGGCGCCGCGCAGCATCATTATGCAATGGGTCCGGTCCAAACTGTATCCCGTGATCATCCCAGTGGTTCCACCAGCCCGACGAGCCGACTATCCGTCGTACTTAAATGCGTGACCTCTGGGACCATGTCTTGTACGCGTTTTCGTGTCCATAACATGGCGACGACAAACGTCACTCAGCAAGATTTTGCCATTGCCCGAGACATGGGGTGAGTTTGTTCCAATCATGTGGATTCTTCTGGTGGTAACTGCCAGTAGTGTCAGCTTGGTCTGGACTCGGAGTCACACCGCTGTATCGCATGTGGTGAGTACGTGCATAGAGTACAATGCCATCGCAGATCTGGATGTTGTTCGGAGCGCTTTTCATGTACGATCGCGCCCTCACCATCGGACAAGAAGTAGAGCTCTGCTGGGGACGACGGGTATCGATCGCATCTGGGCTATGCTTGCTGATGCAGGTATCTGCTCTCGTTTACCTCTGGATGTATACGGCAATACTTTCAACGACTAGCTGTAAAGTGAGGGTCAATACACGTGTGTCACTTGACCTTGGTTAACGTCATCTCAACTTCTCAGGGGTTTGGCCCACCCTTAGACAGCAGACTCACAGCTATACTTACGCAAAGCATACACCCAGTGGCTACGTTCCCGACATGATATTGAACATCGCTGCGGCGAGTTTCCACGCCAGTGTTGGAGGTCAGCCGCAGATTTCGACCGCTCCGTACTATTTGGATACACAGATATGTTCTGGCAGCTATCTCCGCGCTACGTGCCTATGCCATCAATGGTCGGTCGGCAAGGATTCCTGCAGGTATCATCACATTATCTCTTGTGGGAACCGGGATAGACATTGTGCGTACGCTTCAGCTCAGGCTTTCGCGGGCGATTTTGAGCGTTGATGCATCGGTAGCAGTACAAGGCCTTCGGAATAATCAGGATTACCGTACCCTCTCCAGTCGGTTGTGCGTTGCTATGGGCCAACTCCAGCGCCGTCTTACAAGCGTTCGTCGTCCTCTAGCATTGATGCAGCGATAGTACTGACAAGAATTGCCATACAGGATAGGTACGAAAGTCCCTGCTAGCTCGTTTGTCAGTGTTAAGATGGTGTTCATATAATTGTTTACCTCGCAGTGCGGTTCACAGGTCAAGCATCTTCGACCGTGGCTGAGTCTTGGTATTGGTGACGACCTGGCACGCCGCGCACGGTTTCAAGCGAACAGCTCGTCGCCTGAATTTCAAGCTTCCAACGACGACACTTATACTCAGAGACGGTAAGTGGTCATTCAATCTTGGAGACGTGCACGGCTGAGCTATCTGTTCGTCAGGTACAATCTACTTCAGGTAGGTAAGTTGGTTATTGAGAACATTCAGACGACAATATTGACGAAGAGTTGGGAAGTATCATCATTGTGCTTCTCATTCTCAACGGTGTACTGAATCAGCTCAAGGTAGGCATAATCAAATCACGTCCCATTCCCTTGCTTTACGAGTGCGGTATCACCTTTTCAGAGCAACAGCTTCACAACACCGCATACCTATACGTATGTCTTCACTCTCAGTCAAATGCACTGATCGGTCACTCATTCTTATATTCATCAACCCAGACTTCAATCCATCATCATCTCACGTTTCTTCCTCAACCTCCGCAAAGTCGCCCTGATGCCCGAAACGGCCTCAAGCCCGTCACAGATGTCCGACATTCACTCCTCGCGAGTGCTAGGCAATATCGGCGGGTCGCTCGTCCATGACATCGACGAGATCGACCATGAGGATGAAGACCACGTTGACAACGGAGACGATGGACCTGCACAAACATCCGACATTGAGATGGAACCCATTGGAGTGACACAGCGAGCTTGATTCTCGCCATACCATGATAGAGGACCGATGCTACCGACCTGCAGCATTAATACACACGTAATAATGATAACATAGACCCATCCTCGTGCTCTCTTTGCAGACACGACGCAGGTACTTACCTGAAGCTCACTCAGGCCTGCGGTAGCTGTGATGTCTTACTTAGGCCAGCTGCGCCGCGTAGCGGACGCGGACGTGTGCGGATATATTACCCAAGAAAGTCAATAGAAACATCACTACTTATATCCTGGTCTGTGCCAAGTCTGTGCTACAGTCCATTACAACGTAGCATCGAAGTCGAACTGGTTGAAGCGAGCCTCAGGAAAATATCGCGCCCTAACCTTCCGCCCACCAAAGTACCGGCCGTCAAGCTCTCTCACGGTCTTCCAAGCCCCAACGGGACCGGCAAATAGCACGAAGATGCGGACTGCATCATCGGGGTCGTCCGGAGAAGGATACACGGGGTGCACGATTACTCGCTCGACTGTGCCATTCTTGGAGCACTCGCCGCCTAAGGAGACGCTGTCAGCGATCATACGCCAGCTACATGATCACAACGACGACCAACCTATATCGTCCCTGAGATCCTCATCTTCCACGTCTTCAGGGCCAACCATGTTGGTAAGCACCACAACACGACTCGGCTCTCCGAACCGTTCACGATCTTCGCGAGTCTTCGCGTCCTCATTGAGGTTCACGATCTTCCCCATCTTCGATCCAGGACCAGAAGGTTTACCGGCGTCCTTGCCTTTGCCCTTGCCTCCCGCAACTTGCTCGACGGTAAGGGCATGCACTATCCCGCTACCGTCAGCACCAAGGCCCTGGCCCTCTTTGTGTCCCCATTTAGCCATGAGACGTGCGGCAAATCCATGAGGATCGGGTCTGCTCAGCTAGTCAGATTCAATCCGATGAACTACATAAAGGCACGCACCTTTTCTGTAGAGCTTCCTCCACCGTCGGAGATGCAGAGGAGGAAGGGTCCGTAGACCCAGCAGGCGGTGCCAAAGCGCGTAGTTTGGCGGCGATCGCTGCGGCAGCCTCCCGGCTGCTGCGAACCTTGTCCTCAGATAGCCCGATTGGGACAGGTGCAGGTGGCGGCGGTACAGAGGAAGGGGGAGCGAAGGGGTTATAGGCGAGCGATGGCGACGGACGTTCTGGTTCAGAAAGCGGCCCTGGCTGTGCACCCATTTGTGACATCGCGGCACGACGAAGAAAGGCATCTTCTCCGGTATCCACAGCTTGAAAAACTGGAACAGAAGGCGGAATACTAAGACCTGGTATGTCGATCTCGTCGTCGTCTGTTGTAACCAACGATGGGGCCGAACGGCTGAGCGGTGGAATAGAGGACACTGGTATTGTTGGCGGAGTTGCTGCTGGCGGAGGCGTATTAGAGGCCGACGGGGTGAATCCGGTTACCAGGGGTGCGAACGCAGGTGTCGGGGGTGTGAATACAGACACCGGTGGTGCTAAAATAGGTGCCAGGGCTGCTGGTGCTGCTGGTGCTGCTGGTGGACGAATACCCATCGACATCGCAAGACGTCGCTGATAGGCCTCGTCACCCGTAAGGTTGACGTCAACCGCAACTGGAGGCGGGACGGGCGGGACAGCACTACCTAGACCGCGAGGACCATCGTAGTCTTCTTCCGGCTCCTCGAATCGCCCTGCATATAATGAGATCACGATTGCCGCAGAAAGACATGTCACGACAACCAAGTCACACACCTGCTTTACGGGGCCGCTCATCCTCAGAGCCGCTGCCATAGCTGTCGGAATAGCTACTGCTCCGCCGCACTCGTTTTCGCTCTTCCGCACGTCGTCTTTCTGCTATCATCTGTTCTCGTCTTTCTTCGCGCTCCCGCCTCTTCCAGTTCTTATATTCGTTGTAGTCATTGGGGCGCATGGAGTCGTAGGCCTCCGAGGGGTCCCATACAGCGATGACAGGTGCGTTCTTGTTCTGCTATAGATCAGCCGGGAGTTCTCCCTTACAACCAATATTGTCTGCATACCTTTCGCCCTTTCTTCTTTCCGCCTCCACGCCGTTCACCTCGCTGAGCCTTGAATCCGTTGATATCCTCGTCGAGAATCATGGACGGCGGCTTGACCTTCTTGCCCCAACCTTGAGCCTGTGGCTGAGAGGTCGCTGGCGCCTCTTCTATCTTCGATTGTTCGACAAGGGACGGCGGGGCGAAGACGACGGCGGTGCTTGAGATGGTTGCGGTCGACGATGCGGCGGCGGAGGACGCTTGTGTTGCGGCGACCGCAGCGCCCACAGGGAGCCGCGCCGCAGGTGCCCTTGCTTTCTGGACCGGATTGCGGCGCACGGGTGCAAAGGCGAGGCTTGCAGACCATCCTGGCGATGACGGGACAGGTCCAGTGGATCATCGAATATTGAGGTTGAGGGATAGCATGGACGACGGGTTCGTGAATAAACGAGCTCTACAACGCCAATGCTGCATAGAGGGAGAGATACCGGCTGTGGCTTTCACCGAGCTTCCATCGGTGGCAGCATTAGTGCTCGACGCCGTGTCGGGCACGCTGGTGGTCGGCGGTACTTGTTCGCTTGAGGGCGAGGCGGAAGGCGCGAGGCCTCTGTCGTGGGCTGGTGCATCGGTGGGCCCCTGAGCGTCGTGTGGACCAGCGGAAGTGCTGAATGCCTTCACAGAGGAGAACTGAATGCCTCCGTAGAGCCCGCCTGCTCTGCTAGACATTTCGTTTGGAAAGCAAGGATGAGAGTAGGAGCGAAGAAGCGTGGGAAGTAAGTACCGTCGCTGTTACTGTAGGGTTATGATTCGCTCAATAAGTCAGTAATTAGATAAGTACTGCATTTGTTACCATCGTATACACTGACTAGTAAATATCATAAGTACCGACTCATTGAGCGAACAAGGCTTCGCGGTTGCTTCGCGGATATGTGCATGTGTAGTTGATTTGGAGGTCAGAAGTGCTTTCTGTGTGAACAGGTCTTGCGGATGATGTCCAGGCAATTGCAATTAATTCGAAAGTGCAGGACGATACGGACATTTAAAGGCCTCAGAAACGGATTAGATAGAAACGAGTAAAAGCCAGCTGCAGTGATAGTGACATGGGAGCATTATGAGGTCAGTTACTCTATAGATGTACTGTTCGCGTGAGTCTAAAGGACGTAGGGTACGTCCTATGCATCGACTTGTATAGGGGCATCTACACCTGCGCTATTACTGTTCTTCCAGGTGACGAAGTCGTCCAGTAAGGTCGGCCAGGCCTGCACACGCATCATATACATAAGTAACGTCGAAAGCATTCACAATTAAATGAACGACACATACCCCCTCTGGATCATAGTTAGATAGATCAGGCCGGACCACACGGACGAACTCCAGTGTCTATAGGTAACAACGACAGTCACGTCAGTTGCCTGTCTGGCGTGGACCGATGCACGTCCACAGTGAATGGTATATACACGAACCATGCTCCATAGGTCCTTGTTCACGCCTTTGTACGTACCCCTCTCCTGCACGGATGTGTGTCAGTTTGGCCCGGTCACTTCTCGATTGATCATACTTACATTGATGAATCGAAGAATATCGGACATCAGAGGGTGTTTGGGTACCAACAACACCGACCAAAAGGCGCTCGCAGTCTGCCAGAGATTATAGAAGTCGTTAGCAGTGGAAACCTTTAACAATAAGTCGGTCACAACTGACATCCATGTCAATATTTCTTGCTCCTCTGGATATTACATTAGTCCTCTGATGCTCGTGCCATAATGGTAGACTCACGGTGGCTTCGCGAGCGCGAAGCAGAAGGCATAAAGCTCGTTGAAGGCTTTCTTCGTGTCTGAGGCATACCCGTAGTATCGAGAGCGATTGTAAGGATCAGAAGGAGCGGACGACGCAGTTGGCTTCTTCTTCGCCGGGGCAGGAACCTGCGCTGACGGCCTCAACGCTGGTTTGTTCAAGAGTAGGAGGTCTTCTAGGTCATGGAGAGCGGCGGAAAGCGCTGGCAGACTCGAGATTCTGATGTTCGACCATGAGAAGGACGAGCGAGCTTCCACAATAAGTTAACCCATACCGGAGATCTGTCGTTGCCTTCTCCCATTCACTTTTGCTGATCTTCGCCATCTCACTAGCTTGCAGCTGCCATGCTAGAATGAGAGGCAGAGCACCTTCCAATGAAATGTCGGCATCCGAACAGAGTCGCTCGAAGCCCTCTGGGCCTACGACAGTTGGATCATCCGGGTCGGCATACGAGCTGAAGAGGGATGTGGCAGACGCGGCAGAGTATGGACCTGGTTCGGATGATTTCGTAGGCTTTGCGGGTTTTGTAACGGGAGCTGACGCTGCCTCCTGTGTTCTATGGACATGTTTGTGAGGAATGCAGCACAGAAAGGATGACACCTTCATGAAACGTAGTAGATGCTGCCACGTGACGGCAAGGCGGGTCGTGCTCAACCAAGTTCTGCACCAGGCTCGGGAACACCGACGAGAACGAGGGTGGCTGGTATCGGACGTACTCTGTAACTTGCCCGACTGCCCGCACGACAGAAGGAGACAGGAGGCTGGAGGCAGTACTCACCTGGCGTCGGACCGTGGCTGGACGTACGTAATTAGCCGTAAATAGCTCGGGAAGGGAACCGGGCATCACCTCCTGGGTGCTGGGTGTGTATGGTTAGGGTTGCTCTTCGGACGTGGTCGACGCTCAGCAGACTCACTTCACTGCCACCGCGCCTTTTGCTTGCGTCCGTGGTCCTGCAGCCTTCCGGGTGCGCTTCGCCTGCGGGGCAGTCTGACGACAGGCGGATGGGGGATGCTGTTCAGATGCTGCCGGCAAACTCACCTCAACAGCGTCGGGCACGTCTGCTCCAGGCGTCCCCTCGGTCTCAACCGTGGCTGTCCTACTCCTGGCTGCGCGCGCAGAGGCGCGGGTGGCTCGTGTAGACGTGCTGCTCGCCTCCGACGCAGCATCGTCCGCCCGTTTGCGCTGTCAGGGGAAGATGAGATCAACATGTTGTACACGGCTACTTAGCCACTCCAGACCTTTGGCGGCATTGTGAAGGAACAAGGAGGCTGAGGTGCGTGGCAGCACAAACAAGATCGGGCACGTCGAGGACGAGGAGAAACGCGCCACGCTTGGCGCTGCAGCCGAAAACGCGTTGTATACATGAGCACGTGCCTCGCGGAACGGCTGGATTCGTCCTCGACTTCATAAGGCAAGTTAATTTCCCCATTAGTCCGTCAATACGGGCCGCACTGTCGGCAGTCCTCCATCCAGTAAGTGCACAAAATTCAAAATTCAATGTCCAAAAAGGCGCAGTTGCTTCCCTCTGAGACCGTTCAAGCTAGCGACGAAGCAAACCCGCCCACAGGCAGCCATGCGTAGAGGAATGTCGCTTCGGTGCGCCTGTGTTGTTTCTATGCCAATGTCCGGTCGCCGCCTACGTTCTGACTGCTTGCTAGATATTTCAGCTAGCGTCCAGCGGGCTGTACCCCATTATAATGTCTACTGTCGGGCTTCATCACGATGTTGCCTTCTGTTGCATCTGTCCCCGGCCCTTGACCGAACGTTGAGTCTCAGCTGGATCACGGGTATGGCGGCAGCTGCGACGTGTCCGGACGGCGACAAATCCACACCTTTCAATGCCACCATTCAATCTTTCGAACAACTGCGTCCAACAAACAGGATCAAGCGTCTCTGGGAGACATACCATTTTGCCGGCATACAAGTGGGTCATCTTTGTCTTCTTGGGGACATTCAACTGTGACATTGTCCTCATGATGCAACTACCGTAGTCGCACGCACGGGCACCGTAGTAGCCCGGCGTAGTATTTGCGCACCGCTGTGCTACCCACATATGTCAATGTGCAAAGGGACGCTCTCTGCTGCTGACCAAATAAAAATCTTGTTTCTCTTTGTGCACCGGATTTGGACATTAGCTTCATCTAGCTCCATAACAGTCTATTGACAGAACCCACCTGCCGCTGTGCGCCTCAGTCTACTGTGCATCGTGCATTACACGCTGGCTCCAAGACCGCCCGACATGTGTTCCGCCTTTGTCGCGGGCAAGACGTCGCGCCCCGCGGCGTGGCACGGATTTGTAGTCAAATTTTGAATTCGATTCCGAACAGTCATCTGTCCACGAGAGGGCGTGGTTTGGGCGTGACTACCTTTTGGACTCAGCGTGCATCCGAGTTTGCGTCCCACGGAGGACAGTCGGTGTCTGTTGGGTCGTCTTATTGTTGGGATAGTTTGACTCGTTCCCAGGCAATTGTTTGACAACGGACCGGGCACTGAGTCAGTCCAATCAGAACGGTATCGGAGAAGAAGAACCACATGGCTGCGTTGAGCCGAGCAACCGTAACACAAGGACTGCCTATTCCGGCACAATGCGCCCTACTGAACGCCGCCACCCCGGACATATATAGCCCGCCACCCCGGCCTGCCCTGCATGCAACAGCTCGCGTGCCGCCCTTCCGCCCTACTTTTCGTTTTCTCCCCCTACACTGTTCTATATTGTCTACCGCAGCCATAATGTCTAGTTTTCACTCCTCTACCGTGAGTACACGTCCGATCGGCGGGCCAACAGTCAAATTCATGCTCATCGTGATGCCCCACTCTGCAGGAGTTGAGATCCCACTGTGGCACAGAATGCCTGCTTGAGCAACCCACTGGCTCGCATCGAGTCAAATATCACGGCGCTGGCGACCACTCGATATGGGACTTCGCCCTTGAGACGGAGCACCGCCCAGTCGACGTGTCCCTCGTACTCCCGCATTATCGCGCCCGCAATCAACCGTTCGACCATCGCTTATCTATGTATGTTAGAAGCGAGAGGGCAGAGTCGATGAAAGTCAAAGTCGTACGTCTAACTGTCTCATCCTCTGCGATCCGTGTCTGACTCCCAGCCGTAGTGCCGAATTTCCTCCCGACGGGTCCACCAAGTTCCAGCTCGAGGTCCACTCCGCGTCCAATGCGGACATCACTATCTGGCTCCCATCGGACTTCCGTGGGCGTATCCACCGCTCAGCGCACTGCAGACGCGTCTCGTTCTCCGCCGGCTTCACAAATCGCATCATGCAAAACGTGTGCATGACGCAGTCCCGCCGTCCGTCCCTCGTCGCCGCCATCGACAAACACATCACTCAGTACTCCGACATCTACATCTCCGACGACGCCGGCGTGTACTCCGAGAAGGAGCACTGGAACGCCGGATATATCTGCGGGGGCACCGAGGAGGACGAGGTCATCGTGCACACCGCCGGGCACGTCACCTTCCGCATGTGGGACGTCCACCGCAGCGACCAGAGGCCCGCTGTCGCGAGGCGTGCAAGCGCGTGCTCGGTCTCGGCTGGTGCGCCAAGCGCGCTCCGGAAGTCGCCATCGACTGGGACTTCCTCTGGACGACTAGCGACCATGTCTGATACATGACTAGAACATGGCATCGATTCCAAATACTGTTCCTCCTAACCAGCCCCCGTCTCTTTTTGCGCTGTCGTGCATATCTGCTTTCGAACACAATCACCTTGTATCACACGCATCTACCACGACCGTTCCTGTAGCCATTATGATCTCTCATCGCGATTCTCCCCATCTGTAGCATCAGTCTTATCACATACACGCAGTGCGCTGCTCGTTTCATAGTAGATTCAGATACCTCTCATGCAATATGCAATGTTATGCACCAGGTTAATACCGCTATATACCACGTCCTATGGCTACAAAATGAATGGCTCCACGCTCCAACAAGAAATGAACATGAACTGCGCATGGAGCAGATGCGCAGGTGCATGGATGGAAGTGATGTACATAACTTACACCGCGGCAACATCGGCATCTTGCCCAACAGTCGACAAACACTGCTCCAGGACCTCCAACAACGCGGGGTTCTCCAGGCGGCCGCGACACGCTCCTTGTCATTGAGCTGCTTGTTCACTGGCCCTTATATTAGACGCAATACTTGAAGAGGCAAGATAACTCACAAGCATGCTCGCTTTGATGAGACCCAGGTTTCACGCGTATGTCCACCTTGTATCGGTGAGGCAGGCTCCGGAGCAACCGTACGCGGATGGAAAGACCTACGATGACCACGGGTGTCAGATCTAGATACGATCGTATCAGAGACAGTGTGACTCACCGATGAAGGTGCTCATTCCGCAGTGAGGCACCGTCGGAGTGAACTCGACGGTGAGTCTGTCTGGATTCCGCGCATCGAACATGATCTGAGGGGCTGAGACGACCGCCAGCTGCTCGAGAGACATGTTTCGGTGCTCGGGATCGGATATGGAGCGTATGAGCTCTGAAACAAAGAACGTCAGACATCGCAGAAGACTGCGACGTGAGGGATGTGTGACTCACCGAAAATCTCATCCTGATCTATTGCCTCGGTCTCATTCGAGTCATCCAACTCTTCGTCTCGGTGCTCGCCATCATCGAGCCAGAGGGAGTTCAGTCTGACACCAGGAGGGAGAGACCGAGCGGATTTAGTTGTGGCAAATACTGTGGGATTTGGGTTGAAGACCTCGCCGGACATGGTTGTTTTGGTCAGAGTGGGATTCGTAAGACAGTCGTAAGACATGACGGGTCGGTACGATCTCGATCTCGATCGCCGACCACGTGTTTAGCATTACCACCAGATCTCATCGGCTTTCGGCGTTGGGACGATGAACCTGGACAGTGGTCGCCTGATGGCCGCTCGGATTACTGTCGTCAGTCACTCTGCGGTCACTGTACACTCAGGACTGCCGCTATAGAACAAGCAACGCATTCTCCACATTGTTAAACCGGCAATAGCAAGCGTAGCTACTTAGCTATTTGTGAGGGTTCGTGAGTAGTAGAAATACAAACTCGAGCCGACTAGCACGCCGTGATGTTCATATTCAGAAGCTCATTTCCAGCCTTCACAAAGTAATAGTCGCCTAGAGATGACGCATAAGGCGTAGCATTAGGCATGATGCAACGTAAAACGCACCATACACAATGCCAGTGAGGTTGTTGTGCTCGGGATTGTTCACCGTGCCATTCGCGAGCAAACTCTGCCACGACGGACGCCACGCAAGTTCGATGTTAGCTCGCAAAAGCTATTGAACCACTTCTCAGGGGTACACAGTGACTACGACCAGCATAAATACGTACCTCTACCGCAGCCTCGATGTAGTAACTGTATCCCGTTGTGTTCGACGGAATCAGCGACGCCTCTTGTTGAGCGAGCAGTATCAGACCATTGGCGGCGACCATAGCTGCTGAGGAATCTGCGGGTCTGGGTGGCGTCAGAGGGGCATTGAAATCCCTTTCAAAATTCAGTCACGGGGTCCCATCCTCAGCAACACAGTGTCTCACCATGGTACCACGCCATCGTCAGGTAGATGTGCGAGGAAATAAGACGCCATGTGCCGCGATGTCTCCAAGTAATCGAAAATGTGGGTATGCATGTACACTGTAGGGGCATCAATCGCGCTATGCATAAAATCACGCTATACGTACTGTTCGCAAAGCCATATATCCCCCAGGCTTGACCTCGGCTCCACGTGCTATGAGACACTTAGAAATCATGCACGGCGAATGAACCAGCAACAAATATTTTTCACCTCGAATTCGAATATCCTTGAGCTGTAAAGCGAGCAATGACGTCGCCACTTGTAGCGTTGTACTCGACAACGTGGAAGGAAGAACCTGTACAACTCTTAGCCACGACCGAGAAGGTTTCAAGTGGTAGTCTTTACCGTCTGGACGGACATGGTGTTGCATTGTTTTATTCGCATGCGAAATGGCCATGTCAACGAAAGTCCGGTTGCCTGTCAGAGCCTCAGACACAAAGAAGAGCTACGAAGGCTGTTAGTTCCTAAAATTGTCGGAGTTGGTTCATCTCTCACTTCGAGATTCATCATGTTGTCCATAATAACCTTCGGTGAGAATTGGATGTAAGTTCACTGCACCAACAATAGTTTAAGCACACATACTTCGAAGTCAACGGGGTTCGGCGTGTCCCAGCTTCTCGTACACCCAACAGTCGGATTAAACCGTGCAGCCAGATCGGCTGCAAACTGATTGACAGCAGTAATGGCCGTCTGGTTACCTGGGTCTCTACCGCCTCATAAGTCTATGAGCCGTACAGCCACAGAAAGCAATACTACTCACACCTCCAACTCGGCAATGAACGGATAGCTGACAAAACCGACATCGTGCTGCAACGTGTTATTGGTCTCGAGAGGAATTTCTGCTGAACCCCATTGACGACCCAAGGTCAACCATTCCGAAACGTTGTCCGCTTCCCAGTGACAGTACTTCGCGCGCTCATACATAGCGTAGAGAGTAGCAGGGAAGAACCCTGTGGTCCAAGTGTCAGGGCTGAAGTAAAGCCATTCTCCAACCGTACGGTCCGTGTATTGAGGATATTGCATCGGATTCGGGGGCACGAGAGCAGTGGTCCGTATCTTCTCGGCTACTAGAGCTGAGTAAAGCTCTGCAGGTGGGCTCGAGAAGGAGCCGGCAACGACAGAGGCACCGAAAAGTACGAATCCGAGAACTCCGAAGATGGACATTTTGGCGTGAAGATGATGGACGAGGGCGCGTATGGGCCATCGGTAGACTGACGGTTATATATGAACTCCATGCACCGGCCCGTAAGTCTTTCGCACTGGACCCAGGTTGGCTACTGAAGCTGGAGTCCAGCGTGCTCTCGACCGCGTGACCATCGGTCTTGGGAGTCGGACCGCAGACAGTGAGACTCGGCAGAGGCAAGAAACCATCTACCGTCGCGCACGCAGCGCCCACCTGTCGACTGTATTCAGGATGCATGAACTTCACGAGACAGGACAGCGCTGACCAAGCGGACGCTGCAGAGGCAATGTCCGGTCGTTGACTTCGAGAAAAGGGCGTCCGTCATGTTTATGCGACGGGGAGTGCAACCCAAGCACCACGCCAATTTAATACGCGATACGAGCGGCCTTCAGGGAGTTATACGCCGCGACTTAGAGAGTCATCGAGCAAACCCTTGGCAAGCTGCAGAGGGTGATGGGCAAGTAATGGGATCAGAGAAAGACTGAGCCGCAGCGTGCGCAGAGGCGCAGAGTCGCGACGCGCGTCCGGCGGAGTTTCACTGGGCCACACGCATCCTGCCCTGTGCAGTACAGCCAGCTACGCTTTGCACGCAGTCTCCTCCTCTCATCTCTTTCTCCCGCCTCTTCCCGTCCCTCTATTCCTCTACACCATGGGTACTAACACGATTGGCTCGGAGATTGTCAACGTCATCAACAAGCTCCAGGATGTCTTCAGTGCTGTCGGCTCTTCGGCGTCTCAGATAGACCTCCCGCAGATATGTGTACTCGGAAGTCAGAGCAGTGGCAAAAGTAGTGTGCTCGAGGTATGTCTTACCGTCAGCGACGCTCAATGTTATGACGGTGATCGTCTCTACAGAATTTGGTTGGGAGAGACTTCTTGCCACGGGGCACGGGTATCGTGACGCGACGACCATTAGTGCGTGTTCTGTCCCTCGAGAGACGCTACTTCTGACTGGCGACAGGTTCTCCAACTCGTCAACCGACCACCTACTGGGCAAGCAAACGGAGCCGGTATGCTCGGTGTTTGGACATATGGTACCCAGCCGAGAGCTGACCTCGCGTTGATGTAGCCAAAATCACAAGTGATGACCCTAATGCCAACCCCGATGAGTGGGGCGAGTTCTTACACCTCCCGGGGGAGAAGTTCTATGACTTCAACAAGATTCGGGTGGAGATTGTTCGCGACACAGAGGCGAAGACAGGCAAGAATGCCGGTATTTCACCACTGCCTATCAACTTGCGGATATACTCGCCGAATGTCCTCACGTTGACACTCGTCGATCTTCCTGGGTTGACGAAGGTCCCCGTAGGCGACCAACCACGAGACATTGAGAAGCAGATTCGAGACATGCTGCTCAAGTTCATTTCGAAGCCTGCATGTATCATTCTTGCCGTCACGGCTGCGAACACGGATTTGGCCAACTCAGATGGTCTCAAGCTTGCGAGAGAGGTAGATCCAGAAGGACAACGGACAATCGGTGTGTTGACGAAGGTTGACCTGATGTAAGTGCAATGAATCTCTCGCATAGCACGATCTAACAGCGCGTAAAGGGACGCCGGAACGGACGTCGTGGACATTCTTGCTGGGCGCATTATTCCTCTCCGACTGGGCTACGTGCCCGTCGTGAACCGTGGCCAGCGTGATATCGACTCCAATAAGCTTATCAGCGCTGCTCTGGAGCACGAACGGCAGTACTTCGAGAATCATCCTTCGTACAAGGGGAAGGCACAGTACTGCGGCACGCCCTTCTTGGCCCGGAAACTCAATGTTGTACGTGTCTACGTCGTGTTTCACGTCTCAAAACTGCTGCTCATGTGCCTGGTTAGATCCTCATGGCACACATTCGCGCTACGCTGCCAGACATCAAGGCACGCATCACTCAACAACTGCAGAAGTACAACGCTGAGCTGCTGAGCTTGGGTGGCGCTCTTGGTGAAGGAAGCTCGGCCAACATCGTGCTTTCTGTGATCACCGACTTCTGTGCCGACTTCCGGACGGTGATCGACGGTAACACGAACGACATCTCTTTGAACGAACTGTCGGGTGGTGCTCGTATCAGCTTCGTTTTCCACGAATTGTTCAACAATGGCATCAAGACCATTGACCCATTCGACCAGGTCAAAGATGGTGACATCCGGACCATCTTGTACAACTCCTCCGTGAGTACAATGCTTATGCCGTCTCCGAACAGCTTTCTCATGTCCATTCGTAGGGTTCAACGCCCGCTGTCTTCGTTGGGACACAAGCCTTCGAGGTCATTGTGAAGCAACAGATTAAGAGACTGGAGGACCCCAGTCTGAAGTGCTGTCAGCTCGTCTACGACGAGCTCATCCGTATCTTGGGTCAGGTCCTGCAAAAGATTGTAAGTCGACGTCCTTCAATTATTGATGGCCTCTATGACGCAATGCGGTGTTATAGCAAGCATTCAGGCGGTTCCCCGCCTTGCGAGATCGCTTCAACTCCGTTGTCGTCAACTTCTTCAAGACTTCTATGAACCCTACTACCAAGCTCGTAACAGATATGGTTGCGTAAGTTGTTCTGCTGCGATGTTCCGTGGCGTCATCCGATATTTCTCCGTCAGTATGCAAGCGTGCTACGTCAACACGACACATCCCGACTTCATCAACGGCCATAGGGCTATGGCGATCGTGCAAGAGCGATTGGCCGCGAAACAGCCACCACCGCCCACTGCTGACCCGAAAGGCGGAAAGCTTGCCCCTGGTCAGATCAACAACAACAAAGATCTTGACGTGGAGGTGAAGCAGGACAACAGCTTCTTCGCCTCGTTCTTCTCGGCCGGCAAGAATGCGCCGAAGAAGAAAGGTGTCGCGGTGATGGACGCGGTGGGTCCAGGATCACGCTCCTTCCAGTGTACCCAACTGATCAATGTGTAACAGCCACCATCCGTCATCCGTCCTCAGGCTGCCTTGAACGAGCGGGAGACGATGGAGACGGAGGTCATCAGTAGGTGGCCCTTGCATGTTTGATGATCAGTCCTGCTCATCGGTCACGCGACAGAACTGCTCATCCACTCGTACTTCAACATCGTCAAGCGGGAGATGATTGACATGGTCCCGAAGGCCATCACACTGACGCTCGTCAACCACTCGAAGGAGAACCTGCAGCGGGAGCTTCTTCAAGAGCTGTACAAGCCCGAGGTGCTCGATGACCTGCTCAAGGAGTCCGAATACGTTGTCAGCCGCAGGAAGGAGTGCGTCTCAATGGTGCAGGCACTCAACAAGGCCGAAGAGTGAGTGGTTCGCCTGTACCGTGCTCTGAGAAACTGACTGACCCGACCGGCTATGCAGGATCGTTGCTGGTGTTTGATCTTCCTCGAGGCCTTGACACTTGTTCTGCTCTTTCAATCGTCTTGTCGAATGGTTGTCGTCGCACATGCGTACTATAGTAATACCCGGTGTACATGGATGCTGGTGCCGTAGATTTTATTCCTCGTCGCTCACGGCGAGATCTTGTACATTCCCTCACTGGTGTTTGGTCTATTCAATGTTGAGCTTGTAACCCAAGGACAACCCCAGGATGTTCGACGTTGGGCGTCTTTCAGACCAGCCGCATTACACAACACGGAGAATGTATTATAGCAACAACAATTCTTGACGTACAACATTCCATTTCCTTCTGCCCGGTTCGCGATCCTCAGTTAGATATGCCACACCCTGTTGTGCCCTGAGCGAGAATCATGCGCCGTAGTTGAGGCGGAAAATGTCGTTGAAGCTAAGGAGCCATGAGCTTGTGTACTATGAGTCAACTTGGCGCCGCACTCACACATAGAAGCTCCCGCCCTCGGGGACGAGCTGGAAGACCTGGCTGAACTGCAGGGGGTGCTGGTTGTCATCCACCTATAGCACAGATACTGTGAGCTCAGAGGGAATATCAGGGGGTTGTATGACGCACAAGCAAGAGGCCGGTCACGCTGACAATCATGTTCGACATCGTTGGGTCAGACGGCTGCGCATCCAGCGTCGTGACCTTGTGCTGCACCTTGTCGAAAGGGAGCGCCTAGCAGTGGGTCAAGGTTTGGGTCAGTACACGCGAACACATGTCGGAGACGACCTCGCCTACCGTCAGCTTCTCGGAGATGTTAGCAGCTCCCAGGACCTGGTTGCCCTCCCACGACAACATCGAGTTCTGACGCTGCACCGATGTTGAAGAGGCGTTGATCAGGACCACTCGCTGGCAGGGATCGCGTCAATCAACGCGAAGGCGGACGACGCACGTAGAGGCCCTGGAGGTCGGCACGGTTCGTGTCGAAGGTGGTGTAGTAGAAATCGGTGAACTGCTTGGCGACGGTGTTGATGTCGGTCATCGCGGGAGACTATGCTACAGAGAGACAGGGGCGGAAGGAGGACGGAGGCCGTGGAGGACGCGGGGGAGGTGCGGAGGACTGGTCGAGGAGGCAGAGATCGCAAAAAGATCGGCGCGCGGACGAGCACGCGTCGCGTCCCACGAGGGCGCGTTGATAGATGCTCCCACAGTAAGTGGGGTTGTAATGAGAGTAAGCAGGGGAATGAAGGGGGTATAAGAGAGCGAAGGTATTGGCGGGATAGATTACGACTGAAGGCCCTATTCTGGCGACGATCGAGAGAAGGATGTCGGCCTTCAACTACACTCCAGGCATGCCCATGGCCGCTCCTCTTCCTCCCATGATCCCCGCAGACTCAATGGCGACCCGCCCGGGCGTGCGCCGCAAGTCGTCGGCGCAGAATCTCCTGTCCTCCTTCAAGAACAGAGATCCGTCTGCGCAGATCGGCAGCGTCTCCTCGGCGACTGGCCAGCAGTTCGCGTCTGCTTCGACTCCTACCGCTCCCACCATGCCCCTGCCCCGCGACTGGGACGTGCAGTCTGGCCAGTCTGACCCCTCCGTCGCGTCCTCGGGTGCCTCTGCGGCGACGAATGGCTCGTTGGCACAAGGCACGTCAGTTGAGATGTTGAGGGAGCTGGTGAAGAAGCGAATCATCACGCTGACCTATCTGCGCAATGTACACGAAGGGTACGTCAAACCATTCCTCCTCCCCTGGAGTGAACCGAGCAAGTGTACCCAGGCGTACACATTGGTTCCATACCATCGTCATCACAAAAGGAGACCTCGAGAGGATATTCTCAAACGCTGCCATGAAGAACCGGTATGTGTTTGTGCGCTGCATGACTATTTGCGTGATCTTCAATGAGCCTGCAGAACATATCGATTTGCCATGCTCGGGATGGCTCTTGCCCATTTGTTTGATATCAAGGACCCAGCCGACCTTCTCCGCGGTTTCTCAAACGTCCTCAACGAGTACGAGACTCTCAAGGACGTCCCGAGGGACAAGGACGAGAATGACCGACCACGTATGGTGCGTGCCCAGGTCCCTATATCTCTATGCCTTTCCAGCTCATGTGTACTATTCGCCAGCGTCTGTTCAGGACAAGACCGAATAAAAGACAGCCTGGCGCTACCGACTACGCATTATCCTATGCAGACGCGTCCGATGCACCTTACCTTACAATGCCCCACGTCGTGCGTGCAATTCAACTATTGTTTGAGCTTCTCGTGACCATCTGCGCACACGGTTTCAGCCCTTCGCGCCCGACTACCACCAAACGCTGCTCTCCTTGCTCGACGTGCTGTCCGAGGTTTACAACAAAATATCGAAGATCCTCGGGCCTTCACCATTTCCAAATTCTGGCCACCACATGATGGGGCCTCTAGGATTGCTTTCGCCCCACCCGGGCGTCTCATATCTGTTCGCGGGCACGGAGGCAGCGGCGACACACGAGGGGGAGGCGAGTTTGTGGGGCATCGCGCATGCGTCAGGGTCGGGCACTCCGGCTGCGCTAGGTGCGGGCGGAGGGAACGTAATGTACGGGGGCGCGCTAGGAAGCCCACCGCCCAGCTGGAATACTGGCCTGGGTGATACGGTCAAGCAGATTGACAACAAGTTGAAGGTGAGTCCGACGCTTGTTCCTACACTATCAAGACGTGACGTTGCCGACAGAAAATCATTGCAACACTGCTCAAAGAGCTCGATGATTTCGCACGAGCTAACATCAAGGACGAACTGGCATCATTAGACCCGCTCTTGCGGAACGTCGCGGTACCACAGGAACCTCAGTACGACTTCGACTGAGCGATGGACGGACGCGCTCGGTGGGGACATTGCGACACATTGCGACATGGCCGATATCTTTATGTCTGTATCTATATACCGTGTACCATAGTAGCTCTAATTTGTGTAATATTCTGTGCAGCGATCTTGCTTGGGGCCTTGGGAACTTCGATTGCGACCGTCTCGACCCGCTGCCATCGTTACGCCAGCATGCCGTTGTTCCATCGGATTCGGCGGCTGCCAATTGCGAGACAGACAGACAAGGCACACCGACAGTGGTCAAGGCACTTGGACGACAGCACACAGAACAAGTCTGCCTGGTCGAGCGGCGTGCGCTGCGTGGTCCTCCATCAGCACGTAAAAATTGCTAGAAGCCGAATCCTGGGAGACCAGCGCCTCGCCGACGAATGCTGGTCGAGTCATAAAGCACACACAGCGACGAGAGGGGGAGAACAGCGAAGCAGTATAGCAGCAGAGCGCAGCGAGCTTGGACCGTAACCAGAGCGGTGCGCGGGAGGCAGTAGAACGATGTCGAGGAGTCGTCGAACAACGAGGAGCGATCTGAGAACGATCTATCAAGCAGTGGCACGGGCGCTCTTTCGGACAAAGATCTGCCGTATTTGGTAGTGTTTGATTACAAATCTGAGAGAAGTTTTGAGCGGAGTTTCAGACCCTCCAGGTATATAAGGCCGGGCTCTCGCGGGCAACCACCCCCTCCCCAATCCCGTGCTACCGAGTATATTCCCACGCCCGCGCTTTTGCGTCTTCAGCAATTAACTTTGTTGGACACACCCTCTCGGTCGTCGTGCAATCTACCTCATCATGTCTAACAACTTCGCTGCTCTGCCGTCGCGCCAAGTGACGTTCTCCAGACCAGCAAATGTCGCACAGCAGCCCTACCAGCAGATTCAGCAGCAGCAAGCTGCGAACTCTGGCCTTGCGTTGCCATACTCGTCGAACCCCTACCTACCAGGACCCTCTAGTCAGAACAGCCTGGCACTTCCAAACGCTGCGCCCACCGTATCTCCGTACCAAACACAACAGCAGCAACCGTCGTCTTCATACCCACAGAGTCAGACACAGGCCCAATCCCAGCCTCAGTCGAGCTCGTCATCTCAGACGGCAGTCGCTACCCAGCCAGCCCCTCTCGCTGGTCCTTCGACGCCGGGCCCAGTGCTGTCCCTGCCACTCCAGCGCCACTCACGCTCGAGCAGCAGCATATCACCGCGGTCGAAGGCATCGTCCCGACATTGCAGAACATCGTCGCGACGGTCAACCTGGACTGCCGGTTGGATCTGAAGACGATTGCACTGCACGCGCGCAATGCAGAGTACAACCCCAAGGTTTGTAATGCACTTTCTGATGTGTGAATGTCGGACTTCCCTCCGCATTCCACCTTTGTAGCGTTTCGCGGCGGTCATCATGCGTATTCGTGACCCGAAGACGACCGCGCTCATCTTCGCGTCCGGCAAGATGGTCGTCACCGGAGCAAAGAGCGAGGACGACTCGCGGCTCGCGTCGCGCAAGTACGCGCGGATCGTCCAGAAGCTTGGCTTCGACGCCAAGTTCTCAGAGTTCAAGATCCAGAACATCGTCGGTAGCTGTGACGTGAAGTTCCCCATCGTCTGGAGGGTCTCGCGTACAGCCACGGACAGTTCAGCAGCTATGAGCCAGAAGTGAGTGGCGTCATCGATTATTGTGTATGTACGAGTGGCTCATGAACATTCGGTGGTAGTTGTTCCCGGTCTCATCTATCGTATGATCAAGCCCAAGGTGGTCTTGCTCATATTCGTCTCGGGCAAGATCGTCCTCACGGGTGCAAAGGTAATCTTGACTTGCTCATGGACATGACTCCGTCGTATACAGAGCTGCGCTGACCAATCTCGTTCGTCGGCCTACTCAGGTCCGAGAAGAGATTACACCGCATTCAACACGATATATACCGTGTTGTGCGAGTTCCGGAAACCATAAGCTTCCCTCGCACAAGACCATCCCGCACTGCCGCGTCCGGCTCCGACCGCGCTACTTGCATCCATTGGTGGAGCGGTGGGAGAGGGATATTGGCATCCGGTTCTTCGGGGGCGGATGGCTAGAGACCGACAAAATTATGGACCTTCTACTCTATGAAGCCGACATTCTTCGCCCACTCCCTTACATGCCATAGTATAAATCCGATAGTAGGTAGCGCATATATGTTTATTTTGTCTCGTAGGTTCTGTAGCATTGTATCAATTACACGCAAGCATTGATTCGGGTTATGTGTTTTACTTGGCGTCCGTCGCGTTTGGTGTGGTCTCCCGTGCGATCGCAAGGTTCGGTGAGTGGTGATCGAGGGAGATCTGGTGAGATCGACTTCGTCCAGTCGCCCGAGGAGTCATCTTCTGAGCAACCTCAGCCCGACCACGGATATCGACCTCGTTCTTCATACTTACCACCATAACACACCATCCCTTTTGATAAAAGTACGACGATACGTCAGCAACGAACATGACTACAGATCCTCCTCTCGCGGTGCCAGACGAGTTGTCCGGAGACTCAACTGCTCCTACCACAGCGGCCGATGTTACATCCTCACTCGCTAAAGCATCCCTAGACGAGTGAGTTGCGCAGTAATTCACAACTACACCCTGTTTGACAACCCCAGCGCACCAATCACTCAATCACCTTCTGTTCCACTCACGCAAGTACCTGCAGCATCGCAGGAGACCTCGCCGGCTGGCGGAGGCGCATCCGCTCCGGCCATTAAACCAGCTCAGGAGGGCGCACACAACCAGGTGGTCACCCCGTGGGACGTAGAGGGTGCTGTCACCGACGACGGCAAGCAGCTCGCGATCGATTATGACAAGCTCGTTGACCAGTTCGGCACGCGGAGGGTGGATGCGGCGGTCCTGGAGCGATTCGAGCGGTTGACGGGCCATCGCCCACATGTCTTCCTCAGGAGAGGGATGTTCTTCTCCATCGGTGTGTATATAACATCCCGCTAGGAGCATGCAAGGGATTGACCTCGGATGCAGTGACTTCGACAAGATCTTGGATCGCTATGAGCAAGGAAAGCCGTTCTTCCTCTATACCGGGCGAGGGCCGAGCAGCGACAGCATGCATCTGGGGCACATGGTCCCCTTCGTGTTCACAAAGTGCGTCTCCGCCCGCTTTGCAGGCAACGCTGTCCTGAGGTCAGTCGAGATGGTTGCAGGACGTCTTCGACGTACCGTTGGTCGTGCAGTTGACTGGTGCGTCCGACACTCGTCTAATCGTGATGCGAACTAACATTCTGCTGCAGACGACGAGAAGTTCCTCTTCAAGCATGAACTCAAGCCTGAGCAGACATACGAGTTCGCGAGACGGAATGCGCGGGATATCATAGCTGTCGGGTTCGACCTCAAGAAGACGTTCATCTTTAGCGACTACGACTACCTCGGCGGCGCCTTCTACAAGAACGTCTCCAAGATCTCCCGTCAAATCACCATCAACCAGGCGAAAGCCACATTTGGCTTCAACGATTCGTGAGGTTTCGCCCTCCTTCATCGACATCCAGCCCACTCATCCTCTCCTGGCAGGGACAACATCGGAAAGATCCACTTCGCGTCTATCCAAGCCGCGCCATCCTTCTCCAACTCCTTCCCGCACATCTTCGGCACCGTCTCCAACATCCCTTGTCTCATCCCTTGCGCGATTGACCAAGACCCGTACTTCCGCCTCACGCGCGACGTCGCCGTCAAGCTCAAGTACCCCAAGCCCGCGCTCCTCCACTCCAAGTTCTTCCCGGCGCTCCAGGGCCCGCAGACGAAGATGAGCGCGTCGGACGTGAACTCGAGTATTTACATGAGCGACACCCCTACGCAGATCAAGAACAAGATCAATCGCCATGGGTTCTCTGGAGGACAGGAGACGGAGGAGGAGCACAGGCGATTGGGCGGGAACCCAGATGTGGATGTTGCGTACCAGTACTTGGGTTTCTTCCTGGATGACGAAGAGGAGTTGTTGAAGTTGGGAGAGGTATGTCGCAGTCTCCCGTCCTTGCAGACGAATGTAACATCCTCATCCCATCTGCGCAGGAGTACCGTGCCGGCCGCCTACTAACTGGCCAGCTCAAGGCAAGGTGCATTCAACTTCTGCAGGAGTTCGTGAAGAGCTTCCAGGAGGTCAGTGATGATCTTGCTGACGCTTGTAATCTGATCACTGACTTGGACGATGCGCTTATAGCGGAAAGCGAAGGTCACAGACGCCGACATCTCTGCCTTCATGGACTCGAGCCGCAAGATTGAGCCTACATTCGGCAAGAGCAAGGCCGCACCTGCGGCGTGAGTTTAGTAGTAGTCAGATAGACATGATGTAGGAAAAGAGAAGACAACAATATCGTGTTGTACAGGTAGATACATTTATGGTCATACAGAGGATGCCTTGAAGCCCGTAGCATGTAGGCTTGGCATGAACATACTCATCGTGCCTGCGGCCTCTGGCGTATCAGCCTCACCTCCGTCTCAAGGCCACACCTCACAAAGGCTCCTGCTGAAGCCATCGCCGCACCATCTCCAGTGTTTCCTTAGGTTTGTCATAGGGTGCCTGCATGGCCCGCACGGCGGTCAACGAATGCTAGCGAGGGATGATCGATGAGTATTGAGTGTTAGAACTCACCATATGTCCAGCGCCGTGAAAAGTGGCGAATGTGAGCGGTCCGGCACTTCTGGTCCTCCCCGCCACCGTCCCATTTTTAGTCCACTCTTACAAGGGCTGCTCGACGAAAAGACGGTGCCCGCTCCACTCCATGGCGAGGGTCATGCGCTCCAGCCCCATCTAGGAGTCACGTCAGTGAGGCCCGACGACGTGCATAGGCTCGTGTGGATTGCGCACCCCGGCTACGGACACTATGGCGAGGAAACGCAGTATTCACTAATGTCGTGTAATCCGATGCGGCAAGATCGTGGAGAAGGCTCGACGACATGAATGGTTCTTCCTCTGTTGTGCATTTCGACCCGACGACGACGGAGTGTGCTCACCTCCACGTCTGGTTGTAGTGTAAATACCGCTTCCACCACTGTGTATACCGACTTCATGTAGCAAAGGGTTGAATGAAGGGTGCCAAGAGTTCGACTCCTTCGTGCCAGTGAGGCCTATCACAACTGCCGTCGTATGCAGCAAGACCAAGAGCGACAACAGCATCGCCTATTCCCTCAGACTGTGCAGAAAGGACAACTGATAGATGAGAATGTAGCGCAAGCCGAGGGCTGACTACTCTTCCCAGCTGTATCTTGCTCGGCGTATCTTCTTGGTATCTCCCCATACTGCGCTCAATGACGGCCTGACGGACATAAGACTGCTTAGCTCAGTGTGCAGATCGTGTTGGAGGGAGGTTCTGTCTAGACAAGAGTACTGAGGTGGTGTTGTCGACATTGTAACAGGCCGACCTTTTTGAGGCTGAGTCACGGTAACGCAAGGACTGGTCAACGACTGCAGATCGCACAAGCGCTCAACATCAATGCGCTCACGTGAACGGGTCGACACGCTCATGGACCGACGCGCGTCGTGGCGCGTCACTGGAACTTAAGCTTAAGTACTTAAGTACTGCCAGTGGTACTCTTGGATGGATAGGGCAGCATTCATATGCCGCGCTGGGGACAGACTACGTCTATCTTATCTGCTGCAATGCTCTCGTCTCGTATTTCTGCCCTACTCGCTACCGTTGCTATCGTTGCGAGTGCTGCCCAATTCCCAGTTGTCCAGCCGAAGTTGCAGGCAAGAAACGCCCCAAGTGTTGGCCTCGGTGCAGACCAATACAATGCGGGCCTACTCACTCCGCTGAGAAACCTCTCCGCCCTGTCGATCGACGAGTTCATGACATTCTGTCATCCCCTCTTCCCCAACTACAATGTGCGCATCAAGAAGTCGGACTTTTGCGACGGTACCGTTGGGTATGTGCGCTACGCTGTCATGTGCATAACTAAAATGTGTCCAGAGCATACACAGGATACATAGACATCCAGGCCAGACATATCTCCTTCTACTTCTTCGAGAGCAGGAATGACCCCGCCAAGGACGACGTCATATTATGGGCAGACGGAGGTCCGGGGTGCTCTTCTGCTCTCGGTCTCTTCATGCAGCTCGGTGAATCATCGTGCCCTTTTCTTGTATATATTTTCTGAAGTTCACTCCCTCGTCCAGGCCCCTGTAGAATAACCAACCTTGACAACCTCACATTCAACCCGTACTCATGGAACAACAAGGCCAATATCTTCTTCATAGATCAGCCTATTGGCGTTGGCTTCTCATACGCGGAGTATGGAGAGACAGTCGTGAGTAGTAAGAGTGCTGTTATGTACTACTGATTGTCGAAACGCATGCCCAGAGCACGACCCCGGAGGCAGCCCAAGACATCGCCGCATTTGTTGCTATCTTCTTCGAGCACTTCGAACAATTCAAGGGACGTGCCTTCCACATGGCTGGCGAGTCATATGGCGTACGCATAACATAAATTACGCCTCATACACGGGGCAGACCACATCATTTTGAATCGTTCCTTTAGGGCCGCTACATCCCTGTGTTTGCCGCAGAAATTTACGACCAGAACACCAAGCTTGTTGAGGCAGGCTTAACCCCTGTCAACCTGTCCTCCATCATGATAGGTACGTCAGCCTTACGGGGTGCTCAGTCCTGCTCAGTATTCGGCTTGTCTTTGTCTAGGCAATGGGTGCACTGACTGGGTCTCGATGATACCGTCTTACTACGACATGACTTGCACTGCTGTTTCTGTCGCCCCGATTATGGACATCAGGTCTGTAGGCTCATTACCTCTGTATCTTACACCCATCTTTGCTGATGAAATAGTGTGCAGCTCATGCGTGCGCATGAAACAGGCAGTGAGTGTCTTCTCGCTCCTTGATCACACATGGATCGTGTCAAACACTGCATGGCGAGATTCCACGCTGCCGGGATGCGCTGCAGAAATCTTGCATAGAACAGTCCGATCGCTTGAGCTGCGATGCTGCAAAGCTCTTCTGCTCGGCCGAGATCGACGGGCCCTTTTTCGAAACAGGTGAGACAGTGCACTCGTGGCGTCGCACGATTAGCCCTATCGCTAACTGCACCGTCACAGGCTACAACCCGTACGACATCAGCAAACCATGGTAGGTACATCAAACCAAATGGGTACCTGATGCTAATCAACTAGCAGTTATGGTTCCGTCGACGAGACCCTCTGCTACCCATCAACAAAGTGCGTCGTCGCCGACCCTCAACCGAGCTACACTGATTTCCTGTCTTTCAATTCGCAGAGCGATCGGTGCTTATCTCGACCGACCGGATGTTCGCAAGCAGATTGGAGTGGACGCGTTCGTAGGCACGAACTTCAGCATCTGCAACGACGAGGTGCACGCGGCATTCGACCTGGCGAACGATCGGATGTTCCCAACGCAATTCTACATCAGCGCGCTTCTCGAGCGCGGTGTGCGTGCGCTCATTTACGTCGGCGTGAATGACTGGGCCTGCAACTGGGTGCGTGCGACTCTGCCTGAGGATTTGGCTTACTGACGAGCGAGGACATGTGTCGTAGGTCGGGAACAATCGCATGTTGTTGGATTTGGAATGGTCGGGTCAGGAAGCGTTCGTCAAGGAACCACTTAAAGAATGGACGGTGAACGGCATTGCTGCCGGACTGACGAGGAGCGCTGGACCCTTGACATTCGCCACCATTTATGATGCTGGGCATATGGTGAGCGTCTTTGCAGCCATGTTGAGGGTTGTCACTAGAGTCTGTTTGGTACCTTCATAGGCTCCCTACGACAAGCCTGCAGAGTTGCTCGAGCTGATCAAGCGATGGCTAGCCGTGGAAGAGCTGTGAAGTCCCGTAGAGAACAAGGCTTGTAGAGGTGTATACCGCCCGTGGTTTCGACAAGCTCAAGCTCAAACTCAAACTTAGACAGCGGACTCAATGAAGCACCGCAGACTTCAAGTCAGTAGCGTGTGCCACAATGTGAGTGGGCCGCATGTCATGCATAGTGCAACACTGATGTGTGCATTCTCGCCCATTCTCTGACCGTAGGTCATGAGGCGCTTTGGAATATCTGGTGATTGAAGCCGGAAGACTTATGGATCAGGCATCGGTGAATTCATCTGCTAACAGTTATATAGCATGTAGCCGAAGTGCGTTTTCATGACCACGTCCTATAACGCCGTCTCCTCTTAGCAGCGGACACTCTCAATCTGTGAGGTCAAGAGAATCCGGGTCATTGTCATCCCTTACATAGACTGACGGATCACGCCTGTCTATTTAGCTATGCCCATCGAGCACCAAACATCGGAATGCTACTAATAAATAGCCTAACTGACGTTCTGGTAGGGCCTTACACTTGGGTCAAGTTTGGACTACATGTCCGTACCTCGAGCCTGTGCAGACTGCGACTTTGCTGTGTTGCTCCGAGGTCGATTATTGAATTGAAGTACCAAGGCTGTCTACAGGCAACTGGCGTATTTCGTCGATGTCCAGTTCGGCTCATTAGACGAGGTCCAAGGTACGTGGGGACAGAATCGTTGTCGACCGCGAGTTCTGATAACTAGGCTCTCACAGGAGTGCCTGTACCTGTGGAGGCGAGGCGCACATTCAACTTTATATGTCGCAATGCGCGATATATAGATGACGGGGCATCAAATACGGGCAGGAGAACCTGATAAGAACCTGGCCTCCGGTCGATCCTGTCCAACCTGAATCCACAGTCCTGCGACCATGGTCTCAGCTCCTGCCAAGGAGTCAGCTCCGATGCTCTTCCCCTCCGACGGGAAGCCACCCTACGTGCACCTGCGCGAAACGACCTTGACGTTCAGCAGGCCGCTGGGGGGAAACGAACTAGGTTACGTGCTGCTGCGTCGCACGCGCGGATATTACGACTCGTTCACCATTGTTTCCCTCGTTTGTTCCGGTGGGCACACTATCACCGACGACGAGGTCGTACAGGCCTGCGCAGCTCTCCGCCTCCGCCACCCTCTCCTCGCGTCTAAGGTCGCATACAGCACCATGGAACCCCCGACGCTGGTCTACACCTCCCCCCTTACTGAAGCCCACGCTGTTCGCGAGGCTAGGGCCCAAATCGAAATCCACGCCTTCCATGATCAGGATGCCTCCACGGAGACACTTCGCGACCAGTGGTTATACGCCAACCCTGAGGAGGCCCTCGACCTGCGTAACGGGACCTGTTCCCTCTACTGGGGGCGCGACACCGACTCGCGCTCTGGAAAGTACATCCTCGGCTTCATGACGCCACACTTCATCACCGATGGCCGCCGCCGGCTGAACCTCGTTCGCTGCATGCTCGACTTGCTTGCCACCCCGGGTCGCGCTGCGCACGAATTGGCAGCACACTTCAGTGGGAAAATGCCAATCGTGGAGATCCCGCCCGCATGGGAGAGCCTTTGTCCCGACATGCGCACCACCGATCCAGCCGAACTCGCGAAGGCAAAGGAGGCATTCGACGAGCTCGTCAAATTCAGGAGCAAGGTAAGCCTAAAGCGCGTTGCGTGTTAAACCCCCGCTGATGAGCTTTACTAGCCTGTATCGGCCTCGTTCCTGACGGCACCATCGCTGAGGACAGCCTCCAGCCGCGATTCGTGCGTCAAATCTGGTCTACGGAAGAGACCAAGCGCATCTTGAAAGCCTGCAAGGCTCACGGCGTCACGATCACTCACCTCGCCAACATCGCTAGCGCTTTCGCTACTGTGCAACATCCAGGTGCTGCCGATCGTAATGGGGTTCCCAGAGACGAGGATTCGTACTACTTCGAGTTCTCCCAGGCGATCGACCTCAGCGCAAAAGTGCCCAGGCTGTCGAACAACGGGGAGATGAGACGGCCGTTCGCATGGTCGTCTATCCCGTCGTGATATCCGTTCCTCGTGCTGCAGCCGCCAAATCGGCAGGCCAGGACGCGATTTGGGATGCCGCGCGCCAATTCAAGGAGCGGAGCGACGCCTTCGTGAAGTCACCTTACTTCTGGCACTTCAATGGTTTCTACGGTGCGATCGCTTCGAGAACTACATGGCTCAGATGACTGGCAAGCCGTTCGTGCCATACATGAGCAGCCTGGGCGACCTGAAGAGCATCCTGCCGATTCGTTACCCCGTCCAGCTCCCTCATGTGAATGGGGACGTCGACGGGTCGACGAGTCACAGCGCGGAGGTCCGAATCTTGGACCAAATCACGTCGGGGAAGATCGATCCGCAGGTATCCAGCTTCCTGATGTACACGTTCGACGAGAGCTTGAACCTCCAGTTCAAATGGAACGCGGGTCGCGTAAGCGACGACCTCATCAATGGCTGGTTCACCCGTGTAGTCGAGCTATTCGCAAGTGGCCGACGACGAAGGCACTATGTAGTTTCATGCCGGTAAGATCTCCGTATCTCCGATGATGTTTGTCTAAACTAGTGACTGTGTTGGCTTCAGGTCGGAGTGGGTCCTAACGAACTCGATTGATTACCTTTGGTCTTCACGTACGGGGTGGATCTCTGTGACATTAAGTAGTCACTGTGCAGTAGCATGCTCATTACTATGTCAGTACTTCAGTTGTCCGAGTTGGTACCTAGCGCTCAGCCGCCTAAGTCGTGCCAAACGTAGGATCTGTTGAATCTCTCTCGACGTAAGTTGACGGCTGGACATTGCCCAGTAAACATCGCAGCTCAGGCGGAAGATGTGCTGTTTCGCTTCGTTCGTTGACACTGATCAATACTCACGTCAGCACAGATTCACATCGTACACCAGCTACTGCGCGTATTCGATACATACGTTTTGACAATGTATTCCTGTCCGTTCATAGCGGCTCTTGAGCTATCCAGCGATTGACGAGCTCCAAAGATTCTTTGGGCATGTCATGAGGGACCTACATAGCGAATGAGTCTGTATATGACAAGAATGAGATCACGACACACCATATGCCCTGCCCCGTATATCGTTGCGAAAGTCAGAGGTCCCGCACTCCTGGTGAGCCCCGCGACAGCCCCATCGACATTCCATTCCCGTAAAGGTGGGCAACGAACTCCGCTTGACCAGTCCATTGCATGCTCAGCGTCATGCGTTCATTCCCAACCTGTGATAGTAGTATAGTGATCAGCTGGTCTCGATGGACTACAAACGAGCGGGCAATTCGGCGCGCACCCAGTTGCAGAGAAGGTCGTACACTCCGACGTATATGAGAACTCGGACGTCCCGCTCGAGGAGCCCTTCGAGGTAATATTGTGTTGGAACATATGGTCCAGATGTGACATGAATCGTCCGTTCAATTCGAAGTTTACACTTGAGTAGTTCTCGGGTGTCGGGTCGGTGCCAAGTAGGGCTCGAATATCCGGTGTATTGAGGTAGGCAACGATGTCTCTGCGGTGGTAACACATCAGTATTTTCTCGTTGTGCCGTCGCTTGCAGGCAACGCGATATACCTTGTTATAGGATAGCAGAGTGTATCCATGAGCGTTCCTTCGCTGGTTTACGCCGGGATCAGGACCAAGACGGCGTGGCGCAAGATCGAGCTCTGCAATGGCTCACCATTTTTTGCTGAGGTCATAAGGATTGAGCCCTACATGGCCGACCAGATATGCGTGACGTGAGTTCCAAGTGCTCACGAATGATCATATCCACTAACCTGCTGGCACGTACCCGAGTTCAGACTCACAAAAGGCCAAGGACGCTTCACATCCTATACTATCGAGCACGTCAAAGCAAGCTTCCTTCATCGTCTTATAGCAACGTGGAAGCTATAGCGTCAGGCCTTCAGCGGCTCGAAATGTGGGTGATGCAGCTCCTTCCATACCGCTTGCTTCATCCGTACGCAGGCACTTCGAACGTGAGTCATCAGTTAAGATTAAGGGATGAATTCTATGAGCGCAGAACATCTGACCTTATGGATTCCACCGGAGGCAAAGACGCTGGTGTGCACTTCATGTCATAGTAGGACTGTAACATCCCGAGGTAGTTGGTTAATCCATTCCCTGCGGAAGGTATTAGACAACTTTTAACGATAAACAGACAGTGAGAGCTTCACTAACCAATCATGACTGATGTCAAGTTGACCGGGGGGATTCCGTATTCAATTAGCCGGGAGTTCTGATCAAGAATCGCGGCCGCAAAGAGCGGAAGATAGCGGCCCTGGAGACTACTATGAGAGACTTCAGTACGTGAGTGGGCATGTAACAGTGCTTACGCCGAATGACTCTCCGGCCATGTGGAACGATTTCCCAGTGAACTTCCTGAAGTGCTCGAAGAAAATGGCCACAAATGCGGCGATGTCCACGGCAGCTTCCTCAGTAGTGCTCTGAACAGTATCAGCAAGTGCATAATCAAGTGCGGGAAAACGTTATACGTACGACCATTTCGCCATAGTCTGCGTAGGAGAAACCAACTCCTATGGGTTGATCAATGAAGAATATGTTCGCCTTATCGTTCCAGCCATATGGGTTATGCTCGGTGCTGCTTGAGTTGACAATGTTACATGGACCTAACGGCCGGTTTTCACGCGTCAGCGCACGCGGTTTACACAAGATTGAATAGTACTGACCGAGTTCCATGAGAAGGCCCGATGAGGACGATCCTCCGGGACCGCCATTCGTCCAGAATATAACGTCGTCTTCATCAGGCTCACTTCTACTCTCGAAGAAGTAAAAGAAGAGGTGGCGAGCCTCGATGTCAATGTAGCCCGTGTATGCTCTACAAGGGTAGCGGAATGAGCACAAGCCCGGCACTCGAGGTGTGGATCGCACTGGCTATAGTGACCACGTACGTGACTGTACTATCACAGAAATCGGATTTCTTGATGCGCACACTATGCCGAGGCAACGCTGGATGGATCAGTACTGCAAAGGCATCGTTCGAGAGTAACTTCAAGTCGTGCGGGGTTGATGTCAATGCTTGGAGGTTCTGTACTCCGCCGCCGACCCGCGCCATGGCTGCTATCGCGAACAACGGTCGAACTTTGCTGTATAGAAGCATGTTGTATAGATTGAGTGGATGAGTTTCGAGAGTTGTAGTGCGCAGCCACAACGCAGCGTCGCAGCCCGCTGCCCAAGCCGCTGCCAACGGTTCGGGCCGGGCGGTTCGGGAACGAGCGCTCGCGCGCCGACACCGACAAGTTGAAGCACTAACAGAACTTATTGTTGGAACGAACTCAGAAGAACGTTCACTTGGTGATGGCCCTTCAAGTGAAGACGTGCAAAAAATTCGACTGTGCGACGACCCACTCTACAAGGGGGAATGGCACACTGATCTACTGAAGCCATCATATATGTAGTACAGCGTTATATAAGCACAAGACGCAGAACGTCGCAGATACACAACCAACATGCAATCACAGAATCACACCTTCGTCGACGGCAACCTGTGAGATGATCTCGACCACACGGCTGAACCAGCTGTTGATGAGGTTATCGCTCGTGCGACCCGCATTCCACTTGAACTGGATGTTCAACCTGTCGTCGAACGTGTACATCAGGAAGTTGGCCACCTGCGGGTCGATCTTCCCCGCCGAAATCTGGTCCAAGACCCGGATCTCCGCGTTGTGACGCGTCGACCCGTTCACGCCGTTCACTATCCCATTGGCATGATGGTGGTGAACGGGATAGCGAATCGGCAGGACGCTCTTCAGGTCGCCCATGCTGCTCATGTACGGCATGAAGGGCTTGCCAGCCATCTGAGCCATGTAGTTCTCGACAGCGATCGCACCGTAAAAGCCAGTGAAGTGCCAGAAATAAGGCGACTTCACAAAGGCGTCGTTCCGCTCCTTGAACTGTCGCGCGGCATCCCAGATCGCATCCTGGCTCGCGGATTCGGCAACCGCAGCTCGAGGGACGGACATGACGACGGGATAGATGACGATGCGAATGGCTGTCTCCGTCTCCCCATTGTTCGTCAGCCGGGGCACCTTGGTGTTGACATCGAACGCCTGGGAGAACTCGAAGTAGTGGGAGTCCTCGTCGCTCGGGCCTCCGCTGAAACGAGCCGCGCCGGGACGTTGCACGCAGGCGAAGGCGCTAGCGACATTGGCGAGCTGAGTGATCGTGACGCCATGAGCCTTGCAGGCTCTCAAGATGCTCTTGGTCTCTTCCGGGGACCAGGTCTGACGTATGAATCGGGGTTGAAGGTTGCCCTCAGCGATTACGCCGTCAGGAATAAGACCCGACAACGGCTAGCGGCGTCAATTAATCAGTAGAGTTCATCATCCAACACCACTCGAGCTTACCTTGCTTCTGAGTTTGACAAGCTCGTCGAACGCCGCTTTCGCTTTCACGAGTTCGGCTGGATCGGTGTCGCGCATGTCAGGACAGAGGCCTTCCAGTGCAGGTGGAATCTCCACGATCGGCATCTTGCCGGCGAAGTACATGACGAGCTCGTGCTGGGCCCGACCAGGGGTAGCGAGCAAGTCCAACATGCAACGAACAAGGTTCAGCCGGCGGCGGCCATCGGTGATGAAGTGCGGCGTCATGAAACCGAGGATGTACTTCCCAGAACGCGAGTCGATGTCGCGGCCCCAGTAGAGGGAGCAGGTCCCGTTACGCAGGTCGAGGGCCTCTTCGGGGTTCGCGTACAACCACTGATCACGGAGAGCCTCGGTGGAAGCGTCCTGAGCATGGAAGGCGTGGAATTCGATCTGGGCCTTCGCCTCGCGAAGAGCGTGGACATTGCTGAGAGGGGAGGTGTACACGAGCTCCGGCGGTTTCGTGGTGCTGTATGCGACCTTAGACGCGAGGAGAGGGTGGCGGAGACGGAGTGCGGCGCATGCCTGCACGACCTCGTCGTCGGTGATGGTGTGCCCGCCCGAACAAGCGAGGGGGACGATGGTGAAGGAATCGGCGTATCCGCGCGGTCCACGCACGAGCGCGTAGCCGAGCTCGTTCCTCCCTAGCGGCCTGCTGAAGGTCGAGGTGGTTTCGCGGAGATGCACATACGGGGGTTTCCCGTCAGAGGGGAACAACGATTGCGCCGAAGTGGACTCTTTGGGAGCTGAAGTCATGGCGATAGGTTCTGCGCTACTCGTGGGTGGTATAGCCTAAGGGCCGGCTGGGAGCCAGCTTTTTATCGGTCTATCCCATTCCGTCTTGATGCCCGCTTTGAGAGGTATTGACCCTGGCGGCGTGCTTCGCATCCACAGGTACAGACACTTCTCTACGAGAGCCAAATTCATCAGAACTCATGGAACTGACGAGATCATCCCCACATACCTCAGCTTCTGTCTGCCAGACAGAAATAGATATGGGCAAACAAATGCAGTATGATTTCATGAACGCCATGCAGCTTCGAATTCTTTACCCTGTAGTAAGGGACCAGCATAGCAAAGCGGCCCCGTTTGCGGAGCCTGGAACGAAGGACATGCTATTCAGCAATGATTGTCCGGACTGGCACCAAATCGTCGCTTAAGCTTCACAGGAAGTAGCGGCGTCTCATAATTGATGCTCGACGGGGATAGCTAAATGGACTCTGTGAAGCCGAGAACAGACGACAGGCGTGATCCGACAGGATCGAGGAATTGTGTTTATCCTCTATCTTCGCCCGAAGTGATCTGCGCTGCTGAGAAGCCTGAAACAGAGGTAACAGTGCCACACAGTGACGTGCATGTTGAAACACACTTTCGCTGCACGAGTCCTGGTACACACGTCTGCCTGATGCAGGAGGGTAATTGACACGCTTTGGAGACAATCAACCTTGCAGGAGGTGATAGTGCGCACATGGCAACGTTAGCATTGCCCAACGTAACACAGTATACGCACTCACACGCTGATGCTGAAGAGTTCTGTGGCACTTCACCTAGTCTGCTGCCTTAGCCTGAGCTTGAGCTTGAGCCTGCCTGTCGACACCATGAAGAAAATCAGGCCATATCGCAGAAGCCTTCGTCTTTATCTTTTCTTTCTTTTTCATTCATTCGCCCTCCCTGCGGATATGGCACCATCGATGCGGAAAGCCAAAGTGAGTAGCCTGAGAGCCGGTCGTTTGACAGATATACCGAGCGTATCAATCTTTGACCGCATCTCCTTGCACTTGTCAGGTACATGCTGTACCAGTAAATATCTCCATGAGCTTCGCGATACGGAACTTCACAGCTCTTTCCCGGCCAGCCACCTCTTCGTCAGCTCGAGTGACTCCGCGGGCTTATCGTAAGGAACCTGCAAAGGCATTAGACAGGCACTCTTGGCAATCTTCAACGTTTACACAACATTACGCACCATATGCCCAGCACCGTAGATCGTGGCAAACGTCAAGGGTCCGACGTTCCTCGTCAGTCCAGCAGCAGCGCCATCAACCGTCCATTCCGTCAACGATTCCTTGACGAACGCCTCCTGCCCTGTCCACTCCAGGTCCAACAACATTCGATCGTTGCCAACCTGCAGCGCACATATACTTTCGTAAGAGAGTCGATGTCCCACGGACGACGCCACTCACCCAGTTGCATATCCAATCATTCGCGCCGACGTAGATGAGCGCACGCACGCCACGCTCGAGGAGCGCGCCGATGTAGAACTGCGTCGGGAATATCTCGTCGTCCGCCGCATGGAAAGCCGCGCCCACCTCATTGCTGCAGCTGCTGAAGTTCGCGCTCACGAACCCGTCCACGCCGATCTGCTTGCGGACATCCGGTCGGTCGAGATAAGCACCAATCGCTCTGAGGACGATAGGTTAGGAAGTCGGTAAGCAGATGCGGATGGACGATGACGCACTTTGTTACCGGGTAGCACAGAGTGTCGGAGATAGGGCCATCGCTGCAGGTAGAGATCGGCATACTGCAATAGATCAGTGCTGCGTACGTACCATGGCTTGCTGATATCGTAGGGATTGTAGCCTGCGACAATGTGATGAGCCGCATGATTTTCATTACACAATAAGTAGTATCTCACCGGTGTCGAAGAAGGGCTCGCTGATCTCCACTTCGCAGAAGAGGTTCGCCGCCTCACAGCCCATGCTATCGAACCTGTCAACGCAGGACTTCTGCAGGGCTTCCTGGCAGCGCGGAACCTAATCATACGATGAACACGATACATAGGGGACCAATGAGCGGCCCGTTCACTCACTGCCTGCTTCATGCGCACACAGGAGCTGCATTCTTCATCAGCACAATGTTATACGAAGAGGAGCAAGCCTGTAGACCTGATGTCCATTATGGGGGCGACGGAAGCAGGGCTGCAGGTCATGTCGTAGTAAGACGGCACCATAGTAGCGAAGTCCGTGCATCCATTCCCTAGATACATACGAGCAGATCAGAGCAATTGCGTGCCGCGAAACATTGACCACATACCTATCATGACAGAGGACAGGTTAACAGGAGTAAGGCCTGCCTCGACAAGTTTTGTGTTTTGGTCGTAGACTTCCGCGGCGAATACAGGGATATAGCGGCCCTAAGAAGTACGTTGTGAGCCGACTTATCCTATACACAAGTCATGAGGTGCTTACACCGTATGACTCTCCGGCCATGTGGAAAGCACGTCCCTTGAACTGGCTGAAGTGTTCGAAGAAGATAGCGACAAATGCAGCAATATCTTTCGCTGCTTCCGGAGTCGTGCTCTAGGGGGGTATCTTGTGTGAAAGGTGACGACACAGAAGGTATCACTTACGACCGTCTCTCCGTACTCGGCATATGAGAAGCCAACGCCGATGGGTTGGTCGACGAAGAAGATATTGGCGTTTGCATTCCAAGAATACGGGTTGAATGTGGAGTTGTCAGGGCTGGTGACCCTGCAGGGGCCTGGTCGAGGTAATTGTCAGACATGATACACCTGAAGAGGATATGCATCCAAACGCACCAAGCTCCATGAAAAGACCCAGAGAAGAAGAGCATCCCGGGCCGCCGTTCGTCCAGAAGATGACGTCGTCCTTGGCGGGGTCGTTCCTACTCTCGAAGAAGTAGAAGAAGAGATGCCTGGCCTGGACGTCTATGTATCCTGTGTATGTTCTGGATGTGTGTTGGTCATGTAGACTTGAACCTCACAGGCTGACGCACGTACCCGACGGTGCCATCACAAAAGTCCGACTTCTTGATGCGCACATTGTAGTTGGGGAAGAGTGGATGACCGAGAGTCGTGAACTCGTCGGTGGACAATGTGGAGAAGTCACCTAGGGGTGTGAACAAGCCAGCATCATATTGGTCTGCGCCGAAGCCACTGCCTGGGATGTTTTGTGCCTTCACGTTTGGCTGGACAAGTGGGAACTGGGCGGCACTGGTGACGGCGGCGACAGCGAGCAGACCGGAGAGACGACACCAAACCATGGCGGGCAAGGTCGACGGAGTCTGCCACAGCGCGGTATATGAGTACGGTCGCAGTCAGGTACCTCGACGTACGAGAGGTGCCGAGGAAGTTCCCAGGGATACATGCGGCGCGTCCGATAACGGCGTCGCGTCGCGGTCACATGACAGCATTAAAAGACCTCACAGTCAGGAGGCCGGCTCCATCTCTCTCACTTCCTCAATGTCTACAAACTTCAACACTTCCCAAAGACACGATACTGCGTGTGTTCCGATAAATCCCAAATACGACATGAGTCCGAGCGTGACGCTATAAAGCCCCTGAAATCACGACAGTCCCTGGAACCCGCAAGATAACCCAATAAAACCCGGAGGAAACGAAGCCGCAAATCCCGCATTCTCAGCCCTCAATCCCGCCTCCTTCTGCGGGATCCTCGTCGTGCTCCAGCACCCGCACCGCCAGAGGATCCGTCACCTTATCCCTTCGCCTCTTCTCCATAATGATGAACGTGATCACCACCATGTCGATGTCGAGTGTTGACGGGTGTGTCTGCAGATACCACTTCTTCTGGCCGCGGAAGTATCCTTCCTTAACGTCATCTTCTGTGAAACGCGCGACCTCCTCTCGGGTCTTCGCACAGGTGAGCTATAGACGGGGTGAGAAATTCGGCACAAGCAAACGCCCCGATGAGATACACCTACCACAGAACCGATGCCCTTGACCACCCGCCAGCAGTACACCTTATCGTCATTCCCGAGGAAATACCGCTTGCTGTGGCAGAGATCTCGAAGGCTGCACGAAGACCCATACAAGGTCGGTTTCCTGGAACAAGACGTCAACCGACAACAACGAGCACACTCACGCGCTGAATCTCGCAGACGGCGACTTGTAGAGCAGTTCGTCCACGGGCAGCTCCTGGATGGTCCCGTCGAACGCATTGCTCCGGACAATCGGCGCCTTGCACCATGCCCTCCACTCGATCTCCGCGACGATGCTCTCGCTGACCGTCGGTGCAGGTCGGATGATGGTCGAGACCGCCGAGCCGCTCAGCAATGACTTCCGCATCGTTCGCACCTGGTAGTGAGCTATCCCGTTCGAGGAGACGAGTGTCGTCCGTTCTGGGTCATTATGCACCAGATAGAGATTCATCTATGGTCAGCGCGACGACTCGCAAGGGGCCAGGTGCCGGCGGCAGTCTCGGTGGTGACCTTGGAGGAGGGCAAGGAAGGGCGAAAACTGGATGGGCAGCTGACCGGCCCATTTCTATACTCTCGTCAGTATGAGACATGCAGTCTAGAGCACGGCAGACCGATCAGTTATGATCTTGCCTACGAGAGGAGGGCAATGAATGGGAGCTCTACTCGGCCTCTACCCAAAGATCGGCTGAATTTGATGCGTTAGGCCGCCTTCTGAAGGCCAAGTGGTGCCTATATAAAGGATTCCACAGTATGGATGTTCCATGCTATCATGCCGTGTTCGTGTAGGCACGTACCAGGTCCAAGGCAGTGATAGTTTGGAATTGCGGAAGACCACCTTGCAGAAAGGCAGTTCGATTGGGCAATATCGTGATGGTCCAGCCTCTCAGAGTGTAGAGCGCGTAGACTTTGGCTGCCATGATGAGTCGTGTGCCAGACATACATTCTTCACAATGTAAAATGTCGAATACGACTTGCCCACCGCCGCAACTTGCAAAGTCGCACTACCTGTTCACCAACCTAACAATGATATCAGTTCACCAGCCGCAGAATACACATGACGTACACTGCTAGTACACAAGAAATTATGTCACAGATATGCTACAGATCGCGCTCTAGATTTCCAAGCAAGAAGCAGACAAGAGAGGAATCAAGAAGGGGTGCTCTGGATATCCTCGCCGGAAGACCGCCTCCGTCTCCTGGCGTTCGGTCGCGAGTTGACGTTGAACAAACCGACGGTGTTACCAAAGCCAGCGAGGCAACATGTCGAGGTCGCTATGAACGGCGTAACGCGAGTGAAGTGCAATCGCGGGACGAATACACGCTTCGGCGACACAGGAGGGTCCTGGTTCAACCCAGCATGCGAACTGCCCGAACGGCGCCTGTCCATCAGTCGCTCCTCGGGACCACGACGCAGTGCGTTCAACGGGGATACGTGCAGGCGCGACTCCTCAGGGTCGTACGTCCAGAGCTCCCATCGCTCGAGCGTAGAGCTGCTCAGACCCTGCAGCGGTTCATCCTTGAGGGTAGCTTTCGCGTCCATGCGCCGCGCGAGCAGGCTGGACCGTGGCTTGCGGCGTACGCCGACGACCTTGTCCCCAGCGACGTCCCAGCTCCCCCGCTCAAACATGGTATCTGCGACGCGCACCACGATAAGACTCTGCCATACAGATGTGGGGGATGGGAAGAGAGGAAGCCGGCTGCCGGGGTAATGTCAACCGGGCCTACAGGATGCGGGTCAGACTCGTCGCAGTCGGAATGGACAAAAACGAGTCGTGCGTCCGACGCGAGCCCTCCTTCTCCGACGCCCTGCGTGAATGGACGCCGTGTGCGGAGACAGGGAACATGGAGGCGCTCAGGGCGGAGCTGGACGACGATACGGACGGCACGCGTGAGCGTGAAGCCACGGGTGTGGTCGTCCCCGTGGACGACGCCAGTGATGTGGCACTTCCGCTCCGCGAACGATGCCCAAGCATGCTCGTTCGCAGGGCAGGTTGTGGTTGATTGCGGGGACACGAGCATCGTCTCGTTGGCAGGTACAAGTAAGCCCGGTAGAAAAGCACGACTAGACCAACGGAGAACGTGATCAGGAAGTTCTCGCATGGTAGTTCCCCACACGTTGAACAGTTCGTCGGGGTGACAGGAGTGACCCGCAGCTGGTTGACGTCACCAAAGGGTTCCTCCATGATGAACAGACAATCCCGCGACCCAGCATCCCAGAGCGACACGACGCCTGCTTGTGTAGCGGCGATGATGATGATGTGACGCTGACCATCAAGCTCAAGAGCGCAAACGTCGACTTTATTGACGAAGTCCTGGGGGTTACCAGCGGCGATCCAACACTCGCGGGCTACGAGTTGATCATTGCGGTCGAGGTCACACAGCTCGAAGGACCCGTCGTCGAATGCAAAGCCGACAAGGAGGCGTTCATCGCCATGGACAGGTACCAACGTAGACTTGATGACGGTAGCAGAGCGCGTAGGCGCGACGTAGCGGGCACGAGGGGTCGTCGCTACATCCACTTGACAACTGTACCGTTCTCGTAGGCGCTATATAGGCAGACGACAGGTTGGTAAAGAGTGTTTCTGGACCGGGAGGCGTAGGTGTGAGTGGACGCGCGGGCGACGGTGGGCGAGATTGGAAGTAGCCGAAGTGGAGGTGTGCGACAGCTGCAGTGGACGTGGGGTCGAGGGAGAGCTGTGTGATATACTTGGCGTGGTCCCTCTCTATCGACCAGACACCAATGACGCCGGATGCCGAACCCACAGCACAGAGCGTACCGGCCTCATTAACTGCGACGGCTGTGAGGGTCGTGCCCTGCGAAGGCCCACTTGCACCCCCAAGGGCAACAGGAGAGGTGTCGACCGTGATGTTCGTGCGCGACATGCTTCTCCATACGACGACTTCGTTCTGCAGCCCGAGCATAACGACGACCTTGCCGTTCTTGCTGGTTGCCAGCATGTCCACGTCCGTCGGGAAAGCCCGTGGAAGCGTGGCGAACGAGATCTCCCCTTCCACGGACGACTCTTCTGAGCTCGAGTTGTCTGGTTCAGGTCGCTGGCGCTGCGCCTCCAGCAACTCCGCGTTCTTGAGGAGATACAGGAGGAGAGCATAGAGCAGGACCGTCGTAGCCGTGATCGGCACGACCATGATCTTGAAGAGCCACCACACGTCCCGGACCGTACGCATCCACCAACGTGATAGCCTGTTCACGCGAGGGCGGGACAACTTCTCACCATCTGCTAGAGTGCGGACATCGGACGCCGGCTTGTCCTCTTCTGGTGCAAGAACTAGGATGGCGGGTGACTCTATACGAATGTGTACCATGGTGTCGTCAATGGGATTCAGGGTTTGCCAGATGCGGTATGCAGGAGAGATTCGGTCGGTAGCCGTCATCTTCGGAACTTGGCGCACAGGATTTCGCGCAAGAGCAGCAGAGCTCTTAGCCTGTGTGGACGATGGTGTCGTTGCAAAGTAGAGGGTAGCTGCGATGGCCAAAAGCTGCACCAAGCAGTCAGCAATGGGTATAACAGCGACGAAGAGACGTGCTCACCAAGAAAAGACTGATGTTCTTACCGGGACGTCCACGTATTGTGTTTTTCGCAGCGAGCCATGCTTCTCTCCAGGTCTTGGGCGGGGGCAAGGTAGGTGATGCCAGTTTTCCCTTATCCGTCGGGTTGAGATTAGTATCCTGTCGGAGGAGCTCGTCCAACTAGGGAAACCGCGTGGGTCTAGAGGCGCTAATGTATGTGGAGATGTGGACCCACCTCGAGTCGCTGTATATCGATTGATAACACCGTGACGAAGAAGGTGTGCACGAGGAACCAGTGCGCGACTAGCACCACAATCGAAAATGCGCAGAACTGGCGAATCGCACCACTGGAGAAGAACGCGATGACTCCCAGCACCGCATTGTAAGACACGACTTTGAGCGTGTTGGACGTGCCCGCTTGACTCAATCCCTGGGCTATGCGTTCTTTGACCGGGATCGTTACTGAGGTTCTTAAGACCGCATCAACCTGTGACGATTCTCAGTCAACTGCACTACCACAGAGCATGGCGCGACTTACGATGTGAAACATGTTCTCGACTCCGATGAACATCACAATAATTGGAAATAGCTCCCTAAGACGATGGTTTAGTAAAGCCAGGACGATCAATCATTGAATGATTACCATGGAACCATAGTCATCCTGAACCCTACTAAGGCACAAACACTCAGACTTGTTATGGTACTGACAATCAGCTCCACAAGGCCGGTGACTGCGAGACCGAACCGGGAATGCACCGTCTTCATGTTCCTCATGGACTGCACACAATACACTACGAAGACCAGGTACGCGCCATAGCAGAACGCCGAGAGGATGGTGAAACGAGTCTTCGTCGTAGGACTTCTGTCGTACTACGCGGAGCCCTCTGTGAATGCTCACTACTCGATAGATCGTCAGACGCACCTCCAATGCAACGAGTCTGGGCGGCTGAGCCTGAACGACAAGGTCTCCCATGGGTCCACCTGCTTCCCTGAGTACCCGTAGCCATTGGACATGACCGTTGTTGCCAAGACAGTCGCGGTCCGGAAAGAAGTAGGTGAGTGCTAAGAACATGGCGCTATCCACACTGGACAAGCTTGGGTCATGCTCTCGGCCGGCGAAGACCATCTCGGGGGTCATAGGGATGCCAGAAGTAGTTGTGTTGTGTGATAGGTTGATGGTCTCGAGAATACTAGCATCCGCCGATAGCACAGCCTCGTCATGGTTCCAAAAGGCTAGAGGGCTCAGGGAAAAGCAGGAGCCAGTTGACGACTTCAAGCAAGGGATATGATGTTGAGATAAGATGGTTGAAATCCTGTGTTCGAGTGCCAGAGCTGACAGCAGTGTGTCGCGGTCCAATGCATCCAGACCATACTCTTGCGATACACTGCCAATCAAGAGCCGCTCAGAGCGCAGAATACTTTGCATGCCGCACTGCGCGCGGGCGACGGAGTCATCGTGCAGTCTGAGCGTGTTGTGTCCTTCCCATATATGTCGGAGATCGTGTTGCGCGAAGTAGCTGGAGATATCGTCCGGTGTCAGGAAGGAGTCAAGCACGCGCAAGGTGAAGCCGGCGAAGAAATGGGTTTCCGGAGAAGTGTAGACGGCAATGGCGGGGAAGAGCAGGGAGGTAATGACGATGGAAGACACAAGGATAAGCCGTATTTGATGCGTCGCGCAATGGCTGCACCCGTAGTCGTAAGAAGAGTGTTCACCAAACACACTGCACACTCACATTCCAAAGCGGTGGAAAAACCTCGTCCCGTATGCACGCGTCCGTTGCAGCAAAGCTGGAGACGGAAGAGAGTACATGGCGATGGAGATAACGCGCAGCCCTTGCGCAGCCCGGTGTAGTCGTTGCTCCTGTGGTTTCTCCCTGTTCCAGCAGCTCCGGGGAGAAGACGCAGTCGGGTGATAGCCCTCCCTCGACTTCGATATTCTCCAAGATCGCAGTACCGAGGCAGGCAACCTGCACAACGACTGCTGCACCCCTCTCTGCGACGGTTGTGGGTGTTGGTAGGTGTTGACCTTGCCTAATCTGAGTTAGCTAGACGCTGGACACCGGAGGATCCCGTGCAGGTCAGTGGTACATCTTCGGGCTCTTGCTTGTCGGTCGTCGCGACAGAAAGACTGCATGTGTATCGCATTGAGGATGCTGTGCGCACCATCCAAGCCGAGTGACGGTGTATGATATTTGTTCAACTCGAATATTGAATCGTACGTTTACACCGCGTATATTCGCGCTCACTCGACCACGTGTGTATGATCTCACGACGCGGTCGCCGGGATGCGGACTGCTGGCCGATCCCGTCTGGCCTTCATACTTACCACTCTCACCTCACCCAGCCCGCGTTCTCGACGGCCTCGATGCAGTCTCTCCGCATGCTGTCTAAGACGGCCGCAGCCGCAGGCTCGAGCCGAAGATGTACGTTCAATTGACCACGCTTCCAGAGCGCTGAACTCACTCGTCATGAAGGGCTGCAGACGTCTGCGGCGCGTCTGGCCGTGTCGAACTTCCAGATGCCTGCCATGTCCCCGACCATGACAGAAGGAAACATTGCATCATGGAAGAAGAAGGACGGAGAGGCCTTCGCGGCGGGAGACGTGCTGCTTGAGATTGTGAGTGCGTGACTAGCTGTTTGACAATTGAAGACTGAGACATTCCGTGTACTCTGCAGGAAACTGACAAGGCAACAATAGACGTTGAGGCTCAGGACGATGGTATCATGGGAAAGATTCTCGTGAGCTTTTCTCTCTTCGTGCTTGCGCACGACACCGGGCTGTAACTCGTGCGCCAGGCTCCGGACGGCACGAAGAACATCCCCGTAGGGAAGACCATTGCTCTACTGGCGGAGGAGGGTGACGACATCTCCAACCTCGAACCACCAAAGGAGGACACACCAGCCCCGCCAAAGCAAGAAGCCTCTTCTTCTGCCCCGACCCCTCCGAAGTCAGTACCCGACAAGCAAGATGCTCAGCCTTCCTCCCCTTCTCCCAATCACTCCACGGTGCATCCCAAGAGCCCCCATCCGCTATTCCCTTCCGTCTTGCGCCTACTTCAGGAGAATGGGATCGAGAATACGGACAAAATCAAGGGGACTGGTGTGCGAGGTATGCTGACTAAAGGCGACGTCCTGACATACCTCGGCCGAGCGAGCGGACCCATGGGAACATACAAGGAGACGCCTTCAGACGTCGTCACCAAGTCTGGCGGCGACCAGACGCGGCCACAGAAGAAAGAGGAACCCCAGTTATTGGACGGTGCAGCGGTGCGCCAGCTGATTGTTAGGAACATGTTGGAGGCGTCCATCAAGGCCCGCCAGCCGCCAGGTGAGAAACTCCTTATTACTTCTACGTCAACACATGGACTAACCCGCTCGTCCGATCAGCAGCACCGCCGGCGGACTTTGACTCCATCATTGCTGACTACCTTCCTCACGCGAAGGCTGCCGGCACTTCTCCTGCGGCCTCGAGTCTCCCAAAACCTACAAAATCGGCTGCTGGCTATCTGGACGGGTTGATCTAGGTTACATGTGCTCCTTCGCCTGATGTGATTGAATATTACATAGACGTCTTATGCCTGAACGCCCCCAGTGCCCCAAAACGATCGCGAAAAGGTGAGTGTCAAATCAGCAATAGCGAGTCTTTACTCCGGACAAGTCTCGTGACAGATGTTCATGGGCTGTCATCGAGAGGTAGACACTGTCATTTGCGTCAGCAAAGAGTGCATGTCCAACGATCAGTTGAACTCACTCGAAACTCGACGAACCCATCCGTGTTGTTGCCCCCTTGCCGAGGTCGCGCCGTTGGCATGATCAGCTGCAGACTGAGCATGCCTTCCTCGTTTATACGAAGGGATGTCTTCGTAGAATGTTGCAGTGCCCGTGACGCGCACGCTATGTGCTTGAACACATAGCTACGGGCAGGTTACTATCAGTCTACCGGCCACGACTGTAGGTGTCTGCATAAATCACCTGAAGCGGACCTGTTGCTCGCACTCGCACGTCTCGAGCACTTCTTTGTCACTTGGGTAATCCATCTACAGGAATGGTTCGGGACGATTACGCCTATCATGTTGACTATGTCCGCACCTCGGTGCTTCCGAACGTGCCCATTACTTGTAAGCGTAGTCGGGGTGGATCTGTAATTCGTGCTGCTCTGCCCGGCGGTGGGGGCGGATTCCCGATGATAGTCAGCCTCTCGCAGGTTGGGTCGAGTTCCGAAAGCGCATCGCGCAGCCAAGAGGACTGGGTATTATCAGCACATGCAAGGCCCTTCTAAAATGTACTGTACCTTCAGGATGATCTTCAACACGCTGGGTCCTCGTGGTAAGCTCTCGTAGTCTCGAAATGCTTGAATCAGACGATGACTCACGTCGGGGACTCGAGGAAGTCCAGATCCAACATTGGTTCGGCCTCAAAAGTTGTGATCTCGCAAGTCGCGGTCGGACCGCTCGCTTCCTCCGCCCTGCCATTCCGATGAGCCGTGAACCAACATACCGAGTAAACGCGCATACACACATGAGCAGTGTCAACGGGTAACCAGCGCCGACGTACGACAATCGCATTCCCGTGCCCTTGTCCGCTCCAAAGAACTGGTCGATGCGTCCGTTAGCAGGAGCCCGGGTTTGCCTCGAGTTAGCCCTGTTAGGGCCCTCTTCCTCGTTATCCTCTTGGTCAGAGTTCCCGGTGTGCCATATCCTGTGTTTTGCATTGGACGATGGTGCTCCTCCGGCGTTTCCGAAGAGGCTCATACATTCGATGAGGGTGTTCAGTGGGACCTCGAAAGCGGTGGGCTCTCCCTCCTCTTGTGGCTGTGAAGGCTGTGATGAAGGTTGAGAAGATTGCGATTGCGAGGAGGGGTCGGCTTCCGGGTGGTACAAGTATTCGTCAAATATGCCTTTGAATATAAATGCGGTGGCTGAAGCAAGTTGGGTGAGACATTTGCATCTAAAAGCATAGACCCACGCACCTAATAGTGTGCGAGCTTCTTCAACGGTCACAGAGAGCCCGCCGATGTCGCCCGTACGGTCGCTCGCTGCAACATGTTGTGTATACGCTCTGAGTAACTATCATGGAGCGCTGGGTTGCTTCGCCGCTCACGTTTCCGAATTGGACACCACGCAGTAGGCCCATCACGTACTTCACGTCGTGCACGGATGCGGTGAGAACCTAGTAGCATTGACGCGAACGAACTAGATGGGTATATGCACAACCTGGACTTGCCTTGTCAACCTCGCCATCGTCAGACATGATGCAGATCTGGACCTAGTCGCCGGTGCTGCAGAGCGAGGCGCGGGCCCTTGGTGAAAGGACGCGACAAGACGCGTTTTCGGGAGCGCGTGACCGCGAACGCGCGTCGCGTCGCGCTACTAGTAAGTACGTAATGAAGACCTCATTGTATGGTCACGGTCAGGCGAACCTCTAGCTAGTTCCCCTCGGCAGTTGCCATTGAGCTGCGGTCCTCCCGTGGGCTCGTCCCTCCTCCTGCGCGGCCCACTCTTCGCTGGCAGCCCGACTAACATGCGGCGACTCACCATCGTCAACCAAACCTCCGAGATCATCGTCTGGGACAGCCAGCACAAGGGCAGGAACGAATCGAAGATCCTCTTGCCCTCGCTTTCCACGAGCACCAGCATCTCGGCGTCGCGCTCAGACATCAACCTCTCCAGTCTGTCAAACCGCGGGGAGGTCGAGAAAGACTGGACCGTTATTCCCAATGCATACACCATCCGTCTCTCCATGTCGCTGGGCGCGATGTGGAAGGTAGTCAGTGTGCCGGAGGACTGTCCTTGGCGGATTTACAGATGCAGGGTGTGTGAAGCTGCTTCATCGGTTTGTCGTGTTACTCATTGCCCGAAGCTCTCCCGTAACATCACCTGCTGCTCATCTTACCCCGCCGAAATTTGGCTTCCTTCCTGTCAGACTTCCCGGACTCCTTGCCGCTTCGTCGTTACTGTTGCCAGGTGTGCACATATGCTCTCCATAGACCTCTCTACCACTCACCATGATGCTCGTAGGAACGCACGATACGTGAGTAAAGCCGTTCGCCCCGCAGGTATAAGTACACTGACGCGCAAGCCGAAGCATGGCGTTCTACGGGTGGCCCATCTCACAGTGCCAGTCTTTGTCGACGCCTCTCACTGTTCAGCTCCAGTCTGGTATCCGAGTGATCGACATCCGACTGGCCGTGATACATAAACGTCTCATCGCGTACCATGGTATCTATCCTCAGCGAGAGCCCTTCCAAAGCATCCTGTCCACCCTCTTTGACTTCCTCACCGCGCCTGCAACCTGCCGCGAAGCCATTGTGATGTCGATCAAGCAGGAAGATTTCGCAAGTACTCCGTCAACATTGTTCTCCCAGCTCGTGCACGACGAAATCATGAACGGTCCCGGCGGCAAAGACATGTGGTTCCTCGACAATAAGGTGCCGACTTTGGGTGAGGCGCGCGGAAAGGTGGTGATGCTCAGTCGGTTCGGCGGTGACGGCGCTGGGTGGGAAAATGGGCTGGAGGGAATGGGCATCCATCCTACGGCATGGCCAGATAGCTCGAAGAACGGCTTCACCTGGCAGTGCAAAAACACGATCGTGCGTACGCAGGACTGGTGAGTCGATGAACCAAGGCATCGCGTTATGGAAGGTAATGTGATGTGTGATAGGTACAACATTCCGTCGTTCTTGTCGATCCCGGAGAAGACTGAGCTCGCCACGCAAATCCTCATTCCGCCTAAGGAGATCCAGGGTTCCCGACCCTCTCCATTTCCTTCTTCTCCGCGGCGAGTGTGCCCCTCGCCTTCCCACCGACGATCGCCAGGGGTTTCGGATGGCCCAAGCTGGGCTTCGGTGTCGAAGGAGTCAATGGTCGACTGGGTACATGGCTTATCGACATGCTCAGCAGCGGGAGCGCGGGCCACCAGGGCAGCATGCGGGCGTCGCAGGCGGGCAACATAAGCAGCAAGGTGCGCATTCGCGGTTGGGCGCTCCTGGACTTCTTCAAGGATCCGGAGGACAACGCTATCGTCCCGCTCCTCATCGAGTGCAATTACAGAGGCAGGAGGAGCGGAGAGGAGGGCTGGCCGTAGAATCGGAATTGGCAGACGTAGTGCTCGTGAAGTTATCACTATGGACTATGCTATTACTTAGATGCATCGCACACACTCTTTATCGTATTTATCACCTCTTGGAGGAACTCGTAGGGACGGTCTATAATTGGCGCCCCTGCCATTTGTGTAGAGTGTAATACATGGTGAAACGCTCCTTTTCATACAGATGAATATGGCAATGCAGCGTTTATGGGTGAGATAGTCTGTCGTGTTCGAACTCGCCTATAATCTATTTTTGGCGAGCTGGTTAAACGGCGTCGAGAGCGTCTCCAATTCTTTCCCCGTCTACACTTTTCATCTTCGACCAGTCATAGAAGTGCGTCCGCTCTGGGAAGGTCCATTTCTCTAGCACGTCCAGGGCAGCCTTTCCCCAGTCGAAGTCCTCGTGCTCCGCGTGGTCTGCGGGCCCGTTCACGAAGCGCACGAGGTTCGCGTTCGTGGGGTGATGAAATCTGCTTCGATACCATTGCGTATGAGCTCCTGGAGAGGGTTGTAGAAGCCCAGGGCATTGATCACGATAATCGCTAGGAGGTGCACCGTGAGTTCAGGCGTGTCACGGGCATGGCATAGAGGATTGATGCGCCACTCACGCTTTCGTGAATGCCCAGTTGCGACCAACAGACGACCTCAAAAAGCTGGCCCAAAATCAACCCCATGAGACATTCATCTAAGATATGCGGATATTGTGTCACTGTACCTCTTCGAAAGTCCATATCCGCCGGGTAAGGCGATAAAACTTCCCGATCGCTTCGCCATCTCGGTCTTCCGCTCGTGCATCGTGTTCACGACCACCTAAGCAAACATGAGCCGATACACAATTGCGAAACAAAACGCGGATCATACTGTATCGACCTATATGATGCGGGCTGTTGAGAATGCAGTTCACTGAATAGTCGAAAGACGGACCTTTCTCGACCACTCTCTTTGAGGAGCACCGAGGGTCCTCGCTTGCCTGTGTCTGGTCACCTCACCTCCCGCCGCGACCATCGCATACGGTACAATCCCGTAACTTCGCCACCAGCATCTACCACCGCGCCCGAGACGGCACCCATGATCCCCTTCGAGCCGCCGCCATATATGAGTCGTCTCTTCGTCTCCGCCAAAGCCTTTCCCAGAGCTGTGGCATTCGCGTGAGCATCGTTTCCTGGAGCGATGTATGACGTGCAACCCACATTGAGCCGCCCGGACGTACGCCGGATGCTTTCCGACAGACGAAGCGCAGTAAACTGCCACTGCCCTGTTATCTGGCTCCAAGTCGGACATGTCTGAGTTCAACCCGTCGTGTTCTCAGTACCAGGCGGCTAGTATCGGCGGCCTCGTGTCTAGCGCGAAGTTGTGGCTCGGCGGGATGACAGCTTCAAGTGATCGGGAGAAGGATGACTCGCACCTTCCGCAAGGCGGACTTCTGCGTAACTACAAGACTGCCTATTTTGGATAGTATCGCAGCCAATCGGAGCGGGTGGAGCGTGGTCACGCAGTAGTACGCACTGACCGTTGTGGGAGTAGATGCGTGTCACCGTCACAGCGTGCATGTGCGTCGACGATAGTGACCTGCATGGGCCGCATGGTAAGCTGTGGGCGACATGGGAAGTCTTTTGTATTCGTGTAGTGCGTGGTGAACGGGACCGGCGTCAGCGCGCAGAGACAAACGGTGAGGTTAACTTTCCCACGACATCCGTGTCTTGCTCGAGGAATCGGACGACTGCCTGACTCGGTGGGCTCATCACCTCGTACTGCATCGCCGAAGTCTTTTATATCCGGAACCATTGTCGGCGTCTGGTGAGTTCCAGGTCATTAGGCAGAATTATGTATATCCAGGCTGGCAGAACAAGGATTACCAACAGTGATACAAAGACCCGAGTGAGTCCTTTGAAATCATTCTGCCGAAAATACCTGATATACGACGACTACGGATGCGACTGTCATCTAATGGCTTCTTAACCACCTAGCAATCTGCCAGGCATCGCACAGTGGTCTGCCCTCAGACATATACTCAGGTGCAATTGCTCACAGCGGTTCTCATGTCAATAACGTCACGACACTTGCTAACAACTCCGTGTTCCCATCGCAGACGTTTTACATCATGTACAATGCAGTAAGTGCCGTTGGTGTATCCCTACTTCGTGTCTCAGAAGGGTGACGGAACGGCTGGTGCGACGGGATCGAACGGCAAGACGTTCAGCACTTGCACTCGGTAGGCTTGCACTGGCAACTGCAAAGGTATAAGTATATAGCCCTCGATAGACGCAATGGTAAGACGTACGCTTCGCCGCAGCTGCAGCTGCTGACGCCACAGTTGGCCTCGTTGACGGGGACGGCGACGTTCTAGAGATACCAAGGTGAGCGTGTCATGCCACGAGGCGACGGGCTACAAGTGTTACTCACGGTGAACATTGTGAAAGAAGTGCTGTGAGGCGAGGATGGGCTTGTGGGGTGCGTTGGGTAGTCTGGGACTGGAGAGAGGTGGTCATCGAACGCCTCTTTTATATGTCTCTGGATCGTCCTGACACGTGCGGCAGCCTGCGGATTGCTTCCCCGTAATGGGCCTGCTCTGATGATCGTCGACCTGGGTACTCTGATGCTATCCGGGGTGCGCTATTCGGAGGTAGCTCCAGCATTGTATTGGAGCCGTTCTACCACCGCACCGCTCCTGTCTGACCCAGACCGCCGGCAACTAGGGCTCCCTGCTAGCGTCCGATAACCATGGCGCTGTTGGGTCAGGGTGGGGGTCGTTATCCACCGCTAGAAGACAGCGTTCACCTTCGCGATATCAGCTATGTACAAGATACCTTCAAAAACCGTGTGGTACGTGGTGGGTTATGTCAATTGAGCACTGAGACAGTGGTCACCATTCTGCTAGATATGTCGATGCAGCCGAGTCGCGACCCAAAACGCTCACTTCGTGCGGAACCTTCACGTCCAGGTGACAATGTATCTGGTGAGCAGACACAACAACCACGACTGGATGACCACGAGGTGGCGCATCGACTGTCCTTCTGTCGGCAGATTTCCTTGGGGCAATCAATCAACATGCAGGTACCTCCGGCATTGAGGCATTTGTGCTGTGTGCATCAATCTGCTGATTCTATCCTTACGGGATGCTCGACGTGGACCAGTATGAGTCCAAGCATTGTGCATCGTCCGGCGGACATATTGTGAGTTGAACCGATATCGTATGTCTTCGATTCTCATCGGCACGATTCCTCATACTCATGTATTGCTGTGTCTGCGACGCTAGGGTACCGCGACATGCATCCTAAAGTTTTGAAGAAGTCCGTAATCCAGCAGCGTGGCCCAACTGATGACGGTCCACAGATCTATCTTATCTTATCTTATCTTCCTCCCGGTGGCATGTCGTAACCAACAATTCATTCGATGCAGCGCTGATGGTCCGCTTCTTGGCTTCCCAAGTTCTGGAGGGCCCGAGTCAGGCATAGTCGTTCAGAAAATGCCTCACTTAACGATTGTCAGCACAAATGTCTCAGGACCCTGTTGACGGCGTAAACCACTCGTATCCCACCGAGAGGCACAATTGACTCTGCTGCGTCGCTCACGGGCAGGTCTCTCCGAGTCCACAAGACCACCTTCGCACCGATCGGGTGTTTGACCGCTCCTCCTGATATGTAGCTGACAGCTTGGGACGATCAGGCTTGAGCTCGCTTCCGCATCAAGTCCTCTGCGCCCTGTCACTCTGCTTGGCTGACCGACATGGACTCGCCCTAAGTAGTATCTGCTACTCGCTTGCCAGTGGCGCTCGGAAGGGACACCTGACGACCACCGCTATCCAACTTGAAGCCACCGTGAGTTTTGCGGAACTCCCAGGACGACGCGGCGAGCCAATTGACCTTGGGCGATTAATGCTCACTCGAACCCCGTGGACAGCTCGGGCGCCGGTGCTGATCCGTTCCCGAGTCGTGTATTGAAAAGAGAGGGTATGTGCCTCACGTCCTTCCCCTCACATCACCATCGGCTGCTCACCCTCCCTTGCGACGACTCCAGCTTCACCGGCACCCTTCACGACTCCAAAGCCATTCTTGAGTGTTCCGAGTCGGACGTGCTTGAATATAGCGCGATAGAAACTCAGTCAGGTATGTACTCACTTATTATCGTTCGTCTGCACCCTCTGCGGCGCGCTGGTAGCGAGTCTGCGACAACAGGTGGTGTCTTTATACTGTCGATGGCAGCAAACAAAGGTATGTGATGATGCGAGGACAGAATGGCTCCAGCTACTATTCATTGGGCTTCGACTGTACTGCTAGCGTCCCGGTGGCATCATTGGGGCCACTGTTTTGTCTATTCATGTATGTGAATGATTCTACATATTGAGTCCTCAGGCTGTGGGTTCGTGTTCGGTTCGGAGCTCGGTTTGAGATTTACCTATGCACCTGGCTGTTCACGGCGAGCAGACTCTAACTCAGAGGGTAGTGAGACGACCTGAGTGATGTGATCATCATGTCTATGTTGTTCACTTCGCAAGAGCCCGGAGGAATACTATGGTGCATAAGCCGAGCATCGCGCTGTCATGGTGGCCACATGAGACGGCTCTGGCTCTGGTCAGTGAGTCTTCACTGCAGGGGCAAATATGTTGTGCCTTGATTACATCTAGGTACGTCGGTATGCCGTCGACTCGCTCACGATATGATCTCACATCAATGCAGGTTTGCAACGAACCACTGGCGCTCAAGCTTAGGCTAAGAGTCGGAGCCCTGTAGTCAAGGTAATGTTCGGTTTTGATGCTCACAGACGGATGTTACACGTAGCTAAAGACAAGCCTGGGGATGAGTGCATAGTTCCAATATAAATTTCATCGGCATGCATGACTCTCAAGTTTTCCCTCCAAACTGCACACGACCAAACTGCACACGACCAGGTGAATTCATTGAATCCTTCATCATGGTTTACTCAACTCAGCGAGATATCACTTCAAGCAGTACACTGAGCTGGGAGAGATCAAACTTGCAGGTATCCCAGCCACTCGCCCGGCGTGATCGAGAGCCGGTGAAGCCTACTGCGCTATGTTCGATCGTGCCGCGACATGCCAGACAGCGAGCCTGACGCGGTTCGAGTTAGAAGACGGCGCGCCCCCGCCGGAGGCTGGCTTCCCGGCCCGCCGCCGTCAGCCCCGCTCGCTCACCGTATAAATATCCTACCAACCTGTCTCGAACCGTCGTTCTTCTCTTTCTTCTTCTCCCCCATCTTCCCCTCGAATACCAGCGGCGGGGTCTTATTTCGTAAGTGGCCCTCTCCACCCTCCTCGTACATGCGCTGACGGCTGCCTCGACCTGCCATAAGTCCACGGACTGTGGACTGCATCGCCTAGAGAAATACCGTCGTGACGGGGCGTCGACGAGTCCACGACTCCTGCGGCTTGACCCCCCGCCCCCAAGACCGACGCGGGTAGTCTCATTGTCATCTGAGGAGCTATCACGGCTGGTTCGTGAAGGCACCAGTTGACTGTGACTAACTCTGCGAGCAGCCCAAGCAGCGCTATCGGCTAGCGAAACACCGTTGGGACAGGGCGTCCGCGTTGTTTGGGTTCACGGTCTTGGGGGATCCCGCCTAGTATACAGTAGTGTAGCTTTCTCCAGGGCGGGCGGTCATGCCGACGTAGTCGGGCGTGCACCGTCCGGGCGCGCATCTCATCGTGATCCTGGAGTCTAGTACTTCCTTTGCCCAGCAGGGCCAAGGGGAAAAGCTAAGACGCGCCGAATGTTGTATATGAATTGTACTGTTATGTAGGTACCAGTAAGCATCGATTCACGTCTTCTGAGGCTGATCTCAGCCTGACGCATGTACACCGACTGTCTGAACAATAAGAGATTTAAGACAGCCTGAGGAGTCGTTGTACACCGTAGCCTACGTAAAGCAATCAATGGCATTCGAGTCACGCGCTCACGACTATTTACAGACTCGCACTGTACCACAGACAGTACTGTAGTACTACACTGATAGAACATCGAAGCGGCCTGAGGATCACATATTTCAGCAAGGCGACGAACTGCTTTAATATGTACGTGCATTATGCAGCAGGTGCGCCTTAGGTGGATCATGACGATGTTCCTGCATAAGAAAGACGCACGCTGGCACTAAGTACTGCCAGTGACGAACGCGGACAGAACGAGCAATAGCGAAAGTATAATTGACGCAGACAATTCGAGATCCGGACACGCATCGCTCAGGTCGATGTCCGCGAGCGAATGGCAAATGAGCCTTTGCGCTCTCTTTTGTCCCGTCATGTACTGGGCCGATAGTGCGTTGCATTCACGCGGTCTGACCCTCGAATGCCTCATCGCGAGCCTGCCAGACTCGAATTCGTGATTCCGAGGTCAATCGATAGGTCGACGGGCTGGATGGGAACATCGATCCGCATGCAGGGTGGTAAGGGCAGTATCAATACAATCGTATTCGCATTCACAGGACTTGACGACTGGTGACCCCGAGGCAGGAGCGCTGTGCAGCGTACTAGATGTGGTACTAACCTGAGAGGGACGTATGCAAGGGCCTAGACACTCCACCGTGCAGCGCCAGTGGATCGCTGCATTGTCGCGCACCACAAAACAACGCTGAAGTCGATTGTCGTATTTTCACATGGACAGAGCACGGTGTTATCGAGGATCTGCCTCGACATCGAGGTACACTGCGTACATGGCACGCAGGAGATCCGGATCCCGCGGGATCGCCATAATCGCGTGCATTCACTGCGCTCGAATGGCCGTTGGAGAGGGCCACAGCGGGGCACGCGTCATTGCAGAATGTCCGGGGCCCACAGGGCTGCATTGATTGACGTGGACAAGGGCTGAGCGTCGGCGCTGAGTAGCTGAAAGACCTCGCCGGAAATGAACGAAGAACGGGCGGTTGACGGGATGCTGCGATCGACAGAACTCGGACCGCGTCCTTCTGCAGGACGATCGGACGACCACGCGGAGGTCGGCTGACCGGTACTGAGGCCTGCCTTCTCGCGCGAAGCGGTCGCGCCCGGGATATGCATTGACTGTTGCTGCTCGTCGTGAAATGCGACGTATAGGGTGGTTCTGAAGGATGCACTTCGCGTGTGATCCGTTGGGTTTCTGTGTGCACCATGAACGGTCGCCGGGATGAGCGTCGAGGTGGAATCGATCGAAACGAAGCTGGCAGCTGCTGGCCTGGGAAATCTGACGGTGAGAACGAGACGTCGCAGCCAGCCAAGGCTAGCATAACGACACATAGAAGGATGGAGTGAGTGCTTCCCTATGGGACGCGATCACGGGGGCTCCATACGCGCCGTATTCTCCACTTGCACTGGGAAGCCTTGACCATATGGAATTCTGTGAAACTGCATTGACCGGCGGTGAGGGAGAGCTTCAGCAAGCGCAGGCGGAAGATGCGAAACCTGCAAGCTGGCCATTCAGTCAGTTTCCTCAGTGGGAAGCGCGAACCAAGGAGCGTACGTCGCACGGGACCGCGCCTCGATTGTCCACGTGAGACCAGATGACGAGCGACTGCCCATCCATCTCACAGCAAGCATAACAAAGTATCTGCACGTGCGATACCCTATACGATACCGTATGAAATACTTTAAGTAACCCCGCTCCGGATACTGTATTTGGGGATACCGAAATCGTAGATACTTTAAGTATCCCAGAATGGAATACATAAAGTTTCCCATTAGGGTATCACAGGCTGGGATACTTAAAGTGTCCGCGCCGATTACGAGTGATGCTGTGACCAGTCAGCATCCATACTTTCTGGACAATAGATGAAATTGAAGACGATTAGCTCAGATGGGCCATTGATCGCCACACTCGGAACTCGAAGTCTCGCTGGAAGGGATTACGTAATACTGGTGGCACAATGCACGGTGGCGGCAAGTCGCGTCGAGTCGCGTCGCGGCAAGTCATCACGCGTCACATCGCGTCGCGGCAGGTCGTGTCAAGTCGTGTCGCGGCAAGTCGCGTCGCGTCGCGTCGTGTCGTGTCGCGTCGCGTCGTGTCGTGTCGCGTCGTGTCATGTCACGGTGTGGCATGTCATGTCATCGCGCGGCACGGCATGTCATGTCATGTCATGTCATGTCATGGCGCGTCGTGCAAGCGCCGTGTCATGTCATGTCTCTGTTGTACCGTGTTTGCCCCGACTCCTTTGATTCCGAGTTGGTGAGTAGTACTGAGTGCCCCCAAGCTTGATTCTTCGATTTGTACAGCTATTACCCATGTAGCTAGATCTATGGCATACCCCTAATTCATTACCTGTGTTCAGCAACTTGATCACAGCTAGTTGCAGAACATTAGGCGCAGACGAACGCGCGCGACATACGATGACAAATAAGCGCCGCGCCACAGTTGACGTTGGTTCATCCACTTCTGCACCATCATGTTTTTGCGGCTTCACGGTCGTCTGCACTAGCACCTGTACCGAGCAATAGCGACGCGGTCACGCTCCTCGGACACCGTATTAATGTATATTACATCGAGAGTAGTAACAATGTAACAATGCCTCCCCTACACCGCCACTTGCAGTCAGCTACAATGGACGAGTCCGACAGACGTCGTAGACCTGGGTGTAGGGGGCAGATACACGTTCAATTGTCTGCGGGCACTGGCCGGTACTCCTGCAAGGCGTCCACGGGATCGTGTTCAGCGAGTCGCAAGACATGCCTCTCATGACGGCTGCTGCAGGGACAATCGATGCAACACAAAAACATGGTGGTGCGAGGTGTGGTGAGGTGGGTAAACCGACGTCTTCGTGTGGATAGCGCCTATTTGTCATCATATGTCGCGCGCGTTCATCTGCGCCTAATGTTCTGCAACTAGCTGCAAGAGGACTCGGAGAAATGACCAGCTCGAGAGAGTGGCTCCAAGACAAACACGGTACAACAGAGACATGACATGACACGGCGCTTGCACGACGCGCCATGACATGACATGACATGACATGACATGCCGTGCCGCGCGATGACATGACATGCCACACCGTGACATGACACGACGCGACGCGACACGACGCGACGCGACACGACACGACGCGACGCGACGCGACTTGCCGCGACACGACTTGACACGACCTGCCGCGACGCGACGTGACGCGTGATGACTTGCCGCGACGCGACTCGACGCGACTTGCCGCCACCGTGCATTGTGCCACCAGTATTACGTAATCCCTTCCAGCGAGACTTCGAGTTCCGAGTGTGGCGATCAATGGCCCATCTGAGCTAATCGTCTTCAATTTCATCTATTGTCCAGAAAGTATGGATGCTGACTGGTCACAGCATCACTCGTAATCGGCGCGGACACTTTAAGTATCCCAGCCTGTGATACCCTAATGGGAAACTTTATGTATTCCATTCTGGGATACTTAAAGTATCTACGATTTCGGTATCCCCAAATACAGTATCTGGAGCGGGGTTACTTAAAGTATTTCATACGGTATCGTATAGGGTATCGCACGTGCAGATACTTTGTTATGCTTGCTGTGTCTCATCCACGGTGGCCCGCCATGTATTGTCCACCCTATTAGCACTGCGAGCCCAGGTCCCCGAGGCAGAGAATGAGAAGCAGAAGCGACCGACACCGTCGTGACAGTTCTATGGCATGGTCGGAGATGTTATCGCGTCCGCGATTCTGAGAGCAAACCTGATAAGCAAGTGCACAGTAGATAGAAGCACGCAGCTTCAAGGCAGCTGTGCCATCTATTCCATCGCAGAGTTAGTGTGCCGGTTCTAGTCCACCCAGTTCGCACCTCAAACCCAACTCGCAGAGCCTATGAGTTCATAGAGCAGTTCCATTCGCACCATGGCTCCCTAGAATTTGAGGGTGAGTGAGCGAGACTCGAGCTCCGGTGTTTCATTCATGAGGGTTTACCGCCAGAAGGTCGTATGGTCCGAACGTGCCTCTATACAGGGATGGATTAGTCTTGTGGTGACATTGGTGGCTGAAGAGTGCCTGAGTTCGTCAGGTCGAATAGACGTACCGCGTGGTCAACTTGCTGCATATCGGACTACAATGACGGGGTTGGTCGACTTCGGGCGGGTCTCCAGCGAGCAATAGTCTTGAGCTGCAACAGACTTGCACTTTGGGATTAGCGCGCCATTCGAAGAGGAACGACAAGACATCCGCGTGAACCTTGGATTATTTCGCATGAACGCCTCGAAGTAGGTGCTAGACCGGCCTGACATTATTGGACTCGATAGCACAGAATTGCGAGCTAACGGTGTATGTCTGTGGGTCCACACTCTAGACCGAGCAAGGCGTGCACGTTCGTCGCTTCTCCCAAGGAGATCGCACAATGCGTGAAGAGCGAACCCCTGGATACCTGCGCAGTGTGGATCGTGCGACCGATTGGCACAGCCTACGTGTGGCTCGTCCGCGTTCTGGCGGGCGAAGGGCGTTGAAGAAGCTCTACAGCCAACGAGCTCAGCGTCTCGGCGCCTCGAGGCCTCCACCTGCGGAGGAAGATACGCCCGCGCGCTCCAGCACGTTGGCGGCGGTACGGCCAGGCGCGACCTCCCACTGGCACTGGCAGGGGTCGCGGATAAGAGCGTGGGCTACGGTGACGTGGCCATGTCGAGGGTTCGGCCGTCACGGTGTCGTACGCGTTGTTATTCAGGGCCTTGAGAATGCCTGGCGAGGCAGCGGGAGACAACCGCCGAGAACCCCATTTCGTGGGTATCATCCCGGGTCCGACCTGGCAAGGCACGTTCGGGACCAAAGGATGCCTGAAACTCTGTACATGTGAGCTCGGCCGGTGATCTAGGGCCGACTCACCATGGGTATTCCTTCGTATATATCAAATGAAGGGTGTGATGGGAACGCGCATGCCCAAACTTGACTTGAGGGAGGCCGACCAGCCACCTATCCACCAGGCGACGTCAAGCGTGTCCGTAAAGTGCAGCGCGCAGCGAGAGCGGAGACGTCCGAGCTACAGCTGACAGCGTTCGCACGCGGGGGACGAGTGCACGCACTGCGCATACGCAACGCACGTGCTTCCGCCTCGAGTGCCCCGCGTCTTCCCAGGTCAAAACTCGCTAGCCCTGATGTCAGTGCAAAGGTTCCCCTCCCTCGGGGCGGTGTACCCCAGTGTACCCCCGAAAACGCGGCGATCCGGGAAAACGCGGCGATCCGGCCGCATGCGGAAAGCGTTTCGTCGGAAGCCACCACGCTCTGCAGCGCGAGCTGATGCGCAGACACAACTGCGCGGTGCGTGGTGAGCCTAGCGCGAGCAGTGGCGGCATAAACAGACTTACGAGTGCAGTCTGGGGCCAGGGCGATCGTCGCGCAGCCGTGTATGGCGGTCGTTTCTCAGAAAGGCAGCGAAAGAGGGTGCGGAGGACGATCTTCACCTGGATGCACGGACGCATCTCGGAAGTCCCGGGGACCGAAGGGAAACGAAACGTGCTACGTGTCGTGGAAGGCAACGCAAGCTCAGCGAACGCTACCGCCGAATGTGAGTTTCCCAGCGCAGAGCAGCGTCGTCACAGCGTGCCGCTACCAGCTGATGGAGACACCTCGGTAAAATGCGAGGTTAGGCCTGTCCAATGCGAGATGGTTATGTCCGGGGCCGAACATACCGGAATGATGCATGCGCACGGACAGGGTGACTGGGGAACGCGTCCTCGCCTGCCCGGGACTTTCGTGGGTTCTCTTGCAGGCGATTTAAAACCAGTTACATACCCGGACCGTAAGCAAACGCGATACGCACCGGCCAACACGCTCACCATCGACCAACCACTCGAGCGTCCGCGCCAGCCCCGAGCCCGAGCGCGCTCTCCCGATCCCGATCACAATCACGGAAGCATCGTCTCCTCGGCATCTTGCCTCTCTCGCCGCCTCGGGCATTCTCCGAATCAAAGTCGACTCGCTCGTGCCTGCGCTGGGCAGCGCTGCGGACAGATTTTCTCTTATCTGTATGACGCGCGGTGCCTCGTGTGGCCTGCATCGATGCTGCTAAGCACCCGCTACGCGACGTGCCCAAGCAGCACCCAAGAATTATCGACATAATACTCGGGCGCAAATGGGCGTCGGCAGACGCGTTACGGGACCCAAGCCCACGTACGGAACCCCAGAAGGCGCCGACGCGAAATGGCCATCACTTTGCTGGCAGGCCAAGAGACGGGATGCGGGGACGCGCCCAAAGGGAGGCGGACATGCACGGATCATGGCCGGGGTGGTAAAGAATCTGTTGTATGGATGATGGGCGGATATGAACGTGCATTTGTCGGCCCAATGGACATGCGACAGTTGCTTTGGGTACGATGGGCGAGCCCTCGAATGCAAAGCTGTTAGCGTAGGCCTGAGGCATGCCGGGAGCGATCGCGATGGACGTCCGTCGCGGAGAGACTCAGAGAAGGCCGGTCAAGATAGCTTCTATTGGGCTTCTGTACCACGCGAATCCTGTGTGGCATACAAATTGTACGAACCAACACGCCGCGTACAGACATGCGTGCACCACCACCATGGCACAAGCGAGGGATGCCAGTGGGTTGAGGGCTTGCTCTTGGTATTGGGAACATCGGAGAGTGGCTGAGGGCGAGCGGTACGATTCGGCGTCCTGTGTAGGAGATTGCCGTAAATATTGTCGGTTGTCGGTGTCAGATTTGACATACAAGTTCCATGCCCTGTCGCAAAGCCGCATCACGACCGTTGGCAACCCATCGCCGCTATGTCAGCGAGGGACGAGTCACTAGTCAGGCCTTCAGAGATCGGGAGATGCCGTGCTTTGTTACCAGTTTTGGTGAGCAGTCTGAGATACGATCAACCCACCGTCGGCCGAGCCGTGTCCCGCCAGCGACCGACGGACAATGTCAGCGATGCGCGAAGCCAAGGACGATCTGCAGAGAAAGCTCTCCATCATCGTAGTACTTCGCCTCCGTCTTCTGCGCCGCTACGTCAGTAGACGAGGACCCCGAGAGCTTCCCCACGGGGCTCGCGGCGGCACCGTATTCCGCCTACGCCACCGAGCCCAGAGATCAGACCTTTCTATCAGCTGGGGGCGCGGAACCAAATCGTCGTCGATGCTTGGTCGACGCTCCTGAGGCAAGGGGTCGCGTGCCGTCTGCAGAGGGCTGTGGGCGAAGGTAACGGTTGTCGGAGTCGCGAGCGAGAGGCACAATGTTTAGCTTGCCTGTTGTAAAGTGGGCGGACATACTAGTAGGGCCTGGACTGCCAAGGTATAGGAGAACGCACCCTGAATATGAAGGCTGCTACAGGGTGGTCGGGAGCTGACGCGACAGGACAAGGCAGTGATCAGTACAATCTATGCGCGTCGCCAATGCATGCATCCTCGGACTCATAACATGCCCGCAGAGTAGTCTATGGCATACTCGCCTACTCGCCTACAGATGCTTGACGAGAGAGAAGCGCGCCCGTACGTCAAGCGTCACGTAGCAGGGCGACGTGCATGGCTTGTTGCGGGCCCGGGTGCGGCTTGGCCTGAGCTTGAGAAGATCTGGTGCCCGATTATTCCTTCATGCCGCATCTCGAAGGATAATAAACCGCTAGAAAGCTACGATGCAGAGGGCACGGAATGACTTCACGTCGGAAGAGGCGGAGAGCGGTGCAACGGAGAAGCCCGGGATAGTACTGCTGGAGCCACAGGGGCGAGCTTCTGGAACGGGCAGGATATGTGACAAGGCTTATTCAGGTTCAGAGAGACGATGGAGTCAGGACAAGACCGAGACGGCGACGACTCAGCGTTGTCTGAGAGCGAGCGATGGCTGCGCACCCGAGGCGACGCGTGTTGCGGGAACCGGGACAATGTTTCGGAGGAGGTTACGGACAGGCCAAGGGCGCGACGAGCCAACGCGTCAGTGCGCAGACCACGTTCGTGGACGCGCGTCGCCCGGAGCGCTGGCCAAGGACCAATTCCGGTGCTGTTGTTGCGCGGCCTGTTCGAGCACTGGCTGATGGATGGGAGAGGGGTCTGTTGGTGGACGGATCCCACGACGTCCCGCGACGAATGAGATGGATCGGGATGGGCGAATGTGTCGGGGGCGCTGGAGGACGGGTCACGGGGCAGGATCTGAGAGGCCGGGAGGAGCTTGTCTGCCCAGCCTGAGCGAGGAAGAGAACGCAGGGGACGGAGCCTGTCGGGGAGAAGGGGACGAAGGGCGGGCTCGCGGAGGACGTCGTGGCTGGGCGGGCACGGTATCAGCTGGACGCAGTGCGCAAGGCGCGCTCGCACGTGTTTGTGGGCGCCGGGCCCCCGGGGAGTGCGATCGAGAGGGAGAGAGCGCCCAGGGGCCCAGAGAGGCAAGAGGAGAGGTCTTGTAAGGCGCGACGGGAGCTGGAGCGATACGCGACGAGCAGCCCAAGCACTCCTCCTCCTCCCTTTTCACCCGCCACTCTCTCCTTCCCCTTCCCCCCCTTCTTCACTTCGCCCTTTCCCTTTCCTATACATACTCACCCTTCCCTCCTCTTCTCTCGGTCTGCCACCCAGCCATGGCCGCCGTACTTTCTCCATCACATTACGGGCCCGCGCACGGCATACTCATCAACCGTTCGCCCTCCGTCTCGCCCTACCACCATTCCGTGCCATTGCCCCCCTTAGTCCCCTCAAATCCTTCCCTCTCGTCATCTACATCCTCGGCCTCTGACCTTGCCACCGACTCCGACTACTATTCATCAAGCAGCGCGACAACGTCAAGCCGTCCAGGTCGCCTGCCCCATGATGCCCACGAGTCCAAGCCGCGCTCCGGCTCAGCACCCAACTCGCGTCGCATCCGCTTCGCTCCCCTCCCTGACCCTCGCCGTAACATCTTCATCGCAGTCGGCGCCAACCCCGACCTGCCCTCCGTCCTCCTTGACGACGCCGCGGGCGACGACGAGCAAAAGCCAAGCCAGAACTTCGATGCGCCGTCCACCGGCGAACCCGCGACGCCAAGTTTCAAGGACCAATACGCCAAGGTCAAGTCGGCGCCCGCCGGCTCGCTCCTCTTTCGTCCTGACGACCTCGCCGCGGCGGGCTCGACCCCGACGCTGGGGAGCACCGCCACCATCACTCCTCATTCCGCGACCTTCCCATCTGAGCTCGGCGGCGAGTGGAACCACGTCCCCTACTCGCCCCGCCCGTCTAGCCTAAACTTCCCCGACGACATCCCTCGGAGATCCAACAGTGCATCTGCGAAATGGTCGAAGAAGTTCCTCAAACCGCTTCTGGGGCCCTTGGCGTCATCGTCGGGCAGGGGACGCTCCACCGACGACCTTCGCACCCCGGGTTCCACCACAAGTCTCAACAGCATGGTGCCGCTCACGCCCCAGAGTACAGGTGGTTCCACGGTGGACAGTCGCCGTCCAGCCATTACCTCGCCCAGGCCCTTGGACAAGAAGTCCAAGAAGAAGCGCGAGAAGGGCCCTGAGCCCGATTGGGTGCGCGAATTTGGACAACCCCTCTACCGCTGGTCGAGTGAAGACCCGACGCTGAGCAAGAAGGGCCGCGTCTCGGAGATGCGGGAAGCGGCATCAGACAGTGCAAAAGAGCGTGACAGCCGCCCTCGCTCGAGAAGTGCGAACGGCACTCGGCTGCTCAACGGGCGCGTCTACGGTGCCAAGAGGTTTAACAACGCCAACCCCTTCGCCAATGCCAGGTGTGTGCGCATGCATCAACAGTCTCACCTCAGACATGCTGACTCTTTCGCTTTCAGATCCGAGGAGCCCAGGTTCGTCGAGTGGGGCTATGGCGGTATGGGCAGCGTACAATCGAACGGTGTCGGCGCAAATATCTGGGCAAAGGTCCAGTCCAGCGGAGGTGTCAGTGTTGGCGCGCATGAATCCGCGAGCAAATCGCGTCCAAGCTCAGCTCGCGACGATGACGATGACGGCAGCGGGATGGCCTGGGTGCAGAAGCGGCGCGCACGGAAAGAACAAGAGCGGAAGAAGACGGAGAGTTCTGAGCAGACGACGAGCACGGTAGCGGAGGAGCCGCCACCTGCGACCGAGCCTCATGCGAGTGGATCTGATTTTGACCCGCCGGCCGGGAAGGAGGACACCGCGCCGGAGCAGGTGTTGTCGGTTTCGCCTACCCAGCTGGACGCGGCTCTTCCGGAAGGGAGGGATACGCCAACGAAGGAACAGCACATGCTCCAGGCCGTGACGCTGCCGCCTGTTCATCACCATCATCACCATCGTGGGCCCTCGTATGGTACGCTGGAGAGGGTGTCAAGTGCGATCAGGGTCGAGGCGGAACGTAAAGACAGCACTGACACTGTACGCGACCATCGCCTGCACCCCGCTCAGGAACAACAACAGGGCGCCGAGGTGACCGCAGAGGTCGAGGACGCCAGACCGCGTGCAGATAGCGTGAGCTCCAAGACCAGTGCGGAGTCTAGCTCGAGTTCTAGCTCGGGCAACGACGACGCCGATGAGGAGGACCTCGAGAGCCCGCAGGGCGGCGAGGAGGAAGATGAGGAGGACATGGACGAGGAACTCGAGGTTCGTTCATCTTGCAGTTGTACCCATCGCTCCTGGCGCGTGCCCAGGAGTTACCCCGGGCGTCGCCCGACGATCGTTCGGTCATCCGCTGTATGTGGGCTTTGCGCTGACTGCATGTGTTCACAGGAGCGTGCCCGTCTGACTGCCCTCGGCGCTGGAGTTGAGAAGATCAGCCGGCATAAGGAGAGCACGCCAGTGCCGGAGGCTGGTCCTGAATAAGCGCCGGATCGCCGTGTATTATAGCCCGCTCGAGCGATCGCTTTGCACTGCAGAGCAACGCTCCGAGCCGACCAAAACGGAGCGGCCAGATGCGCCGCGGGAACACGGAGGGCGCGCCATGAGCGATGGGATGGGGAGAGGGCACCGTTAGGGTGCTCTCGTGCAGTAGATTGTGCCTTTATTATCGGCCTGCACCTCCAACGCGGAGTCCCACTTGTGGGCGACTAGAGCAGTCCTGTCGCCCGCACGTCTCTCATCGCCGCCGCCCCTTCGACGTATATCCGCCGTATCGCCGCACTCACTTTCCTTTGCATATAGTCTCACTTTAGGTCCTACGCCTGGACCATTGTATCATGCTCATATCGACTGGACGTCGACTCTCCGCCTACGCCTGCTTCGCCGGTCGTCGGCGTCCCCTTTACCATATAATTCCGGATCGTCACCTTTCGCCTACCATCCACCGTGCTGTGCATACCGTTTTCCTGGACATTGGCCGTGCCCCACCACCCCACTCTACTTGTAACAGTTAATCTGCCATCTGCTTCCATCGTGCCAGTTCGTCAGCTCTGCGCCCTGCTGGCCCCGCCGCCGCCACGGCGATCCCGCCTAATCCCTACTCTCATCGCTGCATAGTTGCTTGGGTCCTTTCTGGCACGCGGCCGGTCTGCTCGCTCACAGAGCTGGTGATATACGGTCTATGCCCTATGCCCACCCATATGCTCTCCTCGTCGTCGCCGTCATCATCGCATCCCAGCCTAGCAATCGCCGAGTGCTCACTCCGTCCTCGAGCGGGCTCTCCGTTCGAGCCACTGGGTCCGTCGGGTTGCTTGAGCTTGTCTGCTGTGCAATTACCCTTATCGCAGGTATTTATTCGCTCGCATCGTCATCCCATCTCCACCCATCATCCCCCATCGCTGTCCATCTTGGATCCTGACTGCACATCCCTGTTCGCTTCTCGCCCTATGATACTTGACTGGATCTCCTCCGTTTAGAACTCCCCCCGTGCTCCGTAATGCGCGACAGCAGCTTGCTCCTTTTCGTCGTCGTCGTCGTCGTCGTCGTTGTCCTCGTCACCGGTAGTTTCGCCAGTTGTATTTTGTACATACGTCATTTGGAATTCATCGTCGGACGGTGCGTTGTCGTAGTTCATGCATCGAGATGCGCAAGTTCGTGGTGTCACCTTAGTCGGTGAAGTGTGTACGACGAACTGCGATGCCGTGATCCTACGTAGGTGTACATCTACACTTTTACGAGCCCCATACATGACCCTGCAAGATACAATGAAACAATGCGGATTGCGCCAACCCGCTAGCGGCTGCCCCGTGAATTCTATAGCTTGACTTTGTGTATGACGCTCCGCGTAACACCGTCCTCCCTCACCCACTCCCGCACGAGTTTGTAGCCTCCCCGGCGTGGCAACCACTGCCAGTTCACATACCAGTACGCTACGCCCACCAGCGAGATCGACGCCGCCGCCAGCACATGGAGCTAGTCCCTCGTCAGCACCGCCATCTAGTATAGAAGGCGACATGAGACGCACCCAGTACGGCAGGTTCTCGTACACCTTGAAGCCGGGCGGGGGCGGGACGAGCGGCGCGAGGACGAGGAAGACGTTCGAGAGGAAGAAGACGGCGACGACGGGCGTCCACGCGCGGAAGGGCGGCGCCCAGAGCGCGTGCAGGCCCGGGCTGAGCCGCCGCCGGAGCGGCGTGTGCAGGTAGAGCAGGCCGAGCGAGACGAGCATGTTGATCAGCGAGATCGGGTAGGTGATCACTGCGGAGGGGAGGTCAGTGTGCGCGGGTGGGGGGATGGGTATGGGGCGTACTGTTGATCATGAAGAGGTAGGCGTCCCCGGGCGGGACGGTGAGCACGAGCAGGGACGTCACGAACCATTGCTCGGCGAGCCCTGCGAAGGGCGCGCCGAAGGGCTTGTTGCTCGCGAAGAAGCCGGAGAAGGGATGATACCCTCTTGCCCGAGGGCTTGGATGACTGGTCCGCGGGGAAGTCGTGAGATACTGAGCCTACGTGTCGTTGGCGCGAGGAGACGTACCTCGGCCTTGGGTGTAGAGCACAGTCATTATATTCGCAAACGTCGACATTGCCACTATGCCAGCTACGACCTGCGCGCCGGTTCAGCATGACGCCTCGCCACACACACTCGACCAGGGCACTCACCCGCTCTGCGCCGATGCCCAGAGCTTGCCAAAGAATAGCGCAGCCACGATCCGCCCGCTGCCAGAATCTCATCCTTCGGCACCACAGCAAAGTAGGCTATGTTGGCGAGGAAGTATGCAATCGCGACGGAGAAGACTGCGAGGGCGCCGCGAGCTTGATCGTCCGCACGGGATCGCGCACCTCAGAGAGGGCGTAGTTGGCGTTGGAGTACCCGACGAAGGCCCTATAAAACAACGAGAGATCAGGAATGGAAAAGCTGGAGAGGTGGTGATTGGTGGGGTTACGCACCAGACAACGGTGAAGAGCCCAGTTACGAAGGCACTTACACCGCCCGTCCCACTACCCTCCCACATCTTCGACCACTCGAAGTTCTGCGGGGGCTATCGAAGAAGCTCAGCATAGCACGGGATAGGGGTCGGACGTCCGCCCGCTTACTTCTTCGAGCTTGAACCCAGGCATCCTGGCGAGTGCGGCCAGCCCGCTCAAGGCAATGGCACAAAGCGCCATGAGCTTCAATACTCCCAGCGTGTTCTGGAGGCGGATTCCCCATGCGGGGCGTGTGCCGTGTATGACCAGGGCGAAGGTGACGCAGGAGACACCGGCGAGTCGTGTTGCGATTGGAGGCGGCGTTTGGGTGGGGTTGACGGCATGCAGGACGTCTGAGACATGGTTTATTAGTATGTAGATACAACTTAACTTTGTAGGCGCACATTCTCCGAACACGCTGACGTTGGCTGCGGACCAACCCTAAGGAACATCGACACTTGGTCAGGGTGTACAGCTTGAGCGAGACGAGAGAGTGCCGACATACGATGAGCAGGGCATACGCGGCGTATCCGCATGCCATCAAGAACCTTGGCCGCTGGTATATATATTCCAGATAATTCTTCTCGCCGCCATTCTTCGGCAAAGCCTGTCAAGGAGCCAGTGTCAGGGCACCCATTCATGCTCTGACGAAAAGACAGCGACATACCGTCCCGAGCTCGATATATACAGCTGTACCGCAGGCAGCAATCATCGTTCCCAACAGCCACATGACGAAGGAAAGACCGACACTCCCGGAGGCACGAAGGATGACACTTGGGGTCGCGAAGATGCTGTGACGTCTGTTAGAATATGATGCAATATTTCACCACGTAGGACTATACCTTGTGCCAATGATGCGGTTGAAAATGAGGAAGACCGTACTGGTCAGTCCTACCGAGAACCGGTCACTAGAATGCTTCAATGATTGCTGGACAATCAGCTTACCGAGGTGTCGTTTCAATGACCCGTCATCGTTTTGAGGTGCGACATCTTCCGCCACTGCAATGGATTATCAATGCTCATTCGTAGGACGTGCACATACTGGCAACTCACGAGTCTGCTCATCCAATGACCTAGTATCTTCCAAATGGGCGAAGTCGCGGAAGACAGAAAGGTTGGCATTGGCTTGACCGGCTGAGCTGCCTCCTAGGAGGGGCTCGCTTTCTCCATTGTGAGAGCTCATAGCTGAGTTGCCTGCAAGGGCGAGCCGTGGTTGCTCTGGACTACTTCAATGTCTCCAAGGATTCATAGACCGAGGCGAGCGGACGCAGCGTCTGAGAGTTGGTCGCTAGCGGGGAGCCAATCGGGCCCGGAGTATTAGGGATGTGAGAGTGCGGAAGGAGGGATCCTGAGAGGAGGATGGACGCGCGAGGACACGCTGCTGGCTGATAACGGCGCCCATGGCGTGCGGTAGTCAGCGTACGACACGCTCACCGAGCAGAGCACCCACGATCGCACAGGCGCCCGCGCTGCGATCGTGCCAGAGACGCTTCCGCCGTAAAAGGCAACTCCTGTGCAACGTCAGGTCACATCATTCGCCTGTCACATTCCGTAATTCCCGGAGAGCGCTGAGCACGTACGTAGAGCAGGCGGGAAACAACGACATGATGCACCGAGTCGGCCAGTCGTCGGTGTCGCTGCAAAGGATCAAGGATCGACTGGCCAATGGGAACGCGTTATGTAAATGCCGGCGGGTCGCTGACGCACGCGCGCGGCTGCGGCACACCACCACCGCCCCGCCCGGTGCTCATATAGGCTAGCCCCGGCTGCCGCGTCTCCCACCCAGCAACCACCACTACCCTTGCATCCGTGAGGCTTGCTGTCCAGCAGCGTTCACGATGCAGCTCGCATCGTACGGGGCGCGAGCCCTCAAACCTACTGGAGGGGGAACACTCCTCCACACCAACCACACAAGGTCGATACACATCCCATCCATTCCCCGCCCCAATGTCGGTCAACCGACCTCCACCGCCCAGGCCGTCTTCAAGCAGACCCGCCACCTCTTCTCTCGCTTTGTCGCGCACCTGACGACCCCAGGCATCTCTCGTCTGCCCGGCAGCGTCCCAGCAACGGGTCGCTCGCTGTACAATGGGCCGACACAGATGCGCTCCATCCAACAGGGCCTCTCCTCTTCAGCGCGCTTCACCCTTTCCCGCCCACTGCAGCTACCCCGCCTCCCCAAGGCCCCCGCCGTCCCGCGGGGCGTCAGCCAAGTTGGCCTGGGGCTGGCCCGCAACTTCTCCACCGGCCGCCCCGTCTTCCAGAACCTCGTCGAGAACGTGCCGATCACTGGGCGCGCCCTCTGGGAGGCTGACTGGGACACGCGGATGCGCAAGGAACAGGAGAAGATGCGCATGCGCAAGAGCGTGAAGGGCAAGCAGTCCAAGAAGTCCAAGGAGATGCTCCGCCCCCGCGAGACGAAGAAGGCGACGAAGGTGGTGACCGCAGTGGAGGAGCGCGAGGCCGACTTGGAGCACTACTTCCCCGCCGCCCCGCTCGAGAACCCCGAGGTGACGACCCACCTGCTCATCCCGCTCGCCCCCGTTGTCGCGTCCGCGCGCGAGCCCCGCCTGCCCTTGTCAGCATCGCCTGCCAACCACCCGCTGCTCCCGGTGCAAGTCCTCGCGAATATGCACGGCGCCCATACCACCCACTCGTTACGCGTATCCTCACTCTTCGCGCGGCTCGACGCCTCTCGCGTGTTCGAAAGCCCGCACGTCAAGTGTGAGGCGCATGGCGATCCATTGGGGCTAGCGACACTCTTAGAGGTCACGTTCGACGGCTGGGACGAGAAGCGCGTCCGCAGCGTGCTCGGCGAGGCAGGCCAGGGATGGTGCACAGTCGAAGAGGTATGGAAAGACCGCGACGCGGAAGAGAGGCAGGCAATGGACGAAGCTCTAGAGACCATGTCGACCTCCGAGGAGTCCGTGCACTCCGACTGGCATGTCGGCGTCCAGATTGACCCTGCGCACTCCATGGTCCTCCCCACCCTCGACTTCTCGGCGTCGTTCCCCGTCGCGTTCCCCTCGCCCGCACAGGCCGCGTCCCCCGCGGCGCTGTCGCGCCAGCCGTCCGACCTGTCGATGTCCGACACGCTCTCGGATTTCGCCTTTCACAACGCATGGGCTGCGGCGCACCCACCGCCGCCGGACGACGCACGCTCCGACAGCGACAAGCTTTCGGACGTTGCGTCCGAGTCGAGCTGGGTAGAGACGATGTACCAGCCCGACCTCGCCGCTGCCCACGCGCACGCGCCCGCGTCGGAGCGCAGCTGGTTCGGGTTCAGCTCCGAGTTCATGGGCAGGATGGGCCAGGAGGCGGAAGGTCCGAGGGAGGATATGTTCTGATTGTGTGCACACCATGATTAGCGGACTGGTATGACAGTCTGTGTTGGTTCGTGTCTCCTTGACAAGCTCGCGTCTCTCATTGTATCAGTTTCCTCCTTTTCCCTTTTCCTGTGAATCTCTAGTATGCTTGGAATTATGGAGTCATGTCCATAATGTATGTGGATGCACCTAGAAATCAAGTGCTCTATCACTTGACAGAAACGACTGTGACTTCTGCAACAACACAAGCCGACAGACAACAACGAGGTCGACGGACATCGCGCGCACCATCTCCAGGCTGACGCTTGCTGGCCATTATGGTCTGCAACAGAGACTGCATCAAGCTCTACGGCTACATAACACTCGTCCACATTTACAACTGTTCGCTGCTCCTCGAAGCGTCGAGTGACTGCCGGACACCTCAGACAAATAGATATGTAAAGGGATGCATTATGAACACAGACAGCTACAACAACCTGCCTCAATCCCACACAACAAAGCGCCCGCGAGCGACCTAGTAGACACGCTTGAACGGCGGCACGGGCTTGCACTCGCTCTCGTCGAGCGTCGTGTCGATCACGCCGCGGTACTTGATCTCGACGTCCGGCTTCTCCGCGTCAGGCAGCCAGGTGAGCGTGTGCTTCATCCACTTCTCGTCGTCACGCTATGTGGGGTAGAGCATCAGCATGTGAGTGTCAGCGAGATGGCGGGGTGCACTGACCTCGGGGAAGTCCTCGCGTGCGTGCGCGCCACGGGACTCCTGGCGAGCGGCGGCGGCGGTGATGGTCTGGACGGCGTTTTGGAGGATGTTGCGGAGCTCGAGGGTCTCAACGAGATCCCTGCAAGATGACACGCATGAGGTGAAGAGCTTTGTGGGTGGTCGAACGACACTCACGAGTTCCAGATCATGCTCCTGTCCTTGATGCCAACCTGGTCGTAGCTCTGGTAGATATTGCGGAGCTTCTGCACACCCTCGTCGAGCGTCTCCTGGGTACTGCGGCATAATGAATATCGCGTGCGTACGCCGAAGAGAGCGCTACACTCACCGGAAGACAGCAGCGTCTGCCTGCATAGCCTTCTGCATGTCGAGCCGGATCTTAGCGGTGGGCAGAGGACCATCGGACTTCCTGTTCGTAGAGTGAGGAGACACATTCATCGAGCGGAGGCCAGGAGACGCAATACCTGATCTTGTCGAGGAAGTCAATGCTCTCAACACCAGCCTCCTGAGGGATCTCCTTATGGGGCTTGCCGGGGGTAAGAGTCTCTTTGATGTGATGCGCGCAAGCACGGCCGAAGACGACAATATCGAGCAGAGAGTTGGCACCGAGACGGTTCGCACCGTGGACGGACACACACGCTGCCTCGCCGGCGGCATAAAGACCGGGGACGACCTTGTCCTTGCCGTTCTGTAGCACACAAGAATTATGAGCAACTGCTACCCAAGGCAAGCGTGGACGCGTACCTCGTCGACAGTCAGGACCTCACCAGTGTACTTGGTCGGAATACCACCCACTGAGCACCAGTTCAGATGGGGCTTCTTCAGTAACTAACGGGGACTTACTGTTGTAATGAACAGTGGGCAATACCGGAATGGGTTCCTTCGTGACATCGACGCCGGAGAAGATGGCGGCGGTCTCAGAGATACCCGGGAGACGCTCGTGGAGGACCTCAGCGGGCAGGTGGCTGAGCTGAAGGTAGAGGTGGTCCTTCTCAGGACCAACACCACGACCTTCGCGGATCTCGATCGTCATACTGCGCGAGACGACATCACGAGAAGCCAGATCCTTCGCGGTGGGTGCGTAACGCTCCATGAACCGCTCACCCTCGGAGTTCAGGAGATATCCACCCTCACCACGAGAACCTACAGCACGCAGTTGACATCAGAAGCACCGGAGATGCGCATATACTGAGGCGTACCTTCAGTAATGAGACAACCAGCGCCGTAGATACCAGTCGGGTGGAACTGCACGAACTCCAAGTCCTGGAGGGGCAGACCCGCACGGGCAACCATGGCGTTACCATCACCAGAGCAAGTATGCGCACTGGTACAGCTGAAGTATGCACGGCCATAACCACCGGTCGCGAGCACGGTCTTGTGTGCCCTGAACCTGTGGAGCGTGCCATCCTCCATGTTCAGCGCAATCACACCAACACACTCGCCATCCTGCATAATGAGGTCAAGCGCGAAGTATTCAATGAAGAAGTTCGTGTTGTGGCGGAGGGATTGGCCGTAGAGTGTGTGCAGGAGCGCGTGTCCGGTACGGTCAGCAGCGGCTGCGCAACGATAGGCCTGACCACCCTTTCCGTACTTCAGTGATTGACCACCGAATGCACGTTGGTAGATCTTTCCCTCCTTAGTCCGGGAGAAAGGCACACCGAAGTGCTCGAGCTACTTCGAATATGAGTGACCTCTATCGTAGAGCACGGACGAGAGCCGCACCTCAATGACAGTGCGTGGGGCCTCTCTACACATGTAGTGAATTGCATCTTGGTCACCCAGCCAGTCCGACCCTTTCACCTACAGTTGTATGCTATCAGCATATTGATAGCACTTAAACGTCATAACTACTTACCGTGTCGTACATATGCCACCGCCAGTCATCCTCGGTCATGTTCTACTCGCATGACACGGAAATATGAGCTCCTATTCGTCAGAAGACATGCGTCAAACTTACACCAAGCGCAGCATTGATACCACCCTTCATGAGTATGATGTCAGCGACCTGGGAATCGAAGGCACGATATCTTCATACCTGAGCAGCGACAGTATGACTTCTTGTTGGGAAGAGCTTGGTGATGCATGCAGTGTTGAATCCCGCCTCTGCGAGACCAAATGCAGCACGCAGACCAGCACCGCCGGCACCTCTGCAAACCCATCGCGTGAGGGTCAAGCATAGTAACTGATACGATGCCGGACTTACACGACAATTGCATCATATTCATGTTCGATTAAAGGATAGTTCCCAGAGGCCCATGACTGCACGAATAGGGTCAGCATCGCCAACCAGCCTGGTTTTACTGGATCCCCGTACCGGGACCTCCTGGGCCTTGACGGGGTTGGTCGCGACGACCTTGCAGGCGGGCGCAGAGCTGTGGAACGACCTCTTACTGGCGCGGAGTGCCCTCGGCAGCGTTGTCCTCAACATGGCTGAGACGCAGCGAGCCCGACGTTGGTGAGAGCGATGAAGGAGAGTTGTTCTGACTTTACGCGGATCCCAGGCCTGCCTCGGTCAGTGACGACCGAAATTCCGTCGCTCTCCGAACGCGCGTGTCCCGTGATATTCCCCGCGTCGCCCGAAAGCGCCGGCCGCTTCGGCCAATCATACGGTTGCAATTAGCCTCCTCTAGCCTCGTTAACGTTCGTCCTACTCGAATATGTTCTACACTACACTACACTGAATTACTGCAAGGGCATCGTCTCTCTGCTATCGCAGCGCCCCCAAGGGATCGTCCTGCACCCCTCTGCGCGGAGCTTGATCGCGCGGAGTAGACTGAGGCACCTCCGACGGCGGTGCGGGCGGCGGCGGAAATGCGGGTGTTGTGGGGGTCGTCGTCCACTGCGTCGTCGAGGTCGGCGGGGGAATTCGGGGAAGAGACGCAATAGGAGAACTGTTGCTCGAGAAGTCTGAGCGCGTGTAGTTCCACGGTGCAACGGGCTTCTGAGGCATCGAAGACGTTGGCGGGAAGCGTGGGGATGGCAGGCTGGACGGGTTCGAGGATGCAATCGTACCGAATTTGGGCGGGGAGCGAGCAATGCCGTGATGCGAAGAGCTGATAGCAGAGGAACTTCTGCTTGTTGCAAGTCCTTGCGGTCGAGTGGGGGGTGGCGGCGCAGCGGCAGGCTGAGGCGGCTTTGGTGTAGATCGCTCGATATCCCTTCGTCGCTCGGCTTCTCTCTCCTTCTCTTGCTCTTCCTTCGCCTCCCTACGCTTCTTTTCCTCTTCACCAACCAATCGCTCCTCCTGTATGTCTGTTGTGTTGCTCTTGAGGACGTCACGGACATATGCTAGCGACTCCAGTGCCTCTTGTTTCCTCTTCATAATGGTGTCTTTGCTATTAGCATCGCCCTCATCCTGCAGAAGAGTGTCGACTATCCATTCGACGGAGTCTCCTAATCGCCGTTGGACCTTGCGCAGCTCTGAGAGTTCACGCTCCAGCTCGAAGCGTGAGCTGGACTCCCAGCTATGGCGCTCAGCCACTGGTCTCTCATCAAGCAGAGGATACGCCGCATAAGCGGACTGTGGAGACAGCGGGAGCTTGCTGATCGAATTGGCGAGGTCCGGGAGATTGCGCTGCAGTAGCTCGTGTCAGCATGAGATTGTTTGGCTCACACTTGAAAGTATACCTTCAGCTCTGAGACCGCATTCATAACAGTCTTGTTGATACCAAGGCTTTCGCCCCGTTCCAAAAGTCCACGAGCCAACATCTCCGGAAGGGCCATCGGACTCGATTGCTGGCGCGAGTGTCCGACCCTGCTGCTCTGTCCCGGTCCGCGCTGCGTCCCCGCGTTACTTCCAGACGAAAATGACTGGCCACGATCACCGGGCCTGGGGCGCCGCCGAGCCGGCGGCGGGGGTGGTTCGGGAACCTCAACAGGTATATCGAGCAGGTTCCGATTCTCGTGAATGATGGAGACACCTGCTGTCGGACTCGGTGACATTTGCAGGGTGAGAGCCTGGCGGAGCAGGAGAGTAGCGTGGTGTGCTGTAGGTGGTTCCGAGATGGTATCGCCGGGTGTTGAGGGATATCGTAGCAAAAACGTCAGTTGGCCGCTGTAATCAGACGGGATGACTGCGAGACAAGATGCGGAAACATTCGTTAGTATTGTCCGCGCGACATCGTCACCTCGACGCTTACGTTTATTACGTATGCGAATGAGCATCGCGACACAGATCCACTCTGCGAGGTCAAAAGACGGGTCACAAGCGAACAGCCCATCCCAAAGGATCATCGAGTCGTGCATATCAAACTCGCGGGTGAACAGCAAGCGCAACCACCGTCTGCCGCGAATCGTTCAGTCCCCCTTGACTGGCACACTAACAGCACACCTGAACTCACATTCCGTATATCTGTGGTTCGATACCAGCATTCTGCATGCTCTTCCAGAGCTCCGGGTCCACCGACTTCAGGTAGGTAGATTGTACGCGATTGCATGCCTCTACAATCGGTGCCACGAACGGTTTTATTGTAGATCCGTTGGGACCAGCATTCAGTTGAACGTGCGATGACAGCGGTGATTTGTCTGCAGCCTTCTTCTCCTGCCATTCGTACCAGCGGCCCACGCCGTTCATCACGGAAGTGAATAGTGCCCAGGCGTCTGCGACAATCCATGCCCTCGAGCAAAATTCCTTGACATTGGGGTCGTCCAGAGTGGGGTCCTTCTCGTCAATGGAGTCATAATCCACCGCGTAATATAGCGGGGCAAGCAGCTCGTGCATGCCCTGACGATAGCCTACGTCAGGATGCATACTCGAATGGATGAAGAGGACGTTTGTCAAATGAGCTTGCACGTCGGGGTCACGGAAGTAACCGATGTCAGGGAACCTGGAAAGCAATTCATCCCGCTGCAAGGTCCTAATGCGAGGACACGTACGTGCGCTCAACGTCCTTCAGAATCTCCTTCCGCAGCTCCATAGATGCAAACCATTCCGTCCATGGGTTCTAGAAGACGGTCGGCGGGCAGGGCGCTGAGCCAGAGGGCTGCACGCACCTGGTCGTCCAGGCTCAATGGGTTGTTCCTCGACAAGTCCAAGCGTGTCTGAGCGATTCTCGACGGCGGCTCATTCGTACCAGGGATAGTGAGACCATCCTCGTAACTACCATCTGGTGCCCGCATCTTCTCTAGCAACAGCGTCGTGTATTCATGTCGTGTAGCGCGCAATGCCTCTAGCGGGGACACAGATATCACATCCGACTTCGTCTGCAAAGGCTCAGCTTGCACAAGAAACAGCTGCACAGGGTTTTGATCGTGAGCATTCCTTCGACAACCATGGAGACGCATCGCACTTTCCAGGCCAGACTCCTCCCAGCGACGCCCGGCGCATCGTCCGAGGCTTGGAACAGACGGCCGCCGAGGGCAGCATCTTTGATCTTCGAAAGACTGGGGGAGGTATTGAAAAGGTGGTCGTATGCATCCCTAATGCAGCAAGAGGTTATGGGATTGAACCTGCGAGGCAAGGTTCGATCGTGAGACGGACTTGATCTCTTTCACCTCCGGTCTAGTCCGTCCTTCGGACATGGCATTCAGAAATATGTCTACGCGTAGAGCTCAAGAGTAGTGTCCGGGGAATGAGCAATCGAAGGGGAGGTGAAGGTGTCGTTGTCGGGGAGCTGTTCAACGACCCTGCGGAGCATACTTCGGGCATAGCTCGGCGATACCAGCCACATCAATGGATGTAGATCTCGATCCGTTGAGAGGACTGGGAGCTGTATGTAAGTTACGTCGACGAGCACTCGGGTTGACAGAAATGCCACAGTGATCTCAAGGATGACTTCTTTGTTATAATACGTGGTCAGAGTAGATACTAGAACCACATTGACACCGAAAAGCTAGTACTTTCACTGCGCATGGCATGCCACCAGCCTGGCGGGAAGAACAGCAAATCGCCCGGCTTGAGTGTCACACTCATCGCGCGCGGAACTGCTTCTTCCCAGAACGCCGGCATGTCTTTCTGATTCCCACGTTGTGCAAAGACATCGACCGTCGACGTATTGCTCATACATGGGTTGGTAGTATTTGCGGCAGGGTTGTGAGTATGATCGCTTGCATCGCCATTCGGAGGAGGATAAGGATACATGGCCGGGGTTGCTTCTGGAGGCGCCAGCCAGACTGTTTTGTGACCTACGACTTGGGCTGCGAAGTCTTGGACGTAAGCAAAGGGCGCAAAGCACGTGTGACAGACACCTACCGTAGAGATTGAAGAACGGGTCCTGCAATTAGGCCGACTGAGCAAGCCCGCCAAAGTTAAGCATGATCGTCACCTACAGTGTGGGCAGGCGATGTCATACGAGCTGGCCCTAACCAGACATTGAGAACAAGCTGCTCCTCATTGGCCGGCGGAGCATAGTCCGGGAATTCCTTCGGTGTCGGTAAGGAAGCGTATGCGTAGTCGGGGATTACGACGTCGTCGCGTAGTTTGGGAAACTGCAGAAACAAATTGTGTTGTGCAAGATAGAGTTTGCGTTTCTCCGGTGTTTGTTGCGCATGGGGCTCGAGGGCGTCCAAGAAATCGTTCCAAAGCATCATCTTCTGCGTCCAGTCGTCATCGCGATAGTCGTCGCCTATCTCCACTGGTACGACTCTCCCTGGGCCAGCTATCGATCGCAGGTAGTCAAGTGACCTCCACGGATGCTCATTCAGAGCAGGCCAATCGGTGATATAGCCCGGGATAACAAAAGGTCGTTGCGAGTACTGACGTACGAAAGCCAGCAGAGATGGCGGGCTATCCAGATAGGGGACCTGGTGAAGGGCCGAATGCAATGTTCTGGATACAGAAGTCGAAGTTACACCAATTTTGCCCAGCGGGCGGTCCACACCGCGTGTCCGCCCAAGACAACCCATTGCGTGGTGTTGAATCCCAAGGATCAGGTCAAGGATGATGTTCCGCCGGTCTTCCCCAGGAGCGCCAGCGATGACGATAGCATGGTCTAACCTGGAGATGCACGACATAGCCTGAATACAGTCTTTCGCAAGCCCCAGCTGAAGGACGTCGCCCAAAGAGCGAAAAATGCACGCGTCCGTGTAGAGCATCCGCCAACTTAGTGCGTCTGAGCGGGGTGATGTCCGCATCTCTTCATACGCCCGATGGATGACTGTGTCCAGTTGGCTTGACGTCGGCTCGTCCCACTTCGCTTCATCGAGCAGTTCCAAGGCAGCTTGTACGGCATCCATCTCTAGGCGGGCTATACAAGTTCAGAGTCACTCACTAAGGTCGTTTATTAGTTCGTACTCACCTACATCTTGAAGGACGTGGCGATCGCGCAGCCGGAATAGAAGCTCGCGGACGAAGGGTTGTGCCCACGCATCTGACATGATCACGACGCTAAGATATGGTGTGCGTCTGGCCTACTGCGCACCGATGAGAAACACGATGAAGACGAGGGGGAAGAGGGCAGTCGGTGTGGATGACCTGCAGACACGGGAGGCGAAGGAGTGGCACAAAGTCTCGCCTCGGAGTGTCCAAGCGTCGAGGAGCATCCCAACAGCGGCCGAGATCTAGATCACGATATGAGCAGATCTCGTCGAATTGCCTGATCGAATCACGTACCAGCAAGCGCCCACCGATGTCTTCCGCTGGTGTGCAGCTCCTCAATGCACTGTCGGGTCTGGGAGGACAGCGCTGCGTATGCGGAATGCGCGGCGCCCCTTATTCTGAGCATCACGGAGCAGCAAAAGGCCTCCAAGAGCTGAGAAAGGCAAAGTGTCACATGTGACGCGCCGAACTGCAGATGACCGAAGCTGATGGTCACGCGTGACGGCGGCAAATTTCGTCACAAGGACAGGGTGATAAAAGGTGCAGTCGCTGCAGCGAGGGGGCGTGAGAAAACCCCGTTTACTACCTTCGATCCCCTAGCGCGGCGTCTCCGGTCCGACGCCGCCCGAGTCCGCCATGACCTCCAGGCATGCTCCGCTGCGCATATATGGCAAGTGTAGTCGTACTCACTGTTTCCCAGATTGGACCGGCTCCTCCTCCTCCTCGATACCGGGTCCACGAGCTCGGTCAGAACAACAGCAGCCAAACAACTAGCACAACTAGCTGCCAAGAGCGTCATTGGCGATGTCTCCATCGTCGAAGAAGACGTCAAGACTAATCGGCAACACACATACCTCGCGGACCAGTCCGCTTGGTCAGAGCTTATGGCGGTAGTCGCGCGGGTATGTCGACGGCATGGTTTGCTTCCACAAACGGCTAATGTGGGACGCTCTAGATACTGCCATGTCTCCACTCCAGATCGTACGAGACCCGTTCGGCTGCCTCAACGGCCCTTTCCCAAGTATTTTCCCTAGTCCCACTCTGGCAGCCGGGTGCAGATGTGGACAGCACACGGGATGTTTCTGTACATCCACCACCCGAATTTCCACCCTTCTCCGTGTGCGAGCTCATGGAGAAAGGTACCCTACTCCTGGCGTCGTCCGGCAAGGAGTTTGTGAAACCCACAGGAATCCTGGCTAGCTCGTCTGAAGTCAAGAAAGCTAGGAAAGAGGCCATGGGACGCCTGGGCTTGGACTTCTTAGACGGCTTCAGCGGCGATGACGATATGGACATCGAGAAGGAGCTGGTCGCTGACGAGGCTGATCAGGACGTGGAAATGGAGACCGCCCCAAAGATTGAGGAAGAATCCGCGAGTGTCTCGCCCATCGACGTCTCCTTCAACGCAAAGCTCAAGAAAGAGCCTTCGCCCCCGCGCGCTCCGGAACTAGCACTCCTGTCATGCCACAACCCGTTTCTCAGGACGTGGTCATGGCAGACGACTCCGCATTGTCTGCACGTGAACGGAACAGACTCAAACGAAAGCGAAAGCCGGGAAACAATGCTTTTGTCGCCGCACCTGCTCCGCCTGCGCAAGGCGCTGGGGCGAAATATAACGCAGCGCCGGTTGGCCAGTCCAAGTGCGCATCACGGATGTTACATGGCTAGATGATTCTAACAATCGTTTGCAGAGCCCGTCTTATTGCAGCCGACGAACAATCGTCAACTGCAGGCAAGGGCAGTGAGAAGTCACCTCGAGACACTGCCTCTCAAGAGAAAGTCGTCATCGATCCCTCGAAGGGCGGTGCTGTCTCGCCTAAAGCTCAGAAGCAGTCCAAAGCACTAGAGGTTCCGCAGGGCCGTTGGGTTTGGGATGGTCTCGCCAAGGTGTTGGAAGTCGATCTGTTTAGCCCCGCCTGGGAAGTGAGACATGGTGCCGCAATGGCGCTGAGGGAGTTGTTGAAGCTTCAAGGCAAATACGGTGGCATGCAAGGTCCGTCGTCAGTGCATCGCAACGAATGCTAACTGACGTAGCACCTGTAGTTGGGCTGAGCTGGGAAGACAATCTCCTCGCACACGAGAGGTGGTGCAACGAACTCGCCGTCCAATTCCTTTGTATTTTCGTGCTTGACAGGTTCGGCGACTTCGTCTCGGACCAGGTGCGTGGAAAAATCCTAAAATTTCTTATGCGCAGCACTAAATCGAAACCAAGGTTGTCGCACCGGTACGAGAAACGGTCTCGCAGACTCTCGCCTCTCTCCTCCTTCACATGCCTCGAAGATCTGTCCTACGTGTCCATTCGATCCTGCTTCACATGATCCGTCAGGACTTCCAGGTTCCTGTGAAACCCATCATTTCGAAGACCAGAGGTCCCGACAGAAACACCGACAAGAGTCATATCTGGGAGGTCCGGCACGCCGGTCTGTTGGGCATCAAATATGAAGTCGCAGTCAGAAGTGATCTCGTGAGCGCTGCGAAGTCGGAAGATGGCCAAGACCGTGACCAGGATGGAGAGAAGTCTTGAGAGGTGTAGTCGATGCTGCCGTCTTAGGGTGCGCTTGTGCTTCCTCCTACCTCCTTCGTTAAGTGCTAAAAGCTGTACAGCTTGGGTGACCGCGACGATGATGTCCGTTCGGTCGCGGCGTCCTGCCTACTACCCGTCGCCGCCCATCTCGTGGGTCGTTTGCCCGAAGAACTACCGCGAGTACTCGCCGTGCTATGGAGCTGTCTCAGCGACATGAAAGACGATTTAAGCTCCAGCGTCGGTGCAGTGATGGACCTGCTTGGTGAGCTCCATCCCGTCCATCAACCCGTGATGGTTGCTGATAACAACCTTAGGGAAGCTGGTCACGTATGACGAGGTCATTGAGATCATAGCCGACCAAACGCGATCGTGCGTACATGAACGCTAGTTCGATAGCTGTAAACTGACTGGTTTCTCAGACATCCGATCACGATGCTCGCGCCGACATTGTTCCCGTTCTTCCGCCACACTATCGCCAATGTCCGACTTGCCGTAGTCAACACGCTCCAGACCTTCATGACCGTCACGTCCCTTCCGAAGGAGTGGATGACCCTTCCGTATTTGCGACTCCTCTATCAGAACCTCATCGTCGAGGAACGCGGCGACATCCGCCATGCTACTCTGACAGCTTGGCGGCTCGTCCTCTCCATCATTAGTTCAGTGACCGGCTGGCTAGAGTCCTTGGCAACGCAGCAGGTCCTGCTGGAATGGTATGCTGTCTTGATGACACCCCTCGGGTTACCGCTTGACGCGTCGGCTTTCCATGATGCAACCGCTGCGATGGAGCAAGACGGTGTATCTGAGCGGCATAACGTCGACAAGAATATGCTCGCTCAGGATCTCGCACTAATACCTGTCGAGACCGTGTTGAAGGCCCGAGTTGCGGCGGCGGCGGCGTTGGCACATGTCATTGCTTCCTGGGACAACAACGTACGTGTTTTCGCCAAGTCTTCGCCATAGAACTCACTCATTGCCCAAACACAGGGCTCGTCACTCGACGATACATTTCGCCCCATCCTCGTCCATTACTCGAGTCGACGAGTATGCTACAGAAGTTTTTGCTGCCATCATCTCCGAAGAATGGGCCAAGATATGACGCGAAGCTGGGGCCCTCGGCCCCCTTGCTCATGGAGAAGTCGTCGCTCGCCTCTGAGATTAGCGAGAAGACACTGTCCTGGCTACAAGCCGAGCCCCCTGCGGCGTATCATGAGATGGCCTTCACTCTAGCGCGCATTCACGGAGAGTGCTACAACTCCTGCAGTCGTTCGCTTATGATTGCAAGCTGCCGCAGTCGTCCATACCGGTCTTGGGTACGGAGGTTGACATTACCGACACGAAGTCTGGTTGCTTCACCATTCAGACTGCGCATGCAGCGGTTGGCGAGATGTTCGACAAGCTCAAGGCCAGTCTGGGGCGGACGAAAAGCGGGAACTCGCATCATCAAGGAGAAGCGTGTCAAAGTCGTTGCGAGCATCGAGCGGTATGTGGAGGTCAAGGCGCAGTATGATATCCGGGTGTCCGCCGCGTTCGCGGCAGCCTTCGTCGCCTTCAAGGGCACACCGGACAAAGTCAGCCCCATTGTCAAGGGTATCATGAACAGCATCAAGGTAAGACGAAGTGTATATCTTTATGACGTCCCACTCACAGTCACGTGTCAGAACGAGGACAACGTCGACCTTCAGACCCGTTCAGCAGTCGCGGTCGCGGCCTTTGTCGAGTTCTGCGTGTCCCGCGAAATAGCTCAGCCCCCGGACAAGATCGTGAAGAATTTGTGCACCTTCCTTTGTCAGGATACCGACCAGACTCCAACGTTTGCTTATGCGAGGAAGACGCTTGTGGGTATTCTGTCGTTCCCCAAGTCGGCTTCGCACAGCAATGCCAAAGAGGAGAAGAGCCCACCTAGTCCAGAGGATGCTGCGAGAGCATATCTGTCGCGCAGGGGTGCGCAGCTCGCCTTTGTGGAGCTATCCAAGAAATTCGGGGCGCGTCTATTAGATGCTGTTCCCAAGATGTGGCAATCTATGGCGGGGGGCCTTGTCAGTGCCTGCTCTACCGGTGGGTGCTATATCGAATTCTGTGATCCATCTATTCTGACTTTTTGTTAGACGACCTCGAGAAGATGGACAAGCAGATCGAGAAGCAGTCGGGACAAGACGTCATCGACTCCTTCAGTGTCCTGGAAGCGATCGTTCCGACATTCCACGAGTCTCTATGGCCCAAATTCAGAGAAGTCTTCCCGATGATCATCCTTGCCCTTCGTAGTCGCTTCGCCATTATCCGCCAGGCTGCAGCCAAGTGTTTTGCTACGATGTGCGATACCATGACAATGGATGCTATGCGGGCAGTCATTGAGACCGTCATCCCCTTCCTCGGCGATGATCTGAACCTCTCGAACAGACAGGGTTCGACAGAGCTTATGTATCGTAAGCGACAGCTCTCGTTTTCAAGGTCTAACTGAGCTCACTTATGCTGTAGACATCGTTCAAAAGCTGGACATGAAGGCTTTACCCTATGTCATATTCATGGTCGTACCCGTCCTCGGTCGGATGAGCGACCCCGACGATGATATCCGCGCGACCGCCACCAACACGTTTGCATCATTGGTGAAGATGGTCCCGTTAGAGGTACGCTTGACGGGTTGGATCACTGATCCTACGTCGCTAATATTTCCTTCAGGCCGGATTGCCAGCTCCCCCGGGCTTCTCTCAAGAGCTGCTTCAGCGCAGGGACTCGGAGCGTCAATTTCTCATGCAGTTGTTGGACGGTAGCAAGGTGCAGCAGTACAACATCCCGGTTACGATCAAGGCCGAGCTGCGGAAGTACCAACAGGAGGGTGTCAATTGGCTCGCCTTCCTTGCAAAATATCAGCTGCATGGTATTCTCTGCGATGGTACGTTACTTCAGTTCACATCCTCTAGCCTTGGCTCAAATGTTTTGCAGACATGGGTCTCGGCAAGACGTTGCAGTCAATCTGTATCCTGGCGAGCAAGCATCACGAACGGGCGAAGAAGCACGAGGAGATGAAGTCACCCGACTCCGTCCACCTTCCTTCTCTCATTGTTTGCCCTCCGACGCTCACGGGCCATTGGTACTACGAGATACTGAAGTACACCGACAACCTCAAGCCTGTCACGTATACCGGTAACTCGAGAGAGCGAAGCAAGCTTCTGTCGAGACTGAAGAAGTTCGACGTCGTCATCACCTCGTACGAAGTTGTTCGCAACGACATCTCCAGCCTCGAAGATATCAACTGGCACTACTGCATTCTGGACGAAGGTCACATCATCAAGAATGCGAAAACCAAGCTCACCAAGGCGGTGAAATGCATCCGCGCCCATCACCGTCTCATCCTCTCGGGGACGCCCATTCAAAACAACGTCCTGGAGCTTTGGAGCTTGTTGACTTCTTGATGCCGGGGTTCCTGGGTAGTGAAACGTCCTTCAACGAGCGCTTCAGCAAGCCTATCCTATCGAATAGAGACGGCAAGTCGAAGAACGGCGAAGCGGGTATGTGAACATCGTTCCACGGATAAGCCGTCGCTGATAGCAACGGACAGCTGCCCTTGCGCTTGAGGCCCTGCATAAACAAGTCCTGCCATTCCTTCTACGTCGATTGAAGGAGGACGTCTTGAACGACCTTCCTCCGAAAATCATTCAAGACTACTACTGCGAACTGTCAGACTTACAGAAGTACCTCTACGACGACTTCTCGAGGTCTCGTGCTGGTGCAGCCGCAGAGGACGTCGTTCGTTCTGACAAAGGTCAGAGCGGGGATCAGCAACACGTCTTCCAGTCTTTGCAATACCTGCGCAAGCTCTGCAATCACCCTGCTCTCGTGCTCAAAGATAAGCAATCCATCCTCGATGCCCTCGCGCACGCTGGGCAGAAGGCTGGGTTGAGCGACATCCACAACGCACCGAAGCTCTTGGCTCTGAAGTGAGTGTCGTCGCTGTGACGGTACCTTCATCGAGCTGACTAAGTTTCGATCATAGGCAACTCCTCGTTGATTGTGGGATCGGCGTGGGGTCTTCCGTGTCTGGAGAGATCGCCAAGTCTGAGCTTGCGGACGCCGAACCGACTACGTCGGGGGCGTTCTCCCAGCACCGCGTTCTCATTTTCTGCCAGATGAAACAGATGCTGGACATCATAGAGAAAGATCTGTTCAAGCCGCATATGCCTTCCGTCACCTACATGCGCCTGGACGGTAACACCGACGCCAACAAACGCCATGCTGTCGTTCAGACTTTCAACTCCGACCCGAGTATTGACTGTCTCCTCCTCACGACCCACGTCGGTGGTCTCGGTCTGACCTTGACGGGTGCCGATACGGTCATTTTCGTGGAGCACGACTGGAACCCGATGAAGGATCTTCAAGCCATGGATCGTGCTCATCGTATCGGGCAGAAGAAGGTCGTCAATGTATACCGACTCATCACCAAGGGCACCCTGGAAGAGAAAATCATGGGGTGCGTGACCTTGCCTGTCATGTTACGACTTTCACTAATCTCCGTCCCAACAGCCTGCAACGGTTCAAGCTGAATATCGCTAATTCTGTTGTTACGCAACAAAATTCTGGCCTGTCGTCCATGGACACAGACCTAGTCTTGGACCTCTTCAGACACACCACAGAGGCCGAGGAATCGACTTCCGCGATGAAGAAGAATGAAAAGGAGCCGCACGCGCTGCCCGGTCAGCGTAACGTTCTAAAAGGACTGGAAGATCTACCTCCGGAGGAAGAATACGAAGGTCTCGACTTATCGAGCTTCATGGGCTCACTCGAACGACAGTGATCGCTATTTATCTGACAATTCCTGGACCGTCCCGTACAGCACTAGATCACCAATAGAAGTGTAACTCGACTGTATTTGTAGGATACCACTGCCCGCACGTACGCCTATGCCTGTATAATGCCTGTTTCACTACTCCATGCTCTATGATTGTAATGCACTGTAGCTAGCTTGCAAATCGGTATAATGTTCATGGTAATTGTTCCTGGGCCTCGAGTGTATGGCGGGGCGCGTGATATGTACGATCGACGCGGCAGGAGGAGGGCGATAAGTGCAGGTCGACACACAGTTGCTGCTTATCTCCTCCCTCCACCCAGCCTTTCCTACTTGCTATCGCCCGCTACGGTACCTCAGACATGCCCGCATACCATGCCGGTATCTGGACCGCGACGCAGCTTATCTCTCTAGCAGAGCTCATAAATGAGAAGGCATTCGCGCTCATCGTCGCAGTCGGTCCCCCTTCCCCACATTGAGCCGCAGCGATGTTCTCCATCCTTACGACCGTCGTAACACTTGCATTGGCTCTGGCAGGCTCGCAGGCTCTTGGACAACAGCAGGTCCTGGAATCATCACCCCGGGTACACGAGAAAGAGGCGGCGAACTTCACGCAGCTCTTCGCGTCAGATGGAATCTACCAGAAGGCATGGACCAGGGAGTCCTGGAATGGCCTCACCACGTTCGCTCGTTCTGCACCTCTCAGATGCTTCGGTGCGGACTCAGAGAGTCCGTATGATGTCGCTGTTCTTGGTATGTTCATTTGACCATAGACCGTACTTCCACACACCAATTCCTTGCAGGTGCCCCCTTTGACACCGCGACTAGCTTTCGTCCTGGGTAAGTCTACAGACGGCGGAAGCGCGCATACAATGCTTACGGGACGCAGAGCACGTTTCGGACCCAACGGAATCCGTCAGGGTGGCGCCGCCTGGGTATTGAGCGGATTAACGTGCCCATGAAGATCCGTGTCTCTGACTACCTTGACATCGTTGACTGCGGTGATGTTCGTACGTATATGTCAGTCCATATGCATGCACGTCCCTGAGCTAGTCCTGTAGCAATGGTGACCACGGACAACAAGGTGGCATTGCGCCAGCTCGAGGCTGCGAACAAAATGGTGCTCTCCAAGACGAGCTTCCGCTCTTTCGAAGGCACCAGCCTGGCGAAGGACGGCAAGTTCCATCCTCGTGTCTGACCCTCGGTGGTGATCACACGATCACTCTCCCGTTCTCCGTGGTGTTGCGGAGGTTTACGGCCCCGTCAGTGTCATTCATTTGACAGCCACATCGGTACGTAGCCATCTCGGTCGCATACACTTAGCTCTTGTGTCGTTCTACAGATACTTGGAACCAAGGGCATGGGTAAGTTGATTTACATGACACTGTGAAATGCGTTGAACATCTACAACAGGGCGGCAGCCCATGGCTCCCGGGTGAGAGGTCCCTGTCTCGCACGGCAGTTACTTCTGGTACGCCCACAACGAAGGTCTATTGCGCCCAACAATACGAATATCGTCAGTTCTCCATCGATATCATCGCATTCGTCACTCACGACGTACATCGTCGTAGCACGTCGGCATCCGGGGCGCGCTCAGCAGCTGGGATGACTACGAGAAGACTACGAAGTCGGCTTCGTCATCTCGCACGCGGACGACCTCGAGGAGATCGGCTGGCGAGGCGTGGTGAAGAAGATCAGGGACACCGTTGGGATAACCCAGTCTACAGTAAGCGGCCTTTCGAGTCTCGCGGCTGATGCTCAATGACGCAACTCGCCAGTCACTCTGGACATTGACGTTATTGACCCTGGCATGGCCCCTGCGTACGTCCTTTGACTTCGTTCGTTGCGTATGACTCAATCTGATCATCTTCCGATTTGTGCAGCACCGGAACGTGAGTAATGACTGAGTCGGAAGCTCGCTTCTCTCTGACGGTCCCTTGGTAGTCCCGAGATCGGTGGATCACCACAAGGGTGAGCGTCACCAGGTTCTAGATGAGGATCTCAACTGATACCATGTGGATTTCCTGTGTAGGAGATCAAGAAGATCATGCAGGGCCTCGCTGGCCTGAAAATTGTTGGCGCAGACATCGTAGAGGTTGCTCCTGGTGCGTAGCCACATGCACCGAGGCAGATCTTCCACTCATAAACATCGCCATATTGTGCAGGTTACGACACACAAGGTTAGCGCACCCCTGACTCAGACTTCGCATATTTGCTGACCCCGGGATTTAGATGAGATCACGCAGATCGCTGCGGCGAATATTGGCTATGACATCCTTGCACTGATGGCGAAGGCCCCTCTGACGGTCTAAATGCGCTAGTAACGAGCTGTCGGCCAGGCCAGCTCCTGGATGAGGGAGGTCGTGTAGACGTCCTCAGAAAGTCTGCGTTGACGCGAGTAAGTTCAAAGACGAATGTACATGTGTAGGGGTATAGTTTGCTATGATGATTTATCCGGGTTCCGTGCAGAGAATCGCCAGTTGACTTCAGAACCCTTCCGTGATCGAGCCGATCCTTCCAAAGGCGCGGCATCGCTGTGTCATCCGCAATTATGCAAGCCAAGTATGGTACTCGTATTCTCAATGCACATAGTCTCCCGTCTCGCGCGGACACCGAGGGGACCGAGATGAGATACTAGAAACCATTAATCCTGCGAGCGGAATCCCGGACATCCGTGCAGATATTAGCTCAATCATGTTCTCACAGCAGGATATGGGCCCGGGTGCCTGGAGGCTCCGAGGTGCACAGATCGAGAGCTGGCGGCCGACGATGAGGTGCATCTCGAGTGCCCGTGACTCAGCGAGCCTTGTGAACTGCTCAGCCGACCATATAAGCGGAAGCTTCAGTCGTGGATCGCATACTTCTGCACTCCCAGCTTGCAATTACACGATATGTCCCTGCCCTGTGTTGAAGTCGCGGTCGCGCCCGCGAACGAGGCATTCCTTGCTAACCCCAAGGACAAGAGCCTTGTCCAGCCTGCCTTGGATCTCCTGAAGAGCTCCAAGGGCCTGATCAAGTAGGTCCTTGTTGATTTCTTCGATGGTCGGCGGGAAGCTGACCGATGAACAGGATCTACTACGGGCAAGAGTCGGAAGACCCAAGACGGTCTACGTATACAACAGTAAGTGAGCTGGTTCGCGCGTGTGCATCCGGCTGACAGTCGTTAACAGTCTGGGAGGAACTGCAGGACCACAGGAACTTGCAGGCCGATCCAGTGCAGTACCCCATCCTCGGCAAACACACTCAGCAGTTCATGGCCGGGCCGGATCCAGTGTCATCCACATCCAGCCTCTGGCTGAGCCTTACAAGGCCCTTGAAGCCCCGGCGACTGAGCTCGCGTACATGAAGGTCATCCCCGGAGTATCGAAGGAGATACTGGAGAACCAGCTTGATGGGCTTGTGAAGGCGGTGAACGGCTTGCCCGAGAGCCACGGGGCGATTTCTGCTGTGTGGGGCCCGACGGTCGAGGACGACGACACGCTGGGTTGATCATCGGCTGGACCTCTGTGGATGTAAGGACTTCTTTCACGGGTCGGACAATTTCGCAGAGCTTGACACTGCACGACAGGCTCACTGGAATGCGGTGAAGACAGTGCCAGATCTCATCCAGAGGCTCAAGGACATCCGGGAGATCGCGACCATTGGTCTCACGCACCAGCTGTTGGCGCCGTACAACTGACGGCTCGGTGGGGGCTCAGTGGGGGGAACGACATGAGACGTGTGGCAGATGTAAATAATGTAATTTTGTAGTATCTGGAGAGAGGTTGCCTCGAGGACGTGGTTCTTGAGTGAGACGGAGATCGCCCCGAGATGATCGTGATCAGGGCGATTCCATGTGCGTGCACAATTAAATATCTGAGTCTGCCCCCCGCCATTTCTTCACGCCTCCCCTCCGTCCATGAGGGTTGCTGCACTCCCGTCTTGACAGCGATGGCGACCACGTATCGCCAAATCGCACCCATCACCTATCAGCGCGATGTCTTTCCACAGCCCGTGACTGCCTTGGCCTTCGACCCCGTCTCGGACACGCTATGGACTGGTCTAAACTCGGGGATCGTTATGGCGTATACACCCCGCAAGGGATGCGGGGTGTAACGTTCCCATCGGAGGTGGGCTTGCAGTCAAGAGGATCGCCGCAGGCGACTCCACCGTCCGGGCATTTGGTGTTGCCAGTGAAAGTGTAGGAGCATGGGGCAAAGGCGGAGTGAACAAGTGGAATCACCGGTGCGCCTCCATGCCGCTTCAGCGGGTCGCGGACAAGGCTAACTGTCTGCAGATCCAATGTATCTGTAACGGCAATGTCTTGCAATACCACCAGCATGTTGGCCTTGCTAATGCGACCCGGAGTTGATGATCCTCAACTCGCATACGGGCTCCGTGGTGCAACGATCGCCAGTGTCCGCTGTACTAACGCATCTGTTGTATCCTAGTACACATCTTGTATCCGGTTCTTCGGATGGTTTCCTACGACTACATGACCCTCGGAACGCAATGTGGCACGAGGGCAATAATTCTGTCCGGGCCCACACAGGCGGCATACAAGGTCTCGAGTCCAGCGGAAACTACATCTATACTATTGGTCTTGGCACAAGGTGATTATACGCCTCAATATGTGTATTAAGTCTCATCCCAAATATCAGGCAGGGTCGGCCGTTTCCCGACCCGCTGGTCAAGGTGTATGATATGCGTGCACTAAAACCGCTGCCGCCATTGCCGTTCGCAAGCGGTCCTGCGTTCATCAACATGATACCCAAACGCCCGTCAACGCTTGCCATCACATCACATCAAGGCTTGGTGAACATCGTCGATGCCTCCAACCCAACCGTGAACGAATTCTATCAGGTATTTGCGTGCGAGATCATGTATAATTCAGGCGCATTCAACAACCCGACAGCTCGACGCGCCTTCGTACATCACTGCTACCGCGGTCTCGGCCACTGGAGCATATCTAGCGTTCGGTGATTCCGATGGTGCTGTTCATCTCGTGTCGGCCGCCGAGAAGGTGCTAGCGTCCCCTTCAATGGCTTTGAGGGCAAGCCTATAGAGTGGGCAGACACACCGGAGCCCTTGCCTGAGATCGAATGGACGGACTCAACGTGCGTATGCCGCTTCTCCGCCTCTGAGAAAAGTAGTCACCTACGATCCAGGCCGATGAACGTCATTGGCATGCCCTACTATAATGAGAAACTCCTCTCGTCGTGGACACCAGACTTCATCTCGAGCGGTCTCCACTACCCTCCTCCTCCCAAGATCCCGCAGATTATCTTGAACACTATGAAGATCAACGACAACGTCGCATACGCCGCCTTGCCGAAGGAACTGCGAGGCCGGCGGAACGTAGCATCACTGCGCCGCGCGGCCTGGCGGGCGTTTCAGAAGTGGTAAAGGGAGCAAGAGGTATGCTGTGCGACTGATCGGTGCTTGATGGTGTTTTGACGAGCTGGCTAGTCCGAGCTCGACACGCCGACGTACGAGTATGACCCTGATGTCATCCCAAAGCCGTACCGCAAGGTCGAGATCGAGTACTCGAAGTTCGGTGTGGAAGACTTCGATTTCGCGTAAGTGTCGTCAGCATCATATCTGCGTTAGACAGAAATAACACCCCTCATCTGTAGGTATTACAACCGGACGACTTCAGCGGTCTGGAGACGCATATATCGAACTCGTACACGAACGCGATGGTCCAGCTCATGCGCTACAACCTACCGATTAGCAGGCTTGCAAAGTCTCACATAGCCACTGATTGTCCGAGGGAACACTGCTCCTGTGCGAACTGGGCTTTGCGGTTCGTATGCTCGAAGACGCCAGGGGTAAAAACTGTCAAGCGAGCAATTTCTGCAAGACCGTCGGCGTCCTGGCTCAGAGTAAGCTTCTATATGCCACTGCTCTGCAGAGGCCTGACCCGCTTTCCTCAGTGAACAATGCCATAGAGCTCATCGACTTCGGACGCGAGACAACAGAGCTCAGCTATGCGCATATGATCCAATCCTTCCACCGCTTCCTGGTCGACCATTTGAGTTCCGAAGGAAACTCGTTCCCGCACAACCCGGTCCTCAATCCCTCGCCGTCAATGTCCCCACTACTATATCTCCGGCACCTGCGCCGATAACACAGCTGTTGGGCATCGACGCCAAGAACGTCATACCTGCTCGAACTGCAAGGCCGTCAGGGAGAAGGAGAACATGACGCACGTCATCGACATGATATACCCCGGAAGGTGCGTTCGCCTCTCTCGCCGCATACATCCGTCTGATTTGACTGCACGCAGCCGCTCTCGAATGACCATTCGTCGAGATAAGCTTCGCGTCGATACTGCGCACCTCCCTGCTGCGCCCCACGACACACAAGGCCACATGTCAGACGTGCAAGCACTTCGCAACGTTCGAGTCGAAGCGGTCATACGGTCGAAAGATCTGCCGCCTCTCCTCGCTGTGAATGCGGCTTGTCACTCGGAAGAGACGCACAAGGTCTGGAGGGACAACCGGAATCAGACGTTCCTCAAGCCTTCTGTGGAGCTGCATGGACAGCTAGAGGGGATGGAGGATCCTGAGGGTGCCATATACGACTTGAGGGTACGAGCACCACGTTTTCTTTCCCGATCGGTTCTTGATCAAAGGTGTATGGCGCAGGCTATGGTCGTGCAGGTCGTGACCAAGGATCAGAATTCGCATTTGGTGGCGGTTGTTAAGGGTAAGTATATACATTTCGCTGTTGGGTGACTTCTGACCTAGCTGCAGTACCGGATAGCGAGCATCATTTCGACTCGGATCACGAATACTCGTGGTACTTGTTCAACGACTTCGTCGTGCACGGCATCACCGAGGAAGAGGCGTTGAGCTTCCCGTCGAACTGGAAGGTGATGCTGGGCACACTAATGTGTAATTTGTGCTCATTCGACTGCAGGTGCCTTGCGTGCTGTACCTGGAGCGAGTCGAGCTCGTTCAACGACTCGACTTCAGCGGGTTGCCGACGAGTATCGATCGGTCGATCCTCTGCCGCGACACGAACATCGCCATGTCCGTGCTCCCCTCCTTCCATCGCTGAGACGAATTGACTCCGTCCCGCAGAACCCGAGACAAGAAGTTTGTCAAGCACAAGCCTCTCAGACAGGACGAGCTGCCGAAGCCCGGGACACTGGTCGCGATCGATGCCGAGTTCGTGTCCATGCACAGGAAGAGACAGAGTTCCGGTCGGACGGCACGAAGAAGGTGCTCCGGCCTGCGCGTCTCAGCCTCGCTCGCGTGTCAGTGCTGCGTGGCGAAGGGCCCAGCGAAGGCGTTCCCTTCATCGATGACCACATACACACGAGCGAAGTGATCGTCGACTATTTGACGGAGTTCTCTGGATACGGTGTAGGTCCCGGTGTCACTCATGATTGTTTCGAAACTGATGCGCCTGTAGTCGGGGATCTTGACCCTCGCATCACACGGTATACCTTGACTCCATTGAAGTTGGTGTACAAGAAACTTCGTCTACTGGTAGACCTCGGCTGCATATTCATCGGTCACGGACTGTCCAAGGACTTCCGTATCATCAGTGCGTCTCTCCGTCGCACGCTGTGTGCATACAGGTGATCATGCCCGACACCGTTGCAGACATCTTCGTGCCCCCGAGCAGGTCATTGACACTGTTGACCTGTATTTCTTGCCAAACCGGCAGCGACGCCTGTCCCTCCGATTCCTCGCTTGGTTCGTCCTGAACGAGAACATCCAAACGGACACGCACGACTCCATCGAGGACGCGCTATCCGCCTTGCGGCTCTACAAGACGTACCAGATGCTCGAGTCCGCAGGGATGTTCGACGAGAAGCTAGACGAGCTCTACCGGGAGGGCAAGAAATACGTGAGTCCGCCCCACCGCGTCCCCTCCCCACGGACCGTACTCACCCTGCCCCGCAGAGCTGGAGACCCCCCGCGCCGCCAACGGCCGTCTCCTCGGCCACGCCCGCGATGATGGGCAATATCGCCACGCAGATCGCGCAGATGAACATGAACGGGCAGCAGATGGGCCCGACTATGCGGGGCCCGAACACCCACCAGAGCATCATGCAGACGCTCATGCCCGCGCCTGGCCAGTTCCCCGGCCCGCACCCCATGAACATGTTCCACACGCCCTCGCCGAGTCCGCATTCGTTCTCCCCGCCGCCTTGGAATAGGTAGCGGGAGTCGGTGAGGACATGGAGTGAATGAACTGGAAGAGGTAGCTTTGACCATGACGCCTGTATCGTTATTTGTATCGTCGCTGTTCAGTGTAGCTTGCTTTCCTGTCACGCTGTGTAACGAGACTCACATCTGCAACCCCAACGAAATGTATAATTCACGAGTGTCCTGTGTTAGCCGGACCTCCGAAACCTTTCAGAGCGATGCCCGAGTGCTCCATTTTAGTCGCCGTCGAATTGGGGTCAAAGCACATGTAAAATTCGACCAGCCAGCAATACAAATGCGCGGAGACGAGCCGCATACAAAGGGGAAAGGAGGAAACGCGGGAGAGAAGAATCGCTACATGGTCATGATCATTACTACGACAGCGAAGACAGCAGGTGGACTTCTGTCCGTGGTGGTGGAGGAGGTATAACGTACGCATTCCAGAAGCGTGACACGAACTATAGGCAGCAGTGCGGCATGAGCACGGGACCGCCGCGAAGGTAGGTAGTATGGCGCGGGCACACGGAGACAGAGAGACTAGATGAGCAATAAGACTACAGGTGGGGATGGGGTGGGATCAGAACCGCGGATCGGGACCAGAGGAGATGGTGAGGGAACAGAAGCAGTCGTGATTACCTAGGAGACATGCGGTGCCAGCGAAGACAACAACGGTGCGAAGAGAACGAGAGAAGAGAGAGAAAAGGATAACAAAACAAACAGGCGCACTCTCAACAATAACGACCAAAAATACCAAATAAATGAGGCCAGGCGGGCGTGTCGTGTCGTGTCATGTCATTCCCGTCTACGTCACCTCGAGGACGGAGATCTCGAGCACGCGGAACTGCTCGTTGTCCTTGCTGTGCTCCGTCCAGCCGACGTGCGCGCGCCAGTTGACCGCGATCGCCTCCTTCTCGCCCGCGCCTGAGAACAGGCCCATGTCGTCGTCGGACACGCCGCGGAACATCAGAAACAGCCGGGTGAAGATGCAGTTTTCCGCCGTCACAGAGATGTCGACCGCGGACGCGATCTTCGCGGGGCTCATGAACCGGTAGGCGATGTTCCGGTGCTGCGTGAACGCGTTCATGTTGCTTCTGGAAGACGGGGTAGCGTCGTTAGAGGGGGTGGACAGGGGAGTGCGGCGCACTTACTGGACGAAGTCGGTCCTGGCGCGCAGAGACAGTCCAAGCTGCCCCATGACGCTAAACAGATGCGGCACAAAGTCACGGAAGCTCAATGCGTAACTATTTCTGGGAGAGATGAAGTCGCTCGGGTCTACCATGGAAGGGTCGGGTCTGGTAACAAGTATCAGCAAACCGGTTCCGATCCGGCGGCGCAGAGCACTCACACCGCTTCGTAATACAAGGACGTTACAGTCGTTTCGGTCTCGAAATGCTCCATGGCACCGCCGGGGTGCACGCGCACGAAGTACTTGAACTTGTTCTCGTCAACCGGCTCAGCCGGCGGCCAGGTGATGCCCAATTTCCAGTAGGGCGATAGGGAGAGCATGATGTCGACGTACTGCTGTGTTGGCGCGAGGAGGCTGAGGTGGCACTTGGCCGTCGAGGGCTTCGCGACCGCGGCGAGCTTGTTGATGACGCGCGCGTCGACGATGAGGTCTGTCGAGACGTTCTCCGTATTCGTGAGGCGCGTCCCGGAGAAGTCCATTTTGTGCGTGTCGCCCGAGTGCACGATGTCGAGCTTGCCCCAGAAGGTGCCGTCAACCGTCGTTCCGTCCTCCATCCGGGCCATGTCCAGCTCGTCTGATGTCACTGTTGTGTCTAGCGCAACGTGTTGACCCGGAGTAAGTTCCAAACTGAAGGTCGCCGGCATCTCGAGTACAGGCGGAGGCCTAGAGAGGGAGTGAGTATATGCGTTCAAGATGAGGTAGTATGCACATACGGTGGCGGACTATTCAGTGGGCAAATATCATTAGTAATGGGACGCTCGAAGAATCGACATCGGACTCACGGAGGCTCATCCTCGGGCGGGGGCGGACCATCACTGACGATCTCTACTCGCAAACCCTGCACCCCCATCGTGGCGATTTGATAGGAGTCCTCTCCCGTCAGCTGTTGGCATGGAGGATTCAGTGAACATGGTTTTGGGCGACCCCACAGCAGCAAACTCACGTAGATATACGGCCCTGCGACCAGTCGCTGCGCATACAGTCAGTGATCAGCCGTGCGTCACATCATGCCACTACTCACTGCAGCATGGAGCGAGGCAAACTCGGTAGGGACCCGGAGGCTGTAGATGGCATCTGGGGGAGGTTTGATCCAGTCTCGAGCCAGCCCATCGAGTTCCTGCACGGCTGGTCAAGCGTCGTGTCGCGCACGAGCGCTGGAGAGAACATACCATGAACGATGGGGGAAGCTGGGGTGAAGACTGAGCGAGACATCTAGACGAGAAATCTAAGCGAGACGGACCATGCGGATTGTCTCCATGTCGCCGAAGGCGAGGGTAAGGAGGCGCTGCCTGGCGAGGGCCATCTCTGGCTGTTTCTGCGGCAGCTGCTGCTCCTTGTTCCTGGGAGTCTTGAACCGGCCCCAGAAGCCCTGGGAGGGGAGACTGGCATTTGAAGCACTGTGAGGCAGGGAGTGGGTCAGGGCGGGCGTGAGCGGTGAGGCAGCGACACGGGGGCACGCACGCTGGAGAAAGAAGCATGGCCGTGACCTAAGGGGGGAAGGGGGAGGAAGGCGGGAACGTGAGGGAGAGATGAAGAGAGATTAGAGGGGATACACAGACACCCAGAGTCATGTACGCCCAAAAACGCAGTGGTCGGAAACACGAGGCAGGCGAACACGAGGCAGGCTCTCCCCCGCTCGTCCTCTGATCGGCCTGGATAGCCCCGATGATGAGTGCGATACTTGTCCCACACGCTGCGCACGAGTCGAGTCGTCCTCGCGCTGTGCCCTGCTCGCCGTCGACGTCGGTCTCGAGCACGCCCGCCGCGACGCCCTCGACGCCCATGCACCCGGCGGCGAGCGGTCCGGCCCCGAGCATGCGATCACGTGCGTCCGTAATATCGGCGACTTTTTCGATCTGCATTTTGCTTCGGTGACATCATCCACTGAGCTGGACGCGCTGCACGCCTCCCGCACGAGCCTGACTCGTCCCTCCTCTCGCCATGTTTCGTATCGCCCTCCAGCGCACATCCCTGCGGGCAGCGCCCACCTACCGCCGCAGCTTTGTCTCTACTGTCCTCCTGACGAAGCCATGGGAATCTGAGACCGTCAGCGAGCTTAAGAGGGAGGCGAGGAGGCGCGGCCTCTCTCAGTATGTCCAGCGTGGCTCCCGCGAGTTTCACTCACCAAGGCCCAGGCAGGGTACCAAGGCCACACTCGTCACCCGCCTCAAGAAGGACGACGAGCGCAAGTCCATGACCCCTGCACCCACCGTCTCTGCCAACGTCCCCAGGCAGGTTCGCCATGCCTCTACGGCGGAGGTCCCAGGCATCCCTTCCACTTCGGAGCCTCCCCCGTTATCCAAGTTCCCCAGAGAGTTTTTCAAAGTGGCCCTTCCAGATCTTTCGCAGCCAGATCCTGAAACACCAATACAGATTGTATGTACTCCGTCATAGCTTCCCATGACCGCCATACTCGGAAGAAGTTCTGACGTGACCTTATGTATTTCACACAGCCCTTGCTCCCAGACCTCTGGGGCGCGTCTGCTCCCAAAGTTCAATCTTCTGCAGACTTTGATGCCGGCGCAAGCGCACCGAAGATGGTCGCTGTAGCAGGCTCAGTCACGCACCACGGCGGGGGCCCAACGCACAACCTGTTCAGCTCCGACGAAGAAGCTTATACAGCGGAGACTGCGCCCGCCAGGTCCGAGGACCAGAGCGTCTGGCGAGACTTCGCAGATGACCTGAGCCTCCCTACGTCATTCAAACCTTCCAAGGTCGCCGGCCAGGCCTTCGACGTGGCCGCGAAGACGGAGACGTCTGGTGAGAAGTCGTATTCCCGCACGCTGGACTCCGACGAGGTCCGGGGTCTCTGGGTGCTGTTGGGTCTGCTTGCGGGTTCGTGGGTGGCTGCGGGTGTCTTCAAGCCATCGTCTGCTTACGCGCAGAAGGTTGAGGAAGTGACGGAGCACGCGGCGGAAAAGGTGAAGGGCGGGCACTGAGGCCTGAGGCTTGAAGCTGCAGCGGGTTTTCGTATCCATGGACTCATTCCCTTTAGCACATTACCGTAGCCTTGCAATGTATCCTCTTGCATCCCCCCTTCACTTGGTTCTGCATGCCGCCAGAATGAATTTGACTGCTCATTTGAATGTCCCCGCAAAACGGGTATCACATGACCCAGCCCCGTCGATCCTCTCCCGGACGACCATGCTCTCTCGCGGGCTCCGTCCTCAAACCCGACGACTCCATGCCACACTTGTCCGCGGGCACCTCATAGGCCCCTCCGACCCCGTCTCGAACCTCCGGCCGGTCATCTACGACGATGCGGTGCCCGAATTGCGCACGGACGTCACGCACCCGTACTCGCTGAGGGAGTTCGCGGGCGACACGCAGGAGTACCAGTGGAAGATGCAGCGGCAGCAGCTCGACGCATATAATCACCTCTTCTGGACCGACGTAAGTCCCTTCCCCGTCCAACTCCACCTTTATATTTACCGCCTGGATGCAGAGCAACTTACGCTTCGCAGCGGCGAAGCGCGCGTTCCTCGACAGCCTCCCGGAGTCGTACGCCGCGGAAGATCGCGAGTTCGCGCTGTCGGGGTTTTACAGGCGGTGGGCGGAGCAGGAGACGGTGCGCCAGAGCGCGTACAGCGCGGAGTGGCGCCGGCGCAACTGGGCGAGCGTCCTCCTCGGCGCGCGGCTTGCGTACGAGCGGGTGATGGCGAGGGTCGAGCACCCGTTCGGAAGCGGGAAGCCAGACAGAGAAGAGTAATATTGCATTTTGTACGGAGGCCAGATCCTTTTACAGACACCACAGTATAGGCACCGAATGAAATGAGACTACGGCTACAAGTCAAATTTACACCGCGCCCGCATCCTCCGCAACGAGCTCCCTCATACTCTGATACATCCCCTCCAAGCCGAGCACCGCCAGGTATTCCCGCTCCCTCATACAGTCCCCCGCGACCGCCTCCACCTCGTCGGGCGACATGCCCGGCCACCGGAGCGCGATCTCCGCGGCGTCGGGCACCGCGAGCGCGTCCGCGGGCGACGAGACGTAGCCCGGCGGCGCGTGCGGCGCGAGCAGCGTCGCCTGGAGCGCGACGTAGAGCGCGGTGCTCCGGAAGCGCGCGTTGAGCTCCGCGTCGGTCATGTTGGCGGTTTGTCGGATGGACTCCCAGCTGGAGAGAGCGGGAGGCGTGAGAGTGGCGTGAGGGAAGGTTGGCGGCGACTTACTCGTCGTGTATGTAGATGCGCCTCCAGACGGTCCGGAAGGCGGATATTCTCCTTGCGTCGGGGATGTTCTATATGACATGATCAGTAGTGTCTCAGCACATGTAACAGGGACCGCTCACTTGGGCGCGGGCCAAGAGCTGGAGAGCGGTCGCAAAATCCTCCGGGCTGGACGCGTTGTCCTTCAGGCTGAGGACATCAGCCATGTCCTCCGGAGATAACGCTTTGCCCTGCAACAATTGGCGAACGAGCTGACGGAAATCTGGGCGAGCCGCATCAGTACAAAGGACAGACACAGAATCCGCTCTGCGGACGTACATTTTGTAATGCCGCGCGATCGAACAGCTTCGATACCTTCGCTTGCGTGATTGTCTCGATTTGCGTCTCCAGCGGCTGCCTACCGCGGAGAGACGCGAGGGCCGACTTGAGGTCCTCTAGCAGTGTTTCGTGCACGCTCACGAAGTCGAGGCCGTCATGGAAAGCTGAGGGCGAGTCAGCGACGGCTTCGGACAATGATGGACGTACCATCCAGGACGTCTTGATTGACGACGCCGTTTTCCTCGTGCAGTTGCGCGAGCTGTGAGAGCTTGCCGATGCTGAGCACGAGCTGTGGGACACGCCAGTCAGTGTCATACTGCGCAGACACGTTAGGGGTTCGCACATGCTTGACCTCCAGCTCGCTTGCATGGCCTGCCACATGAAGCAGCGCATCTGATGCGGGGCCATAGCGGGCCCGTCCAAGATCATTGATCCAAGAGATGTCTGGCTGTGGATGCTCGGCGAAGAACTCATCAAGGTATTGATCGTGCTCCTGCGCGAACAGCGTCCGTAATTCTCCTGGAGAAGTGCCATACTCAGCAGAGTTGTTAGTTCGGAACCAATGACCGTACCGTGCTCGATATACCACCGATAGAGCTCGTCCGTGAAGTCTTGTCTGAATTTGTCCACATACGACTGGATGCGTGCCGCGTTAGGGTTGTCTTGCGGGGGGTACACAGTATCCTTGTTGCACAGGACGCGAGGCTCCGGAAGTCCCGGTATTGCTCAGCCAGGTGCAAGGCATGGGTTGCAAATCCGTTCCGCCCTAGTCGAATAGCCGGTGAGCATTTCAACGACGTGCGTACGGTCGGTGGAGCGCCTTACGTAGTGTCTCAAGTATCGCAGGCCGCAATTGTCGGAACTTATCCTCGACGTCCTGTTGTCGCTGATCTGCCTCCGCGATTACGTCGTGCGCAAGGGGGCTGTCAAGGTGTCAGTCAGGGATTCCTATCGGGCCGCAAGACATGGAACGGACCTTTTGAGCCAATCAAGGTGTTCTTGTATGCAAGTGAAGAGCAAGGAACCTAGCTCAGGGAGCTGCGACCTCGGTCGACTCCTCGACTCCGCAGCATCCGGATCTGCAGTCGGTGTCTCGACGAGCTTCTCCGTCGTGCCAAACAGTTCCGCCACGATGTTGCATGTCGTAAGGTGGCTCGTCCACGGATCGATGAGTGGGTACTCAAGGCCGTAGACACCCTTATTCAGGTCTCGGTGATCAAGGGCTGACTGGATGATCGTCTACTCCTTGCGATCAGCGACGCAATTGGGTCCATGGAGGTAAGACTTGCCAGGACAATCTCATTTGCCTGCCAGATGTCGTCGGGTAGGCTTCTGGGGTGCTCGCGCGACGCCTGCCGGACGATCTCCAAGACATGAGGCAGCAGGCTGCCGATGTCCTGGATTTTCAGTCTGAAGAAGGCCCTGACGAAGTCCTCATGGTAGCCCTCGCCCACGGCCACCATAAAGGCGTACACGGCATCATACAATACTGTGCGAGCGTGATCCGACCTAGAAGCACATCAGAATATTTCTTCGTCGTAGAATGGCAGCAAGCCTTACCCGATGAAGTCGGCATGGCGAGACCACAGCTGACGTGCGGCGTAAAGCTTTTCGTCGTTGGTGGCCAGCTTCTGTCGGCTACGCTGGGACATCTAGAACCGACATTTGCCCATGAGAGCATGATGCGGTTTCTGACGGGGGTCGTTACCTTTGTCAAGACACCATTTTCATTGATGAAGCGGATGAGGAATTGTAGCCTCTCTTTGCGGCTAACCATCTGCGCCTGCGAGTCATGGTTGGGCCGCACAATCTCTCCATCTAAGGGCCGAATAGAGCACTCAGTTTATATGACAAATTGCGCATACGGGCAATCGAACCTGATTCCAGTACCGCTTGACTAAGCTGCTCGGCTCCAGACATTAAAGCATCTGCGTCAATCTCAGGCGGAAAACTGAAGTGGAGAGGATTCTAGGAATGATGATGAGAAATAGACATGGATGATCAATGTACGGGCTCACCTCCGGATGGGATCCATATAGTATTGCTTGTGTCATCGTAGACTTGATCAGGTCGGCCCGGCCCGTCCTGTAGCAAGGGTGTTAGGTGGGGAATCTGAAGAGTTGGCGATATCGAAATTACTGAGGGTCGAACCGGGCCACACGATCCATATTGACGTAGGCTTTCATCAAGGTCGCAGCAGTAAGCAACAGCAATTCACTCTCTCTCTCAATTACTCCGACGCCTAGGGTACGATCGGTAGCAGACTTCAGCATAAGTCTGTCCATATACTCCTTGTCTGGTGGGCGTTAGATCGAACGCAAGACAGGTGGTGTATAGAATTACCTATTGCACAGATGGTCACTGCGTCGCCGAACTGGATGGCAAAGACTTCTCCATTCAGGACGCGCTGCAATCGAGGATGCATGGGAGCGCCAGAGGTTGAGATCTGCGAAAATCTGTCAGTTGCAACTCGCGTGGTAACAAGACAATGCGAACACTCTGGTATGGTACAGCCCGTACTGCCTTTACTTCGAATCCCTCCGACGTGCTGTGCAATCGAACAATGGCGTAGATGCGCCGAGGGTTGTTACCCACATCCATTGCAGTAGGATCCTCTTCACCCGCATAAGAAATCAGGACAATCAGATCATGCGAGCTGAATCATGGTCAGTACTCAAATTTAGTACGTTAAAACCAGCAACATACCCATCCAACTTCATGTCCAATAGCTCGAGGTTTAGTTCTGCATCGTCCAGGGGAGCTGACGGGAATGCCTGCCTGATGGCGGTACCGGTGATGCCGGACACGTCTTCCTCAAGCAGTAATTCTTCCCAGCCCTCAAAAGACATAGTCCACCTCTGGATTCGTAAGTCAACAATTGCCCAGATATCTTGTCCCGTGCCGTCCGCTGTCCCCTCTCCAAGGGCGACGCTGTTTACATATCCTGGCCGAGGGATTAGCTTGGGCGCCGACCAAAGCCCAGGGATCATGCGTGTAAGCGAGAGGCCAGTTTGACGGCGGCCAAACTGGTGAAGGGTGAGACTGTGGCCACCGCCACTAGCGGTCAGTGTGAGACGCCAGAGTTTGCCGAAGGAAGTAGAGACAAGATATGTGTGCGGCTGCGTGCAAGTTATGAGCCCAGGCATCGACCCGGGACTAGATGGAGACGTACGTCGGCACGCGTCAGGGCGGTCACTGTCTCACCATCCTCCATTTCGACTACAGAAAACGCGAAGTTATCTCCGCCAGCCAGGCCCATACCGAGACCATCCCAAAATCGTACTTGACCTCTCGGAGAGATGATAATCAGCCCGGGCTCGCGAGACGGGCCATGAGGAACGAGAACATGGAAGGGAGTATCCATGGGGTCGCTCGTGCCACTTGTAGGACAGAGAAAGATGTAACATGTCGGTGTGCCAGTCAAAGCCTTTGCTTCCTTGAGCACATGAAGTACATAACGCATGATCAAGAACATACCTGAGCATACTTCCAGACAAAACATGTTTCCTCTGAAGAGACTACCGCATATCCGGTTAACGGGTCGACGGTTCCGGTGTAGACGTCCCGGAGGAAGTCTGCCATGCATCAAACCCCTCAGTGTGCAGAGATGGCTACCATTGTCATGACTTACCTGCTGTTTTCAGCACTTGCTTCACCTCCACCGGGAGATGAGAGTAGAAGGTGGCGGTTAGCTCCGGCGACTTTGCGAAGATAGTCTCGGGCTTCAATCCACGAATCTCCGTCTCATCGTCGAGATCCATGCCTGACTGATCAGACTCGTCATCCCTGACGGAAGACAGGTGGTCTTGTTGACGAGCTGCATAGGGAGTGGCGAGCCGAGAAGGCCCTGGCGTTTGGCTTGCTCGTCTTCTCCTGACGGGCGGGGACTGGCGCGTAGGCGTGTGTCTCGCGACAGTGCGGCGAGGCGCGGGCGAAGAAGCAAAGCTTGCCATCGCGTTGTGTTGTGTTGGCTTGAGAGCGCGTCGCAGAAGGCTGAAGCCACAGACTGGACGGAGCGCGTCGCAGACGCGTCGAACAACGCATTTCACGCGCTCGCCTCGAACGACGCCCATACTCGACTTCACCCTGACACTCACCACGAACTCACCATCATGCTCGGTGTCGAAGGCTACGGCAGTGACAGCGACAGCGACACCGAAGTAAAAGCACACAGTCTACAGTCAAGTCATCGCTGGCTGCATCGCTTCCCCCACCTGCTAAGAAGTCGTCGATCTCCCTTCCGCCGCCTTCGAAAAGCACCAATGCTGTTCCCTCGGGCTCAAAACCTGCAGGAGGCTTGTCGCTGCCTCCGCCTAAAGCCAAGCGGCCAAAGAAGATAGCCATCGGTTTGCCAGATCTACCTCCAGAAGGTGACAAGAACGACGACGACGGGCCGCCTGCGAAGAAGGCCCGTATAGAGCCTGGCGCACGCACATCAGGATTGCTCTCCATGTTGCCGGCTCCGAAGAACAAGGCGCCTGTTCTTGCTGCTCCGGAACGTGTGCTTGGTGCGGGGCGCGGCCCTGGTCTTGTGTTCAATACAGGACCAGCTAGGTCGTCCAAGTCGGCCTTGTGGAGGATGTGCCAGACGATGACCAATACGACCAGGATGAGTCTACGGACGCACCAGAAGCACCAGAGGCATCTAAGGCGCCGTCTTCCCTACCGTTTCTGCCTCCATCACTTGTGAAAGGGAAAGCTAACGTGTCCGTGGAAGAGAAGGCCGAGCGACCTAGGGCTGTCCGCTCTGTCATTTCGGCACCGGCTGTCGACTTCTTCTCGTTAGGTATGCTCCGTCCTCGGCGAGCATAGTATCCATTATTCATCTGATGATAGGTTCGTCCAGCATATCCAGTGCTCCATCTGCCGTCAAAGCACCACCTTCCATGCCTGCATCCTCCCCACCGAAACTGCCCCTCATTCCGGGTGTCTCCTCCGCTCCCAAGATAGAGGACTTCGTCCCTCCCGAACCCACACCTCAAGATTCATATCCCGGCTACTACATGCTACCCACAGGTGCCTGGGCTGCCTATGATCCCGACTACTACCGCAAGTTCTACGACAAATGGAAGAAAGATTACGACAATCATGTGCGTGCGCTGGAGAAGGGCGCAGGAAAGGGCTTCGAGAATCTGGAGACGGCGGGTGTACAGGAGGTCAGCGCGATCTCGGAGATGGAGAGGGCGAAGAAGAGATTCAGGATAGGGAAGAGAAGAAGGCACTGACGACAGGAGGCGCGGACGTGCCTGTTGCACCGAAGATGAACATCAAGGTAACATTTTACCCCGCGCTTCGTATGAAGGATGTACTGATAGCTATGTAGGGTGCCGCTCTTGGTGGCAGAGCCCGAACTCGACATCAATTGTCTACACTGCTCACGGAGGCTTACCAAAACCGGGAGGCATTGGAAGAGCAGATTGCTCAGGGTCGGCGGAACCGAAAAGAGGCCGGCAACAAGTACGGTGCGTTACTCCAACCTTTAGACGTCCTTGTTTACTGACACCCCCAACTAGGCTTCTGAGACGATTGTTCAACTCATTGTACTAGTGTCTCGTTCATTCTGCTTTTCGTGGACCATGAAAAATGCTTCCATATACGTGACACCGGAGGCCTAGGATCGTATCATAGTGTAGAAATACAGACACAAGATGGACAACGTAAACCAGTCTGAGTATAATACAGATCACTTCTGGGAGGAAGAGAATTCTGAACACATCGTGAGGCACACAACACAAACGGATACACGTAGATGACTTACTTGTCACAGACTTCGTACCCTCCGAGATCGCGTGCTTCGCCAGCTCACCAGGGAGGATGAGACGAACAGAGGTCTGAATCTCTCGTGACGAGATAGTGGACTTCTTAGAGTATGACGCGAGCTCTGCATGCCCTCGTTGAGCAGCCAAACCAACATAAAGTAGAAAAAAAAATCTTACTGGAGGCCTCCGTAGCAATGCGCTCGAAGATGTCGTTGACGAACGAGTTGAGGATAGCCATTGCCTTGTTCGAGATACCCGTGTCAGGATGCACCTGCTTCAACACTGCCACGCGTCGAACACGCGTCAAAACCTATTTTCGACCACCGCAGTACTTAACACACGCACCCTTGTAGATGTAGGAGCTGTACGTCTCCTTGCGGGCCTTGCGGCGCTTCTTCTTCTCCCCGTCGGCACCCGCTGCCTTGGGAGCGGTCTTCTTCGCAGCCTTGCCCTCTGTCTTAGCAGGTGCCTTAGAGGCAGTGGTAGAGGCAGGAGCCTTAGAGGCAGTGGATACGGGCTGGAGACGCGTTAAGACGTGCCACTCGCGAGTTATCCACGAGGCACAGTCAGCTCACCTTGGGGGCCATTGCTGTTGTCTACGCAACTGAAGTCAGCACGAATCCAAGAGGAAGCAGAACGAAAGGCGTACTCAGAGTCAAGAGGGGAGAAGTGCGAGAGATGGTGGTGGAGAGCGGGCAAGAGATGTTGGAAGGCCGTCGCGGCGCGTCGAAGCCTTTTAAACACCAGTATACACACATCACGTGATAACGCGTTCAACAAGATCTACAGCCACATTCGCGTCTGCACGTGATCGTGTCTCATTCAACGCGCCTCTGACGGGCGATCAACCGATCGACAGGCCTGCGGGTCCCTCCACACTCTCCGGGACGCTCAGCAACAACACGGGACACTCCTCTACTCATACACAATGTTACAGATGCCCCAAATACTGTGCTCACACACTACAACTGGATCCGGCCAAGCATGCCTACTGCCTTTGTCTCAGCATCCTCCGCCCAAACCTGCACCACACCACTGCCCTTGTGCTCTTTGCCACATATTGCGACTCTTCGATTCACTACGAGCGGGTTCACGGCGCGGTACTCGAAGGATTTGACTGGAGTAGAGGGATAGTGCATCGAGAATGCTTCAAGGAGCATGAGCGCAGTAAGTGGCCCGTGTACGAGTCGCTCTTCGACCAGGTCAGTACTGTCCAGGGCACGGATGCTGTGCTCCGAGCTCACCAGGGTATCCCTCCGTCGCGGCGTACTCACGGTCCAGATGGATGAAATGCCCATTGAAAGTTAGGGCGGAGAACCGAAACAGAGTAGTGGCACTGGGTAGGTATTCAAACCGGTAGTCAGGGCCCGCAGGTATGCCGCCAACTGTCGTGGTATCCATGACCACTCAATCAACGACGACTGAAATACAAAGCAGGTGCCGTTACGCACCTGTCCTGACTCGCCCATTACCCGGGGCAGCGAGGTAGACGTGCGAGCGTTCCTCCTCGATGGCGGCATGCTGCGCGTGTTTCCTCCGATATTGGATTTTCTGCTTGACGAATACCACCGGTGAGCTTTCTGTTCGGTGTCGAGGAGATCCACCGGTCCAGCGCCGCCATGCTTTCGCCGCTGTCTGCCCATGAGGAGTTGTAGCGGCGCGCGCAGGTCGATGGCAAGCGGCTTAGCAGTGTCGACCTATAATGGATGTTGACCGCGCGATGGGCCGTCCTGGGTCCGACGCCATACATTGCGCCGCAGACTGGCTGTATATTGGAAGTACTGTCAACAACTACCTTGTGTGAGCGATAATTACACATTCGCAACTGACCAGATACTATCCCTGGGGCTTCCAGACAGGTATTATGACTGATTGTAACGGTTGGCAACTCCGAGGCTGCAGGACAGTCAAAGCTGCGTACGGTAATGTTGCAAACAGCGATCGTACCAATGGCCGTGATGGGCAGACCTCCTGCCACGTGCAGGCATCGGCCGACCCAGAGCGTCGTGCCCAACGGCGCGCTCGGCGCTCGCTACTCGCCGCCTGGTCGACGTGTCATCCCGAATATCCCGTAAGTTCAGTCATCCTCCGGTGGAATTGGTCGCTGTGGTCCGGTGGCGTTGCGCTCCATGATGGATCCCAAGGATCTCATCTGGGCGATGGGGTGGTGACGCAGGTTGAGTCCTTCACGGAAACAAATCGTCGGGTGCGTCCGAGTGCACGTCCATCACCAAGAAACGCCTGGGGGTCTAATATAGTCTGCAGCTGAGAGCCACGGTGAGTCAACGTGTTTTCGTGCGTGTTGGATGACTCTTAGGATGACAATTACTGTGGTGTCCATGTGCAGGACGCAGACAATTGACAATTGTTGGTTGACACTTGCGCGCACGCAGCGTGCTGGGAGACGCGCGACGGACGCGAGTGGCGACGCGTCGACGGGGCGATCTGGCTTGCCGGCGGGTCGGGGGAAGACGCGTGACTCATCAGGATGTGACGACGGAGCGGGCCAAATGTGAGTGCGCCGCTTTCTCCAGATTCTCCAAAATCTCTTCTCTTCTCGCGACCGCGTCACGGTCTCGCGAGTCGTATAAGCCGCGTCCGCACGCGACCGCTCGACAGAAACCACGCTGTTCCCCGCCCCGCACAGCCCTGACCACTGTTGGCAACCGAGCTGGTCGTTCCTCGCAGGTTCCTCCCACCGATCGTGCGCGCGCATCGCAGCCATCTCATCGGCCCTCTGGCGGGTGTTCCGTTCACACGCCTAATTGAGGTCGCCACAACCGCGTCTGGCAGATCCGCACCGCTTGGCCGGCGCGCGGCTCTCTCGGCCCCTCTTTAGGGTCGCTGTCTCTGGCTGCCCTCTTCCCCATTGTCCCCCTCCAACGCGCCCTGGCCAATGTCACACCTTTCCCTCTAATATCTCCCCATATAACTGCAACGATCTCTTCCTCTGTATCCTTAGCCCCCGCACCGCTTCATCGCCTGTACGACCCGCCTCGTCGCCCTGCCGCCGTCTTAGTCATGGCCACCCCCATCGTCTCGCCCCAGCCGCGTCCCGCCTTCAACCCGCGGCTGCTCTCCTCATCGCGTCGACCAGCAACCCCGTCTGCCCATCCGCAACAGAACGTGGTGAGTAGCATCCTCTGACGCGTTCTCCTCCACCCATCGACTTATCGCGCCCTCCTCAGCGCGCTCTTCCGCAACGGCGTCTCTTCAGCCCTCCTCGACTCTCGACTCCCCTTGATCTCTTCGATCCCCGCGCCAACAAGTCTCCGGTAAGATTCGGCACTCCTTGGCGCGCGTTGTTGTCCGCTGACACGGACCCAGGTGTCCAAATCGACACCGTCATGTAGCGCGACCGCGAAGAGACGTCGGAACATCACATTCAACACCGTCCGCTCTCCTCGACGCCGCCATTGCATGCGGACCGAGTGCCCGATGTCTCCCCTACCAGGGCCTGCCTTCTTCGACCACATCCCATGGATCTCGCAGCTCGAGAAGACGCCTACGCTACCCATGGACATCGCGGACCTCCCCGTGCCAGAGAGCGACTGTATGCGCACAACACCGCCGTGCACCGGTCCTGTGCGCACGCGCAGGACATCGTTGCGGTCGAACCCTCTTGGGCACTCGCCCAACAGGTCTCCTGACTACGCACCTCCTGACCTACACGAGCTGCCCCTATACGCGTTGCTACCTCCCGATCGATTGCCGTCAACGCCCCGCACACCCGTCCGGGCGGCCTTCGATCCATCCGATGTTCGCTTCTGTGGTCTCCACCCTACCCTCGACCAATACGACGACAGCTGGCGACCATCTCACGCGCTTTCTCCGTGAACATCCGGACGATTCGATTAACGTCGCGACGCTTTCCACACTACCGCTTAATTCCATTTACGCCTGCACGCCATCTTAATCTTAAGTCTCTCGTATTCGCCGCGTATCTTCACGTCTCTGGCCATCCACCGCAGCTGCTCATCGCCAGATGACTTACGATCTTACTTGCTCACCGATCCACACATATTCAAACAGCCAACATACGCATACAAGCCGTCGATCTAATCCCTTGGCTCTCTTGTTCGCCTCTAGCCATGGCCTCGCCTATTCGACCTATCCGTGCTGCCTCCCAAGCTTGGCAGTACTTGATTTATTGTTTTTGCTTTCGTCTTCTCTCCACCAAGAATCTGCCATCGATATCCTCCGTCGGATTGAGGCCGACGTCGTTCTTGCGATATCGCTCGCTCGATTCTTGGATGCCCCCTTCGCTTCATATCTTTTGACTCTACGTGCTAGTCCCCGAGTCGATGTAACACCACGATTGTGTCCCGTTCATGCTGTCCGATGCGTATTGTTATTCTAGTTACAGTCTCGCCCGGTCTCGCTAGCCCCCCGCTCACGTTGCCTCGTGTTCGTGTTGTACAGAAACTGTTTTACGCCTACTGATACTGTTCCCTTTCCTCGTTGCCTCTGAAGCCTGTTACGATGTCAATGGACGCGCCGTCGAAATACGTACTCTCTCCGCATACATAGCTCTGCTTTATACTTACTGTGCCCGGCACTGCTCCGGATGTACTTGTATGGCTTGTGTACGCATATCACGAACCACGCTCGGATGAGTACATGTGAACCCAATATTTATTATTTGTGCGAGCGGAGAGTACTGTGCAGCACACCACTTTGAGGTATAGGTATGAGAACATCCCTTGCTGTACCAGAGCCCGCGAATGCAGCTCGGCTCAGAGTCTCGCCACTTACTGGGTGGCATACTCGCGTCATTGTGGTGAGCCTCGACTGAGGCGGCGACCCAGGCCACAGCATGACTCTGGTCGAGTCACAGCCAGACCAGAACTTAGCGACATACCCTGCCGGCAGCTCTCATCAACGCAGTCGTACTACCTTTGAGACACGAAGCCTTCTAACGCCCGGCTGGTGCTGTACGGTGGAGTCTATTAGTTGGTGCGTCCCTATAAATCTCTTCTCCCCATCGTCGCCTACCCTCAATTATCTCTCTTTACAGCAGAACACCATGAGCTCAGAACACGCTCGAGTCGCCAACTTTGGCGCAGGTCCATCCGCCCTGCCCGTGTCCGTCCTCGAGGAGGCTTCGAAGGGGCTCCTCAACTTCCAGGGCACAGGCATCGGCATCGCCGAGCTCTCGCACCGCTCGAAGGAGTTCCAGGCATTCGTGAACAACATGGAGTCGCTCATCCGCACGCAGCTCGACGTGCCCCCGACGCACCGCATCCTCTTCACGCAGGGCGGCGGCTCGATGCAGTTCTCCGCCGTCGTCCTGAACATGCTCGCGCGGCACCGCCTGCTGCACCCCGCGCGCACGGCGGAGGATACCGTCCTAGACTACGTCGTGACCGGCTCGTGGAGCAAGAAGGCTGCGGAGGAGGCGCGGAGGCTCGGCGGGGCGCAGGTGAACGTCGTCGTCGACTCGCGCGCGTTCTCGGAGGGCGGGAAGGCGTTCGACAGTATCCCGCCGCACGACGCGTTCAAGTTCTCGGAGGACCCCGCGCTGATATACTACTGCGAGAACGAGACGGTGGACGGCGTGGAGTTCTCGCACGAGGACGCGTCGCCGGCGTCGTTCCCGTTCCACCTCCTGAGCAAGAGCGGCGGTCTTGTTCCGCTGGTTGCGGACTACTCTTCGTCGTTCATGTGCCGGCCGATCCCGCACCTCTCGGACCATGCTATCATCTATGCTGGGGCTCAGAAGAACATCGGCCCTGCCGGCCTGACGATCCTCATCGTCCGACAAGACTGCATCGTGGACGTCGACGCTGCCGCCAAGCTTGGTGCGGCCCCCGTCCCGCTCACGATGTCCTACAAGACCCTCGCGGACTCCGGCAGTCTGTACAACACGCCCTCGGTGCTGCCGATGTACGTCTCCGGCCTCGTGCTCGAGCGGATGCAGAGACATGGCGGCCTGAAGCACTACGAGGAGACGAACAAGCGGAAAGCGGAGAAGGTGTACGATGTACTCCGGGCAGGGCAGGAGATGGGCGTCTTCAAGCGCAAGGTGAAGGAGGGTTCGGGGAGCTGGATGAACGTCGTCTTCGAGGTCGTTGGGCCGGAGGCTGAGAAGGAGTTCCTCGAGGGAGCCGAGCGGGCCGGCATGAAGGGGCTAAAAGGACACAGGTGAGACCGTCACAGTTTTCCTTGCCATTGGTCGTTCTGACATCGTCCATGGCAGATCTGTCGGAGGTCAGTCTGGCAGATGCATCTATTGTTCTCCGGTGGGACTGACCGATCCATACAGGCATCCGAGTATCATTGTATAATGCTATCACTGAGCCGGAAGTCGATCAGTTTGTCGAATATGCGAAGCAATTCATCGCGCAACACAGCACATGATACGTGTCAGTGCGGCCATCGTGCAACGTTCAACCGTCCTTCATGTATCGTGAGTGCGGTCGTCGTGCGCGTGGTATATGCATACTGATGGACATGTTTGGGGGCAGCTTAGACATCTGTGTCATCAACTATGCATGTTGTCCGTATAGCAATCATTCACGCTGAACAATTGCGTGGTGATCGAGTCCGCAGACCCCATCACTTTGGTGCAAGTAATTGCTACGTGCCTTCATCGTCATCGGGAAGCCGCCGTACGGGGGACGCCGTCACCTCGGAACGGCCCTTATTGGTAGGTTATTCTCACCAGCCAATGTGTGGGATGCGAGATGCGAGACACAACTGGCTATTGAACCGAATATCACCAGCTCATAGACAGAACCCTACATCTCGCGAATCTCATTCCATAGTATCCATACTGTAGCCTGTAAGCACAATTCTCGACTGTGACCAATTCTGACATTCATCCATATAGTGTCTTCCAACTTTCAAAGGTCTATGCAAGCACTAAAGCGGAGAATATTCCGTGCCCCATGGCTGAGTTGGTTACAGCGTCCGACTGTTAAGGTGGTTGTGTCGACAAAGGTTCACGCCTGCGTTGCTTATGTAACCTCATTACTATAATCGGAAGGTCCTGAGTTCGACCCTCAGTGGGGCAGTCTTTTTTTCTTTTTTGCTTCTGCATCCCAATGTTCCTTAAGTGTTGGTTGCATCCACTTGTGTAGGAAGAAGCGAAGTTTCGTATTTGGTGGATGTTGCCTGTTTAGGCAAGTGCTGTCTTCTTAAGCGCTGGGCGTTCGGTACACATGTACACTTATTCATGCGACATCCGCAACACCCCGCACATTCCACCACCGAACCTCGAGTGCTGCCTCTAGTCAAGATGTTCATGAACATTGTTAGTAGATGAAGCAATGTTAGACACATCTCTAGCTAAGTACGCTAGCATGGCGGGAAGAGTTTGACAAGGCCTTTACCCAGCCTTTAACCACTTGGTCCCCGGCATGGCGCACTTTACCGCCTTTGGTGGGATAAGGAAGGGCAACACGTATTATTATGGCTGCACATGTACTCAGGGTACGGAGGCTGCACATGGAGAAGCAAAAAAAAAGAGGGAGAAAAGACGAAGCATCGGCGCCTATGGAAACCGCACTTGCCCAATCTGGCAACACTTAGAACTCATCCGAAGCCGCTGAAATCACTTTCTTTTACTCCGGAAAATGAGCACAAAAGAGAGCTTCGGAGATGGGCATGAGTAGCAGCTTGCCAAAGACGATTGGACTATTGCTAAATAGTGCCAAAAAGCGTCACCTGGGCGATTCGAACACCCGCGGGCAAAGCCCAACCGCTTGACTGTTCGATTCCCACCGCTTTAACGTGAGATGAATAGCAGGCGATCCCGTTAACCACTCCGGCAAAGTGACTTTATAATGAGAACAACTACGTTTATATCGAGCTGTAAAGTGTCGCACACAAAGAGACACCCCAGATTTAGTATGGCCGAGGCGCAACCGAGGCTCTACTTACATAACTCAAGTTGCCAGTGAGCAGTACAGTGCCACGGTTAGTACGTGCGGCACTTGCGCACACGACACCTCGCAGTATTTACTGGCCGCTGTCGCTTGCGGTCTGCCCAAGTCTATCCTTTCCGCTGTAGGTTATCCCAACGTTTGAGACGCCAATTTATCAGGGTGCCAAAGTCACTCATCGCCGCGAGGATGGAAGCCGGGGCCCGGCTCCGCCCGACCCATTGCAGTGTTACTGGCCTTCGTCCACGCTGCTAGGGAAATTGAATACTACATAATAACATCACATATACATCTCATCCCAGCCCTCGTCATTCGTGGCAGGCCGCGAAGTTCCGTCTCCGCCTGCCTTCTCATCGGTCGCGACAGAGATCGGCGGCGCGCTCGCAGCTGTGTTTGACTCTGCTGCTTCCATCTCCCTGATGACGTCCCACATGTCCTCGTCCTCGTCTGGGACTGGACCAGCGTTGGAGGGCACACCAACGTATGGTGCCTGAGCAGCTCCGTCACTGTGGGGAACGTCGTCTTCGAGTGCATCCCACATTGCATCGTCCTCGTCTTGGGCCACAGGCTTGGACTGAGCTCGAGGGACACTAGTGGGACGCGCAGGATTGTTCTCGAGGGCTTGTCTCTCTTCTTCCTCGCGAATCATAGCGTCGAGATCGAAGTCATTAAATGCATCCGAGGAAGGTGGTTCGGAAGATGGAGGGTGAGAGGGAGGGCGTGAAGATGCTCGCTCTATGTCGTGTACGGTACTGCTCTCTCGAGCGTCGCTCGCATTGGGCTTGGGGTTTCCCTCCTCTTCGTCACTGCCACTCTCGTCTGAATCCGGATCGACCTTGTGACCTGTATTGATCCCCTTGTATTCATCGCGCCAGACAGTCAGCGCGACCTGTCGTGCTGTTGTTAGTACCAGCGCGCAGTATAAGTCGAAGCACGCACATGCATCCGTTTCGAATGACATCGCTTCTCAACGGTTTTGACAGTTTCACGGAATGGGGCTCTGGGATACATCTTATGTGTCCAGTAGTGGTAGACTTGAATCAGTCGGTTCAAATCCGTCGCCTAGCATACCTAACAGTGAGCATATAATACCTGGACGACTTCAGATACACAAAACACCTCGTGGCCTTTCCCCTTCGGCTTGAAAGCCTTCGCATGCTTCATTAGAGCAGGGAAGCCGTCTGGCCCAAGCAGCCGAGCTTCATCGAGCCTCGGGAGAGGCTTCTTCTTCTGTCTCTCCTTCCACCGGTTTTGCCTTTCCCTCCCCATCCGCGTATCCATTAGCATCAGGAGTGTCGAGGTCAAGCGCGGACGGTTTCTTGTATATCTGCGCGTTCTTCGCGTCCACTTCCCTCCTCAGCGCGTCGAGGTCAAGCGCGGGAGGAAGGTCGCCGTCGCCAGTGTCCGGCTCCGCGTCCAGATTATCAAACATGGCATCTATCTCCGACTTTTCTACGGTCGGAGGGACTGACTTGCGTGAAGGCGGCTGGGCACCCTCATCCTCATCCTCAGAGTCCAAGAACAGCGATGAACGCGGTCGCTTGGAAGCTCGACGCGGGGAGTCATCGGTGGTGAGGTCAATTGGGGGAGATGAGCGACGAGGAGCCTCGTCCGCAGGGGCGTCCCAGATATCTTCGAGCGCAACGGAGGTCATCGTTGTTGCGGTTGAGCCTCAGTTGAGCGTAAGCGCAGCCTGTCCTGGACGCGACGCGTAGCGTAACGCGTAAGAGACGCGTCTGTCACAGTCGGTGGTCACAGATCCTGTAGTAAGATCGCGTGTCCTCGAGTCCCAGTGAAGATCGCTCTCTACCTCCGTTCCACTACACCACTGCACCGCAATCTCACAGACGCCTCGTCGAGATCATGGCCGAGCAAATAGTTCTACCTGAGCCCGACGTACAAGCGGGAATAGATTACTGGGCGAGTCAACCGGCCAATTATGACGGCGTCCTCGGTGAGCACTCGCATCTCGCACTGGTGGCATAGGCGCAAATGGTGACATCTGCATGTAGGCGGATTCGGGGAAGGCGTGAGTCCCTTCTATTGCGTTGACGATCTACTGCATAGTTGATCATCCCCTGCTAGTCTCTACCGAGAATCGACGCTCTCGGCTCGCGCCAATTTCTTCTGTACCTCATGCCTGAACTCAGCACGGTACCTTCAGCGATTCGATCACTGGCTGCTCCCAAGGAGCTGTCATACCGGACACGCGCGCTGGACGTCGGCGCCGGCGTAGGCCGCGTCACGGCGGACGTGCTCCTGCACCTCGTATCCGACATCGTCCTGGTCGAGCCCGTAGAAAGCCTCGCCAAGGAAGCCCTCTCACGCGGCCGCGCGAGCGAAATCATGACCGGGAAGGCCGACGCTACGTTTGTTCCGTGGAAGGGCATCTCAGCGAAGGCGAAGAGCGTTTCTTTCACTCAAGACACTCTGCAAGGCGTCGATCCATGTCACCCGTCGAAATCCCCGACTTTTCTGGACCGCGTCGGATATGTCCCGAACCACAATGACCTCGATGAGCCGTTCGACATAGTCTGGTGTCAGTGGTGTCTCGGTTCTCTGAGCGACTCGGATCTCGTAGCCTTCTTGCAAAGAGGTCGTAGTTCCCTCAGGGACCCCAATCGGAGTGTGATTATTGTGAAGGAAAATTGCTGTTCTGATGACGACGGGCAGCCACAAAGCATATTCGACGAGACTGACTCAAGTATAACGAGGTACTATCAAATCTCAGTGTCTTATATGGTTTAAGAAGTCGCGCTGACAATGATTTATCAGGTCTGATCTTGCATGGAAGAAGGCATTCAAGGATGCAGGTCTGGCATTAGTTCACGAACAAGTGCAGCGGGGCTTCCCTGAAGGTCTATACACTGTGAGAATGTGAGACGGTTGCATCCTTCCGCATTACTTCCGCTAACTACAAGGCCTGGGCAGGTATGCTTTGAGGTGACCGAGACTGACTGTCGAATCACGCATGGCGGAAGCAAACATGTAGATCTAGGTAGCAAGCAGGTATTGGCGGTCGCGCTAGCAATACAAACGATCGTAGTAGCAGGCTCGTCAATGGGTCGGTAGAACGGGGACATCATAGAACTAGCAAGCATAGCGGAAGACACGACGGAAGATGACGCAAACTCGGAAAGAGAAAAACGAACGAGTAGAAGATATCCAAGCACGAAACCTAAATCGAATGCATCAGTGCTTCAGCTTTCCCGCTGAAGCCTCCTCCCGCGGACTCGGGACGTTCTCCTTCCTAGCAATGACAGCCTCACTGAGGCTCGTCCGCCTTTTCTGTTCTCTGCTCTCCGCACGCTCCTTTACGTGTGGAAAATGGGCACGGATGACACTTTCGAGCTGTGGCCATATTTCATCTGATGTTGAACCAGACAGTGTCACCAGTTTCACTCCAGAGAAGGGAGCTTCAGCGCGGTAGTAATCCAACAAGGGTGATGTTGATTTGTAGAATTTCTCCAATCGATGAGCAAATACCGCCTATCGACGTGGTCACTGTCAGTAAGCCGGACCTCGTCTGGTTAGGAAAGGTAGATACCGGGTTGTCATCAGGTCGCTTGGTGAGAGGTTCGCCAGTCACGTCATCGAGGCCGGGGACCTTGGGTGAATTATACGACAAGTTGTAGACACGGCCGGACGGTAGATGAACCCAGCGATCTGATATCCGGCTCAGGATCACTTCGTCGGCGACGTCCAAATTGACGATCAGGCTCAGAGGTGTTCCTTGCCGTCTGGAAATGGAGGTCCCTTAGCTACTCGTGAGGGACTGGGAAGCGGCAATCAAACCTCAGGTGGTCATCGAATAGTTTGCCCTGTCCGAGGGTACGGGGAAAGCCGTCAAGGAGCCAGTGCTAATGGACATGAGTTGAGCGGTGCGGTCGGACAAAGACATGTCTGCGGAAATACCTTATTGTAAAGCAAGTCCAGCTTGCTTGAAACGACCTTCAGCATGATATCATCTTGCAACAGTCCACCAGAAGCGACGGTCTCCTCCGCCATCAACCCAACCTCCGTCCTTCAACAAGTTCAACAGACGTCGCTGACGAGAACTTCATGATGCTCACCGCTCAGCAATATGCTGTCGAAGTAGGTCTCCCGTCGACAGAGACAAGATATCATACTTCTGCACCAGGCGTCCCGACAGCGTGCCCTTGCCCGCCCCGGGCTTGCCGAACATGAGCATCCGCAACACCTTGCCCTCGCCATGGTCAGCGGTGGGCTCAGGCTTCACCACGCTCGACGCGACGTTGTTCAGAGAGAAGGCGAGGGCCTTGTACGTGATTGCGGATGATCGGAAGGTCCGTCGATGTGAGCACACATTCTTCGGCCGAAGGGAGGCGCTGAGAAGAGCCGACAGAGACATGCACGACGATTGGACGAGGCAGAGCGTATAAAGGTGTGCCTTGGGGACGTGGGGTGGTCTGTCTTCCCTCCAGGTGCTGCGACGGACCCGAGCGCGACGACCTGGGTTATGTGCGACCGTGCAAGGCCCAGAGTCGTTCGAGAATCGATTGCGCAAGAGCGGGAATATCACCGGCGTCAACGGCGAAACACTGGGATAGTGGTGCGGGCTTTTCCTCACCTCGTTTGCCTCACTCTGTGGGCACTGCGCGGCGGGTGGCAGGGAGCAGAGTGCACGTAGAGTGGTGAGTCCTCTAATCCCAGACGGCGTACAGCCGACCTCCCCCACGGGATGTAGCCCCGCCTTCCCCGCTCCGCGCATCCGAGTGCGATCACGCGATGGGTGCATCCCGTCTCGCCGACCAGCTTCGTCAGGCTCGCCCGCAACTCCCTGACCAGTGACCTCCCTATCGCGCACTAGCACAAATTCAATTCATATCAACGAGCGAGGCGCCTTGGATCCATGACGAACATACACTCTCCGGAGATATGAGCTCGGAGGAAGTCGGGCTGTGTATTAAGAGCAAGTTTGCAGCTGTGTATCCTTGGGCTGGAACACCGGTACGTATCCACATCCACTAGTAGCTGTATATTATTGGCAGAGAATAGTGAGACGCAATGCTATACTGTCGCTCAGACATGCACGTCGGCCTGTGCCTGACCCTTTTGTGACCATCCAATGAGTTCCCTCATCTCAGCGACGCCCACGACGCCCTGCACGTCCGTTCTCTGACTATCAGCGGCAACGCAAATGGCTTCCGCGACGTGGTCGACGTGGATAGGCGGAATCGTCAACGCATTGGCTACAGAGTCAAGCGGCGACGTAGAGACAGGCGGTTGCGGCGCTGGAGAGGAGGGGAAGGTGGACGCAAGCGACCGCAAGAAACTGGAGGGAGTAGGCAGGCTTGGCGGCGCTTTGCGGTGGATCGTCGCGGACAGGTCGAGCATTGCGGCGATTGGCGACGTTAGCGGGCGGAAGTGGGGATGGTAGATGAGACCTGCTCCGAACACCTCGTCAGTGGTCTCAATCAGACGACTATTGTTTACACGCACTGGGACGAATAAACACTGCCCGGTGGTCGGTGCTGCCGGCCATCCTTTGACTGATGTGCAGCTCCGCTTCACGCTTCGTCTCAATGTATCGCGCCGGAATGAATGGTCTGAAAATGTCTTCCGCCGAGACGTATACGAATGGCCTCGGTCCGTCAAGCGGGACTGTAGGCTTCGAAGATACGAATGCCTCGCATATACTCAGCGCTGCCAGCATCTAAGCAAGCGTTGAACATGAGCATGCTCAAGAAACACACCAGCATCACGATTCAGCGTCTCGTAGCTGTCTGGTCTGCCCTCTCCGCTTGCAAGTGGATTGCTTGATGCTCCGTTACCCAGAACGCTGGAAGCAACAATGCCGGCAAGGGCTGCGATGTTCCCTTCACTGAGAGCCTTCTTGTACCTCGTATCCTCGAGGAGTGTCCCGAGTGTGTGGACAACTGCCGTCACGCTGGGGAGGAGGTGCGAGTACGTTGCTGGCTTCAGGGCATCCGCAGCTTGCCAGTCTACCTGCAAGGGGCATACACGTCAGAATGCGTAGCCGCAATAATAAAGATGTGACAACACTTTAGAGACCCAGGCAGGTGAGTGTCCTTTCGGCGTTTTGAACGGTGAACCAGACGAGCTGTGCCGAACGTAACATTCAACGTGATTCATGGATGCAAATCGGTTGGGCACGCACCTGATGCTTGTCACTTGCATTCCCCGAGCAAGCGCTGCTTTGCAAACGGCCGAGCCTGTTCAACGCGGGGCGTTAGCGTGCTAACGACCTTCATCGCGCTAGGATGCGTTCGAACCGAGAAAACCATTCCCCCCAACCACCAGTATCCTTGGAATTGCGGCTTGCATGAGACCTCGGGCCAAAGGAGCGTGCTCCGACGTAAGTATTCCGTCGATGCAGAGAAGTCTGGGGTTGAGGCCAGCGACTGCTGACGCCGCGACGAGTGAGCGCTTCGCAATTGGGGACCCTCGCGGTGCTCAGATCTACAACTCTCGCTCATGTTGGGTGCTGGAGGTTCGACATTTTCAGTCGGTCGAAGCGACGAAATGTATGTGACAGAGTAACATCTAGGTTTTACTACATAACTTGAGGATGCGTCGATGAAGGAAGGACGGGCAGATTCATCCTAGTCACGTGTAGGGCGTCGGAAGGCCAGGAGCCTTGCCCGAGGGTCCTCCGCTGCTATGCTCCAGTCTTCCACCTTGACTTCGAGGTAGCGTCGGCTGCAGCTCAGCATCGTCTTCGAATATACGTTTCTCATATTCCTGCATACATGCTACTTCCAACATATCTTGACAATTGATACGACTGCCCAACCTTCACGACCCGCACAATGTCTTGGTGGACCTCATGGATGCCTTCATTGCCCACGATCGACCTATCCCTGCCATCCGGGATCCAGAGACGATTCATTTCGTTCGCGTTGAAGCGCTCTCTCGGACACTTGCTCAAACCTGGACAGCTTGATCTCCAGCAGGTGGATTCTCAGATCGGGTCGGGTTATGTGCAGATCCGAGACCTGGAGCTGAATAACGACGTACGTGAGCTTCCTTCGTGTGTCGGAGCGACTCCTGACCCAGTCTCAGGCTATAAACTCGCTCATAGCTGGGCTACCCCTCCAATTGCACGACGGTTCCATCGGGAAAGTCACCGCGCGGATTCCATGGCCCAATCCATTGACCTCCACGATCGGTTTCTCAGTCGAATCACCCCACCTGACATTCTATCTCGCACCCCAATCATCCGATGTCGGTGCATCACAGACGGACCTCACGGAGTCCGTGGCGTCTATCGCAGAGTCGTTTGTTCACGAAGAACTTAATCCCGCAGATGAAGCGGCGTTTCGTCAGTCCATGCATGGTGGACCGAGAAGTCCGATGCGGGCTGGGGAAGACATGCTACCAGGGGGGCTTGATCCCTTCATGTCCGACGAAGAGCTGTCCCAAAGCGAGATAGAACCGCCTGGTGTGTCGATATTCGCGACACTCATCGAAAGGTTACTCGCGCGCTTTGCATTCGACGCGGACGATGTCAAGGTCACAGTGGTGAATCCACAGCAAGCCAGCTTTACGCTGTCTATAGCTCAGATCCGGTATGGCACCGAGTCGAGCGCGCCGGCAGACCCCGCAGGGGCAAGTGGTCGAGAGTCTCGCGGAGATTCGCAGGGCAGCATACGCGGCGTCACTCTTGGTGGGATTACTCTGACTACGCGCTGCTTACGTCCAACAAGTCCAACCATGACCCCTACACGGCAGCATAGTACATCCTCGACTCGAATGCACTCCGTAGCCCCCGCATCACCTCAAAGCCCTTCGACCCCTCCTTCACCACAGTCAGACTCGTCGGACATGGATGAAGACACGCAGATGCTCATGTCGCAATCCATAGCTATCCTTCCGCCACGGCCAGTATCGCCTGCGACTTCGGTGGCAAGCAGCATGTACGAGAGCGCTGTGTCGACTGCGCTCGTCGAGAGCAGTCTTCATAGTTCACCAGATCCCGCTGCGGAGCCTCCGGTGGCCAACCAACCACCGGTGGACAATTCTGCTCTGTCGTCCGAGACACCGCCACGACCTGGCGCGTTGCACAGATTGCGACCTATTGCGTCTATCCCAGAAGTGGAGGACGAAGTTGTTGTATCCTTCGGGTCCGATGCGATCTCTATCCGTCTTTACACACCCCCGCCATCGAATGCACACTCGCCTGCGCCCGCGGTTGGAGTACCCTCATCCTCGAGGGTGCCTATTGAACGGTCAAGAGCAGCCCATCGTCGAAGTAGCAGTGCGCGGGCTCCGGAAGAGAAGCTCAGAGTCACCATTGACATAGGCGTCGTTGCGCTCGGCTTCAATGCGCGGCATTTGCGGAGTATCCTGGATATCGCTGACGTCTGGTCGTTGCATTCACCGTCTCCTGCGCGTCGGGCTTCTCCCCCTTCAGATACTGCATCTGGACCGTCGACCGTACCCACCCTTGACGGGACCTTCCGACTCCGTGGCGTCGTTCTCCTTCTACGTCCAGTGTCTACCGATTTTACGCCATTGGATGCGCAAGGGCTGTCAGAGTTTTTCTCTCGTCCCCTTGTGCCCCCAAAGATGACACATGGCTACGTTCGCGCTCACCTAGAGGAACTATCGGTCACGGCTTCCATCTCATCCTGCCCTGTCGATCGCGGCGACTCCACGCATCCTTCCGCTCGCAAGAGGACGTCAAAGTCACGGAACGAGTCCGGGTTCAATACATCGCTTAACTTGGCTCTCACCGAGTTGTCGGTGTTCGCTTTCCTCCATCAAACACATCCCGATGCCCCGAGTTTGCCAATGGAGCTATATGCGTATCCGATCTTAATCACAGACCCCCACCTGCGATCGCAATATCCTCGAGAGCATTCGAACGTGGCTTCAGCGGACATTCACAATACCGCAATGCCGACATTCGAGATAGCGGATTGGACAGACCCTGCACGCCGGAGCACAGCGGCGAAGTTATCCATTTGGCGGAGCAAGGCCATGCAACACCGTGAAGCATCCCGCCAAGACACAGCTGGCACAATTGCAACTGGACCGAAGAGTCCCCCGCGCGCCCAGTCAGGTATGCCGTCGTCAGGTAGCCCTCCTACGCCTAGAGCGATGCCTCGCTTTTTGTCATCATCCCCCGGTCAAGTGGGCATAGGGCGACCATCTCTATCATCGGGCAGCCTCCCCTTACGCCCTGCAGGACCAGCAATCACTACAAAGTTCCGTAGTCGGACAACCCAGTCGCAGTTAACTCGAGAAGGAGAGGGAGGTCCAGACATCGACGTCACGTTCGAAGCGCTCCATATTTTCCTCGACCTCGGGCTGGTGTTGGGCCGTAGTGCCCAACTTGAAGAGAGCACAGCGATGTCATTCATGAAGGAAATTACGACCCCGTCGAAGTCCGTCTTCGCGGCCTCTGCGCTTCACTCGCTGGGGTACCGCCACGGAGCGGAGTATGACGACGACGACGAGGCAGATACCCCTCCGGCTACTCCCCGTGCTGCCATGGGTTTCGGAGTTCGGACCGCGGAAGAGCAGCAGCAGGAAAGGAGAAGGCTTGAACAGCTGGTCCTAGATGATCTGGACCTGGAGTATGACTACAGGCAAGGAACTAAGCGTAGCGTGGATCCAGCCTCTGAACGCGTCAAGGATTGGCGCAAGGTCGGTACGATGTCATTCTCGACCGAGAATCGCTCTCTGACGCACTGCACAGCCTAGGACACGTAAAAGCCAGGGTCAAGGGCCCTCAATCTCTGTAAAGTTCCCCGTGGTCCGTGTCCAGATACGCGATACTCCTCCTTCATGTCCTCCACGATCAGGAGCGTTGATACTCGATCTACACGACCTGCATGTTTCACCAAATAAGCCTGCAGAGAAGAATCGACCGCTACTGGCCAGGTTCGCTTCTCCAGATCGCGCTGGAACCGGCCCAGACGAGCGAACCATGGGCGACGCGACTAACACGCTGCTCTACGCTCAGTGGCATCGCGTCGTCGTCGCATATTCGCCTGTGTCTTCCTCCAAGGCATCCGAATTCTTTCCGTTGGTTCATCACACCGTCTTACTGAGGGTACGACGGAAAACGTCAGATTTGAAGGCACCATGTCGCCAGACGCATCTGTCGTGGATACCGTCTCTCGTCCTTCCATGCAAGTCCGACGCAGTAGCGTGGCTTCTGCACACGATCCTTCTACTGAAGTCAGATCCTTAGTATTTGCCATCGACATACCATCTCTTCACGTCGAGTTATCTAAACCCACCCTGGATGGCCTTCAGCTGTGGGCTGATGATTTGGCCCGTCTGATGGATTCTGCCTTCGGAGAACCTGCTGTTCTCGACACAGACACCGAACGTGCGGATAGTAGGGACTCTAGTATGATAGGTAGCAGGTTCTTCGCGAAGTCCAGAAGTGCTAGTAGCCAGGCTGGAAGCGGAAGCCTCGCTAGCAGACCTCAAGAGACTAGCAACGAAACTGCTATGAAGGTCACAATCGGAGAGGGTGAGCAAGTCGATCTTGCCCCTTTGAGTGTTGGGTGACGCTGAAGTGCGTGCAGGTACGGTCAGGTTGTTCGTGCCCCGAACGCAAGAGAGCCCGCATGTTGTGAGACCTTTCGATGTCTCAGTAAGCGACGTCGACATCCTTGTCGAGCTGAAGCCAGAGGGAAAGGTCAGAATCGTTGGTCATGACTTCTTTACTTGTCTGAATATTCTCGTCTCAGGATGAAACTGTTCTGACGGTTGGCATCCGGGATATCACTGTAAAGGAGACCATCAAATCCGGCTCTACAGCAACAATACTCGCGCTTACGCACCCATACAGCCTGGTGGGTAATGTTCTATGCGACCTGAATTCGAGTTGATCATGAGGCATGGTGCAGTTGTCTGCTCAAGCGTCGGCCCTGAAAGTCCGCTTCATCTCTCTGGTAGTACCAGAAACAACGGCGAAAGAGTCTAGAGTCAAACTCACTCTACGTGGAATCACCTTCACGGTCCATCCAGATTTTGACTGGATATCAGACTTAGCGGCGTTTGCAAAGGCACCACCAGGAGTTTGTACAGTTCATGGTTATGCCTTGCACGATATTGACAAAGATCCCTCCAGGCTTTTGAATCTGTCGTTCCGAGTGAGCGCACGCGACTTTCTATCAAAGTGGTAGACACTTCTCTGCAGGCTCTATGCCCTACATACCCAGGCGCACTAGTCCCGTATGTCGGGGAACTCGACTTCTCCACAGTCATCGAGGGGCTCTCGCCAGAGCTCACTTTCCTCCTCGATGTACCTGCGTTTTCCTTGCTTCTTGTCGACGACGCAAAAGCAATTTCGCAGCAGCTCGATAGCGCAAAGACAGGGCACACGACTTCTAGGACATCCGGTCTGGAGTATTGGAAGGTTCGTCCTATGGTTACACAGGACCTCCCGGAATTGATGGACGACTGCAGAGAGCAGGCTTTGCCTTGCTCGCTGAGTTGGCAGATCTGAAACTCAGGTTTACTCGCTTGAGCGGAACGGACTCGACAGACACCAAGGTTCGTCCTGTCGAGAATTGAATCCCTGATCTTTGTCTCAATACCGCTGAAGATATCCGTTAACCAAGGAGGCTTGCAACTTCACCTATGTGCAGATACTCTGACTACTTTGACGGCCTTCATAGGCGATTTCACTTCCATCTTCGCGTCGCCCCCAGACGTACGGTAAGTAGACGGAAATCTATCAAAAAAGTTACGTGGCTCATACAAGGCGAAGGTTGTCCCCCAAGAAGCGCAGTGAACCTACCCGGCTTTCGGAGACGTCAGGTACCTCGCGCGGCCTCCTGGGTGTGTCCTGTCATCTGCGAGAGGTGTCTTTGCTCACATGGAGAGCGCTGGTCAGCTTCCCTCGATGAGCATGCCTTCCGTCAACTGCCTGAAGTCGGCGCAGCACCGGATATGATATATGACGACCTTCCAACAAACCCCGACTACCTCGACGAGTCGTTTGGCGCAGCTGCTGGTCTCCGAGAACTCGACGATGACGAGTTCGACGAAGCCGATGTGGGCGTACCTTCTGCTGTTGATGACGAGGATGAACAGGAGAACAACACCACTGCGTATGCGTATGGAGGAGAAACGATTCGAATGCTGCGCCCTGAAGGCTTGCAAATCATCGAGCACTACTTCGACACCATGACTCCCGATTCAGTCGACGGGGATTCCAGGTGAGTGGTGCATGTAGATCTCGCACAGAATCTCACATTGACCCGCGATAGCTATGGTGAAACGACTCTTCGGGTTCGACTGCACAACTGCGGTGTCACGGTGCTGCTATATGACGGCTATGATTGGGTGCGTACACGTAGGATTATCGAAGAAGAACAAAAGGAGATGCGGAAGAAGCTAGCCAAGATACGACAACTCGTCGCCAGTGGGCAGACGCCAGACCCAAGCGTCGAGGAGACCAACACCCTCCTGTTCAACTCGGTCTACGTTGGGCTAGAGCACAATATCGACGAGCTCGAGCCCGGTGCACTCATAGCCGCGATAGACGAAGAGCTGAACGAAGAACTTGAGACAGCAGTCAGAGCTCGTGGCAATCGCTGAAGCCGCAGCCTGTCCAGAACTCTCCTGGGAAGGGTACCGTTGGGCAAGGTCGCACCCGCCGGAAGCGGATGAGTCGATCGAAAGGCCCTAGCATCGAGTTCCGATTGATGGGCCTAAATGCTGAAATCGACCGATACCTACCTGCTTCAGATCTTGTTTCGAGGACATTGGTGACCTTAGAGGATGTCGAGATCCTTGACCATATTAAGTCGTCGACATGGAGCAAGTTCCTAACGTCTCTTCGCTCGGACTCCCGAGGAAATATACGCGAGACGGGCTCAAACATGGTCCGCGTGGAACTTCGTACCCTCCATCCTGTTCCAGACCACCCCTCAGAGGAGGCAAGACTTCGTGTAAGGTTCGAACCACTAGCTCTGTGGAGGCTGCGCTCACGGTAGCTTTCTGCAGGCCAAGATCCTGCCCCTGCGACTACACGTCGATCAGGATGCGCTTGATTTTCTCAAGAAGTTCTTTAGTTTCAAGGATCCAGAGAGTGCACCCGCTCCCGCCTCGGATCCGGAGGACGATATCTACTTCCGTAAGTCGCTCATCTATATACAAGGATCGCGCTCATATCTCTGCAGAACAAGCGGAGGTGTTCCCCGTAGACATCAAGCTTGACTACAAGCCGAGACGTGTTGACTACAGGGCGCTGCGTGACGGACGGACAATCGAACTTATGAACTTCTTCCACTTCGACGGGGCGGAGATGACCCTCAGGCATATCACTTTGACTGGAGTAAGTACCATCACGCCGTTGTTCGTCGCAGAAACCTGAGTATTTCATCAGATTACCGGATGGCCGAGGTTCTTCGATCTCTTGAACGATCTGTGGACGCCAGACGTGAAGGCAACACAACTGGTGGACGTCATCTCCGGCGTATCTCCCATCCGTTCGGTAGTCAACGTCGGCTCTGGGGTGGCGGATCTTGTGCTCCTTCCCATCGCTCAGTACAAGAAGGACGGGCGCGTGGTGAGAGGCCTGCAGAAGGGGACGACCGCCTTCGTGAAGTCTACTGCGATGGAGGCGATCAAGCTGGGAGCGCGGCTCGCGACGGGCACACAGGTCATTCTCGAGCAGGCGGAGAACGTCATCGGAGGCCAGTTCAAGGATCCCATCACAGCGGAGACTGTGCCTGGCTCGCCGTTCTTGGACGAGTTGGGTGGACAGTTGGTAGACGAGGAAGAAGGCGACCTGTTCAGTCGGTATGCCGAACAGCCGATGAACGTCCAGGAGGGCGTGCAGTCCGCGTACAAGAGTCTGAGAAGTAACCTGAACTCTGCCGCACAGACGATACTTGCTGTGCCCATGGAAGTGTACGAGAGGTCTGGTAACGAGGTGAGTTTGGTCGTCGAGTGGTCTGCATTTTTACCAAACCGCTGCAGGGCCCTGTCCGTGCTGTCGTGCGCGCGGTACCCATTGCGGTCCTCAAGCCGATGATTGGCGCGAGCGAGGCGGTTAGTAAAACCTTGCTCGGGCTTCATAACCAGCTGGACCCCAACGTACGGCATGAGAACGAAGCTAAGTATAAGCAACGATAGAGGTAGACCATCATTTGCGGACAGCGAGCACCGGGGGATCACATGTACCAATACATATTACAACAGCCATACCGTGTACCACTGTACCATATACATCATGCATACCATGTATAAAAACGCTGGAGCACGTAGCAGGAGAAAGCAAGAACCCAGTGAGAGCAAAGGTGTGGATGTTGAGCGGGAACGGCGTGCAAATCGAGCTCAGTCGATCTCCATACCCATCGAACGACCCTCTCCTGGGATCAGAGCGCTGCGAGACTTTGCAGACACTTTGATTTTCTCGCGAATCTTCTCCTTTTCTGGGGACTCGATGGCCATGGGCTCCACAAGCTTGACTGAGGCCTTCTTCGCCGCCTCCAGCTTCTTTTTCCGGTGCGTGCGCAGCTTCTCTTTGCTTGCGGCCATTCTAGAGGAGACCGGTTAGTAAAGAACAAGTGGTCCAATGAGAGCAAAATGCACCTGTTCTTCCAGAACGCATGCTCTCTCCGCTGCTTGATCTCCGCAACCCGTTTCATCGCCTTCACCGTCGTCACAACCAGCTCGCGGTCGTAGCGTACAGGGACATTTCGACGCTTCTCAAACTCGATCGTGGAGTCCTAGAGAACTGGTGAGTGGATTGTACCAGCAAAAAGTCAAGGGGACGCACGATCGTCATCTCCTTCCCAGCGGCTTTACGGAAAGCCTTCGTCCACCGTACTTTCCTCGGGTTGCGCTTCATCCTGCAAACATTGTCAGAGTTGCACTACCATACATCACACTGGTATACATACTTGAAGTTCTTGTGACATCTGCACAATACAAGGATGAGCTCGAGCACAGAGATGCCAGAAAATGGTGCTCACTTTGAGGTGCAGAAACGGAATACCTTTGCGTCATTTCTTACGAACGCACTGCCTGGTGGAAGTCAATTGACCTGCCGACCAGCATACTGGATGTAACACACCATGACCAGGGTATACGCTCTTGGAGCAGAAATAGCACTTTTCTATACGCATGTCGGCAGCGTAATGGCGGAGAGCAAGTTACGGGCGTCTAGTTGCAAGGCCTGGTCGTGAATTTCTTTGCTAAGCGCCCGCCGCGATCGCGGACCGCTGCTTCTGAATGATTTATGACTCTCAGTGGGTCCCAGTGGTAGTCACTCAGGCTTCTCCCTGTCCCCATCTCACTACACGCCGCATCATGCAGAATCTTCACAAGTTTGAATCCAACGTTCTGGCTGTGAGACAGCATTGGCTGGGCTACGCGAAGCTCAAGCATTTGATAGTCTTGTACGCACACGGGCTGTTCTCGTGTGGCGTCGAACTGACAGTGATCTCCTTGCATAGTGGGGCATCCTATTGCGATGTCGGATATACGTCTCGCTCACCGCACCCTACCCTCGAGGATCCCCTTGGAGTAGAATTCCCTGGACACACATGGGCCGAGCCGGGCAAGGCAAACTGGGTTGGGCATCTCATCACCGAGCACTCGCTGAGCCCAATCCTTGTCCATGACTATGCCATGGGTGGGGATCGCGTCGATGGTGTGCGTCGACAGATCGAGAAGGATTTCATGCCTAATTTGGCCCCGAAACCGAGTTGGGCTCCATGGAGAGAGCAAGACACGCTCTTCGGTATGTCATTTACGCTGCCGCGGTAGAGGCCTGGTCGTCAGCTCACCGAGTCCAGCGACATGGGTTGGCATCAACGACTGCTCGTGAGGATGCTCTTTGCTCTCATACGTTCCAAGTCGTTCAACGCAATACATTCTACGTCGGCGCAGCTACGAGACTGCCGAGGCGATCCCAGGCGTTGTCTCCGAAGTCTTCAAACTGCTCTCCGACCTCTACGAGCACGGTGCCCGCAACTTCATGTTGATAGACCTTCCTCCTGTCGAGAGGTCTCCAAGCGGTACGAGAAATGTTAGCGATGTGGTCGGTGCAGCTCTTGACATCGCTTTCGCAGGACCTAGTCCAGAGAATGCGGCGCGTATGTTCGCCAACAGGCCTCCAAAGACTACCTTGTGGAACATCGCCCTGAGGACCCAGGCAGAAACGTTTGCAGCTGCGCACGACGAGGCGACGGTGCTCATATATTCCTCCTGGGCCATGTTCACCAAGGTACTGGACGCCCCCGCCGCTTATGGCTTCACGACAGACGACGTGCGCAAACCTGCCGGCTCTATTTGGGTCGATCGTCTGCATCCGACCAGCAATATGCACGATGTGATTGCTCATGATATAGCCCAGTTCTTGGGAAGCATTGAGCCACCTGCTTCCTCGGGCCCGGGTGTGGCGCAAGCTTGAGCATGCTGGATGGACACGCTCTGAATAGGTGAGATGAGAACTGGCTGAAGTATCATTTGTCCTCTTTTACTATGTATCACCGGCATCGAGTAATCGTATATCGATCCTGTATAACCTCGCATCGAAATACGATTCGAGTTAGCAGAAGGGGCGTGCCTCCGGAGACTCGCCTCGCCCGCCGCCGTCAGCCTCGCTCGCCCGCCGTATAAACAGCCACCCCGTTGCCTCTCACCGCCATATTGCCCCCTCTCTTCTGCCCCCATCAGACAACAGGGTCTTGTCTTCGTGCGTCTTCCTCTCCACTCCCTTCGCGAATTCATTGATGAATACCTCGTCCTGCCATTTATGCATGGGCGGATTGCATCGCCCAGAGAAGTACCGGTAGTAACGGTGCCGAAAGAACTGCATTAAGATAGGGTTGAGCACCGGGCGCTGAGTAGCTGAAAGCTCATCAGAACTGGATGAAAACGGCGATTGACGGTATGCCGCGATCGACAGAACTCGAGCCGCATCCTTCTATGGTCGGACAGCGACAGGAAGACAGACCCAGACCGACTTGACCACCTTGAGCGCTTCCTGCGTACATCTACACGCCATGCCGGCTAGAACTGTACACGCTCAAACCCGTATTGCTCATATGCGACTATGCAACGCACTGAACGCGTCGAAGCGCACATCCTCCAGAAGCCATACCATGTGTAGACATGTCATTGTGACCTCTAGGAATACAAGAAAGTGAAGATACAATATAGCAATACACGGTGCGCGGTGTCTTCATCGCGACTTCGAGCCCTGCTGTTTCCTCCATTCTTTCTTCTGGAGGAAGCAGCGCCTTGTTGCCAAACAAAACCTCGACGTGTGTTTATCTGTGCCAGTCTTCTTGGAGTGCCTCGACGTGCCTTGAAACACCAACTAAGGACCGACTGTCATCGACATCAGAAGACAGGAGCTGGCAATGCAGACGTACGACCCAGAATCCCCAGAGGCTGACGATCGCTGCGCCTATGGATACAAGCAGTCCAAGAGACCCGACAGACTTGGTGTTGTACGAGATAATGGCGATGAAGGCGCATGCAGTGGCCAGTGGTCCTAGTAGTGGGTGACCTACGCTACTTTGTCCTGCAGTATGGCTTGGCATTGTAGCAGACGAGGGTACCTGCAGCGGACGTAAGATTCCGACGACTCGGTTCGCTAGGCAAACCGAGACGTACGTTGAGGACAAGGGCAACAGCGATTGCCAGCAGCAGGATACCCGTATGCAACGAGAAGAACGACTCCAGCGGCGTGAGTGTTGTTCGCCGCTCCATTTCGCCCGTACTCGTAAGAAAGAGTAGAAACCGAGGAAACATCAGCAGCGGGGTCGACGCTGCCACGAACCTAGCATATGGAGTCCAAAGAAGCGTCAATTCTCATGCGTACTCTTTGCGTGCCCTCACAAGTACTCACACCCCTGCTGTTGTGTACGCCCAATAGACCACAGACTCCGCGTCCCGCAGCGCACCCAAATCCTCAAGCTGGGTTGGGTCTTCTGAGTTCCCATTGGTCGCTGGGCTACGCTTGGAGAGATCCTCCAGTTCGATGTCGCTCATGGTAGCGTTGCTGTGAGGGAGAGATGTCGTTTGTCACACTGCGCGAAGACAGACAGCCGCTGCGGCGGTGCATGTTGCACACCCAAAAGCAGCCACCGCAGCGAGTTGCTGTACCGGGCAATGACGTCAGTGGCCGGTGCGTCCTCCAGTCCATGTCGCTCACAAGTTGAGGCCAGCCGGAGTACTCGCGTAAAATGAGCAAATAACAATGCAATAGGATACAAAATGCGATAGGTGTGTAACAATGTTGATGCAGAGTGCGCGCGGAAAATGTCACCGATACAGAGCAAGCAGCACAAAAATATTCCCCGAATATCATCACCAGCCTGACTGGCCCCAGCCCCCTCCGCCCCCAGCATCACCCTGCTGGATCAGAGCTGCCCGCGCCGGGTGTACGCCGGCTGGGTTCGGTGTTTGGAACCCACCTCCATACGGCGTCCGTGGAGGAGCGCCGAAAGCAGGCGTCGCCCCGCCGAGCGAAGACGTACCGGGAACCTGTCCTCCAGGCCCATAGGGGTTCGGTGTTCGGCCCATCTGGCGCACCGACATATGTCCTGGTGTTGCATGCCCCGCAGCAGGTGTACGTGCAGGTGTGCGACCAGCACCGTAAGGCGTCTTTCCGCCGCCGAGGCCGCCACCACCCCGTCCAGACTCGTGGATGTGTCGGATTTTGAAGGCGTCACATAATTCAGAAACGCCACTGGCCGCGGTGTCGAAGAGATAGTACGCCTCAGGCGTAACCCTGACGGGCTGCGACATCATCAATGATTATGAAGGGCGCGATGAAACTGACCAGTACTTACCCATGTCTGGACAGTGGAGCTTTTGTTCGGCAAGAAGCATAGATTGAAGTGCCCAGGACGTTTCCGGTTGAGGGTGAAGCCGTACGCGCTCTTCGCGGGGTTGGCAGCCACATAATTCTTGAGGAAAATGTCTGGAGATTGCGGTCAGCGGTGCACCTGGCGCTGATAATTTGAACGTACGAAGATCATCTTCTGATCCATGCTTGAATTTCTCATGGGCCATCAGCTCCTCTACCTTACGCGCCATAGAATGGACATGGTTGACGATCAATTCGTCCAGGTCGGAGTATTGGCGCTCCGCATCCACAATGAGCTTTGTGCCGATGGTTTGGCCAGTAGGGTCAGCGTTTGGTTCAAGGACATCTAGGTACGGATCAGAACAGCGACGATATAACTTCCTCTCAGAACGTACCAATGTGCTGGAAGAGCTTGTCGTCCACCTTCCACGTCACGGCAAGGTGGTCGATGCCTTTTGAGGACGGTCGGATGACAACATCGCCCCGCTGTTGCTGGTCGAGGAACTGCTCTGCCTGCTGCGCGTTGAAGTTGTGGAAGTTAGGGTGCTTGATGACCCTCCGCGTCCTATCCACCTCTGCACGCTTCTTCCGTGCCTGCAGCTCCATGTCTCGGTCGTATTGCTGATGATTCCAGCGCTCATCGTGCCTCACCCGCCGGTACTGGCTGTCGCCCTGGGAGACATCCGACGGCCGAGAGGAGAGTTCGACCCAGAACGAGTCTGACCCGAGATTGAGCTTTACATCGATGATGACGCCCTGAATCGTCTGGCCCTTCTTCACAACCGTCGAGGCATCCGAGATGTGGTCGTCGGCGATGTACTGCGATGTGATCATGCCATCAATGCCTGAGTCCAGACGGACGGCCACGAAGCTCTGCTTCACGCGGACGACCAGCACAGATACGATCAGACCGACACGGAGTGTACGGTTAGTCTCCCCCGTGAGCATCATGAGCACCTCTGCAGGAGTAGGCCGGACAAACTTGTCGCGCTGCTCCCCAAATGGCCGCACGAGCTCGGCGCGAATGACATTGAGCGTGTGTCGTTTCTTGTCCTGGTTCGTCTCGTACATGTTGACGGCGAAGTCATCCAGGTTCAGTTCGTCCAGCTTCTTGTCCGCGTCGGAGTCATCCATGATGAGGGACACGACTTGTGAGGGATGTTCGTCGTGAATATCCTCTTCATCCAGCTCCAGAGCATCTGTGGCCATTTTTCTGGCAAGCTCGTAGTCTTCTGGGTGTATGCGCGTGTTGTCGAGGGGATCAGGAACATCAACGTCCTCGTTTCGACGGCCTTTCGTGGACTTAGGCTCTGCATCTTGGATGATACGAAGGAAACCTGCAGCGTTAAGGAAGATCGTCATTGTCAGCAGAGAATGATTGACGAATTGGTTGCGGTTGATAAGGTTGCCGCCCTGTGTAAATCAATGAGTGACGCAGTATGGTAACCTAAACCATAGTACTGACCAACGATGCGATCTTCTTGACCAAAACCTGTGCCTTGCGTGGGCCCAACCCGCAGATGAATGGAAGGAGGAACTGGTAATACGAGTCGGTGACAGCGCGGTTGACGTCGACGCCAACCTTGTTCGTGATGTCGACAAGGACCTTCTCAAGCGCTGACAGGAGCTTCTCGGTAGGAATCTGCTCTACAGTTAGACAGCATCATGTCAAAACGTTTTTGTTACGTACCAAGTTTTGGTTGTCTTCGTCGAACATGATGGCCTTGATATCAGCACCCAGGGCGGCATACTCGTTCAATGGACTCTGCGTGTATCGCGCCAGCCCGACACAATATCTGGCCAATGGCGCAAGCGCACTGAATTCCTCTTGAGCCCGCCTGCTGTTCTGGTACATGCGAGCAACCTCATCGAGTACGTAGATGACTTCGATGTTGAGCGACTCGTCTTGGCCGATATCGCCCGTTTCGCCATTGGGTTTCGTGACGATTTCCTTCACGCGTTGTGCGAGTTTCGCTGTCGCTATGCTGAACCCTCCCAGGACGATAACATGTGGTCGGCGTCTCTTCAAGATGTCAACGAATTCGTCTCGCGCCTCCTGATCCACAAGATTGTCCAACCTAGTATGTTCGCGAAGACGGCCCGCCTCGTCCATGAAAACAAGATGAATCAGGTCTTTATGCGGCTCGCCCTTACCCCACGACATAGCAAGGACAGACGGCGTCTCCCCCGGGGTCATGTCATCCGTTACATATGGCGCAACATCAATCCTCTGTTTCAGGACTGTCAATGACCGCATCTGAAGGAAGATTTAGGCTTACATCGCGGAGGATTTGAGAGCACTGATCTGCAAGGAAGTCTTCCGCCTCCTCACGTATCCACTCGCGAGCCCACTTAATACCAATGGGGATGAGGTGTTGCTCCAGAGCCTCCTGAACGACGCGAGAGCGCTCTTCATTCCAGGCGCGGGCATTATCGCTGAAGCTGTCCGAGGCGAAGGCGTCGTTCAGACCTCGTTCAAATGTTGCCTTCGCCTCCGGTGGCAAGCTGATAGATACCGTCACCAAATGCTGGGTTTCGGCCTGCGAAATATGCAGGAACTGCGCTGAGTGCAACATCTCCACAGCGGGTTTGTTGAGGAGATATTTGAAGTTCTTTTAGAGGATAAGTAATGTCCCTGCAGATACACTATGCACGGGAGACCTACGAAGAACGGATGATGATCGTCAATCTTCGCAATACCACGCTCGGTGGGCGAGACGGAGACCACCGCGCCAGCCTTGAAGGCTTCACGAATCTTGTGTCTCAACAAAGGATCCTTGCCGAGTTCAGTGGCGAGGATCATACGCGCCCGGCCTAAGAGTTCTTCAGCTGGCTGCGCCCGGCTCGCATCGGGGTCAGCGAACTGTTCCGCGTAGGTCTGCGGGTTCAGTTCATGATCCTCAACGAAGTGAGTGTGGGCCTCGTGTATGAAGTTCAGGACCACTTGATGCGGCTCAATGCCATATCCCTGAAACCATTACTATGAGGTTGACAGTGTGTTCCGTCCCACAAGTGACACTCACCTCCGCCAACTTGGCCACGATGCTTTTCTTGGCCAACTCGTACTGGGAAATCCGACTCGGCGTCTTGTGCTTCTTGACGTCGACCTGGTCCTCGTCATCGTGGAAGTGAAGTTCGATCCTATTCTTCTTGTCCTCCCGATACTTCATACTCAGCCATTCTGTAGCATCAGCGACCGTCTCAACTGCATCTATCCGTTTCCGGATTTCGTTCTCGAAGTACTCGTCGGACGCTCCCAGTCGGCCGTACATTGAATCCAAGGCATTGCGCCGCTCCAGCAACGAACGAAACTTTTGCCCGATGGCGTAGACGCGCCAAAGTTCCTCCAAGCTGAGAAGTTCAACCTGTGCATGGAGCTCCGCAGGATTGAAGTACGAGATATAGTCTCGCTTGTGTGTCCACACATAAGGCACCTCGAATTGGTTGACGAACAAAAAGCGCAGGGCGCAGGTGATGGCTTGGACGAGATCCGGCAAGAAGCGGTGGAATTGACCGTCTCCGCGGAAGAAGTCGCGTTCTTTACGAGGACCGAGCCGCGTGATAACCCATGACGCAGCGTCGTCTAAGTCGTTTTCGGTCAACGGGTTGTGAAGGGACCTTGTGGATGAAGCTGATACTGCCGAAGTGGCGAGCTGCATCCGCTCAGGAATATCGGTGCCCCGTATGAGGTCGTCATCCTCGGTCAGCATGCGCGAACGGATCTCTGAAGGCTCGAAGACCTGTAGACGGAATGAAAACAAGGAGAAAGGAGATGACTGAAAGAACCCACATCTTGATACTTCATCTCCGGCTTTTGCTCCTCCTCATGCACAACCTCTTCGTCCTCTGCCAAAGCCCAGTCGTACTCATGGCCGTCGCCAAACACTTCCTGAAGCTCATCCCATGTACTGGGCCACTGTCATTTTGCATTTCAATCTGATGGTGATGTGGGTTGCTTACTTTGCATCTATACCTCCAAGTTCAGCGGCTCGGCCTAGGGCTCTTCGTCGGGCCTTCTCTTGACGTCGTCTTTCTCTCCTCCGCTCTTCTCGAGCTTCCTCATCGCCTCCCCCTTCCTCTTCCTCTTCGTCCTCATACTCGATGAAATTGTCCATGTCGTCGTCCATGTCGTCGTCATCGTCCCTTCCAGCTGCGTTTCGTTCGTCATCCCAGATGTTCTGTATATCCTGAACCTGGGGAAGCTCCAAGTCGTCGTTGTCAAGATCGTCATCGGACGACTCTACAACTGCCTTTCGTTTCGACGACGACGGCGCGGGCGGCGACTCTGAGTCTCGGGCACGTCGCAGGCGAGTCAGACGATTGCGAGAGAAGGATGCTCCTGTGTTCTCCTCCAGTAGCTCCAGGTCGTCCTCCTCAAGCGCTTCCTCATCCTCCCGGTCTGGTGGGTAGAATTGCTGTTAGTCGCAGATAACGAAGACAGACACGAGCGGCACGCACAGCGATGGTGGTGCTTCTTTCGCCTCTTGCGCCGCCTACGCCGTTCCTCCTCTTCATCCTCCTCGTCTTCATCTTCGTCTTCATCGACGATGAATCCCTCCCTGATGCGCCTCTCCTCGTCCTCGTCCTCTTCGGGCTCTTCTGAGCTATCGTCGGAAGCGCCGCCTGCGGGGCTGCCCGCGGCGCCTCTCTCGTTTTCGGATCCCTGCATGGGATCATCCTCTTCAGCGTTTCTGGCGGCAGCTGGGTCGACCATAGAGGAAGACATGATAGGAGACACGAAGGCCACCCGTCAGAGCTGGGAATCCCAGTATTTAACAGGCTCGAGGGTTGGGGTCAGAGTTGAGCGCGCTGAGGAATCTCGATCGACGCGTTCAATTGGGCTATGCTCACAGTACACGTGATTGCCGTCCAAACTACTTATGTACATAAATGATTCTATGTTGATTCTAAGGGAGGTGCGGGTGTATGCTACTTTACTATGCTGCATTAACGTCGATTAGACTGATGATACATCGGTAATTACCTATTCCGCACCGATCGACCCCTTGAGCGGTCACCATCTTCCAGTTGTACCCAAGTTCTACCAGCTGTTGTGCGACCATGTCCAACACATCCAATACTGATGTTCATATGTACTTCTTGGGCCTTGCCCTAGACGAGGCACGAAAGTGCAAACCAACTCCGACCGCCTTCTGCGTGGGCTGCGTCCTCACTGCGTCTCTTACCGACTCAAGCGAGCCAGTCATCCTAGCGCGGGGCTACTCTCGAGAACTTCCAGGCAACACTCATGCGGAAGCAAACGCGCTAACCAAGGCGCGCCGTCTATCCAAGGAGGAGCTCAGGGAGTTGCTTCCTTCCACCCCGGAAGATGTGACTATCGAGCACGTTCTGAACCGTGCCGATGTCTACACTACCATGGAGCCATGCTCCGTGCGCACCTCCGGTCTGGCACCTTGCGCGGATGCTCTCATAGCAGCCGGAATACGCAGGTGCTTCATCGGTGTTGGAGAGCCGGATGACTTCGTGCAGTGCGAAGGTACAAGGAAACTAGAGGATGCCGGGATCGAGGTCGTTTGGACCAGGGGCTTAGAGCAAGAATGCCTGGCGGTCGCGCGGACGGGACATCGATCGAACACATGATGGGTTAGAGTCTTGGAGAACAAAGTACGAAGGACACCTGGATCTCGTGGAGGTTAGTTGTGTCCGGGCCATAGAGGATGTCATTCCTAGTGGTAACACATGTGTAACAGACTTTTGACGCGATGTACAGGATCATTGTACGAATACTCAGTGCCAGCGATACACATCATGCGTGCGAACACCAGTTTTCCCGTGAGATGACTTGACTGGGCTTGGACTCGGCAGTAACCTGTCATCGGGGCTTGGCCTGTGGACACATCGACCGGTCCACACTGATTCTCATACAGTTTCACTCGTGCGTTGGTACATGGTACATTATCCGATCCGAAGAATAGTTACAGCAGAATATCAGCGCATCGCCTTACTGACTGCTGCATACTGAGAGTGATTGTTGAAGGTGCTTTACAGTGTCTTCGACCTGTACAGAACGGGTTTCACTCGGATGGAGCTTGCGATGCTTTGTGAGGTACAATGCCGGTTAAGAAGTCCGCGACATCGCGAGCGATGATATCGTGCATGTCGCTGGTAGGGTGCAGGAAATCAACCCACATACGGCTGGCAGGTACCTCGGTGTCTTCCTGCGTGAAGCCGTAGGACACGGGGTCGTCCATGACACGCGAGAATGTCGTCCAGGACGAGAAGTATAGGACGGTCGCCTGGTCGTGCTTTGAGGCAAAGTGCTGTGCACTCTCGAGCAGCAGTTTGTTCCAGAGCTCCAGCCGCACCGAAGGTCCTTTGCCTGGGACTGTAGACGAGGCCTTCCGTCCTGTGAATTATTTCAATGTCATGCGAGGCTATGTCATCGCGATAGGTGACGCACCTGCAGGGCTCCGATGGACAGGGGGAACGTCGATAAGCAGGAAGCTGCGCGCCCCGGCCTCGTACAACTGCTCTTGTAAGTCGAAGAGTTTGTCTATGAAGTTGGGTATTGTGGTCTCTGTGGCGAATCTGCTTGGTAAAGGATCAGCATACATAAAGCAGATATTGGAATGCCCTTATACTGACGCGCAGTCGTTGATGCCCACCCAAGTCACTAGAATAGGTTCACGATCATACAGGATCAGCGAAGTGCCAAAGATCGCATAATCCACGTACATCCTCACCGAAAAGCGTGTCGTTGGCGTTCCATTGGCACCAATAGGGCTTATCCACTAATTGACGCAGGAAGCCCCTCTCGACCTGCGCTCGTACCCCAGCGATGGTATCGCCGCCATGCGCGAGGTCATACACCAGTAGCGGCGCGGGCGGGTAGTTCGTGATGAGGTGCCCAACCCAATTCGGCTCGCCCTCCTCCGCCCAGGTGGTTCCGGGGAACTCGACACCGAGAGGGTTCTCCTCGGTGGGATGTGGTCTTCCTGCATGGTACCCAACGTCAGAGTACGAGTCCCCACTACGCCACAGGATGGTGAGGCTCTGAGCGGTATGACGACAGGACAGTACCTCGGATACTACTGTACTCACAATATAATTAGACGCTTCAAACCTATAAACCCTGGCCAGGAACCGCTCGTTTGGATGACTGTAGACATGGTCGGCGCACTTGCCTGTGTGTTCGCACTGCACAAGGACAGGGTCAAAGGCTTGAGCTCGTGCACTGATGCTTGAATTGAACCAGTATGTGGGCAGCCTATAAGCGGCGTCCATTTCAACAAATTCTTTGATTGGCTCCGGTTTGTTGCGAGCCCCTACTGGGCGGCGGCCATGGGGGAACCCCTTCACTGCTAAGCACAAATATTGGTGAACGGCGAACGACTCGATGTCCGAGTTGGGACGCGGCGATACAGATGCGCGGTGTCGATGGGCATGCACTAAGATGAGTGCTTGCCGGATTCCCGGGACTACTCCCGGCCACGCCACGTACCTTGTTGACGCGTTTCTCGCACCTCCCATGACATTTGTATGAGCTATCTCTCAAGCTAGACTGGCTTACAGTTTGTCTCAAATTCGTCTCTGCTTGCCAGCATCATAATGCTTTGCGTGTTACAGTAAAATAGTAGATTGATGGTGGTCGACTTGACCGAGACAGTTCACCGGTCCCGAGACAAACTACTGCACCGATGTCAGGGCCCCATTCTGTCCACTGCTTGAATCTTGCTGTGAGGATACCGTAGCAAATGCCACATACGCGTACAGCACGCATAGATGGGACTTCACGACGATTGCTTCTTGATTGCCTCTTCCACCCTGATCGTGTCCGTAACGAAACCGTAGCTCTGCAGAACGTGAGGTCAATTCATTCCCGAAGCATAGATGAGCACATACATTGGTAGCGTTGTAAAGCACGTTCTCTAGACCCCCAGCAGGCGAAGTCGTCGCGATGCAGTCTTGCAGCGTTATGCAATCATACCCTCGGAAATAGGCATCAACCAGCGTGCCCAGGACACACTGCGGAGGCGCCGTCAATCTCAGTCTGTCATCGGAGGCAAAGCTAGGGGACGCACTTGATCCGCATTCACGCCAGCGAAGAAGAGTGTCGTTATACCATGTTCTTGAAGATACAGGTCCAAGGCAGTTTGGTAACCCCAGATACCGCTCATCCTGCGAGACGTCGGTGAGTCGCTCCGCGTATGTCGCCGTATCGCTCAACTGACCGGTTTTTGTGAATCCAGACATCCGTGCCTTCCTTCTTACCCTCAAGGTAAAGTTGATGGAGGGGGCCGTATAGATCGGCGTTGAACTCTCCTCGCATGAGTAACCGACCGAAGGGCACAGGGAGATGAGAGCCGAAGCCTCCACGATTGTTCTTCATGAAACTTCGCACGAGGGACGGCGGGATAGTCGCGAGCTCATGCTCGGTCAGTCCCCAGTTACTACGGGCGAAAAGCGCTATGTGGATGTCTCTACTGTCGGTAAGAGGGACGTACACCCATAAGATCTTCACGTCCTGCGTCCTTAACGCAGGTACAACGTTCATAAGGGGTATAACGCATTGCAGCCCCGTTGAGTGGTCGCGGAGATCGGGATGCAGGAAGAAGCTAGGGTAGATCGACATACAAAATCAATTCGTGTTTCGTGCTCGACAGAACGTGCGGCAGACGTACTTTTGCATGTCGACGATCACGATCGCGCTCTTGGACTTAGCGCACCGCACGACGCGCTCACCATCGACCGGTATCTCGAGCTGTGTACTGCTATGTAGAGGAGGTTCGGGGTGGGTACCATTGGTTGCCACTGTCTCGTCTTCCTTCTTTGCTATGAGGTGCGCCTCACGTGTGAGGTCGACAAGACCTGATGGGTATTCTACCCAGAACGACGCTGCATTACCGTATTCCAGGGGCTCGAGAACGTGCGGGCGAATAGTCATGTCGTATATACCAGTGACACAGCAGAGCAAAGTGAAGGACAGAGGACCGAGTGCGCAGGGACTCCGATTCCGTTCTCCCTCCCACACCAGCCATGATAAGCTTAGCCAGACGAACTCGAAGCCAGTGATTAGATATCGAGCAAATGGGAGTCCGCATGGAGCAACGCTGCACTGCAATGAATAATAGCAACAGAGAGGCCATTACCGTCATGGTTGTGCCTGATGTAGGATCTCGAGATAGCGAACTCGGTCGAGGTTTTACAAAAGGTTGTCCTGGATGAGACTGGCTCGAGACCTTCCTGACCTGGAGAACGGTCGAGAAGCAATGTCGCAGCTACGGCTGAAGGGACGCAGCGCACGTTGTTGAGAGAGAGCATGAGAGGCGTTCTGGATGATCTTGACGTCGCCAATTTCGGGTCCAAGAGGGAAGACCTCCGCCGGGCCGCAGTCGAGCATGTGCGTCCGCTGCTATCCTCCATCAGAGTCCAGACGGACGCTACGCCAAATGAATGTCGAGGGTGGGACCGCGTTTCATATCATCGGTGAGTGCGTGGCAGATGCGAGCGGAGGGTAAGCGGAAGGCTGTGAGCGCAAACGACCGAGACGGTGGAGTAGACGTGGTGGGCGCTGCTGACGACCAAATTGGGACTGGTTCCTGCGCAGCGACACAGTGCCACCGCCGTTCTCCTTCCGCACGCCTCCGCACGCGTTGACCGCTGCGAAATCCCTTGCCTTCAACTTTACGATTCGAAATGAGTGCGTGCTACCTGTCCTTCTTGAGAGTCGTTTCTGACATTGCGTGAACCAGGTACATATACCGAAAACCCCTTTGCGTCCACGCATTCTCTCGATGCAAACCCCTTCGATGACCCCACGGAACGTACATCGCCCGCTCCCAGCTACCCGAGTCCCAACCATGCTGCCCGTCTCGCGGAAATCAACCAGAGAGAACGCGACTTGGAACGGAGAGAACAGGAGTTGACTCAGAAGGCTGAGCACATCAAGAGGTTTGGGAGGAACAACTGGCCATCGTGTACGTTTGTGGCAGTTTCGGGCTGCGTATCGTGCCACTGATACTGCTACTCCTGCAGTCTATCCTGTCATCTTCCACTCGATCAAGGATGAAATCCCAGAAGAGTACAGACCACAGATCAACAGGCTGTACCAACTGTGGTTTGTCCTCTTCGGAACGCTCATCATCAACATGATTGCGTGTATATTCATCCTTACGTCCGGGTCAAGTAATGGTGGAAGCGACCTAGGTTCAAGTATAGGGTACGTCGCCAAGACAGATGCGTTATGCACGGGATTTCGAACGCCTCCATCGCAGATATCTGTTCGTCATCACGCCTCTTTCGTTCCTCCTGTGGTATAGGTATGCTGTGCTACAACGTTCAGCTTTACCACTGCTGAAGCACTTCATGACAGGCCCATCTACAATGGATATATGAAGGTAAAGCGCGATTCAACGGCATGTTCAACGGAATGCTGACGTAGGCATGCAGGAGCAAGCACTATACTACTGTACGTTGCAGGTCCTCGTATGGAAGCGGTGGTCCTCAATCTATCGCAGACTTCTACTTTGTATTCGGCGGGTTTCATCTCGTGTTCTCTCTGTACATGTAAGTCGTAGCCTCCTGTGTCGTAGTGGCGCGCTTGTTGAGCATCCGACTAGGATCATTGGGATACCAGGGTAGGTTCTCCTGCATAGCTCGCGCTAGGATCGCGCGCTGAATGCCAGGACAGCACCGGATCTGCTGGCCTCATCCAGACCATACAGATGTACAGCAGGGCTGCTTTCGTCGCAGCAATCCTCGGTACCATCGCCACAGTGGGTTGGGTCATCCAAGGTGTAGGGAACGCCTATTATTATCAACAGGTAGGCAATTCGCGGACAATTGCAAGCTCGGACCACACTCACAAGCCGTACGCAGATCTGGGCGCATCACAAGAGCGCGGGCCACTCGGTGGAGAAGGTTCGTCTAGTGCCCACTTCCTTATTGTTGTCCCGGTGGAAGACAATGACCTTCATTACAGGCGAAGACCGAGCTTGCCACTCACGGCGCGAAAGCGTACTTCACGAGGGGTTGAGACCAATCTCGGTGCTTGCGATTTGGCTAGCGTTGGGGCGCCCAGGAACCTATGTACTTCTCCTGCTAAGTTATGACAATGATTTCTGCCTTTCTTGTCAATGTTTTACGTGCGATTGGTCAATGAAATGCGTGTAACAGACATGGAGGACCGCGTCGTGTGGCCCGAGAATGGCCCGTGAGAAGATCGTGATGGCTTGTCCGATTGTGGCTGATCAAAGGCTCTATCCGTCGGAGTTTGAACTTCAGCCTATATAGGTGCTGATGCGGTGGCCGTCTTTCTTCAAGCCATCATCTAAGGTCAGTGCCCATCTGCCGTGGCCCGTCGCCCATCCTCATCCCGCCCCGCGCAGGTGAAAAGCTAAATCAAAAAAACTTTCCATAAAAACTTCGAAAAATCCATTGCCTTGTCGCCTCCTGTGTACGCGCTTTCCATCCGTCCTGTTCAACTTTGCGAGCGTCTGACAATCTTCCGTTTGCAGTCGCAGAAAAGTCCACAAAGCAGTAACGACCCCACTATAACCCCAGAAAACACCATGTCCGCAACCGCTGTCGTCCAACCGCAGGAAGTCCCTCAGGGCCACGTCCCCGAGGCGGCGCCTCCCCCTCCTGCCCCCGTCCCTGCATACAATCCTCCTCCCCCGCAGATGCCGTCCCCATCTGCTTCTCTTTACGTTGGTGAATTGGACCCCACCGTCACGGAGGCGATGTTGTTCGAGATCTTTAATATGATTGGGCCCGTCGCGAGGTACGCCTGGATGGTGCTGTGCAAGACATTGCCTACTCACGCGACGCAACTGCAGCATTCGCGTCTGCCGTGATGCGGTGACCCGTCGTTCGCTCGGTTACGCATACGTCAACTACCTCAACGCCGCCGATGGTGAGCGTGCCCTGGAGCAGTTGAACTACTCCTTGATCAAGGGCCGCGCATGGTGAGTTTTATAATGCCGTGGCGTGAAAAGAAAATTTGAACTCTTCTGGTACAGCCGTATTATGTGGTCTCAGCGTGACCCTGCTCTGCGCAAGACTGGCCAGGGCAACATCTTCATCAAGAACCTCGACGAGCAGATCGATAACAAGGTACGTATATGCACCTCTTGCGGGGACGTCGACATTCATGAAACCGTCCATTAGGCCCTTCATGATACCTTCGCTGCCTTTGGTAACGTGCTGTCCTGCAAGGTTGCCACCGATGAGCACGGTCGTTCCAAGGGTTACGGCTTCGTACACTACGAGACCGCCGAAGCTGCCGAAACCGCTATCAAGGCGGTCAACGGTATGCTGTTGAACGACAAGAAGGTCTACGTCGGCCACCACATTTCGAAGAAGGAGCGCCAGTCTAAGCTCGAGGAGATGAAGTCCCAATTCACCAACGTCTATGTCAAGAATATTGACCCCGAGGTGACCGAGGAAGAGTTCAGGGACCTCTTCAGTCAGTTCGGGAATGTCACCTCTGCTGTTGTCCAGAGGGATGACGAGGGGAGGAGTCGCGGGTTCGGATTCGTCAACTTCGAGAACCACGAGGAGGCTCAGACGGCCGTTGAGACCCTCCACGATAGCGAGCACCGGGCAGGAAGCTCTTCGTTACTCGTGCTCAAAAGAAGGCCGAGCGTGAGGAGGAGTTGCGGAGGTCTTACGAACAGGCGAAGATGGAGAAGATGAGCAAGTACCAGGGTGTCAACCTTTACATCAAAAACCTCGAGGATGACATCGACGACGAACGTCTCCGGGCAGAGTTCGAGCCTTTCGGTGCGATCACCAGCGCCAAGGTCATGCGCGACGAAAAGGGCACCTCGAAGGGCTTCGGTTTCGTTTGCTTTTCCTCCCCTGACGAGGCCACGAAGGCTGTCGCCGAGATGAACAACAAGATGATCGGCACGAAGCCCTTTACGTCTCTTTGGCGCAACGCCGCGACGTCCGCCGTCAGCAGCTCGAGAGTCAAATCGCTCAGCGCAACCAGATCAGGATGCAGCAGGCCGCTGCCAGCGGTATGGGTGGCTACATCAACGGCCCGATGTACTACCCTCCGGGCCCTGGCTTCCCTCCTCAGGGTGGTCGTGGCATGATGGGCTATGGCCAGCCGGGTATGATGCCTCCTCGCCCGCGCTACCCTCCTAACGGTCAAGTTCCGGGCATGCCCATGCCTGGTCCTTACGGTCAAGGTCCCCCTAGTCCCTACACTGGCATGCCTGGCTATCCTCGTGGCGCTCCTCGCCCTGGCCTCCCGGTGGCCGTGTCCCGCCGCCTGCGACCCGAACGCTCAGGTCCCAACGGTGTGCCCCGCGTCCTGCTGGCCGCCGGGTGCGCCCGCTGCCCGCCCTCCTGCCGTTGCTCCTCTCGCCACTGGGCGTCCTCCTCAGGCAACAGGCCCGCCGTTCAACCGCGCAATGGCGCCCTGCTGGTCAGGCACCGCCGGCTGCCGCGGTGCCGGGTGAGACCCCTGCGCTCACTGCTGCTGCTCTCGCTGCCGTTACTCCCATGGAAGCCAAGCAGATACTCGGCGAGCACATCTACATGAACATTGCTCCGTACGTATATCTGCTTTATCACGTCTTGGACTGTGATGCTTACGGTTTTTATGTAGGTCGCAGCCTGATTGGCTGGCAAGATCACGGGCATGCTTTTGGAGATGGACAACGCTGAGCTGCTCCATCTCCTCGAGAACAGCGATTCGATGAACTGAAGGTACAGGAGGCTCTGGCTGTCCTGCACGAGTTCACGAAGGAGGACGCCAAGTAAGGATGTCGTACGTTAAGTGTGTACTGCGCGGGAGTGTCGTATGTTGCGCTGTTGTGTTGTCGTCGTCGTGTTGTGTGTTGTGTTGTTGCTGCGTTCGTCGTCGAGTCGTCGTCCGATTCCTCCTTGCTCTGTCGCCCATGTCCTTTAGCTAGCGGGTCTGTGGTGGTCGTTCCTTTGTGTGTACTTATATCTCAGGAACAGGAGAGTCGACTTGCTGCATATTTGTGTGATGAGTGGGACTCGACTGCGCTGACTGATCATTGACATAGAGTAAGTATCTGAGAAGGGAAACCCAGATGTAGGGCCGTTCATGCTATAGAGGGGAAATGGAGATACGTATGCTACAGTACAGTACCTAGTATGCAACCTAAAGGTGAACTATAGATCTAACGGGGAGTGCCACCACCCATGCCCATCATCTTGAACATGTCACCCATGTTTGGCATACCGCCGGCCAAACCACCTAGACCACCGAGGCCGCCACCCATCTGCGACATCATCCCTGAGTCCAATGTCAGTGACCTGCAAGTGAGGTGGGGACAATACACAAGCAACGCACTCTGCATCTCTTCCATGTCGAATTGGTCGCCTCCCTGCCCCTGCATCATCGCTTCATCATTTCCTGCATACCGCCGCCGCCGCGCATCTGGCGCTGCATCTGCTGGAGCATCCCGGGGCATCGAGCGCTGCATCGCCTGGATCTGCGCAGGGGTCGGCATGCCGTTCGCGCCGCGACCCCGCCCGCCAGCCGCGGCCTGCATCTTCTGCGCGGCCTGGAGCCAGCCGTTCTTGCCACCGGCCTGCTTCGCCATGTTCGCCATCATGCGGTACTGGCAAAGGAGCTCCTCGACCTCGCGCACGGACGTGCCGCTACCGCGCGCAACACGCGTGACGCGCCAGGTGAGCCCGACGGGCTTACCGTCTTTTCCGTGTTCGAGGAAGGGCGCCCCGTCCGAGTCGAGCTCGCGCGAGGTCATGCTGTCGGTGATGTAGATCATGCGCTTCATGCGCAGTGCACCCTCTTCGTCTCCGCCTTGCAGGAGATCTTGTGGGAGGCCAGGTATCATGGATGCGATCTTGGAGATGGGGCCCCTGAGGAAGCGTCAGTTGGAAACTCTGGTTGGAGCGATCGTGACTGGGGAGGCGTACATGTTCATGACGTTCTGGATCTGCTCGCGCCAGTCCCGGATGCTGAGCTTGCCTTCCTCGAGCTTTTTCGCCATCTCTTTTTGCTTGTCGGGGTTCTGTGTCGCGATGTCCTGCATGTGCTCCATGAGGCCCTGTACATCACCCATGCCGAGCAACTTCGAGATGAACGGCTGTGGCGCGAACTTATCGAGGTCATGCAAGTGCTCGCCGACACCAAGGAAGATGATTGGCGTCTTCGTCACAGCAACCCTGTGAATTAGTGTGAGACCTTCCGACCAGAGCGAGAAGACGGGCTCCATACGCAGAGATAGCACCTCCACCCTTCGCGTGACCGTCCATCTTCGTGACGATAATCGCACCGAAGTCTGCGCTGTCCTTGAATGCATGAGCCTGCGCCTCAGCGGCCTGGCCTGAGGTATGAGTGAGTCCCGCCTACTCGGTTTGCAATATGTGCGGACTCACCTATGCTGGCATCCAAGACGAGCACCGTCATGTTCGGCTTGACCGCCTCCCCGATCTGAACCATCTCCTCGAAGAGCTCACTCTCCTGCTTATGCCTGCCGGAAGTATCAACAATGATGACTTCGAATCGCTCCTTCTTGAACTTTGCTACACCCTGTGCGGCGATTGCGACCGGGTCCGTCTCGGTGTACGAACCGAAGTACGCGACCTTGGCTTTGGTTGCAGATTGCCGCGTCTGGTCGAACGCGCCCGCACGGAAAGTATCTGCGCAGACAATGCAGGACTTAAAGCCGCGCTTCTGATAGTAGACAGCAAGCTTCGTGCAGGTTGTCGTCTTGCCATTTCCCTGGATGCAAGCATAGTGAGAGGCTAGACGAGCAGGGACAAGCTAGCAAACGCACCTGCAGACCGACAGCCATGATAACATTGGGCTGTCCCTTCTTTGGCTTGTAAGGCTCGACGCCGGGGTCAACTAGTTGCACTAGTTCATCGAAGATAGCCTTCGCAAGGACGGTCAGTAACGGACGATCGCCCGTGTTTAGACATCTGCGCACCTTCTGCACGACGGTCTTCCTGTTCGTATCCTTTCCTTTGTCTGCTCCGCCCTCAAATAATGCTTTTACTTTGGCTTTGACCTTTTGCCGAAGCGTTGCAACAAGCTTGACGTTCACGTCTGACTCAAGGAGCGCGGCGCAGACCTCCTTCAGCAGAGCATCTAGGACCTGCGTTGTGCTCATGAAGGACTTCCTCTGTATGATGCAAATATTACTTACCTTCTCGTCGACGACAGGTGCCCTGTTGAGGGAGGAGAGGGCAGCATTGAGTTTCCTGCCCAAGTCGGCGAGGACCATGGTGGATTGGAGCAAGCGACTGCTGCGAGCGCCGGAAACTACGGAGCGCCCACACCCCGATCACCCCAGAGTGCGATCGAGCGGCCACAACAAGACTTGGCCACTCTCCCTCCCTCATCCCATGGCCTACAGCGGCTCCGAGGACGAGGGCCTCGGACTTGACGATGCAGATTTCGATAGGCCGTCAGAGGAAGACGACGACATTGACGACGACATCCTTGACGCGCTCGAGGACGACCTTGCAGCGGAAGCAGCAGCAGAGGAGGCCACAGAGGCAGAGGAGGTGCGTCCGCCCGCTCTTCGACGTTGTGCACCCATTGATCAATTGCATGAAGGACTCTCCATCAGATGACTCGAGTGACGACGACGACGCCGACGAAGATGACAGCAGCGCAAAGCCATCGTTCAAGAGACCGCGCATCCACCTCTACCACTGAACCATCTCCGGGACAGCAGGCGAATGTTACTGTTCCTCAGGAACCTCCATCGACAGCAGTCTCCCCGGTAGACCAACCTCCTGAAGGTATATACGTCTTCCTACATGTGATTCAATTCGCTAAGACGTCCAACAGCACTCAGTCCCACATCCCTTGCTCGCGCCTTGTCTCCCGCAAGTCTTCGACGCGCAGCTCTCACCACATCCCTCGGCCACCCTCGCTCCTACACCGTCGAGGCCATCTGCGCTATTCCACACCCAGTACCCACGCACTCACTCGCCGCCTCCGCGTGCATGACGCACCTCCTCACAGGTTCCGACGACGGGTACGTGCGCGACTACGACATCTTCTCTGCCGTCAACGGCAAGTTCTTCCTTACCGCCCCGCAGCGCCATCACTGCGGTGTCATGGAAGGTCTCATGAAAGCTGGTCAGATACGTTGCTGGTGGGAGAATCCTGCCCCTCCAGACGCGGCCGCGCCTCCAGAAGAGCCAGTGCTATGTCCCGTATACAGTCTAGCAATGCACTCAGATGCGTTGTGGGCGCTGGCTGGGTCGGACGTGAGTACTCTGCCGTTGAATCAGATACGTGTCTGAATTGTGGGTCTTCTAGCGAGGTCACATCAACTTATTCACCGTCCGCCATGACCCTGGTCGGCTCATCCATGTTATGCCTGGTCATCGCGGGCGTCCTGTCTCCGGTATCTCGCTGCAACATGACGAGATGGGCTTCTTCAGTGCTGGGTGGGATGGGTCAGCTTTGGTACGACTCAATATACCTCTCGCAATCGTTGGACTAACGAGCCACCGTGTCAGCAATGGGACCTCAACACTGGCCAATGTGTTCGCAACTTCACAGCGCATGGCGCGCAACTAACAGCCATAGCCGTGCGTCCTGTGGTCCGGCAGTACGACGGACACCATTGGAGCTCGCCAACACTGCGCGGTCAACATCTTGTTCCCGAGTTTGGCCAAGCCGTCCAGACCTCTGGGGCCCGCGCGCTTCCAGACGTGTCGTACAAGATGGAGGACGACACCAGGTCGGAGATGTCTTACGACCCGCTCTTCGATGAGCCGGATGCGGACGGCGAGCCCGACGAGCAGCCGCAGAAGCCTACCCAGCCGTCAGCACCGAGGCTAGCCTTCCCCGGCGCACACGCACAGGAGACAGGGCGGAGCGCACCCGCGCCGCGGAACGCGCCGCCCGTGCTCGACTCGACGATGTACGGCGCGTTCTCGCCGGACGTCCTGATGACCGCAAGCATCGACGGGCAGGTCTTCATCTGGGACACACGCGTGAACGCGCCAGGGTACGGCGTGGGCCGGCTGTGGATGAGCGAGAAGACGCCGCCGTGGTGCGTGAGCGCGTGCTGGAGTGCGGACGGCGCGCAGGTATACGCGGGACGCAGGAATGGGACGGTGGATGTGTGGGATGTGCGTCAGACGGGACGGCCGGGGACGCCGAGGATCTTGAAGACGTTGAGGAATCCGGTCAGTTCGGGAGTTGTGTCGTGTGTGGTTGCGTTCCCAGATGGAAAACATCTCGCTTGGTACGGTCATACTTGGATCTTGGCTGTTGGCTATTGTGCTGAAACTGGACCCCTCAGTGCGTCCAACGACAATATCCGCCTTTGGAATGTCGCGGAGGCAGGCGAGCCTGACGCGTCGGGCAAGATGAAGAGCGGTGTGCAATTCAAGATCATACCTGGGCACCATGGCGGCTTCATATCACAAATGCGTACGTAGCTGTGTCTTCTTGGGATTGCTCTGCGCTTACATTGCTACCGCAGTGGTGGACCCTGCTGCGCGGTTCTTGGTGACCGCGAGCAGCAACCGGGGATGGCACGGAGAGTCTACCCGTACTATATTTGTACACGAAATCAAGCATATTCGCTGACTGGGTTTGTTCGACCAACATCCGTCAGCGCAGTCCCGCCTACGTGCGCAGGGTAGGTTCCCTCGCATGAGTGGCATAGACATATGTCAGTCTTGCGTCCAGACCATTGCGACATTCTCATTCTCTCCCCTCTGCCGTGTATATGGCTCGTTCTCAGACAGAATTGGCGCCAGTCATATCATTCCCTTGGCCCGACTGGTCTGCCTACCGTAGATCTCAAGATTCGACGACACCAGTCAAGGCTCAAAGCGTAGGTTTCTGAACATCAGCAACGAGGCACACTGGTTCAGTAGAGAATCCACCAGACAAACTCCCATCTCAAAGTCGCACTATGAGATGTGTACAGAGCCTAATCCAAGAATACAGAGCGGTTCATCGTACGAATACAAGATCTCGTGTTCTACAATATGAAGGTAACTTGAATGATGATGCAATCGCCGCCATATCCCTAGTTCGCAGTAAATGAGTAATGCCCATTCGCGCGCCTGCATTTGTCCGTGAGTACGCAGTACTTGATATCTGGCGTCGGGCAATCGATGTATCCTTCATCAGCCAGGTAATCCAATGCATTGCTATCAAGATGAAGGAGGGCAGGAACTCAACGAAACTGTTACATAGGAGGGACATATTGTCACTCACCTGATTTCTTCAGGACCAAGTGCTAGATGCCTGACGGCTTGTGCGATTTCACCCACGTGCATCCCTCCAGCGATAGAGGTACTATTGAGCATGGACAAAATAATAGCACGCTGAAGATTGTCGAGATGAGAGAGGGGTCATCCTCAATGCGAGGGCGTATATCATGAACCAACGATGGTTCGTCGAGTGACATCGCAGAGATGTATCCTCCATACCCCGCCGATTGTCGTGAAGTCGGCAATGTAGAGGGTACCTAGCAAAGCAAGGGTCAGCAAAGGGCTCTTCAAAAACAAACGCGAATGACGTACAGTAGTTCCTATCTCACAGGCCATGGTCACGGCACAGCATTCGAGGAAATGGGTGAAGTATTCATGAGGATCTGTGCATTCCCGTATTGAAGTTACTTTGATCGAGTTGGGAGCCCCCCTCGGGAACTGGTCCAAATTGCCTTGGATCCGTACGTATCGTGGCACGAATGGAACTGCGAGATTGAGGTTCGAAACTGGGTGGGTGTCGGAGAATAGTTCCATTGCTTTGACTCGCTGAGAGCCGTCCTCCAGCATGTACTTGGCGTAGTATCTGTTTTCACTCTCATCCGGCGGCTCCGCCGTGACGAGATGCGCTACGGTGGTTATCTACTTGTCCTGAGCATCAGTATTGTTCATAAATAGATTTACTCACTCTGTTCAATTCTATGCCGTCCAACATGAATGGTGCAGTTGAATGAGCCCTTTCGGCATTCAAAACCTGACGGAGTGTCAGTGGCCGGAGAGCCCGTCTGGCGTCATACGGCGAGTTGTGCTTTGCGTTCTTTGAATTAGAACAAGACGGCAGAATGTCAATGAATTGATATACCTCATCGAACAAGGGCCATTGACAACATCAACCATGTCGATCTTGACCGGGTGAAGTACTCCAAAGGAGCCTGCAGCGCCAGCTCGTATCTGAGTACAGTTGTTAACGAGGTTCACTGGACTCCTGAGTCGGGTCAAGGAAGGCAGATTGTCATCCACACAGACACAAAGGGAGGAGCACAGTGTTGAGGGAAAGGGAGAGCTGCTTCAGATCTTATCATTAGATCAACACAAGGATCTGGATCTCAGCCTGTAATGACTCTTCTCGGGGTGCAGCATGCATTGTACTATCCAAGACGTCTACGAGCGACAGTTTCCGTAAACCTCATGTCCGACGACGCTAGGCGCTCGCCTATCCCGCTCGCGGTACACTAGGTTGGGGCTCTTGCTTCAGGCTCTCTTTGCGAGAAGCATCTGGTATAGCTGAAAAGCACAGATATCCTCAGTAGATGGACGCGTGGCAGACTACCGCGCACCTTCCTGGGTTGAACAGGTTGTAGGGGTCGATCGCGCGTTTAATCGTCTTCATCAGTTCCACGGTGCCTTCGCCGAGTTCGTCGACGAGATATTTCCGTTTGCCTAGACCCACTCCATGCTCACCAGTGCCTGGCCGGTGATTTCTACGTCAGCACTGACAATTCTATGCGGGAGAGAACACGCACATGTTCCATCCAGTGCAATGGCACGCTCTACCATCCGATGTACGAGATGCTTGCAAGTCTCGAGCTCCTCGTCATTCTTGAACAGGAGAAGCGCATGGAAGTTGCCTGCATGCTGTCAATGAGAAAAGTGTATAACCAGGACACAACGGTATGTAACGCTGACCATCTCCAACGTGACCCACGATCGTCGATACGATACCTGACTGTTGGATGTCCTTCTTCGTCTCATATACGAGGTCCGGTAATCTCGACACAGGCACGCTATCCGGACCATGCATGGTCAGATAACATGAACTACACAACAACGATTATTCTCACCACACGTCCGTGCTCCACCCTCGAGCTCCCGGCACCAGCGCCAGTCCCGAATACAGCGCGTTCTTCCGGTCCTGCCACAGATCCGCGGCCTCCTTGTCGTTGTTGGCTGTCGTGAACCCAGTGCCGCCGTACTTCTTCGTGATGTCGCGGACGATTTCCATTGACTCCTTGATTGACCGCTGGGTGGGGCCCTGGAACTTGAAGTAGAGGCTGTCTTTCTCCGGGTACTTCCGAAGCGACATGCCGTATACATTGGTCGAGCGCATGAAGTCGTCGTCACACAATTCGACGCATTCTGCGACAGCATAGTGGTCTGGGTCAAACCGTGCTAGCGTGAACGTTTGAGTTCGGTGCTTACGGATACCGACGCCCTTGTTCATGACCTCACATACTGCTTCCGTTGCTTTCCGCACGTCGGGGAAGTGGACAACTGCCACAGACGTTGGCATCAGAGGAGCTAACCGATAGTCACTAAACGCCAGATCAGCTATACACCAGAGCGTGTATCGAGCCGACATAAACCAACCTTCCGTGACAATGCCCAGAGTACCCTCAGCGCCAATGAACAATTTGGTCGTGTCGAATCCCGCAGACGACTTCGTGAGCGCCGCCGGGTTTTGATGACCTCGCCATTCGGCAGACGACGGTCTGAGTTGTTTCAGCATCCTAGACTGATGGCCGATGATGACACGGAGGTACATACAGCGTTCAAAAACCATTCGCTCTTGGCGGTACCGTACCGGACAGCGTTAGCTATTCACATCGATATCAGCTACATAAAACTGTGTTGTAACTGGTACTCACTGCCTGAACAACCTGTACTCAGCATTCCGCCTATAGTCGCGCCGGGGGCGGGGTCCAGCTATCGCATACAACCAGTCTCAGCATTAGAAGGGCCCGAGAACCAGAGCGACTGACAGGGAAAAACAAAGGGATGCCTTCATAGGTGTGAGAACGCAGAAGATAATGCGACAATTCAACGTTACCTTTTTTCTTGAGCAGTCATTGATCACCATCCAATGCGCGCCTGGTTGACAAACAAGGTCCGAGTCGGCCTCTAGAGACAAGCCCGTCAAGAAAGCTGGGAGTGAAAGCTGGGATCTACTCAACCGTGTATCTCTATGATTTTGTCCATGCCGGACACATCGACGCATATGGCTCCCATCTTGGGCTACATTGGGCAGAGGTGTCAGCGGTTGTTGCTGAACATTTGAAAGGACTCGGACGTACAGATCTAAATTCCCTCTAAACTGGTCGCTCCTGAGTAAGGGACTACGGGCATCTTGTACTTATTGGCGATCTTCACGATCTTCACCACATCTTCCGTCGAGTAGGGAACACCACTAACATGGAGAAGACCTGCAGGTCCTGTTAGCACGCTGAGCGCATAACTCCCTATGATACCACCGGGTGGTAGTCGTTTTCGGAGTACCCGTGCACATGCAAGTCGTCCGGATCGGTGGATACCGCGTCCTGGTCGGGGAATGTATCCTGTAGCTCCTGGATCGCTCGCTGGAAGTCTTCTGGAGAACCGTACTTGTCATTCAATCCAGATGCGGAGGCCGGCTGCTCTCTGTCCGTGAAGAAGGGCCGTGCAGCACCAACTGCGGCACCGCCCGCGAATGCGCATACGCCAACCCAGAGGTAGTGACTTGAGAATGCCGCGGACCACCCACCGCTGGCACCCGCCCTGTGGATGACTGGCTGTTGTGTCGACAGCTCCGTGCTTTCGCAGCGAACCTTGTCAATGGCCGTCCGGGGACCAACGCATCAAGGCGTGCGACGTGACGTTGTTGCACAGCGGCTCGTAGAAGGCTCGTCATCGGAACCTCCAGAGAAGTTCGAGAGCAGCCTGCCGGGGTCGAAGACAGACGACTCGGGGTAGAACTTGAAGGTCGTAATCGTTCTCGTGCATGACGGGATATATAGCAGCGCGTTCATCACGAAGTCTCGCAGTCCGGTGACCCGTCAAAGCCTGGGATTGCGTGTGACGCTGTATCGACAAATGCAGTCACTGAGTCAGAGCACCAGGAGATCCGTGCATTCGCCTGGCCCACGTTTGTCGAGGAGACAGGCCAGTCGACGCTTACCTCCCAACCGGAGTGCTCGTATGTACCCGAGCTCGATCGAAGAGAGACATTGTCTCAGGCGCGCGCAACCTGCTCGGGAACGGCGCCGGGCCGTACGCCCCACCGGTTTGGTTTCTCCGTCAATGAATATCGAAATGGACAGGGGATCTTCAAATTCATCGCAAAGTCGTGAGTTCTGGCCAGTGGAATGTACATTTTAAGCTGGAGTTTTCTCGACAGTCACTGCATGTGCGGTGATCATACCGACTTGTACAGACTCATGAACACATCTGAGCCTGGACGTGGCGCTTTGGCGCATGTTCTAGGACCATACTCGAGTCTCGGAGATGACCATCCTCCGAGACGGTGACAGGCATACACGCGTTGTGAAATCTTGTTGACCAACTTCATAACCGACAGCAAACGCGGATAGTATACATCTGGCAGAACATACATGCAAAGCAAGCCCATGGCGGGCCACGACAACGAGCTAGCTAGTATGCGTGGCTGATCATGTGACAACGCGAAATGCGAGTCGTTTATTGTTGTGAATACATGGCCCTCATCCATCAACCGGTCCAGGGCCTCGCTAATACACCTACATGAGTAACATTTCCTAATGATAGGCTAAGTTGACGAACCTGATCGCATTTGCTTCTCCGCCAATGTGGCGGGCGATGGCAGCGACATGGACCCCTTCGTTTTGTTGCGGCTGAGACATCATGAACTCGACGATCCGCCGCTGGATCGAAGGCAAGTGGGCGTATTGCTCCATCCCGCCTGTGGCTGTCGATTGGGGGTTGTAAGCAGACGCTGCACCCTGGCCATTCGCTACAGCTCCTTTAGACCCAGCCTCGCTTGGTCTCAACGGCTGAGACATATCAGCGATTCATGTCTTGAACTGAAGACAGACAACATACCGCCCCCTTTTGGAAGATCAGTTCCACCGTGAACGCTTCCAGGAGGTGGAACTGGATTTCATTCGGGTCTTTGACGAGGCGGAGGTGATTTGCATTGATGTATCGCTTGTTCCCAAACGACTTCAAGCCCCCCATGACTCGGATATACGTGTTCTCGCTGAGAACGCATCATAAGCGGCGAGAGCGACGGTCAAAGCCGGCACGTACGTGATGCCACCCCATCGTTCTGCATCATCTTCTGTCCCAACCTCGACCCAATGCCGCGCCTCTATCCGTCCCGTTCCATCATCTAGCCAATACACACAATTTGTTGTTTGGCTATTGATCGAGACGACTTGTGCTATGACTGTGATCTACGAGACACGGGCTTCAGAGTAGATGCATTCATCTTGTGGCCGAGCTCACCTGGCCCACTTCGGCATCCTCGATCGTCCACTCCGCGTCTGAGTGTGCTTGCGTGGCGTTAAGCAACTGCTTGATTGTAACCGGTCGAAGAGAGTGAAGGGCTCCTTTCTATGAGTGTGTCTCAGCCGAGTGTTCCATGCTCATCATCAAATAAGACTCACGCGGAGCTGACCTCCTGGACTACCGTTCGCACTGCCGAAAGGAGAGCCCCCCGCAAGGTAGCCGCCTCCGCCTCCGCCGCCAGTATTCCCATAGAACGGGTTGTCGTTGTCTGCGGCATCATTAAGCATCAACGCGCGCATACGCATCGGGTCACTCACATTGACTCATGCTGCGTGTTACTGCACAGTAGGGTGGGTCAAGTAGTGGTGGAGGATGAGAGTGAAGACTCGACGCGTGTGTGACATTACGCGCGCTTGACGCGCTCTGTCACAGCGTCACTCAAGCGGACGGCCGCGGTTGTGGCTGCGCACTCGTCCTGTAGTAACATGGCCAGTACATGGTCTCCTACTTCTCATACATTTACAGCACTACCAACAGCGTCGTTTATTGCACTCAAGACAACCTGTCCTTAATTGCTATCCCGATGTCAGCAGTCACATAACGAGCCTTCAGCGTATCCCCTACAGTACAAGCCGAGAGAGATGTCTATGAGTGGTGATATCAAATGCGTGATATTTACATGATGCGTCGCGAGAAATGACTGCCTGCTGAATAGCTGAAGCATGTGCACACTACCATAGTCTATCATGCATGGTTTTTGCATACTCGGACCACGCCCTTTCCGACGCCTTCCAACACCAGCTTTCGCGACTCTGTGACCTTCTTGGAGATGGTCGACACGAAGTCGTGATCTAGCAGCTATACAAATGAAAGGGGTCAGTGGGTGGGCAGGAGGGATAGAAAGAGAGCTGACCCCTGACGGTCCCCACACTGGCTTGCATGATTCGACGAAGGCTTTTCTGCTGTCGATCGTCGCGCCCTCTTCTCCTAACTTGACCAAAGTCGCCGACATCTCCTCCAGAACCGCTGTCGCTTTTGTCCGGATGTCCTTGAAGATCTGCACCATCTAGGGGAGACATCAGTCAATAGGAGCATGAGCGGGCAGACTGGAACAACATACAGCACCGAGCCTGTACTGTTTGATGATGCCAGCAGGCTTGAACCGTTGCGTCTCAAGAGCGAGGACGAGGAACCCCTACAGAATGTTATAGGCTGTCCCCGTTGATAGCATGATCAGGGTCCGACATACCTCCTGTGTCAGCGTGACAATTTGCAGCAGCTCGGGCGGTAGGCGGCCGGCCTCGAGGGCCTCCTTGAAGCGCGCACTCATGTCTGTAGGTCCGGTCAACGAACGAAAGTTATAAGCGAAAGAAACCAACGCATACCGTCGAAGAACTTGTTGACGATCTCAGGAGTGTCCGCAAGAGTCGGCGGCTCCTCAGCCTTCTTGGCATGTCCGTTCGTAGCAGTGCCGTTCTTGGGTGGCTCGTAGCCCTTCAGCGGGAAACCTGTCTTGAGTTCGGTCTGCTTCGCCGCCTCAGCGAGGACTGCAGCCGGTGGCGGACGAATGTAGTCATGGAAGGGTGCAAGCCAGTTTGACAACGCAGTTGCATACTCGAGGAATGACTGCTCCTCCGGAGTCAGCTATAGGAGTGTGCACATCAGACGTAAGGACAGCTAGCGTATGAGTGATATTCAATATACCTCCTCGAGCTCTTCTGGCTTTTGCATAGCAAGGCGCTCCCTGAGCGGCAACTTGGTATCGGGGTCCACGCTGGGCTTCGGTCGGTCTCCGATGAGCAGTTTGTCCTCAACTGTATCATCGAGGTCACTCGCAGACTGGAAGAGCTTGATATAGATCCTCAAGTACGTCGCAAGCCAGCCTAGCTGCGTACCGCGAACAGTCAGCAGAGAGGGCCACCGCTTTAGTTACTTGACTCACCCCAGGTTGCTTGTCACACAATAGCGTCTGCTCATGGAATGGAAGACCAGAACGCGGCTGGTAGTTCGGAATGACGTCGAAGTCTCGATTGTCGTGGTGGACTAGATCCACTGCGGTGTTGTCAATCTCATTCAAATGAGCACTGAGACAAACATACATCGATCGAAGATGAACTTCAGTTCAATCAACTCCATGTCGACGAGATCCGAGGCGAGCGGCTCGTGAGTGATCCGCATCCTGACGTGCTCGATCTTGGTGAGGTCGCGCTGCAGTGAGTTGTCCAGGCGTTCCTCAAAGAGGATGAACTCGGGGAGCTAGAGGCACTCAGTGAACCTGTGGGATGGAGCAGGGCGTAGGTCGCACCTGAGAGTACTTCTCGCCCGCAAACGCTCTCACGGTGTACTCTGCCGTCTAGAACAGAAGGTGAGTACTCTGGACGTCTAGCCAACCTTGAAACCATCCACCTCTTGTGAGTTACTGATGTATATTTGACTCGACTCCAAAGCTTCCGTAGAGTACGTGAGGTCCCCCATGGACGACAAAGAGAACAACGTCGCCCTCGTCATGATCAGATGCGACAGGGTGTCATTCTGAATCTGCTTCACGTTGATGGCCCGGTATTGTTCCAATGCCAGTGAAGGTGCGCCTGACGTCCACTCGTCAACTGGCTGTACAACACATGAAGGTCTACAACCGACCAAGCACATACCCAACAAACGATATAGCCTAATCAACAGAAGGCGCATCTTGTAGGACTGTTTGCTCCGGGAAGACGCGTACTCCAGTACCGACACAGCGCTGTACAGGTATGTGACATCTCTGCCTGCCCTCCAGGCACCAACGAAAGCCTGGCCAGATAAAAGCGCAAGATCGTCCGCGGGTTGAAGCTCCGTGTCCGGGAGATCCTTTCCCAGCTTGAGCGCGTCAAGATATGAGTGGAGGTACTGCACGGCATGCGCAGCTTCTGTGTCTGCTGTGATCTCTGATGCCGGAAGGTTATAACGTAGCAATTTTTGCGCGTTGATGTAACGGTTCAGGACATCTACTGTCGCCTGAAGCGGGGTCAGTCGCATTTAGCGTAGGCTGACTGTTCTGACTCACGAATGACGAGGATTGCGAGTCAAGGAAACTCGTCCATTCCGCCAATGCATCCCCTTCTAGACGAACGTATGATTGGAGGTCCTCGAAGCAGACAAGCTTGTCGCCGAACGTAGTGAAGTATTGTTGGAGTAGCTGTGACATGTGCGCGGGACCTGAGGGAGCTTTTAGCTGTGACACACGAGCAGGCGGCGACGAATGACCGACTTGTAGAGATGCCATGGGCGATTGCACGCTTCTCGAGCTCGAGTAGGGCTAAACGCCCCGACCTGTCTAACCTCCCATCCTCATCTGCTATCTGCTCAAACAGTTTCCGTGTCTCCTCTATTCGGGCACTGACATCCTCTTGCGATTCCACGAATGTCGCGTCAAGGACAGCGAGGAACTCAAGCCAGTTCCTGTCTCTGTCGAAAGGTTAGCTCCTGTCAACGAGTCTGGTCATAACCCGACACACTTCGCCTCCGTGATCCGTGCTTTCGCTCGTGCGCCCTCCTCCCCGACCAGGCCTTTTCGTTGCCAAATGTCTCGCCGGAGCTCATCGACCGTCAGGCTCGAGGCGCATATAGCCCTGCCAACATCGTTGTTGAGAAGCTCATATGCCTCGTCGTACAGCCCCAGCTCGCGTAAGATCATCAGGTGTAGGTAGAAACGATCGGCATTGTAGAATGACGGAGTCGTAGCGGAGACCACTAGCCGATGGGCAAGCTTGAAGAGGACTGGACGAATCCCTGGAGGCGTAGTAGGGTCACTCGCCTATGCAAGCTTGTCAGAAACCCGACTGTGCATGAATAATCCTGAATGGGCGCACCTGGAGCACAGCGCTCATCACACTCCAGTACAGGTAATGGTCGTCGCGGAACTGTTTGTGCAGTTTCGTGGCAATCTTGCACGCAAGTTAGCTTACGTCTGTGCATGGCCTAGGACGTGACAATGCACGAAGAGCTGAGGCAATGTACATACCTGTTGAGCGGCCTTCCAGTTTCCGATGCGGACGTTAGCCATGAACGCCTGCGTACCGAGTTCCTCATTGGTGGGGTGCTGCTTGTATGCGTCCTCATACATGGCGACCATGTCGGTATCTGCAAACGACCGTCAGTCGCCAGTGCCAGGACATCACGGACTGAGTTGCTCACGTCGTCCCAGTCCTCGTAGTACGTGCATCATGGCGGCGAGAGTCGACTCGTCCGTGGGTTTTGCTGCAAGGACCTCATCACACACCATGAGCGACTCTTCCACCTTTTGTGAGCGTACGAGGGCGAGAGCTTTCAGGGCCTACAGTCACATGTACGTCAGAGACCAAAATGCACACGGAGCGGAGGAGGCAATGAGAACGGACCTTGACTAGGTCGTTCTTGGGATGCTTCTTGAGCAGCTTATTGCACGACAGAATGGCCGACTTGTTGGAGCCCGTGTCAAGTGCCTCTGCATGTCAGAAACAGAGTTCCTCAGTAAGGTCCGCGGTCAGAGAACGCAGGTCGACAGACCATAGATGGGGCGAATTTGACGTTCGAGTGCGGTCGACATCCCAGCAAGACACTAGCAAGGCCCTCAAATGTAGAAGTACGGACAAGGAGACTGGCGACGGGAGTAGCACGTCGCGTCGTAGAAATTTTGGTGAATGTCGAGCAGCCACCGGCCTCGGACACGACGAGCTGGCGGTGTCACGTTTCCGCGCGCCCGCAGAGCTCCCGTGTCACTCCGACAATCCTCATGTTCGCCCGGCACGTCCGTCGGCCGCAAGCATCCATCCTTTAGCCTGCCCCCGGAAGAAGAGGTCGTCGGACGTCCTCACCGTCCCAACCAGTGAGCCGCGTTGCATTCAAGATGTCAGAATGTCTGACGACGGAGCGCCCGCGGTCAGGTGAAGACGCGCCTTGCACTGGCCGCAACTTAGAACGCGACATCCTTCAACGTCGACTCTGACATGGCACCCCTACTTTCACGGTACGGAACCACACAACTTCGAAGGTCTACATGCTAACAAGTTGCTCAGGACTCTCGATCCTCTTCTTGGCATCTTTACTGGTGTATTTGCCTACTACTTGTACGAGAGCAACCCTCGCACGGCCCTTCCGGAAGACCAACGCTTGGGACCACTCATGCAGTGGAAACTGGACAAGTGGAGACAGGAGCGTGAACGGAAGCTAATGTCCGGCGAGCAGGACGTGGACATGAACGCCATTCGCGCAGCAGTGGAAAAGGAATGATGAATCGCTCGGGCTTGAGGTGCGCCTGACCACTACTGTCCGGCGTGTTGGGTGATCTAGAGCAGTACCGTACAAGATCACCGGCCCCAGCTGATATTACTTCTGCTGAACAAGCTCCCGAACCATCTCCATGACTCCATAAAATACCTTCCTTTCGTATTCCGCCAGACCCAAGCCTTCGGCCTCTGAGGACTTGCGCAGTGCCAATCCCACGACTATAGGTCGCCGCTCTGCCTCCATAAACTCCTGAACTTCCTCCGTCCATATCACGGTGGCAACCTGCGATGTGTACAGGGAATGGAGCGTCTGCATGTGTTCCGAAGGTGCACTTCCCAGGAGCGGTGTTAGCTGTATCGCCGGAGGTGGTGGCGGGAGAGGTATGACATTGGGTTCGGATGGGTCGGGCGGTGGGGCAGGGTCGAGGGCAGTCGTTGCTGGAATGGTCGCTTGAATCTTCCAGGATATTCATCTGTCATCGCTGCAATTCCTATCTACAGAACACTCACCAATGTGCCTACTTTTCCAATTTGCGTGATGAGGACGAGAATGCGATCTGCGAATGCTTGCAGGAGAACATCCGTGTGAGCACCGTCCAGCTCTCTGGCGATTTGGGATGACGGTAGCATCGTGAAGAGTGGTCTGTCTGTATCGAGGACGCTGTCGATGAACGTCTGCCGCAGAGCTTTGCGGTGGACCGCTTCAGCCACGCACGCGCACCAGCGCCTTGGCCCTATGATCGGGATCTCGATCGCCGTTACGCGGGCCGCCACCACATTAAGGTACCAGTCGATGTTGACCTCCGCCTTTGAACGCACAATTGACCCCCTCATTTCTGGACTGCTTAGCTGGCATATATCAGCAAGTGGTCTTACTTGAACAATAATGCAAGACCCAGCGAAGTTGACACTGTCGTCAGTCACAAGGGGAAGGCAAGAGAGGACGCGCATTGGCAGCTCGGGTGGTGGGATTTCGCCCATGCGCTCGAGGGCACGCGGAGGTAAGTTCCTCCTCTCTCCCGTAGAGAATCAGTCACATACTCGTGAATCTGTGCAGGCCGCTGGTGTGGTCCAAGTCTTCCATATATACACCGCTCACCCCGCGAGCCTCAAGTGCTCGCGCGTCACTTTCCGTCCTCCAAATGCTTCGTGCTACCCTCCGCACCCCAGATTGTTGCATCATCAGCAACCTACGAGCCTGCGACTGTCATCTCAATCTCTGAGAACGAGGACTGGCTCTTCGCTTACTTCCCCGGCCGCGGCGGGGACGGTGCAGGATGTCTATGGCGGAAAGACGCACAGCTGGACAGTTGGCAAATACGCGAGTTCTGGAGCTTCGACCAGGGTGCAGGCGCTGTATCCGCGGAATGGACATGTACCCAACGGGAGGTACGTCCATCTGCGCACGATCCCGTATTCCTACTGATGCCCGTGTAGTGGGTAGTGACAGAGAGCGGCTCGTCTGCGCGCTTGCCGCCTCGAGGCCCTATGGGCCAGCTCCCAATCACCGTTCTTCTCCTGGTTACACAAGACCACTGTATTGCCGTGTGCTACTTACCGCCCTACACGGCCTCTTTGAAGATCATGAGAGCGTGTCTGCTACAAACCGCTGTCACTCAGGAGTCTCACCCAGGGATGACTCCTTACCTACTTCCATCGGTCAAACATATGGTGGCCGCATCCATCTATATGGGCTACCAGGTAATCTTTGCTACAGCTCACTGCTGTTCTGACCAGATCGTCCGGTAGAGCAAAACTTGTTGATTGCAATGCGCTCACAGGTTCTCCCGCCACAACGTGTCCACGAGTCGACGTATAATGCTATGGATCTCAACATGCCACTAGATCTCAACGATGTAGGTCCGTCCTATGAAGTGCCCCTGACACCAGAATGGGACCTGTGGGGCGAAGACTCGATGATCAACGTCTGCGAAGTGAAGTTAACATGAAGCTCGCTACCAAAGGTAGGCCGTTGTCTCCTAAAGTAACCTCGTCTCACGAGTACTCGTCAGGCATCCTGACGCGACCGTTACCACCTATATCCTGTCCCAGTCATCATTTAACCGACCTCAAGTTTATTTCCACCCTCCTACAAAGCGCAGCAGAAACCATACCTAGCCGCGTCTTTCCTCAATTTTGGAGACTGTGCGTTGTGTGTATATGGCAAATGTTGCAGGTCATACTAATATCACTCGCTCATGGCTAGATACGTCTTCACCCAAGTCAGAGCTTCTCTTGTTCTCGTTTGGGAGACGGAATCCTCCATCACCGATTGCTCACCTTCGTGATGGGTAGGCTCGCAAGTTCATAAGCAGGAGAGTTCTGACGTGTATCTTGCAGATACCCCACCTTGAAGCGCAACAGACGTACGACGATAAGGTGCTCGACTTCATCATGCCGGCTCCTTCGCGAGACTCTCTGCTCGTCGGCTTCATGAACCTGAGCGGATCCGTACCTCATGTCAAGCAAAAGGTCAAGGGCGGGACAATCGGAACCATGCGCGTACTGAAATTGTGAGCACATCGTCTGTCTGTCGTTGCAGGAGTACGAGGATGATGAACCGTCGTCAAGATCGGACTTATCCGCAGATGACAGTTGGGACGTGGCCCCCATAATGTCGGATATAGCAAGAGCATGTCGAGCAAGTATGTCAGACGATATTCACAGATGCGCTACGTTCGCTCACTGATACACGCACTTGGGTCGGGCAGTCCCTGCAAACGTAGCCTACTCACCGAACCGTGTCCTGCTCTGTAGTGTAGCGGCTTCCACCTTCTCAGACTCCCACATCTCTATCATACGCTCCCTCGCCGACGGCCTGACGGAAGCAGACCATTCACAAACGCGCTTGTCGCCGAATTGCACAACCCCTTCATCACCGCCATCCGCTCAAGAAGCAGCCCCTCAGACGTAGCCCACGCATTGACGAATCCTGCGATTCCCGTCGAGGCCGTTGTGGACGTTCTCTCGGGGGTTCTGTCATCTCTCAGCAGAGAGTCGCCTGGTATGCGGGACGTCTGGACGGCCGAGGTACTCAGGGTCGCCGGCGATATCTATCTGTGCGTGCCTTGCGCTCAGTAAAGCAGTGCGTTTCCTGAATGTGTGTACCTTCGTAGGACGAAGTCGCGCCGTGCGGAAGAGGCAGACAAAGAGAGCCTTCGCGCTCGATGGAGGACGATCCACGACATGTGTTCTCTATCCGCGTGTCTCAGCGCATTTGCGATGTGCTATGGGACCAACTATACGATCTCGGTATGTTGTCCCCAATGATTCCAGATTGTATAGCTAACTTTTCCGCGTTTACAGGGGATATATGGCATCTTGTCTGCTTCTCTACATGGTTCATCGAATTCCTTGAGGGTCTACTCAGAGAATGCGTCCTCGCAGGCGACGAGAGTTCTCTCGCTATGAACAGTAAGTAGCGTAGTAGCTGTTGTACCGCCCTCATTGACCAAACACCGACAGGGGCTCAATCCAGTACCTCGTTGAATGCATCCATATTTGTTCACCTCGTGCATCCCTATAGTCTCGAAAGGATTCGAATAATCTTGGGCTACATCAAGCGATTCCGGGATCACGTCGCATCGCTCACCGCGAAGGGGGAGAACGCCCAGATCGCCAGAGACGTGCTGTTGGACGTTGTCGACTGTTCCGGGATCGACTTGGAGCGGCTGAGCATCGTGTTCACAGAGGTATACCAAAGTCTCAAAGGCGGCGCAAATGGTTCGTGGCTGTTCGTGGCTGTTGACTGCTACATGCTGATTCTTCGATAGACCAGGATCTCCAGCAGACGCTGCTCAGCGGTATGCCGCACTTGTCCCTCTCGGGCCCTTTGCGTGGGGCGGTGGAGAAGATCGCAAGTAATGGCGGGATCAATAGGGCCCGTTTATTCATCAAGCCAGGCGATCTTGTAGACGGAGTGGCTCGCCTCTCCCTTGTGGACAAACATCTCAAGGACAAACAGAGAGATGTCGTGTCTAAGGGGCTACTGCTTCATCTGTCTACAAGTTCCGTTTGTGTGTGCTGCGAGGGCAGATCGGAGACGAACCAAGGCGATCCCAAGATGCGGAGTGGATCCGCCGGTTGGCGTGTTTGGGAGAGACAGTGGCAGCATCGTTGCGTATGCGGTGGTGCTTGGTGGAAGCTATGATGTGTAGTTTCCCAGTTTCCCTAAGCCTTGTTTATGAGGTCGGTACCAACAGACACTTATGATGTCTCCTACTCGCTCGCATGGTGAATGTCGCTCGTCTGGATAATATGTTGCAGTAGGTAAGCTAGCAGGAAGATGGGATGTAACAGCCATTAATTGTCCTCTACGTCAGTTGCCATATGCATGTCGTGATGCCATTTCTTGAAGGCGGCCTCCGAGAGCTCGCGGCTTATAGCGGCAGCAACAGGCCACGGAACTGCATTGCCAATCTGCCTGTGAAGCTTCGGGAAGGAGATAGATTGATACACAGTGATAATCACAGATCTCATTGACTCACTGCTTTCACATCTTCATCTTCTGAATGAAAGACAAAGCTGTCCGGAAAACCTTGTGAGCGAGCTAATTCCCGGACAGTGACCATGCGCTTGCACTGTGCAAGCATCAGCACCCAGTGTATCATTCTAAGGAAAGAGCATACATATGGATGTAGTACCCATGATTGTTTTGCATCTGGCTGAACGTTGGTAACAGTGGTATTGAACCACTCATCCTTGTTCAGACGCCCATACATCCCTGCAGATAGTACGTCAGTGAGCAGAATGTTTGAAGAATTCATTTACTAGACCTTACCAGGTCTAAACCTAGACGCGCAACTGCAGAGGACGGGTTTGAGGTTTGCCATTCCAATAATCTTCCGTCCAGACCTATATAATACATGTTCATTGCAAGCTGAAGAAAGCAATATTGACTACTTACTCCTGTAGTCTGCCTTGGCACTCATTGGAATGCTGACAACACTGAATTGTTGTGCCATGAAATGCTAGAAATCCAGAAGGGTTAGGGATCACATACCGTTCCACTTTCTTAGCTACAGGAACCTCGGTAAAGTGCTGGATATCCCTGATATGGTCACTTCTACACTTGGCCTGAAATGTTGTTCTTGGTGCAGATTCGTACTCCACATCAGGCCCAGCAAATCCACAAAACCACTTGGAGCGATCACATGGAAGCTCAGGCACATCTCCAGCCTGATTACCTTCATTCAGGTGTGTCCTATGGTAAAAATGGATTCAGAGTAGTAGTGAATAGACACAGCTAGTGTCATACCAATGAAATCTTGGGAGATCACCTATAGCATCATCAACAGATACAAAACGATGTGGAGCAAAGCCCCTCTGTGTGCGAATAGGCTGGGCTTTGGATTCATTGGAGAATTTCATTTGAAGTGCATCCACAAGAGGGAAGTCATGAGTAGGTTGAGGCAATGATGGAGGATGTGTGTATCCAGGGCTGCAACAAGGAAGAACCTTACTCTGGCCTGTGGTGTTCCATAATGGGCTGCTTGCAGTAAGCCAAAACGGACTTGATATCTGTAAGCAGTGTCAGTGTGCAATCATCAAAAGCAATGAAGAAAAGTTTACTTCATGGCCAGTAAAGCTCTCACAAGGAACTTCAGGCCCCCCATCTCAACACCCCCCTCTACACGGTGCTCCCAGCCTGATACGTGTGGAGGCTGTACTGGAGAAAGCCTCGCACATTCTCAAAGACGCAATATCTCGGCTGTAGGAAGTCAACCCAGGATAAGAGATTGAGGACGAGATGGCTTTTGCGATCATTCGCATGCTGATACATGTTGAGACGCGAATGAGGTTGACTAGAGCATCATGAGCTTATATCCGACACGATCTGTATGTTAAATCACATACCACGGGAACCCAGCCACAACTACATCGATGTCTTCCGGTTTTGGTGGATCAGGCAGACGCTCGTGCGATCGCCCGACTTCCCTGGGCACCGGAGGCCTATGACCTTCGAAAGACTTGATTGCATATTCCAGCACAACATTGGCACATTGGTTGTAGACGACCATCTGCGGTGAGTTGTTCCTAGTACATATGTCGTGAGTACAAGCTCAAGGTCGATGTAGACCCCTAGACGAACCGTAAGGCACAGGCTGCACTTGGCGAGATCTCAACAGCTTGCTGCATCTTCACACATCCTGACTCCTCCATTGCCAGACCAAACGCACCTACACCACCGAAGGGATCAAAGCCACGAAGCGGACGGCGCCTCTGCACCTGGATGAACCGCTGAAAGGCTTCGGTACGTGCCTTCTCCTCCTCGAAACACTCAGCACAGACCAGCAGATCATTACATTTAAGAGTTTTCTGGTCTGTCCACGAGGTGGGCGCGAGTGTCGGGAACTCGTACTTCACATAGAAGTGTCGGGGAGAAGAAAGCCAGCCTTGGCTTGCGTCGTCGTCGTTTAGCGAACGCCTGGTCACCACGAAACACGGTTCGAGGAAGGCCTCGATGGGCACTTGTGCCTCTTGCTCCGTCATGAAGAGATGCTGCTGTAAGGAAACATGAGCAAGATGGCGCATCGATATGGAGAAAACATACATGATCCTTCATCATCTGTGCCGGGCAGTCTGGAATGCCTATTATGTCTCCAATGCGGCCGAGGACGTGTACCGTGGCGGCTTCTACCGATCGTTCCCTACCCTTCGCCCTAACGAAGTCAACTATCTGAACGACGTTGGCAGGCCCGGCATCCTCGTTGTAGCACACTACGAAATCGTTTTTGTGGTACCGATGACCACCGTAGGCGACACCGTCTCTGAGAGACACAACAGTCCGATCTTGCTCTTGCTGGCTCAAGAGCTGACAAGGCGGGCAGTTATCGGGAGGCGTCAGGGTTTGCGGAGACAACCGGTGCTCGTCTGATATGTGGGTGAAACACGCAGTCGTTTCGTCACAGATGTAGCTGCATGCCGTCGTTAAAAAGGACCGCGGTACACATAAATAACACTCACTTGCAATAGAAGACCGACGGGTCAGTACGGTCGAGTCGCGTATCGTTCGGCTTGCTGTAGTGTTCTCGGTAGCGTACATCCACTTTGTCGTAAGCGTCGTCGGCGTTGATCTCGCCGCAGGAGTTCCACAGGAACAGCTCCCGCGGGTCAGCAAGCTCCTCCAGAATGCTTCGAGGCGCATGGTCGAACCACTGCAGGTGAATCTTCCTTCGTTGCTGATTAATGTGCATGATGCGTCCGAACCTTACAACCATTACCGTCAACGTTCACTCAACTGTACGTCGTACACACTCACCAGAAGAAATCGCTGATGATGGCATCTTCTGGTATATCCGCCAGGTCTTTCGGCATGTCCGGGGCTCTCTCGTTACGTTGCTCGTAGTTTCCCCGCGGCGTCAGGACAGTATCACCAATCTGGAAATTCATGAGGTCGAGGATTTTCATTGAACCGTGTCTACGAACCGAATATTTGACGCCGTCAATAACAATGGACTTCCAGTACTCGTCGATAATCCGGTCCTCGGCGGCATAGCTGTCCAAGCGGGCCTTCTTGGATGTTTTCTTCTTCATTTGACGTTCGATGTAGTCACCGAGGCGTTGAAGCATCCACAAACGAGCGCGCTTTGCTTCGCTCTCGCGGCGCTCCTCCGGGAGCTTCACGCCTACAACGTGCAGACGCTCGTTGAACCACCCTCGCGCCAACTGGTCGATTAGGGGAGTGACGTGGGTCGGATTCTGATTTTCTCGGCGGAGAACGGCGAGATCGATTTTCTTGTTCCACTTAACAAACATTCCCGGCCGATGATGTCGTCCAGGATGCGCCACCGGTGCAGGCGTAGATAGCCTCGAGACAGGTACATCACCTTCGAGAAGTCGGCGGACTGCAGGCACGTTCTTCAATCGTTCGCCAACCTGTATCTCCGAGAGAATCACCGAGATCAACGGGACCTTACAAAAGCTGTGTTTGCTTATCCATACCTAGCGATTAGGCTGAGGAGCTCACGTACCGTTGCAAGGAAGTCGTCTGGTTTGATTTCAGCACCAAGGAGAGGATCCATCCTCGTAGTCGTCGACTCTATGAGTTCGTCCCACTGTAACATAGGATTTTCCTTCGCGGAGGAGATCAAGATTTGAGTGACCCTGTGAGGCCGGTAGAACGCGAGATGGTACTCGAATATGCATCGGTAGGGTTGCGAAGTTGGTACCAGGCAGACTGTGACTGGATGTAGAGTGGGCTGCTTGCAAGGTCAGACATCACTCAGAAGAACAATGGAAGGTCCTCACTCATCCCTACTTTCATAATTGAGGCTATACTGTTCGATATCGGTGGTCCTGAAGCGCTGCACGGAGCCATCGACACCATCTTCTTGACCCTCGTCTTCCTCGTTTACGTACACCGGCGAGACCACACCTGCTGCTTGTAGTTGGTGCTTATTGAAATTTTCGTCATCCAAAGAGTACAGGTGGTAGCCGTCCTTGGGATCGAATATGCAGAATTCGGACAGGACTCGGACAGGAATCCCGTCCTCATCCACAGCGTCGGGATCTTCGCCTGGGATGACGAACTTTCCCCCTTCGTAGATATCATCATGGTCCGGGGTGTACTGAAGCTCTGATCCGAGACATAAGCCGTGTTGTTTCCGATAGTGGGAGTGTCAACACTCACTGGGCGGCTCTTTCGTAGTATCCTGCCTTTGCGCAATTGCGAGCTTGCGCTTGGTGGCTTTGGGCAGCTACGCACATACGGTAGGTTCTTCACTCAACGCATTAGTGTCTTTGATTGCTTACCGATTCTGTCATATCATCGCGCTTCTTTCTCTTCGGTGCGCTCGAGGAGCGGGCGGATCGGTTGTCATCTTCTTGCAACCCAGTCGAAGCCTCAGAGATCTCGTCAGGAAAGGAGACGTCGAAAGCGGTTGGTCGTTGTCGCCGAGACATGTCCTTTACAGAAAGAATATAGGCTTTCTTATATACGGCGAGCGCAGGACGACCAGTGGCAAGTGGGCGTCACCGGCAGTCGAGAGACGACTCCAAGTCGCGCGTCGCGACGCAGACTCGCTCGCGGGAACAGCGGACGCGTCGGTCACGTGGATCTTAATCGCAGGCAGCGCCAAAGGGATCGACCCGGGCCGCCGTACAGACAATTTCCCGAAGGCTTCAGTCGTTCGACATTCGGACAGAGTTTGCGCTCATGAGCATGTCATAATACCTCATACAACAGAAGAGCATAGTTTACGAGTAAATGATGTATGCATGCGACGAAATCTCCATCGCGCCCCCCCCATCATGCAAGCCGCCTATCCGCCGACAACACTGGCCCCTACGCTCAGTTCATTTGCCGGATGAGCTTGTTGATGTTTTCCTCTCGGTTGCCAAAGTCTCCACCCTGCACGTAGTGCTTGAATTTACGCGTCCTCCAACCACCAGTTGGGTTGGAGAGCTTGAACGGCCACAGGAAGTTTGATGCCTGATCGCAGCACGTCAGGAAGATATTGTACAGAACTATTTCGGTCGACGCACCTGCTTGAAGTTGGGGCCGGCGGCGTAGATCTCGTGTACGAGGTCCTCAACAGAGAGGATGTCATACTTGCCGAGGGCAGCTTCGATGACACCGTTGTTCGTGAGGGGGATGCGCTGCTTGTCGACCTTGCCGTAGCCGCGCTTGTAGATGAGCTCACGGACCGACTTCAAGTTGGGCTCGCTGATCATGGCAATTGAATTAACGCAGCACACATACAACACATATACATACCCATATGCGATGTAAGGCTCAACGAGACGAAGCATCTGCTCGGTCGCCTTAGTGACCTTGACGAAGACACCGTTGTTGATCTGGAGCAGGCGAAGAAGCTGCAAAATTTTGCGAGGTTTGGGGGCAATCTCGTTGATACTAAGAATACCTATATTAAGGCACTGAACCGTTCGCAGAAGGTTATACGACTCACCCCCGGATGCGAACCACGAAGTAAACCTTCGCTTGCGCAGGAACATAGAAGTCACCCGCAGCACGGGCTGCCCGCTTCAAACGGATCTCTTCCTTCTCCTGGACGAGATACTCCTTCACGTAGGCCTCAGCGCGCTTGAAAATGACCTTACGCTTTGCCTTAGCTGCCTGTCAGATTCAACGCGTTAGTACGATTCACAGTACGTGCATAGCAATGAATGTATGAATATCAACAAAGCTCAGTCCCGAAAGATGGTATATTTCTGGCAACACGGTGAAAGCAAAAGTCCCACTAGCCGAGAGTCAAAAGGTATGCATCACAGAAGCGAATTCAGAGACTCCGACCAAGCTGCCAAAGACTTACCTTCCGCGCGGCAGTCGCTGCAGCAAGCTTCTCCTCCCGGGCCTTTTCGTTCTGCTTGCGCTTCTTGAGGAGAGTCTCGGGGACTTCAATGTCCTGATGGCACATAATTGAGATTTTAGCCAACTCGCGAACGCCGCAAGATCAACGCACCGCGACACTCGGGACGCTTAGATTTCGTGAAGAAGTCAGTCAGGCTGCATACCCTCATGGGATGAACGCACGCACGTAGTGGAGGGGGCCATGAGGAGATCTTGAGGACGAACGTAGTGCTGGGCGGTAGTACGGTAACCAGCCAGGGCGTTGTGGCTGGACGCTACTATACAGTACCTCAGAATGTTCTCACGGCCTAATTTGGGAAATGCCGCTCGTCCGCGCTTGCCATGCACTGTCCGTTGCCCGACGCCGACAACAGATCGTCCAACCCTGCATGCATCTCTGGGCATCTCACTTGCCCTCTACCATGTCCCCTATGCTGGGCTGATATCAGAAGTGGCCAAATCTGCGCGCACGCTGTTTGATCTCTTGTCCGCCAGTGATCGAAAGCATACAATAAACACACGAAGTCTATGACGGCGGATCGCTATCCTATGAGACTTGGCTCTACTGTCGATCAATGACTAGTTGAACGCTAGCTTGTACCGCCCTCGTCTGTGCCATCCAATTCAGCGAGCAAGAGATAGTCCGCGCCACTCAGATCCATGACGCTTTCGACACGACCGACGACATTCCTCGTGCTGACTCAGACTTCAACCCAACCATAACCAAGCCCTGCAGCGATCCCATCTGGCTCCTTTCATTTCCTGCCTCCCATAACATTTGCGGCCAACCTACAATGCCGTCCAGAGCAGCTACGCGCGATTCGGATTCGAGACATGTCAACAATCTCCTTCATACTCTTAGGTATGCCGTACTATGGTTGCATATTCCACTCGTTCTAAAATCCCTCAACTCAGAGGCGAGCACTATCGCCACGAGCAAAATTTGCAGCGCGCGAAACCCGTGCATCCCTCCTTCACAGTTCGTATAACAACCCGACGCTCCCGTTCGATCAGATATACGCGGCACGGGCGGTCCAGCCTGAACCTCCTGCTACCCGTTCATCGCCCCCAGTGCGTTTGGGTCCTGAGGGGGTCCTCGAGTATGCATATCCCCGGGGCCGTGTGCCTGGCCCTCGCCCACCTCCGAGCTGGAGCGGTCTCTTTGATGCGGATGTTAAAGGAAATGATGGAGATCCACAGGGAGACGAGGAGTGTGCGTGGCGCTCGAATGCTCTATCCCTCATCTACTCGCATCTTCCGCCCTCCACTAGTTCTGATGCGGTGTCTGTACCCCGTCTGACCTTGCTGTGTCTGCAATATCTCGTCGCATTGTACCCCGGGCAAGACGCGTCGGAAGCGTTTGCTGAGGACGTCGTCCCATACCTGCCTGTGCATCTGAGACGACACCTCATACGATGGGCAGCGATACACGATCCCCTTCCTACTACTCAACTGTTCGCCCTAGCGGATTCTGGACGCCATGTCGACGGGGAACTCATCGTCGTAGGGCCACGAGCTTCGTTACCCCGCGACGTGTTCAAAGCAAAGAGGCCTACTTCCCAGCACGCCCCCATTGTAGAAGTCCCCATAGCTCGGGAGGACGCCACGGACGCCCTGGAGTCGTGGGACTCGCCTTCCTTCGACGAACGAACACCACAGCCAATGCAGAATCTAATCCTTGTCTCCATTGCGTTGCCAGTGAACACATTACTCACTTTCCCCCCAACATTGACGCGCTTGGCTTTGCTCGCGCTACCGGCACCTGCGCCCATTCATCGTCTGCCGCGCATATGCCCGCTGATCGAAGTCTTGGATTTATCGTTCAACAACTGGCTTGCTCAACCTCATGCGGGCAGCAAGTCCGTACTAGAGAGGGTGGAGTGGGACAGATGGAGCCACCTCAAGGTGCTTGGTTTGAAGGAGACGGGGGTTGGGGAGGAGATCGTGCGGCGCGTGAATAAGGGACGTTGGGTAGATGTTGACATTGTTGGTGTAGTGTCGTTAGAAGTCGCCATGAGCAATCTGCATTGGGTTTCTGAGACATCGAAGTCCTGCATACTGACATGAATCATCGCGTGTAAACCAATCTGTTTTGATTCCAAGGTTCCAATCATCATGCGCATACAAATCCTCCTGAGACACCGGATCCGACCATACCGTAATACGTGTAGATAGCAGTCAACATCAACCGAAGCGTTCAGGTAAGTCTGCAAGTCAAACGGCGCAAATGACTGTAGGCAGCTGTCAGGAGACCACATTCGCCTGACCGAAGACGATGCCATACCTCTGGTGCATCTGGCTCCGATGACTTCTTGGAAGACACAATTGATGGGGCAGGAGCCGGCCGTGTCATTCCTGGCGGTGTCACGCCCGCCGGCCAGCTGGAAGGTGGAGGAGGTCTGACCTTCTGCTCGTGAAGCATCGACCAGACAACAGAAGTTTGGCGAGAAGCTAGCTCCAGCTTGGGAACTACCGGTTGCTCTGTGCGGTCTATTAGGTAATCAGACTACCAAGCATCACATCTGTGAACATAGACGACATACAGAGAATGGCACTATCAATAGAGTCCGCGAGGGCCTCGCGCCTGTCTTGACCAAGATACTGTGTAACAGGCCCTTTCTCAGGAACGGTGTATGCAAGCAGACTACCGACTCTTCCGAGCTCCAAGAGGTACTGAGCCCGGTCTTCGGCGACTGGCAAACGATGCACTTCGGCGTAGAGATTCTGCGCTCGGTGAAGCAGTCGCTCCGTCGCTGAATCAGCCATCTCCTTGTCTTCGTCCATGGCCTCGCCCGTGGTAGCTGCGATGGGGGATGTCGGTGGCTGAATCCCAGGAGGATAGTAAGGTAGAGGAATCGAACGCGCCGCTTCGATGAAGCCTTGGATGTGAAGGTTGACCATGAGGTGGGATGGATTGACGGAGGTGGAGGGTATGTATCCGAGATGACTGTCCGTCTTGTACAGTGGTAGTGTCTCCGTGTTCTCAGAAAGCACCGAGGGGAAGTGCTTGTTGATAAGTTCGATGGCTTCATCTATCTGTCCCGACAGTATGCATATACGGATCTCTGACGGCCATTGTATGAGAAATGAGAACACTTCGATTGTCCTACCGTCCTACCTTTGCGAGACTCGCCGGATGCCATAAGAGACTTCAGTGAGTCGGATAATGTAATTTCTTCGGATGCTGCCATGACCTCGTCCCCATCCGCGTCCATATACTTGATCGCGCTGTCGCAAGAAAACGCCTGTACTGTCTTCGAATATGCATTGTGGCATAGATAGTCTAAGACGAGTGTCCGCTGCCGCCGGGACCCTTCAGAATCAGAACCGCTGTCGCCGCATGAGGATCACGAGTGGCGTACATACCAGTTCATCCGGGGTGGCTCCCAAGGATCGTGTCTTGCCCTGCGATCTGGCCTGGTACATGTCGGAGTCCTTTGGTGGTGCGTGCCAACGACGACTCACTTCTGTTGCAGTCAGGGTAGGTTTGAATGGTCAAGACGGTGGCAATACCTGTGCAAGAGCAGACGTTGCTGCACCCACTCGCGTGAGATGGATTCCGCTGCGCGTGACGCCGTGAATACGCGTGTCCGTCGTGCCCAACGCCGCGTTCTCAATGCGCGATTGCGTGCTGTGGTATTGCTGCGTGGGTCCCGGCTGTGACCACCATTCGAACCGTCGTCTCTCGTTTCTAATGCGCGTCGAACAAGGCTCAGGGAGTGGTGGGGGCGACACGCAGGGCGCTGAGGGAGGTGATCCCGGTCGACCAAATATGGCATGCGCGCTCCGAGCGGGCGAGGCGGTCGAGCGGTCGTCCGACCCTATCCCACATCCATCCTCCTCCCCTTCAGCCCCGCCGGCACCGCTCTTCTCATCGTCCTCCGCATCGGCGGTTCACGAGCATGGTAGGACCAGCGAGTCTCAGTGATGTCCTCGGGTATGCGTCGATAGCCAGCTGGCTTGGTGCTCAATTTCCGTGAGTCACTTCAAGGACATGGTCGCGTGTCATTGACTTGCGAGCTCAGACAGGTCGTCGAGAATATTCGCAGGCAGTCGGCGGACGGTCTTGCGCTACCATTTTGCTCAACTGGGCTCTAGGTATGTATGTCGACCAAGCCATCGTCGTGCGCCATAACAGCGTTCGCTTGCGTCTTAGGTGATGCTACGAACCTTATTGGCTGCGTCCTCACCCATCAATTGCCGTTCCAAGTGCGTCGTCAAACTTATTGTTCAGACTTAAGGCTCACCAGGTTCTATGCGTGCAGACATGGCTAGCAGCGTATTTCTGCTTCGTCGACTTCAGCCTCCTCAGCCAGTACTTCTACTACAGGCACAAGTTCCCATCCAAACCTCCGCCCTACTTATCGGTTCGCTCCCGAACTACGTCGACGGCTACCACACACCGCCTCTCCACCGAGCGCGAAGCTACGCATTATCGCGCGCTTTCAAACGTAGCGGCGAATGTCGCTGCCGCTGCCGCTCTCGTCGCTGAGCAGGAGGAGCATGCTCGATGGCATCGACATAGCCTTGAGCGTGTCCCGCATTCAGCCTTTGAAGCACGGGAACTTCTCGCGGAGGAAGATGATGATGTCGACGAAGAGGGGCTCGCGCGCCTCGCTGATAGCTTCCATTCTGAGGGCGGTCGCTCAGGACGCCGGAAGAAGGTCTCCTGGAGTCAAGAGCGTGGTGGGAGCGTAGGTCGACACGGGCAGGGGACGATGTCGCCGCCAAGCAGGGTACACACATCCTTGCAGATGAGCATACCGCCTCAGGTGGAAGAACTGGACCCGCTTGTGCGAGGTCGACCGCTCTCACGCGACATGCCTGCTGAAGAGGAGGCGCAATGGTCGGCTTCACAGAGGCGAAGTTCACGAGCAAGTCGGAAAGGCGCGAGCATGGTGTTCTTGGGGGTGTGGGCACTGTTTGGTGTCGGAACATTGTTGAATGGGCAACGAGGTCTTCCATCGACCACGGCTCTGGCAGACCGGGGCGAGTACTGTCCCCAGCTGACGCTATATTGCCTACGTTCGGGGAGAGATGCCCGTTGCATACGTCGACACGCATCCACGCTCCGCGGACATCGATACCGCCGCAATTTCTACACATGCTGCCGACAATACAGACCATACCGCTACCAAACAGCCAGAACATTCAACTGAGTTCATCATTGGACGCATATCCGCTTGGATATGTACGACACTTTACCTCACGTCCCGATTGCCTCAGATCTGGAAGAATGTGAGTGTATGTGGCTTGTCCTTGGAGCAATACTGACCATCGCCTTTAGTTCGTCCGTAAATCTGTGGAGGTATGCTATTTGATGGCATTCTCGAAGCCTGGATACGAAACTCACGTCGTGTTGCAGGGCCTTTCGATATATTTATTCATTTTCGCATTCCTGGGCAATCTCTTCTACGTCGCATCGATCCTCACATCTCCAAACTGGGCTCCCGGAGCCGGCAGCATCTGCATTCATCAAAGAAAGTATTCCGTGCGTATCCCTACTGTGTCTAGTGATGCATTTACCTGACCAACGCGTAGATATTTGCTTGGTAGCGGTGGCACGCTCATGTTCGACATCACTATCGTCGCGCAGTCTGTCATCTACAAAGCAAAGACGCACCGTGGCCGGCGCAGTTCCCGGTCATTAGCTGCAGAAGAGGAGGGCTTACTGAGTGCCGGCGCGACTGGCACCGAAGACGTTACCACTCCATCGCGCAGGCGGACCGGCATGTCAGCGGATTCGACGACGTTGTGATTCATTGACCGTTTCGCTCGGAATCTGCTATGTGTTCGCATTGGGACTGTGCACATTGTAGATCTAGATCCACATCGTATCGTAGTTGCATTCCAGTAGTCGCTGTATCTGTATGTCGTGCATCGATGCAGATCGTCGGACGTGATTGAGGCTGCGCATTGTAGGGCCTTGTGGGTGCGGCCAGTCTGCCACACTACAAACAAGCGCACACAGGTCGACCGTCATGCCCACTGGTGACTTGGGACTTGGCTAGAAAGCCTGACAATCGTCCCTTGCATACTCCAGTGTCATGTCAGCCGCAGCGCGACCACCTCGCAAACGCGCAGCCACTTCAAGCGAGGACGTCCCAGGACCATCCAAAGGTCCTCAGAAGAAGACCAGATTCGTCGAACCGCAGGACGATCCTGTAAACTTTGCGGAGGAGGTCGACGCTAACCTCGAGACGCGCCAACGAAGGGGGCACGTCAAGACCGAGGGCTACGAGTCTGATTCCAGTGACGATGGCGAGGGCGTAGTACCGAGCAGGCGCCCTGGCGCGGACAAGGCAGCTGAGGACGAGGATGAGGAATGTTCGCCATGGGTGAGAAGGAGGAGGAGAAGGCGGAGGAGAGCGGGAAGAAAGAACAGAAGTTCTTGCGACTAGGGGACATCGAGGGACAGGAGTTTCACGAGCAAACGTCCGACAGGTCAGAGACCGAAGACGAACCGGTGGACGAGGACGACGCGGAGCAGCGGAAGAAGGCGGGTATGGGGTTGAGCTCTCGTCTTTCAACATGCGGGAGGAGATGGAAGAGGGCAAGTTCGCGGAGGACGGGACCTATGTCCGCACGTTCGACCCACATGCGGCGCACGATCGCTGGATGGAGGGGCTGGATGAGACGGAGATCAAGAAGGCGCGACGGAACCACCGGCTGAGGGAGAGGGAGCAGAGGCAGAAGCAGAAGGCCGAGGAGGAGGAGATGCAGCAGATGGGAGGCAGACCGGATATCGAGAAGCAGCTGGCCGGGATGCTGAAGAAAGGCGAGACCGTGTTGGAGGCGTTGCAACGTTTCGGTGCGCAGGCGAAGAATAGCGCAAGTAAGCGCAGGTACGTCCAGTCCCTTCTGGACTTGACCGTGTCCTGACTTGAATTTAGTGGGAAGCCCAACAACAAACGGAAGGGCGATTTCGCAGACTCGATTCAGGTCGACAAGACACCGAAAGCTCCATCTGACATTGACCATATCACCCATCTCGCCTCCACCTCATGGGGCTCGGCGACGTCGATATTTACTCGAAGACATACGAGGAACTCGTACGGTCTGTGCGATCCTCTGGAAACGTGGATCCGTCTTGGGTGCCACCCTCCGCCGACGTCAAGTTCGAATACAAGTGGGCTGTGCCTGACAGCTCTGGGCAGGACGGTCAGGTATTCGGGCCGTTTGGAGAGGAAGAGTTACAGGTTTGGTTCAAGGCGGGGTATTTTGGTACAGCAGGGGAGAAGGTGCAAGTGAGGAAAGTGATGGCGACTGGGGAACATGGGACGAAGCTGTGACATAGCTTCTTGACGCGAGCTCTTCGACGCCCACATCGCAGAACCGCCCACATCGCAGGACCCGCAGGACACATTGACGCTTGACGTGTATCATCAGCTTGTAATCATAGTCGTCCAGCCCATCTACCTTCGACAGGCAGTAATGCTCCATTTGTTTACCTGTTCAGTTCGTTACAACAGCTATGTACTATACAACATCCCTATACCCGTCCAAGTTGAAGTCCGTACAGCAAACCTTTGAGACGCAAGAGGCCGTGAAAGAACCAAGAAATACTAGTGACTGATATACTGGAACACAAATGATACTTCTGGCAGCCCGACCTCAGCGCGCAAGAGGTCATCGTGATTGTTCTTGAGCTCAGTGTTGGTGAAGTGATTCCATCTGCGATGCAACATCAGTCAGCGTGTTCAGATTATTCACATATTCCGACACTTACGTGCTTGCGTCGCCATATAACAATGCAGGTGCCTTGATGACCTGCCTCCCGTCCTTGCAGCGCTTGCACTTGAACGTCTCATGCGTCTCGCAGATTGTCTTCTCGTTGAAAAGGAACAGCTTCCGCAGGGAGTCGAGGGAGAAATGGCGCTCGGCATCCTCCTTCTCGTCCACCACTGCCGATGAGAGGGCTTGCTTGGATGCCTGCCGTTGGAAATTTTCTCCTCGATGGTGCCTGTCGAGATGAAGCGGTACACGAAGCCTGATGCTCTGCGTGTAAGCCGCGATAAAAGGGGGAAATCCCTGCAGACTTACATTCTTTCTTCTGGCCATCACGCCATACACGGGCCAATGCTTGCTGATCGGCAGCAGGGTTCCAGTCTGTAAAATTGTCAGCAGGGGCAACATATAGACAGAGGAGGGAACTGACCAGGGTCAAAGAGGATGAGTCGGTTCGCGCCGATCAAGTTGATACCACATCCACCGGCCTTGCTGCTCAGCAAGAAGACGAACTCCTTTCCATCGGGGTCGTTGAACTGGTCGACCAACTTCTGGCGCTTGTTGATGGTCTGTGTGCCATCGAGGCGGAAATAGCCGTACCTATGGAGGTGTTCATGTCATGCTAGGTGAGTCGGGTCGCAGTAGCTCACTTCTTACTCCTCAAGAGCTTCTCAAAGAGGTCGAGCGTCTGGGTGTAGTTGCTGATCAAGACGATCTTGTCATTCGTCTCCGTGCGGATGCGATGCAAGAACCTAGCCAATAGCACGTTCAGACGTTGAGAGAACGCATACATTCTGACACTCACCTTTCCAACACAACGAACTTGCCGCCCCACTCGCAGTGCACGGTCTGGTCTCTGCCCTTGCTCCTCGCGATTGAACCTGCGCCGTTGAAATCGGCAGGAGCAACTTCTCGGAGCCACGCAAATCATTGGGCAGTTCCAGTAGTTCAGGGTGGTTGCAAAGCTTTTCAAGATGTTGATCGCTTTGAGTGGCTGCGAATTTACGCCCCGGAGGAGTGCCTGGATTTCGGGGACGAAATGAAGAGTCGATAGAGGGATAGTTGGAACTCTGAGAGGCCACAGAACACGACTTGCTCGTATTTCACGGGCACTGGTGAGAAACGCAGTGTCAGCAAGTGTCCTCCTGATATATGCGGTTGGGACGAGCTCCAGGTACGTACAATATTTGGAGAGAAGGTCGTTCGTACGCCGGATGATGAATTTGGAGACCAGGGCGCCGAGTTCTTTTAGCTTCTTCTCACTCTCTGCCTTCATGGCATCGCTCGCATCGGCATCGCGCCCTCGGATGATTACATTCTCGAAATTCTTCCTGAAGTCGTTCTTCGAGCCCAGAAGTTCGGGTTCGCAAAGTTCAGAAGGGAGAAATACTCTGATAGATCGTTCTGAGCGTGGCTGAGTTAGTCATCGGCTCAGATCTGACATACGGACAGACGAACCTGAATGGGGGTACCTGACAGGATGACACGTCGCTTCACGTTAAGGCCACACAGAGCCTGGAACGTTTGGGACTCTAGGAGCATCAGGGCAGATCATACTCGAGTGAATATGATAGCTTACCAGAGTTTTTCAGCCGGTGTCCTTCGTCGCACAGCAACAACCCGATGACGCAGTTCGCGAGGTGTACAGAAAGCGTGCGTAGAGTCTCGTACGAGACGATCATGACTGGGAAAGGGTTTCGTATATGACGCCGAGACGCTGCAGGGAAGGAGCTGACCTGGTTGGGACACGCTCCTACCTCCTGCGGCGACCCATCGCGCGACCCGTTCCAGCATCTCCGCTTTACCTCCTTTCCGTCTATAGCAAGCGGGGAGATGGCGTCCTTACCCAGCCACTTGGCTGAATGCTGTCAGACGGACTTAACAGCGCAGATTTAAGGACGACCAACCAAGTTCGTTTGCCCAGTTCCTCACGAGACTGGCCGGGCACGCGATGATGCACTTCTCGATGGTACCCTTGCCCGCGTGCGGGGACTGCTTTAGCAAGGTCCACATGAGGGCGATACATTGAAGGGTTTTGCCAAGACCCATCTCGTCAGCCATAATGCATCCGTACTGATTCTCGACTACCATGCCGGTCGTACACCTGTACAAGAACTTTGGCGAGTTGATAGCGGGTCGAAAGGAATACGGATCCTGACTCACCTTGACGCCCTCGACTTGATGTGGTCGTAGGACCTTGCACAGACGGGGATCAATGACGACGGCGACCTTGTCGTTGTGTTTCTTCTTCTCCTTGCCGCCGCCGAGGAGCTCCTTCAGGCTCTTATGCGGGTTGTACATGCCTGCAGTCTTTTCGCGAGCCTCTTGAGCAGCCTTCTCTTTCGCCTCCTCCTTCTCTCGCTCTCTGCGTTCCTCGTCTGTCTCCCTGCATCAACGGTTGGATCATAAAGGACAATCGCATGGTCTTCCATAGGATCGTGCAGCGGTCGTGGGATGATGTTTGCGAGCGGACGGATACCAAGAGCAGCATTGGATGGCGTAACAAGAACAACTGCGCCGTCCTTGGTTCTCATCTCTGGGATGGAAAATTTGCGAGCAACTTCGCTGAAAGGCTTGGCCTTGAACACAGGATAGTGGACGACATTGCTATCTCGCGGTCGCTCGGGGAAGCCATTCTTATCAAGCTTTTTCTTTTCTTCTTGGGGGCGTCGTCGCCTTCCGAGCCCGACTCGTCGGAATGTCTCTGCTGATCCTTGTAGTCCGCTCGTTTTCGCTTGCGCGCGGGCTGATTGCGCTGGACAAGGCTAGTTGGGGGCTTGAATGGCTTGTTGATGCGAGAGCTCTCCTGGAGACGGTCGACAGCTTTGCCATCTGAGGTAACGGGCACACGTCGCAGCATGGCGGGGATAGACCCGTCCGAGGCAAAGGGACGCAAGCTGCGACTCAGCGGAGCGGGAAACGACACAGGCTGTGGCGGCGCCCGTGATACCACCAACGCGACGCGTGTGTGGCGCGTGACCGCGTGGCCTAGTTTGACTGTTCCCGAATCGGGAAAAGACCCTGCGCTGACATCGGCGCCTGTTGGGAACTGAACGCGACCGCGAACAACTCGCGCGGCTCTCAACCCTTCTCACTCCCCCGTCGTCGGTGCGTGTCGTTCGTCCTTCGTCTCGCGCGGACTCGTCTCGGGTACCCCAGGTCATGTCGGGCGAGGAGTACGAAGTCGGTCAGTAGCCCACGTCCTGTCGCCGGTTTGGTTGTCTTACAGCGATACCGTGCCAGAGGCGATCCATCGTGCCACAGTCCTCATAGGAAAGCAGAGGAGGAAAACATGGGTGAGTACCGAGTTGTAGCATCGAGCTCATGAACTAAATGTCTTCCAGAGCTACTATGTAAAGGTTAGCCTACCCACACCTTTGTCATAATCCGCATATAGTGATTAACTCCGACAGTGGAAGAATTATGGCCCAGCAGACAACACGTTCGTTCAATCTGCGCTGCGTATTGTAGTCTGCGCTGACTAGACCATGACAGTTGGGAGCCACCGGACTCGTTCCGAGGTGGCTCAGAACACTTCATCCAGAACTTTTGGACTCGCGCCAACACCGATGGGCGAGATTGGCAAGATCTCTCAATGTTTAAGGCGGGTGAAGAGTTCTTTCCACAGGGCCCTCCTCGTGGTAAGTCTGGCATGCATGTGATGTAGCCGTTTCTGACCTTCAGGTCAGGCGTCAAAGCCAGACCGAAAAAGGCCCAGGAAACCACAGAGGCCTATTCGGACCAGCCTCTAGATCGTTGAATGGTCGGAAAACGAGGTGAAGTCCATAATTGCCGACGACGACGACGACGACGACGGACCGAAGAGGAAGCGTCGTCCATCAGAGGTACTAGACGGTACATCCAACAAACGTCGTCGAGGACGCAAGTCTAACCTCAGGAGAAGAGCTTGATACAACCGCTCGCTCCTCCTCGCGACGCAAACGTTCGATGCCGGAAATAACTCTGCCGCGAAAACTCGCAATACACTCCTCGAGGCGCAAATCTACGACTCACCGGTCTCCATCTGCGAGCCGTGCAGCCGTGTCACGGAGTCGTAGCAAGAGCCTGACGACGATTCGACCCCGGATGAGATCTTGCTACAGCCTTCCTCTCTACGGAAGACAAGAACTCGTCTGTAGATGCTGCTGCAGAGCAGGCAATCGACCTAGATCTGCAATATCCGTCTTCTGCCTCATCGCCCGGTGGATCGGGTCACGCAGATCAATGGGCATCAGGCCCCTCTGTCTTCGGTACGCCAATCCTCTTGACAAGCCAAGCCGAACAACCACCGCCCGCGGCTCCCTCGGCGGAGCCCTTGCCGGTTGTTCCTGCACATCGTGCTCGCCGGCCCAAAGTCAAGTATACGAGGACCCCCTCCTCGGTGCAGCCGACGCCTCAGGCAGTGCTATCTCCACGAAGGCAAAGGTTATGCGGCAGAACGGTGCTAGCGCAAAGACACAGTCGACATTGCAGACGGACGTCAGCCCATCTACCGGACCCGTGCGCACCAGTGGGCGTGTGTCAGGCTCAAAGGCGGGACCGGGGCGAAGTTCTTCGGGACTGATCACCGGGAGCACGTCCTTATTCACAACCGTGAGGGGTAAGCTGCAGTCGGTGAAGGGTAAAGTATTTCTGGCAGGCGCGCTCAGGTTGAGCCACAAGCACCCGATAGCGGAGGCGAGGAGGATCTTCTGCTATGGCGGACAGCGCAAGAGTTCCAGACGTTGTGGAACCTCCGCCTCCGCCACCCACGGGAGAGGAGCTCCTCCGCCAAGCGGGCTACAACGCTGTCGATGCTCAGAATTTGTCTGACTTCGAGGACGACATCGATGCGCATGGTGAGCCTGATCCAGACCACCCGCAGCCGCAGGGAACGGTGTTTAATGGGTAAGGACCACGTACTCGTGTTGGCCAGCAGGTCTGACTTCTCGCAGACAACAGACTGTAACTGTGGCCCAGGAACAGTTCATTCTATTCGAGCGGCGCGAATGGAGACAGCGCTGCCGTTGAACAATCCATCACAGTGGAGCAAGACGTCGCTCAACCGATCCCAGAAAACGACGAGTCCGTAGATGCGCCTCCTGTAGCAGAGGCGTAGCGGAACGCCCGTTCCCGGCGGCGTGGCGGATGTCGACCATCTTTGGACCTCTGTAAGCGTAACTCCACCGTCGCGACATAGGTTCAACAACTCATCTCTAGGTTCCACAGTGGTTTGGGAAGAGAGACGACATTGCCCAAAAGGAGGAACCAGCCGAAGAGAATGCTGAAGTGCCGACGTAGGTTGCTGTGGCGATCGAAGTTCGACAGACCACTCACGCATTGCTACAGGTCTGGAGACTCTACGGGCCATCTTTTCTTGAGCTTGGACTACTCGATCTCCGTGCCTGTGCGCCTCAGGGACATTTATCCCCCGTATCACTTCTGGAGAGCCTAGGTGCTCAGCCCATCCAGGCCCTCCGGGAAAGTTCTACAAGAACGAGCATGCGCCTACTATCCTGCAGACGTTCCGGTTGGAGGATTCCACTGCGCGTCTCGTACTCGATCCTGCCGCAGACAACTCGCATCATCAGCACTTCGCCCGCTTCTGCTCTCGCCTCCATGCCGGCGAACTGGTCAGTAACACAGCGATGTCAGCTCGGTCGACTTATCTGACTATCGCGTTTTCGCAGTTTGTCGAGATGATTGGCGTCAAGCTTCTCGCCATGTATTCATCTGAAAACCGAGCATTGGGTGAGCGCCTCGGAGCGCCTTCAAACCTGCTCGGTCTCAGCGACAGCGTGCTGGTCGCCCAGGTCGCGATCGAAAACCAGTCAGGTTATGTGGATGCAGTGGCATATGCAGATAATACACAATGGTCCACTTCGGTGTGAAGACGGGCTGCTGCTGACATGCTGCCAACTGACACTTCGTCTGTAGTGTAGTCGCTACTCATTAGTCGTGCTATTCTTGTTTTCATGCATTCCTTCCTGCTGCTATGCCAACTTGATTGATGCTGAAGCGCATAATTCATCTAATTATGGTTGCTATTTCAGTGTACCACAACCAGGTCCTTGGCGCCCTTCGTGTCGTATGAGTCGCGGCAAGCAAGGCAGACTGCCGTTCCGCGGTGCTACGGTATTTCATTGAATGTATGGTACATGATCGTCTACAAGTCCAGGCCATTCAATAAGGTATGCAAGCGACAAGGTATATACACGGTACATAGTCAGTCGGGGAATCACGTACTACAATGAGATACAGTCAAGATAGCGATGCAGATTAGAGTAGACGATAGCTGAAGCATTCCAAGAGCATGCAAGACGGTGATACGAGAGGAGGGATGGTAGCAAGCAAAACTGCAAGATTAGTCCACAGGTTGCGGCAGCAGCCGTCCGGCCATCAAGCAGTCTTTGACCCATCCGAAGTGGACGCAGTTCGAACCAGAGGCAACATGACCGATATCCCCGCGGTCTTTCACGACAATGTAGTCATACTCGGTTAGGTCTTTTGAGGATGCGTACTTGACATCTGGCACAGCCTCGACACTGGAGGCTCCCATCGTCAGGATGATGCGAGGTACCATGCGGGCTGCTTCCTTGGCCTTCTCAGCGTCGGAGTAGTTCTGTAACACAATTATCAGGTCATCAATGGCCTTCATTGAGAGGGCGGGTGGTGGCTCACTTTTTTGGCCTTCGCGATGGGAACGTAGTCAGGGGCGACGCACAGTATGCGCTTGTTGGCGAACAGTTTCGACGCAACTTGGTTCCCGGTGATATCGCGTAAATGTTCATCTGAATTGCCCCAATCGAGGTCAACAAGCTGCGAGACGCGAGCGTCGAGGGATTCGCAGAAGCCCGCCGGCAGCAGATACTGCTGCCAGTCCTTCTCTTTCCCCTGAAAACCATAGTCAATTTGATAGCAATGAGCCTTGGACAAATCGCTTACGTCGCCCACGCTCTTCACAACCCAGTTGGTGTCCAAGCATGGTATACCCAGAGCCAGAGCGATCAAGTACTTGGGCTTCGCATTTGCATCGTCAGACAGAAGGAAAACTCGCTGGATGTCGTTGCGGACAATACAACTGATGTCCTTATACGCGGCGACCCAACGTTTGTTGCCTTGACTATAAGTGCCGTCCATGGAGAATATATCTGTCCAGTTGTCGATGACAATCCCGCCCACCGCCTTGATGGCCTGCATTATCCTGTCCTTCTCTTTTGCCCAATGGCCGACTCTGGGACTCATGGTCACCACGAAACCCGTCTTTCCGAGTAGCCGCCGCACGCTCTTGGCTGATGCAGTACTTCCGAGCGTCATCTTTGAGGGCGAAGGGGAGCTCTTCAGCGCATGAGGCCTTACGACAGGACGGACGTCCTCGACAGTAAGCATCCTATCTGTCCAGGCGCTATTGAGTGTCCGAGACGCGACCTTGATGTCTTGAATCTCGACCTCAAGCCGGTCGAGTTCTTCCCCGTTATCGATCTCGACTGCGACTATACGGTCTGAATCAAAGCGCGACGTATCAACAACGACGGCCTTCTGATTTGGGTGCACCAAAACCTGGTCTCCCTCCAAGAGCTTGCACAAACGCATCTTCGTAATCTCACGCCGTCCTCGGTACCATCATCGAAGTGGATCATGTACCGCGCGGGGGAACCAGACAACAGCGAATGCACTGTCCCCGAGTAATAGTGATTATCTTGCTTCCACAGTGCGTAGACTCGCGTGGCTGATGCTTCGTCGTCTGCAAGTGCGGAGGAAGACACCTTCCTTTTCTTCGTTGTTCGACCGACAGGAGTGGTTGACGACTTGCCGCCTCGGGCAGAACCCTTGGATGCGGCTCCTTTGGGCGCGACGGAGCTGACGCGTTTCCGCTTCGCCGTCCGAGTCGATTGTGGGACTTCCTCATCGACGTCCATATAATCGTCATCCGCGGGCTCTGTATCGTCTTCGCCATGCCCACCTGCTGGAAGCAACTCTGTGTCTTTGCTGACGGCAGTAGCATCATCGGAAGACGCTCCTGTCGAGGGCCTGCGTCGCTTCAATACACCGGCAGGTGTCATAGAACGTGCTTTCACACGCGATTGTGGGCCGTGACCTGGAGGGACGGCATTCTTCCCGTTCTTCTTGGGAACACTCGAACGGGCAGCGCGAGTTGTCGCTTCAGAGGTAGTCTCTTCCGATGCTTTCGACGATGGAGCCGCGCTCGTATCCCTGGGACGCGTGAGCGGGCCGCGGCCCTTCTTTTTCAGTGCTTTCACGTCAGCGGAAGCGACCCTGGGAGTGTTGCTCGATCGTATTTCAGGGGTGTCGAAGCGGGGCTGAGCAGGCTTTGCGAGGCTCTTCGTCGCGGAAGCACGAGAGCGCGGTGCCTGAATAGGCATTCTCTGCTTCCCTTTGCCAGATTGTAATGCGAGCGGGACCTCGTCTTCATCCTCGTTTTCGTCTGTCACGACAGAGTCAGGAACCTCCTCCATCGGCGAGTCCAGCCTTAATCGCGACGTACGATCGGATAGGGGACTATCAGCCGGGCCAGGTTCCGACCGCGCCATGTCCGCGTCCATAGGCTCTGAGTCTGGAACGACGTCGACTTCTTGGGGAGGCATCAGGGAAGGCGGCCGACGTCTCTGAGGAGGAGGCAGTCTTCGTGGGACGTCCGTGACCGCACTACCGTGCACCGCGTTGGTATCGGATGGCTGCGTGTCATGCACACGAGCAGCATGCGGCGCAGGGACTGAACTATCGCTGGGGGCAGCGCGGGAGGGCGCTGCGGATGAGCCAGCGTTCTGCAACTCATACCGGTACATGCGGTGTGCAGGAATCAGACCAGCCAAACGATTGCCCACGGTTCTTGTGCTCGTAGTAGCAACGGAAGGGCCAGGAGACAGCACTGGGTACTGTCTGTCGATGAAGTTGAAGGGATCGTGGCGGTCGGTGCCGACGGATGGTCTCGTGTCTTGAGTAGCATCCACTGGCTGGGTAGCCTCCAAGTTACTCCTCTGGGTGGCAGGCTGAGTTGCGGCATATGCCTCCTGATTGGGCGCATATATATTCGCTCCGAGAACGCGCTCATACGATGACGAAGGCTCGGTTGAAACGTCATCCATGGGAGACGAGGGTCGGGAGCCTATGCGCCCCATCTCTGGAATGAGGACCCGAACAAGGAGTCTCGCGGCTGCGCGTGAGGCTGGGACTCGTCGGCGGGCTGCGTGTCACCGCCCTGCATTTGTTGAGCAGCGCTCGGCGATTCGGCAATATATTGACTGTGAGTGTGGTTGGCTGCATTTTGGCTAGAACGCGAGGAATTGGAAGGCGTTTCTGCGACCAGGACCGCGCCAGTATGATTCAGAGGACGGGGAAGGTCGGGAGGGGGGACTCTTCTTTCGACGGCACGCATTGAATATGTGTTTGTCGTTCGTGCAGACGACGGCGTTTGCGGGGAAACGTCGTCGGCATTTGACTGTTGTAGCTCTGATAAGGGGAGATTGAAGAACCTCGTATTTGCCATGAAGAGCTTCTCAGCCTGTTCCGGGGGAAGAGGGCCCGCAAACGAATCTTGGGATGCAGGTGACGGGGATCTTCGTCTCCGTGGTCGGTCCGCATCTCGCGCAGGTGCTGCTTCCACCCGTTGAGCATGATTACGGTGCTGTGGTACAGGATGCGGAGCTGGCATAGACGACTTGAAGGTCGCCCTCGACGACTTGACGACCGACGCACCATCAAGGGGAGCACGAGAGTCAGGAGCCTACGACGTGCCGGGAAAACAGACGTGAATGAGTCCAACAATACACCATATAGACGCATCGGTTATCTCACTTCTTGTTCTGCACGCTTGCTCGGACCAGGAGAATGAGATCGTGTAGAAGAGCGAGATGCAGAATTGTCGGCGTCCCGCGAAGTAGGGGCGTTTTCTTTCTGCGAGCCTCCGCTAGCAGGAGCACCATCCACTTGAGAGTCTGTCTGCGTGGAGGCTAGACCGAAATAATGATACTGAGTCCTGTTGCCATTTTGACTCGAGCTTGAAGCCAATTCCTGTCGGTTCGGTCCATCGTGGCCTTGTACCTGACGGATACTCGAAGACCTTTCCTCTGCAGTCTCCTGCGCGGGTTGAGGAAGCACAGCGTTGATGATCTGTGTGGCTTGCGTCTCGTCGCTTCAGCCGAAATCATCGGGCCTCAGGTCAAAAGTCCGCATACAACAAACAAAGCGTGCCTACCTGGACACGTTTGACGCGTCCATCGCGTCTAGTTCTTGCAACCACTGCAGGCAGGAACTGTGACTTTGCTTCGGATACGTCTAGGACCCCGTCCTATCAAGCGATACCAGCTCGACTGACTGTGCCACAATGAAGGAAAACCGGAGGACTTGACCACAGCCGCGGCAGGATGTGGGTCTCAGAAGTCGGACAAGTAAGACGGCAGAGATGCGAGAACGGCAACAACGAGTGGACAGTCTAGCAAGGCTGGACGGCCGCGGCGAAGAGCAGGGGCGGCGGTGGTCGCGCGGTGGCGGACGCGACCGCGACGCGGATCCATCCCCTTGATGAGCGCTTACACCACGCGTCAGAGCGCACGTGATGCATCAGTTCAACGTTCGCTGCCGCTGCGACCGCGCTCGCCGTCAACTCTGCCTTCGCCTTCGCCGTCGTCCTCGACAGCGCTGTCCTCAGTGCGGGTCGCTGCAAGCAGGCTGTCTCTTACTACTCTATGTCCTGTGACTGGTCGTCGTTCTTTCTTGTCACTCTTTAACTCTTATGGCACACAAGAAACCTACTGGAAGCAACCGCAAGCCCAAAGTGGGCAGGATGGTGTATGCCTACCCGCCACTACCTATCTATATGAAAGAAGACTACGCAGATAGCGAGGATATCTCCGCCAACCCCTTCAAACCTAGTAGCCCAAAGTCCAAGAAATCCGAGTCTACCCAGAAGACTTCCTCGAAGGTTATTCCCGACATGAAGGCGGATGCTGTTTCTGGCTCGGGCTTCACGACTCTGACTGTGCACAGTATCATCCCGGTGCATACTGGTATTCTTCCCGTCATCCCGTCTGCAACGCCCTTGGCCAATGGTATCGAGCGTACTCCAGGCTTCTCGCCGCTGCCTACCTCCGTAGTTGCTGCTGGCCTCACGTCAACGCTGACTGCTGTCGCTACACATGGAGTATCAAATGACGCGCAGTCCGGTCAGCCCGCTTCTACGCCGCCAGGGCACATTTCTACCGTCATCATAGTCCTTGTGGCCGTCGGCGGAACGTTCTTCCTCCTACTGGTGTTCATAATCTGGAGAGCTTGTACGATTCCCAAGAAGCGGTACTGCCCTACGCCATCTCTTCCGATTCTGCAGGACCCTTTCGCTGATCAAGTTGTCGTCGGTGACGAAGAATCGCTTTTCGGCGGCAAAGAGCGGCTCTCCGGGCAACCTCCAAGCAGCACTGTGTGGAACTGGACGCACTACTCTCACCCCTCGCTCTCCAAGGGTCCCTTCCTTCGAACATGGGACAGGGTAGCGATGTGGTCATTGCTTCGGAGAAGATCGCAAACCAAACCCAGGCGACTATCAGGCCATCCTTGGACCGTTACCCTGTCGAGATGTCGGAGAAGGCGTCGTATGGCACCGCCTACCTGAAGCCGCCTGTTGTCGCACCGGTGATGAACAACGCAACGCGCGCAGTGAGACGCAAGTCAATTGCGTCTCCGTCAATCTATCCAGGGACTCCTCAGTCGACTTACGGCATCGCGGTCGGGAGTGCTTCACCACTGACTGCCGATGGGACGCCTCTCTTACAACGTAACGTTTCCAAAGCTTCTACGCGGCGGCGATCACGTCAAGACGGAGTTTGCAGTACGCCTCGCTGGACAAGACGGGAGAAACCGAGGATTACAGCGGTGCAGATATCTATGATGGTCTTCGCCTCAGCACAGCCGTGGTTCCTCCTCCTGCGCCAGTTCTGAAGAAGTCCAGCTCCGTACAGGGTCGTGCGCGTGTCAAGGCTCCTTACGCCCCGGGATCGGTTTTGCGTGCGTCGTCCACCATGGGTGCACTTGGCACGCAGAACAATCCGTTGACGATCTGCACTATGTCCTGCCTCCCCTATCCCCTGCTCTCAAGAACGAAGCTACGCGGGAGCGCGACACAAAGGCTCTTGCCTCTGCTCTTGGACTGGCTAGCCCGACGCCGTTCTCTCCACCGACGGCCTTTCATACCGACGGCCCCATCGCGCTGGCCGGTGAGCGTCGTAGGTCCCGTCCTCCTAGCCAGGTCCGCTCTCGTCCGCAGAGCCAGGTGCTGAGTCCGAGCATGGAGGCCAGCGCGCGTCTGGGCAATCTCATGTTGGCGAACTTCTCAAGTATGTCGTCCTTGCCTTCTACTCGTCCCGTTGCGGGCACGGCGGACACTGGTTCAGGCAGCGGACGAAGCAAGCCGGCGAGGAAGAGGCGGATGACAAGCCTCCGCGTGTGCCTTCTCCACCACCTCTGCCTTCCCTCACCCAGATGGCACTGGCGCATACGAACCCGGAGGAGTTCGTGGATTACAGGAGCCCCACTACAGCATATACGGCTTGTACGAAGCGGATAGGAAGAGTCGAGCGCCGGTGAAGGGGGTATTAGGGACTTCGGACCACAGTGGTGCTCGTTGGATTGTATGGATGTACCATGAGACAGTCTACGTTACGAGCACATGTAACTATGGTATGGATACTCCGGTGTAATCATACTAGATCAATAGTCCTGGTGTGCAGCGTGAAATGGAACGAGAAATGCAGTATTGTGGTGTGTGTGTAGCGCAGCTTCGGTATGAGAACGTTCTCCAGGCAACTCAAGAACAGCCATCATTGATCCGTATGCCCCTCGGCGACCCTCTCCGCCGGAATCGGGACATGCTCGGCTTTCGCTCGACGGCCCTGGTTTGTCGGATGGCACTTGCAGCGCCTCTGCGGCGAGTCGCTCCTGTTTGGCTCGCGCCTCTTCCTCCTCCTTCGTGCTTGCTCGGCTTCGGCCTTCTCAGCGCCCTCTCGTTCCTGTTCCTGGACGAGCGCCTTCCACTCGTCCTCCAGCTCGTCGTCGTCAATACGACGTCCGCTTGGGCCATATCCGTGCCCATGTGGATGGCGTCGTCGATCTCCTTTGCGTCAGCATTGGCGGATGCCATGGCATCCATAGTCTCGTCGACCTTCTCGCGCTGGAGAGAGGGGTGGGCGAGTATAGCGCGTAGCGTAGCCGTAGACGACTCGTAGGACTTCATGATCTGCAGAGACGTTAACAACTTCGTGCCGTGTTACATGGCAAGAAGTGGCGAACCTCAACATCACCGGCAGATTGTTCCACGCGGAGGAGCGTGGAATGCAGCGTGTCCAGTGAGCCCAACCGTTGCTTCAGCAGCGCCTCCAGTTGCTTCTGGGCACGTAAGTGGCTGAGCGCGATCTCCTTCCTCTTCTGCCGGAGTGCTGTCGTGATCTGCTCTGCCCGTCTGAGACGCAGGCACCGACGTCAGAAACAGGGAGAGGTTTGAAGCTGAAGACTCAACTGGCTGATCTTCGACTGTATGCTATCGACCTGAGCCTGCAGTTTGTCTACCGCGGCCTTCAATTCCAGCACACCAGCATCGACGGCGGTGATCTCAGCTTGCTCAGCTAAGTCGGGCTCGATGAACTTGATGACCTAGAGCGTATTGTCAGTCGCGCTGGCCACTTCGAGAATAGTGTTGAACGCACCCCTCCTTGCGTGACTAGACTTTTCTTGTCACGCTCAAGGTACCTCAGCAGAACACGGATATCCAGCTCTGACAAGACGACGCCGTCCAGTGCATGTTCCTCAAATCTCTCCGGAAGCTCTCCGCGTTGTACAATGAATCGGCCAGAGACAGTGCACCCTTGCTTCGCTGCCTGAGTAGAACGTTATCGGCGGCCCTCTCGAGTAAGCTCAGCAAGACGTAGTCGCCTTTCACTCTCTTCCACTGCTCGCTATAGCTGATGTTGCCGAGTGACCATCGTCGGAACTCACGACGTTAAGTTGTTCAGCGCCCACCATAGCGGCTTGCCCACGACGTAGGAGGCTATGCGGTATGGCAGCCAGCCAGGGTCATAGATAGATTTCGTCGAATTGAGGAAGTCGGAAAGAGGAAAGTACGTTCTACTCGTGCAGAGCTCGGCCTACGCTAGCACATCAATGATGAGCGACGTCATACGGGCTAGATGGTTGATGACATACTACGACTGTAGGCAGACCCAAAGGCTTTCCAACACCCTCATACCGAAAGTTATCCGCTAACGTAGACCCGCTAGCACGTAGGACGAGTCGGTCGGGGTGCGTGGACTTGGAGTCCGACTCTGCCAGCCAACCCTTCAGCACGATGACCTCTAGCGTTCGCCGCCACCACTCGATATTTGAGGCATAAGACGTGGGATTTGATTGTTTCTGGCGGGAGAAGTCGGAGTATAACGTCTTCAGGCGAGATGCTGATGATGAGGCATATGTTGGTAGGCTAGACAATTGCGATGGAGGGATCATGAATGGTCGTCGAGCCGTCAGAGAGCCTGAGTGCAACTGGCCGCGCACTGGCACTGCGGCGCACACTGCTCAAAGCCACATGCGCGTAGATCCGATCGTGTGCGGACTCGGAAGCAGCCGCGCCCGCGCCTCCGCCTCGTCTTGGAGTCGACTTCTCGACCATGGCTTTCAAGAACACTCAATCAGGACGTAGCATATCACCAAGATCCATTCTGCGAGGGCGATAATACAGTAAGGAGCGTGGCATACATTCCGATAACGAGACAGCAAAAGTAACGACAGTGCTAACGAGCTACAAGTTAACAGGGATAGCGCGGTGACGGGAATATGTACAACGAGAACAATACTGGAAAACAGGACTACAACGAGAGTGAGGTTTTACAAAGCGTGACATGATACATGCAGCGACAGGCCCATTGCAGAGCACGACAAAGATCCTTTCTTCGACGGAACCAACTAGAAAAGCGAGAGCAACGGACCGTAACAGACGACTATGCACGACAGCGATGGGCAAATAACGGTGATGAGAAAATAACGGCGATGAGCAAATAACGGCGATGAGCAAATAACGGCGACGAGCAAATAACGGAGCAAATAACGGCGACGAGATCGGTGAGTAACATTGATGCAAAGCTGTGAGACAACTTCTTTAACGGCGACGGGATGACCCCGAAGACTTGCGAGGGGTTGAGATTACTGGAGCGTATGGCGGCGGGTGGATCACTGCGCCTTCGGGGTCGACGAAGAGGAGGTTAGCCGGAATTGGCACGGCCGGCGTACAACGCCTGGCTGCCATTTGTCGTGCCTTCTCCGCGCGAGCAGCATCCTCCGCGGCCCTTTCAGCATCAGCCTGAACCCCCTCGCGCGACCTCGCGAGTGGAGCCTGGGAGCTACTGACGCTCGAGCTCGAAGGAGAGCTCGTATATGTACTCTCCGGAGGCGAGGGCTGGGAAGAAGCAGACTTCGGCACCAGTTCTTTGTGCGGTCCCTGGCCAAGGTACATGGCAGGGCCCGGGCGTGTCTTCGAGTACTGGCGTTTCTCTTTTGGGGGACGCTGAGCAGGCTCGGTATAGACTGGCGGACCCTCGTAACGAGGCGGCATGTTCTTCACGGCCTGAACTGCTCTCGCGAGCGGATTGTCCTTGTGTCCTTCGGTGGTGTCTGGCTCCTGTGGGTAGTAGTTGGCGGAGGCCTGCCCATAGTAGCTGGTGATGTTAACAGTGCTCGGGTCATACGAATGCGTGACCTTGGACGGGTCGAAGGGGCCAGCCACGCCATGATCGTAGGTGTCGGCGCCGGACTCGTAGGAATTGTCGGCGCTCGAGGGGTACGAACCCAGAGCATCGTTCTCGTACGTCCCAGAGGTGCTGGGATACGTGAGATAGACGTTCGGATCTGCGTCGTAGGAGTAGGTGGCGCTTTGGTCCCCGTCGTACAAGTACGGAGCGTTGACATCCGCGGCACTGGTGTCGAAGGACCGGCGGCACCGATGGTGAAGGGCTCGATAGTGCTGAAGTCATAAGACTCGGTGTGCGAGATCGTACGAGTTGGGGACACTGGAATCCTGCGAACCGGCATTGCTGAGGTCGTAGTAACTGACCGCGCCGGACGAATAGGTGCTGGCGGTCCTTGCGGCACCAGCGTTGTGCGCAGTGGCGGAGGTGTTCAAGGCACTCTCCACTTGGGCCTGCGGAGCACTGACGCTCCTTGTGGCGGTAGCGTCATACGTGACCGCCTTCTCGTTGCGGTAGTTGGCGGTGCGCCCAGGCCGATTTCCTGTGCTTTGGGGGCCATGACTCGACACGATCGGGTGAGGAAGGGGTACCGGGCTCGTCGACGTCCAATTCTTCGGGGGTGCCTGCGGGAAAGTAGACTTCGGCCGAGGCGGCTCTCCAAGGGACACGCTCTACAAGATCAACGCAGGGTCAATAACAGTGGCACAAGACCGTGACGAGCACACGTACACGATTGGACACTGGTCGACTCGGAGGCCTCACACTTGGTGCACGCCTAGGAGACGAGGGTCCGGAAATGGCTGAGAGGGCGGGGGTAGGAGGCGGGGACGATTCGGTTGGACTAGGAGGGACGGACTCAACATCCTGCGAGTCGTCATCGGGCTCGGGCGATGGTGAACTCTCCCCTGCGTGCAGGCTAGTATGGATGCTGTCTGACTCCGACATGATCCCCTGCGCGATGAGGAAATCTGTAGCGGGAACGCGAACATCAGCGGAAAACGAGGTCGAGATGCTACGAAGACGACGTACTGCGCGTCCGGTAACGGAAGATGAACGTCGCATAGGTGCCCGGTCTTTCTTGTCCCATGGCTTGACCTGCCACGTCGTGGGCATCTGAACGTGGCCCATCTCCTCGCCACCGTAGCTAGGATAGGGTCAGCCAAATAAGCTTGCATTGTAGGCCACATACCCTATCCCGACCGGATCTTCCGCGCCTACTGAGCGCTGACCGCCGAGTGGTGGCCTCGGCACGATTGGTGCATTCTTGCTGTGCTTGCCGACAATGGCCACACGCTTAATCTTGACGACGATTGTACCCAACTCCTTAGGGTCGGTGTCCGTCGGAACGGCCCCAATATAGACTATGTACAGGTCGGCATGCGTACAATAGAAGTGGGATTTACTCACGCTCCGGGACCCTCTGGAACATGAAGGGCCTCACCGTGGTGAGACCCACTCGGATGTTCGAACGCTCAGCATGGCCTGTGCCCATAAGGAAGTGTCCGGGAACGGTGTAGCCGTCGAGCTTGATGAAGGTGGCGGTGGGGATGGACCAGCCGTGGTCCTGCCAATGAACAGAGAATTTCTGCAGCACAATTGAGTCCAAGTTGGGACGTAACAATGATCGCCGCTTACTGCTCCTTCTTCGCTTGGGATCCAACACGTCACTCTTCGATTGTGTTGATCGACAGCGATGTCAAACTCGCGGAGCTCGTGTCCAGGGACAGTTATCCACGCTGAATAGCCATCGAGATACATGGTGGTGACAGACAGGGGGGATGTGATGTGCTTTGACTGTGTTCCTGGAGGGTTAAATACGAGGACGGTTGCTATGCTGGCGCTTTTGTTGTATTCTAGGACCAGCGTGATCCGCGTCATGATCAAAGCGTCCTCGCCAAGTGTGGCGGCGTGCACTCACTGCTATACGCCCCAACGGGAAGACCGCCTTCCAGCCGCTCAATAAAACCTCTGTGTCTTGAGTTAGTAGAACTTTACTGTGGCGGAGAGATCAGAGTAGTGCGAGTAAGAGTGAGCGAGCAGTCGCGCGTAGAAGTTGAACACAGGCCACCAAGCCACAGGCGCGTAACAAGTGCAACGCGCCCACGTGACTTTGTGGGTCCACATCTGCGCCCAAAGTAGGAAAGTAGTGAGCGCCCGAAGTAGCGGCTCGGCTCGCAACGAGTCCTTTTTCTGGTTGTCCGTTGTTCCCTTCAAGGACTGGTCTGCAGATCCACGCGTTTCTCCGTGATCCGGCAACGAGGTTGGTACAGCCCCTTGTCTGAAGTTTCTGGGGCTCAGCCCCTATTGCTACGCCCGGAAACACCGGTACATTGCCTGATCGATGAGTTTCTGTAAGGGCTCAGGTCGTCATTGCGTGGAACAGAAAATATGAGGAGTCCTCGCCCTGGAGAGTTGGATGAGGACGTAGTGTTCCTGAACCAATTCGAGCATCTTTAGTCCGGGTTCATATGGCCAGACCAATCTCCGAGTAAGAGAACCCAACCACTCGATCGGCCGTAGGCTTTATCGATCAACCATATTCCCCGCCGGTGCACTGACGGACCACAAGCTGGCCTGCAGAAGCAGTATCGAAATCACGCTCCCTAGTACGCTAGAACGACTGTCCGCAGCCACGTCGCCGAGAGGCGGATACTTTCAAGTTGATGCTATGCTCAGTCCACCGACTGCGTCCGGTTCATTATGGTAACCCATGGTATCAAACTCAAACCGTCACGTCAACGCCACACTCGAGATTCTCGAAGACGGTGTGTGCTGTTTAGTGGGACTGCGCCACTGCCCGAGGCTGCTGAACCGGCTTGTTCGAGCACTTCGACACATAGGTAAGTGCACATTATATTCAGACTGGCAGATCCGACGAGTTCGCCAGCTCATGTTCTCCATCGCTGTCCATGTGTGTAAGTGGAATAGGGCCGTCTTTGATGAGCCCGTTGCCCGATGACTACAGATTCCGTTTGTAAAGTTATGTGGCGCCGAGTACCACTGAGGCAGTGTCATAACGGTGCTCGCCGTCGCAAGCATACAGATTTCGGTATTCTCGTACACATGCAAGATGGCAGAGCAATCTCTTCATATATTCATTCTACAAGGTAAACATCGCGACTACCACTATACATCGAGCCTTAGCAGACAGCAAGATCTGTCGAAACCACCAGGTGACCGTTCTATCTACATGGCGTATCGCCGCCAGAAGGACCGGCCAAAGAGTGGACCGTGGAGGTTGCTCTGAGGCTGCTGAGAGATGGAGAATCGTCATGGGGGAGACGATCCAACATGTGGTATACCAGCGCCTGTGTAGTTGTTAAAAGATGAGGGGCAAAACGCCGACGTGGCTGATTTATGCGGACGGACTGCTTTAGGGCAGGTTTGGTCAGATCAGACGCCCGGTGACGGGGGCGCCTGCCAGTGTGTCGCGCAGCAAACTCAGACGATGTTGAACACATACACGATCTGGTTGGTCTGCTGATAGTATTCTGGACATGGGCAATGAGCTCGCGCTTCACATGGTGGTCTTCTACTGTAAACCTTGCAGCATTGGTATACCGCCAGAACCTGGGTTCAGACCCCCACATGTGGCGCCGACGGAAGACGTCCGAGGACAAGAATAAGTGCCACCTGCCTGGGACCACTGCCAGTTCCACGACTTCTTGTGAAGTCATTCCAGCGCCAAGAGTGGGAAACTTAGTCAGGAGGGCCTGTGTAAGGTGTCAGTGGAAGAGGCGATGGTCTAAGACCCAGTGCGCCATCTTGCTCATTCGCAGCGGTCACTGGTGCGCCCCTTCTCTCGGGCCATCCCCTGCGGAGGATCCAATCCGATCGAGGCCGAGATAGAGCGTCATGCCGTCCTGGAGGGCCTATATAGTATATAGTCGACGTCGTCCTCAGTATGTCCTTTCTCAGGTCTTTCCTCAGGCGCTTCACCACCAGACCAGTCGTCTCCAATCCGCGTCCCATCATGTCCATCACTCTCAACGACGGCACCAAGATCCCTAGCCTGGGGTTCGGCACTGGCACTGCGCTATACGCGAAGGACGCGGAGGACACAGTCCGCCAGGCCATCCAGACCGGCGTCGTTCACCTCGATGGTGCTCAGATGTACAACAACGAGGAGTCCTCGGCGCCGGCATCGTCTCCTCGGGGAAGCCTCGCTCGTCGCTCTACATCACGACCAAGCTTAACGTCATCCCGCTGGCCAGACGGTCCGCGACACACTCGTCGAGTCTCTGAAGAAGCTGCAGACGGAATACGTCGACCTCTTCCTTGTCCACTTCCCGAACAACCACGAAACGCCTCTCCCTGAGATCTGGGCGCAGTTCGAGGAGATCCAAAAGGAGGGCTTGGCGAAGTCGATAGGTGTCTCCAACTTCCGCGTGAAGGATTTCGAGGAGATCCTGCCCACGGCGAAGGTCATCCCGGCGGTGAACCAGGTGAGTGCTAGCGCTGATCCCAATCCGATCCCGTGATGCGCTCCACAGATCGAGTACCATCCTTACGTCTACAAGGCCGATCAGCCTGTGATCGAGTTCATGAAGAAGTACAACATCACCCCGAGTCATACGGTGGCTTGACGCCATCGGTGCGTTTCAAGGGTGGTCCAGTCGACCCGGTGCTCAAGTCTGCCGCCGCACGGCTCAGCAAGGAGGCGGGCACGACGGTCACGGAAGGACAGGTCTTGCAGCTCTGGTTGAAAGCGAAGGGCGTCGTCACCATCACGTTCGTGTGATTTTTTGATTATGAGTGAGAAGCGTGCTGACTCGGGTGCGCTCGTAGAACGAGTTCGAAAGCGTCCCGTGTCAAGGAGTACCTGGCTGCGGAGGCGCTTCCTGGCCTCACTCCTGAGGAGATCAAGGCTATCGATACGGAGGGCTCGAAGGTTCACCACCGTGTCTTCGTGAGTGTCTTGGTCCGCAGTCATGATGTTCATAGTACGCTCATGCGCAATATAGGCCACGTTCTTCGACTCGTGAAGGATCTACGGAAGGGAAGTATCGCTGAAGATTTGTACGCTAGCTATCATGTATCATCAACGAGTCGAATGATAGATGACATCGCCTCACTGTCCGTTCGCCCGTTTTGTGTGCGAGTTTCTTGACAGCTGTCCTCGTCTATTAGGGCGCACTGTACCGGGAGTCTAGTGGCGTATATCACACATCGCACCCCGCGCGAGTAAGGTCATCACTCGCCAGCGAATGCGTGAACTCAGTAGCAACTGGCTGATACCCTTCTAGTTCGAGGTGGTTGGCCTGTATGATTAAAAGCAGCAACACCTAACAAGTCGTCAAAATTTCGAGCACTCATGACCTTGTCTTTACGTTCACATCGTCATTGCAAGCAGTCACGATGCGTACAACAGTTTAGGAATACAACGTAACGGCTGCCCATCGCGCTACATCCGCTCAGTCGAGCTCATCTATCTCCAAGCCGCGCTCGAACAGCTCGCCGTCCAAGTCGTCCTCTCGGGCGGACCACTCATAGTCGCTCCGGCCCCGATGCCAGTTCCCCGCCCGCATCTTCTTCGGCTTCGGCAGAGGGTTCGGTTTCGGCTTCGGGGATCCCGCCGGCGTGTTTGGCGGAGGCGGAGGGGGCGGAGGGGACTCCCACGGCTCCGAGCGACAAGGTCGTCGTAGTAGCCGCGCTCGAACAGCTCGCCGTCCAAGTCGTACTCTCGGGCGGACCACTCATAGTCGCTCCGGCCCCGATGCCAGTTCCCCGCCCGCATCTCTTCGGCTTCGGCAGAGGGTTCGGTTTCGGCTTCGGGGATCCCGCCGGCGTGTTTGGCGGAGGCGGAGGGGGCGGAGGGGACTCCCACGGCTCCGAGCGACAAGGTCGTCGTAGTAGCCGCGCTCGAACAGCTCGCCGTCCAAGTCGTACTCTCGGGCGGACCACTCATAGTCGCTCCGGCCCCGATGCCAGTTCCCCGCCCGCATCTTCTTCGGCAGAGGCAGAGGCTTCGGTTTCGGCTTTGGGGATCCCGCCGGCGTGTTTGGCGGAGGGGGCGGGGGAGGGGGCTCCCCCGGCTCCGAGCGACAAGGTCGTCGTAGTAGTAGCCGCGCTCCACGAGTTCGTCTTGAAACTCCCGCTGGAATAGCGAGGCATCCTCAGTCGAGCGACTGTTACCGCACGGTCAGCCGTGGATTAATGTTATAAACGAGAGAGGCTCACATGGTGACTGGGCGAGCAAGTGCGGGAGCTGTCGTCGCCGCCAGTAGGATGGCAGAGGCAAGCGCAGAGTAACGCATGGTGTTCTGTATGCAGTACTTGGGGTCGTTACGAAGTTTTCCGTTGGAAGAAACGTGGGTCGTCAAAGAAGAAGAGCAAGGCTAGACGGTGTGAGAGGTAAATGCAATATTCAAACTGTCACTGTCGCTGGACACTTACTTGCCGGCAACCTACTCGTTGAGCTCAGAAAAAGGAGAAGAGAGAGCTGAGGAATGCGGTAGACATAGCTCTCCTTTTATACGCTGGGATGCCTGGCCTTGCCACAGACTTGACATCACTGCAGCGACCTGCAGAGATCCTTGTCTGTCGTTGTGGTCAACTCGGACCGTTATGCCTGACGATGGATCGCATTTGGATGATTGTTTAAGCGTACGGATGCTAATTTGCGACGCAGCCTGGGCTCTGGCGCACATGTATACCGTGCCAAGTTGCATGATGAGGCTGTTGCCGAGGGGAGCAGATTTCACAATCAACTGACACCGCTGCTGAGCAAGCCGCAACAGTGATGCAAGACTCAAACGACGTTACCTTAGACTCGGCTGCTATGTTCCTGAGACGAGAGCATTCTAGTGAGTCGCGGTGGCAATCCGATATAATGGGAGAGTGGATCGCAGCCATCGGGTAGCCACCATGGAGTTTTGCTGCGCTGATCTCTGGCGAAGTACAGACCACCCCAGATTATATAAGGATGGCGAGGCACGACGCGGTCTATAGACTCATCCGGGATTTGCGATATGTACATCGTTGAGCCAGTAGCAGCGGGAATTGTTGCTGACTGGCAGAAGAGATCAGGAAGAGATGCTCGAGATTTTCAATCAAGTCAGCGCGACGATCATACGAAGCGGTCTTGATTTCATACTGTAGGGATCGCTGTCATCATCCCACGCCAATGACTGGTAGAGGGTAGACGGACCGATACGGCCGTGGCGGTGATCGAGTGCCCTGGCGCATAAGTTACATACTTGTGGTCCCATCTTGATGGGAACTTGGCAAGACCGACCGCCTGAGTGCACCTTTCTGATGTGGGGCCCATCGTCTGTGAAACAGCTGTGAACTTGGCTGTAACTATCATGTCTGAGTCCTCCGATGAGACATCTTTGCACCCGGACCGGACAGGTGCCGGAGTGGTAGCGCTCGTCTTGCCTCCGAAGTACTACGTCCATCCTCCGCCTCCTCCCTCCCTCTCCCTGTCCGGGCTAGAGCCCATTCTACTTGCGCTGTCTCACGATGGCCTCAACAGGGTCCTTCTTCCCTCGTATCGAGTCTGTCTTCTATGCTGTCTTCGACAGCCGCCAGGGTCCCAAAGTCGTCTACCAAGTACCTGAAGGCCTCATATCAATCGGCCCTACGACAGCCCTTGGGACCAATACTCTCGGTCCCTCACCCCTGCGTCACCGTCGCCAACCCTCGCGGACAGCCCGTCCGTATCGCGCTTCGACTCTCGCCATCTCCTCAGCCCCCAGAAACGTTCTGTCTCGTCTAACCGCTGCCTGTTTCACTTCGATGACATCTCGAAATATGTCATGCCGCCTAGCGCTCTTTGCGGAAGGCTCGTAATCTGTGCGACCAGGGGGCACAGGATCATCGGCTTTCCTGTCGAGCTTCAGGGTGCCTACGACCGCAACTACTTTCGGTATAACCTGTGCTTCGTCTTTGAACGCAATGCGGACTTGAGCTGCTACGAGCCTATTGTTCGTAAAGTCAGTCGAGTTCTGACTGCGTGCGAGGTACGTCTGTCCACCCCGTCGCTGAAGGAGGATAGCAGGTCACAAACGCGTCCTCATAGCTGGAATCACGCTTCCTTTCTGAACCAGACAGTTCTCCGTCAATTTATGCTGTTCTGGAACAGCTCTACGAGGACCTGAACTCGTACTCAGAGACATCTATACCCCTGGACAAGTTCAACTCCATCGAGTTGAAGATCTTCCCATTTTATCCAAATCCGCCGCAGGTCAAGGACTGGGCGGTTCCTTTGGCTCTGATTGACATTCGAAAGCGAATTGAACCGAATTGGGACTTGACCATGATGAGGGTGAGTGTGTGTTGATCGTCGTGGATGCCATTATGGAAGGACATAAGAGCAGGTCTGTCAATACATCGACGGGACCAATCATGTTAGCCGCATCGCACGACTGGCAGAATGCGACATCGATCTCACTCGGCAGGCCATCGCGCATCTACTGTGCGTCAAGTCTTTGTCGTTTACGTGGCATAGTTACTGAGCGGAGCAATTATGTTAGGTACTACCAGGTAATAATGATGATAGATATCTTCCAATATTCCAACATGTATACTTTGTGCACCACAATTCAGTGGCTCGCAGACGAGACCCATGTAAGGGACGAGTGTGGTCCGTACGCGACAAAGCCAGGTCTGTCGGGATGAACCGCTAAGGCGAACGCTCTAATCAGAATAGGACTGCAGGGCAACGCATAACGGACTGGCCAAAATTACTGCACCTCTACTCACGCCTGAAACCAGGCAAGACGGTATACGAGTGGATGGAAGAGTACGACGTGCAGTCATACAACATTGACGTGCGCCGCTTTACCAGCTTCGGCGTCATCAAGGTCAGCTACTTGATCCCGAGCATCCTTCGCAAGCTAAAGGCATGAGCAGGGCTTCCTTCGCCGAGTGCATCGCTGGCCTGTTCTCCTTCCAGAGACGGACACGCCCCAGCAGAGCGGATCGGCCTACCCCAGTCCTTCGGCCGCAAACGCGGCAAGAGCTTCACCGTCCAAACATCCCCACCACGTACTGTGCGCGCCGACTCTATCCGAGGAAGACCACAAGCGTCGCTCACGACGGAGGTCGCCCCGGGGCAACCGGGCTAGCGACAGCACACTCGTCCGCACCGACCACGCCCGTCCCGCATCGCGCCCGCCGCGCGAGCGCAGCGGAGTCCTCGCTCGAGCAGCTCCGCAACCGCGAGACGGCGCCGCGCAAGTCCACCACGCTCGAGCAGCTGTTCAGCCCGGCTCGCGAATACCGTCCCATCGAGCCTGATCACGAGCAATGTCCCGCAGACGCCGCGCCCGCTCACGCGCGAGCCTTCCTCCGCGTCGGGGTCGGGGTCGGGCGACCAGCGTGGACACAGCCCGACGTCGCTGCTGCCGACACATCCCGGTTTGCTGCGCCCGCGCGTGGAACGCTCGCCATCTGCCCCGGCTGTGTCGCAGGTGCACGCGCAGTCTCAGCTGCACACGGTGCCAGCATATCCGAAGGAGCTCTTGCCCCTGCTGGATGGTGAACATCATACCGACGAGTTGTGTGTGCGTTTCGAGGTGGGCTGGCCGGTGTTGAGGCAGTGGTTAGTGATCGCAGGCGGTGGGAAGGGGATGGGGACTTCGGACAAGTCGCGATAATCTACAGGTAGCGATTGCGTACATGATTTGCATATCCGCTGCCGCATGGCGCGACGAGCCTTCATGGCAAACGCAAGCCGGTACAGATGACTGAATGTGCGTCTGACACACTGACTCGCCGAGGAAGCGTGAAACCATCTCTGAGACCTGTGATATTCGCCTCTCTATGTTGCCGCGGCGTGTTCTTTCTTGACGAAGCTCGAAACATCCAACAGATGCTATGTCGAAGGGCTTGTCTTATCGGGTTGCATCCATCGCGAAGGCTATGAGAGTGTTCTGTTGGCATTGACGTAACCAGCCCCGTAGCATGAGTAGAGCAACTCCGTCGACGCCGGGTCAATCTTCTCCGCCGGCACGATTTTGAAGGTCGTCCCGAACGCCGTCTTCACATCTCTAAGAAATTGGATCGTCCGCGCCGTAGGCTCACCCATCCTGCATCGACCCACATCCTCGCTCCCGAGCACCATGAAAGCAGGACGAGGATCTGATGGTGGCTGTCTACGCATCCACCCCTCTGGATCTCCTGCAGCAGTGCACGAGTGGCGAGAAGGGCGATGTCTTCGGGTGCGACGCCAGGCTGGGAGAGCGCTTCGGCGCAATGCATCGCCCCTGTAGTGGTCTCGGAAAGGAGGGAAAGCCCATAGCCGGGAGACTTGCCGCTATCCTCGCCTTTGTAGACGTCGGAGTAGAGGTAGATGTCAGGGATGTAGCGATTCAGCACTGAGCGGGCGGCTTCGATCATGCGGTTAGAGAACTGCGGATTGACGCGTACGGCATGTCTGTTGGACGAGTGTGAGACTACAACATGCGAGCGCAGAGGAGACGATGGCTCACGAAATACCGCGTATCCGCTTAACCTTGCCCCGCTCCACGAGGTCGAGCGTCTTGAGTTGCTTGACACTAGGGCATATGAACTGGACTTCACCGCCACCAAGCGGTGGGCTACCACGTTTCCTGATCTATCAGTACACTTCATTAGACGTTCCCAGTGGTACGAGTATGTGAACATACGCGCAGCTCTAGACCGTCGGACACGCCAAAAAGCTGTAACTGTGGCAATGTGATGGTGCGAATGAGATCTGCCTGGGAAAGAATTAGGTGATGCTACGGAAGTACACAAAACCAAGACATACAGAGAGGTCGCGGTCATCAGACGTGATGCCTCGTAGCGTGAGTTGCAGAGGTCTCTTCGAGAATGGCGCGAGCATGATCACGGCTCAAGGAAGTATCCGACTGAGCGTGATAAGGGACAATCGTGGGTCACCGGGTCCACCTGCTATCACACCCGGCTTCAGCAGGATTGCAGTACCTGTGTAGATGTATAAGTCAAAGCTTGGTTTGACACTCATAAGACGCACCTGTCACGGATATCTCAATAACCGTCCCATTCGTTATGCGTTCCAGCAGCCGGAGCAAGCTAACCTCGTAGTCTGCGAAACATCTATCAATTAACGGTCCTCCGAGTATGTGAGCCTCAGCGCACCTCTTAGACCCGGGATTTTTGTCCTCCGAGCGTATGTGGTCAATCTTCACAGCCTTTCCACTCAGAATAGACAGCACCAGGCGATGTCTGAGGTGAAGGTGCCCGCTGAAGTGAAGAACGTTGCCCGCCTGAGCCATGGTTGCGAGTGAGCAGAGGTCGCGGTGGCTGGAAAATAAGGACCGTGCTTTGGACATTCAGCGAGGGTGATCGAGATCTGCATCGGGACGGGCGTCTCACACGTGTCGCGCTTGACGCGTGCACTGTGCCACAGCGCTCACGTCCTCCGCGAACCTCGTCCACCTCATATCCACCCTCTTTGGCTTGCGAGATGGCGACCGCGCAGGTGCTCAGCAATGGGAGCGCGTCAGACTGGGCAGATCGCTACTATCACGTCGACCAGATTCTTGACAGACCCGGACCGCGCACAGATCCCTCTTTCCTCGCGGGCGAAGAGGTGCCTCTTCTTGTTGATCCTGGAAGGATACGTATTCTGACGGATATTTAAATTGAAAGGTGAAGAAATTCCTGCGAGAGACATCCAAGATTCTTGTTATTGGTGCAGGGGGATTGGGGTGCGAGATCCTCGCGAATCTGGCTTTGTCAGGCTTCAAAGACATTCATGTCATCGACATGGACACGATCGACATCAGTAACCTCAACCGACAATTCCTCTTCCGGTACAGCTTCTTTCTTCGGCTCTGTATCGGCTATTGAGTATCTCCTGCTCATAGGTCGAAGGACGTCGGCAAGCCAAAAGCTATCGTTGCAGCAGAGTTCATCATGAATCGTGTGCCGGGAGTCAAGGTCACTCCGTAAGCTTGTCTCTTAAACGAAGTCTTGTTCTCTCAAGTCGCCTCAGATATTTCGGAAAGATACAGGACAAGGACGACGATTACTACATGCAATTCAATCTCGTCATCTGCGGTCTAGACTCCATAGAGGCTCGTCGTTGGATCAACGCGACTCTTGTCAACATGGTCGACCCTGAGGAGCCGGAGAGCTTGAAACCCCTCATTGACGGCGGCACAGAAGGTACGCAAGTATTACCACACAGGGTCCGCTGGAAACGCCTAATTCGTGGGCAAAGGCTTTAAGGGTCAAGCTCGTGTCATTCTTCCGACCGTGACTTCTTGTTACGAGTGCTCCCTTGACATGTTGAACAAGCCGACCGCGTTTCCCATCTGTACCATCGCCAACACACCACGTCTACCTGAACACTGCATAGAATGGGCATCCGTCCTTGAGTGGCCACGCGTGTTCAAAGGTAAGTGACCCTGTGTCGCCAATGTAGCCACGGAGGCCCATTAACAACCATCCAGACAAGAAGATGGACACTGATGACCCGGAACATATCGGCTGGCTCTATAATACGGCCCTTGCGCGTGCGAAGGAATTCAAGATTGAGGGTGTGACATGGTCACTCACACAGGGTGTCGTCAAGAACATCATCCCTGCAATCGCCTCTACAAATGCTATCATCGCAGGTATGTGTTGGTCTACCCGTTCGCCATATGATACTTACTAAGAAATATCATAGCGTCATGTTGTAACGAAGCATTCAAGATTGCTACATCCTCTGCGGCTTATCTTAACAACTACTTCATGCTCATCGGAACCGACGGCGTCTACTCCTTCACTTTCGAGCACCAGAAGCGCGATGACTGCCCCGTCTGCGGCGGACAGGCCCTCGACATCACCATCAGCAAGGAACGGACCGTACAGGAGCTGATAGATATGTTGCTCGAAAGACAGGATGTGTAAGTGCATTGTCGTCTCGGTCACATATAAGAACTCAATGGATCTCTACGTCTCACAGCCAGATCAAGAAGCCATCCATGGCAACTTCGACGAAACAGATCTACTTCCAGGCGCCACCGCAGCTCGAGGAACTCACACGTCCGAACCTAGAGAAGAAAGTCTCGGAAATGGTAGGCGAGGGTGACTACATTACGGTCACGGCCAGCACGCTGCCGTTCGACCTGACTCTGAAGATAAAGTACACCTAGATGTTGGTTCGAACCTTGCACTGCTGTGTCAAATAGCTTTGAACGCCAATGTACTCTTTGCTATCGATGTCACTTTACCCTGATACTGCTCGTGAGACGAGGGCTGTATATAAGTTGCGATTCATAGACCATGTTTGAGTCCAATGACGATTCCTAATGCCAATAAACGCAACATGTCGTCATGTTTGAATATTGAGGCTGAAGGCAGCTTCAGGATCGCTTGTCAACGAGCTGGGCTCGGGGATGGTTCGGCCTGAATGCGCTGACTAAGCGAGAGCGCATATCGTTCACCAGAGCAGTCGCCACTTTCATCCTTACACAGGACCCGCCACCGTCTATCCAAGGTTTCTTCGATTGCACCGTTCGTCTCTAGCAGCCATGCCCAAGCTTGACATCAACAAGGCTGGATGGGAGCAAAGTGAATTCCCCATCCTATGTGAGACATGTAAGTGTCGAGCCCCTTGCACCCAGGTGCCAGGCGCTCGTTGGATGTTGACATAGGACGGACTCTAGGTTTGGGGGACAATGCCTTCGTGCGGATGGTGCGTCGTGTTCTCCTCGTTGCATAGGCTATGTGTTGACGAGCCGTGTAGTCTAAACAAGAATACGGCCGCTCCTGCGGCACATGCGCACGACCCTTCACGGTCTTCCGCTGGAATCCGGGCTCGGGCATGCGCTTCAAGACGACGGTGATCTGCCAGACCTGCGCGAAGATCAAGAATGTCTGCCAGACATGTCTGCTGGATCTTGAATACGGCTTGCCCACGCAAGTGAGGGACACAGCGCTGGGCATCCAGAATGAGGCCCCGACGAGCGAGATCAATAGGGAGTACTATGCGCAAAACCTTGAGGGCAAGGTACGTGGTGCATTTTGGTAGCAGTCGTTTATAGCTTACTGATGGAGCATCAGCTGGATGGGAACAAGTCCTTGCTTGACTCAGGAAAAGCGTCGTCTGCGGGGAAAGATATGTTGAAGCAGCTTGCGCGTACGGACCCTTATTACAAGCGCAATCGCCCACGCATATGTTCGTTCTTTGTGAAAGGGGAGTGTAACCGTGGCTCAGACTGCCCATACAGGCGCGTTTTATGTCGTCCTACTCGCTATTTGCGTTGGTGCTGATCCCGCTTCAGACATGAGATGCCTGTCGACAACGAGCTCTCGAAGCAGAACATCCAAGATCGGTATCATGGTCGCAACGATCCTGTCGCACACAAAATCATGACCCAGCACGCGTCGTCGATGGGTTTGCAACCTCCTGAAGACCAGTCTATCGTATGTATCACACTGGTTGCTTGTGCTCTCGGTGTCACTGACGCCCTCATCAGGTGTCTTTGTTTCTGACATTACTGCCGCCCTCCGCGACTGAGCAGAGCGTTCGCACCCGTGTCGTGCAATCGCTCCCTAGTGTCGACCCAGCACACATAAAGTCTATCGTTCATGTTGCAAAGTCAAGGTTGGTTGAGCGACATTTTGTCCTCACAGGATGCTGATTCATCTCCGCAGATGTGCTTTCGTCAACTTCAAGGACCGAGCGTCCGCGGAAACTGCCGCCCAGGCCTGGGCAAATGGGTTCGAGTTGGATGGTACTGCAGCAAATGTCAAGTGGGGTAGGAGCAAAGGTGCCGCCGCATCGAAAGGAAAAGCAGCGTCGTCCACAGCGGAGGTTGCTGCATGATGTTTTGTTGTTCTTGTCCCTTCTCTTGTATCAATAGTGTATGATGCTCAGTAATACCGTGTTATGATGTTGCCAATGTCTCTCAACTCGTCCTACATCGAGTGCACACAGACAGATCCCAAGCAATTGTCATATGGCAGGAATCAGATATACCGCCTGGTGTGCAACACCTCACTCAAATGACATCGAAAGAGGAAACAAAATAAATATTGAGACCCGTAGGTCTACCACTCCGGGAAAGCGTGTCATCCTTGTGCAGGGGCCATGCTAATCTTCTCTGTATCGTTCCAATTTTTTCGTATGTCACCCCGAAGGGGACAAAACAAGTAGACTGGAACGTAGGACATGGGAAGGAGTATTGTATTTTGTTCAACCGGCGGTTGATCATGTGAGGGGTCGCGATGGGCTCGTGGCTCACCCCAGTTTCCGCTGTGCGATCCTTCTCTCAGATCGCACAAGCTACACACCCTTTCCTAAAGTTCTGACTCTTCCGCAAGTCAACATGACAGACAAAGAGAAAGGCAAGCTCAGTCACATGCTTGCGGTTCTTCTTCTGACTTCCCCCAGCTAATAGCGCGAGCGACACTGCGGGTATTGATCGAGACATGCTCTGCCGCGGTCGATGCTTTGAAACAGGCCGATTCCTCGAATCCGTCGGAATCATCATCAACAACCCCCGCACTGTCGGTTCTACATAAAGACCTCCTGTCGCTGCTTACGCTCATCTATGCCGCAACCACCAAACTTACCCTCAGCCTCCGGGCTGAACAGCCGGCATATAGGGCCTCGCTAGGACCTCTCCAGGACCTCATCGGAAATGTCTCCGCGATTGCGACATGCGCCACGCTGTTCAAAACACACGGCCTCACGCTGGCGTCCGACGTCAGACAAGTCGTGAGGGAAATATGTTCCGCACTGAGCGCGCTCGGGAACACACTGCTGGAGGAAGGCGAGGATTACCTCGTACATACCGGCATGGTGCACGACTTGGTGGACAAGGCGAAGCGCGACCTTCCCGCGGACAATCGCGCCGCGGTGAAGAAGCGTTGGGCTGCGGATCGAGGGATGTTGGAGGATTCCGTCCAAGATGTCACCAGCATGATTGAAGACAACGATGAGGCGGACGAGGAAGATGAGTTTGACGAGGAGCTCGACGATCTCGGGTTGGGCTCGACCAAGAAAATGTCGGAGGTAGAGATGGAGCGTACAAAAAAAGTATGTCGCTGCTTCCGTGGGTTTTACATAACTTACAAGATCTGCGTGCAGGTACAACCGCTTCTGCGATTTACTACCCTGTTGCATAAGCGTGTCCAACTGGACATTCTCGCGAAACCACCGCCGGAACGTACAAGCAATCCCGTACTCGATTCCCTACCATCTCATTCGCATGCGATACTTGTAGCTCTAGAAGACACCATCGCGACCTTGTATGCTCCCCAGGATCCTTCTGCCATCGCCTCTGCGCTCGCACCATTAGCGAGCGCAGTAGAAGGGTTACGTTCGGCCCTTACACCAATACTGCCATCGGCGCCGGACATAGCAGGGGTTGCCACAGAAGGTGCACCAGCGGAGTTAAAAGGTGCTCAAAAGGACATACGGAAGTGGTTTGTGACGTGCTTTGATCAAATTGACAAGCTGTCGTGTAGCCTCAGGGATTCACTAGCTCAGGAGAGCTCAGTCTGAATACGACATAGTATGCTGGTCACTGGGTTCTGCAGCCGTCGATTCACAGGAGCTTGCCGTATACTGGGGAAAGGGCCTTACGCAGCCTCCGATGCAAATTAGCAGTGTTGTATAAGTAGTACCATCCGATGGTTATGCAGGATCATCTCCGCGGATCCTTCCAGAATGCACCCAGGACGTTGGGATACATCGCGATGGAGCTATGAGCACGCAGTTTCTCCTCGAAGCGGAGTATTTTGTCATGCGGTGCTTGCAAGTCAAACGCGTGTTTCTGGTTGCAATCGAAGTGAGTGCCAAATGTCAAGAGAGAAGTCGAACCACGTACAGTTTCTTCAGCTCGTTTCGATCTTGCTTCGTCACGCATCCTATTCAATTCCTTCTTCCGCTCTTCCTCCCGTTGTCTCCGGTTGAGACCCGAATCAGGCATTTGCTTCACGGCTAGAAGGAACCGATTAGCATGAGTCACTTAGTGGTGAACGCATAACTAAACGTACCTTATTGAACAGAGACGCATATACGCTTGCATCTCGCAAATCGAAATCCGCAGCACCCATGGCCGCCGCAGGCTTTCTCGCCGCTACGCCCACAGGCCCATCAGGGTCCTTGGCTGGTGTGGCACTGTCGGCCTTAGGTGCAGTTGTTGGCGGTTTCGCAACAGCAGGCGTCGAGGAGGTTGTCGAAGTCTTGTTCTTCTTGATGGGAGGCAATTTGCGTTTCTTGGGAGGTGGGGCTCCGCATCCTCTGCCCTCACGGCAGGATCCGCTACCCGTTTGTGGTGGCAGACGCGGAGCTCTGAGTAGGAATCTCTGCGTCTTCAGATGACGGCGCGCGCTTCAAAGGTATTCGCGACGCTGATGGCATCTCCTTGGGCGTAGGTGGGTCTGGGGAGGACGCAGCTTACGCTCGTCCCGGATGACGATCTCCTTCTCCTCCACCTTCGACTTGGAACGCCCGGACCTCGTGGCCCTTTCGTGGCTTTGGCCTTCCCAGCACCGCGTTTGTAGACGGAGGGCTCGGGCTCGAAGTCATCATCGTCCGGGTCCACAGCGGTGAGGCCGAGGGATCTACCTCATCATCGTCGTCGGTCCATACGACCTGCCGCGTCTTGCGCTTTGGCTTGCTCGAGCTCGCCGTACTGCCTCTCCGCTCCGACGTAGTGGACTTCGAGCCTCTCCTCGACCTCGACGACTTGGTCGGTGGGGGAGAACTTGATGAGGAAGGATCCCGGGCAGCTGCGGCGGTATCTGTTCATCATCTACAACATCCACGTTGACGTCGGCGTCGTTGTCTCCTTCGTCTTTGACGACCGCCTCATCACTTCCGGTAGTCTCGTATGTCCTGGACCTCTTCGGCCGGGGACGAACTGGTTCCTCCGTAGCCTCTCGCGAGTAATCACGCTCTGCATCGGAATCCACGCGCCGTTTCCTTGCTCTCATGGATTGGGATGACTCCGAGGCCTACGTCCATCGCGTTAGCCACACGCCTGCGCTGAATCGGAAGGGATCTCACCTGTAAAGTTTGCTTTGAAAGCTTGATCTTCAACGGCATCGTTCCGGTTGTGACGTGCCCCCAGGTTACTCAGGCTCTTCTACGGCAAGGTCGGCTGTGGTGGTCGCTGAGCGGTCGCAAACCTGAGCAGCGCTTCCCGTTCAATGACGGAACGCCGTAGTGTATAAAGTGGCTTTTGGCGCCCGCACCGACGCGATGTTACGCGTGACTGGGGCGCTTCGAAGACTGTACAGCAACTGTACAGCGACAGAGGCGATATACATACTTATGTAGTTCTGTATACTCGGTACTCTCAGGAAGTGAATGCTTGGGTCAACGAGGTTTATGGTCAGCGGATGGGTAGTACAGTGACTTAGACATTACATAATTTGACGTGTGTGCTAACATGCTTTTTACTTTCATGATACAGTACATCCGCGTTCGCGAGTCGCAACGACAATTGTACGCCGTGTGCACCCAACACAGAAATGACGCTACTGGTGAGTGTCCAAACAGAGCAGGTTCAGGGCCCCAATCGATGGTTACACCGACGTGCGTGGGGATCTGTGTATTGACTACACCTGCAAGCCATACTTGAGCCATACTGTATATCGTACCAGCAGAAATGCAGAGTATCATTCCAAGCAAGTATATGTCATTGCAGAGGGAAGTAAAGGCAGCAATAACGATGATGTGTTTAGACGTCGACGATGCTCACTTGACGCGCCGATGTCGGGTTACTCCGCCTCGTTCAATGCCTGCACATCGTCGCGAGCTCAGCACGAACACGACGGGTAAACAGTGGACTTCATTTGCGGAGTAAAGCGGGATGACATACCAAGCGGCATTCGTACAGTACATGCCTGCAGCGCAGGCAATGTCCTCGTTGAATATATAGTCTCAACCCATGTAGTCTGCGACGGCTACTTCTCTGGGCGGGTGCGTCCGTGTCCTGACGGATCGCAGGCCATATCGCGCTATCGAAAGCGGGTCATCTTGATGTCAGATGAATATTTCCCGAGTCAAAGGTCGGACTCACCGGTTTCCTCGCCCCCCTCGACCCTCCTGAGACTCATACCGCGCTCGTCCAACGACCATGATCTGGGCTTCATTCTTGCAAAGTGCTGATGTGTGGCTCCCTGTATCAGAAGACGACTAGCGAGGAATCGCGATAGAGGACGGCAAGTGCAATTTACGTAGTCAACCGAGTCGGAGAAGAGGACGTCGCGATGGTGAGATGAGCAGGGGTCTTGTTCAACACGTGCGGAATAGACGGGTTGCAGCGAGGGTTGGCATTGAGGACCAGATCCTACAGACGACCACGATGGTGTTGTTCTGGAGGATGATAAGAGGATGTGCATGGCAGCTGTCGTCGGGATGTAGGAGACTCAAGCGATGATGAGACGCGCTTGACTAGGCTTGACTGGACCGGGAAAGCTTGGTCTGTGCCGCAAGTGCAACGTGGTGTCAGCCCCCGTTCACCGAAATCCGTAGACCGAGAAGTAGCGGTTGAAAAAGCCACAGAATTTTTCTGGACGGTGCTGATGTTGTAGGAAGCCAGAAAATGCGGTCTTCGAGCGAGCTGGGCGGCAGGTGGCCCGGGGGACATATCGCGTGCCGTGGCGGAGTTGATTCGTATCGACGACCCCAAACCGAACGGCGTCGTCCCTCCATCACGTCTTCATCTTGGCCTTTTTCCTATAACGTCGACGACCCATCACAGCTGCCCAGCGACGAGGATGCGGCCTCCTAATTCTGTTCACTGGGACCGCCGCGCCGCCCGGCTTTTCTTGTCTGGACAAATCGACTGGGTGTATCACTCGCTGGATGCTGCAACTCTTGCGTTCTTGCACACACAACGCTGTTATTGTCGCTCCTTGTCTGCGCTTCTACTGTATCGCGTGCGCTCTGGGGAACGAGATGGACGGTCATTCTTGCCCTCGGTATTGTTTAACAGCCAACGACATTCCCGATACTTGGCTATTTAGCATCACTCGCTCACCGTGTCTAGCTTCCGGCTCGAGCTCTTGGACGCTTGCTGGAGCCAATGCTTCGCATTTCTGCACCACGCAGACGAGGATGATATCCTCACTCATCCTGCATATGTCAACATAAAAATGCATACGTTGTACGCTCACGGCATGACAATCTTATCAGTGAGTTTTCGTTGGCTTCTTCCCTCTATTCTGGTGCCAAGGACAGAGGGGTGTTATTGATATGCTGGTGATCACTCCTTGGGGCGCAGTCGCTATGCAGGGGCTCGTCGACATTGCTTGGCTGGATGCACACCGATCTTGCCCATTTGCTTTGGCACTTCCTGGTTGATTGAACTGCTTGAGGCACACCGCTTGAGCACTCGATGGTTGCTTCATGATGGATTGAGTCTTACCTGACTCTCAGCGGCGCAGCGCCTCATATGCGCATGACGTGACACTGTGACCCGACGTCACGTGTATCTCCCTTGGAGAATAATGGGCTATTAGGCAGAAGCAGGTGGATAAGAGAGAAGTAGTGTCGAGCACTTCTACTGGGACGTACGAGGGTTTCGTGCGCAAGCACACATCGCTCAGGGTATTGCCACATCATTCGCGCGACGCAGAGTGAATGGCACCACGAATATTTTGACCAACACCCTCGTTTGATCCTCATCGCATATGGAACTATGCGAAGTGACGACACGGGAATGTGAACCACGCTGACATTGTTTCGTTGTAGTTGACCATCAATGCAGCCCCCAGTTGATCACTCACCTGGACCGAGCTAACAACCGAGCCTACCACATGTACCGTTCAAAACCGGGCATCTCTGGTGCAGCACCGCTCCCATCTTGCAGACGTGCTACTGGCTTGACACGAGGAACTCAGAGCTCTGTCTGCGCTGTGCCCAAGAAGACCATGCTGCAGACTAAAGAAGGATTGCCAGGCCGCGGGAGCGGGAGCAAGTGTTCGTCGTGGGCGCCGCGGAAGCATTCCGCGCGCTCTCTGGTAGCATCCTTGCCCACAATGGGCAAAGAGAAGCCCTGATGCGACGCGCCGACTTTACGTCTCCTGGATGCCGCTAATCTACCCGTTATAATAGAGGCACCCAGACCTTTCCCGAGGCCCATCCCTTCCTTTCGTTCCTCCACCATTTCCTCCTTCGCTCTCCACCTTCGTTCAACACTTGCAGACCAACTACTATACATTCTCTAAATCAGTCTCCCTAAATGCATCCGCTTCAGCTGTCTGTTTCTGCATTTCCTACGCCCTCTGCCTCAGCCAGCGACACTAGTCGGCTCCCTCCATACGTCAGAGTTCCACGCTGCGATACCACCCGTATGCAAGGTGGTCGCACCGTACAACGAAGATCGTGCGTTGATCGTCGAAAGTCCTGCCCTCTGCCCTCAGTCTTATCTCATTATAGGTGGTCGGCGACTTTCGTCCTGGTGATGAAAATCCGGTAGTCGCGCAGCCGACACCTCTGGTGAGTATATTGTTGTTGTTGACAGATGCTGTACCCTAGTTGACGGGTTGACGTGACATGGCACTTTCAGCCGCTCATTGAGGAGGTCGACGAGGAGGACTTGGTAAATCTTGAAAATGCGCTGCCTGTGGGACCACCCGTGTATAAGCTCCGGCGTAGGCTTTCAGCTCTCGTCATTGTGAGTCCTTTCATACTCCTTCGCCATTGTTCTTCAATTGGTATGTATGTATCTAGGACCTCGCATTTGTCGTCCGTTGTCGCTGCAGCGGCTTGCGCTCCCCCAAAAAGATGGCTCACCCTGACAAGATGGATCTGTTGGCGTGAGGATCCGTCACCCATACTGGACCTTGCATCACCGGAAAAAATCCCGCGTTCGATGACCTTCGTTGAATGGATAAAGGATATACTTGTATCATAGGTTCTTGTTCATTGTAGCTATGCTTGTTTACCTCGTCGACCTCTTCGCACCGTCCCTGGCGACTTTTCTAGCTGGATCATATGGTCTTTGTCTTGATATGCTAAGTAAGTATCAGGTTTTGTAAGTTCCAAATAATACTGTACTGTTTACGGCCACTCCAGCTGGACCAGCCTGAGAATGAAAATGTCGACATTTCTGAGGCCTGAGGGTCGGTCCTGGGTCGTCGGGTGCTTCCGGAGGCGCGTGCATACGCGTCTGGTCACAAGTGACGAGACGCGTCTCCGTAACAGTCACGCCCACTTGCGCTCTCTTACGCCGTGCTATAGGACGCGAGCTTTCCTCTGGCTTTATCCACTTCGTGAGTTGGCAGTGCGCATGCAAACATATCTCTTTTTTGTGTAGTACGCACTCAATGTTCTCTGACCACATAGACCAGATCTGGTGGGTAGGTCTCGGCACGTAGGAGCCTGAGAGAGGTGGTCAACCAACAAGGTGCGTGTCGTGCCTCCAGTGTACTAGCGGAATCCAAGATAACGATTCAGACCTATTCACATGTTGTCTTTCTTGTGGCGGATTCGCCTTGCCAAACGGCCTCTACGTTTCTTCGAGAACCGAAGGTTTCAGTCCGCTCTTGCTGCCAGTCGGCCGACAATCAATAATGTCCTTGGCAAGGAGTACCCAACTGACAAGAGGACAAACATCACACCGGCTATCATTGAAAAACTTGGACGCAACCTCTACCTACAACCGTCACATCCCCTTGGTATCTTGCGTACTCTCATTGAGTCACACTTCAGCAACTTCACCGCACACTCGGGCTTTTCTCCCATCGTGACGCCTGCGAAGAACTTCGACGACTTAGGTTTCCCAGCGGACCACCCTGGTCGTGCGCTCAGCGATAGCTATTACATCAACGATGGTCTCATGCTCCGAACGCACACGTCGGCGCATGAAGTGGAAGTCTTCGCCCGGGGAGACCGGCGCTGGCTACTAACCTCGGACGTCTATCGTCGGGACGAGGTCGACTCGACGCACTATCCTGTCTTTCACCAGATGGAGGGCGCTCGCGTGTTCAGCTCGAGTCAGGAGGGCGTGGACGAGGCGGAGGCAGACAACGCACGTCTCTCGGCACACCTCGCGCAGTCGAACATCGTCATCGAGGATGTTCCGCATTCGTCCTCTACGAATCCAATACCAGGCATCCATTCCACAGAACACGCGGAACGTATGGTCCTGAACCTCAAGTTGTCGCTGAACAGCCTCATGCTGGCGCTGTTCGGCGGGCGCGCGGGTTCAGCGGAGGAGCCGCTGCGGGTGCGCTGGATCGAAGCGTACTTCCCTTTCACTAGTCCAAGTTTCGAAGTCGAGGTGTTCTTCCATGGCAAGTGGTTGGAGATTTTAGGCTGCGGTTTGGTTCAACAGCGAACCCTCCAACTGGCCAGTGAGAGTCATAGTGCAATTCATCTTAACCTCCTCTCCTCACTTCGTCCCCAGATATCCCTCATGACGTGAGCTGGGCATTCGGTTTGGGCCTGGAGCGTATTGCCATGATTCTGTTCGCGATACCCGATATTCGGCTGTTCTGGTCGACTGACCCTCGTTTCTTGGGCCAATTCATACCGGGCAAGATCTCGACCTTCAAGCCGTACTCAAAATATCCGCCATGTTACAGGGACGTCAGCTTCTGGCTACCTTCTCAGGGTCTACACGACAATGACGTGTTCGACCTCGTGAGGGATACCGTCGGCGACCTGGCGGAAGACGTCAAGATGGTGAGCCACGGTCCTACTGTCGACGTGTTACTTCACTAAGCCTCCTCACAGATTGACAGCTTCACTCATTCAAAGACGCAGCGGACGAGTCGGTGCTACCGAATAAATTACAGATCAATGGACAAGTAAGTGTCCAACCTGTCATAGTGTACTCTCTTGACGATGTACGCGCTAGGTCGTTGTCAAACGATGAAGCCAATGACCTGCATGCTGGAGTCATCACACAGCTCAAAGAAAAGTTCGGAGTCGAGGTTCGTTAATTAGATATCATCAATGCCGTAATGTACGCTCTACTAGAGCCCCACCCTGCTACCGATCGCGCTGCTTATACAAACACGACAATCGCATCTTCCTCCGCTCCCTGCCGACCATGACTATGACCGGTCTTGTACAACGCCGACCTGCGCTGCACGCAAGACACGATCCTTGATCGTGTACCCAATCTTTTGGCAGTCAAACACGGTGCCGGGCTCCTTGTCAGGGATCGGCGCCTGGTAGAGAGCTTCATGCCGGTTCGGGTCGAATTTGTCACCGGTCGGGTCGAACGGCTTCACGCTGTATTTGAAGAGAGTCTGCAGAAGCAGTCGATGTGTCATCTCGACTCCGGTGTATAACTCGTTAAGGTGAGCCTCTGCCGGTTTGTCAGCCGGCGCTGCGGGGGTGGACGGCTGTGACGACGCGTCGCCGGTGGATGAAGGGGAAGAGAGGGCGGATTGCGGGACGGATTTTAGCGCGAGCGCAAGGACGTCAACAGTCTCGAGAAGGTCGGAGGCGAAGCGCGAAATGGCGAAGTCTTTCGTTTGCTCTTTGTCCCTCGCAGCATTACGCTGCAGGTTCAGGAAGTCTGCCTGAAGATACCGTAACCGGCTCTGATAGGAAGATAGGACAAATCAGCATTGCACAGAAGACACAACGCCGGACAGCGCACAGTCAGGTCGACGACTTCAGCCTCTTTCTTCTTCAACTTCTCCCCTATCTCCGATGTTGCCGACGATGTGCTGGCAGCTTCGCCCTCCCCCTCTGCCTTGGCCTCGGACGCCTCGCTTGTACCCGACTTGTCGTCTGAGTAGTACCGGACGCCAGCTGTGGCTGCTCTCCGGCGCGCGGCAGACAGCGCGGTTCTCGTCGCTCCTCGGACGGGGACGGTATTCCTGCAAGAGCGGAACATTTGAAAGACCTGTGCGCTGTTCATGGCGGGCAGTCGTGGGCTAGTGTGCAAGAGGCGAGGGGACAGGTTAATGTGTGTGGTGGACAAGACGCCAGCGGTCTGACGAGAGCAATGAGACGGCAAGCGTACCCAAATTTTGGCTGAGGGCGGGCGTGGGACAGTTCACGTGCGTCTCAGGAATATTACCGTGGATGCTCTATATACGATTTGGAGCCTGTCTTGGTCTGAGTCTCAGACTCTCTTCTACATCCCCCGAGTCACCGTCTCCAGCCCATGCAGCGCGCGTAGCACCAGCGCCGTACTATCCAGCTATCGCGCGCTCGTGTCGTCGCCTGGCAAGACTACTTGGGAACACTCACTGCAGCGCGTGTACGATACTAGTTCCTCAAAAGGAAATCGATGCGATATATTTCTCTTCGATCTCTCAGGGTGTTTAACCCGCTCCTTCCCTCTTACCCCCACCATCGTACGATGGCCTCAGCCGCAGGCGCAAAAATCATCGACGGTGTTGCCATCGCAAAGTAAGCGAGTTACGACGTCGAGCATAGTGTACTATCTGCTCATTCCGTGCTCGTGTCTACGAAGGTCGATCCGCGATGAGGTCGCCGCGCAGATCCGCGCTCTGCAGGATCAGCATCCTCGCTTCCAGCCGCAGCTTGCCATCATACAGGCTGGCGCGCGTCCAGACTCGGCGGTGTATGTACGCATGAAGGCCAAGGCCGCCGAGGAGGTCGGCATCAACTTCAAGCACATCACCATCCCTGGCGAAACCGAGGTCGATGAGGTTGTTGATATCGTGAAGAAGCTGAATGACGAACAGACCGTCAGCGGGATCTTGGTCCAGCTCCCTCTCGGTGATCATGTGGGTGCTGACGGTGAGCGGACTGTCACGGAGGCCGTTAGCCCCGAGAAGGATGTCGATGGGTTCGTGTGCCCAAAAGTGCATTATGTGCATAACTGACGCGATTCGCGCAGGTTCCACGCCTATAACATTGGACACCTCTCTTCTCGCGCGTCCGACCCATTGTTCACCCCATGCACTCCCACGGGTGTGATTCGGCTGTTGGAATCTACTGGCGTTTCTATTGCTGGATCCCAGGCGGTCGTCCTTGGGCGTAGCGATATAGTTGGAAGCCCCGTCGCAGCTATGCTGAGGAACCGCGATGCTACTGTCACTCAGTGTCACAGTCGTACGAAGAATCTTCCAGAAATCGTGAGGTCGGCCGACATTCTCGTCTCTGCAATTGGCAAGCCCGAGTTTGTCCAAGGCTCGTGGTTGAAGCCAGGCGCAGTCGTAATCGACGTTGGCACGAACTACATCCCCGATGCCACGAAGAAATCAGGTCAGCGCCTCGTCGGGGACGTCCACTTTGCTTCCGCATCTGCTGTCGCGTCCTACATCACTCCCGTACCTGGAGGCGTAGGTCCGATGACGGTCGCAATGCTGATGGCGAATACCCTTCGTTCGGCCGAGCGCCTTTGGCAGAAGGAGCGCGACCTGAAGCTGAAGCCCCTGAAATTGGATATCCTAGCCAAGGTTCCGAGCGATATTGAGATCGCCATGGCCCAGACGCCGAAGCCAGTCGCCCAGCTTGCGTACGAAATCGGTCTGCAACCTGATGAGGTCGAGAGCTACGGCAAGTACAAGGCGAAGGTGGAATTGGGTGTCTTGGACCGCTTGGCCCATCGCAAAGACGGCAAGTACATCTGCGTTTCTGGGTGAGTTCAAGTGCTGTGATTGTAACTGTCTGGTTCTGACATGCGAGAAGTATAACGCCAACGCCGCTCGGCGAGGGTAAGTCCACCACGACCATTGGTCTGGCGCAGGCCCTTGGAGCGCACCTCGGTCGTCCGGCGTTTGCTTGCGTTCGTCAACCTAGTCAGGGTCCTACGTTCGGTATCAAGGGCGGCGCGGCTGGTGGAGGATACAGCCAGGTCATCCCATGGACGAGGTGCGTTTACCGATGTTACGTCTAGCATCATCTGAATCAATAGTCGTCAGTTCAACCTGCATTTGACCGGCGACATCCATGCTGTTACCGCAGCAAACAACTTGCTCGGTGAGTGCATTGAGTCATGCCACAGACTTATTGCTGATATGGAATATAGCTGCCGCATTGGATGCCCGTATGTTCCATGAGGCCACCCAGTCTGACAAGGTAATGCGTCATGCTAGTCATATGAATGTATCTCACTCTCCGCCAGGCTCTGTACTCACGTCTCGTCCCTGCCAAAAAGGGCAAGCGTGAATTCGCACCTCTTATGTTCAAGCGTCTGAAGAAGCTCGGCATCGACAAGACGAACCCTGATGACCTCACGCCAGAGGAGATTAACCGCTTTGCGCGCCTCGACGTGGACACCGACACCATCACTTGGAACCGTGTCCTCGACGTCAACGACCGTTTCCTCCGGAAGATTACTGTCGGTCAAGCACCGAGCGAGCAGGGTCATGAGCGTGTTACAGGCTTCGACATCTCCGTCGCCAGTGAGTGTATGGCGGTACTGGCATTGACGACGAGTCTCGAGGACATGCGTGAGCGGCTCGGTGCGATGGTCGTCGCTACGAGCAAGCGCGGGGACCCTATCACTGCTGACGACATTGGTGTCGGCGGTGCTCTGGCTGTCCTCATGAAGGACGCGATCAAGCCAAATTTGATGCAGACCTTGGAGGTATGGCAAACTTCCCGGCAATGTTAATTCTATACTGAGAGTATTGTAGGGTACTCCCGTCTTCGTACACGCCGGACCGTTCGCCAACATCGCGCACGGTAACTCTTCCATCTTGGCGGACAGAGTCGCTTTGAAGCTGGCTGGCACTGAAGAGGGCGATTCGTCGGACCGTGTCGGATATGTTCTGACAGAAGGTGGCTTCGGAGCTGACATGGGACTGGAGAAGTTCTGCAACATCAAGTGCCGAACCAGTGGCTTGAAGCCTGATGCAGTCATCATCGTTGCGACGACCCGTGCGTTGAAGATGCATGGCGGAGGACCAGACGTGACCCCTGGAAAGGCGCTTCACGAGACGTACACCAAGGAAAATCTGGGAACTCTGGAGGAGGGCTGCAAGAACCTCGTCAAGCACATCCAGAACTCGCGGAAGTTCGGCTTGAAGGTTATTGTCGCTATCAACCAGTTCTCGTAAGTAGTCCTGTTTCGTGGTCTAAAATCGTAAGCTGAGGAGCGCTGCCAGCTCCGACACGCCTGCCGAACTTGACCTCGTCCGTCAACAGTCGCTCGCCGGAGGTGCCGATGCCGCGGTTGTCAGCAACCACTGGGCAGAAGGTGGTGCCGGCGCGCGTGCGTTGGCTGAGGCCGTCATCGCGACCTGCGAAGGGCCGTCTGACTTCAAGTTCCTGTACGACCTCAATCTTCCGATCGCGGACAAGATTTTAGCAATCTGCAAGGAAGTCTACGGCGCAGATGGTATCGACCTGAGCGAGGCTGCGCAGAAGCAAATCGAGACTTACACTCGTCAAGGCTTCGGCGACCTCACCAGTGAGTAGATATCCCCTTGGACCAGTGAACGTCTGATAACCCATGGTTTGTTCGACTAGTTTGCATGGCCAAGACACAGTACTCGTTCTCTCACGACCCGAAGAAGAAAAACGTTGCGTCCGGTGAGTCCAATCATGGTCCGACGAATCAGTACAGCACTGAATGCGTCCCGCCAGGCTTCACTGTTCCCATTCGTGAGGTTCGCTTGTCGGCCGGTGCAGGGTTCTTGTATCCCCTGTGTGGTGACATGCAGACAATGCCAGGTCTTGGAACACGTCCAGGTATGTTTCAAATGCAACCCAGCCTATCGCAGACCTGCTCACTGTATGGTAGGCTTCTGGGAAGTTGGCCTGGACCCTGAGACTGGCAGGGTTGTCGGCCTGTTCTAGACGCACAAACAAGATCGCTAGACTCCATCTTCATCAGATCGGCTCTAGACAAGCAATACACCGTCTCAACACGGGACTGCATACCGTTCAACACGGGAGCGCAGGCGGGCTTCATCGCCCCAGCGAGCTGTTGTAGTCAGTGTGTCATGGCGGGGCTTCAGCTTCGAGAGCACGCCGAGAGAATGGGACGTAGTGGATGCCGGAGCGGGAGTTGTTACACCAGTTGTGCGTGTAGGTCATGTGTATGTAGAATCCTACGAGGAATTCCAGATGTCGGGCCATCGCAGTACATATGTCTGCTGCACTGATGATGCCGATGCATTGTCCTACTTTGTCCGCAAAATGGAAGTAGAAGTCATCGTCCGTACTACTTTCCCCCTGGCAGCCTCGGCTTAGCCATCACTCCCTGTGACAGTGGGGCGGACAGCGGAAGCATGAAGGGACTGCTGCCCGAAAGCGAACCGCCGATGCTGTCATAAGTGACATTGTTGTCTGCAGCGCCGACGTTCCGCCAGTACGTGTCACCGTCGGAATCGACATAGTTGAATGTGTTGTTGTTCGTGCCATTGCCGTAGTTGCCGTTGGACGAAACGACGAAGTACGAGGCTGTGGAAGATATCAGCGCCAGAAATCCGCGCGGTAGGCTCCAGGACAACTCACTTGCAACCTGCCGCTCATTGATCGTGGATCCTAGGATGAAGGGACTCGGCGAGGAGACGCGATTGTATGAATGGTCAAAATCGGCAGTCCCTAATACATATCGCGTGAGCGAATAGTCATGTGCAGTGAGAGAGTATTTACACGAGTCGTAATTGTCATCCAAGTAGGTCATGTTGATGTACAGGGGGTAGGAGAAGTCATCACTCAATGCCGGGACCCCGTTGTGCGTGGACAGGAAGGAGCCCGTGGCGGTTTGCGCGACATTCTACAATGGTGCAAAGCCTCAGGTCACGAACACTCGTTCTGTCTTGCGGGCACTCACGTTCACCAACAAGTTGTCCAGGTAGTACTGCGTGTTGGAGTACTCCAGGTCTTGCGTCCAGATGACGGAGGTATGCTGTCCGCTCCCACTCGTGAACTCTGACTGGATCTGGATGCTGTGCTTAGCAGTCACAGTGACTGTCAAATCGCCGTTGTCGCCGACAGTTCCCGTAGTCGACGTTTCAGCATATGGCTCCACATTGTACACGGTGATGTTGCCAGTAGTTGGGCCTGACGACGAGTCCGTCACCACCTGCAGGTTACCCGATACATACCAATTGTCGTTGATGGTATGGTTGGTTTCGGCCGACACAACATCGATGCTGATGTTGTGCGGCTGGCCGTCAGTGAGGACGGGTACGAAGGGCGTGAGGTCGATGAAGTAGGTTGGGAGGTCCAGGGCGCCGTATGACGTGATGGGCCTAGAGAAATTTGTCTTTACGAGGAAAACGAGACGCACTAAGGAGTACTGACCTCCAGGCTGTGGGTGAGATCCCCCCTGTGAAGATTACAGCGTATCTAGACAAGCAGAGTCAGGCTCCTCGAATTTCTCGCCATGGAGTGACATACGGGAACGCTACGCCGGCTACTTGACCATCCACGAGCATGCGAACCTCACGAAATGGTCCGTTGCCGTAGGTGAGGCCACTTGGGAGGTCACCCAAGTAGTCATTGGCCACGTTGTAATACTAGCGGGGCTGTCAGCTAACTACTGCGTCCCGCACCCTGTCGACACGTACCCAGAACTCTTCGTTGCCGTTACCAGATGCGTACAGCTCAGCATAGATTGCAACGGCATTTTGCGGGACAGTCACATTCAACTAGGTGGGCCTGTCACTGAGAAAAGTCGCGGTGCAGGAATAGCAACGTACAGAAAAGGTAGGAGGGACGGATGCGTCGTCCCCAGTATTGTTAGCAAGCGTGGTCACAGGGATGATTGTGTTAGCCCGAGGTGCTGACGGATACTCGTCGGACGACGCGTAGAACGTGGCAGTGAGCGTAGCTGAATCCTCACACATGCATAAATCACTTTGATGAGAAGGCCGCAGCACTTACTGGCATACTGGCCGTTGAGCCCAGTCGCAAGTATGTTGTCTAGTTCCAAAATGAAGGTACCCGGTTCCGAAAAGAGCGGAAGGTAGCGAGTCGCGTCCTTGAGGTATGTCCAAATAATACCGTCCGTAGTAGGCTCCGGCGTGGAGGTTCGCCAGACTGTGGATAAGTCAGGATATCTTCAGAACGTCCCCAGTACCACAAAACTGACTCTCGACGTTTTGGAAGGTGAAAATTCCTGAAGAAGAGTATAAGCACTGGCCCGGATGATATCCAAAAGGAGGCGAATTTCACCCAGCCGGTCATACTGAGTTCCGTTGGAAGTCACAGTAAAGTTGAGACTGATGCCAGCCCACGAACCGACTGCCCCACAATCCGTCGGTGGACTAGAACTCTTTGAGCTCAGTCCGCTCAAGTTGGTCGCGCTATGACGTACGTGTATTGCACAATCTCTGGACTGCAACACGCCCATTGAAAGGCATGAGCATCATTGACTTCAATCATTCACAAATATTACTCACTCTCCGTAAGAATTCCCGAATGTACGCCTTCAAAGTACAACTGCTTTAGCAAGATGGGATGCATGGATTGCATCTGGCACGCACTCGAGGATCTGTATGGTGCACTGCTGAGCGCTCGAGGCACTAGCAACGGGGTGGCTGCGCGACCTGGAAATCACAAGTACCGCCGCATACGACGCCCGCGCGAGGAGGAGGCCTGCGCCCAGACTCTGCACAAGCCATGTCCACATCGCGCAAAGTCAACCAAGGAAACCGAGCAGAGGCGTCTGCGAGGCGTCCTGTCCATCGCTGTAAGTATCTCGGGTTTATATCGCTTGCCGAAAATGATGATGGGAAGACTTCTCAGTTGCTTCTCAGTGGGAACTGTCGAGGACACGCATGTGGTCAGGCCCGAGATAGCAACAGTGGGAGCGGATTGAACAGAATACGCCGTTATACGGCGCGCCGTCGCCAAAGAAAGTATTCGGTGGGCCTTCGTGCTGCATGGCCACGATAGCAAGTTGTATGGCGAGAGCGTATATATACGGGAGCTGAGCGCGCAAAAAAACCAGCGTGGATGGTCTACTGACTCGCGCTGACGAGACATCGTATTAGCATGGCGATCTGGCCCACA